TATAAAGAAGTGTTAGATAGCAAGGATAAGTCTTTTTTAGACTAGTATAAATAATATGTGCTAGGGATTAATCTATTAATAATATTAGTACTAATTACCTTATATTACTCCCTATTAAATTAGGTAGAGTATAGATATAGGTACTATTAGACTTAGGATTATAGTCTAACTATATCTCTTTGCAAGTAATATAGCTAGCTAGACTATGCCCTACTTAGAAGATAGAACCTTACCTACTATAAGTAGCTAATAGAGAACCTATGCCTAAGGAATTAGAAATAACCTATAAGGTATTATCTATTCTAATAACTATCTAAGGATACTATAAGGAAATAACCCTAGATGCTTTTAGGATAGCTACTTATAATATTATATTAGGAATTCCTTAGTTATAAAAGTATAACCTATAGATAGATTAGGCACTTAAGAAGCTTTTACTAAAGTACTATAAATATAGCATAATATAGTTAGAACCTATATAGACTATAATATAACTAGTAGATAAGAAGATAATTAGTAATATTGCTTTAACTAAGATATACTAAGATAGAGTAGTTAACTATATAGAGAGCAACTAGCCCTAGCCTTATAAAGTAGTAGTTAAGGAGAAATATATAACTCCTAGCATCCTAGATATATATTAATAATATGCATAGATATTTAAAGAAGAGCTTATAGTAAAAGCCTTACCTAAGTATAAACCCTAAGATTATGAGATTAAACTCTAAAAAGGAAAGTAACTAACTTTTAGGCTACTATACTAGCTATTAGAGAAGGAACTTAGTATACTTTATAAGTATATTTAAGAGAACCTTAAGAAGGGATTTATTAGAAGATTAGAATTACCTATAGAGTACCCTATTATATTTATTCTAAAGAAGGATAGCAAGCTATAACCTTATATTAACTTTAGGAAGCTTAATAAAATTATAATTAAGAACTACTATCTACTATCTAATATTATAGAGTTATAGGACTAGTTATAAAGAGCTTAGTACTTTACTGCGTTAGATTTAAGAGAAGCATATAACCTTATCTATATAAAGGAAGGTAAAGAATAGAAGATAGCATTTAAAATAAGATATAGACTCTATAAGTACCTAGTTATGCTATTTAGTCTAATAAATATACTAGCTACGTGCTAGAAATTAATTAATAATGTCCTTAGGGCACACCTTAATAGGATAGTAGTAGTATATCTAGATAATATTCTAGTATACTCTAAAATACTTGCAAAGTATATATAATATATTATAGAAGTACTAGAATGCTTAAAGCAAGTAGAACTCTAACTAAAACCTAAGAAGTATAAATAGTATAAGGAAGAAGTTAAATTCTTAGGGTTTATTATAGGATAATATAAAGTTAAGATAAGCAATACTAAGATTAATATAGTAAAGAATTAGCCTACCCTAATAATAGTTAAGGGGATTTAAGAATTCCTTAGGTTTATTAACTTTAATAGATAATTTATTAAGGATTACTTAAAGAAGGCCTTGCTACTTATAAAGCTTATATAGAAGGACATACCCTTCTTATAGGGAAAAGAATAGGATAATATATTTAAATTATAATAATAAGCATATATTAACCCCCTAATATTAATTATATTTAAGAGTAATAAACTACTTTAAATAGAGATAGATGCCTTAGATCTAGCATTAGGAGCATGCATTACGCAGGAAAAAGATAGATAATAGCACCTAATTGCTTACTACTTATATAAGTTCTTAGGACTAGAAGAATGCTATAATATATATAATAAAGAACTTTTAGTAATTATATTATCTCTAGAATATTAGCAAGTATATGCTAAAAGCTATTTAAACCTTATAATCTATATAGATTATAAGAATTTAGTATACTTTACTACTACTAAAGTCCTAAACTAAAGATAAGTTAGATAGTTAGAAATGCTAGGCTAGTATAAGTTTAAGATTCTATACACTCTAGGCAAAGATAATAGTAGAGCAGATGCTCTTAGCTAATAATATAACCTAGCAGGTAAAAAGATAATTAATAAAGCTACTATACTTAGAATTAACTAAGATAGATCCCTTAGACTATTATAGCAACTTAATAACATTATGCATATATTATAGAAATACTGCATACTAAGCTAAGTACTAGATAACCTTTAAAAAGGAATTATATATAATTATTATAATAATATACTATATAGTTATCCTAGAATTATAAAGATAATAGAACTAATCAAATAATATTATAAGTTTCTAAATATAAAAGATAAGGTTACTAAATATATTAAAGAATATATTAACTATTAGCAGAATAAACATAGTATATATGCTAAGTATAGAGAAATTTAGGCAATAGAACTACTAACTATACTATAGACAAACATTATAATAGATTTTATTATATAACTACTAATCTCTAAGGACCCTATAATAGACTATAATTATAACTTAATATTTATAGTAGTAGATAGATTTATAAAAGCTACTAAGTTTATACCTTTCTAATATAGCTATACTATAGAGTAGTATACTTAAGTATTTCTAGATAGAATTATTTAATACTATAGCATTCCTAAATTAATTATTAGCAATAGAGATAAGCTCTTAACTTTAAATTTCTAGATAATATTTCTAGCAGTAATAGGAATAAAGAAGAAGCTTTTAACAGCCTATTATCTATAGACAGATAGATAGATAGAATAAGTAAACTAGATAATAGAGATATATCTCTACATCTACTATAATTAATAGCAGAATAACTAGGTTTTACTCTTACCTATTGTATAAATTATATATAATAATAAACTATTAAAGGTAATAAGTATAATACTATTCCTTATAAATTATAGAAGATATCTAAATCTCTTTATATAAAGTCTTAATAGTAACATTTAAATAGAATTAGTAATATCCTTAGTATAGAAGCTAAAGGAAGTATATTAGAAATTGCTTAAGAATATTGCTAAAGCTTAGTTATAAGTAATCTCTTATATTAATAAGAAAAGAAAAATAGCACCTCTACTAAAGAAGGGGGATAAAGCATACCTCCTTATAAGAAACCTATATATAAGAAGACTAATAAAAAAACTAGACAAAGTTAAAGTAAGACTATTTATTATTTTAGAGAAAATTAGCCTAGTTAACTATTAACTTAAGCTACTAAAAGATGCAAAAATATACCTTATATTCTATATCTCCTTATTAGAACTAGCTAACACTAAAATACTAACCTAGAAGGACTTCTATTACTAAAACAATAGTAATAATAAATAGGAAGTTAAGAAAATAATAAAATACTAAGGAACTAGACTAGATAAAGAATTCCTAGTTAAGTAGTTAGGATACCGAGACTTAGAGAATATATAGGAACTAGTTATAAGCCTTATAAACTACTAACAGCTCCTATTCTAGTACTCTTAAAAGTAAAATCTAGATTACCCTTTAAAATAGATAGTATAAAAGCACTCTAGTTAAGAGCTAGGGAACTAGGTATTAGGCCTCCCTCTAGCTAAGCAACATTATAATTAATATTCTTAACAGCTTTAAGAGCCTTAATATTATTTAAATACTACTCTACCTTATCTACCTACTTTTATTTATAACACTTTAATATTTTCCTTTATTTATAAATATAATCATTCTTTATATATATAGCTAGTATTGCTTATAGTACTATAGACTTAGCTTTGTTATTCTTAGCTTCTATTTTCTCTAAATACTCTAGTTCCTAATTAATATAAGTAAAGTTTAGAATTAGAACCTTTATTAAAATACACTTCTAGCTGCCTATACTATAGTAGTTTCTATACTTCTTTTTTAATAATACTATATAATACTTAAGACCTTACTTTATATAGTACTAATAAGATACTATTATAAGTTACCCTATATAGTTAATTTAATTACTAATAGATTTATAGTATAAAGTACTTCTAGAAGTTATAGGTTAGTTTATAAGGATATAAAGATTAAAAGGGGAGGATAGTATTATAAACCTAAGATAGGATATAGTAGAAGATAAGAGATAGAAGGATTAATAACACTTAGGGACAGCCTAGAGGTCTTTAAGAAGGTTAGTATTTATACTAATAATAATATAACCCCTCCTATTCTAAAACCTTAGTAGAATACTACTATAAAATATATTACATGTTATTCTAAGAATTCTATAATATTCTAATATGTTCTAATATTAGCATATTATAGAATACTAGAATATCTATAGAATATCTCTAAGTTTATAGCAAGTAGGAACATAACACTTATAGTTTGTGTTTAACCTAAGTATTAATCTATAATATTAGATCTTAACTCTAACCTTTAAGCTAGATAGTCTACTCTATACTACTTATTATTACCTCTTACCCTTAAGATAGATAGATTATATCTATACTCCTTAGTATAAGACCCCTTTAGTTTCCCTAATAGTATTTATCCCTAAGAACTAATTAAATAGTGCTTATAAGCTTTGCTTAAAGTATAACCTTAATAGCTAGGTATCTTTAAATTTAGCATATCTCTACCTATTTATATCTACTTTTTATAGTAAGTTTAAAACTCTAGATAAGTAAAATAGAAGAATAAATGCCTTGGTTTAAGTAAAAAAAAAAGCTTCTTAAGTGCCTAGCTTATGTTTTCTAGCCTAAAATAATTAAAATTCTATATTTAAACTTTAAAGAAGCTAAAGCGCTAGTAGGTCTACTCTATTATATTGCTATAACTTAGTAATATTAGCTACTACTAGTATACTTAGTAAAAGTTAGTTTTAAATTAAGAAAGAAAAAGATATTTTATTATTAGAAAATAAAATTTAACCTAAGGAAGATTATACTCTAGCTTATAAACTTATAAAGAGAAAAAGAATAGTATTAAATTAAAGTATAAACTATAATCTTAAAAGAATTAAGCTCTAGATATATAATACTATAAAAACTATTACTTAGAGATAGTAAGTCTTAAAAGTTAATTAATTACTATATACTAGTACTTTTATACTGCTAAATAGTAAGCCTTTAGAATTTAACAGTAAGACATGTTTGTTGACAGCGTGATAACACCCTGATTGATCAAGTCAATGTAGGACCAGTACTCGCGTTGGGTACCTTCTCCATCAACTTTCGCAGTACTGTACGAAACTGCAGTCCAGAAGGTACCGCCTGCAACATACTTGTTCCATGCGTAGCGTTGGGTATCGAACAGGGCCTTACGACCGGCCAAGGTGTTGTTGTACATGGTCTGTAAGGACCATTCGCCAACAAAGACAGGAAATTTGGTTTCCTGGGCGAGATAAGAAGCCTGGCCGCAGACGGCTGGGTTGATGTATTGCGAGTAGGCACCAGCAGCAGCAAAGTAGTAGACATGTGAGTCGAAAACGATGTTGCTTGAAGGATCGTAGAAGGGACTCCAATATGATGCACCCATGAAACAATCTTGAACCATCATGGGGATGCGCTTGTCGACCTTGGCAATCTTCTTCAAGACACCATCATGGTAAGTATTGATCCAGTTGGTAGCGTTGGTGGAGAGGCCGGCTGGGGTACCAAAGCCGGCAAGGTTGTCAGAGGCTTCGTTGATAGGAGCGATAGTGAATGAAGCAATCTTGCCGCTGCTCTTCACGAAATTGAGGATGCCATCAATCGCTTTGAACGAATAATCTAGGTTGGTGACGTTGTAAAACCAACCGTCATGCATGAAAGCCTCACCGATGTCGAGGTTGTTGACACCCCCAGGCAAAGAATGAAGACCAATAATGATATGCATGCCATACTTGTTAATGGCGTAATCAGAAATCGTCTTAAGATATCGCTGTTGGTTTCCGTGGTAAAGGGCAGAACCGGGGACATCTATCCAGGCAGCGTAGGTAGTTGGTATGCGAAGGGTGTTTACACCAACAGCAGCCAACTGATCGATAGTAGTGGTATTGAGGAAGGAAGCATATCGCGCCTCGAGAATCGGGCCGCAGGTGCTGCCCAGCTTTTGACAAAGAGACCATTCGTCAGAAGTGCCCTCCCCACCAACTTGAGCCCACCAAATGGGATCATGAGTTTGCTCCTTCTCAAGCCATCCACCAAGGTTCGCACCGTTTGCCTTGAATGTCTTCCAATTTATGAATCCAGAAGGCTTAGGGAAGGTGAGATCGTGGGTTTTGAGCTTGATAGTGACAGTAATTGGGCTAATTGCGAAGGGACACTGGTTGTGATAGTTGACGGTTGCACCGTGTTTGTCGCCATTTGTGTGTATTGTAATACCCAGGTTGTTCAGCAGCTGGCTTAGCTCGCTATTGAGGTGTCCGAGGATGCTACTGATCAGACCAGGAGTCGGCACAGCGGTGACAACGTTGGCTAGAAGAGTAGCACTTAGAGCAATAAAGAGCTTCATATCGAAAGACTAGAAAATGAGCAAAAGCGAGATTGATGCTTAAGTAGAAGGTTGCGATGGGGTATTGAATGGGACACTGCTTGACATTTATACATGCCATGAGACGTGAATCAGGGTACTGGGAGCTATAAATAAGATCTAAGAGATCAAGCCGAACTCGTAGCCGCCTGTAAACAGCTCTTTCGGGCTTACGAGTTTACAAATCGGATCAATTTGGCTAGTGTCAGCCTAGATGACCGACACTGGAGGTACGATATCGCCACGTTTCTACCAACTTTTCGAATGGATCCAACGTCGAAGCTATTGAGAGCGGTACCTGTTCTAGCACCGATGCCAGAGCCGATAATTGGTTTACGGTTGTAAGGCTAGGTTCACGTCCCACTCTGGCACCAAAGGTCACGCTGGAGGCCAGTGCAAACCTTGTTCCGCAGAAGCTTATCTCCACGCACTCGACGATCGAAGCTTGGCCAGATTTTGCTTGCAGTGGCAATGTAGCTCTCGACCGACGTGCCTGCTAGTCTTGCTGTGGGCAAGGCGAAGACTGGATCAAAGAACCTTGACTTAGCCGCAACCTTGCATGCACCCACATTCAGTGCAAAGTACCAGTAGGCTGAAATACGGACCGTTGGTGATTGTGAGGGGAATTTCCTTTTGTCGTACTACCTGAGGGCACTTGTTGTCTGACAGTCGTGACGTCGCGATCTCGAGTCAGATTGTGTGAAAAGAAGAAAGGTTGTCACTATTAGCTCCAGGCACATCTGCAATATCTCAGGATATCGATCTGGACCGTAAATTTTTCCCGAGCTCAGACTTCCTTGTGTTAGTGCAAGATGTAGGTATATTCTGCTAACGTACATGTTGTACGCGCAACGTCGTACAACCGTAGTCAACTATGCGCTTGTGCGCCGAACATTCAAATGAGGTTCGTGTGAACCATAATCTTGACGCAGGAACGGCGGTAGAGAACTCGAGCGCGTGGGCCTAATTTAGTGCAGATGTCCTCGCACCCCAGTCACAAGCCACGGAGTGTGTGGCCGTTCAGCTCCATTGATCCATGAGAACATCTGGAAGGCGGGAGTCGGGATTATCTGTTGAGCTTCAAATCCCGAGCTGAGCCTCAATTTAGTATGCGGACGATGAAACTCATTCCAGGACATGTGTCGAGGTGTAAAAGTACCGCCGAGGGCCGGGGTGTGTTGGTGTCTGACTCTGACTCTGGATTTGTCGCTGATATTGAGCGTCATCGGTTCGTCAACAAAAATGCTTACTGTGTAGGTATCGTCAAAAGCACCCGAGCTCGATGCCGGAGAGATGCGTGTGCTTGGACACAAGTTTGTCGATGATGCGTTGTAGCACGTGATTGTGGTATGCATCTCTAAATTCACGGCAAATTAAAGTACAGCAGGCATGTTTTCGGCTTCTGTTTCTGCGGCGTCGACTACCTAGATAGGTAAAGGTGGTCGGCTCATGTCGTAGGCAGTACTGCCGTCTCCTGGAGTCTGAAGCCTTGGAGCCTCCTACTGAGCTCGCCGAGTCGCCTATTGCCCCGTGTCTTGCGGTGCAGATAGAGTAGGTACAAGCCCTGATCGCACCAAAGGTGTCGCTTGGTCAGCATGCACGTCAGCAGCCTCCGATTCGTCAATGGCAGCAGCAAGTCCAATGGCGCGCGGTTGCCTTGGCACCAGGCCAGCATGGCATGCTGCGCACCAGAGCAGCAGGAACAGCAGTGCAGAGTCTGCTTTGGGTCGCTCTTTCCAGTCGGTCAAGCCACCGTGAACGGCGGCGGCGCGCAACTGTTGCAGACAGGCGCGGCACGTGGCGATTTAATTGGCGGCTGGGCGGTCGACGACTGGTCACTGCAGTCTGCAGCGCGGCATGCGCGAGTCCCAAACAGCCAAACAGCAGAGCTCCACCGTCAGGCACGTTTCTGCGCTACCGCCGCGCAGGTCGTCCAGAGCCTGTCTTGCTTGAAGCCGGGTCGCATTCTTATCCGTCTCCCAACCCCGTCTGAAGTGCGTCGCGCTGCTTGTCGCGCTCCCATCGCCTATCATGAGGTTCGGCCAGCAGCTGAAGCAGTCGCTGAACAGGGACTGGCTCTTCTACTACATCGACTACGAGGAGCTTAAGACGGCCCTGCGCGTGCACCACACGTGGGACGAGAAGGCCGAGCAAGCCTTTGTCGAGCAGCTTGAGAAGGAGCTCGACAAGGTCTACAGCTTCGTGCGCGTCAAGAGCGACGAGATCATCCGCCGCATCGCAGCCTCGGAGAAGGAGGTCAGCACTGCCGTCGCCCGCTCGCAGGACCACCTGCAGTCGCAGCCGAGCACCGAGGACGCAGATCCATTTGAAGAGGACTTTGACCTGCTGGAGGAGGATCTCAGCGACATCATTGCAGATGTCCACGATCTGGCCAAGTTCACCCAGCTGAACTACACAGGCTTCCAGAAGATCATCAAGAAGCATGACGTATGCACACGCGCAGTGTAGACACCGAACAGCGCTGACTCGCCGCAGAAAAACACCCGCTGGGCTCTCAAGCCCGTCTTCGCCGCCCGCCTCAAGCGCAAGCCCTTCTTCCAGGACAACTATGACAGCTACATTGTCAAGCTCTCAAAGCTCTACGACATTGTCCGTACCCGCGGCAACCCCGTAAAAGGCGATTCGTCCGCCGGAGGGAAGCAGCAGAACTTTGTCCGGCAGACCACCAAATATTGGGTCCATCCCGACAACATCGTCGAGCTCAAGCTCATCGTCCTCAAGCACCTCCCTGTGCTAGTCTTCAACCCCAACAAGGAGTTTAACGAGGAGGACGCGTCCATCACCTCCATCTACTTCGACAACACCGATACCTGGGAGCTGTACGAGGGTCGTCTCAAGAAGACAGAGGGCGCCGAGGCTATCCGTCTGCGTTGGTATGGAGGCATGAACAGCGATACCATCTTCATCGAGCGCAAGACCCATCGTGAAGACTGGACCGGCGAGGAGTCAGTCAAGGCGCGTTTCAAGCTCAAGGAGAAGAATGTCAATGACTACCTGAAGGGCAAGTTGCTGCCCGCAAAGATCTTTGAGAAGGAGCGTAGGGAGCAGAAAAGGCCTGAGAAGGACATTGCATCAGACGAGCAACTTGCCCGCGAGATCCAATATCGTATCATTGACCGCACCCTGGTACCTGTCACCCGCTCATTCTACCATCGCACCGCCTTTCAGCTTCCCGGCGATGCACGAGTCCGAATTTCGCTGGACACTGAGCTATCCATGACCCGCGAAGACAACCTGGACGGCAAGAAGCGTGCCGGTGACAATTGGCGCCGCACAGATATTGGCGTGGATTGGCCCTTCAAACAGCTTCCTCCCAAAGACAAGGAGCTGTTCCCGTACGCCGTCCTCGAAGTCAAGTTGCAGACTGCAGCCGGTGCAGAGGCACCACAGTGGATTCGGGACCTGACCTCATCGCACTTGGTCGAAGCTGTCCCTAAATTCTCCAAGTTTATACATGGAACTGCCACTCTCAACCCCGCAAGGATCAATTTGCTTCCTTACTGGTATCCTCAGATGGACGTTGACATCCGCAAGCCTGTCAGCCACAAATTTGGCATTGTAAGACCAGGCGCTAGCAATGACATCAGCACCAGTAACACCTTGGACGATGATAGCGACGACGACGACGCTGTCATGGGCCTTCCCTATGCTAATGGAAGCCAAGACGATGACCAGCTAACAAGACTCCGTGAAGCTCGCGATGTCATGGAACAGAATGAGATTGCCCGCACGAGAGAATATGGTACTCTCACCAACGGCAACCATGCCAACGCTTTGGACATTGAAGAACGTGTCGCGGCCGAACGCGATCAAGACAACGACTATCCAATCTACGACTCTGATAGTGACGACGAAGACGACGACCTCGCAGAAGCAAAGCGTGTTGGCGGTCTCCACTACGCCAAAAAGTGGACAGAACACACGGCTAAAACGGTCGGCACAACCCTCATCAACGGCTTCATTTTCCTCTTCCACCCCAAGCCGACGGATGTCGGCGACGGCGGCTTCTCTCTCGGAGTCCCAACGTGGAAGCAGGCGGGCGAGGTAAAGCGCTTCAAAGCCCCTAAGGGTAAACGCATCCACGTCCCTGTCCGCGTCGAACCCAAGGTCCAGCTAGCGACCGAACGCACGTTCCTCTCGTGGCTCGAGTTCAGCATCCTCATTGGCAGCATTGCGGCGACGCTGCTGAATTTCGGCGACGGGCTTGCGTTTGCGGCGGCTTGGGCGTTTACAATTATTGCGTGCCTAGCGCTGCTGTACTCCGTTGGGCTCTATTTGTGGAGAGTGCGCAAGATTAGGGAGAGGAGAGCGGTCGTGTATCATGACAAGTGGGGTCCCACGCTGCTGTGTCTGGGGCTTCTGGCTGCCGTGGCGGTGAGCTTTGGGTACAGGCTGGGCAAGGGAGGGTACGATGGCGGGTTGAAGGGAGATTTAAAGGGCAAGTTTGGTGCGTAGCTTGTGAAGGAGAGAGAGCATGCTGGACGGTTTCTGGACGGGACTGAAGCCTGGCCTGTGGTCCCAAGGCGGTTACCGCGTCACGGTTATATGGAAATGCTGGCGTTCATGTACGAACGGAGAGTGGACGCGATGACTTGGAACGTTGATGGAGAGTGATGTGGTCGTTATGTCTCGAATATGTCAGAAATAACTATGTTGTGTACCTTGACGCGCTGCCCAAGATGTGGTTTCAGCCCTATGTGCGCTCTGCCACACATGCCACGGCACGACAAGGCCAAAACTGCGGTAATGTATGTAAAACACAATGCTCAACGCCTGCTCTTTCCGAACGCCCAGACCGAAGAAGACGGGGTATTTAGCGTACCGATACTCTCCAACACGCTGAGATGAGATGCTCCCGCGCTATGCTGTAAAACACAAGGGAAGCATGCTGTACGAGGACTGCAAAACACAAGACGAAATAACGCTATGCGAACGCTTCCGAAAGTCACAAATGGGACGAAGAGGAGACACAAGACTTGCCTAGCACAGTCAAAGCGGTGCTGTCCGTCTCGCGGCGTGCCGCTCATGCGTGCCCGCGGGTGGGCGGCCCAGATCCGGGACTCGCTGCCTTTGGATTCCTTGCAAGAGGCACGCAGGGCGAGTCCTCATCTTTGAGCTCACCGGTCAGCCACTGGCCCATGTGCGTCTGCCAACGCTTGAGGTTGTCGTTCTTGGTTTCCTCTCGTAGACGGCGGTGTCGTACAAGGCGTTCTGCAATTTGTTGGAGGACAATCTTCGGGGGCTGGTATTCCTTGACACCATCCAGGGTCTCGACGTGATTGCGGTTGAGGTAGTCGCCGGTGGCTTTCTCCATGCGTGAAAGGGTTTTGCCGCCAGACACGACTTTGTCTTCCCCGGTTTGGATGTTGAACCAGGGCCCCTTTTCCCAGTTGTCCAGCGCAAGCCCCTCCATGCCTTGATCGACGTTCAAGCGCTTGTACCATCGATGCTCGCCTTTGGCGATGGTGCGCATTGTCTTGTGGCGTGCCTCGCCTTCGGTATACTTGATCAAGACATTTTTGAAGACTGCAAACTTCTCGCTCCACTTTTGCAGCAGTGAGATCTTGCCAAGAGGCCCTGGCCACACGGCGGCAAACCCGTCATTGTTGTTGTTGGGGCGTCCAGTACCCACAGACAGAAGCAGTGCGGGTTCATGGTCGTCTCCGCGCAACGAAGCGTGTTCACTGTAGGCGGCGTACGAAGGGTTGTTTTCGCGAATGCCGCCATCCTTGAAGCCTTTGAAACCGCGCTTCTTGCCGACGTCGGCAATGAGCATATCAAAGTAGAATGGCGCTGCTGACGTAGCGCGAGTGACTTGCCATATCTTGAGCTTGTCGGCGCCCTCGTTGTAGGGTCGGACCCACGGCGGCAGGATGTCTTGGTCGTAGCGGTGGTTGTAAGAGCGGAGCAGATAGGCCTCGTCGATCTGGCCGTTGTGGGTTGCGGTGAGGCAGATGCTGGGCGACGAGTCAGTGAGGTGCTGCAAGGGAAAAGCACACATACGTACGACTGGCAGATGCGGTCAATGGGCTGGATGGGGGCGGGGTTGAGAGAGGACTTGTAGGTCGAGGCTGTGTTGACCGTGGAGGTAGCCGAGGGATTGGGCGAGGGGTCGTGGCAGATGCGGTCAATGGGCTGGATGGAGGCGGGGTTTTGAGAGGTCTTGTAGGTCGAGGCCGTGTTGACCGTGGAGGTAGCCGAGGGATTGGGCGAGGGGTCGTCGAGCGGGTCCCAGTCCCATGGATGATAATCCTTGCCGTCGCAGTGCGGGTGCAGCTTGCAGTACTGGCTCACGATGTCGCGCACGGCCTTCTCGAGCGGCTTGTGGTGGTACTTGGTGGCCAGCGGCAGCATGTTGCGGCGGTGGCCGAACAGCTCGTGGCCGACGCGGCGATAGATGTCCAGGCACTGCGGCACCGTCATGCGCAGGCGGGCCAGCATGACGGAGATGAGGCCGCCGGTGCTGGTGCCGTAGATGTAGTCGAAGTAGTGGCAGGGCAGCAAGTCGTGCTCGTCGAAGGTGCGGCGCGCGCTGCCCGGCACGGGGCCCTCGGCGAGCTGCAGGCGACGCTCGCACAGGGCGACTTCGTGCATGAGCCGCTGGACGATGAGCAGGCTGGAGTAGCCGCGGATGCCGCCTCCGTCTGCGGGCGCGTTAGCGGGGGGAGGGCAGGGGCACGGCGGCGGGCGGGCCACGCACCGAGCGTCAGGATCAGGTCTTCCCAGCAGCTGTGCCGGTCGACGGCGCCCCGCCAGGCGTCGCCGGTCTTGTCCGCCATGGTCGCCGACGTGCCTGTGGTGAGGATGCTGAGCGGCCGCGACGGCGCGGGCTGGGGCTGGGGCAGCTGGAGCGTCATGGTGGGCGCAGCGCGTCTTTGTACGCCGTCCGGCGGTGCGCGTGCGGGCGAGCGTTCCGGGGGCAGGGTGCTGGGCCGGCGCGCAGCTGCTCGTCGTGCGCAGTGTGCTCGGGTGCTCGTCGTCGCCTGGGCGCGCTCCCTTCATAAGGCACCGCAGCCGCGGCGGCTCAGGTGCAGCAGCGCGCCAGTGGGCCGGCGCGGGAGAGGCTGCGGCCTCAGCGCGCGTCCGGGGACGTGATTCGCCTGCGGCGGCGGTGCGACCGTGACGAGCCGAGTGATGTGCGCCGCGCAGCTGATCGCCTGGAACGCAGCTGGGTCATCTGCCTGGCAGTGCCTGCCGCGGCCTGCCCAATCACGGCGCGCCGCCGCCTGCGCCACCGGACGCTCTTGCTCTTCGCATACCTATGTACTGCAATGCATCCAAGAGCGCCTGAGAGGGCGCGAACGATCAGCTGATCAAGGCTGGTGGCTCCATTCCGTGATGCCGCTAGTGCGCTTCTAGCGATGCTCCAACATGTCGACGCTGAGTGGTCGAGTGGTGGTGGTGGCGGCGCCGCCGCAGTGACGTTGGCCATCGCCCGTTGTACAAAGCGCGCCCCACAGCCCGCAGCCACCGCCCGCTCCACCGTCCACGACCAGCTCCACCGCCCGCACTCTAGCACTCTCCCTCCTATAACCCTCCGCCGGTCTCAGCCGCCTGCCAGCCGCCCGCCCGCCGCCTGCTCGGCTTCCGTCCGCTCTCCATGCAGGCCAGCATGACGTTCCAGTCCACGTCCACATCGGGCACCACGGCCAGCAAGGCCAGCAGCCTGTTCGACCTCGATGAGCACAGCACAAAGTCCATTCTCGTCTACAAGTACCGCTCGGGCGCCAAAGGCCTAGAATCCACCACCGAGGGAGCCCTCTGCGCGGAGCTCGACAAGCGTGAGTAGCCCTGCCCTGCTGCGGCGCTCTGTCTGACCTGCGTGCCATAGACCCCGACTTGCCGTTCATGCGCGTCACCCGGAAGCCCATTCCTCGGGGCGCCAGTCGCATGGATATCCACCAGGAGGATCTCTACCTGCCCGACGAGCGGGAGCAGTACGCCGACAAGATCGCCCCCAAGTCGTCCGTCGCCAACGTCGGTCTGCCCACCGTCGCCAAGTGGAAGCACATGGTCATGGGCAGCTACGACCAGCTGTACATCGTCTTCCAGACTCACACGCCCACCCCCGAGTCTTCCAAGAACAACTCTCCAGAGTCCTCACAGCACGTGAGCCCTGCAGGCACCTTCCCTTCCGAGAGGTAGTCGCATCTCGCCTCAGCCACCCGACCCCGTAGGGCTGACTCGCTTCCAACTCTGGACGACGCAGTTGAGCCGCATTCACGCTGTCTCATCTCCCTTGGTTGGCGCATCCGCCACCGACAGTCTCTGCGGGGTCATGCAGAGCCGCCGATCAGCCTGGACCGTCATCATCTTCCGGAATAGCAGCCGTGCCAGCCGTCGCCGCACCTACCTCTCCTTTCCCTTCCCTTTGTGTCATTTCTGTCCCTATCATCATCGATACCCGAGCATGTCTCACAAGCAACGGCGCTGAACGGAGTCCTGGTCTTTTGGGAAATCAAGCATTTGGAATCCGTCCCTTTTAGAAGAAATGAGCAACAGGGTTTGGAAGGCTTGTCCTGTAACAGAACAATTCATGCTCGCACCGCAATCCAGAACAGTCTGCGAGCGCCGACCCTTCCACCTCCCAATTAGAGGCTACTGATTTTGTACAGCTGTGCTGGTACTTCCCGAGGCCCTATGAAGTCGTTTACCCAAGTTGGCTCGATAAACCAAAATCTACCCTTGCAACATCTCGACCGTCTCGTTGTTGTTCGCATGTACCAAATCTGGCTTCTATGCCAGGCCTCACGCTCGACCTCGTGCACCAGACAACGGTCATCTGCTACCACGCCTCTGATCTCCTTCCTTATGCTTTCGTCATACAGTGACACCCATGGCATAGTTTATTCATAGCTAACATCCGTTCGTAGCACTTACTCCATCGACTCAATGCGGAACAGCTAGATTAAGATTGCGATAGTCGCCCAGTTCTACAATCTCCCCACCGCGTCCTTCAGCTCTTCTAGCCGGGGACTAACACTCTCCTTCGACCTCAAACTCAAGCTCGCAGCCATTTGCGCAAATCCAACAACCTCCTGCGTTCGCCGGCCCCGCGCCAGCCCCACCGCTAGCGCCCCGCAAAACGTGTCTCCAATACCGTTCACGCTAATGATGTCCTCGGGCGGCAACACCTTGTCCACTGCAAACAGGCGCACGTATAAACCGCCCACGTCTCGTGCTCGGTCACCGTTTCGGTTGCGCGCAACAACATACTGCCTCTCATCGTCGTTGCGCAACTCCGGCGCATCATTCGCCAACAACTTCGTCATCAAGACACCTTGTGGCCCTAACTTTGTCAAGACGGTAGGAAAGAAGGGGAGCAACTTGATCGCCTGCTGGGGGAGTCCTGCATCAACGACTTCACTGCTTGTTAGTGTCGTCAACGGCACACGCAGACCTATTGAAGGAATGCCTAGCGCGTCGATGATGGAAAACCAAGACGGCGTGTCGAAGAAACCCTTGGCGTGGGCGTAGGAGTGGAGCGCAACAAGTTCGTGGTTGTTAGGGGTGATGATGTCGGCGAGCGGATTAGGGTAGATTGGCATGCACTGTGTGTCGGCTGGAAAGACGCGGAGCGCTTTTGCTGTGGATACTGGCTCGAAAATAGTCGTTGTTGATGCCCCGTGCGCAGTTGAGAGCCACGTTCGGAGCGAAGGCGACGACCAGTTCGCGTCTGCTACAAAAACTTTTGGCTTCGCTGTGGGGTCGGCAAAGAGGGAGGAGGATAGGGAAGACGTCAGGCTTTGAGGTATGGTCTCGAGAATAGACATGTCGGCCATAGCGAGCGCAAGGTCTTTGTTGGTGTTGTTGACTGCGATGTATTGGGCCGTTCTTGCTGGCGCGGGTAGTGTCTCGATTCCGATGGTGGACATGCCTTGACCTTCCAGTTGGCTCGTCGCAGCACGACCACTCATGTCGTTGCCGACAGCGCTGTACAAACGCACAGAAGAACCGAGGAGATGGGCCGCTTTAGCAATGTTGTGAGCTACGCCTCCGAGACTCTGACTTATCACTGCGGGGTTGGAAGTATGAGGCAGCGGGTCGACCTGACTTGACGAATTCGCAAATGGAGCGTAGTCACATGAGAAGTCGAGAGCGAGGGCACCCGCAACGACAATATCGACAGGTGCGGTACTTTCGGGTATACGAGTTAATGTAGCGATGTGTGTCGCAGTTGCTTTAGAGATCGATGGTGATGCACTTGTGGGCAGCTCGTTCACAACAGGGGAAACTTGCACTGGAGTGAAGAAGGACGAGCTAGTTCTATGTACCTACAATCAGCGCCAGTTCTACAATCGAGCAACAAGAGTGTCTGGCTCACCCTTGGGCTTCTGCTTGCTTCTTCTCCAAAACGGACAGCTCGCGCGCAATGATGGCTGCTCGCCTCACGTTGGATTCGATCAAGGCTCTATTTGCCGGGATAGATCTGCCCTGGGTGAGCTCCTTTACCTTTGCCAAAACAAAAGGCGTATTATCCTTCCCGGATACGCCTTGAGCATCCGCTTGCCTCAGGGCTTCTTCAATGACAAGATCCATCTCTGGCTTTGGAATCGCAGCCTCGAGTGGAACAGGGTTGGCAAAGAGTAGACCAGACCTGATCTGCATCTCGTGTTGTGCGTCTAGACGGTGTCAATTTACGCAGCAAACAGAACGGGCAGAATTGCTCACGTATGATGGCAGCGGCCTCAATTTCGTCCTTGATAGTTGTTGGACTCTTGACGCCACTGTCCCTCGACCAGAATGCTGGGAAGTCTACCTTGCCTTCACGGCCATCTGCAAAAGTGCCGACACCCACACCTTCGGTCTCCAGGTACTCGAGCGTGCGAGGAATGTCTAGGAAGCTTTTGCAGCCACTGGAGACGACAGAGACGGGTGTCCTGCCAAGCTCAGTCAGGTCAGCAGAAATGTCCATGCTCGACTCGGCGCCTCGGTGAACTCCACCGAGGCCTCCTGTCCCAAAGATCTTGATGCCCGCCAGCTCGGCGAGAAGCATGGTGCTTGCGATGGTCGTACCACCGTTGAGTTTCTTGCCCGTCAATCGCAGACCGCAGACGTAGCTGAGATCTCGTCTGGACAGCTTCAAGGTGGTCGGCTGGCCGGCAGACTCGGTGAGCTTGATCAACTCTTCGGGATCCAGGCCAACACGCGCGACTCCATCCAGAATGCCTATCGTTGCAGGCACGCCGCCATTGACTCGGACCACACTCTCAAGGAGAGACGCGAGGGCTACGTTCTCGGGGTATGGGAAGCCTGCGTGAACGGTCAACAACCGTACGCATCGCCGAGCTGGACCGGTTCGCACGCACCATGGGTGTAGATTGTCGACTCCAGCGCCACGACTGGCTTTTTCGAGTGCAGTGCCTCTCGCACCTCCTCGGAGACACGGAAGAAGCCATTGTTGGTCAGGTGACGTCTCCCCAGCGACGTGCAGCACCGCTGTGGCAGACGGGGTCTTGGTATAGCTCTGGAAAGCAGTCTCATGGTGTCTTGATGGATTTTGCGGGGATCAACCGCGGCGGGTGAGCTTGAGCTCTCGGTGCACGGACGCGTTTCCGAGTGGACACGAATACCTGCGCACGTCGCAACACGCACTCTTCGACCGCCTCAGACCTCTCACATGACTGGGTAACTTCGCTGCTACCCAACATGAGGTCGTTTTCTCTTTTCACAAGTGCCATTGCGGCGCTGTCCAGCTTTGCAAGTGCCGACTTGAACCTCTCGGAGCCGCTGCGGTCGAAGCAAGTGCTGCCCAGCACGTTCACGCCCCCACAGGTCTTCAAGAACGCCCATCTGGTCAGGACCACCAACCTGGACAAGGCGTATCCCAGAGAGACCGTCAATGTCCTCATTGAGAACATCGATTCGAAGCCGCAGTCCGAATACTATGTCCCATTCGATACAGGTCTGCTGGCCAAGGTTGGCGGTTTCGAAGTAAGAGATAAGAAGGACCCAGCGGCAGGAACGTTCAAGGTCGAAGTCGTGGGCCTCGAGCAGGACAGCGCCACCGAGTTCTACCTCGTCCACCTCCCCGAGCCTCTCGCGCCCGGCAAACAGCAGACCATCAGCATCTCGTACTCGATCCTCTCTTCCCTCAAGCCCGTTCCCTCCGAGCTCGCCCAGACCGCGAAACAATACCTTCAATACACCTTTAGCGCCTATGTGCCGTCTGCCTACGTTACGGAGAAGCAGCGCACCAAAGTCAAGTTCCCCAACGCCGATGTCACTGATTACACCACTCTCCCCGCTGAGCTCAACGACGAACAAAAGGCCGATCCCCAGAAGCAGGGCTCAACTTTCACGTACGGCCTATATGTCAACGTCCCTGCCGGCGCCTACCAGCCCGTAAGCGTGCGATACGAGTTCACGAAGCCCGTCATACAGTCCACACTGCTCGAACGCGACATTGAAGTCTCGCACTGGGGCGGCAACCTCGCCACCGAAGAGCGGTATTGGCTTGTCAACGAGGGAGCCGGGCTCAAGAACCACTTCTCCCGCGTTGAGTGGCAGAAGCAGTCATACATGAACCCTCCAACCTTCGCTCTCAAGGCCCTGAATCTGCCCCTCGCTCCCGGCGCAGTCGACCCCTATTTCACCGACGACATCGGCAATGTCTCCACCTCGCGCTTCCGCCCCGGCAAGAAAGAGAATCTACTCGAGCTGAAGCCCCGCTACCCAGTCTTTGGCAACTGGAGATACAGTTTCCGCGTTGGGTGGAACGCAGATTTATCGAGCTATCTGCGCAAGCTGGCCAAGGGCGACACTTATGTTCTCAAGGTGCCATTCCTCGAAGGGCCGCGTGCTGCTGAAGGCTTATCGTATGGCCGTGTAAACCTCCGCGTCATTTTGCCTGAGGGTGCGACTAATGTCAACTTCCATACCACAGTGCCCATTGTCAGCAACTCCACAGGCCTGCACAGGACGTTCATGGATACCGTCGGCCGTACGACTCTGACTTTGACCGCTCTCAACTTGGTCGATGATTTCAGGGACAGGGATTTGATTGTCACGTATGACTACCCGTGGACTGCAGGATACAGGAAGCCGGTCACTATTGCCCTTGGCGCCTTCGCCATGTTCGTGTTTGTTTGGGCTGTTGGCAGCATTGACACTTCAATTGGCAAGACGAAGCTGGCGTAACAAGCTGCGAAGGAGTAAAGATGAGTTTCAGGGTAGCTCATAGGAGCATCTTGGTTGGGTAGATCCACAGCTGGCGAAAGTCCAACACGGGTGGCTGGTATGTATATTTACGTTAGCAAGCGTGTAGAACAGGCGAAAACATTGAGATTTACTACTTTTACGTCTTTTCAGCCCTTGCTCTCGTGCGGTCTAAAGAGTCTCCACCCATGATGCGCATCATTGAGATTGTGCCATGATCATCGTCATTCATATGTAGCTATGCTTCTTGGGCGCCTATTGCCCGACATCTAAGGTCCGTCACGCACTGATATAAGGACACTTGAGATGCATTATTTCTTATCCTCCAGCGTCAGGCCCTCAATCGCCTTCGCCCCACCTTCTGCGCCGATCTCAACTTCGGCCTTATCCGTGCCCTCGACATGCCCATCAGGCTTGGCTTCCACCTTCTTGGCGCCTGGATGGAAGGTGCCCTTGTTCTTGACCTTCTTCTCTTTTTTCTTCTCTGCCGGCGGCGGCGGGTAGGCTTTCTGCTCGATTTCCTTCCACTCGGCGCTATTCTGAAACTCCTCCTGCACCGGCTTGAGCAGCGCGTTGAGTGCATCGATGACAGCCGGCTTCAGGGTTTGCGGTGAGAGAATGTCCGCCTTGTAGTCTGCGTGCATCTGGGCGATCGACGTGTACTCAAGCGGCTCAGCGTCGCGACGGGGAACTACAAACTTGGTTTCTCCGTGGCGAAGGTAGGACGCCGGCAGGAGAACGTACTCGACGAACGAGAGAATTCCATTCTCCTCGACGACCTTGGGGGCGGCGTGCGCCTTCTTGAGTTTGCGCCTGACGATATCTTCGTTGTCGAGAACGTCGATCTTGGAGTCGGGGTCTGAGGCGCTCATCTTGCCACCTTGAAGACCAGGGACCATAGGGTTCATGCAGTGGGCGCGCTCTTTGTAGCCAATCTTGGGGAGGATGTCCTTTGCGAGAGCGAAGATTTTGCGTTGGTCGACGCCGCCGAATTGCATATCGACATCAAGATACTGCTCGTCAAGGGCTTGCATGAGTGGGTAGAGTAGACCGGACAAAGGGGCGTTGTCGGTTTGCTTGACGACTTCAGCGCCAGCCCTCTTTGCGTCGTGTTCAGAGGTGATAGAAGCTAGGCGGAGCACATCCATCATATAATCAGGCTTCAGCTCGTATGAGGACCCGAGGACGAACTCGAGACGGTCGATGGGAACGTTGACGGCTCTGAGGAGGGCGGTGATGGTGAAGCGGTAGTACTCAGCGCGGAACTTGACGAGCTCGATAGGGGCTTTCAGGTTGTCGAGGAAGCCATGAATGTCTGCGAGAAGAATCTTGACGTGGCAACCAGCAGAGAGGAACTGCGCGAGCTTGAGGATAGGCACAAACTGTTGACTGATTAGGGAGACAGACGGCGAAAGTCGAATATAAGCAGACTCACGTATCCGCAGTGTGGCCTGCCTGTGGTTGCAGTCCCCCAGTAGACCTTGAGTGGTCTGCCTTCTTTGAGTGCTGCCTCCATAATTTCGGGGTTGAGCACCTCCTTCAAGTTGACCTTGATGAGATCCATCTTCTGCTCCGGCGACATGTTTGCCAACTCGTCGCTTGCAGCCGACTCATTCTGGCTCTTCTGTAATCTTGCCTTTGCGTCTACTAGCTGCGCCTGGAGATCTTCAATCTTCTTCTCGATTGTCGCGATCTCCGCCTTGATTGAATCGGCCATGGTGGGGTATCGGAGGGGTAACGAAGGCTTCTGTGCCAATTGATTTGTTGCGGGCTCGCCCCTTTCAGATGCGGTGTTCTGATCTTAAAAGAGAAAGAGGAAGGCAGAAGAGGCAGTATATGACTGCGCCGGGCGAAGCTCAGCTGTAGGATTGTGCCTGACACGGCGGAGCTGAAATGAGTCCACAGCCAGGCTAAAATTGGGTCTCCTGCGCCTCCGGTTGGCTGTGACCTGGACTTCACAACTCACAATGTCCACATAGTCACGCCAAATGGATATCTGCCCTCTAATTTTGCCATGGTTGAGACCAAAAGATACAATTTGAATTAGCCAAGGACGGCACATGCGCGTGCGTGTTTGCCTCGATCTTAGGAGCTGTGTCTTGCTGCTTCAGCCGCTCACTGCTGACGGCCCTGCCAGTGCCAACAATGCTGCATGCTCGCCGCAACAATCGTTCAACCCCTGCAGCACAGCAACGACCAAAATAGTCAGCCTGCTGGAATGGCCCGCAATTCGCTTGCGTATCGCTCTTTGGATTGAGGAGCCATTGTTGAAGTATAAACCACATTCGTACAGACGTACTTTCGCATCTCGTGCAGCCATGCTTCACCAAGCTAGTGCGCTCCTGCATCAACGGAACAGACCACGGTAGCTTGCGTGCATCTCAGGTCGGGACATATGGACATCAACAACAAAGCTGGGGTATTTATATAAGCGCGGTCAGGTTCGTAGCCAAATGCTCCTATAGTCACCCGCGTGCGAGCTTCGAGGCAATAGTCCAGCGTCGCTCGTTCCTACGCCGCATGGGCAAAGGTCTCGCGAGAAGGAGTGGAATGCAGAGCCGGATGACGGAGTTACCTAGGTATGAACTTAGACATGGAGTCAGAAGTACCTTTCTCCATCATACACACCGCGACGATCACATGGAGCAGCTGATCAACATGCTCGTGAGTTGTGGCGTATCTCGACATGCATACAGTGCATAGAGACTCATCACTACCGTAGTGCTTGTGATGCTCTTCCAATCCATATGGCCCGTGCACGGTCTAGCGCAGCGCTGGCCCACAGCTCGAAATTCGCTTGCGCGCAAACTCGAACTTTTCCTTTCGACAACCACAAGCCGGAGCAACTCTTTTAGGAACTTTATCAATCACTTCCTATACGCAACGATGGCCCCCAAGAAGAGCAAGAGAACCGCCGACTCCATCAACTCGCGCCTGGCGCTTGTGATGAAGTCCGGAAAGTACGTTGAGCGCAACACCACGAGACGCGCAGAACGCTGACTGCGATAGGGTCACCCTCGGCTACAAGTCCACCCTCAAGAGTCTTCGCTCCGGCAAGGCCAAGCTTGTCATCATTGCCGGCAACACCCCCCCTCTCCGCAAGTCTGAGCTTGAGTACTACGCCATGCTTTCCAAGACCTCGGTGCACCACTTCTCCGGCAACAACGTACGTACACCGCCCAGTCCTCTCATAGCCTAACGACGAGATACGCTGAGACACGGGGTATACTCTGAGGGTTGGCTCTGAGAAGAGGTCTGAACACGACTTCGGAGAGCTGCAGACTAACGTGTCGACTAGATCGAGCTCGGTACCGCCTGCGGTAAGCTCTTCCGCTGCTCGACCATGGCTATCCTCGATGCCGGTGACTCCGACATCCTGACCACCAGCACCGAGAACTAAACAGTTGCTCTGAGAGTGAGGGGTCCAGATAGAATTGATACCTACGTACAGCTTCAGTGCTAGTGCGATGACGATATCCAATGAATGACAAGATTTGAGAGCCGCAAAAGGCCGCCAGACAATTCGCCTCGTTGCCACATTTGATCGTGACTCATTTCTCGTTTTGCACATGCTTGGGTGACTGGGCGCCGCTCAGGTTGCTTTGAAATCAACCATGCGAACATCAGATTACCTATGCCACACAAAACTGCTTCACATTGCATGGCGAACGTTGCACGGGTGGCTGTAAGTGGCAGCCGCGTGCGCCCACAGGCAAATCTCGAGCACACGAGGACATGAAGTGTGTCTTCTCCTGACAGTCTTGCTGCGCCAGCGCACCCGACAATGTGGCAATGCTGAAGGTGTAGCTGCGGATTTGTAAGCCCAGCCACTAAACACACATTGGGGTTAGCTGTTACGAAGTTGGTAAGCGAGGTGTGCACAGTCGAGAATTCATCATTGCAGGCGCCCGACCTCACTCGTCAACTAACCAACCCAACGAAGTACGTACGGTCGCTATAAGTACCCCAGCACGTCCCGTTCACTGCGAGAGCTGTCGTCGACACTCTCGCGTAAACCCGCCCGTTCCGCCGCTCTTTTGCGCCTGTTGAACAGCAGTCTCATTGATTTCTCAGCAGGTTAACCAGTCGTCACAATGGCTCGCCGTCCCGCTCGTTGCTACCGTTACTGCAAGAACAAGCCCGTACGTTGCACCCGAAGACGCTGCGAAGCGTCGTGTAAAGGAGGAGCGCGGACTGACAGACGTGCAGTACCCCAAGAGCAGGTTCAACCGCGGTGTCCCTGATGCCAAGATCCGCATCTTCGACCTCGGTCGCAAGAAGGCCAGCGTAGACGACTTCCCTCTCTGCGTCCACCTCGTCTCCAACGAGTACGAGCAGCTGTCTTCCGAGGCTCTCGAGGCCGCCCGTATCTGCGCCAACAAGTACCTCGTCAAGATTGCCGGAAAGGAAGGCTTCCATCTCCGTGTCCGCGTCCACCCTTACCACGTCGTCCGTATCAACAAGATGTTGTCGTGCGCTGGTGCCGATAGGCTGCAGACCGGTATGCGTGGTGCTTTCGGAAAGCCCAACGGTCTCGTTGCCCGTGTCAACATCGGTCAGATTCTCATGTCCGTCCGAACCCGTGACTCTCACCGCGCCACTGCCCTCGAGGCTCTGAGGCGTTGCCAGTACAAGGTACGCTGGATCCACCCCTGCCGGACATTCAAACCCATACTGACGTGCTACAGTTCCCCGGTCGCCAGAAGATCATTGTCTCCAAGAACTGGGGTTTCACTCCCCTCAAGCGTGACGAGTACGTTGAGAAGCGCAAGGAGGGCAAGATCAGGATCGACGGTGCTTACGTCCAGTTCCTCCGCAACAAGGGTGACCTCGCGTACAACATCCGCCGCTTCCCCGAGGCTTTCGAGCAGGAGGCTTAAATGGCTTGTTGCGAGTGAAGAGATGATGAACATGCGATTTGGGTAATTCAAACGGGACCCCGGTCATGGCGTGGTTTGCTTTCCTCGGTCATCAATCACCGTCGGAGAAGGTGTCGTCTGTAGCGAATGATCGAATACCTGTCCGGCAACGACAAATGATACAACAACACCGCCCACTGCTTCTGTGATGTAACGCGACTCGATGTACTGGGGGACAGTGGGTGCCTGCCATGCCGACTGGGTTTCGAGGGCACTTGGCTCGAAGAATACAACATATCGTGTTGTCAATAGAGCTACCCTAGTTTGTATGGTATCCAATAAAACGCCTATCTCCACCTAACGCTCAGCATGCCTATGCAACACCAAGTAGCGTGACTGATCTAAACGCCATCTAAACCCATTAGACGCCTACCCCCGCACCCCTACCCTCAGCCTGAGCTTTCGAGAACTGCTGCAACAGTTGCAAAACACCACCCCGCCCCGCCCCAGGCGCCTCATCCTCATCCTCGTCATCCTGCGCTAGCCTGCTGGTCCGCCAGCTATCTCCGATCGTGCTTTCCTCCTCGATTCTCGCCCCCGCATGTCCCGGCGGGCTCGCCATGGCATGCAGCCTGGGCTGATATCTCCCATGCGATGCACCTCTCGGTGAGCCCCTCAGCGCAGAAGCAGAGGGTTGGTGGTGCGGATCCAGCAGCATGGAAGACATCGGCTCATCTCGAGCCGCAAGTTTCGGTGCGCGACGCTGGAGATGCCGCGGTTGGCGGCTAGTAGGGCCCTTGCTAGTGCCGCGCGCATGTCCAGTGTCTCCGAGTTGGCCGGTCTGGCTGGCGCTGCCAAAGGTGTTTGGGAACTGTGGTGGGGGATGGAACGTGCTGCGGCCTTGGAGTCTGTTGTTGTAGCCTCTCGCACTCGGATTACCGTACGTGTCCATGAAGCCGTAATAGCTCGCGAGCATCTTATTGTCCTTCGCCATGAAGTAGTCCTCGCGCGGGTCGTTGCCGGGGTCGTTTGCACGTGTGCCGCCAGGTTGAGAGGCAGGAATATTGTTTGCGCGGTTCTGGGTGCCTTTGTTGAAAGGGAACATGGAGTAGGAGCAGGTGACACCGAGGCCATCTACCACAATAGAGAATTCGCGGAAAAAGTCAACGATCCGCTCACTGCATCTGGGTAGGCGGAAGATGAGCAGGAAAGGGGTGATGACCATACTCAGAATCTCTTCCGCGAAAATGAGGACCTTGGGTTGGTACAGCTTTGCAAATTCAGCACGAACCTCGTCAGTGTGCAGACGGTCGGTCCAGGACTCAGGCTCATGGCGTGTGTGGTAGGTGACGTGACCCAAGTAGAATGCAGGGTCGGAGATCTGATCCTCCTGGGGGCTGCTTCCTCGAGCTGAACGGTATATGGCCGTAAACACGCCGATCCAGAAAATGGCTGTCTTTCCTGGCGTAATCTCGAAGTTAAGGAACTGCTCCGAGTCAAGAAGAGTCAGTGCCACAAGCACAAAAGCGAAAGCTCCCGTAACAAATGCTATGAATGAAGATATCTGTTCAGTCTTGTCTTTAGGGAACTGCGCGAGGTACATGTTGGCGTAGGGTTGAGCCATCTTGAGGCGGCGCTCGAATAGATGAGGCAGCTCGTTAAACTCACGAAACTTCCACTGCGCAAAGTGTGTGAAGTCACGATTGCTTAGCTGGCCGGGGTCTTTGTGATATTCCTACAACTGTCAGCTAAACGTCGTCATGTATCTGCAAAGGTAACTCACCGCGAAATACTTGAACAGGTACGATGCTAGAACGAAGACCACGGCAAACGGAGCGCACACAACACTGATCAACCCAACCCACATCAGTCGCGTCCGCAGTCTCTTAACAAGTTCTCGACGATTTCGTTCTTTGAGAAACTCGGTATTAAACTGTCCGTTCTTACCGCTAAAAACAAATTCCAAAATGGCAAGCTCTACGTGCCACCGCGTGGTCTCAGAAAATATGTATCTGTTGCCCAGGAATGGTATCGGCACTGTCACGTCAAGGACCTCCTTGTTAAACAGGGCGATGAGGTAGTTTTCGCGCCTCATAAGACGGCTGGCAATATCAATAGCATCTAGACGTTGTCGGCTCTTCGAATCTAGGAGCTTGCGGGTCTCTGGCGAGAGATTTGATGCGGTTGTGAGGTTCAAGTCACGCAAAGCCATGACGCGGCTAACAACTTGCTGCCACTCCACTGTCTGGATATCACGGTCTGGGATGTCGAGGAGATGGTGGTAAAAGTCGTGCATAGCCCTCAGCCTCGGTACATCTGTGATCATGGTGTAGAAAGAGTAAATCCAGTAGCTAGAGAAGACCCAAAGGGCAAAGATCCAGAAGCCGTGTATCCTGGACGTACATTTTGGAACAAGCACTTCGCTCATCATGTGGCTTTGGGAAAGCACAGAGTAGTCGATGCACCACCCGAGGAAAGTCATGAAGCCCACCACAAATGCAGACTGCAGAAGAGTCAAGAACCGTTTCAAAAGCATCGAATAGATGCCGTGACCGCGGTAGTACTCGTAGACATCCTTCATGTACGCATCCAAGTCGGTCTGGTTGACCCACAGCCATAACGCCCTGTCTTTGGGACTGACATTGAACTGCCCTGTTCTGCCCCACGTGCTGGCTGGTGGCCCAGCCATTTCGTCGTGCAGCCGCTGCTGTCTTTGCGTGGTGTCCCACTGCGCTCGTGTCTGTCGTGTCGCGGGTCCGGGCACGGGGGGAGGGAGGCCGTCTGAGCGTCGTGCTACCTGGGGCGATAAGGGACCTCCTTCGAGGAGTAGTGACTGTGGAACGTCATCGTCATCGTCTACTGGCGCCGGGGGAGGTTGTTTCCACCCAGCAGCCCGATTTGCCGTGTTGATGCCTGGAGGGGCGTTCAGCGGCCGTCTTGTTTCAGGCGACACAGCTCGGCTATCAGCCGTTATCTGACTTGCAGACGCCTCCTCAAGCAGATGTTCCAAGTCCTGTGGCTCGAAATAGGCCCCAAAGTTCTCCTCATCTATGTCCATGTCGCGCTGTCCATCCGTCGAAGTCGAGCTTCTGCGCGGCTGAGGATTCGAGGGCTCGGGTTCGAACGGCTGATCAGTTGCCGAAGGCAGAATCCTGGAGAGAAGGTTGGAGGCCATCATGATGAACGCCTTGCACGACTGTCAAGCAGCGGGGCGCGGGGCCGTGCTGTGGCGATGTGAGGAGTATTGCCGTCCGAGGGCTGGTCGCGGTATGCGCAGAAGGTGAGAGCCAGCTCCATGAACGTGCACGGGCCGTAAACTACGAGTATGCCGGCGTGACAGGTCGTAGAAGAGGTGAACAGAAGCTGTCATGTGCAAGCTGCCTGGGGTCCACTCGGGTGTTGCAGGTGACGCGATATGCACGCGGGCGCCCGGCTAAACCTTCCCTTGTTTCGGCAAGCCCAATGTGTCCACCTGTGCTGTCCGCGAGACATTCACCAACCATGTCAGCGAGCTATTTCCAGGAGCGTAGTACTCCTGCTTCCCAGAATGGCGTGTCTCCTACTTCCCCCCATATTGCAGCAGCATCACGTGGAGTCAACGCTCTCTCCAGTCGAATAACCAGCGTCCTGTCGGCCTCATACGCTGACCTGGAAATTCGGGGCGCATTGTATACACTAGATGAGCGCAGTGTCCACAACACGGCAGAGACGCGTCGACATATCCGACTCGATGTCCAGCAGGAAGTGATTGAATGCAATGGCGAGATTGTCAAGGACTTCGGAAAAGTCGCAGAGGTTTGTTACTTTCCGGTGAGCAACCTTAATTCGCGTGCTGAGTAAATTGTAGCAACTCAAGCGCATTGGAGCAGCCATCAACAGCTTGAATAGCTCTTGCGCAGACATGCGTGCCCATATCATAACTGCGGCCCGTGAAACTGGTCCTGTCCTGGAGGAAGCCACCAGTCTTATCAACCAAAAGAAGCAGGTCGAAACCAAAAATCAGATACTACACGCTTTTAGCTCACACTTCCGGATCACTGATGATCAGGCCACTGTCCTGACATCCACCGCAGAGCCGGTACATGAAGAGTTCTTTCAGATCTTGACCAAGGTAAAAAAGATCCACCACGATTGCCAAGTTCTATTAGGCACCGAGGACCAACATCTTGGTCTTGAGATCCTAGAGCAGAGTTCAAAGGCACTAAATGGAGCTTTCCAGAAACTCTACCGCTGGATACAGCACGAGTTTAAGACTCTGGATTTGGAAAATCCTCAGATTAGCGCATCTGTTCGACGGTCCCTGCGGGTGCTAGCAGAACGACCTACCCTGTTTCAAAGCTGCCTTGATTCTTTCGCAGAAGCCAGAGAAGCGATTCTGTCTGAGTCTTTCCACGCAGCCCTGACCGGTACCAACTCGGCCGCTTCGCACATCGCAACGAAGCCAATCGAATTCTACGCACACGACCCTCTACGATATGTCAGTGATATGCTGGCTTGGGCACACTCAGCTACAGTGTCGGAGAGGGAAGCACTGGAGGTGTTGTTCATTTCGGATGGCAACGAAATTAGCCGTTCTATTCAGGCCGGTTTAGAGAGCGAGCCCTGGCTCAAAGGCGACGAAGAACAGGAGGTTTTTGATGGAAGAAAGGCATTGGATCAACTTGTTAGTCGTGATCTGACAGGTGTTGCACGGCTGCTCAGACAGAAGACCGAGCAAGTTATCCAGAGCCACGAAGACGCAACACTCGCCTACAAGATCGCCAATCTGATTGGCTTCTACAAGGGCACTTTTGTCAAACTGCTCGGGCAGGGGTCGGACATTCTTGATCTGTTTGATACGCTTCAGGCCTCAGCGATGCGTCAATTCCGAGCAAACATGCGCGACCATGTGGCCACAGTTCAGAGCGACCTGGCTGTGGCACCTGTGGATCTCTCACCTCCTGACTTCTTGGAGCAAGCCTTACAGACGTTGAAGGTGCTCGCAAAGAGCTACGACACCTCTGTAGCAGCTGTTGACGAGTCGAACAACGGCTTCCAGACTGTACTGACTGAAGCTCTGGACCCATTCCTTGGTGGCTGTGTAAATCTTCAAAAGGGCATGGAACAACCCGACAGTGCCGTGTTTGCCATCAACTGCCTCCTCGCTGTCAAGGATGCATTGTCGAGCTTCACATTTGCAACAGAGCGAGCTGCTGAGATGGGCGAGACGATTGACGAACATGTTGCAGCGCTTGTCGATTATCAGCACCAGTATCTTCTCCATGAGTCTGGACTCATGGCACTTCACGGGGCACTTTTGAATATCACAGATGCACCCGAGAGCCTGAAAAGTATTACACGAGTGGCCGCCTTTAAACCGGAAGCACTGGTAGCTACCAGCCAACAACTCGACGAATTCCTTCCATCTGCGCTCATCGATGCCGCAGAGAACCTGAAGCAATTACGCAACCGATCCATGGTTCAGGAAATCACCGAGGGCGCAGCGGCTAGGTTCTGCAAGGACTTTGAATTTGTGGAAAGCAAGATCGTTGCAGCTGATGATCTACTCTACGATGAAGATGATGAAGAAATCAAGCCAGGGCTCAGAGACTTGTTTCCTCGTACCAGTGGAGAGATCAGGGTTTTGCTCAGCTAGATGCCATTGTACTGTGTATGTAGATATGCCCGACTGCTCCAGAGAATGCTGCGTGAAACAAACACTTGTTTGCGCCAACGTGCAGCGTGTCGTTCTCTACTCCAATCTGCGTGTAGTCGTGACTCCGCGAGCTCAAGCACTCTTCAGCTGTGACTATTGCAGTCGTTTCTTCTCCCACTCTTCAGGCGTGTGGCATTTGGGTGTCCAGGCATGTATCGCGGCAATTTCTTCCTTGAGTGCTGCATTCACCAGACGATGTCTTGCCAGTGTTGTCTTCTTGGCAAACTGTGGTGAGACTATGATGGCCTCGAACATTTGCCCGCATCCGCCTGCCAGGAACATTAGTGTGTGATGTCGTGACGCTGCACCGGTCCTTTGCAACGCAGATGCCGGAGGATCTCCCGACTTCTCAACGAGGATGAACGTCGCACGACATACCACTCATATCCTCGATCTCAACATGTGTTGCACCGAGAACTGTCTCGAGCTTTTGCCTGATGGCCTCGGGCGTGACGCCGGAAGTCGCTGCATTGCGGGCGGCCTCGTCATCTGTGCGTGCGCTCATGATTGTTGGGTTTGAAGGGTCGACGAATAGCTGGTCAAGTGATTTGGTAAGTTTGTGACGTGGATCCATCGCGTTACTTTTGCAATGCGATGATGTGCTATCTTCGGATCTGATAAGAAGACCCTGTCGACAGAAACTCGGGTTTGTGGCGTCAGCAGGCGGTGACGTAGCGCAGGACACGAACACGAAGTTTGATGTTGGAGGGGAACGCGTCGTCCAGTGCAACATCTCGTGAGCATTGCAATTGGGACACCGAGGTGCGTCTGCGCAGGACTACACACAAACAAGGCATTAATTGCATGTTCTTCTCGACGTTGAAACGCTCCTTTGCTGCAACAATGAGTGCGCATCACAGCTCTGCGCCTTTCTCAAAGGCCGTGGTAAGGGCCATGCAAAAGCTGTAGGTGTTGCTTGCTCCCTTTGCATGCAACATTGTGGGCTGACGGCCCCATGGCTATCCCAAAGCGCTTGCAGACAACTCTTGGGACAACACGGGACTGTTGTTAGAGGCTCCCTTCGACCCTTCCCGTCGTCAGGACAACACCGTGTTGCTCACCATCGACCTCACCAAGGCTGTCGCCGACGAAGCCATCGCACTGAGGTCGTCGATCATAGTCGCGTACCACCCAATCATCTTTCGAGGCCTCAAGTCCCTCACCCTTGCCAACTCTCAGCAGCAGACACTCTTGCGCCTTGCCAGCCATGGAATCAGCGTGTACAGCCCACACACCGCCGTCGACGCAGCACCAGGAGGACTCGGCGACTGGCTGGCCGACATTGTGACCGGGACGAAGACGAGCTACGATGCCTCGCCGTCCGCGGAAGCGACCCCAGCACCTCAAAGCGAAGGCGACCACGATCCATTTGTACAGCAAAAAGGAGGGGCCACACTGTCCGTTCAACGACCCACTTTCCAGCTGCAGCATCACCCCAGCCAGACCACCCTACGCCTGTCAAGAGATCCGCCCCAGACAACATCTGTTCCCCACACCCGCCGTCCTGTTGTTCCCCAGTTGCCTGAGATCAAGACACATCCAGGCGCAGGCATGGGACGCATTGTGGAGTTCAGCAATGCGCAGCCACTAACAACTCTGCTGGATCGCATAGGTAAAGGTTTGAACAATCCAAAGGGTTTTCCCATCGCAATTCCACAGGACGCCAACATCGGGGACATTGAGATACGAAGTGTGGGCATTTGCGCAGGCTCAGGAGGATCGTTGCTCGCAAACCTGGATGTCGATCTGCTGTTCACAGGAGAGATGAGTCACCATGAGGCACTGGCTGCTATCGAGAAGGGTCAGGTTGTCATCAACTTGTTCCACAGCAATTCAGAGAGAGGGTTTTTGGCTGAAGTTCTCAGGGAGCAACTGGAAGATACGATTGAGGGAGAATGGTCGGTGGTCAGAGAGGAGGAAAAGGGTAATGAGAGGCTGAAGGAGGCGTTGGCACACGATGAATTTGAGGTTGCGGTCAGTGAGGCGGACAGGGATCCGTACGGCATCTTGGTATTAAAAGGCAATGCCGAAGAGTAGCGTGTACAATAACGAGAAATTGTTTGTTGATGAGCGAGATGGCCTCAGTGCGGATCAAAAGGAGGGTCGGCCACAACTGTCATCGAACTTTATCGCGTAAATGAGAAATGCGATGAAGGAACAAGGACATACTTCTTGGACGATCAGCCCTGTACTAATAAGTAACGTAGTGGTATTATCACAAAACCAATAATCTATGCCAACGCCAGGGTATACCAGGCCATAAGATGAACACTCAAGCACAAATCAAACATAAATCTCGACGACCGTTGTCTGCCAACAAGATACCATCTGGGTCAAGACGTCTCGCTTCCGTTCCTCAATGCCAGCTTCTCCAAAGTCTTGGGGTCAAACTCCTGGTTCTGCGGCATCTGTGCCAACCAGCTCGGTGGCGCCATACCAGTTTGATCATGGATAGTGGAAAGGAGAGGGGGCAGGCTCTGAAACAGGTTTCTGATGGGTGCGGTCGCATCCGCTGTGCCCTCACTGCCCTGTGCCCCTGTGTTCCAGACATTGATCTTGGGCTGCAGGCCCTGGATCGCCTTTGCGTTGGCGTTGGCCAGTTGCTGGTACGTCCCATTACTCAGCATCATCCACTGCATCAAGCCTTGCGGTCCGCCAAGCACAGTCGCCATCTCGCCGTACGCTTTCGCCATTGCAGATAGGCCCTCTGCCTCGCGCTGTTGCGAGATGAGATGTGCGTGTGCCTCTCTTTCCCGACGGAAATACTCGGCTTCCGCTTTGCGCTTCTCGACGAGGAAATAGGCCTCGGCCTCTCTCTCCTTTGCTTTGAAGTCTGCGTCTGCATCCTGTAGGCGGCGGTACGCTGCTGCATCGGCGTCAGCCTGCTCGGAGAACTTCTGACCTTCGGCAGCGCGCTGCTGTGCGTAGAGATCTGCGTCGGCCTTCTGCTGGCTTGACTCTTTCTCGATACGAGCTTGCACGACTTTGGTGGCCCTCTGGTGCTCGAGTTCCATTAGTCCACGCGTCTTCTCGACTTCGGTGTTGAGATGGGCATCGCGCTGCTCGGCTTCGCGCTTCGCGTTGATGCGGGCAATGTTTAGTTCGTTGCCAATTTGAATTTCTTTCTGCGTCAGCTTGGCGTCGGCGGTGGCTTTCTCTGCTTTGCGTTCGGTTTCCAGGACGGCAGTGGCCGCGTGGATTTTGGCAACCTCCTGCTTTGTCTTGCCTTGCTTTTCGGCTTCACCAACTTCTCCTTTCATGCGAGCATCGGCGACATCGACCTTGGCTTGGTTGAGGGCGCCTTCGTGCGCTTTGCGGGAGAGGAAGGCGAAGTACTCGGAGCCGGGAGTGTCTTGGAGTTCCTTGACGTTGGCGTTGTAGATGCAGAGGCCGAATTGATCGAGTTCGCTCTGGACAGACTGGATAACCTTGTCTCTGAATACCTTCCTCTCGCGGAACAGCTCCTCCATGGTCATAGTCGAAACAATGCTCCTGGTCTCGCCCTCGATGATACCCTTGACGATGTCTTGGACATGATTGCGGCCGTCGACGCCAGCAACAGAGACAGTGCCCTTGCTCACTGCCGCGGTCGGCCGGCCATCAGACTCGCCAGTCAGAAGAACAGCGTACTTCTCAAGCGAGATCATATCGTCTGCTGGGCCGATGGTGAAGACGGCCGGGAGCGAGAATTTGAGCTTCTCGATCGTCATGGCCTGTAACGACATGGAAAAGTCAAAGGGTGTGATGCTGATCTTTGATACTTTTTGAAAAGGATAGACGAAGGCCTGGAGAGTCAGTGACTTTGACGAGGAAGTATGCTAGGACGTGAACTGACTTTCTTCTGGATCTTGACCTTTTCAATCCCCACGCCCGTCACGACGAGGTAGGAGTTTGGCTCTGCGACATGGTATCCAGGCATTGTTGCGATATCTGAGTTGTCGCCGTACAGTTGCAATGTATTGAATGTTGGAGGGAGGCTCCTAATCTTGAAGTTCCTTTTATGGACTTATGGCTCAATCAGTTATTGACGGTAGTCATGCAAACGCAATGAGCAAGATCGAGCGAGTATCCAAGAATGGATCTTAAGTTGTCGATGGTGTTGCATGACGAGCGCAATCCAATACCTTTATAACAGCTATTCGTTATTCCAACGCAACCGATGGTTGCATAGCCCCTGCAAGCCGAAGACATACAGACCCCCAAAGTGGCACCGGTGAGGCACGGGGTCCGCGTGCACGGCCCGTCCGATTGGTTGTCTTTCATGGGAACCTGAAGTCAGCCTTGGGCTCAGCCACGCTCACCTGACCAAAGCCTTGCCTTGATTATGAGGTCAAGATTCGCTTACGTAGAGGAGATTTCCGAGCGCGGTGAACTCAAGCGTTGACCTTTTCTTACGCATTTTGGCCTTGATCAGTTCTGTCTACGAAGGCTGAAGCACCCAGCAAGACTCAAGTGTAGACTAGGCAGCAGCAATATCCGGCGACGACCCTGGACCAGATCCGAATTTGCAAAGGCCTTTGATTCTCTCTCGGACGACCTCCACAGACCAAAGTTGTCGAGCATATCCATGCCAAGCTTTTCGGCCCGGGCCAATACTTGAGCTTCTTTTGAGGGTCCATAATTGGCTCAACCCCGTTTATCAGATCATTGAGGCTCTTCAGAACCAAGGGTGATCAGTCACGAGGTACTCACCGATTGAGCTCAGGCTCTTATATGACGCAGATCATTGAGGCCGAAAGGAAAACCCAACGGGTAAAACGGTCTCGAACATTGCCACCACCTGGACTGGTATTGGCAGCCCAGACACAATCAACATCCTCTTATCTGTTGCGCTTGCCGGCATTGGAGAGTAGAGGTTGCCACGCTATTAGTACTGGTCACCCGCATTACAAACCACTGTTTACACATCTTTCGTCTGGAGCGCAATAATGTCGCGAGTTGAGAAGGAAGAGCTGCCGCCATCGTATACAGAAGTGCCAAACTTCTCCCGGCCAAATGCACATCGAGGCCAGCAAATTCTTGACCAGTTGACCCTCACACGCGCACACCATATTCAATCCGTCATCGACAGCCACATTATCCCGCTCGTCGAGGAGCGTGCCTCATATGGCATCGCGCAGACAACAATCGCCATGCTGCCATCAGACATTCCACTCCCTGCAGAGCAAGAGAAATCCGAGTTCAGCTTCGACACGGACACATCCAAGGCTGTGGGGGTACTCGGCTTTGCATCTGAAGAGGAGCCAAATGTGGTCCGGCTTGAAGGGCAGATGAATCGCACGGAGTTTTGGAGAGTTCAAGCGATCATCGTGGAGCTAGAAAGGGTGTTGAGGGACTCACTGAATGCGAGTCCGCAGCTGAGGAGTCCAACCAGGGAGAGAAGCGAATTCGAGGCGCCACACAAGCAGAAAAGAAACTTCTTTGCAAAGTTCGTTGGCAGAGGCGAGGAGGAACATTCTGCGAGTGGGAGTCCCGAGGTCGGCATCAAGAAGATGGAGGAGACGGGGCTGGTGTTGGTAAAGGCCAGATTGGAGGAGATATCGCTTCGGACGTTGAGTGATTTTGGACTGTACGACACCATGTCAAAACAATGTGTAATCATCAGGATCGATGCGAGGTGTTGAGTGGAGGATCACACCGCTATATAACTACGGGTTGTGAGCCATTTCACAGTATGTTTTATGTAGAGTGCGGGCTAGCTGATTCGTGTGTGATTTGCTGGATTGTCGCTGGATATGTTCTCTTACTATCGTAATTGATGCAACATAACCCAGCAGGCCGAAGCCAAACGCGCAGACTGGTAGTATGCAATTGATCTTGTCGAAAGCAAGCGAATCAGCCGCCATGGTCGAGGTTTCGATCGCGTGCTTGGAAGCTAGACAAAAATCCTTGTTTGAGAATGACGAAGTGTTCTGTCGATACCAAGAGCGAGGCGTGCAAACTAACGTGGACTGACTGGTATTCCCGCATTGTGGTTCACGGGCTACATTCGTTTGATGATGCGTGACCGACCGAGGCTGAACAGCGCCACGATGTGGGGTAGTTTCGTTGTTTGGTGTCCGCAGGCCAAAGCAGTAGTGCAACGTGAGACGTTGTTGATGATGTGGAGAACAGCGACAAGCGTCAAGTCTCAGCAGGTTTCTTTTCGCCTTGGTTGTCGAACCCGAGTTTCTCCAACTGCCGAACCAGCTCGTTGATCTTGATAACCTTCTCAAACTGCTCTGGCAGCAAACCTTCGCCTTTGTCTTTCTTGTCCTTCAACTCTCGGGCTTGGCGCAACTTCTTGACCAGCTTCTTCGCTTCTTTCTCCTTCTCGGCCTCGGGATCAATTACTTTTGCAGGCTCAACAGGCCCGTCAGACTTGGCGGACTCGGTAGGCTTGGTGGACTCGGCAGGCTTCTCGTCCTCCTTCTCAGCAGCAGCCTTCTTGCGGGCTTCTCTGCGCTTAGCGTTCTTGTTGGCTGTGTTGCTAGTCTTGGCGGGGTCCTCCTCTTTCTTCAGGCTCTCAGCGCCTGGCACGCCGGCCTTGGCTCGGGTTCGAAAACCTTCGGCGGTCCTGTTCTTGTAGAGCTCGACGTCCTCGGGCGGACGGTAGCCCGGGCGCACGCGGATTTCTTTGCGGACAGAGCCGTCGGGGCGCACTGACGAGGGAATGTGACGTTCGCCGGTAGAGGAAGTGGCGATGCCAGCACGCGAGACGGGGTTGCTCTCGACGGAAGGCATGTTGGGCGGAGGGCAGTACTGGCTCTCGAGTGCGGAGGACCAGGGCGGACTGGCGGGGCGACGAGGGTGGTGGGGTGATGGGAGGGCGGTGGTGCAGTGCGAGGTGTGGAGGTGCAGGCGCTGCAGGCTGTCGGTTGCTGGTGGATCTGCTCTTGCTCGCGGGGCAGCACTGCGGGCGTCGCGGCGCCCGGGGTCCTCGCGGCGCAGAGACGGTACAGTGCGAGCAAAATTGGCGGGCGTCGAAGTTGTCGGGCAGGCGCGGGCGGCCAATCAGCGGGCGGCCAATCAGCGGGCGGGCCCGGTGTGGCATTCTCTCGTCGGCAGACCGCGAACCTCGCCCTCGCCATACCCGCCGTAGCACCACCACATCCGCCTCTGTAGCCTCTTGCGCTCTCCAACACCCTCACAATGGCCGGCGTAAGTCAATTGACGACCCGTTGCGGCCGCTGGGCCCGTGCTAACCGCGCCGTGTGCAGTTCGCAAACACCATCTACAAGCAAGGCACCCCCCTGGACGAGCCCATGGCCGCAGCATACTGACAGGCGAGCGCAGCACTGTCTTCAGGAGCAACATCACGCTCCTGGGCACCGTTTTCGCCACTGCCTTTGGCATGCAGCTGTACGTCGCACCCCCGGCCGGCGAGGCAGCGCGAGACAAGTACTGAGACTGGACACAGGGCTTTCGACACAGGCTCCGAGCGCATCTGGGACGGCATCAACCGCGGCGTATGTGCAGCCTCCCCGCCACGCGACCAGGCTAACCGTAAGGACAGCGCCAGTGGAAGGACATCAAGCAGCGGTACATGGAGGCCGCCGAGGACGACGAGTAGCGGGACGGAGGACGGGAGCATCGTGGAGGGCTGGAGCATGATGGAGGGCTGGGCCGGACGGAGGGCTGGAGTCAGAAGCCATAGACGGATCTTCCCTGCGCTTCTTCGAGACGGGCACTGTACATTGGGATGTATTCTACAGCTTGCACAATACGAGGGCAACGTGATGACGACGCACCGCCCGCCGCTCTCTGCACCGCTTTCTGCACCGCTCTCTGCACCGCCGCACGCGTGCTGGTCCTGCCGTAGCCTCGCCATCTGTGGAGTAGTGCCTGCATTGTGAAGACCACCCCGAGTGACTGTGCACGGCCTGTCTGCCTGTCACGGACGGCCGCCTGCAAACGCAGCCCCGTGAATCTCGCGCACACCACATGGTCGCCTGAAGTGAGGTCGTCCTGCAGCCAAGATGAACACGCCCATGTCAAATCTGCACGTGAGCCGAGGCGGACGCAGCGGTGCGGCGGCGTCTGAGCGCTGTGCTTGGGGGGTGGCAGCTATGACATAGCTCCGCAACTTTCACACGCCGCCTGCCTCGCTCGACCACACACCCGCCCCGCGACCAACACCCGGCCGCGCCTTCCCCCCGCCGTGGCAGGTCCACCCCCCGAGCAATCGCACCTCGTCCGGCCGCCCGCCCCACCGCCCGCGTCTCGAGGGCCTCGTGCGCACAGCGAGCACAGCGAGCACAGCGAGCACAGCGACCGCCCGCCCTCGTCCGCGACCCGCAGCTGGCGCGCGCCATGTACATATCGCCGCTGGAGCAGGAGCTCTGCCGCAACCTGCGCGAACTGCCCCGGCGCCATGGCTACCGCTTCACTGCCGAGGCAGACCGCGACCTGCGCGCCACGCTCTTCCGCTCGCTCGCCGGCCATGAAGCCCACATCCCGCTCTTCTTCCCCTCCGGCTTCCCCGTCGACCAGGAGAAGCCGTGGAGCCTGCGCGACGCCCAGGGCGCCATAGAGGGCGCCGAGTACACGCCTGCCGCCAAGGGCAAGCCGTGCGGGCACATCTTCAAGAACGGCGAGGGCACGTATCGCTGCAAGACGTGCACCACCGACGACACCTGCGTCCTCTGCGCCCGCTGCTTCGACGCCTCCGACCACGACGGCCACCAGGTCTTTGTCAGCGTCTCGCCCGGCAACTCAGGCTGCTGCGACTGTGGCGACGAGGAGGCCTGGGCACGGCCTGTGCACTGCAACATACACTCGCCCGACGCAGACTCGGCCAGTAAGACGGCCGGCAAGGCGAAGCAAGGTTCATCGTTGCCTGACGAAGTGCTCGAGAGCATACGCATGACCATTGCACGGTCTTTGGACTACCTGATCGATGTCTTTTCGTGCTCTCCCGAACAGCTGCGGTTGCCCAAGACTGAGGAATCCGTCTTGCAGGATGAGCGCAACTCACGTCTGACCTCAAAATGGTATGACCCGGGCGATCAGACCGAGCCCGACCAAGAGTACTGCCTCGTGCTCTGGAACGACGAGAAACACACCGTAACCGATGTACAAGAACAAGTAGCCCGCGCCTGCAAACAAAAGCAGGCCTTTGGCCTCGCCAAGGCCCACGAAGTCAACGATGTTGGCCGCAGTGCTGTCGTCTACTGGTCAGAGCTGAAAGAGCTTCTACGCATGGCCAAAATCATCGAAGAGATCAAGCTGACCGTGACCATTCGCTCCGCACGAGATACCTTCCGGGAGATGATGGGCGGCGCCATTGTCGAGTGGATTTCTGACATCGCCGGATGCAGCGCAGGCGATGATCACCAGGTTCTTCGACGCACCGTCTGTGAGGAGATGTTGAAGCCATGGCGCGTTGGAAGCGCAGCCTCCAATGAAAGCATCGGCAAAGACGGTCTAGACGATCACGAGCTTGAGGACAGAGAGAATGAGGAGAGGAGTTTCTTTCGAGGACTCGTACCTATTGCTCGGCGACCTCAGATCATCAGGATACGGCGCCAGCGCACAGCCGATAGGACGGACGACACAACTGCTTCTGATGACGAATTTGACGACGGCGACGATGAGGCCGAGGGCACTGCAGATGCCGGAGAAGAGATGGACATTGACGAAGTTGGCGCTCAGGACAATGATGGAGATGTAGAAATGGAGGCGTTTGAGAGCGCAGATGAAGCGCTGGAAACATCCGAGGCCACCATGGCAGGCTACCCTGCTCCACCTCCACCTCCACCTGCTCCGTCGCAGTTCTCAACAGGCCATAGAGCACGTCATGAGCAGAGTGATACTCCTGCGGAATCTGACAGTGAGCCTTTAGTAGGTGCGCCCTCACTAAGCCACGTCGAACCTCTGATGACGGTACCTGGAACACCCCACACACGGTCGCTTCCAATGAGACCATCGCGACCTCCGCAGTACTGGATGGAGAAGCCAGACGGTTATGGCAGACGACCTGGGACACCGGCTCACGAGGATCTCTGGCAACGCCTTCGTCTGGACCGCCTCATCTTGTACGATTTGCGCATGTGGAAACAACTTCGAATCGGCATTCGTGACGTTTTCATCAGCACAGTGGTTTCCATTCCAGAATTCAAGCGTTTGCTTGGCCTGCGCTTTGCTGGCGTCTACACTGGTCTTGCACAATTGTTCCTTATTGCCGACCGGGAGCCGGATCACTCAATCATCAATCTGTCCCTTCAGATGTTGACAACGCCGTCTATCACTTCGGAAGTAGTGGAGCGAGGCAACTTTTTAACGAACTTACTTGCCATTCTCTACACCTTTCTTACCAATCGTCAAGTCGGCTACCCAGCCAACGTCGACCCAAAGGCCACCCTGGCTTTTGAGCAAGGCGCTGTGACAAATCGACGATTACATCACTTCTTCATGGATACAAAGTATCTGTTAGCGTCAGAATTTGTGCAAGACAAGATCCGTGAACAACCGCGTTATCTATTACAGTTCTTGGACTTGGTCAAACTCCACCAAGGGATATGTCCGAATCAACGTGCTGTCGGCGAGCATCTCGAGTTCGAGTCAGAGGCTTGGATTAGTGCATCGCTCATCACTAGAGAGATCAACAAGCTTTGCCGACACTTTGCGGACTCCTTCACATGGAAGAATGACGAAGATGCCACGAGCATGTGTCGTGCTCTCCGGGCTACGGCGGAGGTAGTGACTATCAACTCGTTGGGCGCTGAGCGCAGACGGTTTGATCAGGCTGAGCTCAAAGACGAAACCAAGTTCAAAACATTGGAAGTCTTCGAGTTTGATGCCGCGTCATCAACGTCAAGTTTATATGGTCCCAGTTACAAGATCGTCGACTATGTTGTCGCAAAGGAGAATATGAGCTTCCACCACGCTCTCCACTACACGTTGTCCTGGTTGATCGACCAAGCAAGAAGTATGCCGCCAGACCACGTGCGGCAGCTGCTTCATTTTACGCGCGATGAGTTGCAAATTCGCTCAAACTCGGCCACCATCCCCTCTCATCGACCTGAGGACTATTTGCTTGCAGTCTTCGACTTCCCTCTTCGAGTGTGTGCTTGGCTAGCTCAAATGCGGGCGGGAATCTGGGTCAGAAATGGAATAACTCTACGCCATCAGATGAATCAATACAGGAGCGTATCACAAAGGGACGTGTGTCACCAAAGAGATCTCTTCCTACTGCAATCCGCTCTGGTCTTGTGCAACCCGTCGGTATTTCTGGCTTCGATGATCGATCGGTTTGGGCTCATAGGTTGGACTACTGGGAAGTACGACGCAAGTCACCACGGCTTCGAAGACGCTCAAGCTATCGACGTTGTTGAAGACTTTGTTCACCTCCTGATCATACTTCTCAGCGATCGAACCTGCCTTCTCCCTGTCGAAGAAAGCAACGAGTCGCATCTCGCTGCCATGCGACGAGATATTGCGCATGTGCTGTGCTTCAAGCCACTCTCTTTCTCTGATATGACCGCACGGTTGTCAGACCGGATACAGAATATGGATGAATTTCCTGAGGTCCTTCGTGAGATGACCAGATTCCGAGCACCTGAAGGATTGTCCGATAGTGGTACATTCGAGTTGAAGGAACAATACCTTGACCTCATGGACCCCTACGTCCATCAGTATAATCGGAACCAACGAGAAGAAGCCGAAACCATCTATAGGAACTACAAGGCAAAACAGACCGGAAAACAGGCCAGCGATATTGTTTTTGAACCCACGCTTCGACCCATACCATCTGGTCTTTTCCAAAACATCTCTGGCTTTACAAGAACACCGCTGTTTACTCAAGTCATGTACTACCTCCTAGGCTATGGCCTACAAGCGGCAGCTGTCACTCCTACCATACCTGCCACCCGCGTGGAAACGTACATTCAATTTGTGCTCCAATTGCTTCTAGTCGCTATCCTCGAAGACAAATCTGAGCAACGTGACTGGTCCGAGGAAATGCCCGATTCTTTGGTAGCTTCTATTTTGACAAAATCCGCCAACGTCGGCATACCCGAGCGTCCGACCACCCTCTCACTTCTTTTAGCCATACAAGAGAAGGAAGAATACAAGGGTTGCGAGTCAAAAATTAATTTGATTTTACACAGACTAAAGCAACGGCAACAGCACAAGTTCATTGTGGCAGCTGCAGCTCTGAACGTCCCAACTGAGAGGATGGATACTGCATCACCAGCTAGCTTTGGGTTGGAGGAGAAAGAACTGAAGAAGAAGCAGGCTTTGGAGCGACAGGCAAAAGTTATGGCAGCTTTCAAGGAGCAGCAAGGCAAATTCATGGCCAATCAAGACTTCGACTGGGGAGAAGACGACTTCAGCGACCTAGAGGATGAGGATGGCGGCCTGGTCGAACAAGAGAAAACCTTCAAATATCCCTCGGGAACCTGCATTTTGTGTCAAGAAGAGACAAACGATCAAAAGCTCTACGGAACCTTCGGATACGTTTCCAAAAGCCGCATACTCCGTCAAACCGACCTACAAGACGAGGAATGGGTAGATGAGGTAACGCAAGCGCCTGTCAGTCTCGATCGCTCAGCGGACGAGATTCGGCCATTCGGAGTTTCGGGGAAAAATCGACAGACTGTCGAGAAGGTCAATGCCAACGGAGAACGTGTTGTATCAGAGAGGCAGACCCTTGGTAAAGGCTTCCCACGCACCCATCTCAAATCAGGCCCCGTATCTACTGGGTGCGGTCATATTATGCACTATGCTTGTTTTGAGGTCTACCTTCAGGCGACTCAGCGCAGACATGTTGGACAGATTGCAAGGAACCACCCCGAACGCCCTGAATTCAAGGAGTTCATGTGCCCTCTGTGCAAAGCTCTGGGTAATATGTTCCTACCGATCATATGGAAGCCGAAAAAGATACTTCATCCAGGTGCTCTAGAGACAACAGCAACGTTTGTGGAGTGGCTTGAGACTGGTGTGGCCACGATGCACAAGGGGCTCGAGGACGATAGAGGCAAGGTCTCAGCTGCAGAACTTGGTCATGACCGGAAGGCGCTGTACAACTACGGTCAACAAGATTTTGTCCACAACATTGCAGGTCTCCTTCCAGATCTCATTAGAGCACCGGTCTTCCCACCGCCCGCGCAAGCTGCAACAGCGCCACTGCATCGACACCATTTTCAAATTCCAGCCTTCTTGTCAGGAGCTGCGAGAGAGCCTGAGCCTGAGTCTGCTCTGCCCGTCACGCCGATGACTGAGCTCTTCAAAGTGTATCAGAGATTACGAGACACTCTTGTTTCGAACAACATTCCTTCGGCCTTCACACATCGACCCTCCGTGACCGGGGCTGACATAGAGGACTTGACGCATACGGATTCTCTCACACAAGCCCTGGGTTATTCGATCTCTGCTGTGGAAATTGCTCAACGTGGTGTACAGTCGGATTTCGTTAGAGGCACATTAGTCGATAAGATCTCACCGCAGACATTGACCCATCTCCAGATCTTATCCGAGACAGTTTCATCATACATCGCTATCGGTAGTCTCGGAGGCCAAGGATCCAGTTTCACAGAAGTAGAGTACCTTCGTACTCAGTTCGAACAAGTTCGTCAACTTTTTGTTGGCCATCCTGGTGTTTTTGATCCCGAAGTCTTACCCCTCGATCTCAAGACGGTCGCGCCTCTCTTGTGCATGGATCCATTTGTCTTCCTTACGCAATGCGCAGCAGGCATTGTACCTGCTGCAGGCCTTGAAATCCATCACGTCTTGCGTTTGTGTTACCTGGCAGAGATGGTACGCGTCATCCTGGCGTACACCGGAACTACAGGTGACCAGCAGACCATACCGCACAACCAGCATCCAGAGCGCTTTATTAATTCGGAAAAAGTCAGCGGAGGCTCGTTTTCCCCGGATCAATTGAATGGCCTGCTCTTCTTTGTATGCGCTGTCTTCAACGTAGCAAGTATGGAAGACTCGCCGGCCTCTCTGGATATCGACAACATGCCCATTCCCGACCAGTTCAAGAACCCTAACTTTCTCTACTTCATGTATACCATGATGTCATCATACGCTCTTCCATTTCTCCGCAAAGCTGTCATTCTCATGCATGTTCGGTATGGGATTGAGCTACCCCATACACCAATGGATCAGGTTAACGAGTCTGAGCTGTCACGTCTCACCACAGTCCTACGTCTCCCCACTCTCCACGAAATCTGCTCATCTTTCGCCACCCGCTCCAACTCGGGGCACATCACACGTTCGATCGTTGGTGGCTGGGTGCGGCACCTGTTGTGGGCTCAGGCAGGAAACCAACCCTTGCGCCCAACCATGTCACTGTCACATCCCGCCATCTTTGAACTCGTTGGCCTACCCAGGACATACGACACACTTACCGACGAAGCAATACGCAGAAAGTGCCCGACAACAGGCAAAGAGCTTACAGACCCCGCGCTGTGCCTGTTCTGCGGCGAGATTATGTGCTCGCAGGCCGTGTGCTGCATGACAGGCAAGGGCCAGACCCAGAGGGGTGGTTGCAATCAGCACCTTACAAAGTAAGTCATATCTGCCTCGACCCCAACAAATCTGTGCCAGGAGTCTCTTGGTTACTGACCCTCTCCAGGTGCGGCGGTCAAATCGGAATCTTCGTCCACATTCGCAAATGTATGGTTCTCTTTCTCAACAAGAATCATGGTACCTGGGCCGTGGCCCCCTACCTTGACAAACACGGTGAAGTCGACCCCACGCTGCGCCGCCACCACCAATTGTTCCTCAATCAGAAACGCTACGATGCGCTGCTGCGCAAGGTGTGGCTCGACGGCGGCATTCAGAGCCTTATTGCGCGTAAGCTCGAGGGCGATATCAATAATGGCGGGTGGGAGACGTTGTAAGGAGGGTGCAGAAAGGGGATGGACTGCAGGGCACGTGAGGGAGTTGATCCGAAGGGGTTGTGTGTGCTGTGCATGCACGGCGCTGGAGACGCCGCCGCACTGCGTAGTCCGGAGTCTTTGCATTGTGCAGTCGCGTAGTTCTGTATCGACAACAAAGGCCTTGGATGGCGGGTTTTGAAGTTTCGAATTCGTACTTCCTGACGCTACCGAGCATGCGTGTGCATCGCCAGAAACAGGTGTACAAGGTGTGGCATCTACAATGGTATTCCTACTTGATCTTACAATTAGAGGTACGACGGCAGTGACGGCGCAGACCCGCCTATTGCGATGTCTGCTGCGGCCTGCATGTCGGCGCCTTACTTGGATTCGTGTTTAGTTTCGTCTTTGAAGTCGTGGTGTACTTCGCCCTCGACCGTGTTGTGTCCTTCATCCCCAATCCTCGTATCCATCTTTCCCGCCGCTTTCCCATCATGTTCCGTTGACAATATTTTGCCTTGTTTCCCCTCGACAACGGATTCTGCAAAGCCTTCGTCGCTCAGGAATCCAAAGCCAACGTCTAGGTCGACATCGTGTGCAGGTGCTTGGCGAGGCGCTTCTTCGAGCGACTGCTGGGAGGCTTTTTCCAGCGGCGCATTGGCCGGTGGTGACGAGGGCTCCTGCGTCGAGGCGTCATTTGCATTTTCGACAAGCGGCACATGCGTCTCCTTTACCGCAGTCACCGCCCTCCTTAGCCGCGGCACGGGCACCGTACCCTTCTCTCTGCGGCCATCCTCAACACCGACCCGCTCCGCGACCACCGTGCGCCACTTTCGGATCTCCTTGATGCCCTCGCCAAACTGCTCCATGCCGTACACCATCTGCATTTCCCTGCCCAGCTTGCCGCTGCGCGCCATGTCGAATTCCTTAGTAACCTGGTCCAGTAGCGCGAGCGTATCAGCGTTAAACTCGATCGCGCCGTTGTGCATTTCTGTCAGGAGCGACACGAGCAGCGGGTACGACGACTGCTGCAGCCACGCGGTGCGCAGAAGTAGAGTGTACAGCGCTGTTGTTGCGCCGAGGGCGTAGGAAGAGCGGCCAAGGCTCTTGATCGTGGACAGAATGGAGAGAGGCAGCGGCGAGGCAGGGAAGTGCGTGCGTAGGAGTGTTAGCGCGGTGAGCAGGTGGTGTGGGTAGTTGGCGAAGAGAATCTTGGAGTTGGGCGTAGGCGCTGCGTTTCGAACGCGGGTATTCCGTTTTGACTTTGGCTTGGGCGCGGTGCCGTCCAGGTCCAACTGACGGACTTGGTCAAAGACCTCGCGCTGGAGTGTTGACCAAAGTTCGCGGTCGGATGTAGCGGAATTGAGAAGGTCATCGATGCGACTTCGCTCGTGCATGCGTGCCTTCTGAAACTCCAGTGTGCTTATCTCTTCCTTTTTCTTCGTTCGTGACTCTCGAGTTGCCATCGCATGGGGGAGGGTCCCTTTGAGCACGTGCTCTGCCATGGTCTGGAGATCGTGTCTGGGCTTTTTACTTCGTAACTGCTCTGTGCCTGATCTGTTCCACTCCCTTGAAGCGGCAGCACCCTTCTTCAGCGCCTCGTCGAAGATTTTATCCAGACTCGCTGCGGCATTTTCGTCTTCGTCAGGCTCCCAGTACTCGTCGGCAATCGCATCAATCTCCACTTCGTGATCCTTCTCCTCCTTAGCATTGCCTCGCGTGTTGAACTTTCTGTAGAGCTTCTCGAATGCAGCGCGCTCGGAGCCGGTGATGGTGGTTCTGCGTGACGACTCGAGGTCGTCTAGAGCTGGTGGCAGGTCATCTTTATTCTCGAACGGAACCTCTTCGGCGAGTCGCTCAGTCTTGCGACTGTAGCGCGAGATGCTGCGGCGCGCAACGGGCTGGGTGGCGGGCTTGCATTGCTGGATCGTGGATGTCTGGTACAGAAATGGCAGGAGCGTCTTGTTCGGAGGCACGCGAGACCGAGAGATTGCTCGAAGGGCACTAGAGCATGCAGACATGGGCAAAAGGAGACGCCGTACAATGCAGGAGGCGGTAGCAGTAACGGCGACAGGCGTCAAGGAAAGTAATGCCTGTGCCAAAACTTTGGGACAGACGCGTTAGACTGGTTCGATAGAGTCTAAGCGCGACTTACTCGATGAGGCAACTTTCGAACGACCATCGAAGGCGGGTCAGCATTACCGCATGGTCTGTGTGTAGACCATCGTTAGTCGCATAAACCCTGGCCACGGTCTGTCTGTCTGCATAGTTTCGAGGCGCGAGACAATGATGAAGCAAGTACAGTAAGTTCATTTGTGAAGACTATGTACCGAGGTAAAGACGTCCAGAGTCAGAATGAACAACTTCCAACCATTACTATGCCCAACCTTGGAGACTGCACGGCAAAAATCACAAAACAACGCTAAAGACAGAAGCTATGTAAGGATCAAACAGAAGTACAAACGCCCGCTGTCATCGATTTGGTATATCCCAAGGCCTGAAAGCCAGTGGCGCAATGCTAATCGTCAAGCAGAAAATCATCATGCAAATGCTGAATGGTTGCATTGATGCAAACATAATGCCGTCTCGGGTATCCGAAATACGAGTAGATCATGTCTACCCAGGGTATCATCGAAAGGTGTCTTCTCCTTCGGCGAGATCAAATGCGAAACGAGGTGTTGTGTGGTATTGAACCAAGTTGGAGATGTATATCGGAGCGTTAGATCAGAAAGGTTCGTTAGTTGTTCCGTGGCCGTAACTTCGTATGTGAGATGGATGATTGGAGAGGAGATGTTGACTGGAGAATGCTTCAAGATCGGTTTTCAACGGCTTGGTGCTCACCAGTCGCGACAGCTACAAGTGCATCCAGTCTTCTCATGTCATTGACACCTTGTGGAGGCAGAGGTTGACCAAACATCGGGGGCCCTCTCTCTGGCTCGCGTTGGGGTCGATAGCTTGAGCTTGAGCTTGAGTTAGAGAGGGTGTGTCTGTGGTAAGATTGATGGCCGCTGTGGAGCGGGTGTGGTCTGTCCATGATCGAAGCTGCAAGCTTGTAGTCCTCCATGTGAGCGCCTGGAGGGTGTGCCTCGACGAAACCATTGCTATGAACAATTGCAGGGTGGTATTCGCTCATGGTAGTGTTGCCTGGAGTAGGGATACCTTCACTGCTGCTCGAGTCCTCTGGAGACGTACGCTGCATAGCTCGCACCGGCTGGGTGACAGGTTGACTGACGGGACCATTATACCAGGCCTGCCTTTTGTTCTTACGAGGTGTGGCAGGCACTTCCTGAGAGCTACGTGCTGAATCAGCGGGGTGGATCTGCAGGGGCTGGGGTACATGAATCGGCTGGTGATGATTGAAGTAGCCATGCGGTGCAGTCATAGGTCGCGGTGCAGCTGGCTGTGCGTTGGGAGAATACTGCGACCAGGATTCACGCGGGGAGGCTGAACCAGTAATGTCTAAGCGATTGATGCCCCTTTGCATAGTATCCTCCCAGGAGACACTCATGCGTTTTCTGTGGCCAACGCCTGGCAGAGGCTCAATCGGTGCCTGGAACGTAAGGGGCCGCTGCAGTGCGTCTGTGTGCGGGGGGCCTTGCAGAGGGCGTGATAGTGCTGGTGGAGGAGGCGCATAGTCAAAACTCTCGATACCGGGAAGCCTGGTCTGAGAGGCAGCAGGTTGTGATGTGTATGATGGTCGGTCCGCATCGGGTGTCTGATGGTAGCCGAGTCCACTCGTAGCTGGCCGAGGTCCAGTGTATGTTCCCGGATGCCACGTTCGTCTTCTCCAGTCTGCATCTGCGTTTGATTCCCTTCTCTGGCCCGGGAAATTCGAAACGACAGGACTTGCGTATACGCTGCTTTGAGTAGAGAAAGTGGAGGCGGCTGACGAGGGAAGGGGAGACATGTGCGGTGGAGGCGCTTGACCAGGTGGTCCTGAAAAGGGATTGCTGTTAGACAAGCGACGTCCGGGTGGTGGGCCTGCCCAAGAGACTGGCCTGGAGGACGTGGATGCCGGTGATTGCATTGCCGAACCGAACTGCGCAGGGCTGCCTGCGATCCCAGAGTAGGTGGCGGACGTAGGTGTTGTAGGGGCGTTGGATTGCGAATCGTAGTCGACGATTTGAGGGCCCGGGCTACCCATCAGCGGCGGATTATAAGCTTCCATGGTTTGAAGTGATAATCGAGCTCTCGCGGAATCATCGCTAGCCATGGCAAGCGGGGGAGGTCGGCGCCTAGCATCTGGGGATTGTGTCACGCTCATGGCCGAGATAGTCGATGTGATACTCGAAGTGGAGAGGTTCCTGCTATGACCTCTGCTGTGTCCGCCCATACTCCCAAGCGTGTTTGCTCGGGAGCGAGGGCCGGGAGGCCTGACCCGGTCCGTCCGAATCTGTCTCTGAAACCTTGTGCCGGTCGCAGCAAGGGACTCGGCAGGAATATCCTCGTTTACGTGGACAGTCTGAGCGTGTTGTCGAAGGTTGTCGAGTCGCGAGAAGCGTCGCGAGCAGTGACATTGGAATGGCCGTTCACCGGTATGTTTCCTACGGTCGTTAGCACTGGAGCTCAAGTGTTCGCTTCCAGACGTACCGGATATGCCTGGCCAGATGCTCGCTTCGCGTGAAGCTCAGATTGCATGGCGGGAACTCGGTGCAGAAGAAACGCTGGCCCTTTTTCTTCTTGGACGGTCTGCCGTTCTCGCTGGTCACGCTTTCGTTGTCCGACCCGTCTTTGTCGTCGTCCTCGTCGCCCATGTGCACGTCTTCTGTTGTGTCGACCGAGGCGTGCGACTGCCCTCTGCTCAGGTTGCTCTTGGTCGAGGGCGTCTCGCTCAGTTCGCGCGCGGGCTCGAAGGGCTCGGAGGGCAAGGGCCGCTGGCCGGCAATGCCGACGAAGCTGTTGCGGGTCGGGGTTTTGAGCGAAGGGTCCTCTGCTTTGGCGTCGTCGGCGGTCCTCAGGTCCTTCTGGAAGCGGGCATCGGGCCGAGGGGTGGTGGGGTTCGTCTCTTCGCCAGAGCGTGCCGGCAGCGGGTCACGCACGGTCAGGGTGGTGTTGACGGCGTGGAAGGCCGACATGCTGGGCTGGTCGGCGGTGGGGTGGCGGGAGGCAGGTGCGGCGGTGGTTCGCGGGAGCAGTCACGGCAAGGGTGCGGTCGACGGCGGTTCAGCGTGCCTGACACGGGGGCAGGCGGGCTGAAACGGGTGTGATGACGAATGGAGAGCCGTGTCGGGGCCACATCCGGACGCAGGGCGCGACGGAGAGGCTGCGCACGGCGGGCAGCAGGCGGACAGCAGGCGGGCAGCAGTCGAGCAGCAGCAGGGCGACGGAAGGCCGGAGTTTGGCGTGCGCGATCAGGCGGGCGGCGAGCGCGGACTCGACGCACGCAGCGCAGCACGCAGCACGCAGCACGCAGCACAGCACGCAGCAGGCAGGCGGAGCGCGAGGGCGGGTGGGTGTGGACAGGGCGGGCGTGGTGGAATGCGGCTCTGGGTCGCAGAGGGCTAGCACGGCGGGTGAGGCCAAAGACAGTGTCGTGCAGGAGGCGGGACGGCCACGGCGAGACGACGAAAACACCAAGGGCCGCCGAATTGTTCGCTGGAGGGGTTGGTGAGGCACGGACAGGCAGGCGGGCTAGCGGCCTTGTCGCGCCCTGGAGCTGGGCTGGGCTGGCGACGGGGTTTGGAGGCGGATCCACAAGCACCGCTGCCTGCACCCGAGAACAGCTTGGTGAGCGGTGGATCTGCACGAGCGCCGTCGGGCGCAGACGTGGCTTGGCTGCAGCTGCGCTGGTGCGCTGCTCTGGCGCTGCTCTGGCGCTGCTCTGGGGCGCTGCTCTGGTGTGTTTGGTAAGCTGCGCGCTCGCCGCCCTGGACGCAAGCGGCCACGCCCGGGACGTCGCAGGACGCGCTGTGGGCGGGGCAGACGAGCAGGCGAGGAGGCGCTGCCAGAGCCAGAGCTACAGCCAGAGCCGGCCAGTGCCAGCCAGAGCTGCCAGTGCCTGCCAGTGCCCGCCAGTGCCTGCCAGTGCCCGCCAGTGCCCGTGCAGCCAGTGCCGAGGCGTCGCCGGCCTGCCCTTGCTGCCCTGCCTCTGCGGCCCTGCCTGCCCTGGCCGCCCTCGTCTCGTCTTGTGCAGCAGTGCAGCAATGCAGACGGCCAGGCAGCGCCGGCGACGGCAGCCAGCTCGGCAGTGATGACGAAACCACAGCTGCCCTTGGGGCGGGCTGCCGCGTTTCACATGCACCGTCAGGCGCTTGCGACGACCGTCTCGCCTGCCCGCTGCGTCCCAACAGGCCCGCTCGTCTGAGGAGAGCCGTCCAGCGTAAGCACGTCGCAGCGACGCAGCCTGCTGCCACTCGAGCTGCGCCGTGCTGCGGCCTGCTGCGAGCATGGCGTGGATCGCCCGAGCGACGCTGACGGCGCCCCGAGCCAGCCATTGGCCGTCCAGCCCGCCTGCTGCAAGCTACACGCGCCGCTGCAAGGGGGCGCTCGAGTCCATCCCCACACGCCCAGTTGTACCTTTGTACCTTGCCGAAGCGAACGCTAGCAGCCGTGGTAGAGCCGGCCGTGCCCACGAAATCCCCGTTCGCGCGGCGAGACCAGCGTCGACTGCCGCAGCCTGAGACCTGCGTCCGTCGCGCGCTCGGCTTGTGGCCTTGCACACGCCAGCCGGGTGTCGTCAGTCGCCAGCCGCCAGTCGCCAGTCGGCACCGACCTGCCGCTGCTGCCCGTGCGCGCCCTCGTCGACGACGCGAGCCTCGACACCGAACGCCAGATCGGGACGAGCCAAACGTTCCTGACAGTCGAATCGGTGGAACGCTACCACGAGCTAGCCTGGCCTCTGCTAACTCCTCCCTGCTAACTCCTCCCGCGGTCATCTGATGGCCGTCTTTGATGCGCATCCAGGGCCATCGTGGCCACCCACACCTCCGTCCACCAACAAGGTTTGCAGAGTACCACCATGATACACGCATGCTCTCGCCTCGTCGTCCGTATCCCATATCGCCGTGCCCTGTGCAGTGACCTCGATAGTGCTTGTCTCGTGATGTTTGACGTGCCATGTATCGCTGCTGTTGCTGCTGCTCTGCAGTACGCAAGGAAAGCCAGCCGGCAGCGCACATGAAACACTCAGTGGATATGCACGCCACCAGCTCATGCAACCTCGCGCTAGCTAGCGAAACAAAAGCAGCGGTCAGCCGCCATCACATGAGCCTGTGGCGCCCATGGCTGCATGCTTGCATGGTGTTGACTTTGCTGATAGAGGCGGGCCTGAATCTTAGCGGCACAGCTCCGCATGGCCTTTCAAACGTCGAGTCGGAACCTGGTAGTTTGAAGTGTAATAAATCGTACACACGTTCAATCAAACTCAGCTTCCGTGTTTCGTTCATCTCTATTCGTCACTATTCTCTAGCCGTCACCACCGAAGGACGACCCACACGAGGTAGTCTCGGTCTTGCTCCCAATGTCTTTGTCCTAGCAAAAGAGAAGAGTTACTGCTCCAGATTCCTCCAGCCCTGCCGGCGAGGGGGCGTCTTCGAGCTCAAAAAGAAAGCGCTGAATGAGAGTCGAACTCATGACTTCGGGATTTACTGCGCGAAGCTGCAATCCTACACTCTACCACTGAGTTACCGGCGCCTTTTCGTTTATTTGATGAAAAGAATGATGCAAAAAGATTATATATTGACGGAGTTACGAAGGAAAAGGTGTCTGGGAGTGGGAGTGGCCAGAAACCAACACCAGCCGGAACGGCGGTGTAGTTGTTGGCCCGAGCGTAGAAGGTGACCAGGGGATTGCAACGTCAAATTCTTGGGTCGGGGGGGCGTCTATTGCTCGAGTTACCCGCGGCACAAGATTTTGATAGACCTGTCCTGACCAACACCATAACAACGCTTTGCACAGCAGATGGTCCGAGCGGGGATATACAACTGGACTTATCCGGATCATAGAGTCCTTGTATGCACACGTGCGATTGGACTTAAGCCGGACTTTTAATACATATATAAAAACATGTGTCAGAGTAGGTTAGTAAACCAATGAATAATAATTATAGTTTAGTCCAAAGAGACGCAGCACGAAGGGAAGCAGCAGGAGCTGTAATTCGAAAGAAGTAGCGGCGATGGTTCAATCCGACTTGGAACCTGGGAAGCTCCAAGAGTAGGTAAGACAGTATATGGTGCACCCGGCATGTCCTAGTAGCCACTCGGCAAAACGGTATCAGACAAGAAAGTAACAATCTGATCAAACTTTTTCTGCATGCGAGAGAATAGTTCTATTCTGTCATACTTGTGCGGCTTGTTGGCTGCGATAGAATTGACCTGGATTCTTCGAAGGTGAGAAGAGGTGAGTTTGGGTGCTGACAGCGGCAGTCATCCTATCATATATCGGCCTATTTCGAATCTAGCACCGCACATGAAAGGTTTGTTTCAAAATCTAAAGCATGTACTACTTTTCTTGCTGTATGTTCCGAGCCAGAAAAATTTGGTGTATACTGTACACATCACCAGTTCGTTGAAGTGCATTTACGGCTCCGATAGGCCGGCGCGCTAGTGCGCACGGCCACGAAACATCGGATCCGTGTTCCAACTTCCAACACCCTACAATCTACCTGCGACTTACAAATTTTGTGCGTGACTTCTGTTGTTAAGAACAGTAACGAGAAGTACTAGGCTACTGTAGCTGGTACGAATATTTCTGCACGATACCAACATATGACATTAGAATCGTGACTTGTTCTGCTCCTGTTTTCGTCGTGCATTAGGTCAGGTAAGATAAAAAATCCAAGCATTTAAGGTTTTAAGAATCTTGAGCACATTGTAGGGTCCAACTCAACTTTATTACATTTAACAGGCTGCACAAGGACAATCGAGTGACTCCATCTAGACACAAAGAAAAAGGCAAGGGCGAGAGATGCAACAAGAGGTGAATAACTCGATCGTCTGAGCTTTTTCGCGTCACCTTTCGACAATTTTGGCAGATGCCATCATGGCCTCACATGGTGCCTTCTACAGCTCAATCCAACGTCTTCCACAGGTCAATTCTACCCACCCGAGAAGTCAGAAGTCACATCACGTGTACAGACAATTGAATACGGTTTATATATTTGAGCTCATAAGCTCGCGCTGCAAGACGAATGAATGTGGTTTCAATATGGCCCCTATCTCGGACCACTTACGTAGGCCACCGGCCTCAGCAGTCCGGACGACATCATGGAAAGGCAAGCTTCCGAGGGATCGCGTCTGTTGACATATCGACACGCATCGTAGGCTTCATGCCACTTGCGGCATTTCCCGAGCATCGCAGATAGCTTTCGGCTCAGGGACAAGGCAGGTGGGCTCCGAGCACTCGCTTATCCCGCAATACAGAGTGATGAACTTTTCCTCTATAATCAGATACAAGAGCAAACGCTGATACGAAAACACGATGAACATACCCTTCAACCAGGCTGCCATGTCCTGGCAAATGAGCAAAACTATGTTGCAGTGAAACTTGGCGGAATAATAACATAGACATTTGGGCGAGGTCTTGCTCTCAGCCATGCCAGTCCTGGGATTCGTCTGCGCGAGTGGACGGCCACCGAAGCAGGTATCGTCCGGTTACTTCGAGTTCGTACTCCAGATTCCGTCTTCCCATGACCTTGGAAGGAGTTTGGATAGGTCTGTCGAAGCAAACTCAAGACTGTCACTGAGCTGATGGTAAACTTCACGTCACTCAAACTGCTTTGGTAAAGTTTTTGCTCATCTGATCGAGATCCTACATTCTGTATGTAGCATGGAATTTCGAAGGTAAGCTGCCCGATAACAGGCCAGTGAACAACAGCCGACCCACTCATACTACTGAACGTAGAGGACCTGCAGGATGTTGCTTACACGAACATCAAAACCATGAAGGATGTCAAGCCATATGCGCATTCGTGCAGTTATCGATCTCTGCACGGTCTTACTGTAGATCAGCACATCAGTCGAGCACCAGCCGTGCCCTCCAATCGTGAAGTCATCATGTCTGTTCATTGATGCCGTTCATCGTGATTCGTCTATGCTAGGCTGCAAGCAACGCCCCCATGTAGTGTACAGTGCCATGCACGTGTTTTCTGCTTCCCCGTCCGACCACCCACTGTTAGACGATCATCTCCAGCTCTCGGGCGTATCCCAATGTGTTCTCGATGACCTGGTCACTTGTGACTAGAATGTCCTTGCTCTGGTAGTCGTCCTCCTGCTGGGGGAAGTATATCCGGCCATCCTTGACGACCCAGCCGGACTCGCGCGCGAAGCTGACAACGCTGCCTTCCGAATCGAGAAATAGCAGGGATTTGGCATCGGAGATGGGGATTGAGGGGTATGCGCGCTCGCTGCAGGAGGCGATCTCCTTGCGAATTGTGCCGATGAGGATCTGGGGATATTAGCAGTCGCTCTGGAGGACTATCCGCAGCGTCAGTGCTAGGACTCACCTCTGAGAACATGCCGAACTCGTCACTCGGCACCCTCTCGCCCTTTGTCTCACCCCACACCCTGTCGTAGCTGCCTTCCATAAGTGCCTGCTCTAGCCTTATCGGATACTGGATGAACTGATCGTCCTCGAGGCCCTTGCCCTCCTGTGCCGCTGCCACCTCCAATGTCTCGAGCAATGTGTGAAATCCCGCGTAGTCGCCCTCACTCAGCAGCAACAGGAGATAGAGCCCTGTGACCTTGCTAGCCTGGCTTCCGTCTTTTGGCAGAGTGGAAGCTGGCAGCGCGTAAAAGGGCTGCAGCTGCTGGAAGTAGCGCGTGAAAGAGACGGTGTCCTTCAGGCGGATGGAGATGATGGCGCCAAGCTCGAGCGTTTCGCGAGCAGCTTGGAGTTGCTTCTTCGGGGTCTTTTCCTGCGGGATCAGGGCGTTGAGCTGGAGAAGTGCCATCTTCGCTTTGGACAGCAGTGCTGTGGCTTGCTGATAGTTGCGCGACTGGAGCGTCTGGTGGAGGTGCTGAAGAGCAGAGTGTAGTTCTTTCTCGGCCATGATGACGGACGTTATCTGTATTTGTGCGAAGGGCGATAGAGGGCTTGTAGTTGCGTGGATGGGCGATGTAGCGTGCAGTGAGCTTAGAGGTGTAGTGATTGTTGCCGCTGGCGGGCGGTGGAAGCTCGGGCACGGCGGAGGTCGACTGCCAAGACCCGATGATGCACTGGAGACCTCCGCATGGGCATACGACGTGCTGTATCCTTCAAACATGCGGTTTCGAATATATGCCATAATTGCTGTGGTGTAAGGACTGATTTCAAGGAAATTACAAGCAACAAGCTCTAGATATGATGATCAAGGCCATGTCCGTTGCTCCCCCCATTGGTGCGGATGACCTGCATGGTCACACTGTCTCACTCGAAGGACGATCAGGCAACGAGCAGCATCATAACTTTCTTCATGGGGCTGATAAGGATGATCTGTCCATAGAATAGATAACCTCATTCATCTCCTACCATATCTTCCTTTTGGGTTTCCGCCATTCCCGCCCTTGCCCTTGATCTTCAATCGTTGGTAGTTTGCATGAGCAGTAGCTGCGATCTTCCTTTTCACTTTTTCAACCACACCTTCCTGCTTCTCAGTCGGCTTGACCACTTTGTTTGCAGGCACTTTGCGCTTCCTCTCTGAGTGTGAGACATCGCTCGCATAGTCTGAATCACACTCAGCAGACTCCAAATCTGCTTGCCCCCCTGTTTCTGGTATCGTGTTTGGCTCAGTGCCAGAGTCTTCGTCGTGTTGAAATTCCGGGATGGGTTTCGGCTTCGCACCATTGGGCCGCACTGTCAAAATCAGTAAAGGTGATCCAAGATCAATACGCCTAACTCACGATTTGTGCGTCGCGTCTGCCGCTTTAGACCCTTCTTCTTCCATACTCTCCTCGGCTTGCCATCAGGTCCGGCTTCTTCTTCGACTTCCTCCTCAGACTCAGACCCGCGGTCGGGGCCCAGGGGCATCTCTGCCTGGCTATCCGCAACTTGCACGTGTGCTACTCTTGGTCTGCCTGGGGCTGGCAACACCTCTTCTTCCATCTCCAACTCACGCATGATATCCGCCTCTTCATCCAACCTGTCGTCCTCGTCTTTCCGCATGCTTTGTATCATAGCGCTGAGGCTTCTTACCATACCTCTCCTCTTCCACGGCGCTGGTGCCACACGCGGCGTGATCTCATCCGCTTCCTCAATCCTGTCTAGCGCATTATCTCTTCTCAGAAACGCTGGTGTAGCCAGGCCCTTCAACGCAGAAGTCGGTGTACCCTCTTCATCAAGGCTTCTCTTCTTTGGTGTAACGAACTGGTTGAAGAGGTTCCTCTTGGTGATGGACAGCGGCGTTCGATCCCCTCTTATCCTCGATGCCGATGATGTCTCGCTTGCGACTTCTTCTGTGTCCTTCTTGGTAGGCGTCTGGAAGAGGTTTGGTTCGATTTCGCCGAAAATGATTCGACGCTTGCTTGGTGTTTCTGCGGATAGACTGTCGAAGAGCCCCAAAACTATGCCATCTCGTTGTGGGGTAGGTCCAATGAATGCGGGACCCTGTGGCGAAAGGTACTCAGACACTGCTCCCACCTCCTCCGCATGCACGGTTTCTTCCCTCTTGCGCTTTAGGGGTGTAAGGAGTGGTGCTTTGGGAGTTTGGGCGACGTCAACCGCCTGCTTACGGCTCGCTGTTCGTTTCGACGGCGTCCGAGGGGCTGATTTCGTAGCCGGCTGCGCTCTTAACTTATTGTATTCTTTGTACTTCTGTGCTGACGCTAGTCAGTACATGCCGGAAGACAGAGGATGTGCCTGCATACAAATTACAACGTCGGCCTTGATGTCCTCGCGCCCAGCTCTGCTGCCATTATGTTGCGAGGCAAACTGTTTCTCCCAGGCCTTGAGGTCATTTCGTAGTGCGTTGCAGCGCTGCTCAATATCTGTTATGCTCATCGCGTGTTGTGTGGTGTCAACGTGGTTGATGACGATGTGGAGCCCAACTTGAAGATCGCGGGACGGACGCGTCGAGCACGCGCACGCGAGAGACTAACAGGGGTCTCAGCCCTACCACGCGCAAACCACTTTAACAAGGTTGCATATATTAACTCTTCAACGATTGCATTTCTTCTTTAACAAGCATTGCATCAGATATATTACAGGGTACTATTCACAACTCCCCGCTCGAGAGCTCGATAATTCATGCCGCTGATGCTGAAAGAAAACCCCATACCTTGAAACCGGGAATCTAGTAGTGGACGGCCTTGTCGTAGGTGGCCATAGCAGCCTCCTTGAACGCCTCAGCAAGCGTAGGGTGAGCGTGACATGTTCGTGCAACATCCTCTGAGCTAGCGCCATACTCGAGAGCAAGGGTGCCCTCGGCAATCATCTCACCAGCGTTGGGGCCGATGATGTGAATGCCCAATATCCTGTCAGTCTGGGCGTCCGCAAGGATCTTGACCATACCATCAGCGTCGATGTTAGTCTTCGCACGCGAGTTGGCGGAGAAGGGGAAGCTTCCGATGTTGTACTTAACGCCGGCCTCCTTGAGCTCCTGCTCGTTCTGACCGACCCAGGCAACTTCGGGGTGAGTGTACATGACCGACGGAATGGCGCCGTAGTTGACGTGGCCATGGCCCTTGGTGATGTACTCGATGACAGCGACAGCCTCCTCCTCGGCCTTGTGGGCAAGCATAGGACCGAAGGTAACGTCACCGATGGCACGGATGTGAGGAATCTTGGTGCGGTACTCCTGGTCGATAATCAGGCGGCCGCGGTCGTCGGTCTCAAGACCGACGTTGTCAAGACCAAGGCCAGCAGTGTAAGGACGACGACCGATAGCGACGAGGACGACGTCAGCATCAAGCTGTGACATGTTAGTGTCGATTGCAGGGTAGAACGCGGTTCTCGACTTACAGACTCAGGCTTGCCACCCTTGGCGGCCTCAACGTTGACCTTGATGCCCTGCGCGGAAACCTCGCCAGCGGTGACCTTGGTGTTGAGCTTGAAGTTCAAGCCCTGCTTCTTGAGCAGTTTCTGAGCATTCTTGGCGATCTCGTTGTCCATACCGGGGCCACCAATCTGGCCCAAGAACTCAACAACAGTGACTTCAGAGCCGAGACGCGACCAGACAGAGGCCTGTATTGTTGTCAGCAGAACTCTGATTATGTTCGCAGTTCGCCTACCATCTCAAGACCGATGATACCGCCACCAATGACGACCATCTTCTTGGGGACCTCCTGGAGCGCGATAGCGCCAGTGGAGGTAATGACCCTCTGCTCATCGATAGTAAGGCCGGGGAAAGGTGTGGCCTCAGAACCAGTGGCAATGAGGACGTTCTTGGCGCGGACTTGAGTCTCGCCACCATCAACAAGGTTGACGGCGATGGTGTGCTCGTCCTGGAACGCGCCAGTGCCCTTGATGTACTCGACGTTGTTCTTCTTGAAAAGAAACTCAATACCCTTGGTCAGACCAGAGACCGAGGTCTCCTTCGCCTTCATCATAGCGGGGAGGTTGAGCTTGACATCGCCGACCTCAATACCGCGGCCCTTGGTGTCGTGGAGGATCTGGTGGTAAAGGTGCGAGTTGTTCAGGAGGGACTTGGAGGGAATGCAGCCGACGTTCAAGCAGGTTCCTCCGAGGGAGCCGCGCTTCTCGACGCAGGCGACCTGTGCTTGTGTTAGCTGCTGCCTGTGATGTGCTTGCAGCGGTGCTCCGCACCTTCAGGCCGGCCTGTCCAGCCTTGATAGCTGCGACATAGCCCGCGACACCGCCACCAACGATGACCAGATCCTTCTCCTCTGTCCGGCAGTCAGCGCATGCTCCCACTTGTTGCCATTGATCTCCACGGAGCTTGGCGTACCAGCTTCCGACGCAAAGCCTCGTCGTAACCTGTTCTGGAAGTAGATGTTGGATGCGCAGAATGTGCTGTTCGAGACGGGCCGTGTCACCCTCTGCACGGCGCGGGGAGCCAGAGACCGGAACATTGTGAGATGGGCGGACGGAACTGTAATCCAGAAGAAGCTGCGGTGGCACAGCTGCGATGACGGACGTCAATGGAAGGGTGGTGGAACTGGAGGTTGTTGAACTCGTCTCGTTTTGTGGAGACGAACTCGGCCGGGAAAGCTGCGGCGGTTGGCGTCGGTGTGGCGCTATTGGTCAGCCTTAAGCCTCGCAAGAAGCATGGCGAAGATCACACGGAAGATACGGAAGAATTGCATCGAACTGGTCGGTTATTCAAAATGGTATCTAGTCTTCTTCTAATGTTGTTGTGGCCAAAATCCTGTTCAACACGCTGATGGCAGCTTTGCACCCCCACTTGACCGTCTCTTTCTCTGACTTCTCAACGATGTTTGTCTTACTGACGACCTTCTTCAGGAAGAATTGCAACCCTGCCACCATCTCAGGTGCTTGATCTACTTCAACGAATGTCTGCAAAAGAGCTGTTTCCTTCTTGTCGCCATTTGCGCCCTTCTGCGTCTCGAGAATCGCCGTGACCAGCATAATCTCCACGAACGTCTTGGTCTTTGGCTGCAGATACGGGAAGTTGAGGTTTTTGAGGCAGGTGATGGACATCACCCGTTTTGCGACCAGTGTACCATAGAGCTTGCCTTGATTGACGAGCTTCCGCAATGACACACCGTTACTGTTGTCCGTCTCGTCGTCCGACTCTGCGCCACCGTCCTGGTTCTCTCCAAGACTCTTGAAAATGTCCCAGAGTGCAAACTGAAAGCTCTTCCGTGTTTTGTGGTCCGAACATACCTTTCGTGCCAGTATGGTATAATAGGGGTTATATGTCTTCTCTGCCCCGGCACAGTGGATGATAACCTTCGGTATCTCGATTTCTTGTGCTTTCTTGAGGTTCAGCTTATTCAAGCGTATCTGCGCATCCTTGAAATCGGTTGCAGACATAATGGAGACGTAGATAGCTCGGCGCACGTCGGTGTTCATACGCTGCTCTCGGGCAAGCTGGACAAGGTCGACTTCGCCATCTTCATCCTCTTCCTCTTCGGTCTTGGCTTGTTCGCTATTCGGCCTCTTATCTTGATCTATAGACACATCGTTCTGGGCCTGGTTACGCCAACTAGCACCCACTAGCCACCACTTGCCCACTTTGTCTGTATCTCTGATGTCCTTCAAGCCGACCCGTAACGGCTCAGTCGCTTTGAGATTCCTCGCGTTCAGTGTGCCCAGCTGCTTCTTCATCTGGGTTGTACGTTCTCTGGTGATGGAAGCGCCGGCAATGCCCGTCTTCATCTTGTTGTTCTTGAGATCATTGATGGTCTCGATCATGAACTTAGTTCGGACCGGCAGGTTTTGTTGGCCCACGCTCGCTACAGACTTTTGTAGCAGGACTACAATGTCCTTGAGTGCAGTCGGGTCGTCTTGTCGTAATTGCGGGCCTGCCGCGCGAACGATCCTCAGAAGAAGCTCTGTGTTTATCTCAGAAAGCTCATTCAGGAAGAACCGGATGTAGTCAAAGACAATGTTGCTGCCGATGACTTGGAATGTGTAAAGCTCAGACACCACAGACATGAGGTTTGTGGTGTGTTTCCCGACGCCATTTTTGTTTGGCTGATAATGCTTGTCGAACTCGGCGACGATGCGCTCCACAATTTGAGCACCGAAGTCTGGCCCAATGACCTTGTAGACCGCTGCGATGAAACCGGCATGCAGGATTATGAAAGACTCCAGAAGTGCTGATGGATCCGAAAGCATGTCAATCAACAGATCGATCAGTGTTGTGTTGACATAACCGCGGGGGTTTGTTGCATAAATCTTCTCAATATCTTTAAGGATTGTAAGGATGTTAGCCTCCGACAACCGATTGATGAGACCCTGGACCTGGCGCTTGAGGCGTAATAGCGCTTCAACATCAGATGAAGGTGGTCCTCGCAAGGCCGGTGGAATGTATTTCGTGGTTGGTGCAGCGTTTGCACCTACTGGCGCAACGTATGGATTTTCTCGTATTCGCGGCGCTGGTTCTTCGTCCTCCTCATCCTCCGATAGTTCATCTTCAGAGAATGGGTTTTCGATATTGCCCTCGTCGTCTTCCGTTTCGCTATTCGCGTCGTCGTGATCTTCGCCGTCGTCGCTGAGCATGTCCTCGGAGTCAACATCGTCGTCCTCAGAGAAGGGGTTCTCTATCTCATCCTCCTCCTCGTCGTCCGATTCCGACATTGGCGCAGCAACGGTTCCCAACGCCTTTTGTCTCTTACTGGCCAACCAGTCATCGTCTTCGGTCCGCTTTCTCTTGGAAGCAGGATTCTCGGGCATATCCTCGTCGCTGAATTCTCCTAGATCGCCGAAAATATCGTCAAGTCCATCATCTCCGCCTGAGGTCGATTTCTTCTTCTTTCCCAGCTTCTTTTCCAGGGCGCGGATCTCCTTATCATCTTCGTCGAGTCGCTCCTGGACGGCACGAGATACCTTGGCAGGTGCAGACGTCGTTTCCTCTTCAGATTGCGCCTTCTTCTTGAGTATGCTCTTCGGTGCTGCCTTCTCCTTCACTGGTGCTGTGTCGTCATCGCTCTCCTCCCAATCCACCTCAGACTCCTCATCATGCCGCACTGGCGCACCTCGCTTCGTGCTTTGTACATGTGCTACAGGGGGCGGCGGCGGTCTTGTTGGTTGTGTTCGTTGCGACTTTTTCTGCTCTCGTTCGGCTTTGCGCCGGTCCTTGCGATTCACCTGTCCGTTGCGCCCGCCACTGCTCTTACCTCGATTCGCAGGATCTGTTCATGTCAGTCGTGCAAAAAGGCTGTGAGCCATGCGACACATACCTCCAAACTGGTTACGTAGATCTGCAGGCAGCTTGGGCCCTCCGTACTGTTGGCGCATATTGTCAACGTCTCGAGGGTTACCACACAAAAAGTTCAAAAGGTGAGCCGCAGACGGCGCTAGCAGTAAGTTAGCCTCCCCCGCGGCATCACTCGCACTCCACCATGGGGTGGATATAGCACAACACACATACAACATGGGGCGGGAACACCTCAGTAACGACGAGGTTGGTGCAATTTTGAGTGCCCGTCTTAGTGCATACTGACGTTCCACAGTTCTTTACTCAACTTGCCAACCTTTTCGAGCACAACCGCACCAAAGGCCACGGCAGCGTCTACCTCACACAAAAACGCCTGACTTTCGACTCAGCATTGACACCGGCCACACCCACAAAAGTTGCCGATGATCCATTATGGGACACGCATCCGGAAGCTCCTCTACCCGTCTTGATCCGCGCATCCAACAACAAGAGCGACAAGAAGGCTGGGACCGATAGGCAAGATGTTGCGAAGATCGCGCTGAGCACGATTGTCAACCCAGGTGACATTGACACTTTCTACACACGGTACGCAGAGACGTGCAAAGCGGGCATGTCGTCATTGAAGAAGAGGGATAGGAAGAAGGGCAAGAAGGACAAGAAGAAGAAGAAGGTAGTGACGTAGAGAAACTCCGGGACGCAGCAAGGAGGTCAAAAAGTTGATCTATACAATGGACGTGAAGAGCGCGATACGTGCATGACAGCACGCGCCAGAAGCAACTCGCAACAATTCAACAGCGACAGCACCACATTTGTGTAGAGGCAGACAGAGAGCGCTCACGCGACTAACCAAGTCTTGTGCGAGCAACCAACTCACACCATCATCTGGTGCAGTCATGAACACGCGTTTCGGTACAGCCATATACCCACAATAACATACTGTTAAGACACGACACATTGTACATTACTCTAGTGCTTCATTGTGTTCCCCTCTTCTTAAACAACCTCAGGTTTAAAGGCAGTGCCTGACCCATCCAGGTCGCTCTCTGTGTGTGATCTCTCTCCTCCTCACCTGTGTTAGGATGGATGAGTGCTGACAGCGGTCCTCGGTTGATGACCAGCCAAGGAATAAAGGCCCCAAACTGCTCCGGAGTGAAGAGGTTGACCTCAAACATACCGATGGGGTGCGGACCAAGTGGTCTATCCCAGATTCTGTAAATGCGAAGCTCGGGAACTGATGACAATCGTTAATGCTGCTCGTACCACCCGAGGTGACGGATCAAGCGGACGTACATTCCCGCCGTATGCGCTCCCAGAGCTCTGTGGCGAATTTCAGCTCTTCTGGTTCGGTCTGCAGGAAATAGATATGGATACTGAATCATGGTCAGCCATATATTGTCTCGACTCGGCAGCCGTAGCCTGCGTACTCAAAACCAGCCTCTGAGTTCATGATAGGCGATGCGAAAGATGTGTATGCGTCACTCTTTCTCTCTGCTGGCGGGTTCACGTAGGATTTGCCATCTGCGGCTTTCTCACTGATAGCTGTCAGTACGTTTGTGATCAGCTAGGTTGATGATCGTACTCTGGCAGTGGCTCAAGATTCCTGTAGCCGTCAAGAGGGGAGGGGTACGTGTAGAGACCTGGATCCGCCATACTGTTGTGCTGTGTTACTTCAGAGGTAAGTCCAGCAATGTCCAAAAGATGATATGATATAGTTGCTACGAGGACATGGCGCAATTGCGACTTGTTTGTCAGCGCGCACAATTCCGCACCGGATGTAGCTGAATCTGAAGACTCTAGCTTTCAAAGTCCGCAAGTTCCGCGGCAAGCATGTAACAATATCATGTGAATGGATAGTATCAGATCATATTCACTCTGCACTTGGGAAAGCTTGTCTGTCCTATGTACGAAACGATGTCGGTGTCGGACCGTATCTTATCAGTCACACATGACTCGTACCAGATCGGCCAATGAGGGGCAGCGCGGCGCGTGTGACTCCCAGAGGAACACATTATAATTTCGAGAGCAACAACGCGCTTGCTGCACTGACACACCACACATAGCCAATTGCTGTCACCATGGCGGACGCTACCTACTACATCGACGAAGATGTCGGCCAGGACATCCCCGAGCAGACAGGTGAGGAGAGCCAGCCCTACAAGACGCTGGGGTATGCCATCTACCAGAAGGGCGAGGCTGCCAAGTTCAAGACAAGAAAGAGCGTGACCGGCGAGCTTGCGGAGGGTGCCGACCCCTCGTCACGCATGGAGTGGAAAGATGCGGCCAAGTCGGCGCTCAAGAAGGCGGTCAACTACGCAAAAAGTCTGAAGAAGAAGGCCGAGAAGGAAGGCGAGCAGCTGGCACTGCGCGCGAAGGAGCAGGCTGCCCGCAACGAGGTGCTCGAGGAAGCCAAGAAAGTCGTGCTCGAGGAGGACAAGAGCCTCCCTGCGCCCATCCGTATCAAGCTGGACGACACAGATTCCAGCAAGATCACGCTGGGCGACGGCAAGGACGTCAAGGGCACACGCGTTAGAGTCTTCGGTCGCGTGCACCGCGAGCGCAAGCAGAGCAAGGTCTTGTTTATCACATTAAGAGATGGATACGGCTACATGCAGGTCGTCCTCACCGGCAAGCTGGCCGAGACCTTCGATGCCCTCACCCTGACCCGCGAGACCTCCATGGAGATTTTCGGTGAGCTGAGGCAGGTCCCCGAGGGTGCCCACGCTCCCAACAACCGCGAGCTCCACGCAGACTTCTACAAGATCCCGTCCATCTGGAAGGCGGCCGGTGGCGACGACGCCATTACCAACCGCGTTTCCAAAGACACCGAGCACGCGACACTGCTTGACCTCCGTCACCTCACACTTCGCGGAGAGACAGCGTCCAAGGTCATGATCGTCCGCGACGCCGTTGAGTACGCATTCAACCAGGTCTACAAGGAGCTCCGCCTGCGCAAGGTCTCGCCTCCAGCGCTCGTGCAGACTCAGGTCGAGGGTGGTTCGACACTCTTTGAATTCAACTACTACAACGAGAAGGCATACCTGACGCAGTCGTCGCAACTCTACCTCGAGACCTGTCTCCCTTCCATGGGTGATGTGTACTGCATCGAGAAGTCGTTCCGTGCTGAGAAGTCGCTTACCCGCCGCCACCTGGCAGAGTACACCCACATCGAGGCCGAGCTCGACTACATCAACTTCGACGACCTGCTCTCGCACTTGGAAGAGGTTATGTGCCGTGTCCTCGACGTCACCATGGCCGACCCAGTCATCAAGCAGCACATCATGGACCTGCACCCGGAGTTCCAGATGCCCCAGCGCCCCTTCATGCGCATGCAGTACTCGGACGCCATCACGTGGCTCAACGAGCACGGTATTGAGAACGAAGACGGCAAACCCCACGAGTTCGGCGACGATATCGCTGAGGCTGCCGAGCGCCGCATGACAGATATCATCAACAAGCCCATCTTTCTGACACACTTCCCAGCCCATATCAAGGCCTTCTACATGCTCAAGGATGCCAACGACCCAAGAGTTACGGAGTCAGTCGACTGCTTGATGCCCGGCGTCGGCGAGATTGTTGGCGGAAGTATGCGCATGGACGACAACGAGGAGTTGATGGCTGCCTTTGAAAGGGAGGGAATCGACGCGTCGACGTACTACTGGTACACCGACCAGCGCAAGTAAGTCCTCCCCCTCCAAGAGGTTCCCTAACTCGGGAGCCCCCGCTGACAATCCCTCCAGGTACGGGTCCTCTCCCCACGGTGGCTACGGCCTGGGTCTCGAGCGCTTCCTGGCGTGGTTGTGCAAGCAGCATACGGTGCGTGACTGCTGCCTGTATCCGCGCTACTTCGGACGCTGCAAGCCGTGAGCAGTCGGTGATTATGCTACGCGTCGGGCCTGGCGTGTTCCGTGGCTTGGGCCGCATCGCTGCCGCGCTTCTGCGAGTGTGCAACGGCAGGTGTCGGGAGACGCTACTGACTTTGATTGTGCATGGCAGCGTGTGGCGCGTCGTCGCACCAGGTACACCAATGAAGAAGACATGCCCAATGATCGTACCGCAAGTTGTATTGTGTGTGATGTCTTTGTTGGGTGAGACAGTTGGCTCGGTGGACTGTCGCGTCATGTATCGACAGCGTGTCCGAGATACAGTAACGTGACGTGTCTTCTTGTGTCCCGTCAGCTTCGATGCGCAGGGAGCACCTTGCTGATTCGGTTCACTCGAGCGCTGGAGTCATCAATGCATAGCCACAAAAACTTCAGAAGATATTGATTGGGTACACTCTTCATTCGATCAATTTTCCCTGTCAGGACCATGTGATGTCCTAGCTAAATCTACCAAATATCATGCCAGTTGCCAAACTTCTGCGTATATGCAAGCAGAAGGTACAGACTGGAAGCTCTGCGCCGAGAGCTTAGACAGCAAAAACAACGTGCCGGCCAGTGCCGGCCCAAACTCCTCGCTATGCAGGTTGGTACAGCGGCGAGCCCCAAGGAGCCGTGGGAGGTAATACAGTCATGGCGTGGGTAGTGCGCGCCATCCGCGCAGGTTGCTCCAAGGGGCAGAACGACATCTAACTGAGGGGTTTTGAGGGTGGAGTGCGATAGGAAGGGTGGGCAAATACCAAGACATGTGTCTTAGACGAGGGCGGAAATCAAAGAAAGCTAAGCCGTTCAGCCGAACAGGGTTCACGCGGCGCGAGCAATCCAATCCATCAACAGGTCAGTTCGATACGCGTAGGCTCGGGTGCGCATGTTGAGGTTTATCCGTGTTCAGATGCGTGGGATTATGTTGTGGTCGAGACCCAGTCTAGCTTACGACGCCACGGCTAGTGTGAACCTTAGCTGCGAAGACGGGTGGTGACGTTCAAGAGGCGTTGAGGCGACGCTGAATGAGCTCTTGCAGCTTCAAGAGCTGTGCGCGCTCATCATCAGCAATAGGAGGGGGAGCAGAGTTGGTCATGGCTGCGATGACCTCCTGAGGAGCTTCGGCCTGTTTCACATGATTAGCGCCGACGATCGAGACAATGCAGGTGGGGCACAGCGAGCACTCACAGTGAGGGTGAGGACGAGACTGTCGATGTTGCCTTCGCTCAGGCCGATATCCCGCTCCCTGTTAGCAAGAAGTGCCAGGTTGAGTGCTGCCTGTTGTTGTTGAAAGGAATGAGTCACGAAGTTCTGCATCGAGACCTTGCGCTGGGCAGCAGTGTATGCCCTGTGCTGCGCCTCGTGATCTCGCGCGATCCTCCGGCTACCGTCTCGTTAGCACACTGTGATATGAAATGTTGACAATCGTGCGTACCTCTTGACTTTGCTGAGAAAGTCAGTAATGAGTCCTCGCTCAGGCACACGGTAAACCTTAGAATTGACATCCTTGAACTCGAAGCCAGTGTAATTGCCTTCTCCATCGGTGTCGTCATCAGGGTCGTTGATGATTTCGATCAGGCCGTTGTTGCGCATGCCACGAGAGAAGGTCGGTTCAACAAAGTTGGGATTCTTGCGCCTCCGGAGCTTACGTGGGACTCGGGCAAAGGTGTCATCATCCATGTCGACATCGTCGTACGCCTGGTTGAGATCATTCTGTAGCAATAATCCACTGCGAAGGTCATGCTCGATGTGTCGCGGACACCTCCAAGCATCGCGTTGAGATGCCTCTAGGCTGATGTGTGGGGGGTTAGCGAGGGGTGGATCGACACAGTCCAAATGCCAATATGCGTTACAAAAGTCGCACTTCAGCATCTGACGCTTGCCGCCACTCGACACGCCACATTGAACGCACAAAATGGGCTTGTCGCCATCAAGGACTTTAATGTAGTCAGGCCTCTGATAGCCGTAGCCGCTGCTTTTCGCCCTGTACCGTGTTAGTATCAGGCGACGCGTCGGACGCGTCGGACTTACAGTGGGAACTTCTTGATTTCCTCGAAGTACGATCCATCACCCCGTGCAGACACGTCTTCGAAATGAATCTGGACGTCATGTGGCAGGGCAAAAGCGCGTGGGTTTGTCCTCTCCAGAAGGGTGAATAGCGGTCCAAGGCCTGCGAAAGTTTCGGCAGCAGGCTCTTCGGGCGGGCTCAACCTGACAGTGCAATCATAGCAGTAGAACGACCCTTCTGGTACTTGCACACGCGGTGGATCGCAGCAAAGAAGGTGAAAGACGCGCGGGCAGCCTTCACAGCACACGAACTCGCCTGCACCTCTGCAGGCAGAGCAGAGATCATCGCTCTCTGATGCTGGCGAATTCTGACGATCGGTTAGAGGAGAGGACAAGACTGAAAGCGGAGGCGAAGGAGGGTATTTGGGGAGCGCAGGCTTCCTGTCGAACCCCATTTGAAGTTGAGGGATGGAAAAATGGCAAACGTTGTTGGTGGTTGTTGGTGAAGGAGGAATGGTGTGGTTAGATGCTTCGGGAAAATGGGTGGCACTTACTGGATCGTTGTCATCAGGCCCCGACTGTCTCGAAACGCCACCCCCATTGAATGCTACACCAGCAATAGGCCCACCATCCCGATTCTTAACAGGCCTATGCAGAATCACGTTAGCTTTTAGATGGTTTGATGGTGGTTTTCGAAAATGCGAGGCAAGCACGTGCAAACACGTAAAGTTTGCTCACTCGCCGAGGACATCCGTGTGCTGGGACGGGCACAAGGAGCCTGATACTGCACTTCGACGCGGCAAGTTTGTCACAGAACACAAGAGGGAGCAAACTTACGAGCGTTTTGTTCTGGCAGCCTGGCCGTTGTTCAGCTTGATGCGTTTGATGGCTGGCTGAATTGCTGGCGTTGTGGGTCGTGAGATAGCCGCTGACTCGAGCTGGGGTGAGGAAAAACGTGACATGTCTTCGCGCAAGCGTTTGGCGCCTTGAGGCAGTCGTCCAGCACGTCGCGGCTGATCAGAGTCTACTGGCGGTCCAACTGCAATCATAGATTCGGTTAGAGACTCAGTCTCCAAGATCTCGTCGTCGAAGCGAACATCGGACTGCGGAAACGGAAGCTCGAATTGGCGCACGGGCTGAGCATCTGCCATCTCTTTCCGCATTTGATAAATCTGCTCGAGATCTTCGGGCAACTCGTTGCTTGCCGGTTGATTCTTGTATGCATGCTTCCCGAATAATTTACCCTTGTTTGCATGCTTCTTCCCGCCACGGCTAAGGCCTGCAGACTTGCTCTTCTTTGAAGCTGCAGGCATTGGAGTCGAGACTTTCCCTTTCGGCTGTGCGGGTGTTGGCGGTCCCTTCTGCACAATCTCTTCGTTGACATCGGAGAGCTCGGAATCACTCCCATCACCTGCATCAGGCGTATGTTCTGCCGGCGTTGGGACAGCTGAAGAAGCGCCACCATCCACATCCATCTCACTGGAAGGAGCCAGATAGTCGTTCGCGGTGTGCTTCTTGCGGGGCGACTTTGAAGGCTGTCGTGGCACTGTTTCGATCGAAGGCTCGATCGCTGGAAGAGTTGGAGCTGTGCTGAGTGGATGGGGCGAAGGCAGTGCCCCGGCGGTTGAGTCTGCACCTGGATATGCATCTTCCATCATAGCTTCGTCTCCATAGGCAGACACCGAGTCGTCAGGGGCTAGCTCGCTACTGGGCCTAGGAGAGGGCTGTTGGCTGAACTTTGGGGTGTCGGATTTCGCTGTGGCGAGGTCACCGTTCCGCTGCTGGTGCTTTCGCTGCTTCTTCCCTGATTTCTTCAGTGTCTTGATGCTGTCCCGAAATTGGGCCCACTGCTCGGGGGTCTGCTTCTGTTTACAGATGGCGTCGATTACGAACGCCATAGCCGGGTCGCTCTTGCTCATTGCCCTCAGCTGCTTCAGAACCTCACTAAGCCGAGGATTATGGTTTGCATTGGCTGACTCTGCCGCAGCCAGTAGGGCGATCTGCGCACGCTGTGAGATTTCGGTGTCTCGCGGTTGCTCTACAGCTTGCACTGCGGGGCTTGCCGGGGCGGACGCGACTCGGGGTGTGCCCGCTTTGACCGGCGAGTTCGCCTCACCAAACGTCTTTCCTTGCGCGGGTTGTTTGCCCCTGACGGCTGTCTTGGATGCTGGCGTCTTCTTCTTGGATTTGCCAGGGATGTAGTCATCGTCCTCGTCCTCGTCCTGTGGTGGAAGCTCCAGGGGCAGGTCCTCCTCCTCTTGCTTCTCTGAATCGTCTGGCTCAAGCTCAGGAGCCGGAGTGACCTCAGGCGTGGACCCAACGTCGTCTCCCGGAAAACTGCCTTTACCCGCCAGCGACTTTCGCGCAGCTGCGTCACCGCCCATGATGCGCGTGCGCTGCTTCACCTTTGCGGAGGGAGGCTGCCCCAGGGGCGCCATTTGCTCCAGCACGCCGTGACGAGCAAACCCGTGCTCTTCGAATGACGGCGCTGGGTTCTGGACCGAGGGTTCTGCCCAATCCATGATCGATCGCTGGGTCTTCTCCTTTACGGCGCTGGGCGTGTTGGTGGGCGAGTTGTGCGGGGTGATGGTGGTGGACCTGGGCCTGGGAGGACGGCCGCTTTTGCGCAGCGACGGCATGGCGAGACTGGCAGAGCTATTGAAGTGTGAGCGCGCAATTCACGAGTTTGGGTACAATTCTTACGGCCCACGCGTACTGCTAAGCTATTTTACGCGCGAAAAGCGCCCCGGAGCCCGTGCCCGGCGTGTTGTGGGTGGGTGGTTGGGGTTGCAAGTGAGTGAGTTCCGTCAAAGGTCACAAAATCGAGGGAGAACTTAGGTCAGCGCGCGCGGAGGACGTGCCCCTTCAGATGTCAACCCTGGCAACCACAGTGATCGTCGACCGGTGGCAAAAGAATGAGTGAAAGTGTGAGGGGCAAGGAACTCGTTGTACCGAATATATCGCGAATTGGGAGAAGTTGTTTTTGTAAGGTTAGGGAGGTTGTGATCCCGCGGAGTGGGAAGCTATATACTCCTCCGCCCGTTCCGCCGCAGTCACGCTCACTTTCACCGGGCGCAGTTTCCAGCCTCCTGAAAAGCTTTCTATTGTCCTTATTGTACGTCATAAGCTCTGCGGGCAGCACGAACGTTGGTCCAAATCTTGAGTGAAGAAGCGTGACGGTTCACAGCGAACAAGCGCCTGACCTCATCCATTCACATCGTGTTACGTGTACACCACTACCATGCAGGCACGAGTTCTCTTACCAGTTTAGTATCCTTCTATCTGTAGTCTGGGTCGATTTTCCTCAACGGAAGCCGATTTCGCAATGTCAACTTGCAATGTCTGGGCAGTGAACAGTCTACAAAGCTATTCCAGAGTGACCAAGACATTCTTTAATATCAACCGAGATATGCTTGATCGCAGGGACTCAGAAGAGACTGACAGTCACCTCGTCTTCTTGTCGCTCTGTATGAGTCCAGATGAGGGGAGAGAACACGCACTGCGTGGATAACAGACTGCACATTGAGTGTGCAGCTGAATGCACCAACACCACAGCAGTGTCTCTTTGGCAGTCGAGGAATATCAATAGAACTAAGTTCAGTGCGAGCTCTCTGCCGTGGGTGAGATACTGAGTGTTGCTTGTCCATGTTTGGCCCGCACAACGCAGGGCCGGGCATCAGTAACCGAGGGCGCAAACGGTTCATCGCCAGGTACATACACGGAGCAAGAGACAGTGCGGAGCCACAGACAGCAGACAAAATGCGTGTTTCATGGCCACGTGGATGGAGTAGCAACCGTGTGCTTCGTGAGGCTAAGCATTGGGCTGGCCGGAAGAAATGGGCGGAGATCAACCACGGAAAGAGAGAGACAGTGACAAACTTTTGGTTGACTTTTTATTCTTTTGCAGGCTGCTATAGCCACTGCTTACTCATGAGTATAGCTCTTTCTTCGCAGAGCTTGAGTAGGACAAATCGACCAAAACAACTCTGGTCCAGATAGCTGATTCTAGGACCTGTGATCGACGCTACACAAAATGCATGCAGACACTCGGTGACGCCGCGCTTACTCGTCATCGCCCTCCTCCTCGGCAGCCTCGCCGGCGGCAGCCTTCTTGGCGGGCTTCTTCTTCTTCTTGTTCTTCTTGACAGAGGCCTTGCCAACGGGCTGCTCAAGGATCTTTAGAATCTCCTCATCCTCGATCTTCTTGTCAGATTTGACCTTCTCGAGGTCAAGAGCAGGGGGCTGGGCCAGACGCTGGATACCGTTCTTGGTGACAGCGATGGTGGAGAACAACCTTGCGACGGGCTTGCTGTCCTTGTCGACAACGACCTCGTACTGGCGGAGAACACCGCCACGGACGCACTCTACAACGCCGACCTTGGCGACCTTCTCGTCCTCGATCTGGCGCAGAGAGAAGGGGAAAGTGCCGAACCTCTTGACGACCTCGGACAGGAGCTGTCTTGAGGTAGGGCGCTTGAGACCGAAAGTGTTGGCTGTGCGGCGGTGAAGGGTGGTCCTGTTACCGTTGCTCTTGACTTTTCCGCTTCCGAGCGAAAGACCAACCTCGACTCCCCAGACCTCGCCAACATCAGGGAGGCCCTCACCACGGACACCCTCGCCGGGGGAAAGAATGATCTTTTTCTTGGACTCAATCTCGTTGTGCTCGAACTGCCAGATGGTGGTGCTCTCGACAACGTTCAGGCCGTAAGCCTTGGCGACCTTCTCGAGCATCTGGGTCATCTGGCCCTGTGTGTAGGGCTTGCGGGCAGCATTCTTCTTCTGCTCCTCCTCATCGCCGTGCGCAACGAGACCGGGGGGGACCATCAGCCTCAGGAGAAGCTCGTTTGCGTAGTATGTACCCAACAACAAGTCCGCCGTTTCGCCAGTGATCTCGCCACCAACAACAACATTGTCGCAGACGATGGCGGCCAGGCCATCGATCTGAGCACCGAGCTGAATCTTGACAACCTCGCCGGCCTTCAGTGTAACGGCAGACTCCTCACCATCGGACTTGAGGGGAGTGTACGGTGTGACGTAAGAGCTGGGCGAGATGGTGGTGCAGTGGCCAATGCCCTTGAGGATCTTCTTTCCCCTGTAGACCTTGCCAATCTCCTCATCGAGAAGCTTGTCGCCGCGCTCGCAGAGCTCGACAATGCTGGCGCCCTCGGAGATCCATCCTGCAAAAGTCAATTTTCGAGTCTTCGAGTCACGCGGTCGTCGCAGAGGTCGGCGCGTGGATTCGAGGCAGCGTTACGCACCGGAAACTTCCTTGAGAACCTTCTGGGAGATGTCGGCCGCGACCTTGTACTTGGTCAAGGTATCGGGGTTCGCGAGCGTGTAGTCTGTCGTGATCGGTTAGCAATGCGCTGCTTCGACAAAGCTAGACATCGAGCTTCATATCCACGGATGCACAACGTGGAATGCTTGCGTCGATCCTGCGTCAGGGATTTGAGCATACCGACTGCTTGTGCCTCAGCCATGATGAATGATTGCCGATTAAGCTTGAGATCGAGGTGAATGCCAGAAAGAGGTGTGGTGAGTGGTAGCTGTTGTTTTGAGTGCCCCACTGAGGGGTCTCTCGCTTAAAGACCAATGACGATGGTGCCTGACACTGCATTTCGATGAGAAAGATGGAGAAACAACATCGAATCCGGCCTTGGAGCGTGTGACGTAGATATGGTGAGATCATCGCTTGCTCTCTTGTTGATTCGCAACTAGCAAGCGTTCACTTCACTTCACTGTGTCTGTGTAGCTGTTACTAGCGCTTCCCAATGAATCCATGCCAGTCATCTTACTAGCATGTCAGCTCAGTCACACTCTCTACGGGAGAGATTGTTGCTATTCTAAGCTATCGCAGGTGTCTTTGAGGTACCAACCTCCCGAAATCAAGGAAACAAATAGCTGTCGTTTTGTGAACTTGAATCAAACTTCTGCAGCTAATACAGCATCCACAACGACCGCCCTGTGATCGCTGCTGTATATGCCATTATCAAACCGATTGCTCAACACACCAAAACCCTTGACTTCCCACCCATGCTTTCCCACGAACACATAATCAATAATACTCAACTCGTCCTCCTGAAACCCAGAGCAGGTCAGTTCGTTGCCGTACCTCCACGGCGCCAGTCCCCTCGAATCCCGCAATAGCGAATCCTTACGGGTAAGGATCTGATATGCCTCACCATTAGGCTCACTATTCAGGTCCCCTGCCAACCACACCGGAACTCTCTCTTTTCCATCAGAAGTCAACAGAGAGACAGCATCGGTCACAATCCGCTCCACCATCTTCGCGCTCTCGCGCCTCGACACTTCCCCCGCATTGTCGAAATGCGTGCACAGCCCTACAACCTTCTTCTTACTGCCCCTGTGCAGAAACGTGCCGACGGTGACGATCCGGACGCTGCCAGCATCCCATCCTTTTCCTGGCCTGTCGGGGGTGGGCGAGAGCCAGATTGTCTTCCACTTCTCGATTTGCCACACCGAGGGGCGGTAGATGATAGGGCTATATTCGCCCTTCTGTTGACCGTCGTCTCGGCCTACGCCAATATATGCCCATTCACCTCGTTCTGACGATGATGCTGTTGGGGATTTGGTGCTGTTCAAGCTAGTGAGGATGTCGAGCAGCTGCTCGTGTAGTACTTCTTGCAGGCAAATAAAAGCCTCTGGGTTGTGCAGGGTGTGGAATTTCAGCTCGTTGACAATGAAATCTTTCCTTTCGGACCAAGGCTTTTCTCCTTTGAATGGAGAGTCAGTCGCGTAGCGTATGTTGTGAGTCAGGATGCGGACTAGAAGGGAGGCGTGACCTTTCATGATCAAGAGAAGTAGTGCCGTAAAGAACGGTAACGTCCTGAAAGTTGGTGTTGGCAGGTCTGGGGAGCATGGTGATGAGCCCAGGTGACGTTATACCCCGCACGTCGTTGTAGGACCGAGGCGATGATTCGATGAAAGTGCTGAGGGCAGGCACGAGTATTTACACGGTTTCGTGTCCAAGATTGATCGTATCGCCTCGCCCCTCAAGAGCCACATGTAATAATGTGAACAAATGCAATTCGTTCTATTGCTGCATTAAGCAGCTCTACCTGTACTGGGAGAAGAGATGCCATGGGCACTCTTTTTGCCAAGTAGCTTGCAAAACAGAAAATGTCCTTCCCCAGACAAAGATGCCAATGTCTCCGTGCAAATCCACGTGCCCTCGATGGTTCATCGTTTATACAAAAGACCTTGCCCTGCCGTCGCCAACCTCAAAGATGTCAATTCATATCACCACCGTAGGTCTCTTGCCTAAAGTCTTGGTTGCCACAAAATTATGAAACGGGCCTTCCAATCCTATTCGACACGTTGCTCATGTGCTGCCTATTCTTAAGATGTAATTCGAAATTCGTTACAGTTTGTCCGGGACCAGCGTTATAGAGCTTCCCCGGACAATCCTGACAGCGTATCCTTGGGAGGTAATATGCTTGGTGGTTTGGTGGTAGTGGGTCGCCAGAAGAGAGGCCGTCAATTTTGACAGCCTTCGATTCCGTCTTACCGGTCTCGCGGTTCTCGTGGGCTTCATTCATGACGACGTAACGCATGGTGGATTCGAATTTGTGGTCGGGATTGCGATCGCGAAGGTCTTGCAGAGCTTGTTGAAGCCATGGTGGAGAAGGCGGCTTGGAGTTGTGAGTTTCATTATGTGTACACTCGTTGTGATCAACTTACTGTTTGCCCTTGGGCTGGCGTCGGCCATGGCGCGTCTAACGAACCATCCGGCTTGTACTGAAACTGCTTCGCCGGAGGCTTAGGAGTAGGTGTGGACGGCGGTCGTGGAGATGCCTCGGAAGGTTTGGAGGTCGGTGCCATAGCTGGCGAAGGAGGTGGGGGCATGGAGTTGGCGCCAGGTGTTCCTCGTGCTGGTAAAGATGTTGGTGCCATCATGGGTGTAGATGTTGGCTTTGCAAACGCCCTCGGATTCCTCTGCCATTCTCTGAGTTTCGCAGATGATATGCGTAGCTTGACGATGAGTGTAGCAGACTCCGATACACTCTCTTCCCGTGCTTCATATCTTTGTGCCCTTGTTGAGCGGTGCTCGCGAGTTTCTTGGAGTTGAGCGACCTCTGGGGTTGCTGACCGTCCTATGGCTGACCTCATCGCCGCTTGCGCTGACACTGCGGCACCACGCATGCCTCTGGTTCGTGCAGTTCCGCCAGTAATCTGTGCTGGTGCTGGCGACTCCATAACCGAATCGTCACTATCCGAGTCGTCAGAATCATCATCAGCGCCGCGTCTCCTGCCTTCCCTCGCTTTCCTCGTCGCTTTGAACAGGTGGCTCTCTTCCAGCGTCTCGGCTGCTCCAGGGAGAACAGAAGAGACGATTAGAGTCCGGACAGTTCGCTGGCGATCCTTGAGATCGGGTAACGCTGGCCCTCCACGTCTGTTGACCGATCGTTTCTGCCTTCGCTGTTCGCGCAAGATGGACAACTCTGCGCGCTCTAGCTCAGAATGGCTCAGCTCGTACAGATATGGCTGGTAATCCTTCGTCGACTGTATGGGCCGGAACACCGAAGGCAAAGGAGATGCCAGGAAATTGTCCTGGATGTCTGCATCTTCAACAGATCGGCCATCGAAGGGATGCCCTGTGATGTACAGACTCTTTGTGAACATCTGGCATTGCTCTCGTATCGAATGGGCGATCGCTGTCACAAACTCTCCACTAAGAGAGAGATCAGCCGCCATCTGACCCGCGAATTCTTCAGGCGAGTTCAGAGCGTTGTTGATCTCCCATTCAAACTGGTCTACCAGCGTGTGCTGTCCGATAGTGATGTTCAGTTTGATCAAAATGCGCATTTCGTCATTCTTGAAGGCCGAGTAAGGCTGTGATGAGTCGAGGGGTTCGTCGTCGAAGAAGGCGTGGGGGTAGTAGTCCTGGATCTGCTCCCGGATCTCGCGGTCGACTTGGTGTATGACGTTTTGGTGCAGCTCTGGGGGGATCTGGAAGTCTTCGACGAGTGTGCGAGCGACGAGCAGCGGGTCGGTGACGCGATCGTGGAGGTTCCAGGTGAAGGTGTCTCGCAGCTTCAGCCTGTCCAGCTCAATTTCCAGGCGCACGGGCACCAGTTCCTCGACCTGCTCGGCCTGCTGTGCGCCCTTCTCCCGGTCGACTTTCAGCTGCGGCGCGGCACGTCGTCCGGCGCGTTTGGCCTGGCTGGGATACAGCAGTTGCGGCAGCTGCGAGCGAGGATCGCGGGGGTTCGTCTGCAGGTCAGTGACGCCGTTGCCGTAGCCCGCATAGCCGTAGCCAAAGATGGCGCCGGGGTTCTGGCGGCGCACGGGGAAGACCTCCTCGCGGTAGAAGTCGCGCAGGTCGTTGAGCTCGCCGTAGACCTTCTCCGAGTACTTGCTGCGCTCGAACTTGTTGACGCTGTCCAACAGGTCACGCGCGATGTAGCGGTTGAGCAGCGCCGTCTGCTGCGACTTCTGGTCGTCGGAGAGCGCCGGGGCGGGCGCGGTCGAGGGCTTGCGCGAGCCCGAGTGCGAGCGCTTGCGGGACGCGCCATTGGGGCCGTCGGCGGTGGGCGAGTCCATGGTCACGCCCGAGGCGGCGAGCACTGCCTTGGCCTTGTGCTTGCCGTCGCGGATCGCGTGGTCGCCGGGCGCATCGACGCTCGAGGCGGCAGACGAAGCATCCGAGGGCGGCAGGACGGCGCCGCTCGGGAAAGACGCGCCGTTCTGCGATTGAGACGAGTCCTGCGCGGCGGGGGCGTCGGCGGCGGCGGGGGAGGGCATGGCGTGGATGGGAGGTCGAGGGCAGAGGGTGCGCGCGTTGGGCTGCGGGAGGTTAGCGGCGTCGACAGGGGACGCAGCACCGCCGCCGCGCGAGAGCAGCGCGACAGCAGCACTGCCGCCGCAGCAGAGAGGCAGAGGCCTACCTGGGAGGGGCAAGCACGGCGCGTCGTCGCTCGGCTGGCTGCTGGCAGCGCTCCGCCGATCGGCTGCCGTCACGAGTGGAATCCGCCAGCAGTTGCGCCCACAGGCTCACAGGCGCAGGCACAGGCACAGGCAGGCGCAGGCAAGTATTGGCACGCCCGGCTCGGCGAAGACGCTCCTCGCGTACCTGGGGCCCAGGATCTAGGAGGAGGCGGGTGCGGGAGGATAAGCGTCGGAATGATGCCGTCACCTGTGGTGTGTCAGACAGCCTGGAGGACTGGAGGCGTCGCGCCGCCCTGCTCGCACGCCGCAATGGCCGTCGTCCTGCGGCAGCCTCCAGCAGCGCCCATGCAGCTAGCACGCTGGGTTTGGCGGGTGCAGTTGGACATGCACCTGCATTGGCCCAGTTTCGTCCCCACTGTTATGCTGTGTCTGGGGTCTGCACACTCGCACTGCCTCACGTGACGACACCGCGTGTGAATGCACGTGATTGCCGTTGAGGCAAAGGCCGCCACCACTACCACTGTGCCACGACGGAAGCCGATCCGGAGGCCAGCAGCATGACCGCAGCCTGTCGCTCGACTGCATCTCCGTCACCGACAGACGCTGCCAGCGCTGGGAGCAGAAGATTCAATTTGTGCATTATACGCTTTCAATCAGAAAAAGCTGCTACCATACAGCCAACGCCCGTGTCCGCCAGACTGTTTTGCAGCGGACACAACGCTATGAACGAAGAGACCGCATCCATCTAGAAACATCATCATAAGCTGGGTCCGACCCTGGTGCCCTCGGTCTCTGCTATGTATCCGACACTCACGTTCCCTAAGCTGCAAGAGCTCTCGGGCCAAAGAACGAGAACGGGACCCTTCTTGAAGTTAACATCCTGTGACAAGTTATTGCGCCTTAGAGGAGAGAATCGAGCCTTGTGAAGACACTCAGACACGCAGCAACCACCTGGAAGTTCATTAGTGACATCCTGAAAGAGCCCAATGCACCGTGAACTCACCTCCATCTGCAGCTCCCTGTCCTTGCCGGTGTTGATCTCGTCGTTGATCAGCTGCCCCAGATTCGCGCCGACTCCCTGACTGCCGCCCGCTCTTCTTGCAAACGGCCATTGCGAGTACTCTGCAAGTAGTTCGTCGACCTGCGCAAATGCACGCTCCCTTGCCTCGTGGCCCAGTGTGGTGAGAGCGTTCTCGAGCACGTTGGCGGCGTAGGCGGCACAGACCATGGCGACGGTGCGCAGAGTCCGGAACTCCAGTTCTTCGGGGAGGAATTGGCTGCCGGCGAGCACGATGGTGCGGCTGGTCAGGAGGTTGCGCACGCGACGCCTGATCTCATCCTTTGCTGCGCCCTCGGCGACGGGATGTGTGGCCATGTCGAACAGCAGGAAGTTCTTCTTCTCGGTGCGCAGGATGCCCTTGTCGACGAGGCCCTTGCAGAGGCGCTCGCGGACCTGCTTGAGCTGGTAGCCGATCTTCATGAGGTTCCACGTCTCGCCTGCGCTGGTCAGTCCGGCGTTGCCGTGCTCGCGGGGGGTTGCCTACCGCTCATGAGGTCGATCCACGAGTTGACGCTCATCTTCTCGCTCGACTTCATCATCTTCAGGGCCTCGTCCAGCAGCACTTCGCCCGTCAGCGTGTCGTCGACGACCTCAATGACGCGGTCTGCGAGCGGGAAGCGCCGCCGCGACGAGTCCTTCTGCATGCTTATGCGGCCTCGGAAGGCCAATTCAATGACGATGCATCCGCGCAGCGCGTACGAGATGTTGTCGTTCCAGAAGGAAAGGTAGCCCTAGCCTCACGATCAGCCCGCGCCCCGTCGAGGGCGCTCCCGCGGCCACGCACCTGCTTGTCCTTGAGCCCCATCAGGATGATCTCCTCCATGAGCGTCAGCTTCGGCTGCTTGCTGCGCTCGGCATTCTCGCTGATGTCGCGCGGGTCGAAGGCGATCTTGTGGCCGTTCTCCGAGTTCTCGTAGGACGTTTCCGGCGCGCGGTCGCGGTCGTTCCTGGGCGCAGGTGAAGCCACGCGGCTGCCTTCGTCCTCGGGGTTGCCGGTCGCCGCACCAGCTCCTCGCCGGCGCACCACGCCGGACGTCGAAGCCATCACGAGTGGTTGTGGAGCGGGTGGGGGTGGTTCTGAAATTATGGGCGGTGCTCCTGGGCGTAGGTCGAGTCGGCGGCGCTTGGGCGCATGCGCGTCACCTGTCGAGATCGGGGCCTGCGATTTTTGCGGGGCGGGTGGTGTCAGGAGCGCAGCAGGACGGCACAGCGGGCGAGGGGGCGAGGGGGCGACGGCACGCTTGGGTGAGACTGTGTTGAGAATCGTGTTCTCGTGTGCTACAGCTCAGCGTCGGCGAGCGGGCTCCGGCCTGAGCATACGGTGCCTTCAGCATCACCAATCGCGCGGGACACGGCGCACAAGCGTGAAAGTGGATAGCCTCGTTTCTATCAAAAGTACTTGTTGCCGTCCCAGAGCTGTTTTACACGCAGGGAAATATATAACAATGTCGGCAGACCCGACAATCCATCCCACTCCAATCGTCATCCAGCGTTTCCATCACCCAGCGCTCCATTAGCATTTAGTGAGCTGCGCGTGTTAGTAGCCATCTTGGAGTCGCGGCTGCAGGGCGGCTTACCATCGGGCTGGCGGAGGATGTACTCCACTGCTTGCTTGACTGCGACATCGTTAGCATGCAGACTGGGCTGGCGCCAGACAACACGTACCGCTGTGGATGACATCGGCCTCCTTGTCTGGGATCTCGATGCTGAACTCCTGTGCTACCGTCAGACCTGCTCCGCGCGAGTGCTGCAAATGCGACTAACCTCCTCAATCGCCATGACGACCTCTACGGTGTCGAGGCTATCAAGACCGAGGTCGTTGTGGAAGTGCGACTCGGCGTTGAGCTAGAATGCGTGAGCCTTGTACCACTAAATTGCACACCAACGGGCAGCTACCTTCGAGGCGTCCTGGACCTGCATGGCTGTTAGCTGCGCTGTCCTCGTTCCCCGTCGCAGAAACGCATTTTCGTACCTTGTCGAAGTTCTTCAGCAAGTCCAGAATCCTGCCCTGGACCTCCTCCTGCGCCAAGCCGGCGCTGGAGGCGTAGCTTCGTACGGCCTGGAAGTATGCGGCGGGAGCAATCTGCTTGGGCTGGACGAAGGCGCGCGCTGGGCGGGCCATTGAGGCCTGGCATCGGGGAGCAGCGCGGACGGCGGACCGGGCGGACCTGAGAAGAGCTGTGCGGAACATGGTGGGCGGATTCGAGCGTGTCGAGGGGCGATGGGTCGGGTGGGTGGTTGCGGTTGATGATGCTAGACGATTGCAAAGAAAGCTATGCCGGTCATGTGACTTTGGTCATGATGCGCACCCGACGAGGAAGGAGCGACCCAGACCACCACATGGTGTTAGGCCCCTCGAAGATTCGAACCGACCAAGCAAGTGCATTCAATCACCCTCCAACGCACTGCAACCCAGGTTTGCCTCCAGGACTGCCTCTCGTCGTACGCCCGCATCCGGCCAATCACAGGGAATCCTTTACAACCACCGATTTCCGATTTCCTTGCTAAGTATCAACTCGACACCCTCCACCGCCGCCAACACTACTCGCACGCGCCCACGATGGCCAGCACCAAGCCATTGACGATGCTGGCTCGTGGCCCATCGGCCACAACACTGCTCCGGCAGTCCCAGTTCGCGCCGCGCTTCGCCTCACCCGCCACCGCCGCCTTCTTCAGCACAACGCTTGCTCGCGCTGCCACGCCTGCAGGACCGCCCCCGCCTGGCTTCCGGTTACCGCCCCAGAAGAAGTGGGATGAGGGCGATTCGGCGCTGGACAAGGCCGGCAAGTACTTCTTGCTCATGGAGATGTTCCGCGGCATGTATGTGTCGCTAGAACAGTACTTCAGGCCCCCGTAAGTGCTCAATTGGCGCCCTCCTTTTCGACAGGAGGCTTGGGAAGCTGGTTCTGACGAATGGTTAGATACACCATCTTCTACCCCTTCGAGAAAGGCCCGATTTCCCCCCGTTTCCGTGGCGAGCACGCCCTGAGACGGTACCCGACTGGTGAGGAGCGCTGCATTGCCTGCAAGCTCTGTGAAGCTATCTGCCCGGCGCAGGCTATCACAATTGAGGCCGAGGAGCGTATGGATGGCAGCAGGAGGACAACACGCTATGATATCGACATGACAAAGTGCATCTACTGCGGTCTATGCCAAGAGTCGTGCCCCGTTGATGCCATTGTCGAAAGTAAGACTCCTCAACTCACACGGGCCATTCGGTCGCTAATGATATGCAGGCCCTAACGCTGAGTACGCCACCGAGACACGAGAGGAGCTGCTTTATAACAAGGAGAAGTTGTTGGCCAACGGAGACAAGTGGGAGCCTGAGATCGCAGCCGCTGCTCGCGCAGACGCGCCTTACAGATAACGAGAAAGCAGACAGCGAAGGAGAGAACGGTGCTCGGGGTCTGTACATAGTGAGAGAGTAGCCATGTCTCGCTCAGCAATTAGTTTCTTTTGTGGTTGTACTGTGATTGTACAAGAGTAAACTCGAGTTTCAAGTTCAATAAACCTCAAGCTGCATGGTGTCTCGAGTGAAAAATGCCGGAGCCAGCCAGTGCACTTATCTCGATCAGTTGTGGTCAAAGCAAAGCGTGTGATACCGGTGAAATACGTCATAGTATTTATCGCTGTATATACTCCGTGACGCCCAGACAATGCCAGCCACTGTATGGGATATCGAACGCCAAAATGCCTCCCAAATTTTATGCACGCTCAAACGCGGTGCTTCCCAGATGGTTCTTTTCCTGTCCCCGCCCACTTCATCATACACATCGCGTTCCACGCCCATATATATTCAGCCATCTATTTCCCCTTGAAGGTCCCCTCGAAGCCCGGTCTCTTCGCCGGCTTCTTGCCACCCTTCTTTGGTGCGCCCTTCTTCTTGCCCTTTACGCCCTTGCTGTCTCTCCTCTGCTTGAGGTTCTCCTCACGCTTTTTCTGCCTCTTCTCCTTACCCTCAGTGACATTGGTAAGGCGCTCCTTCCACTCCTGTTTGCTCTTGTCTTTCTGTTTCTGCTGGCGCTTCAGGCTCTTCTTAAGTAAGTTGACGTCGTCAAAGACCTTCTCGCCCTGGGCGCGCTTCTTGGCGTTGAGCCAGAGCTCCTTTTCTTGAATCTCCTTGCGCTTTGTCTCGTCGAAGCCGTTGATGCGGGCCTGCTTCTTCTGCGCGGCTTCCAGGGCAGTCTTGGTGTCCGACTTACCCTTCTTCTTGCGCGAGTCGAGGAACTTGGACAGGCCACCTTCGAGCTCCTGCCCGTCTTCCCAGGCTACGCGGCCGAAGTTAAAGTTGCGCTCACGCTCGGGTGATCGCGCTGGGAAGATGGAGGGAGAGCCTGATCCGCCTCTTATCCTTGCAAGCTGCTCCTCTGCCTTCTGGCGCGCTTCGTCTTCCTTGGCGTCCTGGCGGGCGCTTTTCTTTGCAACCTGGCGGGCCGCCTCCTTCTTCCGCCGGGATTCAATGAGCTCAGCACGGTTCTTTGCGGGTCGTCCGTCGGGTCCGTCGGCCTTACGAGCTGCGCGCATTGCTTCGAGTTTGGCGTTCAATCGTGCGCGGAACTCTTCTTGACTTTTCTCATCAATCTGAAGTGGCTTCTTCTCTTTCTTTGCGTCCTTTGTGGGCGCTTCTTCGGCAACGGAGGTTGACGACGAGGCATCGGATGCTGCTGAAATATTGGAATTTGCAGTAGTGGTAGGAGCGGTGGACTGACCCTCTTCAACATCGACAAGACCACTAACATCTAGGGCTTCGATACGATCCTCTGGGTCTTCAAGGCCATCATCTTCCTCTTCGTCTTCATCTTCATCAACGGTCTTTGACTGGGGTTTCTTCGTCTCTTTGGGCGCAGTGAGCCCTTCCTTGAACTCAGCTTGCGAAGCTTTCCGCTTCTCCTCTTGCTGTTTTTTGGTCGCTTGCTTCTCCTTCTTCTTCTCCTTCTTTTTCTCGGCCTTGACTTCAGCCTTGGTCAATGTTCGGCCTTCCTTTACAACCTCTTCAGGTGCGGTGTCGGCGTCATTCTTTGTCTTTTGCTTCTTCAGCTTCTTTATCCCTTCCAGCGGTGTCTCCTTTACGATGTCCATATCAAGGTCCGAAGAGGGTGCCTCTGAGACAAGATCGTCATCGACTTCGCCGTCGATTTCGCGCTTTCGCTTGCGTGCATTTTCGTCCAGAACGTCCTGGGCAGATTTGTGCGATGCGGGATCCAGCTTTGCCCGCTTAGCAGCCTGACGCTCCTCGGTGGTTTGCTTCTTCTTCTTTTGCCATTGCGTCTACGAAGTATGTCAGCGAAAAGCTGGTTCCACTAGCGCGGAGATGCATACACTTGTGATGCTCTCGTCTTTCCCGTAGTACTCCTTGGCTGGAATCAACGACATTAGTCCTTCGAAGGCCCGGGCATGGCTCTTCAGTCTTGACTAGAGCTCTCAGTCAGCGGCAAGCACGGTGCGGGGGCGTCTTCCTGCAACGTACCTCAAGGTCATCAGGCATCTTGACAGAGGAAGCAAATTGCACGTGCTTCTCTATTTGCTGAGCGTGGGATTATCTTACGAGCCGTGACGTCGGCGTAGAAAGTTGCAGCGGCGAGGTCGTGTGCACTCAAAATCGAACTCTTGGCGTTGGAAATGCGAAATATTTGGTTCTGGTTCTTTACCGCCCTGGGGCACGGGCCAACGACCCACTGTCGAGCCCACCAGCCTCTCTGAGCCAGCCACAAACTGTGCCCAACTGGCCAACTGGCATCGGGCTCGCTCAAGCGTCAGCCTCGTTTGCATGGTGATAATATCCTTGGCCAACTGACGCAGATCGGCTCATACCTTGCTCGTGTGTTGCACGCACATTTGCTGAACACGATAAACCTGGGGACGCGTGCACAGCCACCGAAGCAAACGCAAGCACAACCTCAGCTGCTTTGCCTCATATATGATCTGCGAGCTAACGTTGCCTGCCTTCCGTAGTGTCTACTAAGCAACCGTCACATCTCTATCGTTCCGCCTGCTCCGCTGCTTTGCTTTCGCTCAGATGTCGTCGACGGCTGTACATGCAAAATCTCTCTCCACACTCACAGCACTTGCATCCAATCCTCCAGCATATCCTAGAAATCCAACCCACGTGAAGCACGACCCGTTGGTGCTCTACATTGCTCGAGTGCCTGGCAGCAAAGGTACAGGCGTCACAACCGGATATGGTTGATTTGAGTCTGACTTAACATAGATGTTTTTCTTTCGCCCATGAAACCGCGGGAGAAAGTGGTCACTGCAGAGGACATCACGAGCTCTCTCTACTTTGTTCATGTGGAACACCCTCACGATACCAACCTCATCAACTACTCAGGATTTCAGGATTCGAATCATCCTGATGATGCAAGTCGAGGAGCTGCCTCGTTCATCCAACGAAAGGCTGTTCCGGGTCTTCCAGCGGTTGCACCTGCGCGAAAGCCTGTACCTGGAACCTTATCTCCTATCGCAGACTTCGACAATCGGCAGAATGCAAGTGCAGGCCAATATGCTCACCGACCGGAAATGCTGAGCGCTGCGTACGAACCACGTGGGTCCTACGATTCAAGTCGATTGCAGACGGAGAATGGCCTGCCGCCAACACAACCACGAAGACCCGAAGGGAGCACTAGGCCCACTGGCATATCACTTACTCTCATTCGAAGGGATCCATCATCCGGAGCCCAGTGGAATGTTGCTCGCATAGATGACCCAACCATCGCTGAGATTTCATCCGTAGGACTGAGTGAGGCTGCTGCAAGAAGAAAACCAGGCGCCCCAATGTTCATTGAGATCTCGAATCCGGGCTACTCCAAATTCCTCCATTCGGACGTGGACGAGCGACCTTCATTGCCTACTCGGACTAGCGACTTGTCAGTGCGATCTTACCAAACGTCAAACACTTCGCCGTATCCGACCCCAGATCGTTGCCCGGAGCCCTCCTCGCGGAGTAGCAGTGTCTTCCGTCGTCGTTTGTGGATGGAGGGTTCTCATCTGGGCGGCGGGTTTGGTCATCGAAAAAGTGGTTCTTACGATAGGACCCCAAGTCGGCCCACTTCAAGAGGGGCCCACGACGATGCCCCGTCCATTCATCAGCCATTGCCCTCACCGTCTTTCTTAACAAGGGAAGATCAAGCATATGGGACACTTCAAGTCTCTGAACGACAGTCGAACTTTCGAGGTTATGTGTTCACGAGTCCGTGGAACGGGCGCTGCGAGTTCATCACAGGTGCCAGCGGCGGTACTTTGAAGGTGTGTTGAGAATTGGCTATCGTCTACATTTCAATTATTGATTTACATTTAGTGTCGTCATGTGATTCCTGGACTGCAAGGTGCAGCTCCTGCAGCTGCGACTGTAAGTGAATTGAGATTCAACCTCCCAAGTGCCGCTCCTGCACCGTCGCCACGGGAGGAGACATCTAAGCGATCATCTTTCTTCAGGCGAGGGCGGCATAGTCGTAACAATTCATCGTTATCTGTCGTTCCTGATGATGAAGTGGAAGACACGAGGAGTTCGTTGGACCGCCTGGATCTGTCTCTTGGCCAAGAATTTGCCGGTGGTGGCTTTGGCGGAAAGCAGGCAAAGCTGGGCAAGATCATCCTTGAGGATGAAGGCTTGAAGATGATGGATTTGCTAGTAGCAGCTAACATAGGATTGTGGTGGAGAGCGTATGAGAGAGCCCAGGCTGCTGCACGAGGTGACAGAGGCGACTACTGAGCCAAGCATGATAGCAATAAGGACCGTAAGCAAGAGAAGTCACAGACATTCCGGTAACGCTCCCAAGGCCATCAGCCGAGTCCCCTGATAATCCCATCATGATGCGGTGTTTTTTTGTAGAGACGTCGCTGCCGGACCTGACGTGTGCACGAGAGGCAGCGACCTCACACTGGGTTGCCACAAGGTAGTCGCGTCCACACTACCTGCCTTGCTCTTACTAGCAGCTCAAAAACTCTGCGTCAATGCCACATTGTCCGACCAACATCCGACCACCAGCAACACCTTTACCTAAAGCATACCTAGCGACTAGCATCGTTTTGTCTCATTACCAAACCACAATTCCCGCTAGCTAGCTATTATGTTCACGGTGTTCATACAGGCCGCCATGCTCGTCACTGGCATCATCCTCGCGCCCGTTGCCATGGCCACGCCAGCCGTCCAGGATCTTGCCAACTTGAGGGCAGTCATTGAAACGACGGCGAGTACCATTGGAGACCTAAAAAATCCCAACAGAGGCTGGGGTTTCTTCGGTAGCAGCAACGGCCAGATGAGCACCGCAGACCTCATAAACAACATCACAAGTACAGTCCTGCAGTCAAAGTTCCAAATCGATACGAACAAGGTCTAGTTGGCTACAAACGTAACTTCAATGTTCGTGTCGCTGACATATGTGCAGACAGCCTGGCTGAACCTCACGAGCTTAACAGCCGACCCGAATTCCAACACCACCGTACCCTTGCCTGAGACACCAACCCTTCCCATGAGCTCCAGCATGGTCCTCCCTTCAACGCTGCCGACGGGAGCACCCATCCCCGAGAATACCACAGATCTCTCGGCCCCATATGTTGAGTATGTCTCATCAATACCCAATTTGAGTACGTCTCTCATCTCACTTGGTCGTGCCTGGCACCGTGAGATGAATGCTCCGGTCAATCAGGCTGTTGCGGTACTACAAGAGAGCATCAACTCACTTCAGATCACCATGCTGCAGAGCGAGCTCATTGGTAGCCCAGCTGTGTTGCGGACTATTCGCGCGAGTAGTTCACTGGAGAGCGCCCAGCTAGCATGGAGTCGTTTCCTCAACCTACCCGGAAGTACAGGCCGTAAAGAATCCGGTGATGATGCACCGGGTGCTTCCAGGAGGAGGTCCGTTCAGCGACTACCACCAGTAAACGGCAGACAATACACACATAAGGAGCTCTGGGGACGAAGAGAGAATACAAGGGCCGGCGATCTCGATCACCACAACACTGTCGTCGAGTCGCCAGAGCAGGTTGGAGACCGTCATGTCACAGCCCAGCTGTTCAAAGCGTAGCCCTGATCCTCTACTTCTGGATATCATGGCTGGTCGTTTACGTAGTCTTTCCTGTTTCAATAAGTCTTTACCCTCGCTCAATGGTCTTCTTTGATAAATCCATCACGTGCTCGTCACTACCTGCAACGTTCACTGTTGCAGTTTGTGAATGGCCTAACGATGAAGAAAGCGATGTGTCACGCGACTGCACAAGGCCACACACAAACAATGAAAGAGCTACTTGGCTACCCGTTGTCGTTCTAATAATTGCTATGACGTCGCTGCAATGACAACAAACAAACACTGCAAGAACGTTGCTTGCACAAACAGGTAATGCCTTATATCTGAATTTGCGCCGTCAACAACCTCAGTCTCAACCTCTCACGACTTGGGATCACTACGAATTTAAGACGATAAACCAGAACCAGCATCGTTTTCCACACGACGAGACACTTCTGTGATGGGGCCTGAAGCGCTCGACGCTTTTGCTACGCAAAGCATGCGGCCTGGGGCCATGGAAGCTGCTTCAGCCGATCCAGACAACGCAAATCAAGGAAACACAGAAGACAAAATGGCGAATACGAAAGAAGTGAGCTGCCGTCATTCATCTACTTGCTGGATCGCATCTAAGAACTATAGTCCCAAGGCGGGGAGCCCACTCGACCAGCACTCAACCGCCTCAACACCCCGTTCGGCCAACGTACAGACGGAATCGAATCCACAGCTAAAGCAGTCGAGGGTGTTGTGGAGGGTGTCAAGACAGTCGTGCAGGAAGTCGTTGCTTGGACAGAGAAGAAAGCGGACGAATTAGCCAAATCGGAGGATCACACAGGGCCGTACGATTCTCCAGCGACTGCTGCTGGTGGTACCTCGGACTTCGATGTCATTGCGACGGGCGTATTGCCAGCGACTGTTCCTGTGCAAGAGGATGGGGCCAACAAAAGTGGCTGATGGGCAACGATCGAAGTGCTACCGACCTGGGGTTCTAGGTCGATTTCTACGTTTGCGAGCCTGATGTGGTGAAATATTTTGGCGAGAAAGCGAACTATTCACGACTCACAGGTCAGAGGTTGCTGGAGGGTAGCAATTCAATCGAGCTCAAATCCAGAAGACTCCGCGCACGTAAGACAAGTGATGACGTTTGTAGACCAGACGATCCAGGGCCGCACATCACACCCGTGTCAACGGTACTTAGCATGTCTTCAGATATCGCACGACGTGCAGTCGAAGCTGGAGCCGAGATACCTGCACTAAGAGAAGTGGGGAACCCAAAAGCGGTAAGAACCTCGGCCTTAGCTCGCCAATACACCGACTCGTATCCTCCGGCTCGACTTTGCCGACTTTCTCGATATCTGCATACACTTCTGTTGTCAAGTAATAGAAGAGTACACTTGACACTACAATTCAACACCAAGAATACTGATTGCATTTTCACCTGACGATGGCTACCTCAAAGCACCCACTGCTCCTCGCAGCTGCCGTAACCCATGCCGTGCTTTCTCTTGGCCACACAGTAAGCTTTGCAGAAGCCGTAAGCCAATGACAATGAGACAAAGTAACTGACAATTGCAAAGTCTAAGGGCCTTGAGCAGTTCAAGCATGCTTCTATTAGTGCTCTACCCACCACCCTTCGTGGTGCTGTGAAGGCTGGTTGGTACGAGGGCAGCGGATTCTTCCTTATGATGGGTAAGCTCCGTCCTTTGTCCCAAATTTCCTGTTTTATTATTCGGTCTGTGTTGTTACAGGCCTCAAAACTGACGGTGCCCTTAGCTGTTTTGAACTACAAGTGGGCTCAGACAGGGCTGCTCGACATCTATGACAAAAGCATTGCTGGATTGCTGGTGACTATTCTTGCTGGTGCAGCTGGATCATACTTTCAGTCAGGTGATAAGCCGACTGCAGCTACGTTAGCGGCAGCTGCTGTCCTACAGGGACTGGCCGCGAAGGGAGCTGCTTTGTAGTAGCTGTTTGAATGACAGATCTCTCTGAATTATTCGTCATTACCTCCAGCGTTTGTGAGACTTCACGAACGATAACTCCACAAGGCCGTAGATTCTTCCCGATCAGGTTGAGTCTGTGCATATTGGTGTTTGTGATCAAGTAGGTGTTGATGCGGCGGGCAGCTCAGAGTTGGTTTCAAGGTCGATATATATGTGAAAAACTGTTCATTCGGCAACGGGACGAGTAACTTTTCACATATAATCGTGGTTCTACACGAGAAAACTACATGACAAGGAAATCAGTCACTGTGAGCTAATTCAAGCACGCCTTTGATCACATCGGTAACAGAAAAAAAACCTCCGGTGATCGTTATTACACCCAGTAAGCATGTAAGGCGACCCACTATCCTCATGCTGTACACAATGGGCCAATTGAACTTGATCTGCATAGCGACGCCCTGCCAGGCGTTTCTCGGGCTGGTTCTTAGAATCTCATCGAGCCACACTTTTCCATGCCGCAAAAAGTAAACCAGCATGCCATACACACCATTGCTTCGAAGAGCATGAACTTCTTATGTGCGTGCATAGATCTAGCATTTCAACGTGAAGACCATCTGTCCATTGATCAGCCGTAGCGTGAGCTGAAACAGTTTAGGTACGCATATCCGTAATAATGGCTGAAGACAAAAGTGAATAACATTATCTCATACACTGTAATTGAAAAAAGCTTTATCACGTAGCATTATGATATCTGTAGCTTTTAGTCATTGTGCAACTTGTACCTACCATGGAGTTGTAGAGTAAGTAGGAGCTATGGTGGAGTAGAGTGTTCGGCAATCGGCAACTGGGGTTTTGCTAGCCGGAGTAAGCTTAGTCCTCCGCGAGTGATCTAGTCACCTGCCTAGTCTTTTACCCTCATCTCAACAATCGCATACTGACCCGGGAGAAAACTCCATTCTTAGCAACATCTACCGAGACACATGAGAAAGGGCTTAAGAGCTAGTATCGACGTAGTCGACACATATTGATGGCCAGCGCAGCGCCCATTCAAAACCGGCCATATCGTTCGCACAAGGTGCCCGCCTGCACCAGATGTCGATCGCGCAAAATTCGCTGTCATATCGATATCCCGGGAGAGCCATGTTTATCATGTCGAGAACGCCGGTTAAGATGTCAATATGTGGAATCATCGACCAGTTCACCAACCGAAGATAACAGTGACCGAAAACCTGCAAAACGCCGCAGAATCAGCCAGGACGATGGAATAGAAGGTGGCCCATTGCGGCATCGTGCAGCACCTGTACTGCATAAAGCCACAAATAACCCATCTGCATCCATCATAATGGCATCGCATCTTGCCGAGGATCTTGACATCTTCAATCGACACCTTGCCAAGCATCGCAAGCCGGGGGGTGAAGCTGCGGAGACATCGACGTACCAGACCCTCAACCATGACGTACAAGATCCAATCGTGTACCTTACTGTTCCAAGATTTCGGACAGGACTACCACCTGGCAGCGGATGTGGGCGATCACAGCTGGACATCCTCGAGCAGATCATGGGCCCGTTCAAGCGCGAGGTTGTAGAGCTATACTTCAAGCATCTCCACTACCACTTCCCAGTTCTGGATGAAGAGATGTGTGCGCTGCTACGCAATGGCGAGCTTGATAAGGCTCCAAATAACCTTATGTGTGTCATCTATGCTCACGGATCACCGCTTTGGACAAGATCGGAGACATTGAAGATGCACCCAAAACCAGATGCGCATTACGTTTGGAACAAAGCTATCTCGGCAACATTAGAAGACTTTCTGAGTCCAGGCATGTCGACAATATCAACCGCTATTCTCGACCAAATCGGCCGCCCGTCTGTTTCTATTGTTGGCAACATTACGCTCTGCGGTAAGACTGTTTCGCTTGCACAGACATTTGGCCTGCATCGCGACCCAACTAAGTGGCATATAACGGATAACGAGAGATCCGTGCGAGTTCGGTTGTGGTGGTGCGTACTCATTACAGATACGTGGTCTAGTGTTGCATACGGCGGGCCTCCGCATATCACGAAGGGCTACTATGACGTGCCACGACCGACAGTCAGCTCACTTATTAGTCATAAGGCGAATCAACAACAGAAACAGGCCACCCTTTGTTTTGTCCACTTCTGCGCCTTGACCGAGCTTGTGGGGTCGATTATCCCTCTAATCTACCAAATCGAACCGGACCGGATGCAATTATCACAACAAGTGGCCTACTTCAAACGCGAGCTGAACAATTTGGAGGCTCAGTTACCCACATGTGAGTCATGTTAAACATCGCGGTTTCCTTCAGTCTTATATACTGATCAGAATGTAGGGCTCCCTCTTCCTAATCAGCCGGGATCAAGCAACCTATGGTTCTGTTTCTTATCCACTCGCCTACTTCTTGCCCGCGTGACGCTGCGCTCTGCGGTCTTAGAAGGCGACAGTACACTTGGACGAGACAGAATGCATCAGCTACGCACAGCTTCCTCGGCAGTCCTGGACTTTCTGCTTTCACTTGGCGAACTGCAGTTCCATGATTTCTGGCTCCCATACGTGACACATCTTCTAGTTCATGCCATCACAGTGTCCCTCCGATGCACAGTCGAAACTCAGGATCCGGAGTTACGCAATACATCTGTAGACCGACTCCAAAGGGTCATTGCGCACATCCAACATGCTTTTGATAACTACGACTGGGATTTGGCAATTTACTGTCTCGAGAGATGTGCGGAGCCAGTATCTAGGATTGCATCTTTGAATTCGAGGGAGCCTGCCCCACCGTCCGAGACCGAGATTGCAAGTGTGGCCCCGCTAAATGGACACGACACTGGTATTGAGGTTCCGCCAGTGCCAGCATTCGACGATACGAACTTTCTACTTTCCGATGTCTTGGACCCGAACGCATTCGACTTCTCGTGGGAGGCTCTGTGGGACACTCCTTCCGGCATGACGAACTTTGCCATCTGAAGAACTGTCGTCGTACAGACGTACAAAGATTATCAAGAAGTGGCGGATTCAACTTCTCGCTGGCCTGAGAATGCGGACCGAAACTTGATGCCAAAGTACCCAGCAAATGCTGAAGACCGCCGTGCTGCTGGAGTCGCCTTGAGTGTGTCTTTGCGCAGTCCAAGTCAGACATGCTGAAGGCGTCTCGACTGAGGGCAGCAATGGATGTTATGAGGACATTTCGACCGAACGTAAATCTCTCGGTTTTACAGGATATGAAGGGAGCTGGTTGAACGATGCGCGGATCACCTAATAACGATATGGAAAACAACCAGGATATCGTCAAGTACGATATCCTAACTATTACATAATGATAATGTATCTGTCTCACGAGTAGTGCCGGTGCTATCTACTCTATACAACCATTGCGATTACATCAGGTACAGTGTCAAGAGACACATTGTCACAGGGTTGTAGCAGATTAGGTCGGACATGTGTTGCTGAGTAACATTGCAAACAGGCTCATTCTCATTCGATATGCATAGACGCTTGAAAATACAATCACATACCTCCCATCTGACCTCTCGGTACCAAAGAGCGACATGCCTCCCACGAGTCAATCACAGTCTGCTCAGTCCAACGACCTCCCTCGGTGCATGATAAGTGGGCACCTTCATGTCAAGCGCTGCACCGCTGTATCCCAAGTCCTCACCAGTCAACATAGCGCACTTCTCGCCAATGAGCAGCGCAGTCGAGTACGTGTTGCAGCCGACATTGTCAGGACAGATCGACAGGTCAGCAACCTTAAGGCCCTTAACGCCGTGCACGTTGAGGCGCTCATCCAACACACCATGCTTGACAATGCTATTACCATTCTTGGGCGCCATGGAACAGGTGCCAAGAGAGTGCCAGGTGGTTTCAACGTGGCCTACGAGTATGTCAGTAAGTTTCATGAAGAGACGAGACGATGAGTATCGCGTACGCTTGACCCAGTCTATGACATGCTTGATGTCTTCATTGGTGTAATGCAGATCCTCGAGGACATGTTGCGAGTTGGAGTTAAGGAAGCTTGGGCTCGGAGCCTTGCCCTTTTCGAGTGGCATGGTCCAGGAGCCGTGCTGGATACCGGCGGTAAGATTGCCAGGAAGGGCGTACTACAATATGGTCAGCATGTGCCACAATCAGAAGGGGGAAGCTACTCACGGCGTTGGTGGTGGCCAGGTCCATATCATTTGCTCGGGCAGGACTGTCGAATGCATAGAATGGGTGCATCGATTGCACCTCACCGGCGTACGCATCCATACGGCGTGCTGTCTCACGAGACTTGACGTATCCCCAAACTATTCACCTGTCAGCTTATATTCTCGTGAAGGCTTTGTCAGTACGTACCCATAGGTGCCATATCACGCCTATCGTTCATGAAACCCGCATCGAAGTCGGGAGCATCGTATGGGTTAGGCGAGGTGATGTGAGTCGAACCACGCGAGAACGGATACTCCAGGAAGTGGAACATGGAAAAGAACTTCCCGGGCGGCATGACCATATGATCGCCGAACCAACCAGCAATGACGGAGTAATGCATGACAGGCTTGTCGGGCTTGTCTTTGAAGTAGCTGTCCCAACCGGACCGGAACTCTGGACAGGGCCACTTGTCCATAAGTGTGAGCTCCTCCTCTGTGGGGCGAATCTTGACACCTGCCTCGATACCGTTGGTAGCAAGAGGGCCTGTGCCGTTCAGGTTCCACTGGTCGAAGACTTGTTTCTGAATTGCAGGATCTCCTCGAACAAAGTCATCGAACGACTCGACATGTGGCTTAGCACGGTATGTCGAGAACGTCAAGTAATGATCCTGGAAGTTGAGACCAACACCCGGGAGGTCGACAAGAGGCTTGACGCCAGCCCTGCGGAGCTTCTCTGGGTCACCGATGCCGGATCGCTGGAGAATGAGCGGTGAGCTGAGGGTACCTCCAGAGACGATAATCTGCTTCCTGGCCCTGACAATCTTGGGGGCCAATTGTGCAGGGGACAGAGGCTTGGTAGGAACGACCTGGACACCGACTGCGCGGTCACCCTCGAGGATAACCTTTTCGACCTTGTTGTTGACCATGAGGTGCAAGTTCTGGTGTACGGCGCGAGTGCTGTGAATGTATCCATGGGCAGAATCAGACCGGCGTCCGGTGTCACGGTTGATCCACTTGAGCCAGTGCTCAGCTCCGTGGCCAGTCACCAGATCTTGGAGATCGTCGGTGGTAGGAATGCCTTGAGATTCGGTGGCTCTCAAGAAATCCTCCTTGATGGGGTAAGTGTAGTTGCCAAAAGAAACCTTAATCGGGCCTTCAAATCCGTGGATATCACGGTTGTTGCAGGAGCGCTGGTAGGTCTCATGTTTCTTCATGAGTGGGATAAGCTCCTTGGTTGTCCAGCCTTTGGCCTGGAAGTCATCATAATCGGAAGCAGATGCGCGAGTGTACATCTAGATAGCTGTCAGTAATAGTGGCAAACATGCAATCGTGTAATCTCTACCATGAAGTTGATGGAGGATCCACCTCCTAAGATATGCGCGCAAGGCACAACAGCTCGACGTCCGTCGAGCCATTCGGAAGGCCGTGAATAATAGAACGAGGCAGTCTTGCTATCCAGCTTCATGTTACGCGGGTAGATACCCGGTCGGAATACCCAGGGGTTGTTCAAATTCGACTCGCCCGCCTCAATCAAGAGAACCTGGAGGTTATGGTCCAGGTTTGCCAGTCGCCCAGCGACGACGCAACCACAACTACCTCCACCACAAACGATGATATCAACCTGTCATGGTCAGTCGCTGAGTGAGTAGAGCTACAAGCTGCATACCTCATCTGGGATCGTCATCTTGGTTTTTACCAGGCACAAGTCTTATTCAATTCAGTATTGACCACTGTAGATGTCACCACAGGAGTACAAAGCCAACTGGGCATGATTGCGCAATTGCAGCAGGAAGAACGATCTTTTAAAGCCACCAAACCCCGCTTTTTTGGCTTTTCGGCATCAAGGAGATATGTCACATGAGTATAGACACTAGACGTTTTCAAGGGTATGGCCAGGCAGTATCTAGATCCTGCGTGAGCGAAATGAGGGGATGGTACATGTCTCCAGCCTCAGACCAGGTACTCCATCGTCCTAGGATGGCTAGCCACCGATGTGCAGTCTCAATAGAGATGGCCGGATAACAAGTCTGCGGCTATGTCCACAACAGACGTATACGTTGCATGCGGATCCGCTGCGCCTGGCGCTCGGCCTCGACAATCTTGGTGGAGGCATACGAGCATGATTGGTTCATAGCATCGGCTGATGGAGCGCTTCCAACGCAGTGGATCTATGGCCAGGGTTGTCAGGATCCGCCATGCAAGACTCGTATGCTTGCTACTGTAGTGAGATGCGGAGAAAGTTTGCGACCAGTCAGATTGGAGTTGTCAGGGGACACGGTTACACTGTTTGCAAGATAATTGCGGACCCGGGTCTGCCAGTGCTTGGAGCATCGAATCACAGCGTTGAGATCCGAAGCCAGGCTGCTGACGACGTGGGTATGGAGTTACCGGAAGCTCCCTACGGACCGAATAAGGTGAGAGATTGAACATGAAAGCTGGATAAACTCAGCAGCGACTGCCTCGTCGGTTTAAAGTTCGTACAAACAGACATCCGGTGTCAAAGCCTTACTTGTCTATGCGACATGTTAATGGCGAGAAGAGAACCTCCTGCGGTTATGGCGTAGGACGACATTAGCTCGGAAACTATCAGCGGGGGGCGCACGGGGGTGACGTTAAACCCGCATCAGGTCTTCGCAACGTCTGTGGGCCGAATCTCCTCGTGGAACACACGGCTGTGGGGTGCAGTAGCTTCGTTCTTCTGAGGGGGTTGTGACCTTGGCACCAACACTAATAGCGGGAAGTGCGGGGAATAGGCTAGACAGCCGGTCGTTGCTCTGCTAACAGTACCTTCTTTTCATCTCACATGGAATAAATCTCGAAGTATATCCTGACCATTGATATAGTTGTAGATGCCCTGGGGGCGTAAACAACGTTTGAAAACTGTGCTGGGGATTGCCCACCCTTGTTATCATTCATAGCAGTAGCTTTTGTGGGAACATGGGCGGCTAAACTCGAGTGGGGTGCATGCTAAACGTTGGCTGGGGGGTTCCTTGAAGGTATGGATCGAGTCGATACGGTTCAGGCGGATCGCGCATAACTCGAGATTGTCCGTGACGCAGCCATATTCTACCGAACCGGAAGCAGCGGACACTGTATTGCGGCCAGCTCTCTACTTGCATTGTCCACACATGCCACTGGAGTACTGATCACTTCTAGGACTGTAAAACTAGCGCACATTCTCGTTACTTTGGAAAAAAGAGGGGCCTAGGAAACAATAGACTTTTCAGCGCTTCCTCGACACGGGAGGCGGATTCGATGCTACTGCATCGTCCTTGATTCAATTGAAAGACTAACTCCGATCTATGAAGATTACGGGAAGCTTATGCCCTCCGCTATGAGGCGACAACCATGAGCGGTTGGTTTTCCCCGTTGTAATGAAAAAAGGTATTCCCAACTCCATGGAGCATGCATGTTCTTACGAAAAGAGAAAATTCTGTCAAAGGCTACGAGTGTGACCTTCGCAACTTAGTGTGAATACCGAGACCCGGCAACCAGGTACCGCTCAGATGATCTCGTGTCGCTCCCACCCAGTGGGCTTCTGGTGCGCAAGATCTTTGCTTGGATGTGGCTTTGTCACGTCCTTGTACTCGCTCGCGTAGGGGTTCGGGTCTTCTTTCTGGTCGAGATTGCCGAGGGTGTGGTTCACTTCCCGATGCTTGCTCTCATCTGCACGAACTAGGTTCATGTTAGTCGGTGCCGTCAAGCCAGGGGCGTTTCGTGGTATGCTTACTGTACAGTAGTAGATCTCGCATAGTGCGGTGACCTTCGGGCATGTTCCAGTACTCGATTGCGATGTCGGGAACCTGCAGCTTCTCCCATTTAGGCAGACGCCCTGCATCGAGGTCTTGGATTTGGCGTGTGTACGTAAAAACGGCTTCTTCTTCGAGGTACCCAACAAAGCGGTGGACGAAGCGAGGGCTGATGAGATACGCAAAAAATAACGCATTACACCAAACTCCCTGGGCGCCCAGAACCATGAGGCGCATGAACAGACCAGGCTTACTCATCTTCATGAAGGTGAGCAAGTGCATCCGTTCGTTGTAGCTCTCTTCGAGCAGTGTTTCGATCCTGGATTCTAATCAATATCACCACAGAGCGCAGACGGGTTCAAAACTTACCATCCGTTGTCTCGTTTCATGCGCCTCATTGAGTTAAGATGCCTGATCATACCTGCAACCATTCCAGGTACGCCAGCTACGCTCTCAAGGAAGACGTTTCTAATCATGTACTTCTCTTCAGTCATAGCACCGTCCTTGTGCTTATAACCTGTAGCCACATCCAAGCCCCATCGAAGTACCCTGGTAGCAAGAAGAGCAGCCTTGTCTGAGGTTGTCTGACTTTCTCTATGAGCGACGGTGACTGCGTTCATCTGGTCCTGGTTGAATGCTGGTAGATGTGTCAGTGTATATCTTCTATAGAATCGATGTTTGCATACCCGGATGAGGCCATGCCGCCGGCGTTCTCCTCACCAATTCTGTTTCTTTCTTCTCGAAGAACTTTTGGATCTTGGGGCTTTCTGACGAGGAAAAGTGGCGTTGACCAGCTGGGGCCAGCTGAACATGCTGGGCAACCACGAACGTAGGTCGTATCGAGCAGCTATTGAAGGACTTCAGCAGCTGAGCTGTCGCATACCCAGAGGCAGCGGACCCTCGTGAAGCTAGCCTGGTAGCAATCATTGGTGATCGTGTGGTCAATATGTGTTGTTTCTGTAGTGGTGGATACTAATGGTGAGCCGAACTTCAGATTGAGGCACGCAATGGCGCCTTATATGGTTAAGGGATTGGTGCGCAAGTTTCTAAAACGAGCTGCAGGTCAGAAACTGCCTCAATCTGGTAACTGCAGTCGACGTAGTCATCAAAGGGTGAAGCAGGAAATGCAGGGCTGAACGGCCACCGGTGGATCATCATTGTAGCGCGCCTCAACCAGACCGTCCAATAGGATTTGCTGTTTGAGTCACGTAAGACGTGTACGGTCGCGTGCAGAAGAAAGGTTTTGGTGTTTGGTGGCTGTGGAAGGGTCATGACGATAACTGGCCGGGAACGCTACCTCAGCTGCGAACGGCCAAAGACGCTGCAACGTGCCCGAGAGCACGCAAAGTACCCGGAAATCTGTCTCGGCGACCCATATAGTCTCCGGTGCGTACTCTAGGAGCCGTGTCACTCACTAGGATTTACGAGTTGCCCTCGCCAAGGCTCCCGAAAGGACAAGCATACCGTTTGAGGCCTCCGATAGATTCTCGCTCGGCGTATCGGCGACCATCAACGGGTCGCCGTTGCCTCTACTACTAGTGTCGAAGCCAGCTTCGACATCGTACATTACTTGGTACCTATGTACTCACAGCTCGACTGTCGAAGTCTTATAATGGGTACCTTCTGATCTTTGCAGACTTGCTGGCATGCCCTTCATATCGTCTTGCGCCTCACAAGGCTGCCTTGCGCGGGGTTGCTGCGCTTACTAGGTGTGACAAATGCGCTTTGGCTTGCATTTCACAGGATCATGCACATGCTCGAGGAATGCCTGATCAGACAAAGGGAGACAAAGCTCGTGAGAGACGATATTGGTTTACTATCGCGCGCAGTTGTTCCGTAATCCCGTTCTCTCTCCCGCGCCTGCTTTCGACAAGGCTTTTTGTCTTACTGTACAGTGAAGCTGCTTTCGCCACTCTTCGATGAGATGTCACTTTGCTCTACAGTTGAGACGGACGCTGCTGGAGGGCCCTTGTTCAGGTGTTGAACAAAGTCCTTCAGTTGGTCAGCACTGCCCTGCGCCTCGCCTTGTACCTATTCAAGATGAGCGTTGTGTAGACAGACACATCAAGATGGAAGACACTCACGGTGCCGTCTGAGGAATTTGTCACGAAGCCCGTGACGCCAATGCTCTTGGCCTGCTTCTGGGTGTAAGATCTAATAGCTTGGTTGAGTCACTTGACCGAGCATTCAAGTGACTTCACATACCTGAAGTTGACACCTCATTGTATCGTTAGCAGGGGACAAGCAAATTTGGTTATCGGTCTTACCTTGCACCTCACCATCAACAGTGAAGGAGATCTGCGATATCAGCTCTATTATAATCCGTGAAACCACAATGACGTACTCGCTTGTCAGACATTCTGGTGGCTGCTGTGAAGAATCGTTTCATTCGAGGGTCGGCTAGACAACAAGTGCTACGAGTGCTACAAGTTCCAGAGAGCGATGGATTTGCTCAGCTGGCGTCTTTTCGTGCCTCTTTGCGACACTGCTGTCCTCTAACGCAGGTGCGCAACGTCATGGTGAAAGAACGCGCGCCCGGTAATTGGACAGCAAGGGTCTACCCGCCGCCAGAAATGCGGGACCCGTTGAGCTCAAGGAAGACCACCACTGGCATTGGTACAGCCTAGACGACCGCAAATGGTTTCATACCGGCCTGCATGCCAACTCCGAGGCCATACCGCCGCACGCCCACTTTTCACTGCTGCCGACGGTCGCGTGCGTGATGCTTGAGCTCTCACGCTAGTGTCGCAAAACAACGCGACAGGGCTCGCGTCGCTAGGTAATCAAACACCCCTTTCGACACACATGGCAACTCCCGTGATTCACCCATGAACATTTGCAAGCATCGGCCAGACTGCACTTTTGCAGCTCCACCGCGCATGTCCGCACCAAAACACCCACGTAACTGACCCCGAGTCTACAAACAACATCCACTGCAAGCACCCATCGACATCCCTGCCATCCCAACATGGATTCGATGCCCACGCCCCCACCAGAGCGAGGCTCTTCGCCTGAGCCATGGGCCACACCAGGCCTTGCGCTGAACGCAGTGCCGCAACTCGACCGCTCCGTATCGACAGCCTCGAGCGTATCGTCTCGTTCAGTGGGCTCCCGGCTTTCCGAGAGCGGCTTGCCGGGGAAGAGGCGGGGTTATATGCGGCCAGAGGGGACACAGTTTTCAGATTCGGCGAAGAACAGAGAAAGCGTTATGAACCTGGGAACCATCGCACATCTGCAGTATTACTTTGCGAGGACTGGGCTGCTTGATGCCGCCACCGGACGAGTAGCAAGGACTAGGAAGTCGGGCTCCAGAAGCCCTGGTGGCACCGAAGTGGGGGGCGACGTAGCCATATTGTCGCCTGTGTCGCCGTCTCTCGCAGCTTACGATTTTGGAGAGAGTATAGTTGAATCGCCACGCGATGAGACGGCCTCTATGGACTGGGAAATTGCCGAGCCCATGATGCTACCGCCTACCGTCAGCACTTACAAGCAGAATCCCGTTTATGTACCACCGCCCCCGGATATGACAGTACTGCGTCGCGAACTGCGCGAGGCGCTCGACGAAGCCAACAAGCATCTGCAAGAGCTGGAGAAAGAATTTAATCGGGGTGACCCTGCAGCGAGCGGCGGTTCGGGTCCTCGCTCGGCGGATGCAGCCGGCTGGCATGAGATCCAAGGTCTGAACCTATTGGATGTCTCCACTTTGGCTATCAGAGCTGCAAAGAACTACTACACTGCACACGAAGAGCCACAGCGACTATATGCTATCAAGGCAGAGCGCGAAATTCGCAAAGAACTCTACGAAGTCTTGGAGGTGCTGAAACGTTTGGCTATCCGGAATTTTGCCAACGGTGTGCAGCCCTACGAAGTCACGCAGATCAAACAATGGATAGATGATATTGGCGACTTGCTCGACACTGAGGAAGAGAAGGAGCAGCTGGAGCATGCGGAGCGGGAGAGTTGGGCCTGGCGTGAGGGCGACTGGTCAGGCCGGGAGCGTGAGAGGGAGCTGATGTTCTTGAGGTCTTTTGATAACGATGCAATCCCTCTGCCTGACTGGATGGAGCCCACTGAGAGCAGTCCTCAAACACCGTTCCTGCTGTCTTTGCAGAACGGCCTTCGACTTGTCCACCTACACAACAGCCTGGTCAGGAAATCACGTCGCCACTTTGGAGAGATCAAACAGCACCATACCGACACAGCGAAACCGTATCGATGTGCCGACAACCTGCGGTACTGGGTCAAGGCCGCAGAGCTCCGCTGGGACATCAAATTGGATGTCGATGTGCTTGGCATCGTTCAAGGCAACGAATTGGCTGTGTGGCGACAATTTGATGCTGCTGTTCTGGCGTGGTGTCAAGGCGTGCGCGAAGAGATCACTTCAGAGTGGCTGAGGCAGAAGAACCAGCCACGCGCTCCGACTCTGCACATTCGCAACCCCAGCATCGAGGCGAGCGTGTAGGAGCAGAGGCCGAGAGCAGACGGACCTCGGTTGGATTGGTGCTGCGACGCATCTGCGGACATTTTCTATATCTCCTTCATTGTCTGTGTTCCCACATACGAGTACCTAATTTGTACAAAGCCGCCCTACAGCCGCCGGATCGCGCTAGAAGGCATCGTGTGGCCAGGGCTGGAGTGCCTCTGACAGACGACGACTGTACGGGCGATGCACTCCCATATTTTTTCCTCCTCGACCGGAGCCAGATACCCCATTTTAGCAGCACTAGCATCGCTGCAGTAGCGTAGCATTTACATAGCCAAGCGGCCTCGCGCCATTTCCCCACTGACGGTGCGGAACAACGCCTATAGTGAACGTGTCCTATTGCTCCACGGAAGCGGCCGAGAGGGCAGCGAGGAAATGAGGGTATCCCAGGATACGGGACACGGACGCAGTTGGTGGCGTTTGAGATGACATTGATAAACTTCTGGAAACAGGGGTCAAGCTAGTGAAGATTGCGGTTCGCCGGAGCCGAGTGTCAGGATGGCGGACAGCCGTTCTGAGTGAAACAGCAGTGTCGGCGGCGCAGAGGCGGCGGGACAACGCTGGAGGCTGCAGGCGGGCGAGTGCACCCACACATACACGCAAGTCGCGGACGTCCACGTTGCTCTCCCTCCGCTCACGGCTAGGCTGCTGCACGCAGTGTTGTTTGTTGACAGGCGCCACTAGCGAACGCGACTTCCCCGACCGAGCCCGCCCTGGTCCACCACCGGTCCACCAGCTCCCTGCACCGTCCGCACAGTCGCTGCTTCCTCTCCCTCCCATGACGCAGAGCAGCTCCCGCGGCCCAGCAGCAGCAGAGAATGACCCCATGAACAACCTGCGTGCGCTGCAACCGGCCGACAGCCCCCCGAAGCGTGAGGTGGCAGCGACACCGCCTAATCCCGCGCCAGCGAACAGCACCGCCAGCAGCGCCAGCACCGCCAGCACCGCATCGTCGCCCCCGCGCACCCAACTCCGGCGCACTGCCTCGAACAGCAGCAGCATCCTGGAGAGCACCACCAAGCTCGCCCGCAACGTCTCCCCTGCCCTACTGGCGCGCATGAAATTCCTCAACCACGCCAGCGACACCGCCAGCGCCAGCAAGTTTGCGCCAGCCCCGACGTCGATTGGCCGCATTGCCGAGGAGAAGATCAAGCAGCTCGACGACTTCCACTCGACCAAGCGCACCTTCAGCATCGAGCGCCGCGGCACCACCTGGAGCAGCGGCACCGGCAGCCAGCTGGGCACGCCGCTGATCCCGCAGCTGACGGGCGAGAGCGTCCCTCCGCTGGTCATGGAGCGCGACCTGGAGAGCGACATCAGCAGCGTCGTCAGCACCAGCGACCGCGTGCTGCCCTCCGAGTCCGACGTCGAGAACGACCATGTGCTCGACATGCAGAAGTACCGCCTGCCCGACATCACCAAGACCAAGACCCTGAGCCAGACCATTGCCGAGCCCGACGCCGCCCCTGTCGCCCATGTCGACCGCCCACCCACCCCGCCGCCCAAGGACACCCCGTCCCCGCACTTCGAGGACGAGGTGTCGGTGCTCGACTCCAACAACACCGTCGACGTCGCCTCCTACTTTTCCCACCGCCACCTCCACCGCACCAACTCCATCTACACCCTGTCCAAGGCGAGCTTCACCAACCAGATCCAGCAGCTGACGTCGATGAAGCTCCCGCCCACCACCATTGCCTCCGAGATCACCGCGCTCCCCTCGTCCACGCTCGCCGGCCGCGCGCTGCACAGCTCCGCGAACGATATCCGCCGGTGGATGGCCAAGGCCACAGAGGTGCTCAACGGGCTCGATGCCGACGACGACGTCGAGTGGGCTGCGGCTGCAGGGAGAGAGGGTCTCGCTGATGTCGATGCTGCTATTGGCAAATTCGAGGGCCTGGTCACCGTCTACATCACCGCCATCGAAGACCTGCAGTCGCGACCAGACATTTCAGCGCTGCCGCTGAAGGACCAGACTACTCTCGTCACCCAGATGGAAGAGATCGTTGGCAACTGGAGCGAAATCAAGCGCACACTCAAGGGCATCAAGAACCAGGTCGAGATTGCCATGGAATGGGAAGAGCTCTGGAACTCTGTACTAGGCGAGATTGGTGCTGAGGTCGAGACACTGAGCCGTCTGGTGTTCGAGATGGAAGAGCGCCGACATCGTGTCATATCTGACTCGGTCGCCGAGTCTGCAGAGAAGTTTGACATTGCTGATCTCGAAACCATTGTAGAGGAGACACCGCGCCAGAACCGGACGCAGAACAACCGGCTTAGTATGCCGCCTACACTCACCGTCATGTCGCCAACCTCTCCCATCCCTCAGATTGAGCAGGAGAGCTCGCGCCTCCTTGAGATCTTTGCCAAGCTACAGCCACTGCGTGCCTCGCTGGACTTCCTTCCCATGCGACTAGCTTCGTTTGAGATGAGAGCGAGCAACATGTTCCCATCTGCGTGTGATGAACTGATGCGTAGGAAAGACCACCTAGAGAAGCAGGAGAAGAACCTGGAAGCCGAAGCAGATGCCCTGAGAGAGGAACTTGGCGAAGACAAGTGGGTGCACAGCTTCAGACAGGCTGGCAGCAAAGCTGTAGCCATGTATGACTCGTGCATGAAGAGTATCGAGAGGCTGCAGCAAGCTATCAACGACGCTGACGAGGAGAAGCTTGGATCACGCATCTCCACATATCAAGATAAGAGAGACCACTACCCACCTTCCATGAAGAGAGTGCTCGAGTTGATCGATATCGAGATGAAGCACAGGTCCACTGTCAACGGCGAGATCCTGCGCATTCAACAAGATGTTCGGCAGAAGATGTCAGACTTGGAGGCGGGGATTGAGCGAATGGACGCCATTCTTGACGAGGTGCCTGCATCACGCAAGCTGCGCGACTCTGTTTCCACTGTCCTCTCTATGCGTACCGAAGCTTCCTCCACCGCCGAAACTCCTAGTAGTTCTCCGGCATCGAGCGTCGTAATGAGCCGCAAGGGTAGCGACTATGGAATTGTGACGCCCGCAGGCCGGAAATCACGTCAGTCCAGTACCTCCACAACGAAGTCGTCTGCTCCTCCGAACCGCCGATATTCGAGCTTGCCCGTCATCCCAGGAAGCGTACCTCGCAAGTCACTGCCTTCTACGTACTTGGAGCCGACAATTGCTCGAACAATGGCAAGCACACCAACACGCATGTCCCGCTCATCGACCCCTGCGACAGAGCGCCCTGCGCACAAGCCGCGGTGGAACACAAGTACCAAAGTGAACGACACGGCTGTCAGTCATTATTACAAGGCACTACCTGCGACGCCACTAAGAAGTGCTTCGGGACAATCGTCGATACCCGTTCGAAGTGCGCTGGGCCGAACCTCAATGCTTTCGCCTTCTCCATCCGCTCAGTCCACTGCCGCAACGCCCATGAAATCGTCAATGAGACGTCCTCTGGCGAGCACGCTGCAAGCACCCGCTACGCCACTCAAAAGCCCGACCTTTGCGCATGGCACGCCTTCTACTGGAACCCCCAGTTCTATTCGTCGTGTGACAATCGCGGATGATGACAATAGCCCTCCTACCGAGGAGAGCCCCGTTTCTCGGCGCACCACTCGCCCGCCAAGCGCAATGAAAAGTCGCCGCACCAGTCTTTTGCCTACCCCTGCGTCACGAACTCTCTCAACCACGCTGTCCACCCCGGCTTCGACACCTGCTCGAACGACCAGCAGACTGGGCAACACTGAGGAGGGCAGGAGGAGCAGGGCCGGTGATGGCCGATCCAGCCGCGTCAGTGGTCGACAGTCGAGCGCAGGGGATAGGCCGGGCTGGAGATAGGCTCTTACAAGGCGACCATATCTTCTCGACGTCTGAGGAGCGCAACCTTCTCGTACTTCGTTCTTACGGACCCTGGCTGGTCCACTCCCTTCTACACGCCCCTGCAAAGGCTATGGTCACGTCACCTAGCATTACATCACGCGGGGCAGTTTGTTACATGGCACATGGATTGCATGTGCCGGCGTTTATGGTGGATGGGAAAGCGTATCCTATACCCTGGTGTTTGATTCTTGATTTATCGCTTTTGTTTTCGGAGACAGCACGCATTGCACAACCATGGACAACGTTGAGCATTGCACAACAGACACGCGACTGTACACCAAACTGTAGATTTCCCGCTGACAGAGTATTTGAGTAGAGAAGAGAACTAATCGCGTCACGAGCGCCTGCGCACATGGTCGTAGAGATAGAGATATTAAGCAATCAACATGTCAGTTGGCGTCCATCTTTACAGCCGATGTGCCGGTTTCCTCATAGGCCCCCTTGTGGCTTGTCCAGTACACTTCCACGCATGCTCGTTGAGCTTATAGTCACCCTCGTTACTCCTGTGTATCTGCATATTGTCCTTGAAGACGTCTTTGTCATGATGCTTGTCGCACCTCCCTATCCCGTAGAACCTCTCCCCAACCCGCAGCACCTTCCCCACCGGCCGGCCCACCACACACCGCTTCATCCCCGGCTCGTCACCCGGCTGCTGCAGTCGCTCGGGCGCAGGCAAGTACTCCTCCATGAACGCAGGCACATTGTCAGGCGCAGTACCTGCAGCGGACGGCATCACCGTGTCGCTCCCGCCGCTCGTCTTGCAAGACCAATCTCCGCCCTGTCCTTGTGGCGCCCGCCCGTACTGCAGCAAGTTCAACTCGCTTTCGATCTCGGCCAGGGCTGCGTACTGGTGCTGCATGTCTTGCAAGGCGGATTGGAGCACGCCATAGCACGCTGAGCGGGCACGTGCTAGACGCGCGATATCGGCTTGCTCACTGAGTGTCCATGGATGAGGGTTAGGCAAGGGAAAATGAGGTGTGTGTTTGGGACTATTGGTGTCGAGCTCGAAACACGGGGTTGTGTTGGGGGTTTGCGGTCTTGGTGGCAGTGAAGTATGGGGTGCGTTGGTCGATACTTCTGGGAGCACATCAGAATTCCCGCAATGCAATAGTCCGGGGATATGGGTCGAGTGTTGGGGTTGACTGAATGCTGCGTCTGTCTGCATCTGAAACCGTGCAACTTGCTGTTCATAGCCCTGTGGCATGATGGTTGCCAAATTGTGTAAACCATTGTAGCTATAGCACTGACCTGCATGGTGCAGGCCGTGCCATGGTGACACTGACCACGGAGCTGGCGTATAAGGCCAGAACCAAGATCTTGCTTCCATTCCCTCTTCTTTTTTGTTATGATGTTTGTTATGATGTTTGTTCAAGAGCGCAACTGTTGAGATGCTGTCTCCGTTGCTGCAAGACCTGTAGCTATAGACAGTTATTGCCATTTCCACAGCGGAAACTAAGGGGTTAGGTATATATACTACTCCACGAGTGTTGCCAGCAGGCGACAGCGCAGGAGGTATACGTCCATCTGCGCTGCGCGTGAGCGCAGCGAGTAAATCCACATGTTACCTACGTGTTAAAATAATCATCTGACCACCATTTTGGCCAGAAACATGTAGTACTCTTCATGTGTGTTAGCGAGATGTCTTGTACAGCGTATGGCAATGGAGCTAGAATGTGAAGAATGGGGGCTGGCGGGGAGATTTCTTTTTTGTGACGTATGAAGCGCTATCGCCACGTTGTACCCACTCGATGTTGTGCAATAGCTGTAATATAAAGCGAGCTAGTAGCCATCATGAAAGTAGAACCAGCGACCCATCCACATTTACGTGATTTAAAGAAGTTGGTGGTGGAGGGAGTGTTTGTAGGAGGGTTTGAAAATTCTTGTATTGGGGAAGCTCTGTCACGCGGGATGCCAAGTGAAGGCGACTAAGGATCCAACTTTGCTTATGCATTTACCGGTTTCCTTCACGGAGACGATTATAGGACTAGCCGTGTAACAAGTCGAGTCGGGCACATCTCGTGTGACCAGACAGCGCGCTTGCGCGGATGGTTCTGGGTCTCTGATCAAAGTCAAGAGATGGGACTTCGTGCTATCACAAAAGTCCAAACGCGCTCGCTAACCTCTGTAGCTCTGGTTCAAACTGTCCATGTAACGGTGCAATCTCGTCACTCAAACACCGTCGAGATAATGCTCTGATACGTCTAATGCCGCTCTCGAAATAACCACGTTCCTTGGCTTGCTTGACTGCCTCTGGTCCCACCAACCTTTTAAGTTGACGTGCAATGATCATAGACTTTTCTTGTGGGGTAGCGTTCTTGAACTCTTCAACATCAGATACAGGCAATCTCGATTTTTCGTTGTTCAAATCGCCAGCTACCCTGTCTACGAGTGCCTTGAGGGGCCTCAGATCATCTTCGAAGATGCGCGCAGTCTCTTTTCTCTGTTGCGTCAAGCGCGCCAACAACGCGTCACAGTCGGCTTGCAGGTCAATATTCGAGTTCCACGTCAGTTTCTGAAGCTCGAGTATGGATTGCATTTGCCCGTAGGCGCGCGTTGCGAGGTAGTATGCATCCTCTGTGGGCTTGACTGCCGTGTAGATGGAGATTAGAATCCAGTCTCTCTGTATCTCGTCTGCGTTTTTGATGTCCAGCTCATGCACCCATTGTTCAAATGTGTGCCTTGGCTGACTGACACCTGCCAGCGACAATATGCTTCTCTGCGCTTCGTCAGTGTGATGACTCAAAGTACTCGCAAAAAGTCAATGGTTATGTCTTACATATGCTAGAAGACTTCTAATTTGTTGTTGACCGTTATTGAAAATGTCCTTCATCACAAGTATCTGTCTGTTCAGAGTGGTTGATAAAGCATCGAGGGCGTCTCTTCGCTCGTCGAAACATTTTGCACACTCGCGCCAGGCTGATATTATATCCGGTTCTATATCGGCCATATTTGTTGTTTTGGTTCGACGAAGATCAAGTTTGTGAAGAACCATAGTACTAGTAGTGACGGTTCCTCCAACGACGCCCTCGAAGAGCTCGCCTGTGAGGATATCGACTGCAAGTGTCTAGGCGGTCTGAAGGCCGGCGTTTACTGCGGCAATTGCCACCAACCCTCTTCCACCTGTGGGGTACTCGTGATCGAGAGAGTCAACGGACATACCCTCTAGTGCAGTATCAAGGGCGGCAGCTGTAGTTGTGACGTTACGAACGATTGAGGCAAGATGGATCGCGGTGCAACCGGTTGAAGGCTCAGATTTGATATGGATAGCGGAGCTGTCGCTGAGGGGATGTGCGACTCACCCGACGAGCTGGGAAATACAAGCTGGTACTCCATCGGTTCCAGTGAATGAGCAGCTAGGAGAAAATTCCGGCCCAAAGTTAGTAACAGGTACTGCAAATCGATACAACTAGATCATAGCTACTGTATACAACATATATCCTAAGCACATCTGACCAGCCACGGGCATGTTTGTACGATCCAACTTTTTCTCATCACAGTCAGTACGCCGCAGAACGGTAACCGAGTAACTCCGGCTGACGAGATTGTTCACACTTCTGGCCTGCAGTTTCACTTGTGGTCTTGTGCATCGGACTGACTAACCTAGAGCTGTGACGTCCAGACTCAGTTTAGGTTTTCAACTTGATTGTGGACAAGTTTCAAGCAGAAGGGAGGAGATTTGTGACTGGACGCTGCCCTAAAGATGTGGTTGCTCGGCCTCCTGAAATCCGGGCAAGACAAGATTACTGCTTCAGCATCAGGTCACACAAGAAGAATCAAGAATCGCAACGCCTCAACAAGAATTTTTCTCATTGGGGGGTATACGCATGATCAGGAGTGGAGTGATTCAATTATTTTTCTGCGGCTTATTAGCTGCGAAGGACATTGTTTGAATCCTACAAAGCTGCCAGGCGGCTGGCCGGACGTGCATGAGTGCAGTATCTTCATGTCAATTATGTAGACAATCATTGTTAGCCTTTCGGCGAGGCTGAGCGGCACGTTCGGCCGACTCGAGGCGCTGTTCATCCGTTGCTCGGCCGCGTGGCGTTCACTAGGAGTCGACAATGCCTATGACTAGATAAATTGGATCTAGTCAACTGGTAATTGGACGTACAAATACATTCTGACTTCATACTAACCTATCATGGGAACGACCTAATTGAGATGCCCGGCTGAACCTTGTGAAGTGTGAGTCTCCAAGCGCCCAGTTGATGGCTCGTGTCAGTAAGATTGGAAATGACGCAACAGCTGAATCTGGGGATGGTAACCGAGCAAACAATCAATAACCTTGCAAGCTTCAGGGTCCAGGGCGTGCCCCGGAAAGTGTGCCTGGCGCATGCACTTGAACCTGCACTCCATGCTTGGCAGATGGTCGATATCATTTCTGTCATGTAGATTGTTCGAATACGTCTATCCAGACTGTCAAGTGGTATCATTGCAACCAGGCTATTGAACCCCGATACCTGAAACAGTAAATGCACTGCTTGTCACAGAAACAATAAGAAAATCCGAGATATGAAAGACGACATCATGTCAATTACTTATCGACTATGTCGTAGCGGCTGTAGTCTAAGAACATGATGCCATCGTCCCACACACTAGATCCTCCATGAGTAGCCCTTAGACCAAAGCGTATTATAAAGTCAAAGAATACAATCGAAATGCTGCTGCGGCATGTGCGTAAGGAATCGTGGACGACCTCGAACTCCCATCGCAGTGCAGGAGGGTATCATGGTGCAGAGTCGAAGTCATTACCCGTAAGATAGCGTTTCCTTCCCCTTAACCACGAACTTGAAGATAAAAGAGCAGAGCAATCTCCACTCAAAGCATCAAACAAGCATCTTGAACTGCTTACAAGAAAGCAGCAAGGGCACCGACAACGGCGAGAAGGCCAACACCAGCCTGGGCAGCAGCGCCAGTGAACTCAGGCTGTGATAGAGTTAGTCTGGAGTGTTTCGGAATTCCGAATTGGGTATACATACAGTAGCGGGCTTGGTACCAGTGGGGTAACCAGTGGCAGTTCCCTGGGGAACGTGGGGAACGGTGGCGTTCTTGCTGGGGTAGGGAGCGTAGGTGGGGACAGCGGGGACAGTGGCGCTGTAGATGGGAGTCTCGTGCTTGCTGGTGGGCTTCTCGGCCTCAGGGGTCTTGGTGGTCTTGACGACGGTGGTGGTGTAAGACGAAACCGTGAGGGTAGTGGCGGAGGTCACAGTGTAGGTCTGCTCCTCGTAGGTCCTGATGAAATGTCAGTGCTGACTTAACAATGGTTACATTGGGAGAAAATTCTTACACGATCGTTGGGGTAGGGCAGACAAAAGTGGTCTCAGGCACAACCTTGGTGGAGGTGACCTGCTTTGCGTTAGCTAGCTGAAAGGGCATTGAGTTGCCAAACGCTGTCAGACCGCGGACACTCCGCGTCTCTGCATCGAGTGCCTCCTGCTATGTTCAGAAATGGGCATAACTTACAGGATACTCAGAGTAAACGGCGCTGGACGAGACGGGGTACTCAGAGTAGACAGGGGTGGAGGCAGCGTAAGCAGGGCTGCTGCTAGCCGGGTACTCAGAGTAAACGGGAGTGGAGGCAGCATAGGCGGGGCTGCTGCTAGCAGGGTACTCCTCCTCATAGACGCTGCTGGAGGCAACCTCGTAGGTGGGGACGGAGCTGCTCTCGACGTAGGCAGCGGGGGTGCTGGAGGGGTAGGTCTCGTAGACCGGAGTCGAGGACTCGACGGGGTAGACAGCCGCAGCGGAGGCAGCGCCAATGAGGGCAACGACAGCGAAGGAACGCATTTTGATTGTTGGGTTGGTATTAAGTACGTTGATATTAAGTACGGGCTTTGGAGGTCGTAGAAACGAGTGAAATCGGAGATATCCGGTGTATTAGTGTAGTGAGTGTGGGTGAAGAAGAAATGTCCTGGACATTGGGAAAGCTGCTTTATAGGAATCAGTATACGGGCTGACCAAGAGGGTCAACAGCAACGTACAGGGGCTCACATCGATAGTAACATCCACCAGCGAGCATCTGGAGAAGCTGGCCCGTGGTGGCGGCCTAGTGTACGCAGGATAGGGGGTATCGTTGCCGGAGAGCTTCGATAAGGCTGCTCGCTGAGCGCGTTTATTGATGGGAGCTCGGGAGGCCAATCAGAATACGATGAGGCGCAAAGAAACGAGATGAACGACCAATTTCCCCTGCCAAGGATGCTTCAGTCCGCTTCCTTTTCTAACTGCTTTCGTCTTGCAGAAGGTTAGTGCAAATATTATCCTCAACCGCAAGGTGCACAACCGCCAACTGCATGTGCACAAGAAGGATCTCGAAGCCGTGCCTGAAAGCCATATGAAGCGCGAGGTCGCACGATCATCAGCAGTGATTCGAAAATAGATCAAAGATTGGCAGTTCTTAACAGTGTTCACACTTGGCTGAAGTTTTCGCTTCTCGAACCGCGTGCATAGACGCTGAGGTATGCTAAGGGACCGTGTTGCGCACGCTTCAGCACAGCGACGCGGGATTTCATGCGAATCGTTGCTTGTGCTTGAACACGATTGGCAACGTCCATGCGCGCAAACGTAGCCGGACACCAATGGTGGGTTCTTCAATGGGCGGTCTCCCGACGCATTGAAGAGGTGCTGGTCAACGCTGAGGTGGAGACAAGCCGGCTGTTGTGTCTGGACCCCCAACTAAGATCTGACGGGGGCCGAGTGCCGAGGAGTGCAGAGCCGTGGATCCGCATTCGATGGATCTGTGGTGTTCGTGGTGTTCTCTGTCAATTGGCCTGCACGGTACCAAGACATCTCCCACTGGAAATTTGTTCGATACTCAGTCAGCTTGGGCTAATACACCGTCCCAGGGGTAAGTTCGTTCGCATTGCTCGGTTGGCCATAAGGCCTCCAAAGGCTCGTACACTGTCAACCTATCAGTGGTTCCCGAGTGTAATCTCGCTCAAATCCTCACGAGTGTTAGATGACGGGCTGCACAACGCCACATTGTTATCGCGCGCGTCGCGAAGAATCCATTGACGGGTGCGAAATGAGTAGGTGCCAATACGAGTAGCATTTGGTTTGATGGTTGTCACAATCGATCACGAATCCCGTGTTCTGAGTTTTTCGAGTCCCCAGGCTGTTTTCTGCAAAGGTAGCGATGCCGCGCGCTTTACAAGATTGTTACCTCGGTATGTACATACTGAAGCTGTTGTGCGTGTAAGACATCGGCGGTGCCTGTGGCCGCCAAGGCTCGGACTTTTGCAGCTCTCGGGTTTCTTCCGCCACTTCTACACAACAACATACACAAGGTCTATGCACAGACACTCGTAATCAACAGTGCATGTTACTACGAAGATAGATAACATCCATCGCCAACCGACTCATTGCTTGTACAGCATTACTTCGCATCGCCGTACCATTGGTGGGCTTTCTAGCATGCAAAATCACACGCCGAAGGATTGGCCAGAAGGCACCAAGTATCTACGTGCCCCTTCATACTCCAAAAGACTCGCCAAAGATAAACTGGACACACTCCTACTCTCAAAGACAGGCCAACCGTCAAGAGACCCAGTGTTGACAACAAGAGGCCCTTACGCAAATGTGAGGATCACCCCGATTGCCAACACTTCACATCCGGCGCATGGTCAGTATGGACTTTTCGCCGCACAACATCTAGCTCCAGATACGTTCATACTCCCGTATTTGGGATATGTACATGATCAGTCTGATTTGGACGAAGCATCAGATTACGATCTCTCGCTCGATCGGGAGTCGGGTATTGGCGTTGATGCTTCGAAGATGGGCAACGAGGCAAGGTTCATCAACGACTATCGAGGTATCTCTGCAGGACCAAACGCCGAATTCCGTGACGTCCTGGTCGACGTTGGATTCGATATTTTGGAAAAAAGAATGGGAGTCTTTGTCCTCAGTGCCGGCAAGAGTGGGAAGAGGGTGAAGGGTATCGGCCGTGGTGAGGAGATCCTGATAAGTTACGGGAAAGGTTTTTGGGCTGGGCGTCATTCAGCAGCAGAATGATGGAACGCACAGCATATTTGATCATCGTCGCGCTGTCATCAATATCTTACCAGCACTACCAGCTGCTGCATGCTGCGTGCGCCCAGCGCACCATCATGCGCTCGGGCCATGCGTTGCTATGTATGACATGACTGCCCTGCTCACGCTCGATCGTGCACCATATGTCATTCAAGCTTCAAACAAGAGTTGGTTGCAAGACGACTGCATGCATCAGCTGGTATGAGACGTTTCTGGTCGTACTTGGCGTTTACAACGAGCCTGTCAAGCAACTGACCTGACCCTACGGACAAATTTTGATGCATCAGCGAAGTCAGAATTACGCCTCCCTGCTCCAAATTTTCGCCCGAGCTCGTCACTCTTGCGGAACAGTCCTCGCCAATGCGCCAATACACAACTCACCATTCGTTCTGTTCTAGAACACCGCTTACTGAGGTAACGATGGGCCGTGAGAAAAGTAGAGCGCCAGATCCAAATCGCCACGACACAAATACCAGTTGCATGTGGTCAAAGCCACATCAGGGGTTATAGAAACAAGCTGTACGGTGCTTTGCCGTGGCGTCAGAGGTGACGATCCATCGAGCCCATCAATCACAGGCCGTAGATCATGTGGCTATCAGCGCAAACCTTGGTCAAAGCCACAGCCTTTACTATATCGAGCTACCTGTGAGGCGTCCCACGAGGTGGCACGCAGCACGTTGTAGAAAGTTGGCTTTGTGTCAAGTGTGACGTCGGAGGACCACAACCTCCGCTCGGCGGCGGCACACTGTTTACTCACATGTGGAGAGGCAAACACACAAACCTGGTCAACCACATGCCTGAGGTGTGTGCGCATGGTATTATTGTTTGACAATGATATCGCCAACCCTGTTGATGGCAAAGCGAGAAGCCCATGCAGGAGCATACCATCTTGGAGTTCACGTAGAGGCAGGACCCGTGATAAGTCACACGCCTGCAGGTACGGGAGCTCAGTCACACCAGCACAGGATTTTCAGTCCAGCAGAGGTCGTCGATCGCGAGTCTGCGCCGATGCCTGATCATTTTCGCAGTGACGTTGTGTGGGTTTCGAGCGCACGACCCTTGCGGACACATCGATCGACAAGGGAGTCGGCCTCCGCCAATCAGCGCTTTGCTCTCGCTCGAGCCCAATTCCTGGCTAGGCTGAATGTTCAGAAAGGTTGTCCAAGCTCTAGGCGGGTACGCGGCTGGTTTCAACTTAAGCTCATCGCAATGATTCCACGTCATGGCATTTGCGGTCTGGGAAAATATGCATATCATGGCCAGTATTCAAAAAGGTGCCAGATCCCCATCAAGAACATCGACAAATATCTCCACTCCCTGCCGTGACAACATTTCACGCTTGCGCGTTCTTGCAGCAATACCTGGATTAAGCTTACTCCATCACACCACCAATCAACCACGCAACCAAACTCGCTCAGCCGTTGCCGCAAGCGCTGCGTCGCCCAGTTTGAACTGTATCGGACTACTGTTGAGGCTAACGCTTCTGGGCCGACTCCAAGTTGAACTTATAACTATCCCCGCTCCAGCTGGGCCACACCACAACTGTTCATAACAATTCGGAGATATTGATAGCAATCGATCATACGTATCTTACAATGGCCTCCTCAACCAGACCTACACTGAGCAGAGTAAGTCTCTACATTGGAACACTGTAATTGTCACTGACATGACTGTAGAATGAGTCCATGCAGAAGTATATACTACTTGCAGCACAGAAAGAAGCACTTCAACGCCGGATATCTATGTCCATCCCTTTCAGCCTACCAATGTCGACCTCTTCGCCTGAATTTCAGTCACTGTCTTCGTCGCCTGTATCACCCACAGACTACACCGCGACGTACCCTACTGTCACTGAACCTGTACCTACTAGATCAAGCACGGGAACCCGTGGCAGTGTCGACGATCTGCATACCGACGAATCGCATAAGCTTTACGAGATCAACCAGCAAATCGTCGCAACGCTGATGGAACTGCTGAACACCGATGCTGTCAAGACAGACCCGAAGTACCGCGCTTTCATACAGGAGAAGCTTATGGATTCCGAGCATCAGATCCGCCGACAGAGGCGTCGACATTCCTCCAATGCAGAGCGAGACCATGCATCCTCTATCGCTCATCACATGGAGCTTGGACTCAACACATCGAAGACTTGGGCGTGACTCCAGCTCGGTCTCGAACAATGTGCAAAAATCGAGTTCTGACATGTTCTGCTTTCTTCTGGCGCTATCTACGGCGTTACGGTCGTTCTGAGATGAAGTGCTCAGATCAGAGACAATCGACGAAAATGATACCCAATGCATACCCTATGCATTATCTGAAACGCGGCGTTGACTATCCGGCACTTTGCAGCCCCTATGTACTATTACCTACCTACAACAACGTAATCAAATGTTCTCCAAGCTTGTACCGTATCTTCATGCACCAATGAGTGCCACTTGCAAACTGGCGGTCTCGTATGACCACCTTCCTTTTTCGCGACAACTGCCCCGATCTTGGCATGAGTACTGAGATGTTCTAGATGTGCCTGTCACTTCGGCGGGTTCCGATCTATCCGCAACCCATGTATTGCTCATTTTTAACCCACATTTCGCGTACGCAACACCCGGACAGAAAAAAGATAGCGCTGAGATCACCGCGAAATCAGGTTACGCCGCTCGACTCGGAGCAGCCCTTGTCCCCACTCAGAAAGAGCTTGAGTAAGATAGTCGGAAATTCTCTATCATACCACACACAATCAGACCGGTGCTTTCGCACGCCATCAATCGACGATGCCATCCCAGGTTTTCGGTTGCCTATCGGTATGACATCACACTACAAAGCTCCACCACCAGCCACACAACGAGTCTAAGAATATATACCGGCACAGCACGCTCAATTCACCCAAGCTTACACGCCTTGGCCCTCGACACGACCTCGAATATCGTATGCACAGGTCTCGATCGACACCGAATGATGAGGTTATCGCCAATCGGCATGCTGAAAGCGGGGATCGACGCAACCCCTCACTTGATATCGCGCCTTTTGTGAAAGTTGGAGCCTTGCATCTACAGCTGAAAAGGGTCTCCCGCCTGTCTGGTGGAGCGACTGTAGGGTCACCTCGATGGCTGTTGCCGGCTTCTCTCGGGCACGTTGAAACCGTGCAGCCAGATAGCTGTTGAGATGATGCAGACACGCACGCCGGCATTAGGCTCCCGAACTTTCCGTTTGCATTGGGATTTCACGACAACTGGCTACCATGCAGGTAGTGGAGGTCCAAACAGGCCCATCGAACCTTCTGTTAGTCAATTGAGGTTGATCCAGAGCTAACGGGCCCTCCCAAGCGAAACCGTTAACGTCCATTTCGCCCAGTTATCTACACCGATGCCGTCTCGCTTCACTCTGGTGAAAGCGCGCCTCACGGTCTACCTTTTGTGGAGTGCAGTAAATGCACTCTACATCAACATTCCTACGGGCAAGTGATTACAAGCTGGTCGTCTTGCAAATCGGGCCGGTCGTTGCACGCTAGAGACCTGCGTGAGACTCGGGGTTAATTGCCTATCAACTGATCTCACCCCATTGCGCGATATCAGCATACGGTTTGGCGACTCCGAGCGAAGGTCCTTGACACATCATCGTAGCCCAGAGTTCGCAACCACCTCACTGGAAGTGCGAAGGTAACAGCACTATTCGACCCTACATACACACCAAACATAGTCCCGGCTGCAAACGGGCTAACTAGTCGTTGAGGTGTCAAGCACCGAAGCATATCGGCGTATGACAGCTGAACCAAAGCTCCGATTGCTGCATTGCATCAATCTTACCAGTTGGAGCGGTATGCCGATCGTTGTATTGAACCTTCGTCCGGGCCGACTGTTTCTGGGGAAGATTCCGGCCCGATGGTCTTTGTTTGGGAATTGGGTTTGGCCACAGTCATCCTACCGAACTCAAGCATGACGCTGCACCATTAGATTTTGATTGTATCTCAGTCTGGGCTTGTTATCTGTCTACTGTCATCCTGGAGGAGCGGCTTCGCCTTTGTCCTCGCCACTGCTACTTTAAGAAGTTCCACGTGCCTCATGTTTTGAAGAAGTTGGGACCGGTCAGACATTCGAGCGTGTTTTAAGTCCACCCTCGTCTTGACGCACGCAAGTGTGTATACTGTCCCTCTAGCTGAGGTTTTCAGGTGTCAGATGCGAACCACAGTGTCAGCAGCATACATGTCGATGTGCCACTTTGTAGTATATGCTAGGTATTGCACCAATGGCTACATTTCCTAGTAACCTTAGGTAATGCATAGGATATCCAGCCGAAAAGGCCTTCAACATCGTCTTTCTATCTCGGAAATGTCTGAGAGTATAGTAATCGCACCTCGAATCTCGGGTTACCCTCTCACCGTCGCTGTCTGACCGATTGTGCATCCTCGGAAGCACTACACGACGGAATGTTTCCGCTCGCTCCACCCCTCTCTCAACCCCCATGTAAGACTCCATTACTGCAGCAGCTTGGCTGTAGTATTTAATTGTCGCACTTTGAGTATGCGTCATTGAACCTCGTTGCTGTACAAAGATAACATCGAATTCATCTCTGCACTGAAGACTTGCCAGCAAATAGAACAATGTCGAAACCAGCAGGCGATAGCACCGCCTACATCAACGCTGTGGTATATACCCTGGACATCTCAAATCCACGGGCGTCTGGTTTCATTGTATCCGACGACGGCTTCTTCACGCATGTCGGATCTACACATGATATTCTATCTGTAGCGAAGGAATCTCGTCTGGTAATTGTGGATCTGAAAGGTTGCTTCACGATGCCTGGCATTCACGATGCACACATGCATCTCCTGTTCTCCGGACTGGGCCTTACATCGAACGCGACCATTGATATGGATGCCACCCACCTCAACATCGCCGAGAAAGTCAAACATGGAAATTGCGCCTGCGAATACATCAATGTGTACCAGGACTGGTTATTGGCCAGCGCCTACAACAACCAGGGTTTCCCTGATGGCATCGCAGACCGCAAATACCTCGACAAGCTGTTTCCCGACCAGCCTGTTGTGGTTTCAGGAGGTGCAGCTCACGCGATGTTATTGAATACTGCAGCTTTGATTCAAGCAGGCTACGATGTCGACAACGAGCCCGACACACATGGCGCCAAGTTCTTTCGCAGACCGGATGGCAGTCTTACAGGGGAACTCGCTGAAAGCGCAATGGCAAAGGTTGCTCTTGCCATCCCAGCCCCCAGCCGCTCACATGTCAAGCGTGCGTTAAAGCATGCCATTCGGCTTGCTCACAAGGCTGGCGTGACTAGCACTCAGGAAGCAAGCTCCAACACTATCCTACTGCAAGTTCTGAACGAGATGGAAAGGGAAGGCTCTTTACGGCTCGATGTGTCCACCCATATTGTGCACGAGAACGAATGGCTCGCCTCCGAGAGCACAGAGAGCCTCCAGAGATTACTGGAAGTCGCCGATCAACATTCAAGCAAACACATTGATACTCGTTTTGTCAAGGTCATGATGGACGGTGTGCCGCTTCCGCCACTGTTCACACATGCAGGCTTGAACGAGCAAGGAGATATTGATCACAGTATGATCATACCAGAAAACGTTGCAGACGCTATACTCAAGTACGATAAGAAAGGACTAACAGTGAAGATTCATTGTACTGGAAATGGAGCGACCAGACATGCACTTAACGCTATTGAAGCCGCAAGGAAGAGTAATCCAGACGGACCTAGGCATGAGATTGCGCACAATTCGGGGGTTCACGATGGTAAGAGTTTCAACGTATTCAAGATCAGTGCAATCTAACACTCAAGACAGATGACTTCCAGCGCTACGCTCCTCTGAACGTCACTGCCGAGATGTCACCTGCCGAGCTCTTTGTGCATCCAGTCACCGCTGGCAGTCAGGGTCTGATGGACTGGAACTTCACCAAGATGATGGATGCTGGTGCCCACATCACCATTGGGTCGGATTGGGGCGCAGTACCGGACCCGTCACTTTTCGAGCACATGGCAAACATCGTCGACGTGGTCGGCAGGGGCGATCGGTCGGCAGGCGGAGAAGCCTTGTGCCGAATGATGACGCTTAACGGTGCCATGGCCGTAGGCAGGGAGAAGGAGCTAGGCAGCATAGAGATCGGGAAGAAGGCAAATTTCATCGTCACGAGTCAAGATCTCAGCAAGGGCGAGTTCAAGGGTGCGAAGGTTATACGGACATACTTTGAAGGGGAGAGAGTTTGGGATGCCAATGTTGGATAATTGAAGATCCATCTTACGTAGATGTGGATTTTTTGTGAAATGCACAAGACTAACGGGCTGCTTTCTAATTCACTGGCAAAGCATGTTGACGCATAAAACCGTCTTGCCCACACCGCACATTCACGACAATCATTCCGACTCGAATGCATCTGCAAAACCTGAATCAAATGCGGGACTCCAATAACCTTCAACGTACTATTACTTAGTAGCTACGCGGCAGATCTAAAACCTTCTCACCAATGTAGTTCAAGATCATCTCTCGACTGACGGGTGCAATGCGTGGCACCATGCATTCCCTAAACCATCGCTCGACATCATACTCAGCCGCGTAGCCCATGCCGCCGTGGGCCAGAATCGCTCTCTCGCATGCTTTGAAAGCCGCTTCTGCTGCCAGGTACTTTGCGCTGTTTGCTGCAATGCCGACAGCGTCCTGGCGAATGGAGGTGTCTGTTGTACTTGCATCGTACAGGCGAGCAGCATGATATGTTGCCAGCTTCGCTGCCTCGAGATTCATGTATGCATCGGCCAGCGGGTGTGCGACGCCCTGGTTCATACCAATCGGCCTGTTGAAGACCTTGCGCTCGCGAGCATAGCCGGCGGCCTTTGCCAGCGCTGCATACCCCAGTCCCAGTGCCTCGCCAGCAAGCAAACACCTTTCAGCGTTCATACCATCCAAAATGATTTTAAACCCCTGCCCCTCTTTGCCTACTAGGGTGCTGGCAGGTACGCGGTAATTGTCGAAGAAGACTTCGTTTGCGTCAACTGCACGACCTCCCATTTTCTTGATTCGCTTGACGTCAAGGCCGGGGTCGCTTTTATCCACGTCGATGCAGAACAAGGAGAGCGCCTGACTGGGCTTCGGTGCCTCATCAGCGGCCTGTGTGCGTGCGAGTAGAATCATCTTGGATGCGACCTGGGCGCAGGTGATCCAGATCTTCTGACCAGTGATTGAATACGTGTTGTCGTCTTGCTTCTTCGCTGCAGTCGCGAGTGCAAGAGTGTTGAGTCCGGCATTCGGCTCTGTGACGCCAAAACATGTTCGCCATTCTCCAGAAATGATCTTGGGTATTGTCTCTTCGAGCTGCTCCTTCGTCCCGAATTTGGCCAATGGCTGGGTTGCGTACACGTTTGCGTGAATCGCCTGCGCTCCTGCCATGCCGGCGCCAGATTCGGCTATTGTCTGCATCATGATGGTGGCCTCTGAGATTCCCAGGCCAGCGCCCCCGTAAGCTTCTGGCAGCGCAACACCGAGCCAGCCATCAGCTGCAAGCGCCGCATGGAAATCTTTAGGGTCGGTCCCGTCCTGGTCATGTTCTTGCCAATATGTGTTTGGGAACTTTGCGCATATCTGGCTGATTGACTCTCGAACCATCAATTGGTTCTCAGTGAACCCTGTGGTCTCCATTATCCGCTGTGCGGAAGTGCTCGAGAACGCCCGATTGCGCGCCGACCGCCATGGTCGGCTGCAGGCTCGAAAGGTCGCCCTGCAAAGTTGAGACATCGCTGGAAGAGAGATCAGCTGTTTTGCTCTGGAACGACGCCCTGCGAATGCGATTTTTTTCCAAACACAATGCCAGAAGCATATAGCCGACTTACAGAATCCCAGTGGGTCATCGTGGAACTCATAAAAGCGAACCCGAGCCCCAGATCGTCGGTGATCGCGGGCGGAGTTCTAGCGCCGAACAGGAGCTGTGCCCTTGACACGACACCACTACCACGCTCACCGTCTTTGATATACTCACAACAAGGAGTCAATGCCACTCTGCGCGAGTCTGTATCGCACGACCGCTCCTCCACACCGGTCAGATCGCTCGTAGCTGGTCCTGTCCTCAACATTCGGTGCTCAATGACGTCGTCAGTACTGTGCCTCGTGCCAGCGGCCGCGGATTGATTTCCCACAAGTCTGAGTACGAGGTTAACATTGGATTCTTAGATTATCAAGACGGCGTGGCGTGAGAGCATTTCTCGACTTGTATGTGGCTGAATGGGTGACTATCCACATACATGCATCGCGTGCTGCATGCTCGAGAACTTTTTGTGCCTTGGTCGCGGGAAATCAATCCCAGTAATTGCGGGATAATAGCTGTTGAATCCTTGCAACCCCGCGGGGAAGAACGTGCGGAGAGGCACATCCGTCCCATCACACGGGCTACGATCTGGGGTCCATTCGTGGAGCAATGTTGTTAAGGCGTTGTCGCCCAGCCATGGCCAAGTCGCTTGTCAACACCAAGACAACAACAGCCGATGCGATAGGCGGAAATCACCAGGACGTCAATTCTTCCGGACCCTTATGGCTTGGACCTTCACAGGAACCTGACGACAGCAGTCAACTGCAACTTGGACGCTGAGAAGCTGGAGCTTTACCGTTAGGAGGTATACCACAGCAATCTAATTAGGCGAGCAGCCATGGTAGACGAGTATATAAGGATCTGGGGAAGCTGCAGAAAGGCATCATCGCCAGCTGCAGATCTTCATTTCACCTGCAAGACATTGACTACGCAATACCTACGTGATCAAGCTCACCCGTCACAATGAAGCTCACTTCTGCTCTCGTCGTTCCCCTCATTCCCGCTCTGTCTTCGGCAGCTGCCCTTGGTCGTCGCCAGAATGGTGATGGTCCTCAAGGTGGTACTGATGCCACACAGGGTGACCTCAGTGGTCGCCCACCACCACGCTTCCCCTTCCCGCGTGTCGAGTTCCCCGTCCCCAGGGAGACTGTGGTCTTGAACGAGACCATGTACATCTACCCCGGTCAGACCTTTGACGGAAAGATGAAGCGTTACGAGCGTGTGGAGGGCAGCTGCAACGAGCAGGCCGAGGGTACTGATGCCGATGCCGTCTTCAACCTCATGTCTGGAGCCACCATCAAGAACGTCATCATTGGCAAGCACCAGTCTGAGGGCATCCACGCACTCGGTGACGCCTGGGTTGAGAATGGTAAGTCACTTCCACAACGCCTTGCAAGCCAAGACTAACACTGCTCAGTATGGTGGGAAGACGTCTGCGAGGACGCCCTGACCTCCAAGGGCCTCAACACGCAGCTCCGCGTGATTGGCGGCGGCGCCCGCAATGCCCAGGACAAGATCTTCCAGGACAACAGCCTGGGCGGCAAGTTCAACATCACAGGCTTCTACGCCGAGACCTTCGGCACCTTCTACCAGTCGTGCGGCAACTGTCTCAACCAGGCCAAGCGCAACGTGACGATCCAGAACGTCATCGCCGTCAACGGCACGCGCATGGGCATAATCAACCCCAACTACGGCGACGAGTACCGCCTCAAGAACGCGCAGATCAAGGACCTCACGCGCATGGTCGACAAGGAAATCGGCAACAACGTCCAGACCGTGCCCTACACCGTCGGCACGGGGCCCGACGAGAAGTACGCCCTGTACAACCTCACCCGCGACGCCATCACCGAGTTCAACGGCACCGTCCTGAACGCGTACACCCCGGAGGAGCCCTACGAGTGGCTGTCCGAGTTCTGGCCCGCCACGTAAACGCGATATGCGAGCAATGAGGAACGACCCTGTATATAGAACTAATCACTAATTCTCTCTTGCACTGTCTATTCCCGTGTCTGCATGTGTTCAGAAGGGCGCCCATGCCCCGTTCCACAGGACCACGCGATACCCGTCGGCGTCCTCGAACGTCTTGCCCGCGGCGTCCCAGTAGGGGTTGTAGCTTTGCACTGACACGCAGCCGATGTGTTCCAAGTTGCTGACTGCAGCGCTCCAGAGTTCCCCGTCGGGGAGGTAGAAGACCAGCAGGTTGTCTTGCGTCGGCGCGCGGCCGGGGTCGTGGCCGTGCTGCTCGGTGAACTCGAGATGGTAGGGGAGGCGCGGGTGGCCGAGCATCACACCGTTGAAGCCCGCGTGGTCCTGGAACGAGCCGATGACCTGGAATCCGAGGCCGGTGGTGTAGAAGGGGAGGAGGTGGGCGATGGAGCGGGTGGGACGCGCGATGCGGAGGTGTGCTTGGAGAGCCGGGGCGAGAGGGCTGTTGTCGTGTGTGGTAGTCATTGTGGTTTGTTGAGTATGTGAATGTATTCATCTGGCCTGGGTCTCTTAAGTAACGTGCTTGTCAAGTTCATGTTCTACGCCCTGTGTGTAAGCGGCCGAGTCCAGACCGTTGTGTCTTGTACCGAGGGTGCTGTTTGATGTGAGTCGGTATACTATCGAAACATTGCCAAAATACTTGACTGCGGATACGTATTTTGTCGTCGAGGCAGTGTGTTTGCTTGCATTTCAGCTGACGGCCGAGCTCGAGATGAAGGATGGAGTGTGATGTATCGGAGTTGATACTTGGTGGATTCAAGGACCATTGTGGGATTTCTGAAGACGAGAAGCCTTTCAGCTGCGGCTCCAGCACGTATTACAATGCTGGCTCTAAGAAAAGATATGAATATATTATCAGCCACGTCATGCCAATGGAGCTGTATCCCAGCTGAGGTCTGGGTGAAGCTCGGAAGAAACCTGGTCTATTTGCTGATGATCAGGAGTACTCTTCGCAATTAATCAATTCGCCATCAGCGAGAAACACAAACTCTAGATGTGCAATCCGAGTGTTCGCAGAACCATACTGTACCATAAAATGCTGCCCCACTATCCCCACCCCGCAGCACCACCTCAACTACACCTCCACCACACCACAGAACCACAGGTAGAGCAATGCTAGAAGTAGCAGTCTTCAGCGCCGCGTCAGCGCTAACCGCCATCCGCGCAGGCGCGCACCGCATCGAGCTCTGCGCGTCGTACGCCAGCGGCGGACTAACGCCGTCGCTGGCGACGTTTCTGGAGATTATTGCTGCGCTGGGGTGTCAGTCGCAGGCGCAGGCGCAGTCTACAACATCTGCCACCTCCACTCCACCGACCACCTCCTCAGCAGCAGACCCCGTCAACCTCCCAGTCCCGATACACATCATGATCCGCCCACACGCACACTCCTTCGTCTACACGCCCGCCGAACTCGCCCAAATGACTTCCTCAATCGCCGCCTTCGCGGCCGCAGGCGCAAGCGGCTTCGTGTTCGGCGCGCTAGACGCCGGGAGCCGCGTCGACGTGGCTGCGAACGCGGCGCTGGTGCGGGCGGCGGGCGGGCGGCCGTGTACGTTTCACCGGGCGATTGAGAGCGTGGGGGATGTGCGGGCGGGGATGGAGGGGGTGGTTGCGTGTGGGTTTGCGAGCGTGTTGACGGGTGGGGGGGAGGCGGGGGTGGAGGGGGTGAAGGAGGTGCAGGAGCGGTTTGGGGGGAGGGTGAGTGTGGTGCTGGGAGGGGGGGTGAGGCGGGGGAATGTCAGGGCGTTGAGGGAGGGGGCGGGGGTGGCGTGGGTGCATTCGGCGGCGATTACGGGGGAGGGGGAGGAGGTGGATGGGGAGGAAGTCAGGGCGTTGGTGGTGCTGGTTGGGGAGAGTTGATGGAATTGTGGTTTGTACAGCGCCAGACGCCAGACACCGAAGAACAAGAGTCGACGCCAGAGAAACCCGTCTAAACACCAGAGACGGCCGTGTCCGGCTCACACCACAGATGGCCGTAGCCCGCTCAGACCATCCCGCTCGCACTTCCACTGCTCTCCGCCGTCTCGGCGCGCGGCCGCATTCCATCAGGTGTAAACGTCCACCCCCGGCCCTCGGTCGGCGTCATCGCCCTCCGCTTCTCGACCGGACTCCACTCCATCCCCGGCGCGGGCAAGCCCTGCAAGCCCGCGTCATCCCTCGCGCGCGACCTCACGCGCTCGCTCTCGCTGCTCCCGCGCCCCACCAACCCATCGCTGTCAGTAACAAGGCGCACGCCGGCACTACGCTGCTTCTGGCGCTCCTGCAGCTCGCGGCGGCCCTCGGCCTTTTTCTTCTCAAATTCGATAATCAACGTTTTGAAGTAGGCTTCTGCGGCCGGGGTGGCCGAGTAGTGGACCGGGGTCCAGCTGTAGATGTTGGCGACGAGGGGGTTGGCGCCGTACTGGAGGAGCAGGCGCAGGGCTTTGAGCTCGCCGGCGGCCGAGGCGTGGTGCAGGGCGGTGTTGCCGGATTTGTCGTGGGCGGTGAGGATGGTCGGGTCTTGGACGATGAGGGTCGGGATGAGGTGGAGGGTGCCGCTGCCGGACTTGCTTGAGAGCATGAGCTGGGGGGTTAGAGTGTGTTGAGTCGTTGTAGTAGGTGCAACTCACAGCGTCCAGACCGGCTTTGTTTTGCCATGAGATGCACGCCGGGAAGCGCTTGGCCAGGTAGACGCCCGTCTCCTCTCGGCCGGCCATGGCGGCGAACATCAGCGGCGTCTCAAAGTCGTTGTTGCGGCTGATGTAGCCGTCTTCGTGGCCGGCGTCGACGAGATACTCCTGCGGCCGTCAGTAGGGTCTCGCGATGCAGTAGGGCCTCGCGATGACGTAGGGCGACGTACAGCAATCTGCGTGAAGCCATGGGTGGCGGCGAGGTGCAGGTTGGTGCTGCTCTTCTCGTCGTAGTCGGGATTGCGCAGGTAGCTGGGGTTGTTGCGCAGGATGCGCTGCACCAGAGGCAGGTCGTTGAGCAGGATGGCGCGACGCAGGCGCCGCGGTACGTCAATCCTGGGCGTGTCAGTATGGAGCACTGCGAGCACCGCGTGTACTGCGTCGCACCGATGAATGGGGCGCGATTCGCTCGACTCACATCTCGAGGGCAACGGACCATGGTTGAACAACCAGAGTCGCGTGAGCCGTTGCCAAGCGGGCTGGTCGTGCTGGTGTTGGACGCGGGGACGAGCTGGAGCTGCGGACTCCCGCGGCGTACTGGAACAGGTTAGCACGCGCCTAGTGGGGTGTTCGCATGGGTTCGTTATGTTTAGTAGCAGGCATATCTCAAGATTATATCTGGAATATGTCACAATTGTATCTAGCATATCTCACAATCGTCTCGCACATCTCACAATCATCTCGCATGTCTCACAGGTATTTGACACATCACGGTATCTGATGTCTCACATCATCTGGCATATCACGGTATCTGATGTCTCAAGGTTATGTCTGGCACATCTCAGAGTGGCTCTATTCATGCATCATTAAGGCGACTGCTATCGCCGTCACGTCTATAAGCTTGCTACAGCACTTTGACAGACTACAAGCCGTCAAAGTCGCCGCCCGCGTCGTCGTCGTCGATGTCTCCCTCCTGGATCTCCTTTGCCAGCTCGCGCTCGCGGTCACGGGCCTCCTGCGCGTTCTTCAGCTCCAGCCGGTGCTGGTTCATCGGATAGCGCATGGCCTTGACGCACTCGTCGTGCAGGGTTAAGCAGGCGCGGATGCGGTCGTGGAAGGCCTCGCCCGGCTCGCGCGTGGCGTAGACGTCGCCTGCCTGCTTGGTCTGCATGAAGCCCTTTTCGTGGTCGATGGAGGCCTCAATCACGCCGTCGCGGATGGCCTTGGCCACAATGTACTCGGCCGACTCCTCGCTCTCCAGGCCCAGGCGGATGCAGATGTCGCGGAGCGAGATGCGCGAGTAGGACAGCGACAGCATGCGGATGCCCGTCTTGATGACGTTCTGGCGCAGACGCAGGATCAGTGTGTAGGTCTGGTCCTTGTGGAAGACCTTGGAGTGTGTCTGGACGACCTTGAGGAAGCCCTGCAGGTCGCCGACGCGCACGGCGCGGACCAGGCGGAAGTACGGCTCGAGGGCGCGCTCCAGACGCGGCTGACTGAAGACGTCGCGGTCGGGGATGTCGCCCATGAGCAGCTCGACGACGATCAGCAGCTTCATGGCGGCCTGGTAGAAGCCGGTGGCGACGTTGCCCGAGGGCGACTTGCGGGTGGCGCTGGTGAGGTGCTCGTGGGCGTCGGTGTAGGACAGCTGGATGGCGCGGATGCGGCCGAGGTAGTACAGGTAGCGGGCGACCTGGTTGTTCGGGGCGTTGGGCGGGAACTGGGTCTGGGCGACGAGCAGGTCGGCTTGTGTGATGTCGGCGGTGGAGAGGTAGTTGCGGAGCAGCAGGGTGGTGACCGAGGCCTGGGTGTCGGGGTCCTTCCGCAGCACGGCGCTACGCATGGCGGCCAGCAGCTTGCCGCGGATGTCGATGACGGGCGACTGCTTGGACGGCGGCTTGGGGTCCAGCTCCTCGTGGAACAGGGCAAAGTAGAAGTAGGCCTTGGCGGCCAGCGGGTCGAGGGTGCGGCGGTTCATGTCGCGGATCTTGTCGACCAGCTTCTCGGAGAACTCGGCGCCCTCGTCGTGGTCCTTCTGGTCGTACAGGTAGACCTGGATCAGGATGGCGATGTAGACGTCGACCTCGGGCGTGGGCTCCTTGGCGCTGGTCTTGTTGGCCTGCACCTCGTCCTTGTACTGGGCGACGACGCTCTGGATGGCGGCGCCGTCCATGCCGATGTACTCGATGAAGGTGCGGGCCGTGGCGTTGTTGGGCGAGTAGGTGAGGATGATGACGGAGCACAGCACGCGGTCGGTGAGGCGCTTGCGCAGCGACGAGATGGACCGCAGCGCGCGCAGGGCGAAGCGCGAGTCGAACTGGGCCACGGCGCGCTCGAGCAGCGCGAAGTTGGCGCGGATGTCGGCGATGGCCTGCTGCTCCGTCTGCTGCTGTGTCTGCTCGGCCGTGGGCGCCTCGGAGACGACGCCCTCCATGCTGTCCGCCATGGCGGTGGACGGGGGGTGTGGTGGGGAGGCACGGGAGACGCTGGGGAGGCGGGCAGGGCGGCGGGCGACTGTGGGTGGGCGATGTGGGCGTGGTGTGGTGTGGTATAGGTAGGCTCGCCGTGTCGTCGGGGCGAGCTTGCGGAGCTGCGTTACGTCGGCGCTGCCAAGCCCGCCTTGTTGATCGCCGCCACGCCGCAAACACGCCCGCGCTGTACACACTACATGCACACACAGTACATGCACACAGTACATGCACACAGTACTTGCACTGCACCCCCGCCATGCCGCTGCTCGACAACCACCTCGAGCAGATCGCGCTCTGCGCCACATCGATCGCAGACCTGCAGTTCGCCCCGCCCAAGATCTTCACCAACGCGCTGCTGCAGAACCACGACATCACCAGCCTGATCCGCGACACCGAGGCCCACGAGCGCGCCCTCTTCTCCGTGCCGCCGCCGCCCACCGCCCCCAAGCACGCCGAGCCGCCCTCCACCAACCGCCGCAACACCATCTTCAACCCCACCGCCGGCCCCGCCGCCACGACCTCCGGCGGCGGAGCCAATGCCGTGCGCGCCCCCAGACGTAACACCGCTGTGGCCGCCGTGCTGGGCTCCGAGCTGGTCGAGCGCATCAGGCGCGGAGGTGGCGGCGGCGCGGGCTCCGGGCTGGGCTACCGCAAGTACGACGCCAGCAACAAGAACGACGTCGACGTCGAGTCGCTGCTGGAGGGCGCCGAGAAGCTGCTGAGCGTGTACCAGGTGCCGGGCGCGCTCGAGAAGATTGCCGCCATGCGCCAGCGCCACGCCCGGCTCGAGGCCTCGCTGGAGTACTACGAGAGCCGTCTCGCCGAGCAGACGGTGCAGCTGGGCCGACTCAATCGCTCACGTGGCGACTACGTCGACGAAGACGAGGTCGAAGAGCCCCCCGAGGACGTCATCCTGACAGCCGACGACCTGCGCCGAGAGGAAGAGGAAGTGAAGCAGCTGGAGTCGAAGAAGAGGGGGCTTGAAGACAGGGTGCATTCCATGGGCAGGGATATTTCGGGGCTGCGGTGAACTCAGCAATGCGAAGAATGAGAACCAGGCACCTCAAGAGACATGTCAAGGCTGCGGTGAACTTTACATGGAGGCAGGCGTTAAGATACCCCTGAAATTATTTGGACAGTGTCAAAGTCTACTACTCATCACAGCGACGACCCGCCATCGATGCTGATGTTCTGCCCGGTAATGCTCCTGCTCAGCGCCAACACCCTGACCTGATCCGCGCAGTCCTCCACCGTCGCCAGCCTCTTCAGCTTCGTGTTGTTGATGGCCGCATTCCGCTTCGCCTCGGGAAACTTCAGCCCCCACTCCGTCAACAGCATCCCCGGCGAGATGGAATTGCACCTGATCTTCGGCGCCAGCACCACCGCCAGGCTCTTCATCAGGTGGATCTGCGCCGCCTTGGTCACCGCATACGGCACACTCGACCCGCTCGGCTTGACCCCCGCCACCGACGCCGTCGAGATGAACACGCCCTCGCTCTCCGCCAGCGCCCCCTTGGCCGCATACGCCAGCCACAAGTGCGTCTTGACGTTCATCACAAAGCACTTGTCCCAGTCGTCCTCGTTGACCTGCTGCTCAATGTCCGTGAACGTCGTCATCCGCGTCCACCCCGCGTTCGACACCACCACGTCCAGCCGCCCGAACTTGGCCAGCGTCTCCGACACGAGGCTCTCCACCGACGTCTTGGAGCTCATGTCCGCCTGCACGAGGTGGAACCGCGCCTCTGACGATGCACCGCTAGTGCTGGGTATCCCGTTCAGCTCGGTGATGAGCGCCTGCGCGCGCTCGGCGTTGGACGCGTAGTTGATCACCTGGAGGGGGTTAGTTGTGGAACTGGAAATGGGCGTGTCCCGAGAAGCACACGAAGGTCGGACGCACAACACGAAAGTCGGGCGCAAAGGCGCGCGCGATCTGGGCGCCGAGGCCCGCCGAGCTGGCCGTTATGAGGGCTACTTTTGTCGCGGCCATGGTGTGGACTGCTGTCGCGGGGTTGCGGGGTGATGCTGGGAGCTGGGAGCTGGAAGCTGGAAGCTGGAAGCTGGAAGCAGTGCTCTACTAGACTTGCGTGTATTGGGTAGGTAGACTGCAATGACTGCGTGCGGCAATTCGGCCTGTATACGTGCAACTCACACTCGCGCTTTCCAAGCCGCAGCTGCCGTGTAGTCCTGCAGCTCTAATACTCCACCGCGCACCCGTGTGGCGCGGGGTAGCTGTTCCGCGCTCGGAACGCGCGGGACCGTTCCGTGGCTGCGGCTCTGGGGCGATCAGCGACACGGCTCCGGAAGGCGCGAGGGTTCCGAAAAGGTTCCGGTGGTGTGCTTGGTGGGTGTGGTTGGCTGGGAGTAGAGCTGGGGGAGGCGTGTCAGGTGTTTCCGCGTAGGGCTGGTGCGGGACTACACTCAGTACCGGTGGCGTCTTACACGATGCAAGTAGAAGATGAAGTAAGAGCGGAAATTACATGAAGAACTGGCACCTACGTCGTCCTCCTACGCCCGGCGCGCAGGTGACTCCTCGCCTCGAATTGACAGACCACATCTCTCGCCCCATGCCGATGCAGAGCTGAAGTACAATGACCTGCATCGCACCGCGTAATTGAAACCGCAAGTGCAACTATAATCGCAAGTTCAAGTACAAGTGCAATGCAGTCAAGCCAGTACCAACCCACGAAACCACCCCCACATCCTCTCACACCTCACAGCATCCCAACGACTGCACTGAAACACCCCGATTCGCACACGTAGCCATGCCAGGCCCTGCATCCCACCCCGTCGTACCCGTACCCGCGCCCGTACTCGCTTATCTACACACGAGTGAACGCCTAGCCTGATGCGGTTAGACGACGTGTCTACGCTGCACCACTGCACGCCTCTTGGTCTCTACGCATAGAGCTTGGGGCTTGGAGTTTGGCATTCAGGGTCTGCGAGAGGAGTTGCGTATGCACGGTGCGGCGCCGTATCGGGGTCGTGTGCGAGGGAGGGGCTGTGTGGTGGCAGGTAGGTGTATATAGGGAGCATGTCGGGCGCTTTGGGGGGATTGCTTGACTTGACTTGACGCGCTACACTGTCTACGTATACCTATACCGCGGCCTCGAGACACAGCACCAGATCTTGCAACTCAGAAGCCGTTCCTGTACCGACAGCTCGCACACCACCTCCCACCATGGGGTACTTCACCAACTTCACCATCTTTGCGGACCACTACAACCGCGCCCTGCACATCGCCCAGGCCGTGCTGGTGCTCGGCGCTTTCATCGTGGGGTGCGCGCTCATGGCCGACACGAGCATGCAGCGCAGTCGCTCGACGACGCTGGTCCTGGTTTATGTATGTCTGGCCCTCTACACACAACGCCACGGCGCGAGATAAGACTAACACCGCCCAGTCGATCAAATCCGCCATCTTCCTCCTCTACGTATACCTCTCCACCCACACCGAGCGCTTCCAGCGCTTCGCCTCGCTCAAGGCGAACTTCATCCTCGACACCCTGGACTGCCTGCTCTGGTTCACGGCGTTCATCATCTCGTGCATGGGCGGCGGGCGGTGCGCGGGGAGTTCCTGTGCGCTGTTGGGTGTTGCGGCGACGCTGGCGATTATGCTGGCGAGCCTGTATTTCGTGGTTGCGGTGGGGATTGACTGGGTGCGGTGGCGGGCGGGGAAGGCGGTGGCGATCAAAGAGCAGGTCTGAAGAAGCACCACGACGGGCGCCACGGTGGGTAGCGTCGGGGGGCTGGTTCGCTACAGGGTGTAGATGAACTCCGGGTTCTCGCGGTCCGTCAGGTCCAGCCACTCCTGGTTCTCCAGGCGCACGTAGCCCGGCGCGGCGCGGATGGCGGCTTTCTTGCGGTTCTGGCGCGCGCAGTAGATGTGGATGAAGGCGAGGATGCCCAGACACACGCCCCAGCAGACGATGATGGTCACCTCGGCAGGCACGTAGCGGGGGGCGTCGCCGGGACGGAATGTCTGAGGGCCAATGATGTTACCTACGCAGTACCCGATGAGATACATGGCAGCCACGGTCGTCTTCTTGGTGTATCCTGCGACGTTGCTCGCTAGCAGACTCAGCAGCGCGACGAACGGTGTTGGACTGGCCTGGGTCAAGTAGTAGCCGGCAAGGCGGCCTGAGTTGCTGCTCAGTGGTAGTGCAACAATCAAGACCATGCCAATTATCGCAGTGCAGAGACCGATCATCGAGATGAGAACACGGTAGCCGTAGCGGTCTCCAGCCCAGCCGCAAGCGATGAGAAAGACGACTTCGACAGCTCCACCGGGCGTACCGTAGAGGAGAGACTGTTCAGGCGTGTAGCCGAAGCCGACAATAAGCTGGGAGAAGAAGTTGGAGATGCCACCTGAGTTTGGTTAGATACAGTAATACTTGCAGCACTCTTAGCACAAGTACGTACCATTGGGGATGTCGGCGATGAGCGCGTAGAAGAAGAAAGCCCAGCTGAGAGGATCCGTCATTGCTTCCTTGAGTTGGTAAAACTTGTAGTGCTTGTTTCCAATTCCCTGCTGATTCACCCGCACACGCTCGATGGCCAAAATCTGGTCTTCTTTGCTCAACCATCGGCAATTCAGCTGGTTGTCAGGCATGATCCACAAAAACAGCAGGCCCATGCAGACGGTCAGGAGTCCAGTGACGAGGAAGACAATCTTCCACGGCTCGATGATCGTGCCTGTCTTCCGGCAACCGACCGCAATGCCATATGCGAGGCAGCCACCGAAGATCTGCGCGAAACCGTTGAAGCTGAACCAGATGGCTGTGCGCGAGCCTTGCTCTTTCTTCGTGTACCACTGCGATGTGAAGAGGGCGAATCCGGGCGTGACGGCGGATTCGAAGACGCCGAGGAAGAAACGAATTGCGATCGCTCCGGCGTAGTTTTCCACCGCTGCAAAGCATGACAATACGATGCCCTGGAGTTGTTAATCTCCGATTGGCGTCTCAATTTCATAGCAAATACTGACCCACATGATGATGTTGAACGCCGAGTACTTTCCAAGCGGCAGCGCCTGCAGCAACCGGGTGGTAGGATATTCCCACGCAATATATCCAAAGTAGAATAACGAGCCCAGCCATTGATACTGATCGCCCGTCAAATTGATGCCTGAAGCAAGCTTGTTGCTGGACGGCGGCAGGCGAAGCCCCATGATACTCGCGTAGCTCAAGGTACTGGTCTCGTTAGATTGTACCAAAGCCATCGAATTACAGAACGAACGTCTTATCCAAGTAGTTTAGTCCATACACAAGGCACATGATCTACGTTCATTAATATCGGCGATGGGTGGTTGGGTGGTTCACGGGGGACTGACCGGCATCAAGTGCCAATCGATCTTCCTCAACAACGCCTTATTTTTCTCAGGCGTCAACTCAAGCACCTGCCCATCCATGCCCTCGAAGGCCTTCATAGCAGCGTCCGCATCGTGCGAGTGCTTCAGAATCTTCTCGTCCAGCTTCTGCACCACACCGCGCGACACCGACTCATTGTCGGTCGTCGAAACCACCTTCTCCACATCCGTCGGCTGGCGCGCTGTCTCTGTCGCAGTCGCCATCGTGTCAGCTGTACGTTCTTCTGGGTTCCTACTGAAAGGTGGCGTGACACTTGCGGTAGCACAAGCAACGTCAAGAACGCTGCCAACGCCCCAAGCTTTATGTAACGGGTGACAAGAGGCGCCCCAGAAGCGATTATCCGAACATGATTGCCCTTACATGCCGGAAATGCTGTCATTTACGCGCCGTTGACGTCCGATGATAAGATATGCCGTTAGCTTTGACGCTATCTGTGGTTCCCGTTGCTGCAATGCGGGGTGTTTCGACATTGGGTGACATGGTGGGCGATCTGCTGTAGGTTGGTGATAGGCCAGACAAGCATGATGTGCAGTCGAGTTGCCAGATCAGGAAGCTGGAACGAAAGGTGGTGTTGTCCGAGCATCGGCGTGAGCATGGAGGCGTGGAGACTTCAAAGATAAGATTGAGATAACAACATCGCTGACCTTAAGTGCGTGCGGCTACATTCAAGCTTTGTTACACTGGTTCAGTTGTTGATATTGCTGCAAGTCGATGATCGGATGAGGTGATCTCTCACGTTGCAGGATAAGCGGCGGTCTACTGTGTTAGGATGTGAGCTAGTATTCCACCACACGACAGTAAAGTCGGGAAGACGTAAGGTTATTCTATGAATACCTTATTGCCTACAATTTAGGCAACGCTTAACTGAATTTTGACTTTAGTTATTATGATAGCTACGAGTTTTGTGTTAAAGTTAGCCAGCTTGAAGGTCGGTTTTTCCTGAAACGTGGAGGTGATGTCACAAGCTCAGCCTAGCGCGAGTTTTACGTTTAAGCATACCCATGCATAACTCTAACTTTGCGTCGAAAGGTTGATCATGCGGATGGAAGGATAAACTTCAGTAAATTTGTTCTTGCTACTACATCAGAACTATCGCAGATTCGCGACTGCGATCTCCCATAATCAATAGGCTGTAAATCAACATGTGTTCCGTGAAACTCCAGGCCTTCCGGCTCTTGTAGCGACCTTTTCTTGGTCGTGCCCCTGAACGCCGCCCATATGCAGTTCGTAAATGCTAACATGTGTGCCGACCGCACTAAAGTAAAGTCGAATAGAAGGAGAATCAGAAACAATATCCTAGGACCTGACGAAGACGCTGTTGAGCTTGTTCAGCGCGCTGCTATCTGCCGCAGTGCTGTTCTTCGCGAGGCGCTCCGGTGCAAGATCGCGTGGGAACCGAGATGCGGTGTTTGGGCTGCGGCTGCCAGATCGAGACGACGTTTGATTGTCTTTTTCAGCACCATTGGCGTTGAGAAGCGAAGTAAGTGTTGGGAGAGGGCGAGACGCTGCCGCGTTGATCTCCGCGCCATTTTGAACGGGCGACTTGTCGCCATCAGGTGTTGGAGGCTTGGTGATACCGACGGATGCAGTTGCACCGTTGATGGCAGGCAGTTGGGGTCCGGGCTCAGGGCCTGACGAGGCGGCAACAGGAGGTGGCGGGGGCTGATGCTGCGCCAACTCGGCAGAAGATGGTGCGCGTGCTGGAGGCGGGCTGACCATGTACTGGCCTGCTTGCGCTGCATGTGCTGCGTGTGCTGCGTGCGCGGCGTGCGCTGCGTACAATGGGTGGTGAGCGTACATTGGGTGGCCCTGCGGTGCATGCGGGTGTCCAACAGGCTGTGGTGAACGATCGAGAACGTGGCCTTGTGGGTGAGGCGGGATATAGTATCCAGGTGGCGCGTACATGGGCTGGTAGAAGAAGCTTGGAGGACCTGTGCGGTACTGGTGGACGGGAGGCGTGCCGGTTGGTGGCGTAGGAGGATACATTGGGATTGCATACATCGGAGCCACCGGACCGGCGTGCGCGTATGGTGAGGGCTGACCCATGGTGTAGGCAGCAGCAGCGTGGGGAGAGCCAGGCATGGGCCCGCGGGTCACAGCGGGTGCGGCCTGCGACTCGGCGACAGTGGACTCAGGGTACATGTTCTTCGGAGGTCTGATGTGTCGCAGTTGCGCGTCGTTGGTCGGTTGTGGGAGATTGTTCGAGTTCGAGCGAGAGTAGTAGCTGATGAGGTGGAGGTGCTGGCCGCTCGAGGTTGTGATACTGAACGACTGCTTCATGAGACCGTCTGGCTTGTAGCGATACCCGTCTGGGCCCTCGCCCTCTGAATCGCCGGTCGCAGAGCCCTCAGGAGACTTGCCGCTTGCCCTCTTGACGAGCGGCGGTGTTGGTGCTGCTCCTCCTCGTTTCCCCTCCATCTCGCGGTATGTCAGGAAGCTGCCGGACACTCGGCTTGCACTCCACGACTTGCCGTCTGTCCACCTCCTCATGCCAGCCTCGCGCTCATCCCATACGAACACTGAACCCGACTTGATCTGCTGGCGCTCCTTCTCCGACAGGCGGCGCTGAACGCGTGGTAGTATGCCGATGCGGCAGGCCTCGAACAAGACAATCGCGTCGTTTGGTGTGCGGACATGGCCATGATATGTCTCCATTGTGAATGTGGTGTGTGGTGTCAATGCGAAGTGCTGTTCTGGAAGTCTCGTGCAAGATTATACTTGCATTGGGCGCCTGAGGGGCTGAGGTCAGCTTGAGTGTATTTGAGGCGGTTGATCATGCAGCCAATACAGCGTTGAGGGGCTGTGCATCCTGGAGCTCGACTTGCGTGCAAATGCGGCTCTTACTCAGGCGAACATTCGACATGGGTGCACGGCGACGCAACTGCAACATTGCACAGGTGCGACTGAGCGGACATGGAGCTATAGTAGAGACACTTACTGTAACACTTGCAACGGTGGCAGACTCGGCAGCGAGCGAGTGCGTTTTGTCGTGCCTCAGCAGCTGTGCGGCGACAGCAAGGCTAGTAGGCGTGGAGCTCCAGTGACGTGAAACGGCGCCGTCGATGAAACGATCTGTCGATGTGACAGATGTACGCGGCAGCGGACGTGGTGCGTGCAGGGGTGGTGATATGTAGGTCTAGGGCGGGCGAGGAGAGGGAGCAAAAAAGTCAGAAAGGCATCAGTAGGCGCGGCGTGCACTCTTCATGTACGCTTTGGGCCCGCAGCGAGGAGCGGAACCTCGCCTACCTGGAATGTCCTCAGACCTTTCTCGGCGCTGGGGTCTTGTCTTGATCGACGCCCAGGCCTGTAGTGGCGTTAGATAGCGAAATAAGGCCCCTCAAGCTGCCGGGACAAGCTTTGTTTGGACGCCGTTGGCTGCTGACTGGGGCCGCTCGTCGCAGCAGTGCAACCTGCAGCGCGTACGTACGCCGTGACAGAGCCTTGTGCCCAGCCGTCGCAGTCAGATCAACGCAAATAGCGACTTTTCCGCTCCTTTTGTTGCCGGAACCCGCCCAGCAGGCCGCAGCGATCTGTTCACATGCTCCTTCAGGGCTTGGATCGCTGGCGCCCAGGCCGTAAGTCTCGCCGCCAAGCTTTTTGCAAATGGCGCTACTCAACCTAAACCCAATCTCTGGTCTTTAACATTGACAAGCCTTCTGTGGCTTGGCTGGCCCACTCCGACCCCAGTTCTGACACCTCCCAAGCCTCTGCGCGAGTCCGTCACTCCGTCTTGTGGCTCTTGGCTACCGCTCGCGTGTGGACCAGCGCCGTTGGCTGCTTGAGACAATTTGCCCAGCACTTGGCTACGACGCCCCCGAGCACCACCGGGCGCCCTCCCACTCCTGCTGTGTCCTCGGCGCCTTGGGGGGACAAAGACGTCTGGGCAGTCAGCTCCGCTGAGATGCCGGCTCCGCAAGGACCCGCAACAGCGCAGGCGATGATCACACACTGCCCAAGACGCTGACGAATGCCTGCTACGCCGCGTGCCCCTCTATTTACCTGAAGTTCTCCGCACGAACACAGGCCCAGGGTTGCTGTCTGTGTGGAAGATACCGTGCCCGCCTGTCCCACCAACCAAGCACATCGCGCCTCCGCTCCTTGGACAATCCGCTCAGCTCCACTGTAACGTAATGGACCAGCTGCTATTCCTTAGCAGTTCGCTTAGGGGCTCGGCCAGAAGCATAGATTAAGCTTGGTGCCTGTGGTTTAAGCTTACTGCGTGCCACGAGGTTCCGGTTTAACCATGCTGACGGCGCGACAGGGCCCAACTCCGATGACATTCCCGCACACAGACAAGACCTCTGGTGCCTTGTCTGCTGCAATTTCGCTTTTGGCAAACTTTTGGCAATTCCTTGAACAATAGCCGTGACGGTCCGGCGGTGATTACATTGGGCTCTCGGCATGACAGTCAATATCGCCTGGCGTTCAAGCGTCTTTGCATAGACTGGGCGTGGAAGCAGCGGTCCGCAATGAGATAGCATCAGAGAACACCCACCACGCAAGCTCCTAAATCTGCCGTCTACTCGTTACATCCTTCCCAAGGCAGCATGGCTGAGAGCCACTATCAGAGTCACAGTGCAAGGCGTGCTTTCAGCTTGCCGGAGCGAGACAAAGGCCCGAGTTCCGCTTCGTTGGCGCAGGTCACACTCAAGCCTGCCAAGCCGTAGACCACTTTTTGTTTCTATGAGTGGCCAAGCTTCGCGTTCCCACGTTTAACAACGGCCCCATCTTGTCATGAGGCCGCGTCAGCGTGATTGGGACTGCCGAGCACCCTGAATCGCGATTGACTTGCGCATACCGCCATTCGTGAGCAACCATGGCATCATCCGTATCAGGCGCCTTGGATACTTATGCCATGTTTCCTGCGTACCGTCAAGGGAGCTCCGTTGGCTTGATATTCTCCAGCAATACGAGAAACACGAACAGCTATGCAGGATGGCTGAAGATCAGCCGATGTCGCTTCTTGCAAAGCGCAGATAAGGTTGGAGCAGGTTATGAGTTTAAGCTTAACTGATCAACCCCGGATTGGCCGGCAGTCAGCCACTCGATCGATACCTTAAAACAAGCGCACAAGATTGCCTGATCAGCCCACAACAATGCGCTATCGGTTTCGGTCATCAAGATTGACAACGCGGAAAGCTAATACAAAGATTCCTGTGTGATTACCGCCAGCTTCCATATGTGCTGCTGCCTGCTCGCAAGCTTTCGGAGCAGGTTGGAGGCGCAGCACAAGAACGCGATGGCGAGGGCGAGAGTCTAGAGCTGCGCCAACGGAACAGCGTACCGCGGGTCAGTCGCCTCGAATGCTGGTTGGTGAAGACAGCTGGACCGAATCAAGGGAGAATTTAAGGTAGGCCAAGCAATCGCACTTGCTGAATAGCACCCAATCTTTTGCCCAATGCTCTAACGCCAAATCGGAAGCAGTATAATTCGCGGACCAACAAAAGCATACACATTGAACGCATTTGCAGCGTCTCTGTGACAGCTCCGGCGGCTCATTGTGTCTGTCGCCAACTTTGCATAACAGCTTAGCCAGCTAGAGCAGCCTCCAACTCTAGCTGTGGCGCCACCTACGCCAGGCTTCATTTAGACCCAGGTCTAAGCTGCGACGACCGACTGCCGACAATCGAAGCGGGTGACTATGCCAGTCCTGTTGGTGATGTCGTGTCCCCTCGCAAGGACGCTCAATATTTTCAAGCTGTCACACTCTGCCCACGGTGCTGCACAATCACAATCGCTGCATGCTCCCGTCATAAGGTAGATTTGTATCTTGATCCAGCCCCTGACTGAACACTGAAGGTAAGAAGTGTACTGTACACGAACCAATCGCGAGATCGTCCTTTATTCGACCTTGGCTGTGAAAATACTAAACGTCATGGTCTACTGGCGTCGTGGTTATCGGAAGACACGATGCAAGTAATCTCCACTGGTCCTGACACGGATTTGTAACCAGCTTCTCGCTTCTTCATCCAAACACATCATCACCAACACGCCCATCTCCTTCCGCATTCCATATAAGCATTGATCGTACGCCCCATGCTTGCATTTGGCCATCAGCCTGCACATGTAATCCGTTGCCGCAATTGTCCACGAACCACAGCTCTGCAATGCATTCCGCTGCTGCACAGAGGATTGGCGGCTGAATCCTTACTCTTGGCACGGCCCACGTGCGTCAGGTACGCGCCCCAAGAGCCAAAGTACACATTGTCATTCGATATGCACGGTGTCGAGAGTTTGCTCTTACCAAGACCTCGTCCGGAAATCACGGTGCTAGCGTCTCGTACTGGAATAGTTCCTGTTTAGGCAGGTGATACCAGCGAGAACGCAGAAATTTTGCGGTGCGGTTACACGCGCATATTGGTAGGTATCGAGATGGTGTGGTACCTGGGTACTCTTGCGTTGGCGACAAGACATAGGTACAGGACTGCGAGGCTGCAGTGTGGGCCTCAAGTACCACCTTCCTGCAAAGTTCGTCAACAAAAGCTACGGTGCATATAGCGCCGCTTCCTATCGCGATTTGTCACACGCAGTTCTGGAAGAGTCTTGGTTGTAAGTGGTCAAGAGGGGCCAGAGAGACATCTCTTCTATCAGACACCAAAAACATGGACCCTTTGTGGTATCTCAAGATTCCATGGTACAGCAAAGACCACACAAGTTAGCACTCCAATTTACAAACGTCGGGTTCATTCAGCGAATGACACTAGATGGCGTAGCCTCTGGAGACGACTAAGTACCCAAAGTCGCGTACTGTCACGCATATCGCAGCTCAAAGCACTCCATCAAGATCCTCGTACCGCGGCAACTGAAATCCTTCAGTATTCTGCTCCGTAGTCTTGTCTCCCCCGATCAGCCTTACAATCCACGGCTGGTTTGCTGCTCTAGCCAGCGTTGACATCGCAGTCTGAAGCACCCATCTCTTCCACGCTGTATCCGGGTGTGCCACTCCCGGCACGAAACTAGGAATCTGCTGCGTCTGTTCAACAAAGGGACGGAACGCCTTCTCGTACGCCTCTAGCATCGTCCTAGGATGCTCGCCAACCTGCGCCTTTGCAAGCTCACCAGCAAGCATGTATCCTCCAATGATGGCCAGTGATGTGCCCATGCCTGTGAGAGGCGTGGGTGCGAACGCTGTGTCTCCCAGACAGACAACACGATCAGTACTCCACTTGTCCATCTTGATCTGCTGGACGGCCTGGAAGTAGAAGTCCGGTGCCATGCTCATCGCGGTGAGAAGTCTAGATGCTTGCCATCCTGCGTCTGCGAATTCTTGCCTCACTAGCTCTTCTTGCTTTTGTCGCCCTGCCCGAGAGGCGTTCTGCCAGGCCGACTTCTGCGTCTCGTTGCGCGGCATGATGGTAAGCATCGCCCTGGTAGTTCCGTATGGATCGGGGCGCAGAGTGATGTTGCGCGATTGCAATCCGAAGTATACGTTCCACCAGTCGTTATCTTCTTCCAGTCGTGGCACAGTGAAGTAGACTACATACATCCCTTTGTCGACTACCGCGATAGACTCGGGCTGAAAACACTGCTTCCGAATTTGCGACCACTGACCGTCTGCTGCGACGAGGAGGTCGAAGTCCTGCACGGTGCCGTCGCTGAGCTCAACTTTGACACCTGCATCGTTATTCTCGAGCACTTTCTGGACAGTGGTGCCGAAGGTGTACTCCACGTTTGGGGACACGCGTGAGGCTTCCCAGAGTATCTTGGCCATGTCTCCTCGCAGGATCTCAAACTCAGATGTAAAGCTTGTAATTTCTCCTTCCTTGACCGGAAAGGGTGCAAATGGGCGACCGTTAGGATCGATGAGCTGAGTGCCTTTTTCTTGTGTGTGGCTGCGTTTGACTTGCTCGAAAAGGCCCATCTTTCTGATGACGGTCACGGCGCTCCCCGTGAGGTCTACATTCTGGCCGTGTGAGAGGAGTGCTGGAGCTTTCTCGACGACGGTGATGCGAGCCCCGGTTTTGGCCAGACAGTATGCGAGTGTTGGGCCTGCGACGCCCGCTCCGGAGATGAGAACGCGCATGATGTATGGACTGAGATCAGGCTGGCAACGTCAAGTTACACTGATTTGATGGATTGAGTATCTCCTCAGAAAATGATATACCTTCTGGACCAACTCCCACAATTTAGGTTGTGGTAGGTTGGGTCGCTCCGTGAGTCGCTCCGGCCCATTGAGTCTATCAAGGCCGCAGTTCCATGTGCGAAGAGCCTAAACAATAGGCAACCACCGAATGTTCAGAGCTAGCTCACGATCTCCAGCGCAAGTGTGGGCTAATTGCAGTCAAGCTCATCAAGGCTTACGCACTAATGAGCTTGGTGCATATGCAGCGAATAAAGCCTTTGCACCAGTCGCCTTATCTGGCGCTGAGCGTGAATTAGAGACGCGGTTGCACTATTGAGCGCAGCCGTAGCTCATGAGCTCAAACCCCCTTCACAAGGCCTGATCGTTACTTCGATGCTCCCTTGTCATAACATATCTCTCTTTGCTGCATGATGGTTGACGTCATTTTCGGTTGCTCACATAACTCTGGTATGACAAGTAACCATATATCCAACAACATGCCAAGACAGACTTGCCATGCAAACGAGGAACCAGTCGCTTTGACCAATGCCGTGCAAAAGCTGTGGGAGTAGAGGTTCTTGATGCCGTTGGCCCCGCACGTAGGGCCGCCGACCCTTGAAACAAGAGCGGTGACGAAGTGTGCCCCACATCCAAGCAACAGCGCAGGCAACTCCTAAACACCACAGCTCTCAATCGGTCGGCTTTTGCATTGCTCTGAGCGTTAAATTTCCTTGCACAATGTCTCTCGTATCTGGTAAGAGCTTGTACTTCAATGCATTGCAGTAGCTAATCAAAGCAGACGCCATCTGGGCTGCTGCGCCCGCAACCACCCGAGGACAGCCAACTCCTCTTTCGTCTGACCCCAAGGGAGAGCGGATAGCCTACGCTGTAAGCTCCTGGCAAACCTATCCTGAATTGCGACAAGCTAATCAAAGTACTACAGTCAGGCAAATCCATCTTCCTCCGCTCCATCGACGACCCCTCCGTCAGCACACAATACACCCAACACACCGCTCAGACTACGGTTGCCCGGTTCTCGCCCTCCGGCTTCTATGTGGCGAGTGGAGATGCGTCTGGAGCCGTCAAGGTCTGGGATTGCGCAGGCGAAGGCGCTACAAAAGGTGGGTTGCAGCGCGGTGGTGGAGATGCTGAGAAAGTGAAGCTGACGATACACAGGCGACTACCACATTATCGCCGGGCGAATCAACGATATTGCATGGGATGGCGATTCACAGCGAATCATTGCTGTCGGTGATGGCAAGGAACGATTCGGACACTGCATCACGGCAGACAGCGGTAACAGCGTGGGCGAGATCTCCGGACACTCGCAACAGATCAACAGCGTTTCGATCCGTCAACAACGACCGCTGCGAGCTGTGACCGGATCTGACGACAGCAGTCTCGTCTTCTACCACGGTGCGCCCTTCAAGTTCAACACTAGTCTGAGAGAGCAACACAACCGCTTCGTGTTCGGCACGGCCTTCTCTCCAGATGGGTCGCTCTTTGCTAGTGTGGGTGCCGACAAGCGCATTTGGTTATACGATGGCAAGACCGGTGAAGCCAAGGGTCAGATTGGGGACGGCGTGCATACCGGCAGCATTTTCGGCATTTCCTGGGCGAAGGACTCAAAGAAGTTCGTGACAGCTAGCGCAGACCAGACTGTCCGAATCTGGGATCCTGAAGCAGGAAAGAACATCCAAACCTGGAGAATGGGTGAAGAAGGGGTTGTCAGCATTCCGGACCAGCAAGTCGGTGTTGTGTGGCCCACCGGCCGCAGCGACGGTCTGATCGTCAGTGTGGATCTAGAAGGAAACCTTAACTACTTGGCAGACGGGAGCCCCAAGCCGACCAGAGTGGTGCGCGGACACCAGAAGAACATCACATCTGCCGGTATCTCGGGCTCGACATTTGCTACTGGTAGCTACGATGGCCGCGTTCTTGCTTGGGACGTCTCCACAGGCCTTGCAGACAAGGTTGAGGGATCCTCACATTCCAACTACGTGGCAGGCATCACTGCTGCTGAGTCCAAGAGCCAGGCTGAGCTTTACACAGTAGGCTGGGATGACACACTAAGGTCGATCTCCGTCCCGGACAAGATCTTCACCGGTGAGGCAAGTTCACTTGGTTTCCAGCCCAAGGGCATCGCTTCTACGGGAGACGTTACGCTGGTCACTTCCGCGGACTCGATAGCCATCTACGCAAAGGGAGCCAAGGCCGGCTCACTGCCGGTCAAGTATGGTGCTACATCGATCGCTGCGCACGGCTCGACTGTTGCAGTTGGTGGAGACGACAAGCTTGTCCACGTTTATACCTTATCTGGAACCGAACTCAAGGAAACCGGTACAGAGCTTCGCCGCGCTACGGCCGCTATCTCAGCCGTTGCCTTCTCTCCATCCGGCTCTAAGCTTGCATTTGGTGCTAGCAACGGCAAGATCTATGCATATGAGGCTGGCGGAGACTGGAAGATCATCACGGACCGATGGAGCGCGCACACTGCCCGCATCACATGCCTAGCATGGGATGAAAGCGAGCAGTTTGCCGCAAGTGGAAGCTTGGACACGAATGTCATGGTGTGGAGTGTCGAGGATCCGGGCAAGCGAATCAAAGCGCTCAACGCTCACAAGGACGGTGTTACCGGTGTGGCTTGGGAAAAGGCAACGAAGGTCCTCAGTGCGGGTGGTGACGCTAGCATTAAAGTGTGGACCGTCAAGGCGTGAGAGCTACGAACGATAGCATATCTAGCATGGTTCGAAATGGTTCGCTAATTACGCTTGATGCGTTCATTGTGCGCCTGAAATGGTCACGGAGCATGCCGATGAAATAGGAAAAAAAGCAACACCAACTCAGTCATATGCCAGACCGACGGCTCTTAAGAGAGAGCAAATATGAGGCGAGATTGGTGGTGGGGCGTGGTTTGTTGTGCCCTCGTATGCAGTTGCCGTCCTTCCCATGTAAGTTGCAGTCAGCCTAGGTACCGCTTACCACCTACAACCCTGCACTATGTTAGTCCTTCTCCCCTGTACTGGCATCAAATGGGATTGGGCCTTTTAGATTCCAACGTCTTAGTATTCATCATTGTAAGCGTCGCGGCATGCAGGCCTGCAGCGCTTTCTTCCGCAAACTTTGTGGCTTGCGTCACACAGTTGCCTTCTTTGCCTCGCACTCAAGGTTCGCCCACCGCGCAAGGGTGTTTGACAACGCATGAGGTTGATATCGCCGCGGCCAAGCAGGAGTCCTCCTCCCCTAGCGTGAGCGCTTTGCTGTGATAAACGCACTTAATGGCTGCCTTGTCCCAGTGTTTGGTCTCTCTTTCCCGACCTTCTCGTACCTAACATCCAAGCTTGACGACTAGTTCACTTCCACGACACGGTTTACGGTGAATCTGCGTTTTGTTTTGCTATTAGCCCTTCGCATCACTCGTTGATCAATCTTGTCTCGGTCTTACGATGGATCATCCGTACATTACCGGTCACGACCAAGGTTGTGACTACGCGACGGGTGGCAGACGCCTCAGCATCAACATGAACAACTTCAACAACATCACTGGCTTTCAACAGCAACAAAGCTTTCCTAGTCAAGGCAGCCCCTCTCCACTGAATCGTTCACGTCATGACTCGGTCAACTCTCAAATGTCTCTTCAAGCATTGCAATTGTCAAGTGGGCAGCACCAGGCTGGAAGTCAGCCTTGTGGTCAGCAATTGACCCCGCATACCGGTATTACCTGCCCAATCCAGTCGACGCCTATGTCTCGCGGAACGTCGCATGCGTCTCATCATTCTTCGACGTCTTCAAGTCAGCAGTATGGCGGCGACTCACACTTGATATCACATCACTCATTTCCGAATTTCTACTCGCCACTTGGGACCAATATGCAACGCTCGCGATCTGGATATTCTACCAATTCCGCTATGCAAAGCCATCAGACAAGCCCTCAGTCTAGCGCACCTCAGATGTATCCTGCTCCCGCCAACCAATACGACCCCCACTCGTCGATTGAGCTTCTAGCAGATTTTCCTATCGCAACACAGCACAGCCCGACGAATAACCTTCTACATAACTTCAGCGTGGACTGTACTCTGAACGAGCCGAACGGTATCGATGGTTTTGGAAATGGGGTGTTTGGTCACGATTTATCCGAGTAAGTTCCTCCACTATAGTCACAACGAAACGTTAGACTGCTGCTTCAGTAACCTCATGACACTCCTGGACTGCCATTTTGGACACCATAATCGACCTCATGGACTGGACAGTAAACCTTCTTAACTAGTTGGCTGTTTTGGACGGTAAGAATCAACAGTCGACCTTTACGCCCGCCCCTCTCTTCGATCCGTCGTGAACCAGGGTACGCATTTTCGTGGTCAACAGGAAATCCGTCCACAGTCACCTGTATTGAGTTAGCCCACCACGCTACAGGAAGTTCTGCCGCTGTTGGATTCAACAAAGTTTTATCGCCTCGTGAGATGAGTTTCCGGTGTCTCCATGACAGTCACAGGATCCGGCTCGAAATACCAAGGAACACATCTCATCCATGGCTACCTCCCAAGTTTTGTACAACAACACTGGCGCCCTATCTGAACACGACATGATTACGCCGCTGCATTTCCAAGGTTCAGACTGCTACGGCTCCTGGAGCTCAGGATCCTCTTGACCAAAACCGGAACCGTTCACCGCCTGTACCTCTTCAGGGGGTTTCTGGTGAGCCAGTCGCCGCCATTTGGCAACATACAAGGTGGGTTGTTTTCATTTTGGTCGTCACCTTTTTTCTTCGGCCGCACATAGTCCAATAACTATAAGCCTTGTGGATCGAGCACCCACATGGAATTCTTCAGAGCAACACTGCTACTTCGACACTTATCATACCTGCGGTCCTTGTGCGCAATATGTCTTCCACCCCAGTGTTCACATCGTTCTCACCACCACCCACCGAGTCACGGGGACTATATCGTTGACTCACTTGTCACCACATATCAAAATCAATCATGAGGTCCAGTAATCTACATGCCTGGAAGAAACGAGATCTATCTTGGGATTGGCTCGTGCTTCTCCAATCCGTCCGGGTTGTGCAACAGAGAAGACCATGCCCCCTCCTACAGCCCCTATACAACATTGTTACCATATGACCTTAGGATTCTGCCACGTACACATATGCCTGCTCAAATATTCCGTCTCTGGATCAAATATCAACGTTTTTGCAGAATTTGGTGTGCAATATCCAGTTCTAACAGCCGTGTCTTAGACAAGTTCTCACACCCACACTGCTCCCGCAGCCACTCTACAGACGACCCAACTCATTTGGTGGCTACGCACAACGTCCAACATATCAGTAAGCTTATGCTGAGGTTGATGATATCAGACCTAAATGCTCACTGATTCACAGCACAGTTGCCTCGATTCCACAAAACCGAGCCCCGGTTGTGGAGCGTTCTGTCGACGCAACGTCAATGCAGTCGCTCCCGCCTGATCAGCCAGTAAAGCGTCGATCCCGAAAATGTAGTCCGCCGTCAGACTCAGAGTCTGAACAGATCACCGGTCACGTCCTTGCTTCTGGCAAGTTCAAGTGTTCTGACCCAGGTTGTGACGATCTTCGATTTGGTAGGCAGGCAGACTTCAGACGCCATCACACCAACGTGCATGCAGACAGGATCCTCGAGTTCTTCTGTCCTATGTCAGGCTGTGAGCGCTCGAAAAAACCGGCAAGAAAGGGCAAAGGTCGCAGCTTCAAAGGCCGGAAGGACAAGATGGAAGAGCATGTCCAGACTGTGCATCACAAGTTGAGCAAAAAGAGAGAAAGATCATCTGAGACCGAGTCGGATGAAGACAGCATAGAGACAGAAGAACCACCCCCCAAAACTCAGCGACAAACTCAACACTAAAGGCACCTCAATACTAGTGGCTACGCCCTGGCTCATACAGTGCCTTGTATAGAGCTATACGTTTGTATTATAGCACATTTGGCGTTTTTGGGATTAGCGAAGCTGTCTTTTGATGCAGTCACTTCTTGTGATCCACTCGCTAGCATATTGGGTTGTTGCCCGTTCGGTTACTACTCTTTCGATCTGCTTCTTGTATACAATGTTAGGACAGACAGCGATGCAGGAGTGTAGGAAGGATGTCATAAGGCGCTGTGGTACCATTGTAAGTATGCATTTTAAGACAGAAAATGACACTTGTTTTATGTTCAGCCATTGTTCGGTGAATGTCACAAACACTCATCTCGACCCCTTTCTAGGTACAGTTCTATTGAATAGTTCCTCACTTCGGGTCTACCATGCATTGTGTTGCTTAATCGTGACTTGCTTGGCACTAGTTGTTGTCTTGGAGCATTAGAGGGCGGAGATACAAATCGCGATCTAGTCTTCACATGGTAGAATGACTCGGAAGGTTCATATTGTTTACATGAGTGGCCCTTTATGACAGCTTCTCGATTTGATAGCAGCTGTCAGCTGTATTTTTGGGTGGATGAGAGCAGGCTTTAAACAGTAACGAGATAGTAGCATTCCTTTGCCACCAAGCCTACATCTCGCCTCACACCTTGAAAACCAGAGACAAATTTTAAAACGCTCGGAGACCAACTCGCCGGTATCATAAACCAGACTGGCCCCTCCTAGCCTCCAGCGACGACAGCCAAGCCTTCGTAGATCTTCCTCTTGACCTTGAAGAACGTAGCCGCGTCGTTGCTCCTTGGGTTTGCGAGGCTGTATGCGCCGCCATCGACTTCGATGGTGCCTGCTGCCGTCTTCCTCACGGCGACTGTGCCGTTGATGACCAACACACCCTCGCCTCTGAACTCTGCTTCCATGCCAGAAGCCTTCATAAGCTTCCTCAGATCCGCAAGCCTCAGATCACCGACATGGAAAGGCTGAGCGACAGAGCGCACGGCCGTTGCCATGTTGGTTGGTATCACGTCCAGAACCGGTGTGTCGTCGTTTCCTTCCTGGCTCACAGGGATAGCAGGCGTGGCCTCGAGTCTTGCCCTCTTCTTTGCAGGGGCCTCGTCTTCCTCCTCTTTTGGTGGAGGCTCGAGGCTTGCGGCTTGCAGGCGTCCAGTGATGGCGACAACGCCTAGGCCGTGGACCTTTTGCCATCGCAGGTTCTGGATCATGCTGCGCGATAGCTTGACAGACCATGCATTGGTGTCGACGCTGGCGTCAATCATGACACCGACCGCGGGCGTAAACACATCGATGCTGCTGCCTGCTTCGATGGAAGCTAGGGTTTTCCGTAGCTCGTCTGCGAGATCTTTGGTTTCTGTTTCCTCACCAGCGACGAAAATGAGGTTGCGGGGCTTGATCAAAGGAATGAGAGTCTGGATCGTGCGGCGGTCGTGCAAGCCGGAGAAGTCGATGTAGGTTATGCGGCACCTTATATCGAGCACTTCCGACTCCATGATGATCTTTGCAGGCCCGTCGACCTTATCTGGGTCATCTTCGGGTTCGCTATCTGGCTCGGCAGGTGCGTCTGCAGCGCCATCCCACTTCCTCTTTTGACCAACCGCGTTCTCCTTCTTCACTGCATCCGCCCGAGAAGGCTCGCCGGGGACATTGTCTTCTTCTTCAGCACGTGCAAACTCTTCAGGGCGGATCAAGTCTCCAAAATCATCGGCGCGCCTTCGCTTGGTAATGATGGGAAACATCTTATCTGTGCCCTTCTTGCCCTGAACCTCGAAGTCGTGTACGTTCTTGCGACGAGTGAGAATGTTAACACCCATCTCAGCGTCGGTCTGATCGACCTTGTTACGGGCATGACGAAGGGTAGCCGTTGTGTTGAGAGCCTTTCCTTGATGTGGGTGAACCATATCCTCTGAATCTTCTGAACTCTCTGATGTTGTTGATGATCGATCGTCCACCACGTCAGCAGTCTCCATGTTGGTGGTAGCATCGCCACCCATGGTGTTATGGAGTTGTCTTTGCCTTGCCAGATGTTGTTGATAGAGAGGTACTTCATCACCTTCAAGCGCCACTGTTCGAGCGGCTCGCACAGACATTTGACCTGGAGCATCAACCACTGTTGTTGAAGAGCCCTGTTCTGTAGATGCATTTTGCTCGTTCCAAACTTCCCATAAGTATCGACCAAGGCCCTTCTCTTTCACATCGAGGTCGCCGACACGTTCAGTGAGAACAATCAAGTTCTTCGGGTCTGATGCTAAGCTCTTGATGGCATCCTTGGAGAAACCCCATTCCAGGGATGTGTCGCTCGCCAGTATCACGCGCGGTTCATCTTCACCGAGCATGCGTGCTACTCGCGTTTTGCGCTCCAACAAGGTGATATGTCTGAAGTCGAATGGTGGCCTCGCGCCTCTGTCCTCTTTTCCACCAGTCCGATTCTTGCCCTGTTCCTGGCCGTCTGCTGCGCCGCCTGCTCCAAACTCCTTCACGATACCTTCGTCCATCCACTCGACCATGCTTCGTACGTACCTCATCGTCGCACCACCTGTTCTGCTTGCTAGATATAGTTTGGCGTCCTTTAGCGGGCTGTTACTGTCCGCTCTGGTAGCTTCGTTCTGCCACGTCTCTTCCAGGAGATACGACAACTCCAGGATGCGAGCGCTAGAGTCGGAAGGAATCAAGACAGATCCCCCTTTCGCAACTGTATCTCTGATCATAGACAAGAGGGTCTCATCGCGTTGATTGCCCTTGATGTTCGTGTGCTTGCCTGATCCTTTGCTACTGCAAATAAGGGCAGTAGGGCGGCGCAGCTGCTCCAGCACTTCAGAACCACCCGTTCCAGGTCCACCTAGCCAGGCCGCTCCCGAGAGCACATGTTCCCTTGCCTGGTTCCAGTCCACTGCATAGACGACTGATTCCATGCCATGCTGTATGTGCCAAATTGTGCCTCCCAGTGTATGTCCAGCGCTATAGGCGGTGATTGTGAGGCCATTGAGAGGCGGCGAGCTTGGTGATGCCAGTGGTTGACGTGGCTGTGAGTATTTAAGGGCGTTTATCAGACCAAAATAACTGGCAATTTCATCGTGTGTAGGTGCTTGAAGCAGGATATTCGGGTTACTTCCATCAGGAAGCGCAGATGGATATGCGTAGGCCGATTCGCTGAGGGACTCGGTCGATATTATGGAAGCCGCGAGTGGTGTGGAGCCGTAGAGATCTTGGAGAAGGGTTCGCCCAAGAGATATGACGGGTATTGTTGCGTAGACGGGTATGCGCGTGAAGGTTGGGATGTTCTTGCAGCAATGCACATATGCACCGATATGCGCAGTGGTTGCGTGTGTGAGCAGGATGAAGGAGAGCGTAGGGACATGTCTGGAATCAACGCGATCAGCTTCATTCTTTGTACATTGGATTGTCTATATACAGCTGTACATGAGTCTGCGCACTGAGCAGCACCTACCTTTCTATTTCTTTGAGTTTTTCGACATCAAAGCTCTCGTCCCAGCCCACGTCAATAAGCACTTTCACACCCCCATCGAACTCGAGCAGTGACTGAGATGCCGGCGAAGCAGATTGCGCACCGAGCAAAGGTGTGAAGTTGAACATGGTGATAGCAGTCAGCTAAACTGATGCACGCGATTGTGCTTTACGAAGGCATAATGGCCTACCGCAAGGTGAAGATCGATACGCCGCGCTGAGGGATGCGATGAACGACGCGCCGTTCATTGTCCAACTAGCGCGTACGCGTGCCAAGGCTTGACATGCAAACAGTGCAAACCGGACAAACATACCTCACGAGCCTGAAGGGCAACACTTTGCACTACTCCTGTCTCGGTCTTGATCCCGGGTCCTGCAAACGACTGCACGCCCGTAATTCATGAAATTGCATGAAACAAGCCGCGCCTTGACGGAATGATCTTGTACAACTAATACCACGTGACGCAACGCTGGATAACGGAACGGGTTGCACATCACTCCACAGTATCAACAGCATCCTGCAGACAAGCATCTTTGTACAACGCACTCCGATCCAGGATCCCTACCATCTGCAGTGCTCTGTGCTGCGCCAGCCGTTGATTAGTTGATGACCTGCTTAGTGATCTCGATCCTGAAGAAGTCCACGCGCCGAAGGTCCGGAAGATCTGAGAATTCTTTACGCAAGCTGCTGTGAGGCGGCCGCCTGAAAGGTCCAAGATTGAGCTGTTATGCAACTATCATCCTCTCGGATAACTTTAACGAATGAAACAGCCCAGTTGCTCCAAGCAAACCCCGCGCCAGTGCATGCCGCTAACATATGCAAGTCACACCCGCTTCGTCTCTTTGCTCCACCTTCGGCCCTCTCTCGGATGCGTTGTTCCGCTGTGTATTGTACCATAAACCGCCTAATGTAAGTCACCCTTTTATGGTCTCCGCTGTCACTGCGCTGCAGGGCCGGACACTTTGAGAGGCTCACACATCTTAAACTTTGTCGTACACCCTCAAAGAGAGTAGGAATGTTGTGCACAGATCTCTCTCCTGTTCATGCGTCATGATATTCGTCAGCTGGCATCTCATCCTGGAAATTATCGCGTTTCGCTCAAAAGGGCATGACCGCGATAGCGCAGGGTGTCTGGCTCCACATGGTGATGAGACACTCCCCTATGGACAGGACTACCTCCGATTCATGCTAGCACGCTGATATCTGTGAGCTGATTCATCCTTGATGTTGAGATGCTTGTCAATCTGTACGCAAGGCGTCAACGCCAACAGTGTCACACACAGAGATTCCGGCAATGCCATATCCGAAGTCCTGCTTCCACTATGAGCTAAATGCGTAGACGTCAGTGTCCACAGATGAGCTTTCAGGCCAGTTTGGAGCTCTGTCGCCGTCAGAGCTCCTCGGTACTAGCCGAGATCAGTGCGGGAACTGTCTGGGAGCCAACTTCGGGGGCGTGCTCTTTTGAGTTTGTCATTCCGTCCGCGTTTCCGCTCCGCCCGCTACCAATCTTGGAGATTACGATCAATAGACGATGGAGATTATAAGCGGAAAGTTTTGCCTTGCAGATTAATTTCCATTCACAGATCGCTGCGATTAACATTTATTGCTTCTGCAAGCGCAAGCGAACACTTCCAACACGCGGGGAGAAGGCCTTCAACCGCTCTCGGGTTGGCCGTTGCTTCGCTACCGTCAAGTTCTGACTGTGAAGATCTACGTGCCCTTGTCATCCTTGTAACATGGCTGAGAGTGCGAAACGTTGAACACTGCCGATTAACCAGTCCTTGCACTTCTGATTGCATCCCATGCTCCAAGCCGCCGAACTGGCTGTCCTCTGTAAGATTGGAGAGGCGTCTGGTCTTGCCATCATTTGACCGGACATAGACCGCAAGAGCGATGTCTTCGGGTCACACATTGTAGGGACGAGGGGAGTAACAACACTAAGGCGCCTCTTCTTGTGGGGCTGATTATCAGCTAGGAGCGCCTCAAAATCAAGTGGAAGATCGTGTCCACTGACTATCTGTGTGCGCGGCCGTAAGATGTATGGCGTTAGGCTGTTGCCATTGATTGTCACAGTCAGGGATCCAGTCAAGGTGAATACAGCTTGGCTTCCGTATATGGCTGACCAATGTATTCGATGTGCAGCAGACAGTTTTCGCAGCGGTTTTTCTCCATTTTCCGCCGCCGTCTTTCTTGGGCCATCAGCTTTCCGCCCGGGGTATGTCTGACCAGCAGCACATCGAGGCCTGCGAGAGCCAGATTTGGCCGATGAAAAGCGACTCGTGTCAGTAAGGTCGGCCAGCACGTTACATTTCCACGAGGGTTGACAGTTCTGTATCACCCAACTAGCGCTCATGCCGGCTGCTCTTTTCTAGGCCACATGCAGCTCCTGGCCTCTCTTCGCAAACGTCAACACAGTTCCTTGCGTGGACAGTGCATTTGCTGTTCTGCAAGCTTCGGCCTGCTCCCTGCTTTAAGTAGTCGGCGGCCCGGTGCGCTGGATAGAGTGGAACCGCTACTTCCAGGGTCATCCTCCATCGTGTGTTAGAGGCGAATTCGTCGTCGTTGCAGCGACGCTACTTTTGACTTACCTACTATAACCTCTGGCCTGTCCCGTCTCGTGCGACCTGGCCTTGAACTTCGCCGGCTTACCTTTCTCGCCCACCCTGCACTGCACCCAGCCCTTCATATCCTAGATCCTTGTCGATAAAACCGCATTGCCTCCCCACTCAGGCGATCATCGTTCAAACGCCTCTTACAGTGCGACTGCCCACTGTTGCGCAACTGGCTTCGTCCTTGCATCTGCTATCATCACGGGCCTTGGACACCGCCACACAACAAAATCTCCAGTCCATCTGCCATTGCCTTCTTAAGGCTGCCATCGGATCCAATTGTCTTCCAGAGACACAGTTTCGGAGTTCATTGCTCATTATCTCATTGGTAGTTGGCGACTCGCTAAGACTAACGCAATCCCCCGCTCTTACGCAACATACCGCCCAATTACTCGAGGCTCCCATACCCGACCGCGCGTGAGCTGTCTTGCAACAAATCTCGTCGTGTCCTCGACAAGGTACTTGCAGTCCTGTTGCACCACCGGCCCAGAAGCAAGCGACATCTAGCGATATTAGTGTAACGTTTACAGGCGTTGCAGAGTCGCACGTTCTGCTACACAAGATTCAGCCTTGGTGCCGTCGAACTTGCTCTCAGCTGCGAGCATACTGAACGCAAACAAACGATTTGTGCACCCAATGTTGCCTACTCGTTGGCAATAGCACTTGAAATTGCCTCCATCAGACCGGATGAATTCGACGTTTTCTTTCGGCTCGCCGTCCGGCGCTCACAGTCGAATGAGTACCAGCTCTTCCCCTCAGCCCTCCATGTCCTCTGCCAGCGACTCTCCTCTAACCACACCCAACTTCGACTCGAACATATTCGCGACCTCCGATTCGCAATCAGACGGCCGGCGGGACTCGCGCACAAGCCCGGATGATATCATTCCGAAGATCGAGGAAGCAGAACTCGACTTAGCAGATGTCAAGGAAGAGACAGATGAGACTCCCATCTCCCCGACGGAGCCTGTACGCATACGACGAGCTCGTGGCCGACCCCGGATTCACCCGCCCCGCTCGCCCACAACTCTGTCCAAACAAGCAAAAGCACGGTCGAAGACAGGTTGCACGACATGTCGAAAACGAAAGAAGAAGTGCGACGAGACTAAACCTTTCTGTGAGTGTGGGTAACCGAGCAAGCGGGTGCGTAACTAACCAAGATCAGGTTTGTCGTGTCAGAAAAACAACATTCACTGTGAGGGCTACAAGCCTCTAGAGATCTGGAGAAGCGGAAAGGAAAGGGCAGCAGACGGTATGTATCTACTGCAACCTAGCTTGTCCAAGCTGACTGGAGCACAGCCCGCAAACGGAGCGAAGACATCAGATTCGACCTTCCGCCCCTGATGGAAGGTGTCGAAAGCGACCTTGACCGTTCTCTCTTGCAACATTTCGCCAATCGGGCAAGCTCTGTTCTTACCTTACATGGTGACAAAGCATCCAATCCCTTCACCAAGATACTGTTGCCTATGGCGCTGCAGCATGAAGGTTTGATGCATTCGGTGCTCTGCCTGTCCGCCTCACACATGTATTCGATCAACCCATCACAAGAGTACGAGGACCGACAAGCGTACCATCGTGGCAAGGCTCTGCAGCTGCTGAAAAACGACCTCGAGCGCCAAAAGGCCGGCGAAGGTGGAGTGATGGTTTTTGAGGATTCTAACGTTGCCCAAATCCTGCTGCATCTTCTTCACTCTATCTGTGACGGAAACACTTCTGGCGAATACAGGATGCACATGGTGGCCGCGAAGCAGATTGCGATGAGTCAAAAATCGGCCAACCCAGAGTTCCAGTCACTCTTCGATGAGTTCTTCTACTATCATTGGATTGCCAGTCAGATAACCTCCATGGATGGCGCTGATGTACCTATTATGGACGATTTCAACCTACCTTTCAAGATCAACCCCGAGACTGCCGGTCTTATCGGCGTATCTGATGGGTTATTCGGTTTCATTTCCAAGATCAGCAACCTGCGGCGACGCTTGCGGTCTCGTATTGACGAGAAAATCGAGCCAACGATGGACTATGAAGGACTGCTTGCTGCACACGCCATCGACACGGGTCTGCGCGGCTGGGTGTGCCCACAGGCACCGGGCACCCCTCGCTACACCATCTCGATGCTGTATCGTCAAGCTACGTGGGTCTATCTCTATCGCACGACGAAAGACTCCCACCCCCACCCATACATCAAAGACGCTGTAGACAACGGCATACGGTACATCAATGAGCTGCCTGCAGAGGGCTGGATTCAGAGCAACGTTCTCCTGCCGCTGTTTCTCATTGGCTGCGCAGCTTTCGAGGAAGAGCAGCGCATTGAGGTCAACCGAGCATTCGCAGGCCTGATCGCCTGTACAGGTCTGGGAAACATAGGCTTTGCCAAGGAAGTTGTTGACGACATCTGGAAGCTCATGGACTCTGGAGACCCAGAGTCATGGGACTGGGAAAGGATCATCCATCAAAAAGGATGGGATTTTCTTGCTACATAAAACGGACTTACGCCTCATTTCGGTTTTCTTAATTTCGCTTCTTTATGGCTGCATTATCACGGTTATTTTCACGGAGCAAAAGGAGTAACAACCGCGGCGGATGTTTGTCTCCCCGGAATACTATTCTGGGACGAAGGTTCGCATCCTTCAAGGCACGAATGCGCCACGGTTGGCATGTACTCGGCACAACGTCGCTTACTACATGGGCGGCGCATTGTGTAGGATTATGGACCGACAAACGGGTTTACATTTCTTTCTCGCATTTTCTCGGTACAGCGGTTTTCTTTCGCACACATAGCGTTTGGCACATTTCGTGCGCACGATTTGCATCTTTGATTGGCACAAGGCAAGGCGATTCGAATTACAAGCAGCATCTGTAGCTAGGCGCAAAGCATGTTGGTTGGTACAATCGGGTTTCACGACACGTCGCTGCGCAGACGAAAATACAGACTAAGTTAGTCCACTCCCTGCCAGCTCCCAATCCTAGCGCTCCTGCTTCGTGCGTCAATGACGAATGACCGAGGTGTCGTGATGAGGAGAGGAGGAACGCCGTGAGGCGCTGTCTGGAGCCTCGTCTCGACATTCCAGCCTGCAATGCGGGTCGGTTTCTCCGCCAATCCTAGGAGTTAACGGCCGACGGTTGCCATGCTAAATACGCTGTGCGATCTTGACAAGCCAAAGAACCATTGCGATCGCGTCTGCTTCTGTACCTCACCGACGGGCGGGTACTTGCAGCCTGCGAGATGAAGGGTCATGGCTGTTGGCACTCTTCGTCATGAGCTCTGTACACGATGCGGCCGTTAGAGGATCACCACTAGGTTCAGCTTCGGCGGTCCGGCTTGTGCGCTTTGCGTGGGGGCCTGCATTGCCAGTTTGCACAAACCTGAGGGGCTGGCGGCTAAGGCAGATGGCCTTCTACTGGGTCGGTTCTCTGCTCGCATGTGCCTCGGGACACCTTCCAAGCATACGTGAACTCCATGATAAAGTCAATGCTGGGTAAATGCCCCTTGGACACAGCAGTAGCGCACACGTTGTCGGCCCGTCTTGTCAAGTCAGAGCACAGCTTGCCCCGCAGTTGAGCTTGTACGAAGGGGTCCACTGTTGATGAATTGTTCAGGCTAAAGGAAACAAGGTACATCGGCAAATGCGCGGTACTTAGAACGACACCTCACAATTTCCCGATATGACATGGGGGTGAGATTTGGACTTGGAACAATTCTTATCTCGATATGCAAACAGGAGCGCGTTGATCCCGCTGAAGAGGTTGCCGGGTGCACATTTTCTAGACCAGTGACTCCACAATTTCTCCCGTAAGCAAATCTCCGCAATCCTGCATCCCTCCTTCCAAGAACTCAATTCCACAACCAAGGTCTACTCACAGCACTAGACTACACCTTGATCGATGTGTGCTCCGGATGACTCCGATAAGCATCAGCAGTCAGCCTCAAGCACGCACACCGTTTATCAAGGTGGCTACAATTATGCGCCCACAGCCCGAATGGCTTGTGATATACGATCATTCAAGCCATAGGGCCCATAGGCAGACAATCGCTTCCCGAATGAGTCTACTGCATGTAAGCTGAATTCTAGAAGAGGACTGGAGTCGTCAATAATTCCGCTCTGCCTACGTTTGCAATAACTTCAACATGAGTGTGCCTGCATAGACTTGCTGCACTCGCCTTAAAGGTCGATAATGCAAGTCATAATGCGAGATCAGAGTGGAGTGGTATTGGCTGCTTGCTTCGCTACCGATGTCAGCAAAGCTAATGCGCTGCCCACGAGGACACCTGGTGTTGTGATCGCTTGCTCATCCTCGATGTTCGGATCGCCAGAGTGACGGTATAGGGCTGTGCCATGAGCGAACTAAACAACTTGCGGACCTGCAGCTGACAGCTGCGTAAGCGACTCAATACGTTAAGAGGTCATCGGTTTGCCTTGTGAACTATCGGTGTGGAAGAGACCTTCGAGACCAGGCCGTTGCGAGGATCTGCGTGCGATTCTTTTCAAATATCAGTTCTAAAGCTGTGTAACCTTGAATAGAGTTGGCACATGAGTCGAACGGTGTTGCGAGAGCCGCATGTGCCACCTTTGCCCAGACAGGCATTACACGTTGATTGTGAAGCGGAGGGCGACGCATCGCGGTGGAAGGCTGGCCACGAGAACCGTGAGCCACATGCCGAGGCACTGTCTGTCTTACATGTTCGAGAACCTGGTTTTCGAAAGGCTAATGATTCTAGGGTCTGCACAGCAACGTTTAGTACATCTACCCGCCCGTCGTTTGGAACTGGGTTGGATTGGCTGCCGTCTCCATAGTCTCAGAAGAGGGTTTGAGTGCGTGTCCACAAGCTTCGCGAAGTGTGATAAACTGGGACTTCTATACCGCCTCGGCGCAGCCAATCCATTTAGTTGATTGGTTCGATGGTTGAAAACACTTGCAGTGAAGAAGAGCGAGCCAGAAGAAGGTTTTGACAGATGCAGGAATAATAGCCCATCAGGCGGGCCGCAGATAACGCGCGCTTGGTTTAAGAACGCAAGCCGTGATGCAAACATGCCAAGAAATGACACAGCCCTCGGTAGCAGTGGCTGCGCTGTGGTAACCCACAAACCGAAACCGAGAGCAGCAGACACCGGTGAGTCGAAATGAAAAGCCGGCATCCCGAAGTCACACAGCTTTACGGACCTGCCCCGCGTTGCACAGATTGGAGGTGTTTGGGCTGTCGTGCCACCAACCCCAGATTCCCCAGTCAGCAACCCCCACGAATGTTACAGCCAAAGCCGAGTCGATGTCGCACAGGAAACACGGTCCTTCATTTCATAGGCGAGCCGTTGGAAGTGTAACGGCGGCCCGGGATCGGGCTTGAGTACTGTGCAAGCGGCTGGCTGTTCCCGCACATCCCGTTCATCGATGATCAACACTGATATTGTAGCTTGTGGCTGATGAGTGTGTTCTCACAGTAGATGTCAAGTCGCAGAGGTGTACGTTGAATGATGCTTTGACTGTGGTGTCTCCCCGTAAAGAGGACGGCTGATTGGCCAGATTTGGTGTAGCGTAGCGGGGATCGCCTTCGGTTGGCAAGCGATGTAGAAGACATTGCGACCGCTTCTGAATGAGATGACCCGTGCCGTCAAGCGACAGGTGTTGGCTTTGCTGGCTGATTTCGCTCTTTCCTTTGTCCTCATACACTGATCATGAATACGCCACCCTAATTCTGAACATCATGGAGTCGACGGGAAAAAGCAGGGCGGACGTCGAGCATAGGAGCCACAAGCGCGACAGCGAGACTGGGGTCCCCGCGAAAGAGCTGGAAATCGAGGAACACGAGCAGCCACTTCCCGCTTCGATCCACCAAATCCGGTCGCACGCATCCCATGCCGACAATACCATCTCCTTGCGCGAAGTCAACCCTGTATCTGTGCGACTCGATCAGCTCTCTGTGTCTGTCGATGAGTCGCCCAACGCGCTTGCCAAAATATTTTCGAAGAAGAAAGCAACGGGCCACAGTCACGTGAAGAACATCCTGGACGATGTCTCAGCCAACCTCCCAAGCGGAACGCTTACAGCGATCATCGGCGGCAGTGGCAGCGGCAAGACATCCTTGCTAAACCAAATGAGTGGGCGCATGAAGGGAAACCGGATAACTACCTCTGGTCGAACCTTGTTCAACGGCAGTGAAGACGCTTCGAGTATCAGAAGTGCCTATGTGATACAACAAGACATCCTCCTCCCAACATTGACCGTTCGAGAGACCCTGACGTATGCCGCACAACTCCGGCTTCCTTCTTCGGTAACCCAGGATGAAAGGAAACAACTGGTCGAAGAAGTCATTGCGGAGCTGAGCTTGAAGGAGGCCGCAGAAACTCGCATAGGAAATACTGCGCACAAGGGCTGCAGTGGCGGCGAAAAGAGACGAACCAGCCTTGGCGTGCAGCTGCTCTCGAATCCGAGCTTGCTGTGGTTGGATGAGCCCACAACGGGTCTTGATTCCACAAGCGCCTATCAAGTTGTCAAGACGCTGCAGAACCTCGCTCGAAAAGGTAGAACGGTCATAGTGACCATTCATCAGCCACGTTCTGAAATATGGAGTCTGTTTGACAATGTCATCCTGCTCACAAGAGGCAGTCCCGCGTACGCCGGTAGTGCCAAAGACTGTCTGGAATATTTCGCGAAGCTCGGTCATGAGATGCCGCCGTTCACGAACCCAGCGGAACATCTCATCGATGTGGTCAGTGTTGACAATAGAAGCGAGGAGGCTGAGGTTGTGGCTGAAGAAAGAGTTCGGCATATCAAGGCAGCTTGGAGAGAGCACTGTGACAAGGCTCTCGCTGAGAAGACTGAGCAAAGCTACACTACAGTCCCTGTTGCGCCCAAGCTTAAGTCTATGCCACGACATTCCGGCATATGGCAACAAGTCCGTGTGCTCACCTCGCGAACCTGGGTTGTAACGATACGAGACCCCATGGGCATGTTTGGCAGCCTCCTGGAAGCTGTCAGCATGGCCATCATCACGGGATGGATTTTTCTGAACGTGGATGGATCGTTGTCGGGGATTCGGTCTCGGCAGGGTGCTCTTTACAACGCAGCTGCGCTACAGGGCTACCTAATCCTGCTTTTCGAAACTTATCGACTCACGGAGGATATTCAACTTTTCGACGAAGAAGCACGGCAGGGTGTTGTTAGCATCCCAGCTTTCCTCATATCAAGACGCCTCGCCCGTTTCTTCATTGAAGATCTTCCGGTACCGCTCATCTTTTCGGTTATCTACTACTTCATGGTCGGCTTTCGTGCTGATGGCGGCGAGTTTCTCACATTCTTCAGCGTCATTCTCCTAGAACACTACATCGCGGTATGCTTCGCCATGGTCTGTATAGCTGTCTCCAGAAACTTCGCAGGAGCGAGTCTAGTGGCCAATCTTGCGTATACGTTGCAGTCGATGGCGTGCGGATACTTCATTCAGTCGAACACTATTCCCATATATGTGCGATGGACCAAGTGGACTGCTTACGTGGTATGTCTTACCTTCCATACTACGCTGCTTCGAGTTCTGACACATTTTGTAGTTCTACGCTTTTGGTGCTTTGTGTGCCAACGAGTTCACGGACAGCTTCTATGACTGTCCGGTCGGTGGACCTGCAGACGAGGCATGCAAAGAGTATACCGGTACTTTCATCATGGACTCACTCGGCTTTCCCGACAACTGGGTATGGCGGCCAATCCTTGCCTTGACGGGATACGTGTTTGCTTTCTACGCAGGAGCAGCTGTGTTATTGAGATACTGGAACGCTGAGATTGCTATGGCGCGAGCTCGTCCATCTAATATGGACGCATCTGCCGGCAAAGAGAAGATGAGCGAACGCACACCTGATGAAGTAAGAACAATCAACATTCGTCTCGAAGACTTTGGTTTGGACATTGAGAAACGCGCTTTGCGATCGCAAACGACCAAATCAATCCTGAATCCACTTACTGCAGAGTTTCAGCCAGGCTCTTTGAATGTCATCATGGGTCCATCTGGCTCAGGAAAGACATCACTGCTCAACAGCATGGCTGGAAGACTGAAAGACGACTTTTCGACACGCTACAGAACGTTCGGCACGATGACTTTCAACGGACTTGCGCCCTCCGAGGATGTTGTCCACTCTATCTGCTCGTTCGTCACTCAGGATGATGATGCCCTCCTGGCTTCACTGACTGTCCGCGAAACGCTTCACTACGCCGCGGGTCTCCGTCTTCCGAAATGGATGTCCAAGCAGCAAAAGACGCAAAAGGCCGAAGAGATGCTCCTCAAGATGGGCCTCAAGGATTGTGCGGACAATTTGATTGGCAATGACCTTATCAAAGGCATCAGCGGAGGCGAGAAACGTCGAGTGACCATTGCTGTACAGATACTTACAGAGCCGCGCGTACTGCTGCTCGACGAGCCGCTTTCAGGTCTCGATGCTTTCACGGCGCTCTCGATCATGGATGTGCTGCTTGGTCTTGCACATGAAGGCCGCACGCTCATTGTCACCATCCACCAGCCTCGCTCTGACCTTTTTACTCACTTTGGCAACATTCTGCTCCTTGCCCGTGGCGGCCACCCCGTATTCGCAGGGCCAGCGCTTCAGATGCTTCCGCACCTCGCCGCTCAAGGCTACGACTGCCCTCAGCACGTCAATCCAGCCGATTTCGCACTTGACCTGATAACCGTAGATTTGCAGCATGCGGCGCGCGAAGAAGCAAGCAGAGCCAAAGTGCGCAAACTGATCGAGGCCTGGCATCCCGACCTCTTCCCGGCTACGAGGACGGGTTCAATCACCACGCCTGCCGAGCTGGGCAGTCTTGCTCGCGAGCCTGCAAGTTTTGCGTCAGCATACTCGATTCTCATCCGGCGCGCCACAAAGAACTTCTTCCGCATGCCTGATCTGATCATCGCCCGCATCATGCAGGTCGTGGGTTTGGGTATAGTACTGGCACTTTTCTTCGCGCCACTCAAGAACGACTACTTCTCTATTCAAAACCGTATGGGATTTCTCGTTGAAATTGCGCCACTCTACTTCGTCGGTATGCTGAACAACATCGCCACCTATCCCGTAGAGCGCGATGTATTCTACAGAGACTACGACGATCGCATCTATGGCGTAGAAGCCTTCTTCCTGACCTACATCTCGATAACCACGCCGTTCGAGATCATATCCTGTTTTGTTTTCGCAATCCTCGCTGTTCTGGCGGTCGGCTTGAAACGCGATGCCAGCACGTTCTTCATCATCACATACAACGCGTTTTGCATCACGAGTTGCGGCGAGAGTATTGGCATCGCATTTAATACACTGTTTTCGCATACAGGCTTCAGTGTCAACATCATGAGTGTGTTTCTTAGCGTTGCGCAGGTCATGGGTGAGTGGCGGCTCCTTCCTACTTTCTATATCACGCAGCAGTGTGCTAATCTAGTCCAGGTGGCGTCCTTTCCCTCAATATTCCATCGTTTCTGCAAGCTTTCAACCACCTCTCTCCTGTAAAATGGGCCATCGGAAACATGGCCCCCTACACCCTCCGCAACGAGAAGTTCACGTGTGAGGATTGGCAGAAGATCAGTGGCCAATGTCCTATCACAACGGGTGAACAGGTCTTGGAGCTGTACAAGCTGGACAAGGATCCAGAGATGTATCTTATGGCGCTTGGTATTTGCGCGTTTGTATATCGGTTCTTGGCTTATGTGGTGCTGAAGTGTGTCAAGGAGAGGTGGGTGGGCCGAATGTGGAGGAAATTGGGTGGTGGTAAGAAGAGCATTCCTACGGTTTGAATAGAGCAGGCATAAGCTGTTACCATATGATACAACAGACAAGACGATATCTGCTGTGTACACCGACGCACCGCCATACCGAATTTATACCTAGCAGTAGATCATAATATGATAGTGCCTACACCTGCACACTACCTACACGCTGCTTTCCACGTCGATCTCAACGGACAGGTGTATGGACGCACTTACCTGATCATGGCGGGCCACGTGGAAGGGAATGCCACGGCTATGGCGGTCTATCGGGCCGTGATGGTTGTTGCGATCGAGCCGTGTGAGATGCAAGCGTCATGAGGAGATGCAAGGCAGACAGCAGGGCAGCTGCAAGTGTGATCGACAGAACGGGGTTGCGCCGGCGTCAGCACGCTGAATTTCGCCGTTGACGCTAGGAAAAACAAGCCCTTAGCCCAAGACTTTTAGACGGTGCCTGGAGGAGAGGCTGCGTGGTGGTTGAACTGCAGGGCTAGACCGTGGTGACCAGACGGGACGATCGAAGCTGGCCCCACAAAAAATACGGGGAGAAGCGTACGTCAACCACTGTGCCTCTCCCAGATGAACGAGCCATTCTCCGTTCCTGCACCTCGACTTCGGCCGTGAGCAACAGCACTCGGCAAACACGGTCCGCTTTATCCGCCAGCATGCTCAGCGGACCGCCTCGCCTCGTCCCCTTCATTTTTGTGGCCGTTGCGCTTGCGCTGGTCGTGTGGTACTACCATGGCGTGTCGGTTTCAAGCGCACCACTGTCGGCGTGGAAGCCCGGGTCCTCGCTCTCGACACAGCGGCCAGCGTCGTTGCGGCCCGGCGTAGACCCACTTGACTTTAGCATTCCGCTGCGCTTCTCGGACGGGCAGGCCAAGCCCGCCGGCAGCAACTACACATTCAAGATCGTCGTGCCCAAGACGACCAAGGAGGACCTCAAATGGATGCTGGAGGAGATTCCCGATGCGCCGCTGGTCATCTACGAGGTCGACAATGAGCGGGCGGAGAACAAGGTGCCCAAGAACAAGGGCCGCGAGGCCATGGTATGCTCGCGCTGCGCTGTACGGCCTGATAGAGGATGCTAACCGCGCCAGGTCTATCTCAGCTACATCATCGACCACTACGACGACCTCCCCGACACGACCCTCTTCATGCACGCCCACCGCCACGCCTGGCACAACAACCAGCTGATGGGCCTCGACGCCGCGCAGATCGTGAGCCGCCTGAACCACGCCCGCGTTGCGCGCCTCGGCTACATGAACGTGCGGTGCCACCACGACCCGGGCTGCCCGGATTGGATCCACATGGACCGCCCGGGCGGCGACTTCGACTTCTTCCACAAGCCGGAGGAGATCTACTGGCGCAAGAGCATCTGGGAGGAGATCCACCCTGGCGCGCCTATTCCCCCAGCCCTCTCTGGCATATGCTGTGCTCAGTTCGCCGTCTCGCGCGACCGCATCAGGCAGGTGCCGCTCGAGCGCTTCATCCACTACCGCAAGTGGCTGCTCACGACGGGCATGGACGACCAGTTTTCCGGCCGTATCTTCGAGTACATCTGGCACTACATCTTTACCGGCCACGAGGTCTACTGCCCTGCCATGAACACGTGCTACTGCGACGGCTACGGCATCTGTTTCGGCGGGCGCCAGAAGTTCGACAACTACATGAAGAAGCAGGAAGACCGCAACGGGAAGTGGATGCAGCTGGACGAGTTCAACAAGCGCGCAGACAAGGCAAAGGAAGAGGGCAAAGACGCCAATTTCACCGATGCTGAGAAGCTCAAAATGGAGACGCTGCGGAAGACTATCAACGAGATGGACGCTGAGCTCGATAAGCTGAGGGAGGATGCGAGGAAGAGGGGCGACGATCCCAAACTGAGGATGGAGGAGACGGAGTCGTATGACTCCTCGCATATTTGGGATTATGCGCCACACGGCGATAAGATTTGAGACTTCTGTATACCATGGCTTCATGACAGGCGTTGCGGCGGCGTGGGCGTTGGGCGGGCACTGTGTTTGGTCGGATGATGGCGACTGTACAGTATATAGAACTGAATGCTGGCATGCAGCGTGTTGGACTATGCAATCCACACACCATCATTATTACATTGCTACTCTCTCACACTACCATGGTCCTCGACTCTTGTCGCTGTGTTCCGGTTGCGACTGCTGTTTTCCCGATCACGTGCTCCGCTCCCGCTCTCTCACCTTCAGCATTCACACATCAAGGAACGCCCTGTATTCATCGTGCAAGCGCTTTATAATGAAATTGATTGCACGGAGATTCTGCTCTGGGTCCAGAGAACCGTTTACTGCACCCAGGAAGGGCTCAATTGCCGCCAACGCGACTGCAAGTCAAGAAACGGAGGATCGATAATATTGCCAGGAAGCTTCTCTATTGGTGGATTTGCACTTAAGTGGAGACATTCACTTGAGATTTGGAAGCCTATCAGCTGTGCCAAAGCAGACTTAATCCTTCAAAACTGCCACGAGGCAACTCAGACGTGTCATGGGTGCGGTAACTACGCGTCAATCTAGTTAAGATGGTCACGCTAATCCCAAAGTGCGGTGGTTGGGGACTCCCTCAACCCTTCAACCTTACACTTCCACAATTGCGACGCGACCGTCGCTAAGCTAAGGGGCCGGCTCGCACCGTCACTATTGCAGTACCATAGGGAAAGCTGAGAGCACGGCACAGCAGTTCAAGACGTGTTCAGTCTCACCTTCACCACTTGCACTGCGACGATGAATACCTGGCCTCCAACGCAAAGAGAGACTAGAACCTGGACCGACTTTCTATCACACACCAATTTTCCACATTTACGATATCAATTGATAGAAATCTCGCACAAGCTCGTTGCTCGCTCTTGCTCGCTCTTGCTGATAGCAAAATGACGGACAGGAGAACGGCACACAATCGAGCCACCTCAGACACTCAGGACAACGCCCCGCGTAAGGCGAAGCTCACGATTACGCCATCGCCGTCAGATTATTCAAGATCGCATGTGGCAAATTACACACGACCCGCGCCTGTCACTTCTGAAGAAGACTTGCTGAAATTCGCAAACGTGAGTGGTATTCTGCAGATGCTGTGAGACTCCAACTAACATTTATTGAGCGTGAATTGAAGCGCGCACGGACGCCGAAAGAACCCATCATTGCTGATCTTGTGGATTTCGAGGTTTATAGGTGCCCTGAAACCGACCGAAAGCGAGCTTGGGAACTAACAAGTCTGCACCTGTTCGACGTCAAGGCGAAGAATCTCTGTTTCGACGGCCATGTTCAGATCAACAATAACAGATACTATGTTGAACTGGTTCACATTGAGGATACCTCAATCGAGGGATATGATTCAGATCACAACCCAGGCGTCGTCGCGTACCTTCAGACGCGCTTAGCAACAGAAGACGTAACCTCTGATCTCTGGTTGCGATTGGGTCAGCCAGCTCTGCGTTATGCGAGATTTCACTCGCCGTTCTTGTGGGTCGCTGGGCTTGGCAAACATGTAATTGATTACATGTGTGATCGGCCTAGGGGCACAGTGAGCTTGGAGGATTTTGCAGAAGACTTCCATTCTTGGCTGATGCACCGCTTTGGCTCCAATCCCAAGTTTCAGAACTGGCTTGCAGCATTTGAAAACACAGACTTCCGCGTCGCTTTCAATGCCTATGTAGGATTCTTCCACAACCAAGCTCTCAATCTGCCCACTTCAAAGCACCTCACCAGTCACCCAGTGTGGTCCCACTGCATGTGTGATCGAAAGATGGCGGTTGCCAGGCAGCCAAACCAGGTCAAGCACACGCTGACCACTCCCCACGTATACCAATGCTTTCAGCGAATGTACTTCGCCGGTAAGCTAAAGCTGGTCACTCCCTCTGGTGCGGTCAGGCAGATGCAAGAAAAGAGAAAAGCGACGTTGGGCTTTCCCAGAGTTCGCACCATACCCCTCCTTTCAAGACGTAAAGAAGACAACACACATTCCTCTCACGTTCAAGTGGGGGACGTGGTCTCGATCGTGCCCGATGGCGTCGATAAGGTTCATTGGCAAAAGTCGAACGATGACTGGTTGGGTTATGTCCAGGGAACGGAGACGACCACGACAGGAGCACAGTGACTTCTGGTACTTTGGCTTTATCGTCCTGCTGATACTAACATATGTCTTGCCAACTATCCCGTTACAAACGAGCTGTTTCTATCGGATAACTGCAATTGTAAAGAGCGAAAGATATTGTCGAGCGATGTTATACGGAAACACACCGTGGAATGGTCGCCGCGCTCACTTCAGACTGATAAAGAGTTCATCCTCCGTCAGACTTACATAACTAACGACAGTGCTTTTGTGACTATCAAGGAAGACCACAAGATCTGTCCCTGTCGCAGGCCAAAGTCGAGCGCTATCAGGTGGCTTGCCGGCGATACAGTTTACATCAAGAAGAGCACCAATGGGCATGAGGTGCTTGAACCTGTCGTTATCCATAGAATCAACAAGAAGACGAGCGAGATACAAGTTCGGAAGTTACTCCGTCTTGACCGAGACTGCTCAGCACTAGCAGTGGAAGCAAAGAGGGGGAAGATACTTCCCAACGAACTCGTCCTCACAGGCAAACTGAAGACAGTGGCACCATCCCGTGTTGAGCGACCGTGTCACATTACTTTCGTCAAGCAAGTGGATGTACTGAACGGCCACATAGCTTCGCCGTATAATTTAGGAGGAGCTGGAGATTACTGGTTCATCAGCATGGGTATCGTCGACATGCACAATGTTGAGCGCTTGATCTTCTTAGAAAAATTACCTGAGGGATTTCACGAAGCCCGAGAGGCGCAACTCCCATTCGAGAAGCTAAGGGGGCTTAGTCTATTTAGCGGCGGTGGCGGCCTCGATAGAGGACTGGAAGAAGGAGGCGCTGTGGAATTCCAGACATCAGTCGACTACGACTCCGCAGCAATCCACACACAGCGTGCGAACTGTAAAAATTCGCAGCAGATGCGACTTTTCTGCGGTTCGTTTGATGATTATCTCGGGCTGCTTCTTTCCGGAGACGAGAATCGCATGGTAGCACGTGTAGGCCAGGTGGATTTAGTTGCTGCCGGTTCACCTTGCCCAGGTACCCAAAGCTATACCTTGATTAAAGACAGGCACTGACTAGCTTAGGATTTTCGACACTCCAGCAGAATATGCTTAGTGAACAATCAATCACATACGCCTCCCACATTACTACCTTCTGCACAGCTGTCGACTTATACCGTCCACTCTTTGGGATTTTGGAGAATGTTGTGAACATGGCGTCGACACGTACAGGTCTTGAAGATCAAAATGTTCTGTCACAGTTAGTAGCTTGCTTGGTCTCGATGGGTTACCAGGTCAACCAGTATATCATGGACTCATGGACGTACGGGAGCATTCAGCGACGGTCGCGTATCATCCTGACAATAGCAGCGCCTGGATTTGAACCGATATTGCAACGGCCACATACGCACAGTCGGTCATACGAGGATACACGTGCACGGAGTCTCGGAAAGCTCCCGAATGGAGAGCGATTTGGCGATCGTGAACACTACGCCACTCCTTTTCCGTATGTGTCCGCTCACGATGCCACCTCAGACCTGCCAGACATCGGAAACAGCAATACACAAACCTGCATACCATACCCCGATCACCGGCTCTTACGATCCACCAACAGCAAAACTCGAGCTTTGCTTGAGTGCATCCCGAAATGCCCCCCTGGCTATGGGTACGCGGAGGCCATGGAACTAAGTCTGATTCCACCGCTTCTGCAGATTACAAAGAAGGAAACGGGCAGGGCGTACCGACGCATAAAGGCGGATGGTCTCATACCTACCATCACGACAGCTGTCCATATGCAAGATGCGCGCAATGGTGCCTCGGTGCACTGGGCTCAACAAAGGCCTTTGAGCATTCAAGAAGCACGACGCACACAGGGTTATCCAGATAATGAACCCATCATCGGCTCGCTCAGTGAACAATGGAGGACGCTCGGCAATGGAGTGGACCGAAAGGTCTCATTCTCCGTAGGTCTCGCTCTGCGAGATGCGTACACAAACTCTAATCGTTACCATTGGCTCGGCCACGGTCCAGAGAATGACGCTGAGCTCATTGTAGACGTGGAAGATGATCATCTATCAGAAGCAAGAGAACGACCAACAGCTGCTCTTCAAACAGCAAGCCCATCATCGTCTAGATCATCGTCGACGGATTCATTCTCGTCCACGCGGGATGCACGACAAAGTTTCAACTTGTCGCTATCTCTTGATCAAGTCGATGACACCAAGCCCCGGCCGATGAATGTACGTGTTGAAGTGCTACTGACGAGGACGCACCACGCACAACATAAAGGCTTGCCCCACCGTGGACAAAACCTTACTGCTAATGTAAAGAGACCTCCGTCGCCGGCTTCTCCGACTGTCTCACCACCAACACAGACGAGTCGCCCGTTTAAACGTCCAAGAGAAGGTGATGAACCTCACCAGCAAAGCGTTTCAAATAATCACAACAACCCTTTAAAGCGACCGAAAGTGGACACACAAAGGTCATCGTTACCCGCAAACACAACGCCAGAAGTCAGAATTAAATCCGAGAACAGACGGAAGACACTACCACCTCTCCAGGGGACTACCCACACTAGAAGGTCGGGGCTAGTGCAGTTCGCACCGAGAACATGGCATAAGAAGATTGAGGATCCCAAGAACATTATTGAGCTGGCATAAAGCCAGTGTAGACTAGACTACTAAGTGTTTCCAACTCATTAGCCTAATGCTTCATTTGAAGTCAGTAAGGCCGAGGCGATATGCCCTTCAATGCATGCGTTTACTTCCACTCAGCGCTCCATGTCTGCTCGCCCTTCCTGAATGGAACAACTTCAACACTGACACCATCCTTCTTCAGGATGTCAACGATCTTCTCTGCGCCCTTATTCAGCACAATCCTCTCATTCCTTTCGTCCTTGACCTGGTAAAATTTGCGCCCGTACGCTCCAAAGAAACCCTCCAGCGCTTCTTGAGTAACATCCTCTTCCTCAACAACACCACGCTCAATACCCGTCTTCAGCGCATCCAAAACATATCCCAGCGCGTATGGCTGAGTGAACACACCAGCAGCGACCTTGTCCTCGCCCCTCTTCTTAGTGCTGGGGTGCGGGGCTGAGTCTGTTCCCAAAAAGAAACGCCCGCTGCTGCTCACAACAGCCTTGAGCAGTGCATCCCGATCCTCGGGCGTCTTAGCAACCGGCTTGCAGAAGCAGAATGGGTCGCCGGCCCAATCGTCAATCACGAGACTGAGATGGTGTGCAGTGATGGTGCCGCCGACGCTGGGCCCGCACGCGCGCACAGCATCCAGCGCAGCCGCGGTGCTGCAGTGCTCCAGAATGATGCGCAGATTGGGGAACTTGGCGTGCAGCCCCTTGAATGTCGGCAGAAACGCGGGCTCGGCGTTGAGGACGGTGATGGCGCTGCTCCCGGTCGCGGACACGTGCGTGTTTGCCGGCGTGCTGGGGACTTCGCCGTGCAGGTTGAGGATCATGTTCTGCTTCTCCATTTCCGCGAACACGGGGTAAAACGGCTCGTACGATAGAACGCCCGAGGATGAGTTCTTGCGGGTTCAGACACAGCGACACGTTAGAGTGGTGGGACACTTACCGTTGTGACGCCCGCCGGGTACGACTTGACGCCGGTGATGCCAGCCTTCTTTGCTTCGCGGATCACCTCAGGCGTGATATCCTCATGCAGGTACAGAGACATGAGGTAGTCGACATTGGGCTCGATGGCGCGCAGGCGCTCGCGGTACTCGAGAGCTGCTTGGACTGATGTAACGGGCGGGACGAGGTTAGGCTGAATCAAATCAACAGGTGTTTACAATGAAGACATGAGAGAGACATCTTGAATGCAAAACGGTAATTTGAAGAAACGGGACTAGCTTACCATAACGTATACCTGATTCACACCTCCCCCGCGGATAGTGGGGGTGACGAGCTGCGACATCTCTCCATCCCGCAAGTGCACATGAGCGTCGAACGCCGCCGGCAGCTCAATCTCAGTCAGATCCGTGAAACCCATGTTCGTTTCAATTGACAGGGATTGGTTGACGGTGTTGAGTGAGTTCGTCAAATTTTGAATGCGCTGCTGGAGAGCGAAATCGCATGCGGCTAAGGATGGCGCTAGCCAAGTTGGGTAGCCCAACGTTGGTGTATTTGTAGATTATGTGTGGCTCATGCTAGATGAATATGTAGCACAATGTGTATATAGTATTCTGAGTGCCTACAGGAAGGTCGTATTATCATCTTCGGAGCTGAGACGGAGTGTACCTCTGAATGGAGGCTGTTGATGTTCGCCTAACTGGGACTAGGGCGTATATCTTCAACCTTAAATTCGGATGAAGTGGTGACACGAGTCTCTAAATACCTTGCAATAACGGAGCCCTTCAGTGTTAGTTTGCGTGGATTGTGGTAGCTGATGAGTATGTTAAGGAATACTATACATTTTGCTTCGGATGGAGGCAGGAAGTACCTAGGTACGAATTTCGATTCGAGCACGAAGCTACATCACTAGAACCTATCCCACCCGAATTTGTACGCTCTTCGCTATTGTTTTTTTGTCTTGGGGTTTTAGAGGTGAAGCTGAGCGGCCACACACCGCTCTTTCGATGGGCTTGCGCTGCGAAGGTGCGAGAGGTTTGCACCTTCACCTGGCCTCTACTTAAAGTCCCATCCATTTCCCCACCATCTCTTCCCCACCATCTCTTCCCCACCACACCACCACAACCGATACACGAAACTGAGCCATCACATTCTACGTATCTTTACATCCACATCACGCGCATACAAATCGCTCTCAGACAGTCTCCTTATAGCCATCCCTTCGCCTGGCGACCTCTTCGACCACGACAAAGGCGCCCTCCTTGCGCTCATCCTTATCCCTCATATTCTCCGCATCCCGACGAGCTATGAATAATCTGTTCGTCCCCTTCGAGGACGACACGACTGTGTCGAGCCAAGATGCCACTCTCAAGGCGCTGAACGAGCGCGTGGCAGACCTGGAAACCAAGCTTGCAGCTCGAGACAGAACCATCACTACACAGAAAGAGACGCTTAACACAGTCAATGTCTACGTGAAACCTATTCTTTCCCGTTTATTTACCGAGATGGGAACACCAGAACCCACCACGACCACCGAACTCGTTGCAGCGCTAACACCGGTGCCAAGTTGGCTAGACAAAGTGTTGACCACCGAGCCCGCCAAAGAGAAGGAGAACCCTGAAGAGTCGACCCGCGAGCAAGAGCTACAAGAACAACTCGACATCAATCAACAACACGTAGACGAGCTTGATACCGAAATAACAGAGCTAAGGACTGGCGTCGTTCCATGGATGATCAACCGTCTTCATTGAGAAAGTGTCCGAAAGGACCAAAGCCATCGCAGAGTCTAGAAAAGCATTGCGTGATGCCAGCATCTCTATGAAAATTCAGGAGTTTTCGGAGCATACCCTACCGAATGCAGTCGCGTCGATTGAGAGACTGGGCCACGGTGACTTCCTGGATGAGATGACTTAGGCATTATCGTGGACGTTCTTTGCCGACATCCCATTGATCAGTCAACACATATTCGCGACCGGTACTCCTCTTCAATCCGAGCAATTCCAGCCCGAGATGTTGCGCCGTCTACGATACACACGACACCACCGCAAGGCACTGGACAATACACAGAGGCAGCACCCGGAAACTGCTAACGAAGAACTCATCAACTTCTACAGCCGAAACATGTCAGCATACATTGCCGCCTGCCTCGCCATCAACCCGCGCGAGGCCGTCAATTTTGACGTAGACCTAACATCTGTTGCGCATATTCGGGTAGAGGAACCCCAGTCGCCTCAAATCAATGAGGTCCAGGCCGCCGCGGTCGCTGGTCCAAAAAACTAGAGGGCACACCAAAGGTGACTAAGACCCAGCCCAGCAACACCGCTGCTTCCACCGGGGATAGATACACGCTTACTACACACGCGAACACAGCCGCCCAGAATAACACGCAAAAGAAGCCGCCATCGAAGCCTCTCCCCGAAAAGACTGCAAGATCTTCCAACAAGGAAGATTCCCCAAGAGATGCGCCGAAGCCTCAAAACCCGCTGAACATGCCAAGCAGGGCAACCAAGGGTCCAGACGGCAAGCCACTGAAGGGCTGGGGAGGCAACGTCGACTACACCTCTATCGACAGTGCCCTTCAGGACTTGAGCGGCGTCGGGAGGAACGACAACTTGCCGGCATATGTGGCACTGAACCCGTGGATGGCCACCAGCGCAGTGAAGAAGCACGGCCCGATGTGGATTTGTCTCAGGGATGTCAGGCGACACAGCAAGAAGGTTGTTATCAACGCCTGGGAACTCGAAAAATGTGGTGGCTGTGGAACACCGAGGTACAAGGGCATGACTGTCATAACCTCGTTGTATCTCAAAGCAACAAGCGACTGCTGATCGGCCAAAAAAAAAACGAGCTCCTTCGTACGGCCCAAGCATCGACACCGCCAACTGCAAGCTCCGGAATCCAGCTACGTTCAACTCCTTGCTCACCATTCCAAATAAGGGAGCACCGTTGACGAAGACGAAGAAGAAGAAGAAGAAGAAGAAGAAGAAGAAGAAGAAGAAGAAGAAGAAGAAGAAGAAGAAGAAGAATGGAGCCGATGACAGTACGAAGTGCGAGAAGCGCAAGAAGGCCTTGTAGAGAGGTGGACGGTATATGGGGTAATCTAGAGGGAGACTACGTAGATGAAGGATCTAAGGATAGTTATTGAGATAATAGAGAATATGGTACCAGAGCAAAGGACTAGAGAGAACCGGGCGGCGTATTGACGAGACTCAGATTCTGAGTGTTAGAGTTCCCGTCTTTATGTTGGTGCTGGCATGTAAGGCTGCAATCTGAGAGCTAGGAGGTATCTAGCTGATACCGAGACATATATCTCCTACAGCAAAAATGCAAAGTATTCCTCAATATGCTCATCAGCTATCGGACTCTTCACAAATGGACTCTGACGAGCTCCATCATTGCAAGGAGAGTTCTCTACACTGATGGCGGAGCCTAGAGCTCAGAGATCACCGGAGACTTCGTACTCAATCGACAACACCGATGGGCTCAAGACATTCGCCGTACCTCCAAGATTGTTACCAATCCACAACCGTGACGCACACGCCGGTATGGGCTCGGGAACATAGCGGGGGGCAGTCAACGAGACTTTTAGCGGGACAGTTTAGATTACAGTATGCTTCGGGGAATTAAGTGCCCTCTGAATTTTTCGTGTTTCCCATACTTTGCTGTTGCGTGCTCGAACACTTGGCGCACATCTATCAGTATCCTGCAACGCAATCAAGGATTCGGTCGGTCGGTGGTCCGTGTCACCTCCGCCTTCGCCGAACATTTCCCAAGCTTGAGCTCCCCTCCAAGGCTACACTGCACACACGTGCCTTCAAACGTCCCGCACACAACTGCGCTTGTCGCGCACACTGGGTCGTTGCAACTCAACTGACACGCCTACATAGCCTATCATGTCAGACGCAAAACGGCGTAGAACAGGCGACGAAGACGTCAGCGAACTACGACGAAATGCGCGCCAAACATATCTCGCCCAGCGAGAGGCGCAACAGCTTGCTCTGCTGCGTCGCCAAGTTGCAGAAGAGGAGGACGAGGAGGAGCGGCTGGGTTCGAAGCTCACAGAGGCAGAGAGGAAGGATTTTGCGCGAAACCGAGAAACACTGCGACTCGCCGAAGCACGAAACGCCATTGACGAGCACCTCGATGGCTACTTGTTACCAGACGCCGATGGGACCAGAACGTCTGCTCTGTCGAAACGGCACAATGAGAGAGAGAAAGGATACGACAAGAGCGAAGTGCAGCTGTGGGAGGATGAACAGATGAGCAAGATCAAGAGCCAAGTCAAGAGACCCGAGCGCGTGTCTGCGGAAGACTACGAGTTTGTCTTCTCGGATGAAATGGCTATAAACTTCCAGAGCGACGGCATGCCGGATCCAGACAAGGCATTGTTGGAACGCCAGCTGAAGGAGGCCGAGCAAAAGGTCAAGACCATGGAGGATGTACGGAAGAGTCTGCCAATTTACGTGTATCGAGAAGAACTGCTGGCAGCGGCCGAATCGCATCCTGTTCTCATCATCGTAGCTGAGACCGGTTCTGGAAAGACGACCCAAGTACCGCAATACCTCCACGAGTCCGGCTTCACGAAGAACGGCAAGATTGGCTGCACACAACCGCGTCGAGTCGCCGCCATGTCTGTCGCCAAGCGTGTGAGCGAAGAGATGGGTGTGCGACTGGGTCGAGAATGTGGTTACTCGGTGCGTTTCGACAGCAAGGTCACACCGGAAGTGACCAAGGTCGAATACCTGACAGACGGTCTGATGCTCAAGCAACTAATGTCGGATCCGTTGCTGTCTGAATACGCAGCTGTCGTTCTAGACGAGGCTCACGAACGTTCATTGGCAACAGATCTGTTGATGAGTTTGCTAAAGGAGCTGGTGGCTGTTCGTCCAGAGTTCAGACTGTTGGTCACCAGTGCCACACTGAATGCCACGAAGTTCTCAGATTACTTTGGCGGTGCACCGCTATTCAACATCCCTGGACGAACACACCCTATCGAGCGTCTCTACTCGAGTTCGCCGGAAGCAAACTACCTCAACGCGGCAGTCACAACCGTCTTTCAAATCCATCTCTCGCAAGGGCCTGGAGACATTCTAGTATTCTTTACAGGCTCTGAGGAGATTGAAAGTGCAGCTGAGTATATTACCGAAACATCGCGGAAGCTTGGGTCCAAAGCAGGCCCTTTGATTGTCGCCCCTGTGTACGGTGCCCTACCAGCAGAGGAGCAACAGAAGATTTTCGCACCAACACCCCCTGGTCATCGCAAGATTGTTCTCAGTACCAACATTGCCGAAACCAGTTTGACCATCGATGGCATCCGTTACTGCATAGACTGTGGTCTTGAGAAGCAGTCAGTATACGACCACAAGCGCTCCATGAACACTTTGGTAGTTGTGCCATGCTCGCGAGCAAGTGCTGAGCAAAGAGCTGGTCGTGCTGGACGTACAGGGCCTGGAATGTGCTTTAGGCTGTATACCAAGTACGCCTTCTACAACGAGCTGCAGATGGAGACCGAACCTGAAATTCTGCGCTGCGATCTCGACGGCCCCATGCTCACACTGAAGACGATGGGCATCAACGATCTCTTGAACTTTGATTTCATTGATCCGCCGTCCACCACTGCGATAGCGGCATCCCTCGAGCACCTCTACGCCCTGGGTTACATCGACTCTATGGGTAAGGTCACCAAACTCGGCCGCCGCGCTAGCGAACTGCCTCTTGATCCAAAACTCGGCAAAGCCCTGCTCGCTGCAGACAAATATGGCTGCGTTGAAGAGATGGTGACGCTGGTGTCTATGGTTAGCGAAGCCGGGACACTCTTCTTCGCGCCTAAGGACAAAAAGGTCGCAGCAGACCTTGCCAAGCAGCGCTTCAGTGAGGACGCCGCAGGCGGCGATCTCATCGCGTTCCTCAAAATCTGGAACGAGTTCACCGAAAACGAGTTTAGCCAGGCATGGTGCAAGGAGAACTTCCTCGACTACCGCGCGCTCAACCGCGTCCGTAACGTGCGCGAGCAGCTCCAACGGCTATGTGATAAAGTTGAGTTACCGCATAGCTCGACCGGTATTTCGGACCATGTCAAGATTCTCAAGGCGTTCACCAGTGGTTACTTCACTAACGTCGCCCGCTTGAACCGCGATGGGCAGAGTTACTCGACTGTCAGCCAGAAACTGAGTGTCTACATACACCCCAGCTCGTGCATGGCGCGGAAGCAGACGAGGGATCGCTGGGTCGTATTTTACGAGTTGACAAGTACGAGTAAAGAGTGGGTTAGGAGCGTGGCGCCAATCCAGGCAGAGTGGCTAACAGAGGTGGCCCCGCATTATCACAAGGCGAAGCAGGTGGAAGAGTGGACAGAGAAGAAGCAAAGTAAAGGGACAGGCAAGGTGGGTGTTGATCGATAAGTCGACGTTGATTTTGTTTATGAGCATAGCGCAAGGCACAGGCGTAGAAGGGACGACAAATTGTGGACTGATACCCTCTGATTCTACACAAGCGTTCTATCACGCTTTTATTTATATTTTACACTTTACAGCCACCTTTCTCGGTTTATTTTCCAACGTTCGTGAATCTCAGGTACGGCTTGATCTCCCTGACATCTCCAAACTTCTTCTTCGCATCCTCTGTGGTCACACTCGGCGGGACAATAACGTCGTCTCCAACGTTCCAGTTGATTGGCGTCACGACGCCCTTCTTGTCGCCTGTCTGCAGGCTATCAACCACCCTCAGAACCTCCGCGGTGTTGCGGCCAGTGCTTGCAGGGTAATCCATCTTAAGTCTGATCTTCTTGGCGGGGTCGATGATGAAGACAGAGCGGATGGTGAATGCGATGCCCTTCTCTTTGATGTTGTCGAGGTCGTCCTGCGCGATCATGTCATAGAGGAAGGCGACTTTGCGGTCGGCATCGGCGATGATGGGGAATTGGACCTTGGTGTTCTGTGTCTCATTGATGTCGTCTACCCACTGATCGTGGGAACTGAGGTCATTGGCGCTCTGGTAAACATCAGTGTTCAGTACACATTTTAGCCCAGACTCAACATACAAGTCCCAGCATCTGCACGCCACGAGCGTCAAATTCGCCCTTGAGCTTGGCGAAAGCACCGAGCTCGGTGGTGCAGACGGGTGTGAAGTCGGCAGGATGCGAGAACAGAATGGTCCATTTGCCATTGAGGAACTCGTGGAACTTGATTTGTCCGTGTGTTGTTTGCGCCTCAAAGTCAGGCGCAACCGACCCAATCCTCAAGCGTGGCTGCTCAGCCGGAATCGCGAGGCCGCGGCGGAACGGTGTAGCAGTAGGGCGCTGGACGCGCAGCGCAGGGCGGGCGGCGGAGCGGAGAGCTCGAGAAGCTGCACGGGGGATGAAAGCAGACATTGTGAGTTTCGATAGGTGTCAATGGGTTGCGATGATGCCGCTTCAGAGGTTTTGGCTTTCGACGGCGATACTAAAGTGGATTCGATGGCCATGGCGTCATCCCCACGCGGAAACAACGGCCTTGCCAAAAGGGATCCATCTGATGTGTCTCCAAACCACATGTCGATCATGTGTGGTGGTGTTGATCCTGAAGAGAGGCTTCACGTTGAGAATAATTTCAACGAGACTGTGACTGTGGTCGAACGCGCCATGCAGTGTCTCTCGTGTCACAGCAGCATCGATCGTTGAATCTGCACACCATTGTTGCTCTACTGCTGTCGCACATGGCTCTATGCCCTCTTAATCAATTCTCAGCCCTATATCGTTCATAAATGTACTGCAAAGGTCTTCCTTTCAACTCACTGTTTGGCATCATGAGATATTACGTCATTGGTCTTTCTCCACAACATACCGTAAGATCCGAGCCAGGATTATGGCAAGGACGACCAACATGTGGCTGGCATAAAACGGCGCCGATGCCCAGCGCAACGCGCGCGCACTGCGCTCACATCTAGTTGCCACATTCGCGAATCAACGCCCCCATTGTAACATTCACACGACGCCAGTATGTCAGTCGCATCCGCACCCGGAACAGGAGGCTTCCTCAAATACAACAATGGCCCGCCCAAGGTATTCATCACCGACTCAACTCCCCACCCACCTGAAAAAGCGCTCCTCTCCTGGAAAGAAGAAGGCTATGAGGTATCGTACCTCCAATACGACCCATCTGCACAATCCTCCTACATCCGTACCGTTCAAAGCCTGAGCAGCAATCTTCAGCTGGGCGAGCACTATGCGCTAATAGCCTACGGCGCAGCAGCCAGCGTCGTGCTGAAGACCGCCATGAAGCCGCTGAACAAGTGCTGTGCAATCGTCGCCTTCTACCCGCCCGTCTTGCCTGGCGTTAAAGTGAAATACCCCGAGAGCACGAATCCGCAGGTCCACGTCGCGAGCAAGAGCATGAGCAGTCCGCATCCAGAAATGGTCGACTGGAAGTTGTACCGCTACGCTGACTGCGCGACCGGATTTGCCGACCCAAACTCCAAGGCGTACTCACCGGGTGAAGCAAATTTGGCGTGGAGCAGGGCGCTGGCGTGCGTGCGCAGGGGGTTTAAGTTGGAGATTGATCTCGAGCCCGTGGTGCAGAACTTTTGGAACGCAAAGTACGAAGACGATGTGCCCGAGAGAGCAAGTATGAGCGTAGTAAAGAATATGACGCAGAACAGTCCGCATGTCACATTGCTCCCCACTCTACAGGGCGGCGTGGGGAGAAAGAAGCTCGAGGAGTTCTACAGAGAGTTCTTCGTTCCCAGTCTAGTTGAGGACTTCAAAATACGGTTGGTTTCAAGGACAATGGGCGTTGAGCGTATCGTGGATGAGATGGTGGTATCTTTCACGCATTCAGATGAGGTGGATTGGATTCTGCCCGGCGTTCAAGCAACAGATAAGTATGTTGAGATTGCCATGGTCAGTGTGGTAGCGGTCAGAGGAGGAAAATTGGTCTCCGAGCACATGTACTGGGACCAGGCCTCTGTCCTTGTGCAAGTTGGTCTACTGGACCCAAAACTGGTGCCTACAAAGTTCAAGAAAGAGGGAACGAAACAACTCCCGGTCGCTGGCGCTGAGGCGGCAAAACAACTTGTCGATCCGCAGCAGGGCAGGTACAATAAGCTGCTACACATGCACGGCCTGTTCGACGGTATCGACGGTAATTGAATGCTAGGAAGCACATTTCAACGAAGCTCTTTTGTTCTCTCAGCCTATGAAGCTGCATGTGGGTAATCTATACTCCTTCAGCACCCAGTACTTCCTCCGCAACCCTTCCCACTCGCCCTGCTCATCAAGATCAGGTACCTGTATTGTCTCCCACTCGGTGTCGAAACCTGCTTCGAAGAGATCCATCTCAACGATCTTGCCGTACACATCGTAGACGATCTGTCTGTCTGCACCCATGCCGTTGAAGAAGCCAAATTTGCCACCTTCGCCGTCTACACCACCTGAGGGGTCCAGCAAGCCGATGACATGTTCTGTGAAGAATTCGCGCAGCGCTTGGTACTCTTCAGCAAATGTGTCGAAATAAATGCCATCGAAGAGATCGCCCTTCTCAACGAGCCCTGGCACGATATCTTGCCAGCGGCCCTCGTGGATGACGACGCCAGGCTTTTTGTCCCACCCCTGCTCTTTCATGCGCTTCAAGACATCTGGATGCGCTTCGATGATATGGTGTGACTTTGGTTGCTTTTCCTGGAGAATGCCATCGATGATGCCCATCCCGTGCCCCACATTGAGAACACGCAGACCTGGTGCAGGGGCAAGCAACTCAGCAGATCGTTGCATAAGTGTTGTCTCCCACTCCATCATCACACCATTACCCGCCTCGTCGGTCAACCTGTCCCGGTCGAAGGTCAAATTCGAAGCCAGATAGTTGGGATTTTCAGTCGACTCGTCGCCTGGTGCAGCCTCCTGACTGACATCCGGGGTCTCCGCACCCTCTGCATCCAGAATTTCCACATCCTTGTTTGTCGCTTCAGTTTCGACTTCTGCCTCGTCTTCGTCCTCTTCGTCCTCTTCATCCGAGTCTCCACCAAGAAGCAGCTGATACTGGTCCAAGCGACTCAGCAGCAGCTCAGCGCGCACGCCAGCATCTACACAAAGCTCGTACAGCTCTTCCAAGCCGAGTCTTTGCGCAATGCATCCTGCTGTCTCGCCGTTCGCATCCAGATCGTTCCATATCGCGCCGTTTTCGAAGAGAAGCTTGACAGTCTTGGTCGCAGCTTCTATCTCGTTGTTCTCTGCTTCTTTGACATCTCCACTCTCCCCATTGGATTTTGTAGTAGACTCATCCTCGTCAGGCTCACAAGCAGCAATTGCGGCGTGGAGGGGTGTAAAGCCTGTCTCGGAGTCTTGGACGTTCGCGGAGGTGTTGCGGAGGAGGTTGCGCAACGCGGGGATATCGTGGTTTGCCGCTGCGAGTAGAATGCTCTGAGTAGAGAGATCTGTCTCGACGTCGAACGCGGGATCGTCCATATTTGTGGTGCGCTTTGTGAGTGGTTCTCCGTCTGCTCGCAGTAAAGGCTACAAGAGGGGCAGAAAAGTTTTAGTGGGGCAGGGTCCACGCTATCGATAAGTGGAACTACTACGTCATCGAGGCATGCCTCTGAACTTACAGAACGATGACTCGATTCGACTAGTAGCAGTTTCTAGTAGCCGTATTAAGAATTGAACCAACCGAGCCTAATAACAACTTAAGTACGTAGCAATCTACCTCCCCAAGACGTCCGATAGATGGTTGCCGCACATAATCACTGGGCTGCGTCCTATTTCTCCACTCCACTCCTCCGTCATATATGATTGATTGTCCATCATGCCAGCAAATGAGCAGATACGAACAGGAGCTTGCTTGTGCAAGAAGATCACGTTCCAGATTAGAGGAGAAGAGTTGAACTTTGCCATCTGTCATTGTACGAACTGTAGACGGAACTGTGGAGCAACATATACCGCGAACGCCTGGTTTCTGGACAATGTACAGGCTCGATTGTATGCTGGAATGACTAAGTACTGACTGCGTCCAGCAATTCGAGTGGAAGTCAGGCGACGACCTCCTGAAGCAGTTTGACGATAGAGAAACAGAAACCGGCGAAGTCGTTCATCGCTCATTTTGTGCCAACTGCGGTTCACCAATGTTGACAAAATCTCCTCGCATGCCAGGAATCGTGATCATACCCAGCGGAGTCTTCGACGGGCACCACAACTGGAAGCCAAGTTACGAGCAGTGGAGGCGAAGTAAGGACTGTTTTGTTGACCCTATACGAGCCGTCAAGGACGAGAGTCGTTACAATGAGCATCCAGATCTGAAAGAGTTTGAGAACATTTGGGACAAGAGTGGTACAAGGCCAGCCCAAGAGTTTATTGAACGCTAAATACACATATATATTGTTCGTACACCATTGCACATGTCTATAGCTTCGCGCTCTTGACTACCAATGCATTCGACTGTGTCAGGGTGTCAATGGCATCCCGCTCCATAGTCTTCGCCAGATCCTCGCAGGTCGGTATGTCGTGGATCAACCCTGCACACATTCCAAGGCTCCAAACTCCTGCATCGACATCACCAGTCTCGTACACACCCTGTCCGCGTTTGCCGCTCATCAGGTGTGCCACATCCTTGAACTCTACGTCCTTCTTCTCGTTTTCGATCTTGTGCACCTCGACCGAAACCTTGTTCTTGTGCAGCCTCGAGGTGTTCCTGAATTTGCGAAGGACCAGAATCGTATCGTTCTCCGTGGCCTTGACGATTGCTTCTTTGACGTTTTGGTGGATCGGAGACTCGACCGTGCACATCCACCGTGTACCCATGTTGACTCCAACGGCACCCAGCGCCAGTGCAGCCGCCAGTTGCCGTCCATTTGCGAAACCACCAGATGCGAGGTATGGGATCTTCAGCTGCTCCTTGCAGAGCGACAGGAGCATGAGCGATGTTGTGTCGTACTCTCCTCCATGGCCGGCACACTCGATTCCGTCGATGGAAATGCAATCCACGCCCAATTTCTCTGCTCGTAGCGCATGCTTCAGAGTGACACATTTGTGGAAGACGGTCACGCCGTTGTCTTTGAGGTATTTCAGAACTGGTGTTGGGTCGCCTGCTGTCTCAACAATCTTGATGCCCTCTTCGACTACTACCTTTGCATATGCAGGATAGTCTGGCGCATTCATCGAAGGGAGAAGGGTGATGTTGACACCAAACTGTACTGCATTTGGCTTCAACATGGACTTCGTCCTCCGGATCTCCTGGCGAAGTGCCTCAGGGGACGGCTGTGTGAGTGCAGTGAGGAACCCAAGTGCACCTGCATTCGCAACTGCGCTGATCATCTCTGCCTTTCCTACCCACATCATGCCTCCTTGCACGAGGGGAACGCGTATCCCAAGGGTCTCTGTGAGCCATGTTTTGATCGGCATCTTGTCGTGTGTTGGATTAAGAACGAAGTGGACGAGTGGCAATATGTACTAGAAGATCGAGGTAGTCAAAGTGATCAAATCGTAAAAAATAGAGACACAAGAGTGAAAAGCAGGAAGGAAAGTAACATGGGAGTAGCATGTGATGGATGTTTCATCCCGGCGCGAGTCAGCTTGCGGGTCGTTGAACCTCGGTACTTCCCCACAAAGGTTCCTGCCGATGCGACCACGAGACTCGCAGTCCTGTCTCTTACTGCGTCTGATCGCCGACGGGTGACCGAACGAACGACTAGGTAGTGTTGGTTACGTGACAACTGCGGACTGGTATCGCCTATTGAATTTTTTTGCAAACAGTGCGAGTTCTTGGAATCCAGAAGGCGCTCTCCTTCATCCTGAATCTTTGCAAATTACTCGACTACCCCGTGTTGGCAGGGCGCAATACATACTAGAAGCCGGGTTTCGCGCCGAACTTTTGATTTGATACGTTAGCTATTAGTACGTCTTTCAAAGCTCCCAAGTAAGTACACGTGGGTTGTGAACAGACACACGAAGGGTAAACACAATTACCGAAAACCACCAGCATGCAGCCGAATTGAACACGATCGAACGCTACCGTGTCCGTGCGCGTAATGCGCGGATTCGCGTAATGCGCCGAACCACCAAAACACCCCTATTATCTTACCTCCATAACAACACAACGCGATGGGATTAGAAGAAGCCCTTTTAGAGTGTGATACTTTTGCATCTGAAGATGAGATCCCGTGGTCTAAAATAGCTGAAAAGCATGGTGTTGTGCGGTCAACGTTGACGCGCACGTGGAGGGGTGAGACGCGGTCGCGTAATAAGAAGGCTATTGCACAGCAAAAGCTCACTCCACAACAAGAGGAGGAGCTTGTAACTTATATAGGAGAGCTTACTGCTCGTTCTATACCACCTACAAGGGAGATGATACAGAATTTCGCGTCTTCTGTGGCCAAGGAGCGTGTGAGCGAGAGCTGGGTTACTCGGTTTATTAACAACTACTCCATCCATCTCATCTCTCAATACTCAACGGGTATGGACGCCAATCGCCACAACGCTGATTTATACACAAAGTATGAGCTATACTTCAACCTACTACAACGCAAGGTCACTAAGTATAAGGTTGAGAGCTGCCACACATACAATATGGATGAAAAGGGGTTCATGATTGGGATCACTACTAGGACGAAACACGTGTTCAGTAGGCGGATGTGGGAGAAGGGGGAGGTCAAAGCATCACTTCAAGATGGTAATAGGGCCTGGGTTACGCTGCTGGCTTGTGTGTGTGGTGATGGGACTGCACTGCCGCCAGGCATCCTCTACGAGTCTGCCAACAGTACCATCCAATCAAGCTGGGTAGAGGAAGTACAGCCAGGGGTACACGACGTACTTGTTTCCTCATCACCTACTGGCTGGACCAACAACGATATAGGCCTTGCCTGGCTTCAACAGGTGTTTGATCGCTTCACCAAGACCAAGGCGCGGAGGAAGTGGCGCCTCCTGATCCTTGACGGCCATGGATCCCATATGACTATGGACTTCATTAACTACTGTGATCAGAATAAGATACTGCTGGCTATCCTTCCTCCTCACTCAACCCACACGCTGCAGCCGCTGGATGTAGTGATGTTCAAGCCTCTCTCAACTGCGTACTCAAAGGAGCTCACAACATACCTTCACAATGGCCAGGGACTATCAGTAATCAAGAAGAGCGACTTCTTCCACCTATTCTGGAAGGCCTGGACGAGCACGTTTACTCAGGAGTTGATACTCAAGTCTTTTGAGGCAACGGGTATAGCACCCCTCCAACCCAACGTCATCCTTCACCGCTTTGCTGAGCCTTCTCCCCAGGCCTCTGATGCTAGCGGAAGCTCTTCTTCAACTTATTCTGGCAAAGATTGGCTGAAAATAGAGACCCTACTGCGCAAGGTTGCCAAGGATGAGAGTAGTAAGGAGTTGAAGAAGATCAGCCGCTCGCTCCACCACATCTCAGTCCAAAACCAGCTACTCCACCATGAGATAGCAGGCCTAAAAGAGGTTCTTAAGACTCAGAAGAAGCACAAGAAGAAGAGCAAAGTCCTTGACTTCCAGGAACCTGAGGACTATTATGGTGGAGCAGTGTTTTACTCTCCTTGTAGGGTTGATAAAGCACGTCAGTATGAGCAGGTAAAACAACAAGAAGCTGAGGCAGAAGAGGCTAGAAAAGTAGAGATGGCTGAACTCAGGCACGCAAACAAGCTATACAAAGAGCGACTAGCTCAGGAGAAGCGTGAGCAGCGGGTGAGGGAGAAGGAAGAGAGAGACCGTGTCAAAGCCAAGAAGGCAGAAGAAGTAGCTGAACGCAAGGCTGAAAAGGAACGTCAGAAGCAAGCTCAGGACGCCCAGAAAGCTATACAATTGTCCCAAAGAGGCAATAAGACAGCTTCAAAAGCTTCTATAGTAAGAAGAAAGCCTGCGCGTCGTGGTATAGGTGCGCGTAGTCAACCAAAGCCTGCAACGCCTCCTCCACCAGCTCGCACACACACCACCCGCAGTGGCCGCACCGCCACTCTATATAAATAAAATATATAGGCAATAATTATCGCATAGACCTATAGAACACTCCACTAAACAACCTCGCAATAATAACTATTGTACGTGGCTCTACAACCTCATTTTTCAGGTGCACTTTAGGGGGTTTCGGCGCATTACGCGAATCCGCGCATTACGCGCACGGACACGGTACACCGTAAACAACCAGCGAACAGAACGGACCGACTCGAGAACTCCGAAAGGAGAGAGCGACATTTACTGAACTCAGAAAAAACCTTCTCGGCTATATATGCTGTCACAAACTCCAAGGACCCAGGAACTTACAATGGAGCTACGCAGCAAAGTCCTGTAGATCTTCGGTGTCGTACGGAGCACCAGACGTGTACTGAATTCAGTTTGTGGCCACAAGGAGCTTAAGGTACCTTTCCAAAGCAAAAAAGTAGCCACAGTGTCTTTGACGGCATCTCTTCACCGTCATCTTCACTGTCATCCTCAATGGCACTGGTGCAAAAGCACGTTCATGGCACAGCTCTAGAGGCTTTGCTTGACTGCTGGCACTACTGGTGATAAATTGATTTCGACTTGGGAAAGACCTAGACTCAGGACTCTGCGCTGTGTACCACGCAGCGCTTAAAGACATGCAGATTCTTAGGAAGGATAATCCTGCAAAACGACCTTTCATCGACCAACCAAACCAAGTGTGCAAAGATAAACGCTTGAGGCTCCTGTCGCTCCCGCATATTCTGCAGGGGAAACCGAGTCTCGGCTGTGCTTACTTTCATGAGCAAGCTGGTGTCCTATCATCGCCCTGCGTTTCAGCCTCACCTTTCAGCTGGACTCTTGGACACTGGTCCTACGACACGAACAGCATGTCCATACCTCCCTTTTCCGAACTGGAGAGCTAGAGCAAGACGCTCGCAGACCACAGCGCGTGCCCAATTCGAACGAGGAAAGTGTGGCTCCAGGCACGCGATTGACTTGAACGCAATGCTTGCGCTGTGTTACTATATTCGTACTTCGCATTCAGCTCAGAACGCCATGGGGCAATGCAATCTCGCGAAGGAGCTCTAGGTTTAAGATGCCAGCTCCGTCAACGTGCTGTTGTTTGCCCCCTCTTCGATCTTCGCTTCTTTAACATAAACGATTCGCATCGCTCTGCCTTTCTCATTCGGTCGGACATCCCGAACATGAAGGGCACTTCATCACTTGTCAGCCTTCTGGCTGCTCTGCCAGCGGTGCGAGGAGCCGCCTTTGCTGGCCCTTCGCCAACATCTACCAGTCCGAACCTTGCTTTGGGTGGCATGTCCTCGAAGCCAACTGCTCCACCGTCGATTGAAGAGCTTCGAAAACGACAGACAAACCTCTACCCCGAGACATGCGGCTGGATAGATGGCGTATACTGTAAGATTCTTAACTTCATGTCCGGGCGAGGCTGAAGCATGCACTGACACTGTACAGCAAATTCCGTGACATGCCCGGGATCACGCACATGCATGCAATACACTGGAGGCGCTGGAATGATCGGATGTTGCGACAGTGCCAACACTGTCGACTGTGGCTGGGCAAGTTCCTGCATCGACGCCGCAGCATACAGGTCTGGGTGTGGCACGAGCTGCGTCCTCAACACTTTCATACAAAAGTGCACAGAGTCCACTCTGCCATACTGCGCCACCTGGACTTTCCCCAGCAACGGTGTCATTGGCTACGGATGCGTTGCCTACTCAGAGACCAACATTGCGACAGTTCTGCAGCGCGCCACTGATGACCTCGGCGCCACAACGAGCATGACCCTAGCCACCGTTGTAGCGAACCCTGCTGTCACAGGATCAGGCAGCGGCACATCGAGTCGGAGGAGGAAGACGCTCGCCATCGGCGTCATAGTTGGTATCGTTGTAGTTGCAATCTTCGTAATCTGTTGCATCGCAGTTGGCATCTTCATTTGCCTGAAGAAGAAGAGAAAGCAACGCGAGATTGCAGCGAGTGCCCAGGCCATGGCTGCAGTCCATGCAACGCGTCCACAGTCGCAGTTCCCGCCACAGCAACAGGGATCTCAGTATCCTGCGCAACCGCCACAACAGCAAGCTCCTCCACATCAAATGCAGATGCAGCAACCGAGTCTTTTCCACCCGTCTGCCAATCAACAGGGCCTTGCGCCGGCTGCTCCACCCTACTTCCCACATGGCCAAGAGAGTAAACCGGGAGCATACATGTCAGTGCAGGAGTATCCTTCGACGCCAGTGTCGCCTGTTGTCTCGAGCCCCTCTACCCCAGCGCCGGTGTACGCTCAACCGCATGGTGTGCCTCCTCCCATGCCGGTGGTCAGCCAATATCAAATGAACCCCGATGCGCATGAGGTTGATGCGGTGAGTGTGCCGCACGTCCCGGGCCAGGGGGGACAGGTGCATGAGATAGGGAATGGAAAATAGAGTCAGGTGTTGGCAGACGGAGCATGCGCGGTTGTACTCAGTAGCTGAAAGTTGCTCTTTCGTTGGACTTCAAATCAGACTTGTAGAGGCTTCTAGGTCAATTGACAAATTCAAATCAATCGAGGGGTATCTATCAAGGAAATGACCGCTACTCGTGTCTCATGGGGCTGCTATCCACAGGCGTGCCCACAGCCGGACTCCCAAATGCTGGGCTGTCTGTTGCAAAAGGGTTTGGAGGGAGCACGTCTGGATCGTAGCCGTTGCTCCCCTCCTGTTTTCTTACAGGGAGAGGCGAGGCTTTCCATATTCGTATGCTTCGATCCAATCCCGCACTTGCGATCAGCTCCTCTTTAGGGTGCGTGTCTACAGCCAATACTGTATCGTCGTGGCCAGACAGTCGCTGAAGTACGTTCTTACTCGAGACGTCCCACAGCACAATCCCGCCCTCTTCGCTACCCGACGCTACGAAGGCATATGTCTCCTCTGGGTTTGTTCTATCACCATATGTGCCAAATGCGCCAGATAGTGAGTACTTGGCGTTTGTATGACCCTGATACGTCTTGACGCATCTCCCCTTGCCGTTCGCATAGTCCCACAGCCGTATGCACGAGTCTAGCGTGTGGGCTAGTATGTATTTTCCGTTCGGACTGAACTTGACGCTCGTCACTGATGCGTTGTCTTCGTGGACGAGTGTGCGCAGACACTGTCCTGTACTGGTGTCCCACACCCTGATCAGGCCGTCGTGCGAGCAAGATACAATCAGCGTGCCATCGCGCACAAAGTCAACTGCCGATACTGGATCAGAATGTGCTGGCAGAGATCGCATCACGCGTGCCGCACGCACGTCCCACAGGAACACTGCTTCGTCGTAGCTGCCACTGACAAGCATGTTGCCCTTGGGGCTGAAGGCTAGAGAATAGACATAGTTGTGATGCCCAATCAGCGGCGTTGGGTGCGCAAGCCCAGTCTGCACGTCCCAAAGGCGAATGCTCTTGTCGTCTGAGCCCGAGGCGAGGGTCGTGCTGTCGGGCGACCAGGTCAGCGTGTTGATGCCAGCGAGGTGACCTTCGAGCGTGTGCTCGAGCATGCCAGTCGAAGAGGACCAAATCTTTATCGTGGCATCGGCAGAGCCGGTTGCTATCCACAGTCCGTTTGGGGAGAATCTGAGGCAGGAGACTGCGCGCTTGTGGCCACGGAGGATGAGGTGGGGTGTGTAGTTTAGGGCAGTTGGTTTGCGAGGTGGCGGCGTGTTGCTTTGAGATCGCGAGCGCGAGTTCGAGGGCGACCGCGATCGCGATGGTGATCGCCGGCTATAGTATCGTCGCTCGTCTGCGCTGTCGTCCACATCATTGTCACGGTCCCTGCTGTACCGGCGCGCAGGCCGTTCTGCTAGTCTGTATTCTGGAGAGCCATTGCGAGGAGAGCGAGAGTTGGAGCGTTTTCGTGGCGGCGCATCGTCGTACTCGTCTTCGGTCTCCTCTCGCGAGCGCTTGATGGGAGAGCCCATGTTGTTTGTGGGTGTTGAAAGTTAGCAGTAGAACGCGGATTCCCTGTGTTCTGCCCGCAAGCGCGTAGGCGGTGAAGAGAGGCACAGGGGACCCCTGCTTGTGACGTGCCTCGGTCTGTGTACCTGATGGTGCATCGCCAAATAATTCCATCTCCTGAACAATTACCGCCATGATTCCCCCTGAGAAACCGACAAGTCTGCGAGTCCTATCGCTCAATTGCTGGGGCCTCAAGTTTATATCTACACTCCGCAATGAGCGCTTGACTGAGATTGGCCGCCAAATTGCCGCTGCAGATCCTCGTCCAGACATTGTCGGCCTCCAAGAATGCTGGACACAGCAGGACTATGAAGCCATTCGCGATCTCACCAAAGAGATACTGCCGTATGGAAAGTTTTATCATAGCGGCTGCTTTGGAGGCGGGCTTGCCATCCTATCCAGATGGCCAATTGAAGAGAGCAACATGGTGCGGTATCCGCTCAACGGACGACCTGCTGCTTTTTACCGTGGAGACTGGTTCGTCGGCAAGGGTGTTGCGTGTGCACGCATACGCATAGGGCCGGCTTCTAAAGACGTGGCAGAAGTCTTCACTACGCACGTGTGTATAGTGTTCTACCGTCGGAGTTCGTACTGACAGCCACAGCTTCATGCACCGTACGAAGCCGAACCGCACGATTCTTACATCTGCCATCGAACGGCCCAGGCATGGGAAATAGCAAAACTCATGCGTGCAGCTGCCGAGCGCGGGCATTTGGTCATCGGCATGGGAGACTTCAACATGGTCCCCCTTTCGCTGGCGCACCGCATTGTCGAGACACACGCTCCTGTGAAGGATGTATGGCGCATCCTCCACCCCGATTCGTCGCACGGCGCAGCGAAAGACAAAGTGGAGCAGCTACGCGGCGTTCCCATGCCAAATGCCGAGTTCAATCTCACAACGAATGGCACGACGTGTGACAGCGCCTTCAATTCGTGGAGATGGAACGAAGCACACAAGAAGCGGCTGAAAAGGGGCGAGAACGTGCAGATAGACCCTGCCGTGGACGACCCCAGCGCAAAGCGACTCGATTACATCTTCTTCAGCAGCGCACGACACCATGATGCAAACACGGGAGAGGAGACCGCTGAGTGGGAGCTTGAGCAGGCAAACGTTGGCATGACTATGCGCCATCCAACGCTACACTGCTCGCTCAGCGATCATTTTTCTGTCGAGTGCACGTTGACAAGGAAGGATAATCCCCACGCCGCGCACGCTTCCGACGTCGTCAATCGATACCTACCTATTGAGACGTACGAAGAGATCATAGCAACACTGGTCAAATACATGGACCGTCAACGATTGCAGCGTAAGTTGCGCATTGGGCACTTCTTCTTCCAACTTTCTGTGTGGGTCGCCTGCATGATTGGAGTCTGGTGGTCGCCGCACAACTATGTATCTTTCATATTAATGCTGTTGAGCTCGTTGGGGCTGGGTGTTGGTGTCATTGATGGATTGATGGGCTTGCTGTTTGGCGGCAGCGAGATGAGGGCGCTGAAGGAGTTTGAGTGGGAGGTGAGGAACGCAATGGATAGAGCATCAGACGCGGAGGAGCGATCGGATACCGGGAATCCTGCATAGCTTAATCTCAGACGAAATGTACACAAGTGGGTGATGCGGGCCTGTTTTGATGCACGTGCATTCGCGACGTGAACGGGCAGCCGCTAGGACCGGTAGGTACAAGCCGTTGTCGCTTCTCTGGCGGAGGTCTTCAAGGTAGCTCTGGAAAAAGCGTTCTAAATCAAAGAATAGATAGAGGACTACAGGTTCTTTCACTAAGGAGTAGCCTGGCCTGGAATCAGATAAACACATCTCGAAGTGGTTTGCAAGTTCACAGAGCTGATATCACTACAAGAGACCGCCAAGCCCATCCACGACCCATCAAGCGTCAACCCTCAGTGCATCGCCCTTCCCAAAAGACCACACCACACAAGCACCTGACAAACCTCAGAACAGAAAGTACGCGTCGCATAATCACAGCGACACTCCCACAAACGTCAAAAAAGGCGCAAGGCCCCCCAGAGCTGCGCAACAGCGACCGACCCCATCATGAGCAGCTCCCAGCCCCAAGCAGCTGGCGCTGGCCAGCAGCAGCAACAAGGCCCAAAGCTGCTCAAAGCTGACGATATACTTAGGCTGCACTGTCTGACGGAAGATGAGAAGCAGAAGTATAGGATACTCATGCAAAACACCTGGAATATGTTCAACAATGCTGCCGCAGGCAGTCCAGAGCAGGCTCAGGCGCGTCAGACATTGCAGCAGTTCTCCCAGAAGTTCATCGCTAGAGAGCGCGCACATAGAGCAAAGGTCCAGCAGCAACAGCAGGGCGGGCAAGGACAGTCTGGTCAGCCAAACGCAGGCGCACAGCAGAACTCGGTCAAGCAGGAAGGGCAGGGGAGTGCTGGAGAAGCCGCTGCGAATCAACAGCAGCCGTCGCAACCGCAGAATCAAGGCCAGCAGCGACCACAGAACCCCTCTGTAGACCCATCGATCATCAAACACGTTCACGAGTTTCCGTTTACGCTGCCACTGAACTTCACATTGGGCACCCCTGATGCCGATACAAAGCTCAAGGAATATAAGAATGGATACCTCAACATGTTGGCGAAGCAGGCGACACTGACCGAGAACATAAAGAGGATCCAGGCGCAGATACAGGAGCGAGGAAAGAGCGGGCAAGAGGTACCACAAGAACTGACGAATGCCAAGAACAAGGTCGAGGAGGAGTATTACCGCATGAAGGCTCAGATCGAGAAGTTTCGCGGCCTGCAGAAACAGTGGAAAGACGAGCGAGCTGGTCAAGGGCAGGGTGCACAGCCTACACAGCCCCAGCAAAATCCATCGCAGCAGCAGCAGCAGCAGTCACAGCCGCAGCAGCCACAACAAGCTCAACAGTCACAGCAGTCTCAGCAGCCGCAGCCGCAACGACAGCCTTCACTTTCGGGACCGAGCGGCCAGCCTGCAGTGAAGGAGGAGCCGCAGATAAAGATCGAGGGCGGGCTGCCGCAACTGCCGCAAACGCAGCAACTGCCGCAATTCAACCAGCAGCCACCTCAGAACGCCCAACAACCGCAACAGCAACTTCAACAGCCACAACAACAGCAGCAGCAACCAATGCAGCAGCAAGGGCAGTCACAACAACAATTGCAGCGCCCACCACCAGCACCGCATTCTCTTTCGATGCCTCAACATCAATTTCAACAGCAAGGACAACAAGGACAGCAAGGACAGCCACAGCAGCCTCAGTTGCCGCAGCAAGGACAGGCTCGACCGCAGATCAACCCACACCAGGCGAACATGCAACAGCAGCATCAGCAAAGCAACTCGCCGCACCCGCAGTCCGCGACGGGCAACGGTCCTCCAGTCCCGCTTTCTCACCAAGCTGCTGTCAGCGCCGCAAACCGCTCCTACACAGACCCTGCGCGGTCCAACACGCCCATGCAAGGCGGTCCAGCAGGCAACTTCCATGCGCCTGGCAGTCGCGAGCGCGAGCAGCTCAATAACCCCAAGATGCCAATCCCGCGCCATCTGAACGTCACATCACCCGTGCCTGTCAACATGGGTCAGCAGCGACCAACTATGAGCGGGCCGACCAACGGTGCACCGGGACCTATGGGTCAGCCTGTGATATCAAGGCCGCCACCGTTCCAGCTTGAAGGCGAAGGTGATCGCGTGCTCAGCAAGCGGAAATTGGACGAGTTGGTGAGGCAAGTCACGGGCGGGAGTGAGGAGGCGCTGACACCAGAAGTTGAAGACGTAAGATACTATAAACGAAGCGACTTCTCAAGCAAAGCTAACAGTAACACGTAGGCGGTCCTCCAGCTCGCAGACGATTTCGTTGACAATGTCATCTCCAACGCTTGCAAGCTGTCCAAGCTCCGCGACAGCCCGCAACTCGATATCCGCGACATCCAGCACGTTCTTGAGCGCAGCTATAACATTCGCATTCCAGGTTACGCATCGGATGAGGTGCGCACAGTGAGGAAGATTGTGCCGGCGGCCGGGTGGGTGGACAAGATGAAGGCGGTCAACGCAGCGAAGGTTATGGGTGGAAAGACCGACTTTTAAAGGGTGGAACAGACTCCAGGGAGCTTAACCTGTTGAGCGGATGAGACTCGAGGAGGATATAGGGCTGGTGAAAATATTTGGCAGGAACAAGGCTATCTGGAATTCTTGGTCGATGGTGGAGGAGTATTGTAATGCACGGGTTGCACAGCAGCTCAAAGATTCTTACGATTTGATGCACAGAGAGGATTTATTACCTCTGGAATACAAAAGGCTATTCCTTTCCCACGTGCACGCATTCACAATGCAAAAAGGTCGAGGCATATGCACCGCTACTTACTGATCAAGGAAAAGTAGCTGGGAGGTATTCAGCTACGCTCGCGATTCACTGTCGACGTGTAAAGTGCAGAGTTTCCGTGAGTTTATCTGATCTAGCCAGTTACCAGGGTTGGTCTGCAACCCACCACAATGAAGAGTTGTCTACAAATCACCGTTCCAGCGCACAGGGACAGACAAGACAGCCGGTCTTAGCGCAACCAGCGAAGAAAGAATCTTCACAACTGGGGCAGCACATCGTGTGGGGCATGCATCACCACGAATGCCCTCAACTGCCATGTATATATTTAACGTAGATTTCCGCTCTTTCATCAACAGAGTAACATCTGGCCTAATGGCCCAATGGCAAGGCGCTTGACTACGATTCGTTCGGTAATCAAGAGATTCCAGGTTGTAAGTATTCACTGCACTCAACAGTACGCAAGTTCGATTCCTAACTCCCTCTAGCGACCCCTGGTTAGGTCAAAACACCAATTTCTTTTTTGCTGTTTTTTGTGCGGTGCAGGAGGTGGGGCAAACGGGCCTGGAGGGGTCATTCTTCTGGCTCTGCCGGTCAATTTTACTTTTTGGTTGTTATTTGTGATAATCGTTACTTTGATTTTTTATGCTACGTAGTGATCTGTTCCACCGGCAAGGATAGCAAGCTTCTAGCACGATGTCGCGCCTTCAACGTATTATCACTAGCTTTTGCTGCGCTGCCCAGCTCATCTAGTAGCGTAAATAGATATATTTACATCCAGAACTCAAACAGACAACGGGAGACCGACGTCGGCCTCCCAGACACAGCGTAGTGTGTGCCTCATGCTCGCAAATGTACAGTACTAATACAGGTCAGGGTCAAAACGCTCTACTTTCTCCGCTGCAGCACCTTGGTGCACATCTCAATCAGGCCGTTCTTGGCATCGCTGTCGGGGAACGGCGCGATGGCCTCGATGGCCTTGTCGACGTAGTCCTGGGCCAGGGCGCGCGTTTGCTGGAGGCCGGTGCTGGCGAGTACGATTTCGCGTGCCTAGGCAGAGTCAGCGTTCCTTCTCCAGTCTTTCGGGATGCAATGTGTCTTACCTTCTGCGCGTCGCCCTTCTCGCCAAACTTCCTGCCCACGAGCTTGCCTAGCGTCTGGTTGTCCTTCCACGCGAACAGCAGAGGCGCCGTTGCAAGACCTAGCTCTAAATCCGCACCGCCTGGCTTCCCTAGCTCCTCGCTGCTTATTGTGTAGTCCAGCATGTCGTCGACCAGCTGGAAGGCCATGCCCAGGTTCTTTCCATACTGGTAGCTCGCCTCGACGACCTCCGGCGTACTGCCACCCAGCACAGCAGCGGCGCGACACGACTTCGAGATCAGAGAAGCTGACTTGAGGTATGTCTTCTGCAGGTAGTACGTCACGGTGTCTTCGGTCCAGACAGGGTTCTTCTCGTCGCGGGCGGTGTTCTTCAGCTGCATGAACTCGCCCTCAACGAGGTTGGCAATAACAGTCGCGAGCAGCTCTGTCACTTCAGGGTCCCGCAGCCGTGCGAGCCCGACTGAGGCGCGGCCGAGGAGGAAATCGCCGGCTAGGACAGCCATCTTGTTGCCGAACTCGACGTTTGCGGAGGGCGCGCCGCGACGAGCAACAGAGTGGTCGATAACGTCGTCGTGGAGGAGGGAAGCGGTGTGGATGAGCTCCGTGATCTCGGCCAGGCGGCGTTGCGAGGGAAGAATGTCGGAGTCAGTGGAGGTGTAGGCGGCGTCGTGTGTGATGTCGGATATGCCGGCTCCCGGGTTGCCGTCACTGAGTATCGATGAGCTGGTAATTGGTTCGTCGACGCTGTTGCTGCCACTTCCTCCACGCGCGATCTTGGGGGTCAATGCTGTAGCTCTGCTCATGAGCAGAACGAGCATAGGGCGCACGTATTTGCCCTCGCTTTGTGTGTAGTATTTTGCGACCGTGTCCAGCGTAGGGTGCCCGGAGCCGAGTAGCGATCGTATGTTCCCCGTCAAAAACTTCATCTCGCGTGCTACTGTCTGGAAGGGATCCATCTTCAGCGGCGCATCTGGTGGCGGCGCGGCCCTGATGTGCTGCGCAACGCTAGCAGCTTGCGCAGCGGCTGCCCACGAGGACTGGTTTCGCCGCCTGGCAGAGTGATGTGTCGAGACATGAGGCTCTTGTGTGCGGACGACGCTATGGTAGGGACATGTCGATATCGAGAGTCGTGACGTTGAGGTTGCAGGGTAGTAAGACCGCTGGGCAAAACTGCTCACCAGCCGACTCGAGCGCCTCATCATTGAATTCTCAGGTATGAAAAAGACGGGAAAATGATGGTCCAGGCGCGATCAATGTGTGCCCGAGGAATTGGGGGATGTTCGGAAGAGATGACCGGGCGCAGCCGCTATCAACACTGGAAAGGGAAGTTTTACAAAGTCATGATGATAGCATAGCGCCAAGGCTGTCGGCGCGAGTAATTGTCGCGTCGGCCTCCGCGATCTGACAGGCACCAGTGATGCACGTCTACAACCGCAACAATGGTACTCCTCACGGTGACACCCGGTATAGCCAGGGCTTTGTCGCGAGTCGCAGAGATACTGCCCGAAGAATTCTCGAAGCTGCAGAAGCCGTCTGAGCCTGTCCTCGCCGCACCTAAACCCGGTAACCCCATCTCGCACAGCCAGCTGATCGACCTGTCGAAGCTTGTGAAGCAGCTGCCTCCCAATTCGCACCACAACGATGACACAACGAACGACGCCTCCGTAGAGATTGAAACACCAACAACTCTCAATGCACTCCTCCGTAACACCACGATCTACGTACCACCCCCACCGCCCAAGAAGCAGCAGACGCCCGAGTACCACGCCCTCATGGCCCGCCTCCGCGCCGAAGAAGAAGCCCGCGCCTACGAGCGCATGCTAAATCCACCTCCCACGCGCGAGACATTCACCCAACGTTTCCCAAATAGCCGCAACCGCATGCCCGACCACTTCACCATCGGCGTCGACGAAGTAGACGACGTTTCGTACGAAGAAGTGCACCGCCAGATAATCCTGATAATCAACGTCCTGATATCCATTGTCTGCGTCGCCGTCTTCGTGTGGGTGGCAGCGCGACACTGGTCTGTTGGCAAGCGACTGGGGCTCTCTATGGGCAGCTCGCTGGCTGTGGCCATCGCTGAGGTGGTTGTGTACAGCGGCTACGTCAGGAAGGTGCAGGAGGCGAAGACAGCAGAGAAGAAGAAACCGGAGATCAAGGAGATCGTTGCAAGCTGGGTGTTGGATCGGAGTACGAATGAAGAAGCTGTCTTGACTACATCCAAGGAGAAGGCCGACGATGGGGTGAGATACAGGAAGGGCAAACATCGCTGAACACGTGGATAAAGCAAACGCCGACACATGCCAAAGAACAACTCCCACAATGCTTCTCAGATGCCACCTACGCCAAGCTTGTAAACAATGAGGCAGCTCAGACACCTACACTACTTCTTCTTGTTCCGCCCAGCCACGCCCCCGGCGAACCGACCAAGGTTACTGAGACTAGATCTGGGTTTGTGGCCTTGGGCTGCGTTCGCTGCGGCTTGTGTAACCGGTGGCCTCGTCGCTCCGGCTGGCGAATTCGGTCGCAGCCCCGCGTGTTTGGGTGGCACTGCTGGTGGAATTCTCGATTCTTTCTCCTGGACCGTGTCGAGGCCGGTTGGCATGTCCTCGCCCATGGTCGCATGTGACGCGGTGCGCCTCGCCTTCTCTTGAGTCGCCTTGAACCTGTCGAGGAGCTCGTTCCATTTGACGCTGCCTTCTTCTCTGGCCTTGAGTCGATTGGGACGCTCAAATCCGGATGCAGAGGGGCCTTGGGGTGCGCTGGAGGTACCAACTTCTGAGCTCTTTTGCCTCAAATGGTTTAGGGTATTGGATTGGGGTACATACGTGCGTGGAGCAATGTGCAGGTAGCCAATAGCAGACACGCTGTTCAGCCTGTTCTTCAACGCCGCAAACGCGGAAGATTGTGGGAGAAGCATGAGGAGTCCGTACAAGCATTTGTAGAGGTGCGGATACCTCTCTGGCTCGAGAAGCTGGATGCGGAGATCTGAAACAAATCAATTGGCGGCACGTCGCAAAAGTGTGATTGCGACTTACACGTAAACACAGGCGACTCTAGCAATTGCACAAGCTTGTCGATTTGGATGAGAGTGTTGACAGTCATCTCAAGATCGGCACTGCGATTGTCAGCCGGATTATGCAGACACATCAACCTTATGTGGACTTACAATATTTGAAGCAGGTGGTAAGCCTGTTCATAAGCCTGAGCTAGGAGACACAGTGAAAAAGTAGCCACTGCATTGTGGCACCAAGCCTTGAAAAGTGTAACGAAGAATGACTGCCCGTCCTACTCGAGTTAGTCCAAGTGGTGCTTGAAATTTAGAGGGATATGTACCCTGTTTTCTAGGTTGCGCAATCGCCTCCGAAGGTCGGCAAGCTCGGGTGCCGTGATGAGGTTATTATTGAGGTTTTGAACCATGATGCTCGCAAACTCGACGTCCTCATCTTTCGCGATACAATCGGCCATTGTGCGATAGATCTTCTCGGCGCTCAGTGTGAGACACAGTTGCCTGATAATGAGATTGCCTCGTGTCTCAAGCAGCCTGCGATCTGTGCAAAACAGCTTCAAGAGATTGACCATAAAAGAGGTGAAATAGGTGTCGTCGCTGTGCATGGATATCTGTGACAGCAGTAGCAGGTCACGGGTCACGACAGCGTCAGAGGGATCTGAGAGTGTCTTGAGTAGGGCGGGAAAAGTGCCATCATCGACTGTGAGTATCTGAAAAATTGTCAGCAGGAGATATAGCAACACCGCAGACTGTGCTGACCCTGCCAGGCGCCATCCTATGCAACATGATCAGCCATGCAATAGCCGCTACTCGTGTGGCTTCGTGCTCATTGAGGAACTGCAAGGTAAGTGCGCTAACAGCAGCCTGATAGTCCAGTTCGGGCACTTGGCGCGGTGAGGGGTCACGATCCTCTGCTGGTGTCGGTGACTGTGTGCCCACTTTGTTTTCTGGTACCTGCTCGCGAATTACTGCCTTTAGAAGCCTGCTCGAGAGGTTCGAGTCGCGCCGCTGGGTGCCTGTAAGCTCTTTACCCAATTCAGAGAGTGAAGGCGGCAGCAAGATCTTATCTCCAACGTTGCTATTCGGCGGGCGGTCCTCGGAGAGCGACATTATGTAGTCCATCAACGCAGCATTGACCTTGATCGCCTCTTGGCGAACCTCGTCAACATCGTGCGACATGCGCGGTAGCACGTGTGAGAGCAGGCTGGGGACAAACGGCGTAATGTCCTCGGGGCAGATCTCGAAGAAGGCGTGGATCCAACGGAGGGCGGTGAGCACAATGCTTGTCTGCTCTTCTTCGGCGTCTATGGTAATTAGTGCCGAATCGACATGGTGGAGGCGGACTCATACCTGACGGCGAACTCAAAAAGCCCACAAGAATCTCAAGAATCTTGGGGTGATCAACGTGCACATCCTGCCCAGGGATCCAATCGCCATCTCCGTTAACAGACTTTCCACTATCACCTGACATTGACTCGCTGCCAATGGTTGTGTGGTCGCCCTCTTCAACGGACGCTTGGTGGTCAAGCGGTATGCTGCCCGTGGCTTCACTCTCGTCACCGATGTCGCTGCGAGTGCTTGATGACGTGGACTGTCTTCGGCCGTCCTTGCTATGACTTCTCTTGCTTTCTGCAATGCCTTTCTTGATCCGCGCGATCTTCCTGATCTCATTCAAGAATCTCTCGAGCGCAACGTGTGTCATGGTATATACATCTGTGTTTGAGTCGCTAAGGAATTTGAACAGCCCACCAAGGAAACGGGGTAGGTGAGCAATGAGCTCGAGATCCGGTATGGAGTCGAGCAAAGTTACCCAAGCGACTAAGAATGAGCGTGTGAACGGGTTGATGACATTTATCCTCTCCTCAAGAAGGGGCAAGAATCGTTCGAGGCTGAAGGCAGTCTCGAGATGGTGCGCAGGATGGTCGGGAGAGTCGTCCGGGTGACCTGGTGATTCGTTGAGTAGGTGAAGGACAGATACGTATGAGGCAGCGGACTCGGACACGATGTCTTTGACTAGACGATCGAGCAGCTCAGCTCCGTTCTTGACTGACAACTCCGAATCGGCGGCCAGCTGTAAGACTTGTGTCAGCAGCCTCCTATGTAGTTGCTGTTTCCAAGCTCACCTTGCACAGCGCATCGAACACTTGGTTGAAATAGACAAGTATTTCGCCCTTTGCGACCTTGGCAATATTGTACATGCTCTCGCATGCATAGTACCTGACACGAGCATCTGAGTCGGAGAAACAGGCGAGGACGGGGGGGACGATTTCTTCGAGGTAGCGTGCGACTTCCTAGACAACATGAGCAAGGCTTCACAAAGAGACAGGCCTGCACGCACAGGTCCCAGTGCTATTGACGCCGCAGCAAGACCGATGAGGCCTCCATTGCGGGCGTGAGGCTGGTGGACGGCATATGCGTAGTGGTGGCAGAGCTCGTGCACGATCTTGGCTATCCGGTCGTGGTCCTGCGCATTGAGTGCATCTCGAATAAGGCCCTCGAGCTCGAGTGCGCCGCTTTTGCGCTTGTCGTAGAGCTTATCGTTAAGCGCTTTGGTGATGTTGGGGTCCATATTGATAGAGTGCGGCGGCCGCCTTTACATGTCGCGGCTATGGGTGCATCGTCGTCGGGAGCGCGGGCGGGTAGGCGCAGAAGTGTGGATGGCCGTTGGCAGGTGCGGTTGTTGTCGCGTCGTGCATGCTTCAACACGGCCCAGAGATGCGCGGGGACGTCATCGCACCTCTGCAGAGCCATCCCTGCCTGGTGCGCGCCAACGCGGGACGCTGAAAGCCAGCAACGGCTGCGCGCACGACTGTCGCACAAACAACTGACAGGGCGAGCTTTTGGGTCTCCTGGAGCGACGCTTGAGCCTGATCTGCGCCATGACGCCTCAAAGCGACCGAATGCTCACTCAGCCAAGTCAAATCTAGCTGTCTCTCATCCTCACTCGTCCAGACGGGGCGCGCTATACCTTACTAGTGCTCATCATTCACCTGCGCCCGTCAGGTGTCTCACACGGCAGCATGGAGAAGTTCAAGAACAAACTCCAAACTCTTCGCAGGAAGCCCCTACCAAATCACCTCAGGGAGCCCGTTATGAATCTGCCAGACGGCTTTCGAAACTGGGCGGTGGCATTGTAAGTAGTCCCGATCGCTCGTATATCCAATCTCAGATTGTCTGGAGTGGGAAAAGATGAGAAGTGCATATAGCATCAGATCGTACCACTGCTGAGTAGCATGGCCGGTAATTGGATTGTGTCGCTAACGGCAACAGTATCGTCTGCAATTTCAACGTCGATGTAGGGTAGGTAAGGCTGGAACCAGTCCGCTGTAGGTGTCGAGCTGACATGTGAAGCCCAGAGATTGAGATCTTATATCCACCCAACGTTGCTTTCAGCACAACAGACCTAACTGCAATATGCTTCAACAGGTACTGCCCTTCTAGACCTCTACGGCACCCGTTACTCACCACCAACAGCTTCCCAGAACAACAAAATACCGAGACGGCTGAAGACCTGACATTCAACTTCACCATCACCAACAATTCGCCCGACATCAAGCTGAGCTCACCGCACCCACCACACGGTAGCGCAGATTTGTTCTTTGCGTCATGTGTATTCCGCCAGGAGTTCGATGATACGATGAAGAGGAGTTTCAATCAGAGATCGCTGGTCCTGATATCGCACCATGACTTCACCAGCTTCAACAACCGCATCCTAAGGACTATGACAGAGAGCGGAGTGATCAGTGATCCAACTACCCTTGAAGGCGCTCACGCTCAAATGAACAACTGGTCGGCCCCGTCCGTAGGCCACCATGAGCTGCCATTCCTTGGACGTATCCTTAGTCTGGACATTGCACCTCACTCGTCGTTCCCGTTGCAGGGACTTGCCGGCTCGGTACCTCTAATAGCAGAGCTCAACCCGTCGATATACGCATATGAGCCGGTCGGTTCCTGGGACATCATCATGAACTACATGCCGTGCATCACCGATCTCTACGTGCTCTACGAAAAGCTGGTCCTCTGCGAATCCGTCATAGTAGTCGCCAAATCACCCCAACTGGCCAGCGAAGCTGTATCCTCGCTGCTCGACATTATCAGGCCTATTCCCTATGCCGGCGTTGTCAAACCTTACATGACCATGCAAGCCGACTTCCGCAGTATCGGTATAGATGGTGGTACTCCGCGGCCCTTTATAATTGGCATTACCAATCCCTTCCTGCTAAAGCGCATCGTCGCCGCCGCAGAGAAGACACAAGGCATGCGCCCACACATCCTATACCTGCAGAACTTCGACGGCCCAGTGCCCACGCGGCGCCACCACTCGCTGCACCACAAGTCCAGCCGTAACGTGCTTCTGGATCTGCCCGGCGGTGGCATAGAAGTCCACACGCCTTCCAAGCGCTACCTGAAAGCCGAATCCAGCGTTGTCAACCAAATCGAAAGCGTGTTGAGACTCGACAGCCAGACCTCGTCGCTTGGCCCACTGATCCGACGACACTTTGCTGAACTCACAGCCCAGCTCATTGCGCCCGTCAACCGCTACCTGGCCACCAGCAATGTCGTGACGCCCGGAGGACACCAGCGGTACGCCTCGTTCTCCATCCCCGACTTTCTCGCAAGTGTGAGTAAGCACGGTACGAGTGTGAAACTGAGGGGCCAAGCCCCGATGCAGAGACATAGGGCTAGGGATGCGCTGTATGCGGCGTTTTGTGCGAGTGAGAATTTCTACAGCTGGCTGGATATGAAGATCAGCTTGGAGAACGAGGCGAGTGCGGGGCTGTTGGGGGCGGCGCCGATGGGGGTCAAGGGTAGCTGATGAGGGCAGTGAAGGAGAACCGAGCTCTCATGTGTAATGTGTAATAGACGGTCGACGCATTGGAACAGGGCATACTGCTTATACACGGATGGCGTGGGAGGAGGTTGCCACTGGGTAGGATTGGCGACAGAGTACGGCAGCTCATGAGTGCACGTCTGCTCTATTCTTTGTATATGAGAGTCAAGTATCTACTATCCGTATATACCGCGAAAGATCGTGTTGCTAGACTTTGCAGACCATGCTCACGTGATAACTACTCATGCAACTTGCTGTTAAATGTGTTCAAACAAGAAAGCTCATACATAAACTCGACATCTCAGAACATACAACGTTGAAAGAAGAAACATGCAATTATTGTCTGCAGGGAAATATACAATCGTTCGCAAGAGCATCCACAACTAGACTAAGTCCTTCGAGACTACGATACTTCTCCTACCGCAGAGACACCTTCAAATCACATCTGCTCTCGTCCACTCATTACCTTGAAAAGTGGTCACACAACATGGCTAGCTTATCCAGTGGATTTCTGTCTCAACATCAGGCAACAGACAGTGTCAGTAACGGGAGGTATGTAATTATTGTCTTGGAGTATTCGCAAACAGACAGAGCGGATATAGACTATCTTTTCCGAAAGAACAGTGAGATGTTTGTGCAACAGATCGGGGAGGGTCTCTACAACAAATGCCGCTGCCCGAAACTAGAGCTCTGCCTCTAGCCATCTCTTATAGTTACCTATCTCTTTTGCTACTAGATTGCTTCTTTTGTGCCTGTAAAGTCTGCCTTGCACTTTGTAGCTGCCCCCGGAAGCTTACATTCATCTTGCACCAGGGACTGATGCGCGTCTCGGCATCGATGCCTTCCTGTCTACGCGCAATCCCAAAGTCTAGCAACTGATGCCGCTGCACGAAACTACAGTATAGCAGGGGTAAGTAATCAATGTAGCTCCTTAGATGTTCTTCTTCTAGCAGCACCTCTCTGCAAGTAATAGTAAAGCACCCTAGACAAAACAATAAAGTGCTAACATTAAAGCTAAAATATTTTGTATACCTCTATAGGTTGTGTTTCGTTGATAGCTAGCTGCTGCGAAGTCTTGTGACACATTGACTACTTAACCCTGACATACTGTAGAGTTCGCACATACCTGGGCTGCACCCGTGTAAAATACTTCGGATCAAAAACAGTACGCCGGTCAGGCAAGTCAGGGTCAAGTGTCAAAAGAGTGGTGTCGAGAATGTCACAATCCCGGAGCAAGTCCGAGACAGGAATGGTGTTCGCGGCGCTCCTGCCTCGAATTCGACATAGTGAAAAAAAAATCAATCAAGACTCCACCACAACCACCACCTCAACACGACAACGACAATAACGACGACGAGAGCAAAAGAACTGGACTTGCAGGGAATCGAACCCTGGACCACTCCCATGCTTTTACAGGCCTCAATTGAGTCTATAAGATGCTAAGGGAGTATTATACCACTAAACCACAAGCCCGGTGATGTTGTTTGATGAGGGTTGGACCGAGAGTAAAAGTTATGATTCAATAAACTAGAGTCGAACAGTGTGCTTCAGGTCGAGAACCAAGCCAAAAACATTAACAAAAAGGTATCCGTGGTAATCGCATATGTATGCCATTCTTTTACAGCCGTAATCAAAAGCACCGAGGAGAACGCCATACGTCAATCGTAGCAGCGTTCAGTATGTACATGTGGAACGTGCGTGCCGCCTGAGCACGCTTATCGGATGATGCCGTCCTTGCCTGGTGGCGGGCCGGGGGGCGGGGCGTACTGCTGGTTGCCGCCATATGTGGGCTGCGGGCTCTGCAGCTCGACACCATTCTGTTGGCCGTAGTAGCTCTGGTTTGCGCCGTTACCGTAGTAGCCGCCGTTGTTGTTGTTATGTGTTGCGGCCGAGTACGGAGGCGCAGGCGCGGTGTTGTAGTTGTTATTGTAGTAGGGCTGCGCGGTGTTACCGTTGGGTCGGGCGGCCCAACCAGTACCGTAGAATGGCTGGCGGCCAGCCTTACGCCTGCGACGGGCAGTTATGCAGCTATGTGATGTTAGTGCATGGTCGTGGTGGCGACGAGACAAGCTGCCTGCGGAGCAATGAACTTACCTGCAGAGGAAGAAGAGAAGTAAGAATCCAATGACAATGACCGCAAGGACGACCCATCGTACCCAGGTGTTCCAGGCAGACTGGCGATAGCATCGTCGCTGGTTGTAGCGGTCATAGTAACACCTGGTTTGGGCCATGGCGTTAGTGATTTGTGTGGATAAAGCTGCTAACAGCAATAATCGAGAGCGTGTTGATGATGTTGAAAGCATGATGGAGAAGAGACAAAGGTATCGAGTGGTGAGAGTGTGGAGGGTCGATGGATGACGTCTTCAGCTGCTGTTTGCAGAGCTGGGGTATGCAACCAGATTATAAGGGAACTACTCAAGGAAGCTACTCAAGCCTCAAGGAAACGCATAGCCACAGCAATAACGTACTCATCATAAAATTGCCGAGCGACTAAAGCAGGCATTGTCGTTCTGTCTTGGCCGTCTAGCCGGTCGAAACTAATGGTGTCTGGAGAGCTGTGAGAGGGTGTTGCAAGCTGGTGGGCCGCGGATAGGAACTCACAAGTGGGTATGACGAAGTCTAAATGCTTGAACAGGCCCGCCTCTCGAAGATCGGTGCGGCTGTGCACTTGGCGGGGAGCTAGTTCGGCTCTGACGGAGAGTGCTGCGACTGGCAATGACGACGCCAGGCGCACTGTGATTCGCTGTAGGCACAAGCTCGAGGTGAGCTGCTGATGTCCCAGCGGTGGCTTGGTCGCCCGACGTGGAGATTTCAAAGAGGTTGTGGACGACGGTCGAAGCTTCGGTTCTAGCCTGGAAATTTGGCACGAGACTCGTCGGTGAAAACTGGCCGGCTCAATATGGAATTCACAGTCGTCTGAGCTTCACTGCAAGCCTTCGTGGCCACCCTAGCTCCCTTCGCTGGGCGTGGACCGGTGAGTTGTCACCGAGACCGTGTTCGATGCGCATTCCTGAAGGTCTTTCGATTTTGAGATAGCATCACCTTCGGACCTCCAGGTCGTCGCAGACGACTTGGGAACATCTGGCGATGGTTACTTGACTCCGCTAGGTCATACGGACCCATGTACAGATCGTTGTACGCTGCAGCACCCCACTCATGTCTCTCTGGAGTCTGCAGCGCCGTTATGTACCCACAAGGCTGATGCACCGCCCGGACTCTGGAGCAGCTGCACCTCTACTCACGTCCCTCACTTATCCACAGCTGAACTCGCATCTCGCATCTATTTCCCCACATTCAGCTCGCTTCGTGAGGCCCTCCTCACAACATTTTATGGCAACACCATTCCAGCAGAGTACCGCGAAAGCAGGGATGCATCGCTGGCCCTTGACGGAGCAGCCAATGGGAACGCTGGAGACCTCAGTTCCCTGGGTACGCTAATGCAGGATGAGTTGTTCAATTGTAGATGGCATAGTTGCCCGCTGGTCCCACTGCCAGCGAAGCTGCTGAAATAATTCTGTTCCTCGCGGTTGCCCTTCTGCTCTCTTTCTCCCTCTTGTGTGTGTAATTGCGCCTCTTTGGTCGTGCTCATCGCCTGTTCCGTGCGCACATTGACCCAAATTCTGCATTTCCTCGCGAACACGGATACCCCGGCCCGCCGCGACTGTGCGACTGCAACACGAGATGAACGATTCCGTCAGCTTTCCACAACACCGGACTCTGGGTTTCCGTGCATCATGACTGCGCTGCTCAATGACGCAGCTCGTAGGCACGCGAAAACAGCATGAGCCTGGACGACTATCGCGAGCTTCGTGTCGACACGGTCACGAGCACGCGTAAGTCACGATTCGCAAGGGGCATGCACCTATCACCATGTGGAATGGAGGCAATGCTGGACCTGACCAAGGGAATCTGTAAAAGACAACAACCCTTTCGATACATATTCGAAACAACCGTGGACCAAACCGTCTGTCTCTTTATCACGCTCACTACATGGTCGCTCGAACCGCAAGAGAGGAAAATGCTACATGCTAAGTCGAATGGACTAGCGACTCTGCGTTGTCTCGATGGAACCGATATTCTCCAGAACAAACAAGAAAAAAGGCAACATATGCTGAAGCTTGGAAACACGGTGTGGCCATCGCTGGCCTGCAGTTTGACCTGCCTGTCTTGTCTTCCGTACACGTCGTAAGAATCATTAAGCATATCGTAAGAAGCTGACGGCCGTGACATCGTGTGAACATAGGCGCGTCCAAGTCGTAAAACCGATCAACCGAAGAGAAAAACATCGAAGCGAATGCGCCGCTGGGCACGTGGCAGGCAAATGCCTTGTCGGTCACGTTATCAGCTACTCCACTCCACCCACAAATTACTTGCTCGCTCGGGCAATCAGCCACTGGAGGACAGCGTCGAGGTTGGTCTCTTCTTTGGCGCTGATTCCATAACAGCTCACCTCTCGGTGCGACACTTCTTTGAGGTTGAGTGCCTCGATGAGCTCGTCCACCGAGAGCTTGCCTTGGATGTCAGACTTGTTGCCAAGAACGAGGAGCGGGATGCCTTCTAGGGCTGGCTTCTCTAGCAACAACTTCAGTTCTTCTCGCGCAACTGGCAGCGCCTCCCTGTCGGCCGAGTCGACAATGAATCTGGACGGGTAAGCGGAAGCGTTGGAGCACGTGCGACACGGCCTTACACTATGGCATTTACACCACGGCAATATCTCTCCCACATGGAGCGAAATCTAGGTTGACCTCCGAGGTCCCAACTGTAGTTCGTGGTCAGCAGACGGAGCGCGGACAGGGTGGTGTGTCTGCATCCCGGAAATGTGGCTCAAACCGGCTTGGTACCACAACAGGTGGACCTGCGTGACCAGGGCAGCACAGGAAGCACTCACCACTTCAAGGTTACATGGCCTTTCTGGACACGCTTCATGTTGAAGCCAACGGTAGGGATGGAGCTATGGCCATTAGCGCTTGGACCAACGGTGACGGAGCTCATGGTCGTGCAGAGCAGCGCAGTCGGCATGCTGCTGCTTGCACAACGTGGAGCGAGGATTGACGCACTCAACAGTAAACTCTCCTCCCTAGAAGCGTCTTGTCAGCCGGACATGTTCGCGCAGATATCGTGGATGCAGCGCGGCCACTTCCCGATCCGGAAGACACTCACCGCCAGAACCCGCAACAGCGAGGTCTTGCCAGCATTCTGCAACCCGATCATAGTGATGTCCATCTCGGTCGCCCTGCAGGGTGAGATAGTCAGCGTCCATCAAGGCTCCTCTCGGCAAGGCGTGTTGCTGCATGTTGGCGCTGGGGCAGGTAGGAATGGACAGATATCAAGGCGCTCCAGGCGTCAGGAAGTGCATGTGAGGCGCAAGGCAAGAGGCAAACGCACCAGAACAGGCGAAGCAGCCAGTCATAGATACGGCGGAAGATGCTCGCCATGATGGGAGCACGCGTGATGGCAGTGGCCTCGAGTCGCGGTCGTCGTCCCGCAAGAACAGGTGATGGAGGTGGATGCTGGTGCGAAAGCGTGGGAATCCTTGCTGCGGGGTCTATTCGGTAGTGATTGGCGATCACGCCGGCGTTGAGCAGCAGCAACCGTGAATTGACAGCAATACAACAGACATGCAAATCGTGCGGGCTGCAAAGTGACAGTGAAGAGCGAGGACTGCGCCGCCCTGGAGAAAAGGCCGCAGGTGGAGAGGTCGCTGTGCACGCAGTCGCCGTGGGCAGGTGACTTGCGCTGCAGCTGCAGCTAGCGCCCTCCCGCGGCTGCATCTGCGGCCGTGCGCAAAAAGTGCGTTCATAACTTTTTGCGGCCGGTCTGCACTCGCAAATCCCACACAGTCTCGCTGTGCCCGCCCACGCGCCGACCCTGCCAGCTGCAAGCGTCGCCCGCCATGGCTCCTGCTGCCGCGAAAAAGCAGCCACAGTGGTCGACCGACTTCGACACCAAGCGCCGCCAGCACCTGTTCCAGAATCCGCCCAAGGACAAGACGGCCTATCCGACGCTTGCTGCCGCCGTCGACCCCCACATCAACTCGTTCAACACCATCTTTGCGCCCGGCGGCCAGATTGAGGAGGGCATCAAGGACATTGGCATCAAGAGCTTCACCGACGGCGACCCATACGCCCAGCCCGAGGAGATTGGCCGCCGCAACCGCCTCTCGGTGCGCGTGCAGGATGTCTTCCTCGACAAGGCCGTGCTGCCGCCCTCCAACAAGGTCGCCCTGAAGAACCGCAACATCCTGCCTGCAGAATGCCGGGAGCGCCACGCCACCTACCGCGGCAAGCTGCGCGCTCGCCTGGAGTACAGAGTGAACAACGAGGATTGGCAGGAGGAGGTCTGCGATCTCGGGCATGTGCCCATCATGCTGAGGGTGAGACCGTCCCCACTGCCGGGGTGCGCACGCGTACAGCAGCACAGAAGCTAACTCGTGACAGTCCAACCGGTGTCACCTCGAGAACATGAGCCCGGACCAGCTCGTCAAGGCCAAGGAGGAGACAGAGGAGCTGGGAGGCTACTTCATCGTCAACGGCATTGAGAAGATCATCCGCATGCTGCAAGTAAACAGGCGCAACTATCCCATGGCCATCAAGCGAGGCGCCTTCACCAACCGTGGCCCTGGCTACACACAATACGGCATTCAGCTTCGCTCGATACGCACCGATCAGTCCTCGCAAACGAACGCGCTACACTACCTCAGCGACGGAAACGTCAACTTTCGCTTCTCTTGGCGGAAAGCTGAGTACCTGGTACCTGTCATGATGGTCATGAAGGCGTTGGTGGAAACGAACGACCGGGACATTTTTGAGGGCATCGTTGGCGCAGCTGGCTCGAAGGGGCTGGCGGAGAAGCAGTTTGTCACGGATAGAGTGGAGCTGCTGCTCCGCACATACAAGGTCTACGGGCTACACTCGCAGGCCAAGACCAGAGCATACCTGGGATCCAAGTTCAAGGTCGTACTGCAGCTTCCAGATGACGCCAGCGACGATGAGGCTGGTGTCGAATTTCTGCGAAAAATCGTGCTGCCCCACCTTGGAGCCTACAACGTCACTCCGGCGCAGAACGCCGACAAGTTTCAGATGCTCCTCTTCATGGTCCGCAAACTCTACTCCTTGGTAGAAGGCGAATGTTCAGTCGACAACCCTGATACCGTCCAGAACCAGGAAGTCCTGCTCGGAGGTCAGCTCTATGGAATGGTCATCAAGGAGAGATTAGACGAATGGCTGAACTCATTCCGACCTGTCCTGCAGGACTGGGGTCGCCGAAGCGAGTGGAAGTCGTTCACGTCGCCCGAGTTCAAGAAGGAATTTGTACCAAGAGTTCTGAAGCGCACAACCATGGATGTTGGGCGCGCCATGGAGTACTTCCTCTCCACTGGTAATCTTGTCAGTCCTACTGGTCTTGACCTGCAGCAGACGGCCGGTTTCGTCGTTGTGGCTGAGAAGATCAACTTCTACCGTTTCATCAGTCATTTCAGGATGGTGCACAGAGGTGCTTTCTTCGCCCAACTCAAAACCACTACTGTACGAAAGCTGCTGCCGGAAAGTTGGGGCTTCATGTGTCCCGTCCACACGCCTGACGGTTCTCCATGTGGACTGCTAAACCACTTTGCACACAAGTGTAAATTGGCTACACAGAACGTTGATGTCTCAGCCATTCCCAAGCTTGTGGCGCAACTAGGCGTATCAAGCAAATCCTCCGCATCACTCGAGTCAAGCGTTGTTGTACAGCTTGACGGTCGCGTCTTGGGTTTCTGCTCACCAAAGCAAGCCAAGGCCATCGCAGACACACTGCGATACTGGAAGGTTGAGGGCACGCACGATGTCCCGTTGGAGCTTGAGATTGGCTACGTTCCCACCTCCAACAGCGGCCAGTACCCAGGTATTTACATGTTCTCACAGGTGGCACGGATGTACCGACCTGTCAAGTATCTGCCTCTGGGCAAGCTAGACTACGTTGGATCCTTCGAGCAGCCATACATGTCGATCGCCTGCACAGATCCCGAGATTGTGTCTGGCGACTCCACTCATGTCGAGTTCGATCCAACCAACATCTTCTCAATTATCGCTAACATGACGCCGTTCTCCGATTTCAACCAGTCGCCGAGAAACATGTACCAAACACAGATGGGTAAGCAGTCGATGGGTACTCCTGGAACCGCCTTGCGGTACCGCACAGACAATAAGACCTACCGCCTCCAGACAGGTCAGACGCCTATCGTGCGACCACCTCTCCACAACGAGTACGGGTTTGATAATTTCCCGAACGGCACCAACGCCGTTGTGGCAGTCATCTCCTACACTGGTTACGACATGGACGACGCTATGATTCTGAACAAGTCTTCCCACGAGCGCGGTTTCGGCCACGGTACTATCTACAAGACCAAAATCTGTGATCTTGAAGAGGGTGGACGCCGGAACAGGTCTGGAAAGACCGTGTCCAAGCTCTTTGGTTTTGCTCCGGAGGGGCTTAAGAAGGCGTCCTACCTGGACACACTAGACGAAGATGGTTTCCCACGTGTTGGAACGCTTCTGCGTCACGGCGACGTTATCGCAGCATGGCATACAGTTTCGTACGACCCTGCCACCGATGACTACATCAACCGCGACGCGAACACCCAGTTCTTCAAGTACAAGGAGGATGAACTTGCTTTCGTCGAGGAGGTGCGCATCATCGGCTCTGAAGACGGCACGCAGCCTTGCCAGAAGATTAGCGTCAAGCTCCGTGTTCCCCGTTCACCCATCATCGGTGACAAGTTCTCATCCCGTCACGGACAGAAGGGTGTCTGCTCGCAGAAATGGCCCTCAATCGACATGCCCTTCTCTGAATCTGGTATCCAGCCCGACGTCATCATCAACCCTCACGCCTTCCCGTCGCGAATGACAATCGGTATGTTCGTTGAATCCCTCGCCGGCAAGGCAGGTGCCATGCACGGCATCGCGCAGGACTCGACACCCTTCCGCTTCGACGAGCAGAACACGGCCGTCGACTTCTTCGGCCACCAGCTCATGAAGGCCGGCTACAACTACTACGGCAACGAGCCTATGTACTCGGGCATCACTGGTCAGGAACTCGCCGCCGACATCTACATCGGCGTCGTCTACTACCAGCGTCTGCGTCACATGGTCAACGATAAGTACCAAGTCCGTACCACGGGTCCCATCAACTCCATTACCGGCCAGCCCATCAAGGGTAGGAAGAAGGGTGGAGGTATCCGTGTTGGTGAGATGGAGCGCGACGCGCTGATTGCCCACGGAACCGCTTTCCTCCTGCAGGATCGTCTGATGAACTGCTCCGACTACACCAAGGCCGCCGTGTGCCGCACCTGCGGCAGTTTCCTGTCGACTGCACCCACGGTTAGCGAGTACTCGCGCAAGAAGGATGCGGGAGGCAGGAACTTGACCATTCGCTGCAGGAGGTGTGCAAAGGTCGCAGATGGACTTGAGAGCAAGGGTGATACCTGGACGGATGGGCAGGGCATTCGCTTCAGCGGTGGCGACGATGTTGCGACGGTTGCTGTGCCTGGTGTGTTGAAGTACCTTGACGTCGAGCTGGCAAGTATGGGCGTCAGGCTCAAGTTTAACGTCTCGCCTTAGGATTGTGGACTTTTGGATTGGCAGCATGTTGGAAAGGATCTGTGTAGGCATTACTTGGCGTTCAGGACTGTAAAAGTTACCAGGCTCTTTAGCAGCATCAGCGGAGTTTTAGATCGACGAATCCACCCATTGCAAAACCAACACTCGCCTTATCGACATGGATCTGCTTGATCAATATGGGTCCTTGGGTCCTTTAATCCGGTGTACATGCCGTACCACAACCTTCACTCCCTCTTCACTCCCTAGCCTCCTGATCTCCTTCCGCACACCAAGCGCAATCATCTCAGCAATGGTAACACTTCGATGCGTCCCCGCAGTACAGCACACAGCAATGCCCGTCGCACGCCCACCCTGCTTTATGAATCTGACCAACTCCTCCACCGCATGAGCGATCTCCCTCCGCGCCCCAGCGTCCCTCAGAACTTCATCTTGCACAATCGCCGCGACACCCGAGTAATTCTCACATATACGCGTTGGCGGAGCAAGGAAGCTCCGCGCATCGATGGTGTACCGGAGCGGGATGTTGTGTGGTAGATGTTCATTCAGCAGAGCAGCAAATGCACGAGTGGTCGGGGTACGATCTGTGGAGAAGGTGAGCAGATATATCGTGGGCACCGCAGCAGGGTTCTTGAGAATCGAGCGTGGAAGTGGTGCTGCCGTGGATTCGCGGATGTGGTGCATGGTGGGTGAGTGCTTCGAGAGAACGAGTCGTGCTAAGCGTTCGTTCGAGACTTTGTCTTGGGGATAAGGTAGAAGAGTCGGTAGTGTGCTGCGTGTGTAGGACATTCCGCTCTGTTTGTTTCCGACGCATTCGATGGTCGTATAGCGCGGTTCAGGTACAGTCGTTAGGGCAGTGCTTGTTCTTTCGATTGTTTTTCTGCCTTTGTCGTCGACGTATTCGATAGTACGAGGGGAACTCGAAGTCGGCAGAAGTGGTAGATCGTAGTGTAAATACGGATCACTGTGCCTCAATGGTGAGTCTGTAGAGTGAGAGGTATGTGGACAGACATCGTAGATTGTCAAGCAAGCAGGCGCGCCGCTAGGGCCGGAGAGTGTTGTGTGTAGCTGTCCGGGTACAGCACTAATGTATGACGAATGCATAGAGGTTGACATTGAGGGACGTATGTGCACACCGAAGCACATGAACTTTGCAAAGCAGGAAGTAGATCGTGGTCTGTTTATGCGTGGCCTCCGAAGTGTTACCAAAGCCAACGGATTCAACCGACCCTCTTGGCTCCGGTGAGGATGACTGAATATCAAACGGGGCGCAGGAAGATGAACAGGGAGCCTCGAGCGAGCCTTCCAGCACTAAGGATGACAAGGTGAGGTGCATGAGAGACAAGTAGCATCCGAGGTTAGCGCTGCCCATTGACCAGTGCTGGTCAAGTGAGCGACAAACGGCGATTGTTTGGACGTGCCTGCATTTCTCCGGATCCGCGGAAGAAGGTGACTATCGCTCTGTCCATGTCGGCACGCCATGGGGGCAAGGGTGGTGCGTACTGATGAGATTCAAGAAAGAGCGTTCTACCCAAAATTGCCTGAGGCGAATTGATCGGTCATTCGTTCTTGCTACCTCAATCAGCCCCGAATTGCGTGCTCAACACATCAACATTGCGTAGCATTTACTCTCACAATTCAAGGATGCGGTCAAGCTTGAACATTAGATCGTTTCGCATTTTGTTGTTGAGCGCCCAGGCTCACTACTTCTATCATCCTCATAATGCTGCCACAACTCGCAACTCTAACCATAAGCAATGCTAAGACTCAAAATCCATCGTTGTCTAACCGACCAACCTCAGGCCACTCGCTGGGGCGCCAATCTGGCAGACCTCGCAAATCTTGCACACAGTCCCCTTGTATCTGCCGTGGTACTTGGAGCCGTCGTAGGGACAAGCAACAGAGGGGCTGCCACCGTAAATGGGCGTGTGGCTGGCAGCACAGATCTCAAGGTCGGCAAATTGGTCGAAGTCGATTTCGATGCCGTCGGCGGGGTTCCTCTCAGCAACGGTCTTTACACGCTTGGCAGACTCCTTCATCTTCGCGTTATTGGTCCTGTCAAGCAAAGTATTCGCGAAGTTGAGCGCGGTGTTGAGCTGCTTGTTCTTGTGGGCAAAGTTCATGGCCGCGGAAAGAGGAAGAGACCTGTGAGCTCCCTCGAGCTCAGGCACAGTGAAGTAGGCAGACAGCTCCAGAGCACGTTTCTTGTCCTCGTCAGAAAGGGCTGAGATGTCGGTGGCACCCTTGGTGAGTGCGCGGCGCTCAAGCTCGATAGACATAGCAAGAGTGTATTGCGCTGCGGTGTGGATGGCCTTCTTGGCCTGGACAAATATTAGCATACTCAAGTTGATAACCTGATTGTTAGACATACCTCAGTCAGCTCTGCTTGCGATGCTACGACATTGACGATCATCAGGTGCAGTAACCTCTTGAAAGCAGCGACACCATCCGGAAGCTGATTCTTGAGCAGTGCTTGCTTGCCGGCAGCCAAGTCGGCAGAGAGTGTGGACTCAAGGTCTCGCGGAATGATGGGTAGGATCTTTCGTGAGTCTGTCTCGGTGACTGTTCTCCGTACGTAGTTGACCAGAGAGGGCATGTTTGGTGTAGCGGGAAGGAAGGTTCGTGTCGCTTGGTAAATCTCCTGGAAGCGGTCTTCCAGAGGTGCAAAGTTGACAGCACCGACTTGCCTGTTCAACAATTGCATAGCAGTCTCGAAAGAGCCCGCTGCAACGTGGTCTGCTGGCAGCGGCGAGTTGCGCGCCCACAGGTCAGCCTCACTGCTGCCAGCCCCTGTGTCGGCACCCTCAACCTCGACGAAGTCGTCTTCAGCCTCTGCATCACCATCATCTCCCATGTCCCAACCGCCGACATCCTCATCGTCATCATCACCACCAAGCTCAGCACTTGCACCGGCGGGTTCTGAATCACCGAGCAAATCCTCGTCACCGTATCCGTTGGCGGCTGGCTCCTCGTCACCAACGCCCTCAATCTCGCCCGCGAGGGCTTTCTCGAAGACGCTCGAAGATGCTGCGCGTGTGGGCCAGTTCGCTTTGAAGGTCGGAACAACCGGCCTTGATGGCTCGAGAGGGGTACCTATCGCTGGTACGCTGATCTGGTCTTCTGTGATGCCAGCTGCTTCGAGAATCGACTGCGCTTGCTCATCAAGCCCGTGAGCCTTTGCAGTAGCATAGGCCAACGGATACAAGTCAATCTCCTGGAACATCTCAATCCTGTTCTGAACATCGCCCAGATAGAGCGCGTTCTGGAAGCGCGCGGTCATATCACCACGGTGTTCGGCGATCTTCGCCATACGCTTCAACTTGTCTTGATCACCTGTCGACAGATACAAGAACGACAGCTTATCAAAGTTCCGCAGCTTCTGGTAAGTCATCTCGACTATTTGATGGTTACCATGTGCGAGAGCCTCCGTGCTAAGTCGCTGCCAGAGCTTAGGGCGGTCAAGCTGTTTCGCCATTTCTACAGCGACCTCCAGGTTGCCACATTCGATGGCCAGTTCAAATCGTGTTTGAGGATCCTGGACGAACTGAAGCGCAATCTCCGGGTAACCCTTCTTCTGCAGGTACGAGATGATGCTCTGACCGACAAGACTGGAGGTCTTGATGATGTTAAGCATTTCATCGTAGTTGCGCTTGACAAGAGCGAGCTTGAAACGGTACTCGGTGGGATCGATTTGAAGAATCTTGGGCTTCGCGGCCCTGTCCAGGCAGTAGATGTTGCGGCCCTTGACCCTTACAAGGTAAACCGTGTGCTCCAAAGTTCGAACAATACCGTTGTCGCCATTCATCAAGCTGTACTTGATGTGGTTCAAGGTCGAGTACAGGAGGACGCCGGTATCGTCCCAGGTAGCGCTCTTGATTCGAATGGTCTCGTGCAGTGTGCTGACCTGGTCGAGGTTCTTGGTGGCAATGGTGACATTGTGCTTGCTTAGAAGAGCTACGTGAAGCCCATCTGAAGACCAGACGACATACTTGACGCCAGCCACGGCAAGTTCTGCCAGGTTCTTCTTCGCTTGAATGTCGTACAATATGACCGTGGTAGGTGTGATGAGGAGCAAGTTGCCAGTGCCGCCAAAGTAGATGTCGGTGGTGCCATGCGGAGGCTTGATCGTCTTTGTGGTCGAGTTGGTAAGGTCCTTGATGTCGATCTGCTGATTAGCTTGGTGGAAGACCGCGAACCTGTTCCTCGCCACAAAGACGGCCGAGTTTCCGGAACCGCGCTTTGTATCGGTTGGCTCCACGGCTCCAGATGCGTCGCGTGGGAGGCTGATCAGCTCATATGTGCCGCTATCCGCAGGCGAGGTGACCAAAATCGAGCGCTCAGCAGGGTTGTACGAAACAGTCCGTGGGGGTGTCCACGGGCTACCGAGCTTCTTCAAAGAAAGCATGGAAGGAGACTCGAGGTTCTTCTGGAAGTCGTACGACCGGACGTGCTTCTCCTTGGTGATGTAGAAGAGGTTGTTCTGGTAGACGGCAGACGCAGGACGCTCCCGCTCCAGCTTGAAGACCATGACACCGTTGTCGTGACCAGCAGCGAAAAGGTTGATTTCCGGATGCGCTGCAATAACCCAGAAGCGGTCGTTCTCCCTCTTGAAAGACTGTACGGATGTCCTCCTGTTGAGATCCCATACCCGGATAGTCTTGTCCTCGCCCACCGACAGAATCAGGTCCTGGTGTGGGTGGAACAAACACGCTGACGCGTTCTGGAAATGCCCTCTGCAAGTGTCGACTTCCCAGGCCTTTGTCTCCGACATCCTCCACAGTTTAACAAGGCGATCGTCACCAGCGGAAACGATCAATGGCAGTGTAGGGTGGAAGGCGACCCAGTTCACACCTCGGTCGTGGCCCTCAAGAACAAACTTGACAACTGCATCCGTGTTTCCAAACATGTCTGCCTGGTTCTGGTTCGAGCGAGCCATCTGGTCCTCGAAGTTCATGGACGTCGGCGCGGAGTGCTTCTTCCTCAGCCCAGAGATATCCCAGACGCGAACAGACTGATCGAGCGAAGCGGAGACGACGAGGTCGTCCTTCGGGTGGAACTGCGCACACATTGTGTAGTGGTTGTGGCCAGTCATGGTGCAGACTTGGACAGGTTAGGTGCGTGCGAGGACTGGTCGAGCGAGGATGACTTACTAAGAGAGCCTACACATGTTAGTCGCTGGTATGCAAAGAGAGGCGGTATTACTTACGGTTCTGCCAGTTCCAGATGCGGATGGTCTCTGCGTACTGTCAGCGCGTCCTCGTCGGCGGTGCGATGTGCGCTTACGGTCGTCTGAACTACTGATGATCCAAGGTAGCTCGTGGTGGAAGAAGACGGTTCGGACATAGTCCAGATGGCCGCTCAGTGTGAACAGACACCGTCTGGTCTGATACGACCAAACCTTGATCTTGTAGTCATCACCACCAGATACGAATCTGTGTCGTCTCAGTATGCCGCGCAATCGCATTCAGCGTCCGTAATGCTCACAATGGCTGCGTCTTGTGGAAGTCAACGCCGCGAACCGGCCCGTCGTGCTCTTCGAAGCGGTCGATCAGGGTGCCCATGCGGTAGTCCCATAGCTGGATGGTGGAGGAGTGCAGCGACACTAGGATCCAGGGTCTAGGGCGGTCAGCGCAGGGAGCGGCATCAGGAGCGCATTGGGTACCTCTTGGGGTGGAAGGCGATGCCCTTGGCCCGCGAGGACTTGGACTCGAACTGCGCTGGTCAGCGATGTGCAGGCGCGCATGCCGGAGCAGCGGCGTACCTTGGTCAACATGCTCGGGGAGGACGCCATGGTGGAATATAGGGCGAAGCCGCAGCTTCAGTGGCACGCGGAGCGGCTTCAATGCAAGAGACGGCGGTAGTGGGGGTGGAGAGCGTGCAATCAACAAAAATGAAACACGGTGTTGCGAATGGGTGACGCTCTGCTGCCTCCGCCGCAAGCTGCTCTGGCCAGAGGTTCAATCTGTCCACGCAACGGAATACCAAAGCGTGCACAGGCCAGCTCGCAACACCAAGGACCGCCCCCACCAGGGAGCTGCGACACGTGACGTGCGCGGCCGTCTTGAGACTGAACTCGTCTACAGGCGAATCACCGTTGGCTGGACTCACTTCAGGGCTAGTGGACATCAAGACGCGTGCTTTACCCAAGCAGAGCCGCATCGCCGCATCGCCGCGAGGCCCAATTTCTGCGCCGCTGCGTGCGCTCGGTTGAATGTCTGCATGCCGTGCGAGCGTATGCATGTCTGCCCCGCCAATGCTCTCCCGCTGCCAGCTGGCCAGCACTACCCAGAGAACCATGCGCGCCGCAATACTGACGGCTGTCGTCATTCGCTGGGCCGGTTGGGCTCGACGCAAGGTGAGATTGTGCGCAGCCTGAGGAGAGCTAATTGCTCGTGAACACATATCGACGGCACCAGGTAGAGTCATGGTAGCGAAGCACGTCTGCATGCAGGCCCGCCTGCGAAGAACCGCGGCCGAGCAGCTCATTGCGACGCAGGTGATAATTCGCGAAGTCCCGCACAATCCCAGGCTCTAGGGAATTGTGACCACCCCAGGCCCGCCTCCTCCAATCCTCTTTTTTTCCTCCACTGCCTCGTTCAACCACCGCCACCGCACACATTTCGTTTCCTTACTGGCCTGCGCTCTGTGGCTGCCACTGTCTGCGAGCTACCCGTCCTGCATTGCTGCCTGTAGTACTCTCGATTCTTCCTGCACGATAAGCAGGGTCTGACCTGTTACGCTCTCCACCAGTCCGTCTGCAAGTCGCCGCTCAATCCCTCGGCCACCTTCTCCCGCACCTCCTCCAGAATGACACTGTCCGCACAGTCCATCTCCCGAATCCAGAAACCAAGACACATCCGTCGGCCTTGCATACCATAGTGTCAGCAACCTTCCAGTGAGAACATCGTTGATACGTACGCTGTCGCAATTGGCCCGCCAGCCTGACGCAACCACCGTCACCGGTGAACAGCACCAATTACCCCAGCCCACATGGCGACCCACGAACACCCGCCAAACTTCGAGATGCTTCATGGTTGCCCCACGCCGCCGCCCATTGCGTCGAGCATGTATGGTCCGCCTCGCTGTCTGTCTCAAGCGAATCAAATACCGCCAATGTCCAAGCGTATGGGCGCTTCCAAACCGCTACACACTCCGCCGATGGAGTTCACGCCTATCGGACAGAACCAGTTTCGCTTCACCCGGGCGCAATCGATCGAGCGCTCGCGGCCTTCCAGTGTCTCGGGCCACGCATATGCCGGCACAACGCCCCAGGAAAGCGAATATGACGAGAGCTCGGAGGAGGAAAGCGAAGAAGAGGATGAACGGCCTCGACGTCGGGTAGAGGACGCTGAGTTTGAACTCGAGGAGGTGGACAGCGACGATGAAGACGATGAAGACATAGAAGTCGTAAAGCCGGACCATTGCGAGGACGCCAAGAGCGACAAGAGCGTTGTTGCACTAGATGACAACGGGGTCATGGACCGCCTGAAGGGACTCCACGTTTCGGAGAGCTCGACGGACGACGAGGTACAGGAGCTCATCTATTTGCCTAAGAAGAAGAGGTGGAGTGCAAAGCTCTTCAAGCGCACCCACAGCCAGAGCGTCGAAGGCGAGAGCAGTTATTCTGACGATGATATTCAAGACGACAATAAGCCGGCGGCACGTCGTCTGCGCCGTAAGCTGCGAGGGCCTGGGCCTTGGGATAGGCGTGGCTCGCTCATCTTCGAAGACAAGGGTTTCCCGAATACTAACAACATCGAGGAAGTAGAGGAGCCGGAAGAGGGAGTAGTCAAGCACACAAAAGGCCCACCATCAATCCCTAGCGATGACGCATTCACGCTAGACGAGCTCCCATTTTGGGGAGGAGCTTACGAGACCATGGATGTTGGACATGATTCATAATGGCATGTTTTAAAACGCATGGGCGGTATATGTCAGTTTGCTTGCGGACTAGAATGTTTGCCTGTTTGTTTGTTGTTTCTTAGCGTAGCGATTACCCCTTTCGTAACATCCTGTGTACTTGCTCTTTCTTGCTCTTCCTCTTTTCAATCACATGGCTTGGTGCAGTGCATCGATGTCGGATATGCAGGCTTCCGAGAGAAGGCTTGGGCAAGAGGCTTTAGTTGGGGTTTTGTGAATTTGTCCTAGGCATCTATTTCTAGCCTGCTGACAAGCCTTGGAGCTAAGCCCCACTGGTAGCCCCAGTGCGGGTTAAGGCTGAGGCTGAGTGCCCAAGCTTCAACACCAACATCGCGTCTCCAACACGGATTTTACAAAGCAACCTAATTATACGCTGCGATATCCAGCACGTGTACCTGTACCTGAATCAGATACTGACACAACTGTGAGCACATGCTGATGCCTACGTCGTCATATGAGCAAGTCTTGAGTGTACGCAGGCGGAAGCGTAATCTGCTGGCTAGTTACAAGCTGAGAGCTCTCATCCAGCTTCGGAATTTACCGCAGCGAATGTTTCCACGCGTGGTTAACATCGATAATGTAGCGTGGATGTCTTGCGGCTACCAGCTCTCCCGCTACAACCCAGCTTGCGCCACGCTCCGCCCATCAGCAAGCGCTCTGATGAGTGGCTGGCGAGGCAAACACCCAGAAATGTTATTCGTCAGAACCAATCGCTTACCACACAGTCAGTGCTCTCTAACCAAATCTCACCCGTCACTAGATTTGGCACATCCTTTGATAGATGCGGAGCTCCACGCTGTACCACACAGCCCTGCGCGATCAGCATCGTTCGGATAGTCACCATCCGTCTTGAACGCCATCAGCAAACAACGCTGGTGGCTTGAAATGTATTTGTATAAAGATGTCTTGAGGGAACTGCATAACGTTCATCATCACCATCTTCACAACAGCAACTTGACTTAAGTACCAACTTGACTCTTCTAATACCCCATCATATAACCATCTTCGTACTTTTCACACCAATTCCGTCATTATGATCAACATTACGAAGCTCACCATTGTGGCCCTCGCTGCTTTCGGCTCAGTCCAGGCCCTGCCTCAAAGCATCCCCTCAAGTACCTCCACTCCAGCAGCTCCAGCAGCCACGGCACCCGCAAGCGACCAAGCCCAACTCTTCCGTGACCTGTTCACCGCACCCACTGCGATCAAGCGCTTCCAGCGCCTGCTGACCCAAGGCTCAACCCTCCTAACCGGCGATGCCCTCCGACAACTCACTGTCTTCTCCTTCAACAACGCCACACCCGCCGCCGGCGCAAAAGGCGGTGCAACCAGAGCCGCCAACATTGAAACATTCCCCATCCTCACCGGCCTCGGGATAAGCACTACCCTCGGCTTCCTCGAGCCCTGCGGCATCAACACGCCCCACGTGCACCCGCGCGCCACCGAGTTCCTCACCCTCGTCGACGGCGCCGGCCTGAAATTCGGCTACGTGCTGGAGAACGGGCTGGTGGGCGCCGGCCAGAACCCCGAGATTGCAGGCACCCTGAACAAGTTCGAGGGCACCGTGTTCCCGCAGGGCAGCATCCACTTCCAGTTCAACGACAACTGCGACGCTGCTACCTTTGTCGCCAGCCTCAACAGCGAGGACCCCGGTACGAGCCAGGTGGCGCAGAATTTCTTCGCGCTGAACAGTGGCGTGGTCAATGCTACGCTCGGGTTCCCCAAGACAATTGACGGCAAGAACATCGAGGAGTTCAGGAAGCTGATTCCGGCGAACTTGGCGCAGGATGTTGATGTCTGCCTGAAGAGGTGTAACAAGTATTAAGTGACTGGTAGAAAGGTGTCTTTATAGTATAATGGTGCGGAGGGGGGACTTTGGGTTTACATGGCGACGGCGTTGGGGTTGCATATCTACTTCGTGGTTACTCTTGAATAGTGTTTTGTACATGTGTTGAGCTTACATACTTTTTAACATGTATTTATCTTACGAATAAGTGACTGGTTTGAAGTGTGATGTAGGTGTTGCTTCGATCGAGATCGTGTCCTGCAAACTCAGAGAATCAACGTGTCTCTCAGGATCACTGAGATGAGAATGCTTAAGGGGAGTCTCAGTAGCTCGAGCGATCCGAGATCGCACATCGCCCACATCTTCAGGGGTTGAACACACCTCCTGAAATCTGTGGAAGACTGGACAGATTTGCTAGGCTAAAGGGGTCGTAAAAGTCCCGGCAAGAGAAGCATCCTTATGTGAACAGGAAATCGAGATTGGTATATGTAGCTACTGACAAACTCCGAACGCCAGGTGCTGTGAGAACAACTCGTGCAACATCTCCTTTCACTCCAACGCGCGCTCCGTAATAAGAACTTTGCTTGCATCGATCGATGCGCAATCTACGTTTTCAAACATATTACGCAGCCGCTCGCTGAGCGTTGCGGCCAGCTCTTGCGGGCGCGCGAACAGCACCAGGCCTGTTCAGAGTGTACTTGGCGAACGACCTTGCCAGAGCCTTCTTCGCGCTAACCTTCTGTGAGCCGACGAACGAGTCCACCGTGACGGCTATGGCCCGGTCAATGTCCTGCGATGAGCAGTAGTCTGAGAGACGCATCTTGCAGAAAGATTCTGCGATACGCAGGATGGCTTCAAGGTGACGGACCTAGGCATGTAAGTATGTGTGTAACAGAATGAGAACTTGGTTTGCTTACGGTGATGGGGTATGCTCCAGTGGCCATTGACTCACGGCGCATATCAGCGAACAGGCGGGCAACCTTGTCCTGGTCGATCTGATAGAGCTTGGGTCTGCACTTCTCACGAGCATAAAGAATGTACTTCCTCAGCAGCTCCTGTGGAATCTCACCCTCCTTGCGGGCAGTCTCTATATCGTCAACCTCCATACCCTCAGCGTTCTCGCCTTCCTGTGTTGTCTTAGCCTTGTCCGAGTAACCGTATGCAGAGTTGACAAGAGGATGGGCACGACCGTGGGAGTTGACAACAAATTTTGCGAGTCGCTCATCTTCCTTGGGATCGACTGTGTCGCGCACAACACATAGAATGTCGAAACGGGATAAGATGGGCTCGGTCAATTCGACGTTCTGGGAGAAGGGGATGGTGGAATTGTAGCGTCCGCCAATGGGATTAGCAGCTGCAACGATGGCGCAACGGGCTTGAAGGGTTGTGACGATACCAGCCTTGGAGATGGAGATGGTCTGCTGTTCCATGGCTTCGTGAATGGATGTTCGATCCTGGTCATTCATTTTGTCGAACTCGTCAATGAGACATGTACCCTTATCGGCAAGCACCAATGCACCTCCCTCCAGAGTCCACTCGCTAGTCATTGGGTCGCGGCGAACTGAGGCAGTCAAACCGACAGCGGAAGCTCCCTGGCCAGTGGCAAAGACGGCACGATGAGCAGTCTTCTCGACGTACTTCAGTACTTGAGACTTGGCTGTACCTGGGTCTCCTAGGAGTAACACGTTGATGTCGCCACGAATGGAATGACGTCCAGCAGCCTCTTTGCTGACACCACCGAATAAAGATAGCGCAACAGCGGTCTTGACATCGATGTGGCCGTAAATACTGGGCGCGATCGAGTTGATAATCTTATCAACAATTTTAGGATCCTTAGCCAATTGTCGGATCTCGCGCTCATCCTCGTCTGTAAGTCGGAAACCAGCCAGCTGGTCGTGAGACTTGACTACGTAGTTTGCCTCCAGAATTGTGGCAAAGACCGGGAACCCGTTCTTGTTGTTGAGAGCGGCATCGTAGTTATTGCGGTAGATGCCAGTGACTTCAATCTCTTCGCCAGGCTTTGCAGAGTCAATCAGATCCCAAAGCAAGATGACCTCGCGGTGACGAGGCAGGCGACCAGCAGGGACGGTGCCTGGCGATTCTTGCAATGTGAGCTTCTGGTAGTTGCGGTATACTGTTCGTTCCGAATTAACTGTGAAAGGCCCACGAGACTGGCACTCTTGACAGAACGAAATCTTGACCTCGACGTTCGAATCTTGATGGAAGGGACCCAGCGTTGTGCCGCACTTTGTGCAGTCAAACTTAACGTACTTGAGCTGGGGAAAGACTCCGCTGCGGCGAGTGACAACTCCACTGACGCGGACCAAGCTGTTCAGATGAGACTGACGAAGCTGACGCAGAGTGTACTGAACAGGTACGTCTGTGATTCGGACGTGGATTTCGTTGTGAATACGCTCGTAATCGGGGTAATGGAGTAGCACAACTTCCATGGACACCTGATCGAAGATCTTCAGCATCTCGGTCGGGGTGTTTGCAAGCCAGTATGCAAGTGTAGCCTTGGACTCGGCAAGGTGATCGAACGACACTTCAAGCGATTCGGCGTTGACCTCGCCAAGTGTGCGGATGCGCGTGCCGTACACTGATGTCCCGTTCTCGTCCGTGTATTCTGTCAGAAAGTTCTTGAACTCCCGCGCGATAGTACGAGCGACCTGTGGTTGAGCCACCCAATCAGTCAGGTTATTGGCTTTAACGTCTGTCAAGGCCTCCAGGGTGAGCTCCTCGTTCATGACATCATCGCCCATATCCATATCATCCTGATCTTCGTCATATCGATGTCTCCGTACACGGCGGCGGCCCTGACCCATGAGGTCGGCCAAGCCGTCTTCATCATCATCTGGCAAGAAAGCGGCTGGCATACGGCGTCTAGCTTCCCGATCACGGGCATTGAGACGTCTCTCAAGCTCTCGCCTTTGATCAAGGGTAAGTTCGTCGTATTGGCCTTCGTCGTCTATGCCGTCGCCCTCGTACGCGTCGTTCTCGCGCCTGCTGTAATCGTTCTCGAAGTCGTCTGCGAAAAGGTCGATGCCCTCAGCTTCTTCGGCCTCCTCGTCCAAGTCGTCAACATCGCGGATGATGTCATCGTCGTCAAGCATGTCCGCATCGTCGTCTTGAGGTAGCATTGGCGGCGAGGAAGCCATCGCTGTCTGTAGTCAGATGTCTGCTAGTCTCTTTCTATTGAGACCACTTACGGCTTGAAGGGGGAAGCGCTCCAGAAGATGAAAGCCCGTCATCGCGAGAGCGTTTGTTGTTACTTCTACCGGGGCCTGCCCCACGGTTCGCGGAAGACATGTTGGAGCGCAAAGGAGAGCTAAGTCGTCGGTCAGTGGTTCAACAGGCGACGATGAGGGGGAGGGGCTCCTGCAATGTATACAACTGGTGGTAGATACGTACCTCATATTAAGTCAATGCACGAACAGATATCGTGTACAAGGATACACGGGCACAAAAACAGGTCGTGAGTCGGTGGGGTGTGTATAATGTGGGGAGTGGTGAGGAAGTCACGACAGTCGCGCGTAAATTCGCGCCTGCCCTGGCAACACACGCGTTGATTTGCGGCTAGGCCAAATCGGGGCTTAATTGATTGAGCCGGCCAGAGCTCCACTGGGCCAGTATGACACCAACACGATACCACTCTATGTCTTGGTTACTAGAGAGTATCAAATAATCGAAGCTCGCGATCACGAAAGCCTCACTATTCAGGCTGAGCGCCTGACAACGAAAGCATGGCCGACTCGCATTCCACGACTGCCTCCGCGAAGCCGCGCACAGGCAGCATGTCGCAATTATCGGAGAGCTCACAGACGGCGGCAGAGTAAGCATCCTCGAAATTCCTCATGAAGTGATAGCTAATGGCGCTGGTAGATTCATCAAAGAGCAGCTCAGCCTCGAGGCTGAAGCACGCGAGGCTCTTCCCTATGTCAGTCCCAGGCTTTCCCAACTGCGCGCGTCGTACTGACGACTGACAGCAATTCGATACGTGCACACGCGACCTCGGTCCCCTCCGTCAAAGTCTCTACGCTTGCCTGACGTGCAGTCCACCGCCCGCCAGCGACGCCCAAGTCTACACCCCAGCTGGCGTTTGCTACTCGTGCTCGATATCCTGTCACGGCGAACACACCCTCGTCGAATTGTTCAATAAGCGCAATTTTGTCTGCGATTGCGGTACGACCCGCATGCCCGAGAACGTGCCCTGCACTTTGCGCCTGAACTCAAAGACTGGACAGAAGGGAGATGTGGCAGGCGAGGAGCCTTCGAAAAGCAACAGGTACAATCAGAACTTCAAGAACAGATTCTGTGGCTGTGGCGCAGATTACGATGCCCATGAAGAGAAGGGCACCATGTTCCAATGTCTAGGCTTGGGGACTGTCGATGAAGGCGGTTGCGGTGAGGACTGGTGGCATCCAGAGTGTCTGGTCGGCTTCACTCGTGAGGAATATGCGAAGTCCATCGAGAAACCTGAGGTAGGAGATACGAACGGCACTGTCACAGATGTTGAAGCCAATAAAAAGACCATCGCCGAAGAAACAAACACATCAGCCACACAATTGCTGGATGCCGCAGCGCTGGAGCGGAATGGTGTGGACGGAAACGACGTGGCGGCTGAGGCTGAGGAAGTGGAAGATGAGGATCCGCCGCTACCTCCAGGCTTCCCACTCGAGGATGACTTCGACCACTTTCTCTGCTACAAATGCGTTGAAGCCAACCCTTGGATCAGAGGGTATGCTGGTTCACCTGGGTTCTTGCCACCAGTGTACAATCAAAGGACTCTCAATGCTGCTCAGCTCGCAGAAACGCCTACATTGCCAGATGCCGCAACGAACGGTGAGTCCAAGAAGCGCAAAGCATCTGACGACGATGAGGACAGACCTGACTCATCATTGTCTATCCCGGTTGCTGCTAAGCGTCAGAAGTCCGAAGATCCCACCAGTGCACTCTCCAGCATCCCAGAAGATGCCACCACCTTAGATCTGCCACCCGTATCGAAGACGGAAGTTCCAGCGGACTGCAAGCTAAAGGCTCTCCCTCCTCTCCCCACCGCAGCCCTTGCCAACTCGTTCTCGCTCTTCCTTAAACCTGACTTCCGCGAGCACCTCTGCCGCTGTGCAACCCACTTCACGCTACTGACACCGCATCCGCAACTCCTCGAAGAAGAAGACACGTACGAGCCGCCGATCTCAGAAGTCGGCAACGAAGGCGCGCCATCCGCCGGCACGGGCTCGCTTCTCGACCGCGGCGAAGCGGCGTTCAGCAACATGGACCGCGTGCGCGCGATCCAGGGCGCGATGGCGTACGCACAACTCAAAGACAAAGTCAGCGCGTTTCTGAAGCCCTTTGCCGAGAGCGGGCAAGCTGTTGGGGCCGAGGATGTCAAGGCGTATTTTGAGAAGCTGAGGGGTGATTCACAGGGAATTCAAGAGGCTGCTGTTGGGGCGAAGGAGAGTAGGGATGATGGTGATGAGGGAGGGCCGGATAGCGGGAGCAGGAAGGAGCAGAGTGGGTATTGAAGCGCTTTAGGACGGGCGTTGGATGAGATTGATGATACCAATTTGAATGACGAGAGATGAGAGATGAGTAAACTGTATAATGTCAGCAGGAGGTACTTCCTTGCGTCGAATTTGAATAATGATTTTCCGCTGTCTGTGTAAATAGACGTCTGGTCCCCTCGCGTTGAAGTTGTCGAATGCGATGTGTACGTATACGTCCAGTGTGTTTGAGAGTAACACCAAGATCCGGGCACGTGGGCGGAGAGGTTTTCACAGTAACATACGCAGGAAATATTGCTTGAAATAGTATTCTGGATCATAGTCCTGCTATATACGTGTCTTGGGTATCAAATTTAGTCCTGCTATTATGTATGAAACATTTATTTCGTCATCTAATCATCTACTCATTCCATTCATCTTAAATAGACCCTATGCTGTCACAGTGGCCGTCACCGTAGCAGTCACAGTCTCCTTCTCCTTCTCTGTCACCGTGACGGTGAAGATCTGACTTGGCGCAATCGGCGTGATAATCAGCGGGCCCTCAGACGAAGAAACAGTCGGCTCCGGCGCTGGCGCGGGTGGTGCATCGCTCGGGGGCGCAGGAGCTTCTGTAGGCGAGGGCTCCACGTTCGTGACCACGTAGGATGTCTCTGATGCGACAACGCTGGAGGCAAGCACCGAAGATGAGACAGCGGCGCTGGACGAGGTCGGCAGAACGCTGGGTGTGGCAGAAGGTGTTTCTGATGTGCTGGGCGCGACGGACGACGCGGCTTGTGTTGATGAAGAAGGCGCGGCGGAAGGCACAATGCTTGGCAAAGATGGCAACGGAGTCGAAGATACAATTGACGATTCTTCGGGTGCAGATGATGGCGACGGCAAGACAGTTGTGTACTGCGTAACAATGACGACAGGCGGCACTTGCAGCGAGGTCGAGGGCAGATACTCGGCTGCAGGTGATGGCACAGCTGATGATTGTATCAAGGAAGACACAGAGGCAGCAGCAGTAGGATCGACCGTCGAGCTTGAGATCAAGGCTGACGTGTTGGACAACAGTGTGGAGGATAGTGCCAAGCTTGCGGAAGGCGATGCTTCGGGGGCACCGGGCGTGGGGAAGACGGTGGTGTACAGCGTCTTCGTCACAACAAGACGAGATGATGCTGTCATAGTTGTGTTCACAGGAGGCAGCGCTGACGACACCTGCGTCGGGTACTCGGCTGCTGCAGAGCTGACAGGAACTGCATCAGTAGAGCTTGCCACAGCGCTACTGATAGCTGCTGTGCCTTGAGGTGCGCCGGGATGGGTGAATCCAGGCATACCGGTCCCATTCTGGGCAGGCTGACCTCCGGTTGCGGATGCAGTCGCGCTAGGAACGACCAAACTCGAAAGCACCGAACTTTCGATAACAGAGCTGGCAATGATAGGACTAGTGGCGATAATGCTAGGCGCACTGGAGGTTACTGCTGTGGGTTCCTCGGGCGAGTACGTGAACATTGGAGGCGCGTACGAGGTGGCGCTCAGCGCTTCACTCTCTACTTCTGCCTTCGAACTCGACAAGCCCTTGGCAGGGAAGGTGTTCAGCACTTGGCTTTCCGCGGGGATGGATGACGAAGCAGCATCGTATGCTGGTGTGGCGCTTGACTGGGCCGCGGAGGTAGGGACAGGTGCGGGGGCGGTGATGTACGAGGTTGACAAAAGGGTTTCAAGCGGTTGTGTTGCGATGGCTTGGCCATCTGGTAAAAGGAATGTGACAGCAGGTGCAGTCTGTGTAAAGACAGTCGGCTGAATGGGTTCGATAATGACAGCAGTCTCGGCGTTGGCGTGTAGTTCGCTTGGGGATGGTAGTAGTGATCCAGAAGGTGCAAATGTAGGTTGCGATGAAGCAAAAGTGCCCTCGGTAGCGGGTACTAGTGTCGATGAGACTTCTTGTAGGGGCTGTGATGCCTCTACGGTTAAAGAAGCAATCGATGTTGCGTTTGTGTAGCTGGAAAATCTGCTCGAGTCAGTCAGGAGCATCACATGTCGTTGATGGACAACTCACAATTGTCTCCTATGACCTCTTGGCAACGGGCCCGCAAGAACAACAGAGGATGATGCTGCCAGCAGCAAGAGAGAAGAAAAGCGAGCCATCTTTGATGATCGCGTGGATTAAGAAAGAAAGAAAGTGGAGAAGGAAGAAGACGCGCGCGTTTGCTACTGGGCAAGAGCAGAAACAGAAGAATTGAAAGTGATTGAGGAAACAGACGATTATGAAGGCAACGATCGACGGAACGAAAGCCACTACACTGAAAAACGGAATAAGAAATGTAGGAATCGTTCGACTCAGTCACTCGACAGCGCACAAGTCTAGAGCTCTACTGTCCGAGACTCACCGCTCGCAGGGGTCTTCTCTGGTTTTGAGGCATCGATACCCGCTTGAATCTACGTTTGGGCCGACAATAGCTTCTCACGTAGTACTGGCCCGTTTGGCCTCATATTAAAGGCGGTACCGGGTCGTTTCCGAGCAGACATGACTGCGGTTGGAGGAGTGGTTGTCGTGCGTCGAAGCAGGAACCCTGACGTTTCATAATGGAGCTACTAAGTGTGTACTGTGTCCGTGTGTGAACCAATCAACCGGCAGCACGCCAATGCAGCCTCGCGATCTGGGCGGCTCGCCGAACAACGATATCTCCTCGAAGGCTACGCAGGCGATTAACCGGCTTGCGGCGTTGCAGTGTGGCTCATCGACCTTCGATCATTTATAGATTCGAGATTCGGCATTGGGACTTGAGGTCCGCCAACGCGCTGCAGCACAAACTCATATCGCATGCGCCCACACACGCCACGTAGACAGCAGGCCTTTGCCCAAGCAGGACCCGCAAGACACGAGCACTGCATGCGACAGCGAGAACGTTCTCGGGGCCACGATCCTTCGATGCGCCCAAGCGTTGGCCCCCGAGAGCACCGAACAAGATCCAGGGACGCGAGGACTGTTGGAACGTCATCTTCGAGAGCAACAGCCCATCAAAGGGTAGTACGACCCAGATGTTATAGTCTCCCGTTGCTCCAGTTCAACAATTAGAAGCATCGTGACCTCAATGTCGAAGTCTGCAAGTGAGTTTGGTGTCGCACGTGCCACTCCTTGCACGTTGCTGTGGTGATTTCCTGTAGCGAAGCGGTCAAAGCAAAATACGGCGTAGGTGCTAGGATGACCTTCACACCCTGTAGATCGAACCGACGTCACGATACGCTGCGTGTGTTGCTTGCTTTTACGCGTTTGTGCATTTGTATTTCTTCCCTTGCTGTCGCGCTCGCATTATAATATTCCCCGGCGTAAACAACATGAGCGTACGCGTCGTTGCACGGATCAGGCCACTGCTCAAGCAGGAGCTCGACAAGGACACCATCGTCACCGCAGAGGCCCTTGATGGAGAGACCGTCCCGACAGTCGTGCGGCTACCGAGCCCGAAGAATGAGGCGGAGTCTTTCAGCTTCCAATTCAGCTCGGTGTACGAACAGGAGGCGACGCAGCAGCAGCTGTTTGATGAGGAGAGTGCGTAGTAATCGTCAGACGCGTTTAGCAGCTTCCTAACGCGTCTAGTCTCACCAACGGTTAAACACTTGTTCAATGGCTTTGACCTGTCCATCTTTGCGCATGGCTGCACCGGTACCGGCAAGACACACACAATGCGGGGAGGGAAGTCGCTGGCCGAGCGTGGCGTGATCCCTCGACTCTTGAGCGCCATATACAGGCGGTGCAAGAAGATCGAGAAGGATACTGCTGGTGCTACCCAGGTCGAGGTCGCGTTGGAATACTTTGAGATCTACTGCGACCGCGTATACGACCTCTTCGAGCCCCCTGAGAAGCGCACACCGTCTGGACTTCCAATTCGCGATAACCGTGGGAAGACGGTTGTTGTCGGTCTGACTGAGAAGCCATGCACAACGTTGAAGGAGTTTGAGCAGTTGTATGATCAGGCGAACATGAACCGTTCGACCTCTGCGACAAAGGTACAGTACAACTGCTGGACAACTCTCGGCAGACTGCTAACACAATATTAGCTCAACGCGCATTCCTCACGTTCGCATGCCGTACTTTGTGTAAAGATCATTCAGACCACCGAAACCTCTGTCCGTGTCAGCCGAGCATCTTGTATTGATCTCGCGGGTTCTGAAGACAACCGTCGAACGGAAAATAACAAGGAACGCCTGATCGAAAGCTCGGCTATTAACAAGTCACTCTTTGTACTCGCACAGTGTGTTGAGGCTATGAACAAGAAGCAAAACAGGATACCGTACCGAGAATCGAAGATGACAAGAATCCTTGGGCTTGGACAGAACAAAGGTTTGACCATTATGATACTTAATCTTGCGCCCACTCGTGCGTACCATCTCGACACCATCAGTTCTCTGAACTTTGCGAGTCGCACGAAGAAGATCGAAGTCGCAGAGGTCGAGAACGACCCGGTCCTCAGAACCATGTCGAAGCCTCTGGCGGTCACGAGCAGCATCGGAGGAGTGAACGTTAAACGACAACCTCTGCGGGCTTTAACAGCAGCGGCCAACGTCAACGTGACCGAGACAGGAAAGGAGAAGAAGGGAGAGAAGCCTGTCAAGGCCTTTTCTGTATACTCTGATTCCCGCAAGCCTGTCTCACGTGTTCCTACTCTGACTTCTCAAAACCAAGGCGTACGACGGACGGAAGTGCAGAAACGTACGGCAGACGTGAGCAGTACATTTGCCACACGACCTACAAAGACATATCGAGCGGCTGACAACACTTCACGAGCTCGTGCTGTTGAGATCGGGATGACGAAGGAAGACATTGAAGCACTCATTGCACAAAGATTGGACGAGCGACTTGCCGAGAAGGCTTTGCAAGACGCGGCGGCTGCAGCACCAGCTATTTCTGATGAACTCCAAAAACGTCTTGACGATCTGGAACAGCGCATCGACGCGAAAGACGATGATGAAAAATCACAAGGCTTGCAATTTCTGCTGATGGCCAAGCAACATCATGCACGAGGCGAAGATGCTAGCGCTCTCCGCATGTACCACTTGGCCGAGCCGTACTTCCCTGGCAACGAAAAGCTGCAGGCGAAGATTAAGGGGCTGGAGGATCGGATACGAGCGAAGCGCGAAGAGGGGCAGAGACACATGTCAGCGCCCGTTGCACCTACGCCTTCTGCACCTGCACCTGTTGCGTCAGCACCTGTTGCGTCGGTATATGTTGCACCAGCGCCCGTGTCAAACCGTATGGCACCCTTGAAGTCAGACAAGAAGGTGTCCCGGCCGAAGATGGTGTTCCGTGATGATGCCGAATCTGAGGATGACGAGTTTGCACCAGCGCCCCAGTCTGACCACGATGGCTCGTTCGCATCCGAAGACAGCTTCGTGGAGAAGCCAAAGGCAGTTCGCAAGCCCAAGAAGACAGTGAAGAAGCTCCCTATCTTCCGAGACGACCTAGATGCACGCGCAGCTCCTGGCGAGCAGACCCCCCGGACCTCACACCTACTAAAGATCATCAACAGCCGCGACGTAAACAAAATCAAGGCGCTAAAGGGAGTCGGGTCGAAGAAGGCAGATGCTATCGTGAATTATCTGGTGGAGATGGACCACGCTGAGATACAGGATTTAGCCAGTTTGGCTATGTTAAAGGGTGTGAGTGGCAAGACAGTTGAGAACATGAGGATGGGATTGACCGCTGTTGGTGACTATGACTTCTGAGCTTTTGCTCAATCTGCATTCTAGCGTGGCGTTTTGAGGTGTTAGGAGACTTGTATTGAATAGCATGAGCGTAGAGCATTTGCATTGGGTTGGCGTTCGCATGGCGACGGAGATGGCGCCCCTTCGTTTGGTTTAGCATAGCACAGATAGCATAGATAGCACGAATAGTATTACATTATCCCGTCTTCGCTTCTTTTTGGGCCAGGTCGTAACCAGCGTTTTTGAATGTTCTAACGGACGCGCTGATGTAGCAGTGTTGTGGTGGGTACCGATTCGAAGCTCAGGCAGGCCATCAAAACTACAAGATGAAGACTGTAACGAAGTCCACTGGATCTTTCTTGTCGTCATCAGCTGAGGGACCTTACGGAAATGACATTCTAGCTGAGGACATAATCGTCCGTGTACACCCAATCTCTACTGTAGCGTACGAGGTATTCGGATGGGGGGAGAGTCCATATTCACTTCGCAGAGGTGGGAGGTATAGCATGCAACATGCACAACTGGTTCATTTTTACCAGTCAGGGTGAAATATGTAAAGACGTGTTGCTCTATTGCGTTGAGGCCTTGCGTTTTGCAGTCCGTTGAAGCGATCTCATGATGCCGAAGTTTAATCACGAAAATAAATTATCCCTCCCCACTCCTAGCAGATTGTGCCCCACTATTGCCCACAATATACGCCCCGTAGCCTGCCGAACAGGAGGAACCCACGTAACAAACCTCAATGTGTAGCACCATCAGGACCGGCATCCCCATCCACCAAGAGAACTAATCTTGGTACCTATATGTATTTTCGTATTTATCGGCCCATCATCCAACAGTGGCGCAACCACCAACTTGAAAGTACAAGTTGATCCTCCGTGGCGCAATTGGCTAGCGCGTCTGACTGTTATCCGCATCTCGCTTGATTGCACATCAGGAGGTTGAAAGTTCGAGCCTTTCCGGGGGAGATAACACGCATTCTTTTTGTCGTTGCATTGTCTGCTAAGACCGTGGCTGCAACTTTTTACACCGAGGATGGGTTCACAATACATTTATTCGGCGTCTTTGAGGTAGGAAGATGTAGTGAATGAGCACGAGCGACGTCAGTAGCATCCTCATGTAGTATGTCTGGTATGAGATGACCAACCACCATGCACTGAAACACGCCACGGCGAGTTGGCAATCGTGCCACTTTGAAAGGTTTACTGAATGTGCACGATATGTCATCAATCTCATTAGCACTATTGTCAGTTCACACTGGCTAAACCAAATCTACACTGGAATCCAGACTTAGAAAGGCCATACCCATTCACCAATCTCCTTAGGATCTACGCCCTCATGGAAGGAGTAGTTCTTCGCGCGGATCTGTTCGTTGAGCATTGCCTCACGAGCAGCCGCACCCTTGTTACCCAAGCCAGGAATTCGGTCGATAGCGTTAATTGCCAGACTGTAGCGATCGGTACCATTGCGAATGGCCAGCTCGAGTGGTGTGTCGATGTTGCCCTTCTCCCGATAACCACAGACAAGAAGGTTCTGCTGACCTTTGCGGCCGTACGTTAGGCGATGGATCAACCAGGGGTACGAGTGGAAGTTGAAGACGCAGGGGACGTTGTCTGTGAAGATTGCTTTCCACTCGTGTGCTTGCAGACCATGAGGATGCTCGCTTGCATCGATTAGCTTGAAGAGATCGACGACGTTGACGAAGCGGATCTTCAGCTGTGGCAGGTGAGTGCGAAGTAGAGCGGTAGCCGCAAGAGCCTCGTGGGTAGAGACATCTCCACAAGACGCCATGACGATATCTGGTTCTTCGCCTTCGTCATTAGAAGCCCATCTCCAGATGCCAACTCCCTTGGAGCAGTGCTCAATGGCCTGGTCCATAGTGAGGTATTGCAGATGCTCCTGCTTGTCTGCAACAATGACATTGACGTAGTTCTCACTGCGGAGGCAATGGTCCATAGTGGAGAGCAGGCAGTTGGCGTCCGGGGGCAGGTAGATGCGCACGACATCAGGACTCTTGTTCGCGACCACGTCAAGGAAACCAGGATCCTGGTGCGTGAAGCCGTTGTGGTCTTGTCGCCATACAGTAGCGGTGAGAAGAATGTTGAGCGAAGCGACCTTCTTTCGCCACTCAACCTCGAGACACTTCTCGATCCACTTGCAGTGCTGGTTCACCATACTGTCAATAATGTGAATGAAAGGCTCGTAGCTGTTGAGTAGACCGTGTCTTCCTGAAAGAACATAGCCCTCGAGCCAACCCTGTAATTGTTAATATTACGCCCTCGGCTGCAGTTATTATCATACGTACCTCGACTGTGTGTTCAGAGAGCATCTCCATAACACGTCCGTCAAAGGCGAGATTACCACCATCTTCGTCTTCTTCAAAGTAGTCGGCCAGCCATACCTTCTTGCCAGCCTCGTAAATCTTGTCAAGCTTGTTGGATTGAGTCTCATCGGGTCCGAAGACACGGAAGTCGTGAGGGTTCTGTGCAACAACATCGCGGAGGAATGTCGCAAAGTTTGCCATGCTGCCCAACCTCGACACACCGCCCTTATTGACATCTACGGCGTAGCTGCGGAAGTCTGGTACATGCAGCTTCTTCTTGAGTAGCCCACCGTTGGCAACAGGGTTGGCACTCATACGTTTGTTGCCCTTGGGAGCTAGCTCTCTGAGTTCGGAGATGAGCTTGCCGTCCTTGTCAAAGAGCTTTTCAGGCCCGTAGCTACGCATCCACTCCTCTAGTTTCTTAAGACTCTCGGGGTTGGTGAGGACATCAGTGATTGGAACCTGATGAGCACGCCAGAAGCCCTCAGAATAGTGGTCGCCAATCTTGCGAGGGCCAGTCCAGCCCTTCGGTGTTCGGAGAACGATCATAGGCCAGCGAGGCCTGAACGCCTTGCCTGAGTCACGAGCCTCCTTTTGATATTCCCTGATCTTTGTGACACAACGCTCCAGCGTGCCCGCCATGGCCTGATGCATTGAAGGCAAGTCGCTACCTTCAACAAAGTAGGGTGTCCACCCATATCCGAGGAAGAGCTGTTCGAGCTCCTTGTGGCTTATGCGAGAGAGAATTGTGGGATTGTTGATCTGCTCACGTTAGCGCACATCCGAGGATACTAAGATGCCCTGCAGCTATGCCCTTACTTTGTATCCGTTCAAGTGCAGCACAGGCAGTACAGCTCCATCAGTGATGGGGTTCAGGAACTTGGTCGAGTGCCAACTCGTAGCTAGGGGACCGGTCTCAGACTCGCCGTCGCCGACCATCGTGAGCGCAATCAGATCGGGGTGATCGAACACTGCGCCAAACGCGTGAGAGATTGAGTACCCAAGCTCTCCTCCCTCGTGCAAACTTCCAGGGGTCTCCGGAGTAGCATGTGAACCGATACCACCTGGGAAGGAGAAGTACTTAAAGAACCTCCTCAAACCCTCCTCATCCTCCTTCTTGTCAGGATAAACTTCAGAATAAACACCCTCAAGGTAGGAATTTGAAAGGACGGCAGGCGCACCATGACCGGGACCAGAAATAAACAGAGCGTCCAGGTCATATTTCTTGATGAGGCGGTTCATGTGGATGTAGGTGAAGGACTGACCAGCGTCAGATCCCCAGTGACCTAGCAGTCGGCGCTTGAGGTGATCCAGTGTCAATGGCTGGCGCAAAAGAGGATTCCTTCGCAGATAAATCATGGCCAAGCACATGTACATGGAGGCATTGAAATAATCGGTCGTCAAGCGTAGTTCTTCGTCAGTAAGCGGTGTCTCGTTGACAGAAGACCTTGCAACACCGAATGGGGATAAGCTCAGGTTTTCGACATCTTCAGTGAGCTTCTCGGGCGCAGGAGCCGCGGCTGTTATCATTGAATCCATGTTTGCTGTTGTCTGTGGACGCCAACGGGCGACCGTGTGTTCTATGTGAAAACGCGTTCGATGAGGTAGAAGGTGGAAATGGACAGGAAGAGCTCAAATTGTTGAGAAGCTTGTCAAATTGCAAGCTCAGGGTAAAGTTAAGAGTCGAATGGTCAAGCGCTGGGCCACCAGCGTTATTTGTATACCACGGCTTGCTCGGTAGCTGGCGACGGAAAGCTCTCCTGATCCATTATAAATGCCATGCCATTGGCCATTAGACGACTTAGCATCGCTTCTGCAACAAGGTTTCATCATAACGTGAGATTTCCATCGAATTAGAGCTGGCTGCTGTTTGCGTGCCTTGCTGCGTCATGATAGCACGATGACCTGATGCACGGAAACGGGCGCCGCTAAGACTCTTTGGATTTAGGCTGAACCGTGGGCTTCGCGAAAGGATTCCAGCTTCAATTACATCTGCTCATGGCCTTATCATGACCGTGCCGACGCCGAGCTTATTTGTGCAGATTTCCCACCCACACAAGGTAGGCTGAAGGAGAGCGTGCACTTCGAGAACAGAGTGCTTTCGGATCTGCTGTCAGAACAAGCACATCGAGAGCCTGGCGCGCCGGTGGCGTTGGCGCATCCGGCTGCCCCGCGCCTCCAAAAATGGACACATAGAGAACCGAGCTGCCTCTCCTAGCAACCAAGACGTCCCCTCTAAGGTGGGAGCGTTGCATTTTTACGGCCATGGAAGTTTAAGCAGGATCCGGGAGAGCGAAAACGACGGCTGACACATCGACATCCCCCCGGAACTTCGCTTATTCCATGGCAGAACTACGACGAGGGTTCTGTGACCGTGGATCCAACAGGCGACGAGACAACGCATTGAAGGACTTTCAATGGGTGTCAAGATGACGTCAGAGAATGGTAACGCTCGCCAGCTTATATCACATCGCTTGAGAACAAGTACCATTGTATTTGTCCATCATTCCACATACGACCACAGGACGTTGAAAACAAGTTCTCCTGCCCAACCCGCCGTCTGTCCTGGTACACGTTTCGAGGGCGCTGTGGTGGGCCTTCCTATTTTTAGTCACAATTGTATAGGCCTTTCTGCTCTGCGACACAGACGATTATAACGCGTCCACACCTTAAACCGCATTACGACAGCTGTAGCTCGCAATATAATAGTTAGTGGAGATTTTGATACACACTTAGATGCAAACGACACCCTACCTCGATAGGATGAAATCTAAAACGCCCCCTTTGCGGGACATATCCTTATCAGCACCCTTTGCTAAGACTGAAACATGTCATGGCGTGCGAAATGCGTCAGCCTAGTAACTCCGCTCCACATAGCAAATAGAGATACAATAGACATAATGTCTTTCGTCTCTTGTTGCTTTTTTTTTCTTTTAAAAGTCCGACTTCCCAGCATCATGATATACGACAAGCTCGAAAAACGGCACGATACTGCATCCTCAATCACAGGTGAGGACTATCTCTCTCTAGCAGAGATTGGAGATGACGAGAAGAACTGGGAGACTACGCACAGAAAGTCAGGACTGAATAGAAGGACGAATACGTGGTTCAAGACAGCGGCGAGATATGGCTGGCTTGCCCATCTGGTTCTTGTGCTGGTTAATATATCGCTGTCAGTTTTTCTGCTGCGTGACTTTCAGCAAGAGAATTCTTCAAGTACAATGCAAGTGGGGAGCGACTTTGCTGGGACAGGGCCTGATTGTAAGATCTATTCGGAGCCTTGTTGTTGAGATTTACTGACATCCCTTGAAGTCCCGACGAAGATCGTCAAGTTCAATGCAGACGAATCATTCGTCCCGAAGAATGCATCGGAATTTTTCTCTCCTGGTGTGACTTCACGATGGAATACCATGATGCCAGGTATGATCAATCGTCATCTCGTGCTTAATACACGCTGATGCTTGTGCACAGCCAACGCAGGCTGGGATACCATAAAAACAGACACTTTCTTCACAACAACTATGACACATCAGCTTCATTGTGTTGTAAGTTACTGTTTTCTGTTCCCCTTCTCGGTCCTCCCTAGGCCCCTTGCACACCTTTTCACCATAATTCCCACTAACACCACTACAGTTTATGATGACCAGAATCTACTCCACCCTCCTCACCAACAAACTCAATTCCCTCCCCGAAGACTACCACAGCCACTACCTCCACTGTGTCGACTATCTGCGGCAAGGAATAATGTGTTCGGCAGATTTGACAATGGAGCCGCACGGGCCGGAGGATGCGGATGATAATGGGCCGTTAGATGGGAGTTGGAACGGTTATCATGGTAAGATACTAAATCCTAAAGGCAATGCGACTCTGAACGCAGGGTCATTTCGAAATGGCTGGTATGGACGTCTGCTAATACTCCGAGTAGTATGCAAGGATTATGGACATGTTGTTCCATATTTAGAAGGTAAGCGGAGGATAAGCTCGATATCACATTATTTACTAACCATGGCAGAACAAATTCATAGGGGGATTAGACAGGTGTTGCCAATTGACGATTAAGACTACCTATAGATCAATTGCACCAATCTCAAACTTTGATAGCAATCCAACATACCAACGAACATGGCAGCCCGGCCCAGATTTGTTATCTGCACAGCATCAGCGAATCTTCCTCCCTGAAGCCCTCGCAACCTTAGATTCCTTCTAGTCTCTCTCACGTTTCCTTCATCCGAGTTCGAAGAACTCCAGTACTCGCCCACTGAGACTGAAACCCACAAGTGTGTCAACACAGGGCGTGACTATATGCACCTCCAAAACGCTAGACTTGTTGAGTCCACTTAAACATGTCGTCTCAAGAGAACCCTTTCATGACTACAGCTCAAAGACGCTTTCTAAGCTTTTCTACCGACTATACCTCTCTATTACGGGTTGTCTCGCGTGGAGATCACGATGCTTGGGAAGTACTATTGAGCTCTTGCGTTGACAATGGAATTGCAACTATTAAACGCAACACTGCTAGTTCACGCGGTTGAATTTGGCGAGCACCGGTGTGTGTCAACTTTGATTGACTACGGACCAGACATTAGTGCGATGAATGTGTATTAGGAGCAACGGCTCCGCGGCCCGCTTGCAAATCTAGCGAAGGTACGGCTATGTCAAAGATTCTTGACAATAATCACACTGGAATCAACGCTGTTGACTTCGACAGAGAAAAGGGCAGCCGTGATGTAGCGATGGAGAGTAATTACATGCACCATGACCTCGGTATGGGGCATTGATCGACGGTGTGAGGCATGCACGTCGCGCAAAGCATGCAAGACGCTTTTTCCACGACTCCCCATCACTACCGGATGCCTCGACAACAGTAAATACGCGAAAGCACTCAAACAACAGGCTCAACACAATGGAAGTTGTGGAGATGAATACCCAAGATATCGAGCAGGAAACTCCGCCAGACAATGTCTGCATTGCGCCTTCAATCTACGAAGACGACATCCTCTATATTGGCTAACGGTTCAAAATCGTTCATTTGTCCCTTTTCTTTTGCGATATTTATCAGGATCAGATGCATATATCAGTGCTTGTAAAATGTGTGGACCACCCCTTCCATGGAACTGGCCTCTCGTGAGGCTTTCTAATTAGCTACTTCTACCTAGTTTGACAGGTGTAACAGTTCTGCAGGGCAAAAACGTGGTCTCTGGCCACTTATAGAGCTGCGCGCGTGGTAGTACTATGGTACACACTATAGAGTCCTATAAAAGGGGTGGTCCACACATTCTAGCAACGACTGTGGTAGAATGTGCAACTTCAAACCACAATATAAATTTAACGCTGATCTAGTGTGATACATACGACCATAGGACGTTGAAAACAAGGCTTCCCGTTCGCTCAGCCCTATTTAAGCAACGTACCGGTGGATTAGTACTCAGGTGGGTGACCACTGGGGAATCCCCGCTGTTGTATGTATCACACATTCTTTTGCCTTTTGTTTTGCACCTCAGGAGGTGTGCTAAGATTCGTAACGCAAGTGGCGCATAGAAGCTGCGAACCACTCAATCTTGGCAACAGCAATTGCACCCCTGCTTTGTCGTGACGGAAGTGTGTGTGACACCATATGCATAGGTCCTCTCTTCTTGTTCCTTTTGCCGGTTTGCGGTGATGTGACGTTGTTTAGGTGTCGGCTGAGGTAATAAATTAATGTGCCATTTTGCAAATGTCTCAACGGCATACATACGTCGACTAGCCAAGCGGTCTATAACAGACCACGATTGGACAAGAGCGCTATAATGCAAAAATAGCTATAGATAGGGGTCACACCACTCAGCGGGGAGGGTCAGACTAGGTACGTTTTTATTACAGTAAAGGTGTAGATAACAGCTTCTAAACAGATCGCTGACGGTCTGAATGTCTGCCCTAGATGACTACTATCGCGAAGAGATACACAATCACCCATTTATACTTTCTAACGAAGTGTCTTTGATTCAGATATCTACAAGTAACTCCTCTAAGTGTCAACGGAGGCTATGCTTCGCTTGTTTATGTCTTGACTTGAACATCAGCCCACATATATGTGGGTTGACACATAGGTGATGAGTGACTCAACTAGCAACCCTGGTAGAGGAGAACAGACGCAGCACGCGTGATGGCGTTGCAAGATGAGTGCGACCCACTTACGATGCCCTGGTGATGAAGTTTCGTTCCAGCGCAAGCGGAGGTATAATAATCCGCGGTTGGGTAAGGGTTTCCAGTGCCCTCCCTCCACAAGTATCCGCTGTAGATGAAGTTGCTGGGGATGACACAGAGGCCGCATCCAAAGTTGGTTCGCGTCTCGATGTATCCTGCAGTGCAATCGCTGGAGCTGAAACCAATCCATTGGTTGCCGCCGGATCGGGCTTCCAAGTCGACGCCACTGGCGGCAGCCTCCTCTTCGAGGTCTTCGGTGGTGCAGTACTTGATACTATTGAGGCCTGACCAACCGGTGGTATCGTTGAGTGTAAGGTATTCGGCGAATTCCTCGGGTGTCCAGCCAGGACCGCCAGTGCAAGCAGCCATAACGCTGTCGCCGAAGATGCCCATTGCAAGAGCGGTAAGACCAAGGATGTTCTTGATGGACATTTTGATGAGTGTTCAGTGTCTGCACGATTGTTAGATCTGATTCTGATGCTCTTGCACCGCGGATTCGAGAGTGATGTCTTACAAGATGCTTTGAATCAGGATCTGTGAGTTGCAAGATGAAGAGCAATTCACAACAGCTTTATATCTCGTTCATGAACGAGCTAGAGCCTCTGGGACCCATACTGAGTATCCGCATTCTATGTATACAACCACAGCGCCGGGAGCTCAGTCATACCTGGTGCATGTTGTTGTCCCACTCGATATTGTGCAAGGCGATCACCGAGGTACGCCGCAGCACGTTTCTTCCGCCTATGAGAGATATGATCGTCCCTGTCATTGAATTTTTTGATGGTAAAGGAGGTCAGACCATGAGGCTGCGAAGGCTAGGCTGAGGTGCTGGCAGGTATAGACGTCCGTGCTATACTCCTACTAAGCTCCACTCTTCGTAACTTGCTTACGTGCATCATTGAGATGGTGTGAAGACTGAGAGCATGTCGTGTAAAATAGTACTTCAGTTGCCTGTTTGAGCAATTGATAAAAGTTGAAGGGATCTTACGAAATAGGAAGGCTGCATGCTCAAGGATCTGTGCTCGGGTTAATAATCACCCAAAGCGGTACCCCCCCCACAGCTTGCGCGTTATCGACCAACCATTTACCCAGCCTCGCCAGATTCTGCGTGGTTTACTAGACTGCAAGTACCTTCATCAAGGCAGATGAACACGATGCACATTGTACGATGTGCATGCTCCATAGCGGAGAACATTCCAATAAGGTAGGCTCTGACCTAGTATGACAGCCGTAATACATGACGGTGGTCGTTGGAATCGTTATAATCGTGTTGAAAGGAGGTCGCTCAGGTGGTTCAGTACAGTGCCCGAAAATGTTTCGAGGTAGAGGCCGCACGATTGACTGCGAGGAGGCCATATGACCTCTAATCACTCTGTACTTTGCGAAAAGGAGTCGACTTGGGTTTCTCTAATACGAGAATGAAGCCACATAGGCAGGAGGTTGGGTATCCCTGACTGGAATCGCGTTTCAGTACTGTTGAGACGATGTGAGAGATAACTGACAAGCACCATATTCCGCTAAAAGACCAGGCCGGGTTTGGCATTGAGAAGTGTTGCTGTACTTAGATGAGCCAGCGCCCCGAGCAATAGCTGCGCTTCGTAATCCATATCGCGAGAAGATGTTTCCCGTTACCATTTATTCCAAGACCAATTCAATCACTTGGTCGTACCAGACGGAGAAGGACCAAACCAAAACTCACCACCGTAAATGGGCATATGTTTGAGTTATCACTTCGTTGAATTCTGGCTTATTTCATTTTGCGTTACTCATACGATGCATCATCCATCATCCTTTCCCGTGCGCCTGTAATGCTGCGATACCTACTTGTGGACTGCTTGTAATTAGCGCGACTCAGCATTGAAGCTCAGCTAGACTTACAGATGCCCTCCTCAGCCTTGGGCTCAATGTTGACTACCTCAGCTGCAGTCTTCTTAGGCTCCTCGACATCCTTCATAAAGGGGAAGGTCAAAACCTCCTTGATGGAGTAGTTCTGGGTCATGGTCAGCAAACGTATCTCTTAGTAGCATCCCGGAGATGCTTTAGGGTGATGAAAACTCACATCAGTGAGGAACATAACGAGCCTGTCAATTCCTAGTCCCCAACCGCCCGTAGGTGGTAGTCCATACTCGAGCGCTTGGCAGAAGGTCTCGTCAATGAGCTGTGCCTCGTCGTCACCTGAGCAGCCGTTAGCTAGAGACTCTTCAGCTTGTGTCTTACTCCAGCGACCTACCAGCAGCCTTTTGGTTCGCCTGCTCCTCAAATCGCTAAATCCGAGTCAGTACGTAATATTAACCTTGTCAGATAGTGGTCTTACCAAGCGCTGATCGAAGGGATCGTTCAACTCTGTGTAAGCATTGCAAATCTCTGTCGCCGTCGTCAGCATGATCTCTTTCCAGCTGTCATAACGAAGCTGGCTCTCGGCAGCTGAATCATCAAATGCTTTGAACCAGTTCATCGTAACACATCAGTGTGCTTACCCTTCTTGCAAACGAAAGCCTCAAAGCGCTCGCAGAGACCAGGAAGATCGCGGTGGTACTTGGCGAGCGGGCTCATAACCTACGAAGTAAGCTTAAGTCACACGTCATAAGAAGAGAGATTACGAACCTCTGGATGCCCAACGATGAATGTCGGGTTGATAGCGGTTTCCTCACTGCGGCAAGTCAGCGTGGAGCTTCATAGTAATGTCGGGAGATACGCGCATGAATTCTCCGGTGAGCTTGTCAATCATCCTGGCGTTGGTACGTGGCTCTGAGCACTGCACGTTCATCTTCTGGAGCACCTTCTTGAGGAATTCGTTGGTCTCGGCGGTGTGCAGCTGGTCAGAGGGAGGGAACTTCTCGCCTGTGGCCTCCTCAAGTGCTGGGATCATCTGAATTGCATGTTAGTCTGAAGTCCCACAGCAGGAAGGCGGTACTTGCCTGGACTCTCCTCCATGGTCGTGCCCAGTTAACCTTGTACTCTTCTCCACTCTGTGTGTGGAAGACAGTCTCATAGCTGCCCGTGACCTTCTTCACAAGTTCCGAAACCATCTCTTCCGTCATGTCCAGCAAATCGTGGTAGTCAGCGTAAGCCTGTAGCTCAGTCAGTATCTGTTGTAGTTGACGGCTAAGTAAGTGCCGGCTTACCATGTAAAATTCACACGTTGTGAATTCCTATTGAAAGATTAGCTGAGTTTCGACTTGGAATGGCTTGAAAACTTGCGGGATTGTGCGTGAGGTCAATGCCCTCGTTCCTGAACTGTCGGCCGATCTCGTAGACTCTGTCAAGTCCACCAACGACAAGCTCCTTGAGGTAGAGCTCGGGTGCGATGCGCAGGAAAAGTTCCATATCGAGCTCATTGTGGTGAGTCTTGAAAGGTCGTGCGGTAGCACCACCGGCGATCTTGTTCATCATGGGTGTCTGGACTTCAAGGAAATCGCGCTCGTCAAGGTACTGGCGAACTGCCTTGACAATCTGAGTCCGCTTAACGAACGTGTCTCTCGTAGAGTCGTTCATAATGAGATCCAGGAATCGGTTGCGGTGTCTCTGCTCCTGATCCTTGTAGCCGCTATCCGCTGTTAGTGACATGTATGTTATTACCATTGCATGGATGCTTACAAGTGTTCGGTCGGCAACATTCTCAGGCAGGGAGTCAGCAGGATGACCTCCTGAGCGAAAACGCTGAGGTCTCCACCATCCGGGCGGCTGGCAGGAGCGGTCACACCAGGCCAACCAACGACTCCGATGATGTCTCCACGCTGAATGTTCTCGTGCTGCTTCTCGAAGGAAACGTCGCCCTTTGCGTTCTGGAGCTGGCACATGACCTGTACAGTCTTTCCTTCGGCCTTGCAGACGTAGAAGCGGAGCGCGTTAGATGATGAGCGGATCGACATGACCCTCAGACCAATTTGGGTCTTGACATCCTTGAGCTCCTCGCCTCTCTTCAAGTCCTTGTGGTCGAGCAGGAAGTGCGGCAAGCGGGTGTTCGCGTGGAACTTGTGCGGGTAAGGATTCGGGTCTTTGGACTTCCTCAGGGCATTGATCTTGTTGCTGCGGATCTCGAAGTACTGGTTCGGGTTCCTAGCATGATAAGTGACAAGGTCGAATGTCGCGTGGTATCAACTTACAGCTCGACCTCGGCCTCTTTGGCCTTACCCTGAGCCTTGGGGCGCTCCGGCAGCTTTGCAGCCTTCTCCGCCTTCTTCTTCTCGACCTGATCCAGTCAATTGGCATTCATCTTTACGTCACGACCAGACGAACCTCTCGCTGCTTCTGGCGCTTCTTCAGCTCGCTCTTGGACACCCTCTCACCAGTGACCTCGTCGAGGTGGAGGTTGGGCGCAGTCTCGGGGGCAGCAGCGGGCTGCGCAGGCGGGTTGGTGTCGGCCATGTTCGCGGTTTTGGCAGTCGCGTCTCTATGTGGGGTAATGAGCAGCTGTGTCTCTGCGAGGGACTATCTGCGATGTATAGGTCGCAGATGGGTCCTCTTATGACTGTTATGTATGGCTCACCTTCAATCGTGACCAAGATTGGTTTGGGTGTGTATGAGTCGTCACGAGAGCCTGCAGCAAAATGTAGGAGTGCGCGAGTGAGTCGTGCTGCCCCGCGGTGGCATAAATTTGACTGCCGAAGATCCACCGCTCTCCCTTTATCGCAACAGCAGTGCATCGTCATCTTGACATGATGGAGATCTGTTGGTCAGGCTTTTGTTTATAATCAGTAATGTTTTACCTGATCTTTTGTAGTCTACCCTTTAGCAACTGTTGATTCTTTTGCGTTCACGTCCATCAACGACTTGTTCACCAGAATGGCGTCAGTCTTGAAGCAAATAGCAACGGGGAATATCTTTCCACGAGCGGTCGACGCGTTAGGTTCTACCCTATGCGTCTCGTATGAAATAGTAATGCCCCCAAACTTCCAGACCTGAGCCTCGTACAGCATAGAGATTCAGTGTGTAGACGTCTCTATCCAGTAATCAAGTGTACGAAAAGGTCCATGTTTTGCGATCACACGTCTCTACGTTCCCAAGTATAACTGTAGATAGACTATCATATAGCAAGTGGAATTTGAACACCTGCTGTGGGTATTGCCTATTGACTTTGGCGTGTCAGTCCCAGAACACCTATACAACGACTTGTCTAACCCTAACCCTAACCCTAAGGCCGTGCTGCAATCGACAGTCCAGCAAACTTACCCGATATAGCAAGCGTCAGCACAATGACGTCACATGCCTTACCACATTCCTACACACGGAACCATCTTGCCACGGGCACGCACACCGTCCATTCCCTTTGCAGATGTCAGAGAGCGCAGACCAGCCCCAACAGCTCATCAACGGCGAGCTGAGACCTATGTCCGGCATGGAGACAACGGGTGACATCCCGGTCATAAAGAGCAAGGCCGAGTATCTCAAGGCCGTCATGTACGAAGGCGTACGTTCCACACACTTCCCTTCCTAATCTTTGCCTGCCGCTGATCACGAGCTCAGGTCACCGTCCTCGAGGGCACAGCAACATGGTGTGCTCAATGCAAGGTGATTGCGCCAGAAGTCGCCAAGATGGTTAGCGAGTACTCAAATGTGAAGTTCTACCTCTACGACGTCGAGGAGTGTGAGGACGTTGCGCAGGAGTTGGGCGTCACGAGTATGCCGTCGTTCAGTATTTTTAAAGATGGCGACATCCAGGATGGTGTCACGGGTGCGAAGCCGAAGGAGATCCGGAAGAAGATCGAAGCGTGCTTGTGAGTGGCTGTGAGGGACTCGAAGAGGTGCTGTTGAACTTTTGAGGTCGTTGTTAAGGTTGACATTTGCCTGGGGTTGCGATGGAGGTCTTCGACGGGATTAAGATCCTGAGTCGTTCTCAGCGTCTCTTACATTGCTTAGTATCTGGCTTGAGCGGCTTGTTGCTGTCATTGTCATTTAGATGTGAGGCGGTCAAAGTCTACCAGCTCATGAAAGGTCGTTATTTCGATAACGATTATGCATTACGTGCTGATTTACGCTAAATGATGTGCTGTGTAAGTAATATACTCGAATGTAAAAGTCCATATATAGCCGCCCATGTTCAATTACTATCCTCAGCCCATCCTTCAACTTAGCCAAATCCAGGCACCGAAGCCAAGTGACTGAAAAAGTAGAGCTAGGACGCCTAAAGCCATGCCACTGCCCACTCTGTTCGCTGCTTGTAGTCCGAAGTCGCCCACCCATCCACTGCCTACGCCAAAGAAAATCCACAGCAGAGCTGCTAGGGCACTTGTTGCCAGGATCAGCGCAAGGGCTACTAGGACACGGAGAGTCGAAAGTGTGTGTACGAACTGGACCGTTGTAATAGCGTCTGCCGGAGAAGATACTGGGTGGTGTATAACACTACCCTCCTTCCCATCCACGCTGTCTTGACAACTTGCGCCCGACGTCTGCGGTCCTGAGGAAGGAGATACATGAGATGTGGCCACACGTCTCGCCCAGTGAACCCAAGTGTATCTCGCCTTGCCTGTTCTTGGGTGCTTGTAGAGCTGCAGGAGCTTATCCTCTGTGAAGGTTGCATCTTCCTTGTCGGCTCCCGCACCGAAGGCTAGAAGCCTGTTCGCGCCCCCCGCAAGCTGAGTCGGCATTGCCTGAAAGTCACTCCAAGAGCTACTCTGACAGAGACTGATGTACCGTAATTTCTTTGCGCTAAACTGTCTCTTAATCCATGAGCCAGTGAGCTCACGGTGCGCTGCTTGCAGGCGTACGGCAAGATATGTGTCATCAAAATCGATATTCTGGTGGCGGTCAGGGCCAGGAGTCGAGAAGTCGCTTGGTATGATGATTCTTGCTCGTCGTCGACTTATATTTTTACTCTGCTTCTGCAGGCTTAGATGTAGCACGCTTTCACGGCAGTGCATGTCGCCATGGGTGTTTTGTGTCCGAAGAACCCCTTGCGCTTCGGCGTTGCGGTCGAGACGGCTGCGTAAGTCATACTCTTCTCCGCTTGGCATCAAGCCGAGAACGTGTTTCCCTTTGATATCAGAGTCGTTGGATCCTTCGCCACCAAAACCACTATCTCCACCATAACCGCTGTCTAATCGACCGTCTAGGTTGTGACATCGTGGTCTTGTTACAGGTTTTGGGAACTCTTTCTTCGCTGTGAAGGGGTAGGGTGTCTTGACAAAGTGACTAGGCAGATTGTTGCGGTCCTTGACAGAGATTGGTGAGAGTCTGATGTGCCTTGTGTCGCTGAAAGATCTAGCTTTAGGGAGCTCAGTACCTGTTACCGAGTACAAGGAATGACCAGAGATCTCGGGGATCGAAGCAGAGGGCGACAATGCGTTCAAAGCTTGCATTGTGGTAAGATGGGCATTGATGATGGAGTCTGCGATGACGCTGTCCGAGGTGTTCCGGCGATGGCGATTCTGGACACCTTCGTGTAAGACAGTTGCTCCACTCCTCAGGTCGACGGGATATGGCTTGGTTATCTGTGTAGACTGTGTGACGGATTCTCGGGATGCGTTGCTTGTGATTGAGCCGCGGGGTGTGCTGGCGTTTGAACCGTGGTTGTGAACGACTTTCACGTGGGCTTTTTCCATCCGTGTGAGAGAAACATGCCTTGCTCTCTTTGGTAAATCATTGCCTTCACCATGCCCGACCTCAAATCGTGGTAGTGCTGTCAATCCTGTTCTTTCTCGACTTCTTCCCCTAGAGCCGCGCTGTTGTCTGACTGGGGAGTGTACCAGACTGCCCAGCCCCAATCCGACATCCCCGTCCACTGAAAATGTTTGCGTCCTATCTTCGTCGTCCGCATCCTCCCACTCAGACCCTGACGATTGATCGTCGAAGAAATCGGCACCAGGAGACATGCCCCGCTCCATCGAGTTCCCGAGCATAGGGTGCACCGACCCTTTCCGCTCAATTGAAGGCTCGACGATGTTCGGTGAAGATGCAGGACTAGTTGAAAGTCTTGCAGCTGGATAGTTGACGATCAGAGTTTGAGTTGCACTCGGCGGCCCTGAAGACAATGGCAGAAGCGGCAACACTGGGTGCTGTTCAGCTCGAGACATCTTCAGCTTTGTGTCGTCCATGTTGAGTGTTTGTGAAATACGTTCGCACGTTCTACTTTTGGATCGGGAACTGGTACACTCTTCGTGATAAAATCATGCCGATTTGCTCTACGAGAAGAGATCGCCGCCCGACCGTGTCGCTTTCTGGAACAGGGAATCAAAGATTAGTCGCGGAAACAAAGAAGTGAATATGATAAACCGCAGGGGTGTTACGAGCATGATGAGAGTCGTCAGCGGGAGATCGACCATAACAAAGCAGGAACGTACGTAAGATTGCAGATCTGGTTTCGGAGATTCTGAACCCGAAACAATGGTAAAGTCAGGCCGTGGCGTGGAATGTATGTCCGAATGTGGTGTCAAGGTTGCCGCATTCCGTAATCCTCCCTTGGAGGAGTGTTCACCTGCGGTGTCAGCAGGCAAACTAGTGGCTGGACTAGAAGTTGAATGCATATTAAGTGCTCGTCTCTGATTTGAAAACGTCCTATTGTGACCAATGGTACATCCTGATCTAGAAAAGCCCTCCTCTATACAGTACTAGGGCAACAAAGAATCGAACGCCAAGCGCGATGCCACCAGGTATACTTAAGTCTGAACATGATAAAGAAAACATTTATCGTGACTGGTAGTCGGGACTTCATTCGTCGTCTTTATCGAACATCTTCCTCATTGCTTTTTGTGCAAGCTCAACGCCAGCAAATGTTGCTGCGTTAGCTGGAACAGCTCGGGCCATCGCGGGCCCGATGCCAGGGAAGAAAGCCTTGTAGCCGCCGTTCGCGTAGATACCCTTGATCGTACCACTAATGGTTGGTCGACCCTCGGCACTCTGCAAGCGAGACTTGATCGTGTCAATTGGGAAGACAGGAATCCACATGGCAATACCCGCCGCACCACCGGCAGCCATAACAGCAGGCATGCTCAACTCTCCTGGCCGGCCGGTGACTGGGTCCTTCGGAGTGAGGTTCCTCTTGACGGTCTCATATGTTGCGAAGTAAAACGCTGAGCCTGGGCCGTCTCGCGCGAGCGTCATTGCGGAGCCACGGTATACGGAGCGTATTCCGCCCTCCTTGAACAGTTGTTTGACAACATCAAGACCGCCGCTGTATTTGGGCTTCTCGCCGGGTGCCAAGTTCTTCTGGCCCTGAATCTGCAAGAGCACCTTCACGCGTTCGAAAGGCGCGGTGATGAGCGTTTGAGGAATGGCACTGAAGAAACCAGCAGCTGAGATCTGAGCAACACTGAATTGGCCGTTCTCGACCTTGGAAAGAGAGGTGACGAGCTGTTTTCCGAGATCGTATCCCCAGAAAGAGACCGCAACTACGCACAATCAGCAAGAGCTCCAGTACCAATGGGCAAGTGCTGCGGGTACTCACACATTGGTGTAACTCCCACAAGCGGCGCAGATACACCTGCATACATTCCCCTCACTAGACCATCTCTTGCGATACCCTTTCGCACAACATCCATGGCTCCAGTGTAGACACCCTTTTCAGCAGTCTGCATTCGCACCTTGACCAGGTCGAAGGGGTGTCCCACTACCACGGCAAACACGCCTCCTACACCTCCAGCAACCAGGGCACGAAGCGACTGTACTGAAGACTTGGTTGCCTTCTTTACATCTTCCTTGAGCTCTTCTTTAGAAGGCAGCTTGTCAGCTACCTTCTCTGTTGTGGTAGACATGGCGTTCGTGGATTGTTTATTGTCTCTCAATAGGAAGTCGCGCGTCGACTACGTGTTCCGGAGCTTAGAGCAGCTGGAAAGGCGAAAACAATTGATACACAAGTTATCCGCAAAGAGGGCAAAATTGTTATCGTTGTGTGATCGGGAAGAAAGCAACGATTGTCTAGACATGTGAGCTCCAGGTCTCCGGAGCTTGGCCCACGTCGACGAGCCGAGCGAGGTCCGGCGTGCGCGTGCCGAGGCAAATCACCCCTCCGGCGCTTCAGAGCAACATGCTCAACTGCTTTACAAATTCATCCTTTGGAAAGCCGAGGTGGGTCAAACAAAGCTTCTCAAAGCTCTTGCAGAACCGAATATGTGTGCCCGACGCGGTGTTGGACAACCACAGAGTGTTCCGACGATCGCCGTCAGTTCCTGGACATAGATGGCTACGCTCAACCCGTCAGTTGGCGCATGGCCGGACCCAAATGGCTGACAGACAGCCGTAGGCACATTTCCGAAAAGCCTTTAACGGTATCCCGAAGGTGCGTGTGTGAGCTGCTGTTAGTCATCGCAGCTTTGCAGTTTCAAAGAGTCTCACGACTTGCAGCATGTGATAATCTGGGGCTCCACACCCCCGTTCATTACGAGCCAAGATTTATCGGTCGCGTCACACTGAATGATAGTCAAACATTTTCAAAGCATCATTTGTCGTTCAGATCATAGTGCTCATTCGATGGTTATAAACGCCCACGTTAGTCGCCTTTGCGGCCCAGGGAAAACTTCACTTTCACTGCAATCACCTAGGTACCCACGAGTTCACCACAGCTGAGATGCCCCAATCTGATGTCCGATCCGAAGCCTATCATTCAATACACATTTAAGAACGTTTCCATCCAAAGTTTGACAGGATTTGCGCATATGCGATGAATACGAGCATTAGGGCCTGAGACAGGGTCCTCATACTTCGCGTCTGTAATCACAGTTGACATACCTCGCCTGTCTCATTGGGCAGTGGCTGGACACTCCAGTAGTGAGCCTTAAGCAGGGCCGATACACCAAACACATAAACACGAGGGCGTTCAGCATACCAAAGGTCCTCTTCCAACAGGTACATATAATCAACAGAACAAGGATGGGTACAACACTGGCGACAAGTGGTGCATGACTAAGCATAGTTGGTGCAACTTGCCGCAAGTTACCTATTGAAGGCCAGAGTGGGGTGAATGCGTTGACGAGTTTACATCCTAGGTACGTTGATGATGGCAGGCGAGAACGTTAAATTTCGATTGTAAGTGTTCTAGGAGGTAACATATCTAGGTGAAGAGTTCCTTAGCTCAATTCGAAATTTCCGGGTCCCACATTACCGATGTCGGCTCTTCATAAGATGATTTTGAGCATTGAACAACACAGCAGAATGCCCTTTGGTCTTGGCTATATAATTACTGAATTTTCAGGAACCTCCACAAGTCAATCCAGCACAGTTGGAATCTCTTGGTTCATTAATGAGCCCTCTTGGCTTAGTGGTAAAGCGTATCACTAGTATGACTTCGGTCAGGAAATGATAAGATCGCTCGTTCGATTCGGGCAGAGGGCATCCTTTTTGCTGGCTGTTTTTCGTGTCGTCTCAGCTTTTTGCTCTTGCTCTGCATGCATGTATCCGGTCCGTGTGGGGAATCTTAAGATGCGGGACGCGGACCACGTGCCTTTTGCGCCATCCTACTCCTACCCACTTCAAAACCACCTACGCGCGACAACTCAGGGGAGTGGGTTTTTGAAGTGTATACCGGTGTCATTGTCCATACCGCTGACGAGACGTCACTTACTTCTGCACTGCCTCGATCTCGTTTGCCTGTTTGATGAACACTGGAGTCGGCCGAAATTGCGACTTGTCTTCTCCCAGCTCAATCTAGCAACCAGCCTGGGCCGCATGGTTCCGAGGCGACGACGAATCGCTGCAGGCAAAACCTGGCTGACGGATCGTCGGCCCACGTCATTCAATTTGACCACACCGTGGCTGGTGTGATCGATCAGGAATGTGGCGATGGCTGGACGTGCTGTGCTCACTGAGTGCACCACAGTGCGCTTGTGCAATGGCCCACCTTTCCGTCTTTCCGGTCTGTGAAAATCCTCCAGCCTTCGCAACATCAAACATGGCGGGAATCTTCGCACAGGGGCTCCCGCACCACAAGCTCACCACTTAGAGGCTGAAAGCGCAAAATCGCTCGTGCTCATAAACACCCCGGGAGATTGCAAACCACCAGCGAATCAGCTACGATTGGTGCCTGGTTATAAGCCGCAGCTAGTACCAATCGCGAAATGATGAACGACGGCACAGACCTCTCGGCGGCGCGATCTAAAGGCACGCGGATGTTTCGAAGAACGATTGGCTGCTCTGCCGTGTTTCCCTACGACCCTGCGCGACTGTCCTGCCTGAGGACGGGTCGCTTCTCTTCTCTCTCCTGCCATCCTTTCACCTTCACCGACCGACCTCTTTGCGGCCAGGCTGTCGTGCCTCTCTCGATTGAGCACGCCCTCGGCACCACTCTCTTTAACCAACAATAGTCACTCTTTATGTTTAGTACTTAGTTTACGATCAACATTCCATCACGCCGACGCGCCGCGGCCAGAGCCCTGTACATTCCTTACTGCACAGCCTGACCTCCCTTGAGCCACAGCTGTAGTAAATATTTGACGATCCTTTGCGTTCGTACACAACACTACGTAATCACAAATCTAAGGCGAAAAGAGAAGGGCGATTGGAGTCACTCGATACTCGACCACGACAAACCTTACACGAACGCGATCCGTAATTACACCATCTTCGCCATTTGGACCTAACTCTGTGCGCCACTTTGGACAACATGGTGCAACAACATGGACACGCGCGCTTAGTGCGCCGTCAACGCGGTCGACAAGAGGAGGAGGACGACACTGTGGCAACGGTCATCCAGGTAATCACAGTACAGCCCGACACTACCACCCGCCGAGTGCAGACACTCGTTCCGCCCGCCGTAGCAACAAGGCCTTTTTCATCTGCAACAGAAGACAACGACGAAAGGACCACAAGTACAAGGCCTACAGCAACACCTTCTTCAAGGAGACCAGCTTCGTCAACACATACCACCGAGTCAAAGATCGAGGAGTCAAAGACTGAGGAGACGTCTACAGCAAAGTCGATCAAGGATCAATCCACTCTAGTGGTTGCGACGAAATCTCCTGTTGCTTCAAGCTCAGCATCGTTGGTGGGTGCCCTCGTTTCTGCCACAGCATCTGCTACCGCATCTATTTCTGCTACCCCATCAGCTGCCGCTTCGGAGGAGGAGGGCATGTCTGGTGGTGCTAAGGCTGGTCTCGCCCTCGGAATCCTGGTCGGAGTAGCTGCTTTGCTCGCTGGAATTCTCTTCATGTATCGCCGTAAGAAGGACACGATGGCTGGAGAGAAGGACAACGAGAAGATCGGTATGCATAATGCACCTGCACCGCTGCCTCCGCAGGTGCCCACTGGTGCCGCCGTTGCTGCTCCCAGTGTTCGTACCCTGTCCAGCGCACCCCGTCTCAGCCTTCGACCAGTCACTCAATTCGACCCTACCTTCAACGAGCAGCGTAAGAGCGGAGGAAACTTGCTATCTGTCGCTGCCGCTGCGGCTCCTGCTGCTGCTGCCGCTTCCCGGAATCGCACGGCACCATCCGATGAGCGTCCTGTCAGCGCCTGGGAGCGTCGTGGAGCTGCCAACGTCGTCACTGACGCTGCGCCTGCGCCTGCTGTCAATCCGTTCAACGATCCTCAAACACCGGCGAGCAGCCAAGCTCCAGCAAACCCATTCGGCAATAGCGCTGCTCTTGATGCCGCACATGCATCCATCCCTGACTCGCCCCCACAAGCACAACCCGACCGTTCGACCGGCCCGAGTTCTGACCTGGATGCTCGTCTCGCCCCAGCGCCCACTGCTGCGCCCGCTGCACCGGCTGCCCCCGCCGCACCCGTCGCACCCGCTACTCTTGAGCTCGACGCTGCTCCAGTAGCTACCGCAATGTCTAGTCTGCCCGTGTCAGAGCATGAATTTCCCGCGCCCCCAAGCGTTCACGCCAATGGTGTCCCACCAAGCCCGGCGTGGACAGAAGATATTCCCTCTTCAGCCCCGTCGTCACCCGCTATGGGTACACCAATGATTGCAGATGCCGCTGGTGTCATGGTTGCTGGTCGTCCCAACGGTTCTCCTGCAGGCCCGAACAACGTCCACCGCGTCCAGCTTGACTTCAAGCCTTCTATGGGTGATGAACTTGAGCTCAAGGCAGGCACGCTGGTTCGCATGCTCCACGAGTACGATGACGGATGGGTAAGTCCCCACTGATGTAGACCCTCTACTCTCACTGACACGAAACAGGCTCTCTGTATTAGCATGGACCGCTCACAGCAGGGTGTTGTGCCCAGGACCTGCGTATCTAAGCACCCCGTCAAGCCACGTACAGGGCCACCTCGTCAAGGACCTCCACCACCACACATGCGTGGACCTCCCATTCGCTCGCCTATGGGACCCGGGGGCATCCCTCAGCCTCGTCCAATGTCGCCTGCCGAAGGTCGCAGCTCGCCTCTTCCGCCTGCCCTCTCACCATCCAACGGCCGCATGTCCCCCGGCCCTCGCCAAATGGCTTTCCCTCCTCCGCAAGGTCCTCCTCGTAACCGCGCCCACAGCAATGCCCCTTACCCTGGGTCGCCACAGGCACGCGGTCGCTCGAACAGCAACGCACCGTACGCCGCCCCTCAGCGCTCGATGTCTCCCGGTCCCTACGGAGGTGGCCCCATGGCCCCCCCACCTCAAATGGGTCGCCCGAGGTCAAACTCCGCCAGTCAGGTCAACGGCGCCCGCCGCGGACCCGCGCCTGGACCCAGCCCGATGAACCCCAACGCCGGCCCCATGCCAGCCCCACTGGGCGGTGCCGTTCCCAGTAGGAAACCGGTTCCCGGTATGGCTCTGTAAACCCTGCGTTAGCGATCTCTTATGAGGACATGTCGAGCATTTTTTGCGATTTCGTTTCCGGTCAAGTCACTCGTTTTCACCTCTGACCTGAACTCTTATTTACCTTCTACCACTATACCACTGCTTGTGGCAAGATCTACAGACCGTCACGATACACAACGGCGCAGTGCGAACCTGTTTACTTGCTTTCAGTGTCTATACCCTCGGCCTGCGCCTGCCGATACGCTGCTCTGCGGCGTGGAAGCAGGACGGGCCTTTTACTAGTTGATAATGTCTTGAAGATATTGGGAGGTTTGTTGGTCATTACCTGTCCGCTGGGAAGGCCGGATGGGCTGGATATTTCATGTATGGCTCATTGCTGCCCCGTTTGATAGGTCTTTTTTGCGGACCGATTGGACTCTTGGGGTGGCTTCGAGATGGAAGATGGATTGCATAGGAATTTAGGTAGAAATGTACAACTTACTACGACTTGGTGCGAATATTTTGGTGTGGTTTACGTGGAATGGTGCATGGGTTGTGATATTGAAGCGCCTGCGATCCACTGTCACATTCTGTCCTTTGCGAGAAGAGGCCCTCAGAGTGCATACAATACCTGTCCAGCACGTCTCAGCGTTGGACATTCTAGGGTCTGCACACGACACTGATACACCTCTCTACACTCTCAACGACGGCCCGGCCCGCCAGTGTCGCACTCATTTTCAACGAACAACGACCATCCTCCCAGCCATCCCAATATCCAATCCGTCAGCGCCACCTCACTCGACATGAGAGCCCCATACACCATGTTATTCGACTCGCGTCCCCAGAACGAAGCTTCTTTGGCCCGCAGATTGTGCCCAGCAACGTTCTCGAGATGGAGCCTGCAGCGGTGTCATATAGAGAGAACGTAACTTGGATAGGAAGATGATTGAGCGGTAGCCGGTCCTGCAGAGCGTATCCGGAAATTGGTTGCTGATGATTGTCATTTAACGTACAGTAAGCCTCATTTCAGCGGCGCCATGTTAGCACGCATACAGGACTACCAGACGAGCTGTGACTGTGAACGTAATATTCCATTTCCCTCCAGCTAGCCTATAGTACATACCCCCGATATCTCCAGCGCAGCGTATTCCCATAACAGCCCCAGCGAGCCGCGAGCCGCGAGCCGCGGGCCCATCCCAGCCGCCACCGCCCGCCCGCCGAGCCCCCACGCGCAACGCCATGCGCCGCCCAGCGCCCGCAATGCCCTACCCAATGCCCGAATAACGATGCCGAATCCAAACATTACGTCCCCGGCCCGGCCCCGGCCCCGGCCCTGGGCCCCTGGGCCTTACCCCGATGCAGTGCAAAAGACAACAAGTGACGCGACGCGCCGAAAGCAACGCGCTAAACAGAGGATATACTGCGACCCCCGCCGTTATATGCATGCGGGCCCGCGAGGAGCCCGAGAGGCCGCCCAAGCGGGCGGCGAAAAGTGCGCCGGTGGCGCGAGCGCGCGGTGCGAGGACGCGTGCCGCGCAGTGCAAAGTGGAAGAAAGCGGCCGTGTCTAAGTTCAGGATTTGTGTTTCAATTTCATGAGTTCGGGAGGCTTGGACGGGTCGAGCGGGTCCACGAATTTCGCCATGACGAGGGAGAGTTCCTTGAAGGCGACAGGTTTGGTGACGTAGGAATTGAAGCCGGCCTCGACGCACTTCGCGTAGACGTCTCCAAGGACGTTGGCGGAGAGGGCTATGATCGGATGTCGGCGGTAGGCGTGCTTCTTTTCCCAGCGTCGTATCTCTTTGCAGGCTTGGTAGCCGTCTTTGTTTGGCATATGAAGATCACACTGCCAGATGATTAGAATGCATCGACTGCGTGGCTGTATGTTGACTTACCAAAATAATCGAGTAATAGCCTGGCGGTTTTGCGAATACTATGTCCGTACATTGAACGCCGTCAAGAACTGTGTCGGTTGTCACGTCTATCTTGGCGAGGAATTTGAGGATGACCTGTAGAGGTGTTAGAGAGTGGATAGAATCAGAGCCTGATATGCTTACAGTCTGGTTGATTTGATTGTCCTCGACAAGCAACACCTTGTGGCCCTTGCCACCAAGCCGTCTTTTGAGCTCCTCGAAGACGAGCTTTTGGCTGACGACAACCTGCTGTGCCGTGTCTTGGTTGCGGTCTGTACTTGACTCGCGCTGCTTTTCCGGGTCAAAGATGACACCAAACTTTGATGGTTTTAAGGGTCGGTAAATGAACTGGAGTCGTCGATCCAGTGCAAGCTGCTCGTAGTTGTAGACTGACGCCTCCTTCATCAGTTCCCTTTTTTGTGACGGGTCAGAGACAACGACGACAGATGTGTTGCCATAATGAACAGAGCTGAACACTTGATCCACAATAACATGCACCTCTGCGGTGTCGTGGAGGACCAGTACAACATGAGTAAAGAGGACTGGATTGTCTCCACCAAGCATTCTTTGGGCGCTGATCAGGCTTTCTTCGCCAGTGATCTGATGTGGAATGCCTTGCGGGAGGGTGTTCTTGATGTGCCGCATGGTAGCTTCCCTGCTGTGCACCAACGGACAAACGACCAGGATCGAAAACATCGGTGGCTGAGCTAGTGGCGACGTGACGGGGCCTGGTGCCGTTGCGGGACGAGCAGTAGCATCTGATTCCACTGAATCACTCGAGGTTGCAGCCTGACTGTCGCGTTTTGGAGGCAGAGAAAGGTTCATCTCTGGATCAGGACTTGTGAGACGGCTGTCCGCCAAGAATGACGAAGCAGAAGATCTTTCCGAACGCAAGCTCGACTTGCCAGTAAGCGCTGCACTCGTGAGAGAGTGGTCGGAGCTTCCCGACGAAAGCGAAGGCGAATCCTGCGACCTGACCGACCCCGCCGAGCCGACTGGCGAAAACTTGGCACTGTTTTCTGAAGAGATACTAGAAACACGCTTGAGCTGCGCACTCTGGGCGGAGCCTGTGATCTGTGGGAATGCTGGTTTTTGTAGTGGCGATGGCTGTGCACTGGGCAGCGGCGGAACAACAGTCGACAACTCTGTGGCTGGAGTGAGAGGCGTTGCCACCAACGGCTGCGGGAAGTCGGTCGCCGTAGGAAGACCAAACTTGATCGTGAAGAAAAAGGTAGAGCCCTTGCCCGGCACACTACGGGCGTCCATCTTTCCTCCGTGCAACTCGACGAACTGCATGGAGATAGCTAGTCCAAGACCTGTGCCGCCGTGCTGCCGTGTGCTGCTGGCGTCGATCTGGCTGAACCGTTTGAACAGATATTTTGCCTCATTTTCGGTGAAACCTCGACCTGTGTCGACGACCTCAAACCGAATCACGGTCTCATTCTCTTCCAAAGCCCCTGAACGTTCTGGAGTTTGCAGCTTGCAGCGTACAAAGATCTCGCCCCGAGGCGTGAACTTGATTGCATTACCCACAACGTTCAGTAGCACTTGTCGAATGCGGAACTTATCGCCCTTGACCATCAGGGGGACGCCATCCTCTATCAAGTAGTTGAGTTCGAGTCCCTTCTGAATGGCCAGACCCATGTTAAGGTCGTTGACCTCTTCCAGGAGCGACGGCAGGTGCATCCATTCCATAGACAGCTTGATCATACCGGCCTCTACCTTTGAGAGATCGAGTATGTCGTTGATCAGGTTAAGCAGACTGGCAGTACTGGCATTGATGATGTTGACATGTTCCAATTGCTCTGCGTTGAGAGGGCTGTCTTGGAGAAAGTTGACCATGCCCGAGATGCCGTTCAGCGGTGTTCGAATTTCGTGGGACATGTTGCTCAGAAACCTAGTCTTGGCATCCATGGTCTCCTTCAAGGTCTGCTCGAGCAGCTTGTGATCGTTGATATCGGTAGCAGTGCCGTACCAACTCTCTTCGGCGCTGTCCTCGGCAAGGGCCTTCTCCAGCAGAATCCTGACAAGATGCCAGCGGTAGTCGCCATCCTTGCTCCGAAGTCGTACTTCCGTTGAGTACGAAGCACGGCCGTCAGCATCCTTGGCGACCTTTAAGATGCCGGTACTTGCTAATTTGGACAGCTTCGCCTGTGGCATATCCATCTTATCTGGCGTAGAGCCGGGACTCGTTACCGTCCTGTCGGTCTCCGAGGAGTCATCTGACGAAGACGAGTTTTGCGAATTGTGTCGAGTATGCTCCGGAGGGACCGAGGTTGGAACATTTGTTGTACCGTCGTCCGCGATGTCTGGTAGCTTGCACTTGATGACGTCGTCCGGATGAACATACTCCAAGAAGCCGTTGAGAAGCGCTTCTTTCTCTGCTTGGCCGGAGAACGTGGTCCATTGCGAGTTGCAAAATGTCAGACCTCTACGATTAGACACCACAAAAACGATCTGAGGACTAGAGTTTGCAAGAGCCCTGTACTTGGCCTCGGACGCAGCAGTCTCCTGCTGTCTAGCAGAGTTGAGCTCAGCAAGATGCTGCTCGTGGAAATCCATGTTGGTTCCGATCCAGTGGACAATCTGCTGGCGCTTGTTCTTCAAAGGCGCTACACGTGCATAGAACCATCTGTAGCAATTGTCGAAACGCTTCAAGCGAACCTTCTTCTGGAGCTGTTGACCTGTACGTAGAGACTTGTTCCATTGCTCAAGGTATGACTCGCGGTCATCCGGATGGATCGACTCCCACGGATCTTGGAGAACCTGCCGAGTGTCTTGCCCACCGTAGATTAAGAACTTCGAGTTCACCCAAGTAATTGCACCTGTTGTCGGTGCTGCTGTGAAGATCTGTACAGGCAGCGAGTCAATGATTGTGCGCAATAGACTCTCAGAAGGCGGCGGCATGTCAAACGTCTCGGTGATCGAATTTCTCCTCACGTGTCCGGGAGTTGGAGGCGCACGGCCTCCCGGCGTCGTCGCTGCCGGCAAGGACTGGAAAGATGATCCAAAGTCAGCACCATATGAGTGTAGGAACGAATGACCCCGCTGGTGCTGCAGCTTCTTTTCGTCCTTGGTGGTTCCCTGTTCGTTCCTTGGCGTGAGAGCATCGTCGTCGTGATACTCTACGACCGGATTGACGCTAGCCCGCTTCTCCGTCTTCTTCTCGGCTGTCTTTGGTTGGCTTGGCGCCATACTTGTTCTTTTCTTTGCATCGAAATAGCTCTCAACAGCTTCGCTCCCGGTGAGATGGCCTGGTGTGCTGCTAATAGAGTGCTTACTCGAGAAGCCCAAAGAAGCAGCATCCCATCCAGGCGTGCCAGTAATGGAGCCACCAGGGCTGTGCTTAGAGCGACCTGAATAATCAGACGGGCTAGTTACGCTCCCGGCTGCGGAGTGCGAAATATCTCCCAAATCGAGGTGTAACAGATCGTCAAGGCTCTCAGGGTCTGAAATGCTGACGTTCCCGGGACCTTGCCCAGTCACTCGCCGCTGTCTGGCTGAATTGATCTGGACAAGTGCATTGGTAAATTGCCAAGCGTTCGAGAAGGAGGTCGCGAGATGAGGCGCGAGGTTTTTCAGCGAGTTGGTCAGATTACGAGGGTAAGGAACAACTGGCGACAGGATGGAGAGGATGGCGATGGGAGCTTTGCGGGTAAAGCCTTCTTCGACGGGCGTTGATGCTTGGGAGTGGCCAGACTGTCGGCGGGATAAGCCTGGTGTTTGGGACGGTGTACCTGTATCAGCAGGGTGCATGACCTGAGACAGGGTAGGGTGAACAAGCGGAATGTGGATGACGGTGCTAGCCCTATCTATGCCAATGGCTTCGACGACACCATACTGTGTGTAGTCTTGGGGTGACTTGGAAGGGTTAAAGGTTTCCTCATCGACATTGCTAGTGTTGAAGAAAGGGTTTGCTTCTGCATCGGTTTGAATCGCCGGTGATGGTGCGGGCGACTGTGCCCACGGTGATGACGGATATTGCTCGTATTCTTCGTAGCGAGGTCGTAGTCCCAGGCTGCCTGTGACATGGCTACCTGGCTTGACAGGAGGTACGTGGCTGCGTCCAGCTTTGGGTGCCTCTGTTGTGGGAGCACCAGCCTTCTCGGCAAACTGCTTGTTTTCGTCTGTTTTCTCCTTCTCAGTCAGTTCTTCACGAGAGGTCGTTACGGATGTCGAGTAGTCTCGGGTCAAGGTGACCAAGCGTCCTCGTTCCAGAACGCGATTGACTCCGGTATTGTCGATCAAAGCGTCCGGTTCATGATCAAGGGCACGCAAGACATTAAAAACGGCAGTGGGCGTCGTTGGCTCTCCGCCAACGCTTGAGAAATCTGGGTCACTAAGCGTCGGATCATAATTCGAGCTCATATGGAAGCCAGAAAACGGGGACGAAGGTCCGTCAAAAGAGGCCTGAGAGACTTGCCTGAGAGGATGATCCCTCAAAGGCGCTTGCGAGGCATGACTGGCAGCTCGCAGAGGCCCTCTGGGTCTAACGGGCATCACAGGTGTGGGCGAGTCGAAAGGCGCGGTCTCGGTCTTCGGCCGCTCATACCCGGCAAATGAGTGGTGCGAGAAGAGCTTCGGCCTCCTGTCTGGTATGACGGTAGATGGTCTTTCCTCTGGCTGAGGCGTGGGCCGCGGTAGTCTGATATTCTGGCTCGGTGCATCTTGGTGTGTGGCAGCACGAGGGCTCTCCTTGCCAAGATTCGCGTTCCAGGTTGTCTTTTGCCCCCATGGCACGTTCTCAATGTCAGATGCATCTGCAGGCACGGCCAGTGTTGCCCGTTCTGCGCCATAGCACTCTCTCATGATGGTCGTCACGGCAGACCACCATGCTGCCAGGCCAGGCTCGGACCCAAGCTGCAACACCAACTCGTAAAGATTAGGGCTGGGGTAGCGGGGGTCCTCGACATCGGTGAAAGAGTAGCCCCTCTCGCCGGGCATGAATGGTGTGGCGGAGGCAGCGGGGGTGCTGGACTCGGAGGCCGGACGGTCTCTTGGCACGGCCCATTCGCGGGAATGTATAGCTGCGACGGTGGGCGACAGGCTGGTGAAGGGCATGTGGAAGGCCGAGGCCCATCGGGGGGTGGTGGCGACGGTGGGGAAGGGGTACGACGGGGTGCGGAGGGCGGCGTGGCCAGCAGGTGTGGGTGGCACACTGCCGCGGATGGTTCTGGCCGACTCGGTGGACTCGGTGGACACGGTGGACACGGTGGACACGGTGGCAGCGGAGGGCATGGGGCTCGGGGTGCTGGCAAAGGCGCCCTCGAGGGTGGGCGAGATGGCAGCGATGGGCTCCTCCTTGATCGGGGAGATTCTGCGGGCGCCCAGGCCGGCGGTGGCAGCGGTGCCGGCGACATTGCGCATGCGCTGGCGCTGCTGCTGCTGCAGGATCTGCAGCTGCAGGCTGCGCAGGCGCTCGATCTCCAGCTCGTCGGGCGAGACGTTGGCGTGCGGCTCTGCGGCGCGCGGGGCGTCGCGGTGCTCGCGGGCGTCGCGGTGCTCGCGGGCGTCGCGGCCCTCGTGCTCCTCCTCGCTCATGTCGGGGTCGGTGTCGGCGGCGGCAGCATCGTCGTCGTCGTCCTCGGGTCGCGGACCCGGCGAGCGCGGGTCTTGGGCAGGCGAGGTCCGCGGCAGGCGCTGCAGCGACGGGCGCGCAGGCGTCGAGTGCGTGGCGGGCGCGGTGGGCGCGGTGGGCGAGGCGTGGGTGCGGGAGCTGGTCGAGCCGGTGACATCAGTCGACGAGGGCGGCGGCGGCTGTTCTCTGGTCATGTTCTCAGCGCATCCCCCTGGCTCGCCCTCGATGGCGCAAGAGCGAAGGTGTCGTCAAGGGCCCGGCCCGGCTGGTGTTGACATTCGAAGGCTCGCCGTGCACTCGCAGGCCCGTGGGCGCGTGCGGCCAGTCCGGGCAGCCGTGCGGCTGCTGGATGACGTCGGCGGAAAAGTGGCCAGGAACACGGCCAGAGCGACGGCCACGCAGCGCAGCGCAGAGTCAGCAGGCAGCGCAGAGTCAGCAGGCAGCGCAGATGCGAGGCGGCTTGAGGCAATGGCGCTTGCGCCCGGGTATGGCAGACGGGGAGGTGCTGGCAGCGAGAATTGGCAGGTTGATGGTGGGCTAATCCCCTGTGGATCCCCAGCGGCGTCAGGGAACTGGAACAACTAAGCGGCACGCGGCTTCGCAGGTGTCTGCGCCAGCCCCGAAACCCGATCGCCTGCTCGAGCCCTGCGACGGCGCGCAGACGAGCAGCGCCCGCCTGCGATTCGCCGCGAGCCTGCCAGCCGGCGCCCGCGTCTGCGCCGCCGCCTCGACGCTTTCGACCGCTCGCTGAAGAGACCTCCAGCACCAGCCTACAGGCTACGTCACCGGCGAGCGCCAAGCCGCGCGCCGCCCGCCTGCATGCCTCCTGGCCGCCCGTCTCACTCGTCGCGAAGCCTTGCACGCAGCGCCAGAGACAGCGCACGTCGCGACCGGCTGTCTGCCAGCGCGCCCGCTGCTCGTCTCGCGCGACCTGCTGCGGCTGCCCGCCGGCTCGACGTGCAGTGTCCACCGTGGGCACCCCATCGGCAGCGCCAAATCGGCGTGGCTGATGTCAAAGTCGCTAGCGCCGTCTTAGTCAACACGCCCAGGGCAAGGCTACGGGTCTGGCAAGTCGCTCTTCGAAAGAGCCTCATGCCCCTGATAGGCAGGCCGTGACTTCACACTGGCCTCGACGCCACACTAGCCGCCGCCAGCAGCTGGCAGCAGCACGGGGCCAGGTGTTGCTCCAGGGACGCTGCAAATGCGCCGCCACTCGACTCTGGCAATTTCTCGCGCCTGCAACGTGACAGCTGTTGACAGCTGTGTCCTTGCTGAACTTTATCGATTCATGTCTTAGCCGAGCCACAGAAACCGCCAGTCCCCAAAGCGCGCTCACGGGTCCCAAGACAACACCGACCGTCTACCCCATACCTATGTACTGTCATGCACCTCATACTTCTAGACCCGCTCGAACCGCCTCGCATTGCCACTGTCTGGACACGGCTGCAAGCAACTCTAGAGCACCAGGCGCCCAGCTACTGTCTTTGACAGCTGCACCGTGTTTCAACATCTGAAATCACAATCGGCTCCTCTCGCAGCTCCAAGCCAGCATCTGCAGCCATGTTTCCCGTTTCGCAGGTGAACTGACCAGAAGGGTAGATCCGGCAGACAATCAGGCCACGTCCCCACTTAGTGGCCAGCACCCACGTGGAAAAGGCAAGAGGCGCCCGAAACAGACTCGAGGGCCGAGAACTCAGCGCCTTTGAGCAAACGGCGCACGAGACGAGCATCTGAAGCCGAGAATTCGCATCTCAAGCCGAGAACTCGCATCTCAAACACCGACAGCCAGTGTGGCGCCTGCAGCAAGCGCCAAGTTTGCTTCCCGCGCCACCCAAGTGCATGTACAGTACCTATACACTGCAATCCTCGCCATCCTAGACTGCACTGCAAGACCGTCGTGCGCCGGTCTCAGACGCACGCGAGCCCAGGTACACCGCACAGCGCTGCGCGCCGCTCACCAGGCCAACCAAGCTGCCAATTCCAATGCTCCTGCAAACAGTCTAACCCAGCCCAGGGCCGTGCCCACGCAGGCTAGAGGGCGGTGAGCAAACCCAACGCTCTTGCTCAGCACTGTCTCTCCGGTGCAATGGGGCACCCGTGCACGGCTTCCCGATTAGGCACGTATGGGAAAGGCGCCAGATCGCGATCGCGATCACGATGCGGCTGCGAGAGCCGGGGTGACCTGCGCTCCCGGCGCCCGAATCGTGCTGGCGCATGGGTTGTGCGATCTGTAGGGCGGCCGCTGGTACCCAAGTCTTGCACGCGTTAGTCCGGCACGGATGAAACGTCTGGGGGATGTGTGCTCACCGCATACGGAATCCAAACAGCGAAAACATAGCAACACAGACCAACACAACACAACTTTATAAGCACAAACGAAACCAAGATTATGACTATGTACAAGAAGTCCAAGAGACACGTGATCGTGTAGATTAAAAACGACATCCTCCACAGCAACAGCCCCCTTCCCTCCCTCCCCGCTCTCACACACCCATATACGTCCCGCTCACAATCCGCTTCACGCTCGGCACCCCCTTCCACGCCACGACTGGCGCCTCACTCTCTCGATTCTCCTCATCTGCAAACGGATCATCCTCCTTCTCCTCTGTCCCCGCAACACTAACCCCCAGCCCGGAGCCCAGAGCCAACGACTCAGCACCCGAGATCTCCCAGCGGGCCTCTGTATTCCCCGGCTTCGCGTCCGCGTCGGTGATGAAGCGGGCGCGGATACTCTGGGCCGGCGCGTCGCGCGCCAGCGTGACGTCGCCGAGCCGCCAGTAGATGAGGGCCTTGTCGCGTGAGAAGGTGCCTGCGGGTTTGGACTGGCACGCGGACGCGCGCGAGCCTGGCTCGAGGCGCACGATGAGCACGAGGTTGCGGATTGTGACGCTGGAGGCGCCGTGGAGGTCGAAGAGCGGATTGAGCGAGTAGTTGAGGATCGCAGAAATCTGCGACTGTTCTGCTTTCCACAGGGGGGTAAGGATGATAGGGGCTAGAGCGGCGGCGCTGGTATTCTCAATGTGGAGTTGGTAGTGGAAGGCGACAGAGGTCTTTGTGATCTTGGCCAGGTCGACGGTGTAGGCGCCGGGGTTGTCCTGGGCTTGTTCAATGAACGCAGGGTTTGGTGCGACTTTCTCAAGAACAGGGAAGTTCTCCAGACGGATGCGTTCGGTGCCGAATGGCCCGGCCGTTATGTCGGTGGGGTTGAAGGCGAGCGCCACTTGCCCAATGACCATGGCCTTGGTGACGTTGCCTTGCTCGAACCATGCACTAACGGTTTCTACGAGTGAAGCATTTAGCCCGGGCTCGTGCAGGTCCGGGTGCTTGACAGTGGAGCTAGCGGAGCTGCTCAATGATCGGCCCGATCGAATCGACTGGGTGTCTGATGCCGGTGCGGCATGTTCGTCAGAGAGCAAGGCTCTGTGGGGAAGCTTGGACACTGGCGAAGCGGGCTGTGGTGGGGGGATGATCGGAGGGAATACAGTAGGCGAGCTGGCGGTTGGCAACGAAGCACTCGACGGAGCCGAGCCGGTGGTAGGAAGTGCGGGTGGCGGAGATGACTCTCCTATGCTCTGCAAGTCTAGCACCGCAGGGTTAGGCACGAATATTGTGTTCCGAACATCGCGGCGTCCTCGAAGGGTGCTGTTGCGCTTAGGCTGTGCCGCTTGCTGCAATTTCATTAGACCGAAGTATCTCCAGAACTTGGATGTTGCTTACCGCACGCAGGGTGTTGACGACACTGGCCATGGCAGCGTCATTGTCCTCTCCCTCTTCTTGGATCGGTGCATTTCTGATGTCAAGTTTGAATTGGGGCGTGGAGCTGCCCTCGCCCTGGCTGCTACGTGGTGGTTAGCTCGTAGTTACAGTACAGATGCACGGATTTGCTTACAAGCCAGCCTCGCGCTCGGCTTCTGTGATTGCGTCAAGTGCTGATGGCGGTACAGAAAACCCCTCAGCGTCCTTCTCCGGCTCCGGCTTAGGTTCCGCTATTTGTGGAACGGCGAGAGGCTCCTCCAATTCGGGTATCGAGTCTTGCGTGGTTCCATTCACTGGAGCTGCTGCCGTCTCGTTTTCCTTGGGGGTTGCAGTGCCGAATCCGTTCGGCTCATCTACGTCTCTTGAAGGCGGTGGGTGGTCTGGCGTTGGCGCTCGTTCGGACTCCCGTCTCGATGATAAGCGCCTCAGCGGCGAGCGAGGTCGATCTGCTGACGAGGAAGGTGGAGGCAAATCTTTGTCCTTGTTTTTGTTCTTTCCAAATCCAAAGGCTGAGCCTAAGTTCGAGGACGACTTGTGTTCAGGCGAAACTGCGCGGCCGTATGGGTGAGCGCTTTGTCTCCGACGGCCAAGCACCGTACCAAAGCGCTTCAACGGGTTCGAGCTGTGCTTCTCGTCCTCTGTTCTTAGTCAGCAAATAAACCTGTAAGTTGGGACGAATCCATACTGGAACCGCTCTTCTGGCTTCGAGCGTCGTCTGCAGGGTTAGCTGCTGAAGGCACTGGAGGCGGGGCCAGATTTCTCGCCGGAGAGGCAGGCACAGGAGGGTTGCTCATCTTGCGGGTTGACTGTGGAATGTCTCCGCTCCGTAGTCTCAGGGACCAGGTCTGGATCTCGTCGGCTGTCTCAATTGTCAGGAGCACGTTGAGCGTGTCTTCCGCCGTGACCCTGCTCCGCTCGATCTGGTCGATCTCGTGTGTCTCAAACTGCGTCAGGGCGTCCCGCAGGTGGTTGAGGCGGCTCTCGTCGACGGCCTGCAGCTTCTCGTACACGAATGGCGCCTGCGAGTCCCACTGCAGCTCGGCGTTCTGCTCCTCCTGTGCGGCCTCGCCGACCTCAGAGGGTCTTGCCTTTGCGCCCTTGGCGCGCTGCTTCTCTGACTTCTTGCGCGCAGCGTCGAGCTCCTTGGCCATGGCGGTCAGGTTGCCCGACATGTTGCCCATGGCCTGCACATCGCGGTCGTTGGCGCAGAATTCGCGCAGGGGCCGCTCGACGTCGGACTCAATCTTGCGCGCGAGGTGCTCGTGGGAGGCGGCGACGGCGCCGGTTGCGCTCACGATCTTCTGCCAGGGCACGGAGAAAATGCTGGCGGCGTCAGTCAATGCGCGCGGCACACATGCAGTCGTGCGCATACCCCAGTTCCGATGCCTCGTCCGGCGGGTGGCGGTTCGCCAGCTTCCGCAGGCCCTGGACATACTGTTCTTCGACGCGACGCCGCTCCTGCGCATTGGTGAGCTCGGTGGCCTGATGCGAGTCTGGCGCGGCCACGCACCTGCAGCCAGTCGGCAATCTGCGTATTCAGTTGGCTCACGTGCCTCATGCGCCCATTGAGGACGTCGACGGCCTGCGCAGGCGAGAGCGCTTGCTACACGGCGTCAGTACGGAACGGGCGGCGGGAGTCGCGGCTGCTCACCAGAAGCGCCGGGTACTCTTTGCGCTGGAGCTCCATGGCGACTGCGGGGGTGGGCGCACAGTCACGGGCGGGCTAGCAGGTCTTCAATGGATGCGCCGCGGGAATCGCTCTGGCACACTCGGGGAAGGTGTCGTGAGAGCTCCCTCGACGGTACGTAATGAGGTTGGGGCGGCGCCGTAACGCGATGCGGCTAGCCCGCGGCATTGACGTAGTGCGTGGAAACAAATAATAAACGTGTTAGACCCCAGTGAGGATCCAGAGACACTGGCGGGGTCAAACCCAGCGAGTGACAGCTGCCGACGTGGATAGGGCCGCCACCAGGAAAATGGCACAGATGCGCTGGACCTGTCAGTCCAAGCCGGTGGACCCTGCTGCTTTGGGCCGCCGTTAGATGCTTCGGCAAGCAGCCTTCTTCACCTGACTGACCGCTCCTTTGTGGACCTGCAAACAAACAAACATCTTCACTCTACCTCCAGCCCAAATGGCTTCTCCGGACTGGCGAGCGAGCTTTGGCTTCGCGGACCGCATGCGCGCTGTTACCAAAATGCAAGTACCACCACACCCACGCACCGACCCCTGCACCCTGGTACATGCCTGGTACAGGGAGCACCTCGTCAGAAAATGCTTCCATCCGATATCGTAATCGCGATCCAGCGATTCAGAAAGCACCGCTGTTGTCCAAGTGACGACGTCTGCCAGCCTCATTATCTGCTATCTCGGCCTGCTCGGGCCATGCTCCACGGACAATGCTGCCTGACATGTATGGGTACCGCAGCTTGGTCAGAGGGTGGATCTTGTTTTGCTTGCAAACACGATATAAACTCTTTCGAGGATTCAGTGTGCTTCTCTGTTCACTTGTTTGCAATGCTGGCCTGCATCAAGCTAATATTCCGCAGAATCGACGCCTGCCATGCCTCAAATCCACTGCTTCCCGCAAGTGATGCGCACAGGGAAGCCATCGTAGCCGAGACTAGGATATACGACAAAGCCCGCTCTATCGTACGAGAACTGCACCGTTATTCGGTGGCTGGTTAGTGACAATCCTTTAGGACGAGTACGAAAGTTCAGTCGACGAGAAAGTTGCAAGTTACCCTCCACGGTTCCTCCAGTTTCCTACCCCAGAAGTATGTCTACACACTGCCCAACGTTCGGTACAGTGATCACTCACACATGCAAAGGACACGAAGTACGTTCCCACTCCCGGCGCAATCACAGTGGGCATGTATCAGAATGCTCTGTACTACCGGGAGGGTCTGTTCTCTGCCATCTACAAGGCTCCTGCTTTGAACGATGACGGCTACTTCCCGGAAGGCGCACCGTCGAGAGCCAATCTTGTTGCACTCAAGATCACCTCGCCATCGTTAATGGAGCCGCCGCACGACTCGAGACGCGAAGCCGAGATCCTCAGGAAAGCAGCGTGTCCCAATGTAATCCCCCTAATAGACACGTTCCGAGAGGATGGCAGTAGATTTGTTCTTGTTTTCCCGTTCATGCCATTCGATCTCGGCGTCGTGCTCCGGGAAGGCAAATTTGCAAAGCCCCAGATAAAGATCTGGCTGAAGGATATCTTCTCTGCTCTTGCCTTCATTCACGAACACGGGATCATCCACCGCGACATCAAGCCTTCGAACATACTACTAAAAAGTATCGACGGACCGGCCTACCTCGCAGACTTTGGCATTGCCTGGGCGCCAGACACAGCAAACTCCGAGGCAGCAGACGCAAAGATCACCGACGTAGGCACAACATGCTACAGACCCCCTGAACTGCTCTTCGGCAACAAGGCTTACAACTGCGCTCTCGATCTGTGGGCAGCAGGCTGTACCGTCGCCGAGATACTAGACCCCAGCCACGCGACTTTGTTTGATTCTGGCGAACTGGGAAGTGATCTGGCATTACTGCAGAGCATCTTCAAGAAGCTGGGCACGCCAACATTGACTCGATGGCCGGTATGTACAGCCTTCACAGAAGCGATTGTGCCAGCTAACAAGATACAGGAGGCAGAAAAATTCCCCGATTGGGGTAAGGTGCAGTTCCACGAATATCCTGAAGAGCATTGGGGTAAACTGCTACCGCGAGTCTCTGAAGAGGGGCAGGACCTCGTCTCAGAACTCGTCCGGTATGAGAGCGGTGCACGCATGACAGCCTTGAAGGTAAGCCTGTCTATACACTCCTAAAGGACCTCAACTCACCCGACCAGGTTCTCGAGCATCCATATTTTCACGACTAATTGAGGATGAGACTTTAATAATTTAGACAAGATTTACGCGCATATTAGACACAGATTACCCTTGGCAACAAAGCAAATAGACAAAAATTAAGCATAAACTGACATGTACCTTACTTGTGGAGATGACTGCGACAATGTCGTGCGACGAGGTCGTGTGCGATGTGGTCCCCTGTCCACTGGCCAGCGCCCGCTTTGACAGATGACACGCAGCGCATAGCAGATTTGTCAGTCAGCACAGGACCTCGTATACGCGATAACCCAGTAGATGCGTTCACAATTAGACTTCCCTCGAACCATGATTGACTGTAATGGTGTCGGCCATGCGTAACGGCCACTCTCGCCGCGTACAAGAGGTCCCATGTGGCAGCGGGTGATGGGCAAGGATGTCAGCGCTAGTTGATGCAGGGTTTCACCTTCCCGTAGGGCTGCACTGGGCTCTGGCTCCGTCATAGAGCGCGACAACAAAGCCACAACACCCCTGTCAGCAGCCGCCAAACATCCCTTCGCGGGTACAACAAAATCAGAACCGCCTGCATGTTCTTGCCATCCAGATAGCAGCTGTCCGGCGCCCACAGCCCTCCCCCCTCACCGCGTTCTGGCCTGTTACCCCTCCGAACGGGACCTACGCTCACCATGGCATTCTTATTCCGGAACAAGCAGAAGAGCAATGCCGAACTCACGCGATCGACCAAGGACCTCACTGTCCGCCTCAGCCAGGAAGACAAGCCGAATCCCAAGGTATGCATCCACGCACACTTGCGGCCCAACGTTGCTGACGATGCCAGCTGGAAGAGGAGCTTGCCCGGGACCTCCAGCAGATGAAACTGAGGCTCCAAGGCACGCCTGGTAATACTCCTGTTCTAACACGACTGTCGCCGAGCACTGCGTATGCTCGCTCGCAGAGTCAACGACGAATGCTGACAACAGCACAGACACCGAAGTCAATCCTGAACTCGTGTTCCAGCTGCTCTCGACTATCTTGAGTGAAGACCTACTCTACGTACTAGCAATGAACATACACAAACTCCCATTCGAATCTCGCAAAGATGCACAGGTCATCTTCTCGTCTGCCTTTCGCTACAAGCCTGCTGGTCAGACCGACCCTCAAGTGCTGCACCACATCGTACAATTCCGCCCAGACATCATAATAGCATTGTGCAGGGGCTACGACAGGCGTGAAAGTGCCATGCCATGTGGAGGAGTTCTGCGCGAGGCTCTTAAATACGATGCAATTGCTGCGTTGCTGCTGTACGATGAGGGCGAGGATGGGAAACAATTGGACCTCGCCAACGTCAACCCGGACATAGCCGCGTCCGGCAACGGCATATTTTGGAGGTTCTTCGACTGGATAGACAAGGGTGCATTTGAGCTTAGTGCGGATGCATTCAACACCTTCCGAGTAGCTACGCCCCCCAACTTTGAGTATTCAGAACTAACGAGAGCAGGAAATCCTCACGAAGCACAAGCCGCTTGTGGCCACATTTTTACAGACAAACTTTGAAATGTTCTTCTCCAAGTACAACAGCATGCTGATCTCGTCGGAGAGCTACGTAACCAAGCGACAATCTATCAAATTACTGGGCGAGATCCTACTCGATCGAGCGAACTACAGCGTGATGACGCAGTACGTGGATTCCGGCGAGCATCTCAAGATTGTCATGAAGCTGTTGCGGGACGACAGGCGGATGATCAACTACGAAGGGTTTCATGTGTTTAAGGTAGGTCTAACATCGGCGTGAACCACGAGAGCAGTGCTGACAGCGCAGGTGTTTGTTGCGAATCCCAACAAGTCCATGGCAGTACAGCGAATATTGATCAGTAACCGCGAGAAGCTGCTGCGTTTCCTGCCCAACTTTCTGGACGATCGCACAGAAGACGAGCAATTCATAGACGAAAAGAGCTTCTTGATACGGCAGATCGAGCAGCTCCCAGGTCAGCCGATCCCACCGCCTGGGGCAGCATAAGCGTGCTTTTGGAATATTTTCTTTGTTATTGCTGGTGAGCATGGAACGGAGTTAGGACGGTCTTGGATTCAGGCCTGAGCACAACAGTTGGCGTTGGCGTGACGCCGCATTTATTGATATGTTATCGCAATACAGGATGCATGGACTCATTTCTAGATGCGCAAAAGCGGTGTGAACCCTTGGTTTATTGTGAGACGTTCGAATAACATGTGGTATAGAGAGAAACGGCTTTCTTCATTATTGAGGAGCAGTGACGACACGTCAAGTCTGTGCACGTACCTCGGACCTTCACCAACCGCCGTCCACGCCCACTCCATGCGCCCACCTCGACCATGACATCGGCAGCAGACGACAGCACAACTCCTAGTTTTAGCTTCAAGCGCCGAAAGACGACACATACGAAGCGAGCACGCACCAACGACGCTGCGACACAACCCGGCGAACAAACTCACAATGCTGCACCACCGGCCGATGCGCCGGAGGATGCACAAGACGAGACGGAGTCAGTACCCAATCTGAAAGAGATTCTGCGCAATCGCAATCGAAAACGCCCCCGCGATCGTCCAAATGATGGCGCACGCAAGCCAGAGACATCGCAGACCGAGCTTGTGCAGGTGGACGCGCCGCGCGCAGACCAGTACACGAGTCGCTTTATCGCGCAGACTGGACAGGTGGTCGACAGCAGTGATGCACAGATGTGAGTGGGCCATGTCTGCCTGGCACGATTACCTCGACGCGGTGAAAACAGAGGCTAATCTCCCAGGAACACGTACGTAGAAGCCCGCATGGCTGAACAGAACTATCGCAAATACGGCTGGCCCATACCCGCACACTTACTATCAACTGTCGCCGCCATCGCGCCCGATCTCAAGCATACTTCCACCGGGTCTCCTGTGCAGGCCGAAGGCGTCCCAGCTACCCCAGCCGTTGATGACAATACCGATCGCAGCAGCAGACTTGCCGCGGGCCAGGGCAAGCTGGAAGAAGTCGTCCTCAGCTCTGACTCGACACGCACACACAAGGACTGGGCGCGCCTGGAGGGTCCGCCTCCAGCCCCCAAACAGCGCCTCGGCCGTGACGGAAAACCACTACGCAGTCGCAAGCGACGAACTAGCGATGCACTGCGCCGCGATGCCCTGGTTGACGCTGTGCTGCGCGAATCAAAGATTGAGTATTTCGAGTCTGCAACCGCGCAGCCGCGCTTCGCCGGCACCGAAGACGACATGCTCGAACAGTTTCGCTCTGACTACTTCGAGTCAATTGAAGAACGGCAGGCGCGCAAACCCGCCATGCCACCTTCGAAAGACCAGCCCAAAGGACCCAAATTGGGCGGGAGCCGGAGTGCGCGAGCAGCGATGCGGGAGCGGGAAGAAGCCGCCGCGAAGGGAAATGTCAAGAGGTAGAGTTTGTTATGTGCATTTTGCATGCTTGTTGTTGTTCTTGTGTTGTATGCGATATAAATGATGATGAGGTAAGCAGAATACTGATGTGTGGACAGTGAGACAAAAGTCAATGATGGAAGGCTCCTCAAGCGCGGGGAGTGGATGAACATGCAGGTCAAAGACAGGGCGTGGTATAGCAAGTGAGCAAAACGCATGTTCTGGACCGCGGTTATGAGTATCAGATGTGATTTGGCTGCGCTGGACACAAGTGATGCCAGAGCGATCCAAGCAGACATCCAAACGATGCCAAAATAACCATAGCACGCCCACGAGATATTAAATCAATCGGTCATTTAACACAGTCACCATCGCTCTAGACGTCGATGTGCTCCACCCAACGACGACGCGACTAAGACGGCGAGCTGCATGTACAAAGACCTTCTGTGGCGCTCACTTGGAACTCACGTGTGACAACGCCACGAACCGAACAAAGTCGATCTCTTGAGAAGGGGTTTGACTATTTTCGTAAAGCGCGAACAACACCCGTACTCCTTCCGTCTTTGTCCCCAATGCACCAGGTCACGGACAAAGGGCCTCGCGCGAGCACGTGCGAGGGAGCGCTGCGAGAATGTACTTCATCTCTATGCCGACTGATTTATCTTCGATGCCCTGGAACAATTCTTCCGCACACTCTTTCAACTCGGACAAGGGCCGCAGAACCCATCTCTGCACAACAAACCCTCAAACAACTTCAACCATCTCGACGCCTTTTCACACACTGCCCACCACTATGCCACCGTCTCTCTCCATCATCTCATCTCCCTTCAAACCCTCTCGTCTCTCAACACCTCCCTCGCCCTTCTCCCCCCGCAGCCCGCTCACCCCCTGCCCCCTCCCGAAAGACCTCTCGCACACACATACTCCTTCCACCGCATCACGCCCCACGCAACCTACCCCCGCTTCACCGCTGTACTGGCAATGGACATGCCACTCCTGCCGCCTCGCATACCCTCTCGGCGCAACGCGGCGCTGTCTCGAAGACGGCCACATGTTCTGCGCCGGGGAGACAATGGTGCGCAAGCGGCGCGGCGAGGGCGCAAGGAGCAAGATGGTACGGAAAAGGAGCAGGGCGTGTGGGAGTGCGTTTGACTATGCGGGATGGAAGGGTTGGGGGCGATGGCGTAGGAGGGCAAGTGTCAGCGGCAGCACCAGTATCAACAGTGGCATCAACACCAGCGCGGGTGCGGGTCTCACTCGCAGCGCCGGCATCGCAGGACCAGCGGCGCGCAAGAAGAACTGCTGGCAGACATGCGACTACCCCAGCAACTGCCGGTGGGGAACGAGCGTGGGTGTCGTCTCACCGCCGCCAACGCAGACGACATTCTGCAGCGACGTGTTGCCGCTCGAGACCTCGTCGCTGGGGAATTCGATGCTGAATACACCGACGTCGACACTGAACACCCCGACGCTGGCGACCCAGACCCTAAATCCACCGACACCAGCGCCGACGCTGGATCTACCGACGCTCACCCCAGACTCCCCGTCTTCAAACCCCACACGGCACTCCCCACAAACATCCCTCCCAATCCACACCCTCGCCGCCCGCGCCCGCCGCCGCAAGAGCCACGCACACGTGCACACCCCGCACGCTCTTCACGCGTGCGGCTCTCCAACCCCAACCACGCCCGCTTGGACAGCTGCAAGCGTAGATATCGAAATGCAAGATACCACTCCTGAGACCTTGGGTATCGCCCCGGCGCTCCTGGCGCTCGATTTGGCACTCGATAGGGCCCCGAGGGGCGTCATGTTTGCGTCGCTTGATATGCTTGCTAGTGCGACGGCGGGAGTAAGGGGGTAAGGGGCGGTTGTTGGGTGATGGGTGATCAGTCACGGCACTTGCAGTCTGGAGAAGCGTTGTTGTATTAGTAATGTGCCAGTGATCAGGGTCAAGGTAGTTGAGACAGACGAGCGTAGGAGTGAGAGCATCCGTTACTGGTGCATAGGATGGTTGATAGATGTACATTAGCTGGACTGATAGATATACACATGCAATAATGTAATATGCTCCGCACAGTATCTGGGAACATGCACTCTTCTTTCTTGTGTACCCGTCATTTGATCATTTGCACCCGTATTTATGTAAATAGTGGTTTGATATTAAAGCATTCAAGACCATCTACAAATCCAAATATGCTCAAACGCCATCGTATGCTTTGCGTTACCCAGCTCTATTTCTATTCGTAACAACCCTCGCTGGCCACGCCGCAGTCCCAACCACTCCACCGACATTCTACACCGCGTGCCATAGCAAGACCTTCTATAATACAGTACCCAAGTGAGGCGAGTGCGAAGCCGGTCAGAAGCTGGAAAAGATGGATTTGCAGAGTGTCGGACTGGAGTCTGGAAACCACAGGTCTGCAAGGAGCACCTGGGGGGAGGAGGTGTGCTGCAGTGAGCGTCGAAGCAGGCGACCTATCCCATAGTGTCCAGAAATAACCCCAAGCCGTAGCCAGAGAAAGAAAGTCGTTCGTGCGTCCTGCGATACCCAGACCCCAACAGGACTCTAAAGCACACACGCCCAGAAGAAAGCGAGGACAGTCGCAACCGGCAGCCCGATGGCCTGGATGCGGCCGCCCGCGCTCTTGGGGACAACGTTTGTAGCGACGCCGCCCATGTACCACGAGCCGATGTCGGTGAGCTTTCCGTCCTGGCTGAGCATAGCCGAGTTGGGACCAACGTTGGAGACATCGCTGCGGAACGCGCCGAAGTACGAGTAGTGCGTGAGGTTGCTGTTCAGATTAGCCTGTGCCGCTGCGGTCGTTAAGAAGAGTACTTACTCCCATCCGTCCATGGCGTTCTTGCTCATGTTGTAAAACTCCTGCGTCGCCTTGAGGTCCTGGTTAGGGAACCCGTACTCGGTGACCCAGACAGTCATGTTGGGGTATGTAGCCATGACTTGGCCGATGTGGCTGGCCATGCCCTCGAAGTTGCCGTACCAATGCACGGGGATGAAGTCGGGTGTGCACCCGCCATCGCACGCAGTGAACCAGTTCTGCAGCCACGCCCAACCGCTGGCGGCACCAGTGACGGCGGGAGCACCGAGCTTGACGCCGAGTTTCTTGAGCGGTTCGATCTCGGCCTTCCAGCGTGCGGCGGCCAGGTCAACGGGGAGGGACGATCCACCAGTTGAGTGAGGGCCGTCGGGCTCGTTAAAAGCAAGAACGTAGCTGATGTTTGCGCCGCCGTCGATTTGCCTCTTGACTGAGTCGTAGAAAGGTGTGCCAGTGTCACTGTCCGAGGCACCCCAGAGCATGGGCACGAATTGAAGATTCTTGTTGTTCTTGTAGGCGTCAGACGGCTCGGGCTTGTAGTTGTAGTACCATGTCAGGTCGCCGGTAGTCCAGATGTTGTCGTCGCTGGCGAACTTTTGGTTTTGAGACGGGACATAGACAAGGCCTCGTTTCGGTGAAGAAGACTGAGCAGTCGCGAGGGGTGCGAGAATCGCGAGGCCGGCAAGGGCAGAGAGGGTGGTCGAGTGCATGATCGCGGTATTGTGTAACCAGGGTGTTGCGATTAACGATAATTGTGCTGGTTATTATGCAAATGAACGCGAGCAAGGTAACGAGAGGACGCTGAGCAGTCGACACAGCAGGAGCAACAAGCACTTCGCACTCAGGGTCAACTTCAGGCAGGCGAGGAAACAGGAAGGTTCGAAAGAGCAAGAACTGAGACTGTGGGAAGACGCACAACCTTATCATCCAAAACGTACCAGGGTGCTCAGGTACGCCATTGCGCGCTACTCTGCAGAACCCTCGGCCAAGCGCGAAGCGAAGCCTGTCTGCAGTGGGTAGCGAGACAATTAGAGTAATCGATATCTGTAGACGGACGATAGTGTTTCTTAGGGAGACCCGAAATAGGAACCTCTAGATCGCCGCGGATCTCCCGCGCTCGCCGGCGTCTCGTTCCTGCAGAGTGCCATCCAGATCCGGTACAGCTCCGCTGCCAAAAGCGCCATGCCGCGCTTTCAGCCTCACCATGTGGAAATAAGCAGTACGGTGATTGTCGACCCAAGGGAGTGAGAGCTGTCAATTTTTTGCGTCGGGTTGTTCTGCAGGTTGGCAACGCTACTGCACTGCAGCGGCCGCTCTAGGTCTGCGATAATGAGAATCCATCTGCAGGTTGCTGCAGATAAGCACAGTATTGATTGCCCAGTAGCCGTATGCGTTATCGACAGCAGCTCCAGAAGGTCTTGCGTTTCTCGGCGAGTAAGTTCAGTGCTCGTGCAGCACACTCGAACGGTGCAAGTCCTTCTCAGTGAGGCCTGGGCAGATTCAGGGGTGCCTAGGCTAGCTCCCAACAGTTGCGTTCTTTGTGTAAGCTTGGCTAGCAAATCATTCTGAGCTGGTACTGGCTGCAACTATGACAAACCCTCTCAAGTGCTTACAGACAGTCTCGAATACTTGCAGCCACCTCAGGTGTGCACGTGATAACGTGACAACGTATTTGGGTATAATGCTATTGCTACCTCTACTTCTTCTTACATACAGAAAATACGCTCAACTACACTGCGCGCCCCAGGCCGCATCGTTAATTACAAATATGCTGTGGAATGTTCATGTCATGGGTCAAGTCACCTGGCAATGCGCTTTGTCCAGGGCCTGCCGACAGAACACTATGTGTGTTGGTATTTCGCCGCTCTAGATATCAAATATCGATTCCTCGATGCCACTCCATCTTGCAAACAAAGGAAATATGCAACCCCGGATTTACAACTTTTTGGGTATCATTCCTCCTCTAGTACGCGTATCCGCTTTGGTTCCCCTTTTGGGGCTGCCACGGTGCGTTGTTTGGCTGGGTGTAGCCAGTTTGTTGTCCAAATTCCAGGTCTGGCAATCGCGGCTGCGGGCTTGCAGAGCGGTTGTGGTCGTCGCTGTAGCTTGGTGCGTGACTCGGTGTCCTGCCGAATGTCGAAGCATCGGCAAGGAGATGGCCACGGTCTTCTTCGAATCTTCGGCCGCTGTTGTAAGCGGTGTTCTGGTCTGCGAGAGGTACCACGTCGTAGCCAGCAGCACGAGGCCCGAATGGTGAGGGCAGAGAGCTGCGCTTGTACTCTTGAGGATCCATGAGGAGTGAGTTACGAGCGTCAAGAGGGGTGAGGTTGTCGAGGTCACGAGCCTTCTCTGTATGGATGTTAGAATGAGCACGTACAAAGCTAATGTGGATGACTTACCAGCCTCCTTCCTCTTCTTACGGTGGGGGTTCTCCTTGAAGCAAATGATGATCGCGTTGACTGCAATCAAGATAGCCAGGACACCAGTCAGAATAGCCTGCACAACGACGAGAACCAGACCAGTGACGGTCTTTGTGGTTTGCGTCATGCCAAGCTCCTCGACGAAGACCAAGATGCACACAACGGAGAGCACACGGACGACCTGGATGGTGATGTTGATCCAGTTACCGGATTTGAGCGAGTATGGTCGCGCCCACAGAAGGACGGTAAGCAGAAGAGCTTCCACGATGAGCTGACCGGCAGCTTGGGCGAGACCGTGACCATCGGCACCAGCAATAACGCAACCGCGAGCGAAAGCATAGATGATGGCGGGGATGAAGATCCACCAGTAGCTCGTCTTATAGTTCTCGTAGAAGATGGAATATTTGCGCCAGACTTCCTTGTCGTCGTAAAGGGCAGAGTTGCTGCCTTCCATCTTCTTGAATTTGTTTGCAATGCTCCAGATCCTCCAGGTGAAGAAGGCCAGGACAGCAGTAAAGGCAGCCAGTGTGACACCAGCAAGTACCTTCGGACCCCATGAGTCTCCATTCTTGAACTGGTAGACACAGTAAAGGACCCAAATTCCATAGAGAAGCATGATCAAGTTGGTAATAGTCTTGGCAAGAGTCCACCAGTAACGCTTACGGAAACTGGTCAGACGCTTGGGGAAAGTTCCAAAAAGAGCCCAGGTCTCAAGGATGACCTTCAGAAGCAGGATACCGACAGTGATGGCGGCGATGACAATCGCAAACCAGAGAAGAACAGTCATGAAAGTGTTGCCGTTGGGGATCTTGTACTCCTCGACGTAGCCTTGGATGCCCTTGACCGCATGCATAATCTTGTTGTCCTCGCTGCCTTCGGTGGTGCCGTTGACGGTGGTCTCAAGTCCGTCACGGGTCCATAGGACAACGTCGCTGATTCCGTCAAAGCTGCGCTTTGTCAAGGTCATGTTCTGATCGACGTGCACGAGCGTGACGTTTGATAGAAACTTGACGCTGTTGGTGGTGAGATTGCCTCCTGTCTTCTCCCGAAAGTTGTCGATGGATGTTTGCATGCTGTCCCAGTAGACCAGACCTGTGCTGAAACCGAAGTTCTTCGACCAGCTTCGGTATACACCAGGAATATCAGCGCTCATCATACCGTTCGCGGCCATGCCCTGGAACCAAAAAACGACATCGCCAAAGGTGGGACTCGAGTGGGCGACACCAGCTTGGCCAGCACCGGCAAGCGCGGAAAGACCTCCGACAGCCAGAGCAGCACCGGCAATGCCGGCTGCGATGTAAGACACGCCTTGTGTCGACAGCGACTTGCCGTTACTGACTTGTGAAGTGATACATGCGAGTTCCGCGCCGCCATCCTTAGCAGTGAGCTGCATCGTTGCCTGGCTGTCGATGTCAGGGATGTTGAATGCGATAGCTGGAATCTGCTCGATGTATTTCTCTGGGATGCTCTGTTCTCCGGATGCACCGAAGGTGCCAGCAGGTACTGCCTGAAGTTAGCAAAGGCGCAAATTCTAGGTGTTAGGCAACCCACCGGGACACAGTTGATCCACCTTCATGTCTCCTTCACAGGGATCAAACGTGTTGCTGTACACTTCTCTTCCATACGCGTTCACCTTCAGGGTCGCCATGACCTTCTGCTCCTTGCCGTTGGTACCCGATACATCGAACTTGATCTTCTTCGTCGTTCGGTCAAACGAGATGTCGAGCTTGTTCACTTTGATGTCTGAGTCGCCATTCAGACAGGAACTGTAACCATTGGTTTGCAGAACGTCGTTGGCGAGAGCGCCCAGTGGCGCCGAAGCCAACAGTAGGAACGGCGCGAGCATGCTCGTGTATGAGCAGTGGAGCTTCATGTTTGCCAGCTTACGCCCGCAGGCGGTCGTCGTGAGAATAGTCCAGGGGCGAAAGGATCGCAGTCGGTCAAATATGCGTATGCGGCGATGAGTGGTGTATATGAAAAAGTCGTTTGCTAGGAAATACGAAAGCTGATTAAACGGGGTTCGGCCGTAGGTTCAACCTCTCTCGTGCCTGAAGAAGCTGGTGGAGAGGCGATAGTAATGATGCAACAGAAAGTAGGAAACCCCAGTAAGAGACCGGACGGTGCGGAGAAAATCGAACGTGAAACGAGAGACAACGACGAAGAAAAGCGCCGAGCAATAAGTGTGTGAGAAGCTGGAGACCGCTGGAGACGGGTTGGGGAGAAATGGCAGGTTTAGGGCCGTTGCTGAAACCTTGGCCGTGCGGTTGGGCAGGGGTAACTGGACCGCGCGTCCCGCTAGGATCAACAATGGCACAATCGTGCTTTATCGAAGGATGATCGAAGAGCGGCAGAGTTCGAGAACCGCTGAGATTTGCGATGGGAGGGTTGCGATTGTGAGTTTGCGCGACTGCGCGGGCTGAAGACACAGGGTCGTTATAACTCGAAGGGCTGCAACATGACACGCGCTGCGCTCGCGTGCTCGGCCACGATGAACCACTGGATGCCCACAAGCTGAAGAGTGCGACAGGAGGGAAGCCTATCAGAGGCGTCCCGTCCGCTCGAGACCGTGGTGGCTCAGTTAGCGACGGCGAGCACGTCCGCCAAGTCGCCCATCTCGTATCCACAAAGAGCTGTACTCTGACAAGCGGAGCGCTTGTTCAGCTGCAACTCCGCATTCTCGACACCGTACGTTGCTTCTTTGAGCCAGCAAGAGGTCCCCCGACCGCTGTCTGTTTACTCCCCGCAAGATGGTATTTGGTACTCGTTAAAGGAAGCCCAATGCAGCCCCTGGGTCACGCTGAACCCGGTGAGGTACATCTCCGCTTGTCGATGCTTCTTTGGTCGCATCTTGTGGCTGTGCGAAACGAAAATAGATCCTGGCCACCTAACAAGACATTTTCGTCAACGGACTGAGCGAAGCTTTATCTGTGGTGACGTGTGATGCGATGCAAGGCTCGAAATACAGCCTGTGATATGTCACAAGCAACGAACATTCCACAATGTCGTGGTTCGCGCACTTTGGTTGGCTGAGAGACACCGCTGCTGTGCTGCATCGATAGTTGCACCGCAGGATGGAAGCTTGGTATCTCGGAGTGCCAGTCAGTAGCAGCAGGTGACGGCTGCTAATTCTGGAGATAACCCGTCCGTCGTACGTTGTGCTGCATCTGTTGAGTGCTTCTAGCCTTCGCCTTGAGAGCCGGCTGCGACGGTTATTCTGCGACGCTTCGTGTATGCAGCTGTCGCAACCACAAGCTTTAGTCATCATCTGTGAAAGGCTTCACGAACTGTGGATAGCTTCGTTCACGTGCACTGGCAATGGCTTCCGATTCATGACCCACAATCGACCGAACCCCACCTCCGACCGAGCACCAAACGGTTGCTGTTCCACAAAGGAGTACCTAGGCAGAGTTTCTCTAGCTGTCTGATTTGGTGACATCGGGTATGCTAGGCTTACTTTGGTACGCTTACAGTACATAGGTGAAAAGAAGGCTGTGTGGCACTGAAACAAAGAACTTAGCGAGCGCTATCCAACAATATAGGTCTCAGCATGCAACACAAAGAAGAATTAGTATAGTTCTACTGTTGCTGCCATTCAGACGTCTCTGGTGCGGCTGAACAGGCAGAAAAACTCTCCTATTACATAGCCAAGCACTGTCCCTTACCGCCTCCTTGTACAGCCTAGCAGAATCGATATTCACCTGATTTACTTCAGCACACGTGAGCGACGCTGACTCCTGAAGTCAGCGAAGTACCCAAACCACTATCAATCTCGTACAATCGCCACTGCGCTCTAATCTAACCCTGGAGTCATTTGATTGATTTCATCTCTCCACGGCCCACCTTTACACAAAAGGAGGGATCCGTTACCGAATCACCGACTTCCTGCGGGTCTTGTGGGTATTGGAGGACGTCTGGCTCATTGCAGATGTCGTCAACGGCTTTTTATGGATGAGGCTCAAGCTGTGAGAGCACGCTTGCCTCGGAGCATGTAGCAGCGTTCCTAACATGTGTCGGCTCAGGCCCCTCAGACGACTTTGGTGATGAAGGGAAATTGCCCGCGACTCAGTCTGTGGTCGAAGGATGCAGTCGCTTGCAGCACGAACCGTAAGCGGCCGAGCGAGGCTGCTTCTGGCGGAGACTGGCAGACACTCCCCTACATCCGCGATCAACAGTTGAGTAAAGCTGCCTAATCGGGAAGTTTCGATCTTCATTGCAAAACTCGCGATGCGCCTGAAGGATGAGCCAGCGCCTTCCTAGCGAAAGTTAACACGCTGTACCCTACCTCTGTCATCCACGCCTTGACAGAACTTGCCCCATCTAGCAGGTTGATCTCGCTTGTCGAGCAGAAGCACCTGCAAAGTCGCGGAGATGAAGCAGAAAGTAATGGCAGAGGCCAGTTATTGGTGTGTGAACACCAATGCCTGTTCGTTTGGAGGAAGGAGGTCAGCTCCACACCACGAAAGAGACAACCATGTGAGCGAAAGAGGTCAGCTTAGTTCACGATGGTGTACATTCCGAATTCTAGGATGATATTCTCACAAGAGGCCAACCTCGCCTTCTAACATTACTGTACAGTCTACCAGATACACGATACTCTCCACCTAGCTTCACATTAATCAGAACCGGCTGATATCACGACCAAACACCCAATTGACAGCCCTGCTGTTGTTAGTAGATGTTTCTGTATCTTCGTCGTTGGATCACTTACCAGTAGACCGGTACCAGGATCTTGTTTCTCCAGCTGACTGTCCTTGTCAGGTATGCACCACGCCAGATCGCCCAAGCAATATAGCCTTGTAGTCTCCCCCACTTGCCACCTTGGAACAAAGCGTCCCAGTTGCCTATGTATGCGAGAGTTCCTAGATCACGGAACTTGAAGCCAGCTTTGTCCAGATCCTGTTTATTGAGTCGCTTGGCTAACCAGATACCTTTCTGCGAAGCGACCTGCGCTGTAGCAGGATACGTTGTCCCTTCGATGATGCCGCAGTCCCCGAGAACATAGACATCGTCGACGACAGCTGCGACATGCTTGTCGTTCTTGCCTTGGGGTACAACCTTCAAACGCAGACGGTCGTCGGTAATGATCGATCCAGACCTCTCGTCCTTCTTGACCTTCCATGCTACGTCTTTGGCGAAACTGGGATCCCCTGCTGATTCGACGAGTCGCAGATTGTCTGGTACTGCACGAACGTTGCTGAGAGCCTGATGCACAAAAGGATTCTGCATCAAGCCAGTGCTCCACACGCACATGCCTACACCAAGCTCCCCTTCCTCCTTGATCTTAAGCGTGAACAAGTTATATTCGTCCTCGTCAAGGTTACTTCGCTCAAACGGAGAGCCTCGGCTCAGCTCTTCGACATGATGCTTGGTCTTGATGTCAATGCCCTCGCGCTTGAACTTGTCCATCGCGTAGTTGGCCAGCTTCTCATCGAACATGGGCAAGACCTTCTCTGCCACATCGTAGACGGTGATCTTGTGGTATTTGATCAATTCCGGGTAGATTCTGGCCAAATCCTCGTTGACAAGATCGTGCAGTTCGGCACTGAACTCAATTCCAGTGGGACCACCTCCGACAACTGCGAAGCTCAACAACTGTTTCTTCATCTCCTCCGGGGTGGTTGGTAGTGCTGCAGCCTCGAAACACGCAAGCAATCGGTTTCGAATCTTACGCGCATCGCCCACGTCTTTGAGGAAGAAGGCGTGCTCTTTGACACCCGGAGTGCCAAAAGTCTGACTGTAGCAGCCAACCGTAACGACGAGCTTGTCGTATGTGAGGTCAAACGTCTTGCCTTTCTCCACATCTGATTGTTTCTCCAGCGCCCTCTCCTCTTGACTCTCACCTTCATGGCGATCTTTGGTCAATGCTAAACCCTGGGTCGGATCGTCCACTGCCTGCTCAACTGTAAGGGTCTTATTCTTGAAGTCGACATCGTCTGCCCATCCCTGGACGAAATCGACCTTGGTGCGCCGGCTCCTGACTGGTTCAAGCGCAGTTCGAAACTCCAGTGTTCCGACAGCTGTCGAGGCGAGAAGTGGGGTGAATGCAAAGTAGGATCTTGGTGATACTACCACAGTTTGGTATTTCTTCGCATCAAGCTGTCTTGCAACGGTGAAGCCGGCCCATCCGCTCCCAAGAATGACGACACGCTCTCGATCTACGGCGCTCTATCAGATGAGTATGGAAGTCTGCGCAAAGTTACATACTGTCTCGTCCAGAATCTAGCTGGTTTATGGTTATACATCGCTGCTGCTGTGAAGTATATGTGGTGGTCAAGGCACCAAGCTGCGGACGCGTTATTGCTTGCAACAGCTGTCGTTTCGCAATCAGCGGAAGTCTTGTGCAACTCGCATTCTTGACGATGATTTGCCGAATGTTCGATGGCAGTTGATGTATGCGCGATAGCTGAGCTGTTGAAGGCATGCTAGCCGGTCAGAGCGAAGAAGGCAATGGAATTGCGGTGACAAATTTGGATCAAGTTACGATGCTTCAATTGAGGATCAATGTTTATTTGAGCTGCGTCTGCTTATGGGTAACTTTTTCTGACCCTGGTCGGGTGCGAGCGGAAGTAACAATGACGCATGTCGGCGTTGTCGGACAGCATCCGGCGCTGTTGGCGCCTCGGCACTGGTAAGGCTCTTGCTCCAACACGCACTATAATGCACAAAGATTGTGTAGTAATATTTGAGGTTGTGCAAATGTACGACTGTACTTTGAGAACAACGATAGCAGCGAATCGCCTTGGTATGTACTGACAAAAGGTGGAAATTGTACAGTCTACATTGCGTCAAAATCATCTACGAACTGCCACCCAACCTTGTGGTTTACATCTAGAAATAGCTTTGTAGGACTAGAGTCGACTACAATCACGCAAATTAACGCTCTCGCATCTTACAAAAGGGTATCTCCAAGGGCACAGCGAATGATAGAGTTACCCGCACGAATCGTGTCGCTTGCGCCTACCTCATCCAGGCTGGGGTTGACCTCGACGAGATCGAGCGCGATCAGAGAACCGGTCTCTGCCACACATTCCGCAATGAAGTCTCCTTCACGCAGCGTCAGGCCACCTCGAACAGCGGTGCCGGTGCTGGGTGCCCACATTGGGTCGAGTGCATCGATGTCGAAGGACAAGTGAATGGGAGTATCGCTGCCAATCCAGGCCAACGCCATATCCATGACCTTGCCGATACCGTGCCTGTAAATTGTTAGAATCTGCATGCAATGAACAGTTTTGCAGCCGTGACTCACCTGTCAACGTCGTGCATCGAGAATGCCTTGATGCCGTGCTCTCTCAGAATCTTCTTCTCGCCACGATCGATGTCACGGAGACCGATGTAGACGAGCTTTTTGGTACTGAGCATGTGCTCTGGCTTCAACCACCCAAAGCAGTCTTCACGGTCCTCCTTGGCGAGACCTGTGAGGAAGGCAACGGGCATGCCGTGGATGTTGCCGCTGTCAGATGTCTCAGGAGTGTTGATGTCAGCGTGGGCGTCGACCCAGATGACTGCAATCTCTCGCCCCAGCCTCTCGCGCACAGCCTTTGCTGTTCCAGAAACAGTGCCCATGGCAATAGAGTGGTCACCACCGAGCGTCAGAACGAGCTTGCCATCTTTTGCGTAGTTGTAAACTTGGTCGCTGACTTCTTTTGTGACAGCGCTGACAAACTTCGGTCGCTTCATGCCGCGGTAGTCAGGGTCGTCGGCTGGCAACATCTCGGCGTAGTTGTGTACTTGTCCATCGAAAGTCACTTTGAGGTCCAAGTCTCCTTCCAATTCGGTAATCAGGCCAGCTTCAATAAGTGCCATGGGTGCAGCATCGACACCAGCTTTTGGCTACACAACATGTTAGTTGTTAGATTGCCACACACTCGTTCAGGAGACTTGCCTGGCCACCGCTGAAACCGACTGCAACTACGCCAACATCCTGACGGCTGGGGAGGAACTTCGGTTGAATGCTTGGTGAGGCGGACATTGTGTGCTTTACCAGTGTTAGCAGTCGGGTCACGTGCTAGTCGTTCAACAAAGGCGAGCTGGGGCACGGAGGGAAGCGTGCCAAAAGCTGAGGCTGCCAATAGGGTCGAGTTGAGTGGCTTACAGGACGACTGAGGAAAATTTTGGTGTGCCAAAGTGTTATGGATCACAGTGTAGAGGTACAAGCTGAAAGCGGATTGATGTACAGGTGATGTGAACAGACAACGAAAATGAACACAGAGATTTGGGAATGCTGTCGGAAGGAGGCCAGCTGGCGGTATTTATCATATTCGCTCTTGCCGCGCTTCTTACGTTATTGACTTCACCGATTTTTCTCATCTCGAGTGCAACTGCTTTTAAGGTCAACGAACCGCTTGTTTTATCACTTAGGAGAACAGAGGGCGCGCTTTTATCTAGGAACCCCCACTAGGCATTCCAGGTCCGGCGCGATGTCGGAAAGGGCAGCTGCTTGATGGAAAGCGGTTTCATCGTTGATGGCACTGCTTCAGGTGCATCAGATGCAAGCACAACACAAGATATCGCAGCAACAGCGTGGAGTTGCACAGGAATGTTGTTGTTCCCCGCAACATTCAACATTAGGCTGCTCCTTCCTCTGTCTGGAGCGCCATTTGCGTGATTGGCCGACATGCGGCCAACTGCGGCCAGATCGTTATCGCTGCTCGGCTGCACCAATCGCTTTGTCTCGGCATTACCCTCATTCAGCCGCGTCTACCTTACCCAACACGAAACCACGAGATCACGAGGTGGAGCCGGAGGTAAGCCTCCCGTCACACGGGCAGCAACCGGGAGATACATCAATGGATGTTTATGTGACCGGACAGATAGGCATCTAGGACCTGTCAGCTGACGCAAGTATTCAGAGATTGAGTTAGGCCGCCCGAAAACGTCCTCCAACCCAAGCGAATTGAGAAGATTACTACACATATCTAAGGCCCATCCGGTTATTCTGAGACGATATTGTTTTGCAGCTCGTGGCCTCCTGACACAATAATAGGAGCTGATGACGCCGGCAATCCGATTCGTAGCTGGCAAAGCAGCTAAAGGCCGCTTTGCAACCGGTTCCATTCAGCTCCTTTGCCACGTCAAACCAGGAGCCAGTGCGAATAGAGAAGGAATTACCGCCGTTGCAGACGACATCATTGATATCTGCGTTGCGGCACAGGCAAGAGAAGGAGAAGCAAATGCAGCAGTCAGGACCATCCTCGCAAAGACACTGAAGGTACCGAAGTCTGATGTTGAGATCGCGAAAGGAATGAAGAGTCGAGACAAGACCGTCTCAGTTCAGATAGGACCAGACATCACACCAGCTGAAGAGGTTGAACGTATGAGAACCTTGCTATTAAGCAGCGCGGCTCAGTAAATGTTGCAGTGTGTACGTCTAGAGCACAGACCCATTATCTCGTTCCACCGATTACATTATTCATTAAATCTCGATCACGAAAGTTCGTAGCCTGGAGGCTCCAGGACATCTAGTACTGCCACGCACCAGGCTCGTCCACCGAGGCTACAAGGGTATCAGCAACTGCATACACGAGAAAATGGGCTCATAACTTACAGGTAAGAGCACTGAAGCCAAGGCATTCAGAGCTGGCCTCGAAGTCCTGGGTTTGGCCATAGACCTGGTAGCCCTGGTCGGCTGCACCAACAGGGCAAGCAACGAAACCAGTCTCGAAGTTAAGGTAGCCGAAGCTGTTTCCGTTTGAGGGAGCATCTTTGCTGAACTGATCGACAATTGCGCCAGCAGGGATAGCGGCCGAGTGAGCTTGCGTGTAGCTCAGTGCGCCGTCGGCAGCGACGTAGACCTGCTGGCCACCCGGAACAACAACACCGAGAGAGAGTGTCTTGTCGCCGCCAGCGAAGACAGTGCTGTTGCCAGGAGGGCAGGCGTCACCGACAACCTCGGGGCAGTAGCTGGAGGGAGGACCGCCCCCGAGGTAGAACTTTCCACCACGAGCCGTCAAGGGCTGGAGGTGGATAGGTGAAGCACTGCGGGCTGAGATGACGCCGAAGTAGCCTGGACCGGGCTCAGGAGTAGGGGTTGGGCTAGGAGGAGTCGCGTAGCCTGTGGAGGTCACCTTGGGAGGAGGAGCATAGCACTCTCCGGCGAGAGCACCAGCGACAAGACCTGCGAAAGCGAGTGTGTACTTCATTGTGGAGAATGTAGCGATTGAATCAGATGGAATGAATAGATGGAAGCTGGTACAATGGGACTACAGTGCAAGGCGGCCTCTTTATACCTTCGAGAGGGGTATCACAGTAGTGCACTGCATCTGCACTTCTTCACGCCGTTACCCCACTCCACTATATTGGGCCGCTGCATCATCAATTGAGTAAACTCGACCAGCCTTGAGTACCTTGCACTAGCGGCATGTTCGTATGGAGCGGTTCTGCGGAGCGTTGCATTGTGTCGTTCCACACGCAGCTAAATCACATACACGATGCTGATCGCCTCGTGTTCAAGTGCCATGGGTGCCGGATCGCCATTGGCTAATGATGTGTGTGGCACCAGGATACTCGGCTCGGGTGTCATTAGCCTTAAGCGATGCGCATCATCTGTATGTTTTTACGAGGTTTCGATAGTCACTGATAGACCAGCGTGGAGGTCTTCGGGGTGGTTAGCACCAGCAAACAGGCTATCGTGATACTGGATTGTGTCTACGTTCTATGCTGATGGCACAGACCCGTATCGAGTAGCAAATGTGAGCGCCACCGACGTACGGAGCAAAAGAGCGCGGAGTTCAAAGTGAGGTTGGAGCCCCGCTGTGCACGCCGCAACCGCAAGCTTAGCTCTTCCCCAGATCGTCCTTTCCAAAAATAGCAATGGTGTTCCTCGCGCTCACTGGGTGTATACCCATAGCAACATGAGTGGTTCCGCTCGCAAATATCGGTCCCTTGGCTCGTGCACATTACAGTACGGTGAGGGTGACATCCACGCATATGGCTGATCAATATAGCGTGCACTGCAACGGTGCAGTGGCGTGGTCAGCGGAGGATGCGGCTCTCACGACGCTTATGGCGCTTTACGATGGTGACTGAGGCTGACTGTCGTGCTTCGTTGTGGCGCAACTGACAAATCCCGCCTCGAATGTCATTTGCAGCCGCCGTTGTCGTATGACCTGGCGTTTGAGTTCGCAATCAATGCTAATGAAAAGCTGAGGGTACGAGGTACAAGGTGACGGCATTTTGTTGAAGAGCCCCGGTACTGTGTACCATACCTGCACAAGTTTGGCCCGGCGCAGATCTCCAATGGTGCAACCAGAACTGTGCGAAAACATTCGGCCATCCAGTCTGCAAATTAAATGGCTGATGAACCTTTCAATTGCGACACGTGTGCGCCTGCTGGCTCGAGTCTTCAGGACGAAGGCTGTTCTTGCAAGAGTATGACCGTACGATGTTCTTGCAGAGGTGATTGGATCAATCACTGCTGTGGGTCACGTACACCCTGCATATTATACAATTACGTTACTGTACATTGCTGGCCTGGTGAGCCCTTGCTTGTGGATGTAGATTTTCTTTCAAATCCTGACACCCTTGCTCCGTAGCACATTGATCGTGCTATGTCCTGTGTAGTTGACCCATTCGCCCAGCTTCCCCATAAATCCACCGACAGCCTGCAAGTCCTGCAGTCTGTTATCGAGGAACTGCTCAGTCTCGATGAAATTCTTCGACGAATCCTGCGTCATAAAGACTTCGGTAGCAGAGTAAATGGTCGATAGCGTCGCGCGCTTGGTGTACCAGCTGGTGTCTACACTCTGATCGCCCGCGAGGAACCAGATTTCATCTGCGAGAGCTGCAAGCTCGTGTAATGAGGGTGGAATATAAGACGGCTGTGCCATTACTGCAAGGGCCTGGTCCGGTCAGCATCTAACCTTACAAGTCATGAAATCAAGATGCATACCTCCTGCCATCGGTGCAAGACAGGCTCATTCGCTCTTAACCGCGCCAAAGTCAATGATCTAACTTTGCTCCCTACTCCCATCTTCTTTCCATCCTTCTCCTCCAGAAATTGAACAGAATCCTTCAGCGCCAATCGTTGTATAACGAGGTGATAGTTGATGAGATCGAATGCACCTCTGGGGAAGAGGTTCGTCGAAACATCGAGATAGCCAGCATCTCTCGCGCCAAGCATCAATGCATCATTTGTGAAGCCGTGGTCCGGAACGTGTGCGTATGCGGAGGATAGAATCTTGGTCTCAGCGGCAGGGAACGGAGGCGGTTGCGCATAGTCGTACGAGTGGTAGAGGCATCGTTGCCTCAGGGTTGGTATTGCTTTTATTGTGCTGGCGCAAAGTGTGCCGAGTATTGTAGAGGGTAATCCTGTTGCTGCTGGCATTGTGGTGGACGATGTTCAGAGCATGGAACCGCAAGTGTGGAGCGATGATCTAACTTCCAGGATGCCAAGAGAGGGTCCAGCAAAGACGTCAGGAACATTTGGCGTATATCATTGATTTCGGAGCAACTGGGCACCAAACTTCATCCCTGCAAGTATAATCGTAGACTATGACTCGATGTACCAAGACATTGCGCCTGAGTTCCTGAGTTTCCCAAGATGCCTAATTGCGCACGTGATCGACGCGTCGACGCGTCCTACTCATCAACGCGTGACGCCACCACTTTGGTAAATCTCGACATTGGAGCCTGCTGCTTCTCTCCTCCATTGGACACTTGATATCACTTAACATTGTCCTTGATCGATACATCTTATCGACGATCTCACAACAATTCCGACCAGCTGCTGAAAAGGTTTTATCTGAGCGTACAATTGACATAAGGTATCGCGCCTGTGCCATTATTTTTGAGACTGTTCAGTGCACATACCCCTGACAGACCTACAACACACCAACATGGCGAAAGCAAAGAAAGCGGAGGTCAGCGACTATGAGCGCAAGAGGCAGGAGAACATTGCGAAAACGCAGGCGCTGCTGCGCAATCTTGAGATGGAAGCAGCGCAAGCAGGTCTGGGCCCGAGCTCGAAAGCCGCGTCGTCTACGAAATCAAAGCCCAAAAAAGCTGCGCCAGCAAAGAAGGTCAAGGTTGAGGATGTGGGGCCGCGACGGACGTCCTCGCGCCTCAAGGGTATCGAGGCTGACAGCGAGAAGGCGAAGCGCAAGGCGGAGGATGAGTACGTCGCGATCAAGGAAGCGGACCGCGCGAAGCGACAACGTATCAGTGACGCCTTCAACTTCGGCGACATCACAGTCGTGGGAAAGACATGGGACCAGAGTGGAAACTTCCTGCGCATTGTTGGCCCTGCGAACCCATACGAGCGCACCTTCGACTATGACGACGCGACCGACACTACAGACAAGGATGTGAAGGCATTGCGAGAGAGGATCAGCGGCCTTCAGCTCTGGGAAGACTTCGAGCCAAATGAGATCAAGATCACACCAGAGCGTATCTACGCGATGGGTCTGCATCCTACTGAGGAGAAACCTCTGGTGTTTGCTGGCGATAAGTTGGGCAATATCGGCATCTGCGATGCCTCACAGAAAGCCTCAGAAGTCAAGGTCGAGGACGACGAAGACGCCGACTCCGAAGGGCCCGTTATCACAACACTCAAGCCGCACACACGCACAATACACACCTTCCAATTCAGCCCGCACGACTCCAACGCGCTGTACTCCGCATCGTACGACTCCTCGATACGCAAACTCGACCTCGCCAAAGGCGTTGCAGTCGAAGTCTACGGCCCACAAGACCCCAATGAAGACCAGCCACTGTCTGGCCTTGAGATTTCCAAAGACGATGCAAACATGCTGTATTTCTCAACACTCGACGGCCGCTTCGGCATGTACGACATGCGCACCGAGGTCATGGACGCGCAGCTATTCCAGCTCTCTGACAAGAAGATCGGCGGCTTCAGTCTGCACCCGCAGCACCCTCACCTTGTAGCCACGGCGTCGCTAGACCGCACACTGAAGCTTTGGGATCTGCGCAAGATCAGCGGGAGGGGCGACGAGCGGGGACCGGCGCTAGTCGGCGAGCATGAAAGCAGACTGAGCGTCTCGCACGCAGCATGGAACTCGGTTGGCCAGGTAGCGACTGCGAGCTACGACGACACAGTGAAGATCTACGACTTTGGGGACTGTAAGGACTGGGCGCCAGGGCACTCTTTGACAGAGCAAGAAATGAAGCCCAAGACGATCGTGCCCCACAACAACCAGACCGGACGCTGGGTCACCATGTATGTTGTTCCACTACCTTGAATCCAGGAGCTGACACAACGCAGATTACGAGCGCAATGGCAGCAGTTTCCGCAAGACAACATCCAACGCTTTTGCATCGGCAACATGAACCGCTTTGTCGATGTCTATACGGGCAAGGGCCAACAGTTGGCACAGCTCGGCGGGGATGGTATCACTGCTGTGCCTGCGGTGGCCAAGTTCCACCCCACAATGGACTGGATAACTGCGGGTACTGCGTCAGGCAAGCTTTGTTTGTGGATGTGAAGCGTAGTGTTGTATATTCTTGTTGGATGCTGTAGATGGATTGGAAATTTCTAAAAGTGGCACTCTGCGGAGGATCGCCGTTTTGATGCTGTATATGGTTGAATCCTGCTGATTGGAGAATACCGAAGATACCGTTCTCGTGCAGCGAAATCAGCCAGTTGAGACCAGCGACTTAGTAGTCACGCACAGTGCCGCCCTGGTCTCAGGGTGGAGCTAGAATTGGATACTTAGTCTGGCGGCATGAGCGTGACAAATGGCCTCTTCGCGATATTGCACGAATACACACGCCATGCCATCAGTGTTGATGCAGATATATCATGTTGTTACACAGGTCTCGGTGCATGTTCATCACGTGGTTGCACAAAGGTACAAGCGAGACGTCGCTTTTGCTTCTTCCAACAGTCTTTTTCAACCACACCATCACCACTTCTGCGCCAGTGCCGTGATTTCAACACCTTTCGCATGGACCAGACACAACCGTTGATCAAACAAGAGCAAAGGCATGACGGCCACTTTCGAACTGACTCTCCAACGGACCATGTGCTCTCGCCGGGCTGCATCGTGCTCCTGGACGACTTCCAATACCTGACGTAGAATGCATTGCAGCGAACCCTTCCTGTCTCAGCCAGCGTCTTGAGCCGACTGACGCCGCCGTCGCTTTCTGTCAGCCTGAGCCTGCTGACATCCGCTTTGCACACTGCGTGCGGCCCCGACAGCACCGGCATCACAAGATGTGCGCTCCGCACCCATATGAGGCCGGCGCATGGCTAAAGGACGAAGAGCGAATGCAACACACCATGAGGCCGTCCTCGTGGCGCTTGGCCTGAACGACCGATTTGAGTATCCTCTGGTTTATGTCGTAGGTAATTAATTCCAAGCTCACTGCTAGCTCCTCTTCCAATCCTCAACCCCGGCATTGGTTCCGACTGAGGTCTTATCTTTCAGATTCAACAACAGATGTCATGCATTTCAATCTGTCTACTTCACCCTACGCGCCTCCTACCCGGCCATATTGCATCGCTGTGGTAACACCACCTGCGCGACGCGCGTGGTTCTGAAACCTGGGGTTGTCGGCGCGAACCGAACAAAAATGGTGTCTCAAAGCCGGCGCTGATTGGCCACGTTTTCAAAATGACCTCAACGCCACCATCATTCATTTAACATGGCGTGCCGATCCTGCAACCGGTTTGCACCATCGCGTGTGTGACATCAGCTGCACTTCACGACATTGGCACTCACAAACTAGGAGCATGAATATATAAAATTGTAGCTGGAGCCATTGATTGTTAATACCAGCCTTGACTGTCTGTTAGTTTACCAGCATCGCATTTGCATATTCTCATCATGAAGTCTTTTAGAAGAGCAATTACCAGGTTCAAGGGAAAGTCGTTTAAAGACATATCCGCGGCATCAAGGAACAATCCACCTCCACCCGCACCTGCACCTGCAGAACAGGCACAGCAACAGGTTATGGCGGATACCAGCGACACCCTGCAGCTCGCCCTGCAAAACAGGACCAATTCGAGCAATGTCTACGCATACATCACAGGGCTCGCACTCAACAACGGCAACAAGCCCATCTTCATCCAGTCTGACGGCAGAACCGTCTACTCGCCTACGTCGCCGAGCCAGCCGCTGGCAGATGTCACTGTCGACGTGGCTATCCCGCTTGGAGCACCAGGCAATACCGTCACAGCAACGATTCCCAAGATTGCAGGTGGACGAATCTGGTTTGTCGTCGACGCCCGCCTGACCTTCTTCGTCAACCCTGGCCCTCACATCGTCAACCCTAGTGTCAGCAACCCAACCGATCCCAACTTCAACCTGAACTGGACGTTCGCGGAATTCACCTACAACGACCAGCAGCTCTTCGCCAACATCTCCTATGTCGACTTCGTCAGCATCCCCGTCGCGCTGACCCTCACCACGCGCAACAGCGGGACCCTGTCCGTGCCCGGCATGGGCCCCGACGGCTTCCAGCGCGTCGTGGACGAGATGCGCGCGCAGACGCAGCGCGACGGCAGGCCCTGGGACCAGCTGATCCACAGCCACAACGGCACGGCGCTGCGCGTCCTCAACCCCAACGCCGCCAACAACGCCGCCTGGAGCAACTACTGGGACGCGTACGTGCGCGCCGTGTGGGACAAGTACCGCAGCGAGGACATGACCATCAACACGCAGGCCGCGGCAGGCAACCTGACGGGCCGCGTCGTCAACAACGCGCTGCAGCTCGGCGCCGCGGGCTCGTTTGCCGCGCCGTCGTCCGCAGACATCTTCTCGTGCTCCACGGGCCCGTTCCAGACGGGCCAGAGCCTGGCGCGCGACGGCGTGATCCCGCGGCTCGCGGCCGCGTTCAACCGCAGCCAGCTGCTCAACACGCCGGGGAATCAGTTCCCGAATGGCGGCGCGCCGGACGCGTATTACCGCGACCCGACGACGAATCATTATAGTCGCGCGGTGCATGCGGTGCAGCGCGACGGTAGGGGGTATGCGTTTCCGTATGATGATGTGGTGCCGGACGGCGGGCGGGATGTGGCGGGGACGCTGCACGCGGGGGATCCGGTGTTGTTTACGCTTGCGGTGGGGGGGAATTAGGATAGATACAGTTGAGGTGATAGTAGTTAGCTTGTTCATGGCTGTAGATACAGTTGGCGGGGGTGATAGCATCTAGCTTGTTCATGGCTGTAGATACAGTTCGCGAGGGTGATAGCATCTAGCTTGTTCAGGGATATAGATACAATCAACAAAGAGAGGTGATAGCATTGAGCAATCCGTACACATCCCACCATCCGTCTTAACTTGCAGCCAATCTCTGCAACAGCGACAAGCACCTCAAGCGTCAGTGCGACGCACTCTCTGCCCTACCCATAGCACACCCCCGCACCACACCCCCTCCCCACACACCTCCCCCAAAACGCATACCACCTGTCCCCATCCACACACACAAAGTAGCTCGCGCGGCAGTTGAGCAGGCACTCGCACCCCCAGGCGTCGCAGAACTCGCAGCCCGTGGCGTGCGTGTCGCGGCAGTATTGGAGGGTGAGCTGGTAGGGGTCGTAGCCTGTGGTGTGGATGTTAGGGTGAGTGAGGTCTGGGAGTGAGGTCTGGGAGGGGTGATTGGGGGTGGGGTGTGTGGTGTGGTGAGGAGACGGGGGGTGGAGGAGAGGGTAGGAGAGGGCAGGAGAGGGCAGGAGAGGGCAGGAGAGGGCAGGAGAGGAGAATAGAGGAGAATAGAGGAGAATAGAGGAGAATAGAGGAGAATAGAGGAGAATAGAGAAGAATAGAGAAACAGGGGGGTTACCCATCCGCACAATCTCGGCCCAGCAGTACAGCTTCCCCTTCTGACACTTCTCATAGCCCGCCGACTGCGCTGACTGCGCTGACTGCGCCGACGGCACCGACGCAACAGAGCTATCCGCCACCGCCAGCGCAGACACAGTCACGAGCGAGACCGCCGGGCCAGTAGCAGGCGCAGCCAGGCCCAGGACCAGGGAGCGCAGCACGCAGGCCAAGAGGGCGAAACGATTCATTCTCAGCCGATCGAGTGAGGAGCGGAGAACAGAGAGCTCGGTGGAGGTGGAGGTGGCGCGGGCGCGGGCGCAGAGGCAGAGGTAGAGGCTGGCGGGTTATACGCATATCTCATCTCGTTTCTTGGGGCGTGAGGGCGTGCGGGCTCGTGTGGTTTGTGGGGAGCACATGGCGGGGTGGTGCGGTGCAGCCGTGCGTGTTGCCTGCAGGAGGTGTGTTGGAGCGGGGTGGTTTGTGGATGGTGTGTGGATGGGGTGGTGGTGGCGGACGGGTCGACGGGACGGGGACGGGGACGGGGCGGGTAGACGGACGGAGACACAGGCTGGAGATAGATGGTAACCGGTGAACGGTGAACGGCAAACGGCAAACAGCAAATAAGAAAAAGCAATCAGCAAACAGCAAACATCAAACAACAAACAATTTGTACCCCTCCAGATACAACAGGCAATGGCAAACACCTGTATTCCCCCGACCCCCCTCCTTCCCATAAATTGGCGAGGTGTAATTGACTCCTCACCACAGGACATGGCGGTCTGCGTGCGAATAGTAATACGAGTAGCAATGATAGTAATGATAGTGATCAATATTCAACTCGCTCTAAAACAGGGGTATCTACTCAGGACAAAAACCATATACTCACAACAAAACCCACATACACCTCGCAATGCTGTCCAAACCAGTCTTTCAATCTTCCTAATCTCCTAATCTCCAAATCTCCAAACCTCCATCCAACTACGGACTCTTGACTTGCCGCGTTATTTCAACTTCCCCGTATTTCAATTCCCGTCTCTCTACTCCATCCGCCGCGTCTTCGCCCCGCTCCCAGACCCCACTCCACCGTCCTCGCCTCTGCGCTTCACGCCCCGCTCAGCCTCGCCGCCCGCAACGCCCTTGACGCTGCGCCGCCCGCGCCGCGAGACAGGAGATCCGTAGCCGGAGCCGCCGCCGGCAGTCGCAGCCGAGCTACCCGCGGCAATTTCCTCAGCGAAGCGGTCGGCGACGGCGGCGTCGTACTCGCGCTCCGACGCGCGCACGGTGTCGGGGTGCGTGGCGCGCGCGGTGGCGAGCAGGTCGATGATGCCGTCGTCCGAGTCCTCGGAGTACTCAGACGCCTCCGACACGGAGCCCGGGTAATGCGGGGGCGCGACGTTGAGGAGCTGCAGGGTGGTGGAGGGGTTGTTTGTCGAGGCGGCGTTTGAGGCGTCGTTTGCGGCCGAGACCGAGTCTCCGGTTTCCGAGGACGAGTCTTCGTCGTCGGAGGCTTCGCCCGAGGACAGCGAGTCGAAGGGGAAGTACGAGGGCGGGGGCAGGGTGGAGGATGGCATTTTTTGGTGCACGGCGGAGATGAGGTTTTGTTCGACCTTAGGGCTGGTCGAGCGGCGCGGTGCTTCTTGCGTGCTGTCTGCGCCGAGAATGGCCTGGATCTTGGAGGGGTAGAGGCTGGGTCGGCGGGCGGCGTGGACGGCTGGGGCGGCGGGGACCTGCGAGCGCTGGACGCGGATGGAGAAGTTGTCGTCTGGCTGCACGCCGCCCAGGCCTGAAACTTCAAAGTCCATGACGTCTGGGCTGTCCGCGCCGGAGTGGTCCTGCAGACTGCCGGGAGAGAAGCCGAAGCTGAGCGTGGATGGCGTTCGTGTGCCGCTCTTGGAGTCCGAGTCCATGGTGGCGTCGTCCAGCGGCCCCCTGGGCTCCAGCAGCTCGGAGCGCTTGCTCTCTGGGTCAGACGGGGCACCAAGTGGATGACTTGTGATGGTCTTGTAGTTTTCCGGCAGGGTCAGTGAGGCGCCCACTCGGTCGCCTGTCAGGTCGGTGCAGAACTTGGCCTTGTTGTAGAAGATCATGGGCCCGTCGTCGCGGCGCTTGGCAGACAGGCTGCTCTTCAGGTTAGAGCTGCCCAGGCCTGACGAGTCGCCGTGCTGGGGCTGGAAGGGCGAGTCGGCCGACTCGGTGGGGTCGTAAAAGTCGACGTCTTCGTCGGAGCTCTCTCTGCGGAAGAACAGCGGCTTGTAGGCAAGCTTGCCCATGTCGGCGGGCTGGGGCGCAGCATTGGCGCTGCGGCGCTGCTCGGAACCATAGCCGCTCTCGATGCTGGTACTGTTGCCAGTCTTGGAGCTCTTCTCGGGCGACCTCTGCGCGCCCTGGTATGGCGAGGCGTCGGCGCGGTCATCGGGAGAGCCGTCGCTGCTGGTTTTACTAAACGCGTGTCCACCCCTCCACCGTACCTTGCGGCCGTCGGGCGAGATCTCCAGGCGGGTGCTGTACTGGGCGATGGCGTCTTTGACGTTGTCCGGGGTGACATTGAGGGTGTGCAGCTGGGCCATGTTGATGAGCAGGTTGAGGTACAGCCAGCCGTGCTCGCCGATGGACTCGGTGATGGTGGTCATGTTCGGCGGGGAAAAGCCCAGGTGGCGGAAGTAGTCCATGTTGGCGGCGGGCACCTGGGCGCGGTAGGGGTCCAGGTCCAGCGGACGGGTGGGGCGCTGGTCGGGCGAGCCGGAGCCGGAGGTAAAGTCCTGCTCGAGCACGCGCTGCTGGGCCGGGAGGTGCAGGACGGTGTCGTCGTCGTCGGGGCGGTCGGGCATGATGTAGGCGGTGCGCTGGCCCTCGGGGCGGGAGGAGCGGCCGGTGGCCTCGCGCTCGCGGCGGTCGGCGGTGGCGGCGGACTGGGCGACTTCTTCCTGCTGCATGGGGTGCGGGTGGGCGCCCGGGGCGGAGCGCTGGCCGGCGAAGATCTGCTCCAGGCGGCGCACGACCATCTTCTTGCGGGCCTTGTCGGACATGGGGGCGTTGTCCTGCGGCAGCAGGCCCAGGGGAATGTCGTGCAGGTACGAGTGGATGGTCTGCTGCTGGCGGTGGTAGGCCGACTTGGTCATCTTCTTGTCGGCGGCGGCGGCATGGGAGGCGCCGTTGGACGGGGTCGACGAGTTCTGGCCGGAGGCGGACATGGAGGCATAGCCCGACTCGGCGAAGCGCGAGGCGGACGAGGCGGTGGGGTCCTTGGGCAGATGCGGCACGTGGGCGGGGTCGAGGCGGTCGGCGGTGTCGTCGAGCCCGGCGGCAAAGGCGCGCAGGGTGGCCTCGAGCTCCTTCTTCTTGTGGTCGGGCAGGCGGTGGAAGCGCACCTCGAACAGCTTCTCGTCCTGCAGGTGGGCGGCGTGCACGCGCTCGTACTTGCGCAGGCGCTGCTTGAGGCGGCGGTTGGCGACGGTCAGGTCGTCGATGACGCTGCGGAAGTCCTCGGTGCTGCTGCCGTCGGTGTGGGTGGGCAGCAGGTGGGTGCGGTAGGGCAGGTCGGGCTGGCGGGCAGCGGATGGGGTGCGGTCCGACGACGACGAGTTCTGTAGCAGGAACGGCGGGTCGTTGTCGGTGAAGGCGGCGTCGAGGGCGCCGTCGTTGTTGGTGCGCTCGAACCAGCCGGCGGCGTCGCTGCTCTCGCCCGAGCTGTGGTGGCGCGGGTGGTGCGGCGACAGGCTGGACGGCGGGTTCGCGCGGTCGCTGGCGGCGGCGGCCGGCGACGTGCTCAGCGTGATTGCGGCGCGCGTCTTTGCGGGCGGGCTGTGGCGCAGCGACACGGACTGGTGCGCGAGCGGGCGGCGCGGGTGGGCGGCGGCCGCAGGGACGGGGCCGCGGGCGTCCATGGCGCGGGAGGTGTGAGTGAGGTGTGCGCGAGGTGTGCGTAAGGTATGCGCGGCGAGTGAGGTATGCGTGCGGCGGGCTATGCGTCGGCGGCGAGAGTGGTGCGGACGGCGGGGGCGGCGGGGATGGCGGGCAGGGCGAGCCCTGGGCTCATCGGGGCGGGCGGTGCGCAGGCAGAGCGACAGAGCAGTGCAGACGTGGGCGTATGTGTGTAGCAGAGGCGGGTGTCGAACAGGCTGGCTGGCTGGCAGAACACGCAGGCTGGCTGGCTGGCAGAACACACAGGCTGGCTGGTGGTCGCGGATGCGTCGGCGTCGTCGAGGGTTCGTGGGCGTGAGTGCGTGGTGCGTGGTCGCAGCAGTGGGCGAGGGCCGGCGGGCGCCCAGACGGCGGCCATACGGGGCCCCATCGCGAGCTGTCCGCGCAGCACGATCTTGAGGTTGATGGACGCGGCCGCTGCGATCGGCGCATCCCTGCCATCGCCAAGCCCGCCCGTTGCCCATCGCCTGTCTAGCCCGCATCGCCTGGCCCAACTCGCATCGCCGATGCTCCGTCGCGCTGCTTGCAAACCTTTGCCGGCCCTGCCTGCGATCGAGATTGCGCTGCCCTGCTGCTCCTGCTGCTCCTGCTGCTCCTGCTGCTGCTGCTCCCTGCTGCCGTACAGACGAGGCACCGGCCACCTGTCCTCCCGCCGCGCACGCCCTGATGTCATCGCCGCCGCTGGACCCTTTCGCGGCCGCTGTCCGCGATGGACACTGTGCCCTCGATCTGCCCCCGAGGACCCTCTCTGCGCCCTCTGCGGAACGCGAACCCGTGCCAATCGCCGCCCTCTGCCAATCACTACCGGCCCCGCCTCTCGGTCGCGTCCTGTGCTGGATGCCCGAACGTCACCAGCGTCACAGCCCCATCAGCGCTGCCCGCCGCATCGACAATGTCAAGACCCATCGCGCCCGCGAGTCCGCCCCCTAGCCGCATTACACCCTCACCCGGCGCTTGACGTGGTTTCAGCTCACGACCCGTCAGCATCGCGATGCACTTAACGGCCTTGCTCCCGCCCGTGCTACACCACCACACCAGCTCATGACACGACCCGACACCATGATTGGGAGCTGACCACGGAATCCCATCCAGCGCCTGGTGCATCGAGATGGACGCAGCGATCCGCACACCGCGCAAACCATGTGCTTAGACTTTGCCCTGCGTTTCGGTGCGACCTCCAGCTGCCCTCTGCTACGCTGTGACGATGTGACCAGCCATCGTTCAATGCTCGTGGCCCACAACGCGCACCAGCGACGCTGCATTCGTCAAATTGCTCACAGCGCATGTGTCCCGATCCAGCCGTGATCCCGATGCAGCAATCGGCGTTTGTCATATTTACCACAGCACCACCTCTTTGTTCCAGCCAGCAGGTCTTTAAGGACCTGCAAGTGGACGTGCATGTCCGCGCTGTACGGCAGAAATCTCGACAAACCCCCCGTCCGGCAACTGCCGTGCATCGCGCGACTCGGCCACACCACCATCACGTGACCCCTGATATCAGGTGCAGGAAATAAAACCCCATAGTAACCCCGTGTGGCGATGTGGGAGATACTACTCGAAGCTGCGTGGCTCTCGACGACTCGCAGATTGCTGTGGTGTGCATGCCATGCACGTACACATTTGGAAGGTGGGTACCTAGGTAGGTTTGCTCAATTGTTGCACATGCCCTCTGCTCCATTTTCTTGGAACTCAAATCAGTCTAGTCTAGGCCAGTCAACTCCAGACTATCGCACTAAACACGACCCTGATTACAAAATGAATACCGTAAACTCGCACTTAGCGTACCTGGGTACTATAACTGAAATGTTGCTAAGGGGGGTACTATAAACGGAGGGGTACTTTAAGTGCGAGTTTACGGTAACTTCTATCTTCCGTGGCCGAACTATCTACAAGTCTGCTTTGCAGACCCGATGCATACGTACGCATAGACATGTTACGAACAGGCCTCTTGCTGCAAGTTTTATGCATAGATCGCCGCAGCCTGCATCTATGAATACACGCGCGTGTAGTGCTTATAGAAGGAGAAGGCGGCGCGAGTTGCTGGCATAAGTTGCTGGTGGTGCAGTACTAATAATTCACGACTAACATCTCGTCCCTAGCCAAGCATATAACTACACGTAATTCTCTTCCTCTTCAATACTTGATCAATGTCTGCAGCATTTAGGATATACAGCTATAGAAACACATAGAAGTTGAACCACAGTTGTCCCATTTCAAACCACACTGCTGACTCACCACACGTGACGCGCTAGTCAACGTCCCTGCAGCGGCCCGCTTCCTTCAGCCCCGGCGATTGCTCTCCGCTCCAACAACACCACACTCGCCACGCCCCGGAGCCATGTCGTCGTCGGTGTTCTACAAGTTCAAAAACTCAAAGGAGCCGGAGCGCTATGCCTTTGACGGCAATGAGATCTCCGTCTTCGAGCTGAAGCGCGCCATCATCGAGGCCTCGGGCATGGCCAAGAGCACCGACCTCAACCTGCACATCTACCACGAGGACGAGCCCACGCGCGAGTACGACGACGACACCACCACCATCCCGCGCACCAGCACCGTCATCGCCGTGCGCCGGCCCGCCGCGCGCGGCTTCAGCAAGATCTCGCGCTACGTGTCGGGCAAGCCGCCGGTGCGTGCCATCAAGAAGGACGCCGCCCCGGTCGCTGCCCCGCGCGCGGGCGGCACGGAAACCGACGCCGAGGCCGCCTTCCTGGCCGAGTCGGCGCAGGTGTGGGACGCGCAGAAGGAGTCGCTGTCGCACGCCAAGCCCGTGTACAACAAGAAGAAGCCCGTCAACGTGCCCAACTACGACCCGCCGTCGGGCTACGTGTGCCGCCGCTGCGGCGTCAAGGGCCACTGGATCCAGCAGTGCCCCGAGAACGACAACCCCGACTTCAAGCCCGTGCACTGCCCCAAGCGCACCACGGGCATCCCCAAGTCGTTCCTCAAGGTCGTCGACAAGTCGGAGGTGGACGAGGACGCCAAGGGCGTCATGCTGAACGCCGACGGCGAGTACGTGCAAGTCATGACGGACACGAAGACGTGGGAGAAGTTCCAGGAGAAGACGCAGGCCACAAAGGCGCAGGCCGCCAGTGCCGATGCGGCGAGCAAGGAGGTTCGCGAGCGCGGCCTGGAGTGCCCGCTCGACAACAGCATGTTCGTGCAGCCCGTCAAGACGGCGTGCTGTGAGACGACCTACTGCAATGATTGTATCGAGTCCTCGCTAGCAGACAATGATCTTATTTGCCCGCACTGCGGAGAAGAAACCCTGATCGAATTCACCCCTGACAAGGCCATGGAAGCCCGCCTCCGCGACTACGAAGCCGAAAAGGCAAAGGCCCGCGCCGATGCAAAGGCGGACAAGGACGCCGCCGCAAAGGCCGACGCCGACGCCGCCGACAAAGATGCTGCCAACAAAGACGATGCACCCGCCCCTGACCCTGCTGAAGACTCTGTAGTTGCCGCCCCAGACTCCCCCGCGGAGCCCGACGACGACTCGGCGTCGCGAAAGCGCAAGACGCCGCCCGCCGACATCCAGCCCCCGACCGCGCCAAAGGCCATGCGCCAGCAACCGCAGAACGCCGTCGAGATGGACTTTATCGCGCAGATGGAGGCGCTGAAGAACATGCCCATGAACATGGGGATGCCGATGGGGATGCCGATGGGCATGGGGATGAACAACATGAACATGGGCATGATGGGGGGGATGGGCGGGATGGGGTACGGGGGGATGGGCATGATGAACGGCATGAACGGGGGGATGATGGGGGGGATGATGAATGGGATGAATAATATGAACGGCATGAACGGGAACGGCATGAACGGGAACGGCATGAACGGTATGAACGGGAACGGCATGAATGGCATGAACGGCATGAACATGCCCATGCCCATGATGGGCATGAATATGAACGGCATGCCCAACTTCACCCCCACCCCCAACAATTCCAATCTCAACAACGGCTCTCAAAACCCCACTCAGATCGGGAATCAGTCCGCAAATCAAAACCCCTCGCAGACTCAGGTGCAAAACGACGCATATGACCGCCAGCCCGTAAACCCCAACCGCCAGCGCGGGCGCAAGCCACGGGCGCCTGATTTCCGGTATCTGTAGTTTTTGGGCTTCTATTACTTTACTCTACATTGCATTTCTTGGGCTGGGGCGTTGGCAGGCGCGCTGGGGAGTCTGGCTGTGGTTTGCGAGGGCGTGGAGGGGGGTGAAGGGGGTGAAGAGAGAAGGGGACGAGGCGAGGAAGACGCGGAGAAGCGGGGGACGAGATGCAGCGCTCCGCGGCGGAGAGAAGCACGAGAGAAGCACGAGATCCGCCCGAGAAGCAGGAAACGCAAAGGGAGATCAAGTGCGAGACGCCAGCCATCAGCCTGGAGCGAGAGCTACTCACGCTTCTCTGCCCGCACCCTAGCCCGTACCACCGCGCCACACAGCAGTCCACCACAGCAGGCCGCGGCACGCAACATCGCAGCATCCACACTCGCACCGCACCGCGCGGCATCCGTCACAGCACCGCCGCCACACTGCAGCCGCAGCAGTCACCCTGCCCCGCCCCATCCTGCTATTCTGTTCTATTCTGTCCCATTCTGTCCCCTTTTGTTCGGGGGGACCTGTATTACTCTCTGTATATAGAACAGTTTATCTTGCTTTAGCTTTAGCTTTAGGCACTTGGGCACACAGGCACTCAGGCACTCAGGCACTCAGTCGCCAAGTCACTGAGACGGAGGTATTCGGGCACTGAGGTATTTAGGACTTGGCTACTAGGGTACGTAGGCACGTAGGCACGCAGGCACTGAGACTGAGCCACCAAATCACCAAGTCACCAAGTCACTTGATCACCGAGCCGCAAAGCCACTTATCCTCCATCCTCCATCCTCTATCCTCTATCCTCTATCCTCTATCCTCTATCCTCTATTCTCATCTTACACTCCGAGCCTTGCATAGGCGCCGCGGCGGGCTTTCAGCTTTGGTAGAACTCCAGTAGTAGTGCGGAATCGAGAATTGATTTAGTTATCCACTTGTCCACGTTTAAAGTGTTGCATCTGGGTGATATGAGGTGATGTAACGGGGCGTGGTGTGAAGTGATGTGACAATGTGCTGTGCTGTGACGTGATAACGCATGACTGTGCTGGCAGGCATAAGGGGGATAAGAGGGATAAGGGGGGGGGGGGGGGGGGGGGGGGGCGCGTGCAGTGCGGTATAGTATAGTATAGTTCAGTGTATCTGATCTAGTTCAGCATGGTTTAGTGCAGCATAGCACAACGTAGTTTAGCATAATCCAGCATGTTCAGCATAGTTCAGCATAGTCATAGCACAGGACAACACCACGCCGCTGCACCTGCAACTCCATCGTCTCCAACGACATCCATCCCCTTCGCTTAGCCATCGTACACTCAGCTTGGTTTCGGTTTCCGCGGCCTTGGTCTTGGCTTGACAGTCGCTTTGTTGCCCTCGACCACGAATCACCCCCCGACCATGCAACACCCCCCGACCCTAACCTTAGCTAGAAAGGCGCCTGCACTTCCCCTTCCCCTTCGCCGTCCCTCTGCAGTCCTCTGCGCTTTGACACGACCGCTACTAAGGCAGGTACACGGACACATGGACTGCACTGCACAGCTACACCGTGGGCGTTTCCGGTGCTACTTGTAGGTACGCTTGGATACGGCGCTGGTTCTGGCTCTGATGCTGATTCTAGCATTGAATTGGCTATAACTATAGCTCAACTATAACTCTGCCTACAACTTTACGTATACCTTTGATTTGGTTGTGACTTCACCTCCTACGCTTATTCTACTACATTTGCCTTCTGCTTTGTCTTCTGCTTCGATGCCTGGTAGTGTATACCAGACCGCACTGCACGCCCTCAGTACACCACTCCACTCCACTCCCTTAGCACCAACAAGTGCATAACAAGAGAGTGCAGAATAAGGAAGTGCACGACAACGAACCGCGGGAGTGGGGAACAGGTCTAGCGGACTAAGTTGGTAGACTGAGTGAGTAGGCTAACTTAGTAGGCTGAGTTGGTAGACTTAGTCCGTAGACAGACTTAGTAGACAGACTTAGTAGACAGACTTAGTAGACAGACTTAGTAGACAGACTTAGTAGACTAACTTAGTAGACAGAGTCCGCAGACAGCATCCGTAGACAGCATCCGCAGACAGCGTCCATAGACAGTGTCCATAGACAGACTCAATAGACAGAGTCCACAGACAGCGTCCGTATACCAGGCTTAGCATGTCCATCTCAGTCTAGCAGTCTGGCACTCTGGCAGTGTGGCGGTTCAGAGAATGGGCAGTTCAGAGAATGGGCTGGGATGGGCTAGGCTGGGACGATAATATGATGATATGATGACATGGTAGGAGGGTTTCACTAGCGAGGGAGGCTAGGGACCGTAGAGCGTGGAGCGTGGAGCACCGAGCATTGAGCGTTGAGCGTTAAGTATCAAGCATCAAGCATCAAGTATCAAGCATCAAGCACCAAGCATTGCACATCAAGCGCGCAAAGACAAGTGAACTCTTAAGCTCGCTAGTGTATGCGTAGATACACGCAAAAGCGAGCTGAGAGCCCAGACCGCCAGGGAAACAGTTTTCGGTGGGTATATGGAGTGCCCAGTGGACGTGCAACGGTAGAAGAGGGCAGTATCAAAAGGGCGAACGACGACGGCAGAGAATCAAGCTTCACTTCACATGCACAGCACGCAACACACGGCACGCACAAAAATAATCTGCAATCCCTCCATTCCTTTCTATTCATACTATCCATCCACTCACTCACACTCCCCCCACCAGCCACGGGATATCTCCATCTCTCACGCACCAATAGTGCATTATAGTGTATCAGAACAACGCGCGACGAAAAACAACAACGAAGAGAGCGCGGAAAAAGGGGGTACTGCGCGTGCATGACGTCGTGCAACATGGAAAACACCGGGCACCGAAAACGCCTTGTTGAGGGGGTGAGCATGAGCTGCGGGCCGTCCGTTCGACACGCACGAAATGCCCGGCCGCTCGTCCGCCAGACAAACCCCCGATATTACAACCCTAAACAAGCACCCACTCGCTCCCCCGCTTGATGAACTTGTCCAGCATGAGCGTGACGTCCGTCAGCACGAAGCGGCAGATGAAGAAGCCGAAGAACTCGGCGGCGTGGCGCGAGGACAGTTCCAGCCCGACGTGCGTCAGCGACGAGTGCTTGAGGCCCGGGTCCTCGACCTGGCGGGCGATCTGGTCTGCGGGGTATTAGCGGGATACATGTGGAGGGGATGGACAACGCACCCAGGATCTGCGCCGAGTCGAAAAGCCGCGCCAGACTGCTCATGTAGCCCGAGTTGGGGCCCTCGAAGGTCAGGGCGGCGGTGTCGCGCTTGGCGAAGCGGAGTGAGGGCAGGCTGGTCATGGGGAGGGTGGGCATGTTGAGCGAGTCCTTCGGGACGTCGCCGTTGGGCGGCTTGGGGCCGGCGAGGCTGGCCAGGTTGACGCCCGAGTTCTTGCTGCGCAGCTTGCGCCACGAGGAGAGGTAGCTCTTCCCCTGGGCGACGGCGCGGCTGGTGCTGTTGTCCTGCGCGCTGTACATGCCGCGCATGGTGTCGCCGGAGCTGCCTTCGCCGACGTGGGTCGCGTCTTTGAAGAGTGTGGAGACGCTCTGCACGCCGACTTCGTTACCCAGCTTCTTGGCGAGCTGGGCCTGGACTTGGTCGAGGACGACCTCTAGAGCCTGCATCTCCTCCAGCACGGCGTCTGCATCGAGCGTGTCCATGGACGCCATCTTCTGCAGCGCGGCGGTGAGGAGGTCGCAGCTTGCAATCTTGTCTTCAACGTTCTTGATCTTCACGCCCTTCACGCGCCAGACGTCACGTGGGATGAAGAGCTTCGTCGAGAGATATCCACCCCGCGGATGCACAATCGTCTGGTAGAAGCACCGCATCAGCCAGAACGGCCGCAGGAGGTACGTGTCCGGACATGGCTCCAGGGGTATCGGCGCATTGGCTACAGCAGGGCTCGGCGAGCCCGGCGAGAATGGTGAGTGGATATCGCTCTCGAACAGATGCATACCGCCGCTGGGCAGTCCATCGACGTTGAATGTGGGAAGACCCGGCGTCGGCAGTGGCCCGATGTTCGCGAGACTCGGCTTGCGGCCTGTGATGGAGAAGGTCGTGCTCAGCGGCGTGCCGATCGAGGCATCTGAGCCGTCCGGGCTTGAAATAGAGAGCGTCCTCTGCTTCAAGCTCAACGACGACTTGTTCTTCCTGATGCCAAGAGCTGAGGGCTTGGACTTGGGAGAGGCCGGTGCGAGACCCGATTCGTTGGACGCGGCATGGCCCAAGGCTGGCGTTGCAGGTGATATTGTGGCAGCTGTGTCGGCCGCGCTGGGCAGCCCAGGCAGTGGCGACGGAGGGATAAGACCCGTCTGTTGAGGCACTTGTGGCAGAGCTGGTGTTTTGGAAGTCGGATCTAGGCTGGATTGCGTGCCGCCGAACAGTGCTGCACCTGCAGACTGGGGCGGCGGCGGGGCGTCGAGAGGTGAGTTCTTCGCGGGAACCGGAGGTTTCTCCGTATGCGGCGGCGCAACGACCGTTGGCAGGGATGTTTCGATCTTCAGTGTTTTAGCGTTCTGTCCTGATAATCTCCGACTCCTTACGGAAGCTGCCTCCTTAGTGGCGGTAGTGGGCCGTGGTGTGATTTCGGCATCGACCGCCTGGATAGGTTGGAGTTCTGGGACCGAAGGCAGAGCGCCTGGCGGAGGCGGAGGGAGTGCAGGTAATGCACCCGACGGAGCAGGTACCGGAGGGGCCGAGTGTAGTGTTAGTGGGTTGGGGGCTGCTGGCTGCATGACCTCTGCGACTGTTGATAACGAGGTCCCTCCGGTGGTTCTATGCGAGGACACGGAGCTGTTGTATGCGGAATAGCCGCTCGAATCCGACTGCCGGGGCAGTGACGACTTGGTCTGGAGGTCGAAATCGAATCCGTCCAGCATGTACTCGCGGGTCATTTCGTCCAGCAGCCGCTCCTCCTCGTCCGCCTCGTCGTTCAGCATCAGCTCGGCGCTTTCCCGGACGTGGGGGAGCTGCTCGTTCTGCAGCTGGGTCTCTTTGAAGCGGTATTTTGCTGCCGCAATGGCCTCCTCCCGCTCGGCTTCCCGGGCCCTCTCCTTGGCCATCTCCACGTTCCGCAGTCGTGTCGAGGTGAGCTCGTCGGGCGCGATGTCTTCGTCGAACGGCTCAAAGCCGTCGTCGTAGGCAGCCTCGACGGCGGCGTCGAGAGCAGCGTCGAACTCGGCTTCCGTCGCCCCACTCCGATTCCGGGTGTGTTTGTGGGACCGAGGCGAGAGGGAGCGCGGCGAGGACGAGCACGAAGAGCCGCCAGATTCGTCAATGGTGTCCAGCCACGACGTCGACTCATTGCTATGGGCGCGCTGGTGTCTGGACTGTGCTGGCTGTTGTGGCTGCAGTAATCGCTGCGCATCGAAGGGTTCTTTCGGGAGGGTGGCGCTGAAGAGGGGTGATTTGGAGCGCTTTGGTGACAGGGGCGGGGGCATGTACGATCGGTCCATGGGTGATTCGATGGGCAGCGATCCTGCGAGCCGCCCGGGCGGCGGTTGGAGGTTGAATTGGGTTGTTTGCATGTTTCGCTGGACATCGCGGATGGCGGTGCTGATGACCGACTCGCGGGGGCCAGAAAATTCGGGTTTCCGGAGGGGCAGCTGGGCGGCCGAGAGGGGGGGCGGTTCTGGGTCTCTGGGGTGGAGATTCTCCGAGCGGTCGTTGACAATCCTGGTCACGGTGGCCGTCTCGAAAATAACAGAGTCGTCTTCTTCATCGTCGTCGTCGTCGGCCTCCAGCAGCATGGAGCGCTGCTCGTCGAGCGACTCGCCGCTCATGGGCCGCGCGGGCAGCGATTTGCCGGTGCTGCTCATGTATGTGGGGTCCAGGCGGCGCAGCTCCTCGATGCGGTTGGTGTACGTCACGCGCTGGCGGTGTTAGTGGGCGTGGGGCCTCTGCCAGCAATGGGCGTCTACTCACAATGGCGTCCAGCTTCCGGCGGTCCTCGTCCTGCGAGCTGCGGATCATGACCTGCTGCAGCAGCTTGCAGGCGTCCTCGTACGCCTCCATGGCGCCCTCGAAGTTCTGGGCATTGTCGAGCAGCACGGCGGTGTTGGCCTTTTGCAGGGCGCGGGACAGCATGGTCTTCTTGTCCTTTTCGCGGCGCTCGCGCGTGCGGGGCAGCGGGTCGGCGTGCGGGTCGGCGTGCGGGTCGTGGTGCGGGTCGTGGTGCAGGTCGTCGAGGCGGGCGTCGCGGCTGGCGCTGCGGTAGTGGGCGCGGGGGTCGCTGGGGTAGGCGTCCCTGCTGTCGCTGCGGGCGTGGTCGCGCGAGGACGAGCGGGCGTGGCCGGCACTCGGGGCGCGCACGCGGGCGGCGGGCGGCGGGCGGGCAGCGGTCCTGTCGGGCTCGGCGAGGATGGCGGGCGAGCCCAGCGGCGAGCGGGCGAGGGCGCGGTCGCGGGTGCGCGAGGCCGGGCGGGCGGGCGGCGGGCGCGGCTTCGAGTTGAAGTAGTCGGTCGGCTGGGCGTGGGCGAACAGGCTCGGAGTGAACAGGCCGGCGGTCGACGGCGAGGGCGCCGTCGAGGCGCTGCCGGGGTCGTTGGGGTCGTAGACGGCGGGCGACAGCAGCACGGGCGGCGGCTGTGGCAGGGCGGCAGGCGGCGCGTGGCCGGGGCCATGCAGGGCGGCCAGACTGGAGGCGGCGGCGCTGGGCCGGCGGGCGGGCGACGCGGGCGCGGGGGCGGGCGACGGCGACCAGCGCTGCCCATGGGCGTCCGCGGCGGCAGACGACGGGCGGCGCGGGCGCTGCGGCGGCGAGGCGTGGCGGGCGGCGGTGGCAGCGGAGGCAGCGGTGTGGGGGCTGTCGGCGGTGGGCGCGGCGGTGCTGGCGGTCGCGGTGCTGGCGGTGGTCGCGGCGGCGCTGTCCCTGCTCCTGCGCTGCTGGCTGGCGGCGCGCTGGACGGCCACGGCCACGGCGGTCGAGCTGCTGGCGGACCCGGCGCGCGATTGGCGGCGGTGCGTGGCGGGGTTGCTGGGTGCGCTCATGCTGGTCGCGGCGAGGGTCCTCGATGTCTCAGGCCAAGGCGTGGGTAATGCACAGCATCGCGGCCGCGGTGCAGGAACGCGCTGGGCGGCGGCGACGTGGTACAGGGCGGCCGGCAATTGGACTGCGTCGCTTGCTCCCCTCGGTGCTCACGGCAGGCGACGACGCGAGGGCTCTGTGTATATGTGGAGGCCGCCAAGCTGCGAGAGCGAGACGGACGGCGGGCTCACGGCGGGCACCACAGCCCGCGCAGGCCAGGGGCCGCTCCTCAAACAAGAGCAGCCTAGACGCACGCCAGCCGCCGCACCGCCCAGCGCTGCCCTGCTGCCCTGCCGCCACCTGGCTGCCGAGCGCCCGTTCGTGCCTGCCGGGGCAACCCGTGCACATTCTCGCGGCGCTGCGTTGCACAGGGCCACTGCTGCCGCCCGCCTGCTGCGTCCGCTGCACCTGCTGCACCTGCTGCATGGAAGCCTGCCGTGGGCCCTCGGCGCTGCTGGCCCCGCGCCCGTCGCCCTGCATGAGCTGCAGAGGCCCGCGCCGCGATGCTGACCTGTGCCTGTGCCGGTGCCTGTGCCTGTGCCCGTCTGCGCCTGTGTCTGTGCCTTTGCCCGCCTGTGCCTGTGAGCCCCCGCCCCGTGCGCCGCGACTCGTGCTCCACTCGCGAGCAGCCTGCACTGGCCCTCCACTCGCCCTGCACTTATCGCACCTCCATGGCTGCCCGATCCAAAACAGCGCGTACCGCTCTTTCCACCTCCGCTAGCCCTGACCCGCCAGCGCGGTCGTCTTCGCCTGACAGCACTGGCACGGCCGTCCATTCCGAGCGAGCCCTTTCTTTTTAGCTCGCGTTTCGGCGAGTCGACGCACAGAAGCAATGGCGGCAGCACAGACGTGCGCGAGAACTGCCACGGCGATCTCAGTCGTCCATTATTCGTGTGCAGACCTCCGCGAGAATTGCCACGGCGATCTCAATTGCCCATTATTCGTGTCCAGACAACAACAACTGCCACAGCCATCTCAATTGTCCATTATTCGTGTACCACTGCAGACGCTGCATGTCCCCCGCCCGTCATCTCCACGCTGTTACAGCTGCCCTTCATGCTCGCGAGCCCGCCAGACCATGTGCCCGTCTCCTGTTTGGGTTCACCTGCTACGCGTTTCATGCACCACCGTTTTGCGTCATGTCCTCCGCATCAGTCCATCCAGCACTGTCCATCAATGCCCCCCCTCTGCTTCTGTGCGCCACCGCTCCAACCCCTGCTGCATATCTGTTTCTCCATCACCTCCCGGACCATCTGCAGTCCGCCAGCTTAGTCATCGTGCTCAACCCACCCCCTCTCACAAGTCTACCATAATGTCCTCCTCTTCCACCCCGTCGTCCCACGCAGTGTCCATGGCATCGTTCGACACCCCCTGCCTCTTCTGCTGCCGCTTCAGGTTCTCGACAAACTCCTTCGTGAGCGTCAGCCGGTAGTCGGCGTCCCTGACCTGGTCTGCGAGCGTGTTTGTGCGCTGCGTCTGCTCGAACAGCGCCTGCTGCTGCTGCTTCTCCGACTTGGCGAGCGGCCCCTGTGTGGGGTCGAGGTAGAACCGCAGCACGATCCCTGCTTCTGGTTTGTCCGTCTGCTCCAAGCGCGCGTTTAGGTGCCCATCCCTGATTAGCCCTTCGAGATATTGTGCCATTTCCTCGGCGCTACCGCCTACGTTTCTCGCAATGTTTGACACCGGAATTGCCGAGAATGTCCGTGATAGTCGCGAGACGTATGCCCTCATCTGACTGTCGAGTACGGCTTGGACGAGGCCAGTGTTGCCGTCCTGTGCATGGTCAGACCCTGTTAGCCACTGTAGTAGCTAAAACTCACCTCTGCCCAGATCTGGGCACCTGCGTTGATCTGAGCCTTCAGCTTTGACATGTTGCTGAGATGCGAGTACGCCTCTGCAACAGCCTCGTAGGCCTTGGAAGCTGACCTGACCTGCTTGATTGCCGCTGGATTGGCCGACCGCGGGATGTGCTTAGCCTCGCCGGACACCAAACAGTTCAGCAGCACCCATTTCTTGTAGGCCTCCAGCATCAGCCCGTTTGCAACATTGGCAGACGGCATGACCAGAACATGCTCCAAGAAGTGCTGCGCCTTTCCGAACTCCCGCAGGCCGAGATACGCCATGGCCCCAAGCACATAGTACTCTTGCAGATCTACATACGAGACTCTGTCTGAATGGCCTGAGGTTCGGTGAATGTACTCACCGCTCCGCGCGACGTCTGCACACGGCACTGAGTACTCGAACCCTTCGCGAGTAGCCGCGGGGATGAACGAGGGCAGACTGTGGATGTAGTTGTCGAGGATGGGTTCGGCGGCGGCGTACGACCGTGCCTCGAGGCAGAGCCGTATGAAGTCGACGTGTGTGGAGGTCAGGGTGCCTGTGGTAGGGTCGAGGCGGATCATTGCTGAGCGTATGGGTGCTATGGCCAGGCCGGGCTGCTGCACGTCAGTGTTGTCCGATTGATATGCCGGGTGTTACACACCGAGCCAGCTTCGCGCGCCAGCGGCTCGACGAAGTCGACAAGCCTTTTGTACTCGTGTCCAGCGTAACGCATCTGCACCGGGTCAAAGGTCTCCAGGAACAGCACCAGCCTATTCCATAGCGCGCCGCCGGGCTCTATCAGCTTGTGCGACGCCGGCTTCTCGACTGCTGCGGCGATGCGGTGGCGGAGCATGAAGGCGTAGGCTATTGAGTTGACTGCGGGGTTGAGAATCTCGCCTGGTCAGCGTGGTCCAGCGCTTTGGAAGCTTTGCTCACCTCTATTATGTCTTCTGGCGTGTCTGCTCCCTTCATCCAATGTGTTGCCGAGACGTTGTCGAGCTGCTTGACAAACTGCCGCGCAGATTGGTCATATCTCTGATGCACCTTCAGCTCCTCAGCCTCGGGCTGGAACTGAAGCAGCAGTGCGTGAAGTGGAACCGCCATGGCTGCGTGTGTGTGTTGCTCGAGGTGGGCGGCGTATCGTAGGGCGACGGCGATGTGTGTGCTTGTCGCGTGTTGTCCTGCGCCCAGTCTGCTTGAAACTGGAGGATAGTGCAGGCTAATGTTGATCAGACAGGCAACGTCGGATCCAGGTCGAACGGCAACGTCCTAGCTTTAACAATCGTCAAGTGGAGACGGAGGTGGCACGCCGTGAAGCTCCCGCCCGCAAGGCTCCAGGAGCATGGGCCACACCCCGCTACGATGACGGCAGCCTATCAACTCCCGCTTCCCCAATCAACAGCTCATACATTGAATAGGAAGAGAAACACATCATAACATTGACTCGTAGGTATCATCCCACCAAAACGCCGTGCAAGCAGATCCAGCATCACTCTAACAATCACAATCACCGCTTCTTCACTGCCTCCTCCATCTTCCTCACCAACGCCTTCAGCCCAATCCCCTTCTCACAGTTGCTCTCGAGATGTGCTTCCATCTTCTCGCGCACCTCTCTCATGCCCTTCAACACCGGCAGCTTCCTGCTCTCCTCACCCTCCAGGTGCATCAGCGGATTGAGCAGTAGATCGAGACACTCGTGCCAGATCTCCGTCTGCCAATACCTCTTCAGACTTTCCTTGATCTTGTACGTCTTTGTCGCACCAGCACCAAGTCCCGCCCCTTTCTCAGCAACAGTGGACATGTACTTGCCGAACAGCAGACTGTGCACGATGCCTGCCAGACCGTGGTAGTCGATTTGGTATGTCCAGGGACGCGCTTCGCGCATCTCCGCACAGTCGGCTTCTGTAAACTGCCAATCGGCGATGAATTGCACGTCTGGCCGGAATGCTTTCATGTCGATGCCACGGCCGAAGTCGATGAGCGAGATGCCCTTGGACGCCCAACCGTCGCGGCCGTCGCGCTGGTATACTGAGCTCCACTCGCCCTTCTGCAGCGCATCGAAGCGAACAAGGATGTTGTCTGCTTTGAGGTCGCCGTGAAGAATCCCCTTTGAATGGAGCGCTTCGACAGTGCGCAGTAGTTCAACGGTGAAGAACATGGCCAACTGCTCGTCCATCACCCCATTCTCCGCACGGGCGATGTTAACAAGATCCAAGAGGGTACCCTGGTCGCAGAACTCTTCAATCAAATAACACTCGTCTTGAAACACGTGCATTTCATATGCATGGACGATCGAGTCAGCTGCTCTGGATACCCCGAGACGGCGTTTTGCTTGCCGCATGATGTAGAACTCCCATGGAGTGGGAGGGTCCTCCATCTTGAGGGCTTCCAGAGGGCGGCGCTTGAGGCCAAAGTCGCCTTTGCCCATTTGTGCAGGTGCATTCTCATCCTCCTCATCCTTTGGCGTGCTTTCGATAAGATACACCGGCGCAAACGCTCCCTTACCGAGCTCTCGTTTGACTGTGAATGTTCGTGCTGATCCCTCGAATTCAAGCTTAGGTGGCACAGACAGGTTCGTCATGGTCTTGTCCTGCGAGTTGTTCTTCATCTTCTTCACAGCCTTTGTGTATTTCTGGATCTCAAGACCCTTTCCGCTGATTGCCTCAGTGTCTGCAAAATATCCATCATAGCTCTCGAGCGGCGGCTGGATCTCTCGCAAGATGATGTTACGAATGTCCTCGATGACTGGATTACATTGCAGCTCCTGGATAATCGGTCCCGAAGGCTTTGAGTCCCTAAACACAGCCGGTTTTGCAGCCAGGGGTTTCCGTGCCGGCTCTCCAACTGCTTCCGCGAGAAGATCACTTGGCTTTGGCTCGGATTGCCTGAGCGACAGTTTCGTGATTTTCCCTGGACCATCAATCACTTGTCCAAGAAGATCTTGGAAGGGGCTACTACTCGTCTCATCTTCATCACCGTCCTCGAATATGATAAGATTACCCTTCGACCGTGATGGCGTCTTAGCATTGAGCTGTTCCTTTTGAGCGTAGGCAGTTGCGAAACCCAAGGATGACTCTGTCTTCTCCACAATTGGAGTCATGAAGGGCAGACGATTGTTAGCCGCCTGGACGGAGTCCCGATATGGCCTCATTGGATAGTTGTGCTCTTCTGGTGGAACCGGCACGAATCGAGTGGGCAACGAGGCTGGCGCTGATGGTGAGGTGGGCGTGGTCACCTCTGGCTCATACTGGCCCCCTGACTGTACGAGTGGATGTGTTACCTCCTCAAAAGAGTCGTCCTCCGAATCCTCGTGTTCTTCGTTCGAGCGAACGGAGCGAACAGTGTCGTTCTGGTCCTCTTCGTCACTTGCAGCATCCTTGTTGCCACTGAGGTCGGACCAGGCCGACACGCTTCTGACATCAGTGTCATCGATTTCAGTGCGGTCGACTTCCGTAGCATCGATGTCGCTGCTCCTGTCATCGTCCGACTCGTTGTCACCAATCACCGTTCCTAACGTAAAATCTCCACCGACTGTTGTCTCGTCGCCGAACTCGCTGCGAGTAGCTGTACTCTCTGCACCGCTTGTGTAGTCACTCTCATCGTCATCACTGCTCACTTCTTCACTCTGTGACTCAGACACCTGCTCCTCTGGCTGCTTCAGCGGCTGGTTGAAGATGTCGTAGATATCATCCATAGCCTCTTTTGTGTGTAGAGTCATGGTTGCCTCGCGACCACCTTTTTTCCTGCGCACCTTGGATTTCTTCGATGGCGAGTCTAGCTTCGCTTGAACTGATGCATGTTAGAAGATATCGCGATTCGCTCTGATAGAACCTACTCGTTTGTGTCTCGCCACTGATCTCCTTGATGTCCATGACCTGGATCTTTCGCGTCCGATTTGCGCGCTCTTCCTTTCGCGCCTTCTTCGCTGCCTTTGCCTTTTCGATGTCGGCCCGCGAGGGCGGTCTATTCTCATCATCACCCGCCAGGACATCGTTTTCGCCACCTTTGAGGGGTACGGTCTGTAGCTTCGGAGGCTTTTGTGCATCTTGTTTGGGTGCGAGAGGTTCGGATCTGGGTGCAAGAGGTTCGAGCTTGGGCGCGAGAGGTGCGGGTTTGGGTGCGAGAGGTGCGGTTTTGGGTGCGAGAGGTGCGGTTTTGGGCGCCGGCCGCTGTGCAGCAGCAGCCTCCTCCGCAAGTTTTCTGGCATGTTCCTGTTCTTTTCGACGAATAGCTCCCCAGTCTTGGCTGAGCCAGCCTCTATATCTAGCTCGCAGCTCTTCGAAAGAAAATTCCACTGACATTGGATCCCTGCGGTTAGGATATACTTGCTCCAGGTCAACGAACACAACCTCGACTCTGCCTGTCTTCGGATTGACAGCTTGTAGTTGCTCACGGAAGGGATGTGGAATGGACGCGCTGTCATTGAGATGTGATTTGGTCTGAATACATAAGGCAAGCGCCAACCAATTAGTCCTATGATCGTAAATATGTGAAGAGGGTATGCAGGCAGTGGACTCACCTCATCCTTGAATATCATCATCTTCCCTGCGCCTTTGTTGGTCTTTCCACCCTTCAGTGTCTCGCCAGCCCAGGGCCGAGCCTCCTGTGTGTTCTCCTTCTTGCGGTCTGCGAGGGTTTCGATACTGTCCCAGCCTGGGCCGCTGCCACTCGAGCTTGTCTTTGCCGGCTCACCTTCATCGGAGAAGATGGCCATCTTGGCCTTGCCAGACTTCGGTTTGGGTGCCTTCGGTTGGCTCTGCGCTTGCGAAACGGGCGAAGCGGGGGCAAAAGGATCGACCTTTGCAGCTAAGGCAGGGCGGACGGCGGGCAGAGCTGGACTTGAAGGCTCGGGCACATCCTTTGGGCGACTCTCGAATCGATGCTGAAATTCGCCGTACTTCCGAATCAACCGTTCGGTCGGCCGCGCTTCCTTCTCAATGCCCATGCTGTAGATTTCCTCGGCCTGCGAGAATCGGCCAGCTCCCTCAAGCCAGGCAGCAAATTCCTCATAGTACAACGCCAGCCCGGCACCAATGTTGTGTCGCGCTAGAAACCTGAAGATCTCCTGAGGCGCGTCGGCGAAGAGTCGAATGTAGTGCAGCCAAAGCCTCAGATAGCGGGGGTCGTCCTTGTAGTGAGACGACGTCTGGAAGGCCTTGGTTGCGCGCTCGAGGAGTGGGCCAAGCTGCGAGTGCTTGTCGTTCTGTGCGGAAGGGTATGCCTCTAGCGTCCACTTTACGTATCGGTCGTAGATGTCGAGTGGGTCGTCGGAGTCGTCAATGTTCATGAGCTCTTTCTCAAATTCTAACCGATTTGCGCTGTGCGCATCCTGTGTCTGCAATGGTGACGGAGCATGCCCCGGCTTTGCGCCCAGTGGTGGTGTGTAAAGCTGCGCGAGTGCTCTGGCCGAACGGCCGCTGGGAATGGCCTGAATGTTCTCCTTCGAGTTTTCGATAACCTCGAAGTCAACAATGTCGTCGGAGCCCATGACGCCGGTGGGGTATCTCAAGAAAGAAAAGTATCCAAAATCAATGTACAAAAAAGCCCGCCACCTTACCTGGTGTCGTTTCCGTTGTCGTTGTGGCCGAAAGATGCGCAGCGTCAAGTCTGGCGGCGGGGCTCTTGTGTTGCACCCTCGCCGCGCCTTCCCCGATGGACTAGCGTTGCTAGGGCAACAATGACTGCCGCCACTACCTGGACCGTGGACTTGACTGATGTCAAACCCAAGTTTTCCGTGTAACCTGGAGGCAGTTTGCACAATCGTCTGTTGGGAGGTCTTACGTTATGCACCTATGAACCGCAGATAACTAACTACAGACCATTGTTCAATCCAAGTCTAGTCGGAGTCATCAAAGACGCAATGCTACAAGACGCGACTCGTATTTCAAGGCATCACTTGATTGGTTTGGCTTGAGTTTGCTCGCCATTACAGTATATGATACAGACTATAAGCTGATTCTGAAGACTGCAAACGATCCCGGTAAGCATCCAGATTCCAAGTGAGAGCCTTCAGGCTCCGTGTACGCAAAGGACATTGCCTTGAGCCTTCCCGGCGCAGCGATGGCAACAAGAAAACCAGACACAAGCATCACGGGCCTCGCGAAAATTCGACAGACTTCAGCAGTTGTTGACTACAATCCGACTACAACTCAAGGTATCTCGCATTTTCAATTACTCATTGCTCATATCATATTCATACAAATCGTGCCACATCCCAACCCACCAGAAAACGGAAGCCTCAACGCCATGCAGGAAGCATTTTGTACTCGTCACTTAAATATCGTCGAATGTCCACAGCACATTCTAACTCTGCCTAGCCTTCTCGGCACAGATCAGCGCGATGATCCGGCTCAGTTCAGCACTCTGCGCAAACTGCTCTTGCTTAGTCTTTTCGTCGACGTCCTCGCTTGCCGAAATGTCGTTAGAGACAGTCAGCATGCGGTTCTGCAGCGCGAGCAGCTTCGAGAGCGTGTTGTCGAGGAAAGGGGCACTGAAGGTGATGTTGGTGGGTGATTGGCCTGAGTTGGGAAGGCGCATCTCGAGTTTCCTGGGAGGCTTGCGTTGTGCGGGCTTCTGCTCGACTTGCTTCTCTGGCTGCGAAGAGGTCCTAAAGGAACGGTTAGTATGAAGGAATCGGAGAAGCATGGCAGTCAAGGTAGTAGAGGGTCTGCACACTGTTGCTCTGCGCTTGAGAGAAACATGCAGAGCATGCGCACTGATCGTAGAGCATTTGTGGTGATGTACCGACCGCGTGGTGGCGAGCGTTGGTAGCGGACCGCTGTCTCCAACGGCCACTAGATTCGCGAAGGGGCAAACGTACCTTTCGCGCTCGACAAATGTCATGTTCTCCGCCATCTCAGCGACGCGGTTTGCGATCCTCGATGCCATGATGGTGTAGGGCGATGCGTGTTGAACACCGTTTGACACGCCGTTTGCTGTATTCTTTCCTGCGGTTGAAGCGGCCTTCCTCGGGCGTGAAGTAGCGGCAGATGTGCGGTTTACCGGCGCGGAAGCTACTGAGGCAGGCATTTTGGTTATTGTGAGCGCTGTATTCAGATCTGTCTGAGAGGGGTTAGTACTGCAACGGTTGCTGGGTGCACACAGCGCGTAGGGACGTCGAGGCCGCGTGCAGGTGGAGCTAACACTAACCTTGCGAGCTGGGTATCGAAAAGTAAAGAAATTCGATGCGAGTGGAGATGTTCAGTGCTTTGAATATCGACTTTGAGGTATATGGCAAGATGAATGGGCTGTTACGTGGGCACGAGGACCCACGATATCTTGAGCTCCCAGCCCCAGAAGTTGGCAGGGGGCGCTTCACGAACGACGTCATCCGGATGCATGAACAGGGTGCGGGATGCGATCGTCAGACTTGTGGAACCCACTTTCTCCACCGACCGTTTACCGGTTACAAGGTGACGTTTGACGCCCCGTTCCTCGAAAGCACGTACATAGTGATGGACGTCTGAGCTCCCTTACTGACTCTGCTCTTTGCGACGACCACCGCAATTGACGATGTCGCCTGCGATCAAAAAGAAGAAGGATGACCTTGGCGCTGGGCTGCGCGTGTCGAAGGACAACATTGCTGCGCATCCTGCTGGGCCACCGAAGTATGGCGAATTGACGCAGGCAGAGAGGGCATTCACCCTAGCGTCGACATTCCTGTCTGGAGTTCTGGCGTACGAATTCGAATAGCCAAACTCCGACTGCGCAAGCTAACAGTGGCACAGTATCAGCGCGTCGCAATTTCTGGGAGCGCCGTTAAAGTTGATCGATCCCCAGTTCTATGAAGGGTATATGGCCTATACGAAGGAATGCTTTGCTATCTTGATCACGTGTCTGACCCAGTGGTGGGCGCCCACGATTGTCCGGGTCAGTGGCGATTCAAGCATGATCGGACAACTCATCCAGAGGAAAGATGGAAGCCTGCAGTGCAATTTTGCAGACCGCATGGTGTTGATGGCTAACCACCAGCTGTACACAGACTGGCTGTATCTCTGGTGGATTGCGTATACTAACAACATGCACGGCTTCGTTTATATCATCTTGAAGGAATCGCTCAGGAACATTCCCATTATCGGTTGGAGCGCGCAATTTTACAATTTCATTTTCCTAGCCAGGAATTGGGAGGAGGATCAACGCCGCTTCAAGAAGGCTTTGTCGCGCCTCAGCAACGTGACCCAGCCAATGTGGCTCATCATATTTCCAGAAGGAACTAACCTGTCATCCACGACTCGAGAGAAGAGCAAGGCTTGGGCTGCGAAGAACAACCTGCAAGACATGAAACATCAACTTCTACCGCGAAGTACGGGACTGCGGTTCTGCTTGAACGAACTCAAAGACTCCACGGAGTGGCTGTATGACTGCACCATCGCGTATGAAGGCGTACCGCCCGGACAATTTGGGCAGGATATCTTCACGCTACGCTCCACCTTCTTTGAAGGCCGCCCACCGAAGTCAGTCAACATGCACTGGCGCCGTTTTCACATCTCTGATATCCCCATTCAAAATACGAAGGCCTTTGAAGTATGGCTGCGGAACCGCTGGAGAGAAAAGGACTACATGCTCGAATATTTTCAAAAGCATACTCGATTCCCGGCTGAAAATTTCTGGAAGGATCATCTTGACATAGGCGACCGCAGCTCGCAAGGCTCGCAGAGCATACGCAGTGTGCCGAGGCCAGCTGTTCAAATCGAGACGCAAATCAAGTCTGCCAACTGGAATGAATTCGTTAAAATCTTTGCCCCCATCAGCAGTGTCTTGATGGCATTGACGGTTGCGTATGGGGCAAACCCAGCGGATATCATACCTGGTGGTAAAGAGTTTTTCGAACAGCATATGAAGCAGTTGTTGGGAGGCGGGGGAGAAATGGGAGGGCTTCCAAGTCCAGATCAACTTGAGAAGATGATTGAAGGAGCGGCCAAGCTGGGAGCAGCGCAAGCTGCAGATCCACAGCAGATGCCACAGGTAGCGGCGCTTACACAAGAGAACCTGGCGAAGCTGGTCAAGGAGACAGCGATCAAGAACGGCGCGGTGTTACCAGGAGGAATGAGAAGAGCCAGTACTGCACTGCCACAGGCTCCAACGAAGACCCTCGCGACACCGACAACAGCACCAACACGCGCAAAGAGTGCAGTTGTTACTCCCTCTTCAGCCCGAAAGCCGGCTGGCGCTGCAGCCAAACCGAAAGTAGCAGCAGCTGTGCCCGTGAAGCCCAAGGCTGCACCTGTCAAACCCAAAGCGACAGTAAAACCCAAGGCCGCACCGCCGACAGGTGCTATGAAGGAACTGACATTAGCGTCCGGCGTCACGATCAAAGTCCCAGCACAAGCCGTCGAGGACGCCAAAAAGACTGGCGCAACCACAATCACAACAGCGAACGGCCTCGAGCTCAACATCGGGAAAAAAGACATCGAGAAAGCGCAAGCAAGTAAAGGCAACACCATCATGACCACCTCGGGTATTCCAATCAAAATCACATCAGGGGGTGCCATCGAAGTTACCAAAAAGCCACCGCCAACGAAAGCGAGCCCTGCACCAAAGCCCGCGGTGAAGAAGGCTGCACTTACACCTGCAAAGGCGCCAGCGAAGCACAATGGGGCGACGAGTGCGCCAAAGAAGTTGGCTGCAAGTACAGCCGGGCCGAAGAAGATTGCTACGAAACCTTCGACTATACAGACGAAAGCACCGACAAAGCTGGCTGCGAAGTAAATGTACCTTATTATGGCGTAGGAAACAGAGCAGGCTTGCTCAGGCGTTGGATACCCGCACACTCTAGCTTTCACGAATTTCTATATGTAACTTTTTCAATCTCAAATTGACTGAGATTGCTATCTACTCCTTACATCGATACTGTACATACCACAATTTATTCCAATAATCTACTTGCAGACAAAGACCCCAAAATACAAATGTATGACCCGCTTCTGCAGCAACATAACACGAGTCTGCCACGCCAACCACTCAAACGCCACCGGAATCATGCCCAGGAAAGATCGACTGTCACCCCTGCATCTCACGAGTCCAGCCGCGATACCCCTGTCAACGGCCGTGCATCCCGCCGTACGTCATCGCGGGGCGAAACAGGATCGAGGATGTGGCGCAAGGGAGTGTCGTTGCGATGTCATGTGTGGAACCTAAGTCGATGCTGTGATTGATACTCCCGATATCATCAGAAGTCGAATCCCAGTATTGGACATTGTAATTCTTTGCTGATTTATAATTGAATTGACACCAATCCTATCGACTCCAAATATCAAGCAAACGATCACAAAGTTCGGGACAATCGCGACAATGGCGGGATTCATCCAAAACATCATCTGGAACTCAGTCGAGGGCTTCGTCGACGCCGCGAAGAAGACAGGCGGCGAGTACGCAGGCAATGCCCTGATCAAAGCCGGCGATGCCATTGAGAACGGCGGCCGCAGTGTTGGGGGAGGTATGTTCACCCAGGCTCAAGAGCCTAGCTGCAGCAGCAAAGGTGAATCGTGCTAACTATCGCCAGGCCTCGAAAAGGCAGCTACTGGTTACGGATCCAAACTCTCGGGCCAGACCTACAAGCCCTCCTCGGCGTCAAAAGCGCTCCCGTCCACGGCCCGTAAACCAGCTATCAAGCGGAGTAACTCGATGCCTGCGAACACTAAACCATCCGGCTCTCTTGCTGGTGGACGCTCAATCGCCGGACCAACGAGTAACGTACCTATCGGCGCAAAGAAGACCGTAGGCGGCGCAAAGAAAGCAGTTGGTGGTGTTACAGGAGGAGCCGGGCGGACCATTGGAGGCGTCACCAACACAGCAACCCGAACCGTCGGCGGCGTAACAGGAGGAGCAACTCGAAGCCTCAACGGCGTAGGCAAGACAGCCAACGGCGCCCTGGGAGGCGCAACCCGCGGCATCGACGGTCTCGCAGGCCTCACCGGCGGTGCAACCAAATCCACAGGCAACCTTGTAGGCGGAGCGACCCGCGGCGGCGGCAACGTTGTCAGCAACGCGACCAAAGGCGTCGGCGGCATCGTGAACGGCGCTTCCAAGCCCCTCACCAACATTGGCGCAAACGCGCAGAAAGCGGTGCCCCGCGGCCTCCCCAAGCCCTTCGACAGCACCTCCGCGGGCTCAAGCTACTCGAACCCGTATCCCGCCGCGAAGAAAACGGCAGTCAAGCCTGGGCAGAGTAAGCCCTTCACGCCACCTGCGCAGAACAAGCCCGAGCCGAAGCCGTACCCGGGGACGAACACGCTGCCGGGCCAGGGTTCGAAGACGCCTGTTAGGCGGACGTATAAGCCTGCACAGAGGCTGGGAAGCCAGGTCGAGCCGGGGCAGAAGATGACGCACATTGGAGCGTTTTAGTTTCTGCTCGATGAGAGAGATAAAAGAATTATGCGTGTATGATATATTGGTGTTTTGATGGCGTTTTAGCGGTTATGAACATATGTAGATACTTATCTAGGTACAATCGATGGATACCAGAGTACCTGCTTGATGAGATTGAATGTGCATGTAGGAACCAGGGTGAGGCCGATCGACGAATTTTCAACAGCCTGCCACGAGGATGGTGAGATGGATGAATGCCAGCATGGGGATCAACTTGGGCTATTAGGTCCCGTTCAAAGTTTAACCACCCGCAATCTACAAGACACAGGGTCTGTCTTAGGCTCTGATTTGAGGCAAAGCGCGCCGGGCCGGTATGTTGATGAATTTAACGCTGACCCCTCCTCAGCAATCATCTACAGCGTACCGTAGGAACGCAAGTGGGTCACTCAACAGCCGGCTTCGGGCAATTTCTCCACGGGGATAAGACGATCCTCTCCAAACGCCCCGCACAAGCTCTGGTCATCCAGGTTAAGGTTACCAGGCTAGCCCCACCTGGAATCTTTGAGGTCCATCACCAATAATTTCATTGCTAAGGGCCAATAAGTCACTGCGACTGACGCACCGAGTCGTCGTACGACGTTTTCCGGCAGCTAAGCGTCTTGAACTATGTCTTGTACTTATCTTGGAATGCTTAAAGTCCAAGGCATGCTCTCGCTTGGTTATCACACTAAACTCTTGATACACTCACGCCTTTTTGGCTTTGGAAAAACCACGTGCATCAAGCCAGATGGTTTTCCTCTCCGAGAAGGCCGAAGAGGCACCAGCTGGCGCATCGGCGCGTGAATATGGAAAACATGAAGATATGGATATGACGCCCGCCACGGTCGAGGACGGCCCTGTGCCTGTACAAGCAATCGATCCGGAGATCGAGAAGCGAGTCCGCAGAAAGCTGGACATGAATCTCGTCCCACTGGTCTCAGCACTGTACTTGCGTGCGTCGTTCCTCCCAAGCCATGAGCTCTTCCACTAATCTGTCCAGTCGCCTTCCTCGACCGTTCGAACATCGGCAATGCCCGCATCGCCGGCATGGAAACAGACCTCCATTTCAAACCGGGAGAATATGACTGGCTCCTCACCATCTTCTATATCTCGTATATCTGCTTTGGTTTCCTGGCTATAATGTGGAAAGTCGTGCCGCCACACTACTGGGCCGCGGCCTGCGTCTTCACGTGGGGCCTGGTGTCTACAGTGCAGGCAGCGGCAAACTCATGGGGTGCTATGATGGCGTTGAGGTTTATCATGGGCGCATCTGAGGTCGCGTACGGCCCGGGTGTGCCGTTCTTGCTGTCGTTCTTCTACTTACGAGACGAACTTGGACTCCGGAGCGGACTGTTTCTAAGCGCTGCGCCGCTGGCAAATACGTTTGCAGGCGCACTGGCGTATGCGATTACGAGCGGCAGTCCAGCGATGGCGAAGTGGAGAGTGCTTTTCCTTGTGGAGGGGCTACCAACTGTTGTCATGGCGGGTGTGGCGTTTTTCTTCCTGCCCGATAGTCCAGAGAAGGCGCGCTTTCTGAATGAGGAAGAAAGAGAGGTTGCAAGAGCACGAGGAGTGAGACAGGCTGGTGAAGCGCCTCGCATTGGTGTGCCCAACATCAAAGAGTTCTTTGCTGGGTTAGTGGATCTCAGGGGCTGGATTCTGGGGTTGATGTATTTCTCCTGCAACGTAGCTTTCTCAAGTCTGCCTGTGTTTCTGCCAACAAGTAAGTATCTCAGACACTTCAAACTACGTTTCGCGCTGACAGTCATTGCAGTTCTAAAGGAGATGGGCTTCAGCAGCGTCAACGCGCAGGGTCTGACAGCACCTCCATTCTTCGTCTCGTTCCTCATGGTCATTGCGACATGCTACATCGCCGACCGTACACAGCAGCGCGGGTTCATGATTGCGTCGCTTACCGCTATCGGTGGTGTTGGATACGTGATACTGGCCACATCGCACTCGGTCGGCGCTCGTTACTTTGGCGTGTTCCTGGCTGCAGCAGGCATCTTCCCCGCGATTGGCAATATTCTACCATGGGTGACCAACAACCAGGGTTCAGACACTCGACGCGGAGCTGGTATTGTACTGCTTAACCTCATTGGGCAGTGCGGGCCTCTACTTGGCACGCGGATGTACCCAACACATGAGGGACCATTCTATGTCAAGGGTCAGTCAGTGTGTGCAGCGTTTCTGTTCTTCTGCTGCTTCCTGGCGCTTGCACTGAGAACATTGCTTGTGTGGGAGAACAAGAAGCTTGACCAGAAGTACGGATCGATTGCTTTACAAAAGCTGGCCATGCGAGACGCGGCTGCCCGAGGAGAGAGCGAAGGACAGGAGGTTGCTGTGGAGAACTATGGACCTTGGTTCAGGTATGTTCTGTAAATGTTCCAGATAGCTCAGGAAGCAAGTATCGTGCTGTCTGAAATCTGTTGTTCAAAGTGATCATCCTTTTCTTATAAGCGGTCGTCAAGTACACGCTACCAGACTAGTGAATGCTTGTTTCGTTGTGAACGAGCGCAGGCAGGAGTCCGCATGTGTGCACAATGCATGGTTTTTGCATGAACATCGATTTGGCAAGACTTGCACAGCTTGTGTTGAACATCCGAGCGTTGTTATTGTTTTTTGGACATGGCTAGATCAATGTAGCCTGCAGAGTGATGGACGTCAGAGAAAATTGGGCCACAGAGGTCATTCTCAGCCTCGCGTTCACGCTAGACCGAAATGGAAAGAGGTCGCGTGCTATCGCCATTCACTTTGGGCAGTTGCGCGCGATGTGAGGAGATGAGTGTGCCCTCCATTCGCGTTGCCATTCACGTCAAAATTCATATCACGACGTCTCTTTTGACCATTGTGACCCGTCGCAAGGACTCCCATAACTGCAAAAATCTCATCAACCCCGGCAACCATGGTTCCCGCGTGGGGACTTAGCGATAAGCCTAGCCCCAACAAGAGGCCCTAGCCGTGCCTGAGTGACGGCATCGTCGCAGGAAGCTCCATGCCCGTTCCAAGCAAGACTTGCAATTTCTTATTACCACCAAGCGCTTCGGACCTCCCACGCTGGACTCTGCAACCGGAAGTGTGAGCTGGAGACGGCCGTCAAGACACTCTTCAGCCTTAGTCCTATCTATCGTCGTTCGCAATGGCGCCGAGCGACCCTTCGCGCCCGTCCGGGCCCACGCCACTGATTGATGTGTCTGGCGATGCGTCCATGTCGCATGTCGCCGGTTCGTCCTCTGCAGCGGGAAAGAAGAAGAAGCACCGCGGCGGTAAGAAGAGGCGCAACCGTCGCCAGTCGTTCGCTGCGAATGCGGACCTGGGCCACGACGATGGCAGCGGTGACCGCCCAACCCTCGAGGACATCGCCGCCCACGGCAACTCGCGCGGCAGCACCAGCTTCTATGGCCTTTCGCGTAACCTCAGCAACACCAGTTTAGAGAGCGAGGCGCTGCTGGATCACCGCGATCATCAGCCGGTGCGCGCGCGTCGACAGAGCGTCACCGCGACCTCAATATATGCGCCGCGCGCCAGCCAGCAGTTCAACAACTCTCCCGGCCGTCTTAATGTGCCCGTATCTTTCGGTAAATCGAGACTGTCTGGCACCCCCGAGGCCACCTACAGCGATCACGACGATGACGCCGACGACCGCACCCCATTGATGATGGGCTCTCCTCGAGACAACAGGAAAGGGAACAGCTATGGCACAAGCGCAGGGGGTCTGGGGTCTAAGAAGCGGAGACCGAGCACCGGTAGCGGCAGCGGCAAGCATCGACCTGCCATGTTCGCGCACCATTCGCAGACCAACATCACCGAGGGCTACAACGTCAATAACCCGCCTTCTGTACCTACAAGCCCTGTCTTCGAGTCCAACCCTGGGCTTGACGACGTTGCGCTCCCAATTGACTTGGGATGCTCTCCGGAGCCAGGAAGATCTCGAGATGCCTTGATAGACATCGACGGGCCTGCAGAAGGGTCGATGTCGGCGTCTCCAAAGCAAGGCGAATTCCATCGCCGCATGACTCAGTCCTTCGCAGCCGATGACGATGTCTGCTTTCCGCACGAGGGAATGTCCGAGCTGGGCCAGCAAGACTACCTCAACGATCCGACAGGTGAGCCTACGAGTCGCCGCCGTCGCCGACGTTGGCCTGATCTCGAGGTGCTGTCATCCTGGTCGCACGAAGAGAAGGAACAGCGAACCATGGAGGGCATCCGTCTTCGCAAAGTCAGCGAACCGCTAATGGTAGACGGCCGGCTGCGTCCACGCCAGCGCCAATGGCACCGCGAGGCTGAGGACGTCCCGTTTCGCTTTACCTACTTCAACGAAACCTTCGACAACACCATCCACAGCCAGACCATCAGTGAGCTATTGCAGCCCGGGCAGACCTTCAAGGATCTTTTTATCCCCGACCCTGTCGAGCTTGAAGACAGCAGCGATGACGACTCAGACCAGGAGGACGCCCCTCGCACAAATACGAATGGCATCTCCAGGCCAACAGCGCTGTCGCCTTCGAACACGATCGACAAGACATCTTCGAGTGAGCAGACGCGTGCGAACACCCCAAAACCCCAGGCCGAACCAAACGCTAGAAGCGACGATAGACAAAAGCGGTACGGCCCTCGACCGGCTTGGTGGCTCGACGTCATGTCACCCACCGAGACCGAGATGAAGGTCATTTCAAAGACTTTCGGCATCCACCCCCTGACTTCTGAAGATATCCTCATGCAGGAGCAGCGTGAAAAGGTGGAGTTGTTCAAGCATTACTACTTTATCAACTACCGCACTTTCGAGCAAGACCAGACTAGCGAGGACTATCTGGAGCCAGTCAACCTTTACATTGTCGTTTTCCGCGAAGGCGTGATCAGTTTCCATTTTTCCATGACACCACATCCAGCCAACGTGCGACGTCGCATTCGACAGTTATCTGACTACCTTGTGCTGTCGCCCGACTGGATCTCATATGCCATGATCGATGACATTACCGATGCATACGCACCTTTGATCCAAAATATCGAGGAAGAGGTTGACGATATCGACGAGGCCATCCTCCGTCTTCATAACGCTGAAGATGACGATAGCTCAGACTCAGATGAGTACGACGAAAAGCAGAGTAATCAGAAGAGCGGCCGTGACATGCTGCGTCGTGTTGGCGAATGCAGAAAGAAGGTCATGAGCCTGTACCGTCTGCTGGGCAACAAGGCCGACGTCATCAAGGGGTTCGCGAAGCGCTGCAACGAGCACTGGGATATCGCGCCGCGCAATGAGATTGGCATGTACCTGGGCGATATTCAGGATCATATCATCACCATGACAGGCAATCTGAGTCACTACGAAAAGCAAGCCTCCCCACGCTCACCTTAAATTCTCTGCTAACAACTACAGCCTCCTATCGCGAGCGCACAGCAACTACCTCGCGCAAATCAACATCCGCATGAACGAGCGCCAAGAACAAACCTCCGACATTCTCGGCAAGCTTACCGTCCTCGGTACCATTGTCCTACCCATGAACGTCGTTACTGGTATCTGGGGCATGAACTGCATCGTCCCAGGCCAGGACGTCGAGAACCTCAACTGGTTCTTCGGCATCACAGGAGGCCTCGTCGCCTTTGGTCTGCTGTGCTATCTGATTGCGAAGAGGGTGTACGGCATCGTCTGATCCGCGTTACACTTGTGCGGCGTTCGGGTGTGGGAGTTGCATGGCATCGCATGGCGTGGCGTGTCTAGACTTTTGGGATAAGACTGTTTTGTATCGTCGTACATCAGGCTGGCTCTATACTTGCACATATACACAGGCTGGCGTTGGGCGTTATTGCATACACCTGCGCGATCATGCTGTTGTTGTACTGAATGAACTCTCATTACTACATGATGGCTTCTCGTTCTTCCTTTGCTTCGTCGCTGTGAATGAAAGTATATGTATAAGATTACGCCAAGAACAGCAAGGCGTTTTTAGTACGCTGGAATATTACCTCATTGCATGCTCCTTATTGTCTCAATCGGCCGTCCGACTATACCAAAGCTCACATCCCTGTCAACTGATGAGCCGACATTACAATTCTTAGGTCTGGTCGGGAATTATAACACAGACGCCTTGCTCCTTGATCATTTCCGCAACAACCGAAAACCCGACTATGGCGGGAATAACTATCACAATTCCACACGCCCAGAAGGTTGCAGAGATCAACATATCCAGAGATGAGTATGGAACTTGAGGTAGCCTCCAGTCGAAGGGCATCATAGACCCAACCACGAGCCATAACATCATCCAAGATCTTTGCGTGAAAGTGCTCTCTCCATTTGCAAACCCGGACAACGTGCCGAATACTATCAGGGGTACGGACAGACCCATTCGGACGTATGGAATGCTCTGATCTTGTGCGTGCGAGATGGCTTGTGCATGTGTCAACAAACCTCTACTAGTTTCTATGCCGATGAGGTGCTGTTCATGGTTATGCCGCATAAGCTGGGTAGCTCTCGTTGTGCTCGTCCACCGATACCCATGAGTCGGACCGCTGAGACTTAATGATTCTAGATTTGTAAGAAACGAAACGGCTGCTTCGTGCTCGTTAGCTTCGATGACTTCGTAAAACTCGCACAGAGAGTTCAGTACGAGCAGTGGTTCGGTCGCCACACTATTGCCATAGGATCAGAACTTTTGCATTTACCACGTAGTCAGAAAGGGTTTGGCCGCCTGCATCGTGTTTCATGTGTTGATGTTAGAGTTGAAGTCATCAGCTTTGGTCGGGCAACAACAAGCTCGTGATTGCCCGACCAAAGGAGGGGCAAGACCAAGGCATTGCCTGAAAGCAGGTGCAGCCAAGCACATCTGTTATGTGCAAGCGTGCAGACTGACCAACAAGCAGCAGCATGGTTTTGAGACGTTGAGTTCAAGAGGCCGAGTAACATCCGCAAGAATTGAAGCAAACGTTGGATTGGATACCTGCCCCAGTCAACAGCAGAGTACTGGTTATCGTGTTGCGGAGAAAGGGTGCTGAAATCTTCAGCTGTCTAAGTCCGTCACTCACAGGTAGCTATAGCGAAGCAGTATCATCCGAAGAGTTCAAGTCTGATGCGTTGGAGCTTGTGTTAGGTTTGCCAGGAAGGTGTGAGAAGGTGAAGCAAACAGTAGAGTTCTATCAACTCAACTCAAATCTGACCGACATTCAGAATCGCTGGCTTGGTCACCATGCCAAATCACCGAAAGCGCCCAGACGCGATTTAAGCTACAGCACACGACCAGTAGGCGTCGGCGGACCGCGGGTGTTCCGATGGGCGTGGGAGCACATGGAAAATAACTCACCCCGTGAATCGACCGTACGATAGTGACGGCCGCAAAGCCCTTTCAGCTGAGGAGGATTCGTTGTCATGATGCCATGCTGCATGCACAGCTTCTTATCTCCCGCTCTCGTCCCATCTGCACGTCACCGAGGCTGCGCCCCTGTCAATAAAGTCACTCTGCGCCATCCCGGACGGACCCAGCTGATGACTTAGCGGCAGGATCGGATCTGGGGTGCAGCATTGGTGTCGTCGCCGATCTGGGTGCGTGCTCGTGGTGGTGCCCAGAGATAAGGAACGTCTGGGGATGGCTCGGCAGCTAGAGTCGTGTCTTTAACTGGCGTAGCCAAGCGCTTTGCGACGAATGCGGAAGCGAGTGTGAGGAGCACTGATAAGAGCTGCGGCAGGATTGAGCAGGATCAGGATCATCAAGAGCCAGGACGACAATGCTTGGTTGAAAGGCAAATTCACTCAGATGTAGGGCGGAAATTGGTATGAATAGTCTGAATTAGAAAGTGTACATCAAGTACACGTATATGGTCGAATCTATAGCAAAAGATCTTTACATCCCCGTAAAGCGAACACAGGTGGTATCTCGGAACATGCTGAACAATTTAAAACGAAGCAACGAAGCATTTAGGCGTAGTCGCGAGAAGACGAAGGAGGTGTGGTCTTCTCGTGCTCGGGGCCCATAGCAACGGCGTGGCGGTCGCCGCCGATGCCAGTGTGGCCAGTGCCACTGTGCTCGCTGGGTGTCCTGCCCTCAAGCATCTCGCTGTGCTGGGGGATACCGTGACGCTCGCCCTGGGGAACGCTGTGCTCGCCGTTGAGGGGCTCGCCCTTGGCGGGTGTCCAGGCGAGGTAATCACGACGAACCTCAACGTAGTCGTACGCGAACTCGCCAAGCTGGTCATCGTCCATACCGAGAAGCTCAGCCTCCTCCGAAGCGCGCAGGTGCAGACCCGGAATCTTGTTGATGACGAAAGCGAGGAGGGCGCTGACACAGAAAGAGTAGGCGGTGCAGGCGACGATGTAGGCGATTTGCTTGTAGATGGCCTCGGGGCTGCCGGTAATGGCACCCGCAGTCAAACCGTTGTTGACGCCGTCGAGGCCGATGATGTAGTCGGCACCGAGAATACCGTTGATGAAAAGTCCCCACATTCCGGCGACGCCGTGCTCAGCGAAGACATCGAGGGAATCGTCAATGCGGATCCAGAACTTGACTGCGATGTATTAGCGACTGCATAAGATCAGAGGAATTTTGTTCAACGTACTCTTGGTAGCAAAGTTAGCAACAATACCGGTGGTGATACCAAGGATAACGCTTCCCCAGGGAGTGAGGAAACCGGAGCAGGGGGTGGCAGCGACGAGTCCGGAGATGACACCGGAACACCAGCCGACCATCGACCACTTGCGGGCAAGACGCCAATCGAGAAGGACCCAGGTCATCGCAGCGAACATGGCAGTGAGGTTGGAGTTCCAGCAAGCCATGACAGCGCGAAGGTTGGCACCGAAAGCGGATCCACCGTTGAAACCCAGCCATCCAAACCACAGGAAGACGGTACCGAGTGTGATGAGCGAGACGTTGTGCGGGCGGAAGTTGAGCATCATCTTCTCCTGACGGCGACCGAGGATCATGGAGTAGGCGAGAGCAGTGCAACCGGAGACGATCTCAACGGGACCACCACCAGCGTAGTCAAGTCCACCCCACACAAAGAACCAGCCGTTCGCGTTCCAGGCCCAGTATGCGACGGGGCAGTATACGATGGTGGCCCAGAGCCAGATGAAGACCATCATTGGGATCAGGCGACCACGCTCAGCAACGCAGCCGACGACGATGGCAGCGGTGACAGCACAGAATTGCATCTACTGTATGTCAGCGACGTTTAGTTAAAGCTTGTGATATGACGTACCTGGTAGAACGAGTAAAGAAGCTCAGGAATCAGAGGCGATCCCGGGCTGGGATGACCGAGCACGCCCTTGAGACCGAACTTGTCGAGGTTGCCGATGAAGCCATTTGTCGAGGGGCCGAACGCGAGCGAGTATCCCCAGAAGTACCATTGGAAAGTGATGACGGAAGCAGAGAACATACACGCCCAGATGAGAGACAGGGCGGACTTTCTGCGCGCAAGACCAGAGTAGAGGAAGGCCAGACCGGGAATCATGACCATGACCATGGCCGAGGACACGAGAATGTAGGCCTGGTCACCGGCATCGTACCATTGGTTCAAGTTTTCAGTCACTGTAAAGAGTCAGTAGCTGCTAGTTCTCGAAGGTAGCGAGATCCCCAGGATCTCAGGAATGTATGCTGTGCGCCCAGCGCACGTGCGTGGAATAGTATCTGTGGGTACTTACGTGAGTCTCCACCTGTGATCTCGTCCGTTCCATTGAACTCGGCCGGAGCCCCAATCCATGAGTACGACATGTTGTTGTCGCGTGGTCAGGAGTAGGTCGAAGTACCTTGGAGAGGAAGGTTGGGTGTCGGACAGGGCCTGATGAAAGGAGAGAATAATCTCAGGCCAGGAGCAATGCTAGTAATATACAAGCCTATGGGAGAAATCGGAGCCCTATAGCTGATCACGGCAGCTCGCCCGGGGTCTTTATGGATTTGGGTGAAGCTACTGTACTACCCTTATCTATCCCGGTCCACGGACCACGCTTGAGGCAATGTAAACGAGGCGCATCACCCACAGCCGCGACCGCCGTGGGGTTCGCATTAGATCGAATCTGGAGCTTTGTTCTTTTTCTGCCGGGTGAATCGTTAATGCTGCGTCATTGTTTGCTGTGCCTTATCTCGCCGTGAGCGGACTTCTCAGAGGACTGCCAGATAGGCGCAGCGCTCAGCAGAAGCGAGCCACCCTGTCCACTGCCGACCGAAGGGAAAGTTTCGCCGACCCAACAACCGCACACAAGACATTGGCTGCCCAACATCAGACTGAGCGCGCCCCCGACGAACTCGGTTTCATCTGCGGCGGAGCGCTTGGCGGTGTGGGATTGTAGGTAAACGTCTTTTCAATGCGCTGATAAGTTGGTCCGCGCTGATTGGCTCACAATCAGGTTGATCGAAGACGGAATAAAGATAGGCGCACTAGCCTTCTTCTGGCCGCGCTGGACTGTCGCCGTCGTGTGGCCGACGCGTGCCCGTCTCCCAAAGCATCGCGAACGCCACCCCGGACCTGGTAGATAGTGTGCATGTGCGAATGCCTTACGTTGGGCGCGATAACGACCACGGCTCGCGCTGCTTGCCATTGGTCCACCAAATATTAAAATAAGATGCACGTCTCGAACACAGCAGCTGGGCGCGCACTGGTACTCGGTTGGAAGTGCTACGATTGGTGACGTCGCATCCTCCATAGCCACAGAACTCTACTTACACTTTGCAGCGAGTCTGGTGCTTCATGCGGTTACTCAGGTCGCGCCTGGTCTGGTATCCGTGCGACCGACATGAACTGGCTGTTGTACCAAGCTCATACAAAATTACAAACACGTCACTGCGGCTAGGCCAAGTACTGTCAGCGGCGCTGTGGCGCTAGGTCCGGTCTTCAAGGTCCGGTCGACTTGCCGGAGACATGAGGTCCCTGACAGGGCGTAATTGTTGTGAAGAGCTCCTCGGTCAAGGCTCACGTAGCAATCTTGAGTGTTCCAGAAGCAATGATAATGCCGGGTTCCTGGTGTCAGCTCGCCGGCGCACGACACCACCTTTTCAGGGCGCCCAAAGAATATCAGCACTTGGGGCGCCGTCGTGTGTCGTTCCACGCTCGTCTGACTGCGGCATGCGACATCGTCGCGCCTATCTGCAGGTCAGTTGTGCCTCACCCGCGTCCGCCCCGCGTCGCTTGGCAGAACACCAACGCGAAAGCATGTGAGAGCGATCCTTCCGAGCCAGTGGGGAACCAGAGCCGGCCCCGTCGCAGTGGGCTCGTGGAGGTGTCAAGTCGTTGTACGGACACGAGTACCGTGGGGATGGGAAGCACCATAAACTACCACCAATCAGACAATCCCCAACAACCGAGAATTGTCAAAATCACGCCCTCGCCGGGTCTTTATCTGGGGAAATCAATTCTCTTACGCTGCAACCGATACGAGTAGCCGTGAGCCTATGACCGTTCGGCCGGAATCGGAGCATGACTATGGCACTCAAGTAAGGATCAGTGCCCTATCAATTCTCCGCCGACTACATCTCTTGCCGAGCCCTTGAAACCACGACGAGTCAGCTTGGCCATGGATCGTATCCTTGACTGACGTCCTCCAATTGTGCTTCTCGGCGATCATTTGCTTGGAAGTTGAGCATAATTCGACTTCAGTCATCATTCAATGCTATCTAGCTCAGACCGAGCTGATTCGCCTTCGTTCGATGTCAGTATTTGCTATTTCGACACGAATCACCAGAGGTATGGATGAAGCTTGCATCGTAACCCCGACACGTCTCGGTGTCGAGCACTGTAATCTTGCAGCATGTCGAGTAAGTTCTACGAATAGCTTTGACAACGATATAGTCTCGCTCTGGAGGGGCATGTAGGTGCAGCATAGTTGGACAGCTCAAGTCAGCGTCAAGCACAGCGGTCTGTTGTTTCGCCAACTGCCACAGACCTGCTCTCAGGTCCGTCAGCTTACTGATGGTTGTTTCACAAGTCATATGGATATATCATGCCACAAATCAATGCGGTTGTTATTTCGATGTGTTACACGCAAGGTCGAGGCACTGTAGGCATTTCCATGGTAATGAAGATCAGGCGTCCATCATCTGCGCACACTCTTACCAGCTGACTGACACATGGGCAACATGCGACAGCTCGATCCACCGTCGCCGTTACATGATCTCGTCACCTAATTTCGAAGTCACTTCGTGCTGACCAGCGTGTTGGCGACAATACGAAGTTGCGATATCGTACCTACGTCACGGTCCGTGTTAGTGGCTACAAATCGAAAGAGTTCAATGTTGAAGGTAGTCAAATTGAGAAATCACACTACAGACTCCAATCGCCGTGCTAAAAGTGCATCACAGTAGCAAGCCAGCTTTTTCGAGAAGGCGCAATCGACTCCAAAACCAAAACAGGGGGAACTGTACATCCCACTCGAGTCTCTCCAGTTTGAGGGTAGAAGAGCCTGGTCCTCTACACAGTCTCGGCTGCCGAGACAGTGCCGTCATTCGGCTTCTTCTTGTCCTGGTACACGAACTTGCGATCACCCATGACTGCCCAAAGCTCCTCCACAACAGCCTCCTGCTCCTCGCGCTTCGCGCCCCGGACAGGGAAATAAGTGCGGCCTTCCATAGTTGGATGCCAGTCGCCCGGGTTTGCGGAGGCGATGATACCGCCAGCTTCCTCAACGATCAACCAGCCTGCAGCCACGTCCCACACCCACACACCTCCCTCCCAAAACGCGTCAAACATACCAGCTGCGACGTAGCAAAAGTCGAGCGCGGCAGAGCCTGATGAGCGACAAGAAAGGATCATCTTGCCCCCAGCTTCGTCGGAGGTAAGCAGCTTGGTATGCACGTCGGTGCGCAGTTCCCAGTTAGGGCCCTTACGCTCATTGCCCCACTCGACGGCGATAAGACGCTTCTTGAGGGATGGCATGGGCGGTGGGATGGGCGTCAGAGGGAGCTTGAACTTGGGTAGCGATGCAAGCTTGGCCTTGAAGGTAGGCACGAATTCGTCCTTCACTGCTGAATTCTTGCTGTTGAGTGCGGTGATCTGGTCTCGCGGAACGAACAGTTCGTTCACCATAAAGGCGCCATGAGTCTTGATAGCCGTGAACAGCTTGCCGAGGTTTGGGCTGTAAATGACGGCAACGACAGGCTTCTTCTCAATTGCGAGACACAAGGAGATCGCGAAGTTGTGGAAGCCACGTGTGAAGTTGATCGTGCCATCGACAGGGTCCACGACGAAGGTCGGGCCATCTGTAAGCTTTTGGCCGTGCTTGTAAGACTCTTCCCCCAGAAAGTCGACATCCGGGAACTCCTTCTTCAGACGCTTTTGTACCATTTCCTCAATCGCCTTGTCATAGTCTGATACCAAGTCGGACGTGTTGTTCTTTGTGGCGGCCTGCGAGAGAACAGCATGCTCGGCATTGCCCATCATCATGCCTGCAGCCTCCGCAAGTTCGATGAATACATCTTGCACCTCGAACAGAGTGTCTTCGGTGAGACTATACTTCGACAACTGGGTAGCAAGTATGGCCGGTGTGTGTGTTGGCGTCGTTGCAGCTGTGGTGTGCGCAGAGGTGTCGGCACTGCTATCGTGAGTCGGGTGAACGGACTCCATTGTAGTATCTGTAGGCAATACGGATGAAGAGTGAAGTTGTTGTTGCGATTGTGAAAGAACGGTGATGGATGGAAGTACAGCTTGAGATGTGTCTCTAAGATTGTTCATCCGAGAACTGGTCAACAATCGCAAGAGGCGAGCATGCGATTGGAGGTTATGGCAGTGTAATTGATAGTGGGGATGGTGTGTTATAGTTGACTTGGGTGGAAGGTGTGCGTAAGTTATATAGTTCCGAGACCCACTCTGAAGAAGTAGTGAATGCACAGCAGGTCTGTTGGAGTGAAGTAAACAACGTTTGTGGATCGTCTCCGCGATCACTGTGAAAGCCCCTCGTTTGGTAATAATTGCCCACACCGCTGAATTCAGAGATTGAAGTGAAGACAGCATTGTGCTTATCTCCTTGCACTGATCGCGCGCAAAATACGGAAGACGCGATTTCCTCGTGACAGTCGCTTTACGCTAACGTAACAGGCCGTTGTTGATACGGGCGTAGCCGAAGCCCTTAATCCTGGATCCTTGCGGAAACTGTGCAGCTCGAGGTGAGTTCTAGAAATCGACGGCTTCATCCTGATAAACGCCTGCGACATGTCAACAAACACGCGCCAAAGCCTAGAGAAGGGGGCGAGATCCAGACCTGCGTGACTGACCAAAGGCAGGGCCGGTCTTCTTAAAGCATGCGATCGGAGCTCTTGAGTTTGCGCAAACATTTGACAATTCACACACAATTGCTAGATAGTTTTCCATGTTCCCGGAGCTTGCTTTGAGCAGCTGTTCCGGTCTTCCAGACCGAGGGGCTTCATAGGCCGGGCTGCAATGCAGATCCAGTTCTCCCCGACCGTTGTACCGAGCAGGTCAATCTAGCCTAGCAGGCATAAATCTAAATTTGATAAACTGTGTAGCTCAACCCATTTCCGCTCCGAAGCTCGTACTGTAATTGTTAGTCGGGAGGCCTGGCTGCAGGCTCGGGAAGGAAGGGCACGCGGTTCGGCTCTTCTTGCCTGACGTGACTCGCCGACTCACATCTACCTACCACACTGGATGCTTGCGATGCGTTCACATCCACACGGCATGCACTACACAGCATGACAGGCACTTCAGATACCCTAACTCTACATGAGCGTCAACTCAGGGCACGCGCCATACGGCGTCAGCTGTCAGATATCAATCCAAACAGCACCAACCGCCAGGAACAGTCGTTGTTCTTCCTCAAACTGCCTGCCGAAATTCGCTTCCTAATTTATCAGTTTCTACTCAGCCAGATTTGTTACTCCGACCGCCCCTTTGACAATCACTATCTATCGAGACTCGGTCGCCCAGGTCATACTCACCATACCAAGGTCCATACGGCGATACTGCTCACCTGTCGCCTCGTGTATTACGAAGCCCATACCATCCCCATGCGAAGTGCGACGCATCATCCTCAGTATCCGGATTACGCTGACTGGCTGAATTATATGACCAAGCAGCAAGGCGTAGATGCGTACCATTTGCATGATCGTCCATTCTCTGTGGATCAACACAGTTTTACACGGTTCTTCCAACCGCATCTGCACTGGAAGAGAATTACCTGGTCCCTATGCAAACGAGATTGGCCTGCCGCATTTTCAGGAGACTATAAAATGATTGACGAATTGACCGAGACGCTCGCTGCCATTGAATTGCCAGCCTCCTGTCAAGAAGTCAACGTGGAGTTCGATTTTGGAGGAGAAGTACCCGAGTCTCGCCAACTCCAGGCCAGGCTCTGTGAGAAGCTTGGATTTGGATCCGCTGAGCTTTCAAACGAGCAAAAGAGTATCGCTCAGCCTGGAGATAGTCGACAGTCTGCGGGCCTAGAAAGGACCGATGGATCAAGACTGTCATTCGATGCGACACACTCAAAGCAATATTCATGGATTGGCTATAAAACTCGTGATTGGAGATCGGAAGGAAATGTCGAATTTCGCACTATCAGATTGTGTTGGCGAGCCAGAGTACCAGAAAGAGGGTACATGAGCTACGATCATATGGACTGTTTAAACCTATCCTACTGTAACAAGGTCAGAGACATCCAAGAGGATCGTATGGAAGAATGAAGCCTGACTTGGAGTTTCCACGAGATTGATCGAGCGAAGTTCAGGATGGGTGTTCCTACCCTATGTGTAAGTGACGCACTGTCCTACCTCAAATAGGTTATTTCCTCGAACATTGCGCTTTCTTGTCGTAGCATTACAGGATTGCCTGCCGTCCACGAAGTTTGTTTACAGCTCTACACCAAAGCCCACCACCTCCCTCCTTCATTGACCGCAACTCACCATCTACCACATGAGTACCACCCACTTCCATTGTTACAGATCAACACCTATCAGATAATCAGTAGTGTATGCCACGCATCGCCTCCCTGTTCCCCTCTAATCAGGTTTCGTCGAACTCGTACAGCGACCGCCATCGACGGATCAACCGCAAATCTTATCTGCGCTCTAAACCTACCTCCACTTCCACTCGCAGACCTCGCACATTTTCTCGTACTCAACATACACTACGCAAGCCATCCCTCTTCAAACATCACAGAAAGACTTCACATCGACGTTCTGCTGCGTCTTGGAAGAACAGATTTAACCTTCGCACCCGCTCGACTCCCCAACCTCAGCCCTTGACTCTCGAAGAGAAGCTTCGTATTGCTGCTGACCGTGTCCGGCGTTTTGAACCTCAGAGCAGGCACCAAATCAAATCTCCATTCAAACATCAACCAAGAAACAAACCAAGAACACCATACATCAGGAGGATTCAAAAGCAGCTGCACAGCTTCAATTTGAGAAAATCCTAGGACGGCCGGCGTTTTGATGAGCCTGGCCCCCATTGGCCTGCAAGCTCCTGTGGGGCAGCCTTCACCTTCAAGTCAACCTTTCCTCTCCAAGGAGGAGCAGGAATACTTTGCGGCACGACAATACACGAAGGCTTTCGAACGTCTACGACGCGAAGAAGAGGTGAAACGACAAGTGAAAGAAGAACGCAAGCGGCGTAAGAAGGCAGCGAAAGCCAGCGCAAAAGCGCAAGCAAAGGGCCGTACACTCAGACCGAAGAGGAGCAAGACACTACGACTGAAGACGTACATCAGGGTCAGGATACTTCGACGCAGCCCTTGACTGCACGACTTGTGACCACTCAAGCGCGATCACTGGGTCATCTGGAAGCTTCTCCATCAACTGTACCTGAATGTCTTGTGCAGCTACAGGTGCACCAGCCTGTGCAGGTGCCTGTTCTACCGGAGCAGCTTGTACATCAGGAGCTTGTGCATCGTCATCAACCAGCGCTGGTGTAGCCTTAGGAGGGGGAGGCGTCGGTAGGAAGCGTGTTACACCCGAGCAGTTGGAAGAACTCAAGAAGAAGCAAGAGGAGCAGAAAGCGCACCGCAAGGAAAAGAGAGCCGAGTATCGAGGAAAGGCAAAACAGCTGATCACGAGAGTCAAGTTCATACTTGCTCGCAAGGCTGTCTGATGGGCAACGTGCGGTTTGCAAGCGAATACACCAACTGGCGATCCGCTGATATCAGTCGCTGGCCGGGTGTTTACGTCCATCCTGGAGAGTTCAAGCCTGTCAGGGACAACGTTGCGCGGGAAGGTGAAGCCTGGATGCGGTACCGTGACCGATAGAGGAGGTTGCGAGCACACCGTCGTTTGTCAAAGACCGAACGCAGAGAGAGACAGCGGAAGATCCTAGTGATTTCTAATGGCGAGCCTAGGTCCTAACGAGCAAGAAGGAACCTATACGGCACATCAGACCATCATTTGTCACTACTACGTCTACGCTCCCACGACAGTTCACGTGAGCTCTGGCGTGTCCAGATGCGTCACGGAGAGCTCTTCCGAAACGACATCAGCAAGATCGTCGGCGAATCCTACATCTCAATGTCCAATTCATACTGATAAAGCCTCTGTACATGAGCTGAAGCTCGATCTTGAGGGTGTAGATACGACAACAGCAGAGAGCAAAAGACACGCTGTCCTTCAGTGGATAATCATCAAGCTGGTGTTGCTGCTACAGAAGATGTCCCACTGAGGCACAACTGTAGCCGTCGGTCGTTGAAAGTCGCGAATAGTGAGCGTCCAGCTTGTCGTGGTCGAGGCGACGGGCGGAGGCGACGGGCGGAGGTGAGCACGGACGCCGCAATTGCTCGTTGCATCGCGACTTGCAGCTTCGCAGACGTCACACGATGCTTGTCAACAACACGCGCAACGTTTTCGTTGCCGTCTCGAAGCAGCCGTACATCTGCCGGTCATGTTTGCGCCGGGCTAAGCAACTGCCATTGGCCGCGGGACGCCTCCCTGCACGAACCTCTGTCCGTAGCCTCCAGACGGCAAGCCAGCCACCGGCACAAGACGACACGCCCTTTCGCAAGGCTCTCAAAGATGCCGCAAAACAGCAGAAGAAAGCAGCAAAGAGCGGCAAACGGCCCCAGAAGGTCTTTGATGCTCGGCTGGAGAAGTGGGAGTTGACAGTGGGCATCGAGATACACGCAGAGTTGAACACGGCACGGAAGCTCTTCTCAAGCGCTGCAACGTCTATCGGCGAGTCGCCGAACACGCACGCCTCTCTCTTCGACACCGCGTTTCCTGGAAGCCAGCCGCACTTCCAGAAAGAAACGCTTCTGCCAGCTCTGCGTGCTGCCCTAGCCTTCGACTGCACAATACAACCGAGGAGTAGCTTTGACCGCAAGCACTACTTCTACCAAGATCAGCCCAACGGCTACCAAATCACTCAGTACTACGAGCCGTTTGCCAAGGATGGACACATCACACTGCACGCACATGACTTCCCTGCTGGCTCTGCGCCAGAAGACTGTCCTATCAAAATTGGCATCAAGCAGGTGCAGATGGAGCAAGACACGGCCAAGACAGTACAACAGCCGCCTTCAACTCACCTCCTCGATTTCAACCGTGTGTCGCACCCCCTAATCGAGATAATTACGCTTCCTCATATCCACGATCCACTCGTCGCCGCTGCTTGCGTGCGCAAGATCCAGACGATACTCAAGACGGTGGACGCATGCACGGCAGGTATGGAGATGGGTGGATTGCGTGCAGACGTAAACGTCTCGATCCGCGAGCGGGGTCGAACCTCAAGCGAGGGCGGACTGTCGTACTCTGGCGTCACTGGTTTGGGACAACGGACTGAGATCAAAAACCTGGCCAGCGTGAAAGCTGTGGAAGATGCCATCATCGCAGAGCGCGACCGCCAGATTGAGCTGCTGGAGAGCGGCGGAGCTGTCGAAGGCGAGACCCGCGGCTGGACCGTGGGCAGCAAGAGCACAAAACGACTTCGTGGGAAGGAAGGCGAGATTGACTATCGCTACATGCCCGACCCGGATATCTCACCAGTGTTCATCGCTCAGGTATGCAGCTGAAACTTCAGTCTAGCAGTGCTAATGCTGGATAGGACCTTGTCGACAATCTACGGGCGAACCTACCAGTACTTCCAGACCGGGTTGTCGATGTTCTGGTGGAGAAGTACGGGCTGTCGACCAAAGATGCCGGTACACTCCTGTCTTTTGATAATGGTGATCGTCTGGAGTACTTTTTCGAAGTCACCAACCAGCTTGCACGGTCCAGGAACGTCAGACCGAGCGACGTCGAATTTTCTACTATTGGCAAGGCCGTAGGTAATTGGTACGTTCGTATTCCTGACCCTGCACGATCAAACACTGACAGCATCCAGGGTTTTGATGGAGCTCGGCAGTTTGTACAAGGACGAAGAATGGTCCGAAACACGAGTCCCGCCCGAAGTCCTGGTCACCATCATCAACCACCTTCTCGAAAAGCGCATCACTTCACGGTCCGCTAAAGGGCTTCTTAACATAAAGTTCGAGGGCGATGAGCGGCATGTTGAGCAACTAATCGAGGACCTCAACCTGGAACTAAGGCCCCTATCTCCCCGAGAATACAACGACCTTGCGCAGAGCCTTCTAAATGAGAAACCGGATATGGTCAAGGACATCGTTGAGAAGGGGCACGAGAAGAAGATCAAGTGGTTCGTAGGGCAAATGATGGCTAGGAGTCCAGAAGGCACTGTTGAGGCGGATGCTGCGGAGCGCGCGATCAGGGAGTTTTTACCTAAGAGAAACCTATAGTGGGTGCTGAATCTATTCTCATCCTTGTCAAATCGAAGACCGGCCTTCTGTGTGTATGGTCTGTTAGGGGGCCTTCTTCGAGGGGTCGCACGAGGCGGGCTGTTCAACGGGGACAAGTCTCAAGCAGGGTCCGGGTCGATGGTATCTGGGGTGATTGTCGATGCGACCGGGTCTACTTCACATGCAGATAGACAGCGGACCCTCAATCATCGTAAGTCGTTACTCTAATCCTGTCATGGAATATCTTGTGTGTCACTCCAGGCTTATAGCGCAAGCCGCAGATCACCGATGGGTCTACCACACTACTCCTCCCGAACACGTAGCAGACATACCAATGTCTAGAACAGCGCTCCTCCAAGCAAAGCGCCACCCATAAAGCCCGCTGCGATGGGCAACCCCGCACCACCGCCTACACCGTCAGCGCTGTCTCAGTACAGACTCCAGATGGGGGTGACTTACCATATCCATAGCCGTAGGGCCTGCCATACGGCGTCCTCGGGCGCATGTACCGTACATTAGGGTTGTATCCTCCGTAGGGGGTCCCGTATGGATTGTACCCGTACGCTCCGCGCGGCGCGTACCCACTGGGCGCGGTGACGTAGACGTCTCTGCCTTGCGCGTCTTTGCACAGAAATTGCGGCTCTCCCGTCTCCATGGCGCGGATGAGGGCTTGGCGTGCGCGCAGATGAGTTTGGTACGCTTGCTGCTCCTGGGCAGCGCGGCGTACGCGTTGCTGCTCGCGCTCCGTGTGCGTCGAGCCGGTTACCTTGTCTTTCAGGCGGCGCGAGAACTTATGGAAACCGGTGAGTCCCGAGTCGGCCGGTTTGGCGCGCGCGTCTGGGCGAGGGGGCAGATCGTTGTCATCGTCTGAATCCTCAGCGGCGAGGTCCTCGAGGGTCACGGTGCGCTTCATGCGGCTGTGCTGCTTGCGCTCCTCGGGGCTAAGCGTGCGCAGATACTCCTCGTCGTCATACGGGTGGGTCCATATCGAGCGCGGTGGGTCGGCCGTGGTGTCGACGAAGAACTGGTGGTGTGACTCTGGGTCAAAGGTGCGCACCCAACCGGAGGGCAACGGCCGCAGCTCGTCCTCCATTGAACGTCGGCGGTCCATGGGAATGCCATTGCGATCGGTGCGCGCGCCAGGCTCGTCGGTGGACACACGCGCTATGCCCGGCGTGGGCTCTGTCGACGAGCTGCCGGTGGCGCTCTCGTAAGACGGTGGAGGCTCGTGTGGGTGTTGTGTGCCCGACATGATAGACAGAGCTGAGTTTAGGTTGGGGATTGATGGAGAGGGGAAATGCTGTGCTGCTGAATACAATATCAATTCGTTTGTCAGAAAGCTGGACGATAGAAGCCAAGCAAGTTTGGCTGTTGCTTGTTTGATGCAATTACTCGTTCCTGTAGTCGCTATGTATGCGCTCATAGTGGCGTCAGCGCGTTTATCGCCACTTAACTCCGGAGAGGCGCAGGCGCCCCACAGTATCTACTTTGTATCTGGACCTCACCTTGTGTCGTTCAGCTCGGCGTCTTCTTTGACGCCTTGACAGCCTGATTTGGAATATATGGTGAGCCAGGTCTCTGAGATATTTGAAGGCGCAATGCCTCCACCGGTCGCTCCGCCAAGGGCAGAGACAGTGTCCTGCAGTACCGCCCTCTACCTGCCAACGGCGCGCGCAGGTCTTTGACTTGTATCTTGCTGCCATGTGCGCCTTCGTTGCACAACAGTGCCTTCAGGCCCAAAGGGGCATGTCTCAGAGGTCTCGAGATGCGGTCCACGACTGCTGACACTGCCGGCAGCCGAGGCCCTGCCCACAGACCAGACGCTCATGCAGCGCCGTTGGACTTTACCACAACATACCGTCAGCCCTCGCACCTGGCTAGCACCGGGCATTAAATATCTGGCGCACAGTCAATCAGCCCCCTGTGTGATCTGGGTCTCGCGGAGGGGTCTGCGCGCACCTAAACGCTCAGCCCTGGTCAGAGCCAGTCGAGAGCGCGCACTGCATTTGAAGATGGCAGCTCCCGTTCACTCGTCCCAATGGCTGCACCGAGCGCATGACATTCCGGTCAACCAAGCACTCGTTCTCGAAGCACCGATATGCCAGTCGACGAAATGCGCACTCTCAAATGCGCACCTAAGCTAGCTAACATGACTGCGAGGCAAGAAGAGCCGACCACGTACCGGGCTAAACCTGACAGCTCCGGATTTCTAGCCCAGTACGTCGACTGTCCTTCCAGTCGACAATCATAATTTCTCCGCCCTCTTTGGGCATGCACAGATCCCGTGGGCGAGTGTCGCAGAGGCCGGAGTCAGCTGGACCACGGTCGTCCATCCGCGAGCAACAACGCATTGGGTCTTGTCATCCTTTGACAAGACAACTTAGATGTCTATCTCAAGCCGAAAATATTAGCAACTCTCCAGAGCGTAAAGCCCGTTACAATAGTGTGTTGGTAGTTGATAAACCTCGAACTTCAGACGGCCCGGACCGCCCACGATGTATCGTGGCACCTTTCTAGCTGCTCCCAAGGAGCGGAAACTGGGACCACATTCAGATACCAGAAGCGACTTGTGCGACCTGTCGCAAGTGTACCTGCAGTCTGCGATCTTCTTGGGTAACGTGGGCGCCGTTGAAGACCTCCCAACCGTCGCGCATGAACTTTATGTCTTAACTGATCGGGCCGCCGAGCGGACAAGCCAGATGAGAGCGTCAACGGCGCCTTTCACATGAACCCTGGTCTGCAGTATGCACAGGGAGACAGTTCATCGAGTATATATGCCCTGTCGATGCGGCATGGAGTCACTCCACAGCAACTCCATTCCTCGGTCCATTCCACCGACGGGATCATAACAGAGAACCTCCTCGCCCAGATCTCGACTGTCTGAGATTCTGTCTCTCGACAGTCACTCGTTAAAACTTCTCAACATGGCAAAGCTTTCTTTGCTGCTGGCATTCAGCCAGCTTTCACTCGTTTACAGTCATCCGGCAAAGAACATCAAGCGAGAACCAGATGTGCTCGACGAACGCGCTATAACCATCTCCACGAACTTGGAGGCAACGACCAGTTACAGTACAGCGATACAGACGCTACAAACTGCGACCCTGACGACCCGCCCATCGCTTGAAGGGGTATGAGGTTGTCTTGTTATGCAGTGTCTCAAGCTAACACATGCATAGTCCATCGTGACTGGTCTTCCTACAGGCGGGGGTATCACTCGTGATCCTGCTGACCTACCTGGTATCACTAAGACGGTGGATCCTCTGTGTCCTGAAGAGACACCTCTCGAGCCAGGACCAACGACACCAGTAGGCTCACCTGCAGAGAACATCTTCGTCCCCCTGTCATTACCCTCGCAAGTACCTGCACCATCAATTCCATTCCGAGATGACCATCCTGTTCAGAAGCAGAATGTTATTGACGAAGGCAAACCCGTTCAAACAAACAAATTTTACGCCAACTTCTTCCTTGGCACTCGAAAAGAGTCAGTATGGACACATCCGTTCTCCCTTTCTTGGGCACAGGGCCGGGGAGGTACATACGGCATGGCCATTACCCACACAGAGCGCAGTCAGTTCTCATATGGCCCCAATCCCGACTATCCACAATATTTCATCTCGCCTGTTGGAATACAGCACATGGCGCTCTCTGCGGCTGAGTTGAGGGAAGCAACCGTCATGAGTGTCGAGGACCTCAAGGCGTTCTCTGCCAATGTCAACTTTGCGCCACATCCCGGTGCAAGAGTCGTGATGTCTGTGCCTGTAGTCCAAGGCATGGGCTTTATCACTGCGGTCTATGACAACACTCAGCCCATGATGAGCAGTGGCGTCTACTTCCGCAGTCTCAAATATGCTGGCTCGGTGAAAGATGCCAACATAACGTTCAAATATAATGCGCAGCTCGAGGACAACTCTCAATGGCTTATATACGTCACACCACTTCGTGCTGACGGTATCCCGCCCCTGACCCTGAAAGGAGGCGGTACCATTCAAGGCCCAGAAGCGTTCACTGGCCTATTCCAGGTCACGAAGAACCCGAGTGGCTCAGAAGGTGAGCGCTACTTTGATGGCAGTGCAGGCGCGTACGCAACGGAAGCAACGATCTCTGCCTCGGTCAGTGGTGCACAAGGAAGCTACACAATGTCATGGTCCAAGGGAGGCGTGCTCGATCGACCGTTGATCATGTATGCCTTGCCACACCACGTGGAATCGTTCGACAAAGAGACGCGAGGTGCTATGACTGGCATACAACTCATCACAACTACAAAGGGCGTGGCCACGGCAGTCCAAGCTGACAAACTCACCATGATCGAACCTGATCTTCCCACAAGCATTGGTTTTGCGCCATGGGCTAAGGCCGCTAATGGCGCCCAAGGTGGCACTGAAAACGTGAATTTAGATGCCACGGCACTGCAGCTTGTCAACGCTGCTGGACTTTCCGAATTGAGACAGGACTTCATCTCGCAGACCAGCCTAAACAGCATGTACTATTCCGGCAAAGGACTCGCCAAGTTTGCTGGCATCATCTACACCATGCAAACCATGGGGGGGAACAGCAACCTTGCTGCGGCTGGATTGGAGAAACTGAAGGATGCGTTCAACGTGTTCGTCAACAATACTCAGCCCGAACCGCTTGTGTACGACACTGTCTGGAAGGGCGTGGTATCGGGAGCGTCTTACAGATCGCCTACCAAAGATCTAGGTATGGACTTCGGCAACACTGCATACAATGATCACCACTTCCATTACGGCTACTTCGTCTACAGCGCTGCAGTTATCGGTCACCTGGACCCCGCGTGGCTTGAGCAGGGCTCCAACAAGCAATGGGTCAATACGCTTGTTCGTGACTACGCCAGCCCAGTAACCGACGACTACTTCCCCTTCTCGCGTGCGTTTGATTGGTTCCACGGTCACTCTTGGGCGAAGGGACTTTTCGAGTCAGGAGATGGCAAAGATCAAGAGTCCACATCTGAGGATACCTTTGCGACTTTCGCACTTAAGATGTGGGGCAGAATATCTGGCGATGCCAACATGGAAGCCCGCGGCAATCTGCAACTTGCAGTGCAGGCGCGCAGCGTTAACAACTACTTCTTGTTAAAATCTGATAACAAGAACCAGCCACCAAAGTTCCTGTTCAATAAGGTCACCGGTATTCTCTTCGAGAACAAGTGCGACCACGTGACGTACTTCGGCAGCAACATTGAGTACATCCAGGGTATTCACATGATCCCACTGAACCCCAGCTCCGCATACACGCGGCCGAAGGACTTTGTGAAGGAGGAGTGGGACGCATTCTTTAGCAACGGCCGTGTGGACCAGGTCGCTGGAGGCTGGCGAGGAATACTGTACGCCAATTATGCGCTCATCGACCCGCAGACAAGCTACAACTACTTCGCCAATCCCGAGTTTGACTATGGCTCGCTCGATGGTGGCGCGAGTCGTACCTGGTATCTGGCATACTCTGCCTCCATGTTGTACATGGCAGGCGGGCACTCGGCACCGGACCCCTCCCTGCAGTATTCTGCACCACAACAAATCCAGAAGCAACCGCCACCTTCGGAGTGTCTCGCAGCTGCGCTGAAAGCTACTCAAGAAGCAGTCCAGCCGCAGCCACAGCCGCAGACCCAGCAGCCTGAACCGCCAGCCCAACAGGCGCCTGAGCCAGTGGCTCCTGCGCCCCAGCAGCAGCAACAACAGCCAGAATCCCAGCCAGAGCCCCGGCCCCAGCAACAACCCGAGCCTCAGCCACAGCAACAGCCAGAGCCGCAGCCCGAACCTCAACCTGAGCCGCAACCCCAGCCGCAGCAGCCACCTACTCCCGACCATCCAGATCCCTACACCTCAGATCCCTCCTTTGAATGGTCTGACTATGAGCCGCGTCCCTCCCCTAGACCGCGCCCTGCCGACTCACCCTACCAAAGCTGGCGCAGCTACTTCAATAAGTACCGTGACGACGCACTGCACGGCGATAGGGGACGACGGCCTAGCCGCTCGGGCAGGGGGTCAAGGCCATGGGATGGCGCGTTGAGCCGTGCTGTCGTGGGTGAGAGTACCGAGCAGGGCACTGAGGCGGTCGTTGAGGCGATCACTGAGGACGATGTAGATGATGGAGAATGGGAGAGTGTTCTCGAGTGCGACGATGATGACGACGCGGGTACGGCGGAGTAGTGGGTGCGGACGTAGGTTTCCCCTGCTGCTACTTTTTTTTCCCTTTCTCTACATGCTGTAGTAACGGCGGGTCCGTGTGCAGCGCATTTTGGTGGTTCTTCGTGTATATGCTATCTGACGGTGAGTTATGGGTGTTGGTTGATGGGTGGAGAAAGGAATAGTGGGATACAGATGGGTAGATATTCTATTCGTGTACAGGGAATTAGGCAATCAAGAGTGGCGATGTATACATGTGTTCTAAGTCGTGCCTAACTCCATCCTCGTCCATCTCCGGCCGATCACTACCTCCACAGCGACATAGTAGCGGAACCTTTCTCGTTCTATGTGTGCGGTTCCGCTCGTCTCTTTATCTATCAGTGCTTGCAAGACTGTGCGGGCCACCGTCCCTGTAGGCTAGAGATGTGGTCAAGGCCTCCAAAAAAAACTGTACATTTCTAGTGCAAACAGCCCGAACAAGCTGGAAATATTCAGCCAACCACAAGCCTTTACCACATATCTCTTGTATAGATGGAGTTGTCTGCACACTCCTGACAACTGATGACAACATATGAGCTAACATTCAACAACGCCAACTTGCCTACACACTGCTTTGTCCGTAGCACTCCATACGCCTTTCCCCTTACTCTCCCATCGCCACTATCCACCTCCACACTCCGTGTTCTGCTTCCCGACCAATCATGACCTAGTGAGAAACGGGTGTGAGCTTTACGTGCAGATCCCCCTTCTCCCAAAGCGCAAACACCTTCTGCTCGCCCATCCAGTCGCGCGCCGGATCCACGAGCTCGAGATCGTAGTGCCACAGCACCTTGGCGAGAATAAGGCGCATCTCCGCGTACGCAAGGCTGTATCAAGTCAGTGACACGATCGAGGTTGTGACAAAGGGGAATCGACATACTTCTTGCCCAAGCAGTTACGCGGCCCGTAGCTAAACGGCTGCACAACATCGCGCTTGTCGTTGGCATAGACCGCGGGCCTCTCGGCGTCGAGCCAGCGCTCGGGCGCGAATGAGTCTGGATTCGCAAAGTTGCGCTCCGAGTGGTTCGCCGCGTGCTGCGAGACGTACACGGATGTGCCGCCGGGAATGTAGTGGCCGCTGACTTCCTGGCCGCTGCCGGGCACCTTGCGGGGGAAGCCTGTGGGGACCGGCGGGTAGAAGCGTAGACCTTCGGCTAGGGCGGCGAGGAGGTACGGCATAGCGTTGACGGCCTCGATGGTGATGTCCGTGCTGGCCTGGAAGGTGGAGCGGATCTCAGCGACGAGACGCTTGTAGGCGTTGGGGTTGCGGAGGAGCAGGTACGTTGTGCCGGAGAGGGTGGTGGCTGTTGTCTCGGAGCCGGCAATGAGAAAGACGACAGCGTTCGCGTCCATCTCGCCGCGCGTGATGGCGCGGTTCTCCTTGTCCTGGTTCTGTAGAATGAAGGTGAAGAAGTCGGGGCGGTCTGTTTCCTTCTCCAGACGCTCTGAGACGCGGGCCCGCGCCATGCCGAAGAATTCCTTGCGTGCGCGCACAACGGCCTGCGTATCGACGAAGAGCTCTCGGAATTTGTCGTACAGCCGGAAGAGCGTGTAGTTGTTCCGAATGGCGAGAAGGGCAATGGCTTTGGAGTTTTCGACGACCATATGGACCCACTTGTGATACTTGTTGTCGCGAAGGCAGTACAAAGGCTCGCCGAAGGCTAAGTCTGTGATGACATCGAACGTAGTGTAGTTGTACCAGCGCATCATGTTGACTGGCAGCCCCTTATCTGCCTGCTCCCCGATCTTGTGGATCAACAAGTCAACATAGGACATGATCAGGGGCTCTTGTAGTCGCAGCGCTTTGTCGCTGAAAGCATGGGCGAGATTGCGTCGTAGACGGGTGTGATCAGCTTCAGTGCTGGTGATGATGGAAGGTACACCGTTGACAGGACGGAGATACCAAGACCTATCTTTTAGGTAGGCACCAGTTTCTCTGTACTTGCCTATGCGGTGACCATAGACATCTGGCCATGCTGTCTCACCACTAATGAAGGACAGCTCGGTTGGGGCGACTCGGACGACATCGCCATACTTGGCGTGGAGCTCTTGCACCCATGGAAGAATCGTTCCGGAGCGCATGTGCAGGGCATATGGAATACCGGTAGAGACGGTGAACCATGGGCCTGGAATGTGGCTGAGAGGACTGAAAAAGACGTTGTATGTGATTAGACCGATGACATAGAGGACAGCCTAATGATAGCATTTGCTAGTCAGACTATCTGTCTCTTTACAGAACTGTTCGAAAGACGAGAGTACTCACAGAAGTTCCCAATAGGCCAGCGAGAACGATGCTGCTGGGCAGGTCCGTATTCAGTATAGCCATGTTGACTAGGGCAGGAGTTGGAGGTTTGAGGCAACTGCAGCGTCTTGATGTCGGTGAGGAAGCAGGTGTGGCATATATATGTATATGTCGATATGCATTAATTCGGCATAACGGCTGAGCCCGAGCGAGATGTTACTCTGTACAATTACGGCGCACGACCACTCTGCCCAATCACTATACAAATGCTCTGTACGAGCCCACCCTTAGCTACTCCATACGTACTCGAACAGGGTCCACCATCAACATGAGACAACAACCATCACCTAGTGTCCAATCTCAAAAGGATATTCGATTCAAGTGACTGATAATTGGGATCTGTGTGCAGATCGTCGGCGTATCAAGGCATGGACCAGCACAGCGGTGTCGAGCTCGGCCGAGCCTTAGCGCGAACGTTGCTGGTGCTGGCGAGCAATACAATCTAGCCAAACACGCATCTGTTCTTGCATGATCTTCACTGTGATGCACGACGGAGTCCCGGCAAGCGACATTACCGACCATCCGCTGCGGGGCATCAAGTCGCTTGGAGCTTGTTGGTCCTTGGAACTGTTCGATTCTGCCGGTGAAGGTCTCTCCGGTGGGTAAGGTACTGATGTCATTGGCTGAGTCCCGCGTCGTCACATCCTTTCACGTTGTTTGACAGCCGCTGAGAATATGCTACCGTAGCAGCTGCCAGTCTGATCAGGAGTGCTTTAAGCCCGTCTGCTTTGAAGGGGAGGCATGTCTAGCTCAGATCCGCGACAATGCACGCCGCGCCGGCACCATGTACATACTCGTCTAACGCATCGTGGTGGTGTAGGTGTCGATGTGGCATGCACTCAACAAGTCAGAACATCCTGACGTACTCGTCCTGTTCTCGTACTCGTCGCTATTCTCGACTGGTCAGCCTCTCAATAGACGCTTGTGAGCCATTGTGACATTTGGTCATGACTGCATGGTGGAGGTTGTCATCATCGGCTCGTACCGTTAAGCCGCGAAGCCTGTTCAGCCATCTCCATGGCTTGGCAGAAAGCTTGTCGCGTTCCGACCCCCTGTGCGCTAGCTAGTTAGATCCTACAGACATTGCACGAAGACCAGCCGTCCCCCCAGAACTTTTGCGAAGCACGGCACCCTTCGACGAGCTTTTCGGCAGCTACAACGCAGTAGACAGTTTTTTTTCGCTTGTCCGCTTCAACTACATATTTGCAAGACATTCCCCTCCGCCACACTGTCAAATAGCTTCCCCTACACTCCAAGTCCATTCTGTGCTGTAGAAACGTACGTAGGAGACGCGCAGGCGCGTCAGGTCTTCTCGAGTGGCCTCTCGTCACGTGCGCAGCGTACCTGACAAGATCACGAACATTGCAAAACCCGGTCTCTTCTCCTAGAAACACATTAAAACTTAAATACTACATAGACAAACGAGAGAAAAAACAGCTGCAAAGAACCTCTTCCCCACTCCATCGCACCAGATGCCTAGCTCAAAGACACACAACCCCAATATCGAAACACACGCAGTCACGAGAACAGCCTGACACCGCACCGCTACTGCACCGCAGCCAATGCATTTCCCTTTACACTGCAACCACATCTCTTCCGCCGCATGCACACCACTCCCTCGTCGGCGCTTGCTTGCCCTCCGCACCACGCACCCTTCCCCCAGCCTGCTGCTACATGCGCACACGGCCGTTCTCGCGATGGCTGAACTAGGTAATGCACCACAGGGTTGCACGGTTGTCGATGAGTCTGGGTTTGGCTGCGGAGTAGCGGGAGAGGTGTCGAATAGGGAAGGAGAGAGGGGACAGGAAAGTGAATGCTGGGTAGCAGGAAGTGCATTGCGCAGTCTATCATTCATATTGTTAGTGCTTATTGCGCAGCGTCTGGTCGGCCGAGGGTCTTTATTGTCGTGCGAGGCGGATGGGCATGCAGGCTGGCGCGGGCGTGCTTGCGTGGAGAAGCGGAGGGGCGGTGGGGACCTGCTGTCGTGGCCATGCGGTCGTGCATGCTGCTCTGTCACCACATTCTCTAAACCCCACAACCCCCAAGAAAGGCAGCAAAAGAACACTCTTTTTGAATTCAAACTCCCCGTACATCGCCCACCCTCTCATATCGCGTCACCCGCATCCCGCCCTACCCTCGCTCCAACGCCCCCCTCACGCCCTCCTCGTCGCGTGCCCCGTCTGCGGACTATCCTGCGCCGAATTCCACGTCTTGACAAACGCGCGCTGCGTCCTATCCGCATACTGCTCGGCGCTGACCTCCTTGACGCCGACGCGCGCGCCGTCCTTGGTGAAGACGACGTTCTTCTTCTCCATCTTGCGCACGCCGCGCTCCGCGAGCTGGTTGGAGTAGAGGTAGATCTGTGCAGGGCTTGGCGTTAGTGGGTGAACGGGTGGGGGCGCGGGGTTCGAGGGTCGAGGGGCGAGGACATGTGGGAGCGGCCTTGCGGCGGCGTTGGAAGCGTGGACGTACCTGGTAGCCGACCCAGCCCATGCCGCCGACGACGAGGAACAGGATGAGCAGCGGGACGAGATTCAGCGCGCCCATTGTGGCGGTGCGCGGGTGTCGATGGGGCGTGTATAGTCGAGTTTCGAGCAAAAGCAGAGTAACAGCAGCAGCAGCAGCAGCAGCGCAGGGAGTGTGAGCGAGCGACAAGCACAGCTTTAAACACGTCGGCGTGCGGTGTTTGCGGACACGAAAAGGCTCGGGTCTAGGGCGTCGCAGCTGGAAACGCCGCTGACGGACATTGCAGGGCGCGCTTGGCTGCGCCTCACTGCGGCCCGCAGGAGCAGGTGGTTCGTGCCACGCGGCTGCGCGCCCGGCGATCCTGACATGTGCCGCGGAACCCGTGGGCGGTACTTACACCTGCCACGCCACGGGTTGCGCGCACACGACCTCTCAGGCAAACGCACCATGGCATGGCAAACGATATGATGCAGTGACTTTTCTGGAGATGACACGGCGGGATGGCACAGGTAGCCACCGGTCAACCACTGTAGACCACCAAGTGCCTAGGGATACAGACCCTCTCCCTCGCGTGACCAACAGGATGTCTCGCACTGAGCGCACCCCAACCGCGATCACCGCCAGAACCAGGCACCGCGCACCTGCGATCTGCCCCGCTCCCCCTCCCCAGGGACCCGTCACCAGCACTCCGTCCAGGCCGGCGCTTCCCGATCAGCGCCAGGACCAGGCACCACGCACGCCAGGAACCTGCATTGCAAGTAGACACCAGCGACCGCAGACCTATCAAGACGAGGGATCTGGCACCGGGCATCTGGTAAGGCGGGGCTTTTGGAAGCAGAAGTCCTGTCAAGACCGGGGGGTTTTCCAGGTCGGCGCTTTTTAGTACGGAAGGAGCCGAGAGTGTAAAACTACGATGGCTGCAGGGGCAGACGTAGGGCGGGGAGCATGGGAAGCAGCAGAGCAAGAAGCAGGGCAAGAAGCAGGGCAAGAAGTAGGGTAAGAACAGGGGCTGGCAGGATAAGTAGGACTGCAGGCGAGGATGTCGCGCTTGACAGATAGGTACCAGCAGGGTCTGGGGTGGGGCTGAGTGCAGTGGAGGGGAGTCGAGGTACGACGGACGAGTGCAAAGCAGGCATAGAATTCCCCGCCGAATCGTGCTATCGCTAGTGTATGCAACCATGTTCCCTGTCTTGCGCTCCCATCTACCCTCCTCCGCATAGCTATGTACCTGCTACCCCCAGTACGACGTGCGCAGCCCGACAAACTGGCTGCCGACGGCGGTATCGCTGTCGTCGTTCTTCTTGCGCTGGCCGGCGAGCTGGATCGAGTTATATTAGCTCCAACACTCAGGTTGCTGCACTGCGACGCGACAGGGGGACTCACCTCCAGCTGGATATGCCGGTGCACGTGCACCAGCCAGTCGACATAGCTCTGGGCCTCGTTGTTGCGGTCCTCGTACAGCAGGCGCGCGAACTCGTACTCGGCGCCGTCGAGGCCCTGGCGCGCGAGCTGCACCGTGAGCGCCTTGGACGCGCGGCTGCCCTCGAGGTACTGCAGGATATTGCGCACCTGGGCGTTGAGGTGCGTGTCCAGCACCGGCAGCGACGACGCGAACGGGTCGAGGGCCTTGAGCGAGTCGGCGCCGGGGCCGAACAGGTCGACGAGCAGGTTGGGCGACACGTGCTGGTGGATCCAGAGCAGGCAGATCTGGCCGTTGTCGACGATGTAGACGCCGCCCTCGTCGACTTTGGAGAACGAGGCGCGGACGCCGGGGGGCATGCGCAGATGCCCGTTTTCGTTGGCGAAGCCGTCTGCGGGGTCGAGCGAGTGCACTGCGATGACGCGGGGGTAGAGGTAGAGGGAGAGTTCGAGGGGGCCCATGGAGCGGATGAGGCGCATGTCGTGGACGCGGCGGTCGGTGGGTTCTTTGCCGGCCTTGAAGGCGCGCGATTTCATCAAGCCGAGCATGTACATGGAAAACTCCTTGAGGTTCTCCGGGAGGACGAGCTGGCCGGGCGGACTATTCCCAGTGAAGTTCTTCCTGTACCCGGCGAGGATGTCGACTGTCTTTTCTGACAGTGCGCCGCGGATGTCCTTGAGGCTCTTTTCTGTCATGCGGGCGCAGGCTTCTTTAGCGATGATGCTGATGACAGCGTCTTGGTCGACGAATTTCATACACTCGCCGGCACTTTGACTGACACTCGCGACCATGTTGCTGCAACGGACGCGGCGCTCGCCGCTAGCTGTTGTGTACAGCAGGGCGCTCTGGAAGTGCGCGTCTAACTTGGGGTCCAGTTTGCCATCGTAGCTGAAGAGGACACCAATGGCCTTGTCCGCATCGATGGTGCCGAACTCAAGGTCTGCACCGAAGCTCTGGTGGTAGTAGTTTCCATGATACCCCGAGACCTGCAGACCGTTTGAGCATCGAACCTTCATCAGCGCTTGATAACCGGTTTCCCGCGTAACGGTATGTGTGATCTCCTTTGACAGCTTGAGGTTGTCTCGTGGTGAGTGGAAGTTGGGGTAGTAGAAGACCTCGCCGCCGGTGGTTGCAGATACATGGCCTGAATGTGTTAGTCAATGTATCTCAACATACGGAGATACCCACCTATTGTTGCAATGTCTAGATACCCACCACTGGGCGCAGCCAGGAAGAAGTCACAGCCAATGCCATTCTCCACCATCTTCTTCGCCACCGATGTGAAGCCAGGATGCTCCGTCTTCAAGAGCTTCCTCTCGGCATCAGTGTTGTGTACATTGCCATCATCTCGCATGAAGAGCTTTCCCGGACCGAATGTGGGCAGAGCGCCCAGCGAGCAAACAATCTTTCCGCCCGTGGCAGTCAAAGCCGCCACCGCAGAGCTGAGCGTGGGGAGCAGAGCCGGGTCGGGATGTCTGAACTCGTGGAACATCTTGGGCAGAGTGGACAGCAACGATGTAATGACAGTCCTGGATTCTTGAGGGTCGACAAACAGGCCGTCGGTGAAGGGCAGGAACGGCTCCTCCAGATCCGGCATGACCAGCATTTGCGCAGTAGTGAGCTTTGGGCTGAGGTTGTAGAAGTGCATCTCCTTGTCGTACGAGACAATGCCGACCTTCGCGCCCTGTGGGATCTTGATGGTCTTTTCTGTGGATTCGGTCTCGCTCGCTTCGCCGTACAGAGCCTCGAGCACACCCGCGCAGAAGCCTGCGAGGAAGCCACGTTCAACGCTCTCAGCGGTCACGTCGATCAGGAAGAGATATCGCATTGCAACGGGCTCTTTCTGGCCCCAGTACTCCTTCGGCACCACGTAGTCAACGGTACCGAGCATCAGCTCCGGCCGCTGAAGTCTGTCGACACGGATACCGTTGGCGTCGGTAGGTGAGAAGTACTCTCCAGGCACATCATTGGGGAAAGTGCACATGTTGCACACGAGCTTGTTGCCGCCAGCCTTGAACTGCATGAAGGGGTTGATGTAGGCGCGACATCTCCTGCAACGTGGCGGGCCAGTCTCGCCAAAGTCCAGCACCGGCACCGGCGTCTCTCCGTCCTGCAGCGGGGCCAGCGGCTGTAATATCAGGCCGAGTGGCAGAGCTGTGGCGGCGAGGGCGTCTGCGGACGTGGGGATGTTGTTGAGCGTCAGACGGGCGAACTTGGGCGACGAGTTGCCCTGGTCGTAGGCGACAAAGGGCACGGTGGCGGGCGGCGGGATGTGGTGCTCCATGGTCGGGTAGATGTGCTCAAGGTAGTACTTGGCGGGCGCATCGCGCGACTTGGGGATGCTCGGGATCTGCTCGGGGTCGACCTTGCCCTGCGCCGAGCCCTGGACAGCGGTGCCGGGCTGCGGCGTGTGTGCGCGGGCAGCGTGCTGCATGGGCGAGGCCGCGAGCCCCGGCGAGAAGAGCGGCGTCGCAGCCGGGAACTGGCTCATGGCGGGCGTGATCTCCGGCTCCTGCCACTGCGGCGCGCCGACCTGCGGACTGAAGTTCATGCCATTGGGCGACTCAGCACTCGCGCCCGGCCCCTCAAGGTTGTGGTAGGCGTGTCTGTCCTTCTTCTTGCGGCGGTGGTCTGGTGGCGCGTCGCCGCCCAGCGCCATTGTGCCCATCTGCGTTGCCAGCATGTTCGCGTGCGGGTCGCTCTGAAACGAACCGGCTCGGTCGATCAGCGGGCTCGCCTGAGGCGGGAAATAGCCCTCCTGCTGCGCGGGCGGCTGCGGTTGCGCCGGCGAGCCAAACTGCGGAGCTCCGGCTTGTAAGTATGGACTGCCGCCCTGCTGGTAGCTGGCGGGGCTCCCAGCGACGGGCGGGCGCCATCTTGTGGGGTCGTCCTTGCGCGGCGGCGCGTTGGGATTTGGCGAGCCCTGGGCTTGGGCGTGGTACATGGAATAGTCGCTCATGATTGCGCCGCGGGGGTGCGTCGAGGCGCGGGTGCTCGTGCCAGGTCAGACGGCGGGCGCGGGGTTCGATGTGGGCGAGTGGTCGGTCGCGGAGGGACTGCAAGGCTCTATATCATGTTCCGGGCGCTGGGGAGTTCATTTGGCTCAGGGCGGCTACACGCCGAAGTTGGTGATCTGGCTGTTACGATGGTGGTGCTGCACTTTACGAATACGTCCGAGCGGCATCATGCACGGCGTCGACACGAATGCAATTGACCGACAGCTTGTGAATGCCGACAGCTTGCCTCTACACACATCTTGACCAAGACTGGGGACCGTTCAGACTTGCGCGTGCCCTCCTGAGCGAGCCATGTTGCGGTTGCTGGCCGTTCTTACGAAAGAGGGGCATTCATGTGAATTGCAGGGGTCTGCGGTCGCGTGTCACGTCGAAGGAGCCTCAAGCCCCGACTCGATTTGGTTCGACTGTTTGATTTCATCTCGCAGCAAAAACTGCCGGTAAAGTTTTGAACTCGCTCGCTGTCCATGTGTGTAGTCTTCTCACCTTCCATGGCTATGTTTCACGCTGTGAAACAGCAATTCCCCATGTCTCTGAAGCAGATCTCCATCGTCTGCCATGCTCGAGCTGTCTGCCAGTCGACCGTGACCGCAATGCTTCCACAGAGCTCCACCCAGCTCTGCATACCCTCTACTCCAGCTTATCCAAGTGTGCCAACCGCGTCAACACAACCTGCTTGTTCGTCTCCTCGATCTCGCCCGCCAAAAACACCTCATCCAGAATCGCATACACCTGTGCCGCGTCAGCCCTCGCCCACCACCCCCCAGCCCCTGACCCCTCCCCCAGCACGCACCTTGTAGAAATTAAACACCAGATCCAGCTCACACACGTTCCCAAAGAACGCATCCAGCACCTCGACGAAGAAGTGGATCGCCTCCAGATACGCCAGCTCGTTGTCGTTTGTGTCGACGCACGCGCAGAAGAACAGCCCCGCGTACCGCCGGTACACGACCTTGGACATGTTGCGGAACTCGACAAAGTTGGACTGGTGCTTCTGGTCGCGCGGCGCGATCAGCCGGTGCACCTACACGGGGTCAGCGGCGGGGAGGTTGCGTGGCGGTGCGGCGGTCAACGCGGCGCAGTGTTGCGTACCTCGCCCTTCAGCTTCACCTTCTCCTCGTCCTGCACTGCTGTCAGCCCGCGTCGCGCCCGGTCCGCGCCGCACTCACGCTATACGGCGCATACCACTTCGCCAGCCGAGTCTTGCCCCTGTTCCGCGTCAGCGCGCCATGCAAACCACACCACCCCGCCAGCGCCGGCGGCGGCGCGTGTGTGTAGAGACAACGTACTGGCGGTTCTGGATCAGGATAAAGGAGAGCACCATGTTGCTGGAACGTCGCCGCGCATGGGCGGGCGGAGAGTACTCGATGCCGGCGCGCGCGGAGCCTCGGAGGTGAGGCGGGCGGACCCTGGTTGCGGGACCCACTTTTCGGTGGGCCTGCGGACGACAGACACCGACGCGATGCTGGACGTTGGACGTCGGATGTTGAATCCTGCACGCTGGACCCCGAATACCAGACGACAGCTTGCAACGATTAATCGTCCAACCGTGCAGAGTGTAGTATATTGGAGAGACCGGCGGTGGCAGACAAAGTGAAGAAGTGTTCTACATTGAGCTCCCCTAAACTACATACACGGGGACTGGTGTATTCGCACAAACGCTTCAGCGCTACTCTGATTGTGCTGCTTACTCTAGTCTACATACGGGAGTCTCGCCTGCTCTAGATGGCTTCCAAAGGTCCCTGTATGTACCGCCACGAACATGGTCTTTCCACGGCGCTGCTTTGCGGGACGGGAACACCACTGCGTTATGCATCCCGGGCGCGTTTCTCTGTTGTGAGTCTCGCAGGCGCTGACTCTGTGGGGGGCCCGCGCTAGATCGAGTCCGTAGCACGAGTGCTTGCTTGCTCGCCTCAGGACTCTTTCGATCTATATCTTTCCCCGCGCCGTTTTGAGCCCCCGGCCTTCTCCCTACATCTCCACTGACCTTCCATTCCCCTGGCCTTCAAATACCCTGGCGTTCCATGACATCTTATATCGAGTTTCTGCTCTTCCCGGCGCGAGACCTGGCTCACGGGAACATGGGACCGCAGGTGAGCACATGGCGCCTGGCGAGGACAAGGACCTGAGCGCTACTAAGCCCAAACCTATACCCGATAACACTGAGGCGACCGAGGAGCCAATCGCGCTGCAGCTGCGGCACGGTGTCAGCATTGGCCGCGACGTAGAGGGGCCAGACGAGTGAGTAGCCACCGAACGCCTCTGCAGCTGTTTGGAGTTAGTAGATGTATCGGTATCAATCATGGAAGAGGACTACGCACCATACTGCTCTTGCCCTGTCTCCTTGGCCAGCGGCTGCAGCTCGTAGTCGAGATGGAACGGCACGCACGCGCTCAGCTCGTCGACCATCTGCTGCACCACGAACGTGCTGTGCGTGTACGTCGCCTTGTCCGCGTACCCGCCGTAGCCCAGCCAGTCGAGCCCGGCGAGCATCACGCGCCGGCAGAAGATGCGGCACACGCGGTAGTCGTTCATGATGCTTGCCAGCGGCACGTCGTGGTACGCGTGCTGCTCGCCCGGCCACTTCTCCGCGTTGGCAATGTCCTCTGGGATCTCGGATTCGACGCCGATGATGCGGTGCTTCCACTCCGGCGGCAGCGTGCGGTACCACTCTTCGAGATTCCCGTCGACCATCTGCGCAAACTCGATGATTTCATGCGCTTCTGATTCCTCGGCTGGGTCGTAGAGCGTGCTGGTCAGTCCGTTGGCGCGGGCGCGTAGGTTGGGCAGGTCGATGCAGATCAGGGTCAGGCGGTTTGCGGCGTTTTCTGATGCAATGTCAGACTCGCCTATCCAGCCTCTCTGGCCCGGGAAGTCATCGATAGGTTTAGAGCGCTGCACACACGATGTTATCATCATGGTGCGGACGGCGCGGAACATGGCGTGCGACATGGGGTCGTTGAACTGGTCAGTGCCGCGCATCTTTGTGAGGGCGACAGCGCCATCGACATGATTGCCCCACGCGGTAATGGTGTCATCGGTTGACATGATGGTCTATTGAAGTTAACATGGGAGGCGGTTCTGGTTGATAAGTCGACATACCTCATAAAGCGAGAACATTAGGATGGCCAGCACTGTCTCATTTGATTTGCCCATCACAGGATCCTTGAGGTCGGTGTTAAGCTTCCGAATGGCCTTGCCGTAAGTTTTGACAGCCTCACCCACGAGTGCTTCTCTGCCTGGATATTGACCGCAAGCTGCCATGGCGACAGCACTGGTGGCCAGATGCAAGACTGATGATGGTAATGCTTGATTGTATAGTGGCACAAGAAACTCAAGATATCCTCTTGTACTTTCCGCTTGCTGTGGAAGTGTGATGAAATTCTTGAAGAAGAAAGTAACAGCCTCATAGTCTGGCGCCATCACAATGGACTGTGGGATTTGATCGAGATTCCATAGCCAATTGTCGAACAGTCCTTGCGAGGATAGTGCCTCCGGATACTGTGGTATGATTATGAGTTGCTGATCCGAATTTGGTGTGGTTTGTGCTGTAGAAGGATCTTCTGCTGACGATGGCGAAGTACCTGACACTTCGAATGTGATAAAGGTAGGTCTATGGTAGTCAGCAATTGCCACTATGGGTTGTTCTGAATTTGGGGTAAAAACGAGAGACATGTGACTTCATCTCATTGGAAGGCAAGCAACGAACATTGTACGTCTTGCTTGTGGTGAGTTGGGAATAGTGTCTTACTGATTTGGCGAAGGTTGCGAGCTCAAGCTACCAGGGCTGCACCTACTCGGCGTCGGGCCAGACGTCTTTCTCGCCTTTCTTGCCATGGCCTTGTTCTCATCTCTGAACACTAGGTCGAATTCATCTGGATACCCCGGACAGTCGCGGCCAGACTTCTTACAGTTGCCACATGTTGGTCGCTTTTCATCGCACTGAGATAGGTCAGTTCTGTGTGGCACAGTTCGCCAGCATGTTTTGGTCGTGCACCACAGAGCATTACAAGCGCACAAGATGAACTATCTGCTGTATCATACCTTTATCCTGCGACTCTTACACATGCCGCATCCACGGCTTGGCTTTCCTGTATAGACCATGTTGCGCTTCCTGTAGACACAGCACACTTTTGTGGTTCAAGATTCCTGATCGTCCCCTTGGTAAGCCAAAGATGGCGTCTTGTAATTCTTGGCCTGAAACGAGTTGATATACACAAGGCAGTATTGTTAGTCGACTTGTGCGATTATGGTGCTTAAACACTTCGCCTCAGGGCCTACGTCGACCATCGAACCAGCAAGATACACTACGTAGCCTCTTTGTTGCGGTTGCCAATTTCGACAGCCTTCGAGACGGTAAGGAAACGGCTACCGTGCACCTGTAAGCCCGATCCTGGCAGGTCCAATTGTGCGGGTCGTGCTCGTCGCAGCTTGGTTCCTATGGCAAGACGAAGCGAGGCGATTTCCCAATGCAAGCTGATTGTTACGCCGCAAGCCTATCAAAGTCGTCGGAGTGTGATGACAGAGGCAGCAGTAACATGTTTGTTCGACAAAACGATAATTCAGAGTCGCCTCGGTTTGTGTGGCGTGCCGAAACTCATCAGGAGGTGTAGTTGTGTTGAATTTGAAATTCGCAAGCCCCACCAGATTGAGCCTAGTCACCCGATTAGGCTTAGTGCCTCCTACGCGGGCAGTGGCGCAGCGCCGTTTCATCGACCCACGCGGGATGCTGCGGGATGCTGCGGGAAAACGCAAGGAGAATGACCTCAGGAGGCACAAAAGCTGCTGCCTGAAGCTTCATGACTGCTAATTCGGACACTACCTCCAAGGGCTACGCAATGCAATCAGCCAAGCGGAATGTCCAAGCGGAGGGACTTCAACCCGATCAGTGACGCTGGGCGGGCAATTGGGCCTGGAGAATGTACCGGTTGCCATTGTGTAATAGTCCGAAGATTGGCTCATGGGTTTGTATCAAAACTGCAATTGTTCCAGGATCTGGAACAGTAATGTCTGTATTCTGCTCGCCGCAAGATTCCGATATACAGCAGATGCGGGGTGCAGTGCTGACAATCAGTAAGCAAGTGTCCATCTAAGTCACTAAAGCCGATACAAGATGTGAGATTAGATACTAGGCGTGAGTTCAATCAGAAAAAGGTGGTCGCAGTTGCCGTTTCTTTCTCCCTCAAAGTAAGTGGAAGGTGCAGCACTACACTACATACGCCACAGCAGCAATATACAAGACGCGGATTTAACCTTGCAAACAACATTGGCCTTCAATTGTCTTGCTGCTGCTACCTGTTCTGGAGCACAGGAGCAGACCCGGCGTTACGGAGTACCCCTCTAATTCGATCACACAGATACGCCTTCCAGTAACATTTCTGAAGTGTCACAGCATCACAGTACACACATTTACAGCATCAGCGACTCACCGTGTACCGTGTTTCTTCTACAGAATTATAGCAACGATCCTCTTCGATCCGGACCTAGTAGAGACCTTTTGCACGCGTAACCATGCACACGCAATCGGGCCGCTTCAGGGTGTGAATCGGTCGTACAAGATAGCCATCTGCTCCAACCACGCAACCTATAATCACGGACACATCGATCGAGGAAGCCGGACCCCCACGAGTCACGACATTGTGCATCATGCTTGTGCTGGGCTGTGCGCTCAGTAGATAGCGCACTTGGTTTTCAAGGGATCATTCTTCGAGTCACTACGAACGTAGGATGCAGGGTCAAAAGAAGAACGCCAGGCGCCTCCTTAGCTTGTGTATTGTTCTTCTGATCTGCCAACCATGCGTGTACCAATCGCCACCTGCACAAAGACGATATGCTAAGTTTTCAGCTGCTAAAAGGTGATTGACGAATTCTTCTTCTTTGCCTTCTTCTTACTCTTCTTCACCGGGTCATTAGTGCCGTTGGCGATGGTGGGAGGAGTTTCATTGAGAACTGCTTGCTTCGCGTCATCGAAGCTGTTGTCAGGTGCGACTGCTTCCGCCTCTACCACTGAGTCGGCTCGCACGTGTTCTGCTTTCTTCACTTTGGCTGGCGGGGCGGCGACGGTCTTTAGTACTTCAGACTGGCCAAAGGTGGGCTCAATGGCTGGGAGACCGAAGTCATCGTTTGAAGTAACATCACTGGATACGCTGAGATTGTTCTCCCTGGGATGTGTGGATGCGCTGGTCTCAAGATTCGAAGCGCTGGACTCGAGATCAAGAGAATCCGTCTCGTTCAGGTCATCCCCTTCTCTCGAGGTAATTGGGCTGTTCACAACAGATTCAGTCGGCGAAGGTAGCTGGTGCAAACTATCCTGGGTAGGGACCTCGCTATCAGTGGCCATACTTTCAGCTATCGGTGTTACGGCACCGCTGTCAAGAGGTTGCAGAGCGGTGGTCGGAGCTGAGACCGCAGCATAGTTGCTCATAACAGTCTTCCAGACGATTTGCAGCAGACGGCTGTTGCCTTCGACTCTGGTGATGAAATCTGGTCGTTGGAAAGGCTCGGGGTCTTTCGCCATAGCCTTCTTTATGGCATCTTCGAGGTACTCTGAGTACCACGCATCGCCTTCGGGGAGCAGGGTGAACGTTTGATCTCTGGCAACTCTGAGTATGTCGAAGATCGATAAACCTTGACCCGTCTGAACGATCTCATCCTTTGAGAGCTCCGCAAGGTCGGGCAGCTGATACTGTACGGCAGCGCAGTAGACGCAAGTAGAATGCCTAAATTTTCCAACAGGCGCGTAGCGAATCTTCCTCTCAAACGTTCCCGCGTACAGATGATGGATCAAGGTATGCGCTGGCCCTTCGTGGAGTTTCGGCAAAGACACAGGCTGATCATTCGAAGCCAGTGCGAAGAGGGGAGCACTTTTCCGCAGCATCCAGCTGTGTACTAAGAAACGAGTTGCAGAACTCCCTACGTCGAGGGAAACGATCCTAGATTCGACATACGGTCTGGCCCATGCAAAGTTAGCAAAGGCCGTGTAACTTGGGAGATGAGTTTGACTGACGAATTGTGGTTGGCGGTGTTGCCTGATTCATTGCTCTCATTGGGCTCTGCGATATCCTGAGACGCGTTTGTAGAGGTATGACTTCCTCTATTTGGAACTACAGTCGGATTGGTGCTGGACGACATGGTGAATGTCGGCTTGTTCCTGCCTGATTCGACTCCATATCGCCGAACAACGGCCTTTATCCGTCAGATACCAAAGTGAGGCTCAATTCTGCTGAGCTGTCACTTATTCGACGCCGTGAGGAGTGCATGCATTGATGTGTTGGCAGTCGGACAAATCTTCAGCCTGATGTGTAAGAGTCTCCCGTTGGTCAGCCTTGTGTGCTTCGCTGCATATTCGGAACGATGGAGGTAAGCGTGCGCCACCCGGTCCAATGATTCGTTTGTTCTGTATTTCAGAATGTACCCCAGAGTTTCGCACCCGAATACGACTGGTCGATCAATATGCACCGGTGACAGTTGGGCCGGGTGGAAACATAGACAGCGATGGAACGGCCCATGGAAGAGCCCAAAACTTGCCCTTCGACGAAATGTGTCAGCCTGATGAAGGTAAAAATAATTAATGCGTTCGACTTGGGGCACCAAGCGTTATCCGCTTTTGTTATTGGTACAGTCTTTGCTTACCAGCACTGCTGTCCGTCACCAGCCCAATCCTTCCCACAGCGTCGCTGGAACTCATATCACCAACAAAGCCTGACAAGCTGTTGAGTATGTGACAGTCCTCAATATTGGCTGCGCTCGAAGTTTCTAGAATCGCCTGTCTATGACTTGCTTTTAGCCCGACACGCAGCCTGAACAGTGTGTGTCCATCCAAGATAGCGCTCCATCGCCTTCGAAAGCCATACACAATGCAGAGCGACGCACGCATCGGCGTCCAGATCGAAGAAAGTGCCACAGGAATATCAGCCGCCATTGTCTCCGGTCTTATCACCGTACCTGCAAGGAAAGAGGCAACGTTCGGGTTGAAAAATGCGACACGGCTGCCACCGCGAGCTGTATAGCCTTGCCTGCCATTGTACATAAGTTACATCGCATAAGCAGCATATGCACTCAGTACACTTTGTTTAAGCTGTGATGTCTGAAGATACTAAAGCTGCAAGAAGTAACCAGTTTCAGCATTGCAATTTTCCGAATCGTTGGTATATGCAGCGTAGAAGGGCAGCGGTGCAGTGACTGACGTAAAGAGTGTAGATAGCTATTCATCCTCGGTGTGGCCTGGGACTGCGATAGTGGCTGACTCTACCCCGAAACGGTATGTGCAACGATTAGGCTGGACGCTGATAGGTGTATCAGTGCGCGCGAAGTTGGAGTACCTAGAACGCACCCCGTTGATATATGCTGTGCCTACACTGCTGCTAGACTTGCATTGTACACCAATAGCAGTCATGGGTGACGCGAATAAATTTTGGTGTCATTTTGCACACCTCTGGTATTAGAAGTGCAGGTAGTCGTCGGCCCCGTATAAGTCCGTGATGCTACGGTCGATGCTGAAAATGAACTGTGGAGGCACATCTCCATATTAAACATTATGAAGCTTCTGCCACAATAGTATCTCAAGGACTCTGTCCTGACCAATTCCAGGATATTCGCCGGTGATGTTCATTTCTTTGTTAAAGTAACAGTATGTGCGCGTAAGAGGCAGCCCCCGCAGTGCATTAGTAGTTTTCACATCTGGCCATGGCTGCCATGCTGTTTCGATGATAGAATGGATGTTCGATACGCAGACGTGTCGAAAAGGGTCTGTTTGATTCTGAAATATCACTCTGGAACTGTTGTTCTGTATGCAGTAAGTGTTCATACTCTCAGGTGCTTTTAAGATATCTCTGTTGGTTCGGGTGGCGGTCGGTGGCCTACGCGCTTTGCAGCATCCAACTCTTCTCTGCATCTGGATCGACCATCTTTATTCACTTCACTTGCCACGGGAACATTCTCAGAAGCTCGCCCGATCTGTTGAAGTTATGAGACGTTGGTAGCCGAAACATCACGTGCGACAAGATACGATCGAATAAAAGGCCGCACGCCCAACCTTGATCAGCAAGTCATGTAAACATGAACACCTAGGTAATATTACGTAGTCAACACTGGACTGCACACGAGTCAGTATCAGTCTGCGCCGTTCACCTCACCTCGTTCACCACGTATCACCATGATGCGGGGCCACATGGTCTTCCCAGAGTCGAGGTGAAGGTGGCTTCCGTGCGTAGATCGAACTAGTCTTGCAGCACAGTCTTCCCACGTCTCTTTTACTCGTATCCTTTGACCAATCCTCGACTACCCGCCATCCGCAAAGACGAAATCAGCAATGTCCGACGTCGAGCCCAAGACTACAGGCCAAGGCGCCTCAGCTTGGACAGACACCGAGCGAGTCTGTCATCTACTCCTCAATCCTTGCTCTTACTAACCCTGCACAGATGGCGTACCTCATCGTCATTGCCGAGCACGCTCTCGAGGCTCCTATCGAGTCCAAGGTCTCGGTCAGTATCCAATACCGCTACTCTTTTTTCTGAAACTGACAAACAGATAGCAAGCCCCTGTTCCGGGCGGTCGCACGGTCAACGCGTGCCGCAAGATCGTCAAGAAGCTTAAGGAGAAGCTCAAGGACGATATCGACAACATCAAGGCCGGTCTACCTGTCACTGCGCCGCCAGCTGAGGGTGAGGCAGCAGCCAAGAGCACACCACGCAAAAGAAAGGCGGAGCTGGGAGGAGATGGAGATGCGTCGCCGAAGAAGAAGGCCACTCCGCGGAAGAAGAAGAGCGAGGCTACTGTCAAGGACGAAGACGATGATGGCGGGGTTGAAGCAGAAGGCTAGTAGGTTCGGCATCAATTGTCGATGGTGACGTGAAGCAGCGTCTGGCTGTCTCTTCAGTGGTGGAGCGTGCAACCATGGTCTTGCGGATCAGACAGAGTTGCGCATGTGCTCCTTGTCTCTCTCAATCACGTGCTCCAGTCTTTTATCGTTGGCAGCTCATTATGGACACCTCGAAATGGACACGATCTCTAAGCAAGCATGATCATCCTTGTGACGCATAGTGTGATGCCCGATGCGACTGGACCACGTCATGTGTATCAATTGGAGCAGCCGCAAGTCTAGATTGTGATATCCAATCAAGTAGCGGACGAGTTTGGGACTGCAAAATCAGGATCATTCGTAAGGGCAGTTGCGATCACAATAATTAGCATTGGGGTGGATCCACGTTCGACGATGTTGATGATGATAACGATGTGCTGCGGAGAACGTCGGCGGTGGCGATGCTGGTTGCAGATCCGTTCACCAAGCGACCTGTGCCCTGCATCCCTTGGCAACGATGATGCTGCCTCTTTAACATTGCGACCGCAGACTGACTCCCGTGTGTTAGCCTCAATACATTTCTGTGCGCGTGTGTATTCTGTGCTTCGTCAGGAAGTAGCAAACGTGTGATAGTGGTATCTGGGCATGCTTAGCCGGCTCACTGTCACCTCAGCTTGGAAAAGAAGTTTCGCGTCGCCCACGCCGCCGTCCTTCACCGCGACCTATTTCTCCAGCCGAGCGATCACCCGCCTTCCTTGTACTTCCTCATTCTTTTATCGCACCTACACTGTCTCCAATCGACTATACACATCCACACCCATGGAACAAAATGGCGCGCACAGCAAGCGCAAGCAGCCGCCCACCCCCAGCGCCGAGCGCCCGTTGAAACAAATCAAGGCCGAGACAGATGCGCACATTCGCAACGGAGTCACGACGTCGCCCACACCAGAGATGGACGTAGACGATGCGCGCAGTGACGTCAGCATCGACTCGATGCCCGTTCTACCTGTTGCTGGCGCGGTGCACGATACGGCTGAGTGGCAGAAGACGATCGAGGGCGTTGTGAAAAGCGTCGTGTCGATCCACTTCTGCCAGACGTGCTCGTTCGATACAGACCCAGCCATCGCCTCAGAGGCGACTGGGTTCGTCGTGGATGCTGAGAAAGGCTACATCATGACGAACAGGGTATAGCAATCACCTTTCCTTGCAGCGGGCCTTATACTGATATGCTCAGCACGTTGTCGGCGCCGGACCGTTCATCGGATACTGCATTTTTGACAATCACGAGGAATGCGACGTCTATCCCGTCTACCGCGATCCCGTGCACGACTTCGGTATCCTGCGCTTCGATCCCTCCAAGATCAAGTACATGCCCCTCACCGCGCTACAACTGAAACCAGACCTCGCCAAGGTTGGAGTGGAGATTCGCGTAGTGGGTAACGATGCTGGAGAGAAACTCAGTATCTTGTCCGGTGTCATTAGTCGACTGGACCGCAATGCGCCTGAGTACGGCGAGGGCTACTCCGATTTCAACACGAACTATATCCAAGCTGCTGCCGCTGCAAGTGGTGGAAGTTCTGGCAGTCCTGTTGTGAACAGGGACGGCTATGCTGTCGCACTGCAGGCTGGTGGCCGGTCAGACGGCGCCGCTACCGACTACTTCCTACCACTCGATCGTCCACTGCGCGCGCTCGAGCTCGTTCGCCAGGGCAATGCCGTATCTCGAGGCACCATACAGACACAGTGGATACTGAAGCCATTCGATGAGTGCAGAAGACTGGGCCTGTCGGCAGACGTGGAGGAGGCCGTCCGTACCCAATTCCCCAAGGAGACGGGCATGCTTGTTGCCGAGGTCGTGCTTCCGCAAGGGCCTGCCTCTGGCAAGGTTGAAGAGGGCGATCTTCTGACGCATGTGAACGGCCAGCTCCTCACCCAATTCGTTCGTCTAGATGCGATTCTAGACGACAATGTCGACAAGCAAATTTCGATTACGATCCAGCGCGCCGGCGAGAACATGAACGTCGATCTGAACGTTGGTGATCTACACGCCATCACCCCAGACAGATTCGTATCAGTGGCTGGCGCCTCATTCCACGACCTGTCCTACCAGCAAGCTCGCCTATATGCCATCTCACTCAAGGATGCAGGTGTCTACGTGTGCGAAGCCGCTGGCTCATTCCGATTCGCCGATGGCTACGCATCGGGGTGGTTGATCCAAGAAGTGGACAACCAACCCACGCCAAACCTCGACGCTTTCATCGAAGTCATGCGCAAGATCCCCGATCGCAAGCGCGTCGTCATCATGTATAAGCATCTTCGTGATCTGCATACTGTTAACACAAGTATCACAGCCATCGACAGACACTGGCACGCAAAGATCAGGATCGCTACGCGCAATGATGCCACAGGGCTGTGGGACTTCAAGCCGCTAGCTGATCCTGTTCCTGCGATCCCGCCAGTGCCGCGCCGCGCCAATTTCGTCAAGATGAACTCGCAGTACCCTGAAGCAGTCGACATCGTTCGCAGTCTTGTTCGAGTACATGTATCTATGCCAATCAAGCTTGATGGTTTCCCCAAGATGAACAAGCAAGGCTATGGTATTGTAGTTGATGCCGAGCAGGGCCTTGTCCTTGTCTCGCGGGCGATTCTGCCGTACGATCTTTGCGACATCTCATTGATCATCGCGGACAGTATCTTCATTGACGCCAAGGTTGTATTCATGCACCCATTGCAAAACTACGCTATTGTCAAGTATGATCCCTCGTTGGTGCAAGCCTCAGTCAAGACGCCCAAGTTCTCCACGGAGTTCATCAAGAAGGGTGACGAGACCATCTTCTTCGGCATGAACCAGAATTTCCGCCCTGTTGTAACAAAGACTGTTGTAACAGACATCACCACCGTTGCAATTCCTGCCAGCGCCATCACACCTCGTTACCGCGCGACAAACTTTGATGCCATCACAGTAGACACCAACCAAGCCTCCCACAGTGGCTCAGGTGTTTTGATTGCCGAAGACGGTACAGTGCAGGCTCTCTGGCTCTCCTATCTTGGTGAGCGGACATCGCACAGCGGTAAGGACGTTGAGTACCATCTAGGTCTCGCGACACCCAACCTACTCCCCGTCCTCAACGAAATCAGAGGCGGCAAGACCCCCAAACTGCGCATCCTCAATGTCGAGTTCCAGACTGTTCAGATGAGCCAGGCACGCGTCATGGGTGTATCAGAAGAGTGGATTGAGAAGACAGAACACGCGGATCCAGAGCGACACCAGCTCTTCATGGTGCGCAAGGTCGACTCTGGTCACGGCGATGGTCTCCAGGAGGGCGATGTCGTCCTCACACTCAATGGCAAGCTCGTCACACGGAGCCCCGATCTCGATGTCATGTACACCAATGAGTTCCTCGATGCTGTCGTGGTGCGCAAGCGCAACGAGATGTCTATCAAGGTCTTAACCGTCCCCACTGAAGACCTCGAGACAGATCGCCTCGTCAGCTTCTGCGGCGCTACGTTCCACCGTCCTCACCAGGCCGTCAGGCAGCAGATCAGCAAGGTGCATTCAGATGTCTACATCTCGTCTCGCGCCCGTGGGTCGCCGGCGTACATGTATGGTACGTATCAGTGTCTTGTCCTCTGTTTGACCGTATACTAATGACACAAAGGCCTCGCACCAACGAATTTCTTAACCCATGTCAACAACAAACCCACTCCAGACCTAGACTCGTTCCTCGAAGCCGTCAAAGAGATTAAGGACAACGAATACTTCCGACTAAAGGTCATGACATTTGACAACGTACCTTGGGTTGCGACAATGAAAAAGAACGAACACTACTTCCCGACTATCGAGTACGTGAAGGACAAGGGCGAGGAACTCGGGTGGCGGAAGATTATCCATGAGTGCGACGACGGTGGTATGAGGGAAGAGGCTCTTGATGGGGGCGAAGCTGAGGCTGCAGAGGGCGATGCATGTGAAGAGTAAAAGCCGCGTCATTTTGCATTGTATCATAAACCAAGCATCAGAATAAAGCCCTAGGGCCAACCTTATTTCAAAGCAACCTATTGCTATCTACATCACTGATAAGCTGCATGACTTTAAAATCGAAGACACCAAAGGACTACCTAGGTATCGTTCTAGCTGGCATCGAATGATTCCAACACTTCTAACACGGTCCGATTCGATCCGATGCTTACGCTTTAGGCCACCACCAGCCTCACACCATCATCACATGACACTTGCTAATATATCACAACCGCAACTCCTTCAAGCCTCCTAAGCCAGAGACATACTTCGAACCCCTGACCATGGCAACATCAACCTTCCTCGGCCTCACGCTCACCCTCGGATCCCCAGCCCTCACAGCGCTGCGCATCGCGCCGCTGCTCGGCAGCACCGCAAGCCTGACACACGCATACATGGAATGGCTGACCAACACCTCATTCCTCGTACCCGCCCCCGTAGACTCTAGACTAAGCCGCCTCCTCCGCGGCGTCAACACAGCATCCGAGGGTCTCGCAACCGGCGCACCGCCGCCTTCCGACGCCGAGCTCGCGGACGCAAAGCAAATGGTCGTCCCAGAATGGTTTACAAACTTCTTCAACACCGGCGTGGTTAGTGTCGTTGCGCTTAATTCACTCACGGTTGTCTCGGCGTGCTTGAATCTCGTATTTAGTGAGGGGCTGGGGGAGAGCAAGGGGTTCTACCAGGCGGGTCTTGGGGCTGCAGTTGCGCATTATGCGTTTGTGCCGCTGGTGGGAAGGAGTGTGCGCGCATTGATTGGACTTGCTGCTACGCGGAGGGAGGGAGGGGATAAGGCGGTAGACTGGGTCAGGGAGTGGGTTGGGTATCATAGGATTCGGATGTGTACTGTTGATGCGCTTGCTCTGGGCTGTTTTTCATGGGGCGTTGTGCACGCTGTGTCACCGAAAGCATGAAGTAATGTGTTGAACTGCTAGGTTGGTTCAGATTTAGGGTGTGCCAGAATATAACTGTTGTTGCGCTTTTCTACATATCACTCATCATTAGCACTTGTACGTCACACTCCTCGACAGCCTCTGATATTCGGTCGAAATAGACACTGTTAGTCAAAAGAATCTTGGTCTGCGTCCCATTTCTGGCTGACAAGAAGACTGCCTCCACCGCAGTCGAGTTCGCAACTCCATCATTAGGAAGTAACATCTGAACTGTACCCACACATGAAGTAGCATGGTCACCGTTTTACGGCAAAGAACTTGTCGAGTGCCTTCTCCATGTCCTGCACACCGAGCACTGGGGTCAAGCTTCCTCTGATCCATTTCGGTAGCTTGCTCTGAATGCGCTCACCACTATATCTCTTGTCCAGCATCATGATAGCAGCGTAGTCGCCTTTGTGTCGAATCGCACGACCCACGCACTGATTGACGGCACGCATGCAGGCATTCTCGTAAAAATCCCTTGCTGCAGCCTTTCCGTTTCCTCCTCGTGCGTTCTCCTTTGACGTGATGTATTGCAGCTTGGCTTTCCACTCGGCTGAATGTGGGTTGGGAAAAGGCAAGCCAACGACAATAACACCACGACCCAGAGCATCACTGAAGTTGATACCTTCTGAAAGTGTCCCGCCGATAACGGCAAAAAGCAGTGCACCCCGCCCGTTGCCTGATGCGACAGCTGCACTGTACGAAGTCAAAACGGAGTCTACAGCTGCCTCTTTTGATTCATTGGATTTGCTACCAGACTGTTGATCACTCCGCTGCTCCAGAAAGATAGGCTTTTTTTGCGTGAGCTGCTCCCAAAATGTTGACTTCTGGTGCTGAGTGGAAGGACGCTTCCACAACGCAATGCAGGTGTCCAAGTAGGCGTAACTCGGGAAGAAGACGACTAGCCCGTCAGGAACGTGTCCAGCTATTCTTAGAATTGTATTTCCAAGATTGATGATCTTTGTATATAGTCAGCCAATGTTGGGATGAGATGACTCTGCAAAAAACATACAGTACTGTCTTTGTTGCGACTCTCAAATGTAAAATCGAACTCCAGGCCGTTGAAGGCCTTTGTAATCGGTGCTGCTAGTAGGTTGAATGGTGGTATGACATGGCCACATGACAATGTCTGTATCTTCTCGGAAGGAAGATATGGAAGAAGATGATGCTCGTAGTCGCTCATCTAGATCACATTAGTATTGAGAACATGTTTCGGTCACAGTAACCTACAGGTGACATTGTTCCACCAGCAAGTACTACAGCTCTTGCATCTTCTACAATGTCTTGGAAATGATATGTAGGATCCAGAAGCAGGTACCGCAAGCTTAGCTCGCCTCCATCTTCTTTCGAGTAGAAGAACCGGCCCTCCGCTGAAGGATTCATCAACGACAAAAGGAAAGTCTGTACATGCATGAGCACTGGCACGGTGTGTCGCGGAGTTTTGGTTGGCTCGTCTTTTCGATTTGAGCTTGACGGTTCCTGGCCATTCTCTTCTGTATACGCCGTGTAGCCATCGACTTTTCGCGCCAACTTGCTCTCTTGAAGGTATAAGTTGAGCTTGAAGATGTTTATTTGGTCGACGCCTTTACCAGACATGATGGAGCCCATGTCGGCCAAACCGTCGCTCGCTTTTGAAGTTGTACTTAGCGACTGCAGATACACGATGATTGAATCAAGAATGCGGATGATCTGCGCAACATACACACGATTCTTACCCTTCAGGCGATTTCTGAACCTTTGTAGATACACTGTAAGCTGAACTCGAGCTTGCTGCACTTGAGACAGGGTTACTGAAGCGGAATAGATCCCGGCTATAGCGTCCATTAAGTTATGCGCTTCATCGATGATGACAATGTGATCCTTCAGTGAAAGACCCAGCGCCTCACGAGCGGATCTTTGCAGAAGTAATGGATACGGTAAAGTAACAATCTGAGATGTTAGTGGATTCGATACCGTAATCTCCCCAGAGACACGTACCTCACAAAATTTGATGACTGGCCGAGAAGCGTAATAAGGGCAGACGCCCAACTGCTTACCAAGGGTTCCCAAGTCCTCGATATCCCTGATCTTCGCAAGCGCGTTGTCACGAAACTCGATCAACGACACTTCGCTATCCTTCGTGGGCATGGCAAAGCATCTGGAGTCGTTTGACGTAGCCTGCTGCAACTCGAGACACCGTTCGTTGATCGCTGTTGCATTGCCTAGTCGACTGACTTTAGGATTGATACAAAGGTTTTTTCTCGAACCAAGGGTCAGATGTTTCACATCCTCCATAGTTTCGTCAGTGCTGTTGCCATTGGGACCTTGGTCCATCGTTATAGCAGGAGGTAACTTGACCCTGGATAATTCGCTTGAAAACTGTGTCAATTGCGAATGTGTTCGCGAGCAGAAGAATATCTTTATCTCGTCTGGCATCTCTCCGTCTTCGGCCTTTGTCGCGCTGGAAGCATATCCTAGCGTGTCCATCAACGCTTGTGTCTCTGCAGAGAGACCGGAATTGCCAAATCCGCTATGTCTCGCATTGCCAGCGGTGTCTTGGTCAGACTCGTAGTCGTCCAACGCGAATTGTGTCTCGAGATCCCCATTATTAGCATCATCAGAGCCGACCTTTCGTCGTTTCTGAGTGTGGTTTGTTACTGCGGCGCGTTCTTTGGCGCGTTCCTCTTTGGCTTTAACCTTTGCTAGCCTTTCATTGAGCTCCTCCCGACGCCGAAAGGCTTCCTGCTTTCGTTGGTTGCGGGCATGCTCAAGCATCCAGGGTGGGTCATCATTATGTGCCGATTCGATCTGGAAGCCATCTTCAAAAGTGCGGCGTTTGTGTTCACGCAACCACGTCAGTGATCCGCAAATCAAACTCAAAGATTTGCCTGTTCCCGTCGGTGATTCAAAGATACCGACTTTACCATCCTCTAGACAATCATACACCGCACTCATAAACTGTTTCTGGATGCCATAAGGCTCGTACGGGTGATGGAAGTCCCGCGTCGTGTCGTTGACGCTCATGGCTTGTGGGCTGCGTTTTGTCGAGAACCGAAAGAAGATACTTGGACGCGTTTGCCAAGACAGACCAGACGCGCTAGCCACCCCACCTTCCTTCATCGAGCCTCCGACGATCATCACGCTCATCTGTAAGGATGTGTCAACAGTGTCTGCACATAACATTACATCAAGACACGATCTTGCAACATCCACCTCCGCGTTACTCCTTTGAGTATGCCAATACACATGAAGCAGGGGCAAAGTGTGGACCTGGAACAAGAACAAGAACAAGAACAAGAATAAGAACAAGAGGACAATGTTGGTGAGACAGAAGGAGTATTACCACTTCAAGAATTTCGACGACTCTGCGATTCTTCCGAAACCTCTATCATGCTTATATTTATTTCAGCCATGAACTTCTAATAGGACTTTTGTTTGCTAGCCGCGCCACAAGTTGTGCTGTACATCCTGGCGAGTAGTAGAGCAAACGAGATTATTATCATGTCAGCGGCATTTGCACCTACCTCCTGATTGAAGGTGCTTGGGTCGATCATCAACGAGGTGCGCTCTTCTCAGCTTCTCATAGCCGAGGCACCCGATATTTTGGTGTGCTCTGCTTCGTCAATCATTATGGATATGGCGTGCTGTCACACAAGACCACCGTCCACCAATCAACGCGTCGTCTATGGAACAGGTGTCACACCTTATCAACACGCCGTGACTGCGACATACAGCGATCCGATGATGGCAGTGTTTGCTGACAATTGATGCATTCCTTCGCCGCACGCTTTGTCAAAATGCATCACTCGGGAGCATCCAGGACTGCTGTGGCAGACGCTACGTGAACCACCATGGCTTCCAGCGAAACCGAGCCACTACTTGCTTCTTCCCATTCACAAACCGACAGTACGAACACATACATTAACAGCGACGATGGAAAATCAACGCAGCCGTCGCGTTCCATTGAAGACGACGTACTGCCGGAAACCTCGACCCTTGGGCGAACCATCACTTGGTCCAGTGCATACATCCTCGTCATATCACGCGTCATAGGCAGCGGTATCTTTGCAACACCCGGTGTAATCGTGAAGGCTGTGGGAAGTGTCGGACTCAGCCTCTCACTGTGGGTACTCGGGGCAGTCATCGCGGCCTGCGGGCTTGCCGTTGCCCTCGAATACGGGTGCATGCTACCCCGATCTGGAGGCGACAAAGTATACCTGGAGTTCACGTATCGAAAGCCTCGCTACCTGGCTAGCACACTCATGGCCATCCAGGCGGTCTTACTTGGCTTTACAGCCAGCAACTGCATCATATTCGCGCAGTATACATTATACGCGTTCGACATCGAGGCGACTGATTTCTTGCGTAAAAGCCTGGCTGTGGGACTGCTCACTGCAATCACCATCGTACACGGATGCTTCCGAAAGACAGGCATTGCAATCCAAAACTTCCTGGGCTGGATTAAAGTTGGCTTAGTTGTATTCATGGTCTTTTCAGGATTGTTTGTTGTCATCTTCAAACCACAAGGCCTGGACGGGCGACGAAGCCACTTTCCCACAGGATCAGATGTATGGAAAGACACTGAGTGGAGTTGGGGCACAATCTCCACATCTCTCTTCAAAGTGTTCTATTCTTATGCTGGACTCAACAACGTCAGCAATGTTCTCAATGAAGTCCGCAACCCTGTTCGAACACTCAAGTCGGTTTCTATCACTGCTCTTGTTACTGCATGTGTATTGTATTCTTTGGTCAACATTGCATACTTCATCGTTATCCCTTTGGACGAGATCAAAGCAAGCAAGGAGCTTATTGCAGCATTGTTCTTCGAGAAATTGTTCGGCCCCACGATAGGCAAGGTCATACTACCACTCGCGGTTGCTCTGTCGGGAGTTGGCAACGTCATGGTTGTTACTTTCGCACTGGTAGGGTGCTTTATATCTTTTGATTTACACATGACTGACATCTGCTAGGCCCGACTGAATCAAGAAATTGCGAGACAAGGGTTTCTACCATTTCCAGAAATCCTTGCTTCATCAAAGCCATTCAATGCTCCTCTCGGTGGTCTGATCGTTCACTACATACCATCTTTATTAGTCATTGCACTTCCGCCTTCCGGTGAAGTGTACTCTTTCATTCTCGAAGTAGAAGGCTATCCGGGTCAAATTTTTGCATTGGCAACTTCCGCAGGCCTACTTTGGCTTCGCTACTCAAGACCCGACCTGAAGCGACCCTTTAGGGCGTGGAACATAGCCATAGTGTTGCGCATTGCTTTATGCCTTGTACTCCTCGCGGCTCCGTTCTTTCCACCCGAGCATAGAAAGAACACTGGTATCTGGTACGCGACTTATGCTGTTGTCGGTACCAGCGTGTGAGTAGTCTCTTGCAGACGGCTGGATGGATAGAAACTAACTCTCCACACAGGATCCTTTTTGGCTTCTTGTACTGGTATATGTGGCTTAAACTCATTCCGATATTGGGAGGCTATCGGGTCGAGGAAAAGACTAGTGTGTTGGACGATGGTACAACCATCACACAACTCATCCATGTCGCCATGTAAATTAGTTCTCGGGAGGCAGTTGGTCCATGGTGTAAACTTGCACATTATCGTTTTCAGAACTTGCACAACTTCCTAGATACGGTTGCGCAAGAATGCAGGTATCACGTCTTTGAATCGTTCCACCGAACTTGCGGTGTTTGTCAGCTTCAAGGTTCCCGTCAGATTAAACGGCAACGTCAGAATGCAACAACTGAAACGGACCTTGCATTCGTTCCTCGGTATCGCATTTCAAATCCGATCACTCGGTCGTCTGATTATATGACGTGCTTGCGGGGCAGTCTCAAGCTGACATATCGGCTGTCTTACATTGTACTAATCAGTAGGTATAAGACGTCGATGGCATCGACACAACTAAGAACCATCACACTCTGATACAGAAAATCCAACATGGCTACCGCCGCAGTCTCAACACCAACACCAGCCCCTAGTTATACCCCGCAGACTTTCCTATCCGCGAAAGAAACAAAGCCAAGTGGCCCACAGGATGTACATACAGCTCTGAACTACCACAAGCCAAACGAAGACGGCTCGCCGCCTCACCCTACCTACGTCGATCGTCCAGAAACTTATGATCGTCCCTTCGAGTCTCATCCTGTAGTGGTCAAGGATGTGCGGGGTCGTGAAAGCGAATACTCCCTCGACTCGAATGGGTTCCAATTCTACAAACACCCGAGTGTTGAGAAAGACTTCGTCAACGACGAGCAAATCAAGGATCAGTACTACAAAGAAATTGAACAGCTTTTGAAAGACGCGTATGTAGACAGAAGTGCCCCTCTTATCTCAGGCAAGTAAGTACTTACTCATGATAGCACGGGTGCAACACGCATCCACATCTTCGACCACACCATCCGTCGCCAGCAGCCAGGTGACGCGTCGACTAGCCGTCAGCTCCGTGGACCTGTACAGCGAGTTCATATTGACCAGTCTTACGATGCTGCACTCTCGCGCGTGCCCTTTCATCTACCTGATGACGCAGACAAGCTCCTTCAGTCCCGAGTGCAGATCATCAACGTATGGCGACCTATCAAGACCGTTCAGCGTGATCCTCTTGCAGTTGCCGAAGCTAGCAGCGTCTCGGATGATTCTTTGGTCGTCACTGAATTGATCTATCCGACTCGAAGGGGAGAGACGTATGCAGTGAAGCACGATCCTGCTCATCAGTAAGTTCTCACTGAATAGTGCTACCAGATACAACGACTAAAGCATTGTGTTAGGTGGTTCTACAAGTCAAATCTTACCCCAGAGGAGGTCATTCTCATCAAGTGTTTCGACTCCAAGAAAGATGGACGCGCGAGGCGCGTGCCGCACACTGCGTTCCATGTCCCCGGCACGGAAGAGAAAGAGGGCAGGGAGAGTATTGAAGTGCGTGCTTTGGTGTTCCATGAACATGAGAGCCTGGAGTAAACGCACTCCGTTTCTCTGCATCGTAAAGTGATGAAAGTAATGAAATGCATTCTCTAAATCCCTGATCAGACCTAAGTGCCGACAGTGAGAACGCTACATGTGCAAAGACTCTCATCAAATTCGAGACTTCTGCGGATTTGATGTTCGCAACACTAGGGGCTGCTTCTGTGATCGTTGACTTCAAAGTCGACTCGACTCGTCTAGGTCTCGGAAATAACAGGATGCGCATCAGTCTGTCGTCCCTAGTCGAAAGGCCCGCAAGTGTACACCAAACACTGTATTTCGATGGGGTCTGGATTTACAACCTGGCTTTCCCATTCCTCGATATCGGATACTGAGAGTGAACGAGAAGTCCGGGATGTCATTACTTGGGGAGGCTTCTACCAGACCCAGGCTGATTGATTGATCGCAGTGTAATCAAAGCCCGTGAAATTCAACACCATGACTGTTGTGGCATGCGTCGCAAGAGCTTGGATGAATCTTGACCATTGGTCTTTCAGGGTACCGTACTGTCGTTCAAGTGGCAGTGTCTGGGAGCCAGGTATTTCGGCTCTCAGCTACAGACGCTCAGCCTCATCGACATGAGTACCCCATTTCCACTCAACTGCATAGACGCGTGTATGCAGGTGCACATGTAGCCGACTTATTGCACCTGTGCATGCTTATCATGGATTTATTTGGCGAAAGCTGTGAAGGGCAGTGGTCAAAACGACCGTGCATGTTCAGGGCTCAAAGAACCACTTCGTGGTCTCTTCTTCTTTCCTAGAAAGACTTTCGATCTCGTCCAACAGACCTGCAAGTTCTGCGCCATCTTTCTGTCTTCTCAGCCAGATACGAATTGCCTGACCTTCTATTTTTGCTCTTCGGCTCATCCACCACAAGTTACCGGTTGTCAGTAGACTGTACCACCATCCCATGATGAAGACGGCTTTCATATCTTTCATCTCCAACAGCTCGAGGAATTCCGGTGTAATGACTGCCATGACGTAGAGGAACTTCATTGCGTTTTCCTGCGTCAGCTTGATAGCTGGACATTTTGACAAGGCGAGGATTGGATGATAGTAGACGCTTTTGGGTTCGCTCAGGAGACTTGTCATTCCGAATATCTCCCAGACGCGAGAACTGATATGCGGCTCCATATTGAGACTGGTGTCGACAGCTGCCCACTCTGGTACGGAAACACAGCTATTGTCTTTGACGATGCTAGAGAAAATGCTATCTGACCTCGAAGGTTGAGCAAGTCGCCAGAGGTGTTTCTTGCCCTCGCCAATCCTTAGCCATGAAAGGTCGTCGGATTCTACCGGTTTCAGAGGCCATACATCGTATGGGTTGGTAGAGCCAATTGACCAAAAGGACGCTGCGCCTAAGAACACTCCAGTGGCCCAGATAGCGTCGCGATATGACGGTGGGATCGGCTGCGAAAGGATGCTATTGAAAAGTTTTGAAGCCGTGTTCCAATGTTCGAGTGCGGTCTGACTACTAGCTGTTTTAGTGTTGCCTGCTGTCGGGTCCGCAAGATGCGCATCATGCATCATAGTCACGCTGAGTAGCATATGCATCAGAAAGGAGTGCTGAGGCAGTCTTAGCAGTATCGGTAGCCATAGATTAACCCGAACGTACCTTGCACGCGAGGTGGCATACAAGATCGCGATACACGCGAGCCATCTGAATGTTTCCTATGGTCAATGCGGTTCTATTTCGGAACCTCAACAGGACTTGTAGTTGGTTGTGACTAAAATGCCAGGATTTGTTCGTCCAGCCGAGATCCGGCGTGTTGCATTGGAGCGCTTCGTCAATGATAGTGGTCAGGGTTGGACTGACGGTCATGGTGAGAAGCGGTGAAGTCCATGGTTCGTTTCTGTCATCTCGACTCTGTTCGGACAATTCGATATTGGAACTCGGTGGCTTGTAAAAAGCGGTCGGCTCTAATTGCACCTGAAAAGACCCTTGCGCATCAAGATCCAAGAAGCTTGTTCGTTCAGAATAGTCGCAAGCAACGCTATAGAGCATGCACTTTCTGCAGGATGGTTGAGTCTCATCGCACTATGCGGTCAGCCCATCAGGTTTCTATCCACTTTTTGCGACCTCCACTTACTTTGACCCTCCGCAACTTACAGTTACCACATCCTTTCTTCGACTTCGCGTGAGTGCGTCGTTTCCGAACACCTTCGGTCCGGGGTCTCGCTGCAACGGTAGGCATGGTCGGAGGCCGTCACAGGGCCAATTTAAAGATCTAACTTGCTTTCGTATACAAAGCACAGATGTGCTGCCTCGCGCACTCTTGTATCGGTGGTCTAGAGCTAAGGCCTCCCAATCAGTGACAAGGGCGGTGCTAGTCCCGCGCTAAATGGCGCTCTAACCTCCGTTCGTATTGCAGCATTCAGCAATATGATTGGTCAATACCACGTCACCGCACGAGCACAAGCTGTGGTCCCACGCCAGAAGACGCCTTGCTTGCTCGGAAATGTTGCTGTGAACGTGGGGATCCCGCTCAATTGGCTAACAGCCAACCCACTTTTCCAAACGAAAGATATCGGAGTGAAGGCACTTTTAAGATACGATCACGGTTTTTGAAAGTCAAGGTAAGTTCCAGAGTTCAAGGTTGACTAGGTACGCTATCTATTTATCTATCACCGGCTACCACGGCGACTTGTTGTTTGAATCTGTGCAATCACCGACCCATTTAGAGGCCAGTTTTGGTGCCTTTAACAACATCCGTAACATATGTGTCAAGAGTGCCAACCTGGATTTCACCGGCATCGAGAGGCACATCAACAGCTCCGACAACAGGCAAGGTCTGCTTAACATCGCGGCGGCCAAGATCAGGCAGGTCTTTGACAGTGGTGTTCTTGACGACATCTAGAACAGGCTCGTCCTTGAGAGCAATGCCCTCAATGACCTTGTTGATATCCTTATCGACAGTGCCGACCTGAATCTTGCCGGCATCGAGAGGTACATTAACACCTCCGACGACAGGGAGGCTCTGCTCAATCTCGCGAGTGACCTTGGGAAGACTCTCGACCTTGATGCCCTTAACGAGGCCATCCACATACTTGTCGACAGTGCCGACCTGAATTTTGCCAGCATCGAGGGGAACATCAGCGCCGCCAACAACAGGGAGGGACTGGCTGATGTCGCGAGATGCGAGGTCGGTCTGGGGAATAGCTGGAACCACAGGAACGCTGACTGCAGGGACAGTGGGTACTGCGACAGTAGCAAGGTCGACCTCGACAAGATCATCGACATCAACGTTGATAGGCGCGTTGATAAGCGCGTTGATAGGCGCGTTGATAGGCGCGTTGATGATGTGATCAGCAGCCTTTTTGATAAGGCCGGTCTTGACAGGAAGAGTGCTGACAGGAAGAGGAAGGATTACTTCTGGATCGACATCGCCGATGAGAGTGGCATCCTTGAGAACACCATCAACGATCGGCGCGTCGGCACGCTTGACAGGGAGGTTGACGTTGGAGATCGGTGCCTTGGGAAGGGTAGGGAGTGAGACAAGGTTGGGAATTTTGACGCTCTCGACGACACCATTCACAACGGGAAGGTCAGCACGTCTGACAGGGAGGTTGACGACGGGCAACTCCATGTTATCGGACGTTTCTTTCGGCATAGCAGGGACGCCAGCAGGAAGTCCGGATGGGAGCGTAGCAACGAACTCGGTGGGGACTTTGCCAGGAAGAGTTTCCACTTCGGTAGGCAGCACACCCAGACTGGGAAGATTGATTGGAAGCTTGGGGAGGTCGACAGGGGCGCCAGAGACGGCAATGGAGAGCAAAGAGCTCGAGATGATAGTAGAAATCCTCATTATGGGTATATGGACAGTAGAGTAATGAGTGTGGTTGAAATGAGTGACTGGAGTTGTAGTAGATGCCGATGGTCTTCTCTCGTGGTAAGCAAGCTGTCTTTATACCAAATAGTCCTCCTATTGCAGCCCCTAATCTCGACCATCTCTTCAAGTTGCCGTCTTCATCACGGCAAGTCCCAAGGAATGCGAACGATCCGCGAGATAAAGTTACCATGTAATTTGTCGATGTGGTGATGATCTGCTAGAATTGCTTTTGTACTGGGTTGATCTACAAGATCTGCCCACTAGAAGTCGAAAGCCTAATTGTTAGCCATACTTGCGGCTCAAGCCTGACTTGGCCGAAGTCGACACTAGGATGAATAAATGGTGACGACGTTACTTATTAAGGTAAGGGCGCTTGGCAAAAGCCCTGGTTGTGAAGGGCTATGGGGGGATCGACAGGGGTGCGGCTCATTCCGAAATGGGCGTGTGGGCGACTCCATAGCATAACTACTACAGGAGAACCATCACAGGAACTTCCCATGACCATTAGTTCCAGCCCATTCCGCACGATCAGTGAAGTTCAATAATAAGGGATCAACATGATATGAGCCCTTGACTCAGATAGCGCGGACCGCTGGGAGATTCTTGACCACTGTCTTAAGCAGCTGAGTCGTAAAATATCGCCGAATCCATTGCATGCTTCGCAAGTATCTTGGACGTGCCTAGTTGCTATGTGCCAGACAGTATGGAGGGGTGCTGGGATTAACTAGAGATCAATGCGTATGGGTAGTGATTATACTGCACTATTGTCAACAACCGAAACAGTATTCACCAAAGAAATGAGAACCATCCAATACTCGACTTGCAGCGACTCGTGCAGACTTGATGAGGATCATCCCCAATTGAGCCGTAGTTATGAGCTGAGCTACGCGTAAGACGACATTCGTAAAGTCCAACCTCCCAAAGTGTGTGGACGTGGCTTGTGGATAATATCTTTCGTAGGCGATGCACTAAAACATGTGCTTCGAATGATGCTTCAACGACTAGACAGGCCCACGGCTGCAGTTGATGTTGGTGAAGGAGGCGGGGCTGTAACAGGGCCCGGGTATGGATCAACTGTTATTCCAGGGCGGAGAAAGCTATGCCTAATCCAGCGTTAGCGCTTCGAAAAGTTTAGAAGTGATGAGCCTGCAATGCGTGCAGATCAAATACTTCTAACCTACAGAAATCTTTCGTGCAATTCTCGCAGAAATGGCGAACAAGCGCAAACTCAACGAACACGACGTTCCTGAGGAGACGTCTCCTCAACCCGCAAAGCGCAGAGCCAGCGATGCCTCCGAGCTCGACGAGACTACCACCGTTGTCACGAAGACCACCGCGCCCGCTGCGTCTTTCGCCGAATTCGAACTGGAGCCACGGCTTTTGAGGGGTATTAGGGATCAGAAATGGAGCTCGCCGACCGCTGTGCAGTCGAAAGCCATTCCTCTTGCCCTGCAGGGTCGCGATATCCTTGCTCGTAGTGGCACAGGAACTGGAAAGACAGCTGCCTACCTGCTTCCGGTCCTACACAATGCATTGAGACGAAAGGGCAAGACATCCCTGATTCTCGTCCCTACCAAGGAATTGGCGCTGCAAATTACCAAGGTAGCCAAAGCGTTGTCGACACACTGCGGGCAGGAGATCCGGATACAGAATATAGCTGGCAAGGAGTCAGAGGTCGTAACGAAGGCGAAGCTGGCAGACAACCCAGACATTGTCATTGCGACACCTGCACGCGCGAGCGCAAACATCAACAACGGTGCACTATCTGTTGCTGAGCTGGCGCACCTCGTCGTCGATGAGGGCGACCTAGTCATGGGCTACGGATTCAAAGAAGATCTCGATCAGATTGCGCAGAACATTCCCAAAGGCGTTCAGATCTTCCTCATGTCGGCCACCCTGAACACGGAAGTCGAGTCTTTAGGCAGCCTGCTGTGTACCGACCCAGTCGTGCTGAAGCTCGACGACCTGAACAAGGACGCGGAAAGAGTGAAGCAATACGTCATCAAGTGCGCAGAGGAGGAGAAGTTCCTATTGATTTATGCCATGTTCAAGCTCAAGCTGATCAAAGGCAAGACGATTGTCTTCGTTGGCGACACAGACCGCTCTTATCGTGTGAAGCTATTCCTTGAGCAGTTCGGCATCAAGTCTTGCGTCTTGAACTCCGAATTGCCGCTGGCATCGCGATTGCATATCGTCGAGGAGTTCAACAAGAACATCTACAACATTCTCATTGCATCAGACGAGACCGAGATTATGGGATCAAGAGAGAAGGATGGGGATGCCTCGAGGCCAAAGAAGAAATCAAAGACAGAGAAAAAGGCCGCCGACACCGATTCTGGCGTTTCACGAGGTATCGATTTTTTGAACGTATCCTGCGTTCTCAACTTCGACTTTCCCTCATCGTACAAGTCGTACTTCCACCGAATCGGTCGAACAGCGCGCGCTGGCAAGTCTGGAACAGCGATCTCGTTCATCATACCCAAGGACAAGTACCGCAAGCACAAGCCGACGTCATTTGCAGCCTGCGAGAACGACGAGGAGGTGCTGGAGAAGGTGGAGAAGCACCAAAAGGATGGGCAAAAGCTAGAGAACTACAACTTCGATATGAAGCGCCTCGAGCCCTTCAGATACCGTTTTGGCGACGCCTTGCGATCGGTCACAAAAATCGCTATTCGCGAAGCACGAATCAAGGAGATCAGGATGGAGCTGTCAAAATCGCAAAAGCTCTCCCGCTACGTATGTGCAACCAAATAGAACCAACTCGAACGCCACTAACAGTCAACAGTTTGAAGAGAATCCTGAAGCGCTCGCGCACCTTCGCCACGACCAGACGCTTAACCATCCCGCACGCATACAACCTCACCTCAAACATATACCAGATTACCTGCTGCCAGGTGGGAAGAAACCAGAAGATGTTGGCTTTGTGGGGTTGAACATGCCGAAGCCAGGAGGCAGGAAGTATGTCAAGGGCCGAGGAAGGAAGGTTGTTCGCGGCAGGAACGGTAAGGTGGATCCGTTGAAGACATTCAACGCAAGAGGGAAGGGCAAAAAGTAAGCGTACTACGTATATAAATCTGGCGGCAACCAGTAAAATGAATACCCCGTCTTCTTGAAACACCATACGTTGGTTGACATGAAGCTGTCTTTACACAACGTGACTTCGTTCAACGACCTGAAAGTATTGTAGTCTGTGATCGCTTTGTTGGATGCTGCGGTTCTGCCCCAGATAATTGAAATAATTCGCCCCGTGAAGAAAGGCATGATTGAACACTCATGCTGCCAAATAGTAGAGGGAGCAAGTACCCTCAGAGTGACCACCGCAGCTACTGCCACGCTTGTGTTGACCTGGGCGCTGCGCACTTCAGATTCATGCTTACTATCATCAACTTCTCCTACAACGCCTTGAGCATCCAAGAAGACGTCTTGTATTCTAGAAGGAGCCAGCTTCTAAGGTCTTCTAAATGTGGGATCGGGTGGATGGCCTCGTACCTAGGCACATCTGACCAGCCACTTGACACTTTTGTAAAATGCATACCATGTTGATCATAGCTAATAAACTGCAGCGCTACTATCAGTCAATTCTGTTCAATTGCATACACTCCAAGAAGAATGCGCCCTCTCACGTTGCAGAGAGCGGATTGAAGATGTGAGCCAAGCCTACTACGCAACAACATTGCTGGGAAACAATGGAAAAAGCTCTTGTAGAATGTTTTTGCCTGCAATATAGGAAATGATTACCTAAGATCCAGCTTTAACCATTATTATGGCTACAAGTCTAATGTTGGACTTGGCCAAACCAACGTTCTTATCGTATTGGTGATCACCTCCGTGGATGGAGGGTGCAGTCTCCTCAAGTCGCCGGCTTCGTTGTCCGCTTTACTCCGATACTGCCATCGTTAACATCACAGCGAAGAAAAGGTCTACCCGATGCTTGCGAGGGCGATTAGAAACCAGGTCAATGTTGCTACACTTGACCGCTTCAGACACGGAGGATCTTGTTCCGCGACCCATCGCGACTGCCGGAGATCAAGCGCCCCACAACGCCATTCGACGCGGACCTGCCACAACCTTAAATACCCCACACAACATCTGTCGCTTGACCATAATGAGCAATGATGTCAGCTCATGCCGGCCTCCGAAGAATGATCCGAGTGCAACTGCGAAGATCCACAGGCGTATTTAAGCTTTGCTATGGCGCTGCAGCTTACTTGGCCAAGCCTCGTCGATTGACCTGCACCAGACTTCCCTCTCTATGCCAAACCTCACTTTCGACGTGAAAGAAACATGAAGACAGCAACGCTGCAATTGCTCCTGGCCTCGTTGGCTATAGGGTCTGTGGTATCGCGAGAAGACCAGAAGCACCATGGCATCGGCAAGAATGATTTCATCAAGGTTGACGGCTTGAGACTGTACGATTCAAAGGGTGCACTACACTACCTTACAGGTGAGTCAGTCTACAGAGGGGTGCAGCTTCTGGCTGTTAGCTCACGGGTAACCGTTGAGAGTTTGGCCAATCCACAACAGCTGCGACACTCTCCTCGAGCTTCTGACTTGCTGAATGCATGCCGCGTCAGCACACTGTATCCGCCCGACGCTGCACCCCTCTATACTGAGTCAAGGATACACACTAATATACAACAGGGATGAACTACTGGGCATGTATGAACCTCGCTGCCGATGACCAGTCTGGTGGCAACTATTCGCGTCTGGTTACGGAACTTGACCAGATGGCGGCAAAGGGGATCAATCATCTGCGTATTATGGCTGGCTCCGAGGGTGCACCGACACCACAACCGTTCAGGATGAACCCTCCTCTAATGACTGCCCCTGGTCGTTATAACGACGCCATTTTCGAGGGCTTGGACATCTGTCTTGCAGAGATGTCGAAGCGGGGAATGCGTGCAACGATGACCTTGAATAATGAATGGCACTGGAGTGGGGGGTTTTCTCAATACGTATCCTGGGCAAACAACAATACTCGAATTCCCTATCCCGAGTCGTGGAACCTTACAGCACCACCACAGAAGCGCAGACCCGATTCAGGCTGGGGCAACTACACTAAACAAGGCGTGGACGCAGCACCATATAGTGAGTTCACGCGCTTCGCAAATCTGATCTACAACAACACTCAAGCCGAGGCTTGGTACAAGGACCACATCAGGACAGTCATGACCAGACGAAACTCTGTGACAGGCCGTTTGTACGCTGAGGACCCTACCATAATGACGTGGCAGCCTGCGAACGAGCCGCAGGCTGCCAACGAGCTTGGCTATGTCGGTATCAATCTAGTGCCCAACCCGGATGACTTGCTCTTCCCATGGGTGGATCGCATCACGAGTTATATTCGTTCCCTGGCTCCCAAACAGCTGATCAGTCTTGGATTTGAGGGCAAACAGGGAGAATTCTACTTCAAACGTGCCCAAAACTTTTCGACGATCGATTATGCAACCACGCACTGCTGGGTCCAAAACTGGGGCATTTATGACATGTACAACTCGAGCGAAGCAAATCTCAAGGCGGCTCAGGACTTCGCGGTGACATTCATGCGAAATTCCAGTAGATGGGCTGCTGATATTGGGAAGCCGGTCTTTCTTGAGGAGTTTGGCATGGCTCGTGACAACTGGGAAAACGTGGGAAAGGAGTACCCGTACCTCAGCAGTGCATCCACTACCCACAAAGATGCGTACTTTCAGACTATCATCGGTGCAGTCATGGATGAGTTCCGCAACGGCGGTGCGTACATTGGTACGTCGCCATGGGCGTATGGAGGTATCTACCGTCCTGAAACGCAGCATATCAATGAATTCGGCATGGTTTGGGCTGGAGATCCGCCTCACGAGGCGCCCGGGTGGTACGATCTCTACGACACTGATCAAGCAATGAATATCGTTGCCGCGCAGGAAAAGACCATCACGGATTGGATTGAGAGGCATGGAAAGAATTGCACGTCCTACTGAGCGAGAGCGCTGGACCTTCAGTCAGAAGACTATGACAATGATAAAGGTAGCCGACATGAACTGTTGGGTCGCAGATTTCTGAAAACGCCACGTTACGTGGGGTGAATGATCAGTTCTATTTTAGTCAAAGTACGTCACATCTCTCCAGTACCCAAATCATTAGTTCTATGTCGCATGCTTGTTCATTCATTTCGTGAATAGATTTTACTATTATTCATAGGTTCATTATCTCCGAACGTCCCAGTAATGCGAATACAAACACATGCCAACACCGCGCTATGCAAATTCCAAGTAGTAATCATGCCTCCGCGTCAGGCCGCGGCCCTCAGCCTTGAGCCTTCAATGCTGCGCGCATTTCTGCACCTTTGAATATGATCAACAGAACCCCGGGAATGCAGAGAAGATCCATTGCACCAAAGATACTGAAGGTCCATCCAACACCGGCTTTGTCGAGTAGACCGTCCATCACAACAGCGGCAATGGCTGCAGCGATGTTACGAAGGAGGCCGCCCAACGCCACCAAACTGGCAGTCTGGGCTGGGTCGCATTCTGTTTGGAAGGAAGTGCTGGTGACAAAGACGATCGAAGTTCCGATAGACGAAAGCGCCGACCCAATGAGTCCAGCGGCTGGGGTTATACGACTCTGGCAGGACCATCCATACATGAATTTACCGGCAGCTGCGATTGAAAAGCCGACTAGCTGATAGGCGATGCGTTTCTCTGGTGCAAACTTGCCGTCCGCACTCTTAGCGATAGCTCGTCGGCGCAACCAGTCACTACCACGACCGACAATAATTGAAGCGATGAACATAGATATACCTGGCGCAAGGTATGCGTAACTGACCTGGGCAGTCGACCAATTGTATGTCCCTTTCAGAACACTTGGGAACGAGATGTACATTCCGTACAGTCCAGCGAACTGGAAAGCACCGTTGAAAGAGACAATGAGATGTGGAGGGTATTTCAGTAGTCGCATGAATTTGCGGAACGACGGACGCGGAACCTTGGGGCCTTTGGTATCCGTAATTGGCTGTGTACGAAGCTTGGGTATCGAGAACCAGGGCTGTTGAGCAAGAGCAGCGCCATTGCCGACGAGAGACCGCAGCGTTTCAGGCATGCAAAACATGATTGCGCAGTATACCGGAAAACAAGTCAAGGCTAAGAACCCAAAGACCCATCTCCAACGCGAAACGTCCGCGAAACCACCGCCGATAAGAGGTCCCAGAACAGGACCCAGCTGAGGTCCCATGAGAAACCATGCCAGAGAGGAAGCGCGATTCGCAGGTTCTGTGATGTCTGCCACCGTACCCGCTCCAACGGAAAAGACGATACAGGAGCCGAACGCTTGGAAGATTCGAAGGATGAACAGAAGTGCGATGTGTGCTGGGAGCGTCGCTAGCAGAACATTCGCGACGAGGAAACTTCCGAGACCGACCATGTAGACAAGCTTACGGCCTCCGATATCAGAGGCTACTGCACCAAAGAGTGGCTTGAATCCGTCAGTGAACGTTACTCTGTCATGGGAATGGTTACATACCGCGATGGCGAATACAACCATATAAACCGATACTGTAGCGTTGATTGCTGTAGCTGAAACTTTGAAGATTTCCTCAAAAAGCACAAGAGAAGGGAGGTACACAGCGCCGGTCAAGGGGCCGAAAAAGCCAGCTGCTGTTACGGCACCCAGCATGAATCGTCGGCGATTGAGGGAGAACGCCGAGTATGGTGGGGGTTGAGGAGTGAGTGGAACATTATCTCCTTGCGCCAGTGGCTCCTCGGCGGTGTCAGAAGAGGAGAACTCGCTGTCAATGCTGTCTCGACATCTATCGTAATGGTGATCTTTCTCGAACTCGATCGGAGAGCGCATGTTGAAGAATAATGGCCAAGCTACGACAGGAAATCTTGGACGGAAGTAGGATGTGATATGTAGGTATGACCGCTTATGCACTGCCTTATGCTCGGGGTGTCCCACAGAGATGCGCAGCACGCTCAAGATAGACCTTGTCAGCCACTGGCTCTTACTGGCTCACAGTAGTGACATCCATCCTTGTACGCTAACCATCATCTGGATTACGCTCAGCCGCAAGCAAGCTCAAGACTCTTTGTGCGTTGCCAAGCCACGTGCCCTGGGTACTCCAGCCAGCCCTGGCTCCACCGCTCCGCCGGGCCCTCCGTCCTCGCTCATCAACTCGGCGTCCGCGATAGGAGCGATACGTCTCGTAGTTGCTTCACATCATCGGTGCTGGCTGTGCATGCAAGAGTAAGCATAAGGCCCGTCACATAGAACTAGTAGTAGTCCATGCATAAAATGTGGTCTTTCGCGGTACAGAACATCGTTTCATTGTGCTGTTGTGAACGAAGGGATGTTGTCCCGCCTGACCAGATCGACGTAGGGATCCCGCAAAGCACATCACACAGCCGCGATACAATACTGTCGGCTGCAAAACGGGTGTATTGTCGCTAGCTCCCGGCTCACGCTGGGTTTACCGACAGAGGCTGAACGCCTTAGCTTGGGCTGACCCCAGGTGAGCTGGACCCACCAACTGCGCCCCGAACCCACCTGCGAAGTAACAACACTGGACAGTACGCCGTGACACGTTTTCGCTGCAAGGAGTGAACGTTGCAAGCAGGCCTTCGATCCTCTGCCGAAAAAATAGCAATTGGATGGTGATGCATTACTGATCCTGACACACCGAGTACTCACTGTTGCACCTTTGGTGGTCCAAACCTGGCACGGCTTGATCACACTTCAATCTAGAATACCAAAGTTTGGACTAGAGCACCTCAACGCCGCAAAAACCAACCTTTACCGTGTTGCCAACCCTCGAACCGACCTGCATCATTCAGCATCGTTTGCATAGCGCAGATATGGGCCGTCGGCGACATTGACTTCAATTTCCGCGCGAAGGCCGAAGCCGTGCTGTGCCGCATTGAATCCTGATGGTCTATTTCTTCGTCACAGACTCAGAGGCACGGCCAGACATAAGCTTATTGTGAGATGCTTTGCAATGCGACAATCTTGCTGCACATCTGATTCGAAATCGACTACGCGCCTGTGCCAATCAAGTACGTCTACGATGCATCCCATTTCCAAAGTACGCATCTCATCGGGCATCTTCCTCAGCTTGTTGGGTATCAGGTCCACAGCACAGTCTGGCTCAAAGACACAATCTGGCTCGCTACAGTAGTGCCCCACGTCCATGGATGGGCGTAGGTGTGGAGATTCGCCCCCAACATCACGCCGCAAAGATGCAGCAAGCTGTTTCCCGCGTCCAATTGTAACTCTCATGTAAGATTGAATGTTTTAGATCCTACAATGATTGTTTGGCTGATAGTCTCTGAAGTTGAAAATGGATGTCAGCTCAAAGTGGGTCTTGAAGCTCTACCTAACCGCGCCGCAGTGCATGGGCCACAATAATGGAGGATTGCTGACGTGTGCGAGCTTCAAGATCGTGAAACTGTTGTGCTCGAAATACATCGATTATAAGGCCTCCGATAGGCATAATTTAGTGCTTCCTGCGAGGCAGATTGCACCAGGTATCGCAGGTTTTTCGAATGCATTCGTGAGCTCTGTAGCAGCACCTCGCGACATCATGCCATATCGGTTGCAAGACAACACCATTTGGGTAGCTGGAGACGTGCCGCATTCAATAGTCCTAAACTACGCTACCAAACTACTGCTGTGTGCTCCACACAGTCTAGGTTTTTACGATCGGAACCGAAACGCCAACGCTATGCTCAGTGCACTGATACCCACCAGAAACATCAAACAGATCTCTTCAAGTCTACTGATATTTCTATAGCGACTGAAACTTGATCTTCAGCCCCCGGGGATAGAGCGGTCCCGCCTAAATCAATTAGCTTGCTGTATCTCGCCGGTAGTTATCTCGACTTACTGGAGTCATGCGTCCGTCCCAACTCTCGTCTACTATCCACTTGCATCCCCTTATCAGTTCGAGAAGAGTGATTCGAAGCTGCTGCATAGCAAACTTCTGCCCTAAACATGCCCGCCGCCCTCCGTGGAAGCTGATGAAAGCACCTTTGGAGTTGGCTTTCCGGTATAGGTGATTGATTTCCTCCATGTTTCGACCCCAACGCCCAGGCTTGAAGTCGTCTGAGTCAGTGCCCCAGAATTCAACGTCGCGGTTTGTTGAATATGCGTTATATCCCATAAACACCCCTTTAGGGATTACAATCTGGCCACCCATCATAACAGGTTCTGCGGTGCGACGGTTTATCAATTGCGATATCGGAGGGAACATGCGGAGGCCTTCGTAGAGAATAGCAGTCAACAGTGGCAGATCGTGAATGTCGTTATAGGATGGTTCGTAGTCCACAGGCGCGTCGGCAGGATAGAGTGTCTGGATTTCCTTGCGAACTTCTTCTTGGATCTCTCGATGAGCCCCAAGAAGATACATAAGAGACATCAGTGCAATCTGTGGATTTTCATGACCTGCCAGAAAGGTGCTGACCATGTTGTCTTCGAGATCCTTGTCGGATAGCTTCCCTTCGTCATGGGCTCCAATAAGCCTGCATGCAACATTCTTCTGGTCATTCGAATTGCAGACGTGGTTATGGCCTTTGGTAATCGAGGTTCGTAGCGTGCTTCGGAAGTTCCTGTTGAGCGCGCGGCCCAGTTGCCTCATCTTCAACGGCAGATGATCGAGGAAAGGAAAATTCAGGAAGATCGGGTTGAAAATTATGGGCTTGATGTTCATCTGAATCGTGTGTAGTGGGGCGTCCGAACGCTGCATCGTTTCGAAGCTTGATGCGTAAAGTACGTCTGAGAGATTGGCAAGTGCGACTCGGTGGCAAGGCACATAGATGGGAATACCCGCACCGTTGGCTTGTTTCGAGTTATTCAAGAACATGTCTTTCAGAAGTCTCGAGTTCTCCCAGATCTTGGTCGAATCTTGGTCCGCTTGAAGCGCTGGTTTGAGAACACCGTGATAGAGCTTCCACTTCTCTCCATGTGCACTGATGATATTTTCGCCTGTGTACTCCGCGACCACACTGTGCGGAATCTTGATGTGATTTCCAGCCTTCGCATAAGTGTCTTCGTATTTGAACACCTCTGCGATGTACGCAGGCTTGCGCACGAGAATGTTCCATTGTCCACCGAAGAACAATTTTACTGCTCCGTACTTTTCTAGAGGCTCTCTCATATACTGACGATAAAGTTCCGCCTGATCCACATCTTTGAAAAGCGGCAGAAGAGCATAGTAGAACGGGATTGTTGGTATGTTCTTGGGGAAATTGCTGGGCGGTGTGAAGAGGTAGACAAAGAAGGAAACGATACCAAAAAAAGTACCGAAGACAGCTATGAAGACCAAAGAAAGATATGACACCATCTTGCTTGACGTTTTTTGAATGTGCGTTGAGTGAAAGAAACAAATTGACCAGGTCGAGCCAATGTTAAACGCATTTGCTGATGTGAAAGGCACTCAGCCTCAGGCCTACATTTGGACGACATGCTCAGCTAGGTCGATTCACAACAAAAGGAACGTGGCTTAAGCGCGCCTGCACCCGTTCTGGTGCGTCCACAATTAGACAATAGATAGCTTTTGCGAGTGGGGCTGTAACGTTGGGGCGGTGGAGTAAGCTTGGCGGTTTAGGCGAGTGCGCAGTTCACCTATTACACGTTAGCTTGTGGCACGGATTCTCCGCCTTTCAGCTCCATGTGTGCCAAGATATGCACGCCTTCTCTGCACACAGCTTTCCTTGGACGACCTAAACCTGTAACAACGCTGCATTAGCGCAAATGATGCCGCCGCGACCTAGTAACGCAAACTTGTGGCACTGTACCAGACCGCTTGCGACCAGGAGCAAACGCCAGAACTCAGGCCCATTTGACGCACCAGGGACCGTGCTGGAGACCAGTCCAATTGGCTCATCGATGTGTAGCGAGATGAGCAAGGTTAGGAATAGTAACGTAAGTCGGTGTGCGGCGGCAGCGCCGTCTGCCCACAGCTGTGTGGCTGTCATGGGTCCATCCGCAGCCTGTTGGACAATGCCCGATTCGCTGAGCCTCTTTGTGAAGCTAAGACAACAACACGTCAAGGCTCTTTCATATAAGGAGACCCGTTTGATAGACCAGGGGACCATCAGTTCAAGCCTGCTATCTCATCAGCGTACACTCCATTAATATCTTTCCTCTCCCAGCCTTTGTACCTTTCTTTTGTTTCTTCATAGTTCCAGATTAGTGAACTCCTCACAATGGCTCCCTTCAACAAAGGTGTTTCCACATATCATTGCATCCAAGGCCTCTACTGGAGAGAATCCAATGGCGAGCTCTTAGCTGTCGAAGGCAGCAATTCGAAGTCGCTTCCGGAAGCATGGCCACAGTTGAAGGCGGAGATTTGTTCTGCGGATGCGTCATGGACCCAGGTTCAACTGCCGTCAGGCAAAGAAATCAAGAGCATGCAGATCACCGCCGACATCCCCGCACTACTGCAGATTAAGTCCAACTTCCCTCCATCTTACGAGAAGGAAAGCCTTCACACATTAGTCGCCGAGGTCAAGCACGAGAATGGTCGCATTCTCGGGATGGTTACATCGAAACCAAAGTCACTTGCTTCAGACAACTTCAGCATCTGGGCAGAACGGTTTATCCTCCTCGAAACTCACTTCCAGCCCTTCAGCAACATATCAGATTCATCTACACCATGGGCAGCGAAGAACCGCGCTGTCTGTGATACAATCGCGGAGATCTTCGAGCGCAAACTCAAGAATCTTTCTAAAGACGATCAGTGGGACATCTGCGGGCGTGAAGGCTTCCTCAACCGGGTGTATGGTTTTGTCGACAAGAACCTTCCAATCCTTCTGGCATTGCCTGCTTTTCCGTGCAAGTCGCCTAATCCCAACAAAGCTGGCGGTATTATGCCGGATCTTGCAGAGAATATCGCATTAGACGTACTTTACGATTTCATCAAGGAAGTAAACGCCGTGTACGAGCCAGGAGCGACTATGTGGATTATCAACGATGGACACGTCTTTTCCGACTGCAGTAAGTATCCAAATAAAGCGACGTATCCATCATCATCTGATCCGTTACAGTTGGTGTTGACGACGAGATGATTGACACATACGATGCCTGCATGGCCGAAATTTACAAGGAGCGTTTCCCTAACCAGACTGCACCTGTTCAAGCAATGGACTTTAAGGGCTTGAAAAACATCTTCAACGCCAACTCTGAGGGCTTCCAGAGCTTGAAGAAAGTTGTCGGTAACTCGCATAAAATGCCACACCCAGTCAAGACAAAGATGACGGGTGAAGCGGAGCTGTGCAGAATGCTCATGCTGGGTATTGGTGGTGCTGATCGTGCTTATATCCGCTCGCTCATTGAACAGCAAGAGCCAGATACGCTCGGATTGTACCGCGGCCAGACCCGGTTCATGCTCGAAGATCTTGCCGACGTTCCTTCGGTCAAATCCCTCAGTGGCAAGCAGAAGAAGAAGACTGCCGCCCTTGTAGCCGAGGAAATGATCTCTCGGAACCAGGGGTACTCGAACCTAGTTGAGCTTTTGTTGCCAAACTACGTTCGTTTGTCAATCCACGCTCACAACAACAAAGGCCCTAAGTTCGCCATCCGCTTGCTCCCTAAGCATATGGTCCGTCCTATCGACAGTCTTGAGAATCGCCTGGAGCCTGTAGCCGCATATGAGTTTCAAATTCCGACACCTTGGCACAACTGCATGATCAAGGTAGAGGGTGACGACTTCATTTATCTTGCTCGTTCCGCTGTTGCTAAGAAGGCTTTGGCGAGCTCCGAGTACACAGGCTCCTGGATCAATGGACCCGATGGCTCGTATTACAGCTTGAAGCGTGCTGCAGCTCGTCTGCCCACCCCTGCAAAGCTGATCATCCCTCAACTGGCAGTCGAAAAAGTTACCATCTTCGACGAGAAGAAGGGGCCTATTGTGGTCGTCTCTCCAATGGCAGAGAAGCTACGCCCGATTGTCATCTGCTCTCCAGTTGTTGGAAGGAAAAGTCCCATTGTCGTCACAAACCCAACAGATGGCGGGAGACCAATTGTTATCTGCTCACCACAGGCAAGGAGGAATATTTCCTCTCTGTGGTCACCTGTGCTGCAGAAAGTCCGCAACCCTGTTGGCTCTCCTATCGTTCGTACCAAGACTTCCATCGCGATTTGCTCTCCTGTCACCGAGAAGAACGGCGCACAGACGCCTATCGAGTCTCGCCCCTTCAAGCGTGTTGACTCGCATTGGGTCCGTCCAGGAGAGCAGACCAGCAGGCTACGCTCCTTCATTCAAGCAAATCTTCCTCAGCTTCGATCCCAGGCAGTGTAGCGGCTTTTTCTTATCTACAACATCTCGCATGCTTTTCAAGTTGGATTCTCTGTTCACTATGTTTGATTTCAGCGAATACCTAGGGAGCTACTTAGATAGTATGCTTTGGCATTTGCACTGGCGTTCTTTGAGGTCTTCCTTTTCAATATATCATTTAGTAGGGGCGGTCGTAGCTTGCAGTTCAGTAGCACGACATCGTTTAATCATTACTAGCTTTTCTGAACCTTTGTACATCTGTGGTGCAACATAATTGATGACAGAATACGCGACGGTTGTAGTGTTTGATGATCAACACCTTTAACGGGTTTAGGCCCCACTTCACGCCCGTCGTCGGAACCTGCTTCTCATCCTGTGACTCCGATTTTCACGTTTAAGGGAAAACAACAGATAAGCGACCTTCAAGCTGACCAACTTCAACAACTCTAGTCAAGTCTTACCTATATTGTAGGCATAAAAGTATTCTCTGGAGTTAATTATAATATCCGCAACTTTGCTGTGGTGTGGTAGGATACTCAGCTCACATCATCAGTCTGCCCTTCATCCTGCAACATACCTAGGTAAGGGTCCGCTTACGCTGCACATCTTATGGAGACCAACAAACGAGCATCTGTTAGCATGTATGGCGCATACGACAGCAAAAATGAATTACCTCGTATGCAGCTCGAATCATTGCCGGCTGGCGATCGGTTTCTGTGGCCAATAGGCTGTTTCCTTCTCCGCCATGCTTACGGAGACCCTCAACCCACATATTAGTCAATAAGGAACAGCGGGATCTTAATTCAAGAGCGCAATCAATGGAATATAAAGGGCTTCGATGATCGCCTGGCTATGCTCTTCCCTCTTTATTTCTGCATACCGTTACAATGAGACTCCTCGATGTCTTCAAAGGACTCGTTCCTACCATCATTTTCCAACTCTACGGATCTGTATCAGGTAAGCATATGCCGGACTTGCCTAACAGTAATGATTACCAAATACTGAATTCGTGTTAGCTACCAATTCGACTCTGCCCCGCACGTATGGCATTGTGCTCTTCCGCATGTTTGACGTGCTGGATGTTCACGGCCCCATAGAGATTCTTCAGTTCTTAAGCGGGATCTACAAGATCGATATCGCCTTGATTGCTGAGACCATGGATGCGGTCACCTCAGAACCATCGCTGGCCGCGATGAACCCATTCAACTCTTCCGTCTACCCTGTGCTTCCCCCAACACACACATTCGAAACGGCGCCAGAGCTAGATGTTTTGATCCTTGCTGGCGGCCCTGGCTGGCGCAACCCTACGCTGAATGCTACCTTGGACTATATTGCAAGGACAGCACCCAACGTCAAACAGGTTCTTACGATCTGCACTGGCTCGGCTCTGGCTGCAAGGGCCGGTATAATGAAAGGCAGGAAGGCAACTACCAACAAGACGTCTTGGCCTAATGCCGTGAAGGCAGGTCTCAACACGACTTGGGTGCCTCGTGCGCGCTGGGTTGAGGACGAGTCCACCTTCCCTCCCATATGGAGCTCTTCAGGAGTGGTGGCGGGCATCGATCTCATGCTGCACTGGGTTGGGCAGACTTATAGCGAAGAGAACGCAACATTCATCGCAAATATTCTGGAGCACCAAAGAATCATGGATCCGAGCTTTGATCCTTTCGCTAGGAACGAGACAGAGGTTGGTCAAAACACCCCTTGATCATGAGCTCGTTGTATTACAGAAGTGAAGCAGCCACTCGGGCTGTGCCCGGACAAACATTTGCTTCGTGTAACCGGGCCTCAGCATGACCACGTGGATCGTACTTATCTGGAGTTAGGAAACAATACACGTCAAGAGGAATACAAGTGCCTGAAGATGATAGCCGCTACCATCAACAGATTTTGGATAACGCCTCCCTCGCCGCGATACTGTTCAGATAGTTCCTGTCACGAAATCCTTGCACGCACTTCGGGGATCACATCCTTGTCGCACACACTTTCAGGGGTCTTTGCTCGGTGCTTACAGAACGGGAGGCTCCATTTATCGCACGTTGTGCAATCTGCAGGTCACCCGAAGCAACCCATCACATCACCGCAGCAGTTCTTGTCTATGTGCACTGCATCACCGCACTCGTAGTGCACCTGAGACCTCTCGAACGCCTTTTGGTGGTGAGATGTTCCGATAACCGTCTGTCTCGTGGCGTCGAAAACGCGCAAATGCCCTCGAAAAGTGGGGCCCCCTTACCTGTGAAGGGAAGGCGCGTTGCCGGCCAAGCATCTCACATCCCTCGCGGTCAATCATGTTGTGTATTTTATGTGGATATCTGGTGAGTTGGAAAATCAAACCTACATACAAATGATGGATGACACAGGGTCTTGGTGGTTGGGTGCCACCCGCTGCAGTGGCTCGCTGCTGAGAGGGTTTGCGCGCCTATCATGCAGGTAAAGACTCTGCTCCTGGCTTATAAGAGGGTCAGGCCTTCGACACTATTTCCTTTCGATCCGATTCAAGAGTATTCATTCAATCATATTGCCCAGGGTCTGAGAATAGTTGAGTGTGTAACGCCTGGGCCAATCCTGCATCAACGCGTCGCTCCTACCAACTTTCACCCTTCGCAAGTTACTTGGGTAATTAAACAACTTGCTCAAAACTTGCTCGTCTCATCTTTACCGACAATTTTACGACTTCAATCGCTACCAACTTTCTCTACTCATTACAGAACCCATCAACCCATCTACCAATCGCTCACTCGAGTCGCGGGCATTCAAATCACAATCATGGACCACAGTATGATGGCAACAGTCACGTCCGCAGCCATGACTGGAATGTCCGGCATGGCAGGCATGGCCTCAAGTGTGACAGGTAGTGCCGCAATGGCATCCGAGACCGCGATGTCACACGGCGACAGCTCAGAAGGCATGGACATGATGGGTGGTTGCAAGATCAGCGTATGAGCGGTCTTCTCAATGATCTGACAAATTAGACTGACATATTGGGTAGATGCTGTGGAACTGGTACACCGTTGATACCTGTAAGAACCCTGCTCTCCTAATCCAGAGGCCGATCTAGCTCAGTCTACAAGCAATGGCTTGATCATGCTCTCCAAATTGAGGGAATCAAAAGCTGACATAGCATCAGGCTTCATCGCCACGTCATGGCACAACACATCCAAGGGCATGTTCGCCGGATCATGCATCGGTGTTATCCTCCTCGTCATCACTCTTGAAGCCCTCCGACGTGCCGGCAAAGAGTATGACCGCTACATCGTGAACCAATACTTGGCCACGCATGTCCACTCAGCTACAGTCGCTTCATCCGCTTCGTCAGACAACAGCAAGACTCCAGCGACCAATGCAAGTCCCTCTCCAACAGTTCAGAACTTCCGCCCAAGCGTTCTCCAGCAAGCCGTCCGCGCGCTCCTCCACATGCTGCAGTTCGCAGTAGCATATTTCGTCATGTTGCTGGCCATGTACTACAACGGATACATCATCATTTGCATCTTCATCGGCGCGTATATTGGTTACTTCATCTGTGGCTGGGAGAGCTTCAATGTGGGCAGAGGCGGTCAAGATCGCATGCAGGAGAATGCGACCGTTTGCTGCGGCTAGTTGGGCAGTGACGAGACCGGGCATAAGTGTGGCCGAGGAAGGCGGGCATGACGTTCAGTAGCAGGAAAGGATATTGCTTTTGGTTCCCAGTTAAGGGACAGGTCTGAGCACAGTCTCTCTGACATAATGAGTAATGGCATGAATGTTCTTGAGCACAACTCGAAATCCGTCACAAGTCACATTTTCAACACTCTTGATATAATCGTTCAATTTGTAGCTTCGACTCGATGGCCGCTTGGTATCTCAGACTAAACACAACGCCCCCTCTTCATCACACACCCGTTCACACTAGGCATATTACTGCCTACGCTGACTGATAGAAGTCGAGCTTGTGTGGTAATCCTCGACGTAGTCCAGAGACTTAGTTCTTCTTCTACACAATATTAGCTTATGTTCGCAGCAAGCCCGAGTCGCAGGGAAGACATACGGGGCAGTTGTCGCAAGTGCAGTCCTTGCCGCAGTTGCAGGTGCTCTGGCCGGAGCAACCGCAGTTGCCGTTGTTGACGAGGGAGAAGACGGTGGTCTGCATTGTGATTGATTGGGGTAGAGGATCGGAAGATCGGAAGTGATGATGTAGTAGAATTGGTTGTGATTGAAGTTGCTTGATGTGATGCCCTCTGAAGGTTGTAGATGTGACACTCTTATATACAGCCTGCGCGACTTGTGCGGTTTGCCCCATTGTCGATCCACCGCGCTTGCATGCATCCCCGTCCGACGGCGAGGCGTGTTGCAAGAACAGCATCGATAATGCTTATCAGCGCTTCTAGCCTACCATGAAAAAAGTTTGATACGGGTTCGGTAGTGCGTGTGAGGTATGTGATTGGGTGCGCCCCACCTGCGGTGTTTGTGCGGATGAGGCTAATGCTCGGATGGGGACTGTGCGCCGCGAAAAGTGGGTTGAGGGTTTTGTGCGGAGTGGAATGCCAAGAGCCAGGATTGGGTGCGGCGGAGAAACGGTCATGCGTTGGTCGTCACGGTGGCTTCATCAGGACTCGGAACGCTGATGTGTGCAGTATACTGGTGGGAGGTGATAATCGATGGGCTGAGGGGGGTCACACGGACGATTCTGCAGTGCCCAGGTGCACTTCACAACATCGGATGAGGGAACTGCACTCGGTGCACGTCAGAGACTCAATTACAGTGCTGTGTTGACCTATCTAAATTCGTGTCGCTCCCCGCTATGCTCGCCTGCAAGTCCCTCCCTACGCATGGAGACAATCGAGCCATTCGATCACGCGGAGTATGTCGAGATCGTACTCGTTCCACTCCGCCTTCCAATCTTGCACTCGGCCCTCGACAGACATATAGATACCCATCTCAAACATGATACCGGTGGCGCGGTGGCCGTGGTTGACGAAACAAAACTCGGCGTAATCGTCGCCATGAGGACCCTGACAATGGACAGTGATTTTCTCCAAGTAGGGAAATTGTTCCTGGACTGTTTCGACGCGAGTGAGCCAATCATACAGGTGTATCTGTGGGCAGTCAATTTGCAGACTTTTAAGCGACGCGGGCAGGATAGTCGCAGGCGATGGGAGGGTGTCTACAGACGAGGATGTTCGCCCCAACAAGCACTGATAGGGTACCACCAGGTTCTTGAGTGCTTTGAATTGCTGAAAGCCAGGACCGGGGTGGACTTCGAGGAGGAAATTGTTGGACTCGATATCGTGGACTCCATCGTCATCGTACACGCCTATGTCGAGCTTTATCAGATGAGCAGCGACTACATTGATCCTGTTGATCAAGGTAGTGTAGTTGAGCTCGGTGCCCTGGAAACCAAGAGTTTGAGCGAAACGCATGCTATCAACCTCGAGGTCGTAAACCCTCACTTCGAGTTCCTCCAGCGAAGGAAAGTGAGCGAGGAATGGTGAGAAAGTAGCGTAATTCAGGCTGTTTTCTTGCAATATTTCCAAGCGAGCCATGATGCTGAGAGTCTTGAGACTGGTATTGACTTCGTTCACCGCACCATCATGCAAGATGACACATGGACGCGTCAGGCGCAACGTTTGAAGGCATGGCAATTTGGCTAGGACCCAGTGGAACTCAGCGCCAGCGAACTCGAGGTAAGTCAACTTCTGAAGTCCTGGATGCTGAAAGGAATGAGCAGTTGCATGGTCGAAAGTAGGCAACAACTTGCCGAGTGGGTGAGGTGCCATAGACTTCTACCCAGCTCTGCGTTGTAGACTGGCGGAGAGCTACGCACAAACGATCGACATTTGTTAAGTGCTGCAGTAGTATCTGTCCTCCAATGAAGATTTGATTTAGTGAAACCTTGGCGGCAGACGACAAGACTCTGTCACCTGCAAATAGTGTGGAGGTGTCTGTGTCAACGATGACGTCCTTATTGAAGAGCTGGATTTGGACTTCTTTGACTGCCCTTGCAATGTCCGGCCGCCGGGTTAGGGTACGATGCAGAGACCATGTAGCATCTTTCCAATGTAGAAATGCAGTCCTTTCGTAATCGATGTTAATAACGGCGTATAGGCGTTTCTCTGCTACATCACGTAGTACCCAGCCTATGCGTGCAACAACGGGTAGATCGCGACTCGGAACGAACTCAACGATGCTTCCAAGCAGCTCCCGAGGGAGTCTACCGAGATGACTGTGTGCGAAGGCTGTTGTGTTCCACGAGATATCGATAGCATCGAGCTCAGTAAGCCAAGGCATGACTGTAGCTCCTGTGCTCTCGGTCATGATGCGCGTCGTACGTGTGCGAAAGTCGAGACTGGAGGTTGTTGTTCTGAAGGAGGGAAGGGAGGTTTGGCTGGGCTCAGGTACTTTTTTGCAAACGGGCGTTTGACAGACGAACGATTTTTCACCTTCACTCTGAGTAAACACAGGGCAAAAATAAACACAAACGGTCGCGAACTGAAATAAACAAGACTTCCTGTACACTCAAACGGAGATAGTGAAAAAGTCATTTGGCCCGCGTCAAGGCCTGGGAACGAACTGCTACAGCCTGGAGCGGATGCTTACAATGCTTCGCTGAAATTGAGCCACAGCTACTCATATCTGGATGTCTATCGTGGTGTTGCCAGATCCTCGACCAGTAGCAGGCTTTCCAAAGTGCCTAATCTTGATTGTGTTTGATGAAAGGTGTTCACGTTAGATCTACTACTCACTCTGTAGTGCTCAGCCTCTCAAGGGCCATGGTTGGACCTGCGGAGCATGAGCTCTGATATACAATCAAAGAACGTCGAACCAGCAGCCACTTGGCACATTTGTAGGATCGAACTCACATTTATTGCAGCCATTACGCTACAGAACTACAATTGGATAACTCCTTCCATCCTAGCAAGAAAGTACTTTCTTGCCTGGTGCTGTATCGTGACAAGTGGCTGATCGGATGTGCCTGGGTGCAGTGCCGTAAAATAGTTTCTGGGTTGGTGCGCTTGGAGGTTTGAGGACAGCCTCCAGCGTTTTTGGGTCAAGAAATAGCCGCACAGGCTCAGTCCGTAGGAGCAGTGTCTGTCAGTGGTTGTCATAGTGCTAAGCTGACATGATGAAGCCGAGTACTTTATTGATTTGATGATCTGGGAATATCCTCCGCCTTTGGTCCGGTTTCCACAGTCCAGTGTTCGTCCCATCGCTACTGCTTCAAGGGGTCAGGCAAGGGGAGCGGATATCCACTGGGAGCTGGCATGTAGACTTATCAAGCGTTGCAGCTAGTGTATTGATGTTAGGCCGTCCTGAGCAGGTGTGTTGGGCTCCGTTTCCAATGGCTATATAGACCCCTTGTGGTCTGTACAATGCGCCCTTGCCCCCTATGGCGCCGCGCTTACACCGCCCGGTAACGGTCGAATCCTAGCTCACGGGTGCTCGAGGAAAGTTTGTACAATCTGCAAAGTTGACAGGTTGGTCCTGAGGTTCTGGTTCGCAGCAATCCACGCCGCGTCGGCACCATACCTCGTATATCAGCCCAACGTATCACCCTGGTGTGAAGAGGAAATGACCTGGGACAATGCCTGCCTAGCTTCGATTGTTTTTTTACCTTTGTAGCTCGAGAGAAGACTGTGCCGCATCTATGCGGCGTCTCGATCTTGGAGTTGCGATCTGTTACGATGCCGGTTATATCATTTGTTAGCTCATGGCCTTGTAAATAACGGCGCCCAATCAGATGGTCCAAAGCAACGCTGCTTTGTTCAATGTGATCAGCGTACGAGCCACTAACAATCACTCGTCCCGATAACAATTGACTCATAATCCCCCTCTAACCTTACAGAGTTCCACGTTAACTCAGCTCTGCGCTTACGCGGTGTGGTGAAGTTTGGGTTCGCGCTTCCCCGCCATGGCGTGCTGACTACGAGCTTGCCCGTCAACGGTCCCCTGGCGAGACTATACGCACTGACTCTTAATCGATGCTGCATGCAGCGCGTGAGCTCGGAGCCTCGGTGATTTTCCAACCAGCTCACGGGGTCAGGAATGCGGTTCGAACGAGTCGAGCATTGCCACACTTCTCATTGATTGTAGTCAAGCTGTGTGACGCACTGGCAAGGCGTGCGATGCAGAAGAGCTGGAATGAATGGGATACCGATCAAGTTTTTTTCGATGATGGATTGAACCCCTCTGTGAGACTTGGAGGTTGAGTTTGGGAGGAGCTACTTTGGAGAGGAAGCTTGACACCAGTGCCTCGCCTCGGAAGGAGCTCCGTCCAGCGATCAGCAAGGGGATCCAACATCGCGAGCAGGGTTTGCAGGTGTTGTCTGCGTGCGTAGCCCGTTGACCGGTCGCGTTAGGACTACTCTATAAGGCAGAGCTAGTGTATACAGAAGGATGTTTCCGATCAATTATCCTAGTGAGCGATTGCCCATCCTTAGCTAATAACATTATGCCTTGAGCTGCCGAGGTTTCAGGATCATAAGCGCGAGATCGTGAGCATAAACCAACGCCGCCCTGGTTGTAAGCGAGGGTTCTCGGCGAGTGTGGCCGCTGAGTATGTGATCATCCATGGTCCACGTTGATATAACGAGTGCTCTGAAACATGTGGAACGCTGCATCTCTTCCGGGCCGAGCCTAGGAATGAGGTCCGTCTTGAGTCTGCTGCTGTCTCCGTGGGCCACCGCTCTCGGCACTTTCATGTGTTTACAAGTGGTCAATGATAGGATGGGATGATGCTGTACCAGGAACGCTGTCTGATGTGTGCTTGGCGGGTGGTGAGAAGATGTGGCGGCCAGATATGCACGGCAGGCTGAAGCTGGCAAAACATGCGTAATGGAAGCATGTCCATTTGATGTATTGATCCATAAAAGCAACCCTGCTGACGATCATGAGGATAAAGGACGTTACTGCGTGTAATGTGCATGGACACAACATCCACAGTAGGTAACTGTGCGTGTTTGGTGCGTGCAAATCGGACTCAAAAACAGTCTATCCAGCCAGCAGCCATGTGATAGGCACGCTATCCAGCTGTAAAGCGTATCTCTTATCGTATGCTGATGAAGGACACCTTGAATGCTCTCTATCTTATGACGCAGTCGACACGAAGATAGGCTCGGCCTAGCATGTGATGATAACGTGGGTCATTGGATTGTCCCTTCCAGATCTGACCTTGAGCAAAAGCGGCAGTACCAAAAGTCACGAAAAACAATACTTGGAGCATCACAACCGAAAAGGAGTCAGCTGCGCCGCGAGTACCAGATTTGACCGGCCAGGCTGAAGGCTGACTCAAGTCGTGGTTGCACCAGAAGCGTGTCTATGTTCATTGTCGTGGTCCTTGTGTAGTCAGTGTTGGAACACGTTGGCCTGTAAGCACACACGTCAAGGGAAGCGTTTATGCTGAGCGCGTCATCTGTACATTCCTAACGGGGAGGCGGTCTTGCTGATGTTGTTGTCCAACGTCAAAAGGCTGCTCGGTTCGGGTACACAGGCGTGATTGGACTGTATAGAGGAGATGATGGGGCTTTTAGGTAGTAGGTGGGACCACGTGGCGGAGTCTCATAGACGCTATATGGATGGACTCATATAGTCATACAAAAAGTGTGCCTCTTCTTTGGGAGTGGTGCCTCCTCTTGTACGACTTGCCGGTAGGGTACCTGCTGCGTGATGGCCAGGTGAGCGTGTATGGCGCGCTAAGCGTGGACGCCAGCAACCTGGGTTCTTGCGAACAGCGTGCTGTGAGAGGGCCGTGCACACGCGGGCTGCACTGGGTTTGTCGACATTACAGCGGCGGGTGAGGCAGCACACTTTGGTTTTGCGGAGGGCCGGAAGCGGCTGTGGTTTCGGCATACCGAGGCGAGGAGGTGCCGTGATTGGCGGACAGCGGCCCCGCCTGCATCGGGGCCATGGTTTGGCCACAGACGCGACTTGTGAAGTCGCAGGCGCACTGGGAGGGCTGTCTGGGCGGGCGCGACTGCCCCGCAGCAGTTGTCTTCAGATGCAAATGCAGCAGACAATGCAGCAGGCTGCAAGTATCGAAGCTTGTGTGCGCCTGCAGCGAGTGGCCGTGAACACCGGTTCGAGTCGCGACGGACATCACTGGGGCGTCCCACACCCAGGACGCAGGAAGGCGGATCTCGTCCCAACCAGGCCCGCGACTGTGATTCGCCGTTCGCATCCCGGCACTTGAGCGCCAGAGGGCTGGTTAGCAGGCCACAAAAGCGGCCATGGCCAGCTTCCCACAGACGCGGTGAGCCGTCGCTGCGCTAGCAGGTGCGCGAGGGCTCCTGTGGACTCGGAGCAGGACCGATTGCCTGTGATGTTCGTTGAGTGCCCGCAAACGCCGCTTGCGATAGCCTGAAAGCTTTCTGGGCGGGCTGCGTGCATGGACCGGGGTGCGGTGACTGCAGCGCACAGCGGGGCTTCTGCGCGTGTGCGAGTGGTGAGCGGCGCAGAGCCTCCTCAGCAGAGCAGGCGGCAGGCGGGCGGCAGCAGCACACCGAGCACAGGCAGCACAGGCAGCACCGCGCCGGCGTGCAGCGCAAGGGCGACGGGCGATAGCAGCGGCATGTCGTGCGAAGAAGCAACGACAGGTGCGCGGCACCCCACGCGCAGCGCTGCAGCGTCGCCGGACGCGCAGGCAGGGCGCAGGTGGGCGCGCCAGTGCAGGGCGGCCTCGACGGCGCAGCGTGCCCAAGATCGCTGAGCACGGCGGCAGCGGGAGGCCAGCCTGGCAGGGTGGAGGGCAGCGGCCATGCTTTAGCTGGCGTTGATATGGCCGAGCGCGCCCTGCCGCGCAGCCCTCGAGCGTCGCAGTCGCAGACCGAGGGCACAGAGGCCCGTCGCGCGTGGAGGGTGCGACGCACGCGTCGAGCAGGCGCGCGGCCAGCGTGCAGCGCGCAGCTCGCAGGGCCGTCGCCACCGTCGCCGGGCGCACATCACGACGTCGGGCGCGGTACCTGTGTGCTGTGCGACGGCGGCCTGCGAGCGCTGGCCTGCTTGGAGCGCACGGCCGAACCAGCCTAGCCCGCCGTGGCCGCGGCGTCGCGGTGCTGTCCAAGGGTGCCGGCTCCCACAGCACCAGTCCCAACGCGCGCGCCCATGGCCCATGGGTGCGCTTTTAGCAAGAGCGCCCACACCCTCCTGCCCTCCTGCATCGTGCCGTTCCTCCCTCCCTCGCCCTCTGTCAGATTGTCAGATGCTGCCAGCCTTTGCCCACTGCCGCGCGGAGAAGTAGCCCCCCGTCTGCCCTCTGCCACTGCCACACTGCCACGCTGCCGCCCCCCCCAACGCTTCCACCCGCCGTTGCAGCCCTCGTTGCCGGCGCATTCCTCGCCCGCGCACGCTAGCGCCGCTCCAACTTTCGTTTTCCACCACCGCGTCTGGTCTCATATCAGCCCGAACCCCCCAGGCTCAGCCGTCGCATTGCTCGCCCCCCCAGCCGGCCCCGTCACCCAGCGACCTCCCGCACGCCCGCACGCCCGCATCCTCTCCAGCAGCCGCGCGCCCGAGCTCACTGTGCCCTGACCACGTCTGCACCCGTCATTGTTGCTGCACTGCGCCAATCGCTCCCCCACACGTGCGCCCGCGCCGCCGCGCCCGTTCGCGCCCGTCACCAGCCCGTCACCAGCCGCCTGTGCAGACCCACGTTTCGCTGCTGTTTTACCTCCAGGCACCACCCCTATCTGCATCCGACGCTGCCACCTCGCCATCTGAAACCTGACACTTCTGGATCGTCGCCGTCGACTCGCTGCATTGGTCTGCGCCGCCGCTGCGACTCGCCTCGACCGCCGCTCTTTGTCCCCGCCCCGCCACCATACCTCGACAACAAAGGAAGAAATGGCCGGTGGGCCTAGTCCGAGCAGCACCAGTCCTTCCAACCTCTCCAACAGCCCTTTTCTGCACGGCTCGCTGAGCAGCTCCAACTCATCGTCGCCACCGAAGCTGTTCGCCCAGAACACCATGACGGCAGACGTCTTCTCGTCCTCTCACACATACAACAACATGAACGGCGCTATTGGCGAGCGCCGGCCTGCCGAGCGCAACGGCCTCTCCATGCTCTCCTTCGGCGACATCGACTCCGCTTCCGACACCAAAACCCGACACGCCATCTTCTTGCGCAAACTTCCCAGCAACAGCGACAAGGAAGCTGTGCGCAACATCCTCCTCTTTGCCAAGGATCTCGTTGACTGCGAAATGGTGACCCAGACTCGATACGCCGAAGACAAGGGCTTTGCATCTGCCATTGCCTACTTCCAGACCTACGAGGGCGCAAAGGAGGCGCGTGATCTTCTCAATGGCAAGCGCAATGCCACCAAAGACGCAACTCTGATCATCGAGGTGCTGCCCGATAGTCTTGGCGGCGCCATTGGTTCGCGGCGCAATACCGTCGATAGCGGATCTGCGCGACATGGATCCATCGCGTCCTCCACCGGGATCGCCAACGCGACTTCGAACGGTCGTCAATCCTCGCGATACAATGGGACTTTCCAGAATATGGAGAAGATGTCCCCACCCAATGGAACTCCGGGTCTTGGCAACGGAGAGTTTGGAGTCTCCAACCTTTTCTCGCCGACGTCACCTGTACAAACCTCATTTGCAAGCCGCAATTTAGGCAAATCGGTTATCAATGACGAGGCTGACGACGACAATGATCTGCTCAACGAGTCCATTGGGTATGCTACTGGAGCGCCATCAGGACAATCCAACATGTCGCGCAGAGCAACGAACCCAAATCCGTCGATCCCAGTTTCTCGCTTCGCGTCCCTATCGCTGAACACGAACAGTGTCAATGGTATGGGCTCACCACCACTAAACAACTACACATCTCCTCGATCTGCGGCTACGATGCAGTCCCCTGGGCCGGCTCTTTCGGCAATGTCGCCCCACAACGTGCCGTCTGCTTTGAGCAACGGATCTAGCACGGGCTTTCAGCAGTACTCGTCGCACTTTGCTCGACCAACGTATCCTCCGGTCAATCCTGCCGACCAGAACCCACCCTGTAACACGCTCTATGTTGGCAACTTGCCCATGGACACGTCTGAGGATGAGCTCAAGGCTGTATTTTCTAAGCAACGTGGGTACAAGCGCCTATGTTTCCGCACAAAGCAGAATGGTCCCATGTGCTTTGTCGAGTTCGAGGACACATCATTCGCTACCAAGGCTCTGAACGAGCTGTACGGATACATGCTGCACAATAGCGTCAAGGGTGGAATTCGACTGAGTTTTTCCAAGAATCCTCTTGGTGTTCGCAGCGGACAGCACGCCAGCATGGGCTCGGCGTCATCCATCGCTCCGAGTACCCCCCTTTCCGGATTTGGCAGCGGCGTTGGAGCCCCTCCTGGCTTCTCGACGGCCACTGGACCACCACCCGGTCTATCCGCTCCACCAGGCCTTGCGAACCACTCGAACCAGTCACATGCAAGCGGCAACAACGGTTTCGGCATGTACGCCAACGGCGGGTTCGGTATGGGTCCAAACGAGATGTCCAGTGGCATGCGCCAACCCATGGCCACAGGTGGTAACGGCTTCGGAGGCATGAGCGGAAGCTACTCTGCCTACATGATGGGTCGTTAGAGGCGACGGTACCAGTGATGTCGCCGCCATGATTGATGAGGAGTTTGGGGGTGCATCGATCACTAAGCATACACGAGATGTATGCTGCATATTTGTTGCGTTATATCCTGTCACTTCGGTTACATTGCGAGGTGTTGAGTTGTTTGGGTTGAATCTGGTTTCATTTCTCATTTATGCAAGGGCATGGGTACAGGCGCGGAACTTCCTATAGGACTGTTGCGTCCTTTGGGCATGGACTTCCTTCCAGCATACAGCGATGATTCCCCCTTGTGCGTTTCTTAATTGGCTACACGGTTTGCACGGAGAGGCGTTCGAAGAGGCTGTATTCTTTGTTTTATCTCCATCCCATTCTACACAATCCGAGGACACTTGTTGTCGTCCAGAGCTGCTGCTTTCAGGTCGGGCACCAGGAGAGCAAATTGACTCGGCTGACATGAAGGACTCGTGTCGGTCCTTGACGGCGATTTTGGGACGCTTGTCTTCGTTGTGCGCAGACGATGCGGTCTCTTCGCCGTATATGGCCTGTCACCGTCTGGCGGGCTCGTCATTGGCAGGTCGTTCAAGCTTCTTTGTTGTGATCGTTTTCTCGCATTGATTTCTCTGAATATTTGTCCTTATACAATACTCGCATTGCAAGCTCGCCGCATATCAGGAGCTGGGCCATATCTGTCATTACATTTATCATCTGGATTTGGTAAGCATCTTCTTGGACTTCGGTCTCTGTTTCACGTTACAATGGTCTGTCGTTACTGCGTTGGCATTTTGCTTCACGCTGACCATTTTGGGTTGCCACAAGTGGCTGCGTAAAGCGGCATCCCCTACCACTACCTAATAAAAGTCATCGCGTCACGATCTTCGAATCCGAGTGTAAATGTGGAGTGATGTCCTGAAGTAATACCTCTTTATCGCAGCATACTATTCATGATAGAAACAGAGCTTACTGCACCCAGGCACGTCCAACCAGCCACTTAATACTTTGTAGGAACCCAACCATCATCGCAGCTAATAAGCTGCAGAAACTATGGAATAACTCACTCCATTCAAGCGTATACAGTCCGATAAGAAAGACCCCTGATGAGACTACTTATCGATCTTGCACCATACTGCATTTCGCCAAGTGGCTAATCGGACGTGCTTGGGAAGGTACAGTAGTTGAATGATCATCCGTACCCCTTGCATATGGCCGCGGGAAGGTGCAGCACGGAAAGATTGCGGGAGAGACTCGCCGATCTGCACTACCCTGTTGATCCTCCAGCTTGATAGATATCAACTCATGTTTATTATCTAAGAACAAATGTCTTTTTCTGGAAGAAAAGACGATAGGATGGCGCCGGAAATCTGCAAGATGACAGAAAAGAGGTGATTCACTGCACCTAGGCACGGCTTGGGTAGGCTCCAAACCAACTTTATCGTAGCCAATAAGCCGCAAAAGTACTACTGATCAATATCTGCACAGGTGCATATACTCTAACAAGGAAGTGCTCTCACAAGACCATTGATCTTTCACCAAGTGGCTGGTCGAACGTCCACCCTGTGAAAAGCAAACCACGTGATCGGGTCTTGGCAGGCTAGTTTGAAGCTAAGACCGTTGTAACTTTTCTGCATGCTAGAGAACGGAGCTTCGAACGACACACTGTCAGACCCGTACTCGTTGCCCGCGTCCCCGTCTTCCTCTCTTTCTCACACTGTGTCGACGTCAATGCAATAGCATTGGCCCACGTCGACGATGCCCCCTCGGATGCGCTCCTCTAGATTCTCGTCCCTTCCCCGGCCTTCTCCCAACCGAACCTCATCCGCACGTCAATCCATCGCACAAAATACTCAGACATCACGTCAGTTCTCACAAACACCATGCCATCAAGTCACATTACGGCGGCGGAAGTTCTACGCGTGGCTCAATGGCCCAGGGATGCAGCTGAAGGAGCCTCTTCCCGAGTCTACCAACTACCTTGGCGCCTATGACCAGAACGGTACCTTGGTCCGTGCCGGGCCAGAGTACCAGCGAGCATCAGCAAGATCCCGAGATGAGAGCAAAATTAAACTCAAAGAGTCTCGAGACGAAGCTGCAGCACCAACAGAAGAGACGACGACACCAGAGGGGCAAGAATCGTTAGAAAAGTTGGAGTCTGCGGCACGGGAAGAGGACGCTAAAAAGAAGGACGCGGAGCAGGATGGCTCGAAGCTTCCCCCGGAGACAGCAGAAGATCTCCGCCCATACCCCATGAATCCGTACTTCCGCAGCCAGCCTGTTTTGAGCGAAGAGTTGCGAGAAGCTATCTACCAGCGTGTGAAGCGTGATGGAGCAACAGTGTCGCTTGCCAGCGTCGAGTTCGGTGTCAGCAACGAGCGTGTTGGCGCTGTCGTACGTCTCAAGCAGATGGAGAAAGAGTGGATCGCACAGGTATGTCCTATTCCCTTCACTCGTTTACCTCCTCTCCACGACATGATGAGACATTATAAAATTCGATTAGTCTTTAAGACAACTACATGGTTACACAATGTAAACAGGAGCTCTGCTCCTGCTGAACGTCAGCTTCTACATCGCTTGCTTGCCAGTCATCTTTGGCGGCCTTTGCTGATCAAATCTCAGGGTAAAACTTTAGCAATTCCATACGCAAAGGCGCTTCTCGAAATGCTTCCCACAACACCGCACATCGATACGTCGGACCCCATGAACAAGGGCAAGAAACCCATCGTCCACGAACCCATCAACGACCTGATCGTGCATCCTGCCACTCGCCAACAGCTGTGGGTACCTGTCGCCGAATCGAGACAGTTTACACGTGAAGACGCGGGTAAGGCTTTCGATAACAGCCTACTCCCCGCGGATAAGCGCATTCCCCATCCTGAACTGGTGCTGGCGGAACGTGAACTCGCCTCTGGTCTTTCCTTTGAAGAGCGCCGCGGGCTTGCTGAGAAGCGTTTCGCGGAGGAGGTGGCAGAGAAGAAGCTTGAGGAACAGGCAAAGCAGGCGGAGCTTCAAGCACAGAAGGTCGTGCCGCAGCGAAGATGGGACTTTGTGTTCAAAGACATCAGCGTGGAAAGCGCTGGCCGTAACGGAAGGGACGCAAAGGGCGTTGGGTGGAGATATGGTCTCCCCCACCAGGACCGCAAGAAGGGACAAGTCAAGATTCCCACCAAGGTCGAAGCTTAAGCTTGTACTATATGTAACACTATTGTCTGTCTATACCACGTGTGACACACGGATGGCATGGGGAGCGCGGATTGCATTGGCCAAGGTGCCTGCATTTAGCATTTGAGCAATATACCTACGTTTTATGTTCACCCAACCATTTGGTTCGAGCGAGAGATTCTTCCAAGACGACCTTCTTTATGCAACAGCAGCCACTCGCCATACCGTTCTCCATCTGCGACCATCTGCCATGACTCTGTCTATGCAGTCTGACCGCGTGCCTTTCAAAGCATTGCCCTCAAAGCAGCACATGTTCCTACCTACGTCTTTTACGCTCCCAGTCTCAGCGATGGAGGGCACAAGCATGAATGCGGCGTGTTCAGCCCAGGTTGGCAACGAGCAGTGTCTTCAGACATGACGTCGACCTCATCTGTACGCGACCTTCTGGCCGCCCCTCTTCTCCATCTTTGCCTGCCTCTTGCTCTGCGCAGCCTCGGGCTGCGGCACACCGGCGGCATCTGTGTAGCCGGCGCCCCTGAAGCCCCTGTAGACGCCGTACAGCGAGTACACGCTGTACGCCGGCACAACAACCATGCCCCACCACATCCAGTCGCCAAACAGGGCGGCCAGCGCAATGCAGCCGTAGGTCCAGTATGTCACGTCCCACATGTACTCGGTCAGGCCGGGGGCGTCGAGGTCCTCGCCGGGGCGCTTGATGGAGCCATCGGCGAGCAGGGTGGGGCGCGAGAGGCGCTCGAATTGCAGGTTGATCAGGAGCTGCGGGGCGGAGAGGACGAGGTACAGGACCAGCGAGCGGCGGGTGAAGGAGGCGCGGAAGAGCAGGGCGCGGAGCAGCCAGAACAGGGTGTGGATGGCGAGGGTGAAGTAGAGGGTGGTGTTGAGGCGGCGGGTGTTGGCAGCGGCGAGCGTCTTGGTGGCTTTCTGGGGTTGTTAGTGCTGGTTGGAGAAGGTGTTTCAGTGGCGCTGGCCGCGATCAGGCATGCTGGAGCGGCGTGCATGGGTGCGCGGCGGCTGTGTGCGGTGAGAGAGACCACATTGCGCGGGGAGAGCGGAGCGGAGGCGTACCTGCGCCATGGCGGGCTGCGGCTGCGGCGAGGGACGCTGCTGGGGACGGGGCGCTGCTGGGAGCTCGGCGGGCGGCTGGCAATGGCTGTCGCGGTGCGGTGTGTGCGATGACGATGGCTGCGGGCAGTGGCAGGCATCCCGCAGGCAGCGAGCGCGGTGGTTGGGCCTGTGCGCCGACTCGCCTTTGCGTACACAACACGCGCGAGCACTGCACCACGCCTGTCTCGCGCAGAACAACACCGCGCACTCCTCCCAGCCCCGCTGCAGCAGTCGAGCCCTTGGCTGCTTCCTATTATGTCCCCGTGAGGCCACGCCCGCCTTTACCTCTGCTGCGCCCGCTGTGTTTGCCAATTCGCTTTGTCGAGCACACCGAAAGCGTCACCTAGCAACACAACTTGCCATTCACCACCACCCACGCCTGCCACCGCTGGCACCTTCCCCGCCTCCCACGCCCTCCCGCACCTTTCCGCGCCCCTGTCGCGCCGTCTACATGCCTGCACCACCGTGAACGTCGCCATCTTCCGCAACTCTTTGTTTGCGCGCGCTGCACACCACCGCATAGCCGCTCGCCATGTCGCCGCCGCCCTCCGCGGTCAACGCCCAGCTGCGGCAGCTTATACACTACCACCTCGACAACGGCTTTACCGAGAACGCCCTCTTCCTCGCCGGCCGCCTGCATGCCCTGGACACACGCAACCCTGACGCTGCGCATTTGCTGGCGCTCTGCAACCTCCGACTGGGAAGATACAAAGCTGCCTTTGAGCACTCCAAGAACAAGGCAGCGCAGTTGCAGCACCTGGGGTGCGTCTACACATTTGCGCAAGCATGCCTGAGCCTTGAGCGTTTCGAGCTAGGCGCTACAGCGCTCGAGAAGGCCAGGGGACTGTGGCATGTGCGCAACCACTGGAGTAAGCGCCTTGAAAGAACGGGAAACTGGCGTGGTCAGGCTAACAGCACACTCAGACAAGCACTCGGATACGTCAAGACAGCATGTGCCAGACGCGGCAGCGTGCTTCTGTCTGCTGGGCAAGCTTTGGGCAGCATACGGCGACACCAAGAAAGCCATCGAATTCTACGTCGAATCGCTGAAGCTCAACTCGTTCATGTGGGATGCCTTCACCGGCCTCTGCGACATCGGCGCCGTGGTTCGACCGCAGAACGTCTTCATCATCACCCCGGCCATGCTTGAATCGATATCGCAGGCTGCATCACTACAGAGCAACTCGGAAAGCGACAACCCCTTTGTCTCGAGACCGAACGATGACCCGTTCAACCCGTCCACACGGCAGCGCGGCGACGTCGGACTCAGCATGGGGGGAACAAACCTGCTTTCAAAGCTGAACGGCCGAAACCCAGCGCTTAACGGGCGGCACCACAACGTCGAGACTCCTGTGGCTAACAGCCAGGAACCTGGCGACGAGGACTTGATGATGGGCGAGGGCGGAGGCCCAGTCATGACAGAGCGAGGGCCAGCAGACATTCTTCACGCACCAGGGCGGAAGATCAGGATGCAGCCATTTGCGCCCGTAGAAGACCCGCCTAGAATGCGGCCAATCACGTCAAGAATGCGAACGAAAACAAACCCTTCAGATAGCGAGCAGACGGACATACCACGACCGATGCACCAAAACGGCCATAAGAGGACTGTCTCAGGCCACTCCACACATACACAACCCACACAAGCTTCGCAGCAACATGCAGTCGACCTCACAGCCGCGCCACCGCGTAGAAGCGCTCGGTTGTTCAACTCTATCACCTCGATAGGATCTGCTCGTACGACAAGTCGGCCACCAGGCACAGCCCTCATCAGAGACCCTGAGGCGAGAGAGCGACGAGAGTTGCGGAAGGTCAGGGCTACAGGAACGAAGGGGAGGACAGGTACCACCTCGACTGTAGGGCGAGTGGTTAGCGGCAATCGCAAACCTACTTTGGATGCTACCGAGCCTCAAGAGCCCAAGCCTCGACCACTGAGCGCAGCAGCAATAGCACCACCACCAGCTCTTAAGACGGCACACTCGACGGAGACAGCACGCGAAGAAGACGCGCTTAGATGGCTTCTGGACCTACTGCACAGGATCGGGTCAGGATACAGGTACCTCAGTCGCTACGAGTCGGTAAAAGCCCTGGAAGCGTTTGCGTCTGTACCAGCTGCGCAGCGCGACACTCCGTGGGTACTTGCGCATGTCGGCAAGGCACATTACGAACGCGCACAGTACGCAGAGGCAGAGAAAGCGTTCAAGAAGATCCGAGAGAAGGCGCCCTCCTATCTCGAACACATGGAGGTGTATTCCAACACTCTGTGGCAGATGAAGAGCGATGTAGCATTGGGTCACCTGGCACATACTCTGATGGATCAAGATCGCCTATCGCCACAGGCATGGTGTGCCCTTGGCAACGCGTCGTCTCTCGAGCGACAGCATGACGACGCAGTCAAGTGCTTTGTGCGAGCCACGCAGTTAGATCCCAAGTTTGCGTACGCTTTCACTCTGCAGGGTCACGAGCACATGGCCAATGAAGAGTTCGACAAAGCTATGCAGGCGTACCGGAACGCGATCAGTGCTGATAACAGGCACTACAACGGCTGGTATGGTCTCGGAAATGTGTACGAGCGCATGGGCAAGTTCGATGTTGCTGAAAAGCACTACAAGGCTGCAGCCCAGATCAATCCAAACAACGCTATGATCGTTGTTAGAATTGGATTGGTAAGTACCAAAAGAAGCATGGTTTGTGTGGTGTTAACTTCTGTTCAGGTTCTCGATCGCATGAAGAAGATCGATGTCGCCCTCACACATTTCAACGCCGCCGTGACACTCGATCCACGGTCTATTATGGCGCGTTTCCGCAGAGCGCAGACGCTGCTTAAGCTAGAACACACCGAAGAGTCCCTCAAGGATCTCTTGTGTTTGAAAGACCTTGCACCTGATGACCCCAACGTTCACTTCCTGCTTGGCCGTTGCTACAAGAAGACCCGAGACCGCGCGAACGCGATCAAACACCTCACGATTGCGATGAATCTGGATCCCAAGTCTCATGGCGTTATCAAGGAGGTCATGGAGTCTATTGAGCAGGATGATGAGGGTGGTTGGAGTAGTGAAGAGGACAGATGAGTGATCTCATCGATCGATTGCTTGGAGTTTGCGCATGGATTTTGGACTACCCCCGTCGACACCTATCTTCAACCACATCATCATCAGCTGCACAGACGTACAACGAGTCCACTTTATACCCTCCATTGTCATTCTTCGCGTTGCATGTTTTGGGCGAGCAAAAGCTGGTTTGCATCTGCATTGCATTGAGGAGTTCTGGGCTCGCCATTTTGGGTAGCTTTGCATGCTTCGGCACGAGGATATGATTACATTACGGACTTTGGCTGCTTTTCTTGCGTGGGTAGCGCGCCCATGATCGTAGTCTAGACACTGGCTTGCATGGCATGGTGTCTTTTTGCACAGTGCGGTAGTAAGTAGCAATCAATCACCAATCACAATGACCTCACTTGACGACCTACGGCATCCACACAGACACTTCCGGCCAGGCACTTGGCACTTTTGTGGGATTTAAATTATCTTCATTGCAACTGACCAGCCGCAGAACTAAACTGTATCCCTCCATTCAACTACATAAACCCAATCATCAAACGCTGATCTCATTTGTCTACCTCCGGTATCACCCCTACTACTGCTTGGGATTTATCCCATTGACGCGAAGGGCTTCCCGTTTCTGGAAGAGAGTACTAGGAATCAAGATTATTCCCTGATCGGTCTGCTCCGCAATTCATCAACCAAGTGGTTCAGTTCAGCAAGGGATGCGTCAATGCCGTCGCCTTTATCAGCTGGCAATGATCTAACTGGTTCTCAACGCACGCTAGACTGCCTTCGAGAGCCTGCGCCTCGCAGAAAATAGTTCAAGCTTCTGACCCAAACGCCATTTCATAGCCAAAAACCAGCCCAGCTGGCTTTGACAGGCCACTACGCTGAGTCGAGTAAGTTCACGCTCCCGTTGCTATCTTTTACTCAGGCTTAACAAAGGAGGACTTCAGCCACAGTCTCGCAATGCCTCATAGGTGTGTATTCGTATATGTAAGATACAGGGAACTTGGCTTTCTTGGAAGATCCGTTAGAAAATGCTCGAATCACCACAACACCCGAGTGTCTCTGCCTTCTCGGCTCTACGCGCCTGAATTTCGCCTTTTCCACATTCAATCTACCAGAAGTATCACTCCGTTATTGCACACATGGCAGACCCTTCGTATAGGGCAGCTCAGCCAGGTGAATTCTTCTGCCCAGCTGGTGGAACATGGTAAGTCATGCTCCAACACGACACGAACTGGCAACTTTCGTTAGTCGTGTCGAAGACGCGAAGATGTAGTGTCACACTGCGTACGAGCTGCTAAGTGACACCACCAGGTACATGTGCGAAACGGGCACAAAATTTGTTGGGTGCTGCATAGCAGACCCATGTACGAATGGGTGCATCGGAAACAGTCTTCGTCCGGCAGGTCGCTCGACAGCTCTCGATAGTCAGTCTCCAGGGGGATCGTGTGGTGGACAAACGCCGTTCTGGACTTGCGGTCAAGCGCCAACTTTTTGGGGATGCTGTAACGAGAGTGAGTTCTACGAAGTGTAGCTCTGGCATCTACTAATACACTGAAGATCCGTGCATGAACAATTCAACGTGTCCTGAAGGGAAACTGGAGCCCACCTTCTGGGACCGGCCGGATCAGTACGAGTACTTCAAGGATCTGAACATTCTTCTTTCATCTACCGCACCTCGATCTACGTCAACTTCACTGTCGGGTAACTCCCACGGCAGCTCCGGACCATCTGATGCAGTGATTGGGGGCGCCGTAGGAGGCACACTCGGTTTCGTAGCAATTATCGCATTTGTTATCTTCTTGCTCTGGCGCAGGAAGAGACGCAGCCAGAAGCAAGCAAACAGCGATCCTGCATTGTCGATGGAGGAGAACAAGCCCGAGACTGGAGAACTAGCATCCCCGGTATCTGACAGTACAGGTATGTTATGTTCGCACTACGATGCAGGCCGGACCACAGCTGAAAACACTGTAGTAAACCCCATGTACTCCTGGAATGTCGCCAACAACTCACCAGCACAACAACGATGGGCCCACAACCACCGCGAAGTACCGGGCGAAGACTCCAAAGGCTCACCTCGCAGTCCCTACACGGAGTTGCACTCCAACTCCTCGCACACTCGCGTTGCCGAGCTTCCTGCAGGGACTGTAGCCAACGAGCTGGATGCGCCTGAATACACCCCCAAGTCACCGTATGCTGTATTCGGAATCGATGTACCAAAGCAGGCGCACAGTTTCGATGCTGAAAGTCAAGGAAAACCTATGGACAGTAGAGAGAAGCGATAGCATGTGCCATCAACAGCCGCGGCATTCTTCAGTCGACAGAATCGAATTAGACCAACTCAATACCATCATGCATCTCCATACCGTCAGTTCATGCTTCACAAGCGATACTTGGAAACCTGTCGACCATCCTCGAACCTAACTCCACCTCCCCTTCACCCAGCCTCGCAGGCAACCACGCAACCCACCGTTTGCACCGAACCATCACGCGGCGCCCCTGCTGACTCCGCCAGCAACTCTCCAGCACAGGTTTCTCCTACATAAGCCACCACTCTTGCCCCCAGCCAACGAATTCCTACTCACCAAGCACAATTCCGATACAAATAACAGAACCAAAGCAGCACCACCATGTCCCACAACCCCAATACAAATCCTACACCCACACTCAAACCGCCGTCCCAATTCTCCTCCGCCAACGCCAACGCCAACGCCGACGCCGACAAATCACAAACCCAGTCCCAAACACACACGCAGCCAAGCTCACCACCACAAACAGGCTCAACCTCCCCAAACCACACCCACGGCATCCACAGCACCGACATCGGCGACCTAGTCTCCATCACGCAATCCCACTCGCGCAGCCCATCACCAAGCGAGATCGTGCTAACGAGCGCGCTGGAGGACGTGTGCGCGCTGAGCGAGGCGGACGGCGAAATGCAGGCGCGTGGGGTGGGGCGGGCGGAGCGGCGGGCCAGGCTGGTGGGGCTGCGTGGCGAGAGGGAGAGGGCACGGGAGGGGGGGAGGATGTATGAGGAGACGCAGCGGAGGGGGAGGGAGGAGGTGTAGGGGGGTTCTGGTGGGTGAGGACGGTTGATGGTCTTGCTGGGATTTTTCTTATTGGGGGCTATGTCATTAAATGGGGGGGTACAGTGATGGTTCTGTGGCTGGTTAGCTGTGATAAAGATAGTTTAAATCCTTCAAAAATGCTAAATAGTTGTACAGGTGTAGTAGGGGTGACACTAGAGGTAGACAAGTGAGATTAGTGTTGATGATTAGGCTGAACGTCTGCCATAGCGACGGCTGTGGCTGGATCGACCACTGTATTGCGTGGTGAGCTGACCCCTAAGCAGAGAACCCTACGATTCGTACGAGTAGGTGTCTCAGAGACCGAAATCCGATTCACCACTTGGATGCTATTGGAGCGGCACGTTTCTGCTTTAGCTATACTGCCGTTTTAAATACAGCTCAATTTTACTTATTATGAGAGATACAAGGCAGGTCTTCCTGGCGAAAATCTTGCTAAAGCGAAGGAGCTATATATATTCAGTGAAAATAATACGTTGTGTCCTTTCTCGCAAACTTTGACCTGAAAAGTCGTGACAAGGGAACCAGTAGCCATCCAAAGACTGAAAAATACCCGCTCTGCTGCAGGGCTACTTACCTATGCATAGACGAAACCCGCTCCAACTGCTAATTCCGTTCAGCTAACTGTGCTTCTTTATCCCTGTCAGTTGCTGAGGATGGGGACGACGGTGAAGCCTCCTCGGGCTGTCTCGCTACCCTTCCAACGTTCACGTCCCAGTTAAAAAGATCCCATTTCCATTTGCCCCAACCGACCTGAAAGTTGAATTGACTTGACACGCCGTCTATGCGAGTCTTAGGATCCAGCTTGAGGTCGTCTTTAGAGTCTTCGACGATGTCCCAGTCTTGTGCATCCGTCTCGTTGCCCTGGTTATGTGAGGCACCAGGGGTGTCAACAAGTTTTTGTTCTTGGGAAGATTTGCTGCTGGTTCGTTGCTTCTTTGCCTCCTCGATCTGTTGGCGTTGGATCTCTATCACGCAGTGTCAGTGTACACACAAACTCGGTGACAGACCTGGAAGAGAGCCGTACTCTTAGGATCCCAAGTGCCACCTTGTTGAGCCATGCTGTTCGTGAATGCTTTCAAACTGTTTCTCCGGTGCTTCAGGCACTGGTGTAGATGATGGTGAGTGAAAATTAGGTCAGGGCGAACAAGCTAGCGATGAATGCCTTTGGGGCTGACTGGACGAACGAGCAGCTGACTATAATATGGTTGAGGATTTGTTGTTATTGGCGGTGACGTTGGTAATTAGCGGAGCATGACAGGCAGCAACACACCAAGTTGGCCTGTTAGTGGCAAAGCTCAGCCAAAGACGGTAAACGCTTGACTACTTACGGAAGACAGGGTCAAGCACCTCTGCAAATAAGCTGGCCCAAAACAGTGTTGGAGCTGCGTGTAAGGGTAAAACCGCAGTCGCTAGCAATTGTACATGCAAGCAAAAACACCAGCATCATCTTTTCTTGGCTATACAAATATCTAGGCCGCGTAGACATGTCTTGCGCTACAACCAGCTACACACTAGCTTATAAAGAATTACTTCCTCTGTTGATCTTGTACGGCCGTTATATCTAGTGTCCTGAACTAATTGCTTGCCTACGAGATACTGTTCGCGAGAACAGAACTTTGGAAGGTAGGACTTGTCTCTCGAAGCGTCTGAGACAAGTTCAGGTTTATAACTAGCACATGCAGCGCCGAAGCAGAGATTCCACAGCACAGAAACTCGCATTTCATTGTCTTCCATCAAAAACTTCACATCTTCAAGTACTACTTACAATTCTTAAACCGTCATTCACAGTGATCTACAAGACCCCGGCCTACCCCGTCCTGGCCACTGGCCTCCTCGCTAGCATGATGGCCGCCAGTCTCAAGCCCTGTGAGATCTTCCCCAGACATTGCATCCAGTTACTCAACGATGTTGCTGGGGTTTGCCAATTGGATGCCAACGGGCGCATCTTTTCCTACACTTATGGATCTGTGAGTATCCCCGTGTCTGGTCTTGTGAATAGTGAGTGATGGAATGGCGGTGCATTGGTGATGATGGTGAATCCATCCTGAGGCAGTGTGACTTCAATACTGATGATAATCAGGCGTGGTGCCCGAGTGCCTGGAGGGTGGAGGGGTGAAGGGAGGAAAGGAGAACCTTCAGATTGTTGAAGACATTAGATAGTATGAATTCGGCGCTTATCGACAGTCATTACGTCAAAATGGCGACAGCTCCCATACATTTAGCTCTGCTCGAAAGGGGGTGGATTCCAAATTCTTGTTATCCCACGACTTGGCTGATCTTGCACAAGATAGTTTGATCGTCGTACATGCTGCTCTGCCAAGGTGATCTGCTCCCCTTGGCACGGCACTCCCGCGCTCTGCATCTGGAGAAAGGAGCATTGATGGTGAAACCAAACCAGGCGGAGTCAGGACCTTAATGCACCTGATAGATTCTTGTAGTTGATAAGCAAGGAGCCTCGTGCTCAAGCTTCGTCCCAAGAGTGATACGTATTCTTCTGGAGTAGGTCGTCAGAGCACGCAACAGTCGTAAGAAATTTAGCTTTCGGTGTTGAGTTGTGCTTGCCTTGATCAGGGGAACAAGCTGCTATCACATCATTCCGCCGATCATCATCTCACAATGGAAGATGTTGTCGTAAGCTCAAGACGTGTAATCATCGTGCGTTGTCGTGCCAAGTAATCGGTCTTTCTATCCCAGTGCGTCCTTGTTGGAGAGTGAACTGTGCACTGGGTCGCCACTACGGCTCGTGAAACCATAGCAGGGACCACATACAGCGTATCACATAGGGAGAGGTTGTGTTTGCCAAGAGCGGAACATGACGATTCGAGTTGCTCCAAATTCCACTGCAGAGCAATCCAATGTCAAGGTTGAGAACGACCCTTGATGCATGTTGTTCAAACGTGTCCGCAGGTCCAGATACGGAAGTAGCAAACCCAAAGCACGCTTTCTATATCCACATGGCATGTCCTTGAATGACTTAGACAGCTGCTTCTCATGACCCTTGAGTTGTTTCAGTTGCGGAAGGCCAAGACGCCAAGATTTCCGGCGGTTGCTGCCAGGGAGGAATGAATGCTGATGAGACCAATTCGGTATGAGTGAGTAAAGGTGGGTCGTATTGGCTTCGGCCTCAGTGTTTATCCGATAGGCGAGTGACCTCAAGGGTTCTGGAGCACAACGTTGAGGAGGCTCCTGGCCGGGTGAAGGTTTCAGGAGGTTGCGGCGCGCCTTGCCGCGTTCGACATCACTGATGTTCCATCCCCACAGTGCACAGACCTCTTGCGAAACGCGGGTTGATGTATGCACAGCAGACGTGTGAAGCACTGAGCGGTCAAAGAAGCATGGACAAGGTACCTGGTAGGGTATTAGGCTTGCTGTCGAAGGCTCAAAGCAAGTCTTTGTCGTATTACAGCGCCACATAATCAGGCGGACCTTCTTGGACGGACCACCTGGTACAGCGATATATCCACAAGACATTGGCGTCATGGCAACTTTTCTGCTGGGCGAGCACCTTCTTACGAGCCTCTCTAGCAGCGACAAGTGTTATTGTAGACGTCGATGATATTTAGGTTTACTTTTGTAATTTTGCGGGGAAGACCCCCACGGAATGTTGTAAATCAGCTCTTGGCGGCAACCGTCCAGCCAGAGCTGTTGTAAGCCTGATGATGGAAGCATGTGGTTTTACGGACGACAGTCGACCACTGGATCAGAGCCATTCTGTAATCTCGGAGGCACTGATTGTAGTCACATTCGCACTGTATCATCTCACCCGCAGCATCTTACAGAGCTGAAGGCTCCAAGGCGTTTGCGGCATTTATACGCTTTGGGTAAAGCCGCGAAGACGACTGCAGGTGCCGGCGCTGACCTTTGCCAGTGCAGGACAAGAAACCGCTTCCGTCTCCAGAACTTTCGAGCCGCTGCTGTTCTGTAGCAATTGCGTGTGTGTACAGGATGTGGGCTGTATCATGGGCTGGACATAGTTCAGACAATGCGACAACCGTCGCTTGATCTGAACAGGCCGATGGAGTCGAACAGAGCACACAGCAACGGCCATACCCAGACGCCTGTATAGTGCGATCCACGGAGTGTAACCTCAATTAAGAAACACCGTGCACCTCCGCGATGTCTGTAATAATGGGTGTCTGGGAAATAGCTGTAAGGCTCGGCGCTCACACAGCATTTGCATCCGATCATCTGCAGGTGCGCTCGAGCAGTGGGGGTAAATTGCAGGGGTGTGGCTAGCGTGCCCGATGTAGCTTTGCGGCCTGCAGCGTGTGCCTTTAACCTGTCATACATATCTCCTGCGATCCCAGGAGAGAGGACCCGCATTTCGACGCTGCATTTGCATGTTTTGTTGAACATCTTCCCATAGCGCCAGTCGAAATTCGGGTAAGGAGACCTTTCTCGCGCTGTTCCGCCATCAGCGCCAGGTTTTCCTAAATCCTGCGACCCACACTTGAAGCGAAGAAGCGAGCCAGTGGACGTCACTGCCGTCTGACTTATACTGGCCGGGCCCTCCGTTATTGATTCACACAAAGCCTTGCTTCATTCACAATCAAGTACAATTCCTGGCCGTTCTACATTTAAAACTTCTCTATTTGGATGGCGCGTTCAAAGCTGGTCTCTTCACCTCTCTCACGCTCGACTCCCTGCTGCCCGCTCGAATCAACCTATCACCGGCCAAGTTCTCTACAGCGAGCCTGACCAGAACGGTGGTTCTCTCGATCTCATAGCACAATCCACCACACATGATCGTGAGGACGGCGCTGGTCAACACAAGAGCTATCTATCTTCGTCATGTCCGTACCTGATGCAGAACCGCCCATCATAACACAGTCGCACGACGATCAATTTGTATCTGAACACTTGCATCGTCGAAATTCGCGAATGGTCGAATACCATCATGCCATCGAAGAGGAGGATGAAAGCATTCGCACAGCGAGCGAGTGTGCCGAACCCTTGACACCAACCAGCCACACTAGCGAAAACATATCTTTCTCCCACCCGTTTCGCACCGACGAGCACGCAGATGAAACTGACACAACATCGAAGACCGCTGCTGATTGCATTCCCACCAGCCTAGTGCCTCAAGCAACAGAAAAGCCTACCCCTCAGTCTGGGAATCAGACACCACCTGAGAAAAGGGGGTTCGGACGACGCGTTGGCTCGTTCGTGCGAAGTAAATTGCATCGACGGAACACCCCTAAGGAGGATTCCAAGGAGTCTAGTCCAGATCAACATGAGACTCGCCAGACTCCAGATTTCAGGGTCACGACCGGTCCTTTACATGCTGCATCCGCATTTGAACATATTACCGACATTGATAATTCGGCTTTCGATTTCGCCAGGAGCAGAAGAAGACATAGCTCTTTCTCCCTTTCAAGAAGCCCCCAAAGATCCTCCCGAATAGCCACTCCACCGCCACCAGCAGACTCGCCAACCGGAACCGCTTCGAATGACGACCAGGAAAGGAAAACTCGTCTTGACAGAAAACCTATGTCCTCCACAGCTCTCTCAAGCATGCAACCTGCGAGGCCTGGTATCACCTGGGCTGATAAGGTCCCTGACAACAAGAGGCATACGTGGACAAGAAGGCGATCCGCAAGTACAGATCATATGCTGCAGGTTGGGCGAGACGATGACAAACCGACGGCTGGGATGTTGAACACTTTCTCCAAGCCCCCTGAGAAGGGTGTAGGTATGAAAGCCCGCCGCCTCAGTCTTAATCTCCCGAGCGACTACATCATAGATCAATGTGAGCTTGACAAGGAGTTCAAGGGCTCAAGTCTCATGCCTGGAAAACGTGGGAAGATTCTAGGCAAAGGTGCAACAGCCGAAGTGCGGATCATGGCTCGTCGAGGCGTGTCTCGGGATGAGCAACTGGTTGCTGTCAAGATATTTCGAGAGCGCAATCCAGAAGAGACAGAGGAAGACTACATAATGAAGATCAAGTCTGAGTACAGCATCGCTCAGAGCCTACACCACCCCAATATTGTCGAGACTCTCCGTCTTTGTACACACCGTGGCCGCTGGAACCACGTTATGGAGTACTGTACTCACGGCGAGATTTACTCCCTAGTTGAAAGAAAATTGTTCGCTAGCGGTGTCGAGGGATTCTATAGTCGCGAAGACCGCTTATGCTTCTTCAAGCAACTACTCGGAGGCGTCGACTACCTGCATAGTCACGGGGTCGCCCATCGCGATATCAAGCTCGAAAATCTCTTGGTCGATAAGAATGGGCATCTCAAGATCTCCGATTTTGGTGTTGCAGAGGTCTTCAGTGGTGAACATCCGGGTCTTCGTGCATCTGGGGGCCAGTGTGGCAAAAATATGGGAGCAGTTCGGTTGTCATCTCCCGGTATCTGCGGTAGTCTACCCTACATCGCGCCTGAAGTGCTGGCGAAGCGAGCTTCCTACGACCCTCGTCCGCTCGATATATGGTCATGTGCCATTGTTTACATCACGATGACCTTTGGGGGATGTCCATGGCAGGCTGCTAAGTCTGAATTTGAGTACTATGCCAGATTCAAGAGGGGCTGGCAAGATTGGCTGAAAGAGCATCCGGATGGTGAGCTGTTCGATGGCCCGGACGGCTATCCAAAATGTGGCAAGCTCTTCAACATGATTGAGGGACCGGCTATCAGGCATCTCATCCTCAGAATGTTGCATCCGATCCCCGAGAAACGTATTACCATCCGCGAAGTTTTGAACACCAGCCTAATCCGGAACGTTGATTGTTGTTGCCCTGGAAGCTTTGAAGATCCAAGATGCTGCTCAGATAGCTCGAAGCCTGCTCCAACCTCTGGAAAATCTTCACCAAAGAAGCCTCTTCACCACCATATACCACCCAAACCCGAGAGCAGGTCTCGCGTTCATATTTTCGAGGTAGGCGAGGCTTAATCGTTACGCATTTCCTGATCTTCTTATTGCATCAATTGGGTGTTCACATTAGCGCAGCATAGCGAGGTAAAAAGGCGGTCACTCGTTCGCTTTTTCTCACATAATACCCCCAATGGCTTATCGACATGTACATAGTTTCATAGTGATCTCAGCAAGCAATTCTACTTGCACTTCAATCTTCTTAACTCTTAGAGATGTCACATGCCTAATTGAGGTCACAAAGCCATGCGCTGGCGTCAAGAACCCCATTCTTATTCTGGCAATATCAGCCTAACAGCTTGCCCTCAGACATCTCAACAAGTCGCGCGATTGCCGCGTCGACTGGCAGCTCTGGCACAAGAACCTGCTCCTAGTATCGCTATCATCGCAACGCTTCTCAGATTGGCATTTACCGCAATTTTCCGCCCATCCCTTTGACCGGCATGGCGCCGAGCAGAAAAGCGAGATAAAGAGCTTGAGCCATCACACTACTACAGCCCACCAAGATCCTTGGTACCGCATCGGCGGGAAAGCACTGGCAGGCGTCATCTGCCGCGGGATCGATTGCGACTTCACAAACGGGCCGCCGAACTCAAACTTCGGTCGCGATGTGTCGACTTATCGTTTAGCTAGCTTGGCTTTCCCTATCACGCCGGCTACACCTCCCGCCGACGTCAACGGCATTGGATTTGTTGGATTTACTGGGGCCACGGTATGCTGCACGTCGTGCAATGTGATACTCTGGGGTGCATTGCTGTGATCAAGCAGGGAAAGTGATGCGAGGCGTGGATCGTGTCAGCAAAAGAGATGCGGATAACGAGCAACGTGGGGTTTGGATGGCCCAGCAGCGTCGGCGTCGGAGCGTTCTTCGGCGCATGCTCCGTTCACATGGTACTGCGGGGTTGTTCCGAGGAACGGGTGAATTCATGGTGGGGCATCGTGTACCGTATCGCTCATTGCGAGGACACCAATGTGGCGGAAATATGCACTGACGACCGAGGGGCAGGTGTCATGCAGTGTTGTATGATAGGCAGCTGATCGTATTGCGTATCGTCCTTCACACACCTAGTCGACCGAGCAATTTCAACCCGACACACATATGTCATTTCTTTCTCGAGACCAGAAACTCGACAACACATAGGCCGTTTCAATTTGTTCCCGTCTCTGACTGACTTTCAAACTAATACTTTGGAAAAGGCTTCAACGAAAGGTCTCAGTGCATTTGGACATCAAGACCCCTAACTGGGTACGAGACACAGCCAATCACAGTCTGAAACTGCACGTCCTCTTGTTCCACAAGTCTTCCCTCAAGCTCAGATCTGCAGTGCTTATCCTGCGTCAAGCCGCGATGACATGAGCTTCTCCTTAGCCAACAGTTGTCTCAGCTTGTAGGCTACTTGGGCAGACGTGGGGGAGTGACCAACTAGGCACAGTAATTCGTGAAACAAGGTGATATTTGTTCACAAACGGAAGATGCCGGGCGGAAAAAAACATGTTGTTTAAGTGTATATGTTGTTTGAATAGACTCAAGCTTTACATAAACAGACCGCCACCGTCAGTTCTAACCATCGAGCCGTCCATGTTGTAGTCTTTCATGATACCCAGATAGCTCTCAGCCACCCACTCCGGTCTGCCCGGCGTTCCGGTCGCCATCTTCTCGCTCATTTGCTCCATCATATGTTCCTTCTGTTCCTTAGGCATGTGCCACATCTCTGTATCGACTACACCAGGACTGACGCCGTTGACTCTGATAGGCTTCATGTCCAATGCCAGGTTCCTGACCATAGAGTGATGACCGCCCGCAAATGAACCGATAACGCTCCAGCCTGGTATGGGACGCTCACTAACACTTCCAGTAGTGATAGTGTAGCTGCTTTCATGAGAGTTCTTGATGTATTGGGGAATGAACTTCGCAGCCAGGAGGGGGGCGAAGAAACGAATTTGGCCTGCTTTGAGTATGCTCTCCATTGTTATCTCTACAAGCTGCATAGCGGCAATAGCGTCGCCGGCAGTGAAGATGACATGGTCCAACTTGTCGCCGCCCATGTCTTTGACGGTTTGTTCGAATAGCGTCTTCAGCTCCGACTCTAACGTCTCCGATCTAGAGAGGTCTACAGCGTGGCCGCGAATTTTGGACTTGGCAGACGGGTACGATGATTGCAACTTAGCAATGGCGGTCTCTATTCTGGCTGAATTCGAAGACGCTATCATAACAAGAGCGCCATTCTCGAGGCACGCTTCAGCAACGCTGTACCCAATGCCAGAGGACCCGCCGATGATGAGCACTCGCGATCCCTGAAGCTTGTTGGAGAATTTGCTCTGATCTGATATTTTGCTCATATTCGTCTCTGGCTCGCGGACTGTTGGATGAATATTGAAGATAGTGGCGTTCACAGAGTTGGAGCTGTCAGTGTAATGCAAGGTCCGATGCGATCGTAGCCTTAGCCTGTATAAGGGTTTGAAGTGCGATTGACAGAGTATGTGGACCACCAAGCTATTATATACTGCTAGACTACGCCCCGTTCGTATGACGATTCTATTCCGGATTTAGCACGGTGTTATGGCTAGCTGCGACAGAATTGCAACACCCACTTCTCCTATTGTCGACCTACGCGTATGTATGACATCATGCCATCTGGTAGTACACTCTTTAGAAATATGACCGCTGGTCAATCCAAGTCCGTCTGAACAGTTGTGTCTGAACTGATAAGCAAAGTATGATACATTTGCTCTTAAGCCACGCCGAGACATAGTACGCTTGGAAAATCTAGGGTATCGTCCAGAGAGAGTTGATCTGCTTTCTCCTGACCTGTGTATAACGTAAGTTCATTGTGGCACAAAGTCGGCATGGCAGACTTACCAAGGGAGCAACGAATAAGACGCCTACAAACAATGCAGCGACAGTAAGAAGCATCTGAATCTTGTTGAAACCCTTACCCAGAATATCGAATGCGAAACTGGGGGCAACCCGAGTGCCAAATATATCATGGCCGTAAGCGAACACCAAACTTGTGCTCTCAATACCGCTTTTACTTGTGATGACTTCCCTGATACCCAAAACCTCATATTTGTGAGTAAGATGCCACTTCGAGTCGAGAGGGAGAAGAGGAGCGTATCTGGCGAGGCCTTCTGCCTGTTCTTGCGGCGTAGGGTCGCGGCCAATCGGACGTCGTGGGTCGATGACCTGGCGAGGAACACCGACGATGGAGTTCGTTGATGGAATGGTAATGAGAAGCTCGCGGCTAGTGATGCCTTGTTTTGTCTGAGTCACCGCCATGTGCGAAATCTCCGCTGCAATTTGGTAGCTCTGCGACAACACATACGGCTTTGATGCGTCGCCCTGGGAACTCGACGGCTTCACAGCCGAAGAGTTAGATGAAGCACCCAGCGGGCCACGATCGTCCGGTAGTGGGGACTCGTAAAGGTCGGAAACAACGAGCTGGTGGCCACGAGATTCTGGAGAAGCGGTAGAGTCTATGGTTAAAGCATAGCTAAACCAGTTCTCCGAGATGGTGGAAGGGATTGGCCGAGAAGTGTCAACATCAGAGTGTGACATGGTGTGAAGCAGCTGGCCGGAAGCAGAGTCCAGCAAATAGACCGAGGCGGTACGTGCGGACTCAGATACCGCTGTAACTAACACGAGGTTCGGGTTTAAGTACTTGTAGAGTACTCTTCGGTCACCAAGAACGTTACCAATAGAAGCAACAGGATCATCGACGGGTCGGGTGGTATATCCGACTATGCGCTCACCACTCGGCGGTTCAAAGGTCCAAACAGATTCAGTGCTCGCTTCGTTGACCAAAGACCCTACGAGGGCACCATTGTCAAGGGTAAAAGACACAAGCTTCTGGCCTTCAGCAAGTAGAGGGCCGTGTAAATGGAGGTTGACGTAAGATGCCGTGCCGCCTGTGGTGGCGTTGATGAACAGCGAGCCCTGAAAGCTTGGGTCCCTGACCTCAACGTAGCCACTGTGCGCCCTTAGGGTTGGATACTCGAATACTGTATCAGCGAATTGTGTAAGGTGCACGTTCCACAGCACCTTGCCACGAGCGCCTACGTCCAGTGCCGCAAGACGACCTTTCTCAGTCGCAACAATGACAAGCCTGTGGAAGCCAAACGTATCCTGCTGAATGTCATCGACAGTAGTTTGCTTCGGCTTACCAACAACGTTCCCAAGGAGACGCTGTGGGAGGCTCTGTGCCCATGCTGGAAAGTGCTCGAGGTCTTGAATATGCCTCTTGACTCGGTGAATGTAAGCTGAAACTATGTTCTGGTGGCGCTCGACTTCTAATTCGGCTGCGAGAGCTTCGACCTCCGGTAGACGTGCCCACACAGCAGACGAAGTTTGGGACAAGAACTCGGGCCGAGTCCAAGCAATCTCACCATTGAGAATCAGGGCCCACTGTCCGTTCGAGAACAGCACAGCTGACCTGGCGGCAGTCGTTGCTCCAGATTTGACGACTACCTCTGAGTTTGCGTGTACCGGATATGCCCCCGCCAAAGCAGGCGACCTCGCTGTGGGCCAACGACCGAGTATGCCATGAGAGGCCGAGGAAACTACGAGAATCTCATCTTCGGTAATTCTGGTGAAGTAGACGTTGGCATCAGTTGTGCTAGTAGCAAACGTTCCCCTCCCGTCCAGCTCAGGAAGGCTGTACGCCTTTGATACACTGTTACTCTTGAGATCGACGTGATAGACCTCTGCAGAGTGTCCAAAAGGAGTCTGATACTCAACGAGGAAATGCGCTTGGGAGTTGACGTGCCCTGGTGCGTGCAAAACCACTTTCTCGATAGGGTTCTTCCCAGGCGTGTCGAAGCTTGCCACCGTCTTCGTGCCAATGATATTGACCTTGAGAACTTTGTTGGTCTTGTCGGTCCACGCAAGTATAGGTGCCGCAGTGTTCGCTCCAGCGAAAACAATGTGATCCCTTGATGTGATCTCGGCGTCAGAGCTTAGCGTGTACTGGTCGAGCTTCTTGCCAGTGATGGGACTGAGGGAAGTGATCTTCAGCTTCGAGCCTGAACCAATTATCGAAGAGTGTAGTGAGATGTAATAGATCGTCGTAGGTGAGGTGGATATTTGGAAGGGCGTGTCGTTGCTAGGAGCGGGGTCAGTATAGCCTTCGCACTCGGTAACAAAAAATTGCTAACCTGGTGTCCTCGTAGGTCCACTTCACACGGCCAGTCTTCCCATCGAGCCTTTTGACGCCATGACTGGTACCAGATACAAGAACGATGGCATCCTTGGCTTGGTCCTTCGTGATGCCATCCTCCTGTTCCAGGATCTCCAAGTCCTCCACAACTGCCCCATCAACATTTGTCTCCCATACCAGCCTGCCGTCTGATGAGCTCCAAGCTGCAACTCGGTTGCCTACGGCGCTGATGACTGTATCCTGCTCGTCGGCTGCTCTTAGGTGGCCTTTCCCGCGGGGTTCTGACGCAGGATGTTGTCGCCAAACAAGCACGCCGTCTTTGGGATTGATCGCGCCGATTGTCTGGTTTTCCGAGATCGAATATAGTAGGGAAGCCTTCGAGCCACCATATGGTCTTTGAAAGAAGGTACCATCGTGCTTTGGTAGGCCTAAAAGTGCATAGTGGAAGTCAATGTGATAGGCATCGTCCTCAAAAATGGCCGACACGGGCGCGAGACAAGCTGCAAGGCTCAGTGCAGCATGGAAACGCATCGCGGGGTATGGCTGCTGGCGTCGCGTCAAGCAGCAAGCTCGATGTCTGCTTGCTCCGCAATGAGCTCAAATGCTTGGCATTCACGTCCGGTCCGTCTTCCTCTCCGATCGACTAACCGATCTGGGCCGAATACACATGAAAGCCTTTTCTTGACTCTGCCAACTGCAGCCTTCCTTGAAGGGACGAGGCCGGGACTTAGCCAGTCTGCTTCCATGTTGAGTACTCTTGGCCGTGTTTTGTCAATATCAAACATCTGTACTCCGTGGAGACGTGACCCACGATACGCGAATCCCGGCTGACGGGGAAGCGGCAGGGTGCCGGCGGACCTTCTCTAGATAACGGCAGGCGTGAGGCACCTCCTGGCAAATGAGATTTCCATCTTTGGGCGCGCAGGACATTCCCAGTAGGTCTCCATCCCTCCCGATACCTGTCTGTTACATATCTAAGCGCTCAGTTCTTGATTCAAGCACACCAAAGGTACAACTGAGGTCCAGACAGCGCAGCGCGGCGTCACTGTCTGCCACGTGGAAATGGCCAAGACGCATTTGTATCACACTGATCAATGCCACGAACCCACTTCAGCGACACCAAGTCCTCAACACTGGCGTCATTACCTTGCCATGTCTGAGCCTTCATTTCCAAACGAGTCAATCAGGTCAGGGACCACCTAGAGATCAGTCAGGTCCACCAGGTTCTGATTCAGTCGCAGCAGTCACTAGAAAGTGCAGTCTCATAGACAACATAGATTCAGATAGCAACATTTGAGGCTTGATCTATCTTCGAGCTAGAGCAATGGTGAATCGCTCGGGAGACGCTACCATGGGATTGGGGGGGTATTCGGGATGGGATTGGGGGAATTCGGGATGGGCCCGGTCTGCCGGTTTAGGTCTGCCCAGCGACCATGCTCCTTCGGGTATTTTGCACAGCGGACTGGCCTCGATGATGTCGGTCGGACCATTCCTGCTGCTAAGCCAACCGCTTTGGCAAACGCTCGACCAGAAGGAGCAATGTAATAAAATACATGGCAACGTTTGCGCGGATCACGGCATACGTTACACCGGCTGGCAGCTTTCAAGTCGAGCTGGCTTCCAGCGCGGCGGCACCGCAAGAGTCTGAACATGTCACTACACACCGACCCTACTGAACCCTGCCAAGTATAGGGCGACTGAACAACTCTTAATCACGGCGTCGCGCTCGACTTCGCATACGCAATACCCTCCATCACTTGTCCGCCTACTTGCTCCCTACCCCTTCCCTCCCTGCTGTCGCGCTTATCGATAACCACTGGAAAATTTCTTCGAACTCCCAACCTCGCCGCAAAAGACAGAGGTAAGTTGCGCCTGCGCGGACAACTAAGGAACCCTGTGGCCCCGATTTGCCTCAATGGCTTGCTCGTGGTGTTCTTGAGAACTTCACCTGCTGATTGGATGCCACTCGTCCAAAGTTTACACAGCTAACAAGCTGCCGCAGCAGTGTGGTTGGCTCACAACGAACGCGCATTATTCCATCCAAATCGCAGGAACAGGCCAAACGCAATCTCCTCGCGACGGAAGTGCCGATATTGTGAAGCATCGTTGTCGCTGGAACCAATTAAGCTTCGGTCGAGCTAGGAGAGCCGCGATTTGGGCCGCTTGTCCTTCCGTGGCAGCTCGTGCCACTTGAAGCCAGGAACACATTTCCCGCGTGCACTGCTCTGTTTTCCTCACGACGTTTGAGAAACCTGAAGAATGTCGCAAAGAGAGTACCACATAGTTGTTCTTGGATCGGGTAAGCTAGTAACCCACCGATGGCATGCTAGAGCACAACTGACGATGGTGGCGCATTAGGTGGAGTCGGGAAAAGTTGTCTAACAGGTACGTTGCTGGCAAGATCGTAGCGATAGAATCTCAACGAGACTGACCACAAGCAGCACAATTTGTGCAGAATGTGTGGATAGAAAGCTATGATCCCACGATTGAAGACTCATACCGCAAGCAAATCGAAGTGGATGTTAGTAAATGATCATACGAATGCGCCATCTCAACTTCTGATCAATTATCAGGGCCGCCATGTCATTCTGGAGATTCTCGATACTGCAGGGACAGAACAATTCAGTAAGCGACACACAACTTTTACCTGTATTATGCGCTAACCGTGCTATAGCTGCCATGAGGTATTGTCTCCAAGTCCACCAGCGGTTTCCAAACTCACAATTGACAGAGAGCTATATATGAAGACCGGACAAGGCTTTCTCCTCGTCTTCGCAATAACGTCTGCATCTTCATTCCACGAACTCGCCGAATTGCGGGAGCAAATCAAACGTATCAAAGAAGACGATAACGTTCCTATGGTGCTTGTTGGCAACAAATCCGATCTCGAAGAGGACCGGGCAATTCCACGTCCAAAGGCATTCGCGACATCTCGGGAGTGGAACACACCTTATTTCGAGACTAGTGCACGGAGGAGAGCCAATGTAGACGAGGCCTTCGTCGATCTATGTCGGCAAATCATCCGCAAAGACGCGAATGAACGGCGACATGTTCCTCAAGACCCAAGAACCAGTGGGAATCCCAGGCGAGCAGGCGGCAGGAGAGACAGGGACCGTCGACAACGACATCGGCCGAAATGCACCATCCTTTGAGATACGATACCCCCGTGACAAACGACTGGTGGCGTTTGCGCCTGCTGGACCAGGCTTTGATTTCCTTTTGAATCAGCCTCCTTAGATGATTTTGAGCATTGTGACTGCAGTTTAGAGGCTTTAGAAGAACCGTACAAACGGGCAAATGATCATCTCCAAGCGATACATGGGCACCCAACCAATGTTGCTGAAGCGATATCCGAAAATGTGGGTCACTGACTTTTGGTAGAAACTTTATTGTTGTTCACTCATCGTGTGGACATACGGCAGATCGATTGTCACGGAAAGCCAGACCGAGCTTCCGACGACTCAGAGACAATGGCCAGACGGAATAACCTCGCTCAAATTACTCGACCACACCACACCATGAATCAAGAGACGAAATGGGGACGACTCGTCAGTGACGCCTGAACGTTGAAAGTTGCGCACATATCTGCCCAACCACACCATCACGAATCGCATTGCACGAACCGGACTCACATGCTTATCCCTCTGACGCAGGGTCTCATCCGGAAGCAACAAGGTATCGACGATTGCAGTCGGAACGATAGTGCCCGAGACGTCCCGGAGCATCACCCATAAGTGCTGCGAAAAGGATACAAATGCACCGAAAGTGCAGCTGCTATCCTGAACAGCAGTTTTCCGAGCCGATATGGGGTACCCCGCGTTTGGGGGTGCGCTACGGAAGGGCCAAGCTGGGGATCATGTCGGCTAAAGGTGCGGGAAGATCGTTTCGCCATGCCCTTCAGGCATCTGCAATGCCGCCCTAGTGTTATTATCTTATTCTGTTGACTTCCCAGAGAAGTAGAGGATTTGCTTCTCAATGCTGATGTCTGGTGCACGTCGATCAAGTCTTTCACAGCTATCTGTACAACACGCCATGCGATTTGTTCGATTTCTGGCATGTGTATACCTGAATCACAGTTACTAATGCAACAGAGTCAATACAGCTCACTATGATATCTTTGTGGCACGAGTTGGTTCAAGTTCGGCTCGACTTGAGTGAGAGAGCACAATCAAACTTGGATCCGCAGACTCGATTTGCTCTGATGGCATGAATCTGTCGCTACTCTACCACACAGTACAGGCGTGAAGGCCTCCAGGTTATTCCTCAAGAACATATTGATATGGCAGACGGATAATGCATTTCAACATCGTGGTAGGTGTGAGGGATGCCAGAAGCCAGGATCCTACTGAGCATTGGAAGCAGCGACCAACGCTTGCGTAAAAGTGTATAGCTTCCGCGTCCAGGCCCGGATGGCGGTGTGCTTCGTTTCAAGCTTACTTACAACCTGCCGAATTCAGGACGCTGTACGACGGGTACAGGCGGTGGTGACACAAGACCCGGACGATGCCGGGTTTGGTGAGGTTTGAGGTAGACATTCGCCACGTATAGGCAGCCACTTGGGCGAGGTACCAGTACCTATCCAGGCTAACGTGGTGCAGATCGAGAAGTAGTTAGATCGATATCGCAACCTGTCCTCAGAAGGACACGGGCTCTCCTGGAAGCGTTGGATGTCTGTAACACGGTCCCCGAAGCAACGCCATTGTGTCCCATTGCCATGCCGAGGTTCGCGTGACAAGGCTGAGGCCCTGAGTGAACGCAGATGTCATCATAATGCCCACTTTAACGATGTCTTGTCAGCATGGAGAACCCACAGATGCGCAGCACTTGACGTCGGCTTTGTACATCGGTCTTCCATCATCTTCTGCATGTTATGCAACACATCACGGGCGCAGTGGGGTCAGGATACGTGTTAGGTAGAAGAAAGAAGCACAATTAAACTCAGTCTCGATCGCGATCACGATGGAGAAGCCTAGCTCAATTGAGAAGAGTACACAATGCCTCGTGTTTGCTGATTCGCTTCTAGGCGTCTAGAGCTGAGCCACCAGAGCACGAGCTGCAACGCTGCAACGCCGCAACATCGCCTTCGCAAGCCCACAGACACTTGTCATGGTTGCAATCAGGATAAGTGCTTCCCCGGCTGCATGTGATGGTGGCCAAAATTTGCACGTGTCGCATTGCTTGCGGCGTTGTTTGTGCTGCCTTCCGCATTGCGAGCTCAAGCTTGGCCGCGGGGGAGCTGCAAGCGATGACGTATAGTGCCCCTCCATGCCCCACTACTCCCGCAGGCTGGAACCCGTGGTTCAGCATCGAAGAAATGACGCGGATCGGCATGGGAATTGTGCCTTGCATTAGACATTTGCGTGCAGCATGTGATCTGAATCCAGTCGTTTCAGGCCTGGTCTGGAGCAGCTGTGGCTCGCTGCACCTCATGACGTGCCTGCCTGTGACGTCAACTATGGCTGGATCCAGCACTCGCGCCTTCACTCACCATAGGCTCCTGCCCCGCTTCTGTGCCCTCGAGCTGTATATAAACAGCCTCTTCCCCTCCGTCATTGTCTCATCACAACACTCACATCACAAACTCTACTACCTTCCAAACAAACAACCACCCCAACCAACCTTCAATATGTCTGCTCCCAACGCCAACAAGCCCAACGAGGGTATCGTCGGTCAGATCGGCAACTCCATCTCCAACGCCGCCAACTACGTCTCCGAGACCATCCAGGGCAGCTCTGCTGAGGCTTCCAAGGAGGCCAACAAGCAGCAGGCCAAGGGCAACGTTCCCGGACAGGACTCCATCGGCGACCGTGTCTCCGGTGCTCTTGGTGCCGCTGGCGACAAGATCGACCAGTCCAAGCACGAGGGCTCCGCTGAGGCCAACAAGCGCTCCGTCTAAACATCTCATTCGAATCACTTGGTAAGCTTCAGCTCAACCCCGCTCATGGTCTTTCACTAACACGACACAGAGAACGTCAGCATAACACTTCATCAACCTAGCGGTCGACGACTTCACAATGCGGTTCGCAACGGAATATCGATAGGATCAGATTGGAATGCAGTGCGACATTTGTCCCTGCAGCATGATTATGAGGCTATGAGATACCAATAAATACCTTTCACCTTCACATTACCTTCCATTGCCTAATTCGCGTGATATTTGTTGTTCGTGCTCCTTCTCTAACAAACACAACCCTTGCCTTAATGATCCAGCCCGGCTTCTTGTTGTTCCCTCGGAGCAGCTGGGCTAAAACATATGTGTTTGTCAATTAGAACATCGCTCGCCTCAGTCGTCAAAGAGAGTACGACTTGTTCACATCGTTGACTAAGTCAGGAACATGCCGAGACCAGGGCCTCTTCAGGCACACGCACTACGTAGTCTCAATCGGGCCACGCCAGCAACTAGCATGGACGCAATCACTAGCACAATGCAAACGCGAGTCATTTTCGACGCGGCCACGCATCAGACACAGTTCGCCAACAATTTTTAGAAGAAGCACACATGCGTAACGGTCTTCTTGTAGAAAGGAATTGTAGTATTATTGCGGGGAATGCTATTGTGCTGGACGCTAATTCAATGGGGTATCGATGGCAAAGATCTAATGAAAAGTGCAAGATCTGCGGGTGTGGACACTTTCTTCAACTGTGGCCCTGTTTGAGAATCCTCCACCAGGAATATGGGAATTGTAGTCGGAGCCTGTGTGCGTGTAGTTTGCGTCGTCCGGGTTTCGAGGCGACATCGCTCAGACGTCGTTGGCAAAGTCCTGTACTCAGGCGCTGGTGTGGGCGCTGATGTGGGCGCTGGTGTGGACGCTGGCGGAGGCAACGGAGAATGACTTGATCGAAGGGTTGCAGTTCTGGGTACGTGTATGGTGGGTGGGTGCCAATAGTGCTTCGAGATCGGTGGTGCTCGCAAACGAGTGTCTGGTTCTGGTGCCGGGGCTGTTGTAAAGACCGTCGGATATTGCTTCTCTGGAGAAGGCCAAGGAGAGATGTCGATATGTACCTCGAATATAATGCTCTGCGCAACCTTCTGTCAGCAAGCATGTCATACACTCTCTCTTGAAGTCAAGGAAGAACACTTAGACGTGCGTTTGAGCGCGTCCAGTGTGTGTAGTACGTGCATGACGGTGCTTCCAGAACTTGAAACCATTCCAAACTGAGGTGATAAACCACAGAAGCATGTTGGCCAACAACACCCAAACGGCGTTCTTCATCCGGATTATGCCTTTGTTGCCTTCGGCGTCTTCAGGGATGTACATCTTGCCGAAGATGCCAAATGCGACGAGGTAACAAACAAAAACGAGAAAGTCGACGAAGAAGAAGTACCAGCTCTTCATCAGGTATGGTACCATCGCGGCAAGCGCCATGACGGCACCCAGAGTACCGCACACAACGGCCCAGACCCATTTCGAGTCGGTGTATTTTCCAGCTTTGCGTGCATTATCCAAGTCGACAGCGTAAAGACCGATGACGGTTATACCCAAGACGAACTGGAAGAAGCGCAAGAAAATCAGAATGGCTCCATCCACCGAGAAGTGTGACCAGAATGAGGTGCCAAGGGTGGCTTTCTCGCCCTTCAGCGATCTACGAGATAGGAACTTGAATGCCATGATAGGAAGCTGAAGCATTATTAGCTTTGATTGTGATGTTGATGTTGATTACACGTACCTGACTTCTTCAGTGCGTAGGCGGAATTTTATGAAGCGGTGAGCTCGTTATTTTGTAGGTTCGATAGGTGTATTTCGTGTCTCGGATTTTTGCAAGCTCTGCGCAATAGCAATATAGCTGACTGCGGATAAAGACGTTGTTTGTTTACAGTGCGACTGCTTCACAAGAGTGTGCGCTTGGGAGAGAAGTTCGAGTGTGAAGTTGAACAACGTCCTTGAAGGGCTATGACGTTGTGACGTGGGATGTGGCTGCCAGGCCTGTTCACGAGGACGCTGTTTCTGTATAGTGATCGACAAAGGAGGCAACGCGTGAGGCTTGCTCTAGAGGAACGGAAATGCCAGATGCAAATGATAAAACGGCTCAAGTGGTTCTTGGAAATCAGTGAAACTGCATGCAGTGGGATGCGCGTAGTAAGATATGCGCACGATCTTGAGCCTCAGCAACGCGCTGCAACGCGCGCCCCTTGCATTGCTCTGACATTGCCCAACTCCTTCTTCGCTGTTTGGCGCCTGTGAGCTTGTGAACGGATCCAAGAGACCCTGTTCTGGCGCAATCCGCGATACTTGGCTGCCGTCATAGGCGCCCGTTCGAGGCTCAAGGGTCCGCGCGACTTTGATTGGCTCACAATGCACCAAAGCCAGCAGCGCTGTGAGGAACGCTGTAGCACGTGTAACACCGGACACTTTGAGGCAGTTTGATTATGTTCAATCTTACGATTGATGGCATGGGTGGCTTTCTTAATCGTGAAGGTCAACGTGACGCTGGTAAATGCATTCAGTGCGGAGGGTCTCACATGAAGGGGCCTGTTATTTGGATAGTATGATTTGATTCTTCTCCTGGCAATTATAGATTAGATCAGCGCCGCATTGCGCAGTTCGCTACGACTGGTGGCTCATGGAGAAGAGAACTTGTATCCGTACTGTTCTTTTGCCGCCTTGATTTGCTCTTTGAGCTGGTGCTCCTTCTCAGCAAACTCTTTGTCGTCCTTCAGCTTTTGCAGATAGGAATCGTTGCCGTAGCCAGACTTCGACGGGATATCCAGACCGCGCTGGACAGCCGGGCGAGCCAGAACACGCTCCCACCAAGCCTTCAAATGAGGGAACTCGTCAAACTCGATACCAGAGAACCGGAGGATGTGAACCCAACCGAAGTTGGCAATATCAGCAATGCTGTACTTGTTGCCGACGAGGTATTCGTTACTCTTGAGTTGCGTGTCGAGAATCCCAGCAAGACGCTCAGTCTCGCCTGTGTACCTCTGCATGCCGTATGCAATACGCTCCTTTGCCATGCGATTAAAGTGGTTGGCCTGTCCCTGCATAGGGCCAAGACCGCCATGCTGCCATGCCATCCATTGTTCAGCGCGGGAAACGTCAAGGTCGTCAGCGAAGCTAAACTTGTGCTCGGGGTCGTAGTGACGTGTTAGGTAGGACAAGATAGCTGTATCTGTCAGTATGGGGCCTGCAGCTCATGGTTGAAGAACTTACCAAGCCCTTCTTGTACGGGAAAGCTGCCTTTGTCGTGGTCGACGATGACAGGAATTCGTCCGTTTGGCCCCAGCTTGGTGAACCACTCCTCTTTCTGGATGTTCTGGCCAATGTTGACGCCCTGCCAGGTGTAGTCCTTGCCGTATGCATCCTTAAGCTCTTCCAACAGAATTGAGGCTTTCCAGCCGTTCGGCGTTCCCCATGTGAGCAGTTCGATGCCTTTGCTCGCCTTCAGGCCTGTGGGTCGTTCGTCAGCCATCTTGGTGAGTGCTTGTTGCGTGCGTTTGGTCGAGGTGTGGAATAGGGTTCGCAATTGGTGTCTGGGAGCTTGTAGCGAGCTTCGAGTGATGAGCCCAGGGACCTGGAATATAAGTGGCCGTAGTAGTGACATCTGTCAGCGTGCATGCATCAATGAGGGGTTACATGGGAGCTCTGTCTTAGGTGCTCCTGCCTGCTTAGAAATCGATCTACACGTCACGGAACGGTAAGCCCGAGATCATGGTAAGCGGGGAACATTGTGTCCATTGTCCGCACGAAAGCAACGGAACACTAATACTGAACAGAGCAATTATTACAATTGCGCAATAGGCGTGTCTGCGTGCCGCGCCTCCGAACCCTGCGATTTAGCCTTGAGCTCACGTCATCACAAACAGGTGTTGCTTACTTAAGCATGCATTGCAGTCAACGATTGCAAATCACAACAACGCAGCTTCCATATCGGCAGACACCAACACAACATCAAAATGCGAGTGATTTGGCACGTATGATCGACTCACATGTGATGATAACGCGGCATTGCTGCGAATCAGAACCCATGTGTCTGCTTCCTTGAAAAGACGACACTCGATCAAGAGGGGAAATTTGTAGCAGTTCAATTGTTACGCTTGAAGACTAGATTCCCACCGCACTGCAGACTTACAGTATATCTGCAGGCTTAACAAACACCCAGTTCTTGTCAGCAGTGACCTCTCTGCCATTCGCGATCTGCGCAGCTGTGTTGTTGCGGATCTCGCCCTGGATCCTTTCCAAGTACGCATCTCGGCGGTTGATCCACAGATGAATGCCACCCTTTGCTGTATCCACACCGTGGAACAGCATGTAGCTGTCTGAGCCTGGAGTATCTCCAGCTGCCAGGATTGGTCGCTTCCATTGATCGATGTAGGTCAGGATGGCAGCCCATTTGCCAGCAAACCATGTGGCAGGGGTCCAGAGGTAAGGTCCCATAACAAGATCCAGGTTCGCTTCTGGGTCGTAGGTACCCTCAGCGATTTGCTTCCGAGCGTTTGTAAGAAAGCCCGAGGTCGAGTTCACAAGCATGGTCGTCACGCCGATGACGTTCTGCGGTGGAACGTTGTAGCCGTATTTCGGGTCGCTGGCTACCATACGGACAAGCTCTTCGTGGGCGGCGCTGATAACGTATACTTCGATGCCGTTGTCCATCAACGCATTATACAACTCTGCTTGGCCCCGGAAGACTTGGGGAGAATTGATCGTTGTACTAACGACCTCATCGCCATCCCAGTACGTGGTAGGAATAGTCGAGTTGAGAGCCATGAGTTCGTCGACGAAGACCTTCAACTCGCGAAGCGTAAACCCTGACCAGACTTGCGCGGCCCATGGGTAGCAGATGAAGTCATCGTCTTCACACAAACGAAGGTAGTAGCTATACAGCGTCTCTGTATAATTGGCCGTGTCCTTGAAGTCAATCAGCTTCAGCGTCGGGTCCAGGTTGTCACGAGTCAGGATGCCGCGGTTCTCAAGGAAGGGGAGAAGTGACTCTTCGAGATCGTATCGGTAGCTGGTGTTGTCCATATCAAACACCGCATAGTTGCTTTGGTTGGCATTTTTGACGATCATGTTGCTGAGGGCTCTTGATGCATTGGCTGGCCAGTGTTTGAACTCAATTGTCGCATTTGGAGATGTGCTGTAGCTCGGTGCGGCGTCCACGGCGAGCCACAAGGCTGCCGATACAATTGAAGACCTGAGATGCATTGGGGCTGATTGATCCTGAGAACGATGAATGCATGCAAGGCCAAAGCCGAGGACAAAGGTTACCTATTATATGGCGGACGCTGATAAGGTCCTGAAAACTCGTACACCCGCTAGAACAAGATAGCTATCGCTGCTACCGAGTGCCAATTTACGAGAGCCACCGACGAAGCAGCGGGGAGGCTCCCCACACCCGGTTCACGGAAGCAAAGCATGGCAAATTGCGAGACGTCACTGGCGGGAAGGTTTGCGCTTACCAAAAGCGGTATCAGCTCGCGTGAGTACCTGTGGTTGACCCATGCGCAAAGCAGCAATAAGATCCCTCGTCGGATCACACAGTGGCTGCTCGTATGACTAACTGCCTAGGTATCATGCTGGTATATAATGCCAGTCTTCTAGCGGTGACGGCTTACTAGCCGTGGGGGGATCTGGAATCGAGATTGCGTCGGCGCCTCTACGGGTACTTGAAAGTTGAAGCCACCCAATGGGTAAAAGACCACGGAGCGCAGTAGATCTCACATATAGTTGCCTGAAGCTCTCGGTCACAAACAAGGTCTGCTAACTGATCCCACGAGATCCTAGAACCGAGTTTCGTATTCGCGCAATGGAGACTCGAGGCGGGAGTTTCCAATTGCTTGAGGAGCGATGACAGCTATCTGGCAGTGAGTAATGTGAGAAACCAAGACGCAACAATTGCTACGTTCGTATACATACAGCGCTACGGTGGAGCTGCGCTCCACTCGACCCAATCCTGAGGATCCCACGTGCAGCATTCAGCCTCAATCAACAACATGTTGATCGAGGTCCATACCCCGCCTCTTCACACTAGATGTGACAGCCACAAACGCGTGAGCAACTTTACTTGCGAATCAATTGATAATGAGCTATCAAAGGCGAGCGCGACAACCTGTGAATGAGAGATCTATGTGCATTCCGACCTAGGTTGCCTTACCCGAGACCTTGACCCTAGCGAACGGTCCTTTGCAGATGCGACAGGCAGGAGCTTTGCAAAATATTCGCGAGCGTGAGGTCGAATGTTAAGCTGATGTTGATGCTAATATCTGCGGGGCCAATGAGCTTTGCCCAGCAGCTTTCAACGCCACTGAGGCGTTACCTACGTCAAGACTTCCGGCCGTAAGAACCTCAAGGTAGCTCCGCAGCGTCCAAACACCACCCAACTATCTTGAGGGACTTGAGCCGTAGCACACGATATCGCATCATAGTGCGTTTCTCGCAGACCTATTCCTCCGTCCTGCCGTACGAAGAATTCATTCACCAAGCTATAAGATGTAAGAAAGTCTTTGTGTAGCATCCCCGACACCTTCAACCATAAAGATCCACTTTATCAAAGTCACTGCCCGATTTACTTAGCATTTCACTCATCATGTGTCGTAGTCGCAAGCACCAGCAACAAACACTCCAAATCTGGTCGCCAGTTGAAGCCCAGCAACGGTCCCGGTGCGCTGCTCGACGACAGCAACGCCGTGAGCTGAGAGCACTTGCTGCAAACAATTCACCAGCTCTAGAGACTTATTTAGTCAAACCCGCTGCCCAACAAAACCATTGGACCGAGTATCAACCTCGCACAATGGCCGGCATGCTCGTGATGGGTGTAGCCCTTGGCTTGCAAGAGGGTGGGAAGAAGATCAAAGAAAAAAGAGACGAACGAAAGGCAAAGAAAGCTGCATTGGTAGGTCTTGCTTCTAGCAAACCGCTCTACCAACTTACACTGACTGCGTCGACAGGCTGTTGAAGCATACGCACCTGCAGAGTCATCATCATCTGGTGCAGCACGCAGTCACTTCACGCGGAATGATACCAGGCCTGAAAGGAAGAGCGAGGAAGCTCGTAGGGAGCAAAAGCGTCGCAGCTTCAGCTCGGAACGAACCCACCACGAAGACGCTCCTCCCAGTTATGACGAAGTCGCGCGGCCAACGTATGAAGAAGCCATGCGGGACACCCAGTATAGGGCTTAAGACTGTTTGTCAGTATCCTAGTATATTTCTTGATTTTTGGATTCTTACGTTAATCAACTGGCGTTTTTGACATGCTGGGGTATCATTGATTCAATTCGAATCGAAGAACATGCGCGCCGGCTGGTTCAGGTTTTACATTTCCGTATTGGAAAGTTCTTCTCCTCTTGTGTTACTTTCACTCAGGTCTCGTAGTAATTCTTTCAATTTATTTAAACGCTCATGTCAAATTCATTTGCAATACATAGCCTCTCTCAGGAGGGCACCCTGTCATTGATTCCATTTACTCGCTGATTGCCTTACTGCTTTCTTTTCTGCTTATTGGACGGCGTTTGTCCAATCAGAGATTATGACTACCATGCGCCGTCCTCTGACAAATGCTGAGGCGGTTTACAGAACCACACGTATTGAACTTTGTTCGTTGTATGCCAATGGAGAGGACGATAAGGCTGAGGAGTTGGCATGGCGCTACTATCAAGACCTAAATATCCCTCACATCTTACGCATCATGTGCTGCAGCATCCTGGGCGAAGCAAGCAGGGGACGGCGATTACCTGCACTTCGCGAAAGAAGCCGTGAAACACGCCGCTACTGCTTTGGTAAACAAGAGGCTCGACATTTGTATATTAGATGCTGATTTGTACATACAGGCGTTCGGTCCAAAAAACACGACAGCACAGCTAATGCTGGATCAGAATGATCTATGGTGAGGTCTGCTACGTGCGTGGCAGGGGAATAAAGGCGGAGCTCAAGTAGTGGTATGTATAGAGTGTAGAGTTTAAGATTCCAGATTCAGTTCACGAACACGTTTAAACAGGGAACGCATGTGGTGTGCCGAAAGGCCCATATTTACAACACGATGAACGGTTATAGAGGGTCACGTAGGTAGCCTTGACAACCATTATGAACTTAAGTTATCTCTTGCTATCCCAGTATCCTTCTTAACGTTTCAAGTTCCACCTTGCCCAGCAAGCGGTTTTGCCTTGCTAGTACATCGTTGTTTCTACTGTAATCTGTCTAGGTAAATATCTTTCTGAGGTCGTTTCGCGTTTCTTCTCCCGCGTAGTCACACGTTCTTGATCAATCTTGTCACGGATCCTGCGGTGATACGACCCACAACATGAGTCTTGAACCGGCCTATAGTGTGGCTGAGCTTGTTCTGGAATGCCAGCTAAGTTGGTAAGTCGTGTGTAATATCATAGCAATCAGTCCTCGAGATCGATTGTCGTGGCAACAGATCGACGACGGTGCATCATACTTACACGAGCTTCAATTACCACGCAAACGGATCGCCACGCGTGTCGAACCTCCGTCGAACACACGTCGTGTGACCTACCAGTACCTTTGTGAGGGTCTCGGAGCTGATGGCTGTTGCGTCGTTCCTTCCGCATTTGGATGTCTCATGCATTCCTTCCCGATTCGGTGCTTTCACTTTGTTCTTACCTTCACCTTGAAAGTACAGCAATCTCGTCACGCGCACGAGGACGCACTTTTAGCTCGCCGCTCGCGGCCCAGACTACCGTGCACGCGTGCTGCAGGTACAATATATTTGCTCGCTTCCCCACACATTCCTTCTTCGTTGCACCACATACCTCGACTCCACTCCCCGCATACCGCGACCACGTTATCTGTCCCTTACTTACTACCAGTCGCTTAAGCTCGACAAGGTTTCAAAATGCGCGGCAGGGCACGTTCTGCCAATCGCGGCGGCGGCGTCGACCGCGTCGAGGCGCCTGTCACGCTGCGTGGCTATCTACTTTGCGTCTTCGCAGCATTTGGAGGGTAAGCTTTTGATGCAGCTACTAGGACTACGGAGCACTTGTTAACAAACGCAGTATCTTGTTTGGATATGACTCTGGCTACATCAGTGGTGTCTTGGCCATGAATGCCTTCAAGCAACAGTTTGGCAGTGAGTAAACATTGGGTGGTCGAAGTCGCATAGCTGACATCTCAGGCGCCTCCACTTCTGAAGATGCCTACAATGGCCGCCTCTACCAAACCTGGGAGAAGTCTCTGATCGTGTCCATTCTGTCCGCCGGTACATTCTTCGGTGCGCTCTTCGCTGGTTCTCTTGCCGATTGGCTCGGACGCCGCTTGACCATCATCTCTGGATGTGGCGTCTTCATTGTCGGTGTTATCCTCCAGGTAGCTTCCACTGCGGTGCCTCTGCTCGTTGTCGGACGCTTGGTTGCAGGTGTTGGAGTTGGTTTCGTGAGCGCAGTCATCATCCTCTACATGAGCGAGGTCGCACCCAAGGCCGTCCGAGGCGCCATTGTATCTGGTTACCAGTTCTGCATCACCATCGGACTACTCCTCGCTGCTGTGGTTGATAACTCCACGATGAACCGTGCTGACTCCAGCTCCTACCGCATCCCGATTGCTATTCAGTTCGCTTGGGCTTTGATCCTTGGAACTGGTCTCTTCCTTCTGCCCGAGTCACCGAGGGTATGTACATACAATCCTTGAAGACTATTCTGTGCTAATCTACTGCAGTGGTACGTCAAGAGTGGTCGTCTTGAAGATGCTGCAAAGTCACTGAGCAGGCTGCGCGGCCAGCCTGTTGACTCCGAGTATGTCAAGGACGAACTGGCCGAGCTTGAGGCCAACTATCAATCTGAGTCGAAGAACATGAACGCTGGCTGGCTCAGCTGCTTCACTGGTGGATGGCGCTCGGCCGACAGCAATCTCCGTCGTGTCGTACTTGGTATGGCACTTCAGATGATGCAGCAGTGGACTGGTGTGAACTTCGGTAAGCAAGGAACTCAAGCTCGCGAAAATAGCCACTAACAGTGATAGTCTTCTACTATGGAACGACCTTCTTCAAGACCGTCGGCCTTCAGAACGCTTTCGTCATAGCCATGATCACTACGGCAGTGAACGTCGGTTCCACCCCTTTGTCCTTCTGGACTGTTGAGCGATTCGGTCGCCGCATGCTTCTCATCTATGGTGCTGTGGGCATGCTCGTCTGCGAGTTCGTCATCGCCATCGTGGGTACCGCCGCTGAGGGAAGCAAGGCCGCCTCCTTGTGTCTCATCGTCTTCACCTGCTTCTACATCTTCTTCTTCGCCTCCACCTGGGGTCCAGCAGCCTGGGTTGTCATCGGCGAGATCTTCCCTCTCCCTATCCGCGCCAAGGGCGTCGCTCTGTCGACAGCAAGCAACTGGCTGTGGAACTGCATTATTGCGCTGATAACGCCATATATGATTGACGAGGAGTACGGCAACCTCAAGACCAAGGTCTTCTTTGTCTGGGGTGCTACCTGCACTGCGTGCGTTGTATTTGCCTACTTCCTTGTTCCCGAGACGAAGGGCTTGTCGCTCGAGCAGGTAGACACCATGCTCAAGGAGACGTCGCCTCGCAACTCCAGCAAGTGGGTGCCTCACTCGACCTTCGCCGGCCATGCCGAGACCTCTTCTCTCGAATCTACCGATAAGAATGGTACTCGTGCTCGCCACCAGGAGAACATCGAGCAGCCTGAGAGCAAGGTCTAGGCCGTCCGCGATGTTTCATGTCCATACGACAACGACTTTCTTTTCACGCAACATGTTTGTTGCAGTGATAATGGTTTGGGAGGATATCTGCCGGTGTTTAGCGTTCAGAGGGATTGGTCTCCACATCTCTTTTAAGGTTCGCCTGTTTCTTGATGCTTGCACGTAGCTGTGGCATTCATCATCTCTAGAGCATAGCACCGAGCTCTCGATGCATGTTTTGAGGGTTCATGTTTGCAAGTATAGTCAGCAGAGCATAATAATTTGATAATCAGTCTAGCCGATGAATTCTTTATACTTCACGTTTGAGATGTACAAGGTACAGTCTTTTACGGCAGAATTGAGGCTGCAACATTTGCTATTATGACGACTACGATTAAACTTACTGTTCTCTTCGGTAGGTCTTCAGGCTCCACACTCAATGGTCCACACTCTCCACAAACACCCGCACGCCCTTGGCATCCAACTTAGTCACAGGGATGAAGAAATCGTGCCCAACCTGCACGTCCTCGAGACTCGGCTCGTGCAGCTCAAACTTGTAGCGGCGGAACAGCATACCCAGAATCAAGTACAGCTCGGTCCAGGCCAGGTTGACGCCGAGACAGCTGCGCGTTCCACGGCCGAAACACACCAAGTAGCGCTCCAACGGCTGGCCGTCAGGCGCGGTGGGGTTATCGAGCCAGCGCTCGGGAATGTACGCGTAGCTGTCCGGGAAGATGGATTCGTCGTGCGAGACCTCGGGGATGGTCATGCTGACGTTGGTGTTGGGGGGGATGGTCCAGGAGCCGTATTGCAGCGGGGTGGTACGGCGGGTGCGCGGGTTGCGGGCGCTGAGGCCGTAGGAGAGGCGCACGGCTTCGGTGATGCAGGCCTTCAGGTACGGCATCTGCTCCAGCGGGTAGAGTTCCAGGGTCGAGCGGTTGGGGAAGGCGGCGACGAGGTCGGCGTGCAGGCGTTCGTAGATGCGGGGCGTGTTGATGATGTGGAAGGTTGCGATGCAGAGGGCGAAGGCGGTGGTTTCGACGCCGCCGCCAACAACGATTTGGGCTTCTTCTGCGAGGCGCTTCTGCGTCTTGTCTTCATCTGGGAGCTTGGAGGAGAGGATTTCCTGGAAGATTGTTTTCTTTGCGTCATTGGTTTTCACGTCCTCGCCAGCCATGGTGCGGCCGATGTTGGACCACTGGTCGCGCTTGAACTTGAGAATGTTCTTTGCGGCGGGCTGCAGCCATTCGGTTATGGCATCTGGGATGGAATTCATCAACTGCGTGTGTTAGCTAGATATTCCGGATACAGTGGCAGCCAACGTACCGGGATCATCAACGGGAATTGAGTAGCAACGTGGCCAGCTCCACCAATCTTCTGGAATGCATCATGGAAAGACTCGAACTCTGGGTGCTTGAGCTGGGCGTAGTTGAAGCCGAAGAAATAGTCCATGATGATGTCGCCTGTCAGTGCTGGGAATGCATGAGTCAGGTTGAATGGCTCCTTCCTAGCCTCAAACTCCTGTATCCGGATCGAGAAGGTGTCGATGTGGCGGTAGATGATGTGGATGAAGTCCAGGATAGACCGGCGCGAGAACCTGGTGCGAGTCAGTTCTGAATCGAGACATTGCTCCAGGACATGCAGTGCATCCTGGTGAGTGCGATTGGGTTGAGACCAGAGTTGGTGCTGCTTGGCTTACATTGGACTCAGTGCGGCGCGACGGCGCTTGTGGAACGCGGCGTTCACAGTGGTCAGGACACCGCCCTCTGTGCCGAAGCGGACGTCCCATCCTTCCTTGTCAAGGTGGAGGTTCTTTGCATAAAATTCATCGTAGAAGTGCGCATCACGGATGTGCAGTTCATTGGGGGTCACGCGGATAATTGGGCCTGTGGGAGCATGTCAATATCCAAGCACATGGAGATTAATATAGGTGGTCCGTACCATACTCGTCGTGCAGGCTTGTGATCTTGCGTGAGTACTGGCCGTTCTTGACCACCTCGTAGTAGCCCTCGTACCACGACGTCACGGCAGCAAGGCGTGGGCCTGGGAACTTGGCCAATGGATGCAAGTACAACCTGTAGACGGTGAGGGCAACAACATATGCCACGACAGAGGCAGCCAGCACAGGCAGCAGGCCAGCGGTCGCAATCAGGCGGGCAATTGCCGCGGCCATTGTCCCTTCTGTCGGTGCTGACAGGTGCTGATGGCGGGGATGGAGTGGTCACAGAGATGAAACATGTGTTCGCGTAAGAGCGCAGGGCAATAGCGTAGGGCAATAGCGCAGGGCAAGAGCTGGGCGGGTGCCGGGCCCTAGCTTGGTGCCCGCATAGGGACACGCCCCTGAGGCGAGTGGGCGACGGACGGCATGATGGCGTGAAGGGTGGGCGTGTCTGGGGGCGCTATGACAGGCGACGGCGCGGGCCAGGGCCCGACAACTCACTGGCGTGGTGGTTGGGGTCCGAAGGGGACCACGCTCCGCGACCAGGCCGGAAGGGCGGCCGGTGGGCAGCCCAAAGCTGGCGGCGCAGCGGAGCCATGTGGCCGTGGTGGAGCAGTCGAGGGCGGGCGCTATGCAGCCGTCGCAGACTGATTGCTTGCTTTGCGCTTGTCACGACCTATAGGTGGGGGACGGGCCTCTCGCCATGCAGCGCGCGGGCTCATATAAGGAGTGGCACCGACGTCGCGGGGCGCTCTCGCGGTGCGCCATTGTCCTGAGCCCCTCCGCAGCGTAGCGACAGCCTCCAGACTGCGGCGACGCTCACCTAGCTGAAAATGACCGGGCCGCTGGCGTCCGCCCCCGAGGCGCGTTTAGACACCGACCCCGCGACAGCAGCGCAGCCAGGGCCGGCCGCGCCAGTACTGCCCACAGTGGCCACAGCACCGGCCGCCGCACCGCTCGCAGCCACCCCGCACACAACAGCGCCGTCGCAGCCCCCGCAGAGCGCAGCGTCGCACACAGAGACCCCGCCAGCAGCGCCGCCAGCAGCACCGCCAGTAGCGCTGCCAGAAGACCCCGTCGCCCCCGAAGACCCCGCCGCCGGCGGCGCACTGCAGCCCGTCACGCACCTCGAGCCCGACTCCGGCAGCGACACGGACAGCGCCTTCGACGCCGGCAGCACCGCCAGCACGTCGCTCGCCTCGTCGATCCTCAACTACGAGTACTCCAATGGCCGCCGCTACCACGGCTACCGCTCCGGCGCCTATGTGCTGCCCAACGACGAGCAGGAGCAGGACCGCCTCGACCTGCTGCACCATATCTTCACCCTGATCCTGGGCGGCAAGCTGTACGACGCCCCCATCTCGCCGCCGCCGCGCCGCGTGCTTGACATTGGCACCGGCACCGGCATCTGGGCAATCGATTTTGCTGATGAGAGCCCTGAAACTGAGGTGCTCGGCACCGACCTCAGTCCCATCCAGCCGACGTGGGTGCCGCCCAACGCAAAGTTCTACATCGACGATGCCGAGAGCGAATGGGTCTACAGCCCGGACGAGCATTTCGACTTCATCCACGTGCGCACCCTGAGCGGCGCCATTGGCGACTGGGACCGCCTCACCCAGCAGTGCTACGCCAACCTGCAGCCCGGCGGCTGGCTGGAGTTCCAGGAGCCCGTGGCCCTGTGCGAGAGCGACGACGGCACCATCGAGACCGCCCACGCCATGCTGCGTTGGCAGGCCCTGTGCAACGAAGCCTCCAAAGTCTTCGCCAAGGAGATCCGCGTCGGCCAAACCCTGGCCCAGCGCATGCGCGACGCCGGCTTTGTCGACGTCGCCGAGAAGGTCGTCAAGGTAGGCCGCCAGCATCTCACTCCTGCCGCAAGCACTGACACACCCCCAGGTTCCTATCGGTCCGTGGCCCCGAGACCCGCGCATGAAGGAGATCGGCCGCTACCAGCGCGAGCACATGGCCATGGGTATTGAACCCTACACGCTGGGCTTCATTGGCAAGATCCTCGGCTGGTCAGAGGACGAGTGCCGCGTCCTGATTGCGCAGGTCACAAACGACGTGCGCCGGAAAGACGTGCACATGTACATCAAGTTCTACTTCGTGCACGGCAGGAAGGCGCCGAGCGCGCAGTACTGAGGGGTAGCATTGTCTCAGGGGCGCTGTTGAATGGTACTTAGCGACGACATAGGACACGGTGTGCATGCGAGGGATATAATGGGCAAAAAGTCTTGACGCTTCTACATCCTGTTGTTCCACGTTGTGCATCTTCTGGATTGCTTCTGGATTGCTCCTCGCTCATGCATCGTCTTGCCCCTTCCACAACGCCATACCCCGTCAACGCACCCACCCTAGCTTCTTCACAAACGACGTCCAGCTCAACAAGAGTCTCCCTCCATAGCCTCACCCCAGACCCCCAATCGCCCCCGCTCGCCGCCCTGTCGCCTGATCCGCCGGCCTGAACCCCATGAGGAAGTACAATTGCGCCTCGCGCTCTGAGCAGGGCAGCCTCTGGTCACATATTGTGATGGACGGGCGGCGATCAGGGTGGGGAGGGGAGGGTGTTGTTGACGAAGTGGATGTCGATGTGGATGTTGTTGATGTATGGGAGGACACAGAAGATATAGAGTGTGAGCGGGGAGGCGTGTGTGAGTACTCCGACGTTGCTCGTGACGTTGATGTGGATATCGATGTCGACATTGCTGTGGATGTGCCCGTGCAAATCGCGTATATTCTGGGGCCGACACTGCGGGCCTTACTGTGGGTACTGGAGAAAGAGCGGAGTGGAGACACCAAGGGCAGCGGGACCAGTTCCAGATCCCCGCGCGCGGAGAGCAAAAGTACGCACGAAGTAGGTATTGTAGAAAACGTATCGAGCTGCGTCTGCGCCCTCCAGCACCGCGAGCGCCCGCGCCTTATACTCCCGCCCCGCGAACGTTGAAACCGCCATGCAAGACACCATCACGCGCCATTGCCAGCCCGCGTGAGCGAATTCCGCATTCCAGCGCACACCCAGCTTTGCACCGCTCGTTGCGGTGGAGCAGCACCGCGCCCGCGAGAGGGCTAGCTTGAGGCATTTTGGTATATCGCTCACGAGGCAGCGGGGGCCACAGATCGACACGCCGTAGCAAGTGGCCACAACTCAAATGCTGGTTTCAGCGAGCGCTGCCAGGTTCAAAGGTTTGAGAGTTCGAGGGAGCGCTGGAGCGCTGGCGTGCGTGGCCGCTGCCATCAGCGTACATGGCAATGGCGAGGTATCACGCCATGCCGACCCAGGCCGGTCGGTCGTCTTGCACCATGCTGTACTGTCAGCACGACTTGTGCATGGATAGGGGCCTTGCATGGATACCGGGAGAGAGAGATGCAAGGAAGAAGGCGGGGTGGCCAGGGGCGAATAAGAGCCACGTGTGGAAGTATTCAAAGTCAATTGCAAAAGGGTATCTAACTAGAAGAAGAAGAAGCCGCACAGTAATACACACATTCAAACAGATCGCTAGGTGAAATGCTGCCATGCTGTCGCTTTTGGGTCGCCGCCCGCTTCAAGTACAATGGTTTCCGTTCCAAACGCCATGCTAAGTTCGCTGTGGTATGAGCTTTTAAAGAGATGATTGGCAGTAAGATTTCTCAAACACTTGTAAAACAGTGGATCCGGACAGTGCCGTCCTCCCCACCGCTGACGACTCGTTCGTCACTAAGGCCGATACAGGTCACAGGCCCGGTGTGGCCGACCAGAGTCCTCTCGTGCTTGCCAGTACGAGGGTCCCAGATCTTTATCGTCTTGTCCTCAGCACCGCTGACTACGCGGAGAGAGTCCGCTGCAAGCGACCAGATTCCCTCCACATGGCCGAAGAAGCGGTGAACGCACCGGCCTGAAGGGACGTGCCAAAGACGAATAGTGCCATCGAGAGAGCCGGTGAGCATATATGAAGGTGGACTCGGGCGTGATGGGTCGTCAGGAAAGACCGACTCCTCTTGTATAGCGGAAAACGACGGCAAGGCTGCCTCGCAGTCAGAAGGGGGTTGAGAAGCAGTGTCGGAGACATCGGCGTTGGTGGTGGCGTTGAAGTCATCTTCGTCAATCTCGAAGTCGTGTGGCAGGGGTAAGACTTGTTGCACCTGGCCAACGTGACCTTCGTATGTCTTGATGCATCGGTGTGTATCGAGATCCCACAGCTTGACGGTCATGTCGTCAGATGCCGAGAAAAGTGTGCGCGAGGCAAGGTCGATCTTGACCGAGTTGACCCAGTCTGTGTGGCCTCGCAGTGTCACGCGCTGGTAGTTGTTGAAGTCGTGCACCATGATGGTGTGGTCTGACGATCCTGACGCAAGCAATTTTTCTGCCATGTGGAGGCCGATGACACCGTCAGTATGACCATTCAACGTTCGGATAAGTTCGCCGGTTCTCCAGTTCCAGACCTTGATGGTTCGGTCTAGGCTGCCAGTAATGAGCTTTGAGTCATCGAATTGTAAGCAGCGGATGCCGGCAGTGTGTCCAGTAAGAGTTCGAATCTCCTTCCCGGTCTTGATGTCCCACACCTTAACAGTGGCATCATAGGATCCTGTAATCAATGTTCGATCATCGAACTGCAGAGACATGATGCCATTGGTGTGTCCTTTGAGGATGTTGACGGAACAACGTCCATATTTCCAGTTGGTACCAACCTTGAAACGATCCTTGTAGACATCCTTCCACGGGCGTTTCTTAGGTTGGTCGAAGTATGAGGCTAACTGATCGCGGGCGTCGCGATGTGTGACCTCAGTACAGGAACGTTTCGACGAGACCTCTGGCGATGCAGAGTCCTCGGGAGCAGAGCGCTTGCTACATGTGGTGATATCGGAAGAATCGGAAAGCCGGTGGACCAGGGTTGTGGGGGGCTCGAAGCTCTCGGGTACCGGAGTAATGTTTGGGGACCATTCGTTGATGCCCCGTCCAGATGCTCGCAGCTGTATCCTCCTCTTCTCGTGTCGTAGACGTGCTCGGTCCAGTAAAGGCAATCCCCACCCGCATTTGGTGCACTTCCTGTCGATGTGCTGCTCACACATCTTGTGCCAAACCACGTCATCGTCGGCAAGCTGCCTCCATTTACGACTCACCTGCGCTGCTTTGCAGAGTGAGGTGGTGTCGAGGTAGGAAAGGATCTTGAAGCCCAGCTCGTGGGGTAATGCGCCGATGAAGTCGATCTTGATTAGGTTGCGGACAGCGGAGGACACGAACGACAGCTGAGGAAAGCAGCACTGAGCGAGGATGCCCTGAAGCATGAGGTTCCGGTGCCGAGCGGGGGCAGCAGAGAACAACGACCAGACGTTGGCGATGCTCTGCTGGTCAGCTTGCGACTCTCTGCCAAGCTCCTATGATACGTCAGTGGCGGCATATCAATCGGTGAAGAACATACACACCTGTTGCAACTGCTCCATGGATGGCTCGTCAGCCTGTCGTCGACACAGGAGGTCCGGACGGTGGCGATAGCAGAACTTGGTGTTGCTGTTGGCGGGAGAGGCGTCGGGACCGCCAAGGGGGTTGTACTGCTGTGGGATGTGCTGGGCGAGGTAGGGCGTGATCATCTTCTCAATCTTTTTGGACTTGCTAGCCTGTGCTTGTTCTGTCTCTTCAACTTTCTCGCCCAGGAGGTGTCTTGAGCGCTCAGAGGCGTGCTCATGGTCGTGGCCCTGCATCAGGGCGGTGTGTGGGTCGATAGAAGTACGCATGGCGGCTTCTTCGGGAAATTGGGTACGCCAGGACGTGCGGCGTCGTTTCGGAGTATTCGTGACAGGTTGCGCACGATTGCGGTCGGTTGCGACAGTGGTGACAGTGTGGGTGGTATTTGACGCCATCTTAGTGTGGAGCACCCCAGAGTCGCTCGAATGCTCAGCACGGTAAGATGTGTCCTGTGCGCTTGCCGGGAATTGTCTGAGCGCGGGCGCCCGAGGAACGCTCAATCATGGGACACGCTGAGCTTGTGCTGCTGTGGTGATATCAGGGCGAAATCGCGTGCTGTGACGATACCAGGGTCTGAATGCCAAGCGATCGATATCAACGGAACTGAGCGCAGTGCAATCCACTCGACAGGATGCGTGGATTTGACGATTATCTGAGGCGAGTATGCGCAAAAGAAGTGCAATAGCGGCGGGCGGCTTGCTTTTGATGTCAACCCACGAGTGTTGGCTGCGGTGTGGGGGTGTGGCTCTGAAAGGGCCATCGCAGCCGGCGCCGACGAACCGGTGCTCGCCATATGGCGTGCGCGCCATCACGCAAGAGTCGAGCCCGAAGCGATTACCCAAGAGTTTGCAAGAATCGCCGAGTTAAAGAAGAAAGTTTTGCACAGAGATTGATCGCAAACACTTGTTTGTCATCTGCTCTGCTTCGTCCCACTTCTCACTGTCTCTTCATGCTTACTATGTACTTGTCTGCTTATCTGCATTTCATTGTCTGAGGAAGGAGCGATAACGTGAGGACCCTGTCATGCAGCTAGCGGTAAGCGCCACCGTGAATGTTGGGGTAGCCGGAGCTGCCACCCTCATCCGCGGCACCCATCAGGACGACCACTGTGCTGGGTCTGGACTTCTCGCCCGTAGATCTATGATTAACTCTACTGCGTGACGATGCTGTATCTCGTCTTGTAGCTCTGTACTGACGTCTGGCCTACCATCTGGCCTACCATCTGCTTCACAGCGCCTTGTCGCTGCCTCCATGGCATCTCCGCGGTCGCCGGCAGCATCAGCCACCAGCAGCGCCGGCTCAAGACGCTCCTTTGAACAGGACCGCGATCGCCCTCAAACACTAGAGGATCTCGTGAGCTACTTTGTCGCTGCAAAGCGATCTCTTAACTCCCAGACAGTGCTCTGGCGCGCCAACGAGATTGTGACAACCGCACGAGAACTGCTCGAAGAGAACGCAATACTAGCAGCAAAGAATGCATCAATACGGAATATCGTAGAACAGCAAGTGGACACGCTAGAAGCCGTCCGCCGTGGTGTAGATGTTGTAGAGGCCGAGGTGCAAGCCGAGTTCAAGGTAATGCCTCCCATCACCATCAGGTTAAATGGCTGACAGGCGGAGCAACTCTTGCACGATGTCGACACCTCCTTCTCGGGTCTCAGCTCAACGCTCGCTGTATTGCGTGAAACGCCTATTGAGGCTGCACTCCAGCCACCTGGTACGCCGCAGAAGCATCTCTACGACTTCATCGACAGCACGACCGTCTCCAACCTGGAAGGCACCTTACGCGCCTGTATAGACCGCTATAACGACGTTCTGGCAACGATGGGCGACAGCAACGACGCTTTCGATACGTCTCTCGACAATCTTCATTCTTCGATCGAAAACGTGCCAATGACACCTGCGACCACCTCGAATCCTAGCCCAATACCGAGTCTATACCGCGATCTCGAAGGACACGCAAAGGAAGCCGCTCAGGCGTTCCAGGGCTTAGTGCAACACTACGACTTTTGCGTCACAGCGTTGCGGCACACAGAAGGTGGGTCAGCAGCTGCCACGCAAGCCACGGGCGATGCGCCGTCTCAATCTGGAGATGAGTTCGCTGCCCCTCCAGAGCTCATAAGTGAGGACGAACGCCAAGACATGCTTGCTGTGCTGCAAAAGGATGCCCACGAGGTCGAAGAGGTTGTTTCAGAGATACGTGAGCGAGGATCTGAGATGACCTTTCTCTTGAACCAAATCGAGAATCACATCAATCTCCTTCGCAACGAGGCGGCGGCGCTTTCCAGCATCTTGCAGATGATAGCACAAATCACGGCTGAAGTCAGGTCACACATCTTGACATCACGCTCGTTCCATGCGTCGTGGCTCGATGATACGCGACCTACACTTCTCAACGGCATTGAGGAGTGGGAAAACCAGAGAGAGTTCTACGAGCGCTTTGACCTCGCGTACGCCGAACTACTAGTTGAGGTGTCTTCACGCCGGAGGAGGCATGAGAAGGCAAAACGAAAAGCCGAAGAAGCTCAGAAAGAACTAGATAGGCTGTTTGCTGAAGACGAGCGCGCGAGAGAGCAATTTGCGCTTGCTCAAGGCGACTTTCTACCGCTGGATATCTGGCCCGGCCTCAGAGATGCGCCGCGGGAGTACGAGGTTAGAGCTGTTCCTTCCATCTTGCACAACGACGAGGACAATGAAGGGCAGGTAGAGGCCAAAAGCTACGTTGTACAGAGCATACCGCAACTCGGGAGAAATGTGGTTGAGCGAGCATTGACACGGGTGAAAAGAAGGATGTAAGCCTGCCAAGTCTGCCCTCAGCGCTCTCACGTTGCCGGACTAAGGACGTGAGCCAAGTACACCATACGACAGCGGAGTAGGGAAATACTACAAAAATCTATAGAGACCTTTTTTGCCTACAATACAGGTAATTCTCAACTAGATTTTTGCTTCAGAAATGTTGTAGGATCGAAGTATCCATTAGTGCAGCCAATAGGCTTCTGAATCACAACTGAATGCCTCCACTTCAGCGCAACTATACTCTTGCATTGCAGCTACGTTAGTGGCAATTCGGAGCCTACAGCATGCGGTACCTATCCTTTGCTGCCACGCGATCCTGGCTTTGAGGCCGTTCAAGCCAATTAAACATTTCATGCATCTAGCCAACGCCCCGCTGTAATGAACAATTCTTTGTGATTACTTTAAACCAATCAGCCCAGTCTAGTTCTAGATTGATAACCGTTCCATCCTTCCGGTCCAAGCCTCCGCTACACGAAATAACACCACAATACCCTGGAACACTCCCCACTGTCACGATCAAATTTTTGTGATCAGTTCTAAACAACTAACCAATGCCGCCTAGTCTAGATCTAGGGTCTGAACCATTCCATCCTTACATATGGTCTAAGCCTCCGCTACACGCATTTCGATAACAGCCTGGCTCAGGTTTCACATCATCCAGCCTTCCACTTGGCACGCGGCCCGTGCCAGATGGGATTGTTGTGTAACTCAATCTCTCAACCATTCTGTCTCTTGCCGCAACACCCTGTGAACACCCCACGCAGCCTCAGCAAATCCGATAAGCTCGGGAATAACCTATGGAGGCTTACCGATGAATGTTGGATGGTGCAAATCCCCATCTTTGGCAAGTACCATCCAGCTAGGAAGCTGTAAGATCCCACTCCGCGTGATTGGGAGAGGACAAGGCTTCACTCATGTGTCTAAAGTAAGTTGTGAGGGGTAATAGGACTACGCTTTTCTACCACCTCTTCTTGGCTAGATCATATAAGCCACTTCCTACAAAGGTCCTGTCGTTATACTCTAGACGCCAACTAGGTAACCTACCCTTCTCCTTAGGTATTCAGGTAGTACAACACCTTCACCTACACAAGGGTTTATCAGCGAGGCTACCCGTGAACCGGAACAGCGGCACACATTTTGGCAATCATCGGTCGGCTCCCCAACAAGCAGGTAAGCGTTGGTAGGAGTCTTGAAGACAATCCCACCCTGCTTTCTGTGGCGACGCGTCCAGTTTGAGAGCCATGGCAAGTTTTGCTCCCTGTCAGGATAATATCTCAGGTGCTGGAAGACACGTACATATGTACAACATATTGGCTTGCTTACGGGCTGTCGGATTAGCCCTAAGTGCTTGCAGGTCGTACGAGTCTCATGAAGGGATGGTGTTGGACCTGTCCGCTGACATTTTGTTTGTCGCCTGCGTATGGATCGAACGCTTAGGCCGCATCTGTGTGACGATGTCCCTGCACGATTGCCACGCTCAACTGCTTGGAGATGACATGCGCATCCGAGTCCCGTTCTTCCTGCCTTGCGCGCCTTGCTCCAGGTGTTCAATTGTTCTTCCCTTCACATGTCGTCTCTCGCTAGGTTCAAGATGTTGTCGACGGAGCGGTACTATTATCTTGCTCTTGCCGCGTTTCTTCTTGTTCTTTCGTCCTCTTTCTTCCTCTTCCATGGTGAAGCGTCTGTGTACGATAGGGTGGTGAAATCGCCGTACAGGTATACAGGTTGAACTCGCACCAAAATCCGCATCTGATCCTTGCACAGGACGAGCATTTCTTCTTCTAATGTACCGACCGTTCGGGACAGTATCATCGCCCTTTTCGATTCCATAAAACTCGGCCCTGCGCAACCAGAGTATCGTGACTCAGCAGGCAAGGTCTACAAAGGCAGCAACAACCCAACATGGACCGAGCCGTTGAAGCAGAGGGTTCTCATCGTAGATATCGACACTCGTGTCCCAACAGGTTCCAATGAAATCCTCAACCTCGACACACTTAACTGGGACGCGCTCGCCATGAAGGGCGGCCAACTCGTCTCCAATGCTATCATGAACCACTGGCTGTACGCCCAGATCCATGGCTACGACTACAAATTTTACTCAGCCCGCTCCATCCCCGACCATCATGACACTTGGATCATGCCGCACGTGTTCCACGAGCTAGTCCCCCAATACGACTTTGTTATCGCCATGGACGCCGACGTCACACTCTCGCACCTCGAAGTCCCGCTCGAGTGGATGTTCAACCGCTGGGGCATCACACGCAATACGTCCATGGCGCTCCCTTGGGACACTGAAGAGTTCCGTAACGAAAAGTCAGTCAGCCTGGACAGCCAGGGCATGCTCGTCTACAACACCGGAGTCGTCGTCGCGCAGAACCTGCCCCTTACCGTGAAGATGCTTGCTGCGTGGAAAGACTGCACGTCCGAAATACGCTACCCCGGCTGCGGGCTGTGGAAGCGGAAGTGGTCGCACGAGCAGCGCGCGTTCAGTGAGTACATCCGTCACGATCCCGAGTTCAACGCGACGTCCGAATCAATTGTTGCAATCAGCTGCGATGACGCGGTGGGCTGGCCGGGGTTCAAGGAGGATGCCCATGTCGATTATGAGATCGCGGATTGCAGCGGCAACTTCATGAGGCATCACACTCTTATCAAGAGTAAGACAAAGGACAGTCACGCAGGTAGCGTTATGCAGGCGCTGAGCCAAGTTCTGCAGAAGGAGATGCTCAACAACAAGGACAAGGTATGGTACAAGGAGCCGGAGAAGGAGTATATCTAGAGAAGAGACGGACGGTATCGAGAGAGCTGAGTCAGTCGTGAATAAGGTGCTTGCGCTGCGGGGAGCCGGTTCCACAGATCTCAGGCTATAGGGCGGGTATGGGCAAGGAGTTCAGGGCGTTCTGTTTACACAAGACCCAGAAGATACCATTAGATGATTAATGCTGATTGACTGCGCGCTGCGCATATAGTGAGATGTAGATTACTGCATTTGTACGTTCTATGATGTTGTCAGCCACAGCTCTGCAAATTGGAATCTCAAGTGAACAGGAGGTGGTTCAATCAGAGCTATCTTAGTTTCGCGCATCGAGCGCCTCGCCTGTCTGTATCCATCTCACCAGTCCGGGCTGGCATGCACTAACCACAAGACAGTGCGACGGGCAGGGAGGGCACTCTTGGTTCAAGTGTATTTGGAGTTACGCTGGTGGTTCAGACCAGCGCTTCCGCTCATCATAGGTTCAAAGCTTGACAGAGAAAGGTGGTACTTACGAGTGTGTGTGGTGTTTGTGTGGTAGGCTAGGATCAGCCAATGCGAGGGAAAGACGATGTTTGATTACGTAACTTAAGCTAGCTACATAGAGCATAGCATAAAACGTCACGAGAAAGCAGGCTGATAACACTGACACAGCAACAAGACATCAATATTAACCTTGTATCGGGGACCTTCAGAACAGTATCGGAAACATTGCCTAAGGCAGTAAATGACTAGAATATTGCAAAGACTTTTGCTAGAGAAGACAAACAGTGTGGAAGTAGCTAGATATCTCCAGCCCGCTTTTTCTGCATCACGAGAGATCGGGTATCAAAACAGTACGCTAAACTATGCTCACGAATATCCCCTTCAGCCTTTTTTAACCCTGTCCCAAGCCGGTCTTGCATTGAGGGCTTTGGTGCTGCCGGTCTCAATCCAGATCGTCACAACGAATTATGTGCATTATACACCATCTTCAAACGTCTTTTTGCGCTCCCCAGACAATGGACTCCATCAGTGCATATGGTGACGAATCAAGATCCAAGCCCAGCAATGGACTTTGCGAGAACGCGTTCCCGTCGCTATTGGCAAGCGCCGCATTGATGTCGTCGGCCGTAAACGTGTTCATGGTCGGACTTGCCTGACTCCCAGACTCGCTAGTCTTCCTTTTTACACTCGTTGTGATACGCAGGAGGCGCTCGAGCGCTGACACAGACCTTGTGATGGGCGTTGCAAGCTCATTAGGATCTACATCCTTAGTAAAGTCGCCCAGCACTTGGATGATATTCTGTAGGAGACCACGAGCTCGCTCATTGCGATTGTGTTCACCCAGAATGCCGAGGAGAAGCGCACAACTGAGGGATCGATGTAGAGCAGCCCATGAGCGAGTTGCGAACGGTGTCATGTTCTGGAGGCCAAGGAAAGCTTCGACTGTGTTTGTGAGACTGTCAATACACGTTTTCCTAAGGGTCTTCGAGAGGTCTAGGCCGGCTGTCGTGGGGCTGATGGCAGGCCGACAGAGCTCCGATGTGATGTATGAGATGTGTAGGTATAGCGCCCAGTGCTCAAGTTGATCTCGCATCGACCGACACCTCCTCGAGTCCTTTAAATAGTCTGCTGCGTCGACCATAATCTCTTGGAGTTCGTTGCGATGTTCGGTGATTCTGATCAAAGCGTCTTGAGAGGTTTGGGGCTTCTGGCGCTCGCGGACAATGTCAAGCCCAACCTTACACAGGCGATACATGCTTTCAACGTATGTTCGCGTCCCAGGAGCTGTGTGATTACTCAGGGGAACGGTGTGGTCAATAGTTGTAGTAGAAGAGGCCCGATCGTACGACACAGATAGTAACGAGTCTTGCCATAACAGCGCCCACCAAACTTTACTCCTGAGTATCCTCTGCTGTACGGGCGTCGATGAAGGGCACATGCGGTGCAATCCAAGTGTTTGTGAAAGTCGAACTGTCAAGCCCATCAAACTCCATGCAACGCCAGCGTTCATGTTGTTGGAGATCACGTTTCCCAGTATCAGGAGCGTTTGTATGTTTTCGATGTTTGCATGTGAGAGGAAGTTGGTGAATCGCAGGCACTCAAAGCTGCAGCAAATATAGACCTGTGAGGTAAGCTCTCTTTCTCTTCTTGATAATGTCGAGCACTGGCACCCGGAGGCCAAAATAGCGAAGACCAGGCCAATCCAATGGAAGTCTTTCCCGAAGATCTGCTGGTCTGTCACTCCAGCGCCACTTTGTGAGCTCGCGCGGTTGATGAGGAAAAGCAAGAGATCGGACTCGACGCCCTCGATATCCGCAACGGCGGGATACACAGCGTGTGCGGTCTCGCGATAGTGGCGGAAAAAACTGAGACATTCCGAATCGCTGGGCAGGGCGTTTGCGAGCTCTGTAGCGCGGGATATCGATCCATGTGGCAGTCCCCATAAGTCGACGAAGGGGTATGTGGCGCTCTCATTATCCAGCCCAAAGATGGGCAGCATGCTTTTTTTCCCAAGTAGATCTTGTAACCCTGGTGCCCATTGTGAATCTCCCCCTCGACCCAACTGCATGACCAACGCAGGCACTGAGCTGGGTCCAATGTGAATCGTCTGACCAGTGATATCGTTGCGCGTGTGAATCCCTTGCGTTCGTACGTGGCTCTGCTCGCCATCGATAGGGGCCGAGGCAGCCAGAGCTGTCGACGTCGAGGGCGAGAAGCCGTTGATTGGTGGTGCCACTTCTTGTATACTGCTTATTGAGTTCTTCAGCTCAGAAAGTGACTTCTCGGCCGTCTGGAGTTTTGCGCAAATGCGCTCCCAGTCCTGTTTTCGTCAGCCAGGTTTTGTCCGTTTCGTCGCAAAGCAGGCGCACCTCGCGTGGCAATGTCACAGTCCCGCCATGTACGTGAACCAGGCCATTGACATTGAAGTCGTGCCCATTCTGGCCCAGTCCCATGCTTATTCTCTTCGCAGGCGGGTGCGACTCGCTCGGCGGATGGTAGGTACATAGCTCTGGATGTTCGCGTACGACGCATGTCTTGCAAGGCACTGTCTGGTCGCATTTGACTTTGCGTTGTCGACATGGGTAGCAGGCCTGCCGGTGTGGTCAGCTCGAGTCCATCGCGGGGTCGCAGCTGTTGTTCAGCTATATCCTTCGTAACACCGGATTCCATAGCCCAATATGGCAAATGTTGGAGTCGATTCCTTTCCCAGCTCTTACTTCTAGCCAAGCATGACGAACGCGCGTGATCTGCGTACCTTGTATTCCCGTGCCTTCCGTTTTCTCCGTAGAATTTCGTCAACATCGGCGCGCGGAGGGGTGTCCGTCATATCCGGCAGGAAGGACGACGGCGCATGCGACTGCGACTGTTGTGTTTGGTCATCCATTTTCTGCGGCGAAAGAGTTGGCGATGGGTCACTTCGCGCGCGTAGGTTAACTCGGTTTCGGGTGGATTCCCGTCGGTAGATCATTCGCTAGTCACGGGGATAGGGAGCTTGGCCGCTCGCCTTCTAACGCCGTCACAGCTCTCATGTTGCAGAAAGGCTCTCGGGTCTTAATACAGCCTGTCTTAGTTTCAAATGGCATGACTAAAAGATATCTCGCTACTATTTCAATTGTTTGTCCTTTCTCGTAGAAGATTTTATGTTGTCCTATCTACTTATCAACTTCCAGACTGTTGCCCAACCTTCCTTAAGCTACTCACCCCACTTTGTCAGCAACATGAGAAAACGGAAACGCTTTAAGCGCATCACGATTGTATTCTAAATCTGAGAGGCACATGCATATCCCGAGAATGACGGAGACGGTCGTCGATGCTTCAAGCATTGAGCTGCAAGGTCGGTCATTGCAGGATCGTCAAGTGAGCGATTTCATGGATGCCGATGCTCGTGCACTGCGGGAACACGGCCAACTGAATCAACCGATCGATCGGCGAGGCTACACAGAACCATCGCCGGCCGACCTTCAACAGCCATGTCTACGCAATGACCATGCCAGAAAATTTGATGATTTGCGAAGATACATTCCTTCAAAATCGCCATGCCATTCTCAACATACTATATGCAGTAAGTTCTAAAAAGCATCGAAAGTAGTACCTGGTAGTGTTACACAAGGCCCGCCACCAGCGTCCTTAGACGCACGCCGTCGACATTGAACCTGCCGGATCCAGCAACTTTACCAGCGATGTATTGATCGCGGCTTTGAGACCCTGGTCGACGCCCTGCATTAACTCCAGCGGATACGAAGACGTGGCTTCGCTGCTAGGTCCTGCTTGTGGAAAAGGCCGTCATGGGTGAAAAGCACTGTCTCTCGTGACCAGCCACTTGGCAAAGTGCACCGTTGGGTATGAAGGCTTGATGTTCTTATTAGGACACTTTCCTGATGGAGTGCATGCGCTTAGACGGAGCTGATCAATAGTAGCTGTGTGGCTTTCTAATTGCGATAGGGTTGGGCTAGATGCTACAAAACTGTGAAGTAAGTGTTAAGTAGCTGTTGAAGGTGCAGTACTGTCTAACTCGATGGTTGAGCATGTGTTCATCCCCTTCCTCATGAGAGCATACGATGCCATGTTACACCGGGTCTAGACATGAGCCTAGGGAAGATCTTTTAAGACTATTCGATATTGATTATTAGATGTAAGTGCTACTTTTGAAAGGTATCAAACGCCGTAAATGCTCAAACACAACCACGCACTCTTGCGCAAACTCAATCCACCAACCCATTACCCCGACTTTCTTTCTAGACAATCACACTCGCTTAAGCACTCTGCTTCTCGCCCTGGTTCTCTTCGTCGTCGCTGTACGCGTAGTGTGACTTCGCACGAATCTTCGCGCCAAAGAAGAAGAACACAAACGGAATCGCGCAACAAGCCAGACCGATAAAACCAAGAAGAGAACTAGCCCACTGGTCGCCAAGTCTGTCATACATCTGGTTGGTGAACAAGACAACAGCAGCACCCCAGAAAGATCGGATGAAAGTCTTCGCAGCGAGTGCAGAGGCGGCCTGATGCTGGTACGAATCGACAAGATAGTTGTTGGCCGAGTTGTAGAGGAAGATAAAACCAAAACCCACAGGGAAGCCACCGAATGCCGGACCCGCCCAATGGAGATCGGCGTAGCTTGTCCAGGCAAAGATGAAGAGTCCAACAGGAATGAACCAACAGGACACCATCATGGGATAGAGACGGGCTTCAGCGGGTGGCTTGCCGTTGTGCTTGCGTACCAGCGTCATGTAGTGCTTGTTGACAAGGGGAGCACACATTGCGCTCAACAGGACACCGACAATCAACGGGATGAACATCAGACCTGTTGTGCTAGCCGAATAGCCCTTGCCCTTCTGGTAAACAATAGGATAGGCGACGAAGAACATGTACAGCAAGCCGTATAGGACCGACATGTACAGGGAGATGAAGAATACAATTGGTTCGAGGAAGAGCAGCTGGAAAGGACGGATCAAGAACAGTGTGAGCCGTTGGCTGAAGGGTCTTGTGTCGATGTCCTGTTCAGTGACGTATTTCTCATCGCCGGTCTCCTTGCGCATCTTTTTGGCTCGCTTGGCAAGCAATGTTGGAGTGTATGTCTCTGGAACGGTGAAGGTAATGAGAAACCAGACAGCACCACTGAGGATGAGCTGAATCCAGTAGAGCCATCGCCAGCCCATGGCATCGCCGAGGAATCCTCCAACAAGAGGCCCTACTCCTGGCTGGTACAATTGTTAGACCACAGTCGGCCGAGAAGATACGAAGTACTTACACCAATAAAGGGAGCAGCGCTGAACGCGGCCATCGGAACTCCCCTCTCCTCATTCTTCCAAAGATCGGCGAGAGTTCCACCAACAAGCGACATTGGAGCGGAGAAAGCAACACCGGCGATGAAACGCGTGGCCAGGAGGCAACCAATGTTTGGTGCGAGGGCTCCGGGGATAGTGAAAACGACAGCGAAGAATAACGTAACACCGTAAATTGGTCGACGACCCCAGATCTCAGAGAATGGCGCAAATGCCATGGGTCCCACGCCAAAACTTGTGCGTTGTCAGTGATTGAAAGCTTATGTTAGTATAGATGTACACGTACCCGATAACAAAAAGACTGATGGTCAGAAGGGACACCTCCTCACTAACGTTGAATGTCTCGGAGACACCCTCAAGATCAGCGGTGATGACTGCAGAGTTGAAGGCCACAACGAAGCACGTGATCGCGACACACATAGTGCACCACCACTTGTAGGCTTTGGACCAGTTTTTAGGGTTTTCAGGGTCGTCCACTTTCCAGGTGACAAGCTCGTACCGCTCAGTCTTGCCAGTTTTGTTTGTATGGACTCGTGCGATCTGTCCATCGATGGTCTCTTGCGTATACTCTGCGAGATTGGCGTCTTGGCTAAGCGTTCGGAAGGGAAGGTTGACTACATCTTCACCGTCGTGTGTCGGGTCGCGTACGTTGGGTCGATATTTCTCGTGGTCCACAGCAGTGTGGCCGGAAGCACTTGAGTCTGATGATCTTCGTGCGGGGTTAGGAGTTGATGTGAGGCCCGTTGTAGGCTGCATGGCTGCTTCTGTAGCCATGATAGGCTTGATATTTGTGACTGATTATGAGGCTGCCTGAACCGAGTGTGTCCTGGTATATTCTGGTGATGGCCCGCCGTATGGAGGTACTCAAAGAAGGCAGAAGTCTGGATATGATATCCATCATGGGGGGGGGTTTTTCGTCTTATTTATAAAAATGTGGTCAGTCAAACTCTGCATTTTTCTAGATAAGAACATACAAATCGAATACTCTTGACGGAGTTCGCTCGGATTCAGTTTGACATAGGATGTTGAATGTTGTGCTCGCGGAAGCTAGTACGAATCAGGCCTGGCACACCTGCCCTTATCGGTCGTGGTCAAGGAAATATTTCGGGCCTCACGATTCTCACACGAAGACACGTCATTGGCAACGCACGGGCAAGAACACCAGAATGTGAGGAACTGATTTTCAAACCTCTCAAACATCTGCGGGATCTTTGGATCTTTGCTCCACCATGTGCATTGCAGGGTTCGGCCCGACAGCCTTTTCCCCCGTTGTATGTGTGACGTCAATATACTGATCCATTACGATAAGAAGCAACAAGTCAATGAGACGATAGATGCATGAAAGGGGATGATATAATGGTTGTTGCTGCGTCTCTTGCCCGGGATCTGGACTATCATCGTCAGCAATCTTTTCGAAGAATATGTTCCGTGAAACTGTGATAAACTAGGTGACTGATGAACTATTACAACACCGATGCTTGTCTTGATGGCGTAGATCGCCAATCAGCCTTCTATACTTGTGCCTGGCGATCAAATACACAGTACGCGTACTGCACCCAGTGAGGGTATGTAAAAGTGGTGCGCCCGAAAATTGTCGGGTGTGATCGTAGCTTTGAGGATGAGTGAGCAGACGCATGTCTGAATCGACCGGGGGTTTCAGTTCGTGTCATAGCCTAGAACGAAACCAAGTCCAAGTTCGGCCGATGTACCCAGCTCACTTTTTCCAGTATCCAGATGGGCAACCTGACCTCCAGCTTGGCTCGGATGGTATTCCTGGCCTGGGGAGCGACTGTGGAGCACGTGGGATCACTTCCCCTCTATAGTCGACTAGCAAATACTAAGGTCATCCCCGTCTTTCTTTCAGCCAAAAGAGACCACAATCGGTAGCAGTAGGTTTCGCCTCCGGACCGTACTGCACCACGTCCGACCAGCCACTTGGCATTTTTGTTGGATACAAGACAGTCTTGTCACAGCCAATGAGCCGCCTAGCTATAAGTAAATAACTCCGTTCATGCGCATACGAGAGTCGTGACGAGATCATTATGCTTCTTGCCCGCTGCTACGTTTTGCCAAGTGGCTGTTCGGACGTGCCTGGGTGCAGTATTTTGTGGAGGCTTGACCATGAGATCTAGGTTGGCTGAACTATGTCCAAGTTGAAGTCCAACCTTAATTTGTCCGCTGCGAACAGTGCGGCCAAGCTAGCCATAATCCGAGACCTTTTCAATGAATCTTTGGTTTGCTATGTAGCACTGCAGCCATGCAAGTCCATGCAGGCTATTGCAGGCTTCCAGCCGAGTCTCAACTCGCGGCCCGAACATCTCCTGCTTGCATCGTCGATGTGGCTGGGAGGCTCGCTGAAGCTGTACGCGTCGTGCACAAAAATGCTTGAACTATAGAGGCGTTATACTATCTGCATACATTGTACACAATGTTGCTTTGCCCATGAGAAGTGATGCTAATATTGGGGGACAAATCCTACAGCTGCGGCCCTTATTTGTGTCTGGGCAGTGACCAATTCTGAGGAGCGCTCCAAAACTTCGTTTATTCAAGCGCTTTCGTGGTACAAATTGTGGGAGCTCACATGAGCAAACATCTCGGTGGTGCTTGCTGTCGCGAAGGACGGACAAGGTGCAATAATTGGAATCCACGGAGATCTTGGCGCACTAGGTACCGGTAAAGGGAGAGAGGCACGTTCCTTCCGTTTGGCCCGCTCGCTGCCGTTCTGTCGAGGTGGACCTCCCCACTTCGGAACTAATTGAGCAATCACGACCAGCAGGGTGCCCAGAGGCACGACGTGCTTTCCAAAGCCCAATTGCTTGCGTCTCTAGTGTTCGCAGCATAGCGCTGTATCGCTATTGTCAGCTTATACCAGAGACATCACGCTCACCAACCCATCGTCCTCCAGGGCTGACACCACATCTCCCGATCAGCCTGCACCCTCGTCCCTCGCTATCAACAGCCCACCCAAGCCGCTGGGTCACCGTCAGGCTTTCGGTGCTCGTCTGCGGCCCGCCATTGGCCAGAGGCCTGCTGTGCCGTGAGAGGCTTGTTCTATCGAGGCCCCATCCGGCGTCATCAACAGAAGGCAGAAGAAGCAGGCAATCTGCGCCTGCTGCAGCGCGCTGTGCGTTCAGCCTGCACTACTGGCCCCCGTTTCAGCTGGCAGGACGCGGCCACGACTAGAACTTCTGCTGAGGCGTGTCACGGTAGCAGCTTCTATTAATCCGCTGGAGCCGTGTTCGAGATGGGTAAGTGCTAAGAGCCCCTCCAACCCGTACATTTCCCCTCACTCTTGCACCATCACAGTGCTCTTTCTAATTCATCTTGACACCTTTCCTGCTGACCTTTGCCCCTCCAGACGACAATTACCGACCCAGTGATTCTGTGAGTACAACATGATTCTTTGCCTTCCCATCTTCATCTCCTCAGGCACGAGGGTCGCGGAAGCGAGTTCCTGAATTTCCAGGCTGCCTTAGAAGGTTTGAGCTACGTCAAGCGTCTTGATCAAGCTTACTCCACGTTCTCGCGAGCCATTCTTTCCATAGTTCGCACTCGTGGGGAGACATGTAAGCACGTGACCCGGCTTATGCCGCGGGCGCTTGTTCACTTGAGCTCCGACCAACCGTGGCTCACTCACGACTCAACCACCCAGCCTCATCGAACGCGCGCATTACCCATCTTGTCGCTGTCCCCCTCGTCGCCATTTGTCACTTCGAAGCTGCCTGATTGTTGCAATCATGTTGTACGAAACTGACAATTATGAGCAGCGCGACCGATCACCTCGCAGACGATCGCGCTCACCGCGACGCTCCAGACGATCATACTCCCCTCGCAGCCGCTCACGCAGCCGAGACGACTATCGCCGCAGTGAACGTCGTTCGCGGTCCCCAACAGGTGGTGCACAGGGGTCTGGGAGCTATCAGTCATACGGAGCTAGTCGCGGAGGAGCGCCTCGTTCTACAGAAAATAAGGACAACATGATGCAAAGCATCCGCGACTCTTCCCAGCAGGACCGCCGCGTCTATGTCGGCAACTTGTCGTATGATGTCAAGTGGCATCATCTGAAGGACTTTATGCGACAAGGTATGGTCACTCGATACTCGGGATAGGTCGCGTGCTAACGCGCACGCAGCTGGCGAAGTCCTCTTCGCCGATGTTTTATTGCTCCCGAACGGAATGTCAAAGGTAATAATTGATGGCTGGTCTTGATCGTGAGAAGGATGGAGGTTGACTGGCTTTTGCTTGGGTGTAGGGCTGTGGCATCGTGGAATATGCAACTCGGGAGCAGGCTCAGAATGCCGTGGCGACGCTCAGCAACCAGAACCTAATGGGCCGACTCGTATACGTTCGCGAAGACCGAGAGGCCGAGCCTCGATTCACCAATCCCGGTTCCTCGCGCGGAGGTTTCGACGGCGGCATGGGCCGCGGCGGATTCCAGGGTGGCTTTGGTGGTGGTCCCCAAGGTGCCGCCCCCGGAGGCGGCAGCAGGCAGATTTACGTTGCCAACGTTTGTACCCCAGATCTTGCTATTAACAGACACAGGATTGTTTAGCTAACATGTCATGCAGCTGCCCTATAACGTTGGCTGGCAAGATCTAAAGGATCTTTTCCGTCAAGCTGCGCACACCGGTTCTGTTCTTCGCGCGGACGTCCACATTGCACCCGATGGCCGACCAAAGGGCTCTGGTATCGTTGCCTTCGAGACCGTTGACGATGCGAGGAACGCCATCACCCAGTTCAACGGTTACGACTGGCAGGGCCGCAACCTCGAAGTTCGCGAAGACCGATTCGCTGGTAACACTGGCTTTGGTGGACGAGGCGGTTTCGGAGGCCGTGGTGGTTTCGCAGGAGGCTTTGGAGCTCGTGGTGGGTTTGGTGGTCGCGGAGGCTTCGGTGGAGGTGCTGCTGGTGGCTTCGGAGGACGTGGTGGGTTTGGTGGAGGCTTTGGTGGTCCACCTGCAGGTGGTTTCGACCCCAACGGCCCTTCCAACCCTCCAAACCCTTTCACCGATTTCGCTGCATCAGGCGGTGAGCCCAGCAACTTGATCTATGTCCGCAACTTGCCCTGGTCCACCAGCAACGAGGATCTCGTTGAGCTATTCACCACAATTGGCAAGGTGACACGGGCCGAAATCCAGTACGAGCCTAACGGCCGATCTCGTGGAACAGGTGTCGTCGAGTTTGAGCAGCAGCCAGATGCTGAAACCGCAATCGGTGGGTTGTTGTTCCTTGCCTCCTCATGCTTCGCTAACTTTCAAACAGCCAAATTCACAGGGTACCAGTATGGTGGCAGGCCTCTTGGCCTCTCGTACGTGAAATACACCAACCAGAACAACGGTGACGTTATGGAGGGCACTGAGCACACTGGCGGCCTTACACAAGACCAAATCATGTGAAGTGGTTTTCAGTGGGGTGCGTAGGTGTATTCATGCTCGAGCGGGAAGGGAGTTTGTTTGCCCGCTCCAATGTGGGCTTGTTCATGTTAGGGGACATATTTCACACATATTCGCTCCTATAAGACTGCTTTTTAGCAGGATCATCTGCGCCTTTCTTATGGATCATTTGGAGGACAAAATTTTCTTACTGTATTCTAAAATGCGAACTATGGAGTTAGTCTGATTTTGCAATATCTCTACAACCCGAACTGTGCAACTGTGATGATGACACATCGAGATAACTCTGTCTACTGTTGTTGCAACAGGCGCATCATCCATTCATACACTGCCCATTGCACGGCATTGACAATGAATGCTCGGACGCTGCAGATACCTAGCCCTCTGAAGAAGACGCTAGCACCCTCCGTCTGGTATGCATGTTTGGCAATCTGTATCGCGCCCAGGTGCGTTCTTCGTCCCTCAGTGTGGAGTAGGGTTTGCTGGTCGCCTCTACGGACAGGCTCTGGCTGCAACGCTTGCGTCTGTACCCTTGTCTTGATCACATCCAAGGGGAAGATAGACGCCCATGTTATGACCCCAGCAAGGCCTCCGCACATCAGCACTTTGAAGGCAGTCTCCCTATCGGTATCTTCGGGTGAGCTCCAAACTTGCTTGCTCCACTCGTACGACCAAAAGCTATCACTGTCAGCCACACAACTCGGCAAGCTCCAACGCGCGACCTACTAAAACCCGTAGCCTACTGCATCACGTATACTGGTTATCCCACCTCCATAGTAGAGCCCTCTAATGCCGTCCTTTGTCCATATTTGCTTCGCTATCGACCACGAGGTTGCATGTCTCGCTGTTGATACTTGCGCGCGGCACTTTATCAACTCCGTAGGTGCAGACACAACGAAGGAGGCAAAGCCACCCGTTGCACCAGCAAGGAAAACTTTCGCAAACGAGTTCGCGTCACCAGGCGTTTCACCGAGAATTGTGAGCGTGCGATTGTAGGTCATGAACAGGAGCGCATTGAGTGCGCCGTAGCCGAGGATGGGTGCTGTTGCGCCTACGCTGAGTACACAGATTAGCTTCCAATTGCTTGACTTGAACGCTACCCAGGTCGAAATCAGAATGTCATACCTCTCACTAATGTTCCAGCATTCTCAAACTGCCCTCGGAAACCCCGCGGCGCAGCTCCTGATGTGGTTGTAGCTGTGTTCGCATCGTGGGCAGGTTTCGGCCCAGCTTGAAGGCGCGTCTTCACGAGGTCGAGAGGATTGCCGATGATGATGCCCACCGCACCGGAGACGTAGCCGGCCCAGAAATCCGCGGACATGGTCGCAATGACATGGGGGAGAAATTGGGGAAGTTCACGTGGAGGGGCAGTTCGGCGATGGAGGAATGTGGGGCGCTGGACATCCGAGGCTCAAGAGTGATTGTTGCTGGGTCGACTGGCAAGTGGATGCGCAGAAGTCATTGTTATGATGGGCCAAATGCGTTGGAAATGAAGTGTGGGGATAGTAAATATTGGCAAATCGAAGAGAGAATCCTGAGGACTTTCGAGAATTGAGTCAAACATGTCTTAGTTTAACGTCCATCTGCAGTGTCACGCAGGCATGGTCATGAGGCAGAACGTTTTCATTGTGATCGAGTCTGCTGAGCTTGAGGAATCATCACACAGACTGTAGGGTAGACACAGAAGTATCCTTGTGCATGCGCTTTAAGTCAAGATGGGGTGGATTGTACACTAGCTTCAGTGTGTCGCCGGTGGTGTCGCGGTGGATGATGACGCCGATTCGCCAGTTGCATGGCTGACTTCGGACTTCGTCGACGTCAGGTCGATCAGACGTTGCGCTGCCATCTATTACTGACTTTTGAACCGGCTGTTGCTGTCCGCTTTCAGATTCGTGACGCTACTAAAGCTGTCCTCGTTCAGCCAGATCTTGGTTCGCAAGTGGCGAACCAGATGAATCATTCGGGAGTCGGTACGAAGTAGCACAGACCGACCTGAGTCTACGACGATCTCAACCCCACCGCCACCGAAGCTCTACTACCAAACGCACCCGCCACCCTCGCTGCTGCTGCAGTCTTGCTTCTCTCACTCGCATTGTCTTTCATAGGCTCACATATCTGTCTGAGACAGGGAGCTTCCAGTATCGACACGTTGATTCGATTATGCGCGTGCGACTCACACTACTGTTTCGAGCCAAGTTACAAGGTACGTTCGTGCCTGCGCCACTCCTGCCTGGGACATCAACCACGACACTTTGAGGACTTGCTATAGACGGCTGTTGCGCTGCTCTTAGGCTGTGCTTGAGCTCTCGCGCGTCTGTCGCTGCACTTTACTGCTGCGCTCACCACCTCTCCGACTCCTTGTTAATAGCTCTCAGTACTATACACAATCTAGCCTTCGACTGTCCCAAGATACGGCTACCCACAACTGCGATCCGCCAACCACGAACGACATAATAACCGATGCCTTCTTATCCTACCGCTAAAGGCTGGGACTTTGGCTCCGTCTTCGACCTCATCGATTCTTCAGACGTACACGATGTTGGCTCTCCCAAGCTCGAAACACGTACGCCTCCTGTCAGGCCAAGCCTCGCAGCTCCCGATGGAGGGATACGATTAGGCAGCTTTGTGAAGCTCTTTGAAGATCTTGGCATTGTAGATGATGCGCCACTGCCTCCACTGTCGCTGTCGCCATCAGACCCGGACTCCTCCGGTATAAGCAACGCTGGCGATGCGCTGTTGCCATCTCCACTTTTCGAACAAGACACAGATATCTCCGAGCCTACTGTAGATACCGAAGATATACCGCTTACGTTGACCAAGAAGCAACGCAAGCGAGCTCGTCAGCAGGCCGAGAAAGAACAAGAACAGAAGTTAGAAATACAGAAGCAACAAGCCCACAAACACCAAGCCAAGGGACCGTTTCGAGACGCCCAACGCAAACAGTTGCAGAAGCAATTAGAAAACGTGTTCAGCGCTAAGCCGGCTGCCGCTTCGTCCACAATAATTGCACCTCCGGAGCGTGCAGAGATCGAACAGACTCCCTCTAAGAAGCCTCGCAGCCGCTCTCCCTCCAAACGGATACCATCCGAATCACAACAGACTCCTTCAAAGAAGCCTCGCAGTCGCTCTCCCACCAAACGGATACCTCCCGAATCACCCACAAAGACGGTCTTGCCCGCGTCAATCCCTACGACATCTCGGCCTACATCTCCTGTGAAGCAGCTTCGAGCCCAATCTCGTTCCAACGTAGGGGCTAAGATCAGACCTGCAACTCCAGTTCCAGTGGTCGAGACATCGCAAGTCGCCTCCCCACAGAAGAAGGATCCGGAAACGCCGCCGCCGCCTGTCAAGTCACAGCGTCCCGCACCCATTCAGCGTGTGAGCTCCACTGCGCAGGTAGCAACACCACAGACGAAGTCTACGCAAGGCCAAACACAAACCGTCACACCCGCTCCCCTCGAGTATGGTGCAGGCCATGGCCTTGTACCGCGGACTGTCCGACCTGTTACTCTCCCACGATCGTCGCAGCCTGTTGTTGCACAGCCCACGACGCCAACACCGGCACCCGTTGCTACTGCTACACCTGCACGAAACTTTACTACTCCCTACAATGCACCTGACGCGATTACTGTCAGGCCTTCAGTCGAGCGACACATTCACTTCCATAACAAGCTTCTCCGGACTTTTCCCGAAGACGCAAAGTACATTGTGGCACCGAGGCAGTTGGTCAACGAGAAGACGTTGGCTGAAGGAATTCATATCTTTGTTGATGCGTCGAACATCATGATTGGATTCAAGGACATTCTACGCAAGTATGGCATACGCCAACACGAGATGGCTTTTGATAGCCTTGCTCTTCTCCTGGAGCGCCGTAGACCAGTTGCAAAGCGTGTATTTGCTGGTTCACACCGCGAGGCCAACCCTCTGCCGTCTATTAAGAAGCTTGTCGAGACGTCCAAGTCGGTTGGATATGAGAGTATCCTCCAAGAACAGGTTTTCATCAGCAGAGACGACTCAGAGAAGAAGAGATTCTTCGACGACGTCAAAAGGTTGGGCTGGCACAAGGCTCAACAATTACGTTCTGGCAGCGGCAGCGACTCTGAGACGGGTCCGTCGGTTCCGAAGACGCCCTCCGCCCCGAGATGGGTAGAGCAGGGCGTCGACGAGATTCTTCATTTGAAGATGTGCCAGAGCATAATTGACACCGATGTGCCGAGCACCATGGTTCTTGCGACGGGCGATGGCGCCGAGGCAGAGATGTCAGATGGCTTCCTTGCTCATGTTGAGCGTGCTTTGAAGCGCGGATGGAAGGTCGAGTTGATCAGTTGGAGACAGCAGACCAACGGCGGGTACAGGAATAAGAAGTTCAGGACTAAGTGGGGTGATCAGTTCAAGATCATTGAGCTGGACGAGTTCGTGGAGGACTTGATTCATACCGAGTAGGGATTGGGGCGACGGTGGTATGGTTCTACTGGCGAGTAGTCTTACAGCACGGCAGGCGTTTGGTTGTTTTCTCGCGATTTCTTTTAGGTGTCAGCATTTATGTTCTCAGCATAGCATTCAAATGGAGGCATCACGAATGGTGCTTGTCTCCAGTAATTTCATCACTAGCATCTTGCATCGCATCAGCATCTTGCATTCATATCCATATTCGTCACGTCAGCATCTTGCATTCACAGTCATCACATCGGCGTATTGCATACGCATCTATCGCATCGGGATATTGCAATCATATCAGCATGGAAACACCCACCTTTACTGTTCCTTCAATGTGCCACTGGCGGAAACGCCGATCCGGACCCGGCCATCTCGATGCATCGGCAAGTCTTCGTAAATTGCACATCTGCCGCGCAGCGGCAGAGCATGAGTTCGCATGGACGCACGCACCTCTCTGCGATCCAGTCGCGCTGCCCAGAACACGGGTGGAATACGCCGTACGGGCGAGTCTCGCCAACGTATTCCAACGTGTTCGTGAAACGAATCAAAGACAGGACAGGATACTGCTGCATGTCGCGAGTCTCGGGCCCCGCAGCACTGGCTGGCGCATGTGATAAGGCTGATTCGCTATTTTGGAGCGACAAGGCGTTGTTTGAGGCAGTTGTTGGGGCGCAGGGGTCTGGTTTGTGAGGCAGACAGCGGTTAGAGTTGGGGACTGGGGGTCGCTGTTGCACGGGGATAGGAGATGCTGTGGCTCAGGCACCGCTGCTACACACTCAAACTCTCGTGCTCTGTCTGTGTGATGCTAGAAGATTGGGTTTGCCAAGATAGTGTCAGGCAAGTCGAGGGGTAGCTAATTGCGATGTGCAGCGCGCTCAATACAGACTGTCTAGACCAGGCAGCGTTGTTGAAAATCTCGTGATTTCGATAAAAACTCTCGTGCACATTGGTACCGAAAGCGCGATGTTCGTGCGAGCTGCAGGACGGATTGCGGGTACCATCCTGCGGGTCGGACGAAAAACAGCGAGTCACGACAGGTGCATCTGTTGGGCGCGGAGCCGAAGGAAATTAAACTGGTGAAAGGTGAGGCTTTTGAGCGCCAAGAGGCCGGCGGACTGCGCGCTGGTTTGCTGGTTCTGCTGACCCTGTGGCTTGCTTACGGACAACGGCACGCGGATCGTGCGAGATGCCGACTGCAGCGCCTAATCTGACCACCGCGCAGACATTTTCGGGCTCCGGTGGTGAGTGCTTGCAGGGCATGATTGGCCAGCAGGGTTTGGCAGCAGGTTGGCGTGACGCAGAGCGGGCGGTTTGTCAGAAATGTTTGGAGCGAGTTTGCAAGTGACATTGTTTGGGGAGCTGCATGGTCGTTTCGTGTGCAGATGGGGCTGGGGCCGTGAGACGTGATTGCTGCGGCGACTGCGAGGCTGATGCTGACACAGCGTCACCGACAGCAAACGCAGGCATCCACGACCAGGCCTACCGCTGTCCAGGCAGCGTTGCTGCGACGATTGACGTAGGGAAGCCCTTTCACGCGTTGATGTCGGCGCGGTGTGGTGACGTCCATGCGAGCTAGGCGAGGCTAATGCAGCGGCGCATCACAGCTTTTTGCTCCGGCGAAAGCCTTTGGTTTGAGCGGTCTGGCAGGCTTGCTCGGATGCGGCTTCAGGCCAAACGCGGTGCGACGTTGAAACGTGAGCGCGATGGCTGTCACGGCGGCCGACGTCTCTCGCGTGAGCACTGGAATGCGCGGGCGCCTGTCAGCATCGGCTTTGTTGTGCTGTCGCGGCTGCGTTCAGGCAGCGTCCCAGCGCCCGCGGGCCAGCGCCGCAGCACCGCAGAGGCAGGGCATGCAGGCCTCGCAGCAGATTCGCAGCAAGGAACGTCTCTCGCACGACCGCGCCCGTCGCGTGGATGCCACTGCGTCAGGGAACGAGATTGAGCATTGGGCGCGCCATACCGCACGCCGTTAGCGCTCGCGCGCGACGCCAATTTTGACCCGGCCGCCGCAAGCCTCCTCAGCATCCGCCAGCTTCCATGGCCTGCCTCTAAAGCTGCGCTCTCCTGCTCCGCCGCTTGCCAGGCCTGCCGACCCTCGACCTCCAGTCCTCGCGCCCTCGACCCTCCCCTCCCACCCGCGCCCAGCACCCCTCGGTCGTGCCTGCCGCCTCGCCGCTGCCCTGCGCCGCCGATCCAAACACGCGCCCCCGTCCGCCATACTCCGCCAGCTGCATCTGCCACCACCACCCGCCCAGCATGCTCTCGCCGACAAAGGTCGCCGGCCTCTCGGCCTACATCCCCCACCGCGTGCGCCGGAAGTGGAGGGCCACCAAGTCGCGCATCCACAGCCGCCAGTCGGTGACGTCGTCCATCGCCTCGCTCGAGACCTCGTGGTCGCCGTCCGACACCATCAAGGCCCTGCGCACCCACCCATGGAGCATATACGACGCCCAGTATCTGTTCCTGGCCATCATCGCCATCTTCTCGCTGTCCGTCAGCGAGGCGCCCGGCCCCTTCGCCAAGACGTTCGCCGCGACGGCCCTGCTGTGCGGCGTGCTGATACCCGCCACGCGCCAGTTCCTGCTGCCATTGCTCCCTACGTTGACATGGCTGTTCCTATTCAATAGCTGCAAGTACGTCATTCCCTCATTTTCACCCTTGCTTTCGTCTGATCCTGGTTCGCTTGGCAACTTGGGAGTCGGATCAGGCGGCAACATTGGAATCCAGCGTGATTGATGCTAACATATACGCACAGATATGTTTCGCCCGAATACCGCCCTGCCATCTGGGTCCGCGTCCTCCCTGCCCTCGAGAACATCCTCTACGGCGCCAACCTCAGCAACATCATTTCTGCCCACCAGCACACCGTGCTCGATGTGCTCGCCTGGTTTCCCTACGGACTTGTCCACTACGTGTCCCCCGTCATTGTCTGCGGCTGCATGTTCATCTGGGGACCTCCTGGCACACTCCCGACCTTCGCCCGCGCATTCGGCTACATGAACATCACCGCCGTCCTCATCCAGATGGTGTTCCCCTGTTCGCCACCCTGGTACGAGAACACCTACGGTTTGGCACCGGCCAATTACTCGATCCACGGCGATGCTGCTGGATTGAAGGCTATGGATAGAATCCTTGGTTTCGACATGTATACGTCTGCGTTCCAGGCCTCCCCTGTGGTCTTTGGTGCATTCCCTTCTCTGCACTCTGGATGGGCAACTCTGGAGACACTGTTCATGGGACACGTCTTCCCCAAGCTGTTCCCCGTCTACGTGTTCTACACCATGTGGCTGTGGTGGTCGACCATGTACCTGCAGCACCACTACGCCGTTGATCTGGTTGCTGGCAGTCTTCGTAAGTTCACCTGGCATAAACCCGCATGAATACACCTAACTCATTAATAGTCGCCGGTATCTGCTACTTCTTCGGCCGCGCCAACTTCCTTCCCCGCGTCCAGCCCGACAAGGAGTTCCGCTGGGACTACGATTACGTCGAGATTGGCGACCCCAAGGACGGCACTGGCTACAGCATGCTGGACATCTACGAGGAGTTCCAGCCTCATTCCGACTCCGACGACTGGGCCAGTGGTTCTTCCTCGTCCTTCTCGACTGGCGGCCGCAGCCCCATGGGTGCACACTCACCTACTGATGACTCCCAGAGTCTTTGGGATGGCGACACAGTTGCGTCCGACACAGAGTCCTCGAAGCACTGAGCAACTCAGGAGGTCCTCACATATCTCACCCGCCCTCCACACATTCCTACGATCGCCCACCGCCTCCTCCCAGTGACGGCCTTCACGATTTATGCATAAACATGGAGTTTTATTTCTGCTAGCATTTCAGCGACACCATCGGTTGAACCACATAGCGTAGACCTCGGGGGTCATCACCGCATCTGCGCATCATGGCAGATTGCATGTATCGCACCTTTTGCATCCGGACAACCCCACAGCAAATTATTTTATTTCGCTGTGGATGATCCTTAGCTTTTAAGCTGTTTTAGTACCATTTTTACCCCTCTTGTTGAAGAGATGGGGAACACGATACCCAAGTCGGTCGCTATCTATACAAAGAGTATGAGCGGGAGGCTTTGTACTTGTACACATTCGCTTCAGCTCCAGCCGCCGGATTCAGATTCTTTGGACGGCTGGGGCTGTACAGGGGGTTATGAAGTTGAGAGGAAGATGGGATTTATGTTACATGTCAGAAGATGGAGGATGAAACGTGCGAGGGACGCGTAGATCAGATGGGCCTTTTGCATGAAGGGTCTGGTTGAAGTCCCGGCATGGTAATCATTATTAGTGTAATGCTTAATGGAATGACATGGTCACGACCCTACCTCAACGATTATTATTATCAGCTCATCTTGATCCGGACTCCTGTTCCTCGGGACATCTGTATGCTGTTCATGCTTCTTGTGCCGAGTCACGGTATCTCGCCTCCATCCAACCCCTCACGTTGCAGAATAAACGGCGGACTGAGGATGTGAGCCAGGATGATGAAGCCAGCGATGACCAAGAGCGTGGCGAAGATCGTCATGGTTAGATGGAAGCTGGGGGAAGCCAGTCCTTAAGGTTGCTGTCAGTTCAGGTAGGTGAGAAATGAGGATAAGAGTGAAGAAGAGGTGAAGAAAGGGTGTGTATTTATGGGAGCAGGAACAGTAGCGATCGCCCAGGCAGGACTTCGTGCCTTTCAATTCACCGTCAGCAAGTAGCGCAAAGACCCAGTCTTCGCTCGCTGCAGCCTCAGCCAAATGTGTGCTTTCAAGAATGTTGCGATTGCTCGACAAGAAGAGGATTCTGATTCGTCGTCTTCATATGCTAGATCCCAGGTGCTAAGCCTGCGTCACAGGCTGAAGTGCGCAATGTAGCTCAAGTAAAATCATGTCCACTGGGCCACTTGCCCTAACGTAAACCAGCACTAGGTGCCCCCAGATTCCGTGCAATAAACCATGTCTTATGAAAACAAACAAGTGCTGTAGTACAAGCGCGCATACGTGCCTTTGCCCCGATTGAGATGCCTCAGGAAGGCAATGCTACAGAGTGACGAAAGCCACGCGAATTCTTTCGTAGAGACAGGCGACGCAGACGCATGGCAAATGAGACGCACCGAAGGCATATATGCGAGCCATGTCCTAACATACAGCTGGACTCGAAACATGAAGAGCGGCAACAAAGCTCTTGCCCAGGACGTTGTGGTAACTAGTCTCCAACACGAAGCTGACGCTTTGCAATATAGAAGACAGTGCGGTCTACTCAGTGGTGATGCAGTACTCATCATACGTAACCACGGGCACAGATGTCGCTTTGGTGATTGTGGCACGTCTCGCCACATGGTCTAACGACAATACGTTGCGAGCAAAGTGGAGTCATCATCGCGACTCTGAATTGCAGCGCTTGGTTCCCGAAAGGCATCGAAGTGGTATAGCATGATCGATCATGACTGTAAGATTACTCTAAGCTTCTTGGTTGCGCTCACGGTAGTTCGAATCTCCCCACCGGGCTCTGCGGCGCAAGTTTCTGATCTCTGTAAGTCGGTTTTTCGAACTCCAATTCCTGCAAAGCGCGACTGTCGAGCTCCGTCACTGGTCCCGGCCCTTGCAGCTCATGCGTTATGTTTCCTTCTCCGAGCTCGTAGCGCAGGCCCGACGCAGTCAACTCTTCGCCCAGCGTCGAGGTACTCAGCGTCTTCATTTCTCCAGATGGGGTGGATGTCTGCCGTGTTTGCTGGGCTCGACTGTTTCGTGATCGCCGACGGAAATACAGGAATGCTATTGTTGTCAAAATCGCGCTGATCAGGACAACCATGCCCACTGCGATGCCAATGATAGTACCAGTGGGTAGATCTGAACCACTATTGTCCTTATTGTCTCCACTCAATGTGACGCTCGGAGCGGCTGCTGTGTTTGATGGAGATACCGATGCTGTAGACGAAGCGAGTGGTTCCGTGTCGTTCGCCGTGCAGTCGTAATGCCCGTATAGCCTGTTCTGGACGCTGAGCCAGTTGCAGAAAGCGAGGATATTATCACTCGATTCTGCCCTGAGCGCACCATTGATGGAGTTTAACTGAGGCATTGTGATATTTGAGAATGGCCCGCTTAGTCTGACGTAGCCATCAATGGTTTCGAGCTTGTCAAAGTTCAGTGCTCGATCGCTGTTACCATTGAGGGTAAGACTGCCATAGATCCCGGTGATCTGCGAGAAATCCAGATTGGTCAACACTCTGTTGATTGAAAACTGGTAGGAACTACCGGCGCTAATCTTGTCGTACGGAAGCGTGAAATCGGTAAGCTTCATGTTGGCAGCGATGGTTAAGGCTGATGCTACAGGCCACTTCAACCATTCAATCTTCTCAAGGGCAGTATTGGTGATGCTGACTTCGCTGACGTCGCGCTTCAGAGGTCCATTGGCAATGTCGCACCCCTTCAGAGAAGTGAGCCCCGTGAAGTCCAGCTTCGAGAAATTGGTCAGCGCGGGCAACGTCAGAGTCGTCAGCTTGGGAAGGTTACTCAGAGTCAATGTCGTAATTGACTCGAGTGTTGTGGACGAGATCGACAGCACAGCGTCTGAATCGACTATCTTGATGGTCCCCGTAACTGTTTTTAGGCCATTGAGTGTGATATCCCCCATTCCCTTCCCTGCGAACGAAACGTTTCCGGTGAAGGTCGTGCATTGATTGAGTGCAGTGACATCGGCAGAGCTTTTGATCTCGAAGGAGCCTGCACAATCTATGAGTGCAATCTAGGTCAGCATGCAGTGCGAATGGCGAGTCGCAATAGGGTGTACAGTAACATACCAGCAGCTCCGGCGCCTGCGCACAAACATAAGAAAAGAGGGAACCATTGTGCAACGAGTCTCATGTTACAGCTCGGTGATCGTAAAGCGACATGCGGATTATCCCATTACAAGCACACAATAAGAAGTGGCTGAACGAGTGGCAGCTGCGACAACAGCAGGTGGAGTAAAGGATCGAGGAGGCGGGAGTCGGAGCAAACTGCAGTCGACCCTCATGGGGCCGCAAACTACCGAAGCCTCCAACCACGAGCGACCCACGACGCGTGGTGTCGACACTGCGATTGTCGCACGGACTCCTGTACGATCGTTGGTGTTCGTATTCGCGGACTTGTCCAACCAGAACTCTGCGTGTTGTTGATGGATCTACAAATACGACGCTGTCGGTCACGCCGTTCTGGGGTAACGCTGCTTCAGGTGGTCCTCCATTTCGGTCCTTAAATGCAGCCCGGCACCAACAAACCGTCAATAGGGGCACCGACATAAAATCAACGCTCGTCATGGCTCCAACCTTGTATAAAAATGGAGTCTTAACACCCACCTGACGTGAATCTCCAGGTGAACGACAGTTGCTACTAAATTTTTAGGCGAACCATTGCACGGTACAACTTGGGTACTAGTGGAGAGCTGACCGCAGCTGTGCACGACGAAGCCTGCCCACGACACAAGGCACACATCCATAGCTTGGCTACAGCACAACTAATAAAATTCATATCGGGAAGGGTGAAGCATTACGAAGCTGTACCGACCTTGTCCCGAGCGAGACCGCATGCCACATACATCTTCTCCTTTTACACACACATAAAACCTTCGCAGATTTCGTCACTCAATCCACAGATCCTTTCCGAAGAATCCAACCGAGATGAAACACCACGCTATACTGATGGGCTGTGGACGACTGCTGAGAGCATTATAAACACCTCGACACTAGCTGCTAACCAAACATCAAATTTGATTCGCTGCAGCAGCAGTTTATGGGAAACCTGGTTTCGCATGCAGCACCAAATTAAATTCTCACATCGCAGTCACCTGTAATGAATGCTGCTGTGGTTGCAGTGCCGATTCAACCAGTACGCGCGGCATGCAGAAGCAGTCTTGTCAAGATTCTGACAAAGTGTCCCCTCCACCGGATCGGGACGGAGCAAGACCTGACCGTCTCGACTCGACACAGCAAAGTCATTCCTGGTTAAATAAACGCGGATTTGAGCGCCTCCCCACACCGGGTTCTGCGGATACAAGCCTCGTGGCATGGGAGGTCCCGCAGGGACCCGTCGTGGGATCAGGCCGCAAGCATCAGTCTTCGCAAATTGAAGTCGATCAAGTGCTCGGCCCAACGACAGCAATTGAGCAAACATCCCGTAGGGAGAGGTAGATGTTGTAGACCGCTGCGTGGCTGTGATGAGGGCTTGCTACGTATTTTATATATGTTTGCGTTGGACCTCAAGGGACTGCACTCAAGCACGTTCGAGTTGCCATCCGCACAGCTGCAATGCAAGAAACGGAGGAGTAACAACATCAACATGTAGCTTTCTTGGTAGTGCAGTTGCGCTTGAGTGGAGGCATTCAGTCATAATTTGGAAGCCTATTAGCTGTGCTATGGACATTGTTGAAGTAGTGTTTAGCGAGTTTTCAAGTGAAGCTGCCTCTTTCCAGCCCTCGATCGCACTCTATTGGATCGCTTGTAATATCCTCATATTCATTTCCTTACCTGTATGCGATTCCACAGAGGCGGGACGCACCGTCCCCAGACGCATCGGACCAGCCCAGCATAGCATCAGGCAAGAAGAGTAATGTCATCTCAACTATTTATCATTGAAGTATGTGCCCGAATGGAGTCATTTTGCTCAAGTTCAACTGCTCATTCATTGTAACAAAGGTGAGATGTGTCCTACATGAGGGTCGAGTTGTACTTGGGTGCAATGAGCACTATTGTTCTTGAATTTGATACAGCTAGCTAGCCCCAGGATGACATGCATACAAGATCCTGTAGTCTTCCACCTGCCTTAAATGTGCTAATCCCTTAGGTCATGTTCTTCAACAGATAAGACAGACCCGCCCACATCTCCTCACCGCTAGGCAGAATCTGGTTTGCGGGCAGGACAAAGCCGTAGTTTCCTGTGTCGCGGAGCTCAACGGTCATCGAGTATTTCGCTCCCGCATTCTCAAGTGCGTAATCGACACTGTCACCGCTGACCTGGTAGATGGTGTTGCAGATAGGGCCACCTGTGAACGTTGTGCCGTGGACAGCCTTGACAGCTGCGATAGCGCCCTTGGTCAGGCTAGCGTATGAGGCGGAGTTGGGCAGAGTGCCGGAGCAAGTGTAGCCGTACGGGTACATCCAGAGCTGAGAGTAGGAGTGGATGTCCATGTAAAGCTGAATACCCTTGCCCGCAGCTAAGGAATCGAGCTGGGCCTTCAATGCCTTGGTCTCAACACCGTCGCCGGAGGAAGGACCTTTGTAGTCTTCAGCGCAGGGTGAGGTGCTTGCTCCTTGAGCCTGGCTCCAGGACTTGTGAGGCCAGTTTCGGTTGATGTCGCGACCGATGCAGCTAGCAGTTGGCGTAGTTTGACGGTTCTTGCGCCACAGACGGTTGCTGTTCTGCGAGAAATAGAAACCATCTGGGTTGACGACAGGGAAGATATAGAAGTCGTACTTGTTCTTGAAAGCGGCAGTGGTGGCGTCCGTGGAGGTCAGCAATTGGTAGGCAGCATACTCGTTGACCATGGTGGTGATCCACTCTCGCGCGTGCACAGTGCTGTGCCAGACAACAGCCTTCTGAGAACCCTTACCTCCGCTACCCCAGATATGGATTCCCTTGATATCTCGTCCCTCGAGCGACTTGCCTGCCGAGATGACTTCGGAATTAGATGGGTATGCAGCAGCAAGATCGCTGATCCATTGGTAGTGGTCAGCGAGGGAGTGGTACGAGTTGAACCATGTCGCGCTGGGCACTGCGCCAGCTGAGATATTTGTTTAGTGACGCTCGATATAAGAGTTTCCAAATTACTCACCAGCATAGACAGAGAAGGTGGTCTCGTTTGTGATAGATGCACCTAGGTTCTCGTGCATAACCTTAGTCTCAAAGCCCTTCGTAGCAGCCTTGAATGCTGAAAGCTGCTCGGGTGCGACCGAGACATCGACGACGTCGCCGGACGATGGCTTGCCTTTCCACACATCGAGCTGCAGCTTGTTCACCACCTCTTGAAACTTGGCTGTGTTGGAGGGCCCATTGATACGGAAGACCTTCCAGTCATCGTAATTGATTGTTTGCTTGTTCGAAACAGATGCAGCGGAGACTAGCCCCAGAGAGGCGAGGGTAATGCCGAGAAGCTTCATGTTGTAGAGGACCTGGGCTGTTCAAGAAGAGAAGCTGGTGAGGACAATGATGGTCACTCCAAGACCTGCCTTATATATGACTTGAAAACCACACTCACCGTTTCCATCGTGCCCCAGCTTCATACGTCGAACATAGTGCTTCCATCGCACCTGCCACACTGGACTTGAGTGCCGCCGGCACCAAGGCTGTGCCAGGAAGCTCAGAAGCCCATTGTCTTGGTATTGCAGCTCTTTAATATATCATCCTATGATAAGGCGGCATCTAGAAGGCCAACCTTGCAGGATTGCGGTGATCTGCCGGGGTATGTAATGGTGTGCGCCAGGAGCTGCTCCGGATCAGGCACGAGCTTGAGCTAGATAAGATTAATCAAGCATTAAGGCGTTCTGACTGGTCACGCGTGGGCTTAGTTGCGTTTCAACATGCATCGGTTTGGTGCTTCCAGGAAATCCTGTTGACGAGGAAAGCGCGGGGTTGGACAGCCGACCTTCCACTTGTAGCTTGGGCGTGACGGCGATGCGCCTTCTGATTAGGGAAGGAAGACATCGGGTTCTAGTCACAACTGAACGATCACATGATGAACAAGGATATTATGTTTATCAAATTAGGGTAGGTACATGATTGGAGGGCTTGATGATCGTTGCCCAGCCAGCGCAAGTCACTAGCGTCCATTATCTGCTACGAAATCATGATCTCTCACTGACGAAGTGTGTTCGAACGAACGTACAAAGGTTTTGAATGTGGGCAAAACGTCTCAATTCATAATTGAAAAAGTTGCCTAGTCCGAAAACAAATCCGTTCTTGTCGTAACCGCAATCCTATACAACCAGCGGGATCATCCAAGTAAAGAGCCCAGCGGAGACGCAAATAAGAAGCTATCATCCACAATGCAGCTGTCGAAGGCTAGTGCACCTAGGCACACCCGATCAACCACTTGTCAAAACGCAGTGACTCTCTTTGTTAGAAAGAGGGTATACACTTCAAATAAGTGTGATCTAATTGCAGATCTGGTCTGCGATAAACTGAGATGGATGATAGATCAGTGCCAAGTGGCTGATCGGATGTGCATGCATGTGCTTCGGTACAGTACAAAGAAATTCGAACCCTTTGTAAATCTTTGTCACAACAGGACCGAGTAGACAATGCAACTAGAGGCGAAGTGTACACTCGAACAACCATTTGCAATACTCCGGTCATAAAGCCCAACGACACCGAAAGCCCTACTGAACGAAACGACTCTACCTCAAAGGCAGGATCTTTGATTACCATGCTTCTTCGCATTGTCTTTGTTCAGCCGGCCTCGAGTGCATACATATGCATCGAGTCGGTTGGTTTGAAAATGTAGAACGATAACAGCAGCCTACTGCAGGATCAAGATGGCACTCGCAGCACGTCCTAACGTTATTGTGATTGATGATCGAACCATTTACCATAGCCTGGATGCGATCGACCAGGCACTTTTTGATGGATTGGAGTCTAACCCTCAAAGGAAAAAGTTCTGTGAGATGATCCATCGTTGGCGTGAAGGAATTCAGACAAATCGTATGTCAGCCACGTATTCCAGAAAGACACAACTGACCGACTCTCAGCTGAGATGGCCCCAGCTAATGGCCAAGCCATCGCAACGAAATGGAGGCTCAGTGGCTGTAAGCTGAAAAAGCTACGAAGAATCGCCATGCCTGCTGTCCAGGCACTGCCACCACCTGTCGATAATACAGGACCTCCTCCTATCTTGCCGGTAGGGCATATTTCAACCAGGCACGTCAGGACCGTTCCATTGCAGAGTCCATTAGCAGAGTTATCACCAAGATTCACATGTCAGAGTGACAAGTATGAGAACGTTTCGCTATCACCTACGAAAGGACAAGTAGAGTTCATCGCAGCTGATCTCGATGTACCTTGGAAGTTCGCAGATGTGCTAAGCCAGCAAGATCCGATGACAGTCGATAGAGTTCCATTGGCTCCGCCGACATCCGTATGTCTATTTGTGCGCACAGACGAGGATGATCGAATCGAGGAGGTGAGTCGTAAATGCGAAGTGTATGTCTAGTTACTCATTCAATATACAGCACCTCGCAGTCAAATGTCTTGAGTTGAACGAGCTTGCTAGTGATAGTAATGAAAGACTGGATCGGAAGGACGTCGATGCCGCTGTTCAACGTGAAATCGCTGCGCTGGAACTGGTCAGATCAACACAGTGTAGCCATGTCAGCAATTATCGTGGGCACAGTGTACGCGAATTCGACAGTCACTGTATCAGGCCTGGTGACAATGACACACAGATGTGGACATACCATCGAAAGACTGTCCACCTCTATCAAGATTTTGCCGGCCATGGTGACCTAAAACAACTCATCAACCACCACAGGAAGACAAAAAGGTAAGGCGTGCTGAACCCTCACAGCCACATTACCTAACAGCAACAGACCCATTAACGAGCACTTCATATGGTACACTCTTCGTGAGCTAACTGAAGCTTTGATTGCACTAAACAAAGGACCTGGCCACTGCTCGAAACCACACAACCCTGCAGTTGGGCTCCCCGATCCCGATGAGTATGGTTCCGTACTTACAGAGTCTTGGACACCAATTCTACACCTAGACATAAAGACGGGTAATGTTCTCTTGGAGACGAACAATGCTGAATATCCAGCTTATCCAAAGCCAGTACTGGCAGATTTTGGCTTGTCTTGTCCCGCAACTGAAGAAGTCATTGATTTGAACCACACTGACAACACACCTAAGCATATGGCAAGGTTTGCAGGAACAGACGGATGGAAACCTCCAGTAAGTTGTTCATTGACAGAAACTTGGCAACTTGCAGCACTAATTCAGGTAGGAACGTAACGAACACGCTCTTATCTATAACCCCAGGACCGGTGAGCATATGATCGATTCCGAATATGAGCCTTTCAAATGGCAGCTATCAGAAAGGACCGATGTTTGGGCGCTAGGTCTCATTGTGCACAAGATGATGTACTCGCATCGCACGGACGAAATAACGAGCCCAAACTCGCGCCACACGGTAGCTGTAGGCACGTACACCCTGAGTCAGGAGAGTGATTGGAACGATCTTTTGCGAGATCGTAGTATTGAGGAGCACGAGAGTCATTTCGATGTCTCTACAGCGAACATAAGCGATCTCCCTGATGTGTATGGTGTAAGGTTATGTCTCCTTGCTGCGCAGTGTCTGCGACACAATATGGAAGCTCGACCAGGTCTTGAGCAGTTGCTGAGTATATGCCAGCAGGAGCTTACGCGCCTCGACAATCTATCTGGCTTTACTGCTGGCAAACGGAAGCGAAATGCTGACGACGATGACGACGACGACGACGAATACACTGTCCTTGTTGGTAACGCTCCCAAGTCCAACAATCATACGATTGGCGAGACCTATCAACCCAAGCGTCCTCGCATAGAAATCGATCTTCAGGTTGACCATGAGGCTCGATCTGATTACATCGCCCTCATCGATGCTTGGTCAAACATGGCACAACCACCACTTGCTAGCCAAGCCGCACTTATAAAAGCGATTGATCTGCACATGCTAGATAAAGAAGGTGTTTACAACATTAGCGGAGAATCTGACGATGGTACTAGCGGAGATTTTAAGGAAAATATCACATGGGCTACTAAGCACTTGGTCAGTTGCCTTCGCAAACGTAGCACCCCAGAACGTGGCGCTTATATTCTCACCGGAGATTACATCGACGAACATAGTCTTATTTCGATCGAATATGCGTTTGATCGTGCATTTAAGGTCAAAATTCTGGACGACTTACTCTCTCTAAAGGATACTATCTTTGAAAACGAGTCTTTTCGGGAACAAGAAGGAGGTCAAGATGCTATAGATGCATTGTGGAATGCGGTTGATTGGGGCCTAATGATGCTGAAGTACACGGTCACTGATTACGTTTACGACGCTGAGGGCAAATTGTCTGGTGGTGAACCTGCCGAGCCCCGAGAACCGAGGATGATGAACCAATCGGCTCTGCATAAGGGCATTCATGATTGGATTTTTGTCCGGCCAACGGGTGCGTTTTACAAAACTTGATAACCTGCTCATCAAGTGTGCTTCGCAGAAGGCTCCACGTAGCCTCCTTCTTGATATCACGATACACATCTACGGTATATGACTGTTGAAAATAAGATGTGATCCTTCTCGCAGAGTAAGATCAATATGTTGTTACCATGACTTTCTGCCTACTGGCATTTTTGTATCGATAGGATCTGAACCATCTTTACCGCAGATAAGAAGTCGCAGGACTACCTACGACACATTCATGTACCTACGCACTTGAAGGAAGTACTTCCATCATAATCGTACAGCTTGTCGCCTGTAATAAGACTCTGTTTAATCCTACAAAAGTGCTGGTTGGGGTGTCTGCCTAATTGATTGTTTCCTCCCCCTTCATTGCAGTTCTAAGCCACAACCGCATGTCAGCTCAACGTCTTATGCCGGCAATACTCAATGTTTAAGCCCGGGTCCTTTTGTCACACGCAAGAGGCGCTGCAGCCACAGACGCACACGGCCAAGCCACTCGAGTCACTTGCCGAGCCTAAGGAACACCTGAAGAACCGCAAATGCTTGTCCCTCTCCGCTCCAAGGACACCCAACGGCTCCGTGCGCACCCACTTGTCATATACGCGCCAATAGCAAGTCGTCTTGTGAGCGGAGAGGACGTTATCGACCGTGCACAAGACTTCCTACGCTTGGCACATTGTTCCGAGTTGCCGATTCTTACCACAAAGAGCGCTAATTCAAGGAATATCAAGATGACAAGGCGGAAGTCGGAACAACATAATCTTTCAACCTGCCTCTATTGATGTAGATGCCAAATATGCCAATGGCTTCCAAGGAGTTGTTATGTGCCTGAAAACACGGGAGGCTGATTTCGACGCTATCGACAGGTCCGCCACAGGGTGTAAAATACCTAGGCAGAGTATCTGTTATCTATGGTTCGCCACGGCATAGTCATACGGGCGTATTTGGGAGGGCCGTAAGTCGGTGTATAAGATGCTTCTGGCACGCGAGCTTGTGGAGAGAGTCCTGCTTCCAACCTAAGCACCAACGAAGTATTCCCACGTTATTCGACAATACCACCAAACATGGGTGAAATCGAAGAAGTCAAGGACGGGAGGGTTATTCGAGAGGACTCTCCCTCAAGCTCCCCTTCTAAATACTCACCTCAAGAGACCTACGTTGAGGAGATACCCGAACCGAAGAAGACCCTATGGCAGAAGTTCCTCACACCGGGATCAGTCCTCCAGATCGTTGCTGCCGCTTTGCTAGCAATTGCTATCGGTTTGATCGTGACCACTCAGGTCTCAGATATCCCAGATGCAGCTGTTGCACTTCTCGCGATTCCTGGACAGCTATGGTTGCGTGCTCTCAGAGCTGTTGGTAAGTAACTCTGAGTCCTAGTGGAAACTGTAGCTAACTCTTACAGTCCTTCCCATGATTGTAACTGCAATGATCATGGCTATCCAGCGCCTCCGTACTATGGCTCAAGGCGGTGGTAAAGCCGGCCAGCTTGCGCGCTGGACCATCGGCTACTATGTGCTCACCACCGTGATCGCAGTCGCGCACTCCTGTCTACTCGTCGGTCTGGTGTGGTCGAAACTCATGACTGTAGTCAGTGGAGACCAACTGCAGGTCGATGAGAGCGACCAGGAGACCATCGACGAGCGCGAAGCGTTTGAAATTCACGATGTCGTCGTTGACATGTTTAATTCCCTGATACCAAATAACGTTGTCAACGCCATGGCCACGGATTCTCTGCTCGCTGTTCTGGTAACTGCTGTGGTGCTGGGATACTGCATCAAGCCCGGCAGCGCACTCATCCGCGCGATCGAAGAGATTGAGCAGATCATCATGAGAATCATCACGGTGCTTATCTATCTCGCACCGATTGGTGTTTTCTTCCTCATTATGCCAAACCTTTTCCGTCTCGACATCGCGGAGATTGGTGTCAACCTTGGCATCCTCATTGGCGCCACGCTCTGCGGTATGGTCCTGCACCTTTTTATCATCATACCGATTATCTTCTTCGCTTTTACAAGAAAGAATCCGTATACAATGTGGATGCGCTGCAGTCCTGCCTGGATTACCGCGTGGGGTACGGCCTCTAGTGCCGCGACGCTCCCGGTTACCATTCGATGTGTATTGGCTCAAGGTGTACCCATCACCGTGACTAAATTCGTCATTCCCTTGGGCTGCTTGATCAATATGGATGGAACTGCTATTTACTTTCCGATCGTGGTGGTTTTCCTTGCTGCGACCCAGGGCATCACGCTCAACGCAGCCGACTATATTGTAGTCGTTCTCTTGTCTACACTTGCATCGATTGGTACGACACCAATCCCCAGCTCGAGTCTGGTGCTAGTAGTAATGATCTGCGGTAAGTTACTTTTACTGCACCCAGGCATGTTCGACCAGTCACTTTCAAGGTTGGCAAAATTCGGCATCGGGCAAAAAGGACCCATAATCTCACCACGGCTCTTTCTCGTAAGAAGATGGAGCTATTAGGTAGTATCCAGAGGCTTAATAGCCGTGGCTGAGATGGGTTGGATCCTACAGAATGCGAAGTGACTGGTTGGCCGTGTCTGGGTGTAGTATGTGAAGTCTCCACCAACCAGATTCTAACGCTTGCAGGCTCGATCAACGTTCCTGTCACCGGCATGTACGCTGTCGTCGTGGCTATCGACTGGTTCCTGGACCGTTTCCGCACCATGACTAATGTCAGCTGTGACACTTTCGCCGCAGTCATCGTGACGAAAATCACAGGTATCGTGGATGACCCAGAGGACGACCTTCAGGACGCACACGCAGATGTTGCTCACGGTGCTAACGTAGATCCCAACACATTGAGGGAGACTCATGGCGATGGAAAGGTTTGAAAGCTGCGCAGTAATGCTCGAGGTTGACTTCTTCGGTGCATGTAGTTAGCAAACCCAGAACCGTAGTTATCTCACTGCTCATGCCGCGAGAAAACAAAAAATAAAATATGTAATGTCGTCTTAAGGCTCTCGAAAACCTAGTCGTGCAAATTCTGTACGAATACATTCGACTAGATCGTGCGTGGCCTTTGCGGTGTGTGTTGCCCTGATGCTAGAAAGGTCCAAACGAGATGGCAATTTGATTCGATTGCTACCCCCCGAAGGAAATATTAAGACACGGAGGGATGAAAACAGGTTGGTGCCCCTTGCAGTAGCCCGCTACCGTTCATAAGTGTACCACGCATGTTCGATGAATCACTTGGCGCACTACAGCATCAGGCAAAAGTGATTGCTACTTTGACCAGGATCTTATCCTTCTAGGGCTTCTACGCTTATATGTATCAACTTAATGGTGATGAGACTTCGGGACTATAACATAATCATTCTACGTTTTGCGAAGTGCCGGTGTTCGTACTGACGAAGTTAGTGGGTCATATCCTTCCGATCCCATGCATGCGAAGCCCTCATCATCTCTCCATCTTCAGTGGCGTTAACATACTCTGAAGTGCCGCTATTGTGATCCTCGGTGGTCATCTTGACATCCTGCAAGCGGAAATCTGAGAGCAGGAGAAGCGGGCGTCCTGTCACAATGACGTTTGAAGTACAGAGAATACGTCCACGACTACCTCAGCAAGCACATCACGTACGATTGGAGAGCTCACCGCCACTCCGTTGATCGGCAACCGTTAGCGTATCCTGAAGTTGCTGAAGCGTTCTCTCACTTCACATATCCACCTAGAGACTCAGTATCTGACCTGCCCAGGTGTAGAGCAATAAACTACTTTCACCTAGTCTTAATACCTGCTCGTGCTTTGACACAAGTCGACTGTTTCAGTATGGCAGGACGCAAGGAAGATTACCATGACTGGGGGCTCAAACGACGACGGCAGCGATGTGTATGACCGGGGTAATCCGGAAGGGAACCACGAGAGTGTATCGATGCCAAACTTCAAGATTGATACGCGTGATGAGGACGCAATCATTCAAGGTAGGTATTTTGTGAACTGATGACATCCCATGTCTAACTTTAAGCCGCAGGCCTAGATACAGACGAGAAGGAAGGTACTGACATTCAAGAAAAAGAGGGTGCAGAAGGTGAGGGTGTGAAGGGCTCAGAAAACGAGGGCATGGAGGACATTTAATTTGCATCATGTAAGTCGGGGACATACTTTCTCCCAGAACCACGCTCGTGATAAGGTTATCGAAGCGAAACATGGCATTGAATCGAAAATGTGAGCGCATCCCGGGGGTGCACAACGGTGTGCAGAAAGATGTGATAAGTGACTGATCCCAAACTTTCGCTAAGCTGGTTCCTCCCGAGGTTGTGTCAAACCGTTCGCTCTCAAAAGCCTCCGCTCCTTCATTCTTTAATTGCTTATTTACAGTTCTTGCCGCCGTAGATGAAGGTGCCATCTGAGTTCTCGCAACCGCATGAGCCATCCTTGGGACTCTTGATGCAGCCAGCACCCTCGCCAGACTGCTCACCCGCGTCACTCCAGTAGAAGGTCCACTTGTCGCTGTTGCTCTTCATCTTTGTGCCTGGCGCACACGTGTACGCCTCACATGTACCGTACGGGTAGCCATAGTTACCATCGTACTGGTGGTCCTGTGTGAAGACAGCAAAGGTTTGTGTGCCGGAGACGCGGGTATTGTGGCTGCACTCGGCGGCCTGGATAGCCTTGGACGTTTTTGTCACTGGCCAGTGTTAGATAAAAAGCCCATGTTTGCAGGGGAAATATCAACATACCTGAGCAGCCGGGACTGGAAGGGTATTTTCCCTTCGTGTTCGAGGAAGCTGGTTGGAGAGTGGCAGTCGCAGCGACGGCGATGGTGAGGATGGTGAGAATGGACTTGGCAAACATTGTGGGTTTGGTAACGACTGTTATACTAGTGAATGGAGGGTTTGAAAAGTTCTGCCGATGCTGGCTAGATATGTTGGTCTGCCCCCTATTTATGTGTTCTGCTCCAACCATCTCGACTCTCGTCGCGTGATCCGCATCTCCCAAATTGTGGGGTCAGGATCGCCTCGATCCACCTGCACGTTCGGATGTACGCGTTGCTTGACGTGCTTGTTTAGTGTTCGGTAATTATTTGTTTCTAATGTAGAGGTTTCAGGACAAGGATGATAAGGAGCACGTTTGTTACAAGTGGAGCTAGGGTACGACCGAACAGCGCACAGCCTCACCAATCTCACAATGACGATCTAGAGCGCGTGTTTTGCGAGGTGGTACAAAGCACCCGTGTTCGTCGTATGTTCATAGCAAAGTTTTGGCTCGGTCCGTGTAATCATGATTCTGCAGTCAGTGTGGTAGAAAGCAATTTCGCGCATAGCGGGCGATCACGATTATGTTCGCCGTGGCTGGTCGGACGAGCCTAGGTGCAGTGCAATCCTTGTAGCAAAAGATATCTGTGGCCGAGAGGCCGTGAACAAGATAGGAACGACGAGGTCTAGGAGCATTAGGTAACTTGTCTCAACTCTACTCTTGAAGATAGGAAACAATCGACAATTTTGACTCCACTTCAGCTTGACATGCGGTGCGTTAGCGCAGGCTTTGTTTCCAAGGAGAAGAGAGAAGAGAAAGAGAATCTCTTACGATCCTAGAGTGTTGCAGAATCCGTTTCCAGATTGGCTTTGACCGCCCTAGATATATTTCACCGGACAATTTCTATATATGCCTGTCAATGTCAAATTCAGGTCATCCGTTTACACCCTGTGGACAAAAGATGACGATGTTATTGTCGAATGTAACATCTTGTTCTACGAAGGGGTGTTGGACGTATTTTGCGACATTATCATCATACTCTTCTGCCTCTTGCCTGGACTGAAGTCGGAGCTTGGGAGATTCACTTCTTCTTTGCGTTTGCTCGCCCGGGAGACCGCCGACGTCGGTAGTCTCAACAAGTCCAATCCGTCAAGTTCGGAAAACTAGCTGTCGGTCACAGCAGCCACACTAGCGAATACTCGGTCTGTCTCCTAAGTAATTAGCACCTTCTTGGTTTATTGTGTTGATTGACTGACGACTTACTGTGCCTTTCATTGTGATGTTAGTGCCGCGAATGTCGGCATCTACGAGTGCTGTGGAGAGGTATGCGTTCTCGTTGTCGACGCCAGTCACGTAGCGCCAGAGAACGTGGCACGCAACCGCGAAGTCTGCGCGATAGTATGACTTCAGCTTTTCATCCTGGAGAGTGCCGTGGATGTCGATGACATCCTTGGATGGCCAGAGCATCGTAGTGCCAATGTCGCCGCTCCACTCTCTCTGCCATACAAGTTGTTGAACCGCAGGCATCTTCCGTGCGTAAGATATCTTCGCACGAGGGAGAAAATCGCGCTTAACGATTGAATTCATGTTTTTTGGTACCCACTCGACATTCTGTTTGGTGTGGAACTCAACCAGCTTCTTTGCCCTGTTGAGCACGTCGCCAGCAACTTTTCCTTCCTTGCCAAGCGCTTCAAGCCGGGTGAGCTCTGTCTCTGTTGTCTGGACTGCCTTGGCTCGCGAATCTTTGAGCCGTTGGAGGTGCTCATCCTTTGCGGTTTTTGCGAGTCGACGACGAATCTCGACTCCGCTTCTGTGCTGGCGTCTCTGAGGCTGGTGCAATAGCTTCTCGACGTTCTTCAAGTGCGAGGTTCAAACACAGCAGCCTGGAACTCCTCAAACGCGATAACATGGTGACTCAACAGGGCGAGGTATGAGGTTGCACCAAAAATGCGGCCACGCTCAGTGTAAAATCGGCCTAATACGCGGTCTTTGGACCGCTTGTACTCTGCTGCGTTGGTAACTCTTATTCTGACATGATGACGTAGCTTCATGTGTACATTCTGCTTGTCATTGCTGAATACCTTAGCATTAGAGGCGCTAATTTCTCAGTTGTAGCCGTATGCAGACGGGGCCTTGGTTGACTTCGCGGGTTTGATCTCGCTGAGAAAGCGGTGTCCGCGAGAGTCTGAACAATGCATTTCCGGCAGAGGATGTTGCCATCCTTATCAGTTCCGTGCTTTAGGTACTTGGAGGGGTTCTCCTTCTCAACTGCCGAACATTTCGAGCAGACTATCTGCTCGTTCTTACTCCGAGCCTCCCTCAAATCCCGTTCAGCAAGAACCTTCACAGTAGGAAGTTTTTCGTGCTTGCTGAAGATCACGCCGCACCGGTTGCAGAGCGTTTTCTGGAGCTCGCGATGGAATGAGTGTGAACCGCCGGTCTTCTTCACATATGGTGCTCGGCAGTGTCCGCAAGGATCGCCCGCCTGATGGTTCATTGTTCGGAGCTCTCCACGAGACGTACGTGGCCTATGTCGGCCGTGCTTCTTGAAATACGGCCAGCAGGCGTCACAGTAAAAGCCTTCGAAGCCTTCATCTGGTGTGTAACGAAAGCGGTTGAGGGATTTCCTATTCTTAGACTCTTGATCTGAGCGCCTGGACTTACAGTCGGCGCATTGCGGATCTTTGTCATCTGGCCGCAACCTCATACAGAGCCTGGTGTAATCAATTTTTTTTTACATTTGGCCTCGTCAGGCAGTGAGCCATGCCTCCTGCGCCATCGGGCACAGCTTCGGCAGACGTATCCTCCTAGAGGGTCTTCCGGATTGAGAATCCCACGCCGGCCCTGTGGGCTGTTGGCGGGCAGTTCGCCCTGTAGCTTACGCGGAGCAGTCAGATTGTTGCACCCTTTGTTCATGCAAGGGCTTATGATAAGGTTAGGCTGGCGAAAGCCTTGCAGCATAGGTAGCGCTGCATTGAGACCTCGCCATGGTGCGTTAAATAGTCCAACCTCTTCACGGACCCTAGAGACGAGATTATAGGCTGCTGTGGTGGCGTAGCGATGCGTATATTCTTGGAATTGGAATGATCCGAAGAGGATGGTGAAAACTGTCTCCAGTAGCATTAGATATCCTGGTTCAATCTCCTCATGCAGAGCCTAGTGTAGTCGATTTTGCGGCCCTGAAACTGAAATGACCCAAATAGGATGGTGAAGATTGTTTCCAGGAGCATGAGATATCCCGATTCCACCCTGTCCTTGAATATGACAAGTAAGCGGAAGTTCGACTGGACTTCAGGACGATAAATGATGCGGTAGTGCAGACTGCGCCTCGGGGAGAGATATAGGAGATGGAGTAGGATCCTGGAACTCTTGAGATGTTGCTGCATTCGTTTCCAATCGTTCCACAAGGTGGCTGGTAGCTGCCTAGGCTACGACGGTAAGGAGCGTAAGTATCGTCGCCTTAAACTGCTTGTCGAAGCTAGAACTGTAAGAAGAATCATGCTGTCAAACGAGAGCTGTGCTTCTTCGTAGTGTTGAGGGTGATGTGGGTTGGTATAAGGGTAGTACTTGAGTGAGAGGTCGAGAAGCTGACTTACTAGGGAAGGCGTGGGAGAAGACTAGTTGACGCTACTCGCGTAATTCGACGCTAATGGCTTATCGCGACGCTAGCCACCGATGAGAGCCTGCATTCCCCGACCTATCTGATCTCTTGTTCGTTCCCTTCACAGTTGTTGTTTGTTTACTTCATCATGTCCGGGTTTGGCACGCTGAACGGAGTAATCCAGTTGTACTGCTGCGGCTTTTTGGCTGCGATGAACTTGGGTTGGATCCTACAAAAATGTCAAGCAGCGCGCACGCAGTCGCGCTGGGGTACCTGATAGGACCTGAGTATACGGAGTACCCCTAGGTGCGCGGCAGAGGACATACTCATGTCTCCATGGTACTTAGATATTCAGATCAGGTTGCTCGCACGAGCACGAGATGCTGAATCTTCAGCTATCCTCTGCAGTACTTGTACCGCCAGATTGATAGTGGTATACATTTCCACGTCGATATTTTACCGGTACTTATGAATGCTAGATCTTTCTATACTATCCAAACATTTGGAACAAAAGTGCAACGTCTATCTGAAGGCCGCCTACACTTCCACGTTGATGATGTGACGAGCAACTTTGTCTATGTTACGCCGGCTGGAATGTCGGGCCCTCTCAACTCGGATCTCAATATTACAGTCTATAATTACGCATTTGCCCTGGAGAATTGCACGCACGTAGGGAATATCTACTACACCCAGGCAGGTGCGACCGGCTACCTAGCTTACTGCACAGCAAAGCCTGCTCTCGCTGCCGTATATACGCTGAGCGGAGTAATTCAGTCGTAATTCTGCGGCTTATTGGCTGCGATAAGGATGGTTTAGATCTTACAACAGTTCCAAGAACATGGCGATACATTGAAGATATTATCTCCTCTAGGCACACCTCGAATCTACCTCGGACAACCACCACTGGTGGTCCATCTGTCCCTGTACATCTGCGTCTTTATCCTTGGATCATGTGGGCGCCATGGAGAGTGAGACGGCGTTGAGGACTGGTTCTGTGGATTAGCGTCTGCAACAGCCGATAATAGACAGTGCCAACCCTGCCCAGAAGGGCTACCTTAGATAGGTAGGTAGTTGTCGTTGCGTGTGACGTGATGGCGCGTTAGAGTTGGGACACGGGTCTGTAATGGACAGCTTCTTGGTATCAAGTCTCACGTTCGATGTGGCAATGCGTGGAGAGGCAGGGCTTGGTACATCTGACAATCCGCGCACGGACCTCCGCTCTCTTACCTTCACCTTTACTTCAAATTCTCGTTTGCTTACAAAACTAAATCAAAGCTACGCTCACTACCAATACTCTTCCACCACAACAGCGAGACTTCTATTACAATCTCTTTATCTGTTACGTCGTCCTCAATGGTGACCTCAACGCCGCCCCACCACCCTCCTCCGCCTTCCTGCCCCACCCTCCGCCCTCCACTCACCCCTCCCCTTGCTTCTTCAGCTCAATCAGCGGCTCTGATAATACTGATTTGCTCGACGACCGCTCCGGCTTGTCTCCCTCTGCTGTAAACGTAGCGCCCGCCGACGACGCCCCGATCCTGCAGCGCCGCATTCTCACGGCCCGCTCGGTTCCCGCTCTTGCCGCCGAGTGTAAGTAGTAATAGAAATTAATAGACACATGCTGACCTCTGAAGTGTTTTGGACCAAAGATTTTGTCGACAAGGAGACCGCGCGCGCGAACGCTGCAGCAGAATCTGGAGTGCCTTTTGTAGTCGACTTGCATTTGCAACCGAATGATGAAACGTCCTCTGATAAGACAATTAACTACGACTCTTCTACGGTACGTCATCATACCAGACTGTAGCAGACATCCAGCTAACACGAAAAGCCGGGCCCGTATAGGAGGTTGCAATTGGCCAAAGGTCCAAAACCCTTCGAGGGCAATGCACAGGTTGCAAACGCTGGCCACTTTCGCGCTACTGCCTTGCACGGTAACTCGGCTCTAGAGGGTCAGGTGGCAGAGAGTGTCAGCCAAGATCCAGAGAAGACTGGCACCAGCGTGGCCGCCAATCGTAAAGGCATGGGGAAGGTGTGAGAGACGCAGCGTGCTAGGAGCAACTCGTCCCGTGGAAGCCAGCGTGGTAGAGGGCAGTCGTCTCCGGGATGTCAGCGTGGTGGAGGAGAGTCGTCTCGTGGAGATCAGCGTGCTGGTACCAGTGAGCCCGAGAATTCTTCCAAGGAGGTGTAACCGCGATACCCTAGTCAGGTTGATTTTACTGTGCCTGCATGGTGTAATGGAAAGCAACAAACACAATCTTACCTTATAGTGGCAAGCACAACAGATCTTTACCTACATGGCTTTTCATGACATCCTCTGCTTAGGTATTCTGACCAGAAGTATTACCCCGTTGCATACAGAATACGTATCTTATAAAAGGGTAGATGTATCTAGGGACGCTGGCGTGGCGCAACACCATGGTGATACCTTGGAGTGATAGACGACTAGATGTTGATTAAGCAAGAACAGAGATTTTGGCGGCAAGCTAAACAGGGTAGTAAGGACGGTATAGAAGAAGGAAAGATTGAAGTCGGGCCAGGTTAATATATAACCTCCTAGGCCTACGTAATCGCAGTAATAGAGTGGCAAGAGAGCTTTGTCTGCAAGTGATTACAGACTTACTATTTGCTATAGCCCGCAATTTTTCCTTGCAGCCCTGGAGTCGCTTTCGCCCGCAAATAATTACGAAGCTACAAATGATGCTCAATAGTATCGCCGTTGTTAAGGTCCAACTTCACTGCCCAGTAAAGCACCTTGTTGTTGCACTTGAACCACGGCGCCCACTCTAGAGGATTCTCGTTGGCCATCCCTGCACCCCACAAGACAGCACTCCAGGCCCGCGCAATGTCTTCTGCTTTATCCTCCTTGTCTACCCAAACGTAGCATGTATCGACAGTGCTGGAGTCGGGCTTGTAGAGGAAACGAATGAGTATGGCCCCATCAGTGACCCCAGTCTCGATGGTGTGGGTGAAGAAGGTGTTAGTTGCCTTAGCCTCGAAGAACACGCTCTGACGTTCGGCGAGTAGGGCCAGCGTAGACCTGTCGATCTTTGTGCGTTGCACCTGGAATCGTGCAGCTCTGGCCAGCTTCTTCTCGTTCTCTCGCATTGCACTATGTCTGGTCAGTGAAATTGCTCCACACGTAACACGAGTACATTTCTTACGCTTCACGCTGGACAAGACCAGCTTCCATGACCTCCAGAAGAGCCAGAGAGTAGGCATCTATGCTGCCATCGCTTCGCATGGTGCGGTAAGCATCAATAATGTCGCGATCGATTTCACCTCCCCACTCTTGTCCTGGTGCTATGGCTGCAGCTGCCTGACCGCCCTGTTGTGGGCGAATTTCTTCAGCGCGGATCTGACCACATCGTAGAGGACAGCGGTACGTCTCAAGTGCAGCGATTCAGTTCGGGTGGAGCATGTGACCGCAGCTCAGCTCAGCGACATCGATGTTGGCAAAGCGGAATAGACAGGCACAGCACTCTCCGGCTGGAATCCGTCGGTAGTGTACGCGAAGCGACATGGTGACTGATGTGTTTGGGTAGATTATAGACGGCTGGGTGAGTTTTTGAGTTGTCCTGCGAGAATTTTCGCGAAATGTTGGTATTGTGGACGCACACAATACATATGTCCATACCTTCACCTCGTCACGTGGGGGGCCTAGGGTACAAATTTCTTCTCTCCAACGCGGCATGACCCCAAAACCACTTTCACATCACGACACCACAAAGACTTCAGCATCTCGCAACCATCCCCCTCACGAGCCGCATCTAACCAACCTGCACAATATGTCTACGAGGAAAGATGCATTCACTGTACGCGAATATGCTTTCACTCGTACAATTGCAGCCGACTAACTTACCGTAGGTCCGTATCTTAAGGACGACGATCCCAACCTTATGGACAACTTAAAGGCGCAAGTGGAGGAGGCTGGTGGTACTTTGATTGGGGATATGAGAGGCCTGTTAGGTTTTCTGTAAGCACATTTGTCTACCAGGATGCACGATCTCTAACGAACCTGAAGCTTTGTTATGACTGCAGGAGCTCAGCATCCACTCGATCGCGCGGTCCAAAACGACGAAGTTTGGGTAGAGCGTCATGTATGCGATGAGGAATCTAAATGAGAACAAAGACGAAGCCAACAACATCAACAATGGTTAGCTTCGCAGTGCTTTACAGATAAATTCTGTAGTTTACATGAAGTCATATGGCGCCTTTCCTATCCAACTAGACGTTTCGCTTTGAGTGATGGCGTTTTCAACATGCACTGTACAATCATCATCGGCCAGAGCAATACGGTGTTGACAGTGCGCGCGTTGTGTTACTCGTTTACGTAGTGTGGACTTCTCGGTGATTTCGAATGAGTCGTATCGCCAGCACGTTACAATTCAGTAAGTATGATGTAGCAGCCACAGATCGTTCGCACTTATTTTGTAACTAGTACTTCCCGCTCTCATTGACAAGCCCGTTCTCCTCATTATCTTTCTTGCTGTTCTGACTCCACTCAGGCGCCTCATCAATACCATCTTCCTCCTCCTTATCACCAATTTCTTTCGTCTTGTGTACGCTGGTCGGCAGATGCTCGCCGGGCGCATATATGGTGATCAACTCCAAAGGCTGGTCGCCTCGCGTGACGAACTGATGCTGAGTCCCGGCGGGCACAACGACAACATCGCCGGCCTTGACTTCCTGATCCTTGCCAGCGACTGTTGCGAGGCCGCGGCCGGATGTGAACATGAGGATCTGGTCGACGGTGTGGACCTGGATATGCCATTAGTATATGCAAAAAAGTTCCATCTAATCGATGCGCCTTCGGAGGTAGCCATGACATACCTCATCGCCGATGTCTCCGTTAACTGGGACCTCCATGGCTACAATTTGGCTGAAGAGTCCCGTGTGAAGCACCGTTCTGAAGTCGCCGAATTCGCGCTTACTGCTTAGCAGCCCAGGGAAATGGAACATCTCATGCTTTGGCGGCTCATTCTTGCGGTTTCCAGCCTTCTTGTATGCGTCCATAGCTCTTGACACCGTCGTGGAGAAATGTCTGAAAGGTTTCAGGGTGATTGGTTTTGATGATCGTATCAGGGAAGTCGTGAGTCGAGTAGTGTTAAACATTGAGTATATAGTGGTTGGAGGAATGTCTGTGGGTATATATGCATCATTGCGATCTCAATGCCGGTCGGTGATGCTCGTCGTTATTACGCAACATGCTATGATCTAGGTGCATGACGTCAGCATGCGACACTCATAGTGTGGTGCCCGACGTTTGATTACTGGTGACCATATCATCGCGACTGGCTTATGCGATGCTGATTGAGATTCCGATGATTGGATGCATGCCGTACCTTGATGACGCTGTGGGCTAGTTGCCGCTAGCATTACTCGTTGTGGTCGTCGAGCTGGCAGACCTTGAGGTTGAAGGTCGTTTTGGCATATGAAGCGAGTGCAGAAAATCAAAAGGATGTAGACGCTGCGAGTAGTACCTGGACGTTGCGCAACAATTGGTTTGTTGTAAGAGTGAAGAGTTGCTGCCATAGGAGCTGTTCATAGCGAAGGAGCCGCAGGAAGACATGTTGATTGTGAACTGAAAGCCGTAAAGTTTTGTTCGATGATTGAAGTGAGCTAAGTCTGGCAATTAATGCAGGTCTAATGTACATATTTCTACTTCTTCCGATGCGACTCTGTGCTGCGGTGTGATGTGATGCTGTCGCAAAACATCGTCACTGTCACCGTTGGGTGTTCTGATGTTCGTTCAGCATCGCGTGAGCGTCCAGAAAAAGTCACACCACGTCCGTGTCATCAAGGTCATGCAGCCACCCGCCGAGGCTAGCACAACAGATCCTGGCCTCAACATTGCGTGGGGTGGAACTCGGCGAGTCTCCGAGTGGCCCATGGCGTCTATCCAAGATGGCTGGAGGACGTCGCGATTGCAGCAAATTTCATGCGCTGCTTTCGCACCACAAAGGAGGCTCATGGTGCAGTGTCCAGTCTCCTCTGTGCTCTGGAGCACAACACAGTCTCCGACTAGACCCTGTTCTGGCTGGCCTGCTCTGCTGTCTCATTTTCTAGTTCCCGCTCGATCTCTTCTTCCTCAGTAGGCCCAGGACCTCTGATTTTCTTAGTATCAACCTCGCCTCCGCTCATCTGCCACTCCATGAGTTTGCTGAAAGCACCTTCTGGGTTAGACGAAAGCTCTCTATAAGTACCCTCTTCAGCGACTTCGCCATCAGCATTGATGCAAATGATGCGGTCGGAGCGCTTGATGGTCGACAAACGATGCGCAATACTGATTGTAGTGTTGTTTTCGGCCAGCAATTTACCAAGGGCCTGGTTGACAAGTGTTTCCGACTCAGCGTCAAGGGCGCTTGTAGCTTCGTCGAGGATGAGAATGTCGGGCTTCTTGATGAGAGCGCGCGCAATGGCAATACGCTGCTTCTGGCCGCCAGAAAGCTGTGTGCCACGTGCGCCGACGTGAGTCTCAAGACCATCAGGCTACTCTATATTAGCTAAGACATGTGTCGATGCGGCTTCGCACTTACAAAGTCGCTGATGAACTGGCAATTGGCCTTGCGGGCAGCAGCCACAATCTCAGCACGGGTCGCCATTGGCGCACCGTATGCGATATTTTCTGCAATTGTGCCAGAGAATAGCACAGGCTCCTGACCAACGAAACCGATTTTCCTTCTCAACTGCTTCGCGTTAAGCGAGGTAATGTCCCGTCCATCGATCGTGATGGTTCCAGCTGTTGGCACGTAGAAACGCAGCAACAAACTTGCAACGGTGGATTTGCCAGCTCCACTGGGCGCAACGATTGCAACGTTTGTGCCCTGGTCAATCTTGAAGTTGATGTCCTTGAAAATTGCAACTGCTGGTCTTGTTGGGTAGGCAAATGAAACGCTCTTGAACTCAATCGGCCCACGCGCAGATCTTACGGGTTGACCTTTCGTTGGTGAGATGGTGGGCTGGCGATCCTGGAGTTCAAAGAGACGACTGGCGGCACCCACGCCCTTCATCATCTCGCCGTAGAAGCCGGACAAGCCGACCATACTGGACCCGGCGTAGGCAGTGTACATAAGAAAGGAAGAGAGTTCACCAATAGAGATGACCCCGTTCTTCACCATACCGCCTCCGACGTATAGGATAGCAATGATGGTCAAATTGCCCATCAATCCAGTACTGCCGTAGAAGCCAGCAGCAACTACGGCTTCTTTTTTTCCGAGCTGGAATATCCTCTTGATCTGACGGTTGTAGCGGGAAGCTTCTTGGACCTCTCCAACAAACGCTTGGCTCGTCCTCACGTTGCCAAGGCGCTCTTCAGCGATTTTCGTCAGGGTACCGAGATTCTTCTGGATCTTGCGACTCAAAGTTCGCAGCGAGCGACCTGAGAGAAAGGCAACTACGGCAACAGGAGGACCAATCAACGCGAGGATTCCCGTAAGCTTCAAACTGACGTAACCCATCATGGCGAATCCAGCAGCACCACTGACGAGTGAGCGCAGACCGTCCGATAGGTTCTGCGTGATGCTCTTTCCAACAATGATCGTATCTGAACCGAGGCGAGAGATGAGGTCTCCCACGCGATTTGCGTCGAAAAATTCGGCGTTCTGAACGAAGGTCTTGCGGTACAGCTGGGACCGTAGGCGAGCGACAATACGCTCACCTACAATGCGCAAAATTACGATACGGCTGAAGTTGGCTGCAGCACCCGCGCAAAGTACCGAAGCCAGCGCAATATAAAATGTTGACATGTCCATGCCGAAGAGGAGACCATCGGTTTCCTCGGCTTTAGTAGCAGCGTCCAGGATGCGACCGATCGAGAAGGGAATCGACATAGAGATAGCAGATGAGAACAGAAGGAAGACGAATGCCCATGAGAGTGTGCCTGCTTCTGGTCGGGCGATCTTGATCAGCCGCCAGACTTCTCCCATGCCGCTGCTGGACTGCGATGCGCCCTCTTTACTCAGCTTTGCGCTCAGGTTCACCTGGCGTGCTGCCGTTGCCTTTTCCGATTTGACAAAGCCTTGAGACTCCTCGGGCTCGCCGTCATTCTCCTCAAGATCTACAGCACCCTTCTCCTCCATCTCCTGCTTATAAGATTTCCGCTGTCTCGTTGGCGTCTTGACCTGTGCGTCGGCCAGAATTATCGATGCTGTGAACATGCGCGCGGGCTGTTGGAAGACATTGCGGCGCGTGGTGCCTGCTGGCGCACAACGGAGGGCGGTATAGGTGGGGAACAGCGATGACGCACATCGGTTCGCACACAGTGTTGTAGAGGTAGACTTGCAAGTGGATGCAGACTTCGTGGTATTGAATGCTCTTGATAGCACTGATATGGGCGAGCTTGTCGTCATGCGCGGCTGTATGGAGGAGAACAGTGCTCCATTGCCATGCCAGGCTCTTGCCGCGAAGGCCACCGTTCCGCGCATGGTGTGACGGGGCACACAGGCTGTCTACCTGGAACTGATTCTGGATGGGCGCACTGTGGGAGCATCCGACATGGCGGGAGGTTGGCTGCAATGGCGATGACAGCTCGGCGCTGGATAGCTCCTGAGAAAAGTTCCGCCTCGGTGGTGACGAAAGGATTCCGGGAGATCGAGCGCGGACCACGTGAAGCTCCGATTGGTAAAGATCTGGACGGCGCAAGATTACCAACTTCGACGCGTCAACATTATTGTACAAGTGGACAGCTTAGACGGTTGTGGTGCTCACAGGCCGCTTGCTCCAACAAGTGGTGTCGCGACGTCACTCATACCCGTGCCTTTCTTTGTATTGCGGAGAGAGTGGGATGTAAGCCCAAGCACTCAGCCCTATGTATCGGTGCATTTACAGCATATTCGCGCAAATTTTATGACTACGGAACTTTTCAAGGACTACGTAGTCTGTAACTCATGAAAAGATACAGTCTATAATCAGCCACGAGCTATGGTATGCAAACAACCAGAGTAACAATAACAGTCAGCCAAGCTTCGCGGCTTCCACACAAGCCACGATTTGTGTGTTAGCAACAACGCAACACGGCGCAGCAACATTGAGTCAGAACATGCTGCATCGAGGAGCTTCCACGCAGTTTCGTGGCACTTTGGAGGTGGCCAGCTTCAGTTCAACCCTTTCGCGCAGCTAAGGGTAGCCAGCCAGGTGTACAGTATTCGTCACGGCGTGTACTCTGAGTGCGACGGGAGCGTGGCCAGCCAGAAGTTCGGTCGGCCTAGTCTCGCAGATTTTCGTCCTCTCTGGTGCAGAAGATTAGAAGTGGTCTCTCGGAATTTACTGAGCGACCGCATTATCATGCGCTCTTGATGCAACACGAGGTTCTGAGGTTAGGCAGCCACTTGTATGACTCCGCGGTGAGTGCTCGGATCGACTTATGTACCTGCAGCCAGGAGGGAGAATGTAAAACTCCAAATTGTTAGCTGTTACAACTCTAACCAAATTCTTGTCACGGCGCACTCCTACAACATGGCACCAAGACAAGCAGAGCCTATTCATCTAGAGGGCACCACACTAGAAGGAGGAGGTCAGCTCTTACGAATTGCTCTTGGTCTTTCCAGTCTTACCGCAAAACCCGTCAGAATCACCAATATTCGGGGCAGGCGCTCTGGCGGCGGTGGTCTGAAGGCGCAGCACTTGACTTCCCTGTCATGGCTGGGGCAAGCCAGCAACGCGCGTATCAGTGGTGCAGGTCTTAAAAGCAAGGAGATTACGTTTGCACCTAACCGACTACCTCCAACACACTCCAAAATTGTAGCGGAGCATATCTCGATCAGTCAGAGTACGCCAGGAAGCATCAACCTCGTGTTTCAGGCAGTGCTGCCACATCTACTCTTCTCTGGTGCGCAAGGACCGATCCATCTACGCGTCATGGGCGGAACCAATGTATCAACCTCGCCATCATACGACTACGTGGAACAAGTCCTCCTACCAATGCTCTCTATAATTGGCATACCAACAATCAGAGTCACATGCAACGCCCGTGGTTGGTCAACGGGAAGCACGCGCATAGGAAGCGCGACGTTCACAATCACACCTCTCACGACTGCCCTTCCAGCATTCCAGCTGACAGAGAGAGGAAGTATCACAAGCGTACGAGCCACGATCATAGCGCCAAAGGATACTGAGGAGGACTTCCGTGATATCCTTGATCTTATGTTTGAAAGGCGCCTCTCGCGTATTTTCGGCGACGCAAAGGATCCAGCAATCGAAATCACGTTTGAAGACTCAGGCCATGAGAAACGATACTACCTTCTCCTCGTAGTGACAACCTCTACAGGCCTGAAGCTTGGCCGCGACTGGCTGTACGATGGCGGCGTTCGCAATGGGAAAACCGGACATATCATACCAAACATCGTAAGGAAAGTTTCAGATGATCTGCTTGCTGAGATAGAGCACGGAGGCTGCGTGGACGAGTGGATGAGGGACCAGTTGGTGACATTCCAGTCGCTCGCGCAGGGGACAAGCCGTGTCGATGGTGGGAGAAAGGAGGGTAGGTTGTTAGAACCAAGTCTGCATACAAAAACAGCGATGTGGGTCGCGCAGAAGATGGTGGATGCAGAGTTTGACGAGACAGGAGGCTGCAAAGGTGTGGCGCTTGAGCCGGGAGGTAGGCAAGGCGGGAATATCCTAACAGAGGGTATTGAGACGCTGCAACTGACCGAATGATGATGGAAAGCAGCATCATCGACTCGATCAATCAAATCAGTTACATTGAGATATCGTCCTAAATGGTGTGCTTATATCACCAAAGTGTGTCCATCAGACTCTTACCCGGAGATACGACAAGCCGAGCATCAGCAACTGAGCAACGAATGTGACCACACTGCTGTTGGTACACAAACTTCAACGCATTCTAGCAGCTGTAGGTGAGGCGTGACCACGTTCATTTCACTTGAGCCTCCATCGATATAAAGACCCTCAGACCTCTAGCGCACCGTAACACAACAATACGGCTAGACAATCCACTCAACTACGGTAGGGTTCTCTTTGCCAACAATATGTCTTCCGATGGCCCACCACCCGACCATGGAAGCCCTGCTGACGAGGAGATGGTCGATGCGCAAGACCACGTTCGGAGAGGCGGGCTTGCGAAGCGCTCCACTGTACCTTCTTCGCCCGCGACGAGCACCAAGCGCCAAAGGCTTGAGGGACCAGGTGGCCAGGTCAATCCAGTTCAGCGCTCTCTTGGTTTACATCAGTGAGTTTGCTCCTTCGCGTATCCTACTTGGCTTACAGTATTGCAGGTGGGAAAACAACGAGAACCTATCAGACGTTGTCATTCGCTTTGGACAGCGCCCGGAAGACGTCTTCTACGGACACAAGGTCATCTTAGCGAGCTCCTCGTTCTGGTTCCGTAATGCTTTTCTTAATCCGACGTGGATGGTAAACAGTGCAGACGCTGAATATTACCTGCTTTGGTCTGACGCAATGTAGGAATCGAATTCCAAGGAGATCATTCTGCACGGCGACGACCCAATCGCTATGCACCTGGTGCTCCAAGCACTGTACCTACCAGGGAACAAATATAGTCTATCCGAGCCCTGGGTTGACGTCGACGCCGCCAAACTTGCACAGGTGACGCCCAGCAAGCGAGTCGTATTCTCCGTCGCTGTTTGGCAGGTGGCGGACAAGTACGACTGTCCCGGAGTCAAGAACTGGGCGCATCTCTACGCTATTGCATTCCTGAACAATATGCTTGTTTGGGCGCTAAAGAATCCTCAGCATCCACATCTTCTTTCGTTCGTCGGCCTGCAGGACATCATCCAGTCTGTGTATGATGCTACGGGTCACATGTCAGCAGACGCAGAGCCTTTGCGCGGCAAGACCGTAAACACCATCATATCCCATCCTGCAACAAATTCATTCGGAGAACAGAGCCCTTTGCGCATGGAGGTATGGCGTATTGCACAGGTAGTACCACAGTTTGGCGCAGACATGTTTGTTGCCACGATGCGCATACCGAGCACTCTTCCTTGTGTATCAAAGCTTCAGATCATGGAGAGGATAGTCTGTTCTAGATGCAACGCGCAGGTATGGAGTCCAATGAATGCTCCGAGGGGTCGTTGCGCTGCGTGTAATGTGGAGAATGGATGGCGGAACGTTACGGTGCAAAGGCCTCCTCTACAATCTCTAGATCCGTCAGCTTCTTCAGCCCCATGACGAGTTGGTACGAAGGGCAATGCAGCGGCTTTCTCGATTTCCACACGTGATTTTATTGCTGCGTATAGGGACCTCCAGGATGGTTCGGTGCATGCTTTATTGTACGGGAAAAGTAAAGAACTTGAGGCTACAGAGCAGCTGGCTCTGGAAAGACCTAGATTGAGTGAAGACTTGTATGCTGCATCATACGAATGAAAGGGTGTTTGTGATCGTTGCCTGAATACCTCTTGTACGACAGAGCATTGGCATGTGCATGCAATTGTCGGTTTGTAGAATCGAGGAAGATGGAACATGACAAGCGTCCTACTTGCGAACACGTTCCAAAACTCTACATTTGACGTTACGCTGAGCTCATTAGAGTACCAGTGAGGTCGCATTGTCCTGGCACATCTCGTGAAGACAGATTCCTAAACGATACCCTGGAGTGAGTCACAGCATCACCGCGGTACGTCCAGTCTCAACAATACCTAGCAAGACGGAAATCTGCACATTCGGGCATCGATGCCAAGTGTGGCGGACCTTCTGCGGAGAACGCCCACAGCCGCCCGGATCGGATAGTGGTCAGACAGCCCAGCTTTCGGTAACAAGATGTCGATCGGTGTATTCGTAATCGCAGTCTTTGCCTGAAACCGATCAGATAAGGACAGCATACCTTAAGCCAAGTGGGCGTACAGCACGCAATACGGCAACCGACCCCACAATCCGTGATTGCATAGTCCGATGTCGCTGTTATCAGATCTGCTTTCATCTGATAACCGTGCAAAACTAGTGCGGCCGAACACAAATTTTTAAAGTGAGTTCTCCTGCAGACCGTTTGAAGAAGGCAAGGTTGCGAAATAGGGGGTCTGTACATCGATGATCTCACCATCAGTCAGAGGGGAGGGCGAATGGCAAATTCGCCGATAGTTCGGACAGGGCAGGATAGCCTGCAGACAGGAAAATCCTCGAACGGAGCGTGTGGGCCCGCTACTGGCCGTTGAAAGACACTGCCTCGGCCACAGGAATTGGCAGACATTGGCAGACCCTGCGCATGTTTGCTCTCGTGCCAACGCACGCATGCCCTGCAGATGTCAAATAAAACATTCGCCAGGAAATGCAAAGGGCATGGAATGTTCTGAAACTGCATGGACGTCTGGGGGATCTGCTTGCTACTTCAATGGAGAGCCAGATGCGGAAAGATAAACCGAAATCCTTGGACTTGGCGGCACAACCTGGCGACGTAATGGCTTACGGTCGTGTGCAGGTCATCGCATCTCCTCGGTGCTGCGTTGAGGATGGGGAGGCTGCGAACGGTGAGGACCGAAACACCATGCGGCGACTACTGCAGAGCGAGAGAGCGAAAAAGCGACGGCCGGCAACTCGGTACGGAAGCGTAGCGAGGTCAGCGCCAAGTTGCTATCAGATGCGGAGCACACCGTGACGGACGGCCATACCTGACCATCGCTCGGTGTCTTGCGCCATCATGTGCTGGGACGCTCCTCTGAGCTCCTCTCAGCTCCTCTTGGTAGCGGCACAGCTGGCGCTCGCAGGGGCCGCGGACCTGAGCCGCGTTCCTCCAGTCCTGCTTTACCCGATCGAGCGCTGGCCATCGACCAGCCTCGCTCGCAGACGGCTCTTGGATCGGCGCAGTTTTAGAAGCGCAGTGCCCACGGTGCCGTCACCATCCAGCACCTGCTCTTGAGATCTTTTCCAGACTTTTTCCACATCCACTGCACATTGCCTTCTGCACTGCCTTCAAAGTGTCGCCCTTCTACGCATTGCAGACACGGCGGCTGTCACTCTCCTGCGTTCGTTTGCCACTTCGGCGCGCGCAGCCATCCCGACGAGGTACGCAGTTGCATCCCACGATCTGATAATTCCGATCAGATAAGCCAGCGACACACAACCCCGCGCCCGGCAGGTTTACAAAGCAATTTGAAATGCACCGCACTGCTCCCGCGCTGTCGTCGCTGCTTGCTCGTCATAGTCAATATCCTGACCAAGGCCGTGCTAACCATGGCGACCCTTAATAGCCCCCTTTGTCGCGGTCTCAGCCCACCGGTCCGCCTTCCTCTTTCCACCACGCCAGCGCTTCATGGCTTCCTCGACCGCCGCCATGCAACACCAACTGCCCACCACCGCGACCTCGCACCCCGACGATCCAATTCCCTCCGAGCCGCGCGAGGTTCCCCAGCTGGTGTTGAAGCCGACGCGTGCTGACCAGCCCGAGCACACATCGCCCAAGTCATCGGGCGAGTCGATACTATGGAGCCAGAACAGCAGCGACGACTCTGAGGCGCCCATGACGCCCAACACCGAGCCCGACCAGGCCGTCGAGGAGATTGTCGACAAGCTGCAGGACCTCCCCGCCGCCAGCGTCAACTTCAATGGCCAGACGCGTCCTCGACGGGCCTCCACGACTCTCATTTCCGACAGCCCAGCAGACATCCAGCGGATACTGGGCAGCGGCGAGACAGCCACCAAGCTCATCAGCCAGTGCTGTGGCGGTGGCTGCTGTCTGCTCAAGACCCTTCAGCCAGACACATCCTTGCCGTCCTTCCTCCCTGTCGTCATCCCCGACAATGCCGCCTTCAAGAGCCTCAATCTCAAGATTGGCCCGCTCGCTCTTGATAGCGAGCTTACCGACACAACACCACTTCCCGCGGTCAACATGTCCTTCGAGCCTCTGGCGTCCAAGGAGGTCAAGCACATCTCGGAGGTGCACAAGGCACCGCCCAAGTACGTCCAGCCACACCCGCCGTACAACGTCTACTCTGCGCCTCTGTACCACGCCCGCGAGTTGACCAAACCTGGAGCCGAGAAGAGAACGATTCACTTCGACATCGACGTGACAGACTACCCCGACGAGGGCGGCGTCGACTTCAAGGTTGGCGGTGCCATTGGCATCTGTCCGCCTAACGCACCGGATATGGTCGATGAGTTGTTCGATCTTCTCGGTGTACCAAAGTTTGTTCGTGATAAGCCAGTAACACTCAAGACTAAGTCTGGGCGATGGCCTACAATCTGGGGAGAGGATGAGCCACGCGAGCTTGTCACCACACGCCGTGAGCTGCTCACATGGTGTGCAGACATCCAATCGAGCCCACCCACCAAGAACCTGCTTCGCGTCATGGCCGAGTTCGCCGATGCACCCAACGAGAAGAAGATCCTCGAATATCTCGGCTCGGCACAGGGCCAGGCAGCCTTCTGCGACCTACGCACCACCTCGCATCTTACCATTCCCCAGATCCTCAGTGCTTTCCCTTCCTCGAAGCCTCCACTACCAAACCTCCTCTCCGTCCTCACACAGCTCATGCCACGATTTTACTCGCTGTCGAACGATCCCCACATTTCGTCTGCGCGCCCTGGTCTGCCTGGCACGCGCCGTCTGATCGAAATGGCCGTAACTATCCACGAAGCCCCGGATTGGCACACGTCCGGTGGCACACGCACCGGTGTTGGTAGTGGTTTCATGGAGCGTATCGCCCAGCAATTCATCTCTGCTGAGCAGGAAGGCGTTGATCCTCGCGAAATCCTTGACCTTCGCGTTCCTATGTTCCGTGGTCTCATGGCCAACCCACTGTCCAAGCAATTTGGCGGAGAAGGCCCAATGGTCCTCATCGGTGCAGGTGTCGGCATGGCTCCATTCCGAGGCTTCATCTTGAACAGGCTGAAGAACGCCAACTGTGCCAACAAGATCTGGCTCATTCAGGGCGTTCGCGACTCCATGTTGGACGAGCTCTACTCTGGTGAGCTCGGTGACCACGAGCGCGAGATCAAGAAGGTTGTCCAAAGTCGCAAGACACGTATCAGCGGTCAGACTGAGGCTAAGTACGTCCAAGATGAAGTCCGCATGCAGGCGGACATCGTCTGGTTCGTCATCAACGCACTCGATGGTCGTATCTTTGTTTGCGGTAGTAGCAAGGGCATGGGTGAGGGCGTTGAAGAAGCCTTGATCGACATCACCATGCAGAAGGGCAACCTCAGTCGCGAGGAAGCTCACGAGTTCTGGGCCAACAAGAAGAACGATGGCCAGTACATTGCCGTAAGTTCTCCCATGACCCCCAATCTTTAAGATGCGCGTTCTGACATCACACAGGAAACCTGGTAAATCGCCACGCCGATTAATCACTGTATATATCACGTATTTTTCCATCGTTCCATCGTCGTACCATATGGCATTGGCGTTTCCAAAAGGCGCCGTTTAGACAAAACTTGCACGCGCATACGTTTGAAAGGGTTACAATGTTGGATTTTGGGTCTGATTCCGTGTCATCCTTTGAGAGACACGTAGAGCACGGCGTTAGGGGTGGGCCATCGTTCACTTGGCATATTGACGGACTTCTTTTAAGGTCTGAAATAGCTGCAGTCAGCTTGTACTTGTGTTGATAAGATAATGGATGTTGAATACCATGTCTCGTGTCTCAGAGAGCGCTCATTCATGCATCGTGTGCTTCTTCTCGGCCACAGTAAGGCGACTCGGCCCACAACCATATCCCCGTCACATGCCTGAGTACCATGTTGACCTTGGCTGTGCTCCACTTCCCGCTCCAAATAAGCTTCGACCTCCACATCCCTTCCCCCGTTTTGTCTTGGCTGGTGGAGACCTGAAGTGGACTCCCCGCGTTCTCTCAACAGAACATACACAGTCTGTATGAATGATGCTCATGGGCCATCCCTGCTTCGCTAGGCACATTGCCATATCAAAAACATACCTCAGGGACGAACCCGTGCGATATGCATGCTTGAAACTGACCTTCAACTTGGTGCGAAGGGAAATATCTCACATCCACAGCAGCGAGAGACAGAGTATCCACGAGCACAATCCAGGTATCACGAAGTTGCCGTGATCTCTGCCGTCTAGGCCGAGTTTCGGGTGCACTGCACATGAGTGTCAGCGGCAGGCGTTCCGTATGGCATGCCGTGATGTACTGCTGCAAGGCTGCGCGGGTAAGTTCTTACCCGCCCACATCATGTCACATTAGCAGACCTGCTTGGCCGGCTGTACACTGGCAACTTTCTGCTCGCGCTGATGGTTAGTGGTAGCCGTCTGGAGTGGGCGGCGAGTGTGCAATTCCAATTGCACGAGGCTGAAATCTGCTGACAGCATGCAGATACGTCCCGCCGAGTCCATCAGGTGGTCATCGCCTCCTCAGCCTTGTCTGTGCATCGAATGGCTGATGGTTTGGGGATCGCTTGCGATTTCAGCCTGCTTTAGTCTGCTCAGTTGTCCCCCTCTCTACAATTAATTACGCTGATTGCCGTGTTATTTATCAGCCTGCTGTTCACGAGTTGCGGCTTCCCCTCGGAGAACCCATGCAGCCATTGACTTGCGCCATCCCATCACCCGAGCATCGACGGATACTCTGCGAGCCTTGTAAAGGAGACAAGCGAATCCTGACATCGTCTACGGCTATGCTTCTGATATATTCAGACAAGAATATATCTCCTTCGCAATGAAGGCTTGGAAGAAAGCTATCGTTGCGGCCCCATATCATCTAATGCCTAGCATGATTGAAGAGCAAGCTTGTTACCTGCCCTGCCAATTTATAGCTGCATCTCTTCAGCTGATAATGAGTTGCATGGATCTAGTGGTCTCAGCCTCGTACAACGACACTGCTTATCATCTTGTCAGCCCCATCCGGCGAGCTTCTTCCATCTCATATTCGAACAAGTCATACAGTCGAAGCTCACCGATTGATGTTCATTACTAATGGCTAGTAGCACCCACACTATCGACATACCACTACTTGAGGGCGGTAAGGCACACAAGGCTATAGACGCTTGGCCATCGACACCAAATTCTATCCGAAAATCATGGTACAATGTTGCATGGGGTGCATTTTTCGATGTCTCCCTCCTCGCTGGCGCACTGGCGTTCCTTGCTTTTGCATCTCTGGTCAGTCGCTACGATCAGGTCTCAACACAGGCATATCCACACGCAACGGAACGCCTTCAGAGCGCGGCAAAATATGTAAGCGCCTGCAAATATTCTTCATGACCTATGGCTTAAATTTTAGGGCCCTACCGTATTTCCCATCCTGTTTGCCACAATACTTGGGCGCGCGACACATGCCATTCTGCTCTGGCGCCTTGAGAAGGGGGAACGCATGGGCATTCTAGACACGCTAGCCTCAAGCACTTCACTTACTGCTACTGTTGTCTCTCAGTTCCAGCTACGCTCGCTAAGTGTCTTTGGCACAGCTTTGATCACTGTGTGGGCTTTGTCACCTGTAGGAGGTCAAGCTTCACTTCGACAGCTGAGCCTCGGCGTCCATAACCAGACTCTACCGGCCAGTTTCCAATACATGGTGCACAATGGCTATGGTACAGCCTGGCAACACTCCGATCGAGCACAGCCTGTAGGGTATCTAAACACGCTTTTCAATGGCGCTATCATCGCCCCGGCCGCAACCCAAGCTTCTCCACGAGATTCATGGGGTAACGTTAAGATACCTAGGATTGAATATTTCGAGAAACGAAACGCACACGGTTTTCATCCAGACGATGAAGGATGGTATGATACTAATGAGGCTCTGATTGGAGACTCCGGTGTCTACACATCACTGATCGGCATTCCATTTACCAACATTTCAGAGTCGGGCCTGACCGTCATGGACCCTGTGGGCACAATGAACTATACCACTAGTATCCACACACCGTATTTGGATGTCAGCTGCTCTTTGAATTCCTCAATAAGTTTTGCATGGCTGCAAACTCATCCACCATATTCCACAACGTGGCAAAACTTCAGCGGTACCGGCGCAGGGATATGGACGAACTCAAGAAGTCGCATGTCCAAGAATTTGACGGAGATTGGCACCTTCAAATTCAGCTACATCACCGCTACCTACAAGGATGATGATTACAGACTTGATTGCAATATTACCAACTCGTACGTTGAGACCGCGGTTGTGTGCCCAAGCATGCGCGAATGCAGAGCTGGCAAAGTGCGACGATCTCAACTCAATCATTTCCCAGAGCAATGGACAATGCTGGACACATTCTGGTTCAACGCCTACATGATTTTCGATGACCTTCTCAAAAGCTCAAGCGGCGATCACATGGCTCCCACGATGGTCGATCGGTACCTTTCCAGCCCAGATCTAGCGGTCACCGATGCCTCGATGTACAACGTTAGCAGCACAACCGAAACCAACTATTCTATCCGGTTGGGCCAACTACTGAATGCCTACTTTACTGGCATGAATGGTCTGTACGCCATAACTGGAGGCCTGACCAACAGTACTGCGTATTTTTGGGATAATGAACAGTCTTTCAAGCCCAATTTTACCAGCTCGTCCAACTATACAGACTATCCCTATCATTACAACTACACTGGGTCGAACAAAAAGGCACGAGTCTGGACTACCCAGGGTACAAAAACCTTCAGCTCAGAGATCTTAGTAGCAAACAAAGCCTGGGTAGCCACGTTGGCCGTGGCCTCTGTTGTGCTCATCCTTGCTAGCTTGGTCTCACCCATCGCGCATGTCTTCTTGATTCGCGGACCAGAAGTCATGATGAACATCTCTAGCCTGACGACGCGTGATAACCCGCATATTTCTCTGCCAGACAGTGGGACGTTTTTAGATGCGTCAGACCGTGCAAAGTTGCTTAAAGAGATGAGAGTCAAGTTCGGAGACGTTGCAGGGATGGCGGATACGGGATATCTGGTTATTGGAGCTCCAAGTGGTGCGCATGGGAGAAGCATAGCGGAGATACAGAAAGGAAGGTTGTACGAGTAAGGTGGTGTATCGGTAAGACGGTTTATGATTACGATCCTCGGTGCGTGGTCCAGTTAGGCAACAGAAGGTTGGGGTTGTGTGCAGATCTCGACTTAATTGTAGGGTGTGTTGAGAGTAGGCATATGCCGTACTAGCCGATCATACTGCACGAGGAAATCTCTGTAAACAAGAAGTCTACGTGGATGGGTGTTCCCTACCCGTGTCCGCGGAACATAATGAGGTCAGCGGCCCTGCAGTAGCGCGTAATAGCGGCATCTCGACATCAATGTATCACCTCTCCATGTCCAACCTCACACTCGTCCTCAACAGCCTAATCTGAGCTGTCTTCTTTTCCCCAGCAATTGAAAGACATTAGTATGGTTGACCATCTGCTCAAGCGCGCCCCGAAGAACCCGGCGCTCTTCATCGCCTGCAACGTGGCGGTTGTACTCTCATGGGGAGCATGCATGGGTACTGTACGCCGTGCGCGTCTCAACAAGGCACAAGACGGAGAATATGCTGTGCGCTTCAATGAGTGGTGCGTAAGAACGTTCAATGCTGGGGTGCTTGTGCTGACAGCGCGTAGGATACGGGACGACTAGCCACACCATGCCAGCTTTCTGGATTCACCGCTGTTTACGCAATCTACCTCTTCGTCTGATACTCCCCAGAAGTAGGCCTGCATTCTGGTTTCATTGAAAGGATCCACTGTTCCCTGATGTCGTCCAATCGCCACCTGCGTGCGGTACCGCTATTTTCTTTTTCCAGTTGCTGCTGAGTGCGTATCTCGCGCAGCACTAGCAATCAAGGCTTGGTGTATGAAGTCTTCCTTCATGCTGTGTTGCATGCATCATTCCTTTTTGGCGTTGAGTGTGGGGCTGATAGGTAGGGGCTCTCGTCAGAGGTTCGTGCTCAAATGGTGTTAGATTCGGGTTCTCCGTGCCATTCAGGCAGTGTAACATCTGCCAACAAACGAATTGTTTCAACGTTCCTTTTCTCTTCGTCCATGGTGTCTCGTGGTTCTTCAGCTCTGACGTCAGGCCTCAGAGTACACTTTGGAACGAATGGCAGGTTGGCAAGTTAATACATCTATTACTAGATCATTTGCAACAGAAGCTTGGTGTTGTATGCGTTTTTCAAAATCGCTATCGCTCATTTCCTGTCTTCATTGTAACACACAAGTTTGCCTGTAACACGAGAATCCTGCAGCAAATCAAGCTGGTCTGTTGAGAATTGTCTCGGATGCAGCAAGGTTACACGCGAAGCAGGGAACATTATTCACAGCTAGTGTAGGATTTCTCACTTAACAGAATTATATCAATCGCTGTGGCCTGGTGTCCCTTTCACATCTCATCACTGCCAGCTATGCCTCGTGTGGGACGAAAAAGAGCAAGAGCGTCCCAACGCTCTGTGTCTCTTGAAGAGGTTCGAGAAGTGTATCGCGCACTGCGTCTCAGTCGTCCAACTTCACACACCTCGTCACATGCCCAATCGCAGGATGGGACCCCACGAGAAGAAGCAGCCCCAGCTGCTAACGAAGGCCAATCATATCCAAGAGCATCACTTCTGGGAATACCGGCGGAGCTCAGGCTCGAAATCTACGACTACCTGTGGGACAACACTTTGATCCACATCCATAAACGACCCTCGACGACGAAGAAAGGGCTAAAGTTGACGTGGACGCCTTGCTTGGGGACCAATTTAGCACAGCTCTGTTCACATCCATCCTGGGACAATACGGTGAACCAAGAAGAACGATGCTCCGAAGATCCCAAGCGACCGGATCCGACGCTCGGTATCTTCGCCATGAGATTCGTATGCAAAGCTCTTCACGACGATTTAAAAGACGCATATCAGTACAAACCCACCATATCACTTAGTGCTACGAGCGTCAGTCTCTTCATCAAAGACACACCACGAAGTTCCCTTGAGAGGATTGAAAGCCTCACCTTTTCTTCTACGAGAGCCACACTTGAAAGAAGACATAGCCGTTATAGCGACTATCCACGTACCATCATCCACGCGTATAGGAGGCTAAGGAGACTGCTGCCAAAGCTGCAGACAGTAAAATTCCAGTGGTGTCTACTTGAAGAAGAGGTCCAAGGCATACTGGACGACATTCGTAATAAGGATGCGGGCGAAGAGGAGAGAATGATGGCTTTGGTTTTCCGTGAATTTCAACCATGCACTCTGGCAGTGTTCGATGCATCATACGGTTTCGAATCGACTGACGAGTACCTAGCATATCCTGGGGTTGGCAGACTTGTCATAAAACAAGGAGGGCGTCCAAGTGAATCAACAGAGTGGCATCCATGGGGACGCATGGAAGTACAGCACATCACGAATGCGAGAGAGTTTCTCGGTCTGGGTCCAGAAGTAAACCAGCGTCGCGGTACAAGCTACGGAAGTTTTTTTCGGGGATGCCAGAACGCATACTATGATTGATCAGAATAATACATACCTTGCCTCACCACTTTCCAGCTTCTCTGCGCAATATGGCGAAGACCTTCCTGGAGGCTCAACTAGACAATGGTAGAGCTGACATCTATTTGTGTCCTACGGCGCACCTACACAACTGATGCTGCGGTGCGGCGGAGGTCCAACTCGGTCATAGAAGCGGTGATGAGACTGCTGGCTATGCTTTCGCACCGCCCGGCAGGCCAGCGTTGGAAAGAGGACTTAGCTGGACATTGGCAAGTAATCAGAGTAAGCTGCTCGGTGAGCCATTGAGTTTCATGGCGGAATAAGGCCTTAACGAGGCAGTGCAACCACAATGCAATATGATGCTCGTGTCGACGATTGTATGCTCACCGGTCAAGAGCCAACACGAAGAGTACGGTCTTGTGCAGCTCGACGTATGCATGCGAGTCCCAGATGGCAACCCTCAGAAAGATCGTAGTATGCTTGGTGTTGACCGTAGGAGTGACTAGCGGACGACACGGTTGTACAGCCTCATATCTTATCACATCAGGCGTGCCGGTACACTTACTCGGAAGATCATCAGCACCGCTACGCCGATAGTCCCACCGTGCTCAGTCCTTGCCATCTCCGACACCGCAGCCTCAATAACGTCCACCGCGAGACATTAGGGCCTGCCTCGTGACCTAGAAGCGGACATAAGCCTCACGAACTTCTCTGATGCTTCCAATTTCGGTGCTACGCCACCGGTAAGGCTGAGCCGAACATGACAAGCCAAAGCGCTAAGGAAGCGCGTGATGCTGCTCAACGTGCCGAAAACGCGAGCTATTGACGTATTGACGTCGGCAATACTGCGAACGTCTGCAACATGAGATCTGTGTGGAGGATATTATTCTTCTAGAGCCACCGGGGCAGACTTGCAATGGATTAAGTACGTCACGAGTACACCGGTGCGCGCTGTTTGGGTTTAGAATCATTGAGGCACCCGTATTAACCGACGTGTGGGCTGCTTGGAGCTGCGGATGGGTGGCCTTGGGACAGCTGTGCCGATCTCACGTGGCGCTCGGACGTGTTATCGCGTGGAATCCATGAAGCGTTCAAAGTTTGAAATGTGCGCCTCCGCACGAGAAACGGTACAGGAATGTGTGATTCAGACAAAGGCCGTCGCTCGTTAAAGAGCTACAATCCGATTCCAAACAGAGTATACGAGATTCAGTACGACTCCTGTTACTACGGTGACTGTTTTCGTAATCTTCATTGTGCTCTCCCAGCACAGCCTCCAAGGTGGCCAAGGTCTTAGGGCGAGGCAGATGCAGGTGCAGGGGTCCACTTCGCGTCACTCGTTAGCTTCCCCGCAGGTACTCTGTTGTTTGAGTGTCATGTATAAAGCAGCAATAACCATCCACCATGGGCCCACTCTACATGAACAATACAACACACACGGTCGCTGAATCAATAACATCTTCGTTGCAACCCATCTTGGACAGACAAAGTATATCTACAACAGCACCAACAATGGACGACAACGGCAAGGCTCCAATGCCCGTCAATGGGCACAATGGCGGTGCCTCTCGAATCCCTGGAGAGCCCCTCGTGAAGGTTCAACCTCCTCGTCGTGAAGATCTGCAGCCCAGCTACGCTAAGGTCATCGAGCCAGATGATGCTGATGCCGATGGTCACGGATGGTACGGTGGAATGGTGAGTCGAACAACTGCTACTGATCTTTACCCCGCATAGCTTACGCCATCTAGGTCAATACTTTTGGTGGAATTATTGGTACGCTCGGAGCTATTCCCTGCTGTATCTGCTGCCCAAACCCATATCAGCCTGTGAATCAAGGAAACGTTGGTCTCGTCACCAAGTTCGGTCGATTTGCGCGCGCCGTCGACCCTGGTCTGGTCTACATCAACCCCCTCTCTGAGAAACTTGTCCAAGTCGACGTTAAGATTCAAATTGTTGAGGTTCCCAAGCAAGTCTGCATGACTAAGGATAATGTCTCTCTGCAACTTACTTCCGTCATCTACTACCGCATCACTTCGCCCCACAGGGCCGCCTTCAGTATCTCCAACATTCGACAAGCCCTCGTCGAGCGCACGCAGACAACACTCCGTCACGTTGTCGGTGCTCGCGTACTCCAGGATGTTATCGAGCGCCGTGAGGAGATTGCGCAGTCAATCCGCGAGATCATCGAGGAGACTTCGGCTGGCTGGGGTGTCGAAGTCGAGTCCATGCTCATCAAGGACCTGATTTTCCAGCAGGAGCTCCAGGATTCGCTCTCTATGGCTGCCCAGTCCAAGCGTACTGGTGAGGCCAAGGTTATCGCCGCACGCGCCGAAGTCGAGTCTGCAAAGGTAAGCTCAACTCCCACAACACCACAACACACCCCACCTATCTACAATGCTAATTAATGATTAAATAGCTCATGAGGCAAGCTGCAGACGTGTTATCGAGCGGACCTGCTATGCAGATCCGTTATCTTGAGGCGATGCAGGCGATGGCCAAATCTGCAAACTCGAAGGTTATCTTTATGCCCGGACCGGCTGATTCAGGCAATGTAGTAGCCAAAGCACTCAAAGACGGAGACATTGATCCCTCCTCAATTCCGTCTGGATCTTCCAATCAGCAGCCTGATGCTATCCAGCAGACCGTCAACGCCCGCGTCCTCGAGGATCTCTAGTTGACCCGCAGTCACTACCAATTCCTGCCACCCTCAGATTCAAGGAGCAAAGTCGATGAGCAGAGGACGGTTTACGAAGGATAATGCTAATGGCTGTTTATGTGCTTGGCTTTTGGGGTTGCTCGGTACCGGGATGGATTTTTTTTTTGTTTTTCGATACCCTATGATGTTAATTGGTCACTCGCTATCGAGTTATAGTAATCAGTATTGATTTTGTAAATGTTGCTCAGCATACTTCCCGTCAAATCTGAATTATTACTGTGATTGACAGCTTGTACTGCTTTTACAGCATCTAGCTTTCCCCTCCATCCGCTCTACTCCACAATGATGTGATCTCGAGGAGCTCTGGCAGTCATGCGCTCTGAGTGTCTCCAGAGTCGATAAGACAGAGGAAAGATTGATGATTAGGATGGATGATGTCTACACTTGTCTGCGCGTTTAGCTTTTGGAACTCTTCGGCACCACTGACCAGGGTGAATTGGCTTTTTTTGAAGCCTACGCTATTCATCGGTCACTCGTAATTGTAAAGTCTGATAAGAACGATCTGTCTAATCAGATATTTGCTACACTGGCTGCTGTTCTCTACTAATGAAACCGAGCATTAGGCAGCACATCAAGAATTGAAGTGTACACGCTTGAAAATTTCGGAGACACTCAGTACAGCACCTCTTACCAATTCATGGAAGTTCTAGTTATGTCTAAAGAATGAGTATTGAAGTAAAGCTACAGTTGTAGCTGTAGGATCAAATCAACGAAATAAGCTCGTCGCACCTATTGCTCTGCCCTAATGAAGCGATGTCCTGATTGGGTTATCTGTTCATCATCACAGAAATTTCATATACTACAACAAGCCCTGTCCAATTCATCCGTCATGCCAGTGAGCTAAATGTTCTGCAATATGTACCATCCTCCTCAATAACTGCACACAGACTCTGCATTGCTTGCCATGAGCCGAGGTCACTACGTCACTGCATGGAGACAACCAACTCCTTACATACTTACCCACTAAAAAGGGAACTGTAAGCGGCGCTAGCTCGGATATTAAGGTACTGGTATGGTGGGTGGCCTAGTTCAGGATTCTACTGACCCGCTATACTGGGGACGCATGGCCTGATATGTGCGTGCACGGTTGTACAAGGATTGTATGTGCACCGATGGTACCTAGGTAGCTCTCAAATTGCAGGTTTAACGGCGGATTACTGTGTAAGGATGCAAGCCAAGTATGCCACCACGTAACAGCAAAGTAGGGAACATGCAAGAAAACTCTATATGATACCCTTTTACCTACAATGTAGGTAAAGCGTAACGCAATCTTAGCTGTAGGTATTATAACAGCTACAAGTTCTGTGCTAAAGTTGGTCAGCTCAAAGGTCGCTTATCCGCTGTTTTTCCTAAAACATGAGAGGGTAGGTAGAGCAAGGAGTTCAAAAGTAGGATGAACTGTTGGATCCTACGGTATTCTGTACGTGTCAAGTGGAACGGATATCATGCACTGATGTTAGTGGAGTGACTGACATGCCATTGAAACTGTTCGTGCTTCTCGATTCGCCCAATCGTGGAACGAGAATCTGCAGAAGTTGGGGGGTACTATTTACTCTTCAAGATAGGTACCTAGTCGTACTCACGTATTTGAGGGCCAACTAGACAGCCTTGGATGGCGAGCACGTTACGCCGACATGTGGCCTATGTTGTTCAGATTTGTCCAAGCTTCCAAGGCTTTACCCAGCCGCCACCTTGCAGAACAGATGCCAGTCACATAAAGCTTTCCATCAGCCATTCTCCTTTCATGTAACGGTGTGGTGCTGAGGCTTATGATATGCGCCTTCTCTTGCCGCTCATCAGTGTCGCAGGTGGGCTGAGACAGTGGTCCGATCGAGCTGCAGCATCCGGGATGGTCTGGTCAAACACATGCGAATGGAACGCCATAAGCACATCCTTGCTCCTCGAATACTCTTGCCACGCAGCCGAATCTTTGAGGATCAACGGCATCCTGTCACGCAGTTGCGACAATATTGCTTTGCGAAGACCTCGGTCGACCTGTGGACATTGCTCATCGAAGATACAGATTGCGAGATCAACGATGACCAGAACATCATGGACGAATGGCATGCGGTCGATAATGGCTTTTGCGACCTTCGTCTTGATCTTCTCGAGGCTGTACTGCATTGTCCGTCAGTGTTTGCTCTATCGAAGATTCGTGTATAGTACCTTATCGGCCGTGATGAACACATCGAGTAGATCGTTGAGCACACGCTCCTTCTCCATCTCTGATCGCAGCGCAAAGCCAGTGAAGATTGATCCAGTGGTCGAGTTGTACGTCCCGTACATCTCGTCAAGCAGGACATCGACTATGCGCTCTTGCTCGGGAAGCTTCACTGACAGCTCATTACTCTCCTTGAGTGTCATGTCAGTGATGAGATACCAAGAGCTAGATGAACAAAACGTACTGCGAAGCCATTACCACAGATTGCTTTGAAGTAGTCTGACTCCTTGCACAGCCTAGAAACAATTGTTAGACCGGTGTCTGATCAAACGATGACACACACACTTAACGCGATGCACCGCAAAAGACCTGTCGCCGGCAATAATGGTGAAATCTGACCATTCGCCAGTCTTGCGGAGGCTTTAAGTGTTAGCATTGGCTTGTGCCTCGCGAACCTCGAACGCACCTCGGCCATTCCGATGAAGGTGCATGCGCATCCATCCAAGGCTGTACAATGCGGCCTGCAATCTTTTCCTTCACCATGTCAAAGTCTTTCTCTCTGAACTTGATACCGCTGTGGTGCTCGTAAGTACAGAAAGAGATATTCTGTGTAGCAGCTGTGGCATCTTCAAATGCGTCAAGGAAACCTCGAGCTTCTGCTGGAGAATAGAATCCAAGATTAATCTGGACATGCTGAAACAAGATCGAGATCTTCTTGCACTTGGTGTGCCAACAGGCTGCAAGAGCATCCTTCGCTGTGAAGTATACCGGTTCGTTGGTTTCTGGGAACTGCTCCATTACTGCGGCGGCGTTCGAGGCGAAGTACACAATGCCAAACTCGTGTGTCGCTCGGTCAACGTAGATTGTTGTTGCCTTCAGGAACGAAAGGCCTTTCCCTAAAGCAACCTCCTCCAGAGGCCAGGAGACACTCTCGTTGTCGTCGGTCATCGAAGCAGCCATAGTTGGAGGTAGTGCTCGTCTCGCTCCGCCTCAATTTGATCGTGGTAGGCAAAGGTAAGAGCAACGAAGTTTAGTACCGGTATAGCCAAAGCGTTTTCAGCCTTTGCATGAGCTCACCGTTCATTCTCATCGTTCTGGTAATGCTCAACGTGAAAGTGAAGACTGAAAAGTCGATGAGGGTGAGCAGGATGGCAGCAGTCGTGCAATTGACGGCCATGCTCGGAAAATTTGGGCGTTGAATAAGATGCGGTCCTCGTGTCGCGATACTGCAGTCTCTACAGCATTGCTACTGTCGTGCTGAAGACGTGTAGGTTCGATCAAATTTGCTGCAGTAGCACGGCTTGGTATCACTCTGGCGCTGAGCTTCTACGCCCATGAACATCCATCCGAAACCATACTCTTTCACGCAAGGCCCTTCGCGCGAGGCTCAGCAGATGTTGACGTAAATAGGTCGTGATGTGTGATGGGTGCGTCTGCGGCATTGCATTTGGAAGACGAAACGGCTCAAAAGCCTCACGACCCGTTCGTTTTGTCAAGTCGATCACCGGAAAGCGGCAAACCTTGAACTATTTGGTCGTCGCGCTGTCAAGATCTCAGACAACAAGAAGTTGGCAGACGTCCGAGGTGACCACTTCCCGCGACGTGCAGCCAATTGCAGGCTGCTGTAGGGGCTCTGCTAAGTTTAGATGTGACATCCTTATCCCTAATCGATTACCTTGTCGGCTGCCCCTTGGAACTATGTAGACCCCTGCAGACAACGAGGTTTCAGGCGTTGACCTTTAAGTCTGGACTGGATAAGATGTGGATGAGGGGCACAGTGGCACACGGGCAGCCGAGCAGTCAGGGTTGTTTGCTGCATGAGCAGAAGTTGTGCAGTAACCCAGAAGTAAGATGCGAGTGGTGAGGGTGGGGCGCCTGCAAAGGCGAGACACATAAGACAAGGTCACTCTTACCCCGTTACATGACGCTGTCGCAAAGTTTGTGATGACTCTCGTGCATGCCTCAACAGCGCGGCCTACTTGTGCCTCGTGCGGGAGTCCGCGACGGTAGACTCGGTATCCTTGCTGCCTTCGCTGTGTTATTGGTTCATGCTACTGATGCGGCGGCTAGCACTAGTAGCGGAAGGAAGCTCGCGCGGCGGGTAGCAGCCTCCAGACAGAGGTGTTGCTTTGACGGGCTGCTATAACTGCGTGCTGCCAGCTGCAGCGTGTTCCCAATCGATCTCGCTCTCATCCCTGCTCGTGGTGTCGTGCTCGTCGAGTGAAAACCGTTCCTGCGTGTGCTGCAGGATACCCCACTTCCACAGCAACAGCAACGCCGCCATTGCAGCGTCCTCTCTGGTCCTCTCCTTTACACGACAGTCGAGCTCGGTGAACAGACCTTCCTTGTGTGCTGTCAGACAGCACTACATTGCAGTGTGTTGCCACGTTTTTTCCACGCAACTCCACTCCAGCTTGCTCCTTGAGTCTTTGGGAGGCTGACCTAGCGACCAAGACCCTGGTAGACCCTGCCCCTCAGTGAGCGCCCTACCCACCTCTCCTCCCGCGCTCTCTTGTCACCGCTTCGACCTCTTCTACACCCGCGACTTCAGACGCTGTCGACATTGATAGTCGCAGAACAAAGGCTAAACGGTCCATCGACAGCGTTCGGCATCAATTAGCGCACCCCTCCGGCGCCACTTGACAAGTGCGCACGACTCTGCAGCGTATTGGATATTGCATAGGAAAGCGCCGCCTCCGCGCTCGATCTCTGTACAGTTCTCTGTGTGCAGCATAGCAAAGCCGATCGAGAGGTATGTGAACATCTCCTACCCAGCTCACATCGTGGCTGTGCAGCGACTAGTCGGTACTCAAGGGTTCCTGGCGACGCTCGATTGTCGACCTGGGAATCTCGTTTGGTCCCGCGTCTCAAAGGAGCACGTGGGGCTGGGCTCATCGTCATGACACGGCACCGTTTCACCATGAAGTGCTCTGGGTCCGTGAATTGCACCAAGACACAGCTTGTGTCCTGCAGACAACGGCCACAGCTTTACCTTCCTTGTTCGTGTACTGACAAATAGTGGCTGCAGGTTGTACTTGATCTCCCTTCCACCGTCCATTGACGAACCTGTTCTACTTGCTGCACGTCCGAACCGAGTAGCAGCGCCCTCGACCGACCCAGAACTGCCAACACCAGAGCCGACAACCCACAAATACCGCCAACATGCCTCCAGCAGGGAGTGGTAGCTCCAGGAAGATCTCCTTCAATGTGTCGGAGCAATACGACATCCAAGATGTTGTAGGAGAAGGCGCATACGGTGTCGTCTGGTAAGTGGAATCGTGATTGATTCCGCAGGACAAATACTCACTGTCTGCAGCTCCGCGCTGCACAAGCCTTCCGGCCAGAAGGTGGCCATTAAGAAGATTACTCCATTCGATCATTCCATGTTCTGTCTAAGGACACTACGAGAGATGAAGTTGCTGCGATACTTCAACCACGAGAATATCATCTCGATCCTCGACATCCAGAAGCCTCGCAACTACGAGACTTTCACTGAAGTCTACCTTATCCAGGTGCGCATTGACACACACATGAGGTGGAACGGTGGCTGACAATTGGGCAGGAACTCATGGAGACCGATATGCACCGCGTCATCCGCACACAGGAGCTCTCGGACGACCACTGCCAGTACTTTATCTACCAGACGCTCCGCGCTCTCAAGGCCATGCACTCGGCGAACGTCCTCCATCGCGATCTCAAACCCTCCAACTTGCTTCTCAATGCCAACTGCGATCTCAAGGTCTGCGATTTCGGCCTTGCGCGATCCGCCGCTTCCACCGAAGATAACTCTGGTTTCATGACGGAATACGTTGCTACACGCTGGTACCGTGCGCCAGAGATCATGTTGACCTTTAAGGAGTACACAAAGGCCATCGATGTGTGGAGTGTTGGCTGTATCTTGGCTGAAATGCTGAGCGGCAAGCCATTGTTCCCAGGAAAGGATTGTGAGTGTTCATAGGCTTTGTGTTTGGGTGTCGACACTGACTTTTCCAGACCACCATCAGCTCACGCTGATTCTCGATGTCCTTGGTACGCCTACCATGGAAGACTATTATGGCATCAAGTCCCGCCGCGCTCGTGAATACATTCGATCGCTTCCTTTCAAGAAGAAGATCCCATGGAAGGCAATGTTCCCTAAGACCAACGATCTTGCGCTCGACCTGCTCGAGCGATTGCTTGCATTCAACCCAGTCAAGCGTATCACAGTCGAGGAGGCCTTGAAACACCCATACCTGGAGCCGTACCACGACCCCGATGACGAGCCGACCGCTGATCCAATTCCCGAGGAATTCTTCGACTTTGACAAGAACAAGGACAACTTGACCAAGGAGCAATTGAAGCGTACGTAACCAGCGAGTACTGCGACCTTCCCCGCTAACAATATGCAGTGCTTATCTACCAGGAGATCATGCGATAAGCTTATCCCAGTAATTTATATGTGCGGCATTTACAACGAGATCAAGTCATGATACCTATCCGGGATCTAGAAGCATCTCCTCTCGTACCGTTACGATCGACTGAGCACCTAGCTGGTCTGAGCTCATATTAGATGTATCATTCTTGAGCAAACCTTGCAAAGAGACGATATATTGCATTGACGAAACGGAACACTTGATGGTAGTAGGAATGAATAAGAACATGGGGTCGTATTTCTCACGGCTGAAATTTAAACATTGAGTATAAGCGAGCATGAATTGTTTCTCATATATGCCCATCATCCTCCAACTCATTCTGTGAACCAACATGACTGACCGAGCTGTGTTAATAGCTAACACCGGCACACATGAATCACTGACGACCATCTGCCCAATATACGCTCCTCAATTGGCTGTCCCACTCAAAGATGTGGCATATCCACAAAGGCAGCCTAAGGAACAGCTTTGGGCTCAAGAATGGGTGGAAGGGTTGAGATACGTTGACTAGCACGCGCTGTGCAGCCACCGTGCGAGGCTAACCCTCTTCGCTGTCGTCTGTTGTGCTGCGTCTTGGGTAGAGACCCTCGACGGGTTGGAGCGTCCAAATCCATGGAATACACGCTACTCTGGCGCCTGTGATGTGAGGCATGTCGCAGTGCTGGAGGACTATTGAAGGGTTCTTCTCGAGGTTCAGGCTGGGATGGTGGCGAGAGCGGTCTTGTATAGTACACAGATCTTCTATGCGTCTGTAGTGTCGCAGTCTCATGGCACGGTGCCATTCCTCGAGTGTGTGATAGCGAACTCGTACTTGGCCAAGATAGGTGTCCTTTCTCACTATCACCGTTCCGGTCAGTAGCCGACTCGCCTCTATTAAGACGGCTCATCTTGGGGCCGAAGAGCGACTTCCAGTTTACTGAGTATCGTGATTGTTCTTCGCTGGAACTCCTTCCATGCTCGGTAGTGGTGACCGCTTGCCTCGACGGCCATCGTTCGGTATTATGTCCTTTTCGTTTCTTGACTCTCATGAGACAAACACAGCCCAGCACATAAAGGATCAAGACGAGTATGATGCCCAGGACGACGGCTGAGCTGCGATCGTCACAATCCAGGGGTTTCAAGCCGTCAGGGTCGGCTGTCGAGGGCACTTCGGTGGGTTCAGCTTCATAGTTGAGGCGCAGACTTTCGATGGGATAGAGATACATGGCAGCTGTAAGGATTGAAAAGACGAGAGATGCCACAACTACTTACACTCCAGTTCGATGGGTGTAAAGTCATGATGTACTGACCCCGCATTGTGCTCAAAGGTAATGTGATCGCATACTGCAGATGCGAGACACGGTAGTCGAGCGTACCTAGCCCTTGCTAGCGATACCTATATCCGTGGTTCAACCTTCGGAGATGCACAACGTTTATCGATGATGGAATTAGACACAGAACGCGCGGCAGAATATACCGGAGTGGTGGACAGTTTTGATAGGATCCTTTTCCTTAACGCCGTTTAATGCCCGTGTCTATGCTCTTGAGTCGCGTTGTGTTGTGTTGTTACAGAAGTAGTGTCCGAACCAACGCTATGCGTATCGTAAACCACTCGTATACACATATAATCATACACCGTTATACATTTTTCCACGCCATTGTATGCTGCTCTTGCTTGTCATGCTCAAGGATCGCAACGCCCGTCCTTCCACCCCGTCCTCCACCTCTCCTCCCACTTCGTGCAGTCAAACTCTTTCTTCCCCAGCTTGACATTCACCGCGTTATGCGCCTCGCACATCCACTGTCCGAACTCGCTGCGACTGCTGACCCGCGGCGTGTTGGTCTTCATCCAGTCCTGGAAGTCCTCCGCGCACACCCAGCACGGGTACAGCTTGCCAAATGTGCGCAGGAAGCTGGATGTCTCGGATTGCAATGATGACGGTGGGTTCTCGGGATACGTTGCTGTTATGGAGTGCAGCAGGGTCCAGGACGAGCGGCCGAGCTGTGCGACGTCTGGGGGGCAGTCTTTGGGGAGAGCGGGAGGGAGAGCGGCGCGCTTCTTCTTGCCGCCAAGTGCGAACAGCGCGCTCATGTCGTTACAGGTCCGGCATCTAGGTAGGTCGTGTTAGCAGTCTGTCTGCCTGTGTGGTTTGAATGCGCTGGGGCTGCTGCATCTCGCCCGGCGCATTGCGCTGTATAGGCACTCACGGCTTGCCATCTGCATCGTAGATGATGCCGTTGATGATCTTCCTGCCTCCGGGCAGCGTCTTTTCAGCATCTTTCTTTTCAGGTGTCTCCGTAGGTAGCGACGCCATCTTGCCTGGGGTAGTGACTGTGTCGTGTGTGCATCTGTGATTTCAAAGCATCGTGAACTTGATGATCGGCCCTGTCCTGCCTCGGTGCTTGCGTGTGCAGGGGTGGCCCTGGTTGCCTGACGCGCCGGCGAGCAAGCGAGTTCGGAGGACTGCAGTGCTTGAGAACCTGTCTTGGCTGTGATAAGATGGATTTTCATGCTTTTGAATCGTGCAAGATTGCTCTTGAATCACATTTGACAAGGTTCCTATAAGACAGGAGCTATTGCGATGCTTTTGGGCCTCGGCTATGTTTCTTGATATTCTCTTCGCCTCCCATCTCTACTACCACGGCTTCTTCCACGAAATCTGATCCCATCTCAGCCATGGACGTCCCCGTTGCTGCAAATGTGCTTGGAACTTTGGGCGCTGTACGCTGTATTCCATGTTCTCATGGCGAACTCTGCTAATTTGGGCAGGTCTGCTGGTCGATTCAATTAATACCCCAGATCATCATCAACTACCGCCGGCACAATGCCATCGGTCTACAGCCTACGATGATGATGCTATGGGCATGGGCAGGGGTCCCGTTAGGTGTCTACAACATCGTGGAAGAATTTAACATTGCTTTGCGCATTCAGCCTCAGATTTTGATTGTTCTGAGCTTGATGACGTGGATTCAATGCTATTACTACGAGAAGGTATTGCCGATATGTACCCTCAACTACAGGATAAAAGCTAACCAGATAGTAGAAATGGTCTGTTTCTCGTTCACTAGCTCTCGTCATTCCCGTCATGTGCCTCATGAGTGGTGTACAAGCTGCCCTCATTGTTGCTCTGCGCCATGCAAAAGAAAAAGACCTCGAGTGGCCCCTGATCTTGATGGCTGTACTTGCTGCCCTTCTACTTGCGGCAGGTGTAGGTAGCCATTACATTGATATCTACCGCCACCGTACGGTACGAGGCATCTCGTTTATCTTTGTAGGAATCGATGCTCTTGGCGATGTTTTCTCACTGCTCTCTGTCATCTTTCAAACGAAGGTCGACATCCTGGGCATAATCATCTACGCTACAGAGCTAGTGCTTTGGATCGGAATCTTTGCTTGCGGCGCATACTACAACTTAATACCCTGGCTGAAAAGGAAACACAGTGGTGAATCGACGGCAAGCGACAGATCACAAGCTGGTGAGAGAGATTCTACGAGCGCAAACACCACAAGCATTGCGCTGCATGATTTGCCTTCTAGTACTTCGGTATTCAGGACGCCGTCCGCAGATATCGAGGTACAGCGACAGCGCAGCGTAAGCTCGAGGATAGGCGGTGTGGCCCACCTGCCTTCCAGGGTAGCTTAGGCATTTTCGCACGTGTCGGGTTGTATCTACCTTCGTTGGATTGGCTCGAGATTACTCTCGCGGTCGTTTGCTGTCTGCCACAAACAAACCGTTGTGGGGTCCGCTGCTGCTATCTGTTGTCACCTGGCAAGCGCGTTGACCCCAGCTCACGTTCACCTCCACAACGCGAGCTTCCCCACAACAACAACAACAACGACAACAGAAATCCGCACCTCTAAGATCCGAATATCCTACAAAATCCATCGCCGGCGGACTCTGCTCTCCTAGTTCGCTAGCAACAAGCGCTGCCGCGTCCAGACACCACACAATCGAACACAAAGTGAGTATCAAGTTCGCCTGTAAACAACAACATCTACCTCTCCCACGTTCGTATTTTACGCGTGTCACCAAATCTGACCAATAGCTGCGAAAATGGCGAGCGATTTCCCCCCAACCTTGAAGGTTACTTCCTCAGGCTCTCAGTACTCGGTCTCCACCTCGGGCTATGTGACTGTGCCCAACCCTACGCCTCGTACAGAAGCTGCTGAGGTCGTCGACCCGCCGCCAGAGATCGACTTCCAGGCTATGACAAAGACTCTTGCCACCATAGCAGAGGGTCTGAACGAGTCAGCAGAAGAGGCCATGTTTCCTTCTCCGCCGATTAACACACCAGTTATCACTTCACCGGCAGCGTCCGTTACCTACCAGCACCCTAAGATTCGTAGCCGTGGGATGAGCACCATTGGCGATAGGCTCGCCCGAGCTGTGGCTGAGGGTCGCAAATTCTATCACGACTCAGACGTATCGACCAGTGACAGTTCTGTTCGCTCGTCCCTTCCCACAGATGACGAGAGTGATAGCATGAGCGATGTCCTCAGTGATGGAGGAAGGGATAGGCACAATAGTAAGTTTATTTTCTTAACTACTCCTTGTTCTTCTCTCAAACAAGCGCTTAGTTCCCATCGCCCTAGGCTCGCCTCGCGCCAACCCGATGGGGCTGATCTCTTTCACCTCCAACGATCTTGACGATAGACGTCCTGCGCCTTTCAACAGCACCGAAGCTTTCGATGGCGCTACTCGAACAGGTATCGGCTCTGGAAGTGTTTCCCCCGACAGTACAAAGAGTGCTGCAACCGGGGTCACTGAGATGAGCACGTGGAAGGAAGAGGTGGAAGGCCGTTTCGAGCGGGCTCTGAAAAGCCTCGAGAATCTGGCTCGCGATGAACACAATCTGGACTCCAGCAAGCCTATGGATTACTACTACGAGGCACACTTGAAGCGACTCTTGGGCGCCCACAAGCGAAAATTTCCTACGTCTGTTGGTCTGATGCAGAAGCCTTCGTAAATATGGGGACAGGGCTCTGGAGCCAATGTGCATAAGGAACGAATCGGACTCACAAAACGTATGGGCGGATGCCCCAGGCTTATTTGGCAGCTGGCGTTAATGGTAATGGGTCTAATGGTAATGGGTTTCATGTATGGAGTACTCTTCAAGGCATAATGCGGTTCTCGACGAGAGTGCTTTTCTGGACTTTGGCACACAGCCAGCAAGCAGGGAAACCGAACGTGGTTTAATCCTGAAACTGGATCCATGAGCACTTTAGTGTCTTCAATCATGCAATACGATAGTGAATGGGGTTCAAGATTATTCATTAAACGTGTCGCGTGAGCTTTCTATGCACGTAGCCATTCCGGGGTATCATCCCTCCATCAATCCAGTCTATATCCAAAGTTCCGCCCCCAATACCAGAACTGAAAATCTTTCTAAATGATCCTCCTCTTTACATCAAGAAGTACATCAGTGCGCCCAAAACCGATACACCAAACGACTTCGATGAATCAACGCCAACGGCACTCCCAGCACCCTGGCTTGACGACGCACTCGCTTCAGGTACTTGTGTGGTGACAGTGTTGGTCTGAGGCGCAATAGTCGTAGCCTCGGTGATAGTCTGAGGCGCAATGCTTGTGCTAACCTCAACGCCGTTCACAGTCGCCGCGCGAATAGTGCCAGGAACCGTTGTGGGCGCTGTGAACGTTGTGCCGGGGACAGTAGTTGTGTAGACGATAACAGAGCCGAGTTCCGACGCAGGGATCGCGCCACCGACGCCAGTTCCTGTGTACTGCGGGGGCACGCTGAGAGTAGAGGTGTTGGGCTTGTCCTGCGGCGCAGCAGAGTAGATGTTTCCGCCGGAGTAGTCGCCGCTGAGCAGGTTGATGCTCTGGCCATTGGAGGAGTAGTCTCCTGTGGTCAGGGATCCGAAAGAACCGTCGGGGAACTTGAAGTTTGTGGTGAATTTATCGTAGCACATGGGGATGTTGAGTGATTGGACGTTGATGCAGTTCAGCGAGGCAACGCAGCAGAAGCCGGAGGTCGATGCGCGAGCGGCCAGGCCACGCTTGCTGAATGAGATACCGTTCACCGAGTTGAGGACATCGGTGTAGAGCGAGGAAAGGTCAGAGCCAACTGCTGGTGGGTTGGTACCAGTGGCGCCGGAAGGCTGGCAGGGCTCGCATGGGTTATCGTTGGAGGCCTGGGCTTCGAGAGCCTCAAAGGGAGAGCCGGGCGCAGCGGCAGCTGTCGCGGCGAGTGCAAGGGCGAGGTACTTGAGAGACATTTCGGTTGGGTGTTGAGGGCTGTGAATAGTTTTGCAGCGCAACGGAGATATGGTATAGCGAATGCGGTAGATGTATTTTTCAACGATCGACGAGATGCGGTTACTGATACCGGAAACGAGTGGCAGTTGCAACAAAAGCGCGGGTAGGACCGAAAAGCGAGAGACGGGGTAAAGACGAAGACAAAGGTTTTTGGGTCAAAGAACGAATATATACTACCAGACCTTGCTCAAAGCACCCAACTATAGCATGCTAGTGCTACATGACAAGCTATGTCCCTTAGACCCCGTACGCTATTGACCTAGGATCCGCCGTGCCTCTTCGCGCGTGCTCTATCGCCCGTTAGATAGTGCATGGCCAACTGGCGGGAGTTAGGACGGTAACCCATGGGTCGATCAGTCAAAATTCGGGCACACCTGCAAGCGGCTTCTCTACTCCAGATCTCGGTCACTTCGCTGAGGGGAAGGTGTGCCGTGCCAACGAAACGCCGAGTTTCGATTGGCCAGGAGCAGTTTCTTTGTCTTGGAATACTTTTTTGGCGGCTTGTCGAGAATCACGATGGTTGAGGTGTGCCTGCTCAGGCGACCACAATACGAGAACGCTAAGAAATCGGCATTTTCATTCGCCAAAGAGCAAATGATCGAACGGGGCAAGCCTAACCAGTCGCGCGATTTCTTGCCTGTATTTCTTGCTACTGTAAATCCCACGCGGGAAAAGGTAAAATTCTCGAACTGTGGCTTGCTCCGGGCTCGGCTGTTCAGTCTAGCAGGTGTCAACAGCCGCTACTTTGATGAATGCAACGTCATACCGGGCGCGATGTTCCCGCCAGGCCTGATAAGGGCTTGGGTTTCTTCATCGCTGCGTATGTAGACTCGAGCCATTTCGACACCGTTCTTCTCTACTGTACGGGGCTCCCTGCACAGCTTGCGAGGCCGGTGTCATTTTGTGTGCACTACTGCGCCTGTGGCACGCGACGGATAGTTGATCTTTGCCGCTCTGAGAGCCGGCACGGCAGTCAAGACTCTGCGGTCGCCTCGGCGTTGCTCGAGCCCTACCTTATCCCAGCTTCCTATTCACCAGAAGAAAGCTTGAGCATTGCACGCGACTTGGGGGTCACAACCTGTGTCTTGGTCCCACCTCCACACCTTGACATGGCTCGTCAAGCACCTCCACTCCTCCAGATCGGCCGTCGTTGCCCGTTGGGTCAACGTCCAGGCACCGAGCATGTGTGCCTGTGCCGCTTCCGAGATGAGCCTTGAGTTCGACGGTACGGGGCACCGGTAGGATGTTAGCTGATGGTCTTTACTCATGCTATATCTTTTTCAGCAAGGGGTATAGCATCAGCTCGGCCGGACATACGAAGTGGCTTGGTGCTGCCGGAAGATCCTTCTGTCAGGAAGATGTGTGCCGCAACCTAATTTTAGCGTGCAAGTTTTGAAGGAAGGAGTCTCGTGAGCGCGCATTATATGCAAATGCAACGTTGAGTGTGCAGTTTGCCACGTCAAGGACAAGGCTGTCAGCCTCCAATTTGATTATGCATGTGCTTTGTTGTCATCACGCGCATGGTCAACGGCCCTGCATGAGCAGTCTTGGAGCGCTTCTGTTGTGTGCATGTCGGCTTTCTCGTGGGAGTCGCTTTCGATGCAAGAGCCACAGCGCCCAATAACCTGACCGCTAAGTTTCGATATTAGAGTACCCACTGTCTCAATGCAAAGCTACAGTTGGCGTCCTATCATCACCAATACGGAAACCGTATCTCCAGATACTGATCGAGCCCCACCAGTGCCACTGCAGGAACATGCGTAGTTTCCAGTATGGAGAGCTGTGCTTATCAGCCAATGATCCTGCCCCATAAGCTCGGTTATCCGCAAAACCTCTCGTGCCATCTACTGTAGGACCCATGAGTAGGATCGTCCAAGACGCTCTTATTCTGTGCCATTCAACCTCTCTCCCATCATCTCTGCTAAGCCACTCTTCTACAGGAGCAATCGGAGGTAACAAGATTCTATTCAGGTGAGATAAAGATGCTTGAAAACGATACAGATACACCAACAGCCAACACCTCAGGGCAACGGACCTAATTCACTTGTTCACGGCGTAGAGGTTGTCTTGCGACTTAACATAGCACTTCATGTCGGTGCATTGTGGCATAGTAGAATAAGATTAGACAAACTCGAAAGATCTGGAGAATCGATCCGCGAAGAATGAGGCCTGACTTGTCATATGAGGACTCGTGTCGGTCTAGTATCAGATAACTCTTTGTACTGTGATGTCTATGCCTGAGCTCATGATCTTGTACCATTGACAGATGATTTGGATCAGGAGTCCGCAGTCCAGCCAGTTGCCAGCACGGCAAAATGGGTGTGAAAACGAAGTATCTTTTGTACATCTCTCTCCTTGGTATGCTAAAGGTGGAGAATGCATTAATAGATAAATCACATCCGCGACCGACTGACTGGATGTTCCACTACATTCTGTGACAATTAGTGCATACATAGTGGTTAGACAAAATGCGGCTCAAATAAATTGACATAACCGTGACGTCAGCTTCCATCATGGAACACAACAACACGCACGTCATAGGATTCTTTGTTTAAACTGTTTATTCATTGTTTGTAGATTATTTATCATAGAGAGACGACTCAGTCCTTGCAGCAGCGTGCGTACAAGCTTAGCTTGCCTCTAAACATCATGTCGTCATGTCGTTAATCCTCATCTACTGTGACTTCCACTGAGCGATCTCGGACTCATCGAGATGCCTCAACTTGTTCACGTTGGGGGCCTCGCCAGTCGCAACACCCTTAGCCAGCTCGACAAACCCACCAATGGCGGTCTTTTTCGAGACAGCGTATTGCGCAGTCTTAGCCTTGACCCTGATGATGCCGATGCGAGGGTCTTCTGGGCCACCGTCGTGCTTGCCGTCACCGAGATCACCAATCCAAGCCTTCAGAGCTGGCGAGTAGTGCTTCTTGACGATGTCTCGGTTGGTCTCGATCGAGGCATGGCCTGAAATGGAGGCCCACTCGCCGGAGGGGTTGATAAAACCAATGTTAACGGACGAATCCTCCTTGAGGTCGTCGGTCTTGCCAGACTCGGTGTTGGTGTGGAAGAGAAGATCGAAGCCGTTGCCCTCCTACGGTCTTATTAGAAGCAGTTCCAGACTAAACCTTGTCAGTAACGTACCTTCGCGGCGAGAGCCATAGCGCGGCTAGCAAGCAGATCACTGTCTCCAGCATGTGTAGTGAACAAGCAGAACTTGGTCTTGTCGATGAACGTGAAGAGGTCCTCGACCTTCTCCTTCAGGGAGACCTCATCCTTGTTCTTCGCGGTGTAGGGGTCAGCTGGCTTCGAGCCGGTGTCGGTGTTGCTGAAGGAGGACATAGTGAAAGCTTGGGGTGTTCGTGTGAATTTGGGTTGGAATGAAGCCTGCGAGGCAGCTGTCAGTCCACGCCTTGCAAGAGTAATTGAACGGAACATTGATATAGTCGTACCTTTGTGAAGTATAGTGATGGAGTTCTGTACGCGAAGAGCGAAGCTTTTGTACTGCACTGAGCGTGTAACAATGATGACGTAGGTTACCCCACAGAATCTGGACCCGCGCTTTCGTGATCGAAGGTGACAGCGCAGCTCATGAAACTTATTGCGTGATCTAGACTGCAAATAATGTTAGCAGTATTGACGCCTATTTAGTACTTACGCACGACATAAACCGACACAACTTGTTATTGCCTCCAAGAACGTTAAGATTCAACCATATAGGCTCACTTACTTTTACCTCGCAGAGAATCTCCGAAGGTCCATTACTGTACATCTTCAGCATCACAAGACACAGCAGTCCAAGTATGCAAGACTCAGAGTGAACATTAAGGGGATATATTACGATCTAAACGCCCAGTGTTTCTACACAGAATCGAAGAGCGTATAGCACACTGCGCATAATCTAGACCTTATGCTATGCCGCTGTTGTCACATGAGCCATGTTGGAGAAAACAATTGGAGCTAAAAAGAGTAAGATGCCGAACCAATGGCCGTGATAGATCTCGAACAGATCGCCGTACTTTTTCAATGACAAGCAAGTTGGACAGATTGATGGACAGAAGCGCTCTATGCCTCAGTGGCCTCCTTGTCCTCAATGGAGGCCTTCTTGAGGTCCTCGGCAACATCGGTAGCAGCGCCGTTCTCCTTTGCGGGCTCAGCAGATGGGGAAGCGGAGCCGTTGACAGCCTGGCTCTTCTGCGCGGGCTTGTCGGCTGTGCCTTCGGCGGCATCCTCCTCAGCCTCGAGGCGTGCAATCTCCTTCTTAGCCTTCTCGACGTTCTGTGAATGTAAGCTAATGCTACTACGTGCAAATTATACCAGTAGACATACCTCGTTAGTCTTGCGTTCTTGGTCCTTCTTCCAGTACGCGAGTTTCTCATTCAGCTTTTCGACAGTGGCAGGAACATCAGCTTGGCTTGAAGGTGCATCAACGCCAACCTTGGCAAGCTCCTCAATGATGCCGATGTTCAAGTTGAACTTAGAAGCGACCGGGGCAGCACCTCCCTTCTTGCCACCCTTCTTGCCCTTCTTGCCACCAGTACCAGTGAAATAACTCTCCTCTTCGGTATCCTTCTTTGAAATACGAGTGCCCTTGATACCAGAGTCGTCGACGGTACGCTGTGCCGAGGCAGCGAACTTGTTAGTCGATGCGACTTCCTTGGCAGGCAGAGCAGACGGGTCGAAGTGGCGGATCAGACCCTCGGTAGCGTAGATCTCGTCCTGGTATGCAGGTGCGCTGGCCTCCTCTAGGCGCTGCTCGGCGGCCTGCTTACGCTTGCCGGCCAGGTAAGAAACCTGCTCCTGCTTTCGGCGCTCGTTGCGAGCCTTGCGGGCCTGGAAATCATATTCCTGGTATGCACGCTTCTGCTGGAAGTACTTGTCCTTCAACTCCTTCCTGGCGACATACTTCTCCTGCTGCTCAGCACGGGCCTTGTCAGTGGCTTCACGGAGAGCCTTGAGGCTCTTGAAAGCCTCGTCCTGCTCAGCCTTCAGGCCATCCAGCTCGGTCTGGAGTTTTGTATACTTTTCGCTCAACGCCTTTTGCTCAGGGTCGTCGAGCTGCTTCTTCTGTTCAGCAATCTGGTTCTTGAGATCGTCGATAGACTTCTGCTGTGCATCGAAGCCAGAGAAGTTCTTGCGCGCCTTGTGGAGCGAGGAGATCTCGGAAAGAGCCTTCTTCTCTTCCACCAGCTTCATCATACCAGAGTCGACCTGCTTCTGGAGACGCGCGATCTCTTGGTCAACATCTTCGACGGACTTGAAGTTGACACGGCTCTTGTTCGTCTTGAGTTCGTTCAAGCGGGACTTGAGCTGCTCGTCAAGCTTCTTCATTTTCTCGAAGATGGCATTGCGACCGGTCTTGTTCCCCTGCTGGGCCTGGCGAATGGCGTTCAACTCGGTCTTGAGCTCCTGCTGGCGCTTTGCGTTGGGAGAGTCCTTGTTGTTCGGGCGGGCGGTGTCGAGCTTAGCTTTGGCGGCATTCTAATTATTCGTTAGTGAATGTGCTCGAGGACAGACGGCTAACAGGTCCTGCAGGCATCCGATGGTGTCCTGCGCGACGAGCAAGTGCGAACGACTAAGCGAGATGTTCAAAATAATAACACGTACCAGCTTTTCCTGCGCAGCCTGGTGCTCCTTCTCTGCCTTGGCAAGGTCCTCCTTGTACTTGTCGTCATCCGGCTTTTCGGGGCGAACAATCTGCTGCTTGTCCTGGGGGGCAGTCGCATCGGCGGTAGCCACCTGGGCAGCGGAGGGGGTCGCGAGTTCAGCCATGTTGACGTTCAATTGGAGTCGAAATTCCAGTCGATGGAATGCGACAGGAAGGCGAAAGTGGAGGGAGAGGACCGGGCGAGGGAGATGGGGATTGTCAGGTCCTGAGGACAAATAATTGATAAATTGGCGGGTCGCTCCCTCGAGTGCACGGATAAGCCGCGGCGAGCTTTCCAAGGTTGCTTAGCGTGAATCTGGCCAGTAGGAGCAGGCTGACCATGTGCCCCTTCGCTCGACAACCACAATATGGCGGAATTCTCAGAGGAAAAATTTCCAATACTACTTCTCAAAACGAAGTCAGTTCCAAAGGACACATACGAGGAATTGTTCTCGACTTACGACAACCATGCTTATATACCGATTTTCGTGCCTGTCCTCGAACACCGGTTCAAGCAAAATGCCCTAAACAATGTGCGCCAGCACATAATCAACCGAGGACTGGTACCAATATCGAAGAAGGGTCTTGCATCATACGGGGCCTTGATTTTTACCTCACAGCGGGCCGTGGAAGCCTTCAACGAAGTAGTAGAGGATATCCGAAAAGAAGGTATCCATGCACTTGATGAACTCCTGCCTGAGAGTCTACCTCTCTACGTTGTTGGACCGGCTACCGCACGTGGACTGCGTTCGTTGAATTTGTGCTGTCCCATTCTGGGTGAGGAGACGGGTAATGGAGAAGCCCTTGCAGGCTTCATTCTGGAGCACTATAACGCTCTGTACCCCAATGATCTTAATCCACCAATTCTATTCATGGTTGGCGACAAGAGGAGGGACATTATACCAAAAACTCTGCAGTCCGAAAAATTGCCGTCGGGTCGAAGCGCCAAAGTGGACGAGTTAGTGATATACGAAACCGGCGAGATGCATTCGTTCAAGACCGACTTTACCGAGATATGGCGAAAGAACGCGGACAGCGGATCGACGCGTCAGTGGATTGTGGTCTTCTCGCCCACAGGTTGCCAGGCTATGCTCGAAAGTCTGGGCCTCTTAGATGTCAAGACTGGGAAAGCCAAAAGAAATGCTGGTGTGAGAGATATCCTGATAGTAACAATTGGCCCAACGACCCGCGACTACCTGATGAACGAGTTCGAGTTCACGCCAGACGTTGTTGCTGAGACGCCGAGTCCAGAAGGTATTGCCGAAGGTATACAAGCCTTCCTGAAGCAACAATAACAAGATGTATATACCACATCTGGAATGACCCAGAAGTGGAGGTTGCTCGTTGGTAGCGATTGGTGCAAGCGAATGCTACCCCTTGCATCAAGCTTTCGTCTGAGTGCTGAACAGTCCTGCAGGCGCAGACAATGTGTTACATAAACTCTACTGTAGGGCCGTGCCCTGACGATCACAGCCGCCTGTGTTCCTGCGTCTGCCGCCGTTTAGTGGTGACATCACCTAAACGCGTAAAAACGCGCTAGACAAACGTCTCAAAGTCGAGTCGCGCCCAGATAACATCATAACCACACTACACACTCGAAGAGTTCGTAAATCTATTCACAATTCTTCTGTACTCCTCTCCCAGATCAATCATCCAACACAATGGCAGGAACACGCTCATCAGCACGTAATGGAAGTAACAATTCGAGTCCAGCTAAGAGCGATAGCATGGTTGGGAGCAAACGAAAGCCTGAGGCGGATGCGGACTCGTCACCAAAGCGTGATCGGAAGGTTGCTAAAAACCAGCCAACAATCGACAGCATGCTCGAGGTTGACAGCGAGAAGAAGGCGGAGAATGATACTCAAATGCAGGAAGCCGCACGGGATGTGGTAAACGATGCGGAGAACAACACATCTGAAGCCGACACAACCGATCAGTCAGCGGAGAGTGAGAGCAACAATGCCATCGAGGAGAGGAGTGTAAAAGGGGAAGACTCAAATGCTCAAGATACAAATGGCAAGACAGAAGCCAACGATGACGGCGCGATTGAAGAGTCGTCGCAGCGCGAGAAGAAGATGCCGTCCAACATCCTCGAAAAGGGCGTCATCTACTTCTTTACGCGTAACCGTGTCAGCGTTAACGAGGCTGAGAGTGTTGGCGACCTTCAGCGTACATTTTTCGTTCTTCGACCGCTACCTGCAGGCGCCAAGCTAGGTGATGGTGCTATTCAGGATCTCAAGAATAACCGTCTCTTTGCTCTGCCTAAGAAGGTTTTTCCCAAATCGCATACCGATCGCTTCATGGCTTTCGTAGAAAAGGCGAACGTCTCCATCTCGGATCTGAAAGACAATTTCTTCGAGGGCTCGGAGTACAATACGCAGACTAAAGGCACTCGTCATACAGACCCGGTCACTCCTGTAGCAGAGGGCGTATACCTCATCACCCGCACCGAGGATGCCACAACACACCTTGCATACTCCACAACAATTCCTTCCGAGATCGGTCAAGTACAGGAAGACCTTGGAATTAAGGATCAGGGCAGTTTTGTCATTAGTGTGAAGAATCCTGAGCGTAGTGGCCCAGCAAGCGCCTCGCTGCCGCAAAAACCTGATTTCTCAAAGGAGATAATCGAGGAGTTCCGTGGCCTTGCATGGTCTGAAGTCAAACCGAAGTATCTTGACCACGAGTACTGCCAGATCTTGCTCATCGGCGAGAGCACTGAGAAGGCTGTTGAGACTACGAAGAAGAATGAAAGGCAAAACAAAGAAACGCCCAAAGAGGAAATCGAGCAGCTCGAGCACGAAGACGAGCTTCGTGTACAGCATCTGAAAGGTAGGCTAAGTAGCAAGATCTCTAAGCCCCAGGTACTGACGTGCTCTTAGGTGATGATACAGTTTTCGAGGATCTTAAGCTCAGCAAAGACGAATACCCCAAGCTGCCGACTACTTGGTAGAGTACCTTCGATGCCCAGTTGATGTCTTCTGGTACCGTTGACACTTGGAGAACCAGTCATTTTGACAAGAAGGAATCGCTTCGCAAAATTCGGCCGGTGGCAGCCTGTCTCTCTTTTTCTCCTTCTGTCTTGCACCTGTAACAGATCCGCACAATTCATGTACTATATAGAGTCATTGGTGATTATCAAAAATTGGGATACGCCGAGGCAATAATATAGGGGAGCCGAGCAAACGGTTTTCAGAGTTGCTGCTTGTTATAATCAATGCAACGGAATGTGAGAATCTAAACAAGAAGTATCGTTCTTGCGTTCTTGCAATAGCCGCTTTTCCATTGATCGAACCTTGCTTTGCCCTTAAAACCTGGAGAAGAAACAGCGGCGTTTGCCATCAACCCTTGGTGAAACATGGGCTCACGGGGTTAACCCACAGCCGGTTGAGGTGAAGGCTGCTCGTGAGAGGGAGGCTACCCGCGACAAGGAGTTTCGCCCGAAATCTCGCCTGGAAGATAAAGACGGAGAATCTGAATGGCTCTGGGCACAGACCTGGAGAAGAAACCACCGAAGGGTTATACGAGGCTCCTGGGTATGACTGGGACAAACGTCTAAAAACTTATCGAGAAATGAGGCTGAGTAGGAAAATTATTCTAAGTCGAGGATGCAAGATTCCTACCTCTAGTGTCACAGCTCTATAGTATAATAATTGCCTCTCGCGAGCAACATTACTGTAGCTACTGATCCTTCTTCAGGCCTACCTTCCCAGCCTTTCTCAGCCCCGCAATAGCAATGACAATGCACACCAGCATGTACGCAAACATCGTCCAAAAACTTGCCCGATACCCTTTCAACAACTCCATAGGGTCATTTGCCCCCGAACTGCCGCCATGCCCATTCCCACCCTCACTGGCGCCCTCATCATTGCCAATTACTCCCAACGCTACGACTTGACAACTACCCATACCCAAGCTCATTCCAAACTGTGCCACAGTGTTGAAAACCGCACCTGCAAGCGCCTGATCTCTTTCCGGGAAGCTGTCGCTGATGATGATTAAGCCGACCGTGAACAACACATCTGCGGAAAAAGGAGCGAAGGCCTGGGCCCAGAAGGCAAGATAGAAGTAATTCCAGCTTGGGTCGAGCAGTGCCATGAAGAGCGGAGACACAGAGCAGATGACAGCACTGACCGTGACCAAGTAGAAAGCTGGAATCTTGTGGACAAACGTACCAACGAGTATGTTAATCAGCACACCAGCGCCGAGGTTCGGAAGTAGGTACAAGGAGGTAGTCAGTGGAGTGGCCTTCTGGATCTCTTGGAAGTAGAGTGAGGAGAAGAGCTCAATACTGTTCATGACGCCGTAGGAGAGAGCGACCATGATGCAAGTCGACGTAAAGGGAATGTTCTTCCAGAGCTTATTGGGAACTAGCGCGGATTTGTTGGTACGTTCGCGGTAGCGCATCCATGCCGGGAAGGCGAGGAGAAGGACGACGCTCACTGTAAGCAGAGAGATCGTTTCTGCAGATCGAATAGTAGTGAGATCTGCGCTGAGGATGCTACGACACGTTAGTACATCATGACATTGCATGTGTTGAAGATGCTTACGCAAGGACATATGCCAGTATTGCCAGTCCACCACTCGAAATTATGCCGCCGACCCAGTCGACCTCCTTCCCCACTTTCTTTGCGAGTGCATTAAGCCCGCCTTGACCGCCCGGCTTCAAGTTTGGCAGACTCCAGAAAGCTGCAACGGCTGTTGTCAGCAGAGCGCCCCCAGCCAAGTAAAATCCAGACCGCCATCCAGCTTTCTCGACCAGGACCCCACTGATGACTAGGCCAGCAGCGAACCCGAGGGGCTGACTGAAACCTAGACATGCGAATCCGAAGTTTCTTGCACGTCCAGATGGTACTGCCCCTGATATCAAGGCCACCGATGCTGGCAGGTGCATAGCGAGGGCGACTCCCTGAAGGGCCCGAAAGACTACGAGTTGCTCGCCAGTGCTTGAGAAACCGCAAGCCAAGGTAAAGGTCCCAATGAGTGTGATACCGAGCAGCTCGACGGGTCGTGCACCCACTATGTCAGCGATAGATCCAGCTATCAAAAGGCAGGCTCCAGATGTGAGACCATAGACTGAAGAAGGCCATAGATAGAGAGAGCGGTCTAATGACAGGGAGCGTGCGATCTCGGGTAGACCGATAGTGATAACACCATTTGTGAAGCTAGCGATGAAGCCTACAAAGGAGGGCGTGAAGATGGTAAGGAAGGTCTGGAGATTGGACGTTTTTGTCTTGAGTGCAGTTAAGCTGGAATCCGACTCGAAGATACCACCGAGGTGAGGCTCACCGAGTGTCCGCGCTGATTCTGCAGATAACCTTGCGTTGTGCAGTGATGACTTTGGTATGTTGCTCTTGGAGATGGTCTGCAGCTCGACTGCCTCTGTAACAGTTGCCATAGTAGTGCTCATTGTCAACTGTCGCAACAATGTAGATGTGCGTCAATAGTAAACGGCATATCAACTTATAGATATGTAATGAGTCATGCTTGGAATCAATGCGAAATTTTGAAGACTCCGATGTTGGTTTCTCTTTGTCAAATTGACGGATCCTCACGCCCTACTGTACACTTGTCAAGTGTGGAGCCAAGTTTAACACGCTATGATTGGCTAGAACGATACGTCAGCTTATTCTTCCAACTCTCCTTCCGTTTTCGAGATACACGTTGACCAATGTCAGTCAAGGAATGCTTTAAGTCAGTGTTTAGAACACGTCAAGAGGACATCGCTTACGAAATTGCGCCGTCTATTGCAAAATCGATGTAAGAAAGTTAGTTTTAGAGACTTGAGGGCGCACCAGAGGTCCGAAGGTAGTGATGGCTACAATGTGGACACGCCCACAAAAGGCTTTGAAAGTTCGACGCAGGCTTTTGGCGCGCATTGTCGCGTGGGTCGCACAGGAGAGCGCCAATCCCCCAGAAAGAATTTCCCGAGTGTGAGTGATTGGTTCTCCACGCTGCGAATGTGGGCCGGTGTGACGTGCTGTAAAGCGCGTTGCTCGTGGATACGCGCTAGTAAACAATCCCGCGTTCCCAGCCTCCTCCATATGCAAGCGCCAGCCACACAGTATCTCACCGAAAGTATCGAGGAACACGCTCTCCTCTTCCCCACACATTCCAAATCTACCATCTCTACACCGAAAAGTCTTGACAAAAGTCGCTAGCTGCATTCGTTGTTCAATACATTCCTGCACCTTCGTCTACTGGGTCCACATTCCAAAGAGCCCGCGCATCATGGCGCCGCACCCCGAATTTCTGGCTGATGCCCAGGCACAGAGCTCCTCCTCCCCTCTGGCCGCCCGCACTCTGCAGCTGGCTAAATCACTCTCGAAGCGCGATGACCTGTACGCGAACCTCGCAGGATCGGGCTCACGACCAGCGCATGACCTGTCTGGACCTGGGTTTCAGGTGCTGTTCGCTCTTATCGGCGTGGGCATGACCCTGACGGGCATCTGGTTCTTCATGTGGGCCAAGAATGGTGGCTTCAAGTGGAGGCAGGATGATTGGGAGGACTACAAGTCGACTGTTCTGCGTCGCAAGGGACCAGATGGAAAGACGCTGTCCAACGCTTCCAAAAGTACCAGGCTAGGAGGCGGCAGTGTCGTCCACGGTGGTAGCTATGGCGCCCCAACCAGTATTGGCTACACCGATGAGACTGGTACGAGTGCAGACATGAGCGAAATCCGCGACGCCGAAGAGGGCAAGTCACGCCATGGCCTTAGAGGTGGTGATGGCAGAAGCCACAAGAAGAAGCATCGCCGCGATTACACTAATGACTACAACGACCCCGATCTCGATGGATACCGTCACGAGAAGGCTGCCCGTGTTGGAGGCCTCAACCGCCAAGCTGATGGTATGTATACCGACTACTCACCCACCGAACCCTCCGACCTTGGCTCCAACGTCTCCGGCAAACCGCTCGTAAACAAGGAGAAGAGGGATCCCAAGAAGGAAGCCAAGGAGAAGGAGCGCCGCGCTCGTGAACGCATGAAGAACGCCAAAGCCGCCGAGAAGGAAGCTCTCAAGACTGCCGCCGCTGAAGCTAAAGCCCGCAAGGAAGCCGAGAAGGCAGCCGCTAAACGCGAGAAGGCCGACCAGAAGAGAGCAAAGAAGACGCGCTCTGAAGTCGGATCAGAGATGCCAGAGATGGCCGAAACCCGCACTGAATACACACGCGCCTTCACTGAGTACACCGCACCGTCTGAGTATGACCAATCTGAGGCCCGCGACTTCGCAGCTCCACCATCGAAATCTCCCGTCAAATCTACTCCTGTCAAGTCTACTCCTGTCAAATCCACCGCTGCCAAGTCTACTCCTACCAAGGCTGCTTCAAATGCTCGCCGTGCGCCTCCTTCCGCCGCCTACTCATTCACAGCCGGCGATGACGACGCCAATACTGTCTACACCGGCGCCTACACCGAAGCAAGCGACGACCGCACCGCCGCCGAATCCTCATACTATTCTGACTACCGCCCCAAGGCCGAGCGCGCCCAGCCACGCCACCAGTCGCGCGACCGCACCTCACAGTCGCGTGATCGTACCTCACAGTCTCGTCCCCGCCCTGCTGGGTCCCGCTCGCGCCCATCTTCTCAGACGCCGCAGAAGAGGCACCGCAGCTCTCAGCCTGCGACCCCTCAGGCACCTCAATCTGATATCTTCACAGCCGCCAACGGACCAACTCAGGGCCACATGTCCTACCCCTGCCACATTCCTGGTCTCAGCCAGGCCGGCACCGTTGTTCCCGGTGAGAGTGTAAGCCAGGTTGGTGCACCAAGCAACCGCCGTCGCCAGCAGGCCGGCACCGTTGTCCCCGATGAGAGCATCAGCCAGGTCGGTGGCAACCGCCGTCGTGAGCGTGGCGGTCGCGATGTCATGGCCGGTTACAGACGTGGTGGCGGCCGTCGCGATTCGCTGAGTGACAGCGACTCGTAGACGACTGATGCTACGAGGACCAGGGAACGAGATTGCATGACCGGCGTTTTAGGTTTGGATTTCAGCAAGCGAACAATCATGAATGGGAATGGTGATTGTACAGTGTACAGACGAGCGATGGATACCAGGATTGGGCAGATAATGGAGTAACGAACGGACGAGCGAACGTATATAGATACCGTAAGAATGATACCATGAGACGGATTTACATATTCTTTGCACTGTGCTGATTGGAAATGAGTCCTCTCCGGATGAGCCTTAGGCTTCAAGTCGGCATTCTGGCTCATTAGCCGCTGCGTCTTTAGTTACGATGCTGCCTTCTATGTGTTGCGCGGCCTGCGACGCCACATATCGGCACTCCGCTTCATACAAATCATTGAATCTGGTGTCCTGGGCTAGCGAAGAAGCAGAAGCAGAGGTTGATACAACCATAATTTCGTCAATCGAAGGAGCAAATGCTCTTTCGTCACGAGTCGGGTAATAGGATGCCAGGTTAGCTTGACAGTAATCACGGCAACAGGACTAAAATCACGTACACGATGTAGAAGGGGTATATTCATTTCCAGATCGCTAGAAGCGCTAAGAAGAATCGCAAGCATATAGCGGAAGAACTAATCATATCATGGCTGCGTACAAAGGCATTACCTCATCCCACTTCCATATCTCATGTCGAACCGATGTAAGCCCAGCCCAACTGGAACCGACGAGTGGGGAATAGAGCGATGTGAAGATCAGAGAAAAGTACTTGTACAGCGTAAAGAGTGTGAAGTCGTGGTCGATATTCGTGACAGGAGGAGAGCGCAATTCCTGAGACCGTAAGAGTAAAGGTTGCGTAGGTGAGATGGTGAGAGGGTGGATGCCTAAAGGTCCAGGCCCCGTAACTATTGCATGTTCTTGTGGTGGCAAAGGAGTGTTGCAGTCGTCTACAACTCATCCTTGACCCTTTGTGTGGCCTCTGTGGCTACGCTTGACGCGCTGCTAGCTGCTTCAACAGCAGTGCTAGATGCACTGGCATACATCTCACTGATACGCGAGTTGGCGGCCTCAACAGCTTGTGCGATCCTGCTGCTTGCGCTCTCCATGGCACCTTGCTCGGGCCCGTAAACAGCGGAGCTGATCTTGGAGTAGGCATAGTCAGCGTTCTCACTGGCGACTGAGGCAACCGACTCATATGCCTCTCCAGCGTTGCTTGCGACTGAACTGTATACCTCTCCGGCGCCGCTGACCACAGAGCCGTATGTATCAGAGGCACCGCTGGTAACCGAAGCGGCGTACCCAGTAGCAGTTGGCGTTCCAAAGATTGCTGCACTGATCGCGGCCTGAGCGCTGACGGCGGCGGCAGTAAAGCTATCTTGGGCCTGCTGAGTGCCATAGATAGCCTCGCTAACTTGAGACTGGATAGAGGCGTACGCACTGGCGACAGACTCGCTAGCCTGCTCAGCAGCACCCTTGGGGGTTCCATAAACGGCGATCGACGCACTCTCGACAGCTTGATCGATTTGTGCGCTGGCTTGGCTAAGAATGGTCTCAACAGCAGCCGGTGGGGTAAAGATAGAGCTGACGACTGAGGAAGCGGAGGCATAGGCGTCGGCAGCATATTCGGTTGCAGCCTCAAAGCTTTCGCCAGCGTACGAACTTGCGGAATCGTACTGCTCATTCACATACGACTCAGCGGAGGCAACGACAGCCGGCAGACCAGTGGAGTATGCTGATGCGAAGCGGCTCATAACGCTTTCAGTAAAGTCAGGCTCCTTACCGACCACTAGCTCAGAAATCAGAGCTTGAATGCCAGCGTATTGTTCAACAGCCCTTGAAGTAGCTTGTGCGCCATACACACCAGCCTGAGAGTAGACGGATTCGGCCCAAGGGGTGGGCTGACCGTAGACCTGAGTGCTGGCCTTGGCAATCAAGGCTTCCCAGTTTTCGCTGGCTTGAGAGGCGATAGATTCCGTCCATGGTGTCTCAGAGCCAATGACGCTTGAGCTGGCTGCAGACGCCAGAGATTCGGCAGCGGCCTGTGCATTCGATGCTATGGACTGGGCGTTTGCAGCTGCGGAGTTCGCGGTATCTGAAACATCAGATACGACAGAAGCTGCTGATACCGATGCGACTGAAGCGAAAGAGCTTGCTGATGCAGATGCGACAGAGGCAAGAGACTCTACGGTACCTTGTTGAGGGCCATAAACAGCGCTAGAGGCGGCATCCAGGAACTCAGAGTACCGACCGTGAGCGAGTCCGATAGCCTCGTAGTACTGACGGCGTGCACTGTCAACGCCGGAGGTGGGCTGCGAAGATAACTGAGCCGAAGCTTGGCTGAGGCCTTCAGACAACCGTGACGATGCAATAGATGAGACTGACTCAAAGTAGCCTTGAGTTGGGCCTGCAACGTAGCTTTTCGCTGACTCGGTATACTGGAGAGCAGCCTGTACTTGCTGGCTAGCCGCAGCAACAGAGTCGGAATATGCCTTCTCGAAACCAGACAGTAGTGTCTGGTAAGCGGGTTGCTGCGTTCCAGAAGCAAGAGTTGAGAGCTGGGACTTGGCGTTCTCAAGTTGTTCGCTGGCAAGGCTGACGGCGTTGCTGTAGCGTGAACTGACTTCAATCTGCACGGTCTTGATGACAGCAGTAGGAGTTGGAGTGCCATAAATAGCGTATGATGCACTGCAGATTGTTAGAGTGAATGTGACCAAGTGGAGTTGGTACTTACGCGGTGACAGCATCAGCAAACTTCACGGAAGCCACACTAGTAGCACTCTCCAGGGACTGCTGCTGTGTGCCATATAACGCCGCTGAAGCGGCGGCGATGGCTTTGGCGTACTGTTCACTTGCAAGAGATGTAGCAGACTCGACACTTCCTTGTGTTTTGGTAGCACCCAGCAGAGCTTCGCTGACAGCTCTGGTCAGTTCAGCCGCACGGTCACCAGCGTCGGCAACGATACTCTGAAGCTTAGCAGAGTAGTTTTCGTCCTCATCGTCGTCAATGACGTCGTCAAAAACAGGCTCACGGGCCTCAACAAGGACTTGAGCAGCGACGCCGCCCCAAACCTTTTTGGGTGACTCTGCAGCAGCGGAGACCTTATCAACTACAGCGTCCTTGGCCTCTGAAGCAGCACTGGATGCACTGCTAACTGCCATGCTGACACCGCTACTAGCGCTCGATGCACCGCCAACGACCACTTCAGAAGCCTTCGATGATGCCTCTGACACCACGCTCTGCGCTGAAGGAGTCTCCGAGCCGGCAACAGACTCGTAAGCTTTCGACGAAGCCTCTGACATCTTCGAAGAAGCATCGGACACTGCACTCTTGATTGAAGATGCAACACTCTCGCTGACTGGAGTCTCAGAGCCGACGATCGCTTCCGAGGCCTTGGACGAGGCGCTCTCCACACTATCCGCAACTTGTTGGGCTGCTTTGCGCACACGAGGAGGTACCGTGTTATCTGTGAAATCATCGGTGGCATCATCGGCCCACAGCTTCCACTTGGCGACATCCTTGAGGCGAACTAGCTCGTTGACGTTCTTTGAGGCAATGGCCATGGCCTCATCTTCAAGACGCTTGGCTTCTTCGTGAGCGATGCGGAGGCCCTCGTGCCTGGAGCCCACAGACTCAACTTCGGCTTGCCATTCCGTAAGAGTCGACTTCAGCTTGTGGTATTTCTGCCAGTCTTTGTAGGTGACGCCGTCAGTCCATGCCCATCGCATTCCCACCTCCTGAAGTCCAAGGCCGTGAACTCTCTCCAGAACCTCAACAGTACTCCTGACAGCAGCCTGCACAAGGGTATCAGTCTCCGTATCATAGGAAGCCTTCCACTCGCGGATATCTTGGGCCTTCTGCTTGACAGCCTGTCCAAGCTCACGGGCCTTGGCGCTGCACTGCTCGTGTGCTGCTTCAAGGTCCTTCTCACTAGCATCCTCGGGCAGAGACTTGACGGTGCGCTTGACAAAGCTCTTCAAGCTAGCGATGGTCGTATCCGCACTTTCTTCGAGCTTGACGATCAAGGCTTTGCCTTGCCCGTTAACGCCATTCTCAACCTGGCGGTCGGTGATCTCAGTAACACGTTGCTCCAGGTCTTCGGCACCTTTGTCCGCTGCTGCAGCGAATTTGCTCTGCCACTGTCGGAGATCCTCATTGAGCTTTTCCTTGAGCTCTTCAGACGAAAGACCAGAATCCTTGGGGTCAATCGATGCCTCAGGCTGAGCTACAAGAGAGGAACTAGACGAGTCACCTAGAATGCTGTTGACTACACTCGAAGCCGCTTCAGTGGCAGAGTTGATAGATGCCGAGGCGACAGAAGCGATGGAGCTGGAGCTCGATGCAGCGACAGTAGGAACAACCTTGGAAGCGTCGGTCGCAACAGTAGATCTGCAAGCGGTCAGAAACGTGTAGAGCGTACAGAGTCGGTTTCTTACGTCTCAGGGTTGACAGCATCGAAGACAGATTCAACTTTCTTCTGGTCGCGGTAGCGACCGAGGCGTTCGGAAATACGAACCAGCTGTGGTTCAACGTTATCGCCGTAGAGGACACGGAGCTGGGGCCACACATTGCGGATCAGGAATGCCCAGGTGACGTCCTTGGCAGAGCGGACGTGAGGGAAGACGACATCGACAACGACATGACGGCCTTGAACACGAGCTTTGTGCAAGTACGGCAGAGATGCTTCGTATGCAGGGAGGAGCGACTTGTGGTAGACAGTGTTCGAGCCGTCCTTGATCTGATCATAGTAGGGGCTGGCGGCCTCAGAAGCCTTCTGAACATGAGGTCCAAGGTAAGCATCGTACTGTGCCTGGGCTGCGTTCTGGGCAGTCAGGAGGTGCGGGCGGACAGTCGTGTCCCAGTTTGCTGCGGCCTGCTTCTGTGCCAGCTCAACTCTGTGCGCTCCGTACGTAGCATACTGCTTCTTCGTAAAGCTGGCGGCGGGTGTGTAGACCTGGCGTCCGAAGCGATCGGCATATGGCTTGACTTTCTCGACGTGAGGAGCAAGGTAGGTCTGATAATAAGGCTCCAAGTAAGGCGTTGCGTAGGCCCGGGCCTGCAGGTATGGAGCGCAGACGCGGGGAGAATCGTCATTGAGCTGTGTCATAGAGGACGGACACCTAAAGGCTGCAGTAAGGATGAAGTACCATATCGATAGCCTGCGCTTGTTAGCTTTGCTACAACATCGGGCAAGAACTAGAGGAGCTTGTATACCTCAGCACGATGCTTGTGATGGCCCCTGTAAACGATCTTCTTTGTTTCCTTTGGCGCACAGTAACACTCGAAGATTGCGACTTGCTGGCGAGCCCGTTGGGCTGGCCGTTCGTTGAACCAACGTTGGCTGAGCCGTTTAGATATCCATTGGCTTTGGGTTTTGAGCCCTTTTTGGCCCGGCCGTTGCTGTGCGGGGCGGCCATGGTCGCGGTGTTGCGACCTGTAGACGGTCAACGGCTGCTCGCGTGTTGTGGGCCCGTTTATCGTTGGCGATGTGGGCGTAGTGCAACTATCGGCACCTGCAATGGTCGTCAGCGCGAAATGAGGGAGAGGGAAGAGGCAGCAGCACGCACGATGAATGTTCTCAAATCCTCGGAGTACTAGCTAGAAAGTCAGGCTCCGGGCTTGTGATTGACTGATGATAGCTGATGGGAGCTAGCTGCCGCGCTTCGTGCAAGCGATCTTGGAGGATCTGTGATGTAATTGCACGTGCGGACGGGAACTCAAGCAGGAATATCAAGGAACGCGCCGTGAAAGGAGACAAAACACGGCAGAGGAGTGATCTGAAGTAACACGAGGAGCGTCTGGGCAAGAACAAGTGCGCGTGTGTGCGGTCTGCAATAAATTCTTGCAGTGTCTCCGCTGTGCTCAGGAGGAAGGCGCGGTGCTTCAGATGCTGGTGCAGGTGCGACATCACTGGCTCTGGCGCGCTTAGCTCCGCTGCGAACCTCTCTGTCGGCATATGCACGATCATGGCCGTCTGGATGAGCCAGTGAAGCCGATGATGCTAACGATTGCGTGACATTGCACCCTGCTGCACCTGCTGGACCCCGCACAAGTCTCAGTCGCTGCACCTTCAGAGACGCGCCAGAGTGGCAGCGCCAAGATGCGGCAACATCGCGACTTCCGCGCTCCGAATGTGGACCCCGACCGCGCTCTTGTCATCACTGCGCCTCAGTACCGTACCCAATCTCCGTTTCCACCACGACTGGACTCTGTAGTCCGCAAGTGAAGCAAATTATTGTCAAGAGCAAACGTATTCACAAGCTCAGTGCTCGCCAGCGCGACTGCCAGCACTCCCCAATGGTTTACTGATCCACTCCACCACGGCTCTCGGCCAGAACATTGTCAACCCTACATTTCACTCCCGTACGATCGCTGAACACAACTACCGGACACGATCACCACCGCTATAGACGATGGCCACCGACGCTGGGCCGCTCGACGCGGAGCTTCCGGGCCAGGCTCATGACACCGCGCCCGACGCTGACAACGATGCCTTCCACGACACCCGCTCTACAACCTCGAATATGGGCGACAAGGACGAGGCGGACACATGCCGTATATGTCGCGGCGAAGGCACGGCTGACGAGCCGCTGTTCTACCCTTGCAAATGCAGTGGCAGCATCAAGTATGTCCACCAAGAGTGCCTCATGGAGTGGCTATCACACACGCAGAAGAAGCACTGCGAACTATGCAAGACATCATTTCGCTTCACGAAGCTGTACCATCCCGGCATGCCGACTCGCATTCCTACCGCCGTCTTCCTGCGTCGTGCGGCTTTACATGTGGCGAACATGTTCTTCACTTGGTGCAGGGGAGTCTTGGTCGCGTCTGTATGGCTAGTGCTACTACCATGGTGTATGCGAGTTGTCTGGCGTAGCCTCTTTTGGGTCGGAGACGGCGGCTGGGCGCCGGACGCATACGCAGCTGTGCCAGCTGTCGCGAATCACGTTAAATCCATCACGTCTAGTCCCTCTGACCTGGAGGCGGTTCGGTCCTCACTGGAGGCTGCAAAGGCTAATGGTACAGCGCAAAACCTGACTCTTTCCAATTTATTGATGGCTTCCGTATCAACAACAGCTCAGCAGCACACTGTCATCGCAAATGAACCGCTCTTCTGGACAATTTTGAAGCGCCTCTTCTTCGGTTGGCCTCATCCAGTCGCTGCCCTTGCGCCCACTACGTCTAACACTACTGGACTCAACGTTACAACGGATCCTTTGGGCTTCCGCAATCCTTCACTCCTGTCTGACGTTCCTTGGTTCCATTGGTTCAGCTCGCAGGCAGCGAACCGATTTCTGATCGATGTCTTTGAAGGCCAGATCATAACCATGCTGGTGGTCGTTGCCTTCATCCTGATATTCCTGATTAGAGAGTGGGTCGTTCAGCAACAGCCTGTCATCAACATGGTGGCCCTTGGAGGCGACGGTGCTGCACAAGTCGATCGAGCTGCAGCCCTGGTCCCAGATGGAGAAGTCGAAGAAGGACCAGAACCACAACACGAAGACATCGCAGAGCGTGATGGAGCTGTTGAAACCAACGAGCCTCTCATTGTAGAGGGATCGCAAGAGCCAGACCCAAACACAGTTGCGGGTGTGATGGCGCTTGGAGCTCGTCGTCCCAACGATTTCCTTCGCAGGCAGCGAGAACGGGCCAGCGATCTAATGTTGCAAAACCCCGACTTGCCCTCTGGGTTGAGGGAGACGCTGCGATCCGAAACGACCGAAGAAGGAAGAATGCTCTTTGTTGAGAGTTTGTCCAGCGAGCAGGTCAATCTAATCAGGATGATCTACGACCAGTCAGTGATTGATGCATACGCAAGTTTAGTTGCAGAAGAAGAAGCTGAATCAAGTTCGACCGAGGCCGCGTTTCCCCCGGCATCGAGGAACGAGCCATCTCAGCCCATTGGCCCGGACGGACTTGAGTCATCGCAACGACCGGAGATGCCTACACGAGATAAGTCTTTCGTTGCAACAGAGATACGTCGCGGTCTCGAGGAAGGCGTTTCTTGGTCCTTCGACAATGTACCAGGTTCCTCAGGTGACGCCTCCCCCGGAATTGTCCCTACTAATTGGGACGACGAAAATCCAGGAGCATCAGCAAATCACGAACATGACGCGACTTACTCTGATAACGAGCCTACTAGCGAAGGCAGTAGTGGAAGTTGGCAGCAGGTGTCCGATGTCCATGTGGAAGAGGATTCCGACCAAGCGCTGGAAGGACGACAATCACAGGACAAGGGCAAAGGCAGAGCCAACGATGACTTTGCTCCAGGTCACGAGAACGATTCTATGGAGAACTCTGGCGTGGAAGGCTCGGCGGATGCTGAAGAAGGCATTCGGGTAGAAACCACGATGGATGTCGATATTACAGCAGGGCCTCATGCACAAGAGCATGATATAGAGCAGCAAGACACCCCTACACCGGATGGTTCGTCTGCGACTACAGACATGCGCCCGGCGCCAGCTGAAGCCCCCGAGCTAACGATCCTGGATATAATCATGGACTGGGTTTACGGCCCCGCAGATCCTGCGACCCGGCCAGTTGCGGAGGTCTTGAATGATGAACATATCGTGCGCAATATTGAAGAAGAAGCGCCGTTTGTCCCCTTCGCCGGCAACGAGCCCCTCGAGCCTGCCGATGCAGCCATCCAGGATCCTGAAGTCGCTGCCGCTGCTGCCCAAGCCGGTATTGACGTTAATGACCAAGAAGCGATCGAGGATGCAGAAGACCTAGAAGGTATTCTTGAGCTCATTGGCATGCAAGGACCCCTCGTTGGATTGTTCCAAAATGCACTCTTCAGTGCTGTCCTGATTTCTGCGACCTTGGCTTGTGCAGTTTGGCTACCATATTTGTGGGGTAAAGTCGTCATCTTGTTCATGGGAAGCCCGATCTCGCTTTTCATCAAGCTTCCCCTACAGATTGTCGCCACTGCGACGGATTTGGTGGTAGACTTTACGCTCGTGGTAGTTGGTGGTCTCGCATTTTGGGTGTCCCAGCTGACATTAACGCTCGTCAAGCTTGTGACTAAGGGTGAAGGGTCTCTTTACCTTGAGAGCTCAATCCGGCGCCTTTCTGTACCTGCGCATTCGATTGTTAAAAACGCTGCGGTGCGTATCACGGAGGCCCTCCTCAATTCATCGCTCTCGACGAGTCCCGGATATTTCAGACTATCCATTAACTCGCACGCTGCTTTGCGTAGCTTACAAAATTCGACATCGTTCGCTCTGAACCAGACGAGTCATGCGTTTAGCGCTGTGCTTGAGGACGCGCAAACCGAGTCAGCGATTGGGCTACTCTGGAAAGGATTGGTTCGCGCGACAAGCGGCGTAGAGGATCTGATCCAACAAGGCAGATACCTTCTCGCCTGGCTGTGGACCTCAAAGTCATACAAGATTACTCTCAACATGAGCCTTGGTAGCAACGAAGCTGTTGCATCTACGCTAGAGTACTGGACGGCAAATGATCGCCTAATCGCTGTACTTGCAGGTTACACTTTCTTCGCCCTGGCCGGAGCCGTTTATCTCAGGCGTGGGGCACCGTTCAGCACATCTCAGCAAGGTCAGAAGATTGAACGTATCATTTCAGATATCCTGCAACAAGCGGGCGGCGTGTTAAAGGTGATTCTCATCATTAGCATCGAGATGCTAGCATTCCCACTTTACTGTGGCTTGCTGCTCGACCTCGCCATGCTCCCTTTGTTCAAGAATGCGACAGTCTACTCTCGGTGGCAATTTGCCGGCAATAGCCCCTGGACAGCTGGCTTTGTACACTGGTTCATTGGCACTTGCTACATGTTTCACTTTGCTCTCTTTGTGTCAATGTGTCGCAAGATCATGAGGAAAGGGGTCTTGTACTTCATCCGCGACCCAGACGATCCTACATTCCACCCAGTCCGAGATGTTCTTGAGCGCAGTGTAACCACCCAACTTCGCAAGATAGCTTTCAGCGCCCTCGTATATGGCGCACTAGTCATCATCTGCCTTGGGGGTGTCGTCTGGACCTTGAGCCGCGTTACATACGGCGTGTTGCCTATCCACTGGACAACGGAAGCACCGTCTTTAGAGTTCCCGTTAGATCTACTCTTCTACAACTTCCTCACACCAGTCATCATCAAAGCCTATAAGCCGGGAGAAGGTTTACATGCGGTGTGCACATGGTGGTTCAAGAAGTGTGCCGGTGCTCTGCGGTTGTCACACTTTCTTTTCAACGAACGAATTGAGGATGAGGAAGGCCACCACATCAACTCTACTTGGCTCGGCTGGGTTGTCGGCCGCAAGGGCGATGTCGATACGCCGCAAACCCAGACAGAGGATAAAAAGACAGCCGTAGATGGTGTCGTTGATGCCTACTTCGTTCGTGATGGTCGATATGTCCGGGCGCCTGCCTCGGACCAGTGCCGTGTGCCCAAGGGGCAAGCTGTCTTTATCGACGTGGACAGAGATAATGTGCGCAAGGACGGGAATACCGATGGAGGGGTGCACAATTCAGACCTGGTGCAGATGGTCTACATTCCACCCTGGTTCCGCCTTCGCATTGCATGCTTTGTGGTTACCATCTGGATCTTTATGGGCATGAGTGGGATCAGTGTCACCATCATTCCGCTGATGTTCGGCCGCTACCTGTTCTCCCTCTTCTTACCTTCAACGGTGGAGATGAACGACATCCACGCTTTCTCACTTGGTATCTACACACTTGGGAGTGTTGCGTACAGCGGATACCAGCTCTACAAGCTTGCCGCCTCTCTTAACAGGCCCAACGTTTCGCCTCTAGCACAACTACGTTCCGTTGCAGCCACAGCTAGCCGTGTCGGTCTCACGATTATCCGTTTCAGCTACGTATGGACGTCACTTATTTTCGCCCTTCCTTTGCTGTGCGCGGTCCTCATCGAGCTCTACTTTCTAATGCCACTACACGCCTGGATGGGTCCTAACGAGCCGCATGTCGTCCACCTGATCCAGGATTGGACACTGGGTTTTCTTTATTCTCGGCTCGCAGCACGTCTCATTTTTGCGAACCGCAATACCCGCCCAGCGCAAGCATTCAAGCAGGTCATTGAGCGAGGCTACCTCCACCCTAACGCCAGGGTTGCAACACGTTGTTTCGTTCTTCCTGTGCTTGCGCTTTTCACTATCGCTATCGCGGTGCCTGCCTCTGTGGCATGGATCTCTACTCATCTGCTACACCGCGGCGCGAATGAGGCAGTGAAGAATCAGGTCTGGCGTTACAGTTACCCAGCGGTTGGACTCAGTATTGCATTCATGTTCGCGAGCAGAGTTATAGCAAGAATCGTTACTAGGTGGCGACTTATTGTCAGAGATGAAGTGTATCTCATAGGAGAGAGACTGCATAACTTTGGCGAGAAGAAGGCGCCTCAGGCGAGACAGGACGCTGACACGCAGTCAAGTGGAGAGGGCAGTGTAGTAACACAGACCCCGCAGGTGGTAGTAGGGTAATGGAGAATGGTACCTAAACCTGATGCATGGTAGGCGTTACGAAAGGATACCCAGTCGTTTGGCATAACATTCATTTGTACTTAGTCTTTTTCCCTGCATAGTAACTACGCTCTTCAAGTAACGATTCGCTCCCATCATGAATTGTCGCACAAACTAGTTTGGATTTGAGGAAGGCTGTTTTGACACTCTCACATGCCAAAGCCTGCGAGAAATGGCATGTCTCGGCAGCTGACACCGTCGCACTTATTAGTGCTGATTAGACATTACAGACTGCAGTGTCACGCAAGCTGCATAAGCTCCTCTTGTAGAACTGTGTGGTATGATCTCCATTCGTAGTACACTTATACACACGCAAGCTCTCGTCATGCGCTTACACCCGCATGCCTGACAACGTGCTGACAATTAACATTTCGTGCCGCATCGTTGCGTCTCTCGGATCGAGCCGGAAAAAACTGGATATCTAATACGCCCAACGCCATGCCAAAAGTAGAACCGAAACAAAGATCGTGCTTATATCCACGTCAGATAAGACGCAGCAGCCAGCATCAGTGGTACTGCGATGGACGCGTATGTGTTGACGGCCATAGCGTGGGGTGCCGGTGAGCTCGTTGTTGCGTAGACGATCTGGAAGCCAATCTCCTGGCCGGGAGATGTGGTGTTGAGGCAGTTGGTATTGTTGACTTCTGGCACGTCCTCGGGTTCCGCGAACGTGATGTCTGCGCACTGACTTGTTGTTAGCGATGATGGTCGTTCAGTTTTAGGATACCAGACTCACGTTGTACAAAGCTGCGCCGTGCTGTGCCAACTCAATGACCTGAATCGTTGCGTTGTCCCCGACCTTGGGTGTGTAATTTGCTGGCAGCGGAACCTGCGGCAGGCAGAATGTGCCATCGTATTGCTGGTTCGAAGGGCCGGTGATTTGGAAGACGCCGACTGCGCTATGCGAGTAGTTGAGGGGTTCGTTGCCGTATCCCATGTTGATGTAGAATTGTGCGTTTGCGTGGCCTGGGAACCATCCCGGTTGAATTGATACTGCGCCGCCCTTCAATGGCCATTTCGTCCGATTCTGCGATGTGGGCATGCCGCCGCCTTGAACACATTAGATATTTGGCCTGCAAAGGGTAATAGAGTGATTACGCACATGGGTACATCCATTGCATTCCATATGGGAAGCCGACAGTGCCGTTATCGTAGTTGATGCCCAGTGACCCGGGTACGATGCTTGGGTCGGTTGGCGACGCGGTTCCGTTGGTGTGGATATTGTTTCCTCTCCATCCGGGGTACACGATAACGGTATGCGCAGCAGCAAGGGATGACCAGCTGGCAACGAGGTAGACGAGTTCAGTGAAACGGAACATGTTGGCGATTCCAGCAGACGGATTATCGGATTGATGCAGATTCCCTATCTCTTTTGTACGCGGTGCACGGTTCAGATATCGAAAGTCGCGACGCAAGCCCAGCAGCGTGCGGTGGCGGGGGCATCAGCACTTATGGAACCTCACGGCCACGCCTCGTGCGACCACACCCGATTCGATAATGCGAACGCCTCAAGCGAATAGAACTCTGCAAAGGGTCCGCAGCTTCTGCGCCCGCTGGCTGGCCAGGCACTGTAAGTCATCCGCTGTGTCGGCCATTGTGAGCAGGCTTGCACGAATAGGCTTCTAGGTAGCATATTGGCTTGACAGGGGGACTCGACCAACGAGCTGCGGGATGCACCTCGCGCTCCCGCCACCAAGACGGCCGGGCCACATAGTGCATGCTGAAGAAGATGGGGGCGTGAATCTTGATTCGTCAAATTCATGTGATGGGCCTGTGGCCTCTGCAGGTCACTCGGTAGTCGAAATCTGGTCCGTGCGAAGCGCCGACTCCACCTTCAAGCCAGGTCGAAATGCGGATCCTCTTGTGCAGTACCAGGAAGCATACATACGAACGCGCGCGACTCGGTACGTGATAGTGTGATCGAAGCATGACTTTCAGATCGCTGGCGCGTTGATGATGTGAATGTTGACAGAAGACGGGGCCGAGACATCCTGACGGTTCGCGTTGCGCGTTCATGGCAGCAAAGGGTCAAAGTCAGCATGCTGCTTACGTTGGAGGCATGGATGTCTTCTTGTCTCGTCGTCAGTGGACTGCATCCATGTGGCAAATGTGATTTCGTGGAGGAGCGGATGTGCAGTGTTGTATGCCGTGCTTGGAGGTTGCTAGTTGGTGCCTACTGTATTCGGACTGGACGCCAGTGCAAGCGAGCCCGTTATGGCGGACCCTTACTCTAAGGATTTGATCTGACGGGGAAACTTGAAAGGAAGGTCCGCTTGTCAAGCACTTACCAGCTTACCAGACAGGGAAGTGGTGGGGCGAAGATGCTTCTTTGGAATTGCAAGTATGCAATGCACCTGTGCTAAGCCGGGAACAAGACATGTGCAGTCCCGTTGGCACAGCGCAGGTGTATGCTCGTGTGTATCTCCCATTTCTGCCTGGCAGTTTGAATCGAGGGCTTTGCCACATCATCTTGACGTCTGATTTACCATCAGGGAAGGTCTGATGCACTGCGCATTTACCCAAGCTATCGACACCTTGCGTGGGCACCACCTGAACAGAATTCCTAAAGCAGTCACTTGGATGCAGATTAGAGCCTTTGGCTGTGGTCCGCTCTGCTTCGACCTCCTTGCCCACATCTCGTAGCCTCAAGAACCAACAGAACGTGATCGATACACGAGCTTGAATAAGCATCTGAGAAAATGAGTGAAGATGTACCTGTATCACTCCAAGGGACATGCGTGAGGTGGCAGGGATGCCACATAGCAGGACAACTCTAGCACCACTAATCAAAGGGATGCTTAGGAAGTGTGGAGATGTGCTGATCCTCCAACACATTGCAATCCCGCAAGTAACTTGCACACTAGACGTTTATTACCGTACATAACTTTGGCACTATTGTTTACAGTGAAATGAGCCGTTCGATCTCGAGGTACGATGATGACTGTTCGAGAATGTACTATCAGTGACACCTTGTCTACTGTGATCGACGGAAGTACTCAACTATGTAGTCAGTCAATCATTTGACGATGTTTTACCGTCACTCGACCTTGCCATCTGCTTAAATTTCCTCTTCTTAGTTCTCAGGGAGCCTTGAAGCGAGCGCTCTACACATCATGCCCCACTACAGCACAGCCTGGTAATGAACTTCATCAATACATAACTGTAGATGATTGTTTGATGTCTGACATCATGCAGTACCAAACTAACGATCGGCATTCGAGCCTCAACTCTCGCCTTCCACTGGTATGGTTACGCCGAGACTCCGCAGACGAGTAGTCGCTGCCTCTACCAGCGCGGTGTTGCGCTGTAGCATTTCCTGGATATACTCGTTTTCCTGTTTGCGCGATTGAGACGGTACTTTCACAGTCGCCGCACGCGCTTGCTCCTCCTGTGCTTCTTTTTGTGTATCTGCCACTTGGCTTGCCAACGTCTTGTTCAGCTCTTTGAGTTTGTTCAGGCGCTGCCATGCTGGGACCTCGCTTCCATCAACATCACCGGTCAGTGTCCTGTTAGACTTGTCCACGGAGCTATCCATCGTCTGCAATTCCTCCACGTAACTGGCCTCCTTCTCGCTGAGCTCGGTCGAGCTGATGCTGTTCATCTTGCGGCGGAGGCTCTCATAGCGGGCGTTGATTGCGTCTTGCCTCTTTCTGACCTGCTCCAAACGATCGTCAATCTGGGCCGATCCATACATTGATCCGTTGTCCGAGGGTTCTTCGTCGTTACCAATGACAGCGTCTATCTTTGGGACAACCTCTGCTGTCCGATACACTTGGTCTCTGAAATCGTCTTGAAGGCGTGTGGCACGGTTGAACAGATCAGCAACGGCTTTCTGAAGCTTCTCCGTGTGCGCAGACAGGACCCGATGAACGTCCATCAACAGTTCGAGATTTGCTGGTGATAGCCGAACTTCGTCCTTCAGCGAAGCTTTGTGTCGAGCAGGAATATTGATCGAGTTGTAAAGGTTGAACGGCTCATAAAACTCCTTGGGTTCCCGCCACGCTTCGCGCACCTCCTTTTGGGGAACAGCTGCCTCCAGGTACTCGGCAAGCTCCTCCTCTGTCGGAACACCATCTTCGGGGGCGTCAAGGAGGGCGGCTTGAGGCTCATCGTTGACTGTGGTCAGCAGCATATAACCAACGTTGCCGTCTTCAACAACGACGGCTGAAGTGACTTCTTGTTCAGTAGTGTTGCGTGCAGGTCTACGTTCCAGATACTGCGTGACCTGGCTGCTAGCAGACGCAAGGAGCCGCTGCAGGCGGAAATCGGCACCCTCTGCGTGCGGCTCGGAAAGTTCGTTCTCAAGTTTCCGTATCCATGGCTCCATAGTTATGTATGTGACTCCACTAGCGGTCGAGACGAAGAAGGAGAAGTCAGTATGTACGTCTTGGGTGATTGTCTGGTTGTATGTTGATTCGCCAGTTCCTTTCAGAGTAATAGTCTCTGCGATGATAAGGTCGTGCTCTGTTTGTGCGACCTCAAAATCGTCCTAAACTGGCGTTACTCATAGGTAGCGTGACTACCACGCGGTGACATACCTCTGTCGATGGAAGCCATCGTCCGACAATCCCCTCCAAATCAATGCAAACATGCACCTTGCACGTATCAGTCAGTAAACAGACAACAGCTGCTGGCAGACCCTCGGCAGCCTCTTCTTCTGAGCCATCCGAGAAAGTCTTCAGAGAGTAGACAATCATGTCGCTCAGCTCAAAGTCTTCAACCTGAGGCGTAATTGCGAACGGGCCCTGCAGAAGCGGTACTGCTGGCGCGCTTAACGGTCGGCTGAAGACCTTGACCGAGTCACCATTCGGCAGTGCCTCTACAAAGGGCTCCTCATAAAGAATGTCAGACAACCAGGAGAGCTGCTTCTCCGAAGTTTTGACGTCCTCTTTTGGCGCATCGTCGTCTTCGGACATCTCATTGTAGTTTATGTTGATGGAGGAGGCCAATGTCTGAAGACATGTAAATGCGCCAGGGGTTTCGACTAATTGCCACCGGCGCGGAAGAATAGGGCACAGGGCATAGACATTCCCAATGACGGTAGCAATCCATAGCGTCATGGGCGCCCAGCCATGCACACCTTCCTGCTCGGGGAAGTCTCCGAAGCAAGCAGACGCAACCTCCAGTTCCACCGAGTCCGGAGAGAACGCCTTAGTAGCTCCGTAAATCGAAGCGCCAAGATCGTCTTGGTCCTTTTGTGCGTTGATCAACTTGACCAGATCGATGGAGAGACTGGGATCGCTGAATGTCGACCTGTCTGCGCGGTTGACCTCCCATAATCGCACCACTCCCGCCTTTGTGATAGTGACTAGGCATCGCCCATGATATCCGAGAGGGTGCCACAGTGTTGTTGCAATCGGCGATTCTTCGAGAACGTGCGCGGTGGGACCGACCTGGAAGGTCTTCGGTTTGATGGGGCTGTCGTCGTTGCCAGATTCGAGTAGCGAAGAGTCAGGCAGAGCCACGACATGTACAGTGTGCGACGTCGAGACCGCGAGGTAGTCGCCGGCGGGAGATATAGTGAGTCGTGAAATTGGGAGTGGTATCGACACTTTGAGGGTGCGGTATGCTGGCGAGACGCCTTCCTTTAGGTTGACTAGATCCGCCCATCGAATCTCGTGTCCGACGGCGACAAAGATTTCAGAGCCCCTTGTCGCAATCGTCTTTCGTGGCCCGAAGTCCTTGCTCTTTGCTGCGGCGACGGTGCCGTTGCTCTGTTTAGGCGCAAACAGATGATAGCCGGGGCTGGGGCGCGAAAGCCATTCTGGCGTATAGCTGAGCACTTTCGGCATATCGACCTGCTTCCGTGAACCGTATGTACTCGAGTTTCAGTCGGCCTGGTAAGTGTGGCCGGTGAGAGAATAGGACTGCGACGCGCAAACAAAAGTGAGAGCGGCCATGAAGAAGCTCGACGCGCGCGCGCCAGGCTTGGCGCTGTAGCTACTTCCTGAAGCTCTCTGCGAAGTCCGACCGCGACCACGACACTTTCACCACATCAGACGCGCTCGCAAACGTCCCGACAAACTACCCAATCGGGTCGCATAGATATCTCATACACGCTCGAGGTACTTTCTGAGCATAATGCCGGCGCTCCGAAGCACGATCGAGCGCCTTGACAAGCCAAGCTCATATGCCACAGCAAAGGTGCGCTTTTACCACTCTACCGGTCCCTCGGCGATGCTGACTGAGCTCGATAGAAACGCAGAAGGAACCGCGACGATGATGAGCGAGGTCCCACCCCCGAAGTCGACGACAAGCTGAAGGATGCGACCACCCTCTATGTGGGCAACCTGTCATTCTACACAACAGAAGAGCAGATCCACGAACTATTCTCCAAGTATGTCGTCAATTTCCCCAATGCCCTCCACCAATCTTCTGCAAAGATGACACAATCTTCGTTAATCCCAGCTCACTCCGATGCACTTGTTGCACTTGAGGTGAAAGCGAAATCACGTCTGAGCTCTTTACCCATCACAGCACCACTGCACACACTCTCGAATGCTTGTACTGACCAGCTTCAAGGTGTGGCGAAATCAAGCGCCTCGTCATGGGCCTCGACCGCTTCCAGAAGACACCCTGTGGCTTCTGCTTCGTCGAATATTACACACAACAAGACGCGCTAGACTGCATGAAGTACATCGGCGGCACAAAACTCGACGAACGTGTCATTCGTACCGATCTGGACGAGGGCTTCGCCGAAGGCAGGCAGTACGGGCGAGGAAAGTCTGGAGGTCAGGTGCGCGACGAGTACCGCGACGAGTATGACCCTGGACGAGGTGGCTACGGTAGGGTGTACGCAGATGAGTACGACGAGCGATAGAAGTATGGAAGGTCAAGGAAATACCACTGCATGGAAGGAGTCAGGCGTCGTCCGGTCAATCATGATATTCTAGGGCTTTGTGCAAGAGCACACTCTTCGCCCGATCTAGGTACATTACATCTAACAGTGCCAGTGCCAGTCTTTTGAACGCCTTCGCCTATGCTGTGCGCTGTCGTACCCACACCCCTACTTCGTCCGATCAGCAAGCTCGAATGTCTGCCTCAGCTCAGCCGCCTTCAGGACTTCTTCCAGCCACCACACGTGGATCCGTGGGTCCTCTGTTAGCTCCGGATGGAAACTGCAGCCGAACACATTGCCTTGTCTTACTGCAATGATGTCTTCCTTCCCGGCATGGTCATGTTCCTGGGTTGCCTGCAGCGACGGGTTCTTCATCGACAGCGTCGCCATTACCTCGACGTCCCGGTTCACTTGCTCTCTCGCCAGTTCGTCCACCGGTATCTTACTTGGCGCAACTACTGTCTCCTCTCTTGCCTCCTCCTCCTCCATCTGCACGCCCTTTGCATGAGGCAGTACCTTCTCAACAACCGGTGCGCGGATGAACACGCATCTGTAAGGCTGATCGGCGCCCTTTTCCGCGGTGTCGCCGAGGAATGGAAGGTTGAGGCTGGCCTGAAAGCTCTCCTGCTGGCGGCCAAAGTGGTTTCTGTTCACTCGCACGTCAAGGCCTCCGATGAGTTCTTGTCCGCCTTTCTTCGTTCGGTTAGCGCTCTCCGCGAGAAGTATCAAGCCGGCGCATGTGCCCCAGGTTGGCTTCCTCTGCACTCTATCGCATTGTCAGTACCTTGTGCGGGACACTGTCCATCTCAGAGCATACTTGACGAATTCTCTCAGCGGCTCCAATATCCCACTCCTCGCTGCCACGAGACTTATAGCTGTACTCTCACCGCCAGGGATGATCAGGCCTTCACATCGTGCCAGTTCCTGCGGTGTGCGCACTTCAATGAACTCCCACTTTGCATCCACACCCTTCTTCAGCTTTAACGCATTCGCAGCCTGTCGCAAAAGCTGTACGTGCTCGCTGAATGCGCCCTGCAGTGCCAGAACACCAACAGTAAAGTCCGGGATCGTGACCGTCATGTCAATTGTCTTTGTAGAGATGTAGGTGAAGAGTTGACCGTATGGTGAAGACTTCCGAGTCATAAAGCATGCGGCGAAAGTGTGGAGGGACTTAGCCTATCGATAACAAATATCTGGGGCGCTTCGCATCGATCGGAGCACGAGTCCGAGGAGCAAGGGTCCAGCAAACGTCAGAAACCGGCCCCTCCATTACCGCGAATAGCCTTATTTAACGGTACGCGGACTACTCGATGCGGGCGTGGTAGTCTTGCACCAGTCGACATCATGGACAACCCTGATCCAGGAAAAAGACGTGGACTCACGTGCTGGCTACTGGATACGCGGACACTGTGGCCTGGTGACAAGATTGCGGAGTCGGTACGTACTTGTCCTCATTCATAATCATTACACTCGGGCTCGACCACAGCACTGCCATCGTTAGAGTCCAGTAATCAGATGACAATGCACTGTACTAATCGTAACAATAGGCCAAAGAAGCGCTAAGATTGATCAGCCCAGAAGAAAGAGGTCTGATACTGAAGAAATATCATGTCGCTGACGCAAAGATGAGCCTGGCGTCTGCCCTGCTCAAGCGCCTTTTTGTCCACAAAACCCTAGGCATACCATGGAAAGATATCACTTTCGGCCGCAAACGCGATCCCAAACACGGCAAGCCATGTGCTCTGCTCCCTGCACCAATGCACGGCCCTGCGCCGTGTGAGTTCAACATATCGCACCAAGCCGGCCTGGTCGCACTCGTTGGCTGCGCAACACAGGTACTAGACGCCGAATTAGGCGTCGATATCGTTTGCGTTAACGAGCGCAACGAGAGCAAGACAATCGACGCCGATGGCTTCGTAGCGTGGATCGACATGTACGCCGAGCTGTTCAGCGCCGAAGAAGCCTTCGACATGAAATATTCCGTCTCGCCATTTCCCCTGCTCGACGGCACGCTCGTCACGGCTGAGATGCTGGGCCGCCACGACCGGTGTTGCGTCACGGGGCAGCAACTGTCTGTCACGTTGCCGAGCGGCGAGCAACGCACGTTCTCGAGCGATTTGCTCATTGATGCGAAGCTCAGGCGCTTTTATACGTTTTGGTGCTACAAGGAGGCGTATATCAAGCTCGATGGTGAGGCTCTGCTTGCGAACTGGATTCCGCAGCTTGAGTTTCGACAGGTTCGTGCTCCGAGTCCGGGGACGCCGGCAAGGTGCAGTACGCATGGGGTGTGGGGCGAGCGCGTCACCGATGCGGAGGTGTGGTTCAAGCATGCACGTATGCAAGAGTGTCGGATGGAGATCCAAGCTTTCGAGGAGAATTACATGATTGGTGTTGCAGCGAAGGAGAGGAAGTGGGAGAGTGCGACTGAGGGGTTGCCTGAGGTACTTACTGAGTTTGTGAGTCTGCATTTGGAGGAGGATATTATGAGAGTTGCGAGAGAAGCATAGAAGTGGTTTAGAGATTGGAGTTGGAGCGTTCAGCATACATAGATTCTTGCATTCTGAGCGAGCATTGTCTGAGCAGTACTATATACGTGATGGAATCGAACAGTTTTAAAATGCATCGTGTCTACTTTTGAGGCAACTAGTCCCCCGTAGCTCCAACGGTTTCTCTGTGACTAATATTCGATTCACACATTATCCGACTGCCATCAAGCTTTCCAGAATCCCTCCAGGCTCCCCCAGACATGTCTCAAGTGAGAGGTCACCTACTGCCTCGAGCAGGATGTGTGGACGTAGCTGGCATCTCGTTCAGCCCGTGGTCGTCACCAATTTCTATGGGCGCCTGATATGTCGGTGCCTCGGCCGCATACGCATAGCGGTCCTTATCTGTCATTTGTAAATGATTATTTTCATAACCATGGAGTTCATGCCCATCGTTCTTCGACACTCCACCAGCTTGGAGTTTGTTCTTTCTCCTTTTCAGCAGTAGAAGTATGAGACCAAGACATGCTATGATGGCGAGTAAAGCGCCGAGAACAATGCCAGCGACTGCGCCTTTCGAGAGCCCAGAGCTCGTGTCCTGGGTTGCTGGTGAGAGGGACGACGAGGCAGGCGACGACGATGATGGAGTCGCAGAAAGTTGAATTCGGTCCGCGGCATATACTGAGACGTTTGCAGGGACCGTGTAGTTCTTGCCTGGCTTTTTCTCACACATCTCCTGCACCGTTGTAAGGACGTTGCCCAGTATTGTCAGGTCTTCATTTCCGTATAAGCATGTTACGCAGGACTCGGCATCGGACGTGAAATTCGCGCTGGTGTTGTGTTCGCAAAAGTCGAAACCTCCTGGATCGCTTTTTATGTTATAGTCGATGGACGAGCGTATTTTGCTACAGCTGTCACTGCAGCGTTCGTGAATTGACGACGCAGATATATTCTTATTTTCCTCGTTGTCGAAGCGACCAAACAGACACCAGTCCACCACACCTTTATTGTTGACTGCGGTACATGTTAGTATCTTAATCTCCATAGCGTCACGATCGTTCTCTCGAAGACGCGCGTTGTTATCAGCGAGACTTACAGAGAAACCACGTAGAGTCCTGCTCGGTGTACTGTGTACCATCATCCATAAATGTCACTTGCCAACCGCTGCTCATCTGGCATTCCTGGCAAGTACGAAACTTCAAAGCTGCAGCGGTTGAATTCTGTCCCGAGTATTCCCAATTATAACACGGAAGCATGTCGTTGAAGGTAAGGGACTGATTTCTCCAACTTGAGTTGCCTTTATTTCGGTCTGTGCACTTCGAGGCGCATGGTGAATCTGGGCTGACTTCGAGTGTATGACCAAATGTAGAGAACACAGCCAGGAGAGCAGCAGCTGATGCTCTCAGCTTTGAAGGTGACATTGCTGGTGAACGTGAATGAGAGAGCCAGACAATGACAGACACGAGTGTTGAATTCGAGGAGTATGTCAGGAAATGAAAGCGAATCGCTTCATAATCAAGGTCACGCCCTGTAGTACTAACGATATAATCAAGGTAACGCCCTGTAGCACTAACGATCAGGCGTTCTGCCACATCAATCTGCGAGCTGTGCCATCGAGGCTGAGGTCAGCGCTGGTTCGGGAGCCTGTCCTAGTCAAGTTAGACAAACATTGTGCAACCAATCAGAGAGCATGGACGACGGCGCAGTCGACGATCGGACTTTAAGGAATCCTATAATATCGTTTTTGCTAGGCTATTTGGGGTATAGTCAATGAGGCAGTGAAGGTTGTTGATCCTAGACTTAAGTGTTGACTCTCTGCGACATGGGCATTTTCGCCGCAACAAACACAAAGTCGTAGTGATAAGGAGGCATTCTGCTGCCGTGACACGTTGCAACCAATTTCTGTCGAAAGGTTGCTGATGCGCTTGAGGCCAATCTCCGTAACTGTTTACACCCCAGTCGATTGGCTTAAACAATTCTTCCGCCGTCCTCTGTTAACACTCGTGCTAATAAACTGACTCGCTACCCAAGCCATGCGTCAATACATCAAGGGACGGATCTTCAATAGCCGCACACTTTCTGAGGATCTCAAGCGTAGCTTGTACAGTGTCATCCAACTCATTCGGTATCAAACTCTGCAACTAGATATCCTCGAGATATCGTTCAGAAAGCCGACCGACGGAAATCAAAAGAGCACCTAAGTCTTCCAAGTTCTCCTGATTGATTTGTAGGAAAACTCATTCGTCAGGTAGGGTTTTAGACAAGTGTTGTAGCTTGAACGAGCCGTTCTCGTGAAACCTTACATACTGGTGCATCTTAGGTATACCTTGCTACGACGAATGAAATAGCTCACTCCGCCTGCGCTTTGACACATCGCAACGCCTGAGTGGATGTTTTGAGTGACGGAATTTTATAGAACATTCGTTCTAAAGGAACATGGAGTCCTTCTTGTGGTAGTAAGGTCATGACTGAGGACAACGTGTGCTTAAGGGTGAGCTTCAGTGGTTACAACCAGATGTGATTGATACCTCTGTTTCTAGAAGAACTGGCCAAGATGAGTGTTGGACCCAGATCCCGTGGCATCACTGTTGTCTTGCTTGACCGTGCTGGAGACGTCCGCATGGAGGGGCCAAAGCTTGTCGAACAGTCAAGATTGAGCCACGGACGAATGGGTGCTGAACGTAGAAGAGCTTGAACATGAGTGTGTACTTTTGAGAGTGAAGTGGCAATGTTACAGTAGGGCGCGTGGTTCGTATGTAGTGGCTGCCCAAACCACACTAGGGAGTATGTCAGTTGCGGCTCGCAGGGATGGCCTTCAAACGACAAAAAAGTTCCGAGCGCTGGATTAAGCAGTCTCCAACAAGTGTGCAAAAAATGATTCGACCCAGACTTGAACTGGAGACCTTCAGTGAACCAACGAATGTTAGACTGACGTGATAACCAACTACACCATCGAACCAAGAGATGTTGTGATGAATTTCAAGAAAAGTATACAATATATATTTTCCGTAACGTCTGGTAGGTCCAGCATCCTTCATTGGGTCTCATGATTCATTCCACAGGCGGATCATGCTCAGCATCCGCCAAAAATCCGGACATACCTACCCCACCTTGGAAGTGCAAATTCGTCGCCGATCAGCTGGTCGAAGTCTAGCATGATCAATATAAGATCAGCCATTGTTACGTGACGAGCCACATGTGACTTTTCCAATATTCACCACTGTTGGTTTATTCGTAAAACCCGACACTGTTGGCAACAATGCTGCGCAATGTTCTAGACTTCTGCGGTGAGGTTTGAAGAGATGAGTGGGGCATCCGAAGTGCCCCTCCCCATCTCTGTTCAAGCTTAAGCTTTGGAGAAACATCAACCAACCAAACATGGCGAGCAGCGACATTCTAAACATCAGTACGCCCTTGTCCTGCACGGCAGACTTTTGCTTGATTCCGCTGGGCACGCCGACGGCAAGCGTGTCGAAGGAAGTTGCGGAGGTGCAGCGGATTCTGAAGAGGAGTGGACTGACCTACTCCATGCATTCAGCAGGAACTACCCTTCGTATGTATCTACATCGAACGTAGTTATCGAGAGACTGACAAATGCCCAGAGGGCTCATGGGACGACTGTATGCGGGTCATCGGACAGTGTCATGCTCTACTACATGAAAATGGAGTCGTGCGGATCCAAAGCGACATTAGGATTGGTACTCGAACGGACAAGAAGCAAGGTTTCAAAGACAAAGTCGAGGCTGTCGAGAAATTGCTCAAGGATGACAAGTGAGCACCCTGAGTTCGATAGGATTGAATGCAAGGCTATATGTGCTTCAATTATCACAACAAGAATCGCGCAAACATATAGGTAACATGGATTCAAAACAACGCGACCACAATACTTCCCCGCGTTATCGACAGGCAACCTGTTGGCCCAAGTGACTCATTATCGATAGATCCACGACCCCTTTTCTTCGATTGGCTGCCTTTGCACTGATGTACCTACGATACTGGGGTTGCCGGTTGAACTGGCGGACTTCTGGAAGCGTTCTGTGGCTCGTGAGGACGGAGGCAGATGTTTGACAAGGATGTGCACGGAGGTATCGGTACGCGTCATATGAAATTACCTAGGATGCTTGCTCAACTTGGTGCGAGACAGCTTCAATAGGTCGTGCCTGCCCCCCCAAATATTTGATAAACAACCAAACGGACTTCCTTATTTTCGTTGGCCTTTCACCACCTATCACTAGTATTTACTATCAACCTTCTGTTGTGTTCCATACAAGCCCTGCTACCGTTCGCAGCTCAGCCCTGCGTTAGCGAGAGCGCACGGTTATTGCGCAAAAGTTGGTTCCCTGCGCGCTGAGCTCATAGCATCCCTAAGGCTCCCGAGCCTTCCCCATATCCGAGAAATTCCTGCTGTACCCTCACAGCTCACTCCACCATCACCTGCACAGCCGGCGAGCATCACCGCAGCACGTCGCTTACTATCCTTCGCCCGGGTGACGCAATTTTCCACCCATACACAGCCCCAGCTTGCCGTGTGCCCAGAATCCGTTCACGCGGCGACCAAGATCAAAGGCATGCACGCGACACCCCAGCTGCCACCCATCCACCCACGCATCGGTACCTCTACCGCTAGGAGCCTCAACGCTTCTCCATAACTGAGCGCAAACATCAGCAATGGCGTTCAACTTCAACTGGTCGCCGCTGCTGGCCGACACTTCGCGCGCGCGAGACATGCTCACAACGGCGCTGAACAAATCGCCGAAGCCGCCTATCATCGTTGACGACATCATCGTGACCGAACTCAACCTTGGGTCAACACCACCAGAATTGGAGATTTTAGAGATTGGCGACCTGGCAGAAGATCGGTTTAGGGGCATCTTCAAAATGGCATATACCGGCGATGCGTTCCTGACACTGAAGACGAAAGTCCAGGTCAATCCGCTCCGGACACACCTATCAACGAAACCAGACTTCGCATCGCCACAACCTCTGGCAGCAGCATCTGGTCTGACAATACCGTTATCCATTACTTTATCGAATTTTCGGTTATCAGGTTTCGTCATCTTGGTGTTCTCGAAACAGAAGGGCTTGACATTGGTGTTCAGGAACGACCCCCTGGAGTCTCTGAAGGTCTCTTCCACGTTCGATTCGATACCATTCGTCCGCGACTATTTACAGAAGGAAATCGAGGGACAGTTGCGAGTACTGTTCATGGAGGACTTGCCTGCTATCATTCACCGGTTATCGTTGCGCTTGTGCTCGCCAGAATTTCGAGAAATGGAGGAGGAGAGGCTAGAGGGCCCCAAGGATGACGTCGCCGCAGTGGACCCGTTCGCGACACCCCCACAAGACGCAGTCGATGCATTCGGTAATCCCCTCGACGAGTCGCAGATCTCCGAAATCGCGCTCGAACCTGCGGGTGAGATTCACGCATCATTCTCGCAGAAGAATATCCTTCGCTTAGCCGCCCTTTCCGAATCACAACGCACCCTATCGCTCTTCACACCAGGCATTCGAGATGCTGTATTCCGTGCTTGGGCTGGGCCAGATCGTGATGCGTCTGGCACCGCAACACCAGCACTCACAAGAGGCAGCCTATCGAGAATCCAGTCCACCTTTGGCACCTTGAGGTCAGGGGCTTCATCTGTCGCGTCTGGAAGCCAGGATACCCACGACACGCACGAAACGCTCGACTCGCGCCCAACTGTATCTTCTACCACCTATTCGATGTCAGGTCTGACACTGGGCGCGGGACGATCACGCACAGGTGGCATGCGAAAGCGCAAGAAGCGCGTTGTGGACCTTCGTAAGAAGACGACCGAGCCCAACGTAGATGACACCTCAGCAGATGGACAAAGCGAGATGGCAAGCACCTACGTCTCGGAGACTTCGAGCATCGTGCATGGCGACAGGGAGACTGGAGAAGTTGTTACACCACCACTTAGCCCAGTACAACCCGGATTGCAACAAGAAGGGCCGCATGGCGTCCTTGACTATGGTGAACCAAGCACGCTCGTCGATACCACAGGGTCCACCGACACGTTGTTGCCTGCTGCTCCGTTCCTCTCAGAACCGCCAAGGATTTCGAGATCAAAGACGAAGCAGCATGATATCTATAATGACGAGACTATCAAGGCCCGGCCATCTTCAAAAAGACCTCCGCTCTCACACAGTCAAATCCGCCAAGCTCAGCAATCTACATCACCGCTACTTCGCTCGTTGTCGTTCGACAAAATTGCGCTTGCATCACCACCCAATGAGGCCGAGAGCTCCGGTGGCATTTTGGAGCAAGCGTGGATGACGAAAATGGCACAAGAGATTGCGAGGAAGGTTCAACAAGAAAAGGACCGCGGGCACCCTACCCGAGACCGGTCGCCTCTTGCTCGAGGCTCTAAACGTCCCACCGGAGGCATCTGGGCTTCTGAGGAGGAGTTAGAGGCGCCACCTGCTTATGTTGCTTAGAGCATATTGTTCAGCAACATCTAATGATTCATGCATAATGATGGCGTTTTTGGTTTGTTTGTTCTTTACTGTCTTACATTTACTTTGTTAGTCGCATTCCCTTTGTGGTTCGTTTCTTTGAGTTGTGACAAAAGTTCAAGGGAACCGTTGTCTTGTTGTGCAACCATGTAAGATATAGTGTGAGGGATAGAGATCCCTTTTGGATAGATGGAGCCCGATGAGGCGGACAAGTACCTTGCGATGTATCTATAGTCTCGCGGAGCGGCAGCCTCAGTCTTGCAACTGGCTGTATAGCGTATACCCAAGTTGCTGTTATAAACGGGGAGAGTATTAGCTAGTAGTAATACACCAACTGACACTCATGTCTCCCTTCCCTACAGTCTTGCGCCATATACTTTTGAAGCTTAGATTGAGATCGTCCTAGATGGTGCTCCAATGGCAAGCCGCAAGACGTGCGTGGGATCTGCGAGCTTCGCCTAGACTCCACAATCGGTCCCTGGAGCTAGGACGGCACCACTTAGCTTAGCACCACGTTTCCACGTTTCCCTTCAGCAACATCACAACTCTGTCCTTCTGTAATTGAGGTTTGGTATCAATTGCAGTCTGTCCTTTCGATTTCTCATAGGTCCTCCACTGGTTTGACAAGGTGAGTTGCATTGTGTTAGTCGCGGCCCTCATAAAGCTCTTATGACCACGGTAGCTAACATCCGCATCTGCAGTGTCAAGAACCATCCCCACTATGGCTGCCTCCCACTTCGAAGCGAAGGTTAAAAGCGTTCTTTCCGGCGACACCGTTGTTCTTCACAACATCAGCAACCCTCGGCAAGAACGCATCCTCAGCTTAGCCTTCGTTGCCGCACCGCGATTGAAGCGAGAGGGCGATGAACAATTCGCCTTCGAGTCACGCGATTACCTCCGCCGTCTGCTAGTTGGCAAGGTCGTACGCTTCCAGGTTCTCTACAAGGTCCCCACAGGCGCCAACCGCGAATATGGTCTCGTTGCTCTGCCGGACCGCACAGTACTTCCCGAACAAGCTGTTGCGGAGGGTTGGTTAAAGCTGCGAGACGACGCCGGTCGCAAGGGCGAATCAGAGGAGGATGCACAAATTCTAGAGAAGCTCCAGGTTCTGGAGGCGCGAGCTAGGGCAGACTCAAAGGGTCTCTGGGCCGAGACGGGTGGTAGGATCAACTCGATCAATGAGCTTAGCAACCCCCAACAGTTCATCGAAGAGAACAAGGGCAAGGAGCTTGATAGTAAGTGCATGACACAAGATTGTGACCAGCAGGTCTGACTTAAACAGCGATCGTTGAAAAGGTCCTGTCTGGCGACCGTCTCATTGTCCGATTCGTCCTCTCGCCCACCGAGCACGTCCAGACCATGATTCTCCTCGCCGGCATCCGAGCACCATCGACTCAGCGCACGAACCCTTCAACCCAAGAAGTACAGGCTGCAGAGCCCTTCGGCGACGATGCACAGCTTTTCGTCGAGACCAGGCTGCTTCAACGCAATGTCGCAACCAGCGTCCTCGGACTGACACCGAACGGCCAGATCATTGCGGACGTCAAACACCCTTCTCAGGGTAGCATCGCGCCTCACGTCCTCAAAGCTGGACTCGCAAAGTGCTCCGACCACCACACCACACTTCTTGGAGCACAGATGGCTACCTTGAGACAGGCGGAGAAGTTTGCTAGAGACAGGAGACAAGGTCTTTACCAGGGACATGTCGCTCCCAAGGCCAACGCTCCTGGTGAGCTTGAGGCGGTTGTTAGTAGGGTACAGAGCGCAGATACTCTGTTCATCCGAAACAAGGCTGGTGCTGAGAAGCGCATTAACCTCAGCAGCGTTCGCCAGCCCAAGCCGACCGACCCCAAGCAGTCACCCTGGGTAGCTGAGGCCAAGGAGTTTCTGCGTAAGAAGTTGATCGGCAAGCACGTCAGATTCCATATCGATGGCAAGCGCCCGGGTAGCGAGGGCTACGACGAACGCGAGATGGCTACGGTTTCTTTGCAGGGTAAGAACATCGGTCTCCTCCTTGTCGAGAGCGGTATGGCCACGGTCATCCGCCACCGCCAGGACGATACCGACAGGAGCCCCATCTACGACGATCTTCTGCTTGCCGAGGCAACCGCGCAGGAGGAGCAGAAGGGTCTCTGGTCTCCCAAGGCACCCTCCACAAAGCAATATGTTGACTACTCTGAATCGCTCGAGAAGGCCAAGCGCCAGCTCACTCTGCTTTCTAGACAGCGTCGCGTGCCAGCCGTTGTTGACTTTGTCAAGTCTGCGTCTCGTTTCACGGTCCTGATTCCTCGCGAGAACGCCAAGATCACACTCGTCCTCTCTGGTATCCGCGCACCTAGATCCGCCAGGAATGACCAAGACAAGGGCGAGCCTTACGGCAAGGAAGCACACGAGTTTGCCAGTAAGCGCTGCCAGCAGCGCGATGTTGAGATCGATGTTGAAGACTGCGACAAAGTCGGTGGCTTTATTGGAACGCTCTACATCAACCGTGAAAGTTTTGCGAAAACTCTCGTTGAGGAGGGTCTTGCGTCTGTACACGCCTACTCAGCCGAGAAATCAGGGAACGCAAATGAGCTCTTCGCCGCCGAGCAGAAGGCCAAGGATGCACGAAAGAACCTCTGGGAGAACTACGATCCTTCGCAAGAAGATGAGTACGCCGATACCACTGCTGCCGCTGTGCAGACATCGAACGGAGATGAACCAGCGGCTTCGAGACAGAAGGACTACCGTGATGTCATGGTCACCCATGTCGCGGAAGACGGCAAGCTTAAGATCCAACAAGTTGGTTCTGGAACCTCAGCACTCACATCATTAATGAATGCATTCAGCAAGTTCCACCTGAACCCTGCGAACAACAAGGGTCTTGACAACCCTCCCAAGACCGGCGAGTTTGTCTCGGCCAAGTTTACTGAGGATGACACGTGGTACCGCGCCCGCGTCCGCCGCAACGATCGCGAAGCGAAGAAGGCGGAGGTTGTCTATGTTGACTATGGAAACTCTGAGGTTCTTCCTTGGAGCCGCCTGCGTCCTCTCGGCGCTGAGTTCTCCAACACCAAGCTCAAGCCTCAGGCCGTCGACGCGCAGTTAGCATTCATTCAACTGCCAAGCAACCCCGAGTATCTCAGTGATGCCGTCCAGTTCATCTCCCAGGAGACAGCTGGTCGCTCGCTGGTCGCCAACGTTGACCAGGTCGACAAGGATGGCCTTCTGTGGGTCACACTGTTCGATCCCAAGGAGAGCAAGTCTGGCGAGGAGAGTGTGAACGCTGATGTCATCGAGGAAGGTTTTGCCATGGTCCCCAAGAAGCTCAAGGCTTGGGAGAGGAGTGCAACAGATGTCCTCGCTGCTCTGAAGCAAAAGCAGGACGTTGCTAAGGCTGAGAGGAGAGGTCAGTGGGAGTACGGCGATCTGACTGAGGATGACTGACTAGGTGCATCACTCATTTGGCGCGAAAAGTAACGTGCTCGCATTGTAGGATATTGATTGTATGGACGAACACTAGGCTGGAAAAGTATTCATCGATTTGTTTCTGCCTACACCTTAAGACATGCACATTGTGAATGAAGCGACGGTGAGACAGAGACCACAGCGACAACCTTCAGACTGCCTCGAATTGTGACCAAGTATCACAGCCTAGAGTCAGGTGAACAACTTCAGATGACACATGTGAGCAGCACTGGTGGACAATCCGAAGGCGCACTGTCTCAGCCACATTCTTAGCCCGGCCGCAGTCGCGCTTTCCCCGCGTTGACCAATCGGCCGCGCCTAATCTGGGGCGGTGCGATGGGAACAGGCAACCATCAATCTGCACCCCAACCTATATTGACGACGCCAGCCATGACGACGACCTCCCAGGCAGTCGCTACATCGCTCTATTCTATGTTATCGCATATTCAACTCACATAACGCAGTCGCGCTGCAGAAGCCCACTGCGACAATATCTAAGTTAATGGTACCCAGATCAGCTATGGAAACAATCAGCAGGCTGCCGCGGCGGCTAACCCAGCTATACTCTGACACCAAGACACACTGCGACGCCGTCGTCGAGCAGGACAACCAGGACGCCCCATCGAACGTCCTTCATCGCAAACTCCGAATACAAAAGGACAGGTTAATAACATGGGGCGTCGACTGGAGCGACAACGCCAAGGGAAAGAACGGCGACATCGACGAGAGCGTGGAGCAGGCGGGCCTCACAGAGACGGTGACCAGTGTGCTTAGGACGATCAAACAGATTCTGGACGAGGCTGAGCACATGCACCCGGGCGCCGCACCTGCAGCGGGCAAGACATTGTCAGAGGAAAAGAGCAGGCTGCCGGCATCTGATACGTCCGCGTGGGCGGCCGCCGACAGGTCACGTTACGAGGACCTCATCAAGGACCTTACCACCTCTATCGACATACTTTATGACCTCTCTAGAAGTCGACGCGCCCAGCGTACTCTTGCCCCAGACGTTAAGGTTATTCCCGAGCCTCCAAGACCCTCTACTTCGGCTCCCGTCTTCTTGAAACCTGAATACAGTGCCTCAGACCTTACGCTTGTCAACCCAGCAACATTTCCGCTGAACATACATGCGCTGCATATCGGGTCCCGTCCACACTTCCCACCAAAGTTACATTCATCAGATCTTGTCCTTCCGGAAGAGGAACCACCACCCTACGAAAGTGTTGGTGCTTCATCCATCCGCGTAATAGGTCGATTGCGCTCTAGACACAGTTCGACAAACCCCTGGAAGACCGATGGGTCACGCCTCGTCGAGCAGCCTGTTTTGGTCGAGTATGCCACGTTCGACCCTACATATCGCTACACCGAGGTTTCTCCTCCCACAGATCGTCTGGACACACTCCTGTCCATACTTACCAAGCTTTCGAACGATAAGCCTCGTCTAGCTACTCTTAAATGCTTGGGATACTTCGAAGATCTTAGGCAGCCACGTTTCGGTCTAGTATTCGAACTTCCGCCATTAACGTATTCCGGTGCATCTGACGCACACAAACCAATAGACGAGCTGCGACCTGTCACTCTCCTCAGTGTACTTCAAACAGGGTCAAAGTCGCTCAACAACTCCAACAGTGCTACGCCTCCCCTCGAGGATCGTTTTCGCCTTGCGTACTCTCTTGCGATTACATTCAACGAGATCCACAGTGACAACTTCGTTCACAAGGACCTCAATAGCAGCAACATCTTGGTCTTCCGAAAGAACAGACGGCAATCGACAAACACAAGGGCGCTGCAGTACACCCTTCGTTCTCCAGTTGTCTGCTCTTTCGATCTTTTCTCCGAGTACGACATCGAGCCCACCACTACGATGCCGACCCTTAACATTTACCGTCATCCGGAGGATCCCAAGTTCACGGGACTCAAAGAAAGACCCCATGGCCCCCAGTTTGACCTGTATAGTCTTGGCTTGGTCCTCCTGGAAATCGGTCTGTGGCAGCCGCTCGCTGATTTGTGGAAGCCAAAATACACACTATCCGACTTCAAGCAGCGAGTTGAAGATGTATACATCCGTCGCTTAGCATCAAAGTGCGGAACTGCATACATGCAGGTCGTGCGCGACTGCTTCTGGGCTGTTGACCGTGTCGAGAATGGTCCCGATGGCCTTCAGGACTTCACACAACTCTACAACCGCCTCATAATCAGACTGCAGAGATGTTGCATGCTTGATGAGTCTGAGCCGGGCTTTGACGTTCATGATGCACGACCAGGGCCTACGCCACTGACAGGACCAACACATCTCAAGCGGAAGAGCGTTAGCCAACCTCACGTTTTAGAGACACCGACTAGTCCTTCTTATAGGAGTGCGAAGCGCTGGGCACTTGAGAAGGGCTCCCAGGCACTTGAACGGACAAAGTCGTTGACTAAGTCTGGTACCAAGAAATCGCCAGACCCCAACACCCTGTCGCGTAACCCATCACAACGCTCGCAGCACTCCATTCGCAAATCGATCTCGGAGACCATGGGTTTCACCAGCCCTAGAGAAGAGTCGATGGAATCAATGGACTGGGAGCAGCAAGACCAAAGGTCACTCGAGACCTCCGGAACTCTGGTTGCCACTCCACACAGTTCACAAGATCGAGGTGACGTTACCTCTCTGTACAGAGAACAAATCACCACCGCTGCATCGATTATCCAGCGCGCTTGGCGGGCTTCACGTTCACAGCCGTCGACTACCACACCCTTTGACGACTACAAGGAGAAGATCACGATTATCCAAACAGCCTGGAGACAAAGAGCGCAGAAGCGGACCCACTCTGTAGAAGCTCTGTTCACCGATGGAATGCGACATTGGCCTCAAGCGACCCTTGGGTACCCAACGCCCGAACCCGAGGTGCAGAATACTGGTGTAGTGGCGCAAAACGATAGGTGCATCACGTCTTCCATCCAGATCCAGACTGACATTGAGCCACTGCCTCGCGCAAAGCTGCGACTGCATCCAGTGATGTTCACAACTACCATCGTTGACGAATGGCATAACACCATGTTGCCCAGGCTCGAGCGTCTCATTGAGCGAGCTCTAAAAGATTCGGACGAAACTGTCAGCATTGATCTTGTCGCTATTGGCGAGACTCAGGAGAAGGCCCGTCCTACCATCTTCATTACATGCAGCAGTATTGCCAAGATCAAGGCCATTCTTTCGCGTCGCTTCCGCTACGACGACAATGTATTCGATCTCAAGGTCCGCCGCGGCAAGGTTCGACGATCTAAAATGAGTCGATCTTCTGGTCGTGTGCGTCCACCCCATCGATCCATGATGAATACTGAGAACTACAACGGAGACATGGCTGTCATGAACCCTTACCATCAGCAGCGACCATTGTGCGGCGCATCTATTGGTGCTTTCAATGGCAAGCAGCATCTACCTCCGGTCTCATATGGTGGGCTCGTGTTGGTCGATGATGAGCCATTGGGAATGAGTGTACACCATCTACTCGATGCGCCATCAGACGACGAAAGTGAGGATGACGAAGAGGTAGCCAGCCCCTACCCGTACGATGCGGTTTTGTCGAGCGCAGCCTCTAACGGCAATCCTTGGTTGATGGGCATGGGCGCTCAGCCCGGTCTCGAGCTTTCGGATGACGCACCAGTACCTGCGTGGGACCTCGAGCTCTCCGAAGATGAAGAAACTGGGAGTGAAGATGATGATGAAGCCGAGTCTTTCAACTTTTCTGGCTCAGAGTTTGACTCCGATGACGAGTCTGACCAGGAGGCCATGACGGATTCGACGATGTCGCGCATTACTGTCGGTGATATTGAAGGCATTGAGCCTGGCGAAGGCGAGGATATCAAAGTCACCCAGCCAGCCATTGACGATGTCGATGAAGACTTCTTCCCGAACGAGGAGGATAAGGACGAGGACCACCTCGATTCTCATGAGCTTGGCCACGTCCACGCATCATCCGGTATCCGTCGCTGGAAACGAGATGGGGTTCTGCACGAGATTGATTGGGCTCTGCTGAAGCTCAACGATGATCGAATGCAGCCCTACAATGTCTGCCAGGGCGGTCGACGCTTTGCATTTGGCTCGATGAAGCCAGATCAACGCGAGATTTCCAGCAAGCTCGAGGAGCCTCTGAACAGACGCCATTACAACCCCAGCGAAGATGAGTACCCAAACGGCGTCGCGGCCGCTGATTCCCTCGGCGGCCTCAGCGTGCACTGCTTCGGCCGTACCACCGGTCTGCAGGGCGGCATGATCGGACAAGCGATGAGTTCCGTGCGCATCTACCGCCGCAAGTCGTTCTCCCGCAGCTGGCACGTTGCTGGTGGGTTTGGCGTAGGTGGCGACTCCGGAGCATGGGTAATTCAAAATAACTCACACCGCGTCGTGGGACACGTCCTCGCCTGGTGCCAAAGAAATCACATCGCATACATCTGTCCCATGGAAGTCTTGCTAGAAGATATCAAAAGGACGTTGGGTGCAAAGCGCATCTATCTGCCAGGCTCGGACGAGCAGAGAGCTTTCGTCAGACAACAGCAGCAAGGGCAGAAGAAGGCTATCAGGGACTGCAGCGCAATCGGACAACTCGAGTCCGCTGTCCAAGGCTTGGGCATTGTGGACAGTCATGACTCGGCGGTCGACATGCGATCGGCATTCGGTTCCAGCTCTTCGGCCAGGCGTAGGCTTGATCTGAGCCCGCTGAATACTAGCAGCAGTAGCGAGAGCGACAAAGAGAACAGGCTTGTTCTCAAAGGGAAGGCGATTAGAGTCGATGGAGGGAGGGAGACGATGGTGCAGATGGCCATTAGGCCGTAAGCGACATGTTGTTCGATAGGACGGAGGCGTTTTGGGAGGAAGATACCCTACTTTGGATTTGGATTGATATCACCATGTGTGCAAGAATGATGATGAGTGTTCTAATATCGTCTCTTATGCATTGTAATGACGCCCTGCTCAACCTGATTGAATATGATACCTTAGTCTCTAACTAAAAACCCTACTCTTCATGCCCGCATCTACCTCCTCTCGCCCCTCCCCAAAGCGCCTCCCCATCCCATCCAGCAGACACCCTCCCAAGCCACAAAAAACAACACCCAACTCCCCGCCATCAGGCCCTCAACACCACCCACACCGCCCACACCCCCCAGCGGAGGAAAAAAGACATGTCCCCTGCCAGACTCGAACTGGCGGCCTTGGGATATCTGCCGCAGAGCTAAGCAGTCACAGCGTGTTGACTATGAGACCCACGTGATAACCAACTACACCAAGGAGACTCGCGGACGGGCTCGGATGGAAACGAGGCGCTCGTGATTAGATAATCCGCCGCTGGGGGCGGGGGGTTATGTACATGTTCATGTGCTTGGGATTTGGGGTGCGGCGGGAGGTTGGAATCTGGACGCTGGAGTGGATTTTTTTGATGTTGAAGCGGGTTTTTTTGCTGGACGCTAGGGGTGTGTGGGCGGTGGGGCGATCGGGATACGTGCGGATTGTTGTGGGGGCTGGAGGGAGAGGGTAGTGGGGATTATGGTGAGGATGTGGGTTCGTCTGCTGCGGTGCAGGTACTGGACTACGGAGCGTTGATACTTAGCTTTGACGGAGGCTGTTAGGTTAGGTTTGAAGGAGCTCTGTAGGTTCGAGAGTGGATAGGAGGAGTAGGCTGGCCTTGAAACGGCTGGAAACGTTCTACTTGTACTATACGGTTTCACACATTGGCAGTACTTATTTTCGTCTTTCTTGCAACACGAAAGCAAGTGCCGAAGTCCTTTACTGCGGGTATCTCGTAGGCGTCCTTTTTTGATGTTGGAGGCACGGTCGCACTTGCTGTCTTGGTTACGACGCAACGACGAGCACTCGTGAGCAGAGTGTGGGTGCGGATATCCTCGGAGAATCCAAAGAAGAAGCCATAACGTCGAAGGTGCTCGCATGTAGACCAGAGGCTGATGGACCGACTGGTTGGGTCGGGCAGGATGCGCCGAAGCCTCAACTACGGCCCGGACGACAGACCACACCCAAAATGGTCCGGATGACGCTGTCCACTCGTTGAGAGATCAACCGAAGCCTTGATCATCGGGTTGCCTTTCTCGTCGCGGAACGGCACGAGGCGTACTGGACAGTCGGCCGCGGGCGTAGCCGAGGGTCTGTTTGATAGGTGATTGTTCTTCCTGAATCAACGTCCACACATCACTGCCACGAATGCATCTTCCTCTTGTGCGACAGTCATGAGGACTGAAGAAGTCATGTTGATTCTGTCCTAAGCCCTAAATAGCCGCCGGGTGGGTCGCTCATTGGGCTGAATGCACAGCGAATCTGACACCAACGCCAAAAGTGGACCCGCTGGGCAGCCATGCGAACAGCATGGGGGTCAACCGCTGGCTCGGAACCCAATCAGGACCCCTTCGGGCAGCAAAGGATTCGAAGTTCTCAGGAATGTGCGCAGTGACTCACAGTGCTGGCAGAAGTGGAGCCCAGCGCGAGCACGGTGAGAATTGCTTTTCAGGCTAAAGCTGGGTAGTCGTGGATCGTAACAGACGTAACGGGCCAACAAACCCATAGTCTATCCCATGATGCGTACCAGTAGGGCTGGGTGAGAGGCCGCATTGGGTCAACGTCCCACACGTTCTTACTTTTGATGGTGGTGTTGGTGGCCGCGCTACGCGAGCACGCTAAGTCCGAGCGAACGCCACTGCACGAGTAACCTCAGACTCAGACATCTTGAAAGTCGTCTGAGTCAGCAATTTCGTCGCGAAAGTCGTAAAGCCCGGCTCAGAGCGCACTGGAGGAAAGCGACAATGCGGCCTCGAGCCAATACGAAGTAACGACCGTCCGTTTCCGAATGAGTCTATCGTTGCGAGGCAGTCCTGCATGAGCTCTTCACCCTCTCACAGTCCGAGCGATGCAATGTTTTGTGGGGTGAGCCTTTTGATTCGTAGTCTCAATGGGCCGATTCGAAGGAATGATGCGGGCTTGATGACTTCGATCACTTCGTGTGCCAACAGAAAGCTTCACTTCCAGTTGGCGTGTGTAACAATGGCATTCATGAATCACAATGTCCATCTTTGGACGTGCGCACATTCCTTCTGACCTGGTAGTCGGTTCTTTATGTCGTGCAGCACAGTGGAGGAGCAGAATGTGTTGCGTCGTTTGACCGAGAAGTCAACCCTGTTTGGCGGAAGGTGTGAAGCCTGAAGCCATGGTTGTACAGAGCTCGAACGCCACGGTTGGTGGAGAAGAGGGTGGGGGGCTACTGGCCATGAGTGCACGGTCTTGTAAGGCCAGGCTGAGCCACAGGCTCCTTCGACGGCAGCTCGATCAACGGATCGAAACAAGGCCAGTATGTCCTAAATCGTAGGTTGCATGGTGTGTCTCATGCAAGAATGCAGGTGTCTCAATCAAGATGAAACATGATATGTGCATGTCGTGCTTCCTCGATGGCAGTCACCACGTCCAAGGAACGTGGAACAAGCTCGGCAAGAGGGTTGAGTGCGTTGAACACGATAACGGTCATTGGAGGTGCCACGACGCAGGATGCGCATTGATGGAAGCTGATGAGTGACGGCAGAGTGTTGAAATGCTTCGATAAGGTCTTCAGAAGGCATGAACACCACTCGATGCTATGCGTTTCTTCACCGGAATCATTAGCGGTAGCGGGGTAGTATCAAATGCAGAAGTTCGTCAGCGCGCGTGATGAGGGGAACTCTCGGAACGAGGCGAGATGGTTACACCGGGTACAGCTGTCTCCATGTCGTTGGTCGACAGGCGGACGTTGTGCGCTAGTGGTGGCAATCCCTCGAAGGCCATGATTCGCGGCGACGATACGGGCACTCGTCAGCCTCGACGCTGGATGATGGAACGGACCCGTGTGGCAAAGGACGCATCTTCCGTGTCGCTGCGACATTAATGAAGTGTTGCGAAATGGAGAGTGCTGTGTTGTTCCTGCATGGCCGACGCGAACTGACGTGGCTAGCTCCGGCTGGAGGAGCACGGCCGGCACAGAATTATGCAGCTGAGGTCATAGCAGGGTGAAGAGCAGCGAGAGGAGCAGCAGAGGGAGCTAGGAACGCGTGGTCCTGCCATCGTTCGCTGTGTGGAACGTGGGGAGAATTGTTGAAGATGCAGACGCAGTGCAAGCTAATGGAAAGATACACGGGCGCTGGAGCTGGAAGGGCACGGATCCGCGGGGCTAGCGGCAAAGGGGCGTAGCTGCCGCAGCTAGTGCGCGCTACCAGACCTCTTGTGTGCTGGCGATGGAGTGCCGTGGATTGCGAGCCTCCACAGAGCGGTGAGGACGGCCACAAGGAGCAGGAGTGGGCAGCAGCGTGCATGCGCTGAGCGGGCAATCCCGGCTTCTGCTCGTCACTCGCGGCACTCCCTGACCAGATGGGTCGCTGCTGCAGGCGAGTCTGAGACGTTCGCACATCAGCGGAGGCCTCAGCGGAGGCCCAATGGCGGCGACGGGCGCGCCTGGTAGGGCAGGCGAGCTATTATTACGCACATGGAAGACGGTGATCGTTACAAGGGCTCGCCTGGTGAGGGAGCGGCGGCGGCGCGCAGGGCCGGCCGTGCGCCCGTTGCATCACCGCGCAGACAAGCGAAATCTCCGTGGACGAGGGCGCGAGGAATGCGGAGCGCTGGCAGCGCTGGTGACACCAGGCGCGGCGCTCGACGTCGCTGCCGGCTGCGCTGCGTCACGTCGGCGCACGACGGCGGGCAGCGACAGAGGCAGCGAGAGGCAGCGGTGCGTCTTGTGACGGGGCTGCGTCGAGGCCGCGGGCGGGCGTGCGGCGGTGGGCAGCAGCAGGCTGCGGTGCGCGCCCAACGACGATTAGACGCAGCGTGCATGAGAGGCTACGGCCGACTGGGGCCCTAGCACGACAGGGCGGCTGGGCCGTTTTGAAATTTTGCTGGCGGGGATGCGTCGCAGCAGCGATGCCCGAGTGCGCCTGCATATGCCTGCAGCCCTCAAGTCGCCCAGACACCCCCGGCGGCGTCGTCCTCGTCCTCACCCGCGCTCCCTCGCTCCCCGCTCCTCCTCGTCCGCCGCCTACATGAGCCCGTAGCAAGCAGACTCGGTGCAGACATGCGCACGCCGCGCCCGCTGCCCGCCGCCTAACTGTCGCCCTCGCCGTCGCCGCCGCCCGCCCCCATATAGCCGCCCGCCCGCCGATGCTGCGACGCTCCCAGCGCGCTGAGCCCCCGCCCGGCATGGCCAGCTCGAAGCCGCACCAGGCCACCGTCGAGGACTACTTCTCCGACGACGGCACCGGCCACCCCGCCATTGAGCCCTTCACCCCCGAGCCGTCGCCCGGCAAGGCCAACGTGCGCACCAAGCGCTCCAACCCGGACGACCTGGGCACCGACAAGTTGCCCGCCCGGCCCAGCACCTCCGACGTCAAGAGCGACTCTGGGTATTCGAGCCTGTCCGTCGCCGGCATGAGTAGCGCTGATTCGGCCGCAAGTGCTGCCTCGTCCCAGCGAAGCCCGCCCGTCGCGGCGCCGTCGCCCACGCCCACGCCCACCCAGAAGCCTGCCCGCCCGCCGCACGCCCGCCAGCCGAGCACCCAGAGCGCCCAGGGTTCGCAGGGCGCCCCGCGGCACCCGCTGTCGCGCCGGGAGTCGCACAGCTCGCGTCGCCCGACCACTGATCGCCGGACCACCGCCCCGCCGCCGCCGCCCGCCGCGCCCAGGCGCAGAGACAGCCGCAATGTCGACGAGTGCACCAAGCCGGGCTGCACCAAGTGCGGCCCGGACGCCGTCGACTCCCGTCCGCGCACGTCGCGCCGCCAGTCCATGATGCACACGTCCCAGCCCGCCGACTCGGCCCCGGACGTCTCCCACGCGCACGTCTACGACACGCGCTCGCAGGTCTCAGACCCGGCCACCTCAGCCCCGTACCAGGCCTCTTCGCCAAGGGAGGGCCGTCCGCCCGTATACCCCTCACCGCAGGGTGGGCCTGTCATTCAGCCTTCCATCTCTCGCCGCCTGTCGATGAACAACCGCCCGGCACGGCCCACCAGCTACCACGGAGACCCCAACTACAACTGGTCACCACCTTCCATGCCTCAGCCTCACCCAGGCTCGCCATACGAGCATGGCCCGCCGCTCTCGAGATCAGCATGGGGCAACATGCCGTACCCTCCGCAGCAATTGAACCCCCCGCACATGCCTCAGTATCCAGGCCCGCCACCCGCTGCTTTCTACCAGGCGAAGCAGATGCAGCCCTCGCGCGAACCACCGCATCTCCATACGCAGGGACTTGGCCAGCCACCTGGCTATGGCTATCCTGCTCAATCCCCGGTCGTGCAAGTGGGACGTTCCGATCGAAACCTGCCGTCGGCTAGATACCATGTCAATCCTCCGCCCTCTCGGCCAGCCCAACGTCCGCAGCAGCGCATCGACTACCGCGACCAAGAACAGGACGATCTTGAGTCTGGCTCCGAGTCTGAGACCGAGTCTGACGAAGAGCCTGAGTATCAATACCAGAGACCCCAAAAAGGTGCACCCTCACGTCCAAGTCTTCGCCATGCAAAGACGACTCCTGCTCCTCCTCCTCCTGAGATCAGACGTCCGCAGACCATCATCATCCCTGAGCCACGTAGCCCTCGGGTCAATGACCGCGGCTACGACTCTCGTCCTGCACGCCGTACCTCGATGAGTAGACCACCACTGGTCCCTTCTATCAAGGCCAAGTCAACCTATGAAACCCCATATGCCCGTACCATCGTCGAGGGACCAAAGTCGTCTCGTCGCGAGTCTTTGCACGCCTACGACAGAACGTTCAAAGAACATCGTGCACGACAGGAGTACAACGAGCCTGCACGGTCCAAGCGGTCTTCGAGAGTCTACGACGACGTCGTCGTTGGCCATGATTACGAGCGGGATTACCGCGACGACGACGAAGAAGCCGGGCCCGTCGCCCGTATTCCTCGCCGTCGTCGCGATACCGACGCTGACTCTCGCCGAAGAACCCAACGTCCTGTGGAAATCAGACAGGCAGATGCTGAGGAGTACATCAATGCAAGGCGTGGTGAACGCGAGACACTGGCAGATCAGAGCTATGAGATCGCCAAGATAAGGTCACGGGCGTCTGGAGGACCGTCTGAGGCCGAGTCTTCCCGCAGCAGGGGTAGTGACAATAACGGCGAGATTCGCCTTCGAATCGACAACAACGCCCCTGTCACTCTAAGCCTGAACGGGGACATGGAGGGGCGCACTCTACAGCTTGTGCCAATTGAAAATGGGATGAACGAATTAGTCATCAGCGGCAACAATCGCGGCGAGACCGCTTATCGCGGCGAAAGCACCCGTCGAAGCGAGAGAAGCAACAGCGTTCGCGGCGACAAAAGGGCTCTCATGATTCCTAGTCAGGCACGACGGGACGCCGAAGAGATGACAGAACGGAGCTCGCACAGCAGCCGCAGGAGGCGAGACACAAGGGGCGAACAGGACGAACCGCGACGACTTCTCCACCGGACGGCGCGCAGGGGAGAGCGAAGAGAGCCCGAATACCGTTACTGAAGAGCCTTTGGCGCTTCTCAAGTGACGGGAAAGGGTTCAATTCGCTTTCTCCTGCAAACAGGTCTGGTGGAACATGTCGTAGCGTTTGCTTGTCTTCCCTTTCTTTTTCCCTTGCGGAGTGTTCGGGTCTGCACCAAAAGTTTCCGGCAGGCATCACTGCCTCAAAAGGTGGAACGGTCTGCTACAAAAGTTTGGTCTGGCGCTTTCCTTTCTGCACACTTGGTACGATTCCCCCGGTGCGATTCTGTTTGTTTGCTGCGTTCCTTGTGTTTGTGCCGGTCACATTGTTATCGCTTGCTAGACTGGAACGCTCACGCACACGGACTCGATGCATGGACGGGAGCTGGACTTCATCTGTTGGGACGCAGACTGCAGGGTGGGCACTGCTGCGGGACCACGATCTGTCTGGCGATCTACATGGCGATCTAACTTGCATTTTGGTTTTCTCTGTCTCGTTGTTTCTTTCCAAGGCATATTCTTTCCCACCGCTTGGTTTCGTTCTATACCTGCTCCCGGCTCGCGCCGGGAGGTTTTCTTCTTCGGTTACGAGCTGGATGTTAATACCCTTCGCGCGCGGCGGCCTGGTCTCTCTCCAGCCCGTCTACAAAAACGGGGATTTGAGTCACATGACGACGGCAACGACGGATCTGACGAATTTTGACGATGGCATGTAGGACACGATGATCACGTAGCGTTTTGCTTTTGGGCGCGGACACGGTATCGGTCTGGAAAGACACGCGGGTCGCTGCCAGCCAGCCAGCCCTGTTTCGACTACAGACAGACGCAATCCAATCACTGCCCTCCACACGTCCCCCCGTCTCGCTGTCCCTCTCTCTCAGCCCAACGCGCCTCTGCCTCTGCCTCTGCTCTTGCGTCTATGTTTGCTTTTACCTCCTGCCTCTTGCCTTCTTCTGCCTCGCCCTAACGCCATCCAGCCCGGCCGCCCTCGAACCGGCCCAACCATCCCAGCGCGCCCACTTGATTCGCCCCGCGATAACACATCACTCCCCCGGCCTGCAGCTCAGCTGCACCCCGTCCGCCAGCACATCGCGCCCCAGCACCGCCCCCTCGCTGCGTCCCACTTGCCCGCGCCGCCGCACGCACCCAGCCCCACGGCGCCGGGCCGCACGCTTCGCTGGCCCTGGTCTGCGCCGGAGCGTGGCGCGACGTGAAACGGGAAGCGCTGGGTGTGTGAGGCGGGGGGCCGGGGTGGGCGAGAGGGTAGTGCCGGGATTTGCTGGGATCGCTGGGTTGGGCTGGGGGATGTGGAGCTGGGGCGTTGGGGTGTTGGATACGTGGAGGGAATGCGGGCTGGGCTGTGGGGTGAGATGTGGTGCGCTGTTGTTGTGGGGGGGGATGATGCGGTTGGAGGGCGTGGTTATCGTGACAAGGGCGGGGTGCATAGGGGGGATGCAGGTGTTCACATGAGTGGTATGTGTGTGTGTTGGGATTACGCACGGTGAGAACATGACGTCGCGTGTCGGGTATAAAGCTATTCTACAGGATTGAGGCGGGAGAATGCAGCGAAGTGTATCGTCATCCATGACCCGGCTATGCAAACAATCGCCACTTAATGCTAGTCAGCTCCGCGCTATGCAAGACAATAGAATCCGAGGCTCCCACAATATTCATTCCTCGCCGTCCTCAAAGGTGTCCGAGAAGTTGATCAGTGATGTGAACTGCTCCGGCTCCTCTTCAACACCCAGTCTCTCTCGCACGTCCTCGTCTGCAAGCCACGAGACGGGCACCAGCGCCATAGCGCCCTGCTTGTTCCTGACCAGCTTCGTCTTCTCTCGCGTTGCCAGAGGGTTCACCGGCATTCGAATAGTCAAATTCGCCTCTGTGATGCCGCTGGTGCGCTTCGATCGATGCTCGAGGATATCGACGTCGATGGTACGTAATGCGGCGAAGTGGTAGATATGCACCTGCTTTTCCTGGCCGTAACGCCGGCTACGGGCGATCGCTTGTGTCATTGCCGAGTCGTACTTGTACTGACTCTCGACCAGCAATGGTGAGACGAAGATGATGTGATTCGCATTTGTAAGGTTGCTGTGATTGGTCAGTACGGGGATGCTACGAACAGGGACAGTGTACTTACACTCCTGCGGCGGTTTCGCTGGCCAAATTCAGCAGCAAAACCTTGGGGCGATCTTCTGCGGCCTCAATCGCGCTGCTCTTGAAATCCTCGATGATTTTGGCTGCCTGCCGAGACTTACAGCCGCTTGGGGTGTAAAACAGGATGTCGTAGTGATCAAGGGCTTCACCCAGCATCGCAATCATCTCGTCGTTAGGAGCAAAGACGAGGGCTTGGTCGTCGTCCGGGAAACCTTTGATCAGTTCCACAATCGAGTGCATCTTCCGTCCAAAGCTGTGCCCAGCCACTGCCGTCGTCGTCGTACCGAGATCCGTGGCTTTGATGAAATTGACGGCCTGAACCATACAACTACACTCAGGCACGACGCAGTTCTCGTCGTCTCCGCGGGCCATGATGCAGGGCTTACAGGTGATATGACCGCATTGCGAGGCCAAATACAGTTCTGAGATCGTGGCCGTCTTTTGACAGTGCTCGGCATCGCAGGACATGAGGCCTTGTGCACTATCGTACAGTGCCTGCAAAAGCTGTTGAACCGATTCGATGAATCGCTCTGACCTTCTCTGTGAGGCAAGCTCTGTACATGACTCTCGCAAGCGCGACAAGATCGTCTTGGCTTCCTTGATGCGCTTCTCTTGTGACATTCCTTTCAGCTCTGTCAGCCCTCCAGCGAGAGGATTATCTTCAGCCGCGCCCAGCAGACGTCTTGCAATCATCGTCGCATCGCCATCACCGAGCCAAACGCTCTTCTTGATATCTTTCTTGAAACTAGCGTATAGTTTCGGAATCGTGTTCTCCTCTTTCTCTGCCTTCTTAGGATCTGTGGGCTTGAGGTCTTTGAAGCCAGTGCGCCTGTGCCATTCAAAAGCGCGCATCAACCCAGAGATGCCTTTCTCAATGTCGCGACGTTGACTTGTTCGTCTCGCTACCAGGCTATGCAGACCCATGTCTCCCTCACGGGTGTCATCAATCAAGGCCACCTTCAGCAGGGCATCTTCCGCAGTCTTGGAATGGTTCAGGCTGGCGTTCAGCCTACTTGTCCTGTCGGACTCAGCTTTATTCTTGAGCTTCTTCACTTGCATGCGCTGGGAAATAAGATGCTTCGAAAGTTCAAGGTATACTGCGTGGTGTGCGACATCCAGTTCAAGAGCTCGTAGTTCCTCGTGACAAGGAATGTGCTCCAGCGAAGCCTCATTCTGTCGAACAAACAAGTCCAAGAATTCCTGGGCTCTCACGTGTCGAGCTTGGTGCCATTGATGTGACATGGCCTCGGTCTTGGACAAGAATCGCTCGACGGCAGTCTGATCTTCAACCAAAAAGTCTTCCAAAGCAGTCCGTTTGCCAGCACCCACTGCGAATCTACCCAAACGGACGCCAAGGAAAGACGCGATGTTGTCGATGTCGGTGAAGTTTGCCAGAGCAGGGGTTCCAGAAAGAATCCACCGTTTGTGCGCGCTGATTTTCTTGACGCTGACTGCTGTAAGCATGTTCTTGATCTTCTTATAATCATTGAGATAGTGGTACTCGTCCACCACGATACGGTTGAACTGAAACAGATGCAACAGAGGTACGATACTGCTGTTCAAGCCCGACGATTTCCGCTTCTGAAAAGGCTTAGATTTACTGCCCTTTGCCTGACCAGCAGCTTGCATGGACTCGTACGACTGGTAGTTGCTGCCGTGTTGTAACTTCACTGGCAACGTCGCCTGGAACTCCGGCTGCCGCAAGCGTTGCTCGAGAAGCGTTTGGGTTGCATGCTTGAAGTCAGATAAGTCCATTGTCTGGAGGTTTAGGACTTGAGCTGGTAGGTCTTTGCTCACGCCGTCCGTCCAGGCGTCGAACGCACAGCAACTCGAGTTGATAGGCTCGGGCATAGCTGTTACCCATGCCAACTCAGAAATGTAGTCGTCGCCAGCTAAGACAGTCCAGGATACAACGATCACTCGACTTTGCTGTAGATTGTCGACAGTGAGTCGCTTGAGATCTGCGAACTCCTTGATCACGTAGACATTGAACTTCTCATACTGCTCCTCGCCTAGAAAAAGCTGTAGCTCTGTCTGCCATTGCAGAGCGATATGTGGCGGACACACAGTAAGCGTTGCAGCAGTGTCAATAAGTCCTGGCAAGTGCTCCGATGCAGATCGATTCTGATCTACTATCGCTTCGGGCGACATTTCTTCAAACTCGCTCTGTATCAATGCAATAGTCGTGACCGTTTTACCGAAGGATGGCAGGTCTGCAAGGACACCACCCCGGACATCGATCGTGGTTTGAGCACGAGCTTCCGCCCTCCAGCCGAGACCGAGATGCACAGCTTCTTCGACTTCGGTAATCGTGAGTGGAACACCGATCTCTTGAGCGCGCATCCAGGTCAAAGATCGAGGTTGTGCCCCACGCAGCTCGTACTCGAGGCTCAGTGGTCCACGGAACAGGGCATCAGTCGCGTTACTACGCAAATGAAACTTGGGGAGTCGTACAGGACCCGCATCCGTGTGGTCACTGATAAGCCTCCAACTGTTGTTGACTGATTTGGCATTGTTCGTGGAACGATTCAGTCGTCCCTTTGCACGATGTGACAGCGAGACTACGTTGACACCAACTTCAATGCGTGTCTTCTTCTTGCTGATCACTGGCTGCACATGGAAGATGGGGCACCGAGTTTTGATACCACGCTCAAACGTAGCCGCAGCTTTCCGATCTTCGTGTGGTGTGGCCTTTCCTGCATTGTCCACGCTCCACATGAGGTTGGGGTAAGCTGGTGCACATGCGCAATTGCTTTGTATACCAGCGTCGATTGCTTGCCAAACTTCCAATGAAGGGGCCGTTTTGAGCTGCTCAAGAGCCCAAGAGAAGTCCGTAAACTTTTCGATCCGCAGCTCTTCCGGGACCCATGCATCGAGTACGGATAGCGCGTCTGTGCATGAGTCTCCAAGACCGGCGAGACGACTTCCGGGCATTAACACACTTGCTGTAGGGTTCAGCGGCGATGCTGCTAATTTGGTAGATATGGTCATCCAGGAGCCGGTGCGTACAACGTTGACGGTTTGCATGTGACATGGTCGCCACGCCGGATCCAGTCGCGCTACAATCATGCGCGATTCGCCCCATTGCTTCCTGCTACAATCGACACTGATTACGAAACCATCATCTCTTACCTCGCCGATGGGATCTGGATCAAGGAACAGATAGAGCACAGGCTCAGTGAGCCTCTTGTACAAGCTTGCTTCAGCAGTTCCGCAATGAGGCAGATGCATGTAGTCGCCTGCAATAATATTAATCTCCTCGTTATCACCTTCGATGTGAATCCGTGCGGGTATAGTCTCGGCTTGGTGGTCTGGAAGGCCGAGCAGATTTCTCCAGGACTTCGATCGTTCTGCAGATCCATGCAGCTGCATAGCATGCTTCTGATTAGACGGTACAAACATTTCCCACTCTGCGTCCAAGAATGTGCCATGAACAATGGCGCGAGCAATTGGAGCCTCGAGTGCTTTGCGCAACTCGGAATTGCCAGGTTCTTCAGGCATGCAGTCCACAAAGAGCAGCCATTGGACCTTGTCTTTGACAGATAGCACCATTTTTGCACCATTCCCAATGTACACGACCTTCCAAGCGTTGTCACATCGAACAAACTCGCTCAGGCTGAAGTTTTGCGAGTTCATGTCTACTTCGACTATCCTCTTGACGTAAGCTTCATTCTCGTTTCCTTCTTGTTGCAGCTGAGAGAGGCGTTCGTTCAGATCAGGGAATTTCTGAAGCTCTAAGCGTGAAGGCAGGCGCGGTTTCCAAGATCGCACGAATCCATCCGGATTTCGCGTTCGAACATGCCGCGGAATACTGTCAACATACTGGTGTCTTGGATTCGACGCGCAGATGGCGCAAGCAGTGTGCCCGCATCCCGAGCAGAGTTTGATGTCTGCTTCGGATACTTGTTGGGTACCCTCGCAGGCACACAGGCGGGAGGAGTATCTAGCCTCGTCAAGAAACTGTGCAATGTCAATCTCCTCAGGATCTATGTGGCAATATTTATGCTCAACCATTTCCCCAGATTGAACAAGACGATTTTGCATTTGAGGCTTCGTTTGCGATCCAGGAGACAGGGCGTTCCGGGAAGGGGACGTTCGGAATGCTTTGTACCCATGGATGATTGCCGAAATCAAGGAGGCTCCAATAACCGTGGTGGACATCGCATTACCAGCAAGATCTTGACGCTCTCTCTGAGTCTCACCGGCAAAGTGAAGCTTGTCAAGCGGCATACCCTGCAGAACAAGAGTCTGGCTGCCATTCAATGCATCTTGAAGATTACTAGCGAAATCGCAACCGCCTGGTGTAATACAGGGCGTCAGACCCTTGCTTGTCTTGAAGCGGTCAACGTTCTGGCTCACGTCCCAAATCTTCATTTTATACATGGAATCGTGACCCTCCTGCTGGGCAGCCTGGAGGTGAGCAACGTCTATGGCATCGTACACCCTCGACGACTGTGAGTCGTACCATTTGCGGTTGGCGTAGTCGGGTGGGCTGCAGGACGTCAGTCTGGAGACTATATTTCGAAACTTAGCCTCCGTCACTTACTGCAAGGTGCCACTCTCGTTCCAGTGTGTGATCGGACGTCGAGTTCCTAGTCGTTGTTCGGACCGAATTTGATCGTATCTCAATTTACACAGGCTCCAATCGGGTTCGGATGATAGTGTAGAATGATCGATCACACTGACAGGTAGGTTGGCGAGGAAGGCCTCGTATGGACTGCTACATTGACGCTGGAGTTTCTCCATTGTAGACTGCCATTGGGTGACAGCGATGCTGACATTCTTTCCGTGCAATTTACGGTTGATCGCGACCATGTACATCCTTTCGCGAGTTTGCGGTAGGTAGTGATTTTTAGTATCGCGATACACCCAGCCAGCCTCGTAGCCGATTTTCGACCATCTGGAGACTACGTCATCCCACATTTTCTTGTCGCTCTTGACATTCTCCAGTAAGACAATACTCGGCTGAAAATGTTTGGCGTAGTGGTATATTGCTCTCCAGGTGTCGCCGGTTTCGCCCTGGTCATCTACTGTCTTCTTCTTGCTATTGAGAGCAGACAAATCCTTACACACAAATCCAGCAATGAGAATGTCGATATCACCTGGAATGTGTTCTTCTGATCCATAAGCTGTAGTCGCTGTAGTAGCAGACTCGTCACCTAATTGTCGGACATCTCTGAAAAGAATAGGTGGGTGGAAGTTACGTTCGATATACGCCTGTTTGACCGCATCAATTTCCGCGCTAAACTGATGTTTGACGTGCAGAGATGGCTCGCCCATGTCGTCGAGGGCTTCTGCCAACATCTGCAGGAAGAGAAGCGGAGACTCTGTGCCAGAGCACATAGTTGCGACGTTGATCGGCCGCCCTTTCAAGGCCTGTAGCACGTCACCTATGCCAAGCTCTATGGCTTTAGAAGCCATATCCGCGGTGATATCCAGTATGTTATCCAAAGGGGGAAGGCTGAGATCGATGCCTTTACCGGGTGTCAGCTTGTTGGGCTGAGGATTTCGTCTTGAAGCAGTCACAAGTTCCGGATCGTCGTCTACAATCTCCATAGCCTCATAGTCCTCAGTCTCCTCTGATGAGCTGTCTACAGCCGCACCGAGCTCTTCGTCTTCGCCTTCGTCTTCGTCTTCATCAACCTCACTCTCGTCCTCTACAGCGGGAGGATCCCACACGTCATCTTCGTCTTCGTCTTCATCTTTATCGTCGTCGTCGCTGCCATTCACATCTTCTTGATTCGAAGCGTCACTCAGCGCGTACTCCACGTATGATGGCCTACTGTGATTCCGGCGAGGACGGGATGAGTATGCATCTTCCAGCGGAATGCGACGGCGGCGCAAGCCGACACTCTCATTGTCTGAGCGACTAGGGCCCGGGCTCACCGCATGCACGATGTTACCGTTTTCTGCCTCGGGTTCGGTTGTCGGATCAGGCGATGATGCTGCAGCGTTGTTGCTCTCCATGATCAACCGTTGATCAGCTGAATCATCATCATTCATGTCGAGATCTGCAGAGAGAGAGACCAGTTCTTCCGCAGCAGAGTCATCTGGAGTTGGCTCTTGAACCATTGGATGCAGAGCCGGATTCCTCCTTTTACCAGACGTCCCTCCAGAGCCACGCAAGAGTGAATCATTCGGCAGTGAGGTACCACGATCAACCGTTATACCATTGCCATCATCTTTTGCCACCGTACGAGCAAGGTGGGTATCTGTTGTGCTTTTACGACCGGGGCCAAGATTCCGGGACTTCCGACCTTCCCTCAATGCCGACCGTTCTATTATGGTCGATGCCTGTTTGGTTTCCCCTTCACTCGAGGAATGAACGGGTGTGATCGGTAGTCTCTGGTTCGCTGATCCAACAAGTTCGTCACCGTCAGAGACTTGTTGATCTGACAAAGTGTTAGATTGATATCCGGGTTCTCCCAAAGAAGGACGGTCTCTGGCGTTGGCGGTTCGTTTGGCGGGCGCGCCGCATTGTTTGCCCCGTTTGATACAGGGCTGGCAAAAAGCGTTTCCGCTCTCGTACCAACAGGTGGTGAGACCCCTCTGCTTGCATTGCGAACATCGTGCATCAAGTTTGGCGATTTCTTCAACTGTCGCCGGTCTGCACTTGTACTTCTGCGCTATGCATTTCGTACACCTACCAGATGAGTCTTCATACACGCAGTCCCATGCGTAATTGCCTCCATGTCGGCGGCATACGGCACAGCAATCTGGCGGCACGGGATCTTCATGAGTCAATGTGGATGTGCCGGTCGGCCTTTGTGATACTGTGGTGAATCCTCCTAAACACGCCACGTCAGTTTTGCAAGTAGATGTCTGTAGAATTACTTGCCTTGAGCGCTTGTTGAGTCCGTATCCTGACGCTCGACAACTCGGCGCTTTTTTGCAGGTATGACCACATACGGTCCCTTGTATGTCTGACTCTTAGCTACATGCGATTCTAAGTTCTCTGCAGTACGTTCTCGCTTTCGCGAGGACCGGCGTGGAGATGCTTGTGTGGATTCAAGATCCATGGTCAAATGTCGATTTGGAGACACTGTAATCAACGGTAGCTCAATGGCACGTATCCAATTCCATGGAGAGCATTGAGGCGAAGCTTCTAGTGATCACAACTTACCAGTGTGGTGATTGTGTAGTGATTGTGTGGGGCCAATGCGTGTTCGACGCGACGACGCGTCTGGAAACACGCGCTAAAATGATCAGCAATGTTCATACTGCCAACTCAGAGCCCCGCAGCTTTACATTCTATTGTTGACTACATGCAAACGAGATCTAGCAAAACACGTGTCGGATTCTGCAGCGATATCGCAAAAAGTGCAGGTGAACCAGGCAGTGATGGTGACAAAGCAATGGAAAGGCGCGGAAGTGGTACCTTCTTTGGAAAAGCGCGTTCTTCATGGGGCAGCTGCAAGCGAGGTTAACCATCTTGACTCAGTCCAGCGGTATACAACAAGAGCTCGCCAGCACGTCGTGAGAGTATCAAGTTGCATCCAAACTCTTTCCAGCTATGTCTGCGCCTAACGTATTCGAAGATCTCAGTGGAATCTCAACCTCGTCCTTCAGCAACCCATATCAGGCACTGATAGCAGCCTGCGAAGATGATCCAGTAAGTTGGACAGTACATGCTGCAATGAACATGCTGAGTGACGAACAACGTAGGCCCAGATTCAAACGAAGTATGCTCTTCATCGAGCAACGAGAAACTCTCAACAAAAAGCCAAGATGCTCGATGAGGATTTCCCGGGAGTCAACATCGACCCTATCTTACTCAGGTTGAGCGACGCAACAGTTGAACCTGGCTACGCAGATCCAAGACATTGCCTCGTTCTCTGGGGCCGGCCCACCACGAAGATCAAAGACCTCATTCAACGAGTCCAGCAGGAGCTGTTGGTTGTTGCGCCAAGTACAGTCTTCGATCGTTTCCCTGCTTCGAGTGGCTGACTTGAAGTAGACCTATGGCTGATGCCTCGGGACTGCCAGCACATCACTGCATTGGAAGTCACACATTCCAAGAAAGCAGAGGAGATTCAGAAGCTAGTTGATCAGATGCGTGACAAGGTGCCTAGGATTACCGACTACACCTTTGAGCATCGTGTACGGCTCATCAAACCAACGATTGGCTACGACGCTTCAGCTCTTGCCTTGAGCTTCGTACCTGCCGCTGGCGAAGGGCTACATTCGGGACGATCCTTGGAAGATGATAAGTTCACGTACCACCACCTTCGTCGAGACCTCTACGATCTCTGCGAAGACACTGGCGTCACAGTTGACTCGAGATACGTTGTGCCTTCAAGCCATCTAACGATCGGGCGGTTTATTACGGCCAAGGATCTCGCCGATGACCAGGGCGCACCTGACCCTGCAAAGATGAGCACGTTCATTAAGAAGATCGAAGAGATCAACAGCTGGCTTGAGAAGGAGTTCTGGCCAGAGCACAACAATGGAACGATCCCTGATGGCGGCGAGTTCAATCTCGGCATGGAGACAGGATTGACCTGTCGCATGGGTACGTTGTGGTACGGGGGCGGAGAGCCTATTCATTGTGGAAAGGGCTACTAAGAGCGCAATGTAGAGCTCACGGTTACAACGTGAATAGATTATTATCAGTCGTTATCTTAAAACACAATAATGATCTTCATCTATCGACTTCCTTGACTTGAGTCATCGCAGATGCATTGTTACCGTCGAGAGCCTGTGTGGGCGCAACGCTAATGACGTGTGGCAGTCCCTTTTGCGGCGAACGGACGGAGGTGATCACAGGTGGCCGCTTGGGCCGGTGCTCAGCCATCACCGAAGCTCGCGCAGATGGAACAGCTCTGACACAACTACACCCTCACTCCTTGAAGCCAGCTTGCAAGACCATACATACATTGGATAGTTCCAGGCTCCAGCTATTATTATTTGGACCAGGGATCGCCCTCGACCTCTTTTCCTGAACACCAGTCGCACTAGTGGGGCTACACACCCATTGTGCTGCCTCTCCTCTCCACATACGTACACGACTACTACAAAGCATATAACTAAAGTGGATCGCCTCCTGTAGCTCTGAAACAAGCACCATGTTCAACCGCGACAGACTCCCCGGCCTTCCTGGAAGCTCTCCACGACCTCCCCCGCGCAACGACGGCTACGGGCAGCCACCACCGCAACAGCCTCGCCAACCCCCACAGCCAGGCTACGACTCGAGAATGGGAGGCTACGATGATCGTCAGCAGCAGGGCTATGGTGCGCCCCAGCAGGGCTATGGTGCACCCCAGCAGCGCATGCCAGCTCGAGGACCTCCGGGCGGTGGCGGATCTGCCAGGCAGCTGCGCCCCATCAAGAGCCCTGGAGGCAACGCATATGCGTTCGGCAATCTGTATGCATATCACTAGTCACTATCGAGCTTACACTGACATCGTGAAGCGTCGCAGTTTCACCCCAAGACTTCCCTCCAACGCCTGACGGCAGCGACATCTACATCCTCCTGAACGGCAATTATGTCTTGTCTGCGAGACCCACACAAGGCTGCCAGCCTGGTGAAATTGGTCTCACAGATGCGCAAAGAACATGGGCCGGAATCACGCTCGGTCCCCAAGACATGGTCGCCGTGCAGAACTATGATGCTTTCAGCCAGGGTGGTCAATCATACTTGGGTGGCGTTGAAGTCGAGGTCGGCTTTGCCGCCAGGAAGACAACAGACGTTCCGTACGATCAGGACGAGCTCGCGACGCAGTTCAAAAAGAATTTCAAAGACCAGATAATTGCTCCGGGGCAGCAGCTCCTATTGGATGTAAAGAATATCCCTCTGCGAATGTCGATAAGAACAGTACAGCTTGTGGATCTTTCAATGGAGAAATCAGACGCATCTGCTCCTCCGTCGACAGATCCTAGAGCTCGCGGCATTCTCACCAGCCACAGCCAGATCGACTTTTTCAAGGACGCCCGAACGGACATCAAGTTAAAGGCATCCAACAGGCGACCTGCAGCCAACTCAATTATCCAGCCAGGGTTCAAGTTTGAGGATATGGGCATTGGAGGCTTGGATACGGAGTTTAGCGCTATCTTCCGAAGAGCTTTTGCTTCCCGTATTTTCCCACCTGGTCTGGTAGAAAAGCTGGGTATCCAACACGTTCGAGGTATCCTTCTCTATGGTCCCCCTGGTACGGGAAAAACTTTGATTGCGCGTCAGATCGGAAAGATGCTGAATGCCAGGGAACCTAAGGTCATCAACGGTCCTGAAGTACTGAACAAGTACGTGGGTCAATCCGAGGAGAACATCCGAAAGCTTTTTGCCGATGCCGAGAAAGAGTACAAGGAGAAGGGTGATGAGAGCGGTCTTCATATCATCATTTTCGATGAGCTCGACGCTGTGTGCAAGCAGAGAGGCTCTACTGGTGGCGGTACTGGCGTGGGCGACAGTGTTGTCAACCAGTTGCTTTCGAAATTGGATGGTGTGGACCAGCTGAACAATATTTTGCTCATCGGTATGACCAACCGAATGGACATGATCGATGAAGCACTTCTGCGAGCTGGTCGCCTGGAAGTGCACATGGAAATCTCGTTGCCCGATGAGTCGGGGCGAGCACAAATTCTGAAGATCCACACTACGAAGATGCGCAAGAACGATGTGCTTGAGGCTGATGTTAACGTCGAAGAGCTGGCTAAGCTGACGAAGAACTTCTCTGGTGCCGAACTCAACGGTTTGGTCAAAGCCGCGTCCTCGTTCGCTTTCAGTCGGCACATTAAGGTTGGCACAATGGCGGCCATCAACCCTGACGTTGAGAACATGAAGGTCAACAGACAAGATTTCCTGGCCGCGCTAGAAGAAGTCAAGCCCCTCTTTGGTGCCGCTGAAGAAGAACTTGGAAAGCGTATGAGTGGCGGCATTATCCATTACTCACCGTTCATCAAGGACATCCTGGATGAGGGTCGCTTGTTCATCAACCAGGTCAGGAAACCAGATTCGACCCCCATCTTGTCCGTCGCTCTGCATGGTCCGCCCGGAAGTGGAAAGACAGCGATGGCCGCGAGGATGGCCATTGACTCGGGTTTCCCCTTTATCAAGCTTGTGTCACCTGAGGACATGGTAGGCTTTAGCGAGATGCAGAAAGTGCAGCAACTGGATAAGATCTTCCGAGACGCCTACAAGAGTGCGCTCAGCGTCATTGTGATCGACAACATCGAGATGCTCGTTGACTGGGTGCCTATTGGACCAAGATTCAGCAACACTGTTTTGGTCGCCTTGAAGGTTTTGTTGGCGAAGCAGCCACCCAAGGTAAGCCGCATTTTTTACAATCTGTGATTACAGCAGCTAACCAGAACCAGGATCGTCGCCTTCTCATCTTTGCAACAACCACCGAGCGCTCGGTGCTTACACAGCTCGACCTCTTCAGTCGATTCGATGCCGAAATTGCGGTACCGAACATTAACACTCAAAACGAGCTCGCACACGTTCTCCAGGAGTCTGGTGCTTTCTCAGACCGCGATCAACAACGTGCCATTAGCGAGATTCAAGAGATCACCGGCAGCACAGACATTGGCGTGGGTATCAAAAAGATCCTTACAGGTATCGAGACGGCCAAGCAGGATCAAGACGTCCCTGGCCGCTTTGCGAGGGTCATGTCGAGGGCTATTGCCGCGAATAGGACCTGATCGTAAGCTTAGAGCTTGTTGCATAGTAGAAAGTAGTAATAAACCCCTTCAAGATGTATATCGTATTCCAGCCCATTCCTATCCTTGTCAACATCTACCCAGCCTGAGTCTTCGGTCAGTGCAGACATATCACGCCACCTCTCGCTGACCCATGACTCTCCACTCCCGCTGCCAGTCTGCCACTGTCAGACGATATCTTAATAACCTCACATTGACACCTCCGCCACCCCACGCCACCATCGCACGGACCCGCACACGCACTTCCGAACCACGGTTCGGCGACCCCATGAAATACTACCTCGGAACGCATCTCCAAGTCAGCCCTCGTACCTTCTCAACCACGCCCGAGCTCCGCTGGAACACCGACTGTCTCGCCCTTGCGTTGAGTAGCACTTGGGCCGACGTGCGTGGGGAGTTCCGATGAACAATCCGGACATGTTGTGTTGGTGTGAGGCTGCCGTGCAAGCGAGGTGCATGGTGTTACACGGACTGGGAATCTGGTGTTTTACAGCAGCGCATGGGTGAGGGTCAGAGCCGGGAAAGCCAGTCGACGCGGAATGCCTTGCAGGGCGCTCGCTGGGTGAGACGTGGTGGTGTCGTACCTGCGCGGTGGTTCGGGTGTTGGGAGACAGAACTGCGATAGTGGGTTTCTTGGGATGAGTGTGGTGTTACAGCCGTGGTGGAAGGCTGTGCTGCCGTATTTCTATCATTGTCTCGCTGTTGTGCACGTTCCAAGGTTGTCTTGAATATCGGGGTTTAGCACTTCAGGCTGAGATCGAAGATGATCACATGACCGTTGTACCCGATACTGGGCAGCCTGCGTGGGATGCGAATATCGACCCACTTCCGAGGTTGGCGGATCGAGTCACATTACATGAGGCTACACACAACGTGGTTAGAGGCTGATGTGAGGTATGCGGTAGCTCGTGCAGATGTGGAGCCGTGACTTTTCCATTACACGTGGATATTGCATGGCTTACTGGGACGCGTAGATGGAGACCTCACTATGAAAGTTCGTGTATTCATGGCTATGTAGACCGTTACATTGACAACGAACAAGAATGTTACAGCCGGAATCATCTGCTCCAGGAAACTGCCTGCCCTACATCGATCAGGAATGAAGTACCAAGACATGACAAGAATCACCAGCCACACCTCCTCCACACCCTCTCCCCCGCAGGTCCGTAACTTGCTACAGAGTACCCATAGCCGCCCAGCAGGTACCTAGCTGCTTCGCTCCTGCGCCCAGCTCCTTCGACCAGGCCCACAGGAGCAGGGGAGCAAGTGGCTGCCGCTATTCGTTGGCTAGGAGGCTGGCTTACGCCCGGCGCTGCAGCGGCCCGTACCGAATCACATAGTATGAGACTAAAAAGCAAGCTGGTGGTGTGCGCTAAGGCAGGGGTGGAGCGGAGTGAGCGGAGATGGTGGACGACACACCTCCGCCGTTTAATGAAATAGAAAAAACAGAACAAGCCAAAGGCCGTCGAACGTCGTTGAAGAGACGAAATCGTTCAGGGAATCGCAAAACGACAGTATTCCGCCGGAAGCTTTTGCGCTCCATGTGAAAGAACCGAAATGTGTGTATATGGAAATCATCAACAGTGCCGCATTCAGCAGCGGTTTAGGGTTCTTCCCTAGTAATCGACGGGTGCCGGGTATCGTCGCTGAGCCGTCCTGTACTGCTCGGGGTATTTTCGTGCTGCGCGGTCGTTGAGCGAGCTGTTTTGGTGTTAGTCGTATTACCAGTCGGCATCCGACAATGAGATACTTACTCAACGCGCTTCTGGGTCCACTGCAGATCTTTCTGTACTTCCTTTGCTGCCCGCATGCCGGAAGAAAAGCTCGCTTGTGCACCAGCTAGTCTTCGCTGAGCCAGTGCCTGCAGTTCAAGCAGTTCACGGTGTTTCGCGTTCAACTCGCCTGACCTGCGCGTTTGTCAGAACTGTTTCCCTTGTCATAAATTCCGCGAAGGTAGTCAAACTCACGTTTGCGCCTGCTTTGCCAGACTTCGATCCAACGGTAGAGGGTTGAAGGAGCCGTTCAGTCGGTTGCCCATGTAGTCGAGTAGATCCACACTGGCGGCACCGCTACTCGAATCATAGTCACTGTGGCTGCCAGCATAGTGACTGGAGTTTGCGGATACTTCGTAGGACGGTACACCTGAAGTCGTTGTGCTGTCGGATGCTTCTGGCGGAGATCCTGCGATGCGGCCGTATTGTTGTTGTGGTGGATAGTAGTAGCCGGGCTTCTGCGGTACATTGATGGGATATGATGTGGAGGGATAGGATGGGTAGTAGGCGTGTGTAGTGGACATTGTAGCAGCGTGATGTGATGGTACTACAGTGAGGATAAAGGTGTGTGGATGGTGATGTAGTTATAGAAGATGGCAAGTTCTCGTGTTCAGGGTTGTTGGTAAGTATACTTGATTGGGGGTACTTGTACGATTTGCTCCTGAGAGACAGGTAGAATTGAGCTTGAGACTTTGTGAGTGAAAGAGAATCAGAAACGAAAGCTGCTGTTCCAGCACGATGACCTCCTTTTATACTTGCTTTTCGCACTCTATTGCTCAACGGGACATGGCTTTGAACTCTCCTGTCGGCTCATGCTTTGTGACCCCACCCGTGTGGTGATATAGGTGCATACAATTAGGCCCGTTGAGGTCTCCCTGCCGGTGAAGCCGGTGCTGGAGCGTCATTTAGACTGGGCTGGAATGGTCCTCAAGGCCGCAGACCAGAGCCGATCACCATGCCTCAACGGGATGTTGAGCCCAAGAAGAAGTCAATTGGCCGAGACACAAAAACTAGTGCGGAAAACGCTCAGCTCGTATCAAGCAGAAACTTTGGCGGAGCGAATTGGCGTATGATGGCAAAAGGAGCCGTTGCTCGATGACCGGCATCGATCCCCGGTAAGGGCAGCAAGGCAGAGTAAGCGCATCAGACGCGAACGCCAATGTCACGGCACAAGCTGCGTCTGCGGAATGCTGTAAGTATGTGCATGGGTAGTCTGCCTGATGAGCAAGCTAAGTGTTGTCATGTTGATGCGTTGGCTCGACAGCACGCCAACGCCTTCGAGCATGCAATCTGGAAAAGGCATGTGGAGTAGCGATATCTCCGGCCTAGGCAAGGAAACCGATAGTGGAACCAGTTCGCCTGAAACTTGTAGAAATTGTGCGTACGGAGTGTGCGACCTCACGCGCGGACAGCATGTTACGCCTAGAGTCGTGGTCATGGAAAGACGTCGAGCAATGTTTCGGTCCGGCAGTGCCCCGCTGTCTGTTTGCCCCTCCATCTGCCCAGTGCGTCATTCGCTGGGCAGCAATTGAGGCAGAGCAAGTTACCATCAATTGGCTGCACTCGCGAGTACAACGCTTTAATGCAGGCTGAACTTGGCGCTTCGATGGCTGAACGATGATCCCTGTCCTGCGTTACCTTCGCACGACACTCCACTAGGCTCTCATACGCGTTCCAATTGCATCAACGAAATGTACATTAGCGGCGGTGAACAGCACTTGGTTAGTTCCATGTGACCGTCAGTCGATGCAGTCCCCTGGCATGCGCGGAACCGTTCTTTGCTCCCAGCGATTGCCGACGCCTCTTCCTCATTGGTGGATGTGTCACTCATGACGGGAATGTATTCTGTCTCTGTTCTCATCACTCTCAGACTCGAGAGCATGTTAGAGTGCGACCCTGTCTGACAACATGTACAAACTATGATCTCGGCGTCAGGGCGGGCGTTTTCGAGCCGATCCGGTGTCACAGCTGTCACCAGAAGCCATGTGAGCTGCACATGGTAAGCCACCTGAGCCATTGTCACACGAATGGCTGAGGTGGAGCAACTGTACCTACCAACGGATGCTCACAACCGGTGCTCCAGCAAATGCCACATAGGAACTACGCGCCGAACGAGCTGGGCGAGGCTGTGCTACAAACGCGTTCCCGAGATAACGAAGATCACATAACCAACCCATGCTGTCAGCCAGTAATCAATATTCCGAAGCTTCGGCGACTGACGGTTGAGCTGTAGAGCTGACACTCGTCTACATAGTTCTTCTGGATACGGACCAAGCTAACCATTGACTGCGGGAACGAATGCAGCTGTGATGATTGTCTAAAAGTACAATGAGAGCTCGGGTGTATATCTATAAGTACAACAGTGTCATCGATCAGTGCATTTGTCGTTGGACAACCCCATTGACAAATAAAGCCCCTGGTACAATCGGTGCTTTCGAATGGTAAGACCAGTGGTGCGTCAGCCATTCAGATAAACCAAGCAGTTGGTAAACCGATCGGAAGTCCGTGTTTGACCTTTTGTTGCACCTCTGCAATACGTAACGTCTGTTCAGACCACGGAGAGGAGATGTCTAGGGTCTTGAACTTAGGAAATGCTGATTGAGGGTGAACTCGTTTGACTCAACTCGTCGTAAGCTATCTATAAGGCCCGAGACGAGGAACGGTAGCACTGCTGTTGTAAACTTGTTCCGCTGCTTCGTGTACCTGAGTAATGTCAGCGAGGGCAAGTCTCAAGGTCTTTGCGACGAATACCTTTAAGTATGACTTGGAAGCAACTTTGCCCATGGGTCCTCTACGAAGCTGGGCAGGAAGTAGGCCGTGTCGCCATCCGCATTCTTAGCTCCAAAGCGTAGGGCATTCAGTTCAGCGCGTGAAATAGATGGTCCACCGAATGAAACCAATTCTGACGCTGAAGTATCGACGTCGTGACCTGGCGCAGCTGCAGGTGGCTTCTCCGGCAATGCCTGCCCACGAGCTAAAAAGCGTGCAAGCCCATCCGCCGATGACGGCTCCTTTGCAGGAGCTGCAGCACTGAGAGTGCTTCTACCGCTCGTTTGTTGATTGTCTAATTCTTTGGTTCGCATACCCAATTCAGTCGAGTTGGCACCGCTGGCAGTATCGTCATCCTTGGCTGGCGATTTTGTATGATCAAATTTCCGCTTTTTGTTGCCGCCAAACGAAGAGAAACCCATCATGGCAGCCATTTCATCATTCTCATCGAAGTCCTCCATCGGCACGGTTTTACTGTTGCTGTTGGATTGACAAAGGAAGCCATCTGTACTTCGTAGAGCTCGAAGAGGCTACCTACAACGGGCGCTAGTGGCAATGAACGAACGCTCCCCATTCCACCAGCAAAGACACCGCGCTCGACGCTCAGCATCGCTGCACTCAGCAGGCGTGTGCTTACTCGAGCGTTGAAAAGATCCAGAGTTGGATCGCATTACTCGCAAATCAGTCTGTCATGCCGATTAGTGTACATGGAATCCACATATGCAGGAGGAAAAGAGGGTGGCTGAGGCGCGATCGACGTCAGCCAGGACGTGCAGGGTTTCTGGTCGCGCCTCGACAGCACACCTAGGCTTTATAGCATCAGTGAATAGGCTTCGTCCATCGACTCGCCCACCATGTCCGGAGTAGCAAAATAAATATTGATACCATCAAGGTACAACGATGACTGAGTCTCTGCAGACAGCGGCAGAGCGCCGCTTTCTGCGGCCCAGTGTAAGCCTCATGCATTCTTGAACGCGCACTTGCGGTTGACAATAAGCTTACAAGATTCTGTAGCTACGGTCGGTGACAATGATACAACCGAAGACTGGCGAGCGCGTCAAACGTAGCTTCACGCTCCGACGATCCTTCCACCGCAACACTGAATCTTCCGAGTTCCTTCTTGCGCCTGGCCAGTTCGATCCTGCACGACATGCAGAAATGGGGAGGTTCGAACGGGTTTGGGAGGACTTCAAGTTCCAACTACGACAAGCCTATGCGTACGCGATCTCTCCGACTGGTATTGGCATACTGAAGTGCTCGCTGGCATACATCTTGGGCTCGTTGGCTACACTCGTCCCTCAAATCGCTGGGTTGCTTGGCAAGAACGATGGAAAGCACATGGTTGCCACCATCACAGTCTACTTTCACCCTGCGCGCTCAGCTGGTAGCATGATCGAGGCCGTCCTACTGGCCTTCGCGGCCTTTCTGTACGCTGCCTTCGTGTCTTTTTCCAGTATGGCAGTATCTGCCTGGTTTGGGCATCAGCACCTTCTGATCGTAGGGCATATAATCGTCCTCATTGTCTTTATTGGCGCTGGACTGGGACTTGTGGGCTGGACCAAACACAAACTGGGGAATCCACTGGTCAACGTTGCCTGCTCTTTGACATCTCTTGCCTTGATCACGGTGTTGACCAAAGAGGGAGCTGTGCAGAACGCAACCTTTTCGTACGTCAAGATTTGGCAAGTGCTAAAGATGATCATCATGGGGTGTACGGCGTCAGCAGCGGTGGCTCTCCTGGTCCGACCAACATCGGCGCGGACAGGGTACCGTGACACATTCATCCAATCGACCGATGCGATGGCTGAGAGCCTCAACTCTATTGCTCGTAGCTTCCTCTCTGGTGCCGAGCAAGACCTGAGAAGTGATTCTTTCGTGAGAGCTTCCAACAAGAGCCAGTCGGCATACAAGCTGCTCGTGAAGAACCTAGGAGAGGCCAAATTCGAACACTATGTGCTTGGCACAGAAGAAGAATACAAGATCAGCGCACGGCTTGTCAAGTGCCTTGAGAAGCTGATCCAAAGCATTGGTGGCTTGAGGAGCGCAGCAGAAACACAATTCACACTGCTCGCCCAATCCAGCACAAGCGCTGGCACACCCTCTGATAGTATGCCTGTGAACGGCACAGTCACTTCATCCATCTTCTCTGAGCACACTCTGTCGCAAAGCCCGCCTCAGCTACACTCCCCCAGTCTCAGTCACATGGAAAGACGCACAAGCATATTAGCTTCTATCGATGAAGTTCCTGAGCCTACCACAGGCGACCCGTCAGTGCAGCCTTCCGCCGATGTTTCAGACGATGAGTCTAGCAACCGTGATTACTCTTCTAGGCTGCCGAGCTTTGTGCAATCCGATCTCACCCCTGCGGACATGTTTTCTGTCTTCATTGCACACTTGGGACCTCCTATGGTAAGTCTCCTTTCTTATATCTACTGGACTTGCTGACAATACAGAAATCGTTAACGTACACACTACGCGAAGTGCTGTCAGAACTTCCGTTCGGACCAGGGCCAGACTACAACATGACTATCAATGAACACTTCCGACACAGCCTCGTGGACGCAAAAGCGCTATTCTCGAACGCAAAGCGTGATGCGCTCGACGTTGTATACAAGACAAAAATACCCCTCAAGACTGGTTCAGCGGCGGTCGCTGCAGATTTTGAGGAAGTGGCAGCAAGCTGCGGTTATTTCAGTTCTTCGCTAGAGGACTTCGCCGAAGACATGGTGACCTTCCTGGACGTACTCGAGGAGTTGAAGTCAAACGTCAATCGATACCCTCGTCGGAGGAGCTGGACATGGCTCAAGTTTTGGCAAAGAGGACGCAAGAGCAAACGAGCACATGGTGATGACTCAGGTGAGGAACCTGACATGCTTCTGAGGTTACAAATTTACTGACTATGTACAGAGAGCTCAAGCCTGATCGATGAAAGCACCAACCAGACACCAGGCGGGTCGCATGAGATCCATAATCCTATATACCGCAGGTCCACGCGTGGCGACCCTTATAAATCTGAGAAAGAGCAGCCATTATCGTACCGTACTTGGGTTGCGCTGTCTGTCTTCAGAAGAGATGATCTGAAGTACGCGGTCAAGGTCGGTATTGGAGCGGTGCTTTATGCCATGTGGGCATTCTTCCAGCCAACACGCGAACTGTACGGGCATTGGCGCGGCGAGTGGGGCCTTTTGTCTTACATGCTGGTGTGCTCTATGACCATTGGTGCATCCAACACGACCGGATTCCATCGATTTTTCGGCACCTGTCTTGGAGCTGTGTACGCAATCATCGCCTGGATCGTGGCTGACGAGAGTCCTTGGGTCCTCGGCTTTTTTGGCTGGCTTGTCTCTCTGATGTGCTTCTACATCATTGTTGGCAAAGGCAAGGGGCCTATGGGACGATTCATCTTGCTCACTTACAACCTGTCAGCGCTTTATGCCTACTCACTATCGGTCAAAGACGAGGACGAAGACGACAACGACGAAGGTGGCATCTCCCCTGAGATATGGGAGATTGTGCTGCACCGTGTAGTAGCTGTCATGGCCGGCTGCATTTGGGGTATCATAGTCACCAGGCTCATTTGGCCCATTTCTGCCCGACGAAAGTTGAAGAAGGGCACTTCATTGTTATGGCTCAAGATGGGGTTGATCTGGAAACGGGGTCCGCTCAAGACACTGCTGGAAGCCAATCTTGGCGACACTCACAAGCCTTACTCTTACATGAGTGAACGCGAGGAGTTCGAGTTGCGCCGCTTCCAGCGCCATCTAGAATCCTTGTGTGTTGCTGCAACGTTCGAGTTCGAGCTTAGAGGCCCGTTTCCTGTTAAAAGCTTCCAGGTTATTATGGGTGCAACGAGTCGTATTCTTGACAGCATGCACGCCATGAACGTCATCATACTGAAGGACTTGAAGGCTTCTGAAGGAGAAAAGGAAGTGCTGAAGTATACAAGGAAGGAGTGGACCGAACTCAGCTGGCGAATTAGTCATTTATTCTCTGGTAAGCCCAGTTTTGCTACACACATATTGATCTGCTCTAACAAGTCTTACAGTTATGGCATCCTCGATGAAGTTGGCGTACCCGCTAAACGATGTGCTGCCAAATGTTGAGCACACGAGAGACCGACTACTAGCAAAAGTGTTCGAGTTCAGACAGACAGGGCTTGGCAAAGTCATAGCCAAGGATGAAGACTACGAGCTATTGTATGCTTATGGTGAGTCACCTCCTTGTTGTACCTGCGGCTGAACCTCCATACTGACGTGTCTCACAGCTTTGGTGACTGGCCAGCTGGCACATGACCTGGGCATTATTGGCCAAGAGATTGAGAAGTTGTATGGTGTTTTGAGTGAAGAGGACCTCAAATTGCAGTAGACTGTATGTAGTGATCAAATGCAACACTTGGACTGCGGAGAGATCAGCTGCAGAGGGACTGGACGCAAGTCTTGAAGGCTTTCTGTTGACTCAAAGCGTGGTGCTTTCCTTGCAAGATCCAGCCCTGTTTGCACACCCATGCGAGTTGTTAATCGGTGGCTGCTGCGTCAGGTGTCATTAGTAACTTGCGAGACGGTGTTCAACGTACTCCCATGCTTTGGTGTATTTGCGACCCTCATCGCCACTAATGCAAGCAGCGTCCGCGACTATCGCTAATGAGTCATTCTGAGCACACATCGGCTGACGAGTGAGACGACGACCACAATGCATCGACTGTCGGAATGGGACACATTGCAAGCAACCGAAGGGGTGCATTGCAGATCTGGTGCTGCTTGACCGCGGGGAAGTTGTAGAGACAATGCGTAAAGCCGTCCTGCAAGCAGTGCGTGCGAACACCAAAAACTTTGCACATTAACGAGCAATTGCAAGCGACTCGTCGCAGAAGATCAACAAGTGCAGTGCGTCGCGCAACAATTGCGTTTCGGCGCGTAATGGATGATGCACGTGAGAGGAGTTGTTGGCCCGAGCGCGGCTTGGCTCGCACCTGCCGGCTCGCTTATGGCACCTGCCCACAGGAATTCGTGACTTCCTTTCAGTCGTCTCTGTACTAACCCGCAGCTCACCCACGACCACCGTCGAGAACATCATCGAAAATGTAAGGAACCCGGCCGCACACAATACACCCATCGATCGAGAAGCAATTGCGATTGTTCCACGCCCTGCCCGACTCGCGGCGTTGCCCCCAGCGCGCCCCGAGAAGTGGCAAGCCCCTCTTTGCAGTCTTCTTCAACGCCGCCTACACCACACCACGCAAGCAGAGTGCTGACGGAAGTGTCTAACAGGGTCAACCTCCGCACGCAGAAGCGCCTTGCGGCCTCCGTTGTCGGCTGCGGCAAGCGCAAGATCTGGCTCGACCCCAACGAGACCAGCGAGATTGCCAACGCCAACTCTCGCCAGACCATCCGCAAGCTCGTCCAGGATGGCCTCATCATCCGCAAGCCCGTCACCATGCACTCGCGCACCCGTGCCCGTGAGCTGACAGCTGCCCGCCGTATCGGCCGTCACCGTGGTTTCGGTAAGAGGAAGGGTACCGCGGACGCTCGTATGCCCAGGTATGCTCCACCGACTCGATCACCGCACGCGATATGAAGGACACGACATAGCACAGTGCGGTGAGCAGACGCACATGGAGTTGTTACTGACACGGAACCCAGCCAAATTCTGTGGATGCGCCGTCTCCGTGTCCTCCGCCGTCTTTTGGTCAAGTACCGCGCCGCCGGAAAGATCGACAAGCACCTCTACCACGAGCTGTACCACCTCTCCAAGGGTAACACCTTCAAGCACAAGCGTGCCCTCGTTGAGCACGTACGTCCACCTTGACATGACATCATGACTTTGTCATCCCCGCATAGAGTCCGGCTATTGACACACAGTGCAGATCCACAAGGCCAAGGCCGAGAAGGCTCGCGACAGGGCTATCAAGGAGGAGATGGACGCCAAGCGTGCGAAGACCAAGGCCGCGAGGGAGAGGAGGCAGGAGCGCGTGGAGCAGAAGCGCGTTGCTCAGCTGGGCGACGACGCGTAGATGGACGACATGACAAACAACCGGCGTGGGTCTTTTCAGGGTTAAAGGAGGGCGCAAATCTCCTTTCTATCTCGGCATATGCGGTCATGTTTCATGTACGTCTGGGTTGCAAACGAGCACTTTTCTCCATGCTGCATACCCGACTGACAAGGCTGCCTCTTCTGAACTCCCGATGCTTATGAATGTCCATGAAAAAGGGATAGGATGCATCGGCACATTAGAAACGAGTGGTCAATCTTGGAGTTAATCTTCTTTCTTACTGTCCCAAATCTTTGATGATTGATGAATGATGAATTGACGTTTGTTCAACTACATTCGCCACTAGTTCGATTACGGTCTCCCCCATATCGGAATTCAGCACACCCACGACAAAAATAATAAGCTCCAAGGACCATGTTCCCCTGCAACGCCGGACACCATGTCGCCAGATCATGGATATCAAAATTAATTCCCAACGCCGTTCCATAGCAATGATTAACACCATTCATCCTTCAGATCTATTTAATGTCAGTAACTCGTTGCTCAATCTTGGACAAACGATACGTACCAGTCTCAATGCTGCCCGATGCATGTTCCTCGTGAAGTTCAACATAGCCCTGCTCTTGTTGTTCCCTCTTTGCAACCTCCTGTATCCTTCCTGCACATGGCTGGGCTGCACAGGCTCTCTCGCCTCCTCAGGCGGATCAAACAGACCTCTCTCTCGCTTCCTCTTTAGTCTGTTCTGCTCGCCGCCCGTGCTCTTCTTATACGTATCCTCCGCATCCTTGACCTTGAGCGCCTCCTCGGTCAGCGTCTGCACAATCTCAAAAGTCAGAAAGCCGAGGATATCAATGATATCGTCACTAGGCTTCGAGTCTGTAATCAGCCCAAAGCCCGCCCATTCCTTGAACCGCTTGCCCTTGCGATACGTAAACGACGCCTGGCGACAATCAGACCAGTGCACATACTCCTCACGCGTCATGTTCTTGGTGCGCTCGTCCGCGTTCTTGAGGCGCTGCAGCGTGGCAAAGTTCATCTCCTCCTCCTCCTCGTCCTCGACGTCGTCCTTCTGCGGCGGGAACTCGGTGAAGAAGCTGTGCACGTCCCACACCAGATCGACTTTGGCGCGCTTTGCTTTCTTGCCGGCCTCGGGCCCGGGGCCGCTGGGCCCGCTGCCCATGACGCCCGCGGCGAGGTCGGCGTCGCCGGTGCCCACGTCGGCGCCTGCGTCGCCGCCTTTGTCGTCGCTGTCTTTGACCGAGCGGCGCACGTCTTTCCACTGCAGGAAGTGGCGGAGGCGCGAGATTTTGGCGCGGTCGTGTCGGATTAGCATGAACAGGTCGTCCGTGGAGATGGATTTGCTGCCGCGCCGGGTGGCGAGGGAGGTGCATTCGCGGAGCATGTGTTGTACTTGGTCTTGCACGATGAATTCGATCAGGGTGGTTGTTTCAGGAGCGGGCTCGCCGGTCTCGCCGGAGACAAACATCATCTGTGTAGGTTAGTATAGTTGGCCGGGTACTGTGATCTGAGGACAGAGTGGAAAGTTTTGGACAGGACTGCAACGTATGTAGAGCAGATGTATGAGACATGCGTGTGAGCGATGAGTGTCCGCAGAGATGGATGTTTATGGTTGCGAATATCATAGAGTAATGATATAGCCACAATTAAGGTAGGAGGAGTAACGATATGTGTGAATATAAAGTAGGCGCTGGACAGGTTTGTAGGAGATGGCGACTGACGAGGAGAAAGCGACATGTAAGAACGTTTGATACGAAGTAGACAAGTACAGGACGACAGAACAACGACGTAGCTAGAATCAAAAGGTACTGACCTGCTGGATCTCCGTCCGGTACTTCGCCATCTTGTCCCTGTCCGCCATATTGAAAGCTCACGTGTCGAAAGTGCGAAGCCGCAGTCGTAAAAGATCTGGAGGAGCGCCACAAGCCAGAAGAAGGTACTCCTGCTCGCTACCAGACTTCGCCTACGACCTCCAAGCAGCACCCGCGGATTGTCAGTCGATGCGCAAGCCCGGCGCAACTGATGAACGTCGCCCGCAGGCACGCGGTTTGAGGGTCCTTAGCGCGCCGCACCCCGGCCGAGGCCGCTTCAGAAGTTCAGCCCTACGAGCCCCGCGGACTTTTTGTGAAAATCGTCAAAGTCCCCCACCAAAGTTACCCTTCCACTCGAATCGCAAACACAATCCGCGACGATGCTGTACCTCGTAGGACTCGGGCTCGCTGACGAGAAGGACATCACTGTCCGCGGTCTTGAGATTGTCAAGAAGGCTGAGCGTGTGTATCTTGAAGCCTACACGGCGGTGCTGCTGGTGGACAAGGAAGTGCTTGTGAGTCGCACACGGCGCAACGCAGACACTGCTAATCATGCCGCAGTAGGAGTCGTTCTATGGCCGCTCAGTAATAATTGCCGACCGCGAGATGGTCGAGTCATCCAGCGACGACATCCTCGCCGACGCTGACAAAGTCGACGTCGCATTCCTCGTCGTGGGAGATCCATTCGGGTACGCTCTGCACTCGCCCTACACACCCTACACGACCCCCTAGACTCACATACGAACATACAAGAACCTTGCTAACCCCGCCCAGAGCAACAACGCACACCGACCTCGTCCTGCGCGCCCGCGAACTCTCCATCCCCACGCGCTCCGTCCCCAACGCCTCGATCCTGACCTCGATCGGCACGACGGGGCTGCAGCTGTACAACTTCGGGCAGACCGTGTCAATGGTGTTCTTCCTGGACAACTGGAAGCCGGCGTCGTTCTACGACCGCATTGCGGAGAACGTGCGCATCGGGCTGCACACGCTGGTGCTGCTGGACATCAAAGTCAAGGAGCAGAGTCTGGAGAACATGGCGCGCGGCCGCAAGATCTACGAGCCGCCGCGCTACATGACGGTTGCGCAGTGCGCGCAGCAGATGCTGGAAATCGAGGAGGATGTAAAGCAGGAGGGTGTTTATGGCCGCGAGTCGCTGGCGGTGGGTGTTGCGCGGGTTGGCGCTGAGGATGAGAAGATTGTTGCTGGCACGCTCGGTGAGCTCTGCGATGCTGATCTGGGTAAGCCACTGCACAGTCTGGTCTTGCTTGGAAGGAGGACGCACGATCTGGAGAGAGACTTTTTGTTAGAGTTTGCCGTGAACAAGGAGACGTTCAAGGCCGTGTGGGCTAAGGACTATGAGGGCAAGCAGTGAGTAGAGTTCTCAGTCGTCGCGAAGTGTAGGCATTCGGTTGGAGACTCATCCATGTGGAAAAGTATGAATTGATGATATATAGCAACTGATGGACTTGGCGCAACGTCCCAACACTAAGATGAACCCAAGACGCCTTTTGCTACAAGTCTGTCTCGTAGATCGCACAACGAGCCTCCAGCGGCTCGTGTGTCGCGCAAACGCGGTCCTCCTTCCTGACTTCTGGTCTGCTTTAGACTTCTGGTCTGCTTTGGACGACTATTCTTTTAGCTCCCGAGCTGTATCCATCGCCTAGAACGGAGGCAGCCAGAACTGGTACCCGCCGTTCTTCTGCCTGAAAACGCTGAGCAGGAAGCTGTACATGCAGAGCAAGATACCGCTCCACAGGAACACCGCAAACTGCTGGGCCCTTGAGTCCGCAATTCTGGGAACCTTAAGCGCAAGCGAGATTGTTGCGAATGCCAGGACACCGTAGATCGCGGCAATGATCTGCGACTCCAGACCAAACTGATTGCTGAATCCATTGGCGAAGTAGGTGAGACCGCCCTTGCCGTCACCCGCTACATATTGTGTCTTGCGGATGTGGTTGAACATGTGTCCGGAGGTGAAGAGGAGGACAGTGATCAGAGAGAAGGCAGCCCAGAGGTTGCGGTTCTGGAGGAGGGGGATGATGTAGGGCGAGGCGATGGCGAGAACAGAGACACCTCCAAGTACTGCGGTTGTGACACTGATGATCTTCACCCAGTTGATAGGACGGGTGATCTTTGGCTTGGGCACATCGGTGGGGAGTTGGCGGGCAATCCAAGCGTGGATCTGTTCGGCGGACTGAGGGCTGTGATGTATCAGTGTCCAATTCTGATAGAATCTCGAGAGGAACTTCGAGAGGAACTTACCCTGACGTGAAGTCATAGCGGACAGGCGGGGCTTCGGGCTTCGCGTTGGGGCCGGCGGTAGGAGGGAAGTAGAGGAGCACTGGGGCTGTCTGCAGTTGAAGCTGCGTATCGTTAACAGCTGATCTCCACTGTCTGATTTCCAAAAGATCATCATACCGACTGGAAAGTGCTCTTTCCATCTGTGAAGTCCAATGTTCCAAAGAGCGTCCTTGTCTGCCCGTTCTTGTCGCCCTTAAGCCAGGACTTGCCCAGCAGATCCCACTCTGGCGCGAACTCTCTGCAAAGAACACATCCGAATCTTGCGTCGAGTGCGGTGAGCAACACGGCGACTGAGTAATCCCTCTGACCCTTGGTCAACGAGCCATAACCGCCGTCATCGAGCTTCAGCGGCCGTCCGATATCGAGCGACTTGGCGCGGGCGTCGGTGAACTTGTCGCCTGTCTTCTTAGCTGCAAGAGCTGTGAAAGGCAGCAGCGAAGCTGTAAGAACCTGGAACCACCGCATTGTGTCGGTGGAAAATGTGGTCGTGACGGGATGAAGCTTGGAGATAGCTGCTGTCAGTGAGGTCGACGATGCTCTAACGTGGCCTTCGGGGCCATGCGTAATAGATGCCAAGACTGCAGGGATCCGTGAGCACCACCATGATGCAGCAAGACTGCGACAGGCGATCTTAATTCATGTTTAACTTGGAGAAAATGAATACACTGAAGTCTGAAGGCTTTTTAGTGGTCAACATCAATGGAAACAATATTGCGCAGGTGTTGATGTTCTCACCGCTTTCAGAGCGGCCGTGATCACAGTGTTTTGTTTACTGTCGCAAGTCGCGTTACGACTCCTCCACTACGATTGCACCGACCCTACAACATTCGCGAATATCTCAACAGTAATACAGCATGGCTGTCGCCGTGGACTCAGATATAGACCATAGCTATGAGATCAAAGATGTACGTGAGCGCACGTCCAGTGGAGCCTAGCGGGACTGTGGCTTGTTGTTGCACTGCACCTCTGCATAAACACTAACACAACATCTTCCAGCTCCAACACTCGCTGCGCAGCGCAAACCTCGAAATAAATCTTGCGCGCAGTAAACACTCGGTTGAGGTCGTCGCGAAAGACGAGGAAATTCGGAAGCTGCGGGTCAGCCAGTGCCTCCTTGAAAGCAACAACAGCGATCTACACGAACAGCTAGAGGAAGAACAAGCCCGCTCAGACGAAATTGAGAGCGCGCTAGACGAGGCGCTGCTGAACCTGGACGAACAAAAGGCTGAAAGTGAAGCGGCGCAGAACCAGATTCGCACGCAATCGAGGGAGATCGCGAATCTTAAGGTAGGCGCACCTGTACCGATGTCGCCCCCACCATAACTCACACCCAGCAGGCGGAGCTGAAGGCTATGGAAAACGTCACGTCCGATTCGAACAAGATTCTCTCCGAAAAGCTCGCATTGTCCCGCGAAATCTCCTCGCTGCGCCCCGAAGTCGAACATCTGCGTGCGCAAGTCGACTCGAACCAAGGCCTCCTGTCCGAAAAGCTATCTTTACAACGCCAACTCTCCACCTTGCAAGTCGAACTTGAGAACGAGAAGCGAACGTCGGCCCGAACCATTTCTAAGCAGGGAAGGAAGATGGAGCAAGACGACGGACTGCGCAGTGAGCTGGAGGAAGTCCGTGGGGAGCTTGCCACAGAAAAGAAGACACGTATAGAGGCAGAAGCTGCGGTTGCGAATGCAGAGAAGGCTATTGAGAAGGTGCAAGCAGACCTCGAATCTCAACAACAAGCGACGGAGAAGCTGGAGGCCAAGCTTGAAAAGCTCGCAAAGAAGAGCGCAAAGACGAGTCAGCGCGATGAGGTGAATGAAGCCGCACTAGAAGAGATCCGCCAGGAGCTGGAGCAAGAAAAGGCTCTCCGCGTGAGAGCAGAGAAGGCACTCAAGAAAGCTGGCTCTGGGAATGCGGAGCTCGAACAACTTCGGGAGGAACTGGAGCTTGAGAAGCAGGCGCGTCAGAAGGCAGAGAGGGCATTGAAGAAGAGTTCCCAGCAGACAGATCAGGCCAGTGATATACAGACGGAGCTCGAGGAAGTGAAACGCGAGCGGAAGAAACAGGAGAAGGAATACACCAAGACTCTGGGCGAGCTCCAGGGCCGCAACACCGTCCTTGATGACAAGCTCAACGCGTTCAGAGAAAAGCTGCGAACAACAAAGGAGAAGCTGAAGGAGAAGGAAGCCCAGCTGGAGCACGTCGGACGGGCACAGACCGCGCCTCCCACCAAGGCGGCTACCGATTCCACAAAAGCCACCAAGAACATCCGCAAGCGCACCGCAGCATCCGTAGAGCCCGAGACCAGCCTCGGAACCCCTGGAGACGCGCCAGCAAAGCGCTTCAAGCGCGGCACCTCCGTGGCCACAGCAGGCGAAACAACAAGCTTCTCGCTAACGCCTTTCCTCAACCGCACAACCATCACAGCCGGCTCGCCCATCGTCGAAGAAGACGAAGACGCCGACGAACAAACCGCCCCCATCAAAGCCCCAAAGCTCAAGGCCAGCAAACCCCTCGCCCCAACCGCCTCCGTCAAAGCAAACCCCAAGCCGCGCAAGAAGACAGCGCTGTCCTCGGTCCTAGCCGCTGTCGGCGAAGAAACCTCCGACCCCGCAAAAGACGACGCGCCGACGAAAATCCCCCTCAAAGACGCAGACGACGACGCCGCGCCCAAGCCCAAACCCAGGGCCAAGAAAGACGCAGCCAAGCCGCGCAAGTCGCTCATGAGCTTCGCGAACTTCGTCGAGGAGCCCGCCGCCGAGAAGAAGAAGAAGCGCAAGCTGGGCGCCGGCGCGGGGAAGACGCTGTTTGATGCCGACGAGGACGAGGACGGGGCGCAGCCCAAGGCCGTGGGGCTGGGGATGGGCGGCAGAAGTCTGTTTGCGGCGCGCGCGCTGGGCAAGAGTGGGTTGAAGGGGAGTCGGCCGATTAGTGGTGGGTTTGGGATGTTGAGCGAGGAGGCATTTACGTTTAGTCCGCTGAAGAAGGATAGGAAGAGGACTGGGGATAGCATTCTTAAGTAGGAGTATCACGGGCTGGTTGTTTTGTTGGGCGTTCTGTGTATACGGGCATGTGATGGCGTTCAATATCAATTTGCATTTCCATTCTCTTAAACATTATAAACAGACATTAAAATCATGTACACTTGCTAGATATACTACACGCCAAGGCACAATACCCCGGCGTAAACAAAGCAGACCCGTTGTTTTGCGGTCCCCAAACTCCGCTGCGTCCGAACGGAAGGAAGAAACGAAGCTGCCAAACGATCAAGCAAGCATGCGCGTGTGAATGTCAAAAACGTCGTTCCTCCAGCCGCCCTCATCCCACTCCTCAATTCTCTCGGTCGCCTGGCGACCTTCCTCCTCCCACAGCTTGACCACACTGCCAGGAGCGTATTTGCCAGCAAACACGCCCTTGCCTGGAGCCGCAACACCAACGCGGGTGTACAGATCCGGGTCGTCCTCAGGGGTAAGGCGCGTGAGAACCGCCTTGAAGAACGTCCGCAAGTCGTTAGGATCCGAGATGCGAGTGGCCCTCAGCCTCTCCCTTGCGAACAGCAGCTCGCGGTTGGCAGCGTGAATAGCATCAGCGATACCCTTTGCTAGCTGCATCTCCATGACCTTGCGGATAACGGGGCGGAGGAAGGGCCTCAAGATCCAGCCGAAGAAGCTAAATTTCGACTTGCGCAGCGTGTAGCTGAGCTTGTGGATGTTGACGCGGACAGCGCGTAGAGTCAGCATCTGCTCTTGCTTGTCCTTGCCGACCTCTACGTCAAGGTGGATGTCGAGACCGCGCTCGTCCATCTGGAAGGAAGCGATGCCCTCGTCCGCGAGGCGGAGCAGACCAGAGTGGGCACGCAGGAGGAAGCCGATCTCATCAGCACGGAACGAAAGACCATCAATCTTGATGGTGAACTTCGACGTTGCTTTGGAAGCAACACGGAAGCGAGCCTTGCGCAGCTCGAAATCGTTGTATGTTTCGACCTTGAAGCGGAATGGCAGGAAGGATGAATGGTTGATTGTCTTGCCGGGCTCGATGATCAGGTTCTCCAAGAGAAGGTCGACCTCAGGAGTAGAGACCTCAAGACGTGGGATGGGCACGTACTGGATCGCCGAGATGATCAAAGGAACGAAAACGTTGATGGCGTCCTGTACCAAATCGGTATTTGCATAGCTGTGCTGGGGCGACAGAATGCTCCAGATCCTGAAGGTCGATTGGATGAGATTCGCAACATCCTCGTCGCGCGTGACTGCTGCAAAGGTTCTCTGGGTCTGCTCGAAGAAGGCGTCGACATCCTTGCGTAGTGAAGAGTCATTGCCAACACCACTTGACTTCTTACGAAGCTCCTGAAACTTCTCGTCCACGTGGTCGAAGAAATCCGGGTCAGTCAACAGCTTCTGCAGGGAGTTGCCAATGTCCATAAGTAGGTCCTCAAACGCGGGGTCTCTCTTTGAGTGCTCCAACAGCTTGTGGAAGCGGGTCTCGAGCTCCTCCCATTCCTTGCGATCGCCAAATGAACTCATGAGCAGCCAGAAGTTCTTAACGGCTTTGTCCGCCTCGCGATTTGTGTCGACATCATTCTGGACAGTTCCTACAGCTTCTTCAGCCATGCGAGAGTAAGTCCTGGCATATCTCTGGAGAAGCAATGACAGTGTTGAGACCGAGTCAGAATAATCGCGCTTCTGTCGCAGGTTTGTGACGGTCTTCTTCAGCCTGTACAATAGCGAGTCGCCCTCGGCACCCTGAAGCTTGTCGGCAATGCTGCTGCCAGCTGCTTGGGCCACTTCAACTGTGCCTGATCCAACAGCTTTTGCAACCTCTTGAACCTCGCCGTTGAGCTCCTCAGATGATACAGCCTCGCCATTGCTAGCGTCTGCGCCTGGCTCCTTGAGTGCCTTTTGTTCTTCCTGGGAAGGCTCGACCTTCTTGCCAACTTCCTTCGCGACGTCCGAGATTGTGAAAGCAGTGTCTTTGAATACCTCTCTTCCGACTGTGTTGAGATCCGATAGGAAAATACGGAAGTCGGAGTTGGTGAGCAACAGTGACCCGACAGTCTGTAGGCTTTGATAGGCTGTACAGGCGTTAATAGCGATTATCTCGTTCAGAACATGTCACTTACCAGCGAAGGTGTCGGCCTTGGCCTTGGAGCGAGTGGCACTGCGTGCGATGTCTGCGACGTCCACCTCGACGCGAGCCTTGGAGAGGTACCAGAGGAAGTCCTGGATCTGGTCTGCGCTGTTCTTGTTTTGCAGCAGGTCAATGAACTGGTGGAGCCATTGCTTGGCGAACTTGACAAGCCGGCGCCCAGAGTCGCTGAGTTCTGGATTGTCCGGGTTGAGGATGTCGGCGGCGAGGAGAGTTCGAACGTTGATGATCAGTTGCTCGTTAGATGGCATGAATCCCTTTCCAAGGGCACGGATCATCTGGTACGAGTGTAGCTTCTGGTGGAGCTCTCTCTGTTCACATATAAGCAGCTGCTCACGGCATGGCATGCAGCACGCGCACCTGAAGGACCGTATCATCGCGGTACTGGGGCAGCAACGGCTGCTGGTCATCGCTGCGTTTGCGGAGGCCGAAGCAAGACGACATTGTGGGGAATTGATGGGTCGGTGTGTGAGTGCTGCGCAACAGACTCGACTCATCCAAGGCAGCTGTCCATGATCATCATGTCGTAGCTACCCGCAAGCTTAGCGCGATCAGAGCTACCCCGGACGTCATTGTGTGGCTGCTGCACAAACTGTGGCTGGTGTGCCAAGGCCTTACTATGGGAATTCTGGAACTTTGGAGGTCAGGGTCAGCGCAGTCCCCGCTGCTCCATGCCCAGACGGCTGCCCCAGGCCAAGCAAGTCAACAAAACGTCGTGACAGTTGACAGCAGTTCGCACCAGCCGCAACTCCCGATCGACAAGGGATTGCGATCTTGAGTTTCATCAAGGTAGCCCTGGGCCTGAACGTCGATATGTGTGATCCCAGCATTTATTGCTCAGCAACAGCAGCCTCGCGGACGACTGCATTCCGTGGGCTGCAACGACCTTCCTCCGACATCCTAGTCTCGTCTACCTCCGACTTGGATTCTTGCTAGTAACTGCCTGTCAACTGCCGCGATCGGATCCGAGATCAATAATCCAAGATCATTAATCCAATCGCTGGTCCACTTCAGTCTCCTGTCCTCAAGAAGGGGTTTGATGCTTTGAAATACGTCTATACTGTTATACTGCACAATGTGTTCATTCCATTACGAGGCAGTGAATACTTTGCAGCCAGATGCGGAGTGGTACAATTGCTCGCGTGCTCTGTCGTTCAGTTGCCGTTCGGCGACGGGCGCGCATTGCGAGTGCTGGTCTCCGACTTATTTTCTCGCCGCTGGGTGGATACCTTGCGGCAAAACTCCGCTTTGGACTATCCCCACCCCACACACCCAGAGAAGCTTAGGAGGATCAGCGACAGTCGGAGCGGGAGCCCTACCGCTCTCCAGGATTTTCTTAGCCTCTTCTGCATCCGATGCGCCAGAAGAGACATCGCTCGCAGACAGTCATGCTTTTTCGCGGGATGACGATGTGAGCATGAGAAAGGGCGGGTCAAAATGTCTCGGAGTTTTCGGACGGGAATGCGGCGTATTCGACCCCTTTTACGTGTGTTACAAATGCGTCCCCAGGCCTGTCGCACAGCACAGGGTTGTAAGGCTCTTCTTTCGGATCATCGGTCCTCTAGCGGATGCCGCAAGGATTGGTCCACCTTCCAGAATCTTCACGCAATAACGCGTGTGCGTCTCGTGCTTGCAGGGCATATCGTGAACAGCAGAGCATTCGCGTTTCAGATGGACATGGACGGATGGTGTTCCTCCCAACCGTGATGGGCAGACTTGCTCCTGTTCAAACCGTGACTTGCTCCTGCCTAGCCTGGCTCATGAACACTCCGAGACAGAGGGCATCCGAGACCGTCATCATTAATGTCCGCATCGTACGTTAACGCCGCTGCAACGCTTGGACAGCCCAAAAAATGCCTCTTGATGCCTGATGGGATCCTACGGAAGCCTGTGAATGGGCCGTCTGCAGTTGGCCTACCCGCGGCCAGGGGTCGCGGACTCGTCTCGATGTCCAGCACCAGCGTGACAGCTGAATGTGTCATTCGTAGGGGCGAGAAGCCATGGAATTGTGGACTCCCACACCGCGGAACGCTTCTCTTGACTGCACTCAGCCTCGGACTCCCGAGTCTTCCCGATATATCGTGGCCCTAGTGAGCCCGTAGAACCTATGACTCGCTAACAGCGGGCGCCTGCACCCTGGTCGCTGGCCCAAGCTCACAAAAAGTTCCAGGCGGAATGATGAAGGTGCCCGGCTCTCCTCTATGACAGGAATTGAGCGCATCCGATAGGCCATTGCCAGCTTTCTCAAACACCGTTCGCCAGCGGACCGTCTTCCACTTTCTCTTAACATAAGCCGCGGCGGTAGGATCCTGTCAGCTTCGGACGTCAATGCATAGCGTGCGCATCACCTCGCTCTTAAAAGGCGCCCTTCCCTTGCGAGGCGCCCAAACCTCACTCCGCCCTCCCAAATTCTCACAATATCGCCGTATGGCCTCAGTATCTTCACAAATGGCTTCATCAGACTCAACCCCACAAAGGCCTGCCATGGCTTCCAGGCAACTGACCACAACGTACGCTACCACTGCAGTCCGCACGCCGCAGCAACTAATCGATATTGTAGGAGCGGTGACTTCTGCTCAGCAAACTCACCAGATGTTCGCAAGCACCTTGGAACGTACGGCCTGCACCCTCCTGCCGTTGAGAGCTTCGACACACAAGCCCAGCGATGTACGTGATGCATCGTGACTAGTCATCTGCCGGCATATGCTGACAACAGCACCAGGCCTCAGGCTTCTTGCCATGAAGACGACTCCCATTGAGAAGTTCCAGTACCTCACCCACCTCAAGGCCACAAACGTGCACCTGTTCTACAGACTGCTTTCGCAAAACATCAAGGTATGCGGTGCTCGCCGATATCGGAGGAGCATTCAGCTGACAGAAACCCAGGAATTGACTCCCCTCATTTACACCCCGACCGTTGGCGAGGCCTGCGTGAGATGGCACGAGATCTACACACAGCCCGAGGGCATGTACCTCTCCTTCAGCGATCGCGGCCACCTCCGCGAGATCCTCGACAACTGGCCTCACGAGGTTGAGATCACTGTCCTCACCGACGGCTCTCGCATTCTGGGTCTTGGAGATCTCGGTGTGAACGGTATGGGTATCCCCGTTGGCAAGCTGTCTCTGTACACCGCCTGCGCTGGTATCCGTCCCGAAGCCACCCTTCCTCTCACAATTGACTTGGGCACAAACAACAAGGCTCTCCGCGAGGACCCTCTGTACATGGGCTCAAGGGTGCCCAAGGTTACTGCCGAGGAGGAGAAGGAATTCCTCGACGAGCTCATGGCTGCTCTGACCGACAGGTGGCCCAAGTAAGTACATCGTTACATTCGCCGAATGCAGTAACTAATCGCGTGACAGCATCGTTATCCAATTTGAGGACTTCAAGAACCCCTTCCCCGCCCTCGAGCGCTACCAGAACACATACAGCATGTTCAACGATGACGTCCAGGGAACTGGTGCCGTCATTGTCGGTGGTTTCATCAACGCCGTCAAGGCGTCTGGTGTTCCCGTCAAGGACCACAAGGCTATCTTCCTCGGTGCTGGCAGCGCTGGTACCGGTGTCGCCAAGCAGATCGTCGAGTTCTTCAAGAAGGAAGGTCTGACAGAAGAGGAGGCCCGCCGCAAGTTCTGGTTCGTTGACTCCAACGGTCTTGTCACCCAAGACCGTGGTGACAAGCTCGCCGACCACAAGGTCTACTTTGCCCGTGACGACAACAACGGCCGTCAGTACCAGTCCCTCGCCCGCTTGATCGACTACGTCCAGCCCACCATCCTGATGGGTCTGTCCACCATTGGCGGTGCTTTCAACAAGGACATCCTCCAGAAGATGGCCAAGCTTAACGACCACCCGGTCATCTTCCCCTTGTCCAACCCCTCCAGCAAGTCTGAGTGCACATTCGAGGAGGCCGTCATCCACACTGAGGGACGTTGCCTGTTCGCCTCCGGCTCGCCGTTCCCCTCCCTGGAGCACGACGGCAAGCTCCTCACTCCCGGCCAGGGCAACAACATGTACGTCTTCCCTGGTATTGGCCTCGGTGCCATTCTCTCCAAGGCCACATCTGTCACACAGGACATGATCTACGCCTCCGCCGAGTCGCTCTCCACATCTCTGAACGAGCAGGAGGTCGCCGATGGATGGCTGTACCCCGACATCCGCCGCATCCGCGAGGTTTCTGTTGTTGTCACTCGTGGTGTCATTCGTGCTGCTCAGCAGAACGGTGTCGACCGCGCTGTCGAGCTCCGCAATCTCTCTGACGAGGAGCTCGATGCCTACATCGTCGACAGCATGTACAACCCCTTCAAGGACGGCGAGCAGCTGGGCGAGGAGGTCGCAAACCTCGTCTCCCAGGCACAGTCAAACGGTGTCAGTGGCATTACCAATGGTGTTGCCCACTCGCATTTGTAAAAGTCTGATATTCTTGAACCTCATTATCGGCGCTTGGATTGTTTCTGGGGCATGTGGCACATGCCCTCAAGTTCGGCCACCACACTTTTCGGCCGTAAAATGGACTTAGCTATGGACTTTTAGGACGGATGATTCGATACCCTGTTACACATCCTCCTTCTCACACGTCTTAAGTAGATGCTTTTTGAGCGAATGCGTTGGCATTGGGTTGGAAATAATACGATGGATACTTCAATGTCTTGCTCTCGACTGTGACTGTCGTCTATTATCATCACTCATAGTATTAAAATCACGAACAAGAATGAAACAACACCAGCCTTGACTCCCCAAACACCGTCAGCCTTGCCCCCATCCGTGATCTCTACCCCATTGCCCGGCTTCGGCCCCACACCAACCCCCAACACCTCGCAACCCCTCCATCCCTCCACACAGTCACAGATATCAACACTCCCTAGCCCACCCAACACAGCCAACCTTGCGACAGCGGGTCCTACTCCCGCCGCACTCCCGCGGCACGCCCTGCCGCGGCAACGTCGCAGGCACGCGTCCGACGGTTGCGTTAAGCTTCCCTTGCAGCAGGCCGCAGCGGCCTGGGACTGAATCGGGACTGGACTGGACTGGGGCTGACGCTGCAGCTGGCTCCGCTACCCCGGACCCACCCGAGACCTTCACATGCATGCATGCAGCGTAGGTCGGTGCGCCGGGCGTCGGACCGGATCGTCAGGGCATGGACATGGGCGGGCTTTCACATGTGCGCGGGCGCTAGGAGGCGTTTGGGGGGCGGGGCGGAGGTGCAGAGGTTTGCGGTTTGGTGAAGCTTTGGGCCGAGGTTGGGGGTGTGGCTGGTGGGGACTGGGGTTGTCCGAGGTTAGGCGTGGGAGTGGAGGAGCCGGGGTTGAGCTTGGTTTGGTTTTGCGGGTTTGCTACTTCTGCCGGTTCTGCGTTGGACTTGGTCGGTTTGGTGGCTGGTGCTGGCTTTGTGGCTGCGTGCTTGCGGGCGTCTGTGAAACACTTCCTTGTGGTAAGAGATTCTTTGGATGGAGTTGCGAATGCAACGATGGTCATGTAAAGGTTGGATGTGCAGCTATTGAGATTGAGCGATACAGGCCTTTCATTCCTCACTCGTCTAACAGCGTGTAATTAACACCCATCTATCGAACAGTGCTGAGTACCACTTCCCGACATGGAGGTATCTCGCAGACTTTCGTGTCTCTTGGTGATCAATACCTGTAGAGTCTAATTAGATGCTGATTGACACCATAGCTGCTAGAGCGTTGTGCTCATCTCCAGTATTAGGCTACGCCTTCACCTGCACTTCATCGTGAAATTGCATGTCAAGACGCGGTGTTGGACATTCTCACCTTCATCCTTTGGATCTCAGGTAGCAACAACCTTCCTTTCCTTCATCTCAATTCTCACTTCATTTTCTTGGATCTCTGGCTTCAATCATCTTCTCGTTCAACTTCCACAACATCCTTTCAATTCCTTACACCACATCCTTCCAAGTTCGCTTCTCTGACTCGTCAAACTCCTTCAACAAGTACAAAATGTCAGGCATCGACAACATCGACACGCGCGGCACTGCCACGGCCTGGACCGACCGCGAGCTAGTACGCCATCCAACATGCTCACACGATTACCGCTAACATCCAGCAGCTCGCCTACATCGTCAGCGCAATCGAGCATTCCAACGCGGCCATCAGCTTCTCCGTAAGCACCCCCATGACCGCACCAACCCACCCCAGCGCAACAACCCCCAAGTAAACATCTACAAACACACTAACCGCCACCAGACCGCCCCCGCCCCTGTCGGCCGCAAGAAATCCGCCTGCGTGGTCAAAATCAACAAGCTGAAGAAGGAGCTCAAGGCCGACATGGACCTGCTTGCTGCGGGCCAGCCGATGAGCTGCGTCACGGTGGGTTCTCACCAGGGCAAGCCGGTGCGCAAGCGCAAGGCAGAAGACGGCGAGGGCGAGACGCCGAAGAAGCGCGGACGGGGCAAGAAGGCTGTGGAGTCTGACCGGGAGGTTAAGCAGGAGGCTACGCCTGAGAGCGAGGGTCTTGGGGAGGACGGTGCGGAGGCGGAGCTCTGATGGTTTGCGCGGTTGGCGGGACGGTCGTGGGTGATGCTGGGTTGCATGTGGGATCTGGTTTGCACTTGCAACACACCGTGGCGCTGAGCTGCACATGATTGACTTCTTGACGGCGGTCTGGGACGGTTTTGTATGGGCTAGGTGGTCTTGGACGCTTTTCTTGAGTCTGATGGCTTGACCGAAATGCTTGACCAACATGCATGAATTTCAGTAACATCAGCAAACTAAAATCATGTCCTCTAACCGCCGCAATGATGAGACCTGAGAACATAGCGGCCGTGAACCCAGCGATCTGATACTTCTCACTCACCGCACCGTTTCTCCACTCACCGTCACCGTCACCGACTCCCAACTCACCTCATCCGCAGCACCGCCCGCAACTCACCCCGAACCCGCAGCTCACCACATTCCCACCTTCACCTCACCACCGCCGTCACCGCACCCATATAAACCCCCATCCCCACCGTCCACCACAACCCAACCTTCCCACTCCATCTACCAACCTTTTCAGGCCCTATCCAGCCACCTTTGAACCATCTCCCAACCAACCAACCAACCAACCAACCAACCAACCAACCAACCAACCAACCAACCAACCAACCAACCAACCAAACCAAACCAAACATGTCCGACACCGAAGCCACCAAGGGCAAAGCCGCCGCCGGCTGGAGTGACCGCGAGCGCGTAAGGCCCCGCTCCCAGTCCACAGTTGTTATGTGTTCCGTTGACTAATATGGCATGTGTAGCTGGCGTATCTGGTGTGTTTGATCGAGCACTCGGAGACGAAGTTCAACTTCAAGGTATGCACTGCTCTTCCATCTCTCGGGAATTCTCTCTCGACTGGCATCTCTTCCCTCGACATCTCTTTTCCCCAGCAGCAGTGCACCCACTCGCCCACGCACCCCAACACCCACCGTCTCTGTCGCTATCGCTGTCGCTATCCCTGTCCCTCTCGACCTCGCCGTCCACGCACAACAGCCCACCGTCTCCGCAGTCCCCCCACCGTTGCTGTATCTACTGACCACTGACGCACACAGACCGCCCCCCTCCCGCACGGCCGCACAACAATCGCCTGCGAGCGCATGGTCGGGCGACTCAAGAACACGCTCAAGAGCGAGCTGGCGGCGCTAAGGGCGGGTGTTGCGCTGCCTTCGACCACTTCTACTACCGGGACTCCGGCGAAGACGCCTACCAGGACGCCTGCCAAGTCCAAGACGAAGAGTGCTGTCGACACCGACACCGACGCTGACGCTGATGCTGATGCTGATGGCGCTGCGGGTACGCCAAAGACTAAGACTAAGAAGACACCCACGCCCCGCAAGCGCAAGACCAAGACCCTAGACGACGGCGGCGAGCAGGGCGAGGGCGAGGGTGAGGGAAGTCCCAGGAAGCGCGGCAGGCCGAAGAAGGCTGTTGTTAAGCAGGAGGGTGCGGATGTCGTCGAGGAGAAGGAGAAGGATGGGGAGGGCGAGGAGGTTGAGAAGGAGGGAGACAAGGAGGGAGAGAAAGAGGGCGAGGAGGAGATCGAAGAGACGATCAAAGATGAGGATATTGAGATCTGAGGCGCTTGGATCTCGGGTCCATCGTCCCTCATCCCTCATCCCCCCCCCCCCCCCCCCCCCCCCCGGGACTCTTGGAAACCGCACTGGACATGACATGACCGGACTTACACTACACTACACTGCAATGCGCTGCGCTACGATAGTTTCCCTGCTACGCTGGAGGAAAGAAGGAACGCGGGGGTTTTGTCTAGCATGGCGTATTACCGTATGGCGTACTACGGTATGGCGTAGCACGGCATGGTACCATTATGGTAGTGGAGTTGGTACATGAACAACTTTGACGGGGGTTTGGCAGCTTTTAACTTAACAGCTTCTAAGGAACTTTGACAGCTTCTGAGAAATTTTGGCAGCTTTTGAGAAACTTTTGAGAAATCGATGAATGATTGAATGAATGAATGAATGAATCCATACATACACACACAATGATTGAACCCATACATCCATCCATACATACACCCCCCGCCCCTATTGTCACCATTCGTGTACCCCGTCGTAGGATACTTCGTGTAATCATCCCACCCACGCCCCTGAACGCCAATCCATGTATGCAAACCCATGTATGCAAACCGTGATATGCGAAACCCGACGACACAACACACAGACAGGGCCGCGGTTACAGCAGCGCCGTGCCGTGCAGGCTGATGATGCACCGACCAACCGCCCGACCGACTGTGTTGGAAAACGTAAAACTTCAAAACGCAGAACGAGGTGCTGGCATGGACACCGCTACGCACGCCGCTACGCACGCCGCTTTACCCCCCCGCCTCCTCAGGCGCGCCATCATGCCACCTCACCGTCGTACTAACCCTCACACTCCTGGGCCTCTCCATCTTCTCCCCCGCCTCGCGCTTCCCATCCATCTCGCGCATCGCCACACCCAGCCCCTGATCCGCGCCCGCCTCACTCAACGCCTCCTTAACCAACTTCTTCGCCTCAGTCTGCAAATTCGGTATCTCCGCGGGCTTCTCGTCCTTGTTGAGGTAGCTCTCGAGCAGCGACTTGAGGGTCTGGGCGCGCACGGGCTTGGCGAGGTAGTTGTTCATGCCCGAGTCGAGGCATTTTTCGCGGTCGCCTTGGATGGCGGAGGCGGTCATGGCGATGATGAGGACGTTGCGGATTTCGGGGTTGGGGTGCTTGCGGATGAGTTTTGTGGCTGGGAGGGGTTAGTGGGGTTTAAGATGGGATGGGATGGTGGTGTGTTAGGATGGGAGGGGATAGTGAGATGGCAGGATGGAATGGGATGTAGAGACTCACCTTCGTAGCCGTCGCAGTGCGGCATCTGCACGTCCATGAGCACGAGGTGGAAGGGCCGGCCGTTGTCCGAGGCGCGCTCGAGCGCGTCGATAGTCTTGAACCCGTCGAGGTACGCGTCGCACTTGAAGCCCAGTTTCTGCACAAACGAGATGGCGATGCGCTGGTTGATGAGGTTGTCTTCGGCGATGCAGATGCGCAGATCTGCACGGGGAACGCTAGAAAGGTCGATGCAGTTGCCGGCCGACTGCTCGTGGCCGTTGTTTTCCTGGCTGGAGAACTTGGCCATGGGGTCGACGTCGCGCGTGTAGTTCTTCGCCAGGGAGCCCTCCATGCTCACCTTTGTGAAGCGCAGGGAGAACGAGACGGTCGTGCCGACGCCGGGCGCCGAGTCGAGGCGGACCGAGCCGTTCATGACGTTCTCGATCAGTGCTTTGACGATACTTAGACCGAGCCCTGTGCCGCCGTAGCTGCGTGCTGACGAGGACTCGACCTGCGAGAAGGGCAGGAAGAGCTTCTTCTTCTGCTCCTCAGGAATACCGATACCGGTGTCGATGACACTGCAAGTAACGTCGACCCAGTCCGGCCCCTCCCGGTCGACCACGGCGCGTACTGTGACCGACCCGCGTGGCGTGAACTTGTAGCTGTTGGACAGCAGGTTCATCAGAATCTGATGGAGACGCACGGGGTCGCCCATGACCAGCATCTCGGGGTTCAGCTCGAGCTGCTCGATGGTCTTGAGGCCGCGCTCGGCGTTCGTGTATGCGAGCGCACGAACGACCTCGGTGATGGTCTCGTTGAGGGACAGCGGCATCTCTTGGACATTCATCTTGCCAGCTTCGAGCTTGGAGTAGTCGAGCAGATCATTGATGATCGACAGGAGGGTATCACCGCACACGCGAATAGAGTCGGCGTACCCCTGCTGCTCTGGGTTCAGCAAGCTGGCCTTGAGAAGTTCAGACATGCCGATCACGCCGTTCAGAGGTGTTCGCAGTTCGTGCGAGACATTGGCGAGGAAGAGACTCTTTGCTTTGGCAGCCTCCTCCTTGAGCTTCATGTTCCTCACTGCGATGGCTTCGGCCTCCTTGGCCTTGATCTCCGCCGCTCTTGCCTGTGCTAGCGCACGCTTCTGCATCTCCAGCATTGCTTCGTTGCTCGCGCTGACTCGTTCAACCTTCTTGAAGAGCAGAGCATTCGCCAGAGAGATGGAGATCTGGTTCACGAGAAGGTGGAGTACTTGTGTGTTCCGTTCTGTGAAGGAGTTTGGCGGGCCCTCGACGTAAATACTACCAAGGAGGTGGTCTGAGTGGATGATCGGTATGCAAATCACAGCCTTGCCTTCCGGGTTTCGCTTCAGGTACGAGTCCGAGACATTCGAAAAGCGGTCGTCTTCCAGCAAGTTCTGGACAAACACGTTCTCTCGGAAGCGCAGGGTGTAGAGTGTCACTTGCCGGGCGACCATGTCGTCTACCGAGTCCAGCGGCTGACCTGCTGGAAACGACGTGACGCCAGAAACCTGGCCGGGGTCGTTGTTAGACTCACTGGATGCTACGCAGGCGATGCTCCACTCAATCTGGGAGTCTTCTATGACAATGCCACATAGAGTACCTCCAGTCGACTCCAGGATGATAGAGGCCATCTTGGCCATCAGCTTATCGACCTGCAGCTCGCTTGACAGTACCTGAGACGATTCCAGGATGGAGGAGAGGTCGAGCATGTCTAATCCCACTGCGGAGAAGCCGTTGCGGAGGTCACTGGATGATTCGTGGCGTCGCCCCGTCTCAGGGACAATCCAGTTCTGGGTCCGGTCGACTGCCGTCTCGGTTCCAAGCAGCTGTTCATGGTCCTCATTCTGCTCGAGTCGCAATGTTGTGTTCCCTGTGTCAATGATGGTGGTCTGCACCGCGACATCCACCGTGCTGAGTGACACTGCGCCTCGAAGGAGGAACTCATACTTGTTAATGACGTGGTTCGCTTTGCCATAGGCGGAGATCCTGCGATACACAGAAATGCAGTCTTTGAGAGCGTGGCGAGCTGGTCTGTTGGCTCTTTTCCGGACCAGCCATTCGGCGTAGAACTCTAGAGCATGGGCCTCGTCCAGAGTGAAACCGTGAATCTCACTGTGATCCATTGCTGCTTCGTAGTTCCCCAACGCTGTTGGAGGGTCGTCGTTGACCTCTGCAAGCACAGCGGCAAGCAGATGAATCCAGGACCGGTAGTTGACGTCGGTGATGGTACAAAGAGACTCGAGTTGTTTGGTGGTAGTAAGAATGTGGCTCAGCATCTGTTGCCTCTTTGGATGCTCCTTGTCGTCGCGCAGCAGGGCCAGGTATGCGAGTGAAAGATGGTACATGACAGAGTAATTGAGCCGCTGACACCAAAGACTGCCCAGCATCGGCAGCAAAAGCTCACCCAGCGCGGCAGCCTCTTGGTAGTAGCCGTACAGCACCAACACCGGCAGCTTGGCGGCAAGGTAGTAGGTCTTCGGTCGTTTTGGATTGCTTGCCGTTTGCTCGAGCCACTGAACATACTCGGCGGAATCGTGCTCCTCGTCCGTGAAGACTGTCGATGCGTCATCTGTCCTGGTCTTGCCTTGAAGAGCTCTGGCGTACTGGCGAGCTCCCATCAGTAGCACGCCTCCCCGCATGTCTTGTTCCCAGTTCTTCAAGTCCAAGGGAATCTCTTCGACGTAAGCCTCTATCTCAGCACAGTCGTAACAGGCAATCACCCTGAAGTGAGCCTGAGTACCGAGGTTCAGTAGAGTGAGCAAACGATCACCGGCAGTCAATGCCGACTCCAAGGCAGCTTTGATCATGTTAGCTTCTGAAATGTATGCACTTGCAGCAATTGCAATCGCCGACTTACCTTGAAGATGAGGAATCAGATCCGCTGCCGGCGCCTCTAGATGCCCTAAGAACAGCGGATGTAAGGTCTGGCCACGGCCGAGGGTGTAGCTGTCGTCCGGGAACATCTCGAAGAGCCTCTTAGCTATCGCTCCCATATCTGCTGCAAAATTTAACATGGCGAATCGGCCACCAGCGATACTTCCAAGATGGACGTAAGCAAGTGCAGCCTGGGATATGGTTCCTCGTTCGAGGTGGATATTCACTAGCTTCAGCGTGGCCTGGTAGAAGAGCAGGCTGTTCGACCAGAACGCGGCGCTGAGAAGCTCGATAAATACGGGTCCCATTGTAAAAAGTATGCGGTCGTCTTCGGATGGTTGATGTGCCAGCAAGTCCTCTGTGTTGACAGCCTGCAGTTTAGTATACACAACCTGGAACTCTGCATCGCACTCCTCCCAGGTGGTGGGAGGCACTGGGGATCCTAGCAGAGACAGACAGTCTTTCAAAGCCTGGAAGGCGCCAGAGCTGTCACCGCGCACGGCATGGACACGTGATTGTAGAATAAAAGAGCTTGCCATGTCGCAGGGATCGCGGGCATGTTGGAATGTGGTCCGGATGAGACTGAGGGCCTCGTCGAGCATGTTCTGATGCCAATAGCACTCTGCTGACCGCACAAAGAGCTGCAGTGTTTCTTGGTATGAAACGTCGTGCTTCGATTCGTCCCACGGATCGTCTTGCAAGAGCATCAGACAGTGCGCGAAGTAATAGATGGCGGTGGATCGAGCGCCAGATTCGGCGGCCGTTTCTCCAGCCTGATACAGGACGTCCCGGAAAGGCGCACGTTTTGTTTCCCTGTCCTTGATCAAGTCAACAGCGAGACAGATGTGGCGACTTCGCATGTATAAAGCTTTGGAATCGCCCATGGCATCGTCATGCCACTCGTTGGTCGAGCTGACGATACGGGCAATCTCGTAATGCATCATGGGGGTGTCCCAGTCCCTCTCGAGCAAGGCGGCAGCCGCGAATAGGTATCTGTCGTGGCTGAAGCGAAATCGAGACTCGCTTTCAGCAGGCATAAGAATGTAGGCGGCGAGAGCTCCATTCAATGCCGTTACAATGCACTCCTTCTCCCCAAATAATGGTAATCTCTCAGCGTCTGCGGGTGCATTCTTTGGATTCAACAGCTTAGAGACCAGATCGTAGGAGAAAGCGCCGCCGAGTAACGAAGCCCACGCCAACAATTTGCGAGTGTCTGCCGGCAACTCAAGCAACCTCTTTGTGATGAAATCGTTGGTAACTGAAGAGCCGTATTCGGTACTTTCAAAAACTTCAAAGACCTTGTCGAGGTCGAAGAGCCAGTTATTCTCCCGCCAGGAGTAGTAGACGCACTCCTTTCGATAGCAAGTGTCCAGTATTTCCCGGATGTAGAACAAATTGCCCCGACTCTTCTCTTGAATCACTGCAACCAGAGGGAGGATGTACTGATGATCGCGATGAAGCGTTTCGGCGACATAATCGGCAGTCTGGGCTTCCGTGAAGGGATGAAGCTGTACTTTCGTGGCGGACTGTAGTGAGGGTCGGAGTTCTCGGGGAATGCCTTCTTCGTCAGTGTAGGTCAGAATCAGTACAAGCGGGATTTTGGCTTGAACAATATGATGTATGAGTTCTGGTCTTGGTCAGTATGACACGTTGAGTAAGGAAGTTCGATGCGTACCTGCGCTCTCGGAATCTGCGTTCTGTACGTCTTCCAACGTCCATATACACAGCTTCTGCATTGCAAACAACCGCAGGACGTCGATGAAAACGCTCATGAATTTGGTTGACTTGGATGCACCCCCACTTCGCAGCCATGCTTCAGCTGTGTGTCCAGAACTTCCGCAATGTATTGCTGGTGAAGACGCTCGCCTCGAAGGATCTAAATCGCGGGGCATGGGGGCCTTTGGTGTCCCGCTCATATTGAGGAGCCAGTCTGGCAGATTTAGGTAGCTGCGCAGTGCTGCCCATACGCCTGTGTTCTTGAGGAAGCTCCGTAGACTGTTGTGGAAGTCGGACGAGACGTCGGCTTCACTGAATACTTGCCGAAACATCGACGACATGACTTTTAGAATGGGGTCAAAAGGAGCCTTTTTTGTCTTGTCAAACTTGGCCGAAGCAAAGTAGCCGTGACTTCTTGCGGTGCTCTGTACGCTTTGAACCAGACGCGACTTGCCAAGACCAGTGGCGCCGCCAACAGCAATTACCTCACAGCGTCCTTTTCGTCTAGTGACGCGGTTAGACATGCTGCGTGTGATTGTGCTGTCATTTGAAGGTACGGACCTCGAGAGGGAAGAAGATCCTTCAAGACTGTTATTGGAATGGCCTCGACTTGATGGCACCAGGGACGGTCGGAAGTGCGGGCTCTCTCCCGCCATGGAATCCCTAGTCTGAACGCTGTCTTGCGACCGTTGACCGCGTGCTTGGTCAAGAAACACAGGGGCGGCGGAGGAGATGCTGTTCAAGCGGGTTTCTGAGCCGCGAGAGCTCGACGTGTCAGACACAATATCGTCGAACTGGAAGTTGACTTGGCCATCGGAGAATGATGAATTGGAGCTCAAGCTGCTCAGGACTTTGACGCCGGTTCGGCGACGTTTGTGCACACGCTGGATCACATCGACGATGATTTGACGTTCCTTTTCGCGGCCGATCTGCTGCAGTGGAAGATTGAAGAAGCAGCTGATGTCCTTTGTCCCGATTTTGAATGCCTTCAGTCCTTCGCCATCGCCCTCGGATAGGAGCTCGCGAATTCGGATCAGATCGAATTTGAGACCTGAGGTCGAGTGGTAGCGCTCCTCGATGTTTCGTTGCGTCATTCGCTGGATGACCATGGAGAGGGCGTCGGGGATGTCTATGCGCCCAGATGTGACAGGTGGTATTCTCTTGCTCAACACGCTCTGCATCACGTCCAGCGCGGTGGTGCCTTCGAAAGGCGTGTTCCCGCACAGCATTGTGTAAAACAATATCCCCAGGCTGTAGATGTCGGTTCGACTGTCGGGCTCGGCAGGCATGCGACCTGTTTGCTCGGGGGCGATGAAGGCGAGCTTCAACTCGATCCCGGTTTCGCGACTCAGAGTGTTCCATCCAGCAGAAGTGAGCCCGTTTTCGAATGATCTGGCGCCACTGCCAAAGTTTATCATCTTCACATGACCGTTCTCGGCGAAATGGAAAGCGTCGGCGCGCAATTCGCCGTGGACCATCTCGTGGCCGTGGTGTAGGATCTCCAGACACTCTGTTGCGCCGACTGCAAAGTCCAGGAAGGTGAGCAGAGGCACGCCTGTGCTGGGCCGCGCTTCATTGGACCGCCATGCGTTGTCTCGATGTGTGAAGTTGTACCAGTTTGGGCCGAAGGTGACCAGATCCTTCAGATAGTTTGGGCCGGGGGCCTCGAAGATGCTGGCGACCATGGGATCCTCGCCGGGCCGCGAAGGCAGTCGGATGAACTCGAGGGGCCGGACGAAGTGGCGACAGGCGGGATCGGACTTGCTGATGATGAGCTTGGACAGGTGGAACTCGCGCTCGAGGCGCAATGTGTGCATGGACACGCGGCACACGACAGGGCGGCCATCGCGATGCAGGGCGGTGACGGTGGCGTAGGTGTGGGCGGTGGTGGCACTGGCATCGCTGCCAGAGGACTTGTGGCGGAGGGCGATGGACGGGCGGTGGGCGTCGGGCGAGTGCGAGGCGGTGGGCGAGGCGACGGCACTGCGGCCGCGCGAGGGCGGGCGGTCGTGGGCAGAGGCAGATGCCTTCTGGTGGCCGAAGAAGTGCCAGTTGTCGTAGGACTGCGTGGTCAGCCGGGGTGGCTCGCGGGCGCGCGCGGCTTACCGAGTGGAAGGGCTTGATGTCCGAGTCCCAGACGTAGTTGGGCAGCTCCTGCAGGCGCGCGAGGATGCCGGCGAAGCGCGTCTCCCGCGGGGTCTGGGCCGTGGACGGCATGGTGGGCGCTGGTAGGCAGTGGACGCTGGTCAGGCAGTGGGCGCGCGCGGCATCGCTTCGCGGGATCGCGCCGTGGTCGTCGCCGTGGCCGGATGCAGATCAGGGTCGCAGGTCACGGTGTAGCGGGCGGGGCGGCGGGCATGGTGCTGGGCGCGTCGCGGGGGCAGAGCCGGTGCTCAGGAGGAGCAGCGTGGCATGGGAGTAGCAGCTCAGCACTGCGGGACCGACGTGCTGACTGATGGAGCTTTCGGCCCTGGGCTGCTAAGCTTTGCTGGGCTGCGCTTCAGGCCGTCATACGTCGCACACGCCCCACCAGCGTCGAGCGCGGTCTGGGTGGGCGATCGGCGCAACGTCGCACCTCACCCAGGCCGTGGACACGCCCGCCAAAGACCCCGTCCGACCCTGACCGACCCAGACAGACCCGCCGGTAATTCCAGACAGGCCCGCCGTCAACAGACCCGCCGCGCAGAGACACGCAGAGCCCCGTCCGCAACAGTCCACGCCAGTCCGCACACCCTCCGCAACAGGCAATCGCCCGCCCGCCCTATACCTCGCTGCGCCCGCCATACCTGCGCCCGCCCTACACCTCCACCCACGCCGCCCCGACTCCCCCCCCGACTTCCTCCCCGCTGCTCGACACCTCCGCCCGGCAAGCCACATGCCTCCCCGCCGCCGGTAGCCTCTGCACAGCTCGCACTGCACGCCCATGCTGCAATGGACATCACCGACCGCGACCATGGCTTCCAGGACGACCCGCCCGCCCCGCCGCGCCAGCTGCCCTCGGACCTGCCCACCTCGCTCAACGACCGCCGCCCGGTCAGCGCCTACATGCCCGAAGAGACGGAGATCTACGATGCTTGGCAGGGTGAGTAGCCCACGCCCGTCTGCAGCCCGCGCTGACTTGGTCCACAGGCCAGTCGTTCCTGACCACGCCCATGCCCGCCCGCCCGCTCAGCTTCAACCTGTCGCTCGACGACCCCAGCTTCGGCGACGAGGACATGCAGCAGCTCGAGGACAGCGACAGCCGCCTGGTGCAGATGCTCGCCCACCAGGCCCGTCTGAAGAACGACAATGCCGGGGATGAAGCCAAGGTCGTTGTGGATGACAAGCTGTCGCACGAGGAGAAGAGGGAGGCACTCCAGGGGTTGTTTACACTGGCCACGTCCAACGGCGAGCTCGAGCGCGTCAAGCGCCTGCTGGAGGGCAAGGCCCGGGAGTACATCAACATCGACGGCGTCGACGCAGAAGGGACCCCGCCGCTGGTCTATGCCAGCTGCTTTGGCCACGAAGACGTTGCGCGCATTCTGATCGACGAGGGCGCAAAGGTCGACATTCAAGACAAGAACCGCTGGACGCCGCTCATGTGGGCCATGACCAACCGCCACAAGGAGATTGTGAAGCTGCTGCTGGACCACGGAGCCTCGACCGACGTCAAGTCGTCTGGCGGCAGAACCGCCTTTGACTTTGTCGAGCCCAACAGTGAAATCTCCGACTACCTGCACGAGAGCGGCTACGCCATTGGCAACGCAGGCGTGGACGACTTTTACAATTCAGGCTTGGAGAACGACCGATTCGAGCAGGAAATGCAGGAGAACGACATGAAGCGCCGCATGATGATGGAGAGCGCGTTCAACCTGGAAGTCGATATTGGCAACCTCGGGCTCGACGAGCAACCGGAGGTAGGCTGTGCGTTCTTGTACTCGACCCCACTGACATCAGCAGTCTCCCGAAGAGCCCGACGAAGGCCAGGAGTTCATCTGGGACCGGTGTCTCAACGACCAGATGTTCGTCTTCCAAGAAAGCGAGCTCGAGCGCATCCTGGACATAATCATCACAACCATGACACCGCAGCGATCGCCGTCGCAGAAGCCGGTTCCTGCGAACGTGCTCTTCCTGGCCGCCCGCTACGCCCACTACCACGCCAGCCCAGATCTACTCGAAACTCTGCTTGTATCGGCCATGGGCAAGATCAACGAGGTTGTAGAGAAATACCAATGGGATATGACAGTGTTGGCATTTTGGATGTCCAACGCCACACTACTGCTACACTACATGAAGAAAGACGCCGGGCTGGCCATGGCCGCGACAGAATTCCAGCTGCAGATGGCAGAGCTCATCAACGAGATCTTTATCTTGATCATCCGGGATGCGGAGCGGAGAATGGACAAGAACCTGGACTCGTCCATGCTCGAGCACGAACCCATGCCGGGGTTTGAGGATGTGCAGTTCCAACACGAGTGGAAGATCTTCCGCTCCAAACCAAAAGCGAAACCACTCGAACCTCTTGAGAAGCGGTTCCGGCCTCCATCACCGAAGGCTAGAGCGAAACCCTCGCCTCGCAACATCGCCTCCCTGCTTTCCTCCACCCTCTTCGTCCTGGATCTCTACGATGTCCACTCAGTCATCACTGCTCAAGTGCTGTCGCAGCTGATCTACTGGCTCACCGCAGAGATGTTCAACCGCATCATGTCCAACCGGAAATACCTGGCGCGAACAAAAGCCATGCAGATTCGCATGAACGTGTCGACGCTGGAAGACTGGGCGCGCTCCAACAACCGGCAGCCCGAACACTACGAGAACGGCTCCATGACCTCAACCGGCGACAACACCGTCGACTCTACCAGAAAACACATCGAGCCGCTGATCCAGCTGCTGCAGTGGCTGCAGTGCTTCACGTCGATTGGCGAAGATCTGGAGTCGCTCATCGGCACATTGCAGCAGCTGACAAAACTATCACCCTCACAACTCCTGCACACCGCGAAATACTACCGCCCGGAAGTCGGCGAAAAGGGCCTGCCCAAAAGCGCCTCGAAATACATCGTGCACCTGCAACAAGCCGCCGCCGAGCGCAAAACACGCGCGCGCTCCCCCAACCCTCCGCAAAAACCCTTCGAAGAGCCCACCACCCCCATCGCCCAGACCTCAGGCATGCAGCTCGCGCCCACGCCCTCGCCGGCGCCCTCGCGCGTCTCGGGCGAGCTGGTGCGCGAAGAAGACGACGCGCCCAGCGAACTCCTCCTCGACCCTTCCTACATGCTGCCCTTCACGCTGCCCACCTCGACCGACATGCTGATCAGCTACGGTGCGGGCTTTGGCGGCGTGAATCGCGAGCGCGAGCGCAAGTATATTCCCACCGTGCCGCCGGAGATTATGGCGAAGTTGGAGTTTAGCGGGGGGAGTAAGAATGGGGGGTATTATGAGGAGCAGTGGAATGATGGCGGGTTTGGGTGATCTTGATATGCCGGGTACAAACTCGAGTATGCTGGGACAACCTCGAGTATTGCCCGTGCGTGAGTGCGGTGGAGTGGAAGCGCAGAGGGCGAAAAGTCGCATTGGATAGGTTACTGCATCAGCGTTTGGATCCGAGGCGTATAGCATATAGCATGTATAGACACACCCGCGCACAGCACCAGCTTCTGCACCCCTTGCAACCCCCCCCCCCCCCCCCCCCCCTTGCCTAACTCAATCCAAACCCACCGCACTCCCATCTCGCAGAAGCAGCACTGTCGCTACACACTACAGCCCGCGACTACCCGCGACTTCCCGCCCGCCCGTCCCCAAGAAGCAGATCGCAACCCAAGTGTACAGTCTAACCACGCTATCAGGTGCTGAATCGTGTCACATATCGCACCCCCGGACGCGGGCGCTGCACCGAACACGCCCGCCGCGCCCGCTTAGGCGATGCTTAGGAGATATGCACACCTGATGGAAACCGCGCTGGCCACACAGCGTTCGTGTATTCTGCCGGTTTGCTGGTGGTTACCTGATGGCAAGTATTTCGCTCAGGTGGTGGATTGGTGCAATTGGTGCAATTGGCGAGACGCAGGGGCGGTGGTGCTGGACCGCTGGTGGTGGGGTGCCAGGTTATCTCCGTTTTCGGGTGCGGGGCGGCGGCGGGCGCCGAAGGGGACCTGGGTTGGGAGATAAATAGAGGGGTGTGCCCCGGTGGGTGATATACGGGGATTTGTTCTACTGTTAGACTTATTCTACGAGGCTTTTGTTGGATCTTTGTTGGACCTTTGGATCTTTGGATCTTTGGATCTTTGGAACTCATTTGGAACTTTTCTGGACGCGTTTTGGATCGACATCTTTGATTGAGATCACTGTGCCTTCACCATGGCAGCCAAGTTCATCCCCGCGGGCGAGATTGACGAGGTGTTCAAGTCGAAGTACACTGGTATGCTCTGCCCCTTCCCTCCCTGCACCACAACCACCGCCACCACGCCGCCCAAAGCTCACCCACGCCCCCAGACCTCATCTCCACCCCCCTCGGCTCCCGCATAATCTCCTTCAGCGACGAATGGTTCGCCGCCGCCTCGAACCTCACCACCAAAACACCCCCCATCTCGCGCCCCGGCGTCTTCGTGCACTCCGGCGCCTGGTACGACGGCTGGGAGACGCGGCGCCACAACACCGCGCCCGCGGACTGGGTCGTAATCCGGCTGGGCACGGCGTCTGGGCGCGTCGCGGGCGTGGAGATTGATACCGCGTTTTTCAACGGGAATCACGCGCCGGCTATTAGCGTCGAGGGCGCGTTTGCGGACTCCGACGAGGAGGTTAAGGACGAGGGGTACGGCGGGTGGACGACGATCTTGGAGAAGCAGGACTGCGGCCCGTCACAGCGCCATGGGTGGCTGCTGCCCTCCCTGACGGACGCGGCGTACACACACGTCCGCCTACTCATGTACCCCGACGGCGGCATCGCGCGCTTCCGGCTCTACGGCGTCGCGGTCCCGGTCTTCCCCGCGTCCGCATCCGCGGTCTTCGAGCTCAGCGCGACGGTCATGGGCGGCGTCGCCACCGCCGTGTCGGACCAGCACTTCGGCTCCGCGGACAACCTGCTGCTGCCGGGGCGCGGGCACGACATGGGGGATGGCTGGGAAACGAAGCGCACGCGCGGCGAGCACGTCGACTGGACTATAGTGCGTCTTGGGGCCGCGGGCGAGATTGATCACATCGTCATCGATACAGCGCATTTCCGCGGCAATTTTCCGCAGAAGGTGCAGGTGTTTGCGGGCGCCTTTGAGAGTGACCCCGGGCACGAAGATGGCGCGTGGACGGAGGTGTTGGCGCCGCAGAAGAGCGGGCCGGATGTTGAGACGGAGTATAGGAGTGAGTTGGTGAATGTGGCGGGGAAGCGGTATACGCATGCGAAGCTGGTTATTATTCCGGATGGTGGCGTGAAGCGGTTTAGGGTGTTTGGCAGGAGGATGTAGGGGATGGAGATGTAGAGGATGTAGAGGATGTAGAGGATGTAGAGGATGTAGAGGATGTAGAGGATGTAGAGGATGTAGAGGATGTAGAGGATGTAGAGGATGTAGAGGATGTAGAGGATGTAGAGGATGTAGAGGATGTAGAGGATGTAGGATGTAGACAAAACAGACGTTTGATCTCCACTTACCACTTGACTACGGTGATGCAAATGACCTCGTAGAACATGTAGGAGATGTAGAGTATGTAGGAGGTATAGAAGATAGAGACAAACCAGACGTTGATCTCCACTCAACGCTCGACAACAGTAATGCAAATGACCTCGCGTTCGGTGACTCATGTTCGAACGTCAATTTACAGGCGCCTCATATTCGAAACGTCAATTCAAAGGGTATCTAAAGGTACAATCCCGCTCATCTCCCCCCAATGCGTCCGCCATGCAAATATACACCAAGAAAATTCATTACCGTCATTACTCCCCCGTGCACAGACACCGCCAGTACTACCGCATATACTCGGGCTTGCTCGCCTTGTTCACCGCCGGCGGCTCATCGTCATCCGGGTACGGCAGCGGCGCGCCGGGCGGCGGGCGCGCAAACCCCAGGCCGACGGGCGGACCCGGCGACGTCGTGTAGACGGGCGAGATGGGCGAGCGGAACGCGGGGTGGCCGGACAGCGGCGGGGGGATCTTGCCGTCGTTGAGGGGCGTTTTGGGCGGGCGCGGCGGCGGCTCGAAACTCAGGCGCGGCGAGGGGGCGTAGGAGAGGGGGCGGTCGGCGGAGAATTGCTCGTCCGAGGTGCGGCCGGGCGAGACGAGCTCGCCCGAGTGCCGCGGGGGCATGTCGTTGATGCCCACGGGTTGTGGGAACTCGTCCGAGGAGACGACGAGGTATTTGTCGTTGTCGGAGTGGTGGCGGTGGGGCTGGAGAGGAGCCGGGCGCATGTCGGGCGTCATCGTGGACATTGTCGACATGTACTCAGCAGTGAGCTCTTCGGCTGGGAGCTCGACTGCAAAGCCAATGGGGTCCGGGATGGTCGGCAGGGGCTTGGTCGGTGGTGGTGAGGCCGCTGGCAGGGACGAGCTGGAGTTGTGGCCCTTCTCTGCACGCTCCCAGCGCAGCTTTGCGCGGTGGATGCGGGCGATCTTTGCGGAGGCGTCAAGAGTCATGGTCTGCACATTCTTCTCGGCCAGGTACATGCGCGTGTTGGTGCTGATCTCGGACAAGGCATTCCACTCGTTCATGCCGAACTCGCCCACACCGACGTTGACGTTTAGGCGGTAGTAGTTTTCCTGGTTGACCTGGCGCTTCGCGAGGTGGTCCTTCATCTCTTTGTGTGTCTTCTCGCAGCCCTCAATCTTCGCGATGAGTCTGCGACGCGCCTCGGCAAAGTCGCCAATGCCGCCCGAGACGAAGCCCTCCCACCACAGATGCTCCTGGGCGTTCGTTCCGTCGGGTCGCTTTCCGGTGCCTATGCTGACGAAGACGCCAATGTCGCGGCCGGGCCATTCATTGCAGACGGCTTCGTCCAGCACCATGGGCGAGGGGTTGTATTTCCCAGAGCCTTCGTCGAGGAAGACGGATTGGCCGATCTGAATCGGCTTGAACGCGAGGGCGGTCGCAGCTGTTGCGCGTCCCGCCTGCCAGATGGTCGCGTTGGGTGCTACGGCGGGTTCTTTGCGCGAGTCGTAGGATCGCAGCAGGATCTGGCCAGTGCCGGCCTTCTTCGTGCCTTTGTAGACGCCCGTGACTGCTCTGATGTATGTCAGCACGCGCATGTCATTCGTGTCCATCTCACTCACGTTTTCGTGCGCTCCTCGCGGTTGTCGTACAGCAGGGCATTCGGGTTGCCCCACTTCATGGCGGCCACGCGCATGTTGACGGGCGCCATGCCGATCTGGCTGTATCTGCTGGCGTTGCTGGCGCTCCGGTTCACGCGCCCCTGCTGCAGTGCGCTGCCCGGCGTCATCGGGGTGCTGAGGTCGGCCGAGGACGCGAGTCCGTCGTGGTTGTCGTTGCCCTCGTCGTCGTAGATGGTGTGTTCGCGCACGCACTCCTTGATGGCCTCCTCCAGCTTCGACGCCTTGAACAGCGTCGAGCGGTACGGGATGCCGGCGAACGTCTTGTCCGTCTCGAAGACCTTGCGCGTCATGCGCACGTATACGTCCTTGCACGTCTCGACGTCCATCCGCAGCCGCCCCAGCATGATCGCAATCAGCCCGCCGGTGCCGGTGCCGGCAATCAGGTCGAAGTGCTCGCACGGCTTCGGGACTTCGTGTCGCTTCGGCGCCCGCCCCTCGCTCTCGACGAACGTCCGGTGCATCAGCTCCTGCAGAATGATGAGCATCGAGTACCCCCCGCACGCCTCCGCCATCTGGCCTGTCAGCGATTGCGTCGGATGTAGTGTTATAACGTACCGAGCGAGAGGATGCGCAGCGGCGGACCCTTGGTGGTGTCTTTGCGCCGGATGTGCGTGTTCGCCATGATGCTGGTGTTGAGCGCGCGCTGGTCGTGGCTGCCTTGCGGCCGGCAAGCTCAAGCTGTACGCAATGCGCGTCTGGAGATGCCGGTTGCCGGTCACGTTCAGAGGTTCGTATTCGGCAGGCTGGCAGACGGCTCGCCGGGCGTTTGTCACAGTCGTGTAAGCGGAGAGGTTGGAAGCTGAGCGTGCTGGTCTTGGACGAGAGCTGGGTCTTGGACAAGTGCTAAGATTCTCAGCCTCGGCGCGCCTGGGAGCGCTCAACGAATGTGGCAGGTGCCTGATGACCTGCGTCGGGTGTTCTCACGAGCGTGCCGAAGAGTCACAGAAGCCGTCTACAGTCCAGAGGCCGCGCGCACGTGGTTATGAAAGAGCTGAAACCTGCCAGTCTTTGGGCTTCACCAAGCCCTCCAACGTCACACCTGGACAGTGCCCTCCCCACCGCCATGGAGCCTGGAGAGCGCACAGCCACACGCTACCGCCACGCCCACCAACCACAGCCCGCCTGTGTTTTGCTGCATGCTCCATCCATGCAAGCGCCGCCATCGTGAAGCTGTCAAAACCAACTTTTCCTTCGTTCGCAGCGAGATCGCCGTGTGCCTGCAGCGGCTACCTGCTGACCCGCTTTGCCCTCAGGAACCTCTTCTACCGTGTCTTAGCGAGTGTTGTTGGTCCAATCACTCGCCCCGACCCTGGCCAGCTTCCAGAAGGCATCGCGTCGGCCGAGCGAATGAGATGCCGAGCAGACAGGACGGGCAACAGAGGCAAAAGTTCGCCGTCTATTCGGACGTCTATCGTAGACTGTGACCAAGAATACATTTGCCTCTATCGACGAATTGGCGGAGGCCCTGGCTTCACGTGGCTGGAGAGATGATGTCTCCGGTAGGCTAACCACGTATCAATATTACGGGTGCAACGTGGGTCCTGGTGGTGCTATACAGAGCATATCCGAGACTGACATGTACTGCGATCACGATGCGGCAGAACATCATTTTATCTTCCAACGCTGCGGCTCTTCTAACATCGATTCGCATCACGCTCGGATGCGGTCCCGGTTCCGTAGTCACCAACCGCGGATGCGGCTTGCCTCACTCGTCGCTAACGTCTTGGAAGGGCGTGCACGTGGGGTCCCAAGACGACATCTTGTCCAACATCCAAAACTTTGCACATGAACAACATCAATCGACATGGCAGACTCCAGTGATTACCAGGCTTCAGAGCTTGACCGCATACCGACAGTATGGCTCCTGACCGGCCTCGTTGTCTTCCCGTACTTGGTCTACCAGTTGCTCGGCTTCCTTAGCCCGCTGATCCACAACCTGACCGCCATGCGCATATCCGAGGTCTGTCCACGATTTTGGATTCAGTGAATGTGAACTAACCCGTCACAAGATTTACGTCTATCCGATCAAGTCTCTTCGTGCAGTACCCCTCAAAGAAGCAGTCGCTACCAAATATGGCTTCGACCACGATCGTATGCATCCGCTGTAGTCCGTGCGTCGTCTGCTAACAGCTGCAGGGACATTTATGCTGCTCAAGAAGAAAGACGACGGCTCATGGCAAAACATGACCATTGGCCACTTCTCGGACATGACGCAGTTTGTGCAGGAATTCGAAAACTATGGCACAAACGACGCCACCATCAAGGTCACCTACCGCGCGTATGGTGAAACGGATCAGTCCAAATCCATCCGCGTCCCACTTGTGCCTGACACCGAGAAGCTCGAGTCTTTCCACGTGAACATGCACGGCAGTCCCACTGATGCGTTCCACATGGGCGAGAAGTACAGCCAATGGTTTACTGAATGCTTCGGATATGACGTTGTCCTCGTCTACATTGGCGCGGAGAACAAGCGTCCCGTCATATTCGAAGACATGCAACCCATCACTCCCGACCCCTTGACGTCTTTCTTCAAGAAGAACATTCCCTTCCTCGGCCGCAAGATCGAGAGGCTGATGGGCATCCGCCAGACCGAGCAATGGCGCATCAAATTCCAGGACTGTGCCCCCTTCCTCATCACATCCAAGACCTCTCTCGACGACGTCTCCGCGCGTCTCGACGGCGAGAAGATGGACATGGTCAAGTTCCGCCCTAACATCGTCATCGAGGGCGCCCACGAGCCCTGGCAGGAGGACTACTGGGGCAAGATCACCATCAACCAGAAAACGGAGATGATCATGGCGCACAACTGCGTGCGCTGCCAGAGCATCAACCTCGACTACAACACGGGCAAGCCCGGCGTCGGGCCCAGTGGAGAGGTGCTCAAGCGGCTGCAGAAGGACCGGCGGATTGATATCGGGGCAAAGTGGAGTCCGGTGTTCGGGCGGTACACGTTCTGGGGCCTGGACGCGCCGAAGAGCCAGCTCATCAAGGTCGGAGACAAAGTCAACGTGACCAAGGTCAACGAGGGACTGACGATCTGGAGTACGTCTACCCACTGTCATATCAATGCTGTACTGACTATCCGCAGGCTGGCCCGGTCTGGCTTAACAACGGCCCACAAACCCACACTGTCGTTACGCAATCCATAGACTCAAAAGCAAGCCGTTCTATAAAGCCACTAGCCACCACTAGCCACCACTGCACTCCACTACACTTCACTGTCTTCGTACTGCATACCCTTCCTCACTGTCCCTGACACCCGCTCCCCGCCCCCCTTCCCCAGAACCCCAGCGCCACACACCCGCCCTCACACACCCCCACCGCCACGTCCCCGCTACACACCACCCGCCCCTCGTCCCCGCACGGCTGACAATTTCTCTCCTCCCCAACCCCCTCGACATCATCCCGCTCCACAGCCCCGGATATTTCCCACACGCTCCTTACCCTCGCCGCTGCGCGCTGCAGGCGGCATGGCCGCGGTCCTGCGCGCGCGTGGAGCGTGGGGGTGGTGGTGGTGGTGGAGGAGGAGGTGGGGTTGTTGCTGGTGGTGGGGGTGCGGTGTTGGATAGCAGTCGCTGCGGTATCGGACGCTTCGCTGGCAGTCCCTGCGGTATGGGTCTCTTCGCTAGCAGGCCCTGCGGTGTTTGTGTCTGCGGGATCACTGTCTTCGCTATCGCTCTCTGCGGTGTTACTCTCAGCGGTGTTACTCTCCCCGCTACGCTCACCACGAGTGCGCTCAGCACCCACACTGGCACTGCCCGCACCTACCAGCACAGGGACGGGTACAAATCTATCGTCGCCCGCCGGACCGCGGGACAGGATCGCAACCGCGTCGTTCGCGTGCTGCGCGTGCGACCCCGTCTCCGTCTCCGTCTCCGTCTCCGTCGATGGTATCGGTCCCGCAGACGCAGACGCAGACGCGGCGGTGAAGCCCAACCTATCAAGCGTGAACACCGGCAGCGCTGTGCCCGTATCTACGTCTCCTCCCGCATCTGCGTTGCCCTTCGCTGGCGGCGCGGCGGAGAGCGTGATATACACCATTTCTGTTTCTGTTTCCGTTTTTGTTTTCGTCTCCGTCTCTGTCTGCGTCTTCGTCGATATAGCCAGCGGGCAGGGGAAGCGTGTGATGGACACCGTTTCCGTTGCGTTTGTGGGAGCAAAGAGGAACGGGGACGGGGACGGGAATGGGGATAGGGATGGGGGTGTGCTGATCGGCGACGTGGTGGTGTGCGTGGTGTTGTGGGCGAGTGCGGTGGAGGGGAAGGCTGGGGTGTTGAGGACGTACATTGTGGTGCGCGGGTGTGGGTTAGATATGCGATATCTCACTGTGCGAGAAGTAGATGTATCACTGTGCACGAAGGAAGGGGGCGTGGTGATTTAAGGCGCGTTGCACGGTGACGAATACTTCTAAACGGGCGTGAACGCGAGCGTAGCAGTATCGTTATTCACATTGACGGTATCATTGAATTCCCTGCGTCTCCTACAGCGTCACCAAAGCGCCCCTCACGTCCTAATCTCCGCCGCCTTCCTCAGCCGATTCATCACCGCGGCCGCAATATCGTCACCCGTGGTGTCGTCAATGCCCTCGACGAAAATCAGCTCCACGCCCTTCTTGTCCAGCTCGCGCAGCGCGGAGAACAGGCCGCGAGCCACGCCCTCGGTTTCCGCGCCGAGAGCGATGTCCCACACGTCCGTGGCGCGAGAGGCGAGCACGTGGTGGTGTGCGTGCGGGATCTGGTGCTGGATCACGGAGCGCAGGAGGTTGGAGAGTCGGGAAGGGGTGGCTGTGGGTAGTGAAGGGGTGGTGTGCGGGCGCGATGGGCCGTTGGCGTGGCCGTTGGTGGCAGCATCACCTGCAGTGTTATCTACCAGGCCAAGCGCAGGCTCCCAGCTCGTGGTGCGGATGATTCCGATGCTGGACTTGCGGGCCAGTTCCTCGGGCGCGGGCTTCGCGGCCCCGGCTTCGAACAGGAGCACCTCTGCCTTCGGGCTGTAGTGCCTGTACTTCATGCCCGGCGCGCGGGGCCTGCTCGCGGTGGCTTCCTGCTTGTCCTTGTACCCAATCGCGACGTGCTCCCACCCCGGGCACTGCCTCAGCTGCTCCACTGTGACGCCGCCCGGGCGGAGGATGCTCGGCGGGCTCGACAGGCCGTCCACGACGGTGCTCTCGACGCCGACCTCGCAGGGCCCGCCATCGACGATTGTGTGTATGCGCCCCTGCAGGTCGTCGAAGACGTGCTCAGCGGCTGTGGGAGAGGGCCTTGTGGACGCGTTCGCGGAGGGTCCAGCAAGGGGGCGTCCGCAGAGACGGAGCAGCGAGAGGGCGAGGATGGAGCGCGGCATGCGCGCGCCGAACGTCGACAGGCCGGCTGTGACTTCTGGTGCTAGTGTTGTGTTCGCGGGTACGGGCATGATCAGTGTCAGAGGCCCTGGCCAGAAGCGCTCGATCAGCGGCCTGTAGATTGCAGGAATGGGGTCGCTGTCTGTCTGCGATGCGGCTTTTCCGGATAGTAGCTCTCGCAGCTGGGGCAGCGAATGGACGTGTACGATGAGCGGGTTGTCTGCTGGCCGCCCTTTTGCGGCAAAGATTGCCTTCACTGCTGTGCTTCTTGTCGCGTCTGCTCCCAGTCCATAGACAGTCTCTGTGGGGAACGCGACCGGTATGTCTGTATTCACTAACTCGTCGGCTGCCCTCTTGAGGCTTTGGTAGGCTGTTCCCTCCGCATATTCTATGTCCCACTCTTCGATTAGGTCCGTCTTCGTCTCGGTGAACGAGATCCTGCCCAGTTTTTGCGGATCTACGGCAAGAATATTGGTGTCCATGTTTGCAACCGACCGTGGATATAACTTGGCTGCAGTTCTAATCCCCACTGAATGTGCAATGCGTGCTTTGACGCCTGTGGTCGGAACTCTCAGCGCGGTAGTAGATATATACTGGTACCCTGATGCGGCGACTTGCACCAGAGGGCGTTTCTGAAGGTATGGCAAGACTTGTTCTGCGAATTTGACATTTGGTATGCGGGGACGGCGCGTTAGCATCAAGGATGACTGGTGATGGAGCCCAATTTTTTTCGTTCTTTTCGGAATCATTCCGACCCAGCCTTGGCGCCCGACGTCATGTTCAAGGTGAGAGTACTGAACACGCGTTGGCGGGAGGCATGTGCTGCTTTTGCGAGGCACTTATACGTTCTGCTGAAAATTAGACTTGAGACGTCAGTCTACTGTCGTGAATATAGGTCCCACAACAGTGGGCGAGTGAAAGATGAACTGCGTTTCATTGTTATAGAATGATCGTTTATCGCTATCCTACTAGTTCTCGTACACTGAGCCTCACAAACGCCGTAATACACCAGCCGATAAACCGTGCAACCAGAAAGTAGAGCCATACACATCAAGGGTATCCGGCCAACGCCGTTTTGAATCCCATAACCCAAAAGAAGTCGCTAACCCAGCAAGGCCAAATCGAGATACAGAGCTTTTATGCAGAGACAGACACCTCTGCTGGACCAGCAAGGATACTTTCAGCAGGCGCGTCAACTGCTGTTGTCGGGACAGCCTGGCTCTGGGACGCCAGCTCGCCGCTGGCGGCAGTCTCAGCCCACTGTCCCCACAGGCCACGCTTCGCACGAATACGGAGCGGGCCTCCTAGCTCGGTGCCAGGCTGGTCAACCTTGATTGCGTCCTTGGTAGCCAGAACCAAGACCTCAAAGAACATCTTGGTAGCATCGGCTCTTGATGTCTGGGCTTCTGGGAGCAGCTCCTGGAAGACGATCGTGTTCTTCTGTCGTATCGACTCACTCTCCTCTGCTTCAGGTCCGAATTGCTCTCGCAGGAGGTGTACAGCATGCTTGGTACCTAGCGAAATAGGGCCACTCTCAGCTGGGTGGTAGAGTGGGGCTGTTGTGTCGTCGAAGTTGTCGGGAATCGGCGAGAAAGCTTCTTCTTCTATCTCGGGTCGGTCGCCAATGTCACTAGGGAGTTGCATGACGGGATCGTCGCCACCGATGGTCGTGTCACCGGGGTGAATTTCACCGCCTCCCAATGAAAGCTCGTCCAGTCCGACATCCAGCTCTGGCAATGCAGCTGCCTCATCCTCGGTTTGCTCAAGACCTGCAGCGGCATTGTCTCGCTTGCGCTTACTAGGACGCGACACGACTTCCAGCGAGAGAATACCTCTCAGCTCTGGAGCCCAGCCTTGACTTCGGCCGTCGCCCAGGATACTAGAAACAAACCCACCGGACTTCTGCATGTTAAGAAGAGCCATCAGAAGCGGATCGCGGGGCAGGAATGATGCCTGCTTCAGAATCTTGTCGCGGTTTGCTTGCTGGTCCCTGAGTTGGGCGGTCGAGATCATGGTTTCAGCATCTTGGGTGATGACCTTTCTGCGCTTGGCTCTAGCCTGGTGGATCGACTCCTCCTCTTCTCCAGGTTCAAGCATGGTAGGGTCCAGCTCAGCGATCTCCTGTGCAAGGCGGGTTTCTTCTTCTTCGCCCAGTTCGGACAATGGAGAGTCCTCGCGAGTGAGCTGCGGGACATCGTCACCAGCCACCGAAGATGGCATCGGAGGCAGCAGCTCTGTTCCAACATCCATGCCGCCCATTTCAGTGTCTCCGAGATTCAGTTCTGTGTCAACCTGGGGTCCCAATTCAGTCAGTCCGTCTTCGCCGACGTCCAGATCAAAGTCATCGTCGTTGCGCAGCTTCAGCTCGGTGCCAAACTCTTCTTCCATGGGCCGTTCAGCAGGGGCATCACGTCCAATTTCAGGCTCCAGATCTTCGCCAAGATCAATCTCAAGATCGTCCATGTCGTGCAGTTCCATCTCTTCATGGCGCGCTTGCTCGACGCTGTTAGACAGGAACTGGCTGGCGTCCCAATCTGGTAGTGTGACGTTTCCCAAGGTAAGGTCTCCATCGAGCGTTTGCGACAAGAGGAACGAAGGGTCCGGCATCGGCGCCAACAAGTCGAGATCCGTGATCATGTCAGGCAATGTCAGACTGGTGGGATTGGCAGCGTGTGTCTGAGTAGGCAGATCAATGTTTCCAGGGCGGAAAGCCTGCAGCGCGTAAGTCATAGCCAGAATTGCGAAATACCGAACATACCATCTTGATCTTCCACAGCGCGTCGTTGCAGTCATCGTGCAAGTAGTGCGCTTTCCTGTGGTAGATGCGCACCACACCAAGCAACAGCTGGCCGTTCAATCGCAGCGCGAGAGGCCCGCCGGCAGCCCCCTCAGGCCGAATAATGACCTGAATGTCTTCATCGATCTTGTCCTGCAACACTTGGGCTTTTGTAAGCTTTTTGTGCTGATTAGCGGCGAGCCAGACGCGAGCAAGCTGGCCCGACTTGAAGAGAAGATCTTCCGGAAGAAACATGGCGGTGGCGGGTAGAGACTACGGTTGCGCGGGGTGAAGAAGTGGACGCGTCGAGGCGGAGTTGTTTACGTTGGCGCGTCGTCAGCAGGTGGGTGCGCACACGATATGCGCGCGCCGACGGCTTCAATTTGGAGTGCCAAGGGTGCGCGCAAGGGTAGCAATGGTCGTGCAGGTCACAAATTGTTGCGCAGGTGGTGGTGTAGATGCGCGTAGGGGTGGGTGGTCCGGGTGTCGTGAGGCTGGTTGGCCGGAGGCTGGAAAGCACGACCGACACTTGCTTATGTCACGTTGATCCGCAGCACTCGACGGCCACCGCATCGCACGCAAAGCCAGACAGCAACAGCTTCCTGGTTCCCATTGCAGCGAGGTTCAAATGCCGATTCAAACTTGAAGACATACGATTCTTGCTGATAATGTACATTACGTCCGTTCTGAGTGCTACACACTGCAGCGACGGCCCTGTGCATACAGCCTAGGCCCATGCAGTTTGCCTTGCGCTGCCTTTACTCTCTCTCCAGGCAACGGGGCGCATGACATCACGAGTGCATGTCGAAAGCGCGCCATCACTTGACGCGGGAATGTCCATTTTCAGTGCCTGCCAAGGCTGAATGCTGTGTACCTCCCTGCTCCCGATGCGGTGGTGCAGGACTGCATACCACCGGGAATACTTCTCAAACAGCCTGCAAGCGGCTGTCCCAGTTCGCTGTCTTGCGGAGACTCGCGTCAAACGACTTGGCAGCGTGAAACTCGTGGATTCGGGTGCTGGCTTTCAGATCGCCGCTGGCTCGACCCCTGCTGCAGGGTCGGTGCTTTGACGTTTTGAGCACTGGGATCTACGTCCAAGTGGCCCTTTGGACGAGAAACAACCCCATTTCCAGTGCTTTTACTGCTCCTTTCTTGATACCTCTGCATATTCGTTGTATTTGTCTTCCCGCCAGCACCGATGCGATAAATGAACAGGAATCACCAGTAATTCTTCGTCGCGCCACATAGGCCACCTCAACGGCCGCGCAGCACTTCTCCGGGACATGCCAACATGTCTAGGGTTTCGACGCCTTCGCTGCCAATGCACCATGCCTCGAATGGGGGCACCAAGTCATCGCGACCTGGCTCTCCGTATCTGCAGCCGCCAGAAGCACAGAAGCGGAGTGGGACAGCCACGGTACTTGCGTTTGCTCCATCTATCATCGTATGCGCTAACACCCCCAGCCCAAGCAGTCAATAACCGCGTCTTATTCGATTCTATCTCACGAGGAAACTGCACAAAGACTGCAAACTTCGGAAACCCGTGGTCTGTCCTCCTCCGATGCCTCTGCGCGCATACACATCCACGGTCGCAATGAGCTCCCGCACGACGAGCCCGAGCCGCTGTGGCTTAGATTTGTAAAGCAGTTTAAGGAAACCCTTATCCTGCTGCTACTGGGGTCAGCCGCTGTGTCTCTGATGTTGGGCAATTTGGAGGATGCGATCAGTATTACTGCAGCGGTGACAATCGTGGTCACCGTAGGGTTCGTACAAGAATACCGATCTGAGAAATCTTTGGAAGCACTGAACTCGCTCGTACCGCACTCAGCGCATATCATTCGGGCAGGTCAAGAACAACAACGGGCGAATGGTACTGCTACGGACGGCATCGAGCTGGACGATTTGAAGGATACCACCGCAGCGCTGGCGGACGCTGAGAGGAAATCAACCACTATATCAGCAACATTGCTAGTCCCAGGCGACCTGGTTCTCTTCCATACCGGCGACCGCATTCCCGCCGATATTCGAATCACGCACGCTGCAGACCTCTCAATCGACGAGTCGAATTTGACGGGAGAGAACGAGCCAGTCAGCAAAACCCCAGATACAATTACGCCTCCATCTGGCGTACAGCGCGCGCCCTCGCCATTCTATGCCTCTGAGGGAGCTGGGACTGTTGGTGCTGATATTCGATTGAATGATCAGAAGAACATTGCATTCATGGGCACATTGGTACGATCTGGATACGGGCAAGGCATCGTTGTAGGCACTGGCGGTAACACAGAGTTTGGTGCTATTTCAGCGTCACTTCAGGAGATTGAAAGCCCGCGAACGCCGCTACAGCTGTCTATGGATCAACTCGGGAAAGATCTCAGTTACATGTCGTTCGTCGTAATTGCCTTCATCGGTCTCGTGGGGCTTTGGAGAGGCTGGAAATTTCTTGAGGTGTTCCAGATTGGCGTCTCACTTGCTGTTGCAGCCATCCCCGAAGGACTTCCGATCATCGTTACCGTCACACTTGCTCTAGGTGTATTGCGAATGTCTAAACGAGATGCGATCGTTCGACGCCTGCCTAGTGTTGAGACTTTGGCGTCTGTCAACGTGGTGTGCACCGACAAGACCGGCACTCTCACGACAAACCACATGACAGTCACAAAGCTATGGCACTTCGATGAGACAGCTCCTGTTGATGTAAAGAAGAAGCACGATACTGAAAACCTCGACTCCCCAACACGGAATATTCTACGGATAGGCAACATCGTCAATAATGCGCGACTTTTAAGCGACGAAGCTGCATCTGCATCGACAGCTGCGGTTCTTTCATCGACGATGGGCGACGACAACTCTTTGGCGAAAAGTCGCTGGGTTGGTCAGCCTACAGATGTCGCACTTCTGGACCTTCTTGATGCCTTTTCCGAGGATGATGTACGAGAAAGACTGGGCGCACGCAAGTTTGAGACTCCATTTAGCTCTGAGAGGAAGTGGATGGGTGTCGTTATCAGCGGCAGTTCAGGTTCGGACGTGTCCTACATCAAGGGTGCAATTGAGAGAGTGCTTGACCGATGCGACACTTACGTCAACGCCCAAGGAAAGGAGGTCAATCTCGATCAATCGCGACGGCAAGAAGTTCTGAAAGCCGCAGATTCAATGGCCCAAGAAGGCTTGCGAGTCCTCGGCTTTGCGAGCGGACTTGCACGTCACAAGGCAAGCAGCGGTGCTTCGACGCCAGTCGTTTCTTCGGCTTCTGCGCTGGGCGATGACGAGCACTACCGCGGCCTAGTCTTCGCCGGCCTTGTAGGCATGAGTGATCCTCCACGCAAGGGTGTAGAAAAGGCCATCCGACGTCTGATGGCCGGCAAAGTCAAGGTCATCATGATCACGGGTGATGCTGAAACCACAGCAGTAGCTATTGGCAAGAACCTGGGCATGCCAATTAACCCCAACTCTGCACTCGGACGCTCTGTCATTCGTGGCGACGAGCTCGATCAAATGAGTGAAGAAGAGCTCTCGCAGGCGATCGCCACAACCTCGATCTTCGCACGCACCAGTCCCGAACACAAAATGAAGATCATTCGCGCACTTCAAGCGCGAGGGGATGTTGTCGCTATGACTGGCGACGGTGTCAATGATGCGCCTGCGTTGAAGAAGGCCGACATTGGCATCTCCATGGGCAGACTCGGTACAGATGTTGCCAAAGAGGCTGCCGACATGATCCTTACAGACGACAACTTTGCTACCATCCTCAACGCTATGGAGGAGGGCAAGGGCATCTTCTACAACATCCAGAACTTCCTGACGTTTCAGTTGAGCACAAGTGCGGCGGCGTTGAGCTTGGTTTTACTGAGTACCTTCCTCGGTTTCCAGAACCCGCTCAACGCCATGCAAATCCTGTGGATCAGTACGTCCTCCGTTCCCTCTCGCACCATGTATATACTGACAGACTGCAGACATCTTGATGGACGGTCCACCTGCGCAGTCTCTGGGCGTTGAGCCTGTCGACCCTGCCGTGATGGCTCTGCCTCCCCGCCCTCGTCAAGCCCGCGTGCTCACTCGATCACTCATCCAGCGCGTACTGCAGTCCGCAACTATCATCATGCTCGGCACTTTGACGACTTACTACCGCGAGATGACGATCGACAACGAGGTCACTGCGCGCGACACCACCATGACCTTCACTTGTTTCGTCCTATTCGACATGTTCAACGCTCTCACGTGCCGCTCGTCCACCAAGTCAGTGCTCACGGGCGAGATTGGTGTCTTCGACAACAAGATGTTCAACTACGCGGTTTCTGGGTCACTGATTGGACAGCTGCTCGTAATCTACTTTCCGCCGCTGCAGCACGTCTTCCAGACAGAGGCGCTCGGGTTCGCGGATTTATTGCACCTGATTGCAGTGGCAAGCTGTGTGTTCTGGGTAGATGAGGGCAGGAAGGCGTACGTGCGATACCAAGCGAGAAGAGGGTACGGCGGGGGCTACAGCACTGTTGTATGATGTACGATGGATTTGTATAAAGCGTTGCATTGAGTGGGTATAGACTATCGCCCAGGCTCAATCAAAACCATGGAGCTTCCTCTTTGATGCGCGTAGTTCAGGGGTTGCTCCACCGCACGTGACCCCATCGCTCCTGCAGGTGCAGCGTCCCGAGGTCGTGCCTGCTCTAGAAGTGGTCGAGGCTCCGAAAGCGTAAGTAGACATGTTGGGCCAACCAGCAAATGCCATGTTGCCCCTCATGGCGCACGTTGAGCAGCAGGTTTTCCCGACACGCGCCCCAGCGCAATCTCCACCGCCCAAGCACCGTTGCCCGGGTGTTCAATGGGTGCTGCGTTGTCATTGCACGGGGTGCGAGTCACCGCGCATCCCCGTTTCCGAAGCTACGGCCGGGGCACTTTCGACAGGGCAGCGGCATTCGACTAGCGGCTGCATGCAGGGAAGCCAGTCCAAGGAACCCTCCGCTGCTTGCGTGAAATTGCCGCCCCATACAACGGATTGTTAAAGTGATACGGGGTCATTTGGCCGCTTGTAAACACCCTCAGTCGCAACTTGTCCGGCGCGCTCACGTCACTTTCCTCCCACTTGCCCAAAGCCGCGCAGAGCGAAAGCAAGCGTACCAACATACTACGAGGGCCAGCGCAGCAAGCCAAGCTCAGCTCCACAGCCGCAACGATCGCCCGTGGGCCACCGTTGGAGATTCACACGCCCTGCTGATCGCTTTTGGACCGCCTCGGTGCGAACAGTCTCTCTGCACCCACACCCACCACCAGCACACATCATGTCGACCGCAACCGCAAACAAGCCGCCGGCCACAGGCACGCCGGCGCGCAGCACGCCCTCGCGCGTCGCCTCGTCCACGCCTGCTGCCGCGAGCCGCACGCCTGCCCGCGCCTCTACGCCCACATCGACTGGAGCAACAGGCGGTGTGGCGAGGACACGGTCCGTCAGGTCAGCCGCCAACGGCACACCGGTCTCGGCACGCGCCTCGGTGAAGAAGCCTGCTCCGCCGTCGACGCTACGGAGGAACTCATCGCAGGTCGATGGTCCGACCGAGGAGGACAGTGCCGCCGCAGAGGCCAAGGCGGCATATCTGCAGGATCTCGAGGAGCGCCTGCAGAAGGCCGAGGCCGACGCGGACGAGCGCCAAAAGCAGATCGAGGTGCTCAACGCCCGTCTGGACGACGCGCACACCGAGCAGTCGAAGCTTGAGGAACGTGCCCACGAGGAAGAAGAGAAGGTCGAGAGCCTCGAGAACGAGAAGAAGGAGCTCACACGGCAGCACCGCGAGCTCGAGGGCATCTACGAGGCCGAGCGCGCCCAAGCCATGAAGGAGAAGGAGAGCACACAGGCGCGCGAGGAAGAGCTGCAGGAGACGATCCAGAGGCTGAAGGAAACCATGGCCACCAAGAACGTCCCGGGCGTTGAGGACGGTGAAGCCCCATTGTCGCGTGCGTGTAAGTTGGTCCCTACTGCATGGACATTTGACCCTGACACTTTTGACAGCGAGCTTCCGCAACAACCCCTCGCGCAGCAACTCGTCCCAGAACCTCGAGAACTTTGCGCCTCCTAGCTCCGTCCAGCGCAGCAACTCGCGCAGCAACTCGAAGCTCATCCACCAGAAAGACAAGATCATCGAGGACCTCCGCCTCGAGCTCGCCGAATACCAGGTCAAGATGCTCGAGGTCGAGAACGCTGGCGGCGGCCGAACTCGTGAGCTCGAGAAGCAACTGCTCGAGACCCGCATGACGAACGCCCGCCTGATGGAGGATAACGAGAGCTTCCAGCTGCTGCTGGGTGAGAAGACGCTGAACGGTGACCTGAGCCGTGGCGACTTCCTGCGCGAGTCGTCACATGCCGAGGACCGTCCTACTTCACGCAACGGCCCATCCACCAGCCTCGCAGACGAGCTGGAGGACGCCGAGGATGCGCCTGACGTTGAAATCGTCCGCAAGCTCGAAGTCGAACTGAACAGCATGAAAGACCAGAACAAGGCCCTCACCCTTTACATCAACAAGATCATCGGCCGCCTCCTCACCTACCAAGGCTTCGAGTCTGTCTTGGGCAACGACATGGATGAGAAACCCAACACCAACAAGGACCTGCCCCCTCCACCCGCGGACAAGGACAGCGAGCAGCCCACTGGCTTCCTCCAGCGCGCCAAATCTGTTGTCGGTGCTGGGCCCCGCAAGCAACGTCCCGCATCCATCGTGGGCCTGCCAGGGACAGGCGTCCATGAGGATCCCGCCACCGCGCCCAGCATTCCCATTGCCCAGCGTGCTCCCAGCGGCAGCAACCCTCACCGCCGCTCAGCTTCAATCAACCCCGATGCAGCAAACATCGTAAACACAATGTACCGCATGCCTCCACCGTCAGTAACATCTGGCCAGACATCGCCCGGCCTCGTCAGCCCGAGAAACAGCTTCTTCGGCATCCCCATCGCCGGTCAGAACAGCAACCCGGCCTCGCGCGTCGCATCTGGTCAGCAGAACAACATCCCAGAGGACCGTGAGGTTGATACTGCGAGCATCATGTCCGGTACGACCAGCACCTCAGCTGGCGCGAGCGGCCACGTCGACACGCCATCTCCACCCCGCGGTCGCCTGGAGCGTAGCGACACCTCCGGGCCCATGACGGGCAAGGGCATGCGCCCGCTCCGCCTGGTGCAGAACGAAGAAGAGGCCAGCAAGGCGCGCAAGGCCGCAAACCGTCAGAGCTGGTTCGGCGGCTTGTTCGGGGCGAACAACCCGGCGCAGCAGCAGCAGCAAGCAGAATAGTAGCTTGGCTACCCAGTAGCTCGACTGCTCAGCTCCCCTGACGCAGATGACTGACGAAATTTGGATATAATGTGCAATGTGGATACACGAGGTTTGTGCAAGAAACATGTGAAACGGGTCAATCTGTTCGGATCTGAGAGGCATTTTGTATACCCCCAAGACTAGATGAGAGATGATTGCTATTGGATACGAAGAGGTAGAGGCGTAATGTTATCATTCTTCTTGACATTCTTTACTTGAACTGCATATAATTGTGGTGTCTGTATAGCATTTTCGACGGGCTAGTGGTGGTTTTGTTCACAACATGGTCGTGATGAAATCATGAGAGAATAGTAAACCGTTCAAAGGTTGGGATTCTCTGGATTTCTTTATGTCTTTATTTCGTGATTTGCAGCAAGTGTAAAGATTGGAAATATCGCGGTCTTACCTTAAGTCGTGTTGGTGAGTTGGAGGTGGCTTCCCTCCGAATCTTGCTTCTTCCACGTTGTTTACGACACTGCGCACTTCAAGAACACATAACATGCGAGATTTTTTCTTTCAGTATCTCCAATATGCATGATGCCACGGTACAGCCCTAGACACCGCTTTTCTTGCGATACACCAACGCGCGAAACATTGGTGGCTTGAACTTGTGCAGCCTCAAACTCCAGCCGCACGCCACTAGCCATTAGTCCTCGCAGTTCGCAGTTCGCACATCGCAACACACAGATGGCACAGTACAGTACAAGTTGTATATAAGTCCAGGGCATCCGGGTCCACTCGCAAATATGTAGATCACAGCCATCCGTTGCGTTGATCGGTCCATACACCATGTCACAGCTTCATTTTCCACCGTCCTACAAAACATCCTACTCACACGTCGAGCCCATAGATAATGTGGATCAAGCAAAAGTCAAGACCAGAAATCGAGGTTTGGGCCTTTTCCTGAGGCGCAACATCACTGTCAGCCTCGCGCTGCTGCTTGGGTTCGCCTGCATCGCCCTGGTCATCCGGTTCACACAATGGTTCAGCACCAAGCTGCCCGTGTGTCCGTCTTGGTCCCTTGATTGTGCCGTATCCGGCCGTGTCGAACGTCTATATGGCAACTTCGGTGCAGTACAAGGTATTGTCACTGCAGTATACTCTATTGGCCTTGCAGCTCTTGCCTTCTCGGCACATTCGTTCTCGGAATCAGCGTTGTGGCCTCTCATCCATCAACAGTACTTCAGTATCGGGCAGATGGAGACTTATCTTGAGGCAAGCCGCGGATCGATACCGTCTACGCCTCTGGCTATGTTCAAGGCCCGCACCTTCGATTCGGTTCTTGTGCTGTTACTGACCACGATCATCACACTCACGCCGCTCGTAGCTGCGCCCGTGGTGGGTCAGGTATACAACAGAGGGAATATGACAGTCAAGTACCAGGGCGAACTAAAGACTGGCGGTGGTATCGGCGTGTACTATACGCAATCAAACCCACCTGGCCCTGTGCGAGAGCGATCGAGCACGCTGTATACCTCGTGGCAGGGTAAATTCGCCCCAGAGCCACTTCCTGATTATCGAAACTGGTTTATAGAGCGCAACCTGATGGTGAAGAGAGGAAACTTCACTGTCGAAACCGTTCGTATTCAGCAAGATATCGAATGTCGCGGGTGGGAGGCGACACCGAACGATGTGTGGACAACGATAGGAAGAGATGACTTTATAAGCTTCAACACCAGTATGCCTATCCGTATGGATGCTGCTGGTGAGCTTGTTGAAGATAAGTGGCAACACTCTGAGGAGGTTGAGGTCCGAGACGTGGCAAAGCTTGCAGTGTGGGTCCACAACTATACCTTCGATAATGCAAACAAGACGACAGCAACTCTCATCTTCGCAGCGTTGAACGGAGACATTGAAGGGGGTTTGACAACCAAGGCCATGCCGAAAGGTGCAAGAACCAAGAATGTCACCAGCATCGCGTGCGATGTCTCTGTGGAGATGATGGAAGACACTCTTCTAGTGGGCGACGCACCCGGTCCAGCTATATCCATCAATCCGATGACCAACATCTTCGTCATCGGACAAGGGCGGCCCGGGAACCCAAAATACATGGGCAAAATGAACGAAGTGGCCCTGTGGTTCGCCGTTGCTCCCGTCGCCAACGGCGCCTACGTCTACGGCACCCAGCCCATGTACTCGCACGCGCAAGACTGGATACCGGAGCGCTACACATCGACTGACTCGGGCAAAAAACGACGCCTGGACTATCGCCTACATCGACAACTTCATCCGCGTCTCGACCGGCGCGTCCATGCTCGGCGAAGTCGATAAGTGGGGCTTCAACGACCCCAAGCACCCCAGCACTGTCCGGTTCCCATCCTACTTTGCCATCGTCAAGATGGACCCCGGGAAAGTGTATTTGCTGGGCATCTTGCCGCTTGTTATATTGTCGTGCGGTGCGGTCCTGATGGTCTGGAATGTCAAGATGCATAGGAGTATGGCGCTTCCTATCATGCGCAAGGCGACTCTGGGCGAGATCATTAAGAGCAGCCAAACCGCGCATATTCGCGGGCCGGCGGCGTATGATCAGCAGAATGCTGCGAAGCCCTCGAGTCTCGAGGAGCTACATGTCCAGTTCAGGGAGGATGAGACGGGTTGCTGGGGTCTTTACGGCGCGGAGGGACGCTCATTACTTGCCTGATATGTTGCTTTTCGTGTTCGCAATATGTCCAGAATATGTTGACAGGGTCTCAACATAGCTCAGACATATGCTGAATACCAACATCTTGATATAACGATATTCGCAGACCCTATGACGACGAACCAAGCCCGTTTGCGTAGAACCTCAACTCGCTGCATTACATTAAAACAATCATACTACACTACCCGATCACTCGCCCCTCCCCTCGCTCCCCGGCCCAATCCCCAGCTCACCCAGATCCACCTCAGGCGCCGCCCCCTTCACCCAAACCGAGACCCTCGCCGCATCCCCCTCCTTCCCCACAATCCCCGCCACATCCATGACCCCCCTATCCTCAAACCCCAAGCTGCGGAACAGCTTCTGGCTCTGCACATTCTCCGGGTGCGTAAACCCCGCAAACCGCGCGCACCCCTTCGTCTCCCGGAAATGCTGCATCAGCGCGCCGCACGCCTCGCCCGCGTACCCCTTCCCGTAGTACTTCGCCAGCAGCCCGAAGCCGAGGTCCGGCAGCGCGGGGCACGGGCGCGCTGGGTAGCGCTGCTGCTGCATGGACACGATGCCGATGAACTCGCGGTCTTGCTCATCGACGAACGCGACGTCCGGGTTGCGCAGGGAGATGATGTAGCGTCCGCGGCCTGTGGTGGCGAGGCGCTGCATGGCGGGCAGCAGGGCGGCGCGGGCGTCGGAGATGGTCTGCGGTTTGGCCACGCTGGCGCCGGTTTGGGCGGCGACGGCGAGCATTTCGGGGGAGCTGTAGAGGTGCACGGCGAAGGCCATGTGGGCGTCGTTGGTGGGGTCGAGGTAGGAGAGGTGCAGGCGCGGGGCTGTGATGTGGAAGGTTGGGTCGAGCATTGCGGTGGGTTGCGGAGTTCCAGACGGGGAGTCCATGGTGGGTTGTGTTGTGTTGTGTGAAGGCTTGTGTGAAGGCTTGGGCAAGGCTTGGGCGAGGCGTGTGGTGTAGTTGGTGACTCATCCAGGATTCGCATAGATCCGTTGGTGCCGTCTCTTATCGCCTGACGTAGACGTAAGCGCTAGAAAGGAACAGGAACGTGACATTGGAAGCAGTCTGCGGCAGTCGTGGGACGTTGATGCTGATTCTACGCGGATGTGAAGATGGCTTATACAATGCCAAGCGTTCCGCGTATGACTTGTGATTCGAGATAGTTTATTGTTCTAGGGTTACTTCTATGTTGCTGTCTGAGTTGCTGTTGCGACTACCGTACGATAATAGGCAAATCCTTCCGCTGCTGGTGTTGTTGTTACAGGCATACCGTCTTTGCACCGACCGAACCAGCCTTTGCTTGAACATGTTGTGGTCGCTTCTGACGAAGTTGAAGTCGTTGTTGCGGTGGTCTGATCCTTGCAACCAAACCAGCCGGGCTACACTTGTCAACCAATGAATACGGATTTAAGTGCAAGGTTAGCTCACCGTTTTGCAAGTACTGGTGGTACTCGATTCGGAGGTAGACGTAATGACAGGGTCTGTTGTCGTCGTGGTGACTGTTGCGGTCGTCGAAGTTTCGTCACGGCATCCCCACCAGCCAGGCGTTTTGCAGGTCTCGGTTCTTGTCCTAGTGCGCGATGTGGAAGTGGGTGTCGATGTGGTCGCAGGCGTGGTGTGTGTACCGTCCTCAAACTTCCACATGAAGCAGTCAACACAGGTGACATCTTCGTCCACACATGTTGCCGCCTTCTCGTACTTTCTGTAAACGTTGTCGATAGCGTACCTCAAGCGATGGGTTGATGTACTCGGTCGCCACCCCCAGTCCTTGACGACATCGTAAGCGCAGCGCTTTCCGGTGTGGCACAGCGTCTCAAAAGCATAGCCACCAATGGAGCAGAAGCTCGAGAAGCCATTGCAGGTGCCGGTGTACACTGGATCTGCCGTATGTCCGAAATGAAAACCGCCAGTGTTCTTCCGAAGCGGAGCGACATCACCAGCTGCGGGAAGACCAAGACGTTTTGCTGCCATGGCTTGCGGGTATGCTTCAAACGTAACCGCAGGAATACCATGCTGAAGACCGATCAGAGAGGCAAGAACGCCGCCCAGACTGTGTCCAGTTGTGATGATGTTTGCATCTGGGTAAATCCGCAACACCTCCTCGAACAGTTCCAACGTCGCTTGATAGTATCGATTCGGCTTTCTCAGCTCTTCCCTTACACACTTGTCGTCGCACGTGTAAGAACCAGTCATACAGTCACAGCTCTGTTTCCACCAGTACGAGCCGCCTTGGCCACAACAGCAGGAACCAAACAGGTTGTCGTTGTCTTTGTCGTGACCCGATGTCCCGTTTCCTTCGAACATGGCGACTGTCGTGCCCTTCACAGAGAGAATGATGGTTCCGTTTGTGTCGTCGCTGAACACATGGCCCCTGATACCACTGTCGTCCCACCCAAATGGCACTGATGAATTAAAATTTTCATCTACATCCATCCATTCCGGATCCTCGGGACCAGGCTTGTAGGCATCTTCGGACATCGATGCCAGACTAATGACGGTGTCTTTGTCTTCGACATCTGGGGCGTCGACATCCTCGGCGACCCATATTGGCGACATTCTCGACCAAATCGGTCTTTGAGCATCATACTTGTGGAATTTCGAGGGCTTCTCGATAGTGATGGGGGATTTCTTGACAACGAAAGGTCCGAACTGGCCGGCAGCCTCAGCTTGGACCACTCTCCCGGCTGTCACATCCAGCCTCCTCGCACGCGGTCCCGGTTGGCCTGCGCCGTGATGAATGACGTGTCGCAAAGTTAATCCTCCATCACTGATATGCGCAGTTTCACGATCTGGAAGTGGCGAGTTGATAGAAGGGTAGAGATCCAAGTAGGAGCCTAGAATGAGAAGCAGTACCGCGACCTGCGCGAAGATACCGACAGCGAACAAGGACTTGGAAAAAGCAGTCCAACTTTGACGGGACTTTTCAGACGAGCTCATCTTCTATAGGCATTATGTGAGTGTCGATGAAGGGCGGACTGAGTAGATAAGGTCGAAAGCACAGCCGGCGCCTGGCATCGGCGCGTGACTAGGCTAACCCGCTTCGGCCGACCCATGCTCAAAAGGGTTACGTCACCCAATCACGCCTATGATCATCACGCTGCCCTCCCCTGGTCCATTATCGAGGCTTGTGAACGAGCCTCACTCAAGGTGCGCGGAGACTTTGAGATCCTAGCTTATATGCGCAAAGTAGGTTGCAGCACGTGTGTAACGTCGCCGCCCAATGAACGACTTCATCCGAGCTTGCTCTTACCACGTACATACTGCACCCACACACGTCCCACCAGACACTTGGCAAAACGCAGCATCCGGCAAGAAAAACCAACGACTCATAAAGACTGTTTCTTGTTAGATCATGCACTACATGACAGAGTTGTTTGACCCTATTCCTGCCATCTATTTACTACGATAAGAATGAGTAATTTGGTCCTACAAAAGTGCCAAGTGGCTAGTCAGACATGTATGGGTGCATTATCGCTGCCGCAGAAAGCTATCAATCTTGCAGGTTAAAGACGTGGTTTCACGCGGTTTCCGAGCAACGACTTGGCAAGACGGCAGCCTAATGCGATAGAAAGCAAGGGTCCCGCCGCACTTCCCGTGTACGGCTCGCGCTGACTGCTTACTTTAACAATCTCCCCTCCTTCCGATCCAACACCTTTCGTGGCACCCCGGTATGTGCATAGAAGGGCGTATTGTCACATGATCTCGAGAGTACTGGTATAAGAAGAGGGCATCTCCCAGTTCTAGAAGGCTGCCCATCTTCTCGCCTTCGCTCTCGCGATATGGCGACACAGCAAGCGGATTTTACCACTGATCGGCATCCCGTTGAGCTTGATACGCGCCGCCCCGATGGCACGCAGAAACTTGAACCTCCGCCTAATCCTAGCCATGAAGATGAGGCTACAGCAATACAATATCCTCGCGGCATCCGGCTTCTTTTGATCACTGTTGGGCTCGTCCTAAGCATCTTCACTTCTGCCCTCGATTCGACTATAATCTCGACAGCCATACCAGCTATCACCACGGACTTCGGGACCATTAGCGACATTGCGTGGTACGGCACGTCGATGGTTATCACCCACACCGCATTCCAGTCGTGCTGGGGTAAAGCATACAAATACTTTTCCCTGAAGACCGTCTTCCTGCTGTCATTGCTGGTCTTTGAGATTGGTAACATCATATGTGCGCTCGCACCTAACAGCGAAATACTGATATTCGGTCGTATCATAGCTGGCTGCGGCAGTGGTGGTATAATGACCGGAGCATTTATCATAATTGCGTACACAGCTGGACCAAAGTACCGCACTCTATACATGGGCGTACTTGGTGTCACGTTTGGCTGCTCAGGCGTCCTCGGACCTCTCTTAGGAGGAACGCTGACTGATGGTCCAGGCTGGCGGTTTTGCTTTTGGTAAGTCTTGGTCATATGTGTGGTGCTCAAGCTGACGTCGATCAGGATCAACCTGCCTATCGGGTTCGTCGCAGCTTCCACAATGTTCATCTGCTTCAAACCTCCTATCAAACCTAAAGAAGCTACGCTTTGGGAGAAGATTTTCCAGCTCGACTTCAACGGCGGTCTGCTTGTTGCATCTTCACTCTCCTGTTTCGTGTTAGCCATGCACTGGCTCGGCAAGTATCCCTCGACCAGTGCGCGCGTTATAGGAAGCTTTGCTGGGTCTGCTTCATTGATCGTCTGCTTCATCATCAATGAGTGGGTGATGGGTCAGAGAGCCATGATTCAGACTAGTCTCCTGAAGAACAAGATAGTGCTCGCAAACGCCTGTTATATCTTCTTCCTGGCTGGGGCCTACTTCCCGCTGCTGTACACCCTGCCAGTTCAGTTCCAGTCTGTCAATAACACCTCAGCTTCACAAAGCGGCATTCGACTGATACCGCTTGTACTGGGGATCTCGGCCGTTACGATGATGGCGAACGGTCTTCTTACCGTCTGGCGCCATTACAAGCCTCTCCTTCTGATGGGTGCTGTCTTCGCTATAGTCGGTAATGCCAACATCTACATGTCTACCGCACGCACACTCACAAGCGAGTGGGTGGGTTACGAGATCCTCACTGCCATCGGAATCGGCATGGCACTCCAGATCCCGGTCATCGCTAACCAGGCTTCAGTCTCAGCAGATGACATGGCGGCTGTGACAACGCTTACACTGTTTATGGAAAACTGTGGAGAGACGCTTTTCGTTGCGTCAAGTGAGGGAGCTTTCACGAATGGTTTGCTATCGAGCCTTGCAGACAGACTGCCAGATGTTGACCCAAAGACTGTACTGGATGCTGGCGCAACACAGGTTCGGAGTCTCTTCAGTGGTGGAGAACTCGAACAGGTACTGCGGAGCTATCTCGATGGATGCAAGACTGGCCACCTCATTACTGTCGCATGCGGTGCAATGGCTGGCTTGATTTCCTGCACGAACGCAGGACCAGCGGTGTTGATCTGGTTGAAGGCGAAGATAAAGAAACCACACGAGCGATAGATAGTGGTTATTTCAGATCTCGAGATTTAGGAGATGAAATGCAGTTTACTTATAACTATCTTCTCTTGTGTCGGTCCGGATGGTGCAGACGCTTTTACATCCGTGCCGCACCCGAAGTACCAGGCTGCAACTTCGAGAACATCACACATACTACTAAAGGCAGCTCTCACTTTCTCTACTTCTGCAAGTTATCGATCTGCTTATCTCCATTGATATGCCTATCAAATCTATCATCGCCGTGGCTATGCCGCCGCTCCATCTTCTCGCATACTCAACGCTGCTCGGGACTGAGTTATATCAAAGTTTTGTTATGACCAAGCTTGCCTACCAGGCCTTGCCACGTTCTGCTTTCACAAGCCTACAAAAGCGTGTCTTTCCGGTCTATTTCAAAGGACAGACACTGCTCCTTGGTCTGGTCGTCCTCACACTGCCGCCTGGTGGCCCGAAGTCTCTGGTAGACAACCAGACCAGCGCGTTCGCCTTCGCCGTGGCCGGTGGAAGTGCGCTCTTGAATCTGTTTGTTTATGGACCGGAAACACAGAGGCTCATGATCGAAAGGGTGCATCAAAGTATGCTTCAACCGGGGATGTACGTCAGCAACGACAACTAACAGCGCGCAGCGACCCGCGACTCCAACAGATCCACAAGTACGGATGGAATTACCAGCGAGATGCATAAACTGAATCGCTCATTCTCCCGAGCACATGCGATGAGCATTCACTTGAATCTTGTTACTGTTATTGCAACGCTATACTATGGCTGGCGGCTATCATCGAGGCTGAACTTTGAGGTTGCGTGATAGTCATAAACGACGAACATCTAGGTACATGTTGGACAGTCTATCTGGCGTACTTTAGATGATAAGTGATAGTTGATCAGTGATAAGTGATAAGCGATAACAAAGATGGTTGTACGAAAGTACGATTAATGTTTGCATTGATGATGAAAGGGGTGTTTAGTTGCGCATCAGGCGCCCAATGATGAGGGCGGCACGGCTGCAGTCATTACCTCCGACCCGTACACGGCCTCATCATTCTACCTCCAACACCACACGTGCGTCTTGCGCGGTCACCTGAACATCGTCGAAATGAGTGACGACGAGCAATCTGTTGCGAGAGCAGCTATCTCGCGGACACTACAAGCTTGTCAAAGATGCCGCTCGTTGAAGACCCGCTGCTTACCGAGCAGCCAGCCAGGCACGTGTCAACGGTATGTATCGTACAAGAATTGGCGTGCATAGCACGGCCTTTCTATGCTAGGCTAACCAATTGCGCAGTTGTATGACTGGTGGACGTGAATGCGCATGGGCCGATGCTCCTCGTAGGGCTAGAAAGCTACGAGCACCGTCGTAAGGTTCACCCTCGAAGTTGTGAACTGCATCTAAGCTAGCGATAGACGCATCTCGCAGGTCGAACACAAGATCGATGGGCTTGTTGCGAGTCTTGTCAACCCACCTGCAACGCTGTCCAAAACCCCGGTATCTGCACCGGTCTCTGAAGAGTGTGAACGTCCACCGCTATTAGGAGGCGACTTCGCACCACATCCAAGCCGAAAGGGGAGACCTAGAGCACCTGGTACTTGGCTCCCTTTTCCTTCGTCGTTCGAGCAGCAACCTGAACCTGCAGAGACACCTGCACAGCAAGGAGCGGAAGGTGAAGACGCGGCTGATCGTCATTACATCGAACAAATCCGCTCCATACACAGCTTTGGTGAAAATGATGACGATTGCGAGTTCTCGGAATGTACTTCGAAGCCATCGACACGGCGTGAAGAACCAATCAAAGACAACCTTATTGATGACCTTGTAGCTTCAGGAGAAGCAGACGTTCTATTGCGTGAGTACAGAAAGATGTCGAATTCTTTTCCGTTCGTACCTTTGGCTCCAGACACCACAGTGCAGCAGCTTAACCACGACGCGCCTATGCTCTTCCTTGCAATGATAACTGCTGCATCATGGAGAGATCACAAGGTTCAGAAGTCTCTGGATGCCATTTACCGACAAGAACTCGCTCATCGTACAATCATAAAGCCACGAAGAAATCTCAGTCTCGTACAAAGCGTGCTTGTATATCTGTCATGGTGAGACGCGTATCTTCATCTTCAACCCGTGTAACTTACATGATGCTCAGGTACCACTATGTGTTCTCCCACAAAACCCAGTAAGTGCGTGCCATCATCAACCTACTAGGCTGACGTGATAGGCAAATCTTCTTCCTCCATCATCTGGTCATTGGACTTGCACTTGACATCGGTCTCCATCGCGACACGCGGTCCTTGTTGTTTGTGCGCCTAAAAAAACCAGATCAAGTCCAACCCCAAATGAAGCGTGAACGTCAACGTACATTTCTAGGTTGCTATTATCTCGCTTCCATGTACGTTCATCCATCACTCAGTGTACGCGTCCTAATCTCGGAACAGGCTCTCCGCGTCTATGCAAAAGCCGAACTTACTTAAGCACAATTCCGACATGACCGAATGGGCGCAAGAATTAAAAGACTACAGAGAGTATCCCACTGACGAAGTGCTTGGTCATCTCATCTCACTTCGACAGATAGAGGACGAGATTCAAGACACACTTTTCACTGGATGCGGTGCAGATGCTCAACTCACCGACACTCGTGTGGTGATGCATATGCGCTTTCTAGAAACCCGGCTCGATGCCTGGAAACGGGACAGCGAGGGTGTAACATGCCAGCGAAGTAAGCTTTTCGCCCACAGCACTGAGCAGAAAGATTGATTCTAACTCATGTCCAGTGCTTCTCTTGTCTCATGCATTCGCTGACATGACGCTACACTCAATTGCGCTTCGTCCCTTGCTCAAGTCCACGCAGCCGCCAGCGGACAATAGCATTCACATTAAAGCGTTGCTCTCAGCTTTGGAGGCAGGGAAGCGTTTTTTCGATACTTTGTTGTCCGAACCGGCATCTGATTACTATCTCCTTTCCTTTCCGGAGTGGATGCGGTTTCCAGCGGCCATGATGACCGTTGCAAGACTGTGCATCCCCACTGATGCGCATACTATGGTGGGTTGGGATGTGCAAGCAGCGCAGAATCTGGTGCGACTGGAAATCTGTCTCGAAGCTCTCTGTTATCGATTCCAGAACCTTTCAGCCTCTGACAAGGCCACACTGACTCGTCCTAGCTTTTGGTGGGCCATGCGATATTTGACGGATCTGACCCGAACCTGGTACGTCCGAAAGCTTAGTCCTCAGACACAAGATCGTGGCTCGAGTCGCCCTACACCGAACAACGATACTGCAAATAGTCTCTTGCGTCTGGGTCCTGGAGCCCTACCGACACCCCCAGACGGAGGCTTGCAAGATCATTTCGCCGACTCTGCACACACGGACTTTGGCGGTGAGGACATGGATATCGGCGCCAATGTCGATATGGGCAACGATCCTTTCGCGTTTGCAAGGTCCGCGGATTTCGACATGGAGCAATTCTTCGACATGGGAATATGGGGAGACGAAGCATACCACAGCATGGGTTTCGGGGACATGGCTTTCTGATCCATCCGTCCGGCGAGTTTGGAAACGACCGGAGTTTACTGGAAAGTCATGTGTAGCACAAACAGGAATCTCGGCCTTAAATGTCGCGAATACCTTGTCGATCATCTCCCACCCCGCAAGGTTAACCCCACAAACTAGGGACTCCCCGAAATGAACGCGAGAAACATGCTCGAATTGGAATAGGCCGTTTGCTGTGCGCCGGACTTGCGATCGAGTTGCAGGAAGACTTAACCTCAATTGGTGGATGTCAATGACGTGCGTTGTATGTATATTACGTTCTCCGAACGTCGCCGCACCAGAGAGCATTGCGGTATTCCTTCCGCTTCCACACATGTATAATGTGTTGCTGCAGCGTAGATCGTCAAGCTCAATCCTTGTGTATAAAGGCATTAACGCCGCTATTGATATTCTACCTTTAAGAAATCACAAAAACACCGAGCAAAACGCACCAAAACACCATGCGCTTCACGCTTCTGGGTTTCGTCTCTGCGGCTCTTGCACTGCCAGCAGCCCTGCAGTCTCGTGCTGAGGAGTCCATCTACTGGGTACTGGCTGGCGATTCTACCACCGCTCCAGCTGGAGGATGGGGGTGATGCCTTTTTGGCCACTACTGTTGCGGAAGGTTCCTCAGGACACAACTACGGCCATAGCGGCGCAACGACCAAGTCCTTCCGGGCTGGCGGTGATTGGGGATGGGTGATCGACGATGTAGGCGCTCACAAAGACGACTACAAAGTATATGTCACCATCCAGGTACGCGTCCTCAGACTTTGCCACTCCTTCTAGCATGCTAACAGCTAAAAGTTCGGGCACAACGATCAGAAGGTAAGGTCCAGAAAGTCCAGCAGACAGCTGTGACAATGCGCTGACAACTTCTAGCCAGCAAATGGTGTCTCGCTTGCTGACTACAAGGTCAACCTCGCGAATTTCGCCGCTGAAGCCACCTCGGCAGGTGCCACACCTATCCTGCTCACTCCTTTGACTCGCCGCAGCTTCAGCGGCGGTAAGGTCATCGAGAACCTTGCCAACGAGACCGCTGCGACCATCGAGGTTGCCGAGGCGAACGGTCTGCACTGGATCAATCTGAACGAGGCATCCACCAAGTACGTCAACGCCATTGGGTCGAGCGCGGCAGACAAGTACAACCTGGCTGCCGGTGACCGCACGCACGTTAACGAGTGGGGTGGCGTTGTCTTTTCCAGGATCGTCAGTGATTTGTTGGTTGGAAAGTACCCTGAGGAGTTTGAGAGCGCGACGTTGAAGAACGAGACGCTAAGCGCTCTGATTGCTGCGGGTACGGCTGCATGATCGCTTTGAAGTGTAGAAAGCGAATTCATATCGATATCTCTTCCCTCTTTAAGTCTCGCTGTCCAACATTTCTACTTGTTTTTTTCCATTCAATGCTGGCACACGTACTTTCTGCAAATAGTCGCGCCCGAGGTTTCGATGAAGGGAGTATACAGTGCATCTTCCGGCTCGTTTCGCCACTGAGACATATCACAGTCTTGATTCCAATAGTCGAGAAAGCTTGTCCGTCTCCAAAGGGAAGTCGGCAGGTCCTTTTAATTGGACACGATCGGCAGGTGGGGCTAGCTCGCCATGACTAGTGTATGTTGCCGCACTCCTTTCTTTCACCGCCATCGTTCAGCACCAGGCTTGCGCTTGCTTTGGGTAGTGCGTAAACATCCAGATTTGTCCACACAGCACTAGCCTGTGTAGCAAAAGGCAACGAAATGACGGCAACCTCCAGTGGATTCTCGCCTACTCAGCTGTTCATGACGTACAAAGAGCACTTCCATGTCCCCGCAGCTCACCTACCAGCGATCTCAACACATGCGAATGACTACACATGCCGTTTCGGAGGCGAACATGTTACCCGCAGTGGTAAAGCCGCCCGCCCGGCCTCGGGAACAGGCTCTCGAACGCAGGTGGTCGAGCTCCGGGCCAAAAACAGCATCGCACGGTTCTGAGAGTCGTTCTAGTACTGGTCAAAGCCATCGCCACAGGAACCGGGAATCTTATTCCCCACGGCTGCAGGTCCGCGGTGCCTGTCGCCGTGCTTTTGCCCCAGAGCCGCGGTCACATGGCTCGCCGAGTGGGCCTGTTCATCCACAGCACGACCATCAAATCTGCTGCTAGACGGTTGAATTGGCCAATCATGACACCACTGCACTGGCTAGCTCGGATGGCTTCAATCTAAATGCTGGGGTAAAGAGAGCCTCGAGGAGAACGGTCCCGCTGTATAGTGCTCCGGGCCCAAAGCGGGCAAGCGCAGCCTTGGCCTACAATATCAGATAGTACAAATGCAATGTCATTTGGACGAGCTTGAAAATTATCGAGGCTCTCTGCTTTCTCAGACTTCGACACTCACGGATCTTTCAAGATGCGTTGCGACGTTGCTCTCACTGCGCTCCTCGCATCCGGTGCGACTGCTGCGGCCGTGAAGAAGGGATTCGTTACCACAAAGGGCACTACCTTCCAGCTTGATGGCAAGGACTTCTACTTTGCTGGGTCCAATGCCTACTATTTCCCGTTCTTTCAGGTGGGTTCGACACACCTACTCAATCAATCGATTCTGACCATACCAGCAAGCTTCCGATGTCGAGAAAGGTCTTTCGGCAGCGAAGAAAGCTGGCCTGAACGTATTCCGTACATGGGGCTTCAACGACCGCAACCGTACCACTGTCGCGGGAGGACTCCCCCAGTACGGTGGCGAGGGCGCCGGCGGCACCGACCTCATCATGCAGTGGTGGAACAACGGCAAGGCCGAAATCAACCTCGCGCCCTTTGACAAGGTCGTTGCCGCCGCCGAAAAGACGGGCATGAAGCTCATCGTCGCCTTCACCAACAACTGGGCCGACTACGGCGGCATGGACGTCTACACGACCAACCTGGGCGGCCAGTTCCACGACGACTTCTACCGCGACCCCAAGATCAAGGCCGCGTTCAAGAAATACGTCAAGGCCTTTGTCCAGCGCTACAAGAACTCGCCCGCCATCATGGCCTGGGAGCTCGCCAACGAGCCGCGCTGCGGCGCAGACGGCGTCCGCAACCTGCCGCGCTCCACAACCTGCACGCCCGACCTGATCACCGGGTGGATCGACGAGATGAGCACGTACGTCAAGAGCCTCGACAAGGACCACCTGGTGACGTGGGGCGGCGAGGGCGGGTTCAACATCGCCAGCGACGACTGGGCGTACAACGGCGCCGACGGCGGCGACTTCGACAAGGAGCTCAGCCTGAAGAACGTCGACTTCGGCGTGTTCCACTCGTATCCCGATTGGTGGAGCAAGACAGTGCCGTGGACGGTGCAGTGGATCAAGGACCACGCGGCGTCGGGCCGCAAGGCGAAGAAGCCCGTCGTGCATGAGGAGTACGGCTGGCTGACCGACGATAAGAGGCAGGAGTATCTCGGCAAGAGCGACAACCAGACCAGGCTTGAGGTCGTGGGGCTGTGGCAGCAGACCAGTCTGAAGGAGAAGATGAGCGATATGTACTGGCAGTATGGGTATGGCGGGTACTCGACGGGGCCGAACCACAACGATGGGTTTACGATTTACTTGGAGGATGCCGAGGCGAAGGAGCTGGTGTATGAGCACGCGAAGAGGGTGAACGCGCTGAACAAGAAGTAAGCGTGAGCTTGGTTGGTTGAAGTTGCAAAATACATCTTCAGTTGATGCACGTTTATCTTGAAGTATGTGAATGTCGTTCATGACCGAGTGCCTGGTTCTGGTGTCGAGACCTCGACGCAGTGCCTCACACTTCTAAAAGATTCGGCGCTATGCCACAGATTAGCTGAGTATAGAATGGGCAAATGACTGGATGAAGGGAATTGGAGCAACGCGTTCTTCTTGTGAAACCAATGTTTCGTCCTGGGAACTGGCAGATATTCGTGACCAACCTGCCGAAACGAAGCCTCCCAACCTGTCGAAATAGAGCTACCCAGTCTGTTGAACTAGAGTTACCTAGTCTGTCGAAACAGAGTGACCTAGTCCATTGGAACAGAGCAACCCATCCCGTTGAAGAAGATCAACCTCGTCTGTTGAAGCAGATCACCCCAGTCCGTTGAACCAAAGCCACCCAACCCACCACCCCAGAGCAACCCACCCGTCAAACCGAACAACCCAACCCCCTCCTGCCCGCCAGCCCACTAACCCTCTTAACCCCAAACCCTCTTAACCCCAAACCCTCTTAACCCCAAACCCTCTTAACCCCAAACCCTCTTAACCCCAAACCCTCTTAACCCCAAACCCTCTTAACCCCAAACCACCCAACCTCCCCCACCACCGCCCGCCCCCCAACAACCCCCTCCACCCCCTCCCTCAGCCTCTGCAGCTCCTCCCCCCCGTCCCTCTCGGAGACTTCAAACGTCGCCATGAGGAGGTACCCCGGCGCGTCGCGTGGCACCATGACGTTCCTGTCGCGCGCGGCGGCGCTGACGAGGGCGTATTGTTTCAGGTTGCGGAAGGAGGGGAGGGGGGAGAGGAGGGGGGGGAGGGTTGTGGTGAGCCAGGTCTCGAAAGCCTGGGGCTCGGGGGAGGGGGAGGGGGTGGATGGCGGGGAGAGGGTGATGCTCGCGACCACCGTCTGCCCAGACGCCACGCCTCTCGCACCGTTCGTCGCAGCGCCTTCCTCCGCCGCCGCCGCCGCCGCAACATCGCCAGACCCAGACCCAGACCCAGCCAGCTCCGCGTAAAACCGTATATCAAACACGGCATGCGCGTAAATCCGCCCCACAGTCTCCCGATCCGGTTCCGCGCCCGCAATGGCCAGGAACGCGGGATCCTGCGCGTACGCGAGCGACGGGAAGGAGTACGTGATCAGGTGCGGGGGGTGGGTGGAGGGGGACGACGCGGGGAGGAGCGCGGTGTAGCGGGTTGCGGCGGGGACGCCGGGGAGCGCGAAGACTTCGGGGGCGTGGTCCTGGGTGTGTTAGGGGGGGTCGGGAGCAGAGGGGAAGAAGGATCAGAGGGGAAGAAGGAGATCTTTGGGGGGGGGGGGGTCCAAGGGAACGGATTATGGAGTGGCAGTGAAGGTGAAGGGATTATGGAGCGGTCGTAGAGCGCAAAGCAACAACCAACGTACCTCCTCATACCACTCATCAAACTGCTCAACACTCAGCGACTCAGGCGCCACGATATCCGACGCCACCCAGAGAATGCCCGCGCGCTGAGCCATGGTCGCGAGGTCAGTTCAGATCAGAGCAGATCAGAGCAGAGCGAGCTTGCGCCGATAGCAGTAGCCCCGCGGCGGGGGGTACAAATACCTAGTACATATAGTACTGTGCTGTTAGGCTTCCAACGGCGATCGCGCGGGCTGGGCTGTCGTGCTTGCTCCATGTGACGGCGGGCCGTGTGGAGCACGGCGTGCTAGCACTGCTTGTTCGCACCTAGCACAGCTTGTTAGCACGCGCTGTTAGCACCGAGAAGGGCCCGGCCGGCGACAAGGGACGGAAAAGGGAAAGCGGAGGTCTGGCGGTGAAAGCAACGCTTGGAGAACGAGCCGGCGCGGGCCGGGCACACATCTTACATCTTACATCTCACATCGCATGTCAAACGGCGGTGGGAGTGTGTGTTCGATTACAATTACGCCCCTCCTATGTACCAGCTCCTCGGGGGCTACTCCTCCTCCGTGCGCCGCTGTGGCGCGGGCGCACACCTCTGCCGCCAACTCTTACACGAGCAATATGCTGCTCAAAACGTGGGCCGCGCTCTGCGCGCGCCGCCGACAAGCCGCTCGCCGCTGGAAATGTAACGCTGGAAGACGCCGCTGACAAAGGAAATGACATGCAGGACGTGCTGGGCAGCCGGAGATGCAGGGAGACAGAAGGTTGTACAATCTAAGGCATTGGAACTTTTGTGTGCCGGACTCAGGGCCGGTCGGGGGGGGGGGGGGTGGTGTGACGGGCTGGGCGTTACTACGCGCTCTCGAGGTCGGGCGTCGGGGTTTCGCTCTCGTCCTCGAGCACGGAGGGAGGGGCCTGGACAAGGCTCTTCCTCTTGGCCTTCTTGTCCTCCTTCTCCTGGGCGGACAGGCCGTTGGTCTCTGCTGTGTTCGCAGCCGGTGCCGCGGGCTTGGCGGCCGGCTTTCGTGCTGGGGCAATGCTGGCCATGCTCGTGGACATGTTGTTGGCGTTCTTGTCTTTGGCGCTGTCCGAGTCCTTTGCAAAGTCCTTCCACTTCCGCCAGCCGTCAAAGTCGATCAGGGCCTGCATGCAGCCCCACTCCTTGACCTTGCGCTCCAGCCAGACGAAGTTGACGGGCTACGTGGGTCAGTATGAGTCAGACATGATGTTAAAGACAATGAGGTCTTACCTTGGTCAAGAAGTCGTTGCAGCCAGCGGCCAAGGCCTCGTGCCTGTCGCTCTGCAGGGAGCTCGCAGTGAGCGCGACGATGATGACGGGGCTCTTGAACAGATTCCTGTCGCCCAGCTTGTCGTCGGCGACCAGCTCGAGGTCCGAGCCGTTCTGGTGGTCGAGCCGCGTGTTGGGCGCCTCGCTGCTGCCGCTGCTGAAGACGCCGATGCTGTTGACGCGCTCCAGTCGGCGGATCTCCTTGGTCGCCTCCAGCCCGTTCATCACAGGCAGCTGGATGTCCATGAGCACCAGATGGAAGCCGCCGGCCTTCCACTTGGTCACGGCCTCCTTTCCGTTCATGGCGCGCTGCCACCGGACTTTCAGCCTCTGCATGAAGGCGCCCAGAACGCGCAGGTTGATGATGTTGTCCTCGACGATCAGCACGTTGATGGGCGGCACGGAGCCGTCCAGCAGGCCCGCCGGCAGACTCGGTGCCTCGGCGGGCGCGGGCTTCTTGCGCTTCTTCTTGTCGGGCCGCGGCGAGGCGACGCGCACGGCGGGCGGGGTGTCGTGCTGGATGCGCACGGGCGGGTCGACGGGGGCCGGGGGCGTGGGGATGGGGGCGTTGGAGGCCTGCGAGTGCTTGTCGGCCGAGGCGGACGAGTCGTGGCGCGGGCGGGCGGGGCGGGGGTTGGCGGCGGACGAGGCGATGCCGCCGGCCAGGGTGGTGGGCGAGGAGGTGGTGTGGCGGGCGGCGCGCGGGCGGCTGTTGTGGTGCAGGCGGCGGGTGGCGCCGCCGGGCGAGGGCAGGGCCGGCAGCTGGCCGCCGTTGGTGAGCACGGCGATGGAGTGGGCGGGGTGGGCGGGGTGCTGGACGGCGGGCGAGGGCACGGCGGCGGGCATGGGCGGGAAGTACTCGGTCTGGGTGTGCTGGGCGTCGTCGTGGTGGGCGTAGTACAGCGGCACGCGTGGCGACGGGCGGGGGGTGCGGCGCGTGGGCACGTCGATGAGCAGGGCCTCGTGCACCGTCTGGCCGCCGGGGTAGTAGGCGTCGAGGGTGCGGCACATGTCCTCCTCGGGCCCCAGGGTGCGCTCCGGGCCCTGGGCGGCGTCGCGGGGCGCGATGCGGATGGCCACGTCGGGGGCGTCGAAGCTGCGGCCGAGCGAGTTGGCGTACTTGCGCAGGATCATGTCGCGCACGTCGTCGACCAGGTCGTCCTCGCCGATCTGCACCAGCGTGGCCGAGGCGTTGGGCCGCCTGACCCAGATCTTGCGGTGCAGCATGGCGGCGATGGCGGTGGCCGGCACGTCGTCTGGGGGCGGCAGCGGCGCGAGGTCGGGGGCCAGCAGCGTCGTGAGCACGCGCGCGTCGGGCGGGGCGACGAGCGACTGGCGGCGCAGCGGGCTCGGCGGGTGGTGGGCGGGCGCGGCGGGCAGCGCAGAGGGCAGCGCAGACGGCGAGCTGAGGTCGACGGTGCGAGGCTCGGCGGGCGCGGGCGTCGGGGCGGGCGGGTGCACCGGCGCGTGCACTGGCGTGGGGGCCTCGAGCGTCAGCTGCGGGCAGACGGGATCGGGGGCGCGGTCGCGGTCGTCGCAGTCGGCGGACGCGGACGTGGTGGTCGACGGGCGCGTGGCGGGCGATCGGCTGCGCGAGCTGGCCGTGGCGGTGGCCGTGGCCGTGTTCTGCGAGTGCTGCGAGTGCTCGGCGCGGATGTCGGGCTTGCCTGCGACGTCGCCGCGGAACTCGTCGCGCGCCGGCTTCTGCAGCACCTCCGACTGCGCCAGGCGCGCGGGCGCCTGTTCCTCGCTGGGCCGCAGCTTGCCCAGCGACAGGCTCTTGCGCAGCGAGCTGGGCGTCCGCGGCGGCGCGAGGGTCGCTGCCGGCGCTCGTGTGCGAGCTGCGGCGCAGGAAGCGCGGCAGGTGGAAGCGGCGCGACGACTTGATGCTCATGCCCGCGAGCAGCCGGTGGCCGAGGGCATGCAGTTGTCGACGCGGGTGCTGGGCTGGCAGTAGAGCGGCGGGGGCAGCAGACCGGAGACAGCAGAGCAGACCGTAGACAGCAGAGCAGACCGTAGACGGCAGAAGGAGCAGCGCAGCGCAGCAGAAACAGACAGCAGCAGCAACGGCAGACAGCAGACAGCGGCACAACACAGTGCCAGGCGGGCAAGGAGCGTATTCAGGTCAGGTCGAGGCAGAAAGGAGCGCGCTATTGTTGTTGTCTCTTCGCACCCGTCCATCGCCTGCCATGGTCATGTCTTCTAATCTGGACGCTTGGGCGCTGCACTCCGAGTCGCCCAAATGAGCCAGCCCACTCGCACCTCTGCACCGCTGGCCACCGTCCGCTGCACGCTGCCCGCTGCCTTTGCAGCAGCGTTGCAGTGTCTCGCCACGCCTGCACACACGCCCAAAGCCCCGCAACACGCCCGCCCGAAACACCCACCAGCACCGCTCCACCACCTGCCTCGCCGCGCCCCATGGCAACACCGCAACACTCCTGGGCTAACCCTGCTGCCCGCACGCCAGCTCACTCTGTGCCGCGCCCACTGCCCCCGTGGCCTTCCTGCCTGCCCGCCCGCACCGAACGTATGGCTGCGGCCTCTGCGCGCGCCGGAGCGCCGTGCGTCGCCGTCGCCACAGCTGCACTTCACCCTCAAAGCCTGATCTGATATCGCCCCAACGCGGCTAGCGCGCTCTGCCATGCAGCCGACGACACCACGCGAGCTGCATGCGGGCCGCTGAATCGGGCCAAGTCTAACCTGCCTCACTCAGACACGCTGCTCGTGCTGCGGAACCCGGTTTCCGAGGCGTGTATCGCCGATGGCGTACCATGTGTGTTGCTGACTAAGCACGCCCGTTGCGCTAGTATTGCCATCAACATCATGTAGCAACGCTATCAGTATCCTGAAGCAACTGTCTTACCTGCTATATCGACACCACTTTTACAATTACCATGCACCAAGAACAGCATCGCCGTGTCTCCCGCATCACTAACATACACCTCAACCGGCCGTTTCAACCAGCCGCCGCTCCCGAGACCCTCGAGCCCAGCAGAGACACGCCGTTGCAGTGTGTCGTGATATCTAGGTCGTAATATCCGGGTCGTGATATCTATGGCCGTGTTCCGCGGACCATTTCACCCGCTTGCTCCGCGGAACCGCTGAGATACACACTGATACACACTGACACGCACTGACACACATCACTGCCACAGCCCACTGCTACAGGCGTGACAACGCACCTCACCGACTGTATATCCGTATCCGTGACCGCGCGCATGCACGGCGCGAGACAGTCTTCACCGTCTGGCGTCACGGCGAGAGATTGTAGACAGACACGGTCAGCGTATATAGCGTACAAGTGTTTGTCGGCGTGCCGTAGCGACACGCTGCGATTGCAGAGCAACGGAGAAGCACACGTCCATCATTATCCCGCGTCTGAATCAAGGTACTGGATGCGGAACCCGTTTCTGCCCGCTGCGAAGAGCAAGCCCACGACCGCGCTGCGCGCGCCGTCGCCGTCGCTGTCTTTCTTTGCGTTTCCCACGCCCAAAGCTGCGTATCCAGGTCCAAATGGTAAGACAGCGGCGAAGCAGGACGCGAGTCTCGTGTGTCCGGTGTGCAGCCACACCCTGCCCCCTCCCCCCCATTCCCCAGACACCCCGTCCCCGCCATCCTCCACCCCTCCCCAAGACCCAGCAAGACCGAAAGCCCCCTTACACTCCTCGCATCCTGCACAACCCTCAAAGCCCTCAAAGCCCTCAAAGCCCTCACATCCACATCCACATCCACACCCATACCCACAGCCTGCAGTACAAGTCCGAGCACAAGCACAAGCACAAGCACAAGCACAAGTCCTCGCCTGCGCACCCTGCACAGCCCGCTTTCTGCAGCGCGAAGCCCAGGAGCGTGTGTGCGTGGGCGGGTTGACGCGGTTCCCTGCGCTGCTGGAGGGGGGTGGTGGTGGTGGGGGGGAGGCGAGGGAGTGGAGGGGGTTGAGGGGGGGAAAGCGAGGGCGGAAGCAAGGGAGGGTTGGCAAAGTGCTAGGGCTGTAGGGCTGTAGACAGACGGTGACGGGGGATGGTAAGTAAAGACTCGACAACTCACAACCCACAACCACAAAGCGAGAAGACACCTGCTACCCGCGCGACCAACACAATACACCCCACAACAAGACAAGACAAGACAAGTCAGAAAAAAGCGTCAATTGGCTATCGTACAGACCCGACGCCTGAGCATGTATATCTGCAAACTCCCATCCGTGATCCCAATCGGCGCCGTGCATCGCTGCCCGGCGCGTCCCTGTTGCCTGTAACGCCGGTTTCGTCGTTGATGCGGGCGTGATGCGTGATGCGTGATGCGTGATGCGCGCGCAGCTATTTGTGTTATTTGTGCGCTGCTGGGCGCTCGTGTCTGCTTCTCGACACTCAGTACTCCACACTCTACCACACTCCTCCTCCCACCCAACGAGCTCTAAAAATCCTGGAAATACTCGTCCCACCGATCACTCAGCTCTTTCGTATACGGATCGCGATGCGCGCCCTCATCCTCATAATCATCAAAGTTGCGCGTATCCGCGGGACCCCGCAGGTGCGGCACAATGGGCCCCTGGACCTCGCGGTTGTACATCTTCTCCCAGTCGACGTTCTTGAACCACTCGTGCTGCTTGACGCGCGAGGCGCCGCCGGCGATGTTGCCGAGGCGCTTGGACACGTCGACGGTGCAGAGGCCCGAGATGAGGTCGCGGGCGGGCGCGGACATGGCGCTGGGGAAGCGGAGTTTGCCTTCGACGATTCTGGGGGGTGTTAGGGGGCAGAGATACGTGGGAGGGGGGACGCACTGTTCGTAGATTTTCATGGGGTTTTGGTCCCAGAAGGGCGGCTGGCCGACGAGGAATTCGTAGACGAGGATGCCGAAGGCCCACCAGTCGACTGCTGTGCCGTGGCCTGTGGGGTTAGTAAGATACAGTGTCGAGACAAGGACAGGCGTACCGGTGTTTCTAATCACCTCGGGCGCGAGGTACTCGGGCGTACCGCATAATGTGTATGTCTCCCCTGCGCACGTCAGTACACGCCCATGAATCAACATCAACAGCAACGCACTATTCTCTACTTTCTTTGCGAAGCCAAAGTCCACCAGCTTAAGGTGCCCCTCGGCGTCGATGAGGATGTTCTCGGGCTTGAGGTCGCGGTAGGCCACGCCCTCGCGCTCGTGCAGGAACTCGAGGATCAGCACGATCTCGGCGGCGTAGAACTGCGAGGTGGGCTCGTTGAAGCGGCGGGCGCGGCGCAGGTAGCTGAAGACCTCGCCGCCGGGGCAGTAGTCGAGCTGGGCTGTTAGCAGGCGGGAGCGGGGCGGCGCGGGCGGCACGTACGACCATGTACAGCGAGTCCATGGACTGGAAGCTGGCGACCATGGTGGTGATGAAGGGGTGGCCGGCGACCTTGGCGAGGACGTTGCGCTCGTTGCGGACGTGCTCGACCTGCTTGAGGCGGATGACTGGGCGCGTCAGCAGGCGGCGCGCGGGGACAATACAAGAACCAACGCACCGTCGACCTTGCGCAGGATCTTCAGGGCAAAGACCTGGTCGCGGTCGGCGTGGGCGGCGTCGCGCAGCCGCACGAGCCAGACGCGCGCAAAGGTGCCTGGCAGCGTCAGTGTCGGCGTTGGTCAGCGGCGCACTGCAGCGTTGCGCGGGCGGCATGCGCACCGGTGCCCAGCGTCTTGATCAGCTCAAAGTCCTCCTCGCGCAGCACCTTGCTCGAGTGGCCGACGGGCTTCTGCTGCGGGTCCGCGTCGATCTCGTCGGGGCTCATGGTGTGGCGCTGGGCCTCCCACTGCGCCAGCGAGCGCTTCTCGTCCGCGCGCGGCTTGTCCATGGCCGAGTCGTTGCGGTCGTGCAGCGGCACCGACGGCTTGCGCGCGCCCTCCTTCTTCTCGCGGTGGTGCTCGATCGGGTGCAGCAGCCGGTTGACCGTGGTCGCCATGGTTGCGTCGGCGCCGGGCGCGGGTGTGTAGGGGCGGAGCGCGGGCGGCGGGCGGCTGTGGGCTCTCAGAGCATTGCAGTCTGCAGCGGGCGAGGGGGCTGGCGGGCGGGTGGCAGCAGGGGCGGTCGCAGAGGGAGCGCGGACGGGCCAGGGGCTGTTGGCTATAACCGTCGCTCAGCATGGCGGGGACTGCCTGAGGCGCATTCTTCTGATGACGCAGCCGTGGGGAGCCCGCCGTTGCTGCAACAAAGCCGACCCGCCCGAACGCCCGCCATTCGGCGCCGTCGTGCGCTGTCGCCGCGCCAGCAGCCAGCCTGCATGCCTGCAGGGCCGGTGCAAGCCTGCAGACGTGATTAAAGAGGCCAGCACGTGGACTGGCCTATTTAATTCAGCCTCTACGTGATTCACGACGCCGTTTCAGCCCGAGTCATCAAGCCGAGCCATCGCTGCCAGCATCCCTCGCGTCCTGCCGCGCTTACTCAAGCTGGCAGGTTGGTAGGTACGTAGGGCAGGGCTGACGGCTGTCGATTGAGCACCGATTGACGACTAGCAGTACACAGTAGTCGATCAAGCCGGTCATCAACTACAGCACGTGATTGCGATTGTTCCATCGTTCACAATAAATATCCAAAATCGTGCATTCCATCCAAGTCATACTTGATTGCAGTGCTGCCAATTTACACGTCCTCTACGCTGGACCCGCCTCTTCAAGCTCTAAAGACTGACCCCACTGAACGCTTGCTCCTAACGCCTGATATGTGCATGCAAATGTTTCTTCTACACCGAGTATTCGTACATGACGACGCCATTGCCACGGCCTAGCTCAGCCACTGGCGCGAGTGTTCATGATGAGGGCGACAATGAGACTGCACGTCCATATTAGCGCGAGACGCTTGCTCATATTCCACACAATACATACCCGTAGAGACCCAAGACTTCGGCGAAAATCAGAATGAGGACCATTCCAACAAAGATCCTCGACTGACGCATGAACGCACGCACACCCTGTTCTTGTCAGCTATAGCCCGTAGTCTTGCCAGTGCACGTACGGCGTCTCCAACAATGCCAATTGCGTAGCCGGCAGCCAGGCCGGACAGGCCGACAGACAAGCCGGCGCCCATGTGCATAAAGCCGGCAAACAGCGAGTACTCCTTCTCAGGCGGGGGCTTGATGTCGCTGGCGATCAGGACCGAGATGACGAGGGCGTAGACAGCCAAGATACCGGACATGACGATGGGGATGAGCGACTGGCAGAGGGTCAGCACGAGCTGCAGCGCTCGACTCTGGTGCGCGCACCTTCATGATCAGGTCGGGCCTGTATGTTCCAATACCAGCAATGCCCACACCGGCTTTGGCTGTGCCATAGGCAGCTCCCATGCCTGCTCCCGTTAGCTTCATCGCGTCGTGCTGGGCGGGGCTCGTACATCCAAAGGTCATCTGCGCGTGGTTCGTTCGTTAGTCCTCAACTGGCGGGCGGGCCACTCACTGCGAAGAAGATGCCGCTCTGGAGGCTGTTAGCAGATGAAGTCATAGGCGCGCGAGCACTCACCATGCCGAAGAACGGCGCGAAGCTGGGCGCGAGGTTGTCGATCTGGCCCGACATGGTGCGAGTGTGGCAGCGACGGCGTGATGCGGAGGGCGGGCGGGTGTTGGGTTGCGGCGTCGACGGGCGATGGGGGTCGACGACTTGACGACGTCGAACACGTGACCGCCCGCCAGTCCGCCAGTGACGGGCGACTGCACACCAGACGCCTCGACGAGCTTCCACACTGCAGACGCAGCCGCACCGCAGCCGCACCGCTCTGCACCCGCTGCACCCGCCCGGCGCCGCTCCAGCCTCCGCCCGCTCTGCATTGCTCCCACAGGCGCCGCCAGCCCCCGCCGCCGAGCCGGGACAGCAGCACGAACCCGCCCGCACCCTCGCCCTCAACAGCGACTTCGCTGTCCTGCCGCCAGCGCCAGCGCCCGCGCACCGCATCCCCAGCAGCCCGCGCCCAGCACCCCCGCGCCGCCGCAGCCCAGAGCCCCCAGCCCAGCGTTGCTCGCCCCGGCGTCCGCCCGCGCCGCCCGCCCTCAAATCTTCGCTGGCGCGTGCGAATGTGCCGCAGCCCCTAGCAGCACCACCGCGGACTGAAGAGCGTAATGGCCAACTACGGGAACCAGCAGGGCGGCCAGTACGGCCAGCCCCCCGGCGGTGCACGCGATCTGGCCTTCAGCAGCATCTTCGGCTCTGACCGCCCGGCCGGCCGCTCGCAGACGATGACCTCGCAGTCGCACGCCCGCGTGTCCGACCGGGCGGCCACCATGTCGAGCCAGACGGCCGACATGATGCAGCGCATGCCCCTGCGCCAGCCCGCCAACGGCTTCGAGCGCCGCCCGCCCGCCGGCCACGAGCAGCGCGTGCACTCCAGCTACGACCCGCGCCCGCAGAGCCACGACCAGCCGCCGCCGAACCACTCCCGCCCCATGCACCCGCCCAACGGCTATCAGCAAGACCCCCGCTTCGCCCAGGGCCAGGGCATGCCCCAGCAGCGCCAGCCACAACCGCAGTACCTGCCGCAGCCTCTGCGCCCCGAGCGCCAGCCATACGGCCAGCCGCAGCGCTTCGACACGCGCCCCTCGCCGCCTGGCCAGCTGCCGTTCAACCGCCCCATGCCGCCGCGCTTCCCAGGTCCCGGCGCCCCGGCCCTGAACAACGACCCGTACCGCTCCCAGTCCCTGGCGACCGGCCCGCGGCCCCAGTTCAACGCCCCCGGCCCCGGCTCTAACTACCAGTCGCCGGCAAACACCTTCCGCCAGCAGCCGTACATGAACCACATGGCCAGGACGACCGCTCAAGGCCGTGTGGTCCCCGAGCGTCCGGACGAGCGAACCATGTCCATGACCTCGTATCGAACCGGCGGCGAGAGTGACTTCGGACCGCAGCAGACCATGATGAGCGGCAGGGTCATTCCAGGCCGTCGACGGGAGTCAGGTGGGCAAGACGCCGCTCCCGGAGACCACGCATCCCCTCCATTTTCCTCCCCAACAAGCATGGGCCCGGGGACAAAGACCAGGAACACAAGCCAGGGCAGCATACCGCAGATGCGTACCATGTCCATGGCTTCCACCATAGCACCGTCCATCGCACCGTCTTCATCTGAGCGTACAGAGACCATGTCTTCGTCCATGACTCGCCCCAGCTCTACTGCCACGGTGACCAGCAGCAACAGGGCTTCTGGTGCTGGGACTATAGTCCCCGCGGCTCCAGAGTCACGGGCGCGACGAGCTCCTCTTGTCTACCCTGCGCTGTTGTCACGCGTGGCAACCACCTTCAAAGATAGGGTGCAGATTTCAGAGAAAGAGAAGGATGGTCTCGTCTATCAGAGCGCCTTCACTGGAGCCGATGCCGTGGATCTCATTGCATTCATCATCAAGACTACCGATCGAAATCTCGCCCTGCTTCTTGGAAGGTCCCTAGACGCGCAGAAGTTCTTCCACGACGTGACGTATGCGCACAGGTTACGTGACTCGACGAACGAGATCTACCAGTTCCGCGAGACTATGATGGAGGAGCAGGCCGATGTCAATGGTGTCTTCACTCTCCTCACTGAGTGCTATTCCCCAACCTGCACGCGGGACCGCCTGTGCTACTCAATCGCCTGTCCCCGCCGTCTCGAGCAGCAGGCCCGCCTCAACATGCGTATCCAGCCCGGTCTCAAGCGAGAAGAGTCCCGCGCCAGTTTACACGAGGATACAAACGACGAAGAGCAGAAGCTCTGGATCAACACCGTCCCCAAGGACGTCGCCGACAGCGTCTCGGACAAGGAGAAGAAGCGCCAGGAAGTCATATCCGAGTTGATGTACACCGAACGAGACTTCGTTAAGGATCTGGAATACCTCCGTGACTTCTGGATGAAGCCCCTCAGAAATCCTGCAACCTCACCCATCCCAGAGCACCGCCGGGAAAAGTTCGTGCGCACGGTGTTCAGCAACTGCCAGGAGGTCTACATGGTCAACTCTCGCCTGGCAGAATCCCTCACCAGACGTCAGCAGAAAGAGCCTGTTGTCCGAAACGTGGGAGATATCTTCATGGAATACGTCCCTCACTTCATTCCGTTCATCAAGTATGGATCCAACCAATTGTTCGGCAAGTACGAATTCGAGCACGAGAAGCGCACAAATGCTGCGTTTGCAAAGTTTGTGGATGAAGTCGAGCGTATGAAGGAATCAAGAAAGCTCGAGCTCAACGGATATCTCACAAAACCCACAACCAGATTAGCAAGATACCCGCTGTTGCTGGAAGCTATTCTCAAGGCTACTGCCGACGATAATCCTGACAAGGAAGATCTACCGAAGGTGATCAAGTTGATCAAGGAGACACTTTCAAAGGTCAACGTCGAGTCCGGAAAGGCGGAGAACCACTTCAACTTGATGCAGCTGAACAAGGATCTGAAGTTCCGTCCGGGAGAATACGTTGACTTGAAGCTGACTGACGAAAATCGTCAACTAGTGTTCAAGGGCTCACTGAAGAAGACACCCACCGAGACGATTGGCGACATCACATGTTACCTCTTTGATCATGCCATCTTGCTTGTCCGTACAAAGACAGTGAACAAGCGAGACGAACAGAAGGTGTACAAGAAGCCGATCCCCCTTGAGCTACTAGTCATCACCCAAATGGATGAGATCATTCCTCGACTTGGCATACCAAAGAGGCCATCGGGAGCAACGTTGATGGGTGCGGGTGCCAAGGCCATTCAGGCAGCTGCACCGAGGGCGGATGCAAACAAGCAGCAGGGTTACCCAATTACCTTCAAACATCTTGGAAAGGGCGGCTGGGACATGACGCTCTATGCCAGTACCGCCATATCCCAGCAGAAATGGATGGAGCACATCGAAGCGCAGCAGCGGACGTTGAGAGAGCGCAGCAACATCTTCACAAAGTCCATCATCAACGAAGGCTTCTTCTCAGCAGCGATCAGAGTCACCTGCGCTGTTCCTCTTGGTAAGTCACGCTCGACAAGCAGTATGAATTGTCTAACGCTTGTACAGATGGTGGCCGTAAGCTGGCTCTCGGTACAGATGCCGGTGTTTACATCGTCGACCGCAAGCCAAAGGATGCCTCGATGCGCCCTAGACGAGTTTTGGATTCCAAGGGTGTCACGCAAATCGACGTTCTGGAGCAACATCAAATTCTGCTCATTCTGGCTGACAAGACTTTGTACTCATACTCGACTGAAGCACTCGAGGGTGACGAATCTCAAGCCGCCGCGAAGCGTCCTAAGAAGATCTGCCATGCCAACTTCTTCAAGTCTGGTGTATGCATGGGCCAACAGCTTGTCGCTTCTGTCAAGACCTCGGCGCTTTCAACGACGATCAAGGTCTTCGAGCCCAAGGAGAACATGGCCAACAAGGCTAGGAAGTCTGGATTCGCCAAAATGCTTGCCCAGGGACAGGATCAACTCAAGCCGTACAAGGAATTCTACATCCCTACCGAATCGTCTTCGATTCACTTCCTGCGCTCGAAGCTCTGCGTTGGTTGTGCTCGTGGATTCGAAGTCGTCAGCCTCGAAACACTGGAGACACAGTCGTTGCTGGACCAGGCCGACACGTCCCTCGACTTCGTCGTTCGCAAGGAAAACATCAGACCCATCCACATCGAACGCATGGGAGGCGAGTTCCTCCTCTGTTACTCGGACTACTCCTTCTTTGTCAACCGCAACGGGTGGCGCGCGAGACCGGACTGGAAGATTACATGGGAAGGCAATCCGCTGTCTTTCGCAATCTTCAACCCATACATACTTGCTTTCGAGCCCAGCTTCATCGAAATTCGTCACATGGAGAGTGGTGGCCTGGTTCATATCGTTACGGCGAAGAACATCAGGTGGCTGCACTCATCCACACGAGAGGTTCGTAAAGTTGCTTCTACAGTCAAGGACGGCATACTAACGTATACACAGATCCTGTATGCCTACGAGGATGAACTGGGCAACGACATCATTGCCAGTCTCGACTTCTGGCAGGCGGCGAACGGCCCTGCGCACAAAGCTCTCGAGACCAACAAGAGCTAGGAGCCGCCTACATAGCAGTAATAATCGCTGTACCAGGCGCCGTTTGTCCCGCAAGGGTCGCAGGCGAGGCGGCTGTAGCCCTATCCAAGCCTGGAACCGCATCCGTCTCGATCCCCTGCCCGTAACGGCGAGATAGTCGTCCTGGTCCAAAGCACCGGGGCGTGGATCCGGTTAGTCACGCCAGACGCCGTGCATCTTGTGCGACAGATCGGTGCCCGACAGTTTAGGTGCGCCGCAACGAGACGGGAGTTCACATTTCACATCTACTTCTTTGATTTTGTATAGTACGCATAGCTGAGCGTGAGCTGGTGTAAATCATGGAGATTATGGGCGTGCAGAGGCTCCGAGGCATGTTCGAAGAGATACCATGTCAGATTAGCGGTCATGATAATGGAACTTATTTGGTTGTTGATTTACATCGTTACGGCGAGCGTGTTCATACTCGGTAGATAGCGACGTCATGCTGTGGGTGAGGTTGCTGGGTCAACCTCGGCTAGTGTCCCTGAAACGGCATTTCTCAAACAGACCCTGGCGCAAGCCACGAACCACAGCTCCAGCAGACTTCAAGACTCTCGCTCGTCCCGCGCCATGCCTCCGAAGATCGTGTACGGCAGGAAGACTGCCGCACGTCCCGTCTCTACCAGCTACTCGACGCTTCTATCTCCCGAAAAAGACGCGCTGTTCACAAAGGCAAAGCACGAATCGAAAGACAAACCCAAGGAATCGAAGCCGCCGCCGAAGATAACCGAACAAGGGATACAGGATGAGCTGGCAGCACTGGAGGCACAACTTGGTGGACTAGCGATAGAGAGTAGGCCTGAGGAGGCCGCTGTTCAGAAGACTGAGGGCAGGTCCAGGAAGGCTCTTGAGGTCTGCGATGCAAACACAGTGCCGAAGAAGGATGCGAGATGTGGGGAGAAAGCGCAGAAGGGAGACACAAAAGAATTGGCCCGACCGCAAGAATCCACAATACCAAGCACACCCCCGCAGACGCCGATCGCAAAACCGAAGAAGAAGAGGTCGAGACCTACCACATCCAAGAAGAAAGCGCAATTGCCTACGCCAGAGCCTACTCCAGAGCGAGACGATATATACACGCAATACGTTGCGCCGTTACTGCCGTACAGCGACACGAGGAGGGTCACGACGTTTGAACAATGGTCTGCAGAGCTGGAGCCACTCTTCAAGATTACCAAGATTGCAGAGGCCTCGTTCTCTGAGGTTTACCGCTTGTCGGCTATATCCGCTACAACAGGTCTCAATGAAGAGTCGGTACTGAAGGTGGTCGCCTTGAAGACTCCACCAAAAGCACTTTTGCCATGCCAGAGGGCAGAGCGCGCGTTCAGAGATATGGATGGCCAGATAGCAAAGGAGCTTGAGGAAAGAGAAGAGAAGGACGTCTACAAATCGCATGTCGCTGATATTTTGTCCGAGGTCAAACTCCTGCAGAATTTGAATTACATCCCTGGGTTTACAAACTTCCGCGATCTTGCCATTCTCCAGGGCCGACCCTCGACATCGTTCTGCAATGCATGGAAGTCATGGAACAAAGCAAGGCCCCGCGGCAAGAAAAGCTGCTTCCCTGATCCAAGCAAGAAAACCAGCTATGAGGACACGCAGCTTTGGGCCGTCGTAGAAATGCAGGACGCTGGCATGGACTGCGAAAAGCTCATGGAGGCTGAGGGGCTGGGAACAATTTGGGAGATCTGGGATGTCTTCTGGGGTGTCTGCTTGAGCATTGCAAAGGCCGAAGAAGCCTGTCAATTCGAACACCGGGACCTGCACATGGGCAACATCTGCGTCCGCTCTTCCCGGCCACACAACAATATCATGCAGCCCACCATCAAAGACCCCCTGCGCCGCCGCTTCGGCTTCACCGGCTTCGAAACCACAGTCATCGACTACACCCTGTCCCGCGCCGACATCGTCGCCCCGCCCTCCTCCCCCTCCACACTCACCTCCACCCCCCAAAAACCCGCCTTCACAGGCCACGAAGTCGCATACCTCGACCTCAACAAAGACCCCGCCCTCTTCGAAGGCGACGCCTCGGAAGAATACCAGTACGAAATCTACCGCTACATGCGCGGCGCCGCACTCTACAACAACCCGCTGCAATCCGCGCCCTCCCCCCCGCGCGCCCAAGACCCCGCCTCGCCCCCCGCGACCCCGCGCCGCTCCCCGCGCAAAAACACACACATCCGCTTCGGCGAGATCCCAGAGACCCCGCAGCCTTCCCGCACACCCCCACAAGACACGAATATCTGGCGCGCCCACCACCCGCTCACGAACCTCGTCTGGGCGCACTTCCTGCTGCACAAACTGCTCGCCCACCTCGAGGGCTACGAGCCCGCGCGCCAGTCTCCCGACGACGTAATGGCGGGCGTCGATATGGGCGCCGACGCAGACATCCCGGGGGCCGCGGCCAGGGTCAAGAAGAAGGCGGTTAAGTTGCATAAGGTGCTGGTGCGGGTCGGGGAGATGCTGTGTCCGGTTGCGTTGGGCAGGGGGGATGGGGAGGGCGGGTTGAGGGATGGGGGGGTGAAGGGGTTGGTGCTGTTGGCGGTTGGGGAGGGGTGGTTGAGGGTTGGGGATGTGGGGGTGTGAGGGGGGTGTATTTCTCGGACGGCGTTTGGCGGTTGGGGGTGTGCATGGTACTCGGTGTTGTATTGGGCGTTTTGCGGCGGTTCGCGTGGCTTCGCATCGAGAAGATCGGGTGTTGTATGGTTTCGCATGGCGTGGCGCAGGATGGCGTTGGGGCATTGCATGGCGCTCGCTGCACAGCACTGCGGTGTTGATACGAGTACGATAACGAGACAATAATCCGTTTATCCCATTAACTCTCTCCCCAGCCCGTAGTGTCCACATCGTCGATCCACTGTCCGCCGTCTTTGATCGGTGTACAATCCCACGTCTCGCATATCCTGGCTCTTTCGATAGCCCATGAGTGATGACGGCAGGGCTGAGCGAACACAGCGCGCGCCACCAACCAGAGCAAGTCTGCCGTTCGTGACGTCCGCGGAGCACAATCAGGCTGCGAGCATTCTTCTATCATCAGCCTGGTGCCTAAGCGATCTTGAACAGCGAATAGGTGTAGTGCCACAGGGGATCCCGCGCCCTCATGCATCGCTACGGATACCCGAATTCCTCTCAGCCTTCCTGGACGTCCGATACCATATCGTAGACGTGTACAAAGCAGCCATTATTCTGCTTGGAAATCTCCAAGGGTTTTTGGGGCTGCATTACGCGTAACTTGTGTGAAGACTCCTCGCATTTTCTCTATATAAGCTCGTTGCTCTTCACAGCAACACATACAGCCATTTCCGCGTCACCTCGACGCGATCTGGAGAATCTTGCCAAGCGCGTGGAAAGCTGCGAGAAACGATGCAGTACTATCGAGGGTCTTGTCTCTGCAAGAGAACAGAAAGATTGAGATGTGTTCAGATGGATCTGCGACTTTGATATCCGCCATAGAGACGTTGAGCTTCAGCAGTCTATAGGGAGCACGAAGCTGTACAACGACCGCTGCCAATGGAGTACTGGTAAGCCTGCTCGAGCTGATAAAGGAGGGTGTCGGAATCAGATAACAAATCCATTTAGAATGAAGACACATTTGCGTGAAGACACATTTGCGTCAAGCCTGTCAACTATTCCTCCCGTCTAATCACACCACTACTCTCTAAACCCAAGTCGACTCGAGACTCCTCGCGCTGACAGCAACGTTCCTCGTATCCCCATCAATCGAGTACAACTGGGCACTGACCGCGCCGTCATCGAGGAAAATCTGGGCCGTCAGAGCAACCTCACCGTCGCCGCCGAAGACCTCGACCGACGACCAATCGACGAGGATACGCAGGTTAACCTTGCCATCTTTGCCAGCAGCAAGCGGTGCGTAGAAGGTAGATGCAAATGTAGCCTCGAAGTCAACGGTGCCGGACCTGGACCTGTCGACGGAGACTTGCTTGGTAGTGAAGTCGTATCCGACGCGGGTCTGCTGGGAGAAATCGGATGAGGCGCGGACCACGATGCCGACTTGCGGTGCTTTTGAAGCTGCGGGGGAGCGGTCGGAAAAGGAAAGCGTGATGTCGAGAGCCTTGCCGGAGAAACCGAGCGTGGTGTTGCCCTCGGGCAGCCTGCCCCAAGAACGGGAGAACTGGCTGGATTGAGCAAGTTTCGCTGCTGGTTCTTGTATCAGGGTGGCTTTTCCCCCGACGGTTTTGAGAGACAGCTTGCGGGGAATCGACATGGCGCTGCGCCAGGGGCTGGTGGGTATGAGGTTGCCGTATTGCCAGTTGTTCATCCAGGCAATGTCGATTCGCTCGTCCTCTGGAAGTCCATTGTACGGGATAGCTGCATAAAAATCCGGGCCGTAATCTACCCAGTTGGCTTTTTGAGCGGAGGCCTGCGTGTTCGAGAAGGAAATGGCATCGACATTGATATGGCCCCAGCCGCCGGTGAGGGAGTCAACGATTTCGATGTTGGCATTTTGGCCGACGTAGGCACTGACGTCCCATCCACTCCATGTGAGGGCTTCGGCGTTCTGACCGGTAGCAGTGCGCACGATTTGGCTGTTGATCTTCAGGTTGATAGCAGTCTTACCTGGGTTGTACCCACCACCTATGAGGAAGTTGATGTATTTGAGGGAGATCTTGAAAGTTGGCGATGTGAGTGTTCCAGTAGTGGCGTCGCCGTTGATAAAGGTGTTCACAAAGCGGTTTCCGCGATAGCCAGTAACCGTCTGCTGTCCACCAATGGCTCCAGCTGCTGGGCTAGCACTGGCAAGATCTCCTGTAGCGTTCCAGCCCAACTGAGCAAAGGTGCCGTCGCCTTCAAAGTCCTGAAAGAACACGCTGTCGCTTGGAGCGGTTGGGGCGGGGTAGATGCTATTGGCGTCTGCCGTGAACTTCTTTCCATCAAAGCTGCCCACGACGTACTGGGTACCCGAACCGATCGTACCAGGAGGACCACCAGGGTTGAGACCAATCTGGGCAACCCACTTGGTGTTCTTCTTCTGACCATCGACCTTGAGCGGAAAGATGCTGGGGCACTCCCAAACGCCACCGACGGCGTTGACTGGGCCGAATTCACTCACCAGAGTCCAGTCTTTGAGGTTGGACGAGGTGTAGATCAGCAGCTTGTGAAGAGCGGACAGAGTCATCACAGAGACCCACTTGTTGGTGTCGTCATGCCAGAATACGTAAGGATCACGGAAGTCTTTGAATTGGTCCGCGTACTGGGGAGGTGGGAGAGGGATGACTGGGTTATGAGCATCATCTGTGGTCCATGTCTTGCCTTCGTCCAGACTATAGGCAATTGATTGTGCCTGCGTGCCTTCCTGAACCGTCTTCCCGCTTGGCAACGTCTGCGTCACGGGATACTACGAGAAGAGGGAATCAGCATGGTCAAGACGAGGCATATTGTATACTTACATAGGATGTGTACATGGCAACCAACGGTACCTGCTTGCCTTTTCCAAAGCCGCTTGTGTTCTTGACATCGGCCACTGCAGAGCCGGAGAAGAACATCTCAGTGATGTTATCAGGGAAGCCGCGGGCCTGCAGAGCAACTGGCTGTTCCTTCCAGTGCGTCAAATCGTTGCTGGTCGCATGGCCCCAAGACATTGCTCCCCAAGTGTCGCCTCCTGGATTGTATTGATAGAACAAATGATAGACGCCCTTGTAGTACAATAGCCCATTGGGATCGTTCATCCAGTTTTTGGCAGGGGTGAAGTGGTACTGAGGACGGTAGGGCTCGTTGTATGATTGTCCAGCCACGGCCTGTATGGCAGCTAGCCCCAAGACCATGGCGCGACCAATACTGGAGGCCATTACGGAACTATAGGAGCAACCGAAGAGGTAGACGAGAGACTTTTACCGGGAACTGAAGGTGAGAAGACCGAGCTGAGGTGGTGATCAAGCGTGTACGAGGCTACACTTTTATATGTTCTGTTCCGATGCTAGGCGTTGGATCGACGTTTGTCAATAACGTGTGTCTCCTACCATGACATGATCGGGATGCTTTCTCGATAGATCAAGAGAGAAGTACTGAGCGGACGGTGAGATGCAAGCCTTGTGTGCTTAATGAGGTACTCTGGTGTTTCCCTATTGGAGAAACGTTCCGGTTAGGCCGGACACAGCTACAGCTCCGTGCAACCATGGTGAAGTGTGGTGGGGAATATGGGGACAAATCGCGGGGCTAAGACCTGGGGAAGACTTGAACAATACCGCGGAACACTTCTATGGCTTAGTTATGAGTTCATCTGTCCTATTCTGGAACGGTAGAATCTTCGGTGCGTTGTTCGGTAGGATGCAGGATTACTATACCCTTACCCACCCATGTAGTGGAGATCAATCCCTACCTAAATCTAAAGCCTCGCGTGATTCCCGACGTCCGCGGTTGAAGTATGCTTTACACAGTACGTCATGGAGACCCGCGGAGAGGCAAGACTCAAGGCCCCGCAGTGGCCCATAAATCCCTACCTCTGTCATGTGGAAGTCGCTAGGATGAAGTCTCACTGCGTGCACGTGGTGCGCTGCTCGACAGAAATTGCACGGGGCAACAACGGACGCTGTTGAATTGGCGTGACCTTCCCCACCAGGCTAGGCAATGCGTGCTGTTGTAGCGTGAATCTGGGCCAAGAGTGGAGAGACTCTCATAACCATAGGGTATGGATCTCTTCGCGCAGCGTAGCTGGCAGATTCTTAGGTTGAGGAAAGAGTGAGTTAGCCTAGATAGAGCTTAGCTTATTTGGCGGCTCGGTTTCTAGAACCGGGAAGGCGGTTGGCATCGTTTCCGAGACCCTAAGGCTATGTCAGTATACGCTACTAATTCAGGTCACTTACAAATTGAAGCATGCTGCGGGTTTGATCCAGCGTGTTCGTTAACGTGAGCCAACTACCGGCAATCCGAGCTGGGTCGGGTATCAAAAAGCGGTTGGCTAGCTGTTCGGCCCCACATCCCTACGACGGGTCCTCAGGCCCTTGAATGCCTCTAAGTATCGTATAGTTTAATAGAAGCTTGTGCGTTATATTATATAGGATGGGTAGCCCTTCAGCTGATAGCTCACGGATATGCATCCAGAACAGCTACACTACTCCCCTAGAGCTTTGACTTACTAGATGCATGCCACGCCGGCACACTGTATCAGCCCGGCGTGCTACCCTCCTATGGGTGCCTCCAGCTTCTTATCTTATGCTTACACGAGTAACACGACTTATAGCTGCACTGCTATATTATATAGATAAGCTGTATAGAGAAGGATAATCGCACTGGCTCATAGAACACTCCACTAATGTATCCTGCAACAAAATGATTGGTATGTGGTTCTACAGCCTCATTTCTGTGGCGGGCCCGGAGCGGGCCTTTGGTGCGGTATCGCGTCGCGGCACCGTCCGCGCCACCCTAGACCCTGTCATCCCTTTATCGGGCCAACGCGCTCGCCAGCACACCCGCCTTCAGCCACAAATGTCAATCCACGTTCTTTTCTCCAGCTTTCAACACCAGTTCAACAGACTTTGATCCTCTCTTTCGCTCTTTATTGCGCATTGCGCATTGTTCATACAAATTCTCTTGTTCAAACATTGATTTGCTTCTTACTATCTACAGTGCGACTCTCACAAGCAGTCCAGTGCGCAGCGACATGCTACCTCGATAACTCGACCTTACTCTGGAGCTGTTCACTACAACCGCACAACCATGGATCGACTTAAAGACCGGTGGGAAGCTTTCGAGGCGAATCATCCTCGGATCCGCAACATTGTTGAGGCAGTGAAGCCGTACGTTCCGCCAGTGAACTTCATCACGGTCCACTATGCGTATTTCATCGGCGTTTCACTTGTGGGCACGTTGATTTTCTGGGGCGCGTCGAACCCATCAAAAAGCATCGGATGGTGGGATTGTATGTTTATGTGCGTGAGCGCAATGACTGCTTCCGGACTCAATTCAGTGAACGTTAGTCAACTCACTACGTTTCAACAAGTGGAGCTTGCGGTTTTGATGATGATGGGAAGTCAGGTGCTGGTCAGCTACTTCACGGTTGCGTTCAGGAAACACATATTTGAGAAGAGGTTTGAGGATATTGTGGAGGCTGAGAAGGAGAGGCGGAATGCGCGAAAGGGAGATGTTGGGGCTGTGGTCGGCATGACGGGAGCAATGTTTGGATTACCAGTCATGGGGTCATTTGGGAAGGGCAAGGCGGGAATCAAGACGAGAGGATTGACGAAGGTCGTGACGCCTGCAGAGGGACGCGCGGAAGATATACCGCCCAGAACACCGATCACAGAAGTCCAGGCCCACACGGGGCTTTCGCCCATCTCACCTCTTTCAAGAGAGAAGAGCCCGCCACAGCACATCGGTTTTCTGGATCCCATACACGAGCGTATATCTCACGAAAGGCCCATGTCAGCGACGACGGGACACTCGATCTACCAAGTACACAGCCAACAGAGCGTATCGAAGCGTCGCCGCTCACTGGCTGAGGAGTCCAAGCTAGACGACAGCTTCAACGTACAGACCTTCGTCAAAGAGCAGAAGAGCAACATTGGTCGGAATGGGCAGTTCTTCAATCTGTCGTCAGACCAACGAGAGTACCTGGGCGGTGTCGAGTACCGCGCGCTCAAGTTCCTCTCCATGTTCGTTCCAGCCTACTTCATACTCTGGCAGTTCTTCGGTGGTATTGCACTAGGGGCATATATGTCCGTCTACGAAAGGGAAGCTTGCGCTGTCAATGCGCAAAATCCTTGGTGGGCTGGCATCTTCCTCGCCATCTCTGCGTACAGCAACGCTGGGTTTACACTGCTAGATGCAGGCTTCATACCCTTTCAGTCCTCTTACTACGTCCTCGTTATCGTAACGATATTGTCGCTCGCCGGACCTGCCTCTTTCCCCGTCGTTGTGCGCTTCCTGATCTGGAGCATGTCCACACTTCTTGATCTTTTCTCTAAAGACAAGGAATACGGTGTATGGAAAGAAGGTTTTGACTTCATCCTCAAGTTTCCGCGACGCGTATACACCAGCATGTTCCCTTCACGGGACACCTGGTTGTTCATCGCGACCTTCATGACGTTTGTAGTGGTAGACTGGGTTCTAATCCTCGTCCTCAGTATTGGGAACCCGACCCTGGAGGCCTTTCCCATCGGTCAACGCATTTTCATCTCCCTCTTCGAAGGTTTTTCGATCCCGACTGGAGGCTATGCTATCGTCTCGCCCGCAGGGATGTATTTTGACGTTCAAGTTTTGTGGCTGGTCGTCTTCTACACCGCAGCGTATCCACACATCATCACTATGCGCAAGACCAACGTATATGAGGAGAGATCTCTGGGTATCTACGAGGGCGACGAAGCTGAGCCAGAACAGCTACATTCGGCGTCCAGCTCACTCTTCGATGTCGACGCTGCGATACCGTCGTTGCCTACTGCTGAAAACGAGCAAAAGAAGACGCGCCTTGCGCCCATAAAGTCTCTGGGTCAAGTCGGCCGTCGCGGCACTGCCTTTGTCGGCCGCCAACTCCAGCATCGCATGACGGCCTTCCAGGGCGTCGGTGTCGCTCCTATACCGTCCGGGCATGCACCGCTGAAGCGATCGAAAACCATGGACTTCAACCGCGCAACGTCCATCCACTCGCTCTCCTCATACCCACCTACCCACCCTCCCTCTCTCATCAGCCAACAAGTCCGAGGCCAGCTTTCGCACGACGTATGGTGGATCGCCCTCGCGCTCTTCCTCATCACACTCATCGAGACACACCACTCCATCGAAGACCCGCGCACATACAGCGTCTTCACCATCTTGTTTGAGATTGTGAGTGGCTACACGACCATTGGAATTAGTATCGGGTTGCCGGATCAAGCGTACAGTTTCAGTGGTGGCATGTATACAGGAAGTAAGATCATTATGATTTTGACCATGTTGAGAGGAAGACACAGAGGTTTGCCTGTGGCGCTTGATCGCGCAGTCAGGCTGCCAGGGAAGAAATTGGCAGAGATGGAGGAGGAAGATGCGGAGATCAAAAGTATTCTCTCTCAGTGAAGGGGTTGTAGGGAATTGGGCAATGGTTACATGTGGTCAGCGAATGGAAAACGTGATCTTATTTTTGGAGTGCGAGATGCCATGCGTAACTAGAAACTGTCTCCACGATTCATGCCTCGACCAGTCATCAGTGAACTTCATTGGCTTATCGCTGTGCTATGGTCAAGGTTTGGTCATATGGTGGCAAGCTGGAAAATGGAACAGTAAGGTGTTTACATAGGCAGTGTTTGGAACATGTGCACAGCAACAGCAGAACGACGTCCATCGCGAAGGTCGGTTCATAGATGCTATTTCGCAGATCCGGACTTCGTGTCCCAGTCTTTAAACCCTCCTGTCGCACTCAAGTGACTTGTTTGTTCCAGACTAATCGGCTTAATCACTTGATGATCTTCTTTTTGACCGTGAGCACCTCCAACATATCCAGGCAGGTTCGTTAGGCAACACCAGAGATCAGACAGCACATGTATCTCGACACAGTGCACAGCAGCAATCAAAACAAAAATTCGTCCATGCTGGTGGTCTGCTGTCTACATACATAGTTTTGTTTAACGTCTCCATCCCCCAACAATGTTAGGGAAACTTGCCCGAACAGCGCTCCACCACTATCCTCACCCATCTCCGAGGGCAAAAAACTCAAAAATACATACAACAGTGGGGATTCCCCAGTGGTCACCCACCTGAGTACTAATCCACCGGTACGTTGCTTAAATAGGGCTGAGCGAACGGGAAGCCTTGTTTTCAACGTCCTATGGTCGTATGTGGGAGTAGGTGTTTGTTAGTGATTCAAAGTATCTGCAGTGTGATCACAGAATATGTCTGCTTGGTTATCATTCGATGAGTTATTCCCTGTACGGTTTAACGCAGCTAGGCCCCGACGAGAACGCCATGCATATGCAGCCGGTTCAACAAGTATCAATAACACAGCCTGAACAAAGTCGGCTTGGCAACCGGCGCAGCGCGATGTCCCTCTTATAGAATAACAAGTAGCTACTATATAAGGTAACTAGAAGGCCTTTCTTTCTACTAGTAGGTAACGTTAAGAGTGTAATATATTTAAATAGGTAGTATATAAAGAGAATAAATACTTTGCTTTAGTTGCCCTTCCCTGCAGCTTAGGCAGGCCTGAGTCTGCAGTGAAAAGCTGTGATCGAGCAGGTAAGCCTATATTCAGGTGATCTATTAGATGGACCACTAATTCTATATACTACAGGACAGTACTCATGTTAAATACAAAGGAAAATTATGTGGATCACGTGACCTCGTCTAATCAAGCTCCTGCCACAGCTTGAGCAGCTCCATGTCGGTAAATCAGCCTCTGTAGGTCCGAGCCTCCCACACAGCTCCAGGTGCTCGATTTGTGGTTACATAATCGAGCCGCCCGATCGCGGTTAGATGCTCGATTCTGCGACAAAAGCTGAACCTGGCGGGGTACTTGGGGCTTAGCCCCCCAAGACCCCGGGTAGCGTGGCCTCGGCCTCTATGTATGGCCAACCAAACAGCCTTGACGCTCAGCTGCTCCGCCTAGATGTGAGATTACAGCCTCGATCCCGTTGTACACTCTTACGCTCTTTCTTCCACATTGTCTGCTGTTGACAAAAACATACCTCGCTCAAGTTCTCCCCACCTGTGATTTTTTCGAGCAGTTTCCATACAGATGCCCTTGTACTCGACGAGGATCGCACAACGTGTCCAACTTTTTATCAACCAAGTGAGCGCCATCGGTGCGCAATCGATCTCCATCTTAAAGCGGCAGGCGCTGAGATATAACGTCCTGTGACAGGATGCGGCTTTTAGAACTTGGCGATGATGGCGAATTTGTCCTGACCAAGGACTTGATCGGCGACGATGTGAAAGTTCCATCATATGCCATCCTTTCCCATACTTGGGAGGAAGATCAGGAGGTGACTTTCCACGACTTGACGAAGCGGGTAAACAAGGATAAGACTGGATACCGCAAGCTCCGGTTCTGCGCAGAGCAGGCTAGACTCGACGGGTTGCGCTATTGTTGGGTAGACACCTGTTGCATAAGAAAAGAAGATCCTGTCGAGCTTCAGGATGCGATCAACTCAATGTATCGTTGGTACCGAAATGCTATCAAGTGCTACGTTTACCTGACGGATGTGTTCACCCTTGCAGCAACATCGTCGTCATCGTGGGACGCAGCCTTCCGGAGAAGTAGGTGGTTTACTCGAGGATGGACTCTTCAAGAGCTACTTGCGCCTCGCAGCGTAGAATTTTTCTCTTGCGATGGTCAATATCTGGGTGAGAGGTCCGAACTAAGGCAATTGATTCACGAAATCACGGGCGTACCTATTCCTGCGCTTGCCGGGTTGTCGTTAGACACCTTTGAAGTTGGAGAGAGGCTGTCTTGGTCAAAGCAGCGCCGTACTACGCGCAGCGAGGACAAAGCATATTCACTTCTGGGTATATTCGGTATCTACATGCCTTTGCTGTACGGCGAGGGACAGGAGAATGCCTTCAAGCGGCTCCGGAAGGGCATTGAAGAGTCAATTCGAGATGAGAAGTTATCTCATCCCTCTACTTCGGTGCATCATGCTTTCACAGACCAAGAACTTGGTTGGTACTCTCTCCCAGCCACCTGGCAAACTACTGATCAAGTTCAGAGTGCTTACGGTCACTCTCTTTCCTCGAGCAAGAGCATAGGCACAACGATATATTTCACTGCTAGGGAAACCTGTGACTGGCTCTTCAATGATGCCCAGTACAAAGCATGGAGAGATAGTCCGAGAGGCCTCTTCTGGATCAAGGGCAACCCCGGTGCTGGAAAGTCTGTCCTGATGAAATATGCCTTCAAACGCATGCAGACCGCAGCGCCTAATGACCTAGTCATCGCGTTCTTTGTCCATGGCCAGGGAACGGAGCTGCAACATACGCCATTGGGCATTTTCCGGTCTCTATTAAACTCGCTGCTGTGCAGCTATCCAATGCACCTTGCTGAACTCACTACTATCTTCGAAGATCGTGAGAGAAGGTTTGGGGGTTACCTAGCTAACAGATGGGTCTGGAGCTGTCAGGAACTTCAAGATACGCTGACGAGAACTCTCACAAGCAGTACTGGCCACACGCCAGTCACAATATTCATAGACGCACTAGATGAGTGCGGCGAAGAGTCAGCCAGAAGCTTGCTGGCTTATTTCAGTGAACTCTCGCAAAAAATTGAGGAGCAGCAGACACATGTAAGGTTCTGTTTGTCTTCTCGTCATTATCCAGTCCTTGGTCTTGATACGGCTGCAGCAATCTCTGTGGAAGACAGGAATCGCAACGATATCCAATACTACGTTCGACAACGCCTGAAATCAATTCAATCAAAGTCGAAACGCCGACAAATTGAGGATGAGATTCTCATGAAAGCCCAAGGCGGATTTCAATGGGCATTTTTGGTCACCGAAACGATAATCAACAGAAATATCTCAGGGACCAAAGTCGAGCATCTCCAGAAAGAGCTAACGTCCTGCCCACTGACCCTCAGCGAATTGTATGCTACGATACTAGATGCTGGTTCTCACGATGAGAGACTCCAAACAGCCAAGCTATTTCGCTGGGTCTTGTTTTCTGAGCGGCCTCTGTCTGTACAGGAGCTTCGTGAGGCCCTCGCAACCGATCAACATACGAGCTACACTTCTATCGCTGGGCTTAGACTCCGCGAAAGCTGGTCTGATACTCTGACGGACTTCGAGCGACACGTGAAGCACGTTTCCAAGGGTCTTATTAAGTTTCATAGTCGCGAAGTTTGGGAACAATATGAGCAAGGTGGAGAGGATTCCGATCGCGAAGCGCAACTCATCCACCAATCTGTGGCGGAGTTCTTACTGGACAAATATCTGTTCGACGCTCAACAGAATCAGATAGGCGCAGGCCACGTCCTAATATCGACGTCGTGTTTCCAGTACCTGACCCTGCCCGAAGTGCTGGAAGGTTCCGGTCTACCAAGAGGCACCTTGTGTTCCAACTTCCCTCTCGTCCCATACGCAGTACGGTATCTGTTCGAACATATACACAAGGCGGATCAAGCAGGTATTATTCAGCCAGACCCACTTTCAACACTCGACCGGACACGTCTATCTGAGACGATACGAAGTCTCGTCACGCTATGGTCAATCTTCGATTCTAACAGCAACAACAACAACAACATCCCTATAGGCTGGCCGTTTGCAGGATCGTCAAAGACTCATGTTTGGGTTGCTCTGGGCTTGAAAAACACAATTGCTGCGTCCCTGACCAACGACCAAACCGCTCTGCATGCTGGAGATGCTGATGGGAACACACCCTTACATATCGCTGTATTGTCAGGGCATTATGATATAGCTGTACTTCTGCTCGATCACCTCTCGAGATATAGGAAGGGCCGCAAAAAGCATCGCGACAGTAAAGAGTCTGTCCCAAAACAAGCTCGCAAGAAACACCAGGGAAAGCGGGTCAACAAAGTCCGATTCCCGAAGCCGAAGTCATCTCCAAAAGTAGGCATTAACGTAGGAAATGCGGATGGTGAAACAGCCCTAGACCTTGCGCTGATCGCAAAAGCCGGTACGGTGATCTCCAAACTCATCGATGCAGGTGTTGACATCCGGGGCCGAGAACGGTCATTACTGATTCACGCAATCGATAGCAATGACACAACACTTATTGCAAGCCTAGTCGCAAGACGTGTCAGTCTCAAAGGAAGCGTATACTACGCAGTGAAGACAAAGTCATCAGAGCATGTTCTTCGTGCGCTACTCCAGAGTCGCGCCGATACCCTCCGGCCGAGAGAATACGAACGAGACATTGGTTATGATGTATCTTCCAACGACGATACTAATTGGGATGATGCGCTCCACCTTGCTTCAAGAAACGGCCAACAGGCTATGGTCAATCTACTGATCTCATATGGTGCCTCGGCATTGTACTGTAATCGGGCTTGGGAGTGCCCCCTTTTGATAGCAGTGCAACAAGGTTCTGAGGGAATTATCCGATCGTTGCTCGACTACGAACCTTCTGCGGTTAACCTAGCAGATATTCAGGGACGCACAGTACTCCGTGTAGCTGTCGAGAGTGGGCGATTCGACCTAGTGAAGCTGCTCATTGAAAGAGGCAAATTTCTACCTAGAAGTAGAATTCTGAGCGACTATCTCCTGAAGTTCGGCACCTTTTGGGTCCCAGCAAGCTTAGAATTGGCGGACCGTGATTACAGTATGATCACTGAACGCATTCTCATCGACGGTCAGCTCGACCTCGACGCGAGAGACGAACGATACCGTTCCATCTTGTGGCATGCTGCAGCAAATGGAAACGACACACTTGTTCAAATGTTGCTTACTGCAAAGGATATCAACGCCGATGCACATGATAACACATGGACGTCACCATTGCTTATAGCAGCTTGGAGAGGCCACACATCCGTGGTCAAGCTATTGTTGGCTACAGGTCTGATCGACATCAATTGGCGCAACAGTACCGGGGTCTCTACATTGTTGATTGCAGCCTGGTATGGCTACAGTGATATAGTCGAGCTCTTGCTAGCTGCAGATCACATAAACGTCAATGCAGGAGACGAGACCGGATGTTCGCCCTTGTTGATGGCAGTTTGGAACGGCAATATGTCTATTGTCGACATGCTTTTATCTAATGAACAGGTCAACGTCAACGCAAAAGACGAGCAGGGAGTGAGTCCCCTTCTAATGGCAGCTGGAAGAGAACACCTGGGTATATTTGAGCTGCTGCTGGCCACAGAGAATACCGAAATCAACGCAACAGACAGGGACGGGGTTTCACCATTGCATGTAGCGGCGTGCACTGGCCAAATCATCATGGCAGAGCTACTCCTTGCCGAGGATGACGTAGACCTCAATATACGCGACAAGCACAAACGCTCTCCTTTACACATGGCAGCGTGGAACGGCCACATCGACATCGTAGTGCTATTCATGGCTTCACAAGAAGTTGATTACGAAGCGACCGATACCAATGGATACACACCGGTGCACTTGGCTGCAATAGAAGGCCACGTATGTGTCGTTGAGATGCTGCTCGACGCACAGGAAGAGAGCGGTCCATGGGATTTCTCTCCACTCCTGTGGTTGGCAGTAAGCAGGAGGCAACTTACAGTAGTGGACATGTTACTTGTCACTGGCAGGGCATCGGCCTTGACTCGCAATGCGATGGGATACACATTGATATCACACGTGATGATGACAGGAGACATGGCAGTATTCCAGCTATTGATCAACCAAAATTACCAGCAGCAATGGAACGACAAGTCAGATCGATCAAAACTTCAGCTACTCTATATTGCCATGAGAGCAACACAGAGTAAGAACAGAGCATTGGCACAAGAGATGCTAGACGCTTATGAGGATGGGGATGAGATTGGCGTAAGATCCACGATGGACGTTGCCTGCACACCAATTTCACGTCCAATATGCCTTGGGTACGCAGAGACCGTACGGAGACTGCTGTTTTCTGGCAAGATCGACGTTGATGCCAGAGACATCCATGGACGAACACCACTGTGGTGGGCAGCAAGGAGCGGATACATGCGTGTGTATGAGCTCATACGCTCTTATACATCAAGGCGACTTGATTCCAGTGTCATGATCAGATCAGAAGATGAGACCAGTGAAGTGGACGTGCCAGAACCTGACGCCTTCGGCAACGCCAGTTACGATCCTCACATGGCGGTTCGTCACAGTAAGACCGATCAGCGGATCTCCTCACTTCATTGCGAATATAGGATCAAAGACGAAAATGGTGACAAACACAGTGAGGAACAGGAAGACGAAGACCAAGGTAGAGCTGAAGACGAAGGTGAAGGCATGTATGAGAACTCAAATGGATATGGAGACGTGGAAACAGATTTTGCTCTTCTCATGAAGCAACTGGAGACTTTGAGAAATCAATCTCAGGGGAATATTCCCTCCAGATATATTTCTGATTGATCTTGGGCTTCTGAAGTTGAGAATGGGGCAATTCGTCTGAATGTGCGTCGGATGCGTGTGTCAGATATGGCGATGGTGCTCTCTTGGTGGGCAGCTAGTTGACGGATAACAACAATCTTAGTGAAGTAAAGCTTCTGGGAATTGGTGTCCTCTTTAAATTTTGTCATCTGTTTCAATGATCTGTTGTGGGCTTAGTTGGTGAGGCTGTACGTGCACCGAAAACGGAAAGGCGTACAACAGCATCCTCGAAACGGCACCTCGACAGACGGCCTTCAATAGTTCCTCTCGGATCTTGGAGTGTTGCATCATGCGGATGTCGATGGAGTGTGTGGGGCGAGAGGCGTCGGGGACTAGTGTGGTTTGGGTTGCGGAGGGTGGCGCTGAGGCGGTGGATGGACCTTGAGGGTCTATGTGGCGTGACACGGTCATGGGGATGGAGGGGTTGCGGAATTTCATGCGTGGGAGCATTTCGCGCCAGAATTTCCTGGTTGTTGGACGAGTGGTTAGCCTTGATCTCTCTATGTTTGGCGTGTTATACCAAAATAGCCTTGACTCTCCATGTGCTAGGCGCAACCAGGCCCTCGCCGCTGTACACTATATTCATAGGAGCTTGAAGGTTCACTCAAAATGCATGACGATATGTTATCATTAGATGCAAAATTGATCGAGCGAATCATACAGAATGAGCGTAAGTCTTCTCGACAGGGTAATACATCCTAACAAAATTGTATTCAGAACCATGAACATAGTTAATTCTCAATTGTCCTGAGCACCGACCTACATTGATTGCAACATTCCCGGTGTTTAGAGGATATATTCGAAATCAAGAGCTCGATCGCCTTCTTTTCCATTATCTGTTGCTCCCTCTGCAATGATCTTTGCCTTACAGTTGTTCCTGTAGCGCAACAATACCCAGCAAGCGGCATAAAGGAATCCCGCAACAATGGTCAGCCCGGCCGAGATGGCATTTCCAGGCACGTACCGCGGTCCCTGGTTCGAAGGGTAGAGCTGACCAGACACAAGGTTTGATACGTTTGCGAGACTGTAAGCGAAAGGTTGACCAATGGCGCGCTTGCTATCTGGTGCGAGATTGGTAGTGATCCAGGTTACAGCCAGAGTAGAGATTGGATAAAGTCCTATGTGTCGAAGCCGTCAGTGGGGAATCGGCAGAAGGAAAGCGGTCCACTCACCAATAACAAGAACGAACATGCCAGCGTAGCCAACATTGGAATTCTTGGAGAACACACACATGAGATAGCCAGCAGCTACGGGCGCACAGCAGCACACGATAAAGACGCCTCGCTTCTTGAGTTTGTCAGAGTAGTACACTTGGATGCAGAGCGACGTTGCGCCCAGTATGTAAACCGGGATGGTCATGTAGTTCACTTTAAGGGACGCAAAACTGGAGTTGTTTAGTGAATGAAAGGAAACGTATGACACCCAGCTTACCCAAGTCCTTGAATGATGGTAGGCAAGAACACACCGAACCCGTTGATCGCAACCGAGCTGGTGAAAAATGCAGTGCCGAGCATCCACACAAACGGATCGGTAAGTGCAGGCTTGATCCACTTCTTTTCGAACTGCTCCTCGCCACGGATAATATAGTCGCGTTCTTTCTTCATGCGCATCGTCTCTTTCTCCTCCTCGGTCAGGAACCAAGCCTCTTCAACTTTGTTCGGAAGGAAGAACAGACCAGAGCCACAGATGACAATGGTGATGCCAAACTCGATGATGAAGAGCCATCTCCATGCTGCAAATCCATGCCGACTGCCCATTGTCTGGACCGCATATGCGAAAAGGCCGCCAAATGCGCCAGAAATGCATTGTGCAATGTTGGTAGTCATGATTCGTTTGCCGGCCAGTTCACGGGGATAGATTGTCGAGAAGAGAAAAGCAAATGCTTGGGCCAGACCGGCTTCAGCGGCGTTGAGTAACATGCGGCATGCAATCACCTGGCCGTAGGTCTGGACGAAGGCAGTGCCGAGAGTGCAAATAGACCAGAGAATAAAAGCTGTGCCAATGGCTTTCTTCGCGCCCCAACGGCGGGTAGCTAGCACCCACGGGACTTCAAAAAGGACTGTGCATACACTGGAAAGAGTTTGGATGTTGCCGAACTGGCCGGATTTAAGGCCAATGTCTTCGTCGAAGCCGAAGACGCGGGCATTGCCAAGCTGGGACAGTTAACAAAGGGACAGGTGGATAGTTGGGGACTGTTTACGTTGTTGCGATCCAAGGTTGACAGGACAAGGTAGATGACTGAGACAGGGACCACGTATATATCGAACTTCCTTCGCACGGCAGCTTCCCGAGCAGGGTCAATGTAGATCAAGCTTGTAGTGCCGACTTCGTGGTCTTCAGTGGGAGACTTGTCGTCGATGCTGATGTCATTGGTATTCTTCTCCATGGTTTTTCTTTCTCAGGTCCAAATATATTGTATTGTACTGATGCCTAAAAAAGGCTGAACACTTCGATGTCGAAACATTCAATTTTGAATCTCGCAGAGAGAATAAATATCCCATTGTGGCGTTTGGCGCTGAACCTTGGATCGCGAAGGAGACGTTGGAGTTCAGTCTACTGCTCGTTTCCCGTGATAAGATGTTGATAGTGAATAGCTATCAACCCCGCATCTGAGATCCAATTAGCAACCACGATTTCTTATCTCATAACATTTAGGTCGGGATATGCCGCCATCTGAACATCAGAAGTCCCCTAAATTCCTCGTGTATCGCCTCAACGCCGAAGATACTCACTGTAAGTCGCATCTGCTGACGATGATGATGACAGCTCAGCAGAGAGTTCGAGGCGGAGTGCATGCATGTCAAAGGTAAGATCGCAATCGAGCGTCTATCGCCATGGATATCTAACCGGTCTATAGATGCCGTCGGAGAAAGCAGAAGGTATAGACAACCATCCGCGTCGCCTATCGGGAGACTGATTGTGCCCTCGTCATGGTAGTGTGACCAGAGGTATCCACAATGTTCAAATTGCGAAAGTGCACATGCTCAGTGTCTCTCTTATCATTCTGGCAAACAAGCAAATGTGAGGTCTCCAAAAGCTTTCTTCCGTCGTCTTGCTGACCGATGCAAAGATACCGCGCGACTACGTAGCCAGCTTGGAGAGGCAAATAGCAGAATTGAGTAGTCAAAATCAGCAGTTGCGAAGTCAAAGACAACCGCAATCTTCAGTTCCAACTGAAACATCGCCCAGCTCAGTCTACAGCACTGGCATTTCGCATCCTGGACGTCAAACAGAGCCTGACAAGGATCCTCCTGTAATCAGAGATTTGGTCGCAAGCGTCAGGAACGCCGTCCCACGAACAGGGTCTCAATCGGACGTCCTAGGACAGACCAGTGGTATATCTTTCGCAAAAATGGTACTCGCCGCAATCCACGTAGGCAAAGGCTCGTCAGTATTGCTGCCTGAGCAACAAGCTTTTCAAGGAGTTGATTCTTCAACGACCTCTCCAGCGTCACTTCCCCCTCGCCACGTTGCCGATCATTTGATCGAAGTATACTTTCAGTACCGCACACCACATCTGCCCATCTTGACCCAATCGCAAGTCATCACGGCCATCGACGGCGCATACCAGTCACTTGCGAATGACACCGCTTTTGATTCGGAGGCCGAGAGTAACATTTTCGTGGCGTATATGGTTTTCGCCATCGCTCTTGTAGACATACCTCACTTCGGAGGCCGATCAAGTCAAAGCGATGGTTGTTTTCGTTCAGCTCTCGCTTGGGTTCAAAGCGTCCTCACATACTCCAAGAGCGACCTGGACACTCTAAGAATGGTACTCCTGCTTGTGCAATTCGTTGCTATGTCGCCTTCGCAAGGAAGCCTCTGGCATCTGACAGGTTTTGCTCTTCGTCTTTGCATCGACCTAGGCCTTCACTGGGAGACAGAGTCACAATGTGTCAATACGGACCCAGGGCTGCTGGATGATCGACGGCGGCTATGGCATGTCACTTATCATTTTGATCGACTCATGAGCATAACACTCAGTCGACCCTTTGGAATACATGACGAGGATGTTCGTGTGCCATTGCCAAATCCATGGCTGCGATCTTGTCCGAGCATCTCACCGCAACGTGAAGACTTCACTGCTCATACTCAACGAGCTCACAACCATATCTTCACGTTGGCGAAACTCGAATCAGAAGCCAGACACGTGCAAAACAGCCAAGCATGGACTTTCAGACTCTCATCTCCCCGTCCAAGCTGGGACATGTGGCTACAGGATATGCAGCCACGCATGCAGGAATGGTATGCGACAATACCAGATCCAGGCAAAGCTCATACACAGTCGATATTTGCATCTCAATCTTACTGGAATGTCATCTACTACAACGCCATACTAGCTTTGTACCGCCCACATTCCAATACGCCATATCAGTCCAGCGATGCTTTGATGATTTCATTCGAAGCTGCTAGCAAGATCATAGCCGGTCTCAAAGCCCTACAGCGGGAAGGAAGAGTCGAGATGCTGTGGAAGTCAGTGCACCACCTATTCATGGCTGGTCTCGTCATTATCTACGGCCTATGGATATCGAAAGAAGTTCGCGATCGAACTCCAGTTACTCAAAGTATATTGACACTGCAGACATGTGCATCAACCTTGTCAGCCATGTCCGAAACGTTCAAGGGCGCAGCAGGTTGTCGCGATGCTTTCGAAACACTATCGACGGCTACCACTGATTTTTTGGTCACTATTGATGACAAGGAAGTTTCAAGTAACCATATGGAATTCGGGAGTCAGATAAAGGATCTGATGAATCAATTGAGGGCGTCTCGCGTGGAAGCGAGGCCGCATGCGGCTCCGCCTGATATCGAAACGACAGCTAACATCGGCTTATTGGATAGCTTCGACCTCAGTGAGCTACTGAATACAGCCGCGCAATGGCCAGATTTGGGGGAGCTGGACTTCTTTGCTGGGTACCAGGGCGATCAGGTGGACATAGCAGCGTCTTCCAGTGCGACCTTTGTCACATAATTCAATCAGTTGGTCTTTAGAGAGATTTCTATCAGACTTTCGATGTACACAATTTCAAGTGTCTATATTACTATCGTAAGCCTGGGTGACATCAATTCTTCAATTGGATAATGAATTGTTTGACTATGTGTACCAGACTTGCCACCTTTGACATACCTTTATGAGCTAACCAAAATGAGTCCAAACGACATGAAACAAACACATAAGACTATGCGCTTGATGTCTTGAAGATAGTTGGTTTTACTGAAATTGATTTACATTGGCCATGAGATTTTACCAAGAGTGCATATTCTCGACTACAGTACTACGTGTCCATGGCCAGTTCAGGAATTCGGTGCGGCAACAACTTGTGCTGCCCTCGCTGGTCCATCATCGATGATGGCTTCGTAAGCCAAAGGCTGCTCGATAAACCGCGCATCAGTCAATCCCTGTTGCCATCTATCAAAAGTCGTCCTCGGAATCGTAGCCGACGTCCACATTCCATTCCTCCGAAATGAATTCACCACGTCTACTGCCGCCTCTACCGGTATCTTAGGAAACAATTCTGCCAGCTCTTCTTTGATCTCATTCCCATCCCTCTCCATGATCCATTTGATCCCCATGTTTAATCCCACGCAGAACCGCCTCTGCATATCCAGAATCTGCGGCGTGATTGTCTTCGTCTCGCGATAGTAAACGCTCCAGGGCACCTCCCCTTGCGTGACCATTTCCATCGCAATCGCAACATCGGGATTGCTGGCGGTGATGGTCCGCGCGGACAAGTAATCCGTGACCAAGTAGTCTCCCATTCCGCCCTGGAACAAGGTCGCAAGCATTGCACCATCAAGATCTTGCACAAAATCTACGTTCCGCGGATCGACGCCGTTCTCGCGCAAGAGCATCTTGAACCACAGGCCCACGCTTGCGCCGCCGATGCTCTTCATGAGAACTGTCTTGCCGACGACGTGTTTTGTGATATCGAATCTTTCGGCGCAGTTTGTGCGCCGGAGGAGCGCGAGGGGACAGCGGTTGGCGATCTGCGCGAAAACAGTGTATTCGTCTTTTACGCGACCCCGGTACATGGATGGAACCCAGATGCCGCCAAGGGCCATGTGTGCTGAGCCGTCGGCGAGGGCGTCGAGCACGCCGTCCCAGGGAGTAGGAATGGTGGTGACGACATCTAGGTTTTGAGAAGCGAAGAAGCCATGTCGTTGTGCGATATATTGAGGGAGGTAATTGATGTTGTAGCCGGTAGCGGTGAGGTTGAAAGTCTGCATTGCAATGATTGATTTTTCTTATTTAGCAGATGGATGAGTTGATGTTGATCGCAAAACAGCTCAAGATTGCGCTTGAAGAATTTGATCATGTCCGTAGCCTCAAGAAGATGATGGACTAAATAGTTCTTCAGTGGAAGCAGAAACACCAAGCACAGCCCTAAGCACGAGTCGCACTACCCCAGTGATCATTGGTGACCTTCTCGTAGGTACTCGACAGGTCTAGTGTCGCAAGATTCCGCATCAGCTGGTCATCTCATCGTTCGTATCGTTGCAGCTCTGTTGACATGCTATCGAGGATGTCGTCGGTGAATGCCGATGAGTCGCGGAGATAAATGCTGCATCGGAAAATCGCGACTGGCTTGTACCGATTCAGGGCGGCGGGAATAGTGTAGCCGTACGTCGGGAAATCCCGATCACTGATCACAGCACACGTAGCTCTACCTTCTCACAGTCTCACAATGCTAGTACGATCAAGACGTTTGCGGTGTCGACCGACTGGGATGGATTTCAGTGTGATTTTGGCTTGGCATCAAGTTGGCTGTCTGTTCTTTCCACATAAAGGTAGGAGAAGGGTGTCTGACATTGACTTGGAGAATCAGATATATACAGCATATCTTGGATGTCAAGACCAGGACGTCGATTCCTATTGTTGCTATCCTTGACTGCCAACCTGAACAACCATGACCCCGCAAATAAAGCTATACACAGCGCATCACTGTCCGTTCGCACACAGAGTTCAGATTGCGCTGCGCGAACTCGGTCTCACATTTGATACCGTTTTAGTCGACATTACCACACCACGCACGCCAGAGTACCTCGCCATCAACAGCACTGGCATGGTCCCAGCTCTCCTGTACGATGGCCGCATTCTTACAGAATCCGGTCTGATCTGCCAGTTCCTTGTCGACCAGTATCCCGAGTCTCGGCTTGTGAAAACGAGCAGCGAAGAAGGCGGTGCGTTACAGAGATACATGATCAGTTGCTTCGTGGAAGTGTTCAGCAAGACACATGCAATTTTCGATGCGGTGGTCTACTCGCTCGGTTCACAAGAGGAGAAGGCGTCCATCGCAGAGCAGTACATCGAAGCAGTTGCAAAGAACGTAGAGCCATTTTTGCAAGATTCAGCACCGTTCTTCGGCGGAGCATCGGAAGTGACACTGGCAGAGGTAAGCCCATCCACATACAAGACTTGCTGTGCAACTCCTCTGTATTGAGGTCTGACTCTGTGAAATAGGTCCTCGCTGGCCCATTCGTACTTCGAGTTCTCAAATATCCGAGTCACGCAGAATTGGTGCCGAATTGTGTTTTGACACGTTTGCAAGAACGAGCTCCTCTATTCTGGTCTTGGGCACATGCTATTGAGGCCAAGAGCTCAGTAACAGCAATCTGGGATGAAGCTCTTGTAGTCGAGCGCACGTTGGAACGCATCAAGAGGTCAAAGATGGCAAGTAAAAAGTAAGCGGTGACAGGCATGAATGGAGGGCGAGTCGGGCAGGAGGACTTGTTTTCAACGTCCTATGGTCGTATGTGAAGGAGTAGCGTACCACTGTGGTTTGTATTGCAGTTACAGTATTGATTTCTTGATCAGTGTCTCAGTCATGCGGCACGTGGTGTGGGTTGTGATGGTCTATTGCTGACCAGGTGGGCACCGCACGACAGCCATGCAATGAGCGAAAATACAGACTTCTTGTGGGTTGGAATGCCCTGGTGGGGTTCCTAGCGCATGTAGAGTGCGTGCTTGTCGCATTCAATATGGTGGTTACTAAACGACTACGGTCACACGTAGATACTGAGACGCGCAACGCGCAGTTCGGCACCGGAGTTTGAGGATTCGGCACTGCGGGAATCTTGCGGTCGTGGAAAGAATCACCGTGCACGGTAGATGGAGGAACGTGCCGTCTGCTGATGCACAGAATGAGACGTTTCTGTACTACGGGTTCCCAGGCACCAAGATCAGAGCTCCAGTCTGACCACTTCGTTTGGGATCTCAGATGGGGCTCCTGACAGCTTGCGCATCCGACTGTGCGCTTGCTCAAGTCGTGTGCCTCACCATTCAAGGTCCAAGGTCTCGGCCCAAGTCCCCTTCTTCTCGACCTTGACGGCCTCCTGCACATTACCCTTGCCCATGTCCCCTCCGTAGAAGTGAGCAAACGCTCCGTGGCCTACTTCGTCCCACTGTATCCACGCCTTGCTGTCCGCGTTGACGTTGCCATCTCCATCCGTCCCCGCTTCGAGCACGCTGTACTTGATCTTCAGCAGCCACAACTCCGTGAAATCGCCGAAGAATCGGTCTGCTGTGCCAGGCACTTGTTCGGACGTGGACAGGTGGATGAAGCCGTCTTTGCGGTCGAGGTCCGAGAGCGGCAGGCGGTCGGGGAGGGGTGATGGTGGGGCGGAGGGGAGGATCTTGTAGAGGTAAGTCGGGAGGGGCGATGGTGCTGGCATTGTGGCGGGCTGTTGATGGCAACAGCTGACTTCCAGATTGGTGGCGTCTGCGAGCTTTGGGGCTGTCACAAGGAAATGATGTGTGCTGAGGACAAGAGTCGCGTCCGCCAAAGATTGGAGGATCAACGCGTTGATTGGCTGCTAGCTTCACTTGATTACCCACCGCTACCGGACGAGTGAACCGTGGAACTCACGACGGCGCCACGAAAATCAGCTCGGATACGGCACAGGTGACAAGATGAACGAACAACTCTCTTCGTCTGACTTCTACGGATTCCAGACCCGGCAGCGCAGACGCACACGTTGCAGAGATCGTAACTTTACGTTTGGATGACAGACGTCATTGCTTCGACCGGGTCAGCACACAATATTGGACACGAACAGCAAGAGTTACTTAGGACCAAGCTTCTACCCAAGGTACCGGGCGCTGGAAGAGAAAAACTGTCCGACTCTCCAATCGCGCATTGCGCGATCCAGCATTGCACTATACGACTCCCTTGCTACCTCTCGAATAATTCTGCGACCCCCGACCGCCCTTTCAGCCACAGTCTGAGGACTGAGGCGTCCGGAGCCATCGTCTCCAAATATGCCACTTTCATCGCCGACCCTCGACAAGTTTCGCGCACTCCTATGGCCACGGAACACCGAGCAGTCGGCTAGCAATCCGACCATCGATGAGCACGGGTCGCCAGCGTCCGGGCTGAAGTCTAAGCCACATCATTCAGATGTCGAAGTCTCGAGACACAGCAACGCTCAGCTCACGTATTCGACTGGAGCCCCTGAACCCTTTCAGAGTCTTCCAGATGCATCTGCAACTGCGTCCTCGCCGAAGCCAATATCCCGGATGTCGGATCTAGACGTTCTCCACACCCGCCTGTCGAATGCTCACCTCCTTGCCCATCATCAATTTGAACTGCATCCCACTGGAGGTGTCTCTTACAGACCTCACCCAACTAAATCCACCCGCCACGGACGCCAGCCATCGCATTCGCTTTTACCCCACATCCAATCATCACCTGACGCGAAGGGGCCAGGTTTAGTGGAGCTCACAAAAAAAGAGATAGACAGCTTCCAGTCGCTTGATGTACCAAGCGCACTTTGTTGCATACAAAGGGAAGAATCAGGCCTGAGTCCATTCTTTGTCCAATTCAAGAGTCTGAATGAGGGCGCGGCGAATGCAGTGTTTAGTATACAAGCAGACCACGGTGTCGGCAAGACAAGTGGCTTCTTGTTTGTTGCGGTCAGAAACTCGGGAAACACGGCAACTACGATACCGTCTCACATGATCCTCGACAAGGTGCTTCGAGTAAGTAAAGGCCTTCCGAAAAGTCTAAAATCCGAGGTGATTGTCGATGGTTTCATGGCAGATGTGCGGCCGTTATTCGTCGCACCTAAGACGTCGACGGCCACAAGTCGGACTCTAGAGGAGATAGATTTGGATAAGCATCTCATGGCACACCTGCCTGTAGTGCTGTTTAGCGAAGGAATGTCCGCGCTCAAAAAGCTAGTCCCGGCTATACACCCGCTGAACAACACAGCGCAGTTCGGCATTCTACTCCCCAATATGTCTACAGCCCCGGGCCAGAATATCACCTTCGAGATCAAACCGAAATGGCTGGCACAGTCGCCAACTGCACCACCGAACGCGATCCGCTGCCGGACATGCGCTCTCCAGTTCTCACGAGGGAAAGGCACACCAGACGACTACATCTGCCCATTGCGATTGAGTAACGAGGGTGTACTTGGAAACAGTGACGTCGCTCATATAAGACGTTGGGCTGTGAACGCATTATCGCTGCAACTCAAGAACGATGCAGACACGCAATTACCACGGGAGGTAAAGCTCGAAACGCTCGTTGACCGCGTAGTTGCATACTTCATCAATGGTGATGGTCGAACACTACTACTGCATCTCAAGAAGCTTCAGGCGACGTTGGACTCAGAAGGCATACTGCAGCGCTACGCACACTCTCGCGACGACGTCAACTTCGTATACGATATTCGCCTCGCTATGACTTTACGGGACTGCTCGTTGTTTGTGGTTGTGCCTCTCTCTGGTGGCGAAATCACCTCTAAGCTCGCTGATCTCGACTTCAAGTCTGCTGAGAAGATTGATGATTGGAGAGAAAAAGAGGCGACTCTAGTCGATGAAGGTTGGTATGTTAAGAGCCCTGAAGCACACGATGTATGCTTGTTGGCGACAGGGAAGTCGTCATAGTCAGCTGACATCAGCGGGATTCTGACCGGAGAACACCATTTCACGAGGTCCAAACAATTTGGAATATCTGAATGTTTTGGATCTCCCACACTTCCTCGAATCCTGAGGACGACTTTGTTTTGCGGAAAACTGGCGCCTGTCGAATCGGATTAGATGGATGCGGAGAGCATCGCCACACTTGGCAGATCGTTCACCCCACATCACAAGCGTTCCAAGCTCATGCATACGTCACCACCGAGGCCCAAATAATAACGCGCGACGCCGCAATCAGCTCGCGACACGCCCCCAGCTCCCCCATACTCAACAACATGTCTACCAAGACTGCACCTTTCGAAGGGACGACACATAGACCACGGGCGCAGCAACGAACGGCACTCCCAGAACCTGAAGACGCTCCAATCCCTACATATGAGGAAGCAAGCGGCCATGCACCGCCTTCGGGACCTCCGCCAACCGTAACGTCAACCGCAACGTCAGCCGCACCTCCACCTGCGCCAACACCGACTGCACCATCACGTCTCGAGGTTGCACCGCCACCAACCGACGATGAGCTCCCTGGCTACGATACCATAGACCCGAAGAACACCGAGTTCCTGCTCTACAGCACTTTCATACACACACCCAACGGTCCGGCGTATCAACTCTCGTCGCCTATGGACTCTTTCAACTCTCCCTTAAGAATACGACGACTCCGCGCCGCCGAAATACCGCTCGCACACGAACTACCCATACCTTACGATCGCTCACAAACCCTCTACGAAGTTGCAGACCCACCATTCCGCGAGAATGAGTACTACATGGCCGGCAAAAAACCTCACTGCTACAGTGGCACGCTGCAGATTGCATTTGGGTGGAAAACATGGCACATCAGAGAAGTCGGTGGGCCGCAGTCCGCGGCCAAAGAAATTTTGACGTGTAAAAAGGTCAATAATGGCGGTGGCTTGTTCGGGAAAGGCAAATCGAAGAATGGGGCAGTGGAGAGAGACGGGCTTACGGAGCCTTTTGAGTGGAGAGATGCAGGCGGCAGGCTATTGGCGACTGAGGGGCTGCAGTTGCTCCCCGGAGGTGTCGTGCCGACTGTGCGGCTGAGCGAGCATCTGGACAGTATGTGGAGGGAGTTAATGATCAGCGCTTGGGTTGCCAGGCTATGGGCGACTTTCAGGTGATGTGAGATACCAATTCCAGGAGTTTTAGAGCGTGTAATATACTTGTAGTTCCCGCATTTGGAGTGCATAGGGTTGGATATGGAATTAATTCTGTTGCTTAGCGTTGGCAACAAATTGAATCCGTCGACAAGCGACATCCTTCCACAAGTCGACTTTCCAATCCAATCCATGTTGATGGAGCGTCGGTTCAGCGGACTGCGCTGTTCATCGACGTCATGAGGCTGTACCGAGGTTCCCCGCAAAATACACTTCAGTCACGAATAACGTGCGCGATGCAGCTGCATTTCTTAAACGAAATCGTGCATGGACAGTAAGAGATCGGGTGCCTGAAACCAGTCCGTCGGGTCAATTAATCTATGCTCGGGTGTTGTGGATCTTGGACTTGCAAGACGTCAACTTGATCGCAATATGGCCGCCAAATCGCCATTCCCAGATGTTGAAATTCCCAACGTGGATCTCTGGGGTCTCATATTCGACCGCAAAGACCGCGAGTTTGCAGACGACAAAGTGCTCTACCGCGCCGTCGACTCAGACCGCAAGTACACCTTCGCAGATGTCAAAGCACACGCAACCGCGTTCGGCGAGGGCCTCTGCAACCTCTGGGACTGGCAGCGCAACGATGTCCTGGCCCTCTACACTCCAAACGATGTCGACGTGCCCCCCATCATCTACGGAGCCTTCTTCGCCGGTGGCATTGTCACGCCCGCCAACCCGGGCTACTCAGCGGACGAGCTGGCGTACCAGCTCGAGAATGCAGGCGCAAAAGCACTCGTCACGACCAAGGCCTTCTTGAAGACCGCATTGCAAGCCGCGACCAAGGTCGGCATACCAGCCGACCGCGTGATCCTCCTAGGCGCTGAAAAGGACGAAACCCACCGCGTCAAGCACTGGACCAACATCCGCAAGACGTCCGGCGCGCTGCGGTTCCGCCGCAAGAAAGCGAAGCCCGAGGACCTGGCTTTCCTGGCATACTCCAGCGGCACCACGGGGCTACCCAAAGGCGTGATGCTCACGCACCGCAACATCGTCGCAGACCTACTCCAAATCAAAGGCTCCGTCGGGGGGTGGTATTCGGCCACCGCCGACAAGTTCCTCGGCGTCTTACCGTTCTTTCATATCTACGGGCTGACGGGGCTGGTGCACCAGATGCTGCACCGCGGGATCGAGCTGGTGGTCATGCCGGCGTTCGACATGGAGACTTTCTTGCGGGCGATCCAAGAGCACCGCATCACGTTCATCTATGTGGCGCCGCCGGTCATCGTCCGGCTCGCGAGGGACAAGATGGTGGATAAGTATGATTTGTCGTCTGTGAAGATGATTACGAGTGGCGCGGCGCCGCTCACAAAGGAGCTTGTTGATGCGGTGTATAAACGCCTCAAGATCAAGATCAATCAGGCGTATGGCCTGAGCGAAACGAGCCCGATGACACACACTCAGGTACTCCTTTCCCTTACTCTCTCCGCAGAAACCCACTAACTCCCTAGCCCTGGGACGAATGGTACACCTCAGTCGGCAGCGTCGGCAAACTCTTCGCCAACATGAGCGCCAAATACGTCTCAAGCAGCGGCACCGAACTGGGGCCCGGCGAAGAAGGCGAACTGTGGCTCTCGGGCCCCAATATCTTCGCCGGGTACTGGAAGAACGCGGCCGCGACCGCGGACGCGCTCACGCCCGATGGCTACTTCAAGACCGGCGATGTCGGGTTTCAGGACCAGCAGCACAACTTCTACATCACCGACCGCGTCAAGGAACTCATCAAGTACAAGGGCTTCCAGGTCGCGCCTGCGGAGCTCGAGGGGAAATTGATGGACAACGAGGGCGTGGAGGATGTGGCTGTTATCGGAGTGCAGGATGATCACATGCACACGGAAGTGCCGCGGGCGTATGTTGTTGCGGCGGGTGGGAAGGGGGAGCCGGGGGAGAACGAGGCAAAGGCGATTGTGGATTGGATTGGGGGCAAGGTTGCGAATCATAAGAGGCTGAGAGGAGGGATTGTTTTTATTGCCGAGGTGCCGAAGAGTACGAGTGGGAAGATTCTGAGGAGGCTGCTGAAGGAGAGGGCGAAGGATGATGTGCCGCTAGGGATTAAGAGCCAGGCCAAGCTATAGGGAAACAGCGTCTGTCTATTAGCGTGTCATTGCTCCACAGTACCATTCGCGATAGCAGATTAGGAAGGTATTTATTGAGAGCGTGCTGTTGGCTGGTGCTCTACAACTGTGTTTATAGCAATTCTCCCACCACTCGGGTTGGTCGCTATTTCCAACCCGCCGATGCCGCTTCAAGTCATTACAAGCTACATTTTGGCACAATGTTCTAAACATGTCTACTGAACAACCTAGAAGCAAAATATTAGTTTCCGTTGCAGAACATGTATTCTGGGCTAAACGTACCTTCTCTCGTAGCTTGCTTATCCACTGGATAATGCTCTCGCCCTGGTCTGCCCGGTCCTCGACCAGTAATGTCTGTGCCCAGAGCTTCAAGCTCGGCTCACCATCTTCCTTAATGATATACAATGAAGGTTGGACAATGCTTCCAACACCCTTGCTCTTGTGATCACCCGACTTCTCGACGACTGCTCGCACACGTTCGGAGAAGTCATTATCGATGGCTGGCAGGGACGCTTTGCCCTGCTTCAGCTGGGTGCGGTCCTCAACACCGAAGACATCGCCAAGTAGGGCTGGGACAGTGTCGCGGCCGATCCACAGGAACTGGTTGACACCGTCATCAAGCAGATACAAGCCGTACGGGACAATAGACTGTGACGAGAGGTTCATCAGAGGAGGCATTGTGATCTGGCCAGTGGTGGGGTCAGGAATACCAGCGTCATCAGGCATGTCCTACAGTTGTTAGTTGATGCTTGTACTATCATGTTGGAAACTTACGTGAAGACTGTAGAAAGCCGGGTAGATGTACTGAACAAGTAGGCGCAGGGGCAATGTCGACAGGAGGTCGAGCGCAGCCGAGCGGAGATCGGAGGGAATTTGTGCACTCTTGCGGAGACCAACGTTCTTGATCAGACCCAGGAACAGAATTGGCAGAGCACGCAAATTTTGCGGCAGCTGAAGGCCACCACCTCCCATGCTACCACCGGCCAACTCTTTTCTGTATGTCTGCAGAATCTCAATGATCTTGCCCTGCAGAGCATCGCGAGCCGCATCCAGTCCACTTGACAGAGCACGCTCCGCAGCCTTGTGGGTGAAGTAAGTAGTGATGGCCTGAGCGTCGGCTGAGGCGTACACATTCGCGAGGTTTTCTGTTGTGGGCACTGCGAGTGTGAGAACCCTGATACGGCGCTGACCACTCGATGTCGTGTGAAGAACGGCAGCCTGGAGACAAGCAAAAGGCTTGCTGATCGTCTCGTCGATCGCAACCTCAATCACAACAGCCTGATCCCTTGGGTATGCGGGGAAAGCGCAAAGGTCCGAAGAACGGTTGAAGAAGTTTCCGTAGAAGGCAGACATCCTCAATCCGGTCGTGGCGCGTACTCGAAGAACAGCCTCCAGACCAATCTCAGCAGATAAGTAATCAGAAAATTCCTTGGCAATCTTTACGACGTCTTCTTGCCTGGCAGCATTCCATCCAGGGTAAAAGTATGTTTGACCTGCTGTGAATCGGGGCAGGTTGCTGAGTGTCGCGACGTCCTGGTATTGGGACGAAAACAAGAACATATCGACCGAGACCTGGTTCTTAGAGCATTCTACGGCAAACGACTTATACCAGTTGTTAGCTGGTTGCAACAAACTGCCTTCCTTCCCTGTGCCCAACAAGGACTTGTCTTCTCTCGGAGTCAGCGCAGCGTGTCCAACGTTAGGAAGCGAGGCGCCAACAACGGTGATCTTTCCACCAAGAGGAGAGATCAGCTTGTGCGCAGATCGAAGAGCAGAGCCAAGCGCGAAGCCGGGGACGTGTGTGTTTTGGAACATGGCGGGAAGGCGGTCGAGGAAGTTCTCGATGTTGTTGCGGCACTGGCTCAGGCTGACGAGCAGATCTGTAGGCATGGGAAGATACGGCTCGTCTAAATCAGAAACAACAAGCTGGTGAGCGTCGTTGCTCTCACTGCCATCCGGTGGGATAGAGAAGAAATGCAGACTAGAGTCGACAGCCATGAAACCGATACGCGTCCTGCCGTCTGCATTCGGTATCCTCTCCAATGCCTCCTTGATGACACGCGAGATAACAGCAAGGAGACCGCTGTTCACCGATGCTTGTGTGCAGTCCAGAAGGATGTAGTAGCACAGCGGCTGTGGAGGTCGGACCATGTATTCCTGCGGCGCGACGAATTCGGTAACGGCGTAGTTGAGCTCAGGGCGCTGCCACCTGTCAACGCTCTTTTGTTGTGCTGCATCCCAGTCGAAGGCCTGGGGAACGTCGTTGGTCAGGTTGCACATGTTGCACCTCCACCTGTGTCCGTGATCGAGGAACGAAACGAAGGGGTTGATGTATGCTCGGCATCGTCGGCAGCGACTGATGACCTGGTCGTGGACGACCGGCACAGGGTCCTCCGAATCGTGCAAGCTGGCGTACGGGCTGATGACCAGCGCAAACGGCAGCTTACTCTTCTTCAGCAGCGAGTTATTGGTCGGGATGGTGTTCAGAGTACAGCGCAGGTACTTGCTCGACTCGTTTGCGAATTCGGAGGGCGTTGCGGCGGCGTTGGCGGGGAGGTTGATGGGCGGCGGGGGGTTGTACAGCTCGGAGACGTGGAAGGGCTGGGCGATCAGGTCCGAGGGGAACAATTGGTTCTGCGAAGCGGCAGTAGCTTGCTGCTGCTGTTGCGGTGCTGCCTGTCCCTGCTGCGGGCCCAGGTTCATTTGTCCAAACTGCTGGCCCAGCGCGTTGGGGTCCTGGGCTGGGGGCTGGCCATATGCGGGCTGGGCGCCGTAGCCCTGTGCTGGCTGACCGTATCCTTGTGCTGGAGCGCCGTAGCCCTGAGCTGGGGCGCCATAGCCAGGCGCAGCAGCACCATAGCTGGGGACAGCTGGCTGAGGGGGAGGCGCACCGCCAGCGTTCAGTCCAGCGTTGGCTCCGAACTCGTACGCAGCGCCCGCATATCTGCCCTTCTTCTTGCGATCCGCCATAGTGATTGTAGCGGAGCCTCGAGAGCGGTGGGGTGAAGAGCGAAGCTGGGTCGTGGAGGTATGCCGTGTTGTGATCGAGGCTGCGCAGATACAGAAGTGACGGTGAGCTCTATCTGTCTTCTTGGGTCGCCGCACATTCCGCGCTAGCATGTCCCCGCCAAACCCACGCGCACAGGCATTCGACGTCTTTAAGTACACTACCTAGACCACAAATGAACACCTTTCGCTTTGCTGCTGCTTCACGGCTTGCATCAGGCAGCAGCTATTTCGCCATATCTGCCACTTTCCTATCTGCCCCTCCCGCTCGCCCTGTACACTTTCATTGAGCTGCTCCCGCATGAAGACACTAAGCACAGCCTGAGAATAGTAGAATAGAGGTGAGGTATCTTCATGAACGAACTACATATAGACATTAATCGACCAAATGGTCACTACGAGACGCGGCATTCCGACTACTACACAGGCAACGCTTTCTGAATAGGCAACGAGATAGTTGACTCACCGCCTCAGATTATGCAACGTGTTGGAGCTGCGTTTGCTGAGGCTGAGTGCCCTGCTCGGTAGCCTGCTGCTGTTCCAGCTTCTCTGCTGCTGATACAGGATAGGGAGGCTGGTTCCCAACCTCGGCGCCTGTTACGTTCGACTCAGCATAACCGCCATCCTCACTGGTCCCGATCGTGTCCTGGTATTGAGCGCTGTTCTGCACAGGGGCATTACCAGTGGCACCCAATGGCGCCCCAGGCATTGCTCCTACGCCTAGATTGCCAGCGTTGGAATGGATTGGCTCAACATGCAACTCGTAGTTACGAAGATCGTCTTCTGCATCGTTCAGAACCTGTCTCGCGTCCTCGCCACTTGCGAAGGGAGGGTGTGAATCTCCAGGAACGATCGGCGTGTCGTCCACAAGGTTGACAAGTCGACGGGCATGCTTAGCCAAGATCGTCTGCTTCTCAGCACGCGCGATCGTTGCTGCGAAATACTGATCGTATGCTTCCTTGAACTTTTGACGTGTCTGTCCGATGTCAGCACGTTCCTTCTTAAGGGGGATGTTTAGTGGACGCACAATGTTGGTCAGCTGCGCCTCTGCGACCAAGCTCTGGGCTTCTGCGCGGACAAGCTCCTGTTCAAGCTGAACGATCTTGGTACTTTGAGGCTCCTTGTACTTGAGCTTGGCAATTTCGTCCGAGATCTAAGTTTGTATTAATGAGGAGCGCACTCAAGGGTGACCGAGATCTGACCTTAGCCTTATGGTCTCGGCTGGGCTGCACTGAGCTCTCGGTATTACGGATCTGCTTCAGGACTCCTCGATAATCCTCCAGCGCTTGGGCATAGGCATCCTCCTGTTCTGCAATCTCCGCCATGAGAACGCCGAGTTTGTCTGAGACCTCTGAGATGGATTCATCCTCTGTCGCTTCACCCCATTCTGAGAGCTGTCTTGCAACACTGACTTGTTCACGAGCAGCGGCCTCATGGGCGCCTATCACGTGGTTCTCGGTCTTGATGATCTTGTACAACTTCTTGGAGAGCTCTGGCTGCTGAGTGCCGCGCAGAGATGCCATGGTAAAGCGGTGCTTTGACGGCTGCTTCTCGGAGACGCTAGAGGTGCCCTTCTTGGAACGGACGGAAAGCGATCGATTCCTGTGCAGGGACATGGTTAGCGGATGGGTTCGGTGTGTATCGTGAAGACAACTGCCGAACGCGTCAAACAATCCTGGATCTGCCGAATGAAGGGGTAAATGAATTCTCGGGCGCAATGGCAGATCACCACTATACACTTAGGGGGGCCGCGACTTACATCTTGGAGATCTTCTGAGTTTATCTTTGTGTGTATATGTTATTCTGTTCATTGTGACTGTTAGCCATAATGCTGGATGCGGAGTCTGCGTTGCATGCGCTCACGCAGGGATGTGGGAGGCTGGACTGTGGACTGGACTGCGAGCTACCTTTCTCAGAAACGAGGCGGGGCAGTTGGAGCCTTGAAGCTTTGATCTTCGTGGTGCTGGGGTCGGAGTATGAGTCTGATCGAGGTTTCAAGGCGGGGGACTGGGGTTAGTCGCCAGGAAGTCGCGCAAGAGTCCAGGTGATGTCATAGGAGCCAAAAGCGCGCTGGAAGCTGCGCTCACCAGCCACGCGCCATGCTCAAAGCCCACGAGATGCCGCTGCCACTACGCCGAAGCTACTGTGTTCTAGCGTCCATTATTCTAACGAGTCTTGATTCAACAACTGCCGGAAAATCCCCTCTGCGTTCAAGGATGTGATGATACTTCAATCTCGAGGCTGCCTGAGCGCTTGGGCTCACAGGGACTCCGGCTCATGCCGGAACATCGCGGACATCATAGAGGGTCGTGACACTGATGGAACATGTTGTGAGATGTATAGGTCTTGACCAGACTCACCAGACCAGATATATACAGATCACGTACCTTGTCGTTGGCTGGGTTTTGATCTCCTCTTTCCAAGATACACTAACCGGACAGAGCTTAGCACTAAGACATCTGTTTACGGTTTACTTACCATTTCGCTAAACAAACGTTCAGCGACGAGGGACTGAAAGCTTACATTTCATGGATCGTTGCGCCTTACAGGTCTTGCCAGCAATGTCAGTGACGTTGATGCATCTGCAGAATGAGTTGCTTCTTGCCCTTGCATATGTCAGGCAAGCTACGTCTGGTGGCATGATCTGATCTCCGATATAGAAATCCCACGCGCTTCCTAGCTTTAAGCAAAAGCGGCTGCTTGGTCCCGATAAAAGTATCGTGAAGACAGAAAGTCTCGCTATACTATGGCTATGGCCTAAAGAGGCTCCTTGCGCGACACACAATGGCCACCAAGCATGATGAGACTATGTACTGTGTACTTAGGCGCCTGATCATGGGGAGCACCAGACTTTTGAGCTCCGTTGAAAGCCACCTGGCTTGGGTTGGTCGTGGCAGAGTCTTAGAGCATTCAACTGACGTGATCTTCACTGGACCTGTTTGGTACTGTACGGAGGCCGAGACCATTGTTGCTTACTGTGATAGAATTTTGTGAAAGTTCCATGTCCTGCAGGCATGTACTGTGGTGCAACAAATTGATGGGGCTCCGACTAACTCTTTTTACGCTAGCCACTCCTGACGATCTTAACCTCCGCGGGAGGATTCCTTGCTTTTGCTTTTCGTCGCAGCAGCTTTGGGACAAGGCTTTCGTGCCACACCCGTGAAATCTATATCCAGTGTCAATTGGCTTTGAAGATGTGACACCGAGGTTCTCAATCAAAGCGCGACTTGCGGCCCTTTGCGTCATTCGAACTTGGAATCCGAAATTGCTCCAGTGGCACTTGGCTTTCGCGTCCTCCTGCAGGTGCGAAGATGTGTGGGGAACCGTCCTCTTGCCAACTGCAGCGACGAGACTTAGCATCCTTGTTGCCCCGCCGAAACACTGCTCTTGCAGCCGTAGCGTGGCAGCCGAGATGTTGCACGACAGGGTATCCCAGAATTTAGCAATGACGTTACCTTCTTCCCTCGCATGTTCGCCTCGACTTGGCTACCGACTATCCATCCGCGCGTGGGCATTACTAACGTCCCAGCTTCTGGGCCACCACCTTCCTTAATCAACAAGAGACTTCCCGTCCTGACATACCTAGCATGTTTCTGGGTATCTGGTATCTATGCCAAGACGGATGGCTGCGCAGGAGGTGCTACCGTGACTTACATGCGAATGGCTGGGGTACGACTTCCACAATCGATCCTTCTTACTGGACGAGCAGGCTAGCTTCACAGTCTTGCACAATGTTGAAATTTGAACGGTCAAACTCTGGCCCCATTGAGAGTACGAATCGGTCAGACAGAGTACTGGGCAATGCCTCCCCCGATGCGTGCGATTGGAGCACAGGTGCAGCTCGAGATCATACTGTGTACAGGTGCTTACCCCTTGGTGAGCCGTCCAGTTACAAACATAGCAATACCCCCAAGCATTGATGATCCTTGTCTGACAGCTTCTGTCGTGACGGAGCTGGAGCCGACAGACATCAGACTCCAGGACGCGTGTGCTGTGTCCAACACACTACCAAGAAATCCTATCGACGCTGAGCCCAGCTTTTTCCCAAACGCTCGGTATTACACGCCGACGGCACCGTTGACGCCTCTGCCACATGCAGCACGCGTCCTACTGCCTTTGATCAACCTACGAGGTCTTGGCGTCGCTCATGAAGGTATCCTTGTACCAACGCGGCCGTTTTCGTGCACGAACCTAATCTTTCGCAAGTGGGTCCGGCGAGTTGGCGCATCCCGCCCCTAGAACAAACAGCTGATCAAATCAAGTGGCTTCCAAATGTGAGCAAGAGACGATCGAGCACAGATTACCAGGGTCAGCATCTCGTCATACCATATGGATCGACCAGTGGCTTACTCTCCGCGGTGTGGACGTGTGGATATATAAAGTAATCAACCCTCGAACTTTTTGTTGACGTCTCATCACATTCGACTCTCAACTACAACCACCAAGATGGTCAAATCCGGGCTCATCGCAGCGTTTGCTGTCTACGCTCAAGTCGTTCGCGGAGGATGTCCTTACATGGAGGCTGATACTCGTGATGTACCTGCCAGTCATCCACAGGTCAAGCGAGCGGATGGCTCCTACAGCGTACCTTCGAATACCGACGAGTTCATGGCTCAATATGAGGTCAACGACACCGACACTTACTTGACTTCAAACACCGGAACACCCATTGAAGATCAAGAAAGCCTCAGCGCAGGAGAGAGAGGACCCACACTTTTGGAAGACTTCGTCTTTCGCGAGAAGATCATGCACTTTGGTGAGCTCGACTAAGCACGCAATCTTGCAAGCGCTAACCCATTCATAGATCATGAAAGAGTTCCCGAGCGGGCTGTTCATGCCCGAGGCGCTGGTGCTCATGGAGTTTTCCAGAGCTACGGTGATTGGTCAAACATTACAGGTGCCTCGTTTTTGAGCGCTCCAGAGAAAGAGACCCCTGTGTTCATTCGATTCTCAACCGTCGCTGGTAGCCGTGGATCGGCTGATACCGTCCGCGATGTTCATGGATTCGCGGTTCGTTTCTACACTGACGAAGGCAACTTTGGTAAGTCGACATAAATCGTGTACCGGTCGGTATGGAGAACTTACTGGTTGCCAGATATCGTTGGAAACAATGTTCCAGTTTTCTTCATCCAAGAGTAAGTCGAATCCCCATGAAATTTTTTGTTGCACTACATGTCTGACAACAAACACCAGTGCCATCAAGTTTCCTGACCTGATACATGCCGTCAAACCTAAGCCAGATAGCGAGATGCCCCAGGCAGCAACTGCTCATGACAGTGCTTGGGATTTCTTCAGTCAACAACCTTCAACCATGCATACCCTGTTCTGGGCGATGAGCGGCCACGGCACGATTCGCTCCTATAGGCATCAAGATGGATGGGGTGTGCACACATTCCGCTTCGTCACCGACGAGGGCAAGTCAAAGCTCGTCAAGTTCAGGTTCAGGACTCTGCAGGGCAAGGCGTCGCTTCTATGGGAGGAGGCTCAGATCACTGCTGGCATGAACGCCGACTCCCATCGTCAGGATCTGTTCGATAGCATTGAGAACGGACACTACCCCGAATGGATCTTCGAGGCCCAAGTATTCGAGGAAGAGGACCAATTGCGTTGGGGCTTCGATGTCCTTGACCCTACCAAGATCGTTCCTGAGGATATCGTTCCTTTCACACCACTTGGCAAACTTACACTGAACCGCAACCCCCGCAACTACTTTGCTGAGACCGAACAAGTCATGTTCCAGGTCGGACATGTGGTTCGCGGCATCGACTTTTCCGAGGACCCTCTGCTACAGGGACGTTTGTTCTCCTACCTTGATACTCAGTTGAACCGCCACAATGGTCCTAACTTTGAGCAACTGCCGATCAACCAGCCGCGTATTCCGGTTCATAACAACCAGCGTGATGGAGCTGGTCAGATGTACATTCCCCTCAACACTGCAGCCTACTCTCCTAACACCCTCAACTCCGGATCGCCAAAGCAAGCTACACAGAAGGATGGCCGTGGCTTCTTCACTGCCCCCAACCGTTCTACTGGTGGACGTCTTGTACGCAGTGTTTCAGAGACCTTTGCTGATGCATGGTCGCAGCCAAGACTGTTCTTCAACTCGCTTCTTCCCGTCGAGCAGCAGTTTGTAGTCAACGCCATGCGCTTTGAGACTGCACAGCTCAAGAGCGACGTAGTGAAGCAGAACGTCCTCATCCAACTTAACCGTGTCAGCCATGACGTTGCAGTTCGTGTCGCCCAGGCTATTGGTATGACTGCGCCTGATGCTGACGACACCTACTACCATGACAATACCACTATTGGTGTCAGCGTTGCTGAAGCACCTCTTCTGAAGATTGATGGCTTGAAGGTCGGTTACTTGACCACCAACTCAGCCGGTAGCGACACAGCCTCGAGCCTCAAGGCTGCCTTCGGGGATCTGAATGTAGGTTTCACCGTTGTTGCCGAGCACCTTGGCGCTGGCATTGATCAGACCTACTCTGCCACCTCCGCTGTTCAGTTTGATGCTATTATCGTTGACGGAAGCGCTGGCTCTCTCTTCGCAGCGCCTGGAAGCCTAGCCAACAGCAACACTACTGCCTCAAACAACACTGCTAGCTGGCGCTCGACCCTCTTCCCGGCTGGTCGCCCTCTGCAACTAGTGCAGGATGGCTACAAGTGGGGTAAGCCTGTTGGTGTCGTTGGTTCTAGCAGCGAGGTCTTCTCCGCTGCCGGTGTTCAGGCCGGTACGCCAGGAGTGTACGCATTCGGTGCGAACGCCACAGCATCTATTGTGGACCAGATCTCAGAAGGTCTGAAAACCTTTAAATTTTTGGATCGTTACCCGCTGGATAACTGACTTTAATTGGGCATCTTCTCTGTACATCCTTTTAGTTCTTCATACACGCGCAAACATAATTACACAAATATCTTCACATGAGCGCATTTACAGCACGGTTCTGGCTCTAAACCTGCCTCGATCGTCATCGTGTGCGTTTGCTGCACTGACAGTGTGACAGTTTAGGCATAGCGGCGTTGCGGTATTTCTCTCCGCCAGCGTGCACGAATGAACAGGGGGAGCGATGCGATTTAAGTTGCTTATGAAACATTCCTTGCAAATAGAACTTCCCTTTGGCACGCTTAACATTCCAAGTTTGCCAAAACCTCGTCGCAGACGCGTCTCGATCTCAAGAAAGAAAACCGAGTGGCCTGAAAGTGACTGCGCCACGGAAGTGCGGAAGCGCCACGGTCGGAGCCACACCGCTTACTGCTCTGCTGATTGGCCAAAGTGATTTGATACCCCCGTTTTACGGCCCAGATGATGCCGGCCACCTATCGTATCGTTAGCAATTGCAGGACGAGCGGATACTCGGCCGTAATTGCGTAACGGTGCGTCTCCTGTGCGTCTAGGTATTGAAAGCTACGGAAGGTCTGTCAGCCTGCATGAAACCACACGCGTCTCCTCTTCTAAGCTTGACCTTGCTTGCACACATGCTGTGGCTGTGACATTGCCCAAACTGGATCACTCACAACTTCACTTACTTACTCAGCGCTGCATTCAACAGCGACCGAGTCTGCGAATCTGGCGATATAGTACTCGAAAGCCAAGCTCGAACCTCAGGGTTGTCACCAAGCGAGCTTCGACTGCAGGTACCATGGCGACCACTAAGCGACACCATTCTCTTCTGCATCGACACAACAGCACTCGCAGCTCGAAAGAACAAATCGCGTCCTCTCCAGATGTCTTCGATGGAACAGATGCCGTCACTGCGCATAAGAAAGTAGCAGTCTCGAGGGTAGTAGAAGCGTATGATGCCCTCCGGGCAGAGAATCGGAGCAGCTCACCTACCATTGAACAAAGCACACCCGAGGACCCATTCGCGTTTGAGTCACTTGTCGTCTCACTACCAAATGGCGAGGTCCGCACATTCAAGTACTTTGTACGGAAATGGGACCCTAAGCAACATGCGGACCCTGAATTCGAAGATGCAATATCATCCTGGAGAACACAATTCGAGGAGGCAGCACTCAAGCATTTCTTCAGACGCATAGCCCTCTGGAACGAGAGCGAAGAGATTATGCTCGCGGCGAAGCAGCAGAAGGCAATGGATCGGAAGAATGGGAGGCGGAGAGATCGAGCGACTTCGATAAGTAAGATGTGGTCGAAAGAGCGATGGCGAGATTCTGACAACGAGAGTGGTGTAAGAGATGAGTTGAAGCAAGTGACGACGAGAGAGGGTCTGGCGCAGCTACTGTGGACGCTCTTGAACGACCAGACCGATCCATTATGCCCGGAGCTGTTTGAAGTGTGTAAGGAGGCCGTGAAGGCCAAGTATAGCATCCTTACGGTTGGAGGGGTGCAGTAGTCTCTTGGCTGCCAATCTGCGTGGCGTTGTTTAGGGTCTGATTTTGTACATACCTATTTAACTTGCGACAAATATGTCCAAGACATAAAGCTTAAATACTGCGATGAAGTTAATAGAGCTCCCATTCTTGCAAAAGAACTTACCTCAGCATCGGGTGTAGCAACTATCAACGGTTGCTGCTTCAAGATGTGGGGCTAGTTGCGGTGACATCAGCACGATCCGATCCGAGGTCGGATAGGTCCCTCCATAGCCGCCAAAAGCTACCATGGAGCTCATAAGGAAGACCTGTAGTTCTCAAGACCTCATCATCCAACAATCATCATGCCGTTCCTTACTATCAGCAGTAAGAAGGTTCACTACGCAGACCTGAAACCCGAAGGCAAAGATGTGCTGGAGACATTCATCTTCATGCACGGCCTTGGGTCGTCGCAGAACTACTACCACGCAGTCGCGGAACGATTGCGAGCGAATGGCTTTCGATGCATAATCTTCGACAACACCGGCGCCGGCAGATCCCCGTATACTGGTGAACAAGCGAGTGTCGCGAGCCTTGGTGACGATATTATTGGCATTCTGGATGCCCTCAACGTGCCGAAAGCAGTTGTCGTCGGCCACAGTATGGGAGGGTACATTACTTGCCTTGAATGAGACAGATTCTGAAGTGCTAACAGGATGCAGCATCGTAGCTGCCCATCTCGCTGCTGAACGTAGCGATCGGATCGTTGCTGCTGTTCTGATCGGCCCTGTATACCCGAACGAAGGTGTTATACCCGTGTTTGAAAAGCGCATCGAAGTGGTTCAGAAAGACGGCATGCAGCCTATGGCAGACACAGTTCCGCAGGCTGCAGTCGGGTCCAAGGCTTCCCCTCTGGCATCGGCATTCATCCGAGAACTCCTCCTCGGCCAGGATCCTGTTGGCTACTGTTCGAATTGTCGAGTCATTATCAACGCCAAACCGCCGAATTACGGCAATATCAAGATCCCCGTTCTGATATTGGCTGGCGAGGAAGATAAGAGCGCGCCTCTTGAAGGCTGCAAGAAAATGTTCGAGGAGATGGGAACTAGCGAGAAGAAGCTCGAGGTCATGAAAGGTATTGGACACTGGCATTGCCTCGAGGCCTTCGAGGATGTCGCCCAGCTCATTGAGGGGTTCTATCACGAGATCCAGTGAGTTGTGTAACTAGCCTCTCAAGTTTCAGAAAAAACGGCAGATAAGCGACCTTTGCCTGACAAACTTTTACACTGAACGTGTAGCTATCATGATACTAAAGCTGGGACTTAGCTAAGTATTACCCATGTCATAGGCAAAAGGTATTCCATACAGTTTTTGTGTATTTTCTCTACTTAAATGTCGCGTAGTAGAACATCTGGCTCCAAGGTAAGAGCCACCGCAAGATTCCGTTCAAGCTGAGAGCAAGACGTGCAACAATTTCGGTACACTCAATAACATACTCATGCTGTTGAGAGACCTGAGAGTCGACATGGTTTGTGTGATCTTAAGGCGCGGCCTAAGAAAGCTCGTTGCTTCGTGGAGAAGAAACAGCACACGGCACGCGTCTCTTGGACTAGTGAACTCAACGCATGAGTTACTTCAAGCACAACGAGTAGCGCATTCAAGCCTCAGGCCGCTTTCTCGGAGTTCTCACCGCTTCTGGTGGCGTGAACGATTTGGTATCATCACCCTCGTGACTAGGTCATTGGTGGTTCGCCTGTTCCCGGTCATCTGCATACGAGACCTTGGCTTGTGAGTGTTCCACCACTGCGACCACAGCAGATGTCCCTGTGCGTGCATCGGATACAGGGGTTCTGAATCGCTTCATGACTGGCGCCAGTCTTCAGAACCTCTTCTGCGGGGGGTTCGTGTTGAGCAGGAATAGGTAAGACCCTTAAAATCTCGTTCTGCGAGCGGTGGTGGCGGCTCTGACATTTCGGGTACAGCCCACGATACCGCGCGTGGCCGTTCTATTGGATCCTGACCCTGACTTTGACGCGCCTACAAAAGTCTTGTCCAGTTACAGGCGTTCTTGGCCCGATGTCGCTATCGATGGCGTTCACTTATGATTCGGTCCTTCCCGCCAAACCCGTCCACTTGGAGTGCGAGGCTGCAATTCGACATGCCTCGAACCTCACCCACTCACAAAGATCGTCACAGGCGCGGCCAAGTGATCTATGTTACTGTTTTTGGACTATTGATAAGGCACAGCATCCATAGCCGCATTCACATGTGAAAATGGACAACATCATACTTCATCCCCCCCCGTGCAGCAAATATCCACGGGGTTGACATGTCCAGTGCACCTGTCATTGTCCGTTTCAACCCTCAAGAGCCTTGACAAGAGTTCCCCATTTTTATTCCGGCACTAGACCGCCCGGACTTCTAGTACACCAACCCCGGAAGTCCAATCTGAGGCGGTGAACTCGAGCTTCAAAGCCCGCCCACCGCCCACCGCACTTCTGCCAGAGATCGTGCCTTTCCTGCACGCACACTTTGGTGTTGGCGAGATCTGGGCCAATCAAAGTGCGAGATCTGCAATTTGCGTCGTTTGACTTTCTTCGCAGCTCCACTAGCCGCTCTGCAACCCGTCCGTTCACTCGATAGTGCTGCGGGTCTCATACCCTGCATCATCTGATTTACCTGCGTCGCCTCCGCGAACAATCCTTGCACACTGACCTTCATTACTCCTCATTTTGCGCTCTTTGCGCCCAGAGATCGATTCTTTTCAATTTTGCATTTGCACTGGTTGCTGGTGAGGCCCCTTTCGTGGGTACCTTCCGTATTTGACGCAGCACTGACGAAGCTAAAGGATGCCGAAATAACTATACCCATCAACAATCCAACAAACATTTGAGTCGAATTACATTACTACGTCACGGCCCACCACCTGTCACCGCCTCTTTATGGATCGCCAATGAATCGAGAAAACTGTGGATTCGTGGAATCTTTTTGTTCGAAACCCCCTAAGGAACAAATAACATCCTTGCATAGAAGCAATACCGCACCTCAACGTTGTCATATCGCAAAGCCAGTCTCACGCTCGGCGGATACTACGGATCTCGTCAACATGTCTCTATCCAGGCCATCTTCTGAAAGACGTCCCCGACCAACGAACCACAGATCCGCCTCATCGTCGGAGAACTCCACCACCAGATCCAGATCGAAAGGCCGCGGCCATGATTCAAAATTATCTTCCCGTCGCACTTCTTGTACCATTGTAGACCCTTCTAGGCCATCTCGACATTATCGTGTAAAGAGCAGCCATGCTACATCACCCGCAAGCCAGGACGTCGACGATGTTCTCGCCCTTCATTTCCGCAGTTGCAGCCTGTTCTCGAATCCTTCTTACCAAGCCAACTCCGCCTTACCGAGTCCAACCTTGTCTCATCAGGATAACCTGGGGTTTCCCGGTGCGGCGCCACGTTTCAGTATGGATGAGATGGCCATGGTTGAGGAACATGTCTCATTGCACGAGGCCGAGAGCGCACGGCTTCCGGTTCCAGCTACCACCACGCACTGGATATCGCCCAGCACACGGAAGCGCGACTACGAGCGGATTGACAAACAAAACAACGGTCTCCGAGGTCTAGTCAGAAGGGTGGTTCCGCGCTGTGTCTCAAGCCCGCCAGAGAGATTCTACGAGAAAGATCAGTCGGACGCTGGATCCGTTCGACGCTACAGGTTGGATGTTGTCGAAAACTGCATCAAAGAGAAAGAGGCCTCACGACGCCCCCAGACGTCGCAGTCGCAGCGGCCCAAGATGAAGTCGCGATGGACCTGCTTCTGAACTCAACACACATACGAGAAACGGCAGTACAAACGTTTTGCATATTCGCGCCACATTACGATACCCACGGCATTTGCGCTTGTTGGATTTTACGCACTATACCTACCTACCTAGAGCCTAGCCCTTTGATCTTTACACTAGCATGTCATTAATTTCTAGTAAATATTTAGTAGATGGCCAAAAGCCGAGAGAAGCCGAGAATGAAGTTATACTATATCATTAGTGCACGCGATCTCTGATGGTGTTCACGGATTGTATGACAAGCAGATGTCACCATGCTTGAAGATGTGTGCAGCCACGGTCTGCTACGCATGAGCTCATACAGGGGTATGATCGTTACGAAATGGCCGAAGTGATAATGCAGACGTGTGTGTGGTATCGCAATATAATATTTCTCATGGCCTAATGCTCACAGCTTAGCCTCCTCCTTGACTGTGCCAACCTTCAACTTCGCCCCGTACTTCTTGAGAACACCCTCGTTATGGTACTGTTTCAACGGCGTTAGCAAGGAGATCGGAGACTGCACAGTGCGAAGTGCGCAAAGTGCGCGAACGCAACGGCTATTAAGGCAAGTGCCACTGCCGGACATCGCGACCGTCGGACATACCTTCCAGAACTGCTTGCTTGCATCCTTGCCTCCCACTCTCTTCAGGATCTTTGCTCCACCAGGGTGCTCATCTACGAAGCTGTCCAGCTTGTATACATCCTGGTCCACGATGATGTAGAGTCCCTTTTCGACTGTGCTGTGCTCGGCGACTTGCTTCGTTGTGAATTGCTCGGACATTATGATCGTGTGAGGCGGTGTAGCGGGTTAAACGTCGTGAAGCGTCGGATCGGGTATCTGGGTGGACGTCGAACGAGCGGTAGGAGTGTAGAGGTGTTTGGTACGGTGGGTATGGGGAAGTCTGGGGCAACGACAGGGTATGTATTTGCTCGAGTCGGCTCGGTGTTTGAATGGCGTGGAGCGACGGCGTTCATGCCGAGGTAAGTTTGCGGAAGCGGTCAGCAATAACCGGGAGTTGTGATTGGTGGCCGCAGCTTATTATTAATCCTGGACGACCGTCGCAGCATCGATGCTACAATTTTTGTGCTGCAACGCTGATCATGTCAGCCGGTTGTTGAGGCAAGGTGCGGCTTGGAAGTGTCATGATGGTAGGGTGCTACATCTTGATCAGCCTCTCGGATTGCAGGACAAACGGCGGACTACATCGCAGTAGGGAAAACGCAGGATAACTCCATAAAATACTTTTTTTGCCTGTAATCTAGGTAATACTTCAGCTTTCGGTATTATGATAGCTACACCGGAATCCACGGTGCCCTGGTTCTCTATCTTGAGGCCTTTCATCGCCGCCTTCTTTGCATCGTGTTGCTTGTAGGCCTCTTTCTAACGCTCCTTGACAGCAACTTCCATGACACGCATCCACTTACAGACAAACAAGAAGATAGAACAAATATCAAGCGCGATTGTATTAGTAGAACCCGAAAGTTCTACACATATTAAGGTAAAACGCTGTCTCTTTGAGAGTTCTCGCATGTCCCAAAGAGATGTCTCATGTTAAGCAATTGGCTCAGCAAACAATTGAGCATGAAGTGTAGTCTATATGACCACCATGGGAGTTGTTCGGATGCTACACCACATCGATCGATTCTGAATACTCGCACAAAACTCGCAAAAGTTTACCTAAATACCTAGTTAACATCCATTGCGAACCGCACAAATACATTTACCAAGGCTTCAGTCGAAGGCAGTCAGTCATCCCAACGTCGTCTCTCTCAGATAACAGAAAGCCTGACGGATTCTAGCAAGGTCAGATGTGCTACATCCTGCTTTCCGCATGCGCAATCTGTGCCTTCCCGTTACGTGTCCGACACCTACGCTGTACTCATGCAGAGCTGCACGGCTTCGATCCACTGTCATGTCCCAATCGGATGAAAAGGCGCCGGAAACAAAGGGCTGGGCCATGTGGCAAGTGCAGTCGTAGGAAAGGGAGCTTGAGTTGCCTTCCGACCACACTCAGCAGGGTCGAAGGCGAGTGTTCGGACGAGAAGACCGACTTGTCTGAGTTGGTAAAGGGCCAAGTCGCGATGAAAGTAATGAGAAGGAAAACAGAAAGCTTGTGCTGAAGGATTGTAATTTGGAGGGTCCTCGACGTTCACTTTGTACCTCCAGTCTTACTCTTTTCTTCTTCCAAAACTTGCAGCAACCTCCGCGTGATCCTGTCTCGCTCGCCCACATCAACCGTGCCATACGCCTCCTTTGCCTCTTTGAAAATCTTCTCCTCCCACCCGTCTCCAACATTCGGCGTTCCCGAATCCGCCCAGCAGCCTTGCACAGTACCTCCGATATTCTCGAAGAACCCCTCAAGGCCCGCCGGTCCTCCACCTGCGTGGTAGCTTTTGAAAGGACCTGCGACCGCCCATCGAGGACCCATAGAAGTCTGTACGATTTGATCAACCTCCTCCACCGACACTACGCCTTGGTCGACAAGGTGGACGGCCTCGCGCAGCAGCGCAAAGGCTAATCTGTTGGCTACGAAGCCGGTCGCTTCCTTCTTGATATGGATGGGCACGCGGCCTCTTGCGCGCCAGAACTCCTGCGTCCGCTTAACGACATCTTCAGAGGTTTCTGGCGAGGGCACAAGCTCCAGTAAGGGCATGATGTGTGGTGGGTTGTATGGATGTACTACTAGCACGCGACTCAAGTCCTCCATCTTGCAGGTCTGCTGAGACGCAGGGATACCGGATGTTGAGCTCCATAGCAGGGCTTCTTTGGGCGCGTGCTTTTCTACTTCAGCCCAGAGATTGATCTTGAAGGGGGCCTTCTCTGGCCCTGATTCTTGGACGATGGAGGCGTTTTTCACGGCTTCCTCCAGCGACTTTGCGATGCTTATTTCGGAGAAGACCGGAAGAGACAATTTGTCTTGGTCTTCAAAGAACTGTGGTAGCTTTTCTTGCACGTATTCGGCGACATCTGTGCGAGTGTCGAAGATTGTGAGTTGCGAAGGGCTAGCTAGATGCGTGAGGTGGAAGGCAGCGAAGGAAAGTCCAATAGTTCCGGTACCTATCAGGGTGATCTTCGTGTCGTTATCCTTAGTCTGTTGTTCTGGCATGATATGTGTGATGATGGTACCTGTTTATACGTGTCCCAAAGTGGGTAGTCTTGGGTGCAGTTCAACCCCGCCAGTCCGCCTCAAAGTGGGTCTTGTGACTACTGCAGCGGCAAAGAACCCCACTTTTCTCCTACTCACAGGGTGAGTGGGCAGCTGTGGCTTTCCTCACGACAGAGTATCACTTCTTCGATTTTGTAAAATGCAAACTCCCCAGCGTCCCCCGTCCATTGAATTCGGACCTTCCTTCGACAGGCCAAAACAAGTAGATATCTGCTATCGCGCTGCCTGTGACGGAGATCTAGATACCGTTAAAGAACCAGTATGGCAGCTTCTCCACAATCCTGAGGCGACATTTCCTGAACGACCACAACCACGATGGCTATATTATTCATTGTCTGAGGCGATTCGGCAAGAGAACGTAGAAATAATTCACTTTCTACTAGACGAAAACGTTAAGAATGGTGATTTTCCAGCCAAGGCTACTGTGCGTAGTCGAGCGTTCAAGGTACTGGAACTATTCCTTCAACGTGGATGGGATATCAACCAGCCACTGTGCCGAATTGAGCCCTCCGTGTTGTGGTATTATCACCAATCTTTTAACAGCCTTAGCCTTTACTCACACATTTAGCGTCCCTCTGTCTACCTCTGATAAGGAGATGGTTATGTGGTTGCTTGACCATGGTGCCAATCCAAACAGCCGCTGCGATTGGGATTTTACACCTACATCAGTCGCCATGCTTGCTGCTCCTCTTGAAACTATCAACACTCTTTTCGAACGAGGAGCAAACCCACTTTGTGGGCAACTCCTCCATTATGCTGTCCTGAGGGATAAATCTGACGCTCTGGAGGTGGTCTGCAAGATTGTAGAGAAAGGTGCACCAATCAATGAGATTAAGTACGAAAAGGAGCTTAAGACATACTTCGAGCGCAAGCCGTTTGGCCTTGGAACACCACTCCACCGAGCTGCAGAGACTGGTAAGAAGGATGTTGTGGAGTACTTGTTAAAGATGGGCGCCGACTCCCTGAAGCTGGACAGCAAAGGTCTGACGCCACGTTACTGGGCAGAAAAGAAGGGCTTCACAGACGTGACTCACATTCTCGAGGAGGCAGAGCGCAGACAGGTAAACGTTGATTCAGTGTAATTTGATCTTTCTAGCGTTAAGAAAGGACGAACTATCAACGGCAAGGATAAATCTGTCGAAGCATTAGCGGAAATCTAGAAACTCTGTAGGGTCCTTTTTTGTACCTACCTATAATATAGATAACACTTGACTGGATTTCAGAATCAAGTTTTTAATAGCCGCAAGTTTTGTATTGAAGTAAGTTGGTTGACTTGACGGTTGCTTATCCGCCATCTTTCCTGAAACGTAAAGTGGGCAGTCTCGGGTGCAGTTCAACCCCGCCCGTCCGTCTACAAGCTCCCGTCCACCCCCGCACGACAATCGACTCGAACATCGCGAACGATGCGCTTGTGGCGCCGAGGAACGATCATGGATTCTTGGGTCGTGGTAATACGATGCTTTGTATTCATCATCTTTACGTTGATTAACTTCGGTGTTGATTCAACCTGAGCACTCTTTCCCTACATCCCTATAGCCGTTCTAGGTTCATTGATTGCAGCAATTCAATATCAGGACATTAAGCGCCATCAGTCGAAATGGTCATATTTAAGTCGCGACAGCCGCCAATTGACTGTAAGTATGCACGTATACTCATCCCACATTATTTGTTTTGATGAAGTCCAGTACCTACCGAGTTGACAGACTGGGATTGGCTGTTCGACTCCTCTTACTCGCCTTTGAACAAATACCCTCCAAATGAACTTGCTGGCTTTCAAAATGCCATCACAAAAGAAAGGGTTAATTGGGCAGACGTCAAGAAGTACTCTACTTACATCGCCACCGCACTTGTGAAGAAGTATGGCCTTAAGGCAGGCGAAACAGTATCACTGTTCGGCCAAAACACTGTATGGTATCCGGTCGCCATGTTTGCAGGTCTTCGTGTTGGCGCAAAGATCAGTGGTGCAAGCCCAGCGTACAATGTCGAAGAGATGACGTTTGCGCTGAAGACGGCGGACTCTAGGTTCCTTCTTACGACACCCGGTAGTATGGAAGTTGCTTCTGCGAGTGCCAAAGCCGCTGGGCTGCCACAGTCGAATGTTTTCCTGCTTGAAGGCGAGCTTCCAGGCTACACTACTGTGCAGGAGCTCATTCGGATTGGAGAATCGTACGGCGACCATGGCCAGAGTCCAGCGTTTAAGATCCCTGCTGGCAAGAAGAATAAGGACGTGTGTGGGTTTCTCTCGTTCTCAAGCGGCACCACTGGACTCCCAAAAGCCGTCATGATCTCCCACCAAAATGTGATCGCACAGTGTCTTCAGATCCAGCAGATCACTCCAAATACTCAGAAAAAGATTATGGCAGTGTTGCCTTTGTTCCACATCACCGGCCTGGTGCATCAAATGCATCTTCCCATCCTTCTAAATGCAGAGGTCATCATGCTTCCGCAATACAGCATGGAGGGTATGCTCAACACCATCTGCGAATACAAACTAGGCGAACTGCTGCTCGTTCCACCGATCCTCATCCGCCTCGTTCGCGATCCAATCGTCGACAAATACGACCTGTCGCACGTAACACGCTTCTCGTCAGGCGCGGCTCCGCTCTCAGAAGAGATCATCCAGCTGCTGCAAAAGAAGTTCCCCAACACAGGCTTCAAGCAAGGCTACGGTATGACTGAGTCGTGCTCATGCATCACCGCGCACCCGCCCGAAAAGTTTGACTACAAGTACGCCCACAGCGGCGGCGCAATTGTCGCATCGACCGAAGTCAAGATCATCCGCCCAGACGGTACCGAAGCCGGCCTCAACGAAGACGGCGAAGTGCTTGCCCGCGGACCCCAGGTCGTAATGGGCTATCTCAATAACCCCACCGCTACGGCCGCGACCTTCGACGCAGACGGTTTCCTGCACACGGGTGACCAGGGTAGCATCGACGCGGAGAACATGATCCACATCAGCGACCGCATCAAAGAGCTGATCAAAGTCAAGGGCATCGGGGTCGCGCCCGCGGAGCTGGAGGATCTGCTGCTCGGGCACCCGCAGGTGGAGGACGTCGCAGTTATGAGCGTGCCGGACGAGTATAGCGGCGAGCTGCCTAAGGCGTATGTGGTGCTGAAGGCGGGCGTGCAGGAGAGCGCCGCGGCAGGGCGCGAGATCATCCACTACGTGAAGGAGAAGAAGGTCAGGTACAAGTGGATCCACCAAGTCGAGTTTGTAAGTGTGCGCGTGCGATGTGCTGGTGCGGTTGCTGACGCTGCTGGACAGATCAAGGAGATTCCGAAGTCGCCGTCCGGGAAGATCTTGAGGCGCGTGCTGAGGGACAAGGAGAAGGCTGGTCAGTACGGATTGGTAGTCCAGGACGAAGCAAGAGCCAAGTTGTAAAAATCTAGGGGGACATTATGGCGTGGTTTGGTGTGGTCCGGTTTGAGTATGGTCGCCCGACTTTCCGATTTCGTCCTATCATTGTAGTTTCAAGAATGGATGAAGTGGGGTTTCGACAGACCTTAGTCGCGACCCCACACTGTCACCTCGATCACCACCAAATCAGATTTTGCTTGTTTTATATTGTTAACATGTTATTCCTGCCTCCATCAAAGCGAGAAACGGGTTTTGTAGTGTACGTTACCCCATCTGCCCTGATCACCTCAATCCAGATAACTAATTCCTAACAGGTAGCGGTTATCACTCCGGATTCTGATCACCTCAGTATCTTCCGGCAACCCCGGTTCGATTCCGGGCAAGACCTCTCTTTTTGCTCTGGCAGAGCACTCGCAGCGTCGATAGACGCAGTGGTTGTACATCAATGTCAGAACGACAGTCGCCTCTGCTTTTCTTCGCGTTTCTTTTTAGCTCCAAATTTGGGTGTCACTTGCACTATCGCTGCTCCAGGTTCAAGTTTGCTTTGAATGCAATGCTTTCAGTGGTGTACATAGATGTGACCAGAGTCGTTTTAGACTTCCGTCTTGCTTTTGCAAATGCCAATCATCCTCAAGGGTGCCTTTCCCATTCGCCAAACGCCTCGCAATATGATCCTTCCTCTTGCTTCTCCAACTTGAGCTCTGAGCTATACAACCCCGACCACGGCTCCTCGATTGCGTAATTGTCTCGTATGCTTGCTCCTGTGCTTCCTTGCCCGTCTTCAGCCACTTCAGATAACCCATCGGTAACTAGCATAACGACCTGCGGTTTCCGACTTTCTTATGATCTTGACAACACTACCGCGCCTCAACCCCAAGTACTTGGCGACCGGATCTGTGGACTGGATCCTAGGCAGCTGTGTGGCCTTGAGACGGTACCTCTTGAGTAGCTGCTGCTTCTCCTCCTCACTGAGCAGAACGTGCTTAGGCACCAGCTCGTGCTTTGTAATGTTGACCAGCAGATCTTGCTCAACAAAGACCTCGACGCCGCCCTTGGGACCCTCGCTCATGCTGGCCGAGCCACGCAGCAGACGGATGGCCATACCGGTCATGGGCTTGACGGTGACCATGATACCCGAGTAGAAGGTGCCGTTGACTAGATGCTGCATGTAGTCGCGCAGCTGCTTCAGGCCGACGTTCTCGTCGCTGTTGAACTCAATCCAAATGGTGCCAATCGTCGCCCGCGGCTCGGGGTCCTTCTTGGTGGGTACCGCAGTGTACTTGGCAAGCATCTCTTCGCCAGGCTGGCAAGAGAAGTTGAGGCGCGAACGGCTGTGATAGCATTAGTACGAGCGCTCTAGAGGTGGTCTCAGGTGGCTGCATACTCGGGCTCGCCGTCTGCACGGCCGAACTTGATGGCAAACTCGTCCAGAGACATGTTCATGTCGTCCTCGAGGACTTGGTAGCCCTTTATCTTGTCAGCGCCGTGATCCATAGCGTGTGCAGGCGCCGGCGCATCCTACTCGGTCATGCATCATCTCCTTGGTCGTGCGCCAGACCCTCCACATGCGGATCAGGTTGGCACTCGGTTGCCTCTCGTCAGACATGGCGGCGGCGGTCGCTTTAGCGGGTGATGAGGCGGTGGTGAGAGGGTCGAGGCGGTGGCAGCAGCAGCTCAGGTAGGCCAGTGCATCAAAGACGCGCAAAAGTTCAAAGGCCGCCGCGCCAAGCACATCTCGACGTGCGGCGCTGCGCTTTCCCTGTTGCGCTCTAGTCCCCGCCGACTGCTGCCCCACCATGGAAGCTCCCCGAGCTCGCATCAACAGGTGAACATGACATCTTCAAACCAAATCCCAAACCTCAGAACACTGCTCGGATCCGGCCGTGGAGGCGCCCTTAGAGGGTCAGGGCGCGGACGAGGTGGTCCTAGTAGCTCTAGCGACGAAGTCCGCGACCATGCAGTCAAAGGAACTGACCAGGATGCGGCGGGGAGCAGGGTGAGCTGTGTCGAGCTGGGCTACCTGCACGATCCATATGCAAGGCTGTTTGCAACACAGCCGTCCACAAGGCGACTGCCGTTGCTGAATAGAGGTATGAGCTGCACCGCCTCTTCATTCGCACTACTAACAAATACAGGCTCCTACGTTCGCACGTCGGCAATCGACCTCCTCGTCACCAAGTTCCTCCTCACACATCCTTCCTCGACGAAGCAGATTGTGTCGCTCGGTGCTGGCACTGATACGCGCTTCTTTCGCCTTCTCGACGCCTACCCCGACGCTCGTCTCGTCTACCACGAGATCGACTTCCCGACCAACACCTCGCCTAAGATTGCCTGCATACAGAGACAGCCAGTGCTTCATCGCAAACTGTTCGAGATACCCAAAAACTCGACATCATACCATTCCGCGACATATAATATACACGCTCTCGACCTGCGCGCCTTAGCCGCTCTTTCAGACGATGCGTCGCTGCCCGAACTACCAAACCTCGACCCTACTATACCCACCTTGATACTCTCCGAGATGTGTCTTGTGTACATACAACCTCAGACTGTTCAATCCATCATCTCTACCTTCACCACCCGCTACCTCACACCCACCACGCCCGCGTCCCTCATACTCTACGAACCGATACTACCCCGAGACGCTTTTGGCAGAACCATGATATCGAACCTCCAGACGCGAAATATTCATCTTCCCACGCTCATGGCATATCCAGAGCTTGGCGACCAGCGTGCGCGATTGAATGGGTACGGCTTCAAGAACGGTACGAAGGCGGCAGATACCGACTTCATCTGGAAGCACTGGGTGAGCGATAAAGAGAAGGAGCGCGTTGCAAGCTTGGAGATGCTGGATGAACTTGAGGAACTAGAGCTTTTGCTCAGGCATTACTGCTTCGCCTGGGGCTGGCGAGATGGGGAGAGCGACGTGTTTTCGAAGGCATGGGCAGACGTGCAGGAACAAAGTTAGACTGTTCCTGATTCAATGAGAATCGGAATTCAAAGCAAAATTAGATGATACCCAAAAATTGGTCACATTAGATTGGTCTTGAAATGATGTTGAAAGCAACACGTGCACCCGCGACCAGCCAACTTAAGCCGCGGCGCGCTAATGGCCGTTCGCATCGTGCCTGCCCTTTCATGATCAACAACCACGAAATCACGAACAAAGACTGTCGCAACTCACCCCCTTTGATCGCTCGGGGGATGTCGTAACTCTAGGTCGACCTTGTCTCACGGCTGTCTCCCTCTAATCCAGCGCACCCGCTTTGCGACAAGTCAACAAACAATAAAGACATCAACACAATGGCCTTCAACAGGGCCAACCAGCCGAGCTTCAACCTCTTCACTGGGGTTGAAGAGTCGCCGCCGCCACCTGAGCCTCTACGACAGACCTTTCGAACCACCATGCGCGCTTCAATCGCAACGAATGCGCCGCACACCGTAGTGCCAGATAATCCTGTCAACGAAGATTTGCGCGCGCAGCTGAACACGCTACGCTATGAGCTCGAGACCGCAAAACAAGAAAAGGCAATGCTAAAGATAGAGCTCGACCAAGAACTCAGAGATCTGCAAAGTCGAGTCGAAGCCGAATCTCGCAGATCGCAGCAAGCAGAAGCAGCGAATGCCCAGACAGCAAAGAAGTACGACGTGCTGTCGAAGGAGCTATCTGAGGAGCGAACACGAACCGAAAACGAACGACGCGATCTCGAGAGGCGGCTGCGACAAAGTCAAGAGAAGGCGCAATCGTTACAGGAAGACTGTGACGAGGCCAAGGAGGATCTGGCGACATCACAGCGACAGAACGACCACAGATACAACATCCTGCAGACAGAGCATCAGCGCCTGAAGGACAGCGTGGAGGACATACAGACAGACTTGGTGTCTAAGGTTAATGCGCTGCAGGCGGCGCAGAAAAAGTTGGGAGAGAGCGAGGAAGAGGTCGGAAAACTTGAGGCTGAAGTGTTGCGATTGAAGGCTATCACAGGCGACGCCGAAACTCTGTCTGTTATCAAGCGAGAGCTGTCGGATCAAGTTGCGCACATCCAGAAGCTCGAGGCGTTGACAAGAGAGCAGAATGCTGAGCTCAGGAACTTCCGCCAACAGCACAAGGCCATTGAGGTTGTCGAAGAAGAAAAGAGATCACTTCAGACGAAGCTGCGCATGATGGACGATCTACAACGACAACTAGGTGAGGCTGAGATGAGGAAGCGGGTGCTTGAGGATGAGCGGGATTCGTGGACATCATATCTTGAAGCCGAGGCCAATGAGGACGGAGAGCTACGATTCGAGACGCCTGAGGATCTAGCGCGAGCCTTCATCCAGGAGCGGATAGATAAGACAGATCTACTGAACAAGCTGGGCGAGGTCAAGCCTGAGCTCACCGTGAAAGAGGCCAACATCCAGGCATTAGAAGACGAGAAAGCCAAATTGCAGGCTGAGATACAGCAGCTGAAGAGTTCTACGACAACGAGCAGCACACCCAACGCGAAGGAGGCACAAGCTCGTGCTAGGCTCGAACGCCAAAAGACATTAGCAACGAAAGAGGTTGAATTCCTGCGCGCCCAAGTCAAAGCTTTCGACGATGAGGAACGCGAGATGCAACCCGATTCCTACGATGCAGCAAAGACACAGCGCATCCAAGAACTCGAAGCTCTTGTCGACGAGCACCGCAAAGAACTGAACACCCTCCAAAAAGAGTTCAACAGCATTGAGAAGCTCACGCCAACACCTACCACGGGGCAAAAGCGTCCTCTCGAGACCGACGAAACTGACGAGCGTGTCGGCGAACTCCGCCGCAAAAACCGCCAACTGGTCGAGGACCTGTCGACCCTTGAGAAGAAGCTCAAGCTGATCCAAACCGAATACAAAGCGCAACACAGCCAACTCAAAAAGCTCAAAGAGTCCTCGCGCACACGCGTTCTCGAACTCAAAAGCAACCCCACCGCCGACGCCGAAGCCCTCAAGCTCTCTACCGTCCGCACTCTGCGCGCCGCAAACACCCAGCTGCTCGCTCAGCTTGAGCGCGCCACCCCGCCCCCCAAAAGCGTACCCTTTGCTACCTACGAGGCCGCCCAGGACGAACTCGAGGAGCTGCGCCACTCGCTCGCTAGCAGCGAGAAGAAACAGGCCCGCCTTAAGCAGATTTGGGCTGCTAAGAGTCTCGAGTTCCGCGAGGCGGTGGCGTCGATTCTGGGCTGGGAACTCAATTTCATGCCAAATGGTCGCGTTAAGGTGACGTCGATGTTCAAGCCAGCGGACGACGAGGGCGAGAACAGTATCGTGTTCGATGGCGAGAATGGGACGATGAAGGTCAGCGGTGGCGAGCAGAGTGTGTTTGCGGGCGAGATTCGGGATCAGATTGTCTACTGGGTCGAGGGCAGGAAGGAGATACCATGTTTCCTTGCGGCGCTGACTTTGGAGTTCTGGGAGAGAGGGCCTGGGGCAGAGATGACTATGAAGCTGTGAGATGGGAAGGATTAGGACAGTATAGGCTGAAGCGGGCATCAACGTCATACGGACAGAGGCTGAGCACTATCAGGTGGACGATATCCATGCGTTTTTGATCAGATTTACGAAGTAATATACCATGCCACGAGATGGCAGCCTTTTTCAACACCTGATTTCTCTGCGTCACTTTCACTCCACTCATAATCCGCCACTGCCATTAAAGCATCCCCAGCCTCATCAACTCACTCTCCAACTCCGCCTGCCTCGCGCGCCTCGCATCCCTCGCCCTATCCCAACTCTCGCTCCTCACCCTCCCATATCCCCTTCCAGACCGCACCCACTCCGTCGTATTCTCATCTCGCCCGACCGTATGCCGTCCGACCTCCATCCTTGCCATCTCCACATGTCCGGGACCTCTCCTCCACGCCCTTGCGTCACCCCGCGCCCTTGCGCTCCAGCGAAACCACCACAGGTACCCAAACACCCACAGCCAGAGGAAGACGCCCAGTGCGAGGATATCGTAGAACACGAGCGCGAACGTGGCTGCGGTGAACCAGTTAGGCCACTTGGTGATGGACTCGGAGCCGGCTGTGTCGAAGGGCGACCCCGCCCCTTCCTGCCTGTGGTCGTTCGGAGCTTCTTCGTTGCGCCAAGCCTCCACGACAGGTGTTGGTGTTGGTGTCGGGTTCGACAGGGTGATGACGATGACTGTGGTCGGGAGGCAAGTGGTGTTTGTGCGATCGAAGGTCGAGGTGGTGCTCGAGTTTGTTGCTACCGTAGAGTCGGGTGCGGGGATAGTTGAGATCAACCAGGTCGAGGAGGCCGTTGCGATCGAGTTGAGAGCTTCACTGGTTGTGGTGAGTAGTGGTGCTGGCAGGACGGAGGTCGAGACGCCGTCAACACTGCCCATATCCAGGGCGAAGCTTTGGAGCTGCGCGGCTGCGCCAGTAGCCAAGAGAACACAGTGAGCGAGTGTGTGACCCAGCATTGTGATTGCCAGTGTCGTCAAAGCGAAGGTAGGTGCTGGTTTCGTGCTAGCGAGCGTGGGACACGAAACAAGAGTGGTACAAAATGAAGTTCTACGGACTACGAAAGTGATGGAGAAGGTGATGTGTTCGGGATGGGAGCAAGCCTGGTGACTGTTGTTGCGGGATTTGGAAGTCGCAGGTTGGTCTGTCTGAGTGAGGAAGAAGGAGCAAGGTGAAGAGGGAAGGTGAACGTGAACTTTGCACAGCTTGCGCAGCAGATGCAGATCAATAAAAGTGGCCTATGTACAGAACATGTGGTATCGCCAGACTCCAGGTTCTTCGAGTGGAGTGCTGTTTAATTTCAAATCAGCATTGGGTTAATCGATTTTCTTTGGCGCGTCAACGTTCACGAGTCCTTGTCCCAGGGCAGCGCGAATGTCCCAGTCCAGTCCTCAACCTCCTTCCGCAGCTCGAGAATGTCAGTGATATCGTCGCCCTCACCAACGTACTCCTTGAAGGCCGCAACGCTACCGGGATTCTTGCGGCCACTCTCCTCGGCCTTCTTCTTTGCATCCTTGTCCAGCTTCTGCGTGATACCAACAGCGCGGTGAACAACGTCAGCCACACGCTTGAAGTCCTCGGGCTGGAAGCCACGAGTAGTCATTGCAGGAGTACCCATGCGCAGACCACCAGGCTTGAGGGCAGACTTGTCACCAGGAACAGTGTTCTTGTTTGACGCGACACCCACAAGCTCGAGAACGCGCTCCACTCGGGCGCCGTCGACACCACGATCCTTCAGGTCAATCAGCACAAGGTGATTGTCGGTGCCGCCGCTGACAAGATTGTAGCCCAGACCACCGTTCTCCTTCGAGTCACCAAGGCGCTTGGCGAACGCCTGAGCGTTTTCGAGGACTTGCTGCTGGTATTCCTTGAACTCCTTGCTTTGAGCTTGTTGAAGCGCAACGGCAAGGGCGGTAATTGTGTGATTATGAGGTCCTCCTTGGTGGCCGGGGAAGACGGAAGAGTTGATGGGACCCTCAAGGTCGTACATCTCCTTGTTGCCTTTCTTATCGACGCGTCTGACGCCCTTGCGGAAAAAGATCATAGCACCTCGCGGGCCACGCAGAGACTTGTGGGTTGTGGTTGTGACAATATCAGAATAAGGAAAGGGCGAGGGAATAACGCCAGCGGCAACAAGGCCTGAGATATGAGCCATGTCGGAGAGAAGGTATGCGCCAACCTCATCTGCGAGCTTGCGCATGCGCTCGTATTCGATCAAGCGGCTGTACGCAGATGTGCCAGCCACAATGACCTTAGGGCGGTAGAGGTGGGCCAGCTCAGCCATCTTCTCGTAGTCGATGATGCCAGTCTTCTCATTCAGCCTGTATGGGAGAGTCTCGAAGTATTTGGAGATGGCGGAGATCTTCTTGCCGGGAATCTGGTAGCCGTGCGACAAGTGGCCGCCGTGGGGAAGATCAAGGGCGAGGATACGGTCGTGGACGTTCATGACGGCGGAGTAGGCGTAAAGGTTGGCAGGCGAGCCAGACAGCGCTGAACGAAGGTCAGTTTCAAGTTGCGCTAACAATACAGATTCACTCACGCTGCACGTTAACACCCCATTCCTCGGGGCTGAGGTTAAAGGCCTTGAGCGCACGCTCCTGGCAAAGACGCTCAGCCTGATCGATGAACTCATTTCCTCCGTAGTACCGTTGTCCCGGGTACCCTTCCGAGTACTTGTCTGCACATCGATGTGAGCTTCGTTTGTTGCGTGTGATGTGTGACACATACTTTGCATGACACTGCCGAGGGCATCGAGAACAGCTTGCGATGTGAAGTTCTCAGAGGGAATCAGGTTGATAAAGTGCTTCTGGCGCTTCTTCTCCTACAGTACGAGCATGGTAAGCTTCAACCGCGTATGGAGCTTGGTGGCGTGAGTCGTACCTTCTCGATGATATTGTAGACAGTAGGGTCGGCATCCTCGAGGTCTTGAGAAAGCACCTACTCAAGGTCAGTCAATTGCCCGTTCCAAAGCTCTAAAGCTCATGCTACCTTCTGCTGTGCCTCCAGCGAGGTCGCGTATCCCCGCCATTGTCGCTGTAGTATTCTTGGATGGTTTGTAGCAACTGTGCGACGAGCGAGTTGGCCTAGAGGCGCTCTGCATACTGATCTGAGAGACGCCATTGCTGCAGGGTGTGTACCGGGAATTGAAGGCGCGTCGCGGCCTTTAAAGCAACTTGATGCGATTACTGGACCTGATATCCGCAAAGGGCAACAGGACGATGGGGCGGCAATCGGCGGCAAAAAGCGCAACGGCCGGCGTTTCCCTTTCCCGACGGCCGTGCCTTAAAACTTTTCCAGCCTCGCGTCTCTCTCTTGTTCCTTACAACTAAAACCTCGTGATTAAATGCTTTCAAGACAGCTTCATTCTCGCTCGGCCGGCGCAAGCTGGCTGACGCGGGTGCTGCTGAGACGCTGCGGGCATCACCACCCAAGAGCAGACGAGAAACCTTATGAATGGAATTAGTTGTGCGCTGCATCTGGCAACGCCAATGCTGGCCAGGTTGATGTGAGAGTGACGACGACTCGCAGCCATTTCAGGTCGATGGCTTCGTGTTGCCGTCTCACTCGAGCCATTTTTACCGTAGGTAGCAATTCAATTGATTCATCTCGTCTTCATCTTTCCTGTGTCAGTACATCCTATCTCTATGCCTTGCCTTTACGCCTTGCCTCTCTCATGTGGCTTGGCAAGCCAACGGCAGCTTCACTATGAGTGCACGACCACGCATCGCCGTTTCCTTAGGTACTCACAACAACAACGCGTGCCTGCTAGTTCGCGTTCGTTTGACCGACGCGTCAACAACCTCGACTTCAGCGCTGCCTGCTGCAGTCACGCACCAATCTCACCGCTACACGCGCAAACGGACAGCAGTATTAAAGATGCCTTCCTCTACATCGAGGGGGTCATCCTCTCCCCCACCACTGATCTCTACTGAGCAGGAAGGCAGCCCTGAGCTTGAAAGTCCATCGAAGATCACTCAGTACAACAAGCGAACCGGCCGCCCTGTACGCCGAAGCGCTGGGAAAATGAAACGTGATGCGGGGTATGTGGATTCTACCGTTATCGAAGAAAAAGATTTCATACCGTTTACCTCCGAAGACGAGAGTGAGGAGGACGACAGCGACAAGCCAAAGCGCAAGCGGAAACGAAGCCCATCCCCACCATCTCCACCCGTTGATCCTATCATCTACAACCCACGTCTTGATGATCTGACGGATGACGAGACAGTGAGTGCGTTTCGCCGCCGCACACCGAAGAAGACACCTGTTACCCTTCGGTTCGATGTACCGTTAGGATACCATGGTCCGCTGCTTGTAAAGCTGGATCCTACTATCTTGAACTCGGAGGACACAGACAAAGGACACGGTATGCAACAGGCAAAGAGGAGTCGCAGAACCAGCCCAGAACCCGCCGCCCCCCAGAAACGGCATAAGGGCTTTACCGACCTACCACCCGAGCTACGTAACAAGGTCTACCGATATGCCTTTGTGCGCGACAGGAACTTCCAGATACCTGCTTGCAAGCCTTGGGGAAGCGGAGATATCTGCCAGTCAGGCCAGTTCTTGAGCACATGTAAGTTAGTGCACAACGAAGGCTGCTCCATTCTATACGGCGAGAACACTTTTGCTTTCGAGAGGCATGAGAGCACACGCGGTACGTTCTACGAGCACAAGCCCAAGGAGATTGGCTACCAGGATGCTCTGCAATTCCTCAAGATGATCGGCCCGGAAAACATCCAGTATCTGCGAGATATTAAGATCATCTTCAACGATGCTCGCCCGTCCGATACGCCGGACGTGAATTCCAATGAAGATCGACGTTATATGTCAGATGCGGTTTTGATCAACGTTCTGCGCATCTTGCGAAATGCCAAGTTGCGCAAACTGTCCTTGGCGTTTATTGGTCGACGAAACCTTCAGAGCTCCGACGTCAGGTTTCTGGGTTATCTAGAGCAGATCAAGGTGGACGAGTTGAAGAAGTGGGTCCAGCCGAGGAGCTACTACTTCGAGCACAAGATCCGTCACAGTGTCTGGATCGACCTCGTCGAGCAGATGGTCCGCAAGAAGAAACTGTATGACACTGAGTAGTGACTCTGCCCATGACCTTTTCTACCGGTATCTGCCTGCTACTCTGGTCACGGTTATATCGACAGTCCTCTTTTCCAACGAAGACCACCCTCGTTTTGGCTCTACTGTCATTTGTAAGACTTATGTTGCGACTCCATGTTCCCGCGACTTCTTATTGGGATACTCAACGACAAGTCAATCTTCTGCCACCCGACCCATATCAGGCTTAGGAAGATGTTAAGATTCTGGTTTATCATGGGTTTTCTGTAGCGAGCACGGTACAAAATTTTCTAGGGAGTTTTATGGAATCAGCATCAGATACCCACATCAACATGTTTAGCAAACGAATAAAATGTATGAATCACAAGTATCCCAATCATTCGCCAGTGTCTTGTAGGGGCGGCAACGAACAAACATACGACGACAAACAATTCAGCGAAAGGCCTGTGAAGAAATTAGCCCTCCATCGAATAATCATTTGATGCAAAGTCTGGTATCTGGGTTCAGTTACATCATATCATCTCATCTTCATAAGGAAGACGTGTTCAGGATACATCATTGCACACAGGCATGTACGATCATTCACTTCACACCTATGTAAAGTCATATTTAGCACGTCTTATGAACTGCAGGATTGAATCGAACGAATCTGTTTAAAAACGAGACGTAAGATCATTGACTCTTCTTACTCCAGGCTGCATCTTGCCAAATGCCTGGCTAGAAGTGCCAGGGTATAGTACTCAAGCGGTAGTTCCTTTTCTCTTCTTGAACTCCTCAATCCACGCCGCACTCTTCTCCTTCGGCACCACACTGATCCGCACTAGTCCGTCACTGACAACCACCTTCCCACTCCCCAGCACCTTATGCAGCGCCATCTTCTTGCCGACCTTGATCAGCCCGCCCGCCGCTGTCTCCATGTAGGCCTCCACTTTGTCAACCGTATACTCATTCTCCTCGTCCCACGGCAGCGGGAATATATACTCCAGATGCTCCGGGAGGGTCTGGTGCTCGTTGAAGGCCTTGATGAAGTCCGACTGGGAGTGCGCAGGGTACAAGATCAGGCAGGGATAAGAAAGGGGCGAGGACGGATCCACCGGGTTGGAGAGCTGGATTTTCGCGTCTTCTAGATCCGGCGCTTCGTCGGTTGTCGTGCGGACAGTGACGTTGCGCGCTTTGAACGCCAGGTCGAGCGTGGCACGCTCGGAGGCTGTTTTTTCTTCCCGGGCACGCCGATCGGCTTCGACCTTGGCAATGTAGTCTTGTCGCTTCTTGATCTTTTCGGCGAGGGCCTTGAGAGGTGCATTGGTGGGGTCCAGTTTGAGTCCGAATTCGCATGCGTCTGTGGCCTCGGCGAATTTGTCGAGAGCGAGACAGGCACTGCCGGAGCGGTAGTAGGCTTTGATATTGGAGGGGTTGATGCGAAGGGTTGAGGCACAGTCGTTTATGCATGAGCGATAATTCACTGTTATTGATGTCAGCATCCAACCGTTGCGCAGGGCTGGAGAGCATGGATCATGGTATGCAAGCGAGGAGACTGAAGGTGCAGATTGTTCATTGTATATGGTCGGTCTATCATGTGGACAATATTTGCATCCATCTGGCCTCCTCGCTCGCTCTTTCTCCATACAGCAGAAGACCAAAGTAGACAATGGCTGCTTGCTTGGCCTGATGCTCTGGGAGTGTGTCTGCAAAGTCTTGTGTCCGTGCTCTCACTGTTTAGGACAGAAGATGCTCGAAAAGGAAGTTCAAACATTGAAGACTTACTTTTTTCCAAGTTGCACAGCGCCCTGTTAACGTAACACGCCTCCTCTACGACCTTCTCCTTCTTTGCTTCTTCTTCTTCGTCAAGCTCGACCTCAATGATCTTTCCTCCCTCGACTTCTGCCTCCGGATCTGGCTTCGCCTGCGGTCCCTTGAGCGCTGCTATCGCTTTATCGTAGAACTCTCTTGCATCGTTCCATTGCTTTGCTCGGGCACACTCATTGCCCTGCTGTCGAAAGTTCTCTGCAATCTCGAACCTTGTGCCTTCGTATGCGAGCGCCTTCATAGCCTCAAGCATCATGTTCTCACCACCTTCGCCATCAGTCTCGTCCAAAGTCGTCATGAACAAAGGCATTCGATTCATTTCCGCCAATACCTCATCAACGCTTTGCTTCTTGATATCAGCCATGGCCGGCGGCATGGCCGGTGCGGCTGTTGCTTTCCCATGCTGCGACATCTTGTCTGGTCGACTCTGCTGCAAGTGATTTTGATGTTGTCACAGAGCTACGCGGCCGTGCACTTCCAAAATTTGCGAATGTTCGCTTAGTCAAAGTAAAAAGTGGGGTCCGTCCCGTCCGACCCTTGGAGGCTTGCCGCGAACGCTGACTCTCATCTTGCAGCAAATTGGACAGGGCTACCATGCGAACGCCCAACTTTGATCAAAAGTCAAAACTGGAGGGGCTGCTCGACTAGCATTAGATGCATGGGAGAGCTAGACGATCAAACTCTCCTTTGCCGAACCTCAGGTCATAACCGGACGATCGCGACTTCGTACAGCGATGCAACGCAAATCTCTTGCTCTGTCACAGTAGGAAACGAATTACCTGTCAATGCCAGATTGCTTGCTGAGCCTCGTTACTGGCAGGCGACACACCGGTCAGCAGGGGGTTTATGTTTATGCGTGTGCTCCCTGCAGCTTCGGCTGCAGGTGCCCGCTCCAGAGTCTTCGGTTTTAGGTGCAACCTCTGTCGCCTATTTTGATGATCGCCTCGGCTGTATGATCAGCAGAATTCGGGAGGCCCCTGGAGTAGAGTCCGACATTGCAAGGGGAAATGGTGGTGAACATGCTTTCTTTGGTCGTTCCCATTGCGCGGTCTGGGGACGCGCGACGAAGCTCCCTGCAATCACGATGAAATAGGACGCGTTACACCCGACAAATGAATCGTCATGGTCCTCGGAGCATCCCGCACCCAATGCCAGACGCCAACTCGAACCAGATCTGGGCTCCCGTATCTGACAGGAAGCGCAATTGGACCTCAATGAGACCGATGCTGATGCGAGAAGTCCCGGCAAGGTCACGTTAGGAAATTACCGTGGGTGATCTCGATTTCCATATCAAATCCACTTCTTTGCGGCGCCGAACAAGCCCAGGCGGTCCTCAGACCTCCTCACCGGGTCCAATGCCATGGATGCGCGTCTCACGGCGTCGCACGCCTAACCAATGCCCAAACAGAAGACCAGTCGGGCACTTGTTGTTCATTCGCAGATTGCAGGCTCTGGCAATCGGTCCAGAGCGACACCCTCGAAATAGAGTTGTGACGGAAGATCGTATCCTACACTAGAGCCAACGGTATCGCGCGACGGCAGCTCAAGTCGCATCGCTTGGATCACTCAACGCACACGCCATGGCTTGCCCGACGGTTTTGCTTGCGGCGCAGTGCGAAAGGCTGAACCTTGACACTTGAAACCGCGGGTCATCACGGCTTCATTGAACGACGAGAGCGAAGTGACCAGGTATCTATTCATTCATCCAAAGCGCCACCGCCGATGCGGCGCAGCTTTCATAAGTTGCTGTGCCGCTCTACACCTGTCAGAAACTTGACAGTTAGCCGTTGCTCATTCACAATGTGCATCGTTACGCACTATCACGCTCCTTCAGTGCGCCATTGCCGGATGGTAAGGTGCTCGTCCAAAGTCAATGCTCGTAACCCCCCTGTCGGGTCATTTCTTTTCTATCGTTAACGTGGCGGAGAAATGCGCACCCAATAGGACGTGCAGGATTTCCTGGAGTGGAGCGATGTGAACCAATGGGACCCACCTCTGGCGGTTAACCCCTGACACAGCCTCATGCAGGGAAGCTTGTGCTCACAATGCATAAGCATGGATTCGGGCTGCAAGACAAACCGAGCAGGGCTCTGAAGGGGTACGTCGACTCCATTCGCTGCTTCTGGCAGTCCCGCCTCCCCAGAGGAACGTGCGGAGTTGTGCCTTGTGTCCCGAAGACGAAAGGTGCTGCATGGCGGGCGATCCGCAAATGTGCCCAGTTCGCACCTCGTTCTTCAACCTCTCCTTCCTCTCTATGCTCCGTGCAGGTGACGACACACTGGGATTCGATCCATTCTATTTTCTTTGATTTAGGCCCCCTACCTTCTTTCCTCAAGACCGTTTTGATCTGCGTTATTACTTAGCTCTCTTCAACGCTTCTTCCGTGCATACCATCAACGTTATAGTAAGTTGATTGCGTTCACTATCTTAACATGGGAGCCCCCTTAGCCTCCTGACTATCCATACGAGCGCTTCGCGGCGCTTGATTGCGCGATTTGTCTAGATCCGATCTACCGTTCACGAGGAGCATCGATTAGAAGCATCGATTGTGCCTATATATCACTAACAGGGCACAGATCACGCTACCTGCGAGACATTATTGTTACGCGCCAAAGTCTTGTATCTGACACACAACGACATCTGCTCAACTCTGAGTCCACAGCTTTGCCCCTTTGCCAAAGTCGATGGACATGGGAATGTATTGAACCAACGTTTATCAGCACCACTTGGTTGTGGTACTGAACGAAAGGCTGTAAACGTCTAAACCGATCACGGTCTGTTGCACGCACCACCACGATGACGACCGACTACTTTTCCGATCACGAGGCTTTCATCGCCAGTCAGCCTTTGCCATCTCCAGGAGGTACACTGTACACGCCATCTCGACGGAACTCGAGATATGGAACGCCCGCTAGTGAGATTGCTAGTTCACCACCTCCTCTTCCATCGAGTATGTATCCTGAGACAGAGGACGAGGCGGCCAATAACGAGACCATTTCGATGCTTGATCCACGCCGCTTCACTCCAACGCTACATGCCAACTTGGTCTCCGAAATTTTGAATCTACGACGCGAGCTAGATTCAAAGCACAGGTTCATCGAGGACGTAGAGCTGAACCTCCATACCGCACGGACCGAGAATGACTCGCTGGTGAAACAACTTTCATCAACTGCCAAAGACAATCGCACAGCAAAACGTCAACTACAGCACTTCGAGAATGAGATGCTTGCAGCGCTGGAAGAGATTGCAGGTGAGCGTGATAAACTCAAGGATGTCAACGCAGATCTCAAGTCGAAACTGGAAGTGGCCGAAAAGAGATCGCGTAGCCAGGATGATGACTCGACGCGTGTTCATGACATGTGGGCTCGCGAAAAGGAAGTTTGGGCTGGAGAAAAAAGAACTTTGGAGCGCAAAGTACACACATCTGATGCGCGATTGAAGCTGCTATTGGACGAACTTGCCGCTCATGAAGTTGCCAGAGAAGAAGCACGCTTTGAAGGCGAAGGAGATGACACGAAGGACACCAACGTGGGCGCCGAGAGCGACACTGCCAGTGTGCGCTCGTCGCCGCAAAGGCGCTCTTCCACGCAAATCGGACACCATTCGCGAAACCTGAGTAACAGTAGCTACAGGAGCATCGGTCGAAACTACCGAATGTCACTGATGAGCAATGAGGGTCAGGGTCGAGGCATTGGCCTCAGTCTCGCAGATGAGCTCATTTTTGACGAGGAGGAAGAGGAAGATTTGGAAGATCTCGAACTCGACTCGGACGATTTCCCCGAACATGAAATGCGAGCAAGAAGAGTCATGGAATCGCGACAGGCGATGTATCCCGACGATAAAGCAAAACGCATCCTGGGACTGAGTTGTGACGTCCAATCTCCAAGCAAGGACATCCCGGTCACTGCTGAAGAGTACGGCCAGGTCAAGACATCTCATGAAACGACTCATTCCACGGTAACAATAACGCCCAGGGATATCACCCTAATCTTCCCGCCAACCAAGCCGATATACGTGGATACTGGCGTTCAGCCCTCGCCGCCTGCATCGCCTGTGCTTCCCTCCATGACCGAAGCCTCGTGTCAGACAATCAACGAGGTTCCTGTGCAGCCGAAACCTGCCGATAGCTCGGCAGCTCGCACTGAGGTCGATGTGAACCAAAGCCAGGCAAACCAGCGCAGGAAGCGCACGTCTCTGTTGCTTGAATCTCCTCACCCCTCAAGGAGTGCCAGCCCTACACAATGTACTATGATTTCTAGTGCTGTGCAGACACTTGAGCAGCCATTAAGTCCACCACCAACGCCCAAGATCACCATCCCGACTACCGAACTGCCCGCAACACCTGTTTCACCTATCTTCCAGACCGAGCTTGTATCCTCGTCGACGCAGACAGATTCAACCGAGCAGCATGAGATACCCATTGCAGAAATCAAACGAAGTGCTCCGCCAGCACCGATCCCCATACCGTCAATCGCCATTACTGCCCCAGACTCAGCCCCTTCCTCGCCAAAAGACGCTAGGTTGCCACCAGGGACTAAGACGATTTCTACCCAAACAACAAGCGATCTCGTTGCACCAATGCGATCGTACGGTATTCAGACAGAGCCTATTCGGGTTGACCAACGTCCTATCAAACTACCACCTCATCTCCTGCCCTCGGCTATAACCTCCAAGCCCGGCACCCCAGAGACAAAATTAGAAAGCCCTTTCGCCGGCATCGGTGTAAGAAATGACTCGTACTACCCTGTTGGCAGCGACACCGAGAAATTCCCTCCAAAGTCAGCAGCTCGCCAAGACCTTATGGCCCTACTCGAGAAAGCTGCCGATAACAGAGTGCAGGTGGAAACTCGCTACCCTGGTAACAACGACAACGGACCCTTGTCAAGCAATCATCAGAACGAGCAGCTTAGTAGACCTTTCCGATCGAGCAGCTTGTTCGCTGGATTCGATGGCCCTTCTTCCGACGAAGAGGATCTTGCCGATGCGAGCGACGACGAACACCGAGGTCACCCTCACATGACGCCTATGCTCTCATCGCGCAATGCTAAGAATGGTCGACCAGTGAATCCACCAACCCCTGTGCCAGAGGACAAGGAACCGACGCCGCCGTCTAGAATCTCTGAGGACTCTCAGCCTTCCCATCGTTTTGGTTCTGAGCGTGCGTCTCTCGAGAAAGCAGCAAGAATTACAAAACGTAATTCCTTAGGTCGCCAGCCCAGTATTCGGCGATCGGCCATGATCCAGTCCGGTACTTCAGCGCACATGAAGCCCATCATGAACAATCTTGGTTCTGCCACTCAAGTAAAGCCGCCGTTCCCGGTCCCCATGCGCTCGAGCTCCCGTAATACGCCTTTGAGTAAAAGTGAAGGCTCTACAAGTCCCACACCTGGCCATGGTGGCTCCTATGCTAATCGCCGGATGCATGCTACTAAGCATCAACGGAAGGATAGCCTGCGAAAAGTGCGCTCAGCAGCCCCGATTTCCAGATCAAACCGTTCCCGAAGCAGGTCACCGACGATGCCTACAACACCCAGTATACCTGACACGGATTCCATCCCTCCTCTACCAAGTGACATCATGAGCGCGAGTGGCTTTGGCCACCGTCATCAATTGTCAACCAACACAGCATACACGGCTAGCCAGTCAGTTGCTAGTTCCAACTCGCAATCCAATGTCGTTGATGCCATTGCTGCAGCAATGATCGGCGAGTTTATGTGGAAATATGTGCGCAAGAGGAAAGCTTTTGGTGTCGGTGGGGCAGAGGTTCCTATGGATCGTGCAACTGAGGAGGCCTCTCTTTCGAGCGGTGGAGTACGTCACAGGCGCTGGGTTTGGATCTCACCATACGAGCGAGCAATATTGTGGAGTAGCAAGCAGCCAACTTCCGGTTCTGCTTTAATGGGCAAGAGCGGTCGCAAACGTAAGTACCTAGCATGAGGCACGAAGAGAAGCAGCTACTGACGTACAACTAGTCACCATCCAGTCAGTCCTCGACGTCGCCGACAACAATCCAACCCAACGAAACGAACCCCTTTTCAACAGATCGATTCTGATTTTGACACCTGCGCGTGCCCTCAAGTTCACAGCCGTATCGCGAGAGCGCCATTACCTGTGGTTGACTGCGCTTTCTTTCCTAGCACACTCGAGCGCACCCATGCCCGATCTCAGTGCCATGCCTCAGCCACCACCGGTTGAATACAAACATCAACGATCGGGAGGCGCAACACTTCGGCGGTCGCGCGTGCAGGACTCAGTACGTCTCGCGAAAGGCAAGGCGAACCCAGCAATGCAACGAAACAGGGCACTCAACGAGCCCATGCCTGGTCTATCATCGCTTGCTGGTTTCGACAGGTCGGTAGCAGACTCTGCTAGCCCACCTTCCATTCCTCGAGGGCCAGCTCACGGCCGTAAACGAAGCTCGACCGGCCCAGGTGCACCGCCGCCCAGTATCCCCTTCCGCAGCTTCTCACACCAACAAGTGCCTTCAGTCTACTCCAATGGATCTTCGGACAAATATTCGTCCATGCAACCGCCTTCAGTACCTTCGTCGGTATATAATCCCACCAGTGGCATTGTCAGCAGCCGAACATCTGAAGCAAGAACATCTGAAGCCAGCACATCTACCCGCAGCCACTTCTTCGATGCTATGGGCACCGTGCGTATGGAGGCCTTCATCGACGATGCATTGGGTGATCCAGCGCAACGCCAGGGTCTCTACGTCAAGCCCAGAGGCGCTCGTCACCGACGTAGCAGCCAGTGGAGTGACACCGCACGTGAGCGGCCAATGCGAGCAGCTGGCCTGTACGACGACATCGACAACGATCCTTTCCGTGGTTTCTAGCTGATTGACATGTTGATCACGCCGCGACGCCGATATGGCTGAACGATGCTTTGGTGGTTTCTTCCGTTGACACGCTCTCCCAGTATTTGCATCTCCTTCCTTCTCATTTTATTTCTTATTTCCTTGGCTCGTTTTCGATTTCGTTTGTCCTCATAACATTTCATCACTTTAGCGCAAAAGCATGCGTGTATCATTTAGAACGTGCTCATCTATGCATGTCATGTCCGGAGCAGCATCCCCGGCCTAGATACTTCTCATATCTCTTTTCCTCATCATCACTAGGGCCCAATCGCAAGCCTAGAAGCATCAGTGCTCACGCGCAAAGATACCACACAACATACTCATACCTTCTTGTATAATGCTTCCTTCTCACACGCCCCAAGGCCATTTCGATACCCAGGCATTTGATTAGCCAGGCATTTGCTCAGTTACCGGTCCAGGTAACGTTACTATAGTCCAATACAACAAGAACAATAATATCATTGCATCGAAGAAGTTTTGAACATGCCCTGCCGTGAGGTGATTGTGGATTAGATGACGGAAATGCATCATTATTGCTGACTACAAAGCGCTGCAATGCTAACAAGGACAACCATCAAAACCCACCCTGTACATGCCCGAACCAATCGCCACATCGCCAATGTACATATAACATGCGTGCACATAACAATGCGTCTCCAGTACTTCACAAGGTATCCGGCGGAAAGTCAACAAAATCACGAACCGACATATGCAGATATCACCAAAAGCGCACCCCTCCCAAGCCGTCGCCCTGGAGCCTAGATCTACTCCTTCTGCCCCTCATTAAGCACCAGCTCGACAACCACCTGACACCTCTCGACCTGCGGATGCTGCAGGCTCATCTTGATGGTCCTGTGATGCCCCGTGGTGCCCGACAGCCCGTCGTCGAGACACTTGACGTCGCGGCCGGCGATAACCTGCCGCAGGCGGCCATTCTGCGCATTGCGGATCTCGACGAAATCAGGATCGAACAAGAGCACATACGGGCCGTACATGGCGGCGCTCTTGGCCTTGCCGACAAACTCCATGATGACGGAGCGGCTGATGTCGCCGTTCTTGTTGATGTAGACGGCGCACTCTTCGTAGCACAGCAGGAACTCCTGGTCCGAGAGGCGGAACATGCCGAGCGGGTCCTGGTTGGTGAGGCGCGAGGCGATGGTGGCGACGTGCTGCTGCTTGAGGTCTGGGACGCTCCAGGGCTGTTTCTTGTCGAGGGTCATGACCTCGAAGCCCTTGGCGGTCGAAATGGCGAGGGACGAGTGGAAGAGGTTGATTGTGTAGCAGTCGGCCGGGATGTAGAATTCGTCGTATTCGCGGAAGAACTCTGTGCGGCCGGATTTCCACATGCGAGATTTCTTTTCGGTGGACTTTTGGTACACGGGTTCGAGGACCTTGAAGGTGGAGGAGAGGCCTTCGCGCTTCTTGTAGAAGACGAGGGTGCGGTCTTTCATTGTGCCAGTGGCGAAGAAACCAATGTCGCGTGCGCCAGAGAGTTTCTGGGGTGCGCGCCGTGTTGAGTCGTTGGATGGTGGTACACCGCTGACAGGGCAGACAGCATCAAGGTGATATGCAATCAGAGATTTGTCAGAGATGAGCAGCATGAGACTAAAATGTTCCAAGACTGCGATTTGTGTCACACGTGGAACTTGGATTGCCTGTTAAAGTTAGTTTGGGATTCGAAATGTACCAGACGTTGTGACATACCTTCGTCCAACCTCGCGGGTTGTCGTAGTCGGATATGTAGACTCCAATATCAGTACCAACAGCAACGATGTGCTTGCCAAATGGTTGATTGAAAGCTGTTGCGCAGTTGACCCGTGCTCTGCAGATAGGCACAGGCCTTCCTGAGTTGGCGAAAAGCTTCTCCACCTCATCAATCGAGCGGTCGAGCGGTGTTCCCTTGATAGTGATCCCCCTCTGTGTAGGCATGACACTGTCGTATGCGAACGCAGCATCAGCCATCACTCGTAAGCGGAAAGGTTCAGCATTCTGAGCAAACAATGCAGCCGCATGCTGTGTTTTAGCGTGTAGAATCTTGTCGCACCAATCAACCCGGTTCTGTGCAGATGACGCATAGAGTGTGTAGGTCTCCTTTCCTAGATGCTTGACCTTGAAGGGGTAAAGGATCTTCTCGTCCCTACCGTTGTCCAAGTTCGGGCTGTTCATCATCGTCTTCCCTGAAGTGCCCGTACTTGTTGAGCCCATGGAATTGGACGTCACAACGTGTTGGAGCGAGCCTGGTGCTGGACTACTGGTTGTCCGCCCACTCACTGGCGCTATCCTGTTCACAGGAGCAATGCCCTTCAAGTTCGACCGTACAACAGGATCCTCGTCCTCGCTTTCCAGAACCAGCAGATCCATCGGTATAGGTAGCCTAGAGACATCGTATTTCTCTGATTTGGTAAGTCCGTCCTGTTCCCGATATGCGACCGTCTTTGCCAGGACCAGGTAGTGATCGAAAAGCAGTGCGTGAGTTTCCAGCCAGTTGAATCGGCTACCTCCCATTCTCTGTAGGTCACCCCTGAAGATGAGCTCGCGCCCGAGATGATCCAGATTGAGCTCGACACGTTGCATGCCAGGCCGCAGAATCAACTTAGACTGCAAGTCAGTCAGACTGACCTTGCGTTCCATCTCAGCCACGCGAGCATCACACTCCAGCGTGACAGCTTTAATCTCTTCCTTGGCGATGATCAAGTTGCGTTTCTCATCGTTGTCCACGGTTGAGTTCTTAATCACCGTGTCGATCAGAAGACCATAACGCTGTAACCTGTCGATAGGGGCCTTGAGGAAGTTCTGCCAGGGCAGCTTTTCGGACAGTCGGTTTGCCTGAGCTTCGTCCAGGAAAGCACGGAATAGCATATTCCTGTCGGCCTCCTGGCGGACCAAGAAATTGGCATAAGGAAAGTTGGCGGCATACTCGATATACGCCTGCTTCGCTTTCCTGATCCATTCTCGGAAGATGTCGCTGAAGCCAACAACCCAGGGGCCCTGCTCTTGCTGTCTGTACTTGATTTGTGGAAGGAGATGATCCTCGTTTGCCTTCTTGACGGCGTCCGCTTTACTGAAAACATCGTTGATGAACCTGCTGAGTTTCTTCGGCGGAACAACAGGGGGTTGTGCAGCCAGAAGCTTGTCTCGATAAAGCCTTCGTAGTACGTCCAGTCGATCCATATATTTGTCTTCTCCTTGCACGATCTCGTGTAGAATGTTCTGGCGTTCAATCTCCTTTTTGTGTGCACTTGTGAGGTCGTCCTTCTTCACCTTGTGAAATGTTGCCCAGTCTTCAGACCGAGCAGCAGCGGCAGGTGAATGCAGATCAATCTTCTTCAGTGTTCGCTGACAGTGGTGTGCGTAGCAGCGACCAGAGCTCACGTGTGTGTGAAGCATCGGCGCGTAACAGCCAGCACCTGTCAGCTGGAAGATGACGCCAGTCATGCTAGTTGAAGAGAATTTGAGCCATTCCTCATCATGAACCAGGGTCCCCGCCCTGTACATTTCTTGCATCACGCGGCTACTCAGCGTTTCCGCGTCCGCGATGTTCATGGTCGGAACCTTGTGGGTGAAAAGAGCGATAAGACCTTCTTGGATTGGACTCTCCTTCAGATCATTCTCACCTTCCGTCATGGACTTCAACCAAGCAATGATCGAGCTGAGTGCCCAAGGCTCGGTGCACTTCTTAAAGTCACCAGTGGATAATTTAGCTGGGTTGAAGCGTCTCCCTGTCGGCAAAGTCGGCAAATCAATGGCAACAGCGTCACCGCTAGCAGGCGTCATGGTATTGCCGTCGCTGTCCATCGCTCCACCATAGAATGTATTACGATTGGCAGATTGCCGCAACCTGTGTCCCTGTTCGGCATCTGTCTTCGATCTTGGGAGTGGAATCTCGCGAGGTGGGTTACTGTGCTGAAGTAGAGACGTGGAACGGGGAACAAGTTGCCCAGTTGGTGAGACCATTTGCAAGCCGTTGGGATCGACTGGGTACGAGCCACGAGCCGATGGAGCATTGCGCCAGTACTCATACGTCCCGGATCCCTGTGAGCTGGTGCTTGTATGGTTCATCCGTTGACGGCTACCAGTACTCGCCCCTGGTGGTGGAGGAGGTAGGGGTCTGTTGGTCATTCCAGGGTGATAAAACATATCAGGTGGCTCGCCTGGCATTGCAGATGAGGACTGCAATGTCGCACCGGACATACCGGACATGACAGATGCGGAGTCCATGAGGGTGGCTTCGTCTCCCTCGTCGTAGCTCCGCCTACGCCCGCTCGGCTCTTCCAAACCCCCTGTGCCAAACGTGTCAACGCGTGCGTTGGTCGAGAAGGAAGGGAAAGGATGGATTGGATCGTAGTCTTCACTGGCCGGGTCGGATCTCCGTTGTGACCCTGAGGACGATACTGGGTGGCTATTTCCGGTCGCGAGTTGACTTGGATCTCCTCCGTATGCAAACGAGGGTGCAAAATTGCCCCCATAGAGGCCCAGATCGACTGGTGCGTATTCGCTATCACTAGCGCTCTGCTCAGCTGGTCGGTTCTGTCCGTGAGGAAGAGGTGGCGATGGCATCGTTGCATAGCTGCTGAATAGTCCAGTTCCTCCACTCCGCCTGCGTGCTTCGTCCGCCTCTTCTTGCTCCTCTGCCAGTCTAAGCGCAGCCAATCCAGCCGCAGCCTCTACGTCGCTCTCGTCGCTAGTGTAAACATCACGAACGGGATACGGTGCAAGGCGATCACCATTGGTACGCTCTCCGTTTCTTGCTGAAGTCCGCCTGCCCATCTCATCGTAATATTCGCCACCATTCGGTTGCTGGACCTGTATTCTTGGGCTATTTCCAGAAGTCATGTTCAGAACGTCATCGAACAGCTGGTCTTGATTGTATGAAGGTTCGTTCTGTGGTGAGAAGTACTCGTCGCTATCAGACTCGGTGGGAGGAAGATCGGGGAGTGGGCGCGATGAGACGGTGTTCGTTCGATGGGGCGACGCGTGAGGAGGCACTTCCGGTGTTGGCGGCAGAGGGTTCGAATGAAGACTCGAGGTCGAGTTGTATCTGCCGATGCGATCTTGCGTACCGTACCCAGTATCGTATGTTGGCGGCGAAGGGAGAGGCGCGTGAGAGGACTCGTAGTACGACTGTGAGTGAGCACTCGAAGTTGTTCGCGCTGGATAGCTGCCCCAGTCATCGCCAGCCGACTGTGCACTGCCTGGAGGCACGGGTAGTGGCGGCGGGGCTGGAGGAGAGTAAGCTGACCTGCTCTGAAGGGAGCCTGTCCTGCCAAACTGCGAATTCTGATAAGCAGCGGGAGAGGGATACGAGGCGGTCGGCGAGGTCGGCGAAAAGCCATATGGATGGCTGACGGTGCTATTCCTGCTCAAGCCTGTGTCCGCGTACGCAGCTGGAACGTATGGTGCATGCGAAGAAATCGGTGCAATGAAGGTGCGGTTGACGCCGCCGTAGTGCTGTGGATTCGGCAGCGCAACCGCAGGAGCATTGTAGTTCTGCGGGTTATAGTGCTGCTGCGGCGACTGGTACCCGTAGTTGCTCCCGTAGCTGCCAGCGGTGGGGGACGCGGGCCCTTGACTCGTGGTGGGCGACATGGGCCCTTGGATCATGGCAGGCGAGGCAGTGGTGCCGCCGATGAACAGCTCGTCGTTGCGATTGGCGAAGCTGTTGCGCCGCACCGGGGCGGCGTAGCCATAGCCGCCGGCAGCGCCGTTGGCATGGTCGCCTTGGTCGTGCTCATACGGGTCCTGGTAGGGCTGCTGCGCGGCCTGGGCCGAGTGCGGTATGTTGGGGTTGTAGTAGTTCTGGCCGTTGCCCTGATAGTACGACATGGCGGCTCGTGGTTGCCAAGAGGCCCGCGGAGGCGCGCTGTGAGGGAGCGAGGGTCGCGGTCGGCATTCACGAGGCTACGTGGGAATGTCGCATGTGCATATGCAGCATGGCCGGGGCCGCTGAGCTGAGCTGAGCGCGATGCGACCGGCGGTCCAGCTGGCGCAAGTGCTCGTGCTGCTGTATCGCGGGGGCAATGCGACCAGCGCGCTTCGATGCGACTGCGATAGTGCGTCGCCTGGCGTGTCTCGGCCGTAAACAATGGGGACGCGCTGCCTGTGCGTGGTTTCGGAGGTCCCAAGCGAGTCTCTCAGGCCTCTTAAGCGCGGGGACGGGCCGGCGATGTCTGAGTGCCGTCAAGGGCGCTGCGGCGGGGCGGTCACGGGGCAGCACTGGCGACGCTGTTGAGATGCCCACAAAGGCCGGGAGAGAATGTGTCTGGTTGTAGTTGTCGATGACGGGCAGGTCGAAGTTGGCACGCCCAAACAAGTGAGCTGCCAAGGGCGACCGGTAAGCTCCCGCTGCGGCGTTGCCTCGAACGCCAAATCACACCAAATCACCCAATTTGCACGCTGTGAAGGCTGCGGAAATTCCTGTGCTGACGTGACACTGCACCTCAGCCTCTCTCTGTCCGCTGCGTTGGCTGTGCATTTTGCGGCTGTGGGTCACGCCCATCAGCTTGAAACTCGCCCCCCATCCAGCACCCCGCTATGCTCGAGCAGGCACCGCACCGGAGACCCTGAGAGCGCACGGCCTCGACCCGTCTGGCTTCTTTTACAACATCGCACCATCCGTCATCTAATAGCTTCGTCGCAAACAACGAACTTAGGCAAGGGCCCTCTGTGCTGAACACAGCCTTTGACAGCTGCGATGGGTCCAGGGACCGAGCAAGCTTTGCAGTACTTGCACATGTGTGAACTAGCCTGATCCAGCTTATTTGCCTGCGACATCTGCGGACATACACGACCATTTCACCGTCAAGACAGACCTGCGCGTGCAGATGCAACTTAGAAGCATCACTAATGCTTTGCAGCCGTGTGCACAGCCTACCCCGCTCCTGCGGTAGGTACTGAGCTCCAACTCCACCTCTAAAGCTCTAAACCCGAGGTCGATAGCTAGCTTCATCAGCCATGTAGTGCGGGCATTATACGTCTAGACATATCCCATCGCACGCTTGTTCACTCAGTAATCTACAATATACAGACTTCTCTCGCAGTAACGAGCAGCGTAGCCAGCAGGCAAGTAGATCTTTGGAGTGTCTTCAAGATGGTCATTCATTCAGAACCCAAGTCCCTGTATGCCACTCAAGGTAACGATGCAGACGAAAACATCAGGATCCGCGATCAGCTTGCACCTGAGACAGATGAGCATGGCTACAAGATCAACGAGCAGCCCATGGGTACAAAGAGGAAAGTCAAAGTTATTCTGATGGGTGCTGGAGCATCGACGCTGAACTTTTTCAAAAAGGCCGAGGAGGAGATGGAGAATCTGGAGATGGTCTGCTACGAGAAAAACCACGACATTGGTGGAACTTGGCTGGAGAATCGATACCCTGGGTGTGCCTGCGACATCCCCTCAGTCAACTACCAGTTCTCTTGGAAAATCAAGCTGTGGTCGCACTACTATTCATACGCGCCCGAGATATGGGAGTACCTCAAATCTATCGAACGAGAAAATGACTTCATCCAGAAGTATATCAGAGTACGACACCAAATTGAACATGTCGAGTGGGACAGCGGAGCAGGGCTATGGCGACTCCAAGTCCGTAATCTGATTACCGGCGAGGTTTTTGACGACAGCGCGGAGTTCTTCATCAATGCAGGTGGAGTCCTAAATAACTGGAAGTGGCCAGACATCCCTGGCTTGAAAACCTTCAAAGGCAAGCTGATGCACTCTGCGCACTACGAGGAGGGCTACAATCTTACCAACAAACGAGTGGCGGTGATAGGAGCCGGCAGCTCGGGCGTACAAATTGTTGCGTCGATCCAACGCAAAGTCGAGCATCTGTATCACTGGGTGCGTTCGCCGATCTGGATAACAGCCGGCTTCGCACAGACGTGGGCTGGCAAGAACGGCGCGAATTTCCGTTGTAGGTGTCAACACGAAGCAGTCAAGTCTCAGCTGACTCCCACCAGACAGTAAAGAGCAGTTGAAGTTCCTCCAAGACAACCCAAAGAAGTACCTCGAGTACCGCAAACAAATCGAGAACGAGCTTAATCAGCGATTCAAGTTCATCATGAAGGGCAGTGAAGAAGCTCGAGTCGCGCGGGACTACGCCGACAAAGAGATGCGGATGAAACTCAACAACAACCCGCGCCTCGTCGACAAAATGGTCCCCAAGAACTTCAACCCGGGCTGTCGCCGCCCCACCCCTGCTCCCGGATACCTCGAGGCCCTTGTATCAGACAACACAACCACCTTCACCGACCCCATCGCCTCCATCACCTCAACCGGCTTCACTGACTCCAACGGCGTCGCCCACGACGTCGACGTCATCATCTGCGCCACTGGATTCGACACCTCCTGGCTGCCGCGCTTCCCCTTCATCGCGCACGGCACTGACCTGCGCACCCTGTGGGGCGGCGCAGCGGGCGTGACCTCGTACCTCAGCGTCGGCATCCCGGGGTTCCCCAACACGTTCTCGTTCTGCGGCCCCTACGGACCGTTGGGACACGGCTCCTTCATGCCGCTAATCGAGCAGTGGACGCGCTACATGTTCGCGTGCATCACGAAGTGCCAGGTCGAAGACATCAAGTCGCTGGCGCCGAAGACGCAGCCCGCAGCACAGTTCAGGCAGCACGCGGATCTGTTTCTGCAGCGTACGGCGTGGACAAGTCCGTGCCGTAGTTGGTTCAAGCAGGGCAGGGTGGATGGGCAGGCGGCGGTTTGGCCGGGGAGTCGGTTGCACTTTCTGAAGATGATGGAGCGGCCGCGGTTTGAGGACTATGAGATTGAGTACAGGAGTGAGAATATGTTTGCGTTTTTGGGGAATGGGTTTGAGGTGAGGGAGTTTGATGGGAGAGATATTACGAATTATCTCGGGTGTCTCGATGATGATGGGAGGGATGTGCAGCCAGATTATGATAAGGGGTTGCTTGATGTGCTAGGAGGCTTTACGTTGGATGAGAGTTATGAGGTGAAGGGAGGGTAGGCGCAGGATACAGCGCTGGAAAATCTCGTTGCCTTGGTTGAAGTTGCAGTTGCGAAGTCGCAAATCGATGTGGTATATTGTTCGAGTTGCGAGGGTGCATTGTTGTAGCCATCATAATACCTAAAGCCAGAAGTTAGTAAAGAGCTACCTAGATTGTAGGTCAAAAAGTAGTCTATGGAATTTTTTAGTATTTTCTCTACTTTACTGTCGTGTGGCTCACATCCTCAGTCTGCCGTTTATTCTGCAACGTAAGAGAGCGCGTAGGCTCATTGGCACCGTCTCAGCCGCGACCTCCAGACTCGCAGCTTCGTACTACCCATGTGCCGACTTACCTTTGTCCTATGTTGCAGCGATCTCGTGTCACGTAGTTATGCAAGGGTCCTGAGAAGACCAGCTGGCGCAGCTCATTCCACTTGATCAGCGGCGAATCAAGGGCCACTGTTGCCTGATATAAGCGGCGCAGCTGTGAATCAAACTCATGTCGAGTAGTTCCAGGCCGGTTGTGTTGCTCTGCTGGTTGCAAGTTGGAGAAGACGGAGTCTACGGGTAGATGTTCGTTGGAAGCGTATTGCCAGCGTGGGAGGTGCTCGTCGTTGGAAGTTTGCATCGACAAGTTTGGCCGGAGGGTAGGAGCGAGTTCGATCTGTTTCGTTGCGGTGTATCGCTGCTGACTGATTGCTTTGCATATTTGGTCCTCACGGCGTACCTATTCTCTATGTTGTACCTCGAGATGACCCATGTTGTAACAGCAGCATCCCGTTGTCTTATGCGATCTTTTGTTGCCTACAGGTTCAGGGTCATTCCTGAGATTGCCATCGATATCCTCTGTGCATATAGAGCTCTTTAGTATGTAGATCGAGTATCCGAGCAGGCGTGTTCGAGGTAACATGTGTATTCGAAGATCAGATCTTAGGTGCACGGTCTGCTACTGAAGCTTTTTGTTCCACTCTGGAGGAGTTGTGAATACTTAAAATTCTCGAATATACACGCGCAGTTTCCGGAGGAAGACGTTATATTTCTCTTCCGTTTCGGGATCAGTCAGCTGAGCATTGCGAGAGTGCCATGCCGATTTGAGACAATGTGAGGCCTGGATGACCTGGAGGCCACCTCGATCTATGCAGCCTCATGCAGTCGCACCGAGACGACCAGGGCACAAGAACCTAGAACCTGGGCCACTGTGCGTGATCTCCCGTATAAGTCCACGGTCATGCCAGTCCTTCCTTGGATACCTCTCCGCCGACAGCCAAGCAGATAACTGCAAAGACAATCATTCGGCTCGCTGTGCCGCTAGCCTCTTTCTAATGCTGGCGCCAGCGGCGTATGCAGGCGGAAGCAGTTGGTGGCTGTCTCCCATGTAGAAGCCTTCGATAGGCATTCCGTAAAGATTCTGCCAACTAAGCTCACTCGGGCAGAATCTAAGAAAGTCAAGGAAAACCGCTACGATGCCAACCTTGTGATGTTTGCACTGAAAGGTAAAATAACGCATTGGCATTAGGTTCGAGTGCTTGCTCTTCAAATTTGGGATGTCATTTCCTCACGTACGGAAGCCGTATCGGAACCTGTCGGACGTTGATATCTCTGTGGGCACCTGCGGGGATGCTGGGGAGCGGAGCACGCGATGAACTCCCACGCACTCGGTTTTCTTCGATAGACCTTGCCCGCAAGTGTGGCAACGGGTTGCCATAAGGTGATTTGGTAAGTATTGGGAGGCGCCCTAGCCAACTGAAGGAAAGAGTGTCCGATGGCAGCCCGTGCCCTAGGCACGCTAAACTCAGGCAACATTGAAGCGGGGAAGCACCGCGGGAAGGTTCTCTCGTTGCACACGCACATCTCTTCGCATCGAGCGCATTCAGCCCAAATTCAGCCTGCAGCTCAAGGTGCACTGTGCACAGCCCCGGTGTGAAGGGTTTTCATGCCTAAGGCAAGCTTGACATCGTGGAATGCGCCACGAGTGATTGCTGTTGAACCTGTTATCAACCGCGCGGCGTCTATTACTCGCCTGAATCGCTTTTCGTCGGTCTCCACAGCCATTAAGTAGGGCCTTATCACACCGAGCGGGAGAATGAGGTAAGTGTCTGCTCTTGGCTCTTACTCCGCCATGCCTTCGCCAAGCAGCCTTAGACAAGGGCACAGAAAAGGCTTGCCTGCATTAGGTAGGTGATATGGCGCTCCACGAGCACACGCACAGGCTCAGTGAACATCGGACCTGGCGATTGGCGCTGTACAAGAGGGCTCCGGACCGTCAGCGCACTCCATGTGTGGTGAACCGTGAATCGGGCTCCGCACACCATCTTTACGCTGAGTAAAATATCCTCTTGGCCGTCTTGGGTTACCTTACCAGCTTGGTGGCGCGTCTTATAAGTCTTCCTGATAGCTTGTGTTATCAGCCAGTTCGTGGGACATACTTGTGCTCCCCCTCTCAGCCTCGTATATTTACCGGTCAGCCGTGCGACCTTAGGCTTGCAAGGCTTTTTCGCTGCCTCTTTTGCCTGCGTACATAGAAAGGACTCTCCCCACCGAAGTTCTTTCGCCTGCGCGTCGTGCTCTTGTGACCGCTTCCGCAAACGGTCCTCCACCTCGGTACAAAAGGTTTCCTTCAACACTCCAGAGGACTTGACATCGAGCACCATGGCGATATTCAACAGGAGCTCCAGCTCCTCGGCTGATAGCCCATCGAGAGACCCAGAAAAGTACGGGAAGACCGACTATGTCGCCGGCGCCACCGCTGCGCCCGTCGTGGACGAGAATGGTGTTACGGTACACGCTGATAACCATCACCTTCACCGTGGCCTCAAGTCTCGCCACATTACTATGATTGCCATCGGTGGTGCTATTGGAACTGGTCTCATCATTGGTACTGGAAAGGCGCTGGCTCAATCTGGGTAAGTTTGACGTCGCTCGAAGTTGCGAAATGCTAATTTGAATAGACCCGCATCTATTCTCATCGCTTACACGTCTGTTGGTTTCCTCGTCTACATCGTCATGACTGCTCTCGGTGAAATGGCTGCTTGGATTCCTCACGGCTCTGGATTTGCCGGTTACGCTACCCGCTTCTGTGACCCTGCTCTTGGTTTCGCTCTCGGTTGGACCTATTGGTTCAAGTACATCATTACTACGCCTAACCAACTGACTGCCTCCGCGTTGATTATACAAGAATGGATCACGGCGGAACGCATCAACCCCGGAATCTGGATCCTGATCTTCCTTGTCCTAATCGTCAGCATCAACTACTTTGGTATCAAGTTCTTCGGTGAACTTGAGTTCTGGCTTAGTTCGATCAAGGTTGTGGTCATTGTCGGTCTTATCATTCTTTCCTTCCTCTTGGCAGTCGGTGCCGGACCTGGCCCCGCGACTGGATTCAAGTACTACAAGAACCCGGGCGCCTTCAAACCGTACATCGCCAAAGGCGATGCGGGTAAATTCTACGGCTTCTGGGCTTCCCTGGTCAATGCTGTGTTCGCCTACCTTGGAACTGAGCTGATCGGTGTCACTGTTGGCGAGGCTCAGAACCCTCGCAAGGTAAATGATGCTCCGCTTGATAGCCCGATGTGAAAACTAACATGACTTAGACTATCCCAAGGGCCATCAAGTTGACTTTCTACCGAATTCTGTTCTTCTACTGCTTGTCTGTTTTCTTCCTGGGCATGCTTGTCCCGTACAACTCAGAAGACCTCGCTTTCGCGAACAAGCAGACCGCTAAAGCCTCCGCTTCTCCCTTCGTCCTCGCCATTAGACTTGCTGGTATCAAGGCGTTGCCTGATATCCTCAACGCATGTATCCTGATCTTCACCTTCAGCGCATCCAACTCGGATCTGTACATCGCCTCTCGTACTATCTATGGTCTCGCAGAGGAGGGTCACGCGCCCAAGATCTTCAAGTGGACCGACAAGCGTGGTGTCCCTGTCCCTGCCTTAGCAATCTCAGCACTTTTCTGCTGCACCGCCTTCATGAACGCTGCCAAAGACTCTAGGGTCGTTTTCGGCTACTTCGTCAACCTCACTACTATCTTCGGTCTACTGTCCTGGATATCGCTACTTGTTTCGCACATCTACTTTGTTCGTGCACGTCGTGCCCAGGGTATCACAAACGATCAGCTGGCTTACGTCGCTCCTCTCGGTCTCTGGGGTTCAATCATTGCACTGTTCTTCTGCTGCCTGATTGCCCTCACTAAGAACTTCAACGTCTTCACGCGCGGCACCTACGGTGACTTCGACAGCGTAAACTTCGTCACTGGTTACATCGTAAGTCTCAGCTACCGGCACTTAAATCAAAGGCTAATACAAGTAATAGGGCATTCCCGTCTATCTCTTCTGCATTTTCGGCTACAAGATCTTCATGAAGTCCAAGGGCGTAAAGCCGCACGAGGCTGATTTCTACTCGGGCAAGGATGAGATCGACAGAGAAGAGGAGGCCTTCCTGGCCCACCAGGCTGAGATTTTGGCTGCGAACGGAGGCAAGAAGCCGGGCAGCTGGTTCTACAGGACCTTCCTTTCGTGGCTGTTCTAAGCTGTCTCGAATTGATGTTCTGACGTCTGATGAGAGATACACTCGCTATGATGAATCGTGATCAAGTCTTGCGTGCGTACAACGCTTGACATGTTATGAGGGATAGATGATAATGCATACGATCTTCAAACACCACGTTTCTTCTCTCCCTGTGTGACATGTGTCGATCTTGAAAACTAGCCCACGTACCTAGCTTTGGCAAGAACGGTTCCCCATGGGGAAGCTGCAATCAATTACCTAACGAACGCAGAGTTGCAGACCCGGGAGGATCCGAGTTGTCTGTGCAAAATTTTTCTCCGCGCACGACACGCCCTGTGATCTCGTAACAGTTTCACGACCCCATGGGGTCAATCCGCCACTGTGCATCAGCGTCTTGGTGGTGGAGAGCGGGCGCTTGGAATTACGTGATAGTTGGTGGAGCACGAGCCGTGCAGAAAAAGTGAGAACCGCCATGATGCACGGACGGGGACGACAATCTAGAAATCTGGGGTGAGCGCGTCAGTTTCGTAATTGTACGTAAGTAGCGTAGCCAGACTATGACGGGACTAGACTGTGCTTTGCTCTGCATTTACTAATGTCACGTGCCAAGCATCACGATGTGGAGCGTCGCGCGGAGCGTTGGTACTCAAAACATCACTACATCGCGAACTTCATTTTGGCAGTGTTCAGATGCGGTCTCGATAACCTTCCGGTTAAGCTCAGAGCCTCAAGACGATGGATTCCTTGTCCCAAAGCCTAGTTGTCAAGCAAAGGCAAAGGCTTGGGTTGCGCTTGGGCGAGTGCCGTGATTGCCGGTGTTGCAGCGCAAGGCCAAGTTCGCGCATGCCTAGGAACACTCAGCTTTGTTACGATGGCATGAAGTGAAACGCGCAAGCAAGAGCTAGGACGAACATTAGACCTGGCAGTCGAATACTTTCTCTGTTCGAACCGCTGCACGCCATCAGATGGGCCTCCATGTGCCTTGCTGAAAGTCACATGTTCTCTTACCAGATCAGCAGGAGTGCCTTACGGGGTTTTCTCCTTAATTCGAAGCCTACAGTCCTTCTGTCTCCATTGCTTAAGTTGCGCACGCGCTGCACCTGCATCGAATATGCTACGAGTCCATCGGCTTGGAACTGGCCTGTAAGGCTAAGTCAGGGCCTTACATTTCGCACCCGAGCCGGCAAAATCTCAGGCTGTCCGCTTGCAACGAGTTGTGGCTTTTTCAGGGCTACTTGAGTGTTGTTTTCGACATCGAATGAGGCTCTTGCTTCCACAAAGAGGCACCTATGTAATGTCCGTAAGCATCGATGTGAAGAGAACGAGTATTCTCTCACGTCTCCTCTCAGCACGAAAGATCACATTACGCGACCCAGGAAGACGTCTGTGCTGTCAGTATGTTGGGTCGTATAGAACCAACAAGGTAGGACATATGATATTGAGACCTGGAGTTCCCATCCATACTCGATCAAGTGCGAAGTAACAGACACCCATCTTGCGCCGGACATTTTTCTGACCCGTTCAGTTAGCATATAAGTGAATAGATTATCCTTCTGTTTTTCTTTCAAAACAGTCATCTAATCCTTAGCAGGCGTCGACCGCGTTATAGACAACAGAAATTGCCATCGGTCTGTCAGGAAGGTGATACGAGCCAGACCGTCATAAGATAGCATTTGTACCATGTGGTCTCCCAGGCAGCTGACTACTAGCACAGATTTATATTGACGAACTGAGTTTCTCGATCGTGATAAGCGCACAGCACATGCGACCGACGTCGTAGAAGAAAGGTTATTTACTGGATGTTTGACGCTTCTAGTGTACAGTTCCAGTACCTGCATGTATGGCAGCATCGGCTTGCAGATTCCCCTGAGCATCCCATCAAGGACTGAGGGGAGTCTAGGTTTACATTGGCTTGATGGCCTCAGATGATCCAAACCAGTGTAGGCAGTAATTCCCAACATGTTTCTCTGAGGACAACCCGAGGTTAGTCGCTAAGAGGCCACTTATTCATGCGCCGTACGGGCGCCACTTATGAACAACTCAAGTGTTTGTCAGTAGAAACTACACTGGTACATTGAAGGACCAAATCTACGAGCTTATCACCGATTGTCAATTGGAGCAGGTGCAGATTTCTCCAACAATTGAGTCGACGTTTAGTATCCATTTATCACGATGAGTAATCGACCCACAGTCTCTGGGGCTTAGTGTGAAGACTATTGCGTGTCTTGATACTTACTACCTCCAGGCACCGTCTCCAAAATTGAGCTCGAGCCTCGCTGCAGTATCAATGCCAAAATGTGAGTGATCACCCCCGGGGGTTCAACGAGGGAAGAGTCTCGGGTTGAGAGAACGGCATCAGGCATTGGGGCTCCCAAGTGCTCTACGCAGTCCAGCGTCGACCAACCCCCGGTATCACTATCGATATCTGTTCCGCATGGGTCGTACGGATCACGAAGTGTGGTATCCCACGAACCTCCTAGGGGCTTTTCAGTCGATCAAGTGGACGTTTTGTCCAGGGAAAGTGAACCCAGGAGGATGAGCGGCGCGGATCAGAAGACAAGACAATGCTTCCAGGGCGGGATGGTGAGGTGTGCGAACATATAGGCCAGCTTCCAGCTGTCATGGTGTCCCAATGGAGCCCTGATCAAGCCCGGACAAAACAGCTCGAGGGCAAGGCACCACAAAACACGTGCCATCAGCCCTGTACCCATCTCAACAATGCCCTGCCGTATGTACGGCCACCAACAGCCGCAGATCGGCAAGACGCCCATCTCACTCCCAGCGCACAGTCATCATGCATTGCGAATCAGGCTGGGCGTCCCGAATAGGTCATTGCTCACCACGAACTTATCGCGACGTCAAAGCGCCTCGCATCATGCAAAAGTTTACTGGAGTCTAAGTATGCAGTCGATATCGTATTGGGCATATGCTGGTCTGCAGTATTCAATGCTTTGTTGCAATATTGCCTGAACGAGCAGTGGGAAGAATCCCATGTTGTTGGATCTGGCCGGCGGGGCCGAACATGGCGATTATCCTTGACGCCACGATGTCGCACAACGGCGCTCTGCTGCTCGTTTAAATAAATATGTAAGCCATGCACTAAACGCTGAGACTGATGTTTAATTAAAGTTTTGTTGTCTTTCATATGTATGCTGCTCATTTGGGGTTCGAACTGAAGTGGCCGAGATGCGGGCAAAACGTCGCCGAGGCAAGAGGACAGTTTCTCTGCGGGGAAATCAGGAGAAAATTTCTGCAGGATCCCGAGTCCAAAGCAGACACAAAGTGCACGACAACCGTGAGCGCGTGTGTGCGTGTCTTTCTTTTTTGAACTGGGATATATGTTTTGTTTTTGTTCAATTGTTCATCAAATCATCTGATAGGTTCGATGGTGTAGTTGGTTATCACGTCAGTCTAACATTCACCTGTTAGATCCACTGAAGGTCTCCAGTTCAAGTCTGGGTCGAATCATTTTTTGCGCCTGCAGCAGCTTTGGCCAGAGCTTCACTGAGGATGTCGCAAACTTTTTGCTATCTTGCTGCCATCTCATCGACCAGTTATTGGTAGGAAGACTAGAGACTTTAGTCCGAGAGCATGGACTACAGCCGTGAAGGAAAAAGTCGGGGCGGTCCTCACTTTACTGCCAAACTTGGATGTATTCATGATTGAACTGCGTTGCGTTTTGGAGAAGAGGTGACAAGCTTGGTCAAAGACAAAGGGTGGGTAGAGAAGTTGATTCATAGGTATAGACAGCTGGTGACTCTACCTGGGCCATTCCGCCCCTCGAACTGAGTTTCGTTGCGGAAACCAAGACATATCATTCCCCACCGCTAAAGTGCGTATCTGAAATGCTTCGCCTGCATATCCGTCTGATCCTTGAATCCGTCTTGAATAGCCTGCTCATCCTCGCCCGCGCCATACTTCTTATCCCTCCTCTTGTTCTCCCACCACATGTACTGCCTCAAGGCGATTGCAATAACAAACATGCCGCAGTAGCACACGATCAATCCTGTGAGCGCCGAAAAGTACCTCGGAGCTTCGCGGGCAAAGAAGAGGTTCGCTCCGGCGATGTTGCCTGCGGCGTAGAACACGAACCACAGTCCGTTCGCGGTGCTACGCTTGGTGTGGCCTGCAATGTTGCTCGTGAGCAGATTCCAGGAGAGGATCACAGGCGCGCCGATGATGTACTGCAGCCATGTGCAGCCCACGAGGCTCCAACGCTCGCTCAGAGGTGTAAGTCGGATGCCGAGAAGGCCACCGAGGGGAGGCAGACAAATAAAGGCGAGGATCAGGCAGCGCGTGTCCTTGAAGTATCCCGCCGCCAGTCCGCAAATAGGCACGACCACGAACTCGATCGCGCCGGTGGGAAGCTGAAGCAGCGTGGCGTAGATGCCGCTGAATCCAAAGCCGCGGATCAGAGAGGACGCGAAGTTCGACACGCCGCCGTTTACGACACCGCAGCCCAGCCCGATGAGCATCAGACAGTGAACCTTGACATCCAGCAGCGCCTCCCACGCCTGGCTTTTCTGAAACTGCTTGGTCTTGACGCCGATCATGTTGCCCGCGATGCGATCAATAGCCACGATGCGCTGCTTATGCGTCAAGAACTTCGCTGTTGCGGGACTGTCCGGCATAACCCACAGGAACACCCATGCCCAGACGAAGTTCACGAGGCCTATGACTAGGAAAATGAGCTGCCAGGTTTTGATCAGCGGGCTGTGTGCGTGGCCCAGCCCGTAGCCGAGAAGTGCGCCGACCATGGTGGCAACGCCGTTGAAGGCGAGGAAGATGCACATCCGCAGGGGCTGCTCGGAGCGCGTGTAGAACATGGAGACGATGTTCATGATGGCGGGCGAGATGGAGGCTTCGAACATGCCGAGGAGGAAGCGGAGGGCGAGAATGCCGGCGTAGTTCTTCGCTGCGACGTGGCAGCAGAGGAGAATTGACCACGTGAGAATCATGGTGCCAGTGTACTTCGAGACGGGCAGGCGCTGGATGAGGTAGTTTGCTGGGAGCGCCCAGAACAGGTATCCAAAGTTGAAGATGGCTGCTACCCAGGAATATCGTTGGCCCTCAAGACCAAGATCTGGTATGAGCGTGTACGCGGAGGCATAGTTTAGGGACAGTTTGTCGAGGAACTGGATGGTGTAGGTCATGCAGATCTGAAGATAGTCAGACAACATCACACGACATGTAAGGAATGTGAGCTTACCATGGGCATGATGACCCAGTCAATCTTGCGCAGCACGATCTTCCTTTCTTCGTCTAGTTCTTCTCTTGTGTATTGTCTGACTTCCATATACAGTTCTGCTCCAATATCGCGCATCTGCTTTTCAGCGGCCATTTGACCTTCATCTATGCTGGGCGCTGTCGCGACCGGCGAGATGCCATCTTTCTTCTCTTCTGACATATCGACGTGTTTTGATATTTTGATCTTGGTGAAGTCTATCGTAAGTATCAAACTTGGACGTTGCCGAGAGACAGCATGGATGTTGGTTCCGAAGTTGTCGTGTAGTTACACCAAGTGACGTCTGCGTACAACGCTGCATCGCGGGATCTATTCTTTCTTATACTGAACTTACAAACCTGCCCACTCTTGGCACGTTGTATCTACAGTCCTGCATACCGCAATCATCGTATCATATTGTGGTGCTTATCGCCGCCTGCCAAGCTTGGCCTATCATTACCGCATACTGGCGTAGCACCATGCAGTTGAGGTTTGTCGATCCTCCGGAACGTCGAATTCGGTAATACCCGGCTGTACACTCCCTGGTTGGCGTAGCGGGCGTGTACTTGACGATACCCTGTAGCCGCAATCTTGAGCTTGATTGTCTTGCTTTATCTTCATAATCGAGTCCTGCCATAGTCATCAGAGTGCACGTGCGCCCAATCGCAGTTGCTTAAAGTTGAATCCAGAGCGATTTATGCGTATGAGTGTTTGTATTGGGTATTGTGATTCTACGACTGCATCTCCAATCCTATGCAAGTACACAGATCCACGGGTATAGCTGTGAACGTGTTGCCCCATGCATCATCGCCAGAGCCCGTATGCGCCTGTCGTGTTCTTCCACAGCTTAACAGTGCCATCTTCGCTGCCTGTCGCGTACAACTTGCCATCAGGCGAAAAGCTCGCTGACCAGACTGGGCCGTGGTGCCCCTTGTTGGTCTCCAATTCTTTCTCCTCATCGAAATCCCATAGCCTAACCCATGTGTCATTCTGGTTGCTACCACCAGTAATGAACCTGCGCGCGCCACTGTGCAGCGCTACGCTTGCAATCTCGTAGTGTGTCTTGATAGTCTTGATCAAAGACCCTGGCTGGAGGCTATTGAAGAAGTAGACGCTGTTTCCAGCAGCTACGCTCAGTATGCCGTCCGGAGAGGTGTTATCCAACTCGCAGGTGCCTACTACGCCCTCAACAGCGTGCTCGCCAATCAGCGACTGTGTTCGCAGGTCCCACCACCTTATTTTCTTGTCCTCCGCAGCCGTGATCAAGATATTGGGGTCTGAAGTCCAGACAATCGACTTGATGGTTCCGGTGTGTATGCCTGCGCCAATCTCGTAGCTCGGCGCTGCATCACCACCCTGTGACAGGTCGAAGATGCGCAGCTTCTTCTCCATGCCACCAGTGGCAAGAATCTGCGGGTTCGGTTGGTTGGGGAATGCGACAGCGCGGACGATGTGGTTGTGCGAAAGAGTGTGGAGCGCTTCGCCAGTATGTGTGTCCCATACTTTGCTAGTAAGAAGTCAGACGAGTATCCAGCCAACTGGCGCGCACATGAACATACGCAGAAAAGTCAGCGGAGGCGGTGGCGGCAAGCGAAGCATCTGCCGAAAGCCTTGCTTGCCAGACGGCACCTTTATGACCCAGGAAGGTTCCAATCCAGTCGCCGGTCACGCCGTCGCGCAGCATAGGGTTGCCATCTTTGCATGCCGAAATGATGTAGAATTGGTCCTCGTCGACGATAGAGGAGAAATGTATGTGGGGCACGGGTCGAGAATGCCCGTGGCAGGTGAGGGGTACGACTTTGGTGGTCTCTGGCATGTTTACAAGTAATCAAGTAAGGAATGTCGGTCGCAGAATCAGGAAGAAGTCGGAGTTTGCTGTGGAGAGCGGCGGACAGTTCGCAGGCAAGTCTTGCGGGCGGTGAGACTAGGAAGGAGGGCGTGTGATCTATCGAAGGAAATCGTGGGTTTGCGCCGGCGGGGTACGGGAGCTGCCACGATGCGACAGGAGCGAGTCGAGCGAGACAAGGACAGGGCGATGGATATTGAAGCAGACGCGAGAGTCGTTACGGTTCGTGAAGTTGTGAAAGCGATTTCCGCTACAAGATGCACGTCGTGGACCCTTCGAGGTGAAACGCCCTGCGCTGCATTAGCGCGTTCAAGCCACCTTACACTTGACACGCTCATCTCCACAAGTCCATAGCATGCAGGTGTGAAACTGATATCACTGATTTTCTTTCTTAATGACCTGCCTGAGGTTCTGCTAAATGTCTATCGGTGTAATAGTAGCCAGGGTTTTGGCGGACGCGTCAAGTACCAAGAGGCTCGACGATCAGCGGCACACTCACATCCCAGCACGAAACAAGTATACGGGCCGCCGAGTCAGAAGTCACATAGAAGGTTCAACGTTGTCCAAACAAATCCACCGCTCCCCTCTCACATGACCTGCAACTATCATTAGCGACCTGTATGTCGTCAGCCGTACATCACACACATCACTGATGATCAAATTTGAATAACATGGCTTGATATCGTGATATTGTTTCTCCAACATTACCCTCGAGATCCACCATACACTACCCTCACCCGCTCCACCCCTCAATGCCGACCGTCCACACGGCGTGAACCTGCAGCACACACCGACCATACGCATAGAAAGAAGTTTAATCGTTGCCATAATCGTTGCAACGTTCAGAGAAAGCAAAGATATAACGCCAGTCCCCAGTTCGCGCATTCCCAGCTGCGAAGGTATCCTTGGGGGATGCTGTATGCAACGCAGAACTCCTGAAACCCACATCAGGAAATACATTCCAGCTCCAAAAGAAGTCTGGCCGTGAGCTCGTAAAAAGATGCGACTCCGAAAGGCAGTCGTCGAAGCAGCATGATGATGATGCTTTTGCACATTAAGCCCGAACACCGAGGGAAAGAAATACAAAGGAAATACAGGCGGCACAGTACTGGTCGAGGTGTACTATACAGCAAGATTTCGACAGGTTGTTGCAGATCAGCGTAACCAAGAAAGAGTGCCAAAACCGATGTGAAGCTGGGAGGCAGCGAACAACGCAAGCGATGGCTATCGACAGAAGACAGAGTTCAGCTCATGTCCATCATATCGGCGTCGGCGTCGGCGTCGTCGAACGCATATGTGGCCAGCACGTCCTCGCCGGGTCCGAAGTTGCCCTCGTACACAGTGGCTCCTGCTCGTCGCCTCTGATCGACCCATTGGCAACCAAAGCACAGCAGGACCTGCTCAGCCGTGGGTCGCTGGTCAGGGTCAGGGTGCAGCATGGCCTTGACGACCTGGTCCATAGTGTTGGGATCCATGTAGTCGACCATGAACTTAGGAGCGCGGGCAAGCTCCTCCTCTGGACTCGAGGCTGTCCGTACTTGGACAGTGGGATGAGGCTCGTCCGACATGAGGAAAGTGTCTAGAGAGTTCTCGAGAATCGGGTCGCCGTTACCATCACGGCTCAAGGTGCTGCTGTCGGCGCTCCAAGTCAAACTAGGAAGAACGTGATCGAACTCCCCAGACCGAAGCTTCGTCCAGTAAGTGCCATTCTCCGGAATGACACAGTTACCGGCGATTTCAGTCAGCATCATGCCGAGGGCGAACACGTCCGCAGGCTTGTCAAAGCGACCGCAAAGAGCCTCTGGCGCAAGGTAATGGCGATCACCCTCGCCATCGATGCCCTTCGGTGCGGGCCAAGAGCTAGCCAGGCCAAAGTCAGCGATCTTCAGCGAGCCCCCAAAGTCGATGAGGATATTGGCCGGCTTTAGGTCGAGGTGGATGTATCCCGAGTTGTGGATGAAGGTGAGTCCCTGTCATGATTGTCAGAAGAGGCTCGACAAATACCTGAAGTTGGCTTACCTGTGACAATTCCAGCAGAATCTTCCAGATGCGGAAATCATCGAGACGACTGCTGTACCCGACAGTGTCGAGGAAGCGACGCAGGTTGCCACCCTCGCAGTACTCGGTTTGGATGTATAGGTGAGAGTTGGCCTCCCAGTGATCGTTGACTTGTAAGACGTGTTCGTTGCCACGAAGTGCATATAGAGTCTCGACCTCGCGCATCTTGCGCTCGCGGTCACCCTTACCCAAGTATGGCTTCTTGGACTTCTTGACAACCCACACTTGGCTCCCAGCTGGAGAGTTCGGTGTGGAACCCTGCACCGGCTGGCTGACACGGTAAACTTTCGAGAACTCGCCCTCACTACCATCAAGCTCTTTGACTTCATGGAAGCGCGAACTAATGGCCTCATCGACGTCGTTCTTGGTCAGACCAATGGGGATGGCACCCTTGTTCTCAGCGAAGAACACAGAGTGGTCTCGCGGCGTGGTTGGTGTGGCAGGAGGGAAAGTGCTAACGCTGCTGTTGAAGTTCAGTGAACCACGTCGGTTACCAGCAAGCGACAGCCGGTTCTGCTCAGGTTGGAAAGATGAGTCCATGCCTGGAGATGCAGGCGCAGGCGATGAAGATCCAAACGAGATGATTGAGGCTGGAGATTGGTCAGTATTGGTAGCATTGACAAGGGGCTAAGAGCTGTACGAAGTATCGGTTGCGAGAGCGGTGACGGACGACCCAACATTTTGGTGTGTCGTAAGTACCGTCCACGAGCAAGAGAAGCTTGTACAGAAGGGGAGGCGCAGTGCACCGACTCGAGATCCTCACGGGGTGATCGAGTGGTGTCGTCACGCGATCCTGGTAAGGAGGTGTTCGTTTGAGACTTACCGTTGAAATCGTTCATGGTGTCAGGTGCTGCGAACGTATCATTGCTAATACTTGGTCGCGAGCGGAAGGTCTTGCGTCTCAAGCTGCTTTCCTTGGAGCGGCGACTGGACGCACCATGTCCCTTAGTAGGAGTCGGTGGCATATCGTCAACAGTCGTATCGTTGTCGGTCATAGTGTCGACCATAGTGCGGTTGGCGGTCGGCGACTGGCTGTCAGGGAGATCATCATCGCCATCTACGCTGACGATGCTTCCTCGGCGCTGATGCAACTCGCTCATGTTGCCAAAGATGCTTGTGCCCTTACCAAACGACTCGGTGGAGAGCTTCGACACATGTGCGCTGAAGGGTGTGCTGGTAGTGCCAAACTGGGGTTGAGGCCGGTTCCAGTCACCGAACAGACTTCCACCTCGCTTGACAAGAGGGGTGTCAATGACATCAGCCCTGTCTGCTTGCGCCGGAGGATACGACTGCCTCTTGGAGGGCGTATCAGGCATGACATAGACGTTGGCAGGCTCGTCCGCATTGCGATTCTTCTTGGACATGAGACCCGTGGAGAAGGCAACTGGTGCTTGTTGCACGGACTTGAATGGTGTGTCAAACGAGTCATCGTCTCCCTCTAGTGCGTGTGGGCGCGGTACGCCGATTGGTAGCGATCGTGAAAATTGATGACTCTGGTTTTGTCGACTGGGTGGAGCTGCAAAGTGGGGTGCGCGTGGTGGTGCCATAGGAGTGAATCCACCGACAGTTGATGTGGTTGAAGAGGGAGTGTGCGCATAAGACAGCGGGTGTGGCTGCGTTGCGCCGGCAGTGCTTCGGGCGAAGGGTGTGGGCAAGCCCATGCGCCCTGCATCAAAGTTCGATTTGCGGAAAGGGGTCTGTGTAGGGGTTGTGCTTTGCCCGACGGCGCCGTCGAGCGACATTCGGTTTTTCGACTTGGAAGCCGCGAGGCCAGGCACTGCAAAGTCGCCGTCGAAAGCCGGCTTTGGTCGCGGCGAGTTCGCGTTTCGTTGCATCACTGTAGATTTCCTCAGTGATGTAGCTCTCCGCACGGGTGACTGCGAATTGCTCATGGGTGTCGAGAAATCAAATTCAGTCATGTTCTCCTCGGTCTCCATGGGCGACTGCACTGCGTGGACATTCTCGCGCTTCGCCACCTGGTCGAATATACTCTCGAAATCGTTTCCAAGGTTGGACACGCTCTGCAGACTTCTCCTCTTCGCAACGGGACTGAAACCAGTTGGTGTCCCGCTCAAGTTCATGACACCGTCGTTGCGCTTGAGAGGGCTTGACTTGACCGGCGCACCAGGTGAGAGATCCGGACGTCGTTGCGCAAATTCAAACTTGATCGGCTTATCGTTTAGACCAAACTTCCTGCAGTCAGTATCCATGCTCTCAATGGATTCCGAGCTGGAGGGGCGCGCAGGTGTGTCGTTTTCTTGGCCAAAGGCGATGCGGGTATAGAACGGTGTTGTCGAGTTTCCTCCTGTTGGCGAGTCGCTCAGAGCGTTGCGACGCGGGCTTTTCGAGTTCTGTCGCGTGCGCGGTGACGCTTTAAAGTTGGCTGTTGATCGTCGCAGGGTAAATTTTTTCTTAGGTGGCACGACCTGTCCCAGAGGCGACTCAGGGAAGGTCTTGTTAGGACTTGTAGGCTTGTGCGCCTTGGGGCTGAAGGCGCGCGCAAGCGCTAGTGGTGAGACGGGTGAGCGCGGCGAGTCCGATTTGTGCAGCTGGAAGCGCGAAGGTTTTGAGGGCGAGCGCGAGAGAGAACGGCGCAGCTGCTGCAGGTGGGCGAAGTGTGTGCCGTCCAGGCGGTAGGTAGGTGAAGGCAGGTCCAGGTGCATGGTGCCGCCCTCGCGGTGCGGCGAGTAGGAGGCGAAGGCCATGGCGGGATCGAGCGGCGGAACCGGCGGCAGAGTCCTAGGGATAAGAGGTGAGAGTGAAGGAGTGGCTGGCGGAGTCGTGGGCGGCGCCGTGGTGGGCGAGCGGGGTGGCTGGTCCTCGCGTGGTGTTGTCAGACGCGCTGGAGTCAGCGTGCAGCGTGGCAGGATGGATGAGGCCAGCGCTCAATCGATAACGATAGCGCACAGTACGCAGCGCGTTTGGAGTCTGGTGCAGGGCGGCGCACTGTTGGAAGAATGCAGTACAAGGAATGCGCGCGACAGCGGCGCACCTGTCGTTCGAGCTACACGTCGCAACCAAGAGTTCCCCCTCAGCGAACAACGACCGAGTGCAGGTGCTCACACGCCATGCAAGGCCTGTCGCAGGTCTTCAGAGGACGACAAGGGCCGCGCGACACTACTAAGGCGAACGTAGGTAGACGTGTGTCGAAGATTGATTCGTTGTTTTGATCTGCAGGCGCGACCAGTGTGGAGTTGGACGCGACTTGTAGGCGATGACGATGACGGAACCGCAGTAGTCGGAGCGTGGGCGAGGGCGATGTCGATGAAAAGACCCTTACAGCGCTCTTGCGATCGGAATCGACGGACGGGGCTGGTATATGGGAGAGGCGCGTTCGTGCGAAACGAGAGCGGTGCAGGTGGCTGGCAGCAGAAGGTGGGTCTGTGGCCCGAGCGCACCATGTCAGTGCAGCCCGCCGTTGGGTTGTTGTTATTGAGTCTCGCTAGCCAATCGATGCAGGAATACCAGGCACAAGATGAAGCAGCGCGCCAGAATAACGGAGTAAAAGTTGATTCATATGCACGAGAAATGCATGAACTGCGTTCGGTGTCCGCATGCAGCTTTCCACGTTCGCCGGGGTGCTTGCATGGGGAAAGGGGAAACTGCGGCGTGTTGATGTTGACTGTTTTGCTGTAAACAAAGCAGGCGCCACTCGTCACAACGCTGATCCATCCTGGCGCTCGCTAGGCATTAGCATCACCGGGATACCCCCTTAACCATCGCAGCCCCATTTACAGCCCACGCGAGACCCAAATGAAGCAATCTCTTGTGCATTCATGCAATAGGGGCCATGCGGCAGCGGCCCGAGCAAAGCGAACAGGCAGAGGGACCGAGAGGACGTCGATGTGCTTAGTTCTCCACATTATGATTGTCGATGCAGCATCTGCCGGGCCTTTGAGCGGCCTCTCCAACCCACTGCTTCCGTGGTCTGCCGCCAAGTTCCAGGCAACTACACTTGTCCACCGTTTGCCTGGGGTGCCGTGGACTCGAAAGCCACGTTCATCATGGACGGCGGCATGAACGGGTGGTGACTGTGTGTGACCTCAACGCCTCCACAGCCGCCGCCTCGGACACAAAATAGAATATGCTGTGTCGCCTCATGCTGTGTTCAGCGTCTCTCTGTGGGCGACTCGCCGGCAAGCAATGCTTTTCGTCGTTCGCGGCTATGTTCATTGTCGCATTCCTCCGTCTTCAAGCAGATGAAGCAATCCCCGGCATAGCATTCCGATGCCCAAGAACACCGTCATAGATATTCCCCCGGCACAGTCGGATGAGCTGCGTGCAACCGTCAGAGGCGGCTTAAGTGCTGCGCTGGACTGCGCTGGACTCAGTGTTGCGCTCATCATCAGCAACCCGCTCTCGATGACCCTCGCCCTCATCGATGGCCCTAAGGGTCCATAGACATAGACACGGCCGTCAGACCTGTGATGACGTTGTTGCAGGTACTACTGTAAGCGACAGAACATCAGACCTCCAGATGCGATCTACGCAGCCGCCTGTGTGACGCGTTGTTTGTGTTTGTCAACATCAACAAATGCATCCCTCGAACATAACAAGCCTGCAGCCGCTGCGCAGTCTCGACCCTGCAACTCAAACGTTGCGCTCTGTAACACAAAGTTTGACGCTCGACATTCAGCATGTTTCGGAACATTAGTGGACCACGCAAATTCAGCCTTAGCCGCTGAGTGCGATGCGTTGGTTGGGATCGTCATGCAGCACGCTTCGGCATGGAGAAACGTCTCAAAGCAAATGACAGCTGCCAGCAGCCACATGCAAGGCACTAGTTCCGAGCGCATTGGGTCTGGCTCAGGCACGAACTGCGATCTGCATGTCGCATGCGTCTTCGTGGGCCGGCAACTCGGCCGCAGCATTGTTTTCGCGCCACGCAGGAGTCGGTCAAGCCAAATATTCAAAGATAGACGCATGAGCGCTTCAGTTGGAAAAAACTCGCAAGTGGAGTGCGCGCTGTGTGAGTTCCCCGGACAACAGGAACTCATAGGAAGCGGTGTATGATCTCCCCAAAGAGCGGTATCCCAGTGTGGAAGGTTCGGTGGGCCCCGAGTCAAGACGTGCATTCAAGGCATCGCCCTGTTTACAGCAGATCCACCATACACGTGTTGGTTGACTACCCAGCTGGTCAAGGTGTGCTTGTCACTCCACTCGTTCTTTGGGAGTCCATAGTGCTTCGAAAATTGGGATGTGCAGTGAATGACGATTGGGATGTCACAGAGTCTGGTACATCAGGGTCGTGGACCCTGAAACTGTGGCAATGCATATGAAGCCGACAAGCACCTCCCTATTCTTCTAACGGCTTCTCTGGTTCTTCTATTCGTTGCTATGGTATTGCATGCAATCACGGCGAAGGCGACCCAAGGGTCCACGTAATGCCTGAAGGCGGCGAAATGGTGGAATTAGCACCCAAACTTGAAGCCATCTAGCATGTGCATCCTGACTCCCCCATAGTGATGTGTTGTAAAGGATCGTCGATTTGGGTGAGTGCTGTGCAGCGTACTCACGGTATCCAGGTCCAAATATGGTAGACTATCTAAGTGGGGGTAACAGCATTGACACACCCGTGACAGGTGCTCGAAATGTCTGCGCGCGAATCTCGCGGTTGATTCGCGTCATGAAACATACTTCGCAAACGCGACCACTACACGTAGAATTGTAGACAGGCAAAATGGCTGGGAATCCAGTTGTCGATCCGACTAAACCCCGGTTGCCAGGAGGACGTCCTGCCTGCCCTCCGGATAGCCGAGGTGACGTGTAATGGGCAGCAATGGCGGTCAATGACAGGGCATCAACGTACAATTCGACAAGGCGACGCCGATGACTTACTCAACGCCGTGGTAGCGATAAACGACTGATTCACTGCAATGTCTCGATTGCTCTTGGGGATGGGCTATGCGAGATGCGGAATTGGGCTGCGCCGCCTGCGACCTAAGCTCTTTTTGCTTAGTGGTGTTAGTTCTCCATCTCCGCACCGCATCGCAAAGGTCGTTCGACAAACATGGTAAATTCGCTTCTAGATTCTCAGCATGGGAAAGATCAGATGGTGAACTATGCGCCTCGTGGCTTCTTCCCAGCCATCTTCAACATGGCCTCGCAGTCCTGGATGCCCGCAAGCTGGCCTGCCTTCACACGCTTGATGGTGAGTGCAGCGATCAGGGCAGCACCAACACCGGAGCCATCCTCGGCGGGGAGGATCTCGATGGGGTCGTTCTTCCCCTTGCCGTACTTAGCAGGCCAGTCCAAGATCTCCTTGAGGGCTTGTGCGTTGCGGATCTTGAAATGGGGGTACTTGGTGAAGACGGAACCGTCAGCACCAACGTGGGTCTGATCCCAGTTCTTGTGCTTGCAGATAGCCGCAACACCGCACGCAGTCAGACGAGCGGCACGGGTACCGATGAGCTCAGCAAGACGGCGGATAAGCTCGAGTTCGGGCTTGGTGCATGTGATACCTAGCTTGGTTTGGAAGAGGTCGCCAGTCTCGAGCAAGTTCTCAAAGGGGTCCTCCTCGATAGCCGAGAGGAAGCCTGCATCCAAAGAGTACGGCTTGTCCAGCTTGCGGACGTCCTGGCCTTGGAAAATAGAGCATTCGTTGCCCTTGTGCAGGTCCAGGAGGACAAGACGGAAGATCTCACCCAAGTACAAACCGGCAACCATCTTCTCGAAAGATTGCTGGCCAGGGCGAGGTGACTCCTTGTCAATGATAACATCGTACTGTGTGCGAGGCAGCACCTGGTGCTCGTTGTCAAATGCACCCCATTCGCAGTTGATAGCCATAGGCAGCTTAGGGTCGAGGTTCAGGTGGGCGATCTTGGGAATGGAACCGCACTCCTCCATGTATGCAGCGTTGCAACCTGTTCCGAAGATGCATCCGATCTTGATATCGGTATCGGTGTACGCGGACGCAATCATGGTGCCGGTTGTGTCGTTGACCAAAGCCGCCAGTTTGATGGGAACTCCACGTTCAGCCAGTGCCTTGTTGAAGGGTGGCACTACGTCGTGGCCCTCAACACCGTCGATGTCGAAGCCCTTTGTCCACCTCTGAAGAACACCGTGATCAATGTACTCCTGTGTCGCGGGGTAGGAGAAGGTGAAACCCAGAGGCAGATCCTCAAGCTCCTCATCCTCGTGGTGGTATTCGACAAACTGCTGGAGACAGTCGGCGACGTAGCCCCAAAGCTCATCCGCGGTTCCAGTCTTCAGCTCCTCGGGCATGCGGTATTTAGACTGGATGATCTCGAACTCGCCCTTCTCTTCGGTCAGGGTGACCTCACAGACTCGCAGGTTGGTTCCTCCCATATCCAGAGCGAGGTATCGGCCCGTCTCGTTACCGTCTGGGAAGGCCATGCACCATGTTGGGTTCATGGGCTGTGTTGGTTAGTTCTGTGCATAACTTTGCTTCTGGGTGTTACTTACAATAGACCCTCCCTCTGTTGTGAGGCCCTTCTCGAGCTCCTTGACGAAGTGATCGGTGATCTCCTTCAGCTTCTGGGTAGGGACAACGAAGATCTCCTCAAGCTTCTCGATCTGCTCCTTGAGATCCCGGGGCATGTCCGCCATGGACCCTGGTCTACTGTTAACCCTGAGTACGATGTGTCCGACTTATCCGCTACTCTGCGGAAGCCTCGGGAAGGGGTGTGGGCGTCGTACCCTTGCGGGAGGGAGGTCTCCTTGCTCCTGTGACCATCGTGACGGTTGTACGTAGGTTTGAGAGGTTCTAGGAAGCTCGACGCTGTTCAAGAAGCGGAGGGATGTGTTGTCGGGAAGTTGATCCTACAATCAAAAGTGGGTGGTCAGTACTTGTATGCCAGACAGCGTGAATGATGGCTCAAAGGCATAGGTCATGCGGGGCAGCACCCCCGCAGCAGCAGCTTTAAACCCCACGACAGTAGGAGTTTGTTATTGCTTTTAGAAAGAGACGAACTGCTTACAGATGCTGTGTAATAATGCTATCTTGCACACGAAGAAAGCTTGTTTGCCAGTCAATTGGGAGAGCAGCGACAAGATGGGACGAAAACCTACTGGATGAAGACTCTAAAGACGAAATACAACGCGCTGAGAGCTGTTGGTTGAGAGACTAACTCGAGCTGAGGCCGCAAAAGAGATGAAATCAGCCCCGCGCGATCCATCCCACCTGGGCACGGCCCGCTATGACGCTGCCACCCACAACGTGTATCCATTTCCGGTTAGGCTGTGTTTTGCTGATATCGAACACACCTCACTGGCATGTATTCCTGCATCCATGCACCTATATTGTGACCAAGATTGTGTGTCTTTGCGTGTTCAGGTTATCTTCCATCGTCTCCGGCCTAGAGCTCCGAAATTGTGATCCAGCTTCACTACAGCTTCGACTTCGCCATTCTAAATCACGAGACGGAACTCGCACAATAGCTAGTATCCCAAGCTTGCGCAAACAGGTACTGCTAAGGGTTATGTAATTGTAAGCATTGAACCGTCTCAAGTGTTGAAAACGATTTCGTGCCTGTAGCCAATTCAACCAATTTGAACGTTGAGTTCGCTGGAGCTATAGAGATCGTACCTGCCTAGGTGCAAAAAGCTACAAACCGAGAGAGCGTCGTACCGCTGCGCAGCCCAAAATGTAGAGCACCCTGCTGGCGTAGAATAGAGGGCAAACGCTATGCTAACCAATCACCACTAAACGTCACAACCTCTGCCAAGAGGTCACGATATTGTAGTCAGCTTCACTGCGTTTGTAGGTACCTAGCTATTGTCTAGCGCCGAGCACGACATCAGGCAGTCACTGCAATTCACCTCGAGTTCAGTCTCCCGTCGACAATATAAGTCAAGCTTGGCCCCTCCGTCTTCTCATCTTATCCCACCACCACTACCACCACTACCACCACTACCACCACCACAACAACAACAACAACAACAACAACAACAACAACAACAACAACAACAACAACAACAACAACAACAACAACAACATGGAGCGCCGCAACACTCTGCCCTCGGGAATTGGTAAGTAACTGCAAAAGGCCTTGAAGACCTACCAACTGCCTGCTCAAACCAGCTGACAAACTCCAGGCGGTAAGTACACAAGCAACGTCGACGACGCGAGCGGCCTCAGGGCCTTCTGCAGTGGGCACCCGCCCAAGCAATCGTTCCTCGAGTCCGACAGCGCCTTCTACAAGGCCAGGCGTTCAACTCTGGCGGACAACCCAGAGTTGGATGTCCAGCTGAAGGCCTCCATGGTACAGTACAAGGCCGAGAGCTTCCTCCCGCTCAACTTCAAGTCAGTCCGTCTCATCACACAATATCTCAACGGATCGAAGCCTCTGGCTTACATCCACGTCTTTTCGAGGCTGCTGATCACTAGCGAAACGAATGACGTTCGTGCGGGCCTGTTCATCGCGGCTTTGGAGCGGATTGGGCTGCACTGCAAGCACCTCGCCGTTCTCGCACCGTTCCACACCGTCGAGTTCAAGGACATGTCGTATAACGAAGCTGGCAGACACGGTGACTGGAGGAAGATCCTGGAGTGTCTCCCCAACATCCGCAAGATCACCTTCGAAGACCAGATCGAGCAGCCGACGCCCCTCAGACAGAGCACTTTCCACTCGCTGGTGTATGCTCTCCCCAACACCTCGCTCGAGGAGTGTTTCGTCCTTGACTTTGACATCTCGCCCAGCCTTCTCTTCGGGCTCCACTACGACTTTCACCGCCGATACCTCCCAACCGCCGCGCCTCTCTCCCTGGGTAAAGTCTTCAAGCCGCTCACCATGATCGCCGGCGGTATCATCTATGCAGACGGCACAGAGCCCTTCGGTTTGTCCGACGATAATGCTATCTACGGCAGTGCAGACGACGATGACCCTTTCTTCGGCAGCGTGAACGACGTTGACACGATGGGTGGATAGCTCAGGGGTCTCGAGAGACGTTGATGATGCAGTGATTGACTGGAGAGCCGTAGGCGAACGGTAAGACAATGTGACGTTGGAGTATATGAAAAAGGGTGACTGCATTGCGCGGACAGGTATGATATTGCGCAGACGAAAAACAATTTGCACGGCGTTACGGTATACCCATGGATGGAAGGAACGACAGAGTGCGCATTCAGCCCACGAGGCCTCAAAAGTGCTTTTTACAACATCGAAAGATAGGTCTACACCATAAGCTTGCGACTAGATCAATGCAAACAACGCTCTAAGTTCTGTACAGTAAAGTCAATCTCCACTTCCCACAGTCTCTCCCGTGCAAAACCATCAAACCCCGAATAGTAACTTTCGAAACGAAACAGACTTTCAAGAACCCCAAAATAGCCGTGAAACACGCACCGGATAGCTATGTCGTGCAGTCGTCCCGTTCGGCTCCCCACGCCGGACATCCTCCGCGGGCCGTGTCCGCCGCTAACACCGCACCCGCACCACACATCGCCGGACCACCTGCATACCAAACCCCCAGAGCGAAATAGCATATAGAACCCCCTCCGGCACTATGACGAGCACTTCCGTCCCACGAGACCCTGCCGCACTACTTAAAAACCCGTGTCACGGCACCCAACAGCACCACCCAGCAAACCACCCCTACGCATAACCTGCGAATATAAACCACCATGGCAGCCCCAGGCGGCAAATTCTTCATCGACGCCACCCTCGACACCCCCGCCGCACACCACGAATCCTTCGCCCAGCTGTGGGCCACGAAATGGAAAGCGCCCGCGGAAATGGGCGTGTACCCGTTCATGTTCGGCAGCGCGGCCGACTTCGCGCCCGCGCTCGCCTCGCTCACTGCCGCCGGCGCCCGCGAGCCATATGACTGGGACGCGTACGCCGCGGCGTTTTTCCCGGCCGCCGAGCAGCTGCAGGCGCGCGCCGAGGCTGCGCAGGCTGCGGGCCACACCGACGAGGCGAGTGAGTTGTTCCTCCGCGCCAGCGCGCTGTTCCGCATCGCGCGCTTCCCGCTGCCGCGCAGCGCCCGCCAGCGCGACGCCTGGACGCGCGGGAAGGCGTGCTGCATCGCCGGCCTCGGGCTGCGGCCGCACCCCGTGCGCGAGGTGCTGGTGCCGCACACGCAGCGCGCGCGGGGCGAGGGCGAGAGCATCCCCGTGTACCACCTCGTACCGGACACCGCAACACCCGAGGCCCCGGCGCCAACGCTGGTCATCTTCACGGGACTGGACGGGTACCGCACGGAGCTCGCGGTGTGGATGGAGGGGTGGCGGCGCGTGGGCGTTGCAACGGTGGTGCTGGAGATCCCCGGGACGGGGGACTGTCCGGCAGACGCATCGGACCCGCGGAGTGCGGATAGACTGTATAGTAGCTTGTTTGCGTGGATGGACGGGCAGGCGCGGCTCGACGCAGCGCGCACGGCGGTGTGGGGGTTCAGCACGGGCGGGTTCTACGCGATGCGGGTTGCGCACACGCACGCGGGGCGGCTGGCGGGCGTGGTCGCGCTGGGCGGCGGGTGCCACCACATGTTCGACGAGAGGTGGTTGAGCAGTGTAAACCACCTCGAGTACCCGTTTGACCTGGCGGACACGCTGGCGTGGAAGTGGGGCTACGGCGGGGACGTGGCGGGCTTCAAGCGCGAGGCGCAAGGCAAGTTCTCGCTGCTGGCGGACGGCACGCTGGATATGCCCGAGTGTGCGCGGCTGCTGCTGGTCAACGGCACCGAGGACGAGGTGTTCCCCATCGACGACTACTATCTGGCGCTGCAGCACGGGGCGCCCAAGGAGGCGCGGTTTGTCGCGGGCACGAAGCACATGGGCGAGCCGGCGAGCTTCTTCGTGTGCATCAAGTGGCTGTACAAGCTGTTTGGGATCGAGGCGGACGTGGTCGCGCAGCTGCAGACGCTGCCGTTCAAGGCGAAGTACTGATAGCAGGGACGTATACGGGCAGACGTAGGTAATAACGAATTCTTCACACTCGCGGCCATGGTGCATGTATGTGATCTACTCCGCCCCGCGCTTGACATACTCGTCGAACCAAAACACGGCCTGCAGAAACGCCATCTCCTTTGCGAACCGCTGCCGCTGGCCCGCCAAATCGCCCTTGACCGCAAACCCATGCTCGACGCCCGAGTACAGCGCCATGTGGTACGGCACGCCCACGTCCTTGAGGATATCCTCCGACTCGCGCCTCTTCTCCGCGGGGAAAATCTGATCCGTTTCTGTCCAGCATCAGCGCCCACCCACAAGCACACACACCCGCAACGCAGCAGAAACTCACCCGCAGCAGCGATACTCAGCGGCCCCGTAATCCCCCTCAGCTCCTCCTCGGACACGAAACTCGGATGCGCCGTGTACCCCGCATCCAGCTTCCCCGGCTGCAGGAACCGACACACGTACTTGCCGCCGAAGCAGTACCCGACGCCGCCGAGCCTTTTCACGCCCAGCTTGCCGCGCAGGTACTTGATTGTGGCGGTGTAGATGGGGTCCACGTCTGCTTCGCGCGGCATCTTGGTTTCCTTCCACGTCGGGAAGTCGAAGTCTGCGGGCATAGGGAAGGGGATCTCGTTGCCGTGGAAGACGTCGGGGATGACGGTGTGGTAGCCGTTTGCGGCGAACTGGTCTGCGATGCTGGGGGGTTTGTTAGGGTGGTGGGGTCAGGGGGGGTGGATGGGGGGATGGGGCGCACAGGCGGACGTTTGGGAAGGCGAAGCCGAGGACGTCGGTCATCAGGAGGATGGCATTGTCGGTGCTGCCGTCGGGGGTCGGGGAGACGTAGGCGCGGACTGGGGGGGTGAGTTGGGGGTTGCGTGGTCTAGGGGGGGAGGAGGTTACTGTCGCCGATGGTCTGAACGGAGCCCTTGGGGGTGCCTTCGTGCTTGACGCCGACGGCGCAGCAGGTGTCTGGAGGGTGGGAGGCCATGGTGGGGAGCGTGGTGTGTGTAGTGAACGGGGAGTGCTGTGTTATGTAGCAGATCACGGGGCGGCGTCGGTGGTTGTCAAATACCGTGAAGGCATCGCAGCCGGAGCTGGAGCTAGGCCGAGCTACGGTAGTCGAGCTACGGTACCCCACGGTGGGGCTTTCAGACGATGCTGCTGGCGGAATAACGGAGTTAAGACGGACATGATGTCATGTGGATATTTTCTGTTCCTAATTGATTGAGTGCGTGTCAAGCCTAGCAGCTCAATGCTCGTCTTGTATTAGGCCTCACGCCTACGGCAGCTGGGACTGCGGCTGAGGCGCCGTGGTGGACGGGGACTGCGACCGTCGTGTCGTGAGGAGGGCCGACTTGGACGGTCATGCTGTGAGGAGAGTCGATCTGTTCCGCTGTGCTTCCGCTCTTGGCTCCGGCTTCGAGAGCGGTGTCTCCGATGCGCATGTTTGCGACTGCGCTCGCGGTCTGTGCGGTCATGGGTACGACTGCGGTGATGGCTGCTCTTCGTGCGGTGCTCACCTCTCTCCGAATCTTGTGCATCACGCAGCTCCTCCAGCTCCCGCTTGCGTTCGTGAGCCCACTTCTTCTTGTCCTCCTTGGACTTCTTCAGCTGCGTCTGGGCCTTCTGCATGAAGGCGAACGGGTCGCTGGAGGAGATGCGCGCCTGCTGCCGCTCTCTCCGCCGCGGGTCCTCGTTGCCCCACACGTCCTTGTCGTCGTGGCCTGGATAGTCGAGGGCGGGAGTGCGCTTGTCGACAGCAAGGCTGGCGTCGTGCCGGGCAGCGTACCACGGCTTGGTGAGACCGTCTCTGCCGGCGGCGTTGGCGAAGCGCATCGTGTACTGGTCCTCAAAGGCCTGCTCCTTCTTGCGCTTCTCCTTCTCGGCCTCGGCGTTCTTCTCGCGCTTGAGCGCCTCCTTCATGTCCACGGGGAACAGGTCGATGTGGCCGGCGTAGTTGGTCAGGGGCGCGTCGCTGGCCGGCTGGCGCAGCTTCAGCAGCTTCGCGTCGGCTGCGTCGCCGTCTCTGGGCGCCGTCAGGGCCGCAGCCAGGCGGATGTCCATGTCCGTGTCATCTTCGCCCCGCAGCTTGCGGCGCTTCCCGCCGTGGCCATGGTCCCGCTCGCGCTTCCGCTTGCCGTCGTCGGCGTCGTCGTCGTCGGGCAGCGGCGGGGGCGTGCGGCCGCGAAGGAGGGCAGCGCGTCGGGCGGCGTCGAGCTCCTGGGTGCGCTGGTCGGCGGCGGCCTCGCGGGCTTGGGCGGCGTCCTCATCGGCCTTGACGCGGGCGATGTTGGCGGGGTTGTAGACGTTCCATGACTGCGCGGGTCAGCAAGGGCGGCGTGGGCGCATGGCGCATGGGCGGGCTACCTTCTTGCCCAGGAGATGGCTGGGCGGGGTCAGTCAGGCATTCAGGGCGGCGGGACTGCAGTGCGCGAACCTACAGCGGCATCGTCGTGCTGGAATCCTGCCCGCAGCGGCGGTGTCGGGGCGGCGCGCGGGTACGCGGTCAGGTCATGTGCAGAGTGCAGGAGCAGCAAGCTCCAGGCGATCGCTGCATGGTTGCGCGCTGCACGGCTCAACGGTTGCGGGCGGGAGCTGGCTGCGACCCACACTTCCCCAGCACCGCACACGCTACGAGCCGACCTACTGTTAAAGCAGCAGACTCCCAACCACCCCGTCAACCAACGTCCTCCGCGCCGCCGTGCGCTTGGGTCTAGACTCGTCTCTCGACCATGTGCGACTTGGGAGCTGGACGCCGCCAGAAAAGCAATTCGATTCGGTAGACAGCGCCCGCTGCGACTGCAGATCCCCCCGTCGGCTCCGCTCCCAGCTTACCGGCGCATTGAGCCTGTATGTAGTTCGTGGCCTGCATCCTGTCCTCACACTACACGCACACTATACCATGCCCACCTGGCTGGTGCACGGCTTCCGATGGCCGCGCGCCCAGGTGCGCATCCACACCATTCTCCAGAACCTCGACGATGTCGCTCCCGAATGGCTCATGGCCCCTGCCACCCAGGCCTGCCTGCACACCAACTTCAACCAGCAGTGGCCCGCTATCGTCGCCCGACTGCCAGGCCTACGCTTCATTGAGCAGTACGATCCAGACGACCTCACGGTAAAGGACCAGCCGTATGCGTACGTGTGCGACCAGGTCCACGACATCAGACTTGGGATAGACATTGACGACGCACGAGGCGACCAAGTCTCAGACGACCAATTGGCTGCCATAGCAGAGCTCAGAGACAAGGTCACGCCCGACGCGAAGCTCGGCTGGTTCGTGGTCGTCAATGGCGACGTGGAGCGCTGGGCGCCGCCGCTGGAGGACGAGGATGAGCTAGCAGACGAAGACGACGAGGACGCCGAAACAAAGACCATCAGCCCGCCAGCACGAAGCCTGAGAAGCAGCGTATGGACCGGCAGTAATAGTGACACCAGTGCGCCGGAACCAGTAAAACCCCAGAGCAGCCGGAGCATGAAGAACTGGATTGGTGGCATAATCCGCAAGACACGAAGGTATCTTCATTGAAACTTCCCTGTTGCTACATACTGACCCCTACAGCTCCAAGAGCCTGAGAAGTGAAGCGAAAGCGACTCCCGCGCCCCCAGTACCGCCGTTACCGCCAATGTCGCCGAAAGCAGCACTTCAGTCTCCGCCAGCAACACTGCCACTTCGGTCAGCGCAGTGAGAGCCTTGAGACAAGATAGCTGACAGACTACGATTACACGAACATGCGCTGGCACGTTCAACCATGTACATGATTTTGGAGATACCATAGATGATGCACGGAGACATATACAACTTGGAAGGCTGTCTGTAATAGCAACAATGCGAAACATTTAATTATACCAACCTCACTCTCCACATACATAATAGAGTAGGCGATGAGACAATGTCGCATGTCAAGATCATGAACATGTCTTGTCGCAAAGCTACCATTTTGGCTAGCGGCTTTGAGAGCTCGTGCACGTGAGCGCGCCAGCCTAACTTTCTGAGCGCGACAACTTGTGCAGTAATTTCTACACCACACCATTGCCACCCCGTAAAGGCTCTGCGAAGCTTTCCAAAGCTGCATAGCTCCAGCTATAGCCACAAACATCAATACAAATACAAGGCATACGCGACGATTCAAGCTTCGGCACCAGACGAGGTTTGCTGGGCCTCCAGAGCCCGCGCGACTAAGACCGAAAACGCCCTCAAGATACGCAAACCACCGCCAAGATGAGCAGACGCGACTTCCTGTCTATGCCCGCGCCCGAGAACTATGTGGCTGGTCTCGGGCGTGGTGCCACTGGATTCACAACCCGAAGTGACTTGGGTCCGGCGAGAGAGGGTCCTTCGGAGGAGCAGATGAAGGAGATGCTGGCGAAGCGCGCCGCTTCTCTGGGACAAGCTGCTCCGTCTGCGTACGGCGTCACAGAGAAGAAAGAAGAAGAAGACGACGAGGCAGACCGCTTTCAAGATCCCGACAACGAAGTTGGTCTGTTCTCGAGCGGCATGAACTACGACAAGGAAGACGATGAGGCGGATAGGATCTACCAAGAAGTCGACGAGAAGATGGACAAGCGACGGCGAGCAAGAAGGTTAGTGCCCACCATTTCCTGACCCCGACCCCGTACCCTACGTCCTTGTTTCGAAATATTCATCGTGTTTTTCTCCACGAACAGATACCGATGTCCGACCTAGGGAAGCTCGCGAGCAACAAGAACGAGACGAATACGAAAAGAACAACCCGAAAATCCAACTTCAATTCGCCGACCTGAAGCGTGCGCTCGGCGCCGTTTCCGAAGAAGAATGGGCAGCGCTGCCAGAGGTGGGAGACATGACGGGCAAGGCGAAGCGTGCAAGAGAAGCCCGCATGGCGAACGCACGTTCGTATGCAGTACCCGACAGCGTCCTGTCAGCGGCGTCCAAGTCTGGAGAGCTCGAGACATCCATTGCCACGGACGATGCAAGTTCGGGCACCATGACCAACTTCGCCTCCATCGGTGCTGCGCAGAAGTCGGCCCTTCAAGTCCGACTGGACTCGGCAGCTTCCAACCCCGGCACTCAGACCGCAACGACTTCTGGGACAGCGACCTCGGTCGACCCGAAGGGCTACATCACGGCCTTGGACAAGAAAGAAATGCAGGGCGGCGAAGTTCCGGTGGAAGATATCAACCGAGCGCGAGTGTTGCTGGAATCTGCCGTCAAGACGAACGTCACCAATGGCCCGGGTTACGTCGCGCTGGCACGTCTGGAAGAGGTCGCAGGAAAGCTTCACACGGCAAGGAAAGTCATTGAAAGGGGGTGTGAAATGTGTCCAAAGTCAAGAGTCGTGTGGGAGGAGGCTATCAGGTTGAGCCGCGAGAACGTTCACAACGCCAAGATCATCGCAGCGAGCGGCATCAAGCTCAACCCCAAGGCTATTGAGCTGTGGAAGGCAGCTATTGATCTAGAGCAGACGCCAGCAGCGAGGAAGAAGGTCACCCGACAAGCATTGGACCACAACCCACAGTCTGTGGAGCTGTGGAAGATTCTGATCAACGACACAGAGGATGTTGAAAATGTGAAGCTGTTGTTCGCAAAAGCTACAGATACAGTCCCACTTTCAGAAGAGCTCTGGATCTCCTACGCACGTGTGAGCGATGCCGATGCGGCCCAGCAGGTCCTGAACAAGGCTCGCAAAGCCATTCCTACTAGCTGGGCGATTTGGGTGCAGGCTTGCAGACTGCAAGAAGAGCTCGGAAAGGTCGACATCTGCGACAGGATTATGGAACGTGCGGTCAAGGCTTTGATCAAGGAGAATGCCATGATAAAGCGCGAGGAGTGGCTGGCCCAGGCCGAAATCTGCGAAGAGGAGGGCGACAGGGTCACTGCAGCCTCCATCGTGAAGGCGACTGTTGGCTGGGGGCTGGACGAGGACGACGAACGCCGCGACATCTGGCTTGAAGATGCAAAGAGCATCTCCAACCGAGGCCGATACGAAACTGCGCGAGCCATCCTCGGACACTGTGTGTCGATCTTCCCGTACTCAACAACCGTGTGGCACGCGTCTGCCGACCTGGAGAAGCACCACGGAACGACCGAGTCCATGCTCAGCGTTCTCGAGCGCGCTGTCAACGCTTGTCCAAAGTCAGAAACGCTGTGGTTGCTGTATGCACGAGAGAGGTGGCAGTCCGGAGACGTCGAAGGCGCTCGGCAAGTTCTAGGCCGCTCTTTCGAACAGCTGCCGGGTAACGAAAACCTGTACACGCGAGCTGTCGACTTCGAAGCGGATGCCGGTAACTTCGAGCAGGCGCGCAGTTTCCTGAAGGTTGCACGGGAATCGGCTGCCACGGACCGCATATTTATGAAATCTGCGAGTCTCGAGCGCCAACTCGGCGACTTCGAAACCGCAATCGACATCTGCAACCAGGGCATCCAGAACTGGCCCGGCAGCTGGAAACTGCACGCCATCAAAGGCCAAGTCTACGAGCAACTCTCCAAGCTCAAAGAAGCCCAAGAAGCCCTCAGCCTCGGCACCCGCGCCGCCCCCAAAGCGCCCATGCTCTTCATCCTGCTCTCGCGCCTGCAAGAGAAAACCGGCGCCGTCGTCAAGGCCCGCTCCACCCTCGACCGCGGGCGGCAGCAGAACCCCAAAAACCCGTCCATCCTCCTCGAAGCCGTGCGCCTCGAGCGCCGCCGCGGCGATATCCCCGCCGCGCAGAAAGTCATGGCCACGGCCCTCCAGGAGTGCCCGGCCTCGGGCGCCCTCTGGGCCGAGAAGATCATGCACCTCGAGCCGCGCACGCAGCGCAAGCCGCGCGCACTCGAAGCCATCAAGAAAGTCGAAAAGGACCCGCAGCTCTTCGTCGTCGTGGCGCGCATCTTCTGGGCCGAGCGCCGGCTCGACAAGGCCGCGACGTGGTTCACCAAAGCCGTCGTCCTCGACCCAGACTACGGCGATGGCTGGGTCTGGTACTACAAGTTCCTCGAGCAGCACGGCACCGAGGACAAGAAGGCCGAGGTCCTGAGTAAGGTCGCGCTGGCTGAGCCGCGCCACGGCGAGGTCTGGCAGAGCGTCAGGAAGGATCCGAGGAACGTAAGGCTGGGCGTCGAGGACGTGCTGAAGCTCGCGGCGGCGCGCGCGGAGTAGCACCGGTCCTGTCCGGCCAAGTGGAGGGCGGTGTGTAGACACGGTAGACTCGATAGACGCGGCGCCGCCGGCCCGCAGGAAGATATCCTTTGCCATTGCTCGCAGCCTCCCCGCGTCCATCCGCGCCCGCCGTGCTTCGTCCCCGTCCCCTGGCTCCAGCAGTGCTCCCGTCTACGCGCTCCCGACACACAACTCGCTCTCCAGCACCGTGAGCCGCCTGTCGAGCCCGCGTCTAGCTGCCACCCTACTCCTACGCTCTGCTAAAAGTGTAGCAAGCCAGTAGAGGGCTTAGACATGCTCTAGCCCACAAGAAGATATCCTTAGCTTGCTGCCTCTTAGCCTACATCCGCGCCCGCCGTGCCTCGTCCCCGTCCCCGGGCTCCAGCGGTCCCCCGTCTACGCCCCTCCTCCGACACACAACTCGCTCTCCAACACCGCTCGCCGCCCGTCGAGCCCGCGTCCAGCCGCCGCCCCACTCCCCCGCTCCGCCAACCGTGCGGCGAGCCAGTGGAGCGCTTGGACATGCTCCGGCGTGTCTCTGGCAGCGGGAGGGTGGGCTTGCAACGGACTGGGGGGGGGGGGGGGGTCGGAGGCGGCTTGGCGCGGGAGCGTGGGGGGGCATTGCGCGTTCGTGTTCTGTGCTTGGACGGGGCTGGCTCGCGTGGAATTAAGGGGCGGGGAGGTGGTGGTGGTGGGGTTTGCGCTGCGGATGTTGCACTGCTTGTTTTCACTGGGCGGAGAGGTGTTGGTGGTGGGCGCCGCGCTGCAGATGTTGCACTGCTTGTTTCCACCGGGCTTGGTTGTTCCAACGGCAACGCGTGTGGCTGTGGGCCGGGAAAGCGGACGTTTGTTGATATGTTTTGGTTGCTCTGGATGTTGCACCGCGCCTGCAGTGGACAGGGGCTGGGGTTGTTTGCTCTGCATCTCGATGCTGGGATTGTTTGCTCTGCATCTCGATGCTGTGCAGAGGGACGAGAATGAACTGTACTAGTATCCAAGGCGGGTTCGCTACTGTTGTACCCCGTCCACCCAGCATGCATGCGAAATTCATGAATCTCACAGGCCGAGTTCCGAAAAAAGCACTTCTCAGTGCCGACCGTTTCTTGGGGTCTGTACTACCTCACCTGCGTGGCTTCCGAAAAGGGCGTCGGCTAATTTGGCAAAAGCATATAAACCGAGCAGCACCTACGGTCACAGTTCACACAACCACTCCTCCCCTTCGTTTCTGACGATCGCGACATGGGCATTCTGACCCTGTTGCTGACTTCACCATTCTCATTCTAGCGTGCTTCCACGCTACCCCACTGTGCTATGGAGGCGCTCCCGCTACTGGTCTTGGAATCTGTGTGCGAGTACCTGGCGCACGGTGAACCACGGAAGACCAGTTTGCTTGCTTTCGCGTCTGTCAGCAGAACCTGCCGCGCTGCTTCACACTGACAGCGGTTTTTACAGATATCAATCAACATAAAAGATGGCTATTTCCCTCAATCACTGGAGCGGGTGGAGCGCATGTTGGATGAAACACAAAGTCGTACTTGCGTCAGGGTTTTGAACCTCGGCTGGGACAGGGCTCTCTACTATGAACCGTATGAGATGCTCATGACACCCGAGAAGAGGTTCTGTGCCTCGTGCCCACTTCAAAACGCGAGCTTTGAGGGGAAGAAGCCTCGCGATGCAAGATGGTGGAAGCCTCTTGTCCGGTTCCTCTCGAGCATTCACCTTAAAGACGTCATATGGGCGTCTCAAGAGCAGGTACCTCGTTGCATCCTCTCTGTCTTGAATGAGCAGATTCCAAGGTGTCGACTGCACGTCTATGGATTCGATCTCCGAAGTCTCCACCAGAGTTCAAAGGATTCACTGCAGAACATCAATGACACTGAGTTTCTACTAGCAACATCACCATGTTTGTACAACATCATCACAGCAAACAAGCCGACCGATAACTTGCACTGCGACAACTACAATGACGATGCGATATTACAGTTAGCGGCAGGGATGGCGTCTAATCTGAAGCATGTTCTTGTATGGGATCAGACCATCACGCCGTCCGGGGAATTCGAGAGAGGGAAAAGACACGCACGACTTGATTGGCGAGGCTTCCGTCCTCAGTCGGATAGCGAGTGGTGCGCGACACCTATAACGAAGGGTCAACTCCACAGTCTGACTATCGACCCTAGAATCGCGATATTTGCCACACGATTGACACTCTGGCAAAAGCATATCGACTTTTCTGTCTTACGCACTCTGACACTCGCTAATAGAATCGAGCTGGGTGCACTCCAAATCCTGGTTGCTCTTGCGCAACAAGATGGGCTCTGTCATCTGAAAGCTCTAGACCTGCCAGTTATCCACGAAGATCACGAAGAGGCAGACTCGACGATTGCACGACTACTATCGTTACTGAATCCGTTGGCCGACCTTGGAGTCGTCGCAGTCGGAGATTGTGTCTACGAAGCGGCCCTCAAACAACACGGCGGCAGTTTGCAAGTCTTCCGCGTGAAGGATACTGTTCTTTCCGCGCAGCAAGTCACCCAGCTTCGAGAATCGTGTCCCAAGATCAGGAAGTTGAGCATTGAGATACTACGGTCTGCGGGAGATCAGGTCGAAGTCAAGACATATCGAAACCTGGGCTCCATGCGATATCTGGAAAGCCTGTCGCTGGTGCTTCATTGTATTAAGTCTCTTCAACTTCAAGAGATTGAAGAAGCGAAGCAAGTATCAAATCGCCGGGTTAGAAAAGCGAAGCAAGTATCAAATCACCGGTTTGAGAAAGCGTTCGCAGTAGCATATCGCCAGGGTTTGATTAACGCTGCCGTAGACAAGACCCTCGCGATGTCTATTTTCCGAACGATATTCGACGCTCATACTTATACAAAAGCATACCTGCCACCCAAGCTGACTAGTATACAGTTACGAGTAAACGCATCAGCATTGGGCGTAGCCGGGGGGGGACTGGTTCTTCCGAGGTCTCCCTTTCCACATAGGAAGAAGCTGGGCATGTGAATGTGACCGTCGAGACACACATCGATGGAGGGTCACTGTCGATGAGGTGGCGGTCGAAAACTCGGGGTACCCCAACTTTGGCCAAGACCGTAGTGGGATGGCATTTCCTGGGAACAAGCAGCAGGCAGATATCTGGAATTCTATCTGGCCTGAAACTGGAGCCGGCTTGAAGAATGACTGGCGCAGCTTCCCGCTTGCTGATGAAGAGGACAAAATTAGAGGCACTGTGTTTTTTGTATCAGGAAAGGCGTTATCTCGAAGAGGATAACGCCTGAGATCTGTCCTGCTTCTATGATCAAGATACTGGCTGGGCGTTGGTGCAACCTCCAAGACGAACTCCGACAGAAACTAGACCGGGATATTGAATTAGAGCACGATATTTGTGAGATGATCTATAACCGAATCTGTTGCACTCTGGTTGATGGTGCAGTGAACTCAATTCGTACCATCGGTGTTGGAGCCACTAGCGCCACGCTAGCAAGATGCGGAGCTCGGAGTTCAACGCCGTGCTCTTCCCTCCTCAACTCGACATCGTTGCGCATCACAAGCAGCTTCGCATTGAAGCTCTCGCTTACTTGTCAGGCCATGGCACAGATCTGATCCAATAGTAGTACTCTGCGAGGCCGAGACACTTCTAAAAGTTGCTGCACCTGCGCTTCACTGCGATCAATTTCGGCGTTGGCTTGCGCCACCACAACCAGCTCACAATGGTCCGAGTACAGCATTCATCCTCCTCATTGAGCTGTACTGACCGTAGAGGATAGACTGGCAATCTCTTCCCTGCGCGTCTGCGCACGACGCACATAGAAAAGCATCAGAACATGACGTACCGCCGCAACGGCAAGTTGCAGGCGTGCGAGCCTTGCCGCAAAGGGAAGCTCCGGTGCGACCACATGATGCCCCATTGCGGGCGATGCGTGAAGAAAGGCAAGAGCGATAGGTGTGTCTATCACCCGGCGCCTTTGACGAAATCGGCCTTGAAGTCCCCCGCGCGGCTGGATCGCATGGCAGCCAGTGTTGAGGCTGAGGGGTCGTTGGGCCAGCTTTCCCCGGGGGTAAAACAAGTATCTCCGCCTGTAGCATATCTCACGTACCTGGAGCATACCGACCGCCCGGCTAGTTTTCCGTCGTTTGCTGGTTCGGGACAGTCCGAGGGCGGCATCACAGCGACCACCCTAGATAGTCTACCGAAGGCTCGGCTTGAGAAACAGACTAACGAATCCGCGATTCATCAAACATTACAGGAGTCAGATAGGCCCCCGGTGGATCAACTCATTCGTCTGGAAGCACAGAGATTCGAGAACGGTGGCTCTTTCATCAGTCACTCTGCGGTCCTGGCTGAGAACGAGCCAAACATTGGACTCTCACCCCCAGAATCGTATTTTTCTGAGCTGCCACAGGCACACATTGACAGAGGCGTAGCAGTGCTGCTCATGCTGCGAGACATGTCTTCCGTACAAAAGTATATCGACAAGTGGTTCTCGTTCGCCGGAGGCGTCGTGGTGATCGAGCCCATGGTTAAGATCTATCTTGACGGGCTGTGGTCGACATGGCATAAGATCCTTGAATCTTCCAAAGCCGAGGATTTACAAGCCATGTCTGCGCAGGTCTGGGAGAATACTTCCAGGCCCTTGTCACGGCTTTTGAAGCGGGATACAACTCCTCGTGACTTCTGCGCAAGCGTGACTGGGGCTAATCTTAGATGGGAGGTCATTGGTATCATTGCCTCTCTGGTCTCGCTTGTAGCGCAGTCTCTGAAGGGTGTGTTCTCCCTTGAGTGTGACAGAGTAACAGGCTGCTAACAACGCGCTTCAGATGGCGATCCCGTATTTTGCTCGCATGATGCGCCACCCGTTGATCGATCTGCGCTGGCGATAAGCATGTATAATGCTTCCGAGACGTGTGTTCAGTTCTGTGACGAGCTCGGCCTACTGAACGATGCATATCTGTGGCTCCTGTATGAGAACAACATAGCGTATTGTTCACTACGCTCACGTGGAAGTGAGTCAATCTTCGAGGCTGCATGAGTCCGACTGCGGTGAATATGCTGACTGATGTAGGCTACGACAATTGGAGAAAGGCATCGGCATTCTCTGCAGCACTGCAATGTGCGAACCTCCATCAGGAGATCAGAGTCGATGACAACACTCCTTTCTTCATCGCTGAGTTGCGTAAGCGGCTATTCATCTGCGCGTATAACAACGACAAGACCTCTGCGGCTTTCGCTGGACGCCCGCCAAAGCTGACTCGGCTTTACTGTCGCCTCCAGATCCCACTCGACCTTACAGATGCTCAGACCATGTCAGAAGGAACCGAGTTGCAGGCTGCTATTGCGGATCTGGACGAGGAGGGATGGAACCAAGAAGGGGTCGTGCAGCGTAGCACGTTTGCTCGCATCTCAGCGACCAACGCCCTGATCACTGAAGAGATCCTCGAGATTTCCTTGGGCCAGCTGACCCAAGACGACGTCGTTCGTCGTGCTGCTGATATTGAAACGCGGGCACTCAAGTCCTGGGACGACTTACCAGAGTTTCTTCGCATCGACACAAGTGATCCCTGGAGCTCTCGGCGATCGCCACTTGAGCTGCTATTCCTCATCTTCATCCGCCTTGCCAGTCTGGACCACCATTTCCTCTTGCAACGCACGTTGAGCAAGAAGGTGCACTGCGGGTCACCTTGCCCGAACACGAAGCTACTCTCTGTGTGCAGCGAGATCTTCAGAGTCGTGGTCATGATGGTGGACAACAAAGACTACTTCCGCGACTTCCAGATCGACTTCGTCCAGATCCTATGCATGCACGGGATCCCCGCCGCCGCCGTCCTGGCCATGGAACTGCTCCACCAAGAGCGAGACCCCGCGTCTGCTTCCGCGCAAGCATACCCGCTCCACCGCTCCGACACCATACAGAGCCTCTCGGTGTTCGTCGCGTGTCTAGGCACCATACGGCCAGACGCAAACGGATTCCAGAGCTGCGACCGCGGGAAGATCTTCGTCAAGAAGATCCTCGATCTCATTCTGGGACCGGGCCCCGCGGCGCCCAGCAGCAGCCGAGCAGGTCTCGATGGCGAGGCGGATCCTACGCTTGGGGCGTCGCTGTTTGAAGCCGGGAACGATGCGGATTTCATGCGCTGGCTGGACGATGTGCATTGGGATCAGGAGACGTGGATTAGCTTTACCTGAGCGGTGCTGGGGACAAAAAAGGACACTTGATCACAAAAGAGGACACTCCCTGAGATACACGGAAGGTTCTCAGGCCATGGAACGACTAGCAGAGAGACTGAGCTTCGCCTAATGAGGCTATGCCTGCTTTTACTTCATCTGCCCCGGTCCTAGCCAGTGCGGCGGGCTATTGCGGTACGAGGAAGCTCGTGTTTGCGAAGGTCCAGCCTTCTGGACATGTGAAGCTGCAGCATACATAGTGCTGTACATGTGCAAGTCGACACGGGAAGGATTGATGTGCAAGAATCGGCCCTGCTTTGTGGCATCCAGTTCTAATAGCCTCACCCAGATACTCATGTGCCGTCCGATCTGGCAAGGCATCTCGGTAGGCGTCTTTGACAACAGTTCGATGTTCAAACAGAAGTAACGCCGCGCGTCAAGAGGAGATGCACAGTGTTTACGGTTTTGCCAGAAGACGCAAATGAGCAATATTTAATAAGCCAAGCACTCCATATGCATAACGTCGCTAATCTGCGAACTACCCCGTATGTCAGATGTACATGGGATCGAGCCGCACTTATCCGATGCACAGTGTCACGTGTAGCGCCAACTCGCTTTTCCGACCCCACGTTTTTCGGAGTCATTCTCCGTGTGTCCACCTCCCATCGCTAATCGATTGATCTCCATTTACAATGGACGACATGAGTCCACCGCAAGCCCCGTCTGATACGGGAGCAAGCCCACATTCATGGATACCTGCAAATCGCAACAGCGATGTTGTGGACGGCGCGTTGACCTCGGCAACGACGCCATCGAACGCAGGTTCAAGTGAGCAGCGTTCACCGCCAGCCAAACGGCGCAGGGAAGACAGAGAGAGGACCAGGGTCAGCAGAGCGTGTGATAGATGCAAAAAGTAAGTCTAGTAGCTTTGCAGCTCATACATACGACCTTGTTTGATCATTCAAAAATTGCATGGTCTTGTCCCTGACAACATCAGAAAGAAGACGCGATGCACAGGTCGTTGCCCATGTACACTCTGTCTCCGCGCTGGCCTGTCCTGCGAGTATACAGCGCAGTACACTCGCGGCCGACTGCCATCAGTCATGGTTGACGAAGCTGCCATGTCCTCGGCTTCCAAAGCCGGCATCACACAGCCCAATGCATTGCCTCTTGAAGACAATCCACTGCGAGACTTACCGACCTTTCAGTACGCAGGACAAGGCCTCGATGCATCATCAGCACACGACCGCCCGATCTTGGAGAGAGTGAACAGACCAAATGGCCACAATGAGGACGCCAATCGTGACCCACCATCAAGAACTTCGCCAGAGCCGGCACAGGCGCAAACTGATTCTCAGGGCCATTACGTAGGGTCTTCCTCTGGGGTATCGTTTCTGATTCGCATTCAAAAGCGACTGCATCAGAACACCCCAACATCACTGGACTCATCCATCTTCGCATGGGGAGATTCGCCGCTCGCTGACTTTGACCCAACATTCTTCGTACTGCCCCCCAAGCCCGATGCCCAGCGACTCGTAGAACGGTACTTTGACTATGCTGCGCCAACGCACCGTTTCATCCACCGGCCGACTATCGAGAAGTGGGTGCACGAGTTCTACGAAACCCAGGGCGACATGCACGCCAAGGAAGATGCAGCAGCGAAGACTGCACTTCTGCTCATCGTCTTCGCCCAGGCACAGGCCTACATGCCTCCAGGCAGCACGACGCGAGAGAACAGCGCACGCTACTTCTTTGCAGCTGAACACCAGCTCTCTAAAGAACGCGGTGCGGTTCGTCTCGCTAGTGTCCAAGCACGGCTTCTGCAGTGCTTCTACCTCCTCACACAGTCGCGTATCAACCATTGCTGGTCTCTTTTCGGAACAACGTCGCACCTGGCTCTTGCCATCGGGCTCAACCGCGGGCGCAGGTACGACCCTTCAGCAACCGTTGACTACGTGGAGCTGGAGAGCCGCCGACGGACGTTCTGGGTTGCGTATTCGCTCGACAAGTACCTTTCCGCGGCACTAGGACGGCCACGCACATTCAAGGACGAGGACATCGACCAGGAGCTGCCGACGGTCGTGAACGACTCCGATCTCCACCCACAGTACATATCGCCCTCGACTTCCAAATCGCCGTCGCAGATGATGGCGCCTGTGGAGCACATCAAGTAAGTCTCCGACGAACCGTAGACACTTACAACCACTGACCACTAGCAGGCTCACGCGCATCGTCTCCCTTGTCCTGCGTGACCTCTACCCCATCCGCCCACCCTCACTTGCCTTGCGCATCGAGCTCAGCGCCAAATACACCAAGGATCTGGACCGCTGGCGCGAATCCCTCGGCCCCTTCCTCGACGCCGCGGGCATCGAGTCCTCCCTGCTCATCCCCATCTACCAGCGGCAGCGCGGCGTGCTCAACCTCGCGTACTACCACGCAATGCTGCTGATCCACCGGCCATTCCTGCTCTCCAACTTTGCCAACCTGACGGGCATCCGCAGCCACCCGAGCTACCGGGCGCCCGCCGACACGAGCTCGAATATCGCGAGCTGCTTGGACGCCGCGATGAACATTGTCAGGGTCGTGGATGACGTGTTTACGTCGTCGAATCTGTTCCGCGCCTTCTGGTTCACCCAGTACTACGCGTTCTGCGCCGTCGTCGTGCTGTACATCTACCGCATCCGACAGCACCTGCTCTCGCCCGGGCAGTGCGAGGCGTACTTTGCCGCGGGCCAGAAGTGCCAGCGGCAACTGGAGAGCATCAGCGAAACGGACTGCCTGGCGCGGCGCTACTGTGTAGTGCTCGAGGAACTGCGGCTGGAAGCTGCCCGGCAGACAAACCAGCACAACCGAACCGGGTCAGGCATCACGGACACGTCGTCGCTGGCTATGCCTGGGGCCGGCGCTGCGGAGCACAATCAGGCCAACCCGGCGGTGCTGGCGGTGCCGGAGGCGACGTCGCAGAACGGTGCGAGTCCGGACATGACAGCCTCGTTCTACAACAATGGCAACGTGCCGCAGACTCCAGACAGCACCATGTTCAATTCAAACTATCTGCCGTCAAATATGGCGGATCTGACGAGCTGGGGCCAGTTCGATAGCCTGGTCACAGCAGGAATAGGCATCTTCGACGGGGGCTTCCAAGGCGATCAGAACTTCGGGTTCGGGTTCAACCTGTAGGCTCTGGTCTGCCGTACACGTTAGTAACATGATAGCTTCATAGCGGGGTGTCAACATTGGGATCTGTATGGCGGCAGGAAGTGCGAGGAGGAAATCTGGTATGGCTGCTGGCGGGCTGCAGCAACGCCGGATGACTGGCATGGAATATAGACACCAAACACAAGACTGCCCAAAGCCCATGCCTCAATTCCCGCCTTGCCCCGTCTCACCCAGACCAGGCTCCGTGGTGCCGTGCATCTGCCAACCGCCTGTCCTCTAGAACCACACGCTCGTCGCAGCATCCCCGGGCTTGGAGCGCAGGACACCCAACGCCCCTGTCCCGTCTCGCCGAAGAGCACGCCAGCACCAAGCCATCCCCAAGCCGCGGATGGGGGAGCGCACTCAGCAGCCGCCACGCAGGGCAAGCACCAAGTGCAGCGTCGCGCCGCCCTCGAGCTGGTAGTCCGCCGCCGTCTTGTCGTCAGCCCTGTGTACCGCATCAGCCTAGTTCCGCGAGCGCGCGCGCCGAATGCATACATCTGCTTGCCGCCGTAGATCAAGCGCTGCTGGGCCGGCGGGATGCCCTCTTTCTCCTCGACGCGCTCCTTTATCCTCGACACCTGGGGGCTGTCAGCGAGGGCCCTGCGCTTGAGTGGCTCTGCCGCGCGGCGCCGTGTGTGCATGCGGTCGTCATACGCTGGGTGTGCGGTGCGTGGACGGAGGGGTGTACCTTGTAGTCCGGTTCGATGTCGAGCTCGATCTCCTTGCCGGTGAGGGTTCGTACTCTGTTGCCGGGTCAGCATTGCGGTGTGCTAGTAGAGAATTCCATAGCAAGCTCTGGAATATCGGCGTACTTGATCTGCATGTTGGCTGCTGTGCCTCCGGTTCAGGCGGGTATCTTTGTGACGTCAGGCAAGGTCGGAATGCAGGAATATGCGCAGCTTCTTTAGGTGCGCTGCAGGTTGGGTGGGTGGGAGTAGGTAGAGCGGAGTGTGGGTTGGGGTCTGTGGTGAGAGAAGTTTGGTCAGGCAGCGATCGAGTTGTTTGCCATGCGGCGTCTGACAGCTCGCCTTGCCGATTCGGCCACCGCCGCGGGGCAGGTATCGGCCAGCCACATCTGCCCCGCCTTGTGGCGCAGGCGAGAGCTGCGACGCTGCTCCAGGAGCATTGTCGACCTGAACAACATGCACGAAACATAGAAAAGCAAGCAAGCTCACGCTATCGCGTCTGGCAACTCCCGCACGCCTGAATCTCCGGCCTCATTTGGGAACGGTGAATGACTCGACGCCTTTTGCTTTTCCCGGCACGTCGTCTTTGCACGACCACCTCGACCGCAACCCCGTCTTCCGGGTCTGTCTCACTATATACACACATCACACCATTAAGAAGCCTCACTCGCACGGACAGCCCTCCTCTCGGCACGTTAAAAAGGGTAAGTAGATCCATTGCGTTGCGGGAAGCGCCTTGTCCGGCGCCAAACCAATCACTCGACGAAACAGGTCTCCCTACGCGCCAGAATCCACATAGTCGGTACGGGTGGCAAGACGCACACCGAAATGAAGCATATGTCGTACGAGCTTGCCTGGAGGCCTGACGTGCGATTCAAACCCCGAAGGTGAAAAACGAGTGTGCGTATATGGCAAGACAGGATACGCTGGCACGGTGGACATCTCACTCTGGCAAGCGAAGTCCCACTGCGCCAGTCGCCCACTGCTTGCGCTGTGTATTGTACTCTGCATATGCTCCGAAAACCGTGATATACACAAGCAGCGGGTCCACGGTGATGCCCACTGCAAGCCCAACTCCATGCGTTAGTCCCCGTCTGCCGGCGTGACCACGCGTCCGTCCCTAGTTATGTACAGAAGAGCGTTAAGAAGAAATTGCGAAATCAGGACGACCAGATGCGAGACGGTGTAGCCCCCTCATCAAAAACAAAGCCAATCAAATATCAGAACTGGGGTATACAATGAGCAATTTGCAGCCGATCGGGAAGCCAATGAAGAAGTGAACAAGAACGGACACGAGGCCTTCATGCACCGCCAAGTGGAAAGAAGATAGGAATAATGATGACCTGCACTCCGGTCATGATGCAGTGAGAATGTACAGTAGTGCTAGTATACCAGATACCACGTGTGAATCGAGCAATTGACGCCAAGCACCGCCCGTAAGAGCGACGAAATCATGAGCGCAGGGGACGGCCGTGGTCTCGGAGAGCAGCCAGAGATTGTGTAGAAGCACTGCACCCCTACCAGGCGGCCGCATGGATGCCAAGAGCGTGACAAGGCGTCTGAAATGCCAACTTGCACCCTGATAGAATAGTTACAAGTCGCAGCAGGTCGGGACGACACTGTGTGCAGAAGGGCCGAATACGCTGCAGAGACCAGGATGACGATACGATGCGCCGCGAAAAGAGATTGGCACTCTGCTGCGTGCAAGTACATACATGCTGACCGTTTTCTCTGCCAAAAGCGGCATGTCCTTGAGCAGCAGGAGGATTGCGTAGCGGCTGACGACAAAACCCGTTGGAGCATGAAAGCAAGTGAGCGAGCCGGGCGAAGGTGGGGACGCGAAGTTCGTCAGACCGGTGCGTACCAACCACTTCGCTTTGAACATGCATTGATGAAATCATGCAAGGTCACAGCAGGGCAAGGCCGAGAAATAGAAGCGCCACCGGCATCAGATGCAAAATCCAATTGCGAGGCCGAGCAGATGCCAGCCATCGGATTCGGATCGGACCCGCAGCTGGAACGGGTAGAGCCCACGAGTCATGATGGGAAGGCGATTAGACTGGTAAGCCGCATGCTCGATCCTGCCCATTAGCGGAGGTGCGTATAACTCCAAATGACATTGCGCTGCAATCTCAAGAGATGAGGAATTCTTCCTTGATGGAAGGTGGGCCCGTGCGCTCCAGATCAAGATTGAGGGGACTTTGTGTGTTTGTGGAGCTCATTTCGCTTGACATGCTGGCAAGTTCGAGACTGCAAACTCAAGATTGGCTGTGGCGTCCTTCCCTTCAGATGACGTGCAACGAATGCCGTTCCTACCGCAACTCGCGTGATCTTGATTTTTGTCCGTAAGAAAAAAAACGGGGCGTGGGCGGTTGCAAAAACCGCCTGAAATGCCAAACTCTAATTTTCGGCCTAATGATCAGCTTCCCGTTTGGGAGACGTGTGATATCCGCGATTCCATTGCTGATGCATGCCGTATGTTGGTGTTTCAGGCGGACCCGATCCGGCATTTGGTGCTGGAGATTGCTGAACGTAGCTTCGCGTCTCATTCCGGAGTGGTGGAGTGCCGTACGGCACATCTGGACCGTGCGAAGGTCGCCCTTCTGGCGCTCTCTGAGGTTCTTGCATGTCACTCTGTCGTGTCTCATGCGCTAGACCGGATACCGTCCCACGGCGGCTCACAGAACCCTCTGTACCTCGTGCAGATGCATCTGAACGGGCTCGTGCATGTCCTCCTCGTCCGGGCGTTGATGTCGATGACGTCGATACATGCGAGAAGGACGGTGATGTGTATGATTGTGGTGCCGATGTTGGGGGCGGTGGCGCTGCGTGAGCGCCTTGGGCCTTCCGCTTCTTGGGGGAGCTGATGTACTCACGGTCAGACGCATGAGACGTCGCACGTTGACGGGATTGGTATGAGGTAGAGGGCGAAGATTTGTATTTACCTGAGGGCGTCGCTGGCGGATGGCCGCTTGTATTCTTCTCCTGTTGCGATGTCGGAGGAACCCAATGGTGGAAGTAGATGGAAGGTGAAGATTGTTCCTGTGCATTCTGATTTTGATGCATTTGGGATTGTGTAGTCGGCGGTTGCTGGATGTGCATCTCGTTCGTTGTGAGCTTCGGCAATTGGGACTGGTGGAGAGGACGAGTAGCTGACGGTAGCTGACCAGAGTGTCCAGGAGCCGGTGCCGCTCTATCGCTAACGTACGTCTGCTGTGGTTGTGTTGAGAGGGGCTGGCCAGGCAGCACTGCAGTTGGCGGTAGAATCGTTTGGGACACGGGAGGCTGTCCAGCATATACGGTCTGTGGCTGTTGACCCAATAACCGTGTCTCTCGTCTTAGTTCGGGAGACAGCTGTGCTTGCGCCTGCGCCTGTTGCTGCGCCTGCTGCACTTGTACAGTGTACTGTTGAATCCATTCGGCACTGATGTTGGCAAGGTTTCCACCCCCAATACCCGCGAATATTATAGGGACAAGATGTGGCGGAACTCCTCCTTGCATAGACTCCCGGAGCATCGAATGCTCGATCTTTCGCTGCTCCAACTTCAGGTTTTCTTGACGAGTCTTCTCTTCTTCTTGCTTTCTTTTCTCCTCTTCAGCTTTAGCGGCTAGCCAATTCTTCATGCCATCTTCAGAGCCTTGCCATTGGCTTGGTGCTGGAGGTAATGCGCCCAGTGAAGACGATCCCATGGAGGACTGTATTGGTGGAGCACCACGTCCCGGATCCGGCAATGTCATTGCCGACGGCGGAGGGAGTCCGCGATGAGATGTGCTCATGGCGTAGTTGGGCCCAGCCGAATGGGAAGGCGATGGCCCGCCGTTGAGCTGTGGTGAATGTCGAATGGTGGAGGTTGAGAAGGGTGGAGGGTAGTCATGGGTTTTGACGTCGAAATCCCACTTCGCTGGCTTAGAGAGTGTGAGCATCATGAAGAGTGGAACCCAGACGTAAAAGGCTATGGGAATGTACTCGACATCGAAATGAGCGATTGGGAGGCGTCAAATTTCGAATTCCCAAAAGAGACGGAACAACGTACATACTTATTCAGGAAGCGTGTTCGCGGGAGCAACGTCCACTTAAGGCCCAGAGCTCAGCGGCCGTTACCCTAAGTTCTAGGCTGAACGTGTGCAGGCAGAAAGCTCGATTGTGATTCGCGCCTGAAGTAGGGCGACGGAGAACAGTGGAAGGGGGACAGGGAAAGCTGCGGCAACGCTGATCGCAACCAAGTAGAGCTCGCGTGGGCGGGCGTGGCGATCAGGTCCAGGTCGGTAAGGTTGATGAAGAAGGCAAAACCGAGTGGGCAGCGGTGGGGAAGCGCAAGAACGAATGTACGAGAAGAGAGACGGCCGGCTAGAGTTGGACCAACCAGCGAGGATGATGGTTGCAATGCTTGACACCAGCAAGACGAAACGGCACGCCGCAGGTCGAGGACAGCCGATGTGTGGCGTCAAGCGGGCGGTAGTGGGAGAATCGTTGCAAGGATATGCATGAGCACCGGAGCTGCTGACAACAAGTAAGATCTCAGCAACGTCCGCAGTCTGTATTCTTGTATTCCCACCATCTGACGTCCCTAGGGACGACTTCCGGCTCCTGCAAGCTCTGGTAATAGTTCCCACTGTGGTGCGCTAAAGTTTGCCGTGAACTAATCGCCATCGAGCCAAGCGAAGACAACTTGCAGCAGCTACAGGCGTAAGTTTAATGATGCCTGAGGCCTGAAACCGAACCGAGTATCGACATTGCCTGCACTCTCTTGCCTTTGCCTCACGAGCTGTGTTCGCCGTGGACTGGACATACATGAGACATCGAAACTTTTCACATGCAGACGTCCGAGAAATCGTCAAGCTAGCCGAGTATCGATTCATTATGAGCATGGGGGTCCCAGAGACGAACCTTGAAAGTGTGGACGTTGGTACACAGATTCAAGATCATGCAGCAAGGGCCCCATCTGACTAGGCTTCAAGCAACCAAGGAAGTCAAGGGTTGATTCGAGGATTACGAGTGCGATTGAATCCGTCTATTGCACGCGCTTCACAATTTAGTGTGCCAGTGCTGGACGATTCAGCCGGATATCGTGGCTGGAGACAAGGCTCATCAGAGATTGAAGAGCGGATTGATCGGCTGCGGTCTGGAAGTCTCAACCGTGCGCACGCGCCTAGCAGGGCCAAACGTCCGGGAGGAAGCGAGCAAGACTCTTTTGGAGAGATTGTCGCTCTGTCGCACGGACGCTGTTGACTGTTGACGTCGCATAAGGCTGCCCAAAGGGAAATGAAGGGGCATACCCGTCGTCAGAACTCAGCCGTGTGAGGACCGAATGCGGTCGGCTAAAATGAAGTCTGCACATTGTGTGTATCAACACGAAACTACGGAATTGGTGGAAATGTAGCGCTGTGGCTCGCGCATTCTGCAAGACCTAGTCTGCGCTCTAGCGCAATGCTCAATCAGGTAATCCAGCTGCCGTCATAGGCAAACAACCGGACATGAGTTCATAAAAAGCACAATGGGCGAAGCAAGAAACCTTGCCGAAGACCTGTCATCGACCGCCTTAGAAGGATGGTCTCCGGATCGACATAGCGTGGCATTTAGCATGGCCAATCGATAAGCGCACCACCGATCAAGCACCGACTCCATGGACCGCAACGTGTTACATCGGGCCCGGCGTTGTGTGGAAAAACGAATAGGATGGTTGATCGTCTCTGCGCAGTCCTCCTCGTGGTGGCTGTAGCGCGGAAGGCGTACGCCAGAGCCGATACCTAGTTCGTGGTATCTGCTGTAGGCATTTGCAGGTCCATGTACGTTCATACAAAGAGACGCGTTGCGCAATCACCGAGCATCTGGCATCGCAGATTGACTAAGCAGTAAATTTCCGTCGGCGCTTGAGCCTTGCCAGAACTGACCTTACGGAGGATCAATATGAAACTTCCAGGCGCCGGCAGAAGACGAAGGATCTCGCAGAGAGATTTTGATAGCCGTATCCAAAGCACTGGCCAATCAGCAGATACGTTCAATGGCAATGAGCGTGCGTGTCTACATGGAGCCATGAATCGAAAGCTGCATGATACTGGTAGTTTGCCATTTGTTGGCCTCATTCCGGGACATCGATGCCATCCACAACTGCGATGAGTTTAGGGGAAACACACCCTACCGTGTAAGGGCATCTTCCGTCGTATCTGATCTGCGGCTGAATACATGTGCTTGTTGCAGCCGCGATACACTTTGGACTCAAGCGAGCACAGATGTGGCTTTCGAGAACCCTGTGGCTTGATGGCGTCGTGCGTGGATGCAATGGACTGCTCTTGTGACAACGCGGTCATACAGTCTAACTTGTCTAAGTACCTAACTTCTGCCTAGCTGCCAAGGGCTCCATAACATTCGAATGCTGAGGCTTGCAGTAGCGATGCGTGAAGCGGAAGTAGCCATGCATATTGGATCCGCTGTGCGTTAGTGTTGTGGTGAGATTCAGATATCGGAGTAAAGCCATCCGCGAAGCTGAGAATGGTCTGCTTACGCTGACGATGAAGCGAGAAGCCGATACCCATAAGGACCATCATAGGTAATGCAACCGCCTTAGAACAGGCTTGGTGTGAGGTGTACGCGCACAGAGTACGCAAGCTCGACTACAGTGGGCGATCTAGCGTCTCCCGATCGCTGTGGCCTACCAATAGCGGTTAGCGCACCGATGCAGGGCAGAGAAGACAAAGCCTGTGCCGAACTGGGCCCACCAGCGATTGTAGTTTCGGCTCCGCCTTCACCTGGATCCCGTCTCATCTTTCCACTCCACAATCCTGCGTAGGGCCTCGCGAAATCATTGCAAACATCATCCCTTCATTTCTCCATCGAGACATGGTGTTGCTGATCACTCGCCTCACCTTGAGAAGTCAGACCATAGATCAGCGTCGACCTGCTTCGGTCGATTGTTCGACCCACGACGCCCAACAGAATCGTGCGCATTGCCATCGGTGTAGCCGAAGGTTACTCACTCAACCGTGAAATCACCTGGATTGGGACCCGCAGCGAAAAGGTGTCATGGACGCGCGTGTGTGCTGAGGCAAATGTTGATACGGCAAGAAGAAGCGAGTTTGCCACCTCGAGCGTCATCTGAATCGTAGATTACCCGTTTCGTCAAGAGAGCTCGGGTCTCAGCCAATCGCACCTTGCCAACACGCGTTCGGACCGCTTCAGGAAAGCCGACTGCAGCCCAATTGTGTCTGCTGACTTAGTCTACGGTGTGTGGAGGACGCCGAGAATGCTCGTATCATACTGCGATAATGCCGACTAACAGACGTAAAGCAATCCTCACCGCCTTCGTACCTTTGGTACCTTCTCAGGCCCAGGGGATGCTCAGGAGAAGATTTGGCTTCCAGACTTACCGCCACACAATAGAGCCAAATCGCCCCGGTAGTACGTGCGAGCACGCTCTTAGGGCCCTGTTCATACTACACTACGGGCTTGGGTAACCAAGTGCAACCTATGAAGATTCACTCTTTATCTATTAGTCAAGGCATTCAACACTGTGCACCACTCGGACATGCTCTCAGTCCATTACGCACATGCACGTGGCATTGGGCATAGTTGGTACAGAGGCGTGTGTGAGGTCACTGTATGCTGACCATTGGTCAATATCTCGATGCACGTGGTCCGGACTTTCACGCATGCCAATACATCGGAGCGTTCCCCGACAAGTTGCTGCAGTGTCTAACTGCCAAGAAGCACTCCTCTGATATTGTGAAATTCTCTACCCATTGTAGCCGTTTCGCTAAGCGTACCGCCAATCTATCTTGTCTGCATTGAGACCAGGCGTGGATACTATGATCTGCAGCTCAAACAACCTTTCAATTACCGTCAGTGAGCTGAACCGTGCCGTTTGCGAGCGCCAGCCTTAGACTTGCAGTACCTCCAATCTGCACTACGAAAGCAACTACCTACAAACAGTGCTCTCACTGCATACCGATACACTCCGACAGCTCTATCAAAAACCACGCAAAGCCACTGTCTATCACTACCAAGTACACTTCATCACACCCTACCTGCCACGCGAAAAAAGCTTTTCTTCACGCGACTGCAACGTGGTCCTCGTGTTCGTCAGTTCATTCATCTTGCAAGGTTAAGCGACGGCTGCGAAATGGCAGGCACCCATCTAACCTTCTTACTTTCATTTGGGTTGCCGATCGTGCCGATCGAACGCTCTTCTGGGCCGTACGTTGGGAAATAGATGCGGGCTCAACGGACGAGGCCCAACTCGCTGGAGCACCCGCCGCCTCCGTCCGGCGGGCGTTTAACCGCAATTGCGTCAGACGTTGTCGATCGGGGACGCCACGGCTGCGCCAGGACTGCCCCGAGGCGGGACGCCTGTCTGTGCTGGCCTGCGTCAGAGTGAGCGGTTTAGCTCGCAAGCAGTTCTGGGTGGAGTATGGTTAGTTGACTTGCAGATCTACGATTGTTTGATTGCATCTATTGCGATTATCGATTATAACTACGGATTTGGCTATAAGTGCCGTGTTCATCAACCATGACTGTACTGTAACGTATCAAATACGTCAGAAGAGGTATCTTGTAAAGCTGCCGTTAAAACCAGTGCACCCAATTTGCGCCTGTGAGGTGAGGAGATGCTGCGCAGAAGCAGCCAAAAAGACTGCTACCGGAAATACAGCACAAAAGAAGAGCAAGGAAAGTTCGACTGGCGCACAGGACGATGTTGCGCTGCTAAGACGAAGTAAAAGATGGTGTGATCGTAAGGGGTTAGTACAAGAGCCCGAGATGCCATAAAAGCAAGGTTGTGCGGATCTCCAAGTGTGAAAACGTGACAGCCACGTTGGGGGCACGCGACGCCACCAAGCCACTGATCTCAGAAAGATCGACGTTTTTCCAAGAACTGATGCTTGAAGCAGTAAGGATGTGCAAGGACGGTGGCTAAGACCCCACTGAACTTCCCGATCCCGTGTCCCATGAATCTGGTCAAGTCCAAAGGATCGGAACGCAATCCTTCTTCAGACATTCGCTCGCTTCTTCCTCAATCTGTACTCGGTCCTTGCCACGCGCATGAGAAGGTCCTCATCCTTGATTGGGATCCAGGAGGTCAATACCTTCATGCCGTTTTCGAAGTCCGAATCCAGCAGAATCTCCCTCGTTGCATCGATTAGCGCTGCCGAGGTTGCATGTAAAACGTCCAGATCACCGCTGAATTTAGATGCGGCGCAGTTGGAGTGAGAAGCGTCGCCCAAAAGCATGAAGACATCCCAGACACGCAGCTGGGCCTGGAATGGTAGCGAATAGTTGAAAAGAGTCAGGTACCAACGGGTGCCCCAAGCAGTCGATGTAATGCCCAGCTCATTCTGTAGAGATCAATTAGCTAGTGTTCACTCCCATTTTGGACGAAACTTCACTCACCAGTTTCTGGGCTACATCTCCACCACGTAACCAATTTTTCTCGAAGTCATCCAAAGCGTCCATCAAGCCGGAGAAACCCGATTCGTAAAGCCTCTCAAGGCCCCGAAGCATCCAAAGACGGACTAACATCACAAATGCTCTGTCCTCTTCGTAGTAACAGAGTAGCGTTGCAGCAAGAGGCGCCATGCCTTGAACATAGCCTGTCTCTGGTAGATAAAGAGACATGGCGTGGAGCACGCGGAATAGTAATCGTTGACTGTGTTACATTAGCCTCACTCTTGCTCCAGTCTCAAACGGACACTTACCCTCCACGATACCGCCGCCTAAACATGATGTGCCTGTTGATTGTTCGCGGAACATCCACGTCAATCTGCACGTCTTCGGCGGAGCTCTCTCCCTGAAGCGCATAAAAGCTTTCAATCAGATCATCTTCTGATGGGCTGTCTTGCTTCTTCTTTGCACTCTCCGCAAGAAAGGAGTACCAGGCTGTTGCTCTCCAGCGGTCTGGAATACCTTTCCATGTGCGAGTGACTAATTTTGGATCCTTAGTGTCGAACTCGAATAGCATGCCACCACCCTTTTCTGTGCTAGTCTTCACGATCTTAGCCATTGCCCGCCACTTCTCCTCTCTTTTGATTTCTTTTGTTTTCATCGATCGGGCCATTCTACCACCTTCCCGCTGTTCGGCGACCTGTGCTAGTCCTGGCGGCAACTTGAGCATGTCACTAGCCTCTTCGAGCAATCGACGTTCTCTGTTATGAGGAAGTCTGTTTGTCGCTTGACGCAGTGGATGATATGACGTCCGCGTGCCTGAGGTCCTATTAGAAAAGATCGATCTGGCTTGCCTCGATGATTTCTGCGAGACTCGTCGCTTGGGTGGGGACGATCGAGGGTCGGCAGACCGAGACGATCGAGCTCGAGATACGGTTCGTCCGACCCCTCTGTGACGTGGCTCTTCTGCGATAAGTTGTAAGGCCGTTGAGACTCGTTGGATCCGCGGTTCGTCAGGACCATCCAATCCTTCTCCATTTGCACCTTCACGAGAACCCGGTTTCTTGGCAACAATGAAACCATATCTATCAACCTCAGCGCCTTCGAGATCAGCCCAATCTTCAAGTCCTCCGGCAGTCTCTGTTGGCTCTTTGTTTATGTGGTCATCCCCTCTTGAGCTCACGAAAGAGCTAGCGTCGTCTCGATTGCGATTTACGGTCAAAGTAGATTCGTTGGCAATTAGGGTGATGCTGTTGTCAACCGAATTGTTTGGCAGGCTGTTTGTGTCCACATCCCAATTTGCATCACTCTCATTTCCGTGTTGGTACATCGAGCGCACTTTGCGCGACAACGTCATCTCATCTGCAGAGAGCACTCGGTGCCCAGCCCTTGCGCGTGCCGAGTATCGTGAAGGTGTGCGTGGTGTAGGTGACAGGCGATTTGCATTCGATATCACAGCAGGCGGTGACAGCACCTGTTGTTCTCGCTCTTGCTGTGCTGGCTCAGGCGCATTCGCACCTTCCAACACTAGGTTGATCTGTTTGCTGCGCCTGTTCGCCTTCTTGCCACCCAACATCATGCTGCCGCGATTCGAAAAAGATACCTGGGTCGATGAGGTAAAGTCGTCAAAGCTGCCGGTAGGTATATCCATATCAATACCCTGGAATGGGGACTCGTGGGCGTCGCTGGAATCTAGTGAACAACGCGACGATGGCTTGCGTGTCCCTTCTGCGTAGTTATCCTGTATTACAATGGCCGGGAGACTGGGGGTCCTGCGCACACTGGTGGGCGAGGAGGGTGCATTGCTCCTCGTGGTGCAATTGGAGGACGCCAAGGCTGAGTCCCTGCGATCATCGTTGTCGGCCAGCAGCTGCGTCCTCCTCAGGGCTGAAGACCGGGGCCCTGGACTCGTTCGCGGGCGGCGCACGCTGGTAAGCCATCCGCGCGGTGCGGGGCCCTTCAATGGGGGCTTTGCTGCGTTCGCGGGCACGCATGTGGGGGGTGAGTGTTGTGCGCTGGGATCTGAGGTAGTCGCAACCAGGGCGCTGCCAGAGAATGCAGCATTGTCATCCCTCATAGCGACGAGAGGCGCGGCTAGCTCTCATAAAGTGGTCACGGAGATGATGGCGGCCCCGGCGAAATGAAACGGCGCGAGGAGGCGGCTATCTGAGACTGCGGCGCGCAACCAACGGGCGGGCAAGCAAACGTCGCTCGCGCGGGACAGCGGCTCCGGTTGCTGGCAAGCAAAGCGACTGGAGAGAGGAAGGGCATTGAGTCGTAAAGGACATTCGGGACCCTGAACATGGGGAACAGGAAAGGGGGCACCGCGCCTTCCCCATGCGAAAGCAGTTCGCGCTTGCCCTAATCTCCGAATTGCATGCAGTAGCGTCTTATCGCACGCAATGCTATTCACTTGACCTGCAACTGCCCACTCACCACACCACACCTCAGCAATGTTGTCCTCTGTCCCACTTGTCACGCTATCGCTCAGCTTGTGAGAGCTATACACTGAGACGAGTCCTGACATCAAACGCCGGATTCAGCAAGACAAGCATCTAAGCGGCTATGGTCTCTAGTTTTCCCTTCCAATAATCTTAGTGTACCCGCCATTGACCACCTAAGGAAATGGTCTCGAAGGTTGAATGCCACGTCCCTGCTGATCATTCTATCTGCGAGTACCGCGTTTCGTGCGAGGCGGCGGTTGGGTGAGACCAGGGGGTTGTGGTCATAGGAACAACAGGCTGATGCATTAGGGTGTCTCCGATGTACCATTGCAACACCAATACATGTGGTTGCCACGCCGATGACCATGCTTGTACCCCTTACTCCACCAAACTACTAGAAAGCCCAGCAAAAGGTGTGGGAGACACTTCAGCTGCGTTTCCCCTTACCGCTTGTGCGACTGCTTGCTGATGAAGCTGGAAGTAAACTACGCAACCACGCATCCAGTACATTTCGTCAGGCCCTGCCCTGTAAGATCTTGTTTTGATCTTCTCGTATATCAACTCCATACTTGTATGAAAGCCAATGACAATTCATAGAAGACTCAACATAATCCATAGGGTAGATAGAATTCGGTACGAATTTAATCTCACATAACAAGCGGATCTCCATTATCAAATTTGGATCTCGAAGTCAGCGTAGAGGTCGTTGCCATTTATATATGCCCACTCGGTTTGCCCGGTCACAGATTTATCAGGGAATCTTTCGGGGACGTTCCATTTGGACGTACTCGTCGAACACCTCGATTAAGGAGGCGAAATCCTTCATTGAAGCATCTAGGATTCGTAAAACTTGCCAAAGAACTCGCGCATATCGGCGACCATCTCTTCAGGCATCTCCATACACGCAAAGTGCCCGCCATGCTCTCTTTCTGCAAACACATTAGCCCCAGATTTCATTTAGCGGAGCTCATACTTACCTTTGAAGAATTTGAGGTTCGTCGTAGTTGTCTCGACACCAGCCTTCGGCACAGGAAATGCATCGTGCGGGAATGTACTGACCCCCAGCGGCACTCTGATCAGATTCTCCTCCTTCGCATTGAACTCTGTATATACCTCGTGTCGCACATTGTTGTAGTAGCACAGCATGCTCGTCATGATACTCGGCGGCGTAAAGAAGTACAATGACAGCGTCGTACATACATCATCCACGTAGTCGTCTTTTTCCAGCGTGGCAGTCCCAATAGTCGGGTCAGCCAACTCCTCGTACTTCTCACCGATAAACATCATAATACCAACTGGGTTGTCGTTGAACGCTACACCAATCGTCTGGGGTCGCGTACGCATCTCGATTGCATAACCCATATGACCTTCGTTCAAATGCTCGCCCATCCACCACTTCGCACGGTCCATGGCTGCTTGCTCTTTCTCGTTCATCTTATATCCTTTTGGAGGTGCTCCTGGGCACATATTCGTATGTACTGCTTTGCAGGCATCGTAACGTCCGGTTCCGAGCTCGCGAACGACCCAGTGTCCCCAGTCGCCAGCTTGTGCGGCGTAAGAATTGTATCCGAGACGCTTCATCAGTACATCGTAGATACGTCCGGTGTCTTGTAAAGTCCAGCCTCGTGGCGGGCCTTGTGACCAGCAGAACCCGGGTAGCGAAGGTACGACCAGGTCAAATACGGGCGCTTTGGGATCATTGGGATCGAGCAGCGGGTGCATTACATTCTGAAATCTGGAGCCGTCAATGTTGTTCGAAGTTTCTCATGTATCTTTTCAAGACAGTAGGATCCAATACAGAGGGGGTTTGCTTACTCGTAGAAAGTGCCTGGCCAGCCATGCACTAGTAGTAGGGGAATTGCCTCGTTCTGCCTCGTCCTAGCCTTTTCGTGAATGAAGTGGACTCTCAGGTCCTCGATCTCGGTAGTAAAGTGGTGCCATTCAGATATTTTCTTTTGCGCTTCAGGCCAGGAGAATTTGTCTTGCCAGTGGGTTTTCAACTTGTTGATCCACTCCAGTGATGGTCCTGTGACTAATGAGTATTCAGCATTCCTGATTACATCGAATGTTGAGGCCCACCATAATCGTCTCCTGCATCAGGCACAATCGGTATCTCGGGCAGCCTCGTGTCCTTCAGTTTTCTGAACAGACGATCGACTTCTTCCTGAGGGATTTTCGGGTCAAGTGGCTTGATTTGTGTCATGACGGGGCCTTGACAAGCTTCTTCTGCCTCTTGTAGGTTGAGTTCGTTAGTGCTGCGATTCAAACCTTTAAATATGGCCCACAGTAGTACCCTAAATACGTATCTTCTGCTTGCGATCCCTAGTTTACATATCAAATGTCGCGTTCCGACGCGCTGAACTATGTGCGACATGCGTCATTGTCTTGTCAAATGGTACTGCGGGGATCGCGGCGCCTACTCCGCCACACCATCTTCAACCTCTTCAGCGTCATCCCGAAGTTCTCGGAACTGCCTATATTGGTTAGAGACACCTTGGTCTTGCGGGGTGAATAGTGAATGGAAGATCCAAAGATCGCTTGTATGTGATATAGGCTACTCAATTCAAGACTGAGCTCCGGGTAAGAGGATCTCTCAATTCACGTATGTGTACGATCGTGCAAGGTTATAGATGTAACTCAGAAGGTATGGTGGTCACCTACCTAAGGTACTTGGTATAGATTATTCGGGTACAAGGCAGTGCAGGAGATGTTAGCCAAATTGATACAAAACGAGTGTACATATGGTGAGACGCGAACACAAGCATCTGGATACGAGACCCAAGAATATCCCCGAAGTCTTGGTTGATTCTCTACTCGACATTCGATACGCGAGCGTCCTGACACCGATAACATGGTAGTCTATTAATACACGATTTACATTGGCAAAGGTTGCTGTTCACTGTGCAATAATCGTTCTTGGCTAAGATGTACGCACTTTTGCAGACCATACCTGACATACTGGTTCCCCTATCTGCCCACTCCATGTATCCCAGGAACCTAGAGAAAATGCATCAGGGTTCAGTAGGATTATGGATACTAGCAAACGGTACTTCCCTCATCCACGGGATATAAACTGCAGCGTGAGCCAGTGTCTCACTTTCCAACGAATCAAACTAGTTCAAAGGCCTCTATAGCATTTGTATTAGAATCTTGACAATCAATTTTAGGGTTCTCTCTATGTGCAGGTTGTCTCTCTGGCTGCAACATTTCACATCATGTCGTTCTGCGCTCCCATATGCTACCAAGGGTGTAGAACGGCATCAAGTAGGTACTTGGTGCCGTATGAGCTTCCTCTCAGCCTTTTCAAGTGTCTCATGAGATTCGTTAGAGCTCACAAGCAGTGACACAGGTGCTGCCTCTATTTACAGTAGCCAAATTCTTCTCACTCCCTCTTTCTCCTGCCTGCGCACAGGCACAAATATCGGACACAAAAGCCATTCTGATCTTGTCATGCTCTGTCACTCCTGGGTTGCATCGACCTCATTTTCTTGGAGGGATAAGAACTTATTCTTGCGCGGAACCTGGGAATGTTGCCGCTCAACCGCCTCGTCGTCTTTCTTTAGCGATCAGAGGCAATTACATAGGACAGCGGGGCGCTCTTGCTGATCGAAGCAGAACATCTAACGATTGAGCTTCAGGAGCGGAAATTACGGAATTGCTGCCAACTCGATCGCACACCTGGCTCAGTATGGTTCTGCCTTTCATTTCGGCCGGTCCAGAAGTAGTGCCAGTTCGTTACAGGAGGCGTTGTAGGTCGATCTGGCACAGTCGGCGCGGCATCTGCGCTTGTCGTTTGCGCCTCGACATCCGTTTCCTTCTCAGGTTCCTCCTGATAGAAGACCGTCCGACAAATAGGGCAACTCTTTTTGTGCAGTACAACCCAAGATATCAGACATTCTGCATGAAATTCGTGGCCACAATCCTTCAGCTTCAGTATCTCCTCTTGTTCGTATTCTGATCTAGCTGGCGCCATTACAGCCTCATCAACAAGTGTAGACTCGTTACTCAGCTTCGCGGGCTCTGGCGGAGAAGGCGCACGTAACGATGAGAGGCAGATTGCACTACCATTAGATCAGTCTTACTTCATAGACTAGCTTCTGTTGACTTACCATTCTTTTTCGAGGGTAGATTCGCTATCGGAGGCGATCTTCTCCTCAACTCTGTCCACACATGCCGCCTTTTCGTTTTCAATGACACTCGACACTTCCACGACTGATTGCAATCGCTCCCTGGCTTCTGAACGTTCTAGTGCAGGTAACTTAATTGGGGCACGCGCACGTTGTCTGACCGGTGTATCGCGTCTTCGTCTTCGAATACAGAACACACACAGGCTGATTGCTACGTCAGCCCATCACATGACTGTCTTACGCAACATGGTCGACTCACAAAGGCGCAAAGAAGAATACTACCAGAACCGGAATCAAGAAAGCCATGGCTGTAGGTGATACGACCGCTCGGTTGTCTCCCTGATCCCACCGCCGTGCTTCAAGCGTCACCATCCCTTCCAACCCTGCTTCTCTGACGACAGCGGGCATCCTTGCTTTTACAGCCGTGCTCCTTCTGTCTGCCTTGCACCTCTGGGGTCGAACTCCGGAGGTGGTATGTTCTGAGGGCGCGATCGGTAAAGTCGGCACAACGAGTAAGCGTACAGCCGAATGATGGTAAATCCCCAAAGTGATGTCCTAGATCGGCAGACTGCGTTGCTCCGCGTCTAGGTGTTCTAATTGTCGAAACCGACGTAAACAGAATTCCGCGGCCGTAGACGGGATGGGGACGACGAGGACAATCGGTCTTCTTATCCAGGCTTGCCTCTCCCCGCACCGAATCCCCTCTTCCGTCCCCCAAGCCCTCAGCCTCCACAGCCACGCTTTCCCACTACCTTGCCAGCACACTTGGCTCTGGGGAGGCTCCCCCCGTGCCCGCTCATATACTAAGACCCCAAACGGAAGCAGGTATTGTTTCTTATCACGCCATTCCAAGCACCTACCAAAGCTGCACGCGACTGCATCTAAGACTCTAAAGTTGCGTCCAAGAACAGCGAAGTGTCTCGGCTGACGCGTTCGCCGACAAAGGGTTGGGGCGACGGAGCCACTTAGTGCAGAGACGAACGTTTGGCGCCGAGGCATCTCGGCTCTGACGGCCTTGGTATGCCCAGCCTAGGCGGCAGAGGAGCGGAGAGGAGCGGGGCCATCAGGCGCAATCTGGTTAGCGTCAATGCGTGCTTGTGCGGCCTTGGGCTTATATGGACAAGAACTGCAAAACGCCTGGGGTCCTGTTACGGGAGGCGATAAGGAATGTCCCGGCGGGGTAGTTTGACTGTTTTTCTGTGTTTCGGAGGGGTGAGAGATACGACGGTGCTCGTATCGGGCCTTACGAAGGCCAAGGTTGCCCGATCTGAGATGCAGCCTGAACCCTGAGGGAATCATAACTGCAAACTTGATTTCATTCTGAAGTTCCCTTGGAACGAGATTGCTCCTGACTTGCTGCATAGCGCATGCGCAGTCTGCTTCGACGCTTCTGAAGCGGGATTCTTTGGTCCTGCTAAGTACACAGGCTGCACTGTGCGATAGGAGAACGTGCTGACTTGCAACTGTTTGGGGGAATTCACATGTTTTGAAGTTGTTGTGTTGACATTATTGCAGAGTGATATCTAGCTGTGGAAAGAAACTATTCAACTCCTGCTGAAAAAGGGCCGTATCAGGCGTCGAGGTATCGCAAGCTATGCATAGTTGAAAACGCCATTGCTCCAAGATTCATCATCATGAACAGAGCATACTCCCAACTGGGAGCGTCGAAACAAAACCCATTCACACGACCATGTTTATACACATGGCCTTATCTATTTCTTCTCGTTGTCTTCGTCTGTGCTGATCGCTGTACTGAGGTAGCGCTCGAAGACGCGAGCCTCAAGATCAACTGATCCTCTCCTTCCACTGTTGGGATCCTTCTTCTTGAAGTACTGGCGCTTGCCATACTTCCATGCCTCAACTCCAAGGAAGAACAGGAATGTGGCGATGAAGACTACACCCCACTCCCAGCTGATACCGGAGTGCCTGAACACCTTGGTGTTGATAACCGGGATGTACAGGACTGGGAAAATGGTGATAAAAGCTCCCATGATGGAGAAGAAGAGGAACTTGTTGCGCCACACATCATGGAACCACTGGGTGAAGTACTTCTTCGAGCCGGGCTGCATCATGAAGAACGAGCGGCGCATGTCAATCATCTGCCAGGCAAGGAAGACCGAGAACCAGGTTAGGCAAGCAAATGTGGTAGCACGGGCGCGGAACACAGTCGTGCAGCTGTCGTTGAAACCTTCGTTGCAGCCAACACCAAGGTTACCGTCACCGAAACCAAACATGACGACGGAGAAGGCAGCAAGGCAGAGTGCGGCGATCCAAAGGCCGTAGAAGAACATATCGATCATAACCTCAATGGTGAAGACACCGCGCTTGAGCTGAGACATATTAGCACACTGAAATCGAAAGAAGTACCAAGGGAGATAAACTTACGCTCTGGGGAGGACGATCCAGAATATCGGGAGCGGCAATCTCAAAACCAAGACCCATATCAGGAAGCGAAGAAGTGACCATAATAATCCACATGACTTCAACGGGAGATACTGGGAACACGGAAAGGCCAGTCTCATCCTTGAATGCAAGACCAATGAGCAAGACGCAGGCCTGAGCAATGTTCTGGGCGAGCAAATGCAGGATGAATTTCTGGATGTTGTCGAACATGCGGCGGCCCTCTTCGATAGCGTTCAGGATAGATGCAAAGTTGTCGTCGGTCAAAACAATATCGGAGGCATCTTTGGCAACGTCAGATCCAGTACCCATACCAATACCGACGTCTGAGCGCTTGAGAGACGGAGAATCATTAACGCCGTCACCAGTCATAGCGGCAAAAGCCTTCCTGCGGTGCAGAGCGTCGATCATGCGAACCTTGGTGTTTGGAGCGCAGCGAGCGATGACGAGAGGGAGTAGCGGAAGAGCGTCGACTTCGTCGTCGGAGAGCTTGTCGAATTGGGTGGCAGTCATGACCATAGCGTCGGTAACGTCCTTGGCGAGAGTAGACATGTTCGATGGCAGGATACCAACTTCGGCGGCAATCGCGCGCGCGGTTCCAGGGTGGTCACCAGTAAGCATGTGGACTTCGATACCAGCCTTCTGGCACTGGCGGACAGAGCCAGCAGTTTCTGGGCGAGGGGGGTCGTAGAGGCCAACGAGTCCGCGGAAGACGAGCTTCTCTTCGATGTTCTTCCTGTCGAGTTCTTCGCCCTTTGTGGGGAGTGGGCCGTCGTAGTCCTTGCTTGCAAAGGCCAAGACACGGAGACCGTAAGATGCGAGCGCCTCCATGTTGGCAAGAATTTCCTCACGGTAGTCATCGTCCAGGGTGACAACGTCGTTGCTCTCGGCATTGTAGACAGTATCGCAAGAGTAGATGACACGCTCGACGGCACCCTTGGTGAATACCTCTTTCTTGGAAGAGGCGACTTCCTCGAAGATGACGGACATCTTCTTGACATCGGAATCAAAGGGAAACTCAGCAAGCTGCTTCCACTTGGGTGAATCTCCCTGAGTAAATTGCAGGCGGTTCCAGTCGAAGCGAGATGCGAAAACCTGAATGGCGATCTCAGTGGGATCACCACGAGCATTCCATGTGCCCTCAGTTTGGTGGACATTTGCCAAGTTGGCAAGAGATGCGACCTTTAAATATTCAATGAGATGGGGGTTATCTTCAATCAGCTCCTCGTAAGTGTGTGTCTTCTCGTCCTGATCGGGGTCGATGTGGCGGGGCTCCTTTGATGTGAAGCTCAACGAGCCAACAGTAGGGTTGTGAGGCTCGTCGGTAACACCAACGGAGTATGTGCCCTTAGCTGGAATCCAGGCCCTCTTCGCGACCATCTTGCCTTGGGTGAGGGTACCGGTCTTATCAGAGCAGATATCAGTCACACCACCAAGAGCCTCAAGAGACTTCAGGTTGCGGACAATAACGTGACGCTGAACCATGCGCTTAGTACCAGCAGCCATAGTAATAGTCAAGACGACTGTAAGCGAAGCGGGAATCATGGACAGACCGGTAGCAACAGCGTAGATGATAACTTCGCGGTTGCTGGAGAACGAGTTGGCACCCAGGACGATGATAGCGCAGATGATGGCAGTACCGAAGAGAAGGATAGCAAGGCGCGCAAGCTTCTTCTGGAGAGGAGTGCCGACGTTGACACCAAGGAAAGCACCAACAACGTCACCAGCAGTCAGACCCCAGGCCTGAGCGTAACGGTGAGGCTTTGGTCGACTACCGTCCTCCTTTCGCTTCACCGGACGTACGCGAGAGTTCTTCTGGCGAAGAGACATAGCAATAGAACCGATTTCAGTATACATTCCAGTCGCGAAGACAACGCCACGGGCGCGGCCCTTGGTAACGGTGGCTGAGCTGAAGCAGACGTTCAGACGATCGCCGGGTCCAGTCTCTTCGGAGAAAGTAGCATCAGAGTCCTTCGAAACTGGGAGCGATTCACCAGTCAGGAGAGCCTCATCGGTTTCGAAGTTGACTGCCTCAATGATGCTGTATGTTTGTTAGTGGAAGTCTACATAAGAATTGAGCTCAATCTTACCGAATATCGGCAGGAATAGTGTCACCAGTCTTGAGTTCGACTAAATCGCCGACGACCACTTCAATGGTAGGAACGGTGACAGTTTTTCCGTCTCGGATGGCTGTGGCAGTTGGAGAACTCAGAGATCGGAGAGAGTCCATTGTCTTCTCTGCGTTGAATTCTTGGAAGAAACCAATGACAACGTTAAGAAGAATGATGGCAGTTACGACACCACCTTCAATCCACGACTCAATTGCGAAACTAACAGCCATGGCAGCAATCAGCACCTAGTGCACTGTTAGACCTAGTTCTTCTTCAATCCCACGGGCCTCAAGCTTACCAATGTCATAGAGTTGGCTACTTGTCGAAGCAGAATCTTTGCTGGCTGGACACCGCCATCATCTCCAAGATCGTTGCTTCCAAGCCTGTCAAGGCGAGACTTTGCCTCTGCGGTGGTAAGTCCATCGTCGGGGTTGCACTTTGTCTCCTCGATCACCTTCTGAAACGAAAGTGCGTGGGCTGGTGCTGATAGAGGTTCATTGGACTGGCCAGACTTGTGGCCTTCGAGTGATGGTTGCTTCTCTCCCATGGCGAATGATTTTGGTTCATTCGAATGCTAAGAAGAAGGTTGGATTGGACAAGCAATCTAGATCTGGGGAATGGAAGCCCTTTAAACACCCAGCTGGAGACGCAGGCGGGACATGGTATCGCAGACCATGACGGACAGCCAAGTATCGAGCCTTGGCGGGGTGGGAACCGGCGAGACGTCATGCAGGTTGGAGTGTGTTTAGCGTCTTCCGCTTGCAGTGGACTGGCACGGCGGAATCGACAAGGGCGTATACCCCCTCATTGCCACACACCAACCACTTCCTCTTGCAGAAAACATCTCCAAAGTGTGGTTAATCCCCTCTAACGGCGGGCGTTGTGACGTACGCGGGGTTCAATCTTGCGTTGATTTTGTGAATCCGTGGGAAGAGGCGAAAGCCTAGCCAAGAATTCCGCCCGCCAAACCACGCTAATTCCCTCTATGGTCTTGGCTCTTCTTATGTTGCCGATTTTCCGTCCATGTGTCCGTGCGCGCAGCCAAGTGACGTCGCTACTTCCCAATATCACCTTCACTCAACACCGAAGACCTGCCAATTAGATACTCAGGCCGCAGGTAGCCTTGTTGCCAAGATCAGTCTACCATCGCTCGCAGCGTGGCGTCCACACGGAGGGCCCACACCTCGCTCGCCATTGCCCACCCTGCGTTCAGCCCGACGTTGAAAGCTTGTCAGCAAACTTACTCAAGGCGTTTTTGCGAAGCTGGAGAACGCTCGGCAGTCAGCCTCTTCGTTTCTTATCGTCTCGATCGAGGCCGTGGAACTATGCCAAGTAGGTCACGGGCTCAACAACCACCAGGGTCCATCGGCCGAATTCGGTCTCGATTTCCACCCCGCTGTCTCCGTCTCCCAAGGAACAGAATCTTCTGGTGTCATTTTAGAAGCTCCAAGTGAACCTCTATATTTGGCAGCCCAACCACTCACCGGAGTATACCAAGCAACGGGTGAGCACGTTTGCTCAAGCTACCAATTGCGTTCGGACATTGCCTGCCTCATCACTCCCAACCCCTCAGGTTGAATATTGGTACGCTAGGCCTCAAGTATGCCGATACACCCACTCAGGTGATACTCCACTCAGACAGACCATATTCTCGGCTTAAGCTGTGGAGTACTTGAGGCTCTGCTGCGGGGCTCCAAATCTGACTGACTCAACGCACGAGCCTGATCCTGGTATTTGAAGGTGGACTCGTGCCCTAATTGCCGCCCACAATGTCGGACAGTCTACCCCAAGGTCGGACCTTCGGGCCACCGGAAGTTGCGTTGCCAGACACTCAAACGCAGCGTCAGTCCGATCGATATTCTACATCAAGATAAACTGGTTATTCGCACAGTGCAGATCCAGGTGAGGTCTGATGACGTCGTTCCGTTGTTGTCAACACAACTGTCGTCCCCTCTATTCTCCCACACCTCAACACATCCCCACAACTTTGTGTTTGTTCGCAGAGTCACTCAGTCACTGAGTAACGTAGACGCATGTTATAGCTAGCTTATTAGCAGCTGGATCACAAATCTGACTCTTAAAGAAGTCCGCGTCTCCAATATCTTTACAAGCAGCGCTTCCAGGTCGAATCTAGCCAAGGAACTTCTGCTGATCTCTTACAATGACTCTACAACAGCGATCTTCAGTCTTTCAGAGAGCTTCAGCTATGAAGTGAACCCTATGCGACAGTTGTAAAATAGTCAGCTAGAATCTATTTCAAGCAGAACAAAGTTTGCTGCCGTGAAAGTCGGAAAGTGTTGTCGACGTGAAAACCGACGCGTCGAGTCTTAACATGAGATTTTGGGACGTGTCTCTAGAGACTGTCGAACCCGATGTACATACGGCACAAAAGTAGATTTGGACTCTACCGTTTCAGAGCCACCCACACCCACAATATTACGAAGTCAGACCAGCTTATAGGCAAAAAAAACTTCTGATGCTTCAAATAAGAAACACAAGAATTGCCATCGTGTGCGTTGCAAAGACAAGTCTGAAGAATATTCACAGTGCTTATACAACTCAAGTAGCAGTCACTATGTTCAGACGTGAAAGTGAATGTAGAACGAAGTAGAAAGTGTATTTATTCATCATTCGTTTCGACGATCTAAGGGGAATCAGGTATCAAGGAAGAGACGTAACGTCCACGCCTCTCGGAGAAGCTATAGTGTTGTGAAGGAAATAACGGCGCCAAAACATCGTTCAAAAATACCACCCGCAGTTGGCTCGTCGACCGCCATTCAATCCACAACCACAGTCCTTAGTAAGGACTGTTCACAATGTCATCACGGCCCAGGTAGCTGCTGCGATTGCCACGTCTCGGTGTAGACAATTGGCCGACACGTGAAGGGAAGGCAATACTCTCTCGCGTGGGCTTCTGCAGTGCGCGACGGGCTACCATGTCGACCTCATTAGGAAGGGCAACAATAAGGTTTTTATCAGATCCGAACTTGAAGTTGTCGGCCTTGACCTCTTCTGCGTAGCGCTTGATATTGTATGGATCCCTACGATTTGCGAGGACCTTCTTCATGCTCCAGGTGATGATGAAAGGGCCAGTGGCCGTAATGATGGTTGTCTCTTTATCGTCAAGACCAGTGTTGAAATGTGCTGTAGTGAAGGAAATGGGTGCCTTGGTCTCGTGCTGGAACTGGGCGACGTGTGCTGGTGTCAGAGCGAGACGGCGAGGCTGTGGCTTGTCGTCTTTGGCGAACGACTTCTCAAAACCAAGCTTGCCATCATTCTTACCACCCTTCTGCAGCGCGTCGATGAGAAGGAGATATGTTCGAGTGGTGGCGAGCACCCATCGACCATCTGCCGAGACATCCATGCCGATGATGGGGTCTCCAAGAGCAGGTATGAGAGTCTTGGCATTGATGCCGAGACGATCAAACAGTCGAATATCTCCCTTCTCAGAAGCGACGGCGATATGACCCTTCTCTGTCGTGGCAGCTGCAGAGAAAGCATTCTTTGTAGCATACTGCTTGAGTTGATCGTCGACGAGCTTGTTGCCGTTCAAACGAGGGTCTACACGGTATAAAGCATTGCCAGAGAGACCCAAGAAAGTCTGTTCTCCACTCATTTGAGCAAATTTCTACAGTGATGTTAGCTTTGACGTCTCAGGATATTCGCATAATGGAAAACTTACACTCTCAGGGGCGAAGACCTTCACCGGAATGTCGTCATGAATGTTCCACTCGTCAACAACTTTGCCAGTCTCCAGATCCATGCGGTACAGCGAGTTGGGGTTATCTAGGTTCTGTAGGATCATATCCTGATCTTGTTGATGAAGCATGACCTTATTGGGGTTGAAAGCCTTGCCCTTGGGAGTCATGACATTGGATATGGTAGTCGAGAATTGTAGCTGGTTGTCCGCGGTGTGCTTAAAGACGCCGATCTTGTTGCCTCGGACGACGAAAGAACGATCATGCTTGTATCCAACTGCCAGCTGTGAATTTTCAGCGCCATCCTTCGGCGCAGTCTCAGTGTCGTCTTCGGACTCATCCGAGTCGTAGTGCTCACTGCGCTGGTCGTTTGCATCCTCAAAATCTTCCTCTTCATCCTCCTCCTCTTCTTCTTCCTCGGGGACGTCCTCCATGGTCATGTCTTGGAAAGCTTCAAGCACGTACTCTCGGTCAGTGTCTTTAGCCTTCTGCCATTTGACTTGGTTCAGATGTTCCCACAGGGCCTGCATAACACCGTTTTGGACACTTTCCAACTGCTCTTGATCTTTGAACTTTAGCAGCCAAGAGTAAGCTGATCCGTCTTCGAGGTAGTGGTTGAAGATGAACGACTTGAACTCGTAATTGAAGACCGGGTTGATGTCATCGACGATAGGCTGACCCAGCCACTCGCGCTCATCGCCAACGATATGAAGCCAGTATTGCCAATCCCCAATCTCAGTGACCGTAGCTGTCACATTGGTATCTTGCAACTTGAATGAGCCAGTAGGGAAATCGAACAGGTAAAGTTCGGCATTCTCTTCCGCTAGCAAGTCCAGGGCTCTAGGCTGCGCAGCGGACTGGGGCGCTGCAGTTGCCTCCTCCTCGGCCTCGACCTCCTTTGCCGGGGCTTTCTTGTTTGCCTCCTTCCTCGTCATGATCTCTTTTGTAGTATTCGGGAACAGCTCTTCGGCAGTAGGTGGCGCTTCGAGAGCTTTACGGGTCGGACTAGGGACTGGACTGGCGTCTGGAATAGGTTCTTCGTAGTATGCTAGAGCCTCAAGGTCCTCCTCGGTTGCGTGCTGATGGCTTCGTCTGTTCTTGCGTTCGTACTGACACTGTAAAGCAACGCGCTCAAAGAGAGCAGCAGTCTCGGGCTTCACGGAAGCGTCGCAAACAAATTCCCAGAGATCGTCTACGTCGCCGCTGAGATCGCGCCAAGCGAAGATCTTTTCACCAGTTGAGCGTACGTCGGTGCGGAACTGAAGACCCTCGTCGAGCAGAAATGTCTTCTCGTCCTTATCACCAGCAAGAGCGTCAAGGCCTGCGTCTTCGCCTCCTTCTTCTGCTAACAGATCCTCTTCTCCTTCCTCGTATGCGCGTTGGACGACGAGTTGATATTGAAACTCCTGCCCGGTGCGGCGGATGGTAGCAGCGGCGTCCTTGAAGATGAGCTCGGAGTAGCCCTTGACAGATCGCGGTCGGACAAGGTAGAGCTGGCCCTGCGAGATTTCGACGATGGTTTCCTTAGAGCTGTCGCCAAAGACCAGTTTGCTCACTAAATGCAGATGTTAGTTGCCGAGTGACGACAGCGGGGGCGGGGCAGGCGCAGGCGCAGACAAACATACAATTGCGGAGCATAAACATGACGAGAAGTGCTACGAAAGAGAGATGGACGTGGCAACGGGAGCTTGGCTAACTACTGAAGCACAAAGCCACTCCGCACGTGAGTGTCCATTCAAGTAAATCTTGAAAGTGGTTGTTATGATGGCGTAGGCAAAATCAGGGTCCGCGCCAAGCCAACGAAAGGACGCTAAGAGGCAGGAGCGTCACTCCAGGCTGAAGGCAATAGGCAACGACGTCTATGTGAATCCACTGATGCCTCTCTGCCCATCTTTCATTGTGCAGATGCGCGCGAGTGCCGCATAAACTGTTTGCTAACATGATCTAATACTAATGCCCTCGTACTTGCATAAGCCTAAAATAGGTCCAATAGATCTTGGTTGGACTTCTTGCTAGCCTCTGCCCCTGTTTGCTGCTGTGGAGGCGGAGGCTGATTCGATTGCATGTTCATATTTGCGAAACCGTTCATGATGTCGTCATTACTCATTTGCGCAGATGCAGCAGGTGCTCCTCCGCTTCCGCCGTCTCCAAACAGACCTAGTAGATCGTCCATATTGGATTGTGATTGTTGAGCACCACCCACTGCGGGAGACGCAACGCGCTGTGGTGTGCCGGCGAGACCTTCGAGACCCGACTGTCCTTGCGATGGCTCTTTTTGAAGCGATGCTGGAGCAGAGCCATCAAAGTCGATATCAAGGAGGTTCTCCATATTCGACTGAGGTGCTGTCTGTCCGCTCACTGCTGCTGCGACTGCCGCTGCAGCAATCGGGTTCTGTCTTGCGTCTTCCTGCTGCTCTTCGATAGCAGCACGCTGCATAGCTTCCGCACCGAAACGACCTTGGCCGAGGAAAGCCTCTGGCGGCTTATGGTAAACAGAGGCCAATGTCGAAAGGTCGTTGAGGAGGCTGTCAAGGAGCTGAGGAGGCAGAGAGCGGATTGTCGAGGTGATGGGAGGTTTGTCGGATAGTACGATATCCTTCGCGATCTGCGGGTCGCTCGAGAGCAATCGCCAGTATACGTAGGCTCGATCCCTGATATCAGGGTTATCGTTCTCAGCCGTTGCAGCCTGCAACACTCTCTGGACGAGATCCTGAGCTTGGTCTGGTTTCTTAAGGAAAAGCTTGACCACCGCAGTGAGAATTTGAAGTTGGGTCTGGATCTTGTTAGGCTTGTCTCTTACAAACACGTCTTTCAGCTTACCTGGGTGAACTCTTCTGCGAAGGTATCCACAAAGTTAGTGAGTATCTCCCCAGCATTGTTGATCTTCTCAGCGTACTCGCCAACAATCCAAATTAGCGATGCTCTTGCGTTGGGCTCGTCCAACTCATCAATGCACTGACACAATGTTGGAATGATTCCTTCGTATCCCGGATATTTTCGGAAAATATCCTTGATCACCACAATAGCTTCTTGGACGACGTAGTTGACTTTGGTGTTGATAAGATCCAGTAGGGTATTGACGCACTTCTCGCTGGCGCTCTCGATCTTGATAGCAACCTGCCCGATAGCTTTGACCGCTCTGCGGACGAAGTCCATGTCTACTTCGAGTGCGTACTCCTTCAGTTCTGCAAGTAGCTGGTCTACGTTCTTGTCGTTCGCTATCCGCACCATAATTTCCAGCTTCTGCATCTTGAGGTAATTGGGATCGTTGTATTTGCAAAAGAACACGCGCATTTCTTTGCTCAAGATGTCTGACTGCTTCTGTAGGAGGAGATCGATGTTTCGCAGCGCGACGTATTGCACTTCAGGTGCGGAAGAGACCAGTGTGACTGCCTCAAGTTAGCTACCAATACCACGTACGGAATACGCAACCTTACCCAGGGGTGGCGCCATCTTCTTTGTGTACGACTTCAGCAGCTCAGGAGAGATGTTCTTCATATGCAAGAAAACAACCTTGACAGCAGCTAAGACGACACTTGGATTGACGTGTTGGAATTGTGGAACAACTCGTTCACAGATGTGTTCTGCTTCCTTGATGTCTGCTGCCTTGTAGTCTGCCAGGGTTGTCAGAATTGTGACTCGCCCCCACTCAGTGCATTCGTTCAACGCCAACAGCATCTTCTTCAGTGTCTGCGGAGTAATGACCAGCGCCTTCGTTTCCGGAGATGTTTCCATGATTTCCACCAGAGCAGTGACCGAGTTCGCCACCACCATAGGATTGGGGTCACCAACAAGCTCCTGAAGCTGCTCAAGAAAGCCGTTCTCTAGGCACATTGCAGGTGAGAGATCGTAGAGCTTGGCCACGCACAGAGCTGCTGTTTTCCGAACATATGGCGATTCGTCTCTGAGCGTTTTTCGTAGCGGCTCTTCCATATAGTCCACCATCTTGTCTACCCGAATGCACCCCATCGTCCGTATCGCAAGCGCTCGCACGAGAGGGTTTGGATCTTCGGAGTCCTGTACGAAGGTATTGACGGCGAGAATGCATAAATCTGGGTGTGACTTTGCGTAGTTCCTGCAACGAATTAGCATCGCTCTCAATAGACTTGAATCAGGCGCATACATGAGATATAGGTATACCAGCTTTTTCTGGTCCAGATCTGCCGTTGCAATGTTCTTCAGCACATCTGGAAACAGAGAGGACACGTCCTTGCCCAGTGTCATGGACATGATAGTCTTCTGAATGGCTTCTTTCCTAGCACAGTCTCAGTATCATAGAGGTCTACTACGTTCCCGCGAGGAGTCGTACCGTTCGTATGCGTATTGGGAGCTACAACCATTAGTTTCGGACAGCTATATCGTTTCTTGGGGATTTCCATACACTAGACCAGCTCTCAGTTCGAACGTCTCGCCCTTTCTTGGAGGCGCAAATGCGCCTTTGATCCGATTGACCGCCATGTTTATGCTTTGGTTGCAGAGCTCAATCCCCTACGTGGACCCCTCCTACACCAGTCCCGTTGTTTCGTGGCTACAGCGGCCGCGGGGTTCGACTCGATCGCGGCGCAATGAGTGCGTGTGGTTCGGCGACACTGCGTGAATCGAGCGAAACGCGCTTTGGGGCTTGGAGATGCGCAGGTGCAGGGAAGTTATTGCTGATGTTTAACTTGAACGGAGGCCTAGGTGCCCATGGGCGATGTTCGGGTCTGTGCGACACTAGCCCAAGCTCATCTCCATATCGTTACCGCGTCACATTCAGCACTACATCTTGAACGCCAGAATGGTCCGTAAGCCTGCTAATTCAGTTTGGGCGTCTGACTGATTACAAACAGCCGTCCAACCTGCCAAACCTTCGCCGCCTCTTTGTCGAAGCACGCACTGATGCGGAAGAGAGTGAATACTCTAGAAATGCTGTATGCTTCTCTTCTTATTCGCGTCATTCCATCATATTAATAAGTCTTTGGACAGTTCTACAACCTTGTCATCTTCATGTCTTCGATAGCTGGCTTCAGCTTGGTTGCCCAGCGTATGATGACGAGCAAAGCTGTCGCTCTTTGATACAGCAACACTCAGCTTCGCTCGACAACCTCTATGTCTACCCATTCCCTGATACCATCCGCTGGACACTACGACTATCGACTCCTCATACCAATCAAGCTTGACGACCACGCCAGGGAAGTCCATGAGGCTGAGCGGAGGACCAGATTGTTGTCGGCCATCTTTTCCTCTGCTTATCCTTCGCGTTGAACAACCGCCTGAGCAGGGTCCGCCATTCAACCTCCCAAGTCCAAACCTTCCGCGCCTCATTCCACTCGACTTGTACCGGTACTTGGATTGGCAGGCTCGCCATTGGGTTCGTACTCATATTGACATTAGTCGGCGCCTCTTCCAACCGCTCCTTGGGGAGGACTCCGGTAGATCTGAGCTCTTCAAGCGTCTTTTCGCCGTTCCTGTCTCTCACTACGGTCGCAGATTCTAGATGCAGCAGCCTTCCATCCTCGCTGAGTCCAGCGTATGCCATCGCCAGCTGCGATCCCGGAATCGGATCGCCTGGCCATTTCAACTTGCTTGTTGCCGGATCTCGACGTGGGAGTGATAAGAAGATTTCAAGCATGTGGAGGTACTTGGACGTGAAAACGCGTTCGACGTAGTGTTTGTATGTCCGAGAAATGTTGCGGACTGAAACCCAAAGATGTACGGGGTCGTCATGTTCCAGGACCTGTAGCCATAATTCCGGTGGCAGAAGTGGCGTTCTCGTCGTAGAGGTCTCAATTTCGTTCTGACTGCGCATAGTCGTTTGGATGGCCATAGACAGGGTAGACTTGGGGAGACCAAGAGCCATAAATTCCATGCGTTCCGGTCGCGTGCTCTTATGACCAGTTCCTGAGCAATGAAGCATCACCCAGCCACATCTGACTCACCAGATAGGTGGCTTGGGCGTGGCGCAGCCCTGCATAAGTTCAATGTCATGATTATAATATGGAGTCATTACATAGTGTTATCACTTGTTTCGCGATTCAATGACCCGACGAGCATGAAAAATCGCAGATACATTGTTACACTACAGATCGCAGCAAAGCGCAACAAACAGCGGTGTGCCCACGAAGTAGGTCTGCATTGGGTATCCCCGAAAATGCATGTGTGCACCGAGAATGCCAAGGCCATGCGCATCCTTGCCGCTTGATCTGCATCTCTGAGACGAGCGCCACGTTTCGCTGCCTGGCCGCATGAATGCCTCAGACTACCAAGACTCCACCAGAACACGTCAAGGTAAACAAAGCATGCGTGGAAGCACATGCGAGCCAGCTTGAAGATGACCTGACAATGGGTGTAGCAACACGTTCAAGGCTGGATATGAGGCGGCATATTGTGAAGTAAGAACGCGAGTCTTGTATTGATCATAGTTTTACAGAGGTATCGTAAATGCGTCGAAAAGAGAAAGCACCTGCAGAACTAGCGTCTCAGATCCTTCCCGAGGACTGAGTTAAGCTGTCTGTGTTTGGCAGAAGAGAGTACTATTACCACGTTCCACCCTTAGAGCCCGAATATGGCTGTGGAATGCCACCGTCTAGGCGATGAAGTCACGAGCAGCGAACTTGGGACGTCCGAAACGCCCACGTCCGCGGCGGCCGCCACCCTGCTGGCCCTGCTGGCCTTGCTGGCCTTGCTGGCCCTGCTGCTGTTGACCTTGCTGCTGTTGACCTTGCTGCTGCTGGCCTTGCTGACCCTGGTTTTGGTTCTGGTTTTGGTTTTGGTTTTGGTTGTTATTGTTATTGTTGTTGTTATTGTTTCCTCCGTTGGCAGATACCTGGAACCGGACGCAATCATCTTGAGCACCTCGCTGGGCGACAGGCATAAGTACTGGCTGATGGTTGCTAGCCGAGGACATGCAGCAGACACGGTAGAATCCTTCAGGAAGGCCATCGGCTAGATCTGCACTCAGAAGTCCGTTGCCATTGCCGTTGTCGTTGATGCCCTTGAAGAATGCAAACTTCTCAGCGTCGAGTGGTTGAGTAGGGTTGGGGTTGCCGCCGAGATCCTGTACTGTGATGTGAGTATGGCCGACAACTTGACCTCCTTGAAGAGACTGGGGAGCAGCATAGTACGTGTTGTCGGGGTTCGTGAATGTTCCGGCTTGCAGGTTCGCGATCTGGACCGAGAATTTCATCGCAGTATCTGGAGCTACCACATCACCGTTCTTAGGGCTCGTGAAGACAGCAGAGACCATACGGCTTGCAGCAGGAATCTCTCCCATGGCTGGAGGAGGTTAGCTTTTTCAACTACTAGCGCTGTAAAAGACTTACGAATTCCGTTACACGACCCACCACGGGTCTGGAGTCCATTGGTAAGTGTCTTGCCGGTACAAAAGTTGATGAAGTTGGCATTGTCACTGCGATGAGATTAGCCTTGAGGTTTGGCTCTCAACGGGTAATACTTACGTATTAGAAGCAGCTTGTCCGGCTTCAGCCCCCCCTTCGAGACCTGTCGCCTGGCTATTCTTCTGGACATTGGCCGGGTTTAGAGCCAAGTTGCCGCCACCGCCGCCACCACCACCATTGTTGTTGTTATTGTTGTTGTTGTTCTGACCATTGTTCTGACCATTGTTGTTCTGGTTGTTGTTCTGGTTCTGGTTGTTGTTCTGATTGTTGCCGCCGCCGAACTGGCCGCCGCCGAACTGGCCACCGAATTGGGCGCTGGCGACACCAGCGACGAGCAGGATCGAGAAAACTGATGAGACTCTCATGATGATGGATAACGAAGATATGATAGGACGATGATAGGGTGACTAGAAAGTAGTGTTTACAAAAGAGTGGACTCCGACTGGCGGTAGATTAGAAGAGAACGCAGACACGGTCAACGTAATCTGAAATTAGAGGAAAGGAAGAAAGGAACGTAACCCTCGTTGAACGGTCCTCGATTGTGAAGGAACAAACGACTGAGGATGGTGTGAGACCAAATAACCTGAGCGTCTAAGGCATTTCTCTTATGTCCTTGGCGACTTACATGACGATATGGGACCTACTAAGGCGGCTGATAGTTCCTGGGGCACGAAACCCTGGTTGAAGGCCAACCTGTGTCAGGACCTGCCATTCAAGCATGCCTGAGGGGAACGCACGGCGTGCCGAGATGGCGCAGGCGCCAACTATTGGACTGAGGCTGTAACAGAAACCTCATCAGGTTGGCAATACGTTAGGCATGAAATCATGAGGTTGGAGACGGGTCGTGTGTGAGGTTCGAGGAAGCTCAAGCACACGGTGTTGGAGATCAGTTCACGCTAGCGCGCCATTGGTCCATTCGACATTGAGCCGCTCACTCAAAACATCCTACACTCCAGATTCTTACAACTTCGTCAATTGCGAGGATGGATCCCTCAAACCTTTGTGATGCCTTACGGTACATTCGGCAGTACAAGAACGCATAGCAGCGAAAGTCCAGGCGATCCCAACTTCTAATCGAGCCGCTCTGTCAATCTTGTGGATGCTGCCCCACTCTTGGTGGCTGTCGTTCCTGTCTCAAACCAGCCGTTGGTCAAGGCTCTCCTGCTCAAATGTGTCAAAGCTGTCGTTACGGCTACGCGGCTCTGACGGCTATCACTGTGGATCAGCTCGAAGCGATATGAGAATGACCCTTTTTGTAAACAAAATTTAATAAACTCTTCGAATCCTTTACATATCGCTCATGCAGTACGGATGTCACAACCCCGAGATGATCGAGCCCCAAATGCAACGTGGTATTACCAACACTGATTCAAGATCAGACCGTCAGGCGACCCTCCATGACCTGCACCGCTCCGCCTTCGAGATACACAGTCTCAATACCACCATCCTTCGCCATTATGACCTCGATGAAAATCTCGCTCCTACGGCCCATTTCGACGCCCTGGACCACTTCATACTGCAGTGTTTCTCCGGCCTTCCCCTCATTTAATGACAAGTAAGCCACCAGGTCACTCGCCGCCGACCCCGTGGCCGGATCCTCGAGCGATCCCTCGATGAATCTTGTTCTCAACTGCGTGGCTCCGCTCTCGCTCTTGCCTGTCCGCACATAGAAGTACTTTCCGATGAACGTCTCATCCCAACCCTGATCCAATCCCTGGATCTCAATATTCTGGGCTAGCGACACCTTTGCAAGCGCATCTACGCTCTCCAGCTCCACGAGGACGAACGTCATACCCTTGACGATAGACACGATAGGATAATCTTGCATCGCCTTCATCTCGCCCCTCTCATAAGCTGCAGCTAAGCTGGGCTGCATCTCAAACAGTTCATCTCTGCTCCATCTCTTCTGATGCACATGTACGTCGTGGGGGATGGCTGCTTTAGCCGTCTTCTTGGCCACGTCATACCGAAGTCCAACAGGGCCTGCCTTTAACTGGAAACCTGCGTTGATGAATCCACTCTCGATGCCGCGCTGTTCAGCAATCCTTGACAAAACATAGCATGACGTGCCAATCGTGGGGTGGCCCGCAAACGGCAGCTCTTTGGTTGTCATAAATATGTCCACGGCCCATTTGTCCTCAGCTGCATCGGTTGCGTTTTCGTGGAGGAATGTTGATTCTGAAAGATTGAACTCGCGTGCAATTTTTTGTTTCTGCTCTTGAGTCACGCTGACGCCGTAGGGTATGCGAATGATCGCTAATGGGTTGCCTTCATACTGCTTGTCTGTGAAAACGTCGACAGTAACAAACTCTAGCTTCAATGAGGAACCCATGCTGGCAAAAAGGCGTAAGGAGCTAATGGATGTTGGCGTGTCGTCTCAAGCTGACCTTATAGAGAAGGTGAGGTTGTTTGTGATGACTCATCTAAGCTGTAGCTGGGAGCGTAGGGCGTGGAGCTAGTAGTCTACAAGATTCCTTCTCTATGTGCCGTGAAGCCTGTATTAGTCAGCCCAGGTGTTGAGCATGAGTCTAACATCAATTCCTGCGCCTAGACATGTTGCAGTAGCTCGTCGCCGCTTCGAGTTCCATGGTCGTCCTTGTAACATTAATGGGTTGGTCTCATGGTGACGGAACAATCGTTTTATGACAACATCGCTTGTATGAGTGGCGCTTTTTGTACAGTATACCTTGCTCACGCCTGTCAGTCAGGTTCCGTTCATACCTGCGTGAAGATGGCTGGTGAGCTTTTCGGAGATGGCCATTACACAACCGTTGCAGCGCCGTTCAGCGGTCAGCGCGCCCAGACGAAGCTGATGGCAGCCCCGCGCATACATACGTTTTCCAGTATTAGTTTGATGAGTCCAATGCTCGTGTATGCAAGAGCACGGCGTCCGGCGCTGCACCCCCTCATGATGTGAGAGCTGAGTACTGCGCCCCCGAGGTTGAAAAGCAGATAAGCGACCTTCAAGCTTACAAACTTCAATACAGAACTTGTAGCTATCATAATACTAAAAGATAGAATTCATTTATGAACTACATCTATTGTAGGCAAAAAAGAATCCTATTCAGGTTTTTTGCGTTCTCCCTACGTTACTGTCGCATAGTAGGATATCCGGCTCATATCCTTTGGCCTGCAAAGTAAGAGCTGCGCCCTAGGCAGTATATCGGAACCTAGGTACTCAAGGGTGCCGTATACGTAGGCAGCTGACACGTGCTACCTCATCTTCATCTTCATCTTGGCGACGACTCGAGTAAGTTGTCATTGATCTGCGCTGGATGGTGTAATGAGTACCTAGCCAGTGTGCGTTATTATCGCGTTCTGTGGTCACGGTGATTCCTCATTGGGATAGTTGGGTCACGACAGATCGTAGTGCTCGACGTTTGTTAGGCGGAGAGCCCGGATATTGGGCTGCTGTGGTACATTTGCACGCTTAGCTAGAGCGCCAACAGAACCAAACACCGACCTCGACCTGGAGATCCCGCGAAACACGACTGCATTCTTTGGTAGAGTGTCCCGCGTTAGAGGCTTTTGGCGTTGTTGTTGAACTTGGTATCTCCGCGAAAATCTTTGTTAAATTGCGGAAGGCACTTCGATCGCTTTGCGCCCGTCAAGCGTGTTGATCGGCAATTTACACCCAAACAGAAAGCCACGTCTGAGCGTGGTCCCGCGAAGCCATGCCCGTCAATCCTACGATCTGTAATCTCATCGTTGCAGGGCTGGAACGTGTGGATTACAATGTTTGGCGCCTAATTTGGTCTGCAGGTGGGGAGTCGTTGCTAAAAGAATGGTGATGCGTGTATGCAGCCTTGCGTGACACAGATGACATGTTGCATTCGTTTGGCGACAACGTTGTCGAAGCAGGTGTTCGGGTGCAAGTCCAGTCACAGTGCACTGCAGCCCCTCTCTGGCAGCCGTCAAGCTACCCAGCCGTTGTTGATGGCTACGCGGCGCTCAATCGCTTGCTGCGGTCTTAGTCCGAGGCTATATGGCGGCTGTCAATCTCCCCATGCGCCCTATGGCCTGAGGTCGGACCGCCATCGCAGTCGCGCGTACCAGAGTTGAGTCGCGTTGTTGTTGTGTGTTGTTGCTGTCATGGACAAGATGAGCAATGTGCCGTTTCCAATACTGGCCGACGGCGTACAGGGAAACCCACGTCTGCGGCGATGCTCGAGCCTGGCCCAGCACGGGTGACCTTCAGCGTCGCTACAGATGCCGTACGCCTCATTGAGTTTTACAACGATGGTGACGAGGCTGCCACAACGGGCAGCAAAGTTTGTAGCTAGCTATGTATGGCGTAATTGCGACGCGGGTGACAGAACCTGAGGCATAGTATGGGATAGAGTTCTGCACGGGCTTCTGAGAAAGCCCGATGAACCTCGAGTCGTTTTCTGGCGTGCTGCAGAGAACATGCCAGGGCCACCTGGTCTGTTTCAAAGTGCCGTTTGTATTCAGGCGGGAGGATTATCTGGTTGGCTGTGCGGGAGTGAGTGCGCGTTCCTAGTGGTCGGCGGCGGCGCTTTTCGTCGTGGAGCACCCCCGAGTGCTCTTTCGCGCATGAACAGCCGTCCGTGGTCGACCGAACCAGTCTAGGCCGTTAGGTACCTTTGGCGCGTGGGCAGCGACTCAGCGGCTTTTGGGGACAACTGAACCCTTTTCGCGCACGACTGGCTCGCTTGTGCAACCCGCCGGCTTTCCAGCGGTCGCCCATGGGACTGCGGTTTTGACAGCACAGAGGCGTGTCACAAAAGCCGGGCGTGTCCATGAAGAACATGTGGACGCAGGAACCTGCGGCCGACTGCAGCCCCACCTGCCCCAACCGCTGCAGCTGCAGCATACGAGGAAAAAGCACTCCACTCATAGGCCGATGGCCGAACTGCTGACGTGACTGCGCTGCCACGCTGCAGCACTTGGGCAGAGGCGCAAAGGAGCGTTTTAGTTTAGCCTTCCCAGCTCCGCGACGTGAACCCTGTCGGCCTAACTCGTGTAGTGCCAGCGCCACATGCGCGTCCGTGATAGTCGCGTTAGCGGCTACCGAGAGGTCCAGAAGAAGCGTTGCAGGGGTTCGCGCGCAGAGCATCTGCGGAAGAAAACCCTTCGAAGCCCTCGACGGCCAGTGATGCTCTTGCTCGTCCAAGTACTTCGTCACACAGCCTTCGAACTGCTCTCGACCCACCGTTCTCTTCTCCCCACCGCCGCCACAGCACTTGACGTTGCTTGACCCGCGTTTGACATTCGTTTTTGTCCATCGCCCACTTGCATCTCCTCCCCGGACCAACACGGCGAGAGGACCAGGATCACCAGTCTGGATACTCCAACATCCGCGCAGCACCACCCCGGACCTTCGACTCGAGCTTGTTGCGACGAGAGCTGTTGCAATCTCCCGCAGCTTCACTTCTGCCCATTTCCAGGTTTTTGCGTTTACGCACCGCACCTTCCTTCTCTTCACTTCTGTCACGCGTTTGCAACCCCCGTTCTATTCGCCAACACAGCGACTCGCGGATTGACTCGTCTTCGCCCGAAACTGCATCTTCCAAGTTCTGCGCTCCTTCACCAAGGCTGAACATTCCTTGCACGGCGCAGGTGCCCCAAGCTTTGCGGCGCCGCTTCCACGACTCGCCGAAACAAAACGGCGCAGATCCTGAATAGGTGTCTTCCTTTGCCTGCTCACCAAAACACCATCATCATCATGTCTTCGACACATTCTCGCAGTGGGTCTGACGACACAAGCGCCACCTCCATGTCCTACATCCTGGAACACGTGCTGCAGTATCCCGGGACTTACGAGATTCCCCTGCGAACCATGTACACACTCAACTGTGTGCCCCGCGCTCAACCTCTCCCCAAGGACCTTTCCCGCGGTCACACACCAAGCAATAGCACCGGCGCTCCCTCACCTACTAGCGGACAGTTTGCATTGAACGGGTCAGAATCCACAACCATGAACTTCACGACTGAACTCATGACTCACCTTAACAAGCTGCCTCTGCAGCCAAGCTCACTACCACCTACCTTCATTGTCAATTTTGTCAGCCGCTGCTTCCACCCTGACTTAGACCTCGTGGACTTCTCCCAGGCTTTAACGGCCCTCGACTACCTGAGGGACCTGGAGAACAGGAGACGCAAAGAGATGGTGGCGGCTTTTGAGAGGTTACTGATCTTTCCGGACTCGTATGAGCGTGACATGGAGACCATGGCTGAGACTTTTCCCGGCATCGCCCTGTGGGTGAGGAATGCGGAAGCCAAGAACCTGAAGGCCGAAAATCTATATGCTCAAGTCTACGTGGGCATTCGTCGATGGGTAAGCAGAGCATTTTGAGTAACAACAACGTAAACGCTGACGAGAAGAACAGATTATGATCAATGAGTTGGGCGCCCAGCCTTTCCACAAACTCAATTGTGTGGGTATGCTCAACACACTATTGCCACCCATGCATGATTCGTCAAGACTTCCTTCACCTGCCATTGAGCACCAGACGTTGAAGGATGAACGAAATGCATTTTTCGAGTACATCAACCTTGTCCAGAAGAGCGGACCTGGTGTCCTTGACACTATCATCAGCCACAATGCGGAGCCTGACGAAGCGTCGGGCTGGCCTGCGGTGCAACGGACCGTGGACAAGTACTTGAGGGTTGCTAAGAACATGATCGATGACTGCATCGCCACTACTGGCCCCGAGTCTTTCAAAGCCTACGCAGAGGAAAGGAAGGGCAAGAAGACGGATTCAGGTGTCAGCTTTGGCTCTGAGCGCAGACCAAGTGTGGGGCTAAGTGCGCATGTGTATGCCGAAGAGCCGACGCCTACCTATGCACCTCCGCCCAAGGGTGCCTCCAAGCTGGAGAGAATCACGCGCGAGTTCAAGCGTATGCGCGTAAAGCCTCGTCCGAGCGTCGAAGAAATCGTTCAGGTCAACTCTCGAACCGACACCGATTACGTCCCACAAGTGGCCGAATCCAAGGGCAACAAGCTTAAAAAGGCACGGTCTTTTGCCAGTCTCAAATTCGGCAACAGCAGCTCTTTGTCCTTGACCAGCCGGAAAGGAAGTGATGCAAGCGAGGCTTTCGACCCGGAGCAGATGAAGAAGGCCCGAGCCATGTACGATGCATCAGTGAACAAGCACTAGACTCTTTACAGCTCTGCCGCGATAGGTCTGGCGCTTGCTTCTACCAATCTACACGCCCCGGGAGCCGTGAGACTGGCGGTCTCGACACGAATTACGACAAATTTCTTTTGTTCACGACGCAACGCATCAAGAACGGGATCTTACCTGAAAAGGCGAGATACCAAGGGTGCAGACGTCAGACCACTTCTGTTCGCTCGCATTAGGGGTTAGCAGGATACGTGGTCTTTTCCTTTTCATGTTTGTTTTTTCATCATACCGAGGTCATCGATCCGGTCTCACACCGACATAGTTGGTGCAGCATCTCCTTCTGTCTAGCGGGCGTTTTTACAAGGGGTGACTTTCATTAGTCGGAAAAGGAGTGATTCCCAGGGTTCCATTGTTACTTATTCACATCACAGGGCGGGTTTGTTCCTTGTTTGCTGGGCGCGAAGAGCGGCGCCTCAGCATGTAATTGCATGGGTAGGCGCACCTCATTTTCATGGGTTTCCCTCGATACCAAGCAGCGGCAGAAGATAGTACATTGCATGCATCAGCATGTAGAAATATACATAATTCCAAATCATACTGGCATTGAACGCGAAGATAAACATGGTCATTTCTGCAAACATGCTCGGCACCAACTCGTGAGGGCGTGTTGTATTGGCGTTTTGGTCCACGCCAGAAACAGGAAGGCGCGTCTGCCCCATGTTGATGATGCATCCTCTTTACATCAGTTAGCCAGCATAGCAACGCGTATTTCTTTCATCTTCTTTGCCGCCTCCCACGAACCCAGCGGTGCCAGTACCTATCCAACTACAACACCCAGAACGCACGATCATTGCTTCGTTCGTTGAGTCAGTGTCAGTCTAAATTCTGTGGAAACGCATGCAGGTACAAGTGCCCCGCCACTCTGCAGCAACACCCTGCACGATCTGCACATAGCATCACATCCTAGCAGCGCAGATCACAACACTCACCGGACGCCCTCCACACTTGCAATCTATCTTGCGTTGGTGGTTCACGAATATGCAACATCGACTGACACCGATGCGATACCAGGTCTGTCCGCGGGCACAACCGCTGTGGCCATGGGCGCTCCAGGTCTGGACGACTGCATGATATCGACGCGTGATGACGACGACCGCTTCGCCCCTCCTTCCTCGGCGCAACTGGTCCCCTCGAAACGCGCAAGCAAGTCCCGCGCACCCACCTCGCCTACGGCGGGCCGCTCCAGCCAGACGGACCTTCTTCGACCCTTGGAACAGCAGCTTGACTGGGCACCAACGCGCCGAGAACCGGCTGTCGGGGTCGACATCCTGGCGCGCATCGCGTAGTCTGAAGCTGGGTGAGCAATACAAAGGCGGCTTGACTGGTGGTGGGAAGCGAGTCGCAGACACCGTCGGAGCTGGCAGTGAGGACTTTGGCAAGGATGGCAGGAAGGAGAATGGAGACTGGGAGAGGGGTGCCAAAGGTTTCAGAGTGGGTGGTCAAAAGAGCCTACCAGAGGTTTGGAGCATCAGCAAGGCTGGCAAAACACCCGTTTTAGAGAAGGGTGATTTGCAGGAACAGCATGGCCTCAAAGAGTCTCCTGGTATGTACAACGATCTGTATCTTCTATGAGCCTGCAACCATCTTTGTTGCTAGTTACTCAATACACTTTACTGACGTACATGCAGAATCTGGTTCAGACATCTATGATGATACCCTTCAGCCACCATTGGTGCACCAGGAGAAGCACATATTCCAAGGGTTGTGCTTCTATATAAATGGCTCGACAGCCCCTTTGGTCTCCGATCATAAACTCAAGCACTTGTTGTCAGTGCATGGTGCCAGGCACTCAATTGCACTAGGGAGGAGGACTGTCACACACGTCATCCTAGGTACAATCAGTGCGGAGGGGGGCTGCGGTGGTGGCCTGGCTGCCACCAAGTTACAAAGAGAGGTTACAAGAACTGGCGGGAAGAGTGTGAGGTACATAACAGCAGAGTGGTAAGTTCCTTGTCACTCTAGGACGCTGATCCAGCTCTGACTGCAAAAACGACACTTGAGCACGTTCAAGTACAATTTACTGACATATGCAGGGTCCTTGAGTCCATCAAAGCAGGCCGCCGCCTCCCTGAGTTACGCTTCGCGCCACTCAAGCTTGCGCAGATATCCCAGGGCAGTGTCTTCGGCATGCTGAAGCGCCGCAACGCCACGGCGTACGAATGAAGTTGAGCAGTCGCTCTGCACAGCAAGTTAAGCGACGACGGTGTTGCCGGTTGACAGACTTCTATGCAGCGTGCATGCTTAGCTCGAGGCCCTGAGCATACTACTCTAGTCTTTCCCTGAAGCTTATCCATCTGCACACCACCGCATACCCGCTACGCCTTCACCTGACCGCCCACTAAGACACCACTCAAAACTTCGAAACCTTCTATAAATCCCTGACGTTGATCCACGCGAAAGGCAACGCCATTTTAACGTTTCGGTGAGCTCTCGTATCGAGGACGCGAGTGAATAAGCTTCACATTAATCAAACAATAACGTTTCTGACACTTTTGCGCAATTTTAAGTTCACGGTGGTGAGAACGTGGTGCGCGATCGCCTAGTCTGAACCTTGGACGACTGCATCCGGAAAGCCTCGCTCCTCGGCGCCACAGGGTAAAACTCGAAGCCTCCGCCACTTCCGGATCGTCACTCTGGAGGGGGTTATTCCACATCTGCGGTGGTGTGGCATCCGCCACATGGTCTAACACATGGTGGAACTCGACCGAAGAACAGCCAGCACGAAGGGTTCACCACAAGCCACTCTCCACCAAAGAACCAGTAGTCTTGTAGGCTGCATGTACCCGCCATTTGTGACCTGGTATCGGACCTTGTGTGGGTCTTTGGCACGATAGGGTCCATTGCGGGCGTGAACTTGTGGGAGCTCTAGTCAACCAAACCTCAGCGTCTATGGCAAGTCTTCGGCGTCTAAAATCTGGCCTATTCCGCACAGCAGCTAAGCTTGTAGTGTGATAGCTGCGCGACAATGCATGCTAATGGTTCACCCCGAAATCCTGTGAACTATTGGCCCCGAGATATCTTGGACTTCTGTACAATCGCAGAAGGTATTCCCTGATCCCCGCCTCGCATCGCGGTTCACGCGTGGGGCCCGTCTTGACTTGCATGCTCGCCACACTTGTCTAGTGGCAACCAGCAGCACACGGTCGTGCCCAGGTATTTGGAACCTGCATGTGACCGGGCACCGGGGCAGTCTAACCCAGTGATCACATGACTGGCAATCATGGTGCTGAGACGGTCATGGTGTGGCGTTGCAAGTTCGGTTGCAGTCCTCCCAGCTCAGCGTTGTAACTTCCCGAAATCTTTTGAATGGATTTTCTCAAGTATGATACACTATCGTCTAACTCATCCGTCAGACTGCAGCCTTCGAAGCTGCTTTAAGCACCCTGTTTCCCATTGAGAATCAGTGAGGGCGCATATATGCATTGACGTGAGCAAAGTTCGAGGGTCGGTGACGAGGTAGTGGTCGGTGATCTTAATCATGAGGAGAAGAGGGACACGTGCGCGTGCTGTAGGCTTGTGATCTCTGACATCCGAGTGCTATGTTGATTTCGATACACTTAAAGATCGCAGTGGCCAATGCAGGCTTCCTTATCCATGTGCTGCTTGAATTGTCAAAAGCGTATTGTGTCCATGCTGAGGTATCTAATCATGCACGTTGTCTACCACAGGGTTGTTGAATAGCATGTCAGAATGGCATTGTGTTTTGACTAGCATATCTGCCCAGGTTCACTTTGGGCAGTTGTTTACTGTTGGTATCTCTTGGAGTTACTATGCGGGTGCGTAATCTCGCAATAACATCAGTGGTGCTGTAATACGCACCTCGGGCACTCGCGTGTACGCTCACTCGATCCTATAGCCGGTACGAGAGTGAAATCCCAAACGCCAGCTTCCAGTTTTGTCATCGAATCCGTAAAAGAAGTGGAGCTCATAGTCATAGCAAATTGGTTGACCAAGACAGTGTCTCAGTCTCAAGCAGCACCCTTGGGCTTTGCTTTGGCCTGCTTCTTGGCCTTTGCGTCTTCTTTCTGCTTCTTTTTCTTCGCCTCAAGCTTCTCATCAGCCTTTCGCTTTAGGCTCGCCTTCTCTTCAGCAGTCTTCTCGACCGGCTTGAAGAAACCCTCCAGTCTGCTTTGCTGTGCAGTCTTCATGTTCTTTTGTAGTTTCGCGGCGCCATTGCGCACTCGGTCCTCGTTGAAGTGCTTCTCCTCGACGAGGAATTTGACAAGACCTTCGACATCAGGAGCTTCCCACTTGAAGTCGCACTCGGGCGCATCGGCGGATCGTACGTCAGGCTCAAGGAACAGAGTGCGGGCATCTGCAAAAGGCCAATCTTCGGGGATGGTGAGTTTGGTGCTTGTCTTGATATGCTCGACGACACCTTCGAGATCTTTGTGTTCGCGGATCATCTTCAATGCGGTACTAGGGCCGATGCCTTTGATGGGGTCGAGGTAGTCGCAGCCGAGCAAGATGCAAAGATCGATGAACTGGAAACTGTTAGGCTCAACCTTATCATTCCGCTACGTCGATGTTCTTACCTGCTTGTACTCCATGTCTAGTCCCTCAAGCACCTTGTCAAGGTGAATCTCGAGGATGGGCTCCTTGCGCTGCTCACTAAAGGTAAGGTGTCTTAACAGAATAGGTGTATTGAAGGTCAATGTGTCCATGTCTTCTGACGCTGCAGCATACACCTTGCCGCCTCTTGCAAGCACTGCACATTGTGCCTCAGCTTCGGTGGGCGCAATGATGAAGGGGATGCCCATGAACTTAAGCAGCTGTTGGCATTCAGCGTTGTGCTCCCTGGTGACTCGGACAGTCCTTCGCGAAAATTTCTCGACATCTTCTGCCGTGCCTGTCTCCTTTGCTTCTTCCATGCCGGCCTGCGCCTCGGTCTTACGCTGGAATCGTTTGGCGAGCTCGCCGGACTTGAGCTTTGGTGGAGCGCCATCGAAGACGTAGAGTGGCTTGATGCCATTGTCTACCATACGGAGTGTACGGTAGAAAAGGCCCATTAAATGTGATGTCGTTTCGCCGGTGTCGCTCATGAGTTGCTGGCCATCGGATCGTACAGCGATGAGAAAACTGTATATGCTCATGGATCTGGAAACGATCAGATTACGCGTGGATTCATGGGTTAGAGCTACACATACGCATCCTAGAGATGTCAGCTGGGTTTTCTGAGAGAGTGTATAAGGGTTACGTACGATAGCAACCTTACGACCGAATTGATTCTTGATTTCACCCGTCTTGACCGCGCCAGGCGCATGCTCTTGTATGAGTTGGAAGAGGTGTTTGATGCCCATGTTGAATGTGTCAAACACTCAATTGTGCGCCGCGGAATTTGTGTCGGCTGGGTCCTTGCGTGTAGGGCAGCTTGTGTACAGGCAGCAGTTGGAGGCTGGTGGAGGAAGTGACGGTCGCACGGACGACGTCACGTCGAAAACGCGTGCAGGGATTACGCGCAGTCACGTCTCACGACCGTGATCCTTCGCAGCGATCAAAAAGCAGCCTTGGTTTTATGGCAAAGCCGACAAAACATTCGTTGGGAAGGTCCTGCCTTTTGTCTGGTTGTACGACACAGAATGCATCAGAGGGCGTGTGAGCCGAGCTTGAAAAGATCATTGACCGGCTCGTCGACATTCATCTTACAGACCAATACAACATGAATGATGCTTTCACAAAATTGCAAGCTTCTGATATGTGCGATCGTTATCGTTAGTCGCCGTGCGCACACAACCTGGGGTCGGGCTGATCGTCGCCACACTGCGGCGTCTGTTCCGATGAGCCGCGGTTCCATTCTTGTCCGATTACACCTCGGAAGACTGAGGCCCAGCGTCTAGTTTTATGTCCGAACGCATCAATTGAGCCATCACTTTAACTACCCAAAATACAATATTGATATCCATACTCTAGCAACATGCTCCGACCCCTTTGCAGGCATGCCTCTAGGCCATTGACTTCGAGCATTCGCTCTGCAACTATCGGAAAGCGGCACATGACTACACCGGTGTCGTTCGACTGGAAGGACCCATTGAACATCAACAGCTTGCTCACAGAGGAGGAGCAGGCCATATCGGAAACAGCAGAATCATACTGCCAGGAGCGCATGCTTCCACGAGTACTCGGTGAGTGGACTTCGTTCTTCTACATGCAATTGCTGATGTAGTTCTTCAGATGCATATCGCAATGAGGACTTTGATAGAAAGATCATCGAGGAAATGGGCGAGCTGGGATTGTTAGGCGCAACAATCCAAGGCTACGAGTGTGCAGGTGTTAGCAGTGTAGCTGCTGGCCTCATCACAAGAGCAGTCGAAAGAGTAGATTCAGGGTACCGCTCAGGCTATTCGGTGCAAAGCTCACTCGCTATGGGTGGTATCGAGGAATTTGGCAGTGAGGAGCTGAAGGAACGACTCCTGCCGCAGATGGCTAAAGGAAAGTTGCTAGGATGTTTTGGTCTGACCGAGCCAAACCACGGCTCAGATCCAGGATCCATGGAGTCTGTTGCAAAGCCGCATCCTACTAAAGAAGGATATTACTCACTCTCTGGTTCTAAGACATGGATCACAAACTCGCCTATTGCTGATGTCTTTGTTGTGTGGGCGAAGCTACAGGAGACAGGCAAGATCCGTGGCTTCGCCATTGAGCGAAAGGACTGCCCGCCAGGTACTTTGGAAACACCGGCAATCAAGAATAAGAACGGCCTTAGAGCCTCTCTGACTGGTATGATTTTGATGGACGGTGTCCCCGTCCCGAAGGCGAACATGTTTCCAGACATCGAGGGCCTGAGAGGACCCTTCAGCTGCCTGAACTCCGCAAGATATGGTATTGCCTGGGGAACTATGGGTGCTCTGGAAGATGCGATTGCAAGGACTCGCGAGTATGCTTTGGACAGGAAGCAGTTCAAGGGCAACCCCATCGCCAAGTACCAGCTCGTGCAGAAGAAGCTGGCTGACGCAACGACTGACGCTGCGTACGGTATTCTGGCTGCATACCACGTGGGACGGCTCAAGGATGAGGGCAAGGCTGCACCGGAGATGATCTCCATGATCAAAAGGCAGAATTGCGACCGCGCTTTGGTCAACAGTCGGACGTGAGTGTGGCACGCTGTTGTCAAAGCATCTACTGACCATTGAATAGGCTTCAGGAAGTATTTGGTGGAAACGCAGTCTCCGACGAGTACGGCATTGGTAGGCACGTGGCAAACTTGTTTGTCACGCAAACATACGAAGGCCAGAGTGACATCCACGGTGAGTTTTTATGCGAACGTCCAATTGCCTGACTAACGACAGACACAGCCTTGATTCTCGGTCGCGCAATCACAGGCATACAAGCCTTCTGCTAACTAATACATCATGTTGAAGACGGATAGTTGATGGATGAGTAGTGAATTAGACAGATTGTGAGCTCTTACTGAGAATCCTCGTTGCGGTGGAACTATGCAGCTCTTAGCCAATGAAAACAAACCGCAACGGCCAGCCCTGTGCTCTTTGAGCAGGCCCTGCATACTGCGTCGAACGTTGTGCACAAACGAATCGCTGCTGCTGCACGCCTGTTCCAACAAAAAGGGCCTCAAAGCAAACCACCTGCATGCGCGGACTCCACATGATGCGTCTCGCCAAGGGGCGGATGCTGGCAATCACGAGGGTGACCAGGAGCTTGGTCAGGCTTTGACGATTGCTGAAGGACACAATACTGTATGTGAATGTCAGCCTGATCACGGGTCGGTGGGATTCCATGAGTCGCCACTGAGGTGCCGCTGCGCAAAAAGGAGTGAATCAGACCCTGGCAGTGACTGTCTCGCATGTGCAGCGCTTTCAACGCATGATAAATACAAACTGCGCCTCTTCCTCTTCCGCTCTCGCTATACCTTGGCCTGACCTCTTGCCTTGTACGAATTCCCTTCCACTCTCCCTTCCCACCGAGACTTGCAGGTACGTTGGAGTGATGTGGCGGCGGCCTTGGGCGGCCTTTCCGCGCTGAGACGCCGCACTTGCTTTCTTTGGGCCACCCCACTAACGTAACGTCGACAGGCTTCCTACTTCTTCAAACCCAACCACACTCTCTGCGCAACCCGCTTCACCGCACAACTTAACCCACGCCACCACACCACACACACCACCATGGCTCTTAAGCGCATCAACAAGGAGCTCACTGACCTCGGTCGGTACGTGGACTTTGTTCCCCTCTCTAGCGCTGGGCCTCGCTGTTTGCTCGCACGACAGTCTCCGAAAGCGGGGTGTTCGAGCATGGCAACATCGCAGCGGCCTTGCGCTATAATTTACGAAGTCGAACTGACTCTGTCCACAGTGACCCTCCCTCCTCCTGTAGTGCAGGCCCCATCGGTGACGACCTGGTACGTCGCTCTTTGTGCAAAGACGATCCCCGCGGCTGAGGCGGTTTCGCCGGGCGTGCCGCAGTGATGCAACCCAACAAACAGCCTACTGACAAGAACACAGTTTCACTGGCAAGCAACGATCATGGGTCCTGTACGTATATATCCGCAGTCCGAACTTGGATGGGCGCTCGCTCGATGACCTGCAGCCTCTATCCAACAATCTACGATCACAAGACTAACAGACCGCAGAGCGATTCCCCATACTCCGGTGGTGTATTCTTCCTCGCAATCCACTTCCCTACCGACTACCCGTTCAAGCCCCCGAAGGTGAACTTCACCACCCGCATCTACCACCCCAACATCAACTCGAACGGAAGCATCTGCTTGGACATTCTGCGAGACCAGTGGAGCCCAGCACTCACCATTAGCAAGGGTACGCACTCTTCGCTCGACAACACTCTCACTTGAACGCGGCACTGACTTGTGGCTAGTGCTCCTGAGCATCTGCTCGATGTTGACAGACCCCAACCCTGACGACCCGCTCGTCCCGGAAATTGCACACGTCTACAAGACCGACCGATCCAGGTACGAATCGACAGCCCGAGAGTGGACTCGCAAGTACGCCATCTAGAGGTCAGACTCGGATGTGCGTGGGTGGTTTTTTTACGGTTCATGATGGCATTTGACGGACATGCGGTGGAGGATATTAAGATCAGACTTCTCACGGCATGGCGGACCGATGGAGTTAACCTTTGCGACTCGGCTTGCACGCTGAGCAGGATTCATAGTGCTTGCTATCATCACTTCTGGCTGAACAAGCTTCTTCTTCTCCTCCAACCTACGTGATTACAAGAGCGTGATGTAGTGAAACAGGGTATCATAGATTCTTACAAACAGGTTAATCTTCCTGCTTGGTTTTCTCAAAAATCTGGTTCAGACCTAACAGATTTGAAAAGGCGTCCTCGGTCTCCTTGTGATCAGATACCTCCGTGTTGTCATTCAGCCATGGATTGATTCCGTCTGCTTCATCTTTTACTATGTCCACATGTGTTGTGTCCACAGCAGTTTTCCTGTGATTGATCTGCTTGCTGGTAGGTTCTTTGACTGGAACGTGACCGTCTCTAATCGATCTAGCGATAGTTGCAAGCTCGTCGAGAGTCCGAGAGGAGGGCTTGGTCGGGGAAGGTTTTTTGCATGCTTGCGCCAAAGAGCGCCCGTATTCTGATAACTTTTGGCGGTGCTGCTGGTGAAGTGTGAACGTGGGACCGACGAGCGGTGCGAGTATGCTTGCACGAGTGTCGTGAGCCATATTTGTACGGAGGGTTTTAAGGATGCTTGAGAATGTCACGCGTATATGATTCCAGGCCACGACCTTGCGTCCGAGGTCGTTGGTCTTGTCGGCGGGGTCGCGGAGAGACATCATCCATTGCGGGAGACTTGTAACCTTGCCTTCCTGGAGGTATTGTCAGTACATGCAATGGACGCAATTAGGTGTAGCAACTGACCGCAATCGCTTTCCCGGGCATGACAGCTTCAGTTGTTTTATAGAAAAGCTCTGCTGGTTCGATTGAAACACCGCGCTCGTGAGTGTTGAGGGTAGACCAAAAGCGAAAGAAGTTGTCCAGAGCCCCAGCTGCGTCATCAATCTGTTTCAGCTTGTGCTTGAGACTGGCGACGATCATCATGAAGAGCGCGTACGAGCCGATGCCTCCTCGATAGACGTCCGTTAGGCCGCGGACATCCAGGGTAGCTTTGATAACCGAGTAGAGCTCTGGGAGGTAGGGATACTCGTCTACGTAGCGCTGCATGTACTCTCGGCTCTTGGATGTATCGTTGGACAACACTATTTGGATGTCCAAGCCAGAGGCTCGATCTTGCAACGAGATCAAGGGGTAACGTGCCCACCGTATCACGGAAAGCAGGTAGTGATCTGCGCGTCTGCGCACGATTTGTTTATGGAGAAATTGGAGATCTCCCGTACGCCTGTTTCGTTCTCTGAAACTAGGCGGCAGATTCGATCGAGGGTCCTGTGACAGGACATGGATAGGGATGAGTCGCATGTCAATGTCTGATCCGGCGAAGGCAAAGCCCGTCCGCTCTGAGCCAAACACTTCAAGGGTATAACGTGGGAGTAATGTTTGGACGTGCTGGCGCACCTGCTCGATAACGTGCCTTCGGGCAAAACTTTCGTCTTTGCTCGGTCGAATGAAGTCATGAAACCGTTGTATTTCGAGATTCAGCCTGCGCATCCAACATTAGCAGGTGCTTGTCTTGGTCGCCGGGGCCGCGGTATACCTGTCTGATGCAGACTTAATCGAATCCCGGTTTGGCGCCACCCACGGAAGCTTGGATTCGATCCATGGACGACAGGCGACCGGTCGCACAACCACGCCCTCGTAATCAAGCAAAGAGTTGTAGGCTGCTTGCGCTGTGGACAAAATCTTTTGCTGGTCCTGTCCTGAATCTCCCCGATGCCCCGGTTTTCCCTTTCTTGTCCGTTCCTGTTCCTGAGTGCGTACTTCATGCTTCTGCTGGTGTTCTCTTGCATGCGTGTGCTTCCTGTACAGGGATTCGCCCGAGACTATCCTCACAACCTGGCTCTCCCTCCCCGGCTTGACAGCTGTACCATGATGGCCTTGCGTAGCTTCTGTCGCGAACAAAGATTTGGGCGGTCGGTGTGGAAGATGCTGGTCTAATGCAACGAAGTGCTGCCACAGAGCGTTTGCCGGCGAGAGGGCGTTACGGGCGCGACAGATCGGCCGTGGGCGGATTGAGTGCATGGGAGGCCTTCACTGATGGCGACGGGCAGCAAGGCCTCTGTTGGTGCCGCTCGACCGCGCTTGCCTCGAAGTCTGAATTCGCGACTGATACCGCCAAGCAAGCTAGCTTCTTCGAGCTCCGGACCGTTGTGCGAACGCACCCCCGCGGACTTCCTGCCCGAGATGACATCGCATTTCTGCACACATGCAGTTCGTCGTTGAACGGCATGTAGGCCAGGGCCGTGCAGACGGTCGTGGTGCGCATGCGCACTGTACAGCAGCGGCCGCTGTCTGCACCTACACACCTACAAGGAGTGTGGGCTGCGCCGAATCGCGTTACATCATGTTGACAATCTACTCAACAAACTTCACGAGGCGGTGACTGGAGGGCGCAGAACGTGCCAGCAGCTGCGGAAAGCAATGGTGGAGTTGCTTCCTTGCTGCGTTCGATTGCGACCTGCGAATCAGGCAGGGGCCAGACCGTGACGTACCGAGGAAAGTGGGATGCTGGACCAGCCCACCAAACCGCGTCTTTTCTTGCTGCCCTGTGTCCTCTCGTGCTGGGCTCATTCGCTGCCACCTGTAGCAGTGTCTCTGCATCAGTCTCTTGACGCCTCGCCCGCCTGCACCGTGCAAAGCGCCTCCTGCTCATTTGTGGAAGATTGCTAGATTGCCAGTGCTCGACTATCGGCAAGCACTATCGGCCAACGCGCCCTCCCCAACAGCCCCTCGCATTTGGTCAGTACCTGAGAGTGGTGTTGCTGCCGTGCGCGCTTCCAGCACCGTGTACGACGTGTGTCGTGCTGCCCTCCTATTGCCTTCCCTATTGCTACCCCCGCCACCTGGAGCCTATCACTTTCTGACGCTGTGCAGCGCGACACCCGGGAAGCTACGTGTGCACCATGGCACCAACCACACGTCCCAACGATGGCGACCGCGAGTCCTTCGAGCCTCGAGAGAGCGAGCACCCTGCACTCCACCCCTCCATCACCAATGTGCCCGTCACCCCTGGCTTCGGTCTGCACGACGAGCAGCAGCCTCCCCAAGCGCAGAGCAGCAGCCTGCCCTTCAACCCAGAGACAGCGACACCTGGTCCGAACTGGGGCAACAAAGGCTCATATTTCCCCAGGCAGCAAGGCGATGGCGCCGGCTCCCCCACCGAGCAGGTCGCTGGTGCGCGCACTGGTGAAGAGCTGCTGAAGAGGCTCAGTGTCTCCTCCGAGTCCACGAAGAAGCACGACCTGGCTGACGTCGACCCGCGAGCCGCGCACCCGGGGCTCAATCTCAGCGGCAGGCTGATCAGCGCGACTTTCGCGGTGCCCTACAACCTAGGCTATTCAAAGGGTAATGACTGGGAGATGCGCCCTCGCCATGGTACATCTGCCCTCTTCGATTCGTTTTCGTATCTGGCCTCTTCTTCCTCTCCATGGAACCACACGCTTGTTGGCTGGACCGGCGAGATCTCAAACGCAACCGCTACCGTTGAAGAGCCTGTCCAACCGACGATCAACAAGGCCGCCGCGCCCGTTCCAGTTGATCCCAAGAAGCCAGCACCGCAGCAACAGCAGCCATCTGGTATACGCGTCGGGCGCGCTGATCGTGAGCGACTGGAAAAGCAGCTTGAGCGCGACCACGGTGGCAAGATCGTCCCTGTTTGGTTGGTTGACGAGGTTGATGACGGAAAAGACGAGTATATCATGAAGGATCAGAGCCGCTGGCGCACATACGCGGAGCACGAGCTCTATACCATCCTTCACTACAAGCAGAATGAGCCTGCAGACGGACGCGCTGCGCGTAAAGCGTGGGCAGACTACTACCGCATGAATAAGCTCTTCGCGGATCGAATTCTGGAGCTCTACAGCCCTGGCGATATCGTCATGGTCCACGATTACCAGTTGATGCTTCTTCCGAGCCTGTTACGCCAGCGTCTTCCAAACATATACATTGGCTTCTTCCTCCACGTGCCATTCCCCAGCAGCGAGTTCTACAGGTGTTTGAGCAGACGTAAAGAGATACTGGAAGGTGTCCTGGGAGCAAATATGATTGGTTTCCAATCGTTCAGTTACTCCCGTCACTTCTCCTCGTGCTGTACGAGGATACTCGGCTTCGACTCATCTTCGGCTGGCGTTGACGCATATGGGGCACATGTTGCAGTCGACGTGTTCCCGATCGGCATTAACTCAATCTCAACTAAGCGTCAAGCTTTCGGATCGCCCGATGTTGAGGAAAGGATCAAGCTCATCCGAGAGATGTACGCTGGAAAGAAGCTGATTGTTGGTCGCGACAGACTTGATGCTGTCCGTGGTGTCGTGCAGAAACTGCAAGCTTTCGAGATGTTCCTCGAAAAGTATCCTGAATGGCAAGAGAAGGTCGTCTTGATTCAGGTCACTAGTCCCAGTGCTGTTATTTCGGAGGGAGGTGATAACACGCACGAGAAGATGGTGAACAAGATCTCGGACCTTGCTGCCAAGATCAATGGCACGCATGGATCTCTAAGTTTCACGCCGGTTCGCCATTTTCCGCAGTACCTATCAGCGGAAGAGTACTTTGCCTTACTTCGAATTGCAGACGTTGGCTTAATCACCAGTGTCCGCGATGGTATGAACACAACGAGCATGGAGTATGTTGTCTGCCAGAAAGATAATCACGGTCCCCTTATTCTCTCTGAGTTCTCGGGAACGGCTGGCTCGCTTAGCGGAGCGATGCATATAAATCCTTGGGACCTAGGAGGCGTTGCAGACGCCATCAACGACGCGCTCAACATGTCCACCAAGGACCGCGATGATCAGCACAATCAACTGTATAGTCATGTTGTTAACAACAACGTCCAGTCATGGACAAACAACTACCTCAAGAGGCTCCTGACCAATCTATCCTCGTTCGACCAGTCTTTCGCTACGCCAGCTCTGGATCGCGCCAAGATCTTGTCTCAGTATCGACATGCTAAGAAACGTCTCTTCATGTTCGATTACGATGGTACACTGACGCCCATTGTCAAGGATCCAGCGGCAGCTATTCCGTCCGACCGAGTGATTCGCACGCTGAAGACCTTGGCGGCAGATACTTCTAATTCCGTCTGGATCATCAGTGGTAGAGATCAGGCATTCTTGGACGAGTGGATGGGACACATCCCTGAGCTTGGTCTTAGCGCTGAACATGGAAGTTTTATGAGGCAACCTCTGAGTGACGAGTGGATCAACCTTACGCAGAAGGAGGATATGAGCTGGCAGCAAGAGGTCATCGATGTGTTCCAACACTACACTGACAAGACACAAGGTGAGTCGCCATAGTTCAGGAATCGTACTGTGCACTAAACCAAGTCAGGTTCCTTTATCGAGCAGAAGAAGATTGCACTTACATGGCATTACCGAAAGGCCGATCCAGAGTTCGGTGCTTTCCAGGCGCGCGAGTGTCAGAAGCACCTCGAAAGGACGGTAGCTAAGAAATACGATGTCGAGGTCATGACAGGCAAAGCCAACCTCGAAGTCCGCCCAAGGTTCGTCAACAAGGGTGAGATTGCCAAGAGACTGGTTCTTGAGTATGGCGACGCCCCACCAGAGTTTGTTCTCTGCCTGGGAGACGACTTCACCGACGAGGGTAAGTGATGAGCTTGATGGACAGCAAAACTATGAGCTAACAGCGACAGACATGTTCCGGTCGCTGCGGCAGTCTAAGCTACCTCTAGACCACGTGTTCTCGGTCACGGTTGGCGCGAGCTCCAAGCAAACGCTGGCAAGCTGGCATTTGCTTGAGCCCACGGACGTCATCTCGGTCATCTCACTACTTAACGGCTCGGCTGATGCGGGCAACGTGGGCGCTGTTGCGGTTGTGGAGGGGTACATTCCAGAGAACCGAGCATAGAGGCTTGTCTGGACGGACGAGGTGGCTACAAGGGAGCTACGAGGGAGCTTCGAGGAGGCACATGTATCAAGCATTTCGACGGAGCATAGGAGCATCAAGGCATAGACGAGAGCAGAGTCGCATTCACGACGTCACAGAAGCATTCGCAGGCTAGCTGCACGACCAGTCTCCAATGCTAAGCGGGCACAAGGCTGTAATCTTCCCCATTGATCTCCTGTTCCCTCGGCAAAGGTTCGATGCCGTGGCAAGACGGTCGATATCCAGGGCGTTCTGGGTCGCTGCGCCAATTCCCGAGATTGGGACGCACGGCACGTCTGGGGCGACGGAATGCCCCTGCCCCTGTCTCCACGCGGTGCACTGACTCGGATGACGGGCAGTGTTCGGGCGTCCCGCTGGCGCAATCGAACGGGACGACAGACGTGGAGGAGAGCAGCGCGGTGTGATTCAGGGCAGAAGTGCATGCTGCGTGCCGTGTCGAGGTCGGACAACAGGCTCCCTGCGTCGTGCATTGGAAGGTGCCGTGGCGGGCAGGGCAGAGTTGGCCACGGCTCGCCCGCGCTGCCGGCGCGACTGCTTGTTTGGGGCCTAGACTTCGGCAGAAAGCACGCTTCAAACTTCGAGAACCACGCCAGAGACGCGCAAGCGAGTCGTTCTGCCTGCCTGAGGCGAGCGCCCGCACCCTTGCCGGTGCTGCTGCAGTGCCCGTTAGCCGTGTGCGCTGCTGCTATCTCTCACTGCTGCCCGTCTCTCGTTCGGCCGTCTGCTCGCTCACATCGCATACATCGACGTTGCTGCGCCAATCGCTCCCAGTCGCTCCGCACTCTGCCATCCCAGCCCTGACCCTGACACGAGACGTCGCCTGCCTCACCGTCGCAGCGAGCTCCCTGCAAGCCGCCGCCAGCCACGCAGATCCGCCATAACCAAGACACGCCCGCTGTCTGGGGCTCGTGAACGCAACTCACAACCGCAACTCGTCTCTCGGCCGAACACACCGCACGCAACCACCGTCACAATGGGTCTCTTCGAGAAGCTGCAGGCCCGTACGTCCGCTCCCACTCCGCTCGCCCACCTCAAGCTCTAACCACTGCAGGCCTGGAGCTCTACCGCCTGGAGCAGCGCTACACACGCCGCGAGAAGCGCTCGACCTTCATCAGCGAAGCACAGTACGTCGACGGCGAGTATGTCTACACCTCGTCGCCCTCGTCCTCGACAAAGTCGGCCGGAACATCCAGCTCGCGCCGCTTCAGCAAAATGCCCTCCATGACCGCAGTGCGGGTAAAGGAACTGGCCCGCGCAGGCACTGGCCGCTCGTGATCGCCAAACTCTGCTGAGTGCCATTACGACGTTGGTCTCAGACGACATCCGGTGCAGAGACTCGCTTGTGGGGAGGGAAGAGGTCACTTGAGCCACGGCGCCGGGGACGCCAGCGCGTGGGCAGACATGTGTTCAGGGGACACGAAAATCCAGGGCGCTTATCGATAGGTTGTACGCGACAGCAAGGGAATGGCGCCGCCTCCGGCACGGCGGTGCCCTCGACGCGTTCGTGCAACGGCATGACGCCCACAGGCGGCACACAGCAACGAACGAATTATCACGGCAGACGCATTTTTCTACACACCTTTAACCTTTCATCGACACAACACTACATATTTCGACGACTTGGCACAGCATCTGGCGGAACAGCTCAATCACGTCGCTACGCTCCTTACCACAATTTTTTCTTTTCTTTTTAGCCTATGTTGTTTGTAGAATACCCGGCCCGTAGACGCATGGGCTCATCTGGCGCTGCATTGCACTGCACGAAGCCCTTTATATCTTGCATCGAATATGATCAATCACCTTATCCTAATCGGCTTTCCTGCGATCAATCGCGGGCCAGTTGCCCACGTTCCAATTCCTCGTCAGACCTACGCAGACACATCCGCACGAGAGAAACTAGCAAAACCTGGCAGAGAGGGTCAAGAGTCTGATATTGCATCAGCCGACACACGCATTTATGACGCCATGATCTGCCTCTGAAACGACGAAACATGTCTCCGCTATTTCCTCAGTATGCCAAGTGACCGCCCGCCGACACCGCATATGACAGCACCCGTTGAGTTGAAACAGCAGCATGCATTGGGGTATCTTCTATCTAAACAAGTGGTCGCAACCGCTCAAGCCAACGTACAAAGAAGGGTATGAAATAACAAGCAACGCTCGAACGCCTAACCTATCAACACTGTGCGTGTCCCATGCCTCTATTCCCATGCCTCCGTCTATCAATGCAAAGTCATTAATCGTAAAGCGCTATACGCCGCAGTCCCTGCTTATGGATGTTGACTTCGAATCTGCCCTCAAGGCGTGAAACGATCATCATAGTCGCTGAGCACGTCCTCAATATCTTCCGGCGGCAGCTCGCCAATCGTGTCGCTGGTGCGCGGCCCTGTGTAGCTCTTGCGCGCACCCGCATACCACCACAGCGTGCTGAACAGCCCAATGAAGGCCGCGACGCAGATGGCGTAGTTCATGTTCGTCGCGGTCACGGGGTTCACCGTTGGGAAGAACAGCACCGCGCTGATGAAGACGACCCAGGTCACGGCCACGGCATTGACGGGCTTGCTCCACCGGCCCATGGTGTACGGGCCCGCGTGGAACACGACCCGGTCTTCGTACCAGCGGTGCGCGATGATGACGGCAATGTACGAGATGTCCAGGGCGGGCGCGGTGATGTTGAAGATGGCCGTGATGGTCAGCGTCGAGCCGATCCCGATGAGGTCCAGGCAGCTGCAGAAGGCGACGACGAGCCATACGGCGTTGACCGGCGTGTGCGTGCGAGTGTTCACCTTGGACCAGAAGCTGGGTGAGTCAGCACATGTTCAACGTCACCAACACTGCCATGATCGTCTCGATGGCGGGCTGCACAAGGAGCGGGCCGACTTACTTGGAGAACGGGAACGCGGCGTCGCGCGAGAAGGCCCACGCCATCCTGGCATTCGCCAGCATGGCGCTACACCCAGTGAAGAACTGCACGAGCATGACGAAGAACCACATGATAGTCCCGCCGGTCTTGCCGCCAGCATTGAAGAAGATCTGGGCGACCGGCAGGCCGGTGGGGGTCGCCATGATGCCCTCGTAGTCTGACATGCAGAAGCAGAACGTGACAGTGAGCATCCAGCCCGTAACGCCTGAGATTAGAATTGCAGCGCGAATAGCGACGGGGCCGCGAATGGCTGCATCGTGCGTCTCTTCTGACATGCTGCATGGTGGTTAGGCGAGCTAGTAATGCAAGGCGAGTGGGGTAAGGCTTACTGCGTGGTGCCGTCGTAGTCGGTCATGGTCCATGCAACTGATAGGAAACTAGTAGGGTTAGATGTGTTTGGCAATATATGCAACTTTGACGTACCCAAGCAGAAACGAAAAGCCTCTGCTGCCCCAGCCAGAGCCGTCGGTGACTGTTGTGAAGACCCATGAGGCGCTCTGCTTGTTAGGTGTGAGAACGAGAAGAGCAATGCAGATGCAAATCGATGCAATGACTGAATATTGGTCAGAGAAGAGTGTGTTGACATATAACACTGTACTCACTGTTGATGGGGGCAAACCATAGAATGATACGGTGCAGCCATTCAGTGGGGAAAGAGCAGATGGTGCCAAACAGGCAGAGAACGAAAATCGCGAGGAGTACGGTTTGGTGCGCATTCCTGGAGTTTGAGTTAGCGTGCGCTGTCTTCGCAATATAGAGCCTCTTACGGCGTGAACGTAGCCTCGCCCCCCTCAAATGTATGCATGACAGCCGTTGCCAAGATCATCTGCGAAATGGTGTACGCCAGACTCGCAACACCTGCTGCTTGACCGAGGAAGTTGCACCACCCGATGATCCAGGCCCATGCAGCAACGTGCTCCGGAGGAACCACGTGCTTTGTTACATAGTACATTCCACCAGCCGTTGGATACGCTGATACAAGTTCGGCGACTGACACGTGTTAGTCAACCGGTCGATAAGCAAGGTCGTCAAACGTGCCTGAACTGGCTATGCAGTATGCCATGATGCTGCCAATGAACCATGCCCACACACATGTTGCAGGCCCTCCGGAGGTCATTGGGACACCGAACGTTGCTGGCACGGATCCAAGCACTCCAAGAATGGAAATCGCGTATGACACTGTCGACCATCGTGAGAAATGTCTTTGCAGGACCTTGATTCGAGGTTAGCTTCCCCCAATTCATCAATTGGCTGTGTACGCACTGGTGTGTATCCAATTCGGACAAGAAGACGGTCATCGTCATCTGCAATGGTTGCCATGATGCTTTGATTGTTGTTCCCAGTTTGCTGAGCGGATTTCTTGTCCTGAGAGGCAGCCGGTTGAGTCGATGAGCCGATTACAGACTGCCTTGCCGATTTGGCGGTCTCGGACTCTGTCTTGCTACCCATGGTCAATGTCTCAGTCCTGGCACATAGGATGATAAGAGAGGATGTCGACCGAAGAAGTATCGAAGGAGAATGGAAGGATGAAATAGACGTTTGTGGGTCTGGGTGGACACAAGCTAAGAAGATTGACGGCAACGGCGTCGGATCACAGACCCAGGCAACGGGGACTCGTTACTTGAAACGGAAGGGCATGGATCTGTGAACGATGCGAGGGAGAGGGAGCATCTTAGCCTTGGGAATGATTAGGTGGACAGGTACTCCACCCATTTGGGCTCCACATAAAGGCCCAGTGAGATTACAAAATGTATGGCAAACCTACCTTTACTGTCAGAACTGCAAGTTCGGAAGTACGGTGACACGTGTGAGGCGTGCTGTCGAAGTGGTGGCTACGAGAAGACCGCTAAGGTTTGGACAAGCAGCCAGTAGGCGCGAGTAACTTCTTGGGAATAGCGGAAGATCCTGGGACTACGTGGTGCTCATGGTACTGTCATTAGCGGAGGTAGAGGTCCTGTAGGAAATAGAGGCGCTTGAGCCAAGAAGCGGCCATCGCAAGGCAGTTTGGCGATCCAGAATACCGGGCCGTTAGCATCATATCCCTGTCTTTGCAGCAAGCAATGACTTTGCAACCACGAGCGCGGGATGGCCGTAAATGGAACAGGAAAGTTTGCGGCGTCGGGTTTGCAGACTGTCATTAATTGCTCGCGTCTAGCTGGGTTGCGGAGAGAATGGACCGCGTGACTTTCATCTCCAAATCTCCAAGTACCGAGCTCTTGCCTCAGAATGACGGGAAGTCAGAAAGTTACTGCGGGCCCTAGCATGGACCTCACGGCCATGACGCATGGCAGACAAGACGGCGTCCTGTCTTGGATGATGCTTTGGCATGATGCGACTCGAGGTAGCCTGCGGTCGGATGCGAGTTGGCCTTCCCCTGACCGGACAGTGTATGCTTTCATTGAAGCGGTGAAAGCTCCATCTGATTGGTCTCCACACATGTCATACAACGCGTTTCGAAGATCTTAAACGCGAGGGTGGTCAGAGCGGATCGAAAAGCTGTGCTGTACCGTGTACGTATGATGTGGTGAACCGTCTCTCGTGTTGGCGCAGGTCGGGCGATGCCGAGCCAAACTTCCCAAATTGCTGGCATGTGCCGTCTTCGACCACAACCTCGTCCGTCTTCACAACATTCCACCGTGACACTGCAATGTATTCGCAACATTGTGCTCACCATGTACAACATCTATCGTCAGCTTATTGCGAGCTCTCAGCCCAGCAGCACTGCACATGCAAGGCGGCTAACACGTGCCGCTGCATGGCCGTTCTGCGACCAATGTCCATGCAACACGAGATATGCATCCTGGCAAAGCAGCTTTAGCTTCTTCTCACCGTTTCCTTGGACCATTTTGTGAGCAAGGATACATCCCTTGCATCAAAATGCGGACGCATACGATCCCATGCGGTGAAGGTAATCCTGCAAACCAATGGAGTCTGAGGCTGAAAACGCGGAGCGCACATGACTGAAATCATACCGGTATTCTTCCTTTCACGACCCACTGTTGCAGGCCTGCCTTCGGTCTGAAAGAGCGGTGGAAGTCTCAGAGCCCCTCATTGGGCGATTGCCAGCGTAGTCTTTCCGTTTGACCGGACCTACAGCCGTTAAACATCAGTCTCCTAGTCTCCTGTCAAGCTCAAGTCCGCCTCATTGTGTCAGAGGAAGCAAGCGATCTACTGTTGTAGGTTCAGGTCCGCGCAGATCATTCGCCAAAGGACGTCCATCATTACACCATAGGATTTAGTTCGACTACCTTTCAATTCCCTACTTCGTACTTTGGGCATCAGCACAGTAGCTGCACGCCAGGCTGTCGTGCGTAACGCCTCATTCATGCACAGAGAATCCTCCGGATGCATGTGCGGGTCCACTTGCCAGCATGTACCGTACCAATGTAAAAGATTCGAGACGACGGAAGACTGCCTGGAAGCGGTTTGCGCATCAAAAAAGCTCGGGGATTTTTTTAGGGCAGGCTTCCAGAAGATGTGTTCTACGACGCCATGGTTTCAGAATGGTGCCGACACATTGGACACCGCTCAATTCATTTTTGTCCCAGCCAATCAATAGCTGCGTTCTCATACTTTTACTAAAGTACATTCTGACCTCCATGCTGTATCAGGTGGCTTGCAACGCTTTTGCAGTCAACACTACCTGGTATCTTGAAGGAGGTATGTGAGAGGGAACGCTGATGCATAGAGTGATGTGCCACTGTATTGCCAAGCCTTTCGTTATCAATGCAATGACGTCCATCATAGTGCTGGTATTTCATGCCGTGAGATGGAGGAATGTTAGTAGAACCTCCGCGTACGGTGCGCGCACAATGGGCGACAAATGAGCTTCGACAATCAGACATTGATGATCCTAATATCTACATCAAAACAGCATCAGTACTACATCAAATTTCTTCAAAGGCATATAAGCCAGACCGGTTTTGACATAGGAATACAGCAGCAGTAGTGACATTGTGGGCGACGTCGACGAGGATAGCCCGGTATCCTGATCGCTGACCAATCCGAGAGTTATCGCAGACACTTCGTGTTGTACCTAGGTACATACTTTTATCTTGCTCCGTCAAAACTTCAATATCGTGTAGCTGTGCTTTTGAGCACGCGAGCATCAGCACGTGCTCTGACGCATGCACGCATCGTGAAGAAGGGTCAACAACCTCGTTACCCAGGTCGAACTCTACCTTGTCAGAGCAAATGCGGTTGACCGGAATACTCCAATCCCGATTCTATAGCTTCGCGCTGCGCCAAAACTGAATTAGATCGTACAGGTATCGTACCAGGTGGCTGGTCGGACGTGCCTGGATTCGCGATCTTGACATCCGTTGGCCCTCGGCGGTACCGGACAAGGACTGTCCATGGCGGCACGATGGAAAGAATGCCTAGGGCCTTCGTTGTAGCAGTGGGGCCGGCGTTGAGGCCTCAAACCTAAACATCGAAAGCTATCCGATGGGCTTGGACAGCATCGGCATCAGATTTGTCTGCGGGTGGGAAAAGCACGGGCACGAGAAGAAAATTAAGTGGTGGCTTGGCGATGCTCGGTTGTGCGAATTCTGGCAAAGTTTTCTCCCCACTCGTTGCCACATCGATGCACAACGTGTGCACAGCAAAGGTGGGGTTTTTCACTTTATATTGTATACCATTCGCTAACATTTCATCAAAGGAGTAACACAACTCATCACGGGCTCGTGGTTTAGTGGTATAATACTCCCTTAGCATCTCGCAGCTTCATCGAAGCTTTCGAAATCCTGACCTGGGAGTGGTCCGGGGTTCGATTCCCCGCGAGTCCAATTCTTTTACTTTTGTCGACGCCTCGAGCATCTTTTTTGCTATCGTGAGAAGCCTAGATGGAGGTGGTGCGGGAAAGGAGTGCTTTGGGACCGCTGGTGTGTTTTTGCGACAAACGTTCAGCGACAACTCGTTGCAGTGCTATTGAGCCTCACTTGGAATGCCGGACATCATGTTTTGCTTGTCCAATGAGCGTTGATAGACCTTGTTTCGTTCACTTGAAATGTCATTCATCGGCTGAGGTTGAAACTTGGGAAAAAGCAATCTTAGTCGCGACTTCCACACGATGACCATCTTCCCGGAGAACAGCAGGTCAGTGAGGCTGAAATTAGTCTCTGGGGGTGAGTGCTGCCGCCATTATGAGGAGCTGAAGCCGAAACTCGATCCGCTAATGCAATACATATCTCATTTCTGCCACTTTCCTGACTGATTGTACTCACGTATCCGTTTGCAGATTATCAACTCGTGTGATCGAACTGTCAGCAAACTCTGAAGCCCACCGTACTGCGCCTCAGCACGTCCGACCAGTCGCTTGACACCTTTTAGTATCCAAAGTATGCTTGTTGTAGTTCCTAGGCCGTATAACTACTGCGGAGTCCCTCCGTTCAGTGTACACCCCCTAACGAGAAAGCGCCCTTGTGAGATCATTGATCTTTCTTGATACTGTATATTGCCGAATCTGCAGCAGGGGAAGCGTCGAACTTGTTGTTTTACGTTCCTAAGAGGAGCAGCTTGTCAGTGAAAGCATGGTCTGGAGGCTGACTCTTCTGTGGAACAAACTATGCAAAACCTTGTTTGTACTCTCGAGTGATAGTATTGACGTGCACGCTGAAACTACTACATTGGTTCGTACAGCTGGAGTGCAAGAGAGTTTGCCTGGCTTGCATGAATGTCACACCGGGCGAAAACCGTCCTGGCGGAGTGGCATTGGAAATCGATGATAGCCACGTTTGAATGGTACGGGACACGAGGCATCCAGAGTAGCGAGAATCAAGATCTTAGTAATTGCCAGTCCACTGAGTCCTGTCTGTCACTTAGCATCACGACTTCTGTCCAACCAAGTCTTACAATATCATATGTTTCTTGGCTTTTGTCTCGTGCACGTCGTTCTCGTACATGACCAAAATATATGTGTATGTTTGCGTAAGCTGGTCATCGACCGTCAACGATGAATTAGATGATACCAGCTCGGCGCACAATGCCTCCACATTTACTCACACAATCAACCAACATGGGGTCGTTGTGTCAAGAGATAGACAATGATTGATCATCAAAGGGTGCGCATGATCATGTGATTGACTACGTATCTGAGGTACGAGTCATTGATGTCTGGCTATACCAGAGGCCTTTAAAATCTGGGACGTTGTGGTTAGTCGACAACTAAAAACAAGAATGCGGATACCTTTCTTGAATATTCAGGATAGCCTATCGATCGGCGGATACGCCCATATTCCACTACCGAGCTTGAACGAAAGTTGGGACCTATAACTGCAGAAACCCTTGCAGCAGTAGCGTACCGTATCCGTAATCGTTGGCAATATATGCTGGCCCTTCAACCACGGTACACATTGCATGATACGGATTCGTACCATTGTAGCACTGAAATAATTACCCCTGAACCGGTGTCTGACAGGACGTCAAACCAGACTCATGTAGCCTGTTAGACGCCTTTGCTACGTCCCTGTTCCATGTCTAGGGGAGTCCGCACATTTTTGCAAGCACCGACATTTGGAACTATGGGGTACGTACCATGGTAGCATTCAGGTTGACAACCAGTTTCCACATCGTCTCCCTGCAGATTCACACCCACGTGGCCTATTGGAGACCCTTTTATATATCTATTTATACTATTCCATAGTTGGTTGATTGGTTGATTGGGGTGAGGGGGGTCCGCACGTTTAGGTACGTACCACGGTAGCAATATATCAGCCACTCCTTGAACCGTCAGATCCATCATTGCTACCCTGCATGACATTTAACCAAACTCATATACCCAGTCAGAAGCTCTTATCGTATCTCTGTTCTATGGTAAGCGTAAACTGGCACGTTTTTCTTCGCACTGATGATGGTTCACGTTGTTACCCTGCAGCCTGTCATTCCAAATTGAGACCAACAAGCAGAAGTCGCTGTCGCTTTGTACCATGGATAATGTGCTGTAGGGTACCGAATATGGAGTGTTCCGAATAGATTGCTTCATAATTCGGCTCCAGCTTCTTTGAATTACATAAAGTCGTCGAAGTAGTTTTCAATACCGGTTTATCATGCTTGCCGATATCGGTACTTGTAAGAATATGCACACCCCCACAACCATGGTACAGAGATGTACCTATAGGTAGTACGATAAAGGCTTCTGACTGGCTACATGAGTCTGGTTGGACGTCCTGTAGGAAAATAACGTGGGAATCAACCAATGATAAGATAATCTGTTAATTGCTACAATGGTACGTACCCAAATCTTGCAATCTGCTCTATGGTTGTAGGGGTCTGCACAAATCGCCAACGATTATACACGCACTGACGTAGTGAAAGACAAGACCACTATACGCCATCACTACCCTACCTTATCAATCACTCGCCTCCCCTATCGTGCATGTACAATACCCGTTGCCTGTGCCCTCATCAATCCATCGACCTCGTAGAAACGCGGTGTCTTCACAAAAGTCTCAACACCTTCGAAAACAGACCACACGTACCCGTCCACCTCCCTTTTGTCGCCGCTACAGCAGTGTCGTATCAGGCGAGAGGGATGTGAAAGCACGTGCGTTGTGGTGCTGGACTATTCCTGTTCCTGAGCTGCTGGAGCCTTGATCGACGGATTGCTAAGCCCCGATGGGAGGACTGCCGGAAGCTAGAGGACATGACAATTGCTATATCCAGAAGAAAAGACCACTGGACCCATACAGAAGGACTGCGAAGCCCGTATAGCAATGGCCCAAATGAAGAGACTACACAGGTATTACAATTCCACATGAAAAGAAACGTCGTTTCTATCCACACTGAAGTCGCGAAGAAAAAAGTGTACCGCCGTTGGAGTGTGACTACGATGCTGTGGCGCGTGCTATCAGTAATATAACAGTGTCTGGAGCGCGTATCCGACAGAGCAGTGGCGCAAGACCACTCCCCTTAGATGTATGCCACAGTGTGACTGCCCATCACATCACATCACATCCGACCGAAAAAACCACCTAGCACACACAAACTCATCGCGAAGACGACTCACGTAGCACAATTCACATGAAGGAACCGAGCAGTTAATCTCATCTTATCTTGTTTTCTATCATATATCGCCCCGTCTTCTCTCTCGCTCGTGCCTACGCAAAAGTATCCTACAACCCCCCTCCAACAAGATACTCAAACAATCGGCACCGATATATATGCAAATGCGTTCCGACCAGATGCTGATTCAAAAATCTTTCGCTCCAAATTTTTGTTTAAGACAAGTTCAAGGAAATAGTTTGCTCGCTGTTTGCTCGCTCGCTCTGTAATGTTCGTTCGTGACAAAATAGGAGATGGGTTTGTACTAAAAGTGATAGGTTGGGGGTGAAGGCGCAGAGGACCAGGCTCTGCTGATGATGCACAAGAATGGATGTCGAGATGTGGGAGACGGGGTCCTGGTCTCATGACGGTAGGACTGAGATCTGCTTGGGAGATCCGCTGCCGTTGGCAAGGATCGGCCGAGGTGCTCGTTGTTGCGGCTCGCCGTACGCCCATTTTGTTGCGGCGTTTACTATGTTGGCGCATATTGGGTCAACGTGCTTGATCCAAAGCGCCGCTGTGCGGTACAGAAGGTAGTAGAAGATGGCCACGGCAACGAAGATGTGTGTCGTGGACCCGCGCTGAAGGTCGAGCTGCTCGCCCTTCTCGTTTCGCGGTGGGTTCATGGCGGACGGGAGGTAGATCATCCAGGTAAGGACCGACTTAATGAACGTGTTGTGCAATAGGTACACAGGAAAACTAACCCGGCCTAGGAAGTTAAAGACCGGGGACGTTAAAACCCTGCGGGCCCTGGCGGAGAAGAAGATGCCGAGGAGCACGGTGGAAGCACCAATATGGTCCCAGTAGCGACGCACGTCAGCCTTCTCGCATGTAATGCTGTGCATCATCTGCTGCATGACGTGCGACCAGCGGGCGTTCTGGGGGCTGTCTTGTGGGTAGCCGGCGATGAACATGCCAAAAACTATCATAATGGCGGGAATGGGCGCAGGGAGGACGGCGGTCGCTGAGTCCTTGTAGTGGTTGTGGAGCTCGGCGACGAACATGCCGGTAACGACGTTGAGGCCCTTGAGGGCTCCGATTGCAAGACCTGTACGTGTTAGCGGTGCCACTTTATCTCGCGCGTACGCGGTGCTTGCTCACCCTCGCCCATCTGCCAGAAGTACAGGTACAGCACACCGTAGATCAGCATGCGCGCCTTTGGCTTGACCATGGCGGTGGCGAACATGGTGGTGTAGACCAGCATGCTAGCCTCCAGGAACAAGTGCAGAGTCCACTGTGTCCCGTCATACTCGTTCCAACCAATTGTCCACGTTTCCGTCTCGACCTTGACCAGCGACTTGAAGGCAGCCCACAGCGTTGGCTCCTGTCTGTGCCAGCCCTGGCGAATCCACGTCGAATCGACGTGCTTGGTCATGTGGTATGCGTTTGTGTTCGCCATGAACCAGGTAACGAAGGTCGCGGCCAGCGTGGGCAGGACCAGGCGGCCGGAGCGCGCGAGGGCGGAGCGCGCAATGCCGGTGAAGGCTGCGTCATGGTTGCCGGCGCGCGACTTGCTGATGGGCCCGATCGAGTTGACGTAGCCCGTGACGAGGAAGAATATAGCAACAGCGCTGCGGCCGCCCACGGCGAGGCGGAAGAAGGGCAGCTGGAACAGGTGGGGCGCCGTCTTGGGGTCGCTGGCGGGCGAGTGCAGCCACGGTACGAGGGCGGTGCACAGATGGCCGGACACGACCATGAAGGACGCAATGCCACGCAGGCCCTGGAGGAAATGGTGTTAGCCGCAGCAATACGGGCGGGACAGGGGGGGGGGGCACGCACATCTATCCAGTTGGCGTCGCGTGGAGGCATGGTGCGGGCGCGCGAGGGGGCAAGGAGCGGATGTAGTGGGAGAGTCCAGAGAACAAGAGGAGAGAGCGTGGTCACGCTGTCTGCATCGCCGTTGCCGCGCGCTGCAGGGTCCCTGGTGCCGACGGGTTGCGACGGTGGGCTGCGCTGATCGCTGCGGCCGCTAGACGCGAGTCTGGATGGAAGCTGGGCACGACGGTGCGGTGGTGGCGTCTGGCCGGGTAGACAAGAGGCAGGCAGGCAGTGGGGAGCGGAAGACAGCAAGCAAAAAGGCAAGAAGAGAGCGAGGATGGCGCCAGATATGAGTTTGGCTCCCCAGGCCGGATGGCAGTCTAAGTCTCCACCAGCATTTCGCAGGAATATGCAGGCTTGCGACGCGGCTCGCGAGTTGCAGGGCGGCCGGGCGCCAAGCACGCAGGAGCTTAGCTGGACCTCCCTGCAGCGACTCGGAGTAACGCCTCGTGCCCCTCGCGCCTCCCGCTGACGGAGAATGCATGGTGCTGCAGAATGGAGCCCGCAGCGCTGTCCCCGGTGCCTATTGCTGGCTGCTGTCTCGAGAGTCGAGAGACAGGCCCACCGTGCAGCCGCCGTTCTGACAGCGCGAGACGGTCGGCAGCGCGAGACAGGCGACAGCTCGCTAGAGTCCGCCGCGTCCCTTCTCTCACGCTGCGTGCCAGGACCCACAGCGGACGCTGCCCCTCGCTGTTCTGGCACGTAGCACCGTACCACGCAGTGCCTGCAGCCAAGCAATTCCGCTCCATGCATCGCGCACTTGAGCATCACCACTCTGTCCTCAGCGCTCAACGACCTGGGGCTGCGGCAACCACGGCCACCGCTGCTGCTTAAGCATTTCGTATTCGGCACGCGAGTACCGGACATCGCGTTTCGACGCTGGGGGCGCTCGCCTGGAGCTAGTAGACGCCTCAGGAAGCCGCGGGTCTTGGCGCTGACGTTACGCTGCCCACAATGCGTCCGCCTTTCCCGGGGCGAACCCCTGTCATGCTTACTGCGAGTCTGCAATCAGGGGCACCGCAGGACATCTGCGACACAACCAAGTCCGCCGAAGGCGGCACCATTCGTCCAGACACGCGTTTCGCCTACATTGCCGGATCTCGACCTCCCAGATTGTCGTGAGGGGGGACGCGTTTGCTGCAGTTTGATCTTCATTACAGGTCCTCCAGACACATTGTGATGAACACCAGCCCTGCGGAGATAACGCCTCATCAAAATACGAATTCGCTAACCTGCTCAGTGCTGATTCACTCTCAGGCCTCCCACTGCCGTACAACGAGTCCGATCCTCCGCAGGAATTCGCCTAAACCACGACTGGGCATGCGATGCCAAGCCCACAGTTTGCTGATCGTAGAGTCTTAAGTCACCGTCACCGAGCGCTGCTGATGCGAACAGTGCACATGTTTCATGTTTGCTTGCCCCGGCGTCTCCACCTGGCATCTGTATTGTATTGCACGGTTGTCGATCGATAGATTCGCCTGACCTCTTGTCCCACTTCCCCAGTACTTTTCTACCAAAGCTCATGGGTCTATGCGGCGTCACGCAACAAATGCTAATTGCGATCGCGTGATGGTTCTGATATTGCCTATTTACAGTTCGTGGCCTTCCGTTGTACAGCGTGTCAGGGTCGTTATTATACATTGATTGTTGTGCGCAACTTTCTCTACAGCACAATGCTGAAGCCTACGTTCGCAGTCCACGAGCACCAATGTCAATCCTGTGCAATGCCTCTCTACAATGTCCTTCGAATCACAGTCTCCAACCGACATGCTGTAGTTCTTTACAGTTCCGGCTCATTCTCGGCATCATCACTGTCGGTGATTATCTCCTTCGATTTGATAACGTTTGCGCTATCGGCCGTTGTCTTGTTTCGCTTCTTGGTTGAAGCTTTGCCAGAATCTGTAGCTTTCTGTCGCTTTCTCTTCTTGCTTGTATCCTTTTGAGATCCATCCTTGTCGCTAGCCTTGTCTTCTTGTGCAGGCTGGTATCGATCTTCGACTTCATTGAAGTGGCTGTCCTTGATGAATGCATAGATGGAAAAAAGACGAGCCGTTAAATTGTCGTCAGTTTCAGGATCGAGAACGAGCTCACATAGCTGTTTGTAGGCTGTTCGCAACGTGCGTACCGACCATCTTTGGTTCATCTTCTCGACAATGTCCTGCCAGCCGATCTGCTCATCCGAGACATTCTCATCCGCAGTCGCCTGCTGTATGAGTTCATCGACGAGATCAAACTTGTCACCCCAAAGCATGTCATCTGGGCCCGGGACAGTCGACTGGCGATTCTTCTCGACTTTCGATCTGCGGCGGCTCTTTTGTGGAACCTCCGCAGCAGCCTCCTGAGGAGGCGGGTCCTTTCTTGGCTTGATCTCGATATTCAAGGCTGCCGGTGGTACTCGAGCTCTCATGATCTTCCATTTGGACTGGCATTGCAGTCGACTGCGGGTGTCGCCCATCTCTCTGCAGACTTCGTGCCAATTGATGATAGGTTGATAATCGTCCAGAGGTGGCTGGCCAAGTTCCGCCCGCAAGTCCTCAACTCGTTGGCAGACCAAGGAGAGAACCCTGACCAGGCTTTCCTCCTCGTCGTCAGTCCAGCGTTTGGTGAGTCTGTTCTCCCCGTGGCGCACGTAATCCTTCCACCGGTTGTAGGCGTCTAATTCGCGGCGATTGAGTTGCGTCGCAATGAGCTTCCACTGACCTGGATGGAGATTGGTCAGTTCTTCTAGCTGCTCATCCTCGTCCTGCGACCAGCGACCTCGTTGGCACGTGTGGTACGTGACCCGAATATGCTTCCTAGTCTCTCTGAGCTTGCGGAGTAACCCGATGTTTTCGATCTCCTCCCAGAAAGCATTGCAATCCTTTTTGAACTGCTCCTGAACTTGATCGGTACTATTTCCCCCCATCTCACTCTTGTTATTGTATGACCATTGGATGATGTCCACGAGGTCAGCAGTGTCGAGTCCATTCCGCTCCTGGTAGTCTCTTATGGCTCTGCGGATCAGCTCCCTCTCGTCAGCAGTGAAGTCACCACTCCTACGTTTGTCGGGTGGGTGTCCCAGCTCATGTGTCGTTTCAAGCGCTTTGTCAGCTGCTGTCCGGTCGTCATCATCGTGAGCTCGTTCGTAATTTTTGTTAGGATCGGCTCTGCTCCTCTTTGGCGTCCTCGAGACAACACCTCCAACGCTGTGTCTGGCGGATTTCTTCTCTCTCTTGGGCTTAGAGTTGACGTCACCACCTGGACTGTCTCCAGACGCGGAGGGCTGTGCTGAAGTATTATCAAGACTTTCAACTAGTGCGTCCCCTTCGAGAGCCGCACTCTCCGCGATCTGTTTGCCTCTCTTCGACCTCTTTCTCTTCTTAGCACTTTGAGTAGCTTCCGGAGTCCCGGTCGTATCTGCTGCGGCTGCAGCATCCAGTAATTGTGACCCAATAGGCGTGTGGTCAGGTGCATCATCAGGTGTGTTAGCTGGCGACGTTGCATTGCCAGCAGATTGTGATTTTTGCAACCGATCAGCGTTGAGTTCACCAAGTAAGGCCCGTGGGGTCAATGGCTGCTCTTTTGTGTCCAAACCGCCATTTTGCTCCTCGGAACCTCCCGGTGCTGTTTCCAGTGTCGCTTCTTGTGTCGCTGCGGGTGATTTGGCGACCTCCACTTCCGCAGTGTCAAGATTGGCACCATTCAGAGATGTCCGTGACTTGTTGTTTTTGCGTCGTTTTTGACTCGATTTACTCTCGATCGCTTCCGCCGACGATGGCATGGCTCCTCCGGCGACCTCTTCGTATGGTGTAGCTGGTATTGTGTTGCCGTTGTTTAATCCATTTTCAGTTTGCACATTCTTCTTGTTCCTCTTGGGCCGATTCCTTGAAGCATCGGGTTGAGTGGTTTGACTGGCAGTCAATGGCGCCGGCTCTGATGCGCCATTCGTTTGTGTCTCGGTTTGCGAGTCGGGCACCTCGATCTGCGTCGAAGGTACGGTAGATGCGGGCTTGCGGCTCTTTGACGGTGAAGTGCCGACGAAGGCTTGCAGGTCTTTGAGCGAATATACTGGGAGCGGCGAGGGGCTTTCCGCGTCGCGTTTGCCGTTCTGCGAGGATGCGACCTGCATCTTTCCCAGCTTCTTGCTCTTGTTCTTTTTTCCGAGGGTTGGATTTCTGGAAATGGTGCGTCTTGAAGCCCCGTCGAGCTTCAAGGGTATCGCAGGGCCTCTGTAGTCGGCTGAGTGAGGGTCGGCGCGGGCCTCGCTCATGAGTTGTTGCGAGGCTGCTTCGTCGTCCATGGTAGGAGCTAAGGGTCCAATGCGTCAGCTGGAGCTTTGTAGAGTCGTTGCTAGTCGGGACCTTATATGAAAACACCCATGTAGCAACTTGACGCGCTAGCACTTACTATAGCGGGGCGCGCTTTTCGCAACGCTGGGAGTTGTGGGTGGTTTGGCCGGGTGTAAACTGGGCGGGTGGTCTTGCGAACTGGGGATGGGCTGAGAGGAGGAAACACCCATTACTGGCGGGTGTACATTGTGGGTGGTGTGGTGCACTTATGCGACCCAGCTCGGCGCAGCTATTTGCTCGTGCTGAAGACAAGAACTCACCGTGAATTTGGAGACGCGAATCAACGACGCGCTAGTCGGCGGCTTGCGCCAATCACACGCCAAACTGCTTCTCACCATGAACTGGTCGCAAACGCCGCAAGGGTTCACCGTTCATTATTGCTCTACACATGAACATTCTGCTGGTTGATCTACCGAGTTGCCATTAATTTGCCTGTCTTGCTGCCGACATTCATATACCGAAGTAGGCCGTGTGGATCTGCGTCTAGTTCAGTCTAGTCTCCCCATTGCGTGGATTTACTTACTGACAATCTGAGATGTGTTCGTGTAATCATATAGTTCGTGTAGTTGACTCCTGTGCATATTCGCGTTTAGCTACAAAGACGATCAAATTGCAGCTCATCGCATTTACTGGTATAAATCCGTATTTGCCTCATCGTCGAGCACTTGGTACGTGCTCGTTGCCCCACTGATGTGTATACCTACCACAGTACACCATCTTGGACAATGCTCGACATCACGACTCTCAACGGCACCCGTTTGTCAGCGAATGCCGTGCTTGAGGCGCGTCAAGCAGGCTACATGGCGCCGGCTTACCGTTTGCGGGCCGATGATTGGCTGAAATGTACGGGGTTTCTAAACGTCATTGTCCCTCGGTGCAACATCATTCACGATTGACAGCTTAAGTCCGTAGGAACCCCTCTCGCGACTGAGGGTGATTTACACTACATACACAGTGCTTGTGGATTTCAATACAGCTATCTTTAAAATCTCGGGGACATAGGACGACCACAATGGCATCGGCAACTGGAATACCTGCGAACGGAGCTGCGACGCGTGGACAGAGTGAAGATGAACCGCTTCTGGGACATAGAGGTGACGCGAGTCAGCCAGATGGACAACCACTGTACCAAAACTTGTGGTTAGGTAAGAGGGCTCAGGTTCTTCTCTGACATTCTTACTGACACTATGTAGGCACTGCCGCTATCGCGCAGGGAGGTATCTGGGTTGTAAGTTTTGCCTGGAGAATGGAACCAAGGCTGTCTTACTAACAATAGACAGCTCGCCGCCATCATTTGGGGAGCTATCCTTTCTCAGAGGCTTATCTTCTTCTCCGCCCATCCTGTAAGCGCCAACATCGCACGTAGCCTGGCCATCACTGACATAGACGTCTAGCTCCTGAACTCGGCAGGCTTTCTACTTGCCATCCAAGCCGCCCTCGTCCTTCAGCCAACCCACACCCCTGAGCAGAAGCGCTCTGGCACAGTCGCCCACCTTCTCTTCCACGTCTTCGGCACGTCTGCTCTGACCGCTGGCCTCGTCATCATCGAGTATAACAAAGCTGGCCCTGGCCATGAGCACTTCAAGTCCCCGCACGCGATCTTGGGACTCGCGTTCTACGTCTTGGTGTACATTCAGTCCATTGTTGGATTCACACAATACTACATTCCGAGTCTGTACGGCGGCGTAGACAAGGCGAAGAGCATCTACAAGTACCACAGAGTGAGCGGCTACGTGATTGCGACACTGGGTCTTGCGACTATCTGCGCGGCTTCGTGGACGACGTACAGCCTGAATGTGGCACATATTCAGCACTGGGCTGTCATTTTCGCCAGTGTCCTCGTCTTGGCTGGCACTGTGCCGCGGATTAGGTTGAGTAAGTTTGGGCTGAAGAAGGATGAGGGTCAGATCAGACTACAGTCCTAGAAGTCAGATAACAAGGGGGAGCATATTCGTTATGAGGCTGCGGGGTAGAAAGGGATTGTGGTAGGGCTGGGAGCGATGCGCCGCATGGTAGGATATCGAGAATCTGGCAGGAGGCACCTAATTTTCGGCGAACGGCATTTCCAGGCATTACAGGTGTTGGGACACTCTTCTGAGTCTGTAAGCGTATCGTTATCCCTAATTGAGTGATTATTGGTGATTGTCCAACCACACACCAACACATCGCTTCGCATATTCTTCCAGCCATTCACATTGATCTTTCACACATCACCGCCTCACAGCACAATCGCTGCGCCCGCACAATGCCACTTCAGAATGTACTTCAAGTCCCCCGAGCTACAACGTGAACCCCTTATGCCCAACCCACCCACAATCCACAATGTCCCTTCGAAAGCACCACCGTCAGCACAGCCACTGGGTGAAGGTCCCTACAGTTATTACAATAGCAGCCATTGTGTTCACGGTCTCAGCCTGTGTGCACGTGTATTACACATGCAAAGATAAGGTTGCCTACAAACGCAGGAGCGCCACCACACCCAATGAAACAGAATGAGTACACCAGGAGTTGTACAGTGGAACAAAAGCTTTGATTTTGGACGCCAGATCAGGTATCAACGTGCGATGCGCATATATGCAAGAAGATAGATCACTTTGAGAGATGAAAGGGGAAATGCACTATAACATGGGCCTGATCTCAGCAGCCTCCTTGAAGTCGGCACCAGTCTTGGATCGCACTTCGTCGACTGTGACGCCGTCCGCAAGCTCAATGAGAGTAAGACCCTCTGTGAAGTCGACGTCGAATACACACTATCGTTTTGTTAGCAAGTGTCTCTCAAAATCATGGCAAGTGAACCTACCAGGTCTGTGATGATCCTGCTGACACATGCCTTGCCCGTGAGCGGGAACTCGCACTGCTTTAGAATCTTCGGCCTGCCCTTCTTGTCTGTGTGCTCCATGGTGACGACAACCTTGGTCATGCTGGGATTCGAAACCAGGTCCATCGCGCCGCCGAAACCCTTCACCTTGCCAGGCAACATCCAGTTCGCTAGGTCTCCGCGTGCGGAGACTTGCATGGCGCCGAGGATGGTCAGGTTGATCTTGCCCGCACGGATCATGCCAAACGACTCTTCCGAGCCAAAGCAGGATGCACCAGGGAGGAGTGTGACAGTCTCCTTGCCAGCATTGATAAGATCTGGGTCTTCGAGGCCCTTCTGGGGGTAGGGACCAAGGCCGAGAATGCCGTTCTCGGACTGCAGTTGGACTTCTACACTAGCATCGACAAAGGATGGTGCCAGCATGGGCATGCCGATTCCGAGATTGGCGTACATGCCGTTCTTGAACTCTTTTGCGGCTCTCCTAACGATGCGCTCACGCTTGCTCGCCGCATCGCCTGAACCAAGTGCGCTGGCAGCTTCTTTGGGATCCTTTGCGTTGACGGTCTTCTCGATCTTCTTCTCGGCTGTAGACTGAATCACACGGTCGACGTAGATTCCGGGGACGTGGACGGCGTTGGGCTCGATCTCGCCAGGCTCGACGATGTGCTCTGCTTCAACAATGGTGACTTTGGCGTTACGTGCCATGGCGCCGTTGAAATTCTGGGCGCTGAAGCGGAACTGTAGGTTACCAAGGCGGTCGGCCTTGTATGCCTTGATGAATGCGTAGTCACCCTTGATAGCTTCCTCCATGATGAACGACTTGCCCTCGAAGACCTTGACATCGCGCGGTGTCGAGTACTGAGCAACTGATCCATCGCTGTTATGGCGGAGAGCGAGTTCTCCGGTTTGGACGACAGTGCCAAAGGCGGCGGGTGTGTAGAAAGCGGGAATGCCAGCACCACCTGCACGACACCTTTCAGCGAGGGTGCCTTGGGGTGTGAGTTCGAGCTCAAGCTCGCCAGTCAGATACATCTGCTCAAGGACCTTGTTCTCGCCGACGTATGAAGCGATCATCTTCCGGACCTGCTTGCTTTCCAGCAGCAGACCAAGACCTCCACCAACAATACCTGCATTGTTGGACACAGCAGTCAGACCAGTGATTGAGGACTTGTTCTTGACCGCATCGATGAGAGTGTCAGGCACACCAGAAAGACCAAAGCCACCACACAGGAGTGTGCTGTCAGACTTCATGTCCTCGATCGCAGCTTGCGCGGACGGGAAGACCTTGTTGATCTCATTGCGGCGGAGGGAGGAGCTGAAGTTACGCGCGAGGTTGAGGTAGGTCTGAAATGGTCAATTGGTGTTCTCAGGAGCTTCAAGGAGCACAACTACCTTTGTGCTGCTTCGCGAGAAGGTGCGCGCAGTGCGGAGTGTGAGGGCTATTGACGGCATTGCGCAGGAAGCTCACAACTCACTACAGATTCAATTGTACAGAAGCCTACGGTATTACGTAGTGAGGAAGACGACTATGTACTCGCAAGCAATATATAAAGGCGAGGCTGCTCGTGGAGGGGCTGAGAGCTCCGAAAGAACTGCGGCTGCTCGGCTGTTCTTGAGCGCGTTGCGTCGGCAGCTCATCGCGGAATGGGAACCGGATCGCGGAAAGTGGAGGTGGTTAAGTGCCAGCCTTGCTCGAGCGCCAATAGCCCAGGTGAGCTTTCATTGGCTACTTGTACCTCGCTCTGGAAAACAGCGGAATTCCTGTCCCGTGCACACACATCTACTTTCTCTCTACAGCGGTAGTCTGTCATCCCCACTTGCCGTAAAGCATCATATGGTTAGGCGAGGGAATTCACATGAAGCTGTTAAGGGACGCAAGTGTTGCCAATCGTCCACAGCTGTTGATTATGTCAGACCATCAACCGAGGTTATTGAACAAGTATACTAGACAGCCCAGATGTTATTGATGAAATTAACAAAAGTGAATTCTTCAGATGACTCTTTCTATTGCTAGCTGTTGTAGTAGTTCCCGTATTAACCTACGTCCAAGTAAAGATAGCGATGAGCCGAGGACGCCTATGTCCTCTTGGATATTGGTGTCAGGCAGCCCTCACTGGCCGCGGGGAAACATATTGTATGTATGCATGTTGCATATTCAAACCGATCTATCCTAATCCCAGCTCGTGACTATCCCAGCTCGTGACTCCCAATCAGAGGCGGTTGCCTACTGCGCCGGACGTGCTCAGGGGTCTTGGGTAATTTGAAAATTTCAGTTTGTGTTGTTCAGAAGGTGCATGTAGCTGATAGCTAGCCAAACGGGTGCGCTTGTCTGTTTTCCTACAGTGATTTAGGTCATGCTGTAGAGTGTTTCCACAATGCAGTCGTTTAAGATGCGTGAAAGCATTGTGACGTGGTCGCGTGCCATTTTGTGACCGATGTGACGTGGTTGCAAGCCTCTAAAACGCAAATCGAGGCCAGAATGCAGTAGTCAGCGTGTTTACGAAGCTGGCCAAAAAGCTTACGGCAATCATGCAACGAAGGAGTGTACGGGGGTTGGACCAAAGCCGGCGTTCTTTTTCTTGAAGCGAGTAGTCCATTGGGTAAGGGTTGAAAAGCTTTGCCGTTGAGGCCGTCTCTGTATCGTAGTGGTTTGCCATGATGAGAGAAGCTGTGCTGCTGTCAAAGAGATGGGGTTAAAGACGAGGAGCTGAAGGGCTTTGTGTGCGGTGACTGGAATAATCATACGTTCAATGAATCCACGGTAGCGATGACGGCGAACCGGAGTGTCCATGGCATGTGGACCCACGGGTCTAAGAACCCACGTAGGAGCCCGTATGGCTACAAAGAGACCTCCTCATCCATTTCCGTGCTATGATAACCTACCTACGCAGAGCATATATCAGTATGCCTGTTGTATTCCTCGACTTCACGTCGGCAGCCTATACTGAAGGTCATCAAATTGGTACGAGGATCAGTTGGGGGCCACGATGATCGAGTCACGGCGTCGAATTCGACATTGGCGTTGCATACAGCCAGCGACTCTAGGCACAAGGGCCCAGAGGCAGGTAGCCAGCACAGCCCCGTACCGTGTCTGACAGCAACATCGAGGTGTCTTCTACTGCGAGTGGCTCGATTCACCGACCTTACTCACATTCCTCAACTACGACAGTGTACGTATGACACACGTGGTGCAGACCGAGCAGCGAGGTGTATTGGCGTGAAAGAATCAAACGTTGATCAATCCGCGGTACGATGAAGATCCACGAAGGTTGCCATGGATCGTTCCTAGGCTGCCTCGTGCCGATGCTCGTGTCTGTATTTTGCTCCAGGCTAGTCCCTGTACTTGCATGTGCGTATAGCCGACGTAACAAATCGGTCGAAAGGTGACGAGGACGCTGCGGTACAGGCGTGAAGAGATGTGAAAGGATCTGGCTTGGAGTGGTACCAGCGTGTGTCAAGACGTCTGCTTCGGTCAGCGAAGGCAGCAACCAATATGCTCGACGTTGGCGGTGGTCTCCACGTTGACACGTAGGCGTCGCAAGCCATTGTGAAAAGCAAAAGGCAGGATTGATTCAGCCTTCGCCCGGGCTGTGTTCAGCCTGCACCCGATGTGCCACCGCCGTAATACTGCGTCAGCGAGGTCCGGCCGGTTTTGCCGTCGATAGTGATCGAGTGCGGCATTACTTTGGTTACTTTGACGAAGGGCAATGTGGAATTGATGTGCGAAATCGGTGTGCACGCGAGATCTCGCGTCGATATCGCAAAGGTGGAAGGACTTACCAAGGAAGGACCGACCGACCCAATACTGATATCGACGGACCTTCCTTCTGCGCCTGGCTCCACTTCCCCTCACTCTCAAACAAAGCCTAAACTCTGTAATCTCCATCGTGTCGTCAGAATCGATGGCTTGCGTTTCGGCAAATGCGACAATGGGTTGGGAGGACGCGTAAATGAGTCGTGAGCGTGTGATGGTCGCGTTGGCCTCACCGGAGATGCTGAACGCAGCGACACACAAGACGGATGCAACGGTTGTTGTCAAAGGACAACCCCGGTGGCAATGCTGATTGCAATTTCACCGCTGCATGTCAGCGAGATTCTCCGTGGCAACAAAGAGAAAACATGCAGCCGCATGCTTGGATGCAATGCAGCGGATGCACATGCTGAGTCGCTGACCGGCCCAGAAGGCCTCTTCACGCAGCTCTCGCCAACCACCACGACGCCAGCTCACCCCATTCTCGGTCCCCGAGACCCAGCCCAGCCTTAGCAACCTCAATACTGCTGCACTACCTCCATGTCCCGTCATCCTCACACAATCGCTCCGCATAAGCCCTCGCACCATTGCCTTTCCCCTCCTGCAAGCAGCCGAGCCAAGGGTTGCGTATCGCGGCCCATGCCAAATCGAGCCCATTTATCAGCTCAGCATGGCACGGCTCGACGCGTTGCACGCGTTCGCGTTCACACATGACCTTCGCGACGCGTCTTAAGTGCAACGGCTTGCAGAGCTATCCTGCTAGGTCCGGGCCTTGCGGCGGCCAAGTGGAGACGTGGGCTGTCCGAACGGGCTGTGAGTGGCTGGGGGATGTGGGAGCACCATCGAAGGCTCGGCGAAATGTGGTAATCGGACGTGCGAAACTCCATCCGAGGGACGATGATGTGGGCTGGGCACCCACTGCAGCAGTAATTTTTCTTTGCATGCAGGTGCTTACAATTACGGGTGAGAGGGCTGTGGAAGGTTGATGGAGGGTTGGGCAAGCGTGACACTGGGCTGGATGCAGACTTGCAAGGTTCAATTGACCAGTTTTTGTGGTGTGTTACTCGCTACTGATACGCCTTCAAGGCCCATTAGCACGGCACAACGACTATCGATTGCCGTCCACGCGTTGCCCGTGGCATCCAGCACGGACACAATGACGATCGTGCCAACCTCGTTACGAAACAGTTACGGCACGGCCTGGCACGGAGCGGAGTCAACCGAACTTAGAGACACACTTTGTTCTTCTCGCTTTTCATTCATAGCTATCCGATCTGCTCAAGCATCTCATCTCCTTTCGATCCCTTTGGATGAACCAGCTATTTCATCATCTGTATAGACCTCACCTCTTCCATTACGCTGTCATCAGATCCCCCACAGCCCATTGGGGTCCTCCATCACAACGAAAGAATCAAAGCTACTCGAGCAGATTTCGTACAGGACTGGGAAGCAGGAATCCCTCATACAAGCCTCGATGATGAAGTTGATGACCGCGTAAGAGATTCACAACTCCTGCCCATCCTGGATCACTGGTCATCACATCATAAGAGAGGGAGGCAAAGAATAATAGGAGGGGAAAATGCCACACCACAAAGGTAGGCTGGTTGAATAAAGCACCTATGTGCAAGGTGGAATGAATATACAAAGGAGCAGACGAGGCTGACACAGCTGTCTCGCCATGATCCAGCTCGACAGCCAAACCATCGCCACGCCGAATTACGGAAGAAGATCGATGATGAACCAAACGTGTTCATGTATACATATCGTCATGATCCGTCGTGAGTACCAAACATAAGACAAAGAGAAGGAAGCATGAAAGAGACATGGACATGGACTCCGTCGTAATACGACATGCCATCCAAGCCATGATACCATCGAGAGACAGTATAAGGTAAATGTAATAGGAACAAAAGAGATACTGTGCAAATGAAACAGATGGTAGGTCAAATGGCACGCGAGTGCTCGCTCGCTGACATGTCAAAGATGGAGCTCGAAGCTGCCAATGCTAAACGCCGATGCTGATGCGGATCCCGACGCCGACGCACACGCACACGCTGTACTTGGTATAGAAGCAGGTCATCTAAAAACTGGACTGACGCTCAGAGTTGCTGGGCGCTGCAGCAAATCGTTGCTCGAAGGATGATGGCGGCTCGAAGCCGTAAGAAGTCGATGCTCGAGGGAATGTGTTGCTTGGCCGTCCGCCGAACGGTGTTCCTAAGCGGATTGTGCCTTGCCCATGAGCCTCCGCCATGATAGCAGGAGAGGTATGAACCGGACTGGGTAGCTGAGGCCTGAGATTCACGAAAGGGTTGAAGTCAGATGATGCACTTGACGACAAGGGCAGTCGTCGGGCGCCAGCGCCATCCATCATGTCACCCAAGCTGAAGCCTCGATCCCTTACACGACGATGACTCGACTCAGCCGGGGCACCAAAGATATCGTCCACAAAGCTGTTGCCACGGTTCCGTGTTTTATCCTCGAAGCTGTTGGCCAAGGCCCGTCGCTTGAAAACCCGTGATTTGGGTCGAGGAGCGTGCAGCTGAAAAGGTGAGCCTAACCTTGGTGTAGGAAGACCAGTTTGTGCATGCCACGTCTGCGCGTTATGTGGACTGGAACCGGCATCTGTCATCTCTACAGTAGATGAGGACTGGAAAGGAGAGCCAAGGACGTTACTTAAGCCCAATCCTAATCCAACATGAAGCGATTGCGACTTCTGGTGTGCTGAGGATCTTGCTTTCGACCAGCTCTTCTGCTCAGGTCGAGGAGTTAGATCACTCGCCAATTGCGACAAAGGATTACCCATCCGCATCGAGGTAGCTGTGCTTGTCGCCAGCGAGACATTCATGTCTCGAGTTGAGAACGTGAATGATGACGTCTCCTGTGCAAATGGAGAGGAAAGTGGCTGCGCCTGCGGCTGAATTGGCTCTTCCGCCTTCTCTGAGGGTGGTGATGACTGGAAGGGTGAGGGTGATCGATGAAGCAGACGCTGATAGTATGCAGACAAGTTTGGCCTTTGCTTAGCCAGGTCGCGCAATCGCTTTCGACACTGCTTCTCGGTTGGGTACCGCATGTATGGCTTGTTGAGTCTTGCCAGCGGGGTGCTGCTACCACTCTTCAAAGCTCTAATGGTATCTGGAGTTCCGGACTGAGATCCAAAGCGAGCCGCACGAACACTAGGAGCACGCGCCGGAATCGGTCCCTTCCAAGTCTTGCGAGCCATTCGAGCTACTCGATGGCAAACTCCATTTGGTGGAGTTGTTAGTGGAACGGCCTTGAATGGCGTCACTGTAGGATCCTGAAGGTATGTCATATATGTCCTCCAGAGATGATAATCCATCTCTTCGGTAAATGTCGCTCGTAATTTCAGCTTCTTGGTTGGACGTGGCTGTTGATGGGCTGCCAACGGAGAACTTGGCTGCTTGTATTTCATCTCAAGGGCGTCAAACGAGAACGGGTCGCACATTTCCTCCTCTGGACTTGTGCAACTGCCGCCTCGTGACACAAGCGACTCCATGCTGCCCCGAGATGAGATGGATGAATCAGAGAAGCCCGAGGATGAGGTGGGTCTACTGGATGTTTCGCTACAGCTCGGCTCCAGGTCGTCCCAATGCTGTGGAGCAGCGAAGATATCAATGGTTCTAACCTGATGGGCTGGAGTCTTCGGGGGTGATGCCAGACGACTGAAGCTTGTTGGTGGCGATAGGTATGCATTGTCGAAGGCGGAGGGAGGCGACGGAAGTGCGTTTGTCGATTCAAAGTAGTTTGTTGCCTCGATGGTTGGAATCGGCTTCTCTTCCATGGGGAAATCAAGTTCGATATGCTGACGCACGAGGGTCGCACGGCGACGACGGACCTTCAGGGTCTGTCGTGGTGGAGGCGGTGGTTGAAGCTCAAAAGCCTGTGGCTCAGGCTCAGGCGTTTGCGGTGCCGCGCCGTCGCGATAGTGAAACATGAAATTTCGGGGAAGGGTGATGGACAGGTGGGGGCGATCAGACTCCATGGTGGATGGTATTTCAGCAAATGATACGAGGAACAATTTCCCAAGTGTTATTGCGGTGTTGTATTCCGAGATGTCAATGGCGACAAATCTGCAAGGGCGTGGAATTCGAGGATACGGGCCGTTAATGATAAGTCGCAACTCGATACCGGACCCAATGAAGATAGTAGAGATTCCCCAATTGGCGGGTTAGTGGGATGGTTTGCAAGATCGGGGACAGGCAGGTGTTCGGATACAAGTGGGCGTTCGGTGCAAACGCGACTGTGCGGGTCTACACAAGCGTTACACGGGTGGCTAGGGAGATCGGCGCCCTTGTGGGAGTAGTTCAAACAAGTCGCAAGGCGTCGCGCACTCTTTGCTGCACTGCAAGATGGCGCGCAGGCGGTCGCAACAGAGGGCGACAGCGGCGCAAGCAAGGAGGTCGTTAGAGACGCTCGTTCAGAGACGGCGCGTAGCTGCAGGTCGCGAACAGCGCGCAGAGCGGCAGACGCGCAAGGGAAAATCAAGAAAGGCGAAGCGAACGAAGTTGGTGGCCCAGGGACGCGTGCGGCGGTGCTGGCAGCGGTCGGCGGGTGGTGAGTGGCGCGCTGTGGTGTTGCTGGGTGCTGGCGGCGGACGGCAGCGCGGGCAGGAGCGAGACGAGGGCTCAGGCGGCACAATGCATGGGCGCGCGAGTTTGTATATGAGAGTCGTGAGGGTACGCAAAGAAACAGTCGAAAACAGTGGTGGTTGGCGTCGATAGCTGCGTCAGGGCATCGCAGCAGTGCGACAGGGAAGCGGGCGCGCCTCGGGGAATTATCGTGAAGTTGTGGTGGTGAGGGTACGGTGAGGTGAACAGGGCATCGCCTGACGACAAGCGGCGGCTCGGAGTGCTCTGCCACGCTCAAACTTAGCGCACCGCTAGGGCCTGCTACGTGCACGCGATTGCCAGCATCAGCGCCGCATCTCCAAAACCAAGCTCCTCCGCTCCAGCGCTGGCCTGCAGTTGACCACGGCGCTGCCGGGCGTCCACACAATGGCCAGCGTGCGCCTGCGTCCACGGACCGGTGCACGACATTCTTCACGGGCGCCCCGGCAACACCTGAGGCTGCGCAGCTGCTTGTTGTCATTGACGCGTCCACGACGCGGGCATTTCACCGCGCTAGTGCCGCTTCTAGAGCACTGGAGCACCGCCTGGTCCGTGTGCCACCCCTGCAGACGAGAAGGAGTTGACAAGTGGTCGTGCAGCGTCGCCTCTCTCCGGAGCCCGCCCGTCGTCGAGCCTCGTCGCTGCCAGGGCTCTGCAGGTGGATGCGCGACAATGCACACGGCTGCGCCGCCCAGCGCTCCTCTCTGGCTCTCAGCGCTGCTGGCGACGGGCCCCACGGCATCGACCTGCGCGCTGGCCGCCGTGTTGTGTTTGACCCCGCCTGCGCGGCTGCACGGCCACGGCGAGAACCAGCGGCAACCCATTTGGAGGCCTTCGTAAGGCCCAGCTGCGTCGGACTCCGTGAGGGAGTCCGTCCAGCCGTGCCATTCGCTGCGCCCTCAGCACAATGGCTCCGCTGTGGGACGTCCCATCTACACTACTGCATGCGCAGTTCCTGGTCGCTTTTGTTTATTGTTGTTGTCGTTGCTGTCAACATGAGCAACACCAGCCATGGTTTCAACGCCTGGCCCGCGCTTGCACCTGGTGTGTCCGTCATCGAGCACTGCCATGTCGTCACAAAAGCATCGATCGATGTTGGAAGACCCTGTCTGCACCGCTAGAGCGAGGGTGCGGCAACGCTTGCTAGCATCCCGCTCTCGGCTGCAAATCCACCACAACACACACCAGCAATATTTCCATGTCCTGAACTGCAAGTGTTGCGCCCGATCTGGCACAGGGCGACAGTGCAGCTCCACCCCTCTTCTTGATTGGGTTGTTGTCTCATTCCAACACACCCGCCCCGTCTCTGCGCAGTGGCCTCAATGCCGACCGTGATACAGCATCATGACGATCATTGGCGCATTGGTCCCAACCTCCAACACGCTCAATGACAGTGTCTGCAAAACAACTGGTTTTCCTTTGACCTCTTTACTGTCTATGTAAAAATCAATGGCACCTATCCAGCATGGACCTTGAACCCTTCCTTCGACTCGCTATTGCACAATGTCGCTATTACACCGCCTTGGCATGAGGAGCAGAGTATTTCCGCATGAGCCGTTATGCTGGCTGCCGAGCGCGGAGCTGTTTCTCGTGCTGCTTTCATGCCACGTCCTCGAGGCTAATGCGAGTCATATTACTGAGTTTCTGCGCCATGGTGTGGGCCTCGACGATTTGTACACTGCATCACAGGTTGTGTTGCTTGGTACGACATGTAGCGGACACAACACGAGCTTGAGCGTCTGGTGCATTATCTAGTACCATACTCTACCCCTCACCACTTGGATCCGCTTTTGTTAATTCTCGGACGACAGCCTAACAGTACGGAGAAGTGTAAGAAGTTCGTGGCCAGAGACGCACTGTTGTCCAGTAGGCACTTTCAATCGGGTTAGCGCAGCGAACCGTTTACGAAAGACCCAAAGAACACCTTGATTTGCCGGGAGGTAGTCAGACCACCCAGGGAGTGGTTGAGTCACTCTGGGCCGCGGTGTCAGTTGTTCAGAATGAAGCGTCTAGTCGACACATCTCTGTGAGTAATGCACTTTGTACGGACAATACAGTTAAGGTAATATGCCGCCTCAGCCGCAGATCCGATGTCGCGAGGCCTTCATCGCTGCGGGACGCAAATCTGTGTCACTGCAGCTGTAGGTGAGCTATGAGGAACATACTTATCAATTCTTTTCCTCTATGAAATTCTAATGTCGATCTCGTTGATTTGATTTCATTTAGGGTATCAGAGTACCTCAAGACGGCCAACCCTCTAGCCTTACATCTCCACCAACAAGAGCAATCGGCAGCCTTATGCAAGGCCGCAACCACTGTTCGCCGCCTGTGTACCATTCACAGCAGTGCTCTGTCCACTTGCACCTGCACTCACACCCTGAACTGCAGCCGCAATCTCGTCAGCGGTAAGGTCATCAACCCTCAGTCCCAGCGTATTGATACATCCGTTGTCGTCTTGGTCATCATCGCACGTGTTTCCCGCCGCCGTGGGATCGCCTATCTGCCCAGGCGCAAACGTGCTCGCCTCGTTAGCCAGCGTAGGGTCACCGCCCACAGATGCAATCTGCCTGGCTAGCTCTTCAGCAATCTGCTTGTTGAGTGCCTGCGCGCCATCGCTTGCAGGATCCTGGTGTTGCTGAAGCGCAGCTATCTCCGGGTTCACGGCTTGGATAGATGTGCATGGCACAGAGACAAGACCAACAGATCCAGTGTTACGCTCGACGGCGCGGAATATCAGAGCGTTCGTCATACCAGCCACATCTCCCGCGGCTTTAGCATTGGTAAACGCTCGGTCAGCGGTGGCCTGCTGGAGACAGTCTGCGTCCGCAATACTGCCAGCTCCACCTTTTGCTGCCGCAGCGCCGAGAAGACCAAAGACAGCGTCTGAGATGTTGTCCGGGTTGTCCATGGCCAGCAGAGCGTTCACAGCCAGGATGATGTTGCGATGGGAATGCTCCTGTGGCACCTCACGCCTCTGGAGGGTAGCAATAGGGCTAGCAGCTACTGCACCCGCGAGCATAACGGCTAGAATTTGTTGCTTCATGTTGAGTTGATGTTGGCGTAAAGTAATCTTTGTAGTCGTAAAGTCGTATGGATGAATATATAGGAAGCAGAGAATGACGGACCAGCCGAGCGATTGTAAAAATGAGTGTATTAACAGAGTAACGAAGGTAGTATGTGACGACAATGCACGATTTCACGTCGGGTTTTATACGCATCTTTGCCTCTTTCTTCGCCCATGTCGACGATCAAGTTCGGCTAGCAAGCGCTGAATCCTCTCATCAAGATGTGGATTCGTGAAGTAACAGTCTTGATGCCTGTCAGACGTTGTGTGACACCTAACGGTGGTCACGAAGGCAAGGCTGGAGCATCCGCTTAAGAGCCTCATCGATCAGGGGACAGTCAATGCCATGCCTTGGATTGTTCTTGCCTAGCTCGGACCGAATGAAGGCGTTCATATCGATATGATTGGTTGGTGACAACTAGCGTGATCGACGTGCGATGAGACGCTTCTGAATGTTGGAGACATTGTCTGCTTCATCTCGACTTCTGACAGCACTGACACGCGTGTGATAACCGCTCCAGAACGATGAAACACGTGTATGTTCGCGTCCATGGAACATGCAGATATCAGGACGTTCGAGCTTGCGCCTACTCTGGACGTAGTCGTCGTCGCGGTACAGGCGGTTATGAGCTGCCTTGCAGCTACCTACGGGGCCGCAGCGTAGAGCAACCAGAAAAGTGTTAAGCCTCAAGGGGAGACTTCCTCGTGGAACTTTACCGGTGTATGCAAATCGGTCAAACAGCCAACACTCAAGGCCGGCTGTCCGAAGGAGCCCGCCTAGAAGCTCTCATTGCTTACGTTGCCTTTGACCCGACGTGGTGAGATGAAGTTTCCCAATGCAACCGGCGGCTTTGGCCGATGTCCAGAATGGGCTCGAGAAGCTACAGCATTCGTAGTTGCCTTGTCCACATTCCTGGGCATTCCGGGGCGTCGCACTCAGATTTCCGAATCTGGCCAACACCGAAGTCCGGATTGATCCCCGCAACCACTTCGAAGACCGAAGTGTGTTTGTCCTTACTACTTCTAGGAGCTGCTGGCTTCCTTCAACGAGCTTTGATCTTCAGGTACTGGTATCTCATCTTGCAGACTGTGGCTTTCTGACGTTCGCATTCTACGCAGCCGTTCGCTTCCAAACCCTACGTGTCTCAGGCAGGCAAATCCAAGACATAGGAACTTCCCACAACCGTTCACCAACACGGTGAGCTTCAGATACTGTGCGAACATAAGTGTAGCTTACCACATGCTCCCTGTACTGACGTACTCAGTGGCGAAAGTCAAGCTGGTCTTGATAGATATCTCTACCTCTGCCGACCAGTTCGCGCGCCTCACACAAAAGCAACTTCGACTATACATTCCACCATTGAGGCTTCTCCACAAACTGCCCTTCATTTCTTTCGAAACATCCAGTCCAGCAGTGTCTGCTTCTTACAACCGCTCGCCCACAATCTAGAGATTCAATATGCCTATTTTTGGCTTGTACTCGAACGCGGGGACTTCACCAAAGTCAAGGCTCATCTCAGGTCCGATGCACGCTCGTCATGTCGGCGGTGTCAGTATCACAGGTGGTACTGGGGGCAACACATCGCTGAGTAGCTATTTCGCTCCCACGTCTCTCGAACCCGACGAACTGCCTTCGCACACGTACGCAGCAAGTGGAATAGTCGAAGTGCCTCGCAGATCAAACACCTTCACAAACGCAGTACGAAGACCGAGTCTATCCCTGAAGCGGAGCTTATCACGACTGCGAAGCAGTGCAAGTGCTCGTAGCTCCGAGGGACACAAAAGAAGTCAGAGTGACAATCGTGGAGTAATGACAGACACAAGATCGGATCCACCAGATACATGTAGCAGCCATGTCATACAGCGGAAGCCAAGCCCGATACCCTCACAGCCGAGCACGGGCCTGGATTGGGATACACCTACCGCAACAACACGGCCAGACTCGCCAGACTTGGGTGCGGTACCTATCCCACCACCGAAGAACTATTCTCGTCTCCATTCAAAGGTTTCTATGTACAGCATGTCGGCATACTCGGTTGCAACAGACCACGACATGGTCCCAAAGAAGGACTTACCAACTCAAGTACCTGTCAGGGCAAGACGCGCAGACTCTGGCACAGCGATAGAGTTCGACGATCTACCTGTCGAACAGCGCCCAACAGGCTTCAAGGAAATCGCAGCAATTAAAAGTTACGAGGACCGAATGGCGATGTATGAGAAGACCAGGGACTACTGGGCGAACGCTGAGCATGGACTGGCAGAGTGGACAGGGAGAACCGGTGGGCCGAGGACTTTCCAACTAAGGAGAGAGGAACAGTGGATATGAAAGTGTAGGAGTCTGAGGGCCGTTACGATGTCATCAAAGTTCTACGCGATAAGTTTTTGATTTCCCTTTGCTTCCTCGCGACAGATACCCTACACGTCTGTGCATATGCAGACAAGCTTTTAGTTAGATGGACTTCATATTTTTACTGTCAATAAGCATCACTGCGTTGATCTTGATCAGGTCGCAGCCAGATATTTACCCGGCTTGTGTTGCTTAATATCAGGAAGTGTACATACCCCAAAACATGAACCTTCTGGGTAAATTTAGAAGTTACATACAGTGATGTCGTACTCCCCTGACCTCTGTTTCTTACGCCCGATATTGCAACCCGTCATTTGCCTATTATCTTTTAGCATTACTTTCGGACCGCATCGCCGCCACTAGCTGGGGATGCCGGCGGCTGCATCTGCGTATATTAAGAGTCAGTGCGCACAGTGCGCACAGTTGCACTATACTATCCACCTACTGGTGCTTTCATATATGTGTTGTTTCAGAGAATTGCACTATACAGACCATGCCAAGAACGCTCTCCTTTCTGCATGCTGCCTGTAGGGGGATGTCCAGCTCAATTTATCAGACGTCGTATATAGGGTGCTGGCGACCTCATACCTGAAGGCTCACTACAACACCACGACTAAAAGGCGAGAAGATTGCGTTGAACTGAAACTCTCAAGATGCTGTGCAAAACTACGCTCCTAAACGCGCTCGTCAGCGTCGCATCCGCAGGTATTCTACCCAATCTCGTCACCCATGCCCCAACATGCTAACAAGCCCGTAGGCACCATCCTCTGGGACGGCCGCTTCAACGAGTTCACATCGTCGGCGGACCTCAACAACTGGTCCTGGGCCAACCAAGTCGGGCCCTACCAATACTACATTCATGGCTCCGGCCCCGTGACTTCCTACGTGAACCTGTCCCCTTCGTTCAAGAATTCCGGCGACACAAACTCCAAACAGGGCGCCAAAATAACAATCGACAGTACTGCAAAATGGAATTCTGATATGTGGCGCACGGAGCTGATTCCTCAGACCAAGGCTGCAATTAACCAGGGCACCGTGTACTACCACTTCAGTATTAAGAGGAGCACCACCAATGTGCCCAGCGCGACAAATGAGCACCAGATCGCGTTCTTCGAGAGCCACTTCACGGAGCTGAAGTACGGCTGGATCAGCGGTGAGCAGGGCGTGTCGAACACGAACTTGCAGTGGATGGTGGGTGGGCAGAGCAAATGGAAGGTCGACCTCAAGGCCGACGAGTGGCACAACGTCGTGTACGAGATTGTGAGTCAACTTTCTTTAAGTGTTCTAGATAGTGGCGACGCTAACCAGAGCAGAACTTCTCATCGCAGCAGGTCACCTTCTGGCATTCGACAGGCAACAACACGCTTGTCAAGACTGCGGGCCCCTTTGCAGCGAGCACGTCGAGCAACGGTGCGGACTGGCATCTTGGTGTCCTCAGGTTGCCCCGCCAGGGCAATGACGGGACTACTGCTGAGGACTGGTACTTCAGTGGTGTGTATGTTGAGAGTGGGTCGCTTACTACTTCTGTTGTCAGCCCGAAGTGAGTGAGTATGGGATGACGGAGGGAGACACGGTGGCTGAAATGATCTCTTTAACTGTATATACCTGACATTTGGATAATCTGGCTTGATGGCGAGAAGGAACGCACAAGTATGTACATTCCCCCGGGATTGAGGTCACATAGGCGTGCAATTTACCTCAGGCCACTCCTCCGTCTTCTTACCCCTGTACCTGCCCTTCCTTGAGCGTTGTTCTTCTTCCACCATATGCACTGGACATCTTCGCTCCCCGTCAAATATCAAATATTGGTGATTGTCGCCCTTGCACATGCCCGACTCGCAGGGGAAGTGATCGGTATGCTTGCAATCTCGCGGAACTTCGCGTTGGCAGCGGAGATAGTTGAACTCGTAGGTTGTGCACATAGTCGTTGAAGAAGGTGTAGACACAGCTCTGGGGATCAGGGGCGTCTCTTTTGGTACCTTATACCAATGTGGACACGTGAAGAGTAAGCAGTGACACCCAGCCTGGTTGCATATACAGTCACGTGGCCACTGTTTGCCAGCATTGAAAAGCGAAGCTGTAAATGGGTTGACACGCTAGGCGACTTCGCGATTGGATTTTCACCCAAGTACAATCACAAAGAAGTGCCTTGAAAGAGATGTGGCGTTATCCACAAACGCAACAAGCGGATTTCGGTCCTCTAAGATGTGGGCAAACAAAGAACGAAATCGACAGTCTGTGATACCTACAAGGTAGTCAACCCAGCAGACGACTTCTGGTAGCAGAATGGCTATCAGTAAAGACGAAAATATTTCGTAGTATCCACAGCCTAATGGGATGGCATCTCGGCAATTTTGCGCATGTTCCAAGTGTGCTGGTTGGAAGGGTGGGCGCAAAGCGGGACGGTTTGAGGCGCTCTATGTTGCTGTGGTTACGTCACAAACACATGCGCACTTTCTTTCATACGTTTGCCTGCTCGCAATTAGCTGCCACCACATCCTTGTCGCACAGCTGCCGTTCTCTTCTGGCGCCCTTTACTTACCTGTCGTTTCTATCAGCACCCATTTCTTGTTGATCAACCTCCGACCACCGACCACCGACCAGACATGGCTGACGCTCGTGGGGAATACTGGTACTTCGAGCCTGGCGTTGATGCGAACAAGATAACGGTACCGGAGCTGCGCAGCATTCTGCTCAAGCATGGTGTTGGCTATCCATCATCGGCGAAAAAGCCACAGCTGGTAGCGCTCTTCAACGAGTCTGTAGCTCCTCAGGCGGCGCAAGTCCAGAGGTCATATGCGCGCACCAAACGCACGACTCGCGGCATCGTCGATATGCCGTCCAGCTCCAACAGCACCGCCGAGGATGTCGAGGACGAGACGCTGGTTGCTCCCACGCCGGCCACCAGGCGTACTGCACGCCGTACGGTACGCGGAGCGACCGAGGATGCCGATGACAAGGTGCCAGCTCCGCGCACAAAAACCCCGTCGCGCGCGGTACCTGCAAAGCACAGCAGAGCGCTGGAGCCAGAGATAGACGAGCGCCCAGCAGCCAGGCGCACTCGTAAGAGTGTCACCCCGGCTGTCAAAGAGCCTACGCCCGACCCAGAGGCGTGGCATCATGCCGGCCCCGAGAGCCCGTTCACACAAGACAATCCTTTCCAGAGCGGCAGCTCGCCGGCGATCCCTGACACCAAGTCACGCGATAAGAGCCGGAGGAGGACCTTGGGAGCTGAAGTCAAGCAGAGGCGCAAGAGCGACGCGCACCGCCGACGAACGGCTGAGCCCAACGCAGAACAATACGACGAAGGTATCGTCGTGCCCTCGCGTAAAACATTTGACGTGGAGCCCTCACACACGCAAGACGACGAACACGACAGCACAGATGCGGGCGAAGAGTTCACACCGGAGGCGCAACTGGAGCTAGTGCGCGAGCGTGCGAAGAGCGGAGAGGTTGACATTCTACCACCTCGTAGGCGTAAGCCATCTGCGAAGGCAACCGGGACCCTGAAGGCCTTCTCAGCAACCCTTCTCCTCACAACTGCTGCTGTGTTTGGCGGTGTTTGGCGGCAGGAGAAGATCGATGTGGGCTTCTGTGGCATCGGAAGGGATGCTACAAGCCTTGCTGGTGTGGACGTGCCGGAATGGGCGAGCGATGTTCTTCCCCAGTGTGAGCCTTGTCCGCCACATGCACAATGCTACAGAGGACTGGAGCTCACATGCGATCCTGATTTCATACGTCAGGATCACCCATTGTCATTTGGAGGTCTTGTTCCCTTGCCACCAACGTGCGAACCAGACAACGCAAAGACGCGCAGAGTCACAGCCGTCGCCAACAAAGCGGTAGAGATTCTACGGGAGAAACGGGCTCAATACGAATGCGGCGAGCCAGATGCAGAGGGCAACTTGATTGACACCCCTGAGGTTGCCGAGGAAGAGCTGAAGCAGACTCTTGCTTCCCGTACGCAAAAGGGCATGACTGATAAGGAATTCAACGAGCTGTTCGATCGAGCTTTCCCCGAAACAATCCTGCGGGACGAAGTCGTCGAAGCTGCTGATGCGTGAGTACTATCCTCTTTAGCCCCAAATCAGTCATGCAATCATTCTGACGTAGAATCGTACTAACCAGCTACTCTTCCGTGGATACAGAACTACCGGGAAACGCAAACTCTCGTCAACCTCTCTCGCAAAGCTCTCCCTCTCCTGCAGCATCCGAAGATCCGTCATCCAATCTTTTGAACGACATCTTCTCCAGATTGTGATCTTCTTCCTGCTTGTCGCTTCTGGCTCCTATGGAAGATACTCATACACTACCAGTCGAAAGATGGAAGCTCGCGCGAAGCAGCTTGCCAGCGAAGTCTTTGACAGGCTCGCCAATCACGCTGCACTTAGCTACCAGGAGCCAGGTGCACAAGTTGATCGCGGAGTGAGCATGGCGCAGCTACGAGACGATGTCCTCCGTAACGAGTTCTCCTCATCGCGTCGGCAGAAGCTATGGCAGAGGGTGCAGAAAAAGGTCGAGTTCAACTCAAACGTACGTGCCGCAGTCAGAACCGCGAATAGCGGTGATGTGGCTCGCGTGTGGGAGTGGATCGGTCCCGTGCATCTCATCGAGGATGGGAGGAGCAGCGGTAAGCGCGAGAGCGGCCGCTTCAGCGTTGAAAACACGCCATCGACAGCGTCTAGGTCGATGATGGAGAAGAAGTCGTGGGATGGAGGGCATCCTGTTTATTAGACGCAACAAGAGATCTTGGAGGTTTAATATGGAGGCCATGGGCGTTTGAGCGGTTCGCTTTTGATTCGCATTATACCATCTCGTAATGTCATTCCACATGCTTGCAAACAATGCCAGACACATCGCATCTTCTAGGCATTGACATCCTAGTCGACACACTGCAAATCTTTGTCCAAGCCCAGGGTCGATGGAGACTACAGGGTGGCTGCTTTCGCGCCACAAAACAGTGAGAGCATAATTCTAGTGTGATCGCGGATGATCTTTGTAGACCAGAAGCCACTCAGTACATATAGAATGCGACACATGATCTGGTGTTCCTAATTGGAGCTGTTGAACGTGAACGGTCGAAGTGTGGCCCGTGCACGACGCAGCTTCCTCTTGGCTTTCGCTAAGCGAACTAGCTCGCACAATTGATGGGTCATCGAGGAAGGAGCACACATCACCACACCCGCCAACCCGTCGCCCTCACTAACCGACAGACACAAATCAGTCAAGATGGTGAGTGCAGACATGCCCAAATTCTATCTGGAGGAAGCCGCGCCCGCAACATGAGTGAACGATACCGCGAACAACCTCTCGATGACGAACACGACCGAAGCGAGCGCACGCAACTCGAGGACTACGATTGCACCGTCAGCTATGTTGAAGAATGGAAGGGATACGGGCTGCTGTACTCAAGGAACAAATGTCACATCTAAGGCGGAAGATGAGTCGAACAGTGACACAGCTGGGTTGGCTTCGCAGGCTCCGAGTGGCAATTCTTTTGTTCATACACGGAGATAGCCCAGCGATTGTAACGAACGCCCCGTCGCTTTATGCGAATCATACCGACTCGACGTCGACAACGGAGTTGTTCCGGATTACACCGACCCTCGATTTCGTACGAACCGCCAAGTCGCTGGCTACCGAATGCGCACAACTACGCCAATTGTCTCGTTCACTCATGTTGCGAGCCACGGCTCTCCTGCTAGATGGTGTCGCGGACACATATTAGCGACGGACATGCGCTGACGAGAATCGTTCAGGTCAACGTTCCCAAGACCCGCCGTACCTACTGCAAGGGCAAGGAGTGCAAGAAGCACACCCAGCACAAGGTCACCCGTTAGTAAACCGCAATCGAGGCCACACCGTGCAATTACTGAATCTGCGCAGAGTACAAGGCTGGCAAGGCTTCTCTGTTCGCCCAGGGAAAGCGTCGTTACGACCGCAAGCAGTCCGGTTACGGAGGTCAGACCAAGCCCGTCTTCCACAAGAGGGCTAAGACCACCAAGAAGGTTGTCCTCCGATTGGAGTGCACATCCTGCAAGACCAAGGCACAGGTACAATCACCATACCAAAATTGTCAAACACAGCTAACGACTGAACAGCTCGCCCTCAAGCGATGCAAGCACTTCGAGCTTGGTGGTGACAAGAAGACCAAGGGTGCCGCCCTTGTCTTCTAAGCGTGTCTCTTTCTCTCTCTTTTGCTGGGCCTTCGGCGTAGTCTTCAGGCGGACGGGATGGACGGCTTTCCCAATCGACTCATGCTGTGCATCAATGCAACGAAATGAAAGCGGAGTGATACGGAGCATCTGGGGATGAACAGGTTGCTACCCATGAATTCAACGGATTGTAACCAACATTTGCATCAAATCGAGCTCGATTGAAAGGACCCCTCGTTCGCATGCGTGAACCTAATGTGTGTTATGTGATGCACCCTAAAGCACCTGGCCAAGTAAAATGAAGCAGCACGTGCTGTCCCGTCTTCCGCGTCGGAGACGGAGGTCGCTTTCCCTTCCGGCTGCCCCTCCACCCCACTGAACGCGTCTAACGCGCGCCCTATCTTCCTACGGTCTTGAATAAAGACACGATCAGGTGAGTCAGATACTCCTCACTCTTCAACTCGCCTTACAATGATTAATGACCAGAAGAAGACTGTTCTCGTTGTTGGTGCAGGCTCTGTAGGTGCAATTGCCGCGTTGAACCTTGAGGTTGGCGGCCTTGCCTCAGTTACAGTTGCCCTGAGATCAAACTACAACACTGTCAAAGAGCAAGGATACACCATCGAAAGCTGTGACCATGGAGCATTGAAAGGGTTCAGCCCGAGTGTTGGTGTGCATGAACCCGACCTCGACTGACGTCAAAGGCATGAACATGACTGCTAATCCATCATAGTTCGCAACACTATTCCGGACATCACCGCCGAAGATCTTCCCCCGTATGACTATATCGTTATTTGCACCAAGAGCGTACCAGACGTCGGACCCACCTCCCTTGACTTGATTGCTCCCGCTCTGCCAAAGGACAACAGTCACACAGCGTTGGTCCTGCTCCAGAATGGCCTGAATATCGAAAAGCCCTTTCTTGAATCGCACCCACGGACCATCGTACTTTCCGGCGTATCCCTTATTGGAAGTGCAGAACCGTCCTCTGGCCATATTATCCAGAATGAGCCAGATCGACTCCTCGTCGGCGCGTTCCCGCATCCCTCCATCAGCGACGAGTTAGCATCTGAGAGGGCCAAGCAATTCGTAAATCTGTATTCTGCAGGTGGGAACACGGATTGCAAGTTTTCACCAGATGTTCTGCATGACCGTTGGCGGAAGCTGGTCTACAACGCCTGCCTCAATCCCATCTGTGCTATTACTGGTGTCGATTCTGGGAGGATCAGGCTTGCGGATGGTGGTCTAGATGGATTGGTCCGGCCCGCAATGAGGGAGATTGTTGCAGCTGCCAAGGCCGTGGCAAACGTTGAGCTGGCAGAGGATGTGGTTGAGCAGATGATTAACGTCGATCCGCTGGAAAACTGGGCGAAGCCGAGCATGCAGCAGGATCTTGAGAAGGTAAGTTCCAACTGTTCAACTTATTCAAACACCACTGTGACTCACATCGAGTAGGGCAATTTCATTGAATTCGAAAACATACTCGGTGAGCCGCTACGCGAGGGCAAGAAAGCTGGCGTCTCGATGCCCACTCTCGAGGTACTTTACCAGCTCGCGAGAGCGATTCAATGGCGCACGAAAGAAGCCAAAGGACTAGTACAGCTGCCAGGAAAGTAGGTCATCACCAAACGTCAGATAATCAGCACATGTTCGACATAGGAAGCCATTTACGAGCTCTGTGACACTGCCCAGGAGCCCTTGACCCAAGTGCCCCGCTGGCCAAGGTCACGAGAGATATACTTCCAAAGAGCTACTTCCCCATCCAGTCGTCCGACTCCCCTTTCAAGCTAGACCCGCGTACATCAAGCAAGAGCTATCCCACGTTCCACATACCTCATCTCTCAGGTTGCACAAACAACGCCCGACCGCCATTCCACCGATACACATCCGCTACTTGAGTGAACATTTTCCTTCAACTGAGCGAATAATCCATCATCATCGCCTTCACACTCTCCTAAACCTGCCAAATCGCCATAATGAAGCTCACAGTCATCTTCCTCGCCGTCTTTGCAGCCGCCGTCGTTGCAGAACCGTGCAAGACTGAGACGCCCGTCCCCAAGCCGACGCCGAAACCCGAGAAGTGTACGCGAATGTGCGCAACTAAGGCTGTCGAGGACTGTGGACGGGGCTGGGTATGTGAAGAGCGGATACGTGTATGAAACAGAGCTTTTGCTGATTGTCTGCAGGTTTCCAAGAAACTGGGCACGTGCTGGACGTGCTGCCAGGCGGCGTGAGCGTAGATGGGATATGTGGACTGCGGTTCAGATGGTGGTTGAGTCACCTCCGGCGACACGATGAGATGCGTGTGGTTCTCTCTTCAGCATTGTCTATCTTGTATGTATACTGGTCGTATTACTACATGTGGTCAATGCATCTCAACCTACACCTACAAATCCATTTGCTCTATGAAGATATTATGTCAGATTTTTACCTGTTGCTCCACAATATTAAATGGTCTCTGGTTCGCCAACATATGTTCTTTTAAAAACCCTGTCGATAAGCATCAGCCCTAACCCTCTTACGCGCTAGGTTATCGGGCGTCAGCCTTGCACTCTTGTAAGCACTTCATTGAGTCTGTTTATTCGCCGATCGAGTCACGACTGTGCCGCCATAACTTTGGACCCCTGCTCAAACTTGCTTGGCTGCAGTCTTGCTTACATTTTGGCTTAGACCATGTTCCCCTAGCGGAATAGACTTCAATGATCGTAGAACGCAGGAATTAGTTCACCGAGGTATAGGAATTGTAGTCTGCCTATATAAACGTAGGTACCTGCCATACGTCGACAGCTTATGTCTACTCGACCATTCCCGCTTCAATACCAACACTGGTACGTCCGCATAACGCCATGTCCTTGGTACCAGATGTCTCCTATTATTCTTGGGCTTTCGCAGCGTTTGGTATTTACGTGATCTTCAAACTCCTGCGCTTTGGTTCCCGCGAAGCCCATCTCCCTCCCGGCCCACCAACATACCCCATTGTTGGAAATGCTCATCTCGCTGTTGACAAAGACCTCTATAAACGGTGGGCTTTAGAATTCTCTTTTCAGTGCCTTGGCAAGACGCTCATCAGCCCAGGTTCAAAGACTGGAGCGAGCAATATGGAGAAGTCTTCGCTCTCAAGATCGGGAAGGGCACGATGATAGTGCTGAACAGCAGACGCGCCGTTCACGACCTGATAGACAAACGGAGCGCCATCTATTCCTCTAGGCCACAGGATGAGCAGTATCATATCGCACTGAAAGGTGAGAATATTGCCAATATGGATGCAGACGCGGGCTGGCGGGCGCAACGCAAGATCACTGCGCGCTTCTTTGCACCCGCGAAGCTGGATGGCGATCTGGCGAAGATCTCAGAGGCAGAGTGAGTTCTTAAGTTTGCATGAATTCTTCGTTTCGAAGAGCGGTAGTGCAGTGTTGACCCTGGACAGAGTCACGACCCTCATGCGCGACTTGCTCGTTAATCCTGAAGATTTCAGCAAACACATTGACCGAGCGACTGCCTCCTTCTCTTCTATTGCATTGTTTGGACAGCGTGCGAAATCGCACGACGACTTCTGGGCAACAGTGAGTTGACTCCCAACATCCCTCGGGTGGCACGATATTGACTAATTCAGGGTGCCTACGAGGCTATGGAAGCGGTATGACCCAAATTTTTCTAACGTAGAGTAACACACAGCAGTGGCTAATTGCAAGATAGGTCAATGCAGCATTAAGTCCAGGAACGTATCTCCCAACTGAACAATTTCCGATCTTCAAATGGGTACCTAAGAGCTGGCTTAGCTCGACCCTTCGTGCAGAGCAAGGTTTTAGTATACCGACGAGGATATGGACAAAAGCCAGAGAGCATGTTGAAGCGAGGCGCAATCACGGTGACAAGCGAGAGTCGCTGATGGACGAATTACTAGAGGACGAGAGTATCAAAGTTGATACAGCGTTTAGTGGAACAAAGCTTGCAAACTTTGTCGGAGCACTGATGCAAGCTGCTGCTGAAACCAGTGCACTCACCATGCGTACGAGCATCCTCTTTCTTGCCACGCACCCGTGGGTTCAAGACAAAGCCCAGAAAGAATTAGATGCTCTCTGCGGCGTGGATAGGGTGCCTACCTTTGCCGACTTCAAGCAGCTGCCATATATCAACTGCATCATGAAAGAAGGCCTGCGGATACGCCCTGTGTACGATATCCCGCGCCAAAAATTCCTGAATGATGATCTGACAGAACTGCTGCAGAGTCCCCACAGGCATACCCCATCGATGCACCGAAGACAACTGGTACGAGGGCATGTTAATCGTAAGTCAGCCGCTTGCCGTACAGCACAGTGGAACCACTCTCTGACCAAAATCCCAGCCCGCAGACGCCACAGTAATGATTCCCCAGTGGGCCCTCAGCCACTCCCACTACTCTGACCCCTCTGCCTACAACCCCGACCGCTACCTTGCCCATCCCGGCCTAGCAACCGAATATGCCTCCAGCTCCGACTACCTCAACCGCGACCACTACACCTACGGCGCCGGCCGCCGCATCTGCGCCGGTATTCACCTTGCGGAGCGCACGCAGTGGCGCATGCTGGCGCGACTGCTGTGGGCTTTTCGTATTGAGCATGCGGTGGATGAGGCGGGGGTACAGATTAAGATTGATACGGAGGCGTACGAGGAGAAGTTGATTACGGGACCGAAGCCGTTTCAGGTGCGGTTTAGGCCTAGGAGCGAACAGCATGTGAGGGTTGTTGAGAGGGAGTTGGAGGCTGTTGGGGGTCTTTTGGAGAAGTGGGAGTAGGGACTCTAGGATCTAGAAGCTGAAGATCAAGCTTTTGCTTATCTGCGCTTGTGCTCATGTTGAGACTTTGCACATCGCTGCGTCTTAGATAGTGACGTTTCGCAGGTGACTGTTAGGGTACGGGGATAGCGTGGACTGCAGTTCGATTATAGTTGTTCGCTAACACATTGTTGTGGCTATGTAACCACTGGGTATCTCACTCTTTTGGCCGTATTCTCTATCTCGTATGTAGGCGAACGCTCGAAGCCAGATATGGGCAGGAGTTACTGAGACGTAGTCTACTTGCAATCAAGTGATCATAGGAGACAGTAAGCTTGCTTCGCCACAGTTATTGTCTGGACTGCCGAGTCATTCGCCGGTAGTGAACCATCCGATACATGCTCGTCGCGGTGGGACCGATGCGGTTCGTAGGTGTTGTTGGTCTCATAAGTATCGTTGTCGTTCCTGGCGCTCTCGTCTGTAACAGCACATGACCACAGAAGAACTGTCCAGGCCATCAGAAATTGTCATCATCTCTTTCAGCTCCAGAACTTCATAGGTACTTCTTCGCCGCTGCAGCAACTCTCTGCCTGAAGACTGGACTTCTGACCACATCCCCATTCCCCACCTGGAAGAATGGATTCATGATCGCCTTCATCCACGCCTCATACACATCCACAAAGAAGTTCTTCACCGCCTCCTCCGTCACCGGACTTGTGGGATTGTAGAGCTGCCCACCGCCCAGCGCCGCCCGCCCTCCAGCCAAACTCCCCCTCGCACCACCGCCACTCCCTGCCAGCCCAAGACTCTCATCGCGCGGCCGCGTGAGTAATAAGAACCGCGTGTTCGCTCCCGTGATCCAGCATGAGATGTAACAGTTCTGATACTTGTCGATGTGCTTGAGGTACATGGGTGCGCTGCCTGAGGACGTCGATGGGCCCCATTGCACTTCTTCGACGATATCGAGCGCGGAGTGCAGAATGAAGGGAACTAGGGCGCGTTCGGATGGCGTGAAGCGTGCGACGCCGTCGCCGCCTGAGCGGGATGTACCGAAGTCGTGGGTGAAGAGGGGGACGTCGAGTGGGGAGAGGATGGAGAAGGTGTACGACATTTTGCGGGGTTTCGAGTCTTCGCAGGTTATTATAACGGGTAACACCCCCTATTCGACTTGATCGGAGCCTTCACAGTACGAGATCGGCGTTACGTTCTGGTGTCGTGCTCGTCGTCTCAATGCTCCACGATGAGCTCCCCACGCTAAGGATGCGCGCCAAGCAAGTCCGCGGGAGTCTTTCGCATCTTCAATTGCGCATCCACCCGCATCACGAACGCGCGAATCCACAATGTTCGGCCCCTTCCGTCTCACAAACCCGCTATCAGGCGGTCTGCTCTGGTGCGAACTACCCACTGCTGTTCAAATGGCGCCTGGCGACCAACGAGACACTTGCGGCGAATTAGCAGAAACTAACATTTCTTCAGGAAAATCCCATGGCGCTTGTCCCGCCACCAGAAGTACAGGCAACGCGAGCGCCTCCGAAATGTAGATGGCGTTGTTGCGACACTTGACAATGCGCTGGCGAGGACGGGATTGAGCATGAAGAAGGTGGACCGCTGGAAGATGGAGATGCCGACCGAGCAGGAAATGCTGCCCAAGGACAAATACACAGTGTTCGACAGGAAGGTTAAGAGGTACAGGAAGGGAATTCACAGTGAGTCGCTCCTCCTGCACCGGATACGGACAGATGACGGTAGAGATATGAACGAAGAGAGAGAAGCATGGCGACGAAGGAACTTGAAAAACATAGCAACTAACAGTTTGCAGAGGTACCAAAGTGGACAAGAGTCAGCCAGAGACTCAATCCCCCTGGTTTCTAAGCCAGAAACGATGGTTTGGTGTATTATACTACATGTTTCTCTACGGTCTGCATGGGCTATGGCGTATTTTCTTGAATCAAAGACATTCAAATTCGACGCTTATTTGTGAACGCTATGAAATGCCGTCTGTGTTACCTGATACTAGCTTGCAGCTGTGTAATGAGTTGCGGTGTAGGCGGATATTTGTACGTCGTACGATTGGCAGGATTATTGTTTGCTTGTTCTGCGCCACCAATACCTGACTGCTTGTTGTTAGGCTCTCTCACCCGCGCATCGTAAGAGCGAAGTTTGATCGACTTGTACCTTTACCTGCGGTCACACTATCCTTACTCTCACCTTCACCACGACTTGACTACTTCTATTACTTAATCACTTACGCTGATCGTCTTTGCTGACAACCCCCTCCTGCTTACATCTTCCCCTTCGACCTGAATTGACTACACGCAACTGCCGATTGAATACTATGAAGCCTTTCACGCAATTCGATCCTGAGTGGATCAATATGCAACAGCAGCACGAGGCAGAACGTAGACATTTTCAACGCCGCATCGAAGCAGAAAAGGTTGCGTTGATTGCGAAACAAGTTAAAGAAGATGGTGACTACTGGGGCAGATATGCCCAGAAGTTGGCAACTGCACCTGGACCAGTTGCATCCAAGGCACAGCTAGAAACCACCAAGTCAGGCGCTGCACCGACCTGTGCAGCGAGTAAAGTGACCCTGCCTCAACCAGATCTTTCGACGACGAAGCGAGCGTTGCCAAACACTTGCGACAGTCAGAAGCAGGGCAGGAAAGCGGGGATGATCGCCACTGCAGCACCGCAGCAAGCAGGGCAGGCACCGAAGCAGTCGCGTCAATCTCAGAGAACCCAACAGCCGACTGAACAAGCAGCAATGAGTTCAAGAGGAGCTCCGCGACCTACGCCAAAGCAAATCAAGCCGAAGGCGGCTGCATTGCAAAGCAAGTCAGTCTCTGGTGAAAACGAGGAAGTCATCGATCTATGCTCGAGTGACGACGATATGCTGGTCGAAGTCTCAAAGGCCGCATATGAAAAGAAAGCCACCGCTCGGACGCTCGATATCCCCGGTGTACCCTCTGCGACTTCAAAACTCTTTGGCAGAAACAATCATAATCCTTCAGTAAGTCCTCTGTCTTCCTTTCCACAATGCTTGTTTCTAATTTTAGCAGCCAATTCTAGGTCCATCGTCCATAAAGCAGGAGAAGCCAAAGGCTCAGACGCAACCACACTTTCCTCAGCCTGCCCACGACAACATCGGCAATCGGAATCACGACTTTGCGCCACCAGTGCTCAGTATGGAGCCACTACTTCATCATCATCCCAGCAATCTCAGCCTGCTTCTCAGGCAGCGCTTGGGGCAGTGCCTCCTAGAGTCCAGACCAATGCGACTCTCATCAGTACCCTGCGCGCACAGGAGACTGGAAAGCTATTTGCAGATAATGTCACGAACCTTGTTAACAGCCATCTCTCGCCATCGCAGCAGAAACAGCGAATCTATGGCTCTACCACTCGCGCTCTTGGAAACGCACGAATAGAACCTCTTGCATCAGATACATCCAGTGTGCCCAAGAAGAAGATCTATGATGAGGATGTTCATGTGGAGGATGTGCCGACCGGTAAGTACGGACTTGCAATATTCTAAGCTTGTGGTGACTAAGGCAAACAGCGCTTCTCAGATCCAATGTCACAATCAATAGGCTGCATACACCTGTGTGCAACAACAACGGTCTGGACACGAAGACGTCCCCTCTAGAAGCAGGAAGACATTCAATCTTCAATAAGAATCCGGAGAAGACACATTTGCCAAGTCCTTCGCCGTCACTTGCTTCTGCGCCACATACGCCAGTAGAAGATGAGGCGGAATCCTTGCTGAACATGTTCAAGAAGCCTCAACCCCCTTTGACGTCAAGACATCCTTCTAATTCCATTGCGAGATCTCGAGCTTCCAGCCACACTCTGGCAGAGACTCCAAACCCAGGTCAGGCCTCAACAATCCGTCGACAAGCGTCTGTTGCTTCAAAAACATCCATAGTATCGACTTCCAGCAGGAAGAGAAAGCAGGTAGACTTGAGCGATGAGGAGCAATCCAATTACGCGCCATCAGAAGCTCCGACGTCTGCAGCATGTAGTAAGCCTACCATTACTCTCGGCCCGCCCCACAAGAAGCCTTCGGTACCCATCAAGTCAAAGGTAGGCTCAAAACATGGTCCAGTATCTGAGCTGCCATCATCATCTGGAAGAAAGAAGACGAGTACGTTTGGCTCTCGATCAAAAGCCATCTCGGCGTTCAACGACACTCCAGTAACGCCACCTCGCTCATCTACTACGACATCTACGCCCAAAACACCTGTTACGCCGATCCGAAGCAAAAAAGATGCACATGAGAACCCCTTCGAAACTACACCAAGCAAGCGCAAGGCTGCAATCCGTGCTGAGTCCAAGATACAGAAGATAAGACAAGCAGACGAGCTATTCCACACCGAAGAGGAGATTCTCCAAGCTACAGCGAAGGAACATCGCCGGAACGCTGCTGGCACAGACCAGCTCCATACGCGTATGAGAAGCATGAGCATCACCGCCGTCCCGATCGGCCCACCCTTTGACACACCGGGCGCTGCAGCGGTATCTGACAAATCTGCACGTGCCGACGATACTTTCGTTGTATCTAAGAAGAAAGACGGTCTAGATCCCAAGAAGAAACTTCTGAAGGGAAAAGCCACTGAAGGCCGACGTGCGACGCGTAACATTGATGAGGTCATTGGCGATGGTAGTGATGAGGACGCGGACTACCTTGAAGATTTGCGCTCAGGTAAGTTTACTTACGCTAACGGCGTGATCGTTCAGAAGGGTCAGGAGGGGAGGATGTCGACGATGTAGGGTGAGGCTGTGCGGCGTTGAGGTCCTTAAACGGATCAGCAGCTGATATGATTGCAAGGCAACTGGAGCTTGGATGATCAGAGCATGGGATTGTGACATTGAGGCAGCACATGAAAAGACGCTGATGTGGTTTCAAGGTCACTGCTGGATTCGGAGTTGCACACCATTCTCGGTGGCTTGAGTTGTTCCTAGGCTCTCACCACAGTTATAAGCATCTTGGCATCGGATTTTGCAGAAGTTTTGGAAATCTATAAGTCGTTTCAGGTTTTCTTGCATCATCTCCCTTGCCTTACCACTCCCTCACCTCGCCTCCTGGCCCAATGAAGCCTGGGCTAACCCACGCTACGGCGTCCTTACTCAACCTCCTGACTTGCTCCTCGTCAATCTCGATGCCCAGTCCAGGCCCCTTCATCAAATCAATATAACCTTCTTTCACATTCCAAACCTCAGGGTTCTTTGTGTAGGCCGTCAAATCTTGACTGCCTGCATTGTAGTGAATGCCCAAACTCATCTCCTGGATTGCAAAATTAGCCACAGTAGCATCAACCTGGACACACGCAGCCAGCGCAATGGGGCCTAGCGGACAATGCGGCGCAAGCGCGACATCATAAACTTCCGCCATGGCCGCAATGCGCTTCATTTCGCTGATGCCGCCGATGTGCGAGATATCCGGCTGTAGAATGTCCACGCAGTTCGCCTCTAGGAACGGCCGCACATCCCACCGACTGTGCAGGCGCTCGCCAAGTGCAATCGGGCACGTCGTTGTTTGCGCGAGTTGCACGATGCCGCCAATGTGTTCGGACAGAAGCGGTTCCTCGATGAACAACGGGTGGTGCGGTTCCAGAGCGGCAGCGAGCTGCTTCGCCATCGGCTTGTGCACGCGTCCATGAAAGTCCATGCCAGCGTCCATGCCGAGCTCCTTCACTGTTTTGAGCCGCTCCACAGCCGAGTCAAGGGCCTTGGGCGAGTCGAGCCAGTGCAGGTCTTCTGTGGCGTTCATCTTGACGGCTGTGAAGCCCTGGTCTTTACGCGCTTGGCTGGGAGAGGGTGAGCTGGGAGTCGAAGCCTAAATTGAGTAACAGTTGGGGCTTACGCTTGTGCTCTCACATCGTCTGGTCGGTCACCTCCGATCCAGGCGTACACCTTGAGCTTATCACGGACCTTGCCGCCGAGGAGCTGGTAGATCGGAACGTTGAGTTTGCGCGCCTTGAGATCCCAGAGTGCAATGTCGATTCCTGCCAGCGCGCTCATGAAGACGGGTCCACCGCGGTAGAAAGAAGTGCGCCAGGACGTCTGCCAGATGTGCTCGATCTCACTTGGAAATGTTAAGATTGTTTACTTGAGCTGGACAGCTGGCTTACTCTGCTTCGAAGCCAGTGTAACGTTCGCCCCATGCATCGAGACATCCTTCAACCGCCTGAGTGTGGCCTTCGAGGGAGGCTTCACCCCAGCCGAAGTTACCGTCTTCGTCGGTAACCTTGACGAAGAGCCAGCGAGGGGGCACTCGGAAGTATTCAATCTTTGAAATCTTTCCCATGATTGCACAGATGCAATGATTATGGTAAGCTCGACAATTTGATGTCAAGTCTTGCAATTGGTTTGTCAGGGCATGGTATTTGTGCAATTGCCCCCCCACGAGCAATCGCTCGTCGTCTGACCAAATGCCGCGGTGACTAAAAGCACCAAGAGACAGCTCTCCACAAATTGTCCCAAATGGGCGAATCGAGCCCCTCCATTGCCGTTGAGCCTACCAGTGATGCGACCTCGGCGCGGGGTTGGCAGCGATCCACTGTTGGCCTCTAGCTTCGGTATATGGAGTAAAGAAGCCCGAATGAACGAGCATCAACAAGCGCAATAAAGTCGTGATGCGCCCAGATCCCCTCTGAGACCATACCGAGATTTTTGTCGTCTTTTGTCAAGTTGCGTCGAGAGTCAAATTCGAAAGTCGTCAACCACAGCCCCACCATGACCTCAGCTGTCACTTCCCCGCCAACCGGCGTTTTCGTGCCTGTCCCCACATTCTTCAAGCCCGCCGCCGACTCCAAGGCTGTTCAGGCCGCTGTCGACGTTCAAACACAGACTGAGCACAGCATATTCCTTGCCAAAAATGGCGTTCGCGGCCTTGTCCTGCTCGGCTCCACTGGCGAGTCTATTCACATGAACCGTCAGGAGCGAATCGATTTGGTTTCTGGCGTCCGCAAGGGATTGACTGAAGCGGGCTTTCCCGACTATCCGATAATGGCGGGCACGCTGATTAACAGCGTCGACGAGACACTAGAGCAGCTCGAAGACTACAAGCAGGCAGGTGCACAGTGGGGGCTTGTCCTGGCGCCAGGGTACTTTGGCGCGGCAGCAAGCCAAGAGGGTATCAGAGAGTGGTATACAGTTGTGGCTGATCGATCACCTATCCCCATTCTCATGTAAGTACTGGAGCTCGCGTAGAAGCAAACAGACGCTTACAAGACGCAGCTACAACTACCCCGGCGTGACCAACGGCGTCATGGTCACCCCTGAGACCTACCGCATCCTCGCCCAGCACCCCAACATCGTCGGCTGCAAGATGTCGCACGCTGTTGTATCGTGGCACAATCAGGTTTCGCTCGACCCGAAGATTGACCATAACAAGTTTAAGGTGTACAGCGGATTGGGTCAGCAGCTTGGTCCTATCGTATTCTTCGATGCTGCAGGTGTCATCGACGGCCTGGCGGCTGTCTACCCAAAGACTGTCTGCTCGCTGTTCAAGCTCGCCGAGACACGGCCAATCAGCAACGAGAATCTGGAAAAGATCAAGAAGCTGCAGTACACGGTCAGCACGACGGAAGAGTACATTGGCAAGTATGGTATCGTGGGTATCAAGGAGGCGGTCAAGCGTGTGACTGGGTACGGCACATTGGAGGGTGGCAGGCTCCCGATCAAGGGTAAGCTGCCAGAAGGCGAGTGGGAGAAGTGGAGTGAGACCTGGGAGAGGATACAGCAGGCAGAAGACTCGTTGTCCGAGAAGGACTTCAAGTAAGCTCAAGGACGTAGAACAAAACCTGATCAAATGAAAAAACAACACAACGCGAGCCTTGACTTTGATTGGAGGACGAGTTAGTCAGGTTTCTGCAGCTGCTGTACTCGCGCCTCTACCTTGTTGAGAGCGTAAATGTCATGCGACGTGGAAACACTGCAGGTTTGCTGACAAACGCCGTCAAAGATTTGCTCGATTCTTATGTTTGGCGGCGCTTTACCCCGCGTTCGGTCGGATTTGCCAATCATCAAACGGCGCCGAACTGCTTTCTGGTTGTAAACGTTCGGAGGTAGGCGCACACTGTTTACACCTTTCACAAGTCGCCTTTAGCGCTGTGAGACCAAACCATCAGAGTTCTGCATAAGAGTCGGCCTGTTCCATACAACATTTCCAAAAACAACCATATCATGGCACCACTTGATGACTCCACGCCGGAAACCCGCTTCGACAGCTTTGACATCTACCGTACTTCATACAAGGAGATTGACAGCAACAAAATCGATGTCGGCATCTTAGTCCCCAAGAAGCTCAAACCGGGAAAACACCCAATCCTCGTCAAATTCCATGGTGGAGGTCTGGTAAGATACGTTCTTGCTTCTCACGCCCACATCGTTGCAACGCAACTGACATATGCAGATTACAGGTGACTGCGTCTACGCACCGTGGTTCGCAGCCTACTTCATCCCGCTAATCCACCGCACCAACGCCATCGTGGTCTCGCCCAACTACCGCCTGGTGCCCGAGCACAGCGGCGCCGACATCCTCGAGGACCTCGCTGACTTCTGGAAATGGCTTCACAGCGGCGGTATAACGTCCTACCTCGCGAGTCAGGGGGTCGAGGTGGCATTGGACTTTGACCGTGTCCTCGCGTCTGGTGACTCCGCGGGCGGTTACATGGCGCTGATGTCTGGCTTGCTGCAGCCGAAGGGCAGTATCAGGGCGATTCTCGCACAGTACCCCATGACAGATAGTCTGAGGCGCGAGCCAAGTGAGCTTTTTGCTGATCTGCCAGCCCCCCCGGAGAGTTTTGTCGATGAGCATATGAAGACAGTGAAGCCGGGTGTCGTCGTGTCGTCGTGCGTACCGCCAGAGCGAATGGAGCTCTCGTATGTGCTCTCTGCGTACGGTCGGTATCTTGAGTTCTTTGGCAACGACAAGATGATGTGGCCGTTGTACTTGGTGGAAGACAAGAAGTGGCTGCCGCCAACGTGGATACACCATGGGGATGTGGATACGGCGGTCAGCATTGAGGACAGTAAGGCGTTTGCGGCTAAATGCGAGGCTATTGGTGGATTGGAAGTTAGGTTGAAGGTTGTAAAGGGCGTGGATCACGGGTTTGACACTCAAGCGAAGGAAGATGAGGAGCCTTGGTTGAAAGAGGGGCTGAGGTGGGTGGAGGAAAAGTGGCTCCTGTGAGCTGAGGAGTTGGCAAAACATGAATTGGAAGGTGGATCTACGGATGCGCTACCACAGTAACCGCATCAGCAATGCAGCAGGTATGAGTGCCCGTGTTATCCCAATTCTCAACGTAGAGCATGCGCCCAGGGCTCCGCTTTGGCTCCCATGCGAATCACCATTCCCTGTGTCTCCAGTTTCCAACTTCCCTGACGCTCCATACGGCTGTCTTGCGGGATTTTTCACACTCGCCAACAGCTCATCTTGCCCCAGTACAACATTTTCCAACATAGCGCAGCCCATCCTACCACCGTTCGCACTCAGTGGTCCCGGTTTGGGATCCGTGAGCAATTGCTGCGCGCCCGGGAACTCGTCAATCTTGTTCGTGACACTAATCGGTAGATTGAAGATCGTGTAGAAGTCGCTCCCGTTCAGACGGAAAGACTCATGAATCGAGATGTTGTAGGCTCCACGAGCCGTATCTTTGACATCTTTGCCGTCACCGACTAGACATAGTGGCCATTCGAAATTCACGTGCTTCACCGTGGAGCCCGTCTCTTGATCGAGGATGTCTGACACAGGCGGTGTGCTCGTCGTCCCGTTCGAGATAGTGAGGTTCTTGCAGAGATCGTTGCTGGTTAGGAAAAGCTTGATGCTGTGGAATCGTGTTGCAGCATCTACATTGGACGCTGGTGGGAAGGGAAGCGCGCCGTCACCAGAGATGTCAAGTGCGATGTGGAGGAAGTCGCCTCCCATAGGCGTGTTGGGCTGTGGCGAAGCGACAATCGCGAGACCGGGCGTAAATACGCGCCCGTTAACGATGGAGATGGCGCTTGAATTCTGTTCATTATTCCCAGTGTATTGACCGATCATCTGCGCAGTGCCTAAACTAGAGAGTACACATGTCCAAAAGAGTAGTTTCATGATGTAATGCTGGTATGATCTGATAGAGTCGAACTAGAGGTACGAAAGGGAAGAAGGAACCAACCCTTCAGAGACTATGTATATGAGCGCATTTGCGAGGGACCGGCATCAAATAAAACCCTGCCGCTTACCCGCTGCGCACATAATTTTCGCAAGTTGCGTCCTCAAGACCTCGGTGAAATGTGAGAGACGTGCACGTAGTGCATTAATTTGTTTGGCGAGTTCAGTCGATGGCTATGCTCCAGAACTCTGGCAATGTGTGATTGCGCCCTTGAGACGTGTGATGTCTGAGGCACGGTGGGACGGGATCATCGTTGACCAAGCTAGCTGTTAGCGTCTTGGCATGGGTATTCACGTTCCAGACTGAATACAAACTCGAATGAGCACAAACTACCCGCATACTTCACAAGGGCCGTATAGAAGATGGAGCTATGGCACGATATGTCGTCAGGTATCAATCGCTTAACTCATTCTGTTGCTATCGATGCTGCAGTAAGGCATCTACAAGCCTAATTTCATTTGGCATTTCAGCCTTATGTAAGAAAACAAGAGCAATTGCCACTCATAACCAAAAGCCACTGAATCACGTTCAGCGTGCTACGCCTGAACTGAAGCTTATCTTTTCTTATCATCATCAGGGACAAGATCCAACAAGCTTGGGGGAGCAAGAGGAAGGTTGACCCCGGTAAGAAGGGGCAAGTAGCCCGCTGGGTAAGGAACAATGTTGCTTCCAATGTGCAGACCATCCGCGAACAGTCCTGAGAATGTCTTATCGGGAAGGAGTCCGGAGAGGACGCCCTGTCTAGGGAAAAGGAAATTCTTTTCGACCTGGACGGCACCGTTATTATAGAAGGACCAGTTATAGGCCTTGTCCACAACCGTACCGCTTTGAATGATTCTGGGGACCCTCGGTGTTGTGACAGGAGGTGTAATTGCGGGTACGGCGGGAAGGGCGCTGGTAAGACCTCCAAGGCCTCCAAGGATGTTCGAGGGCACCGCGGGCACGGCAGGAAGGGCGCTGGTAAGACTTCCAAGACCTCCAAGAATGTTCGAGGGCACTGCGCTCGCGACACTACCAAGAATGCCAGTCGGAACAACGCTACCGACAACTGGCAGGTTGCTGAGCACATCTGTCGGTACAGGAAGTGCGCTGAGGACTGCAGTGGGAAGAACATCTACGACACCGGTCGGAAGAGCGCTCAGGACAGGAAGTACGCTCGGCAGACCGCCCAGGACGTCAGTTGGCAGGCCGCTCGGGACACCACTTGCCACACCACCCAGGATATCAGTTGGCAGAGCGTTCACAACATCGGTTGGAACGATACCGGTGGGAAGAGAGAGACCGCTCAGAGCTTCCACGACGTCAGTCGGAAGAACGTTTACAATCTCGGTTGGGATAGCATCCAAGACATCAGTCGGCACGATATCAGTCGGAATAGGGAGCGCGGTCAGAGCATCGACGATGTCGGTCGGAAGAGCATTCACGATATCAGATGGGATGGCATCCAAGATCTCGGTCGCTGAGATATCAGTCGGAATGGGTAGAGCGCTCAGAGCGCCCAGGATATCGGTTGGAAGAACATCAGCAATCTCAGTTGGAATAGCGTCCAAGACGTTAGTTGGCACGGCATCGGTCGGGATAGGGAGAGCGCTCAGAGCGTCCAGGACGTCGGTGGGAAGAGCATTCACAATCTCGGTTGGGATAGCGTCCAGAATGTCGGTTGGCAAGGCGCTCAGGATATCAGTTGGCAAGGCGCTCAGGATATCAGTTGGCAAGGCGCTAAGGATATCAGTTGGAAGGATGTCCAAGATATCAGTGGGCACAATGTTGGTGGGGATGATTTCCGAGATATCGGTGGGAATAGCGTCCAGGACATCTGTCGGAAGAGCACTTAGGATGTCATCAATGACGTTTGTGGGAAGCGCGTCAATAATCTCATTCGGAGAGAGGCCAGTCGGGAGGGTCTCGAGAATCTCTGTTGGGATCGCGCTAAGGATGTCATCAAGAACACCTGTTGGAAGTGCAATGTCAGTCGGTAAGACAACGTCTGTAGGAAGAAGTCCAGTTGGAAGCGCTTCAAGAACGTCTGTTGGAAGTGCGCTCAGAATATCTGTTGGAAGTGCGCTCAGAATATCTGTGGGAAGCACAACGTCTGTTGGGAGCGCAGTCAGAGCGTCAAGAACCTCCGTTGGCACTGCGCTCAGAACATCATCAAGAATATCTGTTGGAAGCGCATCAAGAACGTCAGCTGGAAGGATGCCAGATGGAAGCACGTCAAGAATTTCTGTTGGAACTGCGCTCAGAATCTCATCAAGAATCTCTGTTGGGAGTGCGTCGAAGATGTTTGTTGGAAGTGCGGTTGGAACCTCAGTTGGAATCGCCAAGATATCAGTTGGAAGGGCAGTCAGTGCGCTAAGGACGTCGCTTGGAACCGCCTCCAGGACGTCAGTTGGAAGTGCGCTCAGGACATCAAGAATGTCGGTAGGAACCACATCTGGGACGCCGGTTGGGAGTGCACTCAAAGCGTCCAGGACGTCTGTTGGGAGCGCGCTTAGGATGTCAGTCGGCAATGCGCTCAGGACGTCAAGAACATCGGTTGGAAGTGCAGTGAGGATATCAGTCGGAAGTGCATCTAAGACACCAGACGGAAGAAGGTCGCTAAGAATAGCGCTAACTCCGGGGATATCTCCAAGAAGGTCCGTGGGCACAGCTCCGGGGGCGCCAGTGGGAAGACTGCCATTGAGAAGGTCTCCGATGACTGGAAGAGTAGGAACAGCGACGGCAGGAAGGGACAGTGCGCTGAGAAGGTCTCCAACAACGGGCACATCGCCCAATACATCGGTTGGGACCGGCAGAATGACAGGGATTCCTGTAGGAATCCCGCTGGCAAGTATATCTCCCACTTCAGTAGGAAGCGGAAAGACATTTGACAAGTTGCCAATAACCGGCAAGTTGTCTAGCACCTCGGTCGGCAGGGCCACAGAAGTCAAGATATTTGTTGGCAAATCTGTAGGGAGAGGCAATCCACTGAGTAAGTCTGTGGGAATGGGAAGGGCGTCGACGATGTTGGACACAACTGGAAGAGCAGTAGGTAGCACGGAAGCGATTGCGTCGACGGGGTTACTGAGAAGCTCGTCCAGAGCAGGGATTCCACCAGGGAGCTGAGGTCCAACGGCAGCGATCAGGTTCCTCACTTGGTCATTGACATCGTTCGCCGTGTTTTGGACATCTTCGGGGATGTAGTTTGCCAACCTTCGGATGACCGGGCAGAGATTGCAGGTGTCGATGAGACCGCCAAGATCCTGTCGCTTGTATACAAGTTTGTCGACGTTCTTGAAGGCCTTGAGCTCGAGTTTGGCCCCAGCTGGGACAGCGTTGACGCTCGGGACAATAACGGAAAGAATGGACAAGGCGTGGAACACCTTAAGCGTAGAACCCATGGTAATGAATGTGTGCCTGTCGGAGGCTTGCGATGCCGAGACATTGTCCTGCTCTTTCCATTATATACTGTAAGCCTGAACGCGAGGACAGCTCTGTTAGCGATCAACGATCTGAAGGTTAGCCAAGGTCGTTCCATTCCAAGCCCCGTTCGTAGGAATTCAAAGGGACCGCAGTAGAAGCGCCAATGAATCGGACCGGAGGCTTCTCCGATACATTCTCGAAGTCGTAACTTTACTCTTTACATCCCTTGCTGCCATCGGGCATCGAAAAGATGTAGCATCTAGCGATGAGTTCGTCTCACCTCCCGATCATGGCCAGCACGGTGACATCCCGCAATACGGGAAAAGCTATGCGCGAATGTCGCATTTGGAAAGGAATGGACAAATACAAATGAGGAACACATCACATTGGTGGAACTGGATGACAAAGTAGGCTTCGGCGAAGGCTGTGAGTACTGCCTGGTCGAACCGATGCGGGTGCCTGGATAACCATCCGGTCGGTGACTAGGTTAACTGTCATAATCCGAGGATCCTTTCACACGATTCTGGTCTCGAGTACTGGTGGTAGCCAGACCAATCAGTGTAAATGAGGTGTCGCATTTGTCCTGGGTTGACAAGGTGTTGTAGCATCAAACGTAGAATTCAATTAGCCGAATTGAAAGGACCAGAGCTGATGTGAAGTCCGAGCTGGTAGCCTCGGCCGACTGGTATAGTCCGCCAGAAGGGAGTCTCAAAATCTTGGTGGCATGATCGAGGCTTGATGCAAGTCGACCAGTCTGGAAATCGAAGAGTATGGCGATGATGCCAGAAATGACGCGATTCATGCTCATCGGTGTGATGCACTTGGAGGTGTGCATCCCAATCTTCTCTCGCATTCCGTTCTGCACGAAGGTTGTCCGATCTTGGGCGTCGCAACGTTGTCAACGCGCCGATGACGTGCATCGAAAATACGGAGGTGTACGTTGCCGCTGCGCGTGCCTTTCAAGATCCTGTGCCGACTGTTATGATCCACCTAGCACTCTGGATGGCGGTTCTACCAGCTCTGCGAGAGGTTGCTCGTTGAATTCCTGTACCCCACGTGGCTGCCTGTCAAAGTAACACATCCATACCTTCGGAACTTGGTCTCGACTCGTCTATGCGTTGCGATATCTATTGCCCGGAGGCGAACCTACCTCGTAACCCAGATTTCCGCTTCCGCCCGAGCGCAGACGTGAGAAGGGCACCTTGAACACAAGACTTACACCCATGACCATGAACTATAGTGGACCAAAGGTCACCGGCCGGTTCGCGCATCTGGCAATCCAGTGAGAGGCAGAGTATGGAGGCTCAAGGGCGGAGATGCATGCCATGGCCATCCTTGCGCAAGATACACAGAAAAACAGGTGCAAGTCCTTCTTCATCGCATTGGGAGCGACGTGCATGTCCTCCCTAGGCTAAGTGCTCATGTTTTGTGCGGATTTGCAATACACCGTTTGTGTTCGAGGGCTCCGGGCCCCGAACAATTTCTCCCTCGTGGCTCTGTTCATTCCAAGGATGCGCACATGTGTAGAATAGACAACATCTATAGTACTTTAGGCTGTGCCGCATCACTCCCCATCTTCGTCGTCGCTAGCTTTTGAAGCAGATAGCTGATGGCCATCAGTCTCATCCTCAGGATCCTCCGCGGTGTTTGCTTCAGCTCCGTATTGTGGGCGTGTGGCCTGGATGTCTTTCTTGGCGAGAACAGACTCCAGCAATGGTGCCGCGGCGAGAAGTGCATTATACTGTTCTATAGATAGTGATATTCCCTGAGGAGGATCAGTGACTCAGCAGCCGACAGTGCGGAAATTCGGTGTACCTTCTTGCCTGGCTTTAGTTCACCTCCATCGTTCGCCCAATACTCTCGAATACTGACTAGCGTCATGCCTTTGAATTCGCTGACTGTCACACGTCGTTTGCCACTATGATTGAGCTGGACCAGTCAGTCATGCAACTTTGACGGGCCCATGGAAACTTACTGCGACGAAAGCGTTATTGTCTTCATCAGTCTGCAACTTCGGAACAAAGGGCGTGTCGTCTTTGTCCTCGTCTTCGTCACCCTTTGCCTTCTTGCTCATATGAGGCGTGTCGTTGTCATCCTCAGGTGACCGTTTTTTGCTTGAACCTTTCTTGAAACCGCCACTACCGCCGCCTCGGAACCCGCCACGCTTGGAGGTTCCAGCCATATTGTCTGAAGGTTTTGACTGGGTTGTGTTGTGTTGTGGGGTTGAAAAGACAATTGATCTTTGGCACACGATGATGACGACGACGCGTCTGCTAGCGCGCTTTGTCGCGTCGCTCACGTGTGTTTAGATACCCACAGTCTAAGAGGCTGACATGTAATGCTGTGACAATAAATACAATGCATATTGTGATGATTGCAGTTCAGACAAATTAGGTGCTTTTAACCAGTACCTGTGCCTTGCACTCTACGACTGGGTATCAAGGATGGAAATACTGATGCATCTGCAAAGCTTCGCGATTGACTTTCAAATAGCCAACCTTCCATTCCCTGTCCAACCGTTCCAGACACCCCCGATCTCGTTTGCATAGTCTTCCGCAGACCTGCCACTCGCGTCTTTCAAACTCCTGATATCCACCTTGTCCTCTGTGAGTCCTCTCATTATACCCATGGCCGCTGCTTCCTGGAAGACCTCGGGCGGGAACTGCAAGAGATCCAGATTACTAGCCAAAAGTAAGAGCAGCCATGCAACTTCTCTGCTCTGGGCCTGAACAGCGGCATGCAAACCCGACTGCATCTCGCCAATAGGGTCCTGGTATCTCAACAGTCTATCGATGCCAACATCCTTGCCCGGTTGATCATCATCGGCCATTTCCTCATCCTCGTCGTCTTCGTCGTCTTCATCCACCTCGTCATCCTGTAACATCTCAATGATGGCCTTATAATCGCCCTCGCGGCAAAATTCGAGGAACGCGCGGCATTTTCGGTCTTCGGGATATGCCTTCAGGTAGCTCTCTTCGGTGAGCAAAGGAAGCAGATCAAGGTTCTCCTGTAGACCACCCTCGTTGGTGAGGTTGCAGAGAACTTGCTGCTCGCCTGTTTGTGAAACGGATGCAAGGTCCTTGCTGCAGTTGGGACATTCGGTTACATGATAGGCTTCTAGAAGACAGTCCCTATATGTGTCAGCCTAAGGTTCAAACGCCCATGTCAAAGTCTCTTACCAGTGGAAATGGCACCCACAATTCAGCTGCACGTCATCTGGAACAGTTTCCGGTTCCGCGGCTGGCGCTTTGCCAGAGGACGAGCCAGCCATTGCATACTGCTCCTCATCATCGCGCTCGATTTCGACCACCAAGGGCTTGTTGCATGCGACACAAAGGGACATATTGAAAAGTAACTGAAGGAGGCGAGAATTGTTTTGGTGATTTTGCGGGGTTGGAAATATTTACGGCTTATCTTATCTAATCGATAACGCAACGATCATCGTGAAGGACGAGGCGACCTCGTAGATCCATAGTCAAACACCCCCGAGTCAGAGAACTGCAACATTAGGGTTCACAAAGCTACTCAAACTAACTCTCTCTCTTAGTGCGTCTGTACGGATTGTCGTCTTTCGTCTGAATTTGTTCGGTCTTGCAGCAGGTACTATGGGATTTTAAGTCGAACCCACACGAACTATCAAATCGTTACGCATCTCAAGAAGCATCTTTCGACGTCGTGAAGACCAGTATCCCTTCGCACACACTCGGAACTCTCAACCATAGTAAGCCCGCATTAAAGCAAGCCCTTGTTGCTTTTTCCAGATCTGATCAAGATCTCCGTTTCAGCTTGATGTCATCCGACACTGTTGCCTCAGGAGGCGTCACAACTTACCGCATCTAATCAAAACTGACACAAAACTCAGCGAATTGGACGTCTTCGAAGCTCAGGAGCTTTCATCTGTGTTCCTGTCATACCAAGCGTGACAGCCTGTAAACAATACTCGGCGCGGCCAGGGCAATGGCGCTGAACGGTAGTACTGCTTCCGAGCAACGTTGTTCCTTTTTGCAAATGTAATTCGGTACAAAGAATCATGGCCTCGCATGATCGATGCGTTGGAGCGCATATCCACAGGCGAGTCGTGGTCGATCACTTGCAGACACGCAAACATTCAACTACACAAAAGTGTGAACCAGCTGGGCTGGACTGACTGTTCTTGAGACCTTCAATCTCCTACCAATTACATGAATTATCATGAGAACGCTAAACACAGCAAGGACAGTTTGGCGGTCACTTGCCTTGGTGTGCACGGTTGGGATAATAGCACTGAGCACATGGTGTAAGTCAAGGCTATCGACATCTCAACATTCTTACACTGATTTGCGCCCAGCTCTCATCATTCTTCAGGTCATAGACAGTCGTGGGTTTACGGTCCTTTCAAATCTTGAAAGCAGGCTCGGGGCCGCTACAGCATCATGGTCTCAATACATCACTGCAGCGGCACGAGGGACTGCATGGGCACAGGTTCTTGTCACTATTGTAAGTATAGTGCGCAAGTTCAACAAATCATCTAATCAGAACAGGGTTCAATAATGGCCGTCACAATTCTCTTGGTCATCATGTCGAACCGCTACTACTGGATCCGCATACCCCCAGCCGCCGTCGTTACTTTGGATTTCGCATCTACCATCTGCAGCACTGCGGTATTCGGCTGTGCTGTGACTCTTGCTCTGAGCCTCGATACATTCAATGCCCCTGCACTCCCGACGTTTGATTCCGCCGATCTGACGTTCTTCGCCCAGCTCAACCCACTGAGCAGGGCAATCACCATAATATCAGCTTTGGGGGGCTTCTTTCTCATCACAGCGTTCATGACAAGTCTGATCGACCTGCAGACGCGTCGCGCGCAAGCCAGAGATACTCGAGCCTTCGAGCCCACCGTCTCAGCCTTGGGCATGAGCCACGGATTCCACGCGCTACATCCCGAACGCAGAACAGCCCGTGAACAGATCCCGACAATGTACGATCCCTATAGAGCTTTTCGCCAAGGACAGGGAGCCTCGCATAGTACGGAGCAATTGCCATTTGCAGATGAGGCGGCTTGGATCAGTCGGAAGCAGACAAAGTCTAGATGGAGCGCGTCAACAACAAGTCCAAGGGGAATTGAGCGCGATATCATCAAGCTTCTAGACGTCAAGAAGGCGAGAAGAGCAGTGTCAGTCAGGCCTGCAAGACCAAAGAGTGGTGCCTGGGACGGGAGGGGTGCTGGGCACGTAATATAATATGTAGAACTGGACAAACGCTTCGTTTCAATGCTAATCTTTTGGCCTTGTCGGGCCTTAATTCCATAATGAAAATACCTCGCATCGCTGATGGGATATCTCTTCTCAATCATAGCAGTGACTGTGCTACCCTCTACTTACAACAACTCCAGACTCGCCTATTGTGTCTTCTTCAAGCTCTTCTCAGCTGGCGCACTGTACAGCCAGACGGCAACAAATGCCAACCATCCAGCAACTGTAACCCAAATCCCACCAATCCAAACCCATGCACCACTAATCTCCCAGCTCCTCGGCCACTCGTCGTGTGCAAAGTGCCTTACTGTAACCTGTCTCTTCTCATCGATGTTTGTGACAAAAGGTCGGCGGTAGTTGACGCGGAAGTTGAAGATGCCGTGCTGATCGGGCGTCTTGAAAGCAGCGCCGAAAACGGTAGCGTTTGCGGTTTGCGAGATGGGTGAGAGGTTTAGGCGGTGAAAGGGCGACAACATGCTGAACTCAAGCTGGACGTTGTCGTTCGCGTCAGGGACAAAAGGAACGAAACGGTCGTTGGACCACTCAGAGATCTCGACCTGGTATTGCTATGCACTTGTCAGCTTTCAGCCCAATCGTTCGGTGAAGCACAAACGTACGACGTCGCTCTTGATGCGGTAGATAGTAGGGTTGCTCTCCGGAGTGCTGGCGTTGAGCTTCTTGCTAGCACCATCATCCTGATAGTGGACCACCTTGCCAGCCTTGAGCACACCCGTCTCCTTGAAAGTCCAGGCCGACAGCTTCGCCGCGAAATCACGGTTGGCAGTGGTCACAGCCTTGTCGCCAAGCTTGGCCTTCTCAGCAAACCACTTGTTCTGCAGAAGCTCAGCTGATCCAACAACGGTCAAACGTGCGGAGTTGTGAGCTTGCATAGCAGAGACAATGCTCAGCTGCTGACCAACAGCGAACGGATCCTCCACAACCTCGGCCTCATCTTTCGAGTCGTAGCTGTACGCTGTGCTGGGTGCACGGAGAATGGGGGAGAGTAGGGGCGAATCGTTGCCGAGGACCTGTGCGACAGCGCGGGGAACGGCGATGTAACCCTCTCCGCCGAAGTAGTTCGTAACGCCCTTTCTCAGCGCGGCGGGGTATGGGAGCAGCAGAACATCGTGCTTCTCGGATGCGGATGCGGAGTCGTAGTTGAAGTGGTCAACTACCAACGAGCCCTTAGTGTTGGGAATGCTGATATCGAGCTCGAGGAGGAGGGACTGGATAGCGGTGGGGGTTGCTTGCTCGCTAGACAGCGCAACGAGGACGTTGCCATCCTTCTTAACGAATTCGAGAAGTGTGTTGGCGGTCAAAGCTGGGCCGAGGCCTTTCGACTTTGCAGGAAGCAAGAGGACGTGATCGTAGGTTCGTTCATCATGCTTGAAGAGAGCAACCTTGTCTCCCTTGGGCGAATCGACAGTAGTGTGGAAGCCACGAGCTGCAAACATGTGTTAGCAGTTTCCTCGCCATCCACAGCTTCAATTGACGATAACCAGAAGCTCCAGTCAAATAGCTCGAATAACATCTTGCAAGCTTACGCGGCCTGAGCTTCTCCAACCGCAACAGCACACATAGCTTTCGGAGAGTCTGCAGACACTGCCAGCGCCAGAAGATCCTGTTTCGGAACGCCTAGAGAGATGCACTTACCCGCCAGGTCCTCAAGAAACACGCTGTACTTCTCGCGCTCAGCCTGCTCTTCGAGGACTACCAGCAGTCTGTTCCCTGTGGAACTCGCCGCTCGCACCACAGCGACAATGGTCAAGACCAGAAAAGAAAGTAGCCACCTCATGATCATGAATTGGCGAAGTAGGACTTGACACTTTGGGCGTTCGTAGACAGCTACACGTAACGTATGCAATGCCAAGACATCGGCGCGGAACATCCCCACTGACCGAAGCTCTCCGAGCAACCTCACGTCCAGGCCCGCTGCGTCACGACTAGCATTCCGAGGCATTGAGGCCCTTGCACACACCGTACGCACTCTCTACTGCGCAGCGCAAACCCAAAGATCCAGTCTTGCTAACGCGACGCAGCAATTGTCCCAAGTGTACGCTCCTGTCGCCGCCCGCACGTTCACCAACCCAACGACGCTGATTACACAGCAGCAGCACCACCAACATGTCCGGCACGCCCCTTAACCCCCGCTTCTACTCGCAGCCACTGCGCTACCTCAAGTGGGCCTCAATCAACAAGCCTGCGTACTTCTACAGCATCGTCGTCGGATGCGTCGGTCCCATCTTGGTGGTCGCAGTTCCTCCGATTAGGAGATACTTGGGCGAGGAGCAAATCACCAAGATTCCCCTCACATACCCGATTCCCAAGGGTGATAGGCCAAGGCCGACCGGGTTCGATGACGAGTGAAAGGCATCTGGGATTGAGAGCAGGCAGGAATAAGGATGTGCTACAATTCTACTGAGAGAAGGCACGAGCAAGTATAAGCTAAAGAACACCACCGGGCCAGATACAAGATATTGTACAAAGACCATTTCATTTTATCACTACCGTGCCCTGCAGTATTTTGCACTACGGAAGCCTGCTGAAGTTCCATAAGATGCCTGCGCCGGAGCGACTTGGCTCAGCCGCAGTCCATAACCGAATTGCAGAGGTCGAGTCCGGAGGACTTCTTCGTTTGCAAAGCCGTCCATTGAAGCACCAAAACCAAATATGATGCCTACAAATCGTCGAGAAGCGCCAAACCAACACCCAAATACCCTGATGAGAACTCAGAGCGATTCGTACCGCATGCGTTTGTTCTGGCTCTCGTGCTGCGGCACCATCTCCTCCTCGTCATCGTATTCCACCTCATCTTGTCCCTCAGCACTCGGGCTCCTTTGATACCTCTTCGTGGTTTCTAGGTTCTGTCTCGCAATCTCGTTTCCACCCGGCTTGTACGCCCTCTTCGGAGGCGCCACTCGTGCCTCCCTATCCTCCTTCAACCAAGGATAGTCTTCTCTAGCAAACTCCGTACACGTCAGATACTTGACTGGGAATCGATTCACGTCGAGCTGGCTCTGGCTCCTCAATATCTTGCTGTCATCAACGACCTTCTTGATGCATTCCTTGATCTCGAAGAGGTGGTTTTCCAGCACGTTCATGCCCTTCTTGGTCACGGGAAAGCGTGTGTGAAACTGATTAATGACCGACTTATCCATGTATGCGTCGCCACCCGCGCCGAGCGCGGAATAGAGATCGTAGCCACAGTCTGACGCGTCGCGCCCGTGTCCCGTCACAAGTCGCTGAGAAACCCAGTGGCGGAAGAAGGTAAGCGCCATCCAGACCAGGATATCCTTTGCGTATGATTCGCGCTTGATAGGCAGATCTTCCGAAGGTAAACGCAAGGCTTGTGGATAGTGCGAAAGAATACCGAGCTCCAGGGCTTTGGCCTTGTCGGAAAGGGCTCGGTGGTACTTCTCGACCAGTGCACGCGACGTTGGCACCTCGCGGAGACGTTCGGTGATGTTGGCATTAGTCTTGAGGTTCTTCCAGTCACCCACGAGATGTATGATGCATTCCTTGAAGATCATCTCGCTGCGAATGCGGTTCGCCATCTCAATCCAGGCATACGGTACGCCCTGTATCGCACGGAACAGATCCTGGCCATGCTTGAAGAGGGCGACCTCAATCGGCTTAGAGATCAGGCCGGTACAACCAAGGTAATCCGAGATGTGGAGCAGTTGATAGCAGTCAGAGAGAGCAGCGCTCATATCCGCATCATCGATAGTGAGCTCCTTGTTATAGAAAGCGTACAGTATCGACTCATAGTTTTGGAAGGCTTGGTCAGCTAGAGGGACGCGTCCGTTCTCATTTACAACTATGCCTGTACGGCCATCTGCGCGCTCGCCCGTAGGGGTAAGCTCCTACAAATGGTCAGTCTCCAAGCTGCCCGAAGTCGCTGAGGCATTTCAAGCTCTGAAATTACTGACCACCAGATCAAGATAGCCGGCAGGGTTGCGCTCGTTGGGCAGCTCTGTCAGCTCAATCATCCAACGGATCTTTACGCCAGCGTTCTTTGCGCGGCTGCTCAACCTTGCCGCATTACGTTCGCACAGCATCTCAGCAAACAGCGTGGAGTTCCTCGCGAGCGTGCCAGAGTGGAACTTGTAGCGGCGCTTGTGGCCAAGTATGACTTCGACGTCTTCTGCTTGGTTCATGTTGGTGTGTCGAACGGTTGTTGGAGTGGTTGCGAGGCTTGTACTGTGCGATTCTTCGTATGTTAGGCACTGTTGCAGAGGGTAGGAAGCGCTTTTGGGAGGCGCTCCAAAATGATCAAGGGCGTTTGGTACGCTGTTGAGAGAGGGTGCGAAGGTACGTAGGTGTGCAAGGCCTCCTATTTTAGGCTGCAGCTAGTGCCAGAAGTGAAGGTATCATCGCGCTTTCGTACAGTGAAGGTGTCCTCGTTTACCAGATTGTAGCAGTAAAGTGGGCATACTCAAGCAGAGGTAGGAAGACTACTGTTTGACTTTCGCAAAGACAAGCTAGGAAACTCTGTAGCCACCCGCACGGTTTTGTGCTTCCGTTTGACAAACAAACAAGGATCATACAAAGACACGTGGTAAGCCTTTTACGAGCATTGCCTGATCGGCTCGAAGAGATTTTGTGAGATGCTTACTTCGTCAAAATACGTTACGCATGTATTAGCTACGAGTCGAGATATCTAGCTTGGTGGCTCGTTGATGGGCGTGCACTTCTCAAACTTAGAAAGTGCTGCATTGGACTATGCGGTGGACTCTGAGCTCCTCTTCCCATACCACGTCTTCTTGCTTTTTCCCTTTGCTTCTGTCCCTGTATCAAGTGCTCCTTTAAAACACAATCCAGGATGGAATATGTTTAACGACAGGACTGCTACTATAATTACTGCACCCTCGAGCCCAATAAAGTACCTTTGGGTCTTGATCAGGTGTCCATTCCATCCTTCACTCAGTTCTGCGACCCTGTACACACATCGTGTGAAGATACATAGCGTCGCAAAGGAAAGAGCGATAATAAACCCTTTGAACTGCCATGAATCGCGCAGCTTTGCGTGTCTAGGGTCCAACGCGTTCTGACCAAGTTTGCGTATGCGGCCTATAGTGCGAGTCGCAAAGTCGAGAGCCAGGACGATGAAAATAAACAACGTCAGGACCTGGAAGGCAAGTCCTGCGATCATGATGTTATTTCCGAGGGTTGGATTTTCGTTCTGATGAGTCTTCGCACTAGCAATGCCTCCACCAAGAGCTTGCAAAACCAGAGAGGCGATGTCGCATGGAATGAAGATACGCGGGTACGATAGTGGCTTGATTCGTGAGTTTTCGGTACCGAATGTGCTGACGATGCGAGAGAGGCAGAGATAGACACCAGCTGCAAGGAAGGCAGGCGCGATCGTGAGGCAGATAATCTGGATCAAGAATGGATTCTTTGGCCTGTTAGCCGTGACGTCCTTTTGGTACAGCATCACTGACGTACCTCAGTAAACCCGTCAAACCACGCGAGCACTCGACCGACGTAGCCGACTACCTCGAGTGCACATCCACACACCATAGCGATCGTAAACCCGAGCCATGCTTTGTTAAGGAATCCTTGACCTATGTACGCCAGAGTAGATAGCCCAAACAAAAGCAGGAACGCGAGATTCGCAACCAAAGATGGTCGGTATCCCCAATACGACATCTCGAGAGGACATGTATCGTAGCTACATAGGCTGCGAAACTCCTGAATCGCGCTGCGGTCGTCACGGGTAGCTAGCAGAGAAGCTTCAGCCATTGTTTCGTATGCGAATGATGCCATGTCGGGCAATATCGATATACTCTCTGGCTTCGACTGAGGGATCCGATCCTATGCGTTGTATGATCTGTGGGGGCGAGGCACAAGCGTTAGAGCCTTGAAATATGTGTTCTAGGAGAATGCCCAGATGGAAAAGAAGAGCAGAAACCAGAGGGTGAAATGAAGAAAGGACTTTTCGAACGTAACGCTACCACACCTACATACTTTGAAAGTCGGCCGAGTACAGAATCGGACTCTTTCAGGCCCCTAAACATACTCCTAGTTCCAAGCAGCGCCACGTTGATGGGCTCTTCAGTCTTGCGCTTCTGTAACCGAGATCTATTCTCGCCTCGCCCCGGTAAAAGCGGCAGAAATCGTGCTGTCATTGGCGCACTGATGAAAAGGTGAGGCCTAATCACGCCGTACCGACATGCGTCATGTCGGCAGACTGTGTTCGCGCGATACCTAGCCGCGGATTTGGCCATGAAAAGATCCATAACACGCATGCCACTGAGAAAAGCAATTTGGTCGACGAAGCTCTCGCGTATCGTTGTCGCCGCCGTCGTGCTGAGCGTGATCTATCTTTTTGACGGCGAAACCTGCGCCGCAGAAAGTGCAAGGCTTACAGGTACATATTGGCCCACGTTTGCGGTGTTTCGCTTCGAGCGAACATGTCGTAACGGAACAGCTAGAGGTTTCATGTTCCAATGGATTGTGTTGTTGCTAGATATCGTACCTCCTGGAATTCGCGATCGGCCAATATTTTGAGGTTGGCCGGAGCCTCGTTCCGGTGCGGCTCGACACAACTTTAAAACCCAGGAACGATGTTCAACTATCGACACCACCTTCACAGCTGCATTTCGTATGCCTCCTGAAAGAAATGAAACGATTGCTGCGAACCAGCTGGTATCTTGATAGAAGCGGACTGCGCTGCTCTGCACTCTCGTTGCTCCTCCTCCTCTTTACGTACCGTACCAACTGTGGATGCAGGCGTGCCTCAATTACGCGTCAAAGATCCAGAGCGCCAGCATAATATGAGCACCAACATGACACGACCCCAGAAGAGAACACCTGGTTCCTGAGGCTCAGGTGACTGCCTTTAGATGCGAAGGAAAACAGAGAGTACTGGCCTTTCCTTCTCGCTGTCACGGGCAGGGCAGACTTGCATCGAAAATGCAACTCAACTTCAACGGCGCCAACACTTGCGCAGCGGAGATCGTTTCCCCAGACTCCGATTTTCACCAGAAACTGACCAGCCATGTTAGTGGGGACTGTCAGCTACTCGTAAGTTTGTGGCGCTGGAAGCTGATGCGAGCTAGGTACGGTGCGAACCTGAGGGGTCAGCCCGAGCGGCTGGAAGAGCTACGAACTGTCCGCTTAAGCCATCCATCCTACCTCAACCACCATCATTTATCTCTTCGGGGCCATGTTGAGGTTGATCGAAGTTACACAGTCATAAGCACTGAACAGACCCGGGCTGCGGCCCCAAGAACACGTTAACACTCCGCCCTGCAAGCTACTACCATTACACAAGCAGGTGCAATTGAACGACGCCACACTAGGTAGCGCTCAGCCCCACAAATTTTCTAGCTTCCAGTCTTCCAGACGGCCCGTTCTAATCACCTAGTATCAGTAGTATGTATGTGAGGAGCCAAACCCAGGCCTACGACGTTGGATACTCTTGGACTTTCGGTGTTCGTTGGTCTCGACGCAGATTCGATAGCATCTGCATCTTTAGCGAACCATAGATGCAGGTACAGATATTTCCGCTGATGGTGCATGAGAATCATCGAATCGCTTGCGAGGTAATGATGACCCATTCAGCTTGAGCTGAGATGGATGTATGTAAGACTGACCCGAACATCAGCTTTGGCCCCCGCTCCGGAGTTGAACGCCTAGGTGGAAACGACACCATAGACCAATGAGAATAGTCTCAATAACTGCTGACATTCCGACCGGGCTATGGTATGCCTCTGAATACTTCGAGTGGCGGTCAGAATATCCGATGTACGATTCTACAGCCAGCCACAGACGGCCACTTGCTTATCAACACCAACAATATGTTCACAGCCCGGTTGCACGAACTAGGATCATGCAGAAGAGACAACGGTCCAGCCTCCAGGACTGGCAGCATGAGCCACATCCCGTGACCGATCAGGCCTGGACAGCGTCCTGCTCCATGGTGTAGCCTAATGCGAACCCCAGTCCCTTACGATCAGCTTGAGCTAGCGAGATGTCAGTAGTAGCCATGCACCTGACAGTTTGGACACATATTTAAACCGAGTGAGTTTGCTCGATTTATGACATGAAAACTACGTCTCCACTTGTAAATTTACAAAGAGACATTGCCCACAGTCTGTTCCATTACATTTCTGCCTGATCCAGAACATCTCACCATGAATCCTATTAAGGTAGAAGACCTCACTGGCATTCAAGGAGATATTCTCCTTAATGGATTCCCCAAGAAGGCCGAGATCTTCTGCTTTTTCACCATTAGAGCACCACAGGCATTTTGCCAGAACATCCAGGCAGTAGCTAACTCGAAGATTGCAACTGGCAAGGATATCAAAGATCTACGTGAGCAGATTAGCAAGCTCGCCAAAGGAAAGGTCATAGATGTAGCAAAGACTAACATCGCGTTTACTTCTGGGGGATTGACCAAGGTAAAGCTCCATGATTGGAAATATGCTAAGTGCATGCTGACAAGCACAGTTGAGCAATGTTCAATCGACACTACAGAAGGGCCTTAACGGCTTGAAGGACTCTGCGCCGTCATTCGTTGGAGGCATGCAGAATGAAAATGAGCGACAGGCGTTAGGAGATCCTGTATTCAGCAACTGGAATCTCAACCAGAATGGTGGTGGCCCGATCGATGGTGTCCTGCTCGTTGCTGGTATCAACATGGATACCGTGGAGAAGGAGCTAAAGAATGTACTAGGTCAGTTGAACGTTGGTGGTGAAGTTGTTGTGGAACTGTTCAGGGAAGTTGGAACTGAGAGAGAGGCACAACCAGGTCACGAACAGTAAGTCCAGTCGACATGTCCTCCGACGTGGCTAACACATATGCAAGCTTTGGCTTCAACGACGGTATCTCACACCCTCAAGTCTTTGGCATCAACGATTCATCCAGTATCAACTTCAAACTGGACGATGTTGTCCAGCCGAAAGACACAAGCAACTTCGTGGATCCAGGCGTTATCATAGTCGGCAGGCAAGGCGACAACGAGAGCAACCCTAAGCCTCAGTGGATGACAGACGGGAGTTTCCTGGTTTTCCGGAAGTTGGAACAACATGTGGGCAAGTGGAATGACTTCGTGGTCAACAAGTGGAGGGATGCAGGATCGAACGGCCCAGCTCAGTTTGGCGCCCAACTCATGGGCAGATGGCAAAGTGGTAAGTGAACCCGAACCAAGTCTCCACACTATCTGACGATCTGCTACAAGGTTGCCCTATTCAGATGCAGGACCAGAGAGACGATGCTTCTTTGGCCTTGAGGAACGACTTCGATTACGGTGGCATGACACAGCAGGGCAAGTGCCCCTTAGCAGGACATATTCGCAAGGCGCACATCCGTATTGGATTCAATACTACTCGCATAATGCGCAGAGGAATTCCTTACGGAAAGGATTTCAAGAATGGCGGACCAGATACTGGCCGTGGCCTTCTGTTTGCTTGCTACCAGTCGAATATCGAGAACGGTTACAGATTCATTCAAACTGCCTGGGCGAACCAGCCGGGCTTCCCTTCTCCAGGCGCTGGTCTCGACGTCACCATCGGCCAAGGGAAGGCAACAGATTCTCCAAGCCCATTTCAGATTGGCACGAAGTCAGTCAACATCAACCCAATCAACGACTTCGTCACAGCCAAGGGCGGAGAGTACTTCTTCGCGCCGTCCATGGCAGTGTTGAAAGCTGGTTTCAACATTGGCAACGTCCAGTCCCGACTTTGAGACACAAAGAACGATAGCGAACCGCAGGCGTTGTAGGAATGAACAATGAATAGTAGATACTCATACGAGACTTTGCTTCAACGAACAATCTGTGTCACTGTAGTGCGGACGTGCTCGGTACAAATCTCAAGGGCGTGCTTGACGTTGTGGTGTAGCATCGCATTCCCGGTCGCAGGAAGGGCGGGACGGTTCAGATCCTACCTAGGCATTCAAGGCTGCTGCATTATTATTGAGAGCATTCGTTGCATGTCTTTGGTTGCTCCTGAGCTGGATGGGGTCTCGTGAACGAAGCCGATAGAAACGCAACGAGGCTCTATTTGTCAGGCAGAAGATAGTCAGGAGGATGTACCGATCCCTTTTGACGCTAGTGCTGCAGCACGGCTAACACGTCGGGCGACATGCAAGTCACCGTTGTGCTCCGTCAACGTTCTTGTAGATGCAACTTGACGATAGACATATACATACCTGACCCACAGAACCTTCGTTGCTGATCTAGTTCTCCTGCTTGCGCGATAGCGTCGTAGTTTGGCGAGCTCTGAACCACAAGCACTTGAGTGGCTGATAGCCCATTTTCCTTGGCATCGTCGACAGCGCACTCGCCATCCTCGGATACCAACGCCTCCATCACATCTGACACTTCTCCTGGTCGAACGTGTGCATCGTTCCGGATCTGTTGATTGGAGGGCGTCCGGCGCATCCAGCTGGTATCAGGGATCGTACCTTGTTAGTCAGAAAGCCGCGGAGGAAGAGGGGCTCCGCCATCCGCTAACTGCCACCAGTGCTGTACCGATCACCGACCTCGTCTGACGCACAACGACCACTCGATATAGGTGCGTAACGCCCCTGAGCCACAGCACATCCGCAGCGCACCCAAGAAAGCGTCACCGCACATTTGGCAATCGCGGGGCACTGGCCCGTGAAGCCTCGGGTTATGGGAGCAGGAGGCTAATGGTGCATGAGCAGGTGCGACCGATAAAACTTTTTGGCATTGCTTGGAAGGGACGACGACAGGCCTATCTGGCTGAGATAGGCACAAAATACGACCTGCCAACATGGCAGCGGCGACAGCGGGTAAGTGTCGGAAGTCGCAGTAGACCCCACAGCGCCTCTCACATCTCAATATTCTGCACTCCTTCCCGCTCACCGTGTTTCGCTCTGGGCTCTTCCCTGCTCTTTGCACCTATCTGACAGCGCTTATTCCTCACACAGGTTACGAGTGGAACCGTTCCTCGCCGCTGCGCTCCTCGCCCGACACGTCCTCTTCTACGTACCCCGACCGGCCGATTCGCCCTCTACCAGCACGTTCCCTGCGTGCGAGACTGTCTCCAGAGCAGGCCGAGTCGATCGTGTTCCCCAATAACCCGCCCTCTACAGGGCCGCTGTTCAACTTCCCGTACACGTCCAGTGAGCGTGGCAATAGGGCTTTGAGGACGGGCGAGAACGACCACCATGCGTGCCACTGCGGCCATACTCATTCTGAAGTAGAGAGCGAAGAGGACGAGGACATGCGGAGAGGTCCACAGCCTTCGTCTCCAAGCTACCATTACAGCAGGAGTGCATCTGGGAGGTCTGCAGTCGCGGCGTCAAGCTATCACAAGCCAGGCTCTGCCGCATCTTCGGTTGATGGCTACGAGTCGTTCGAGAACACAAACAACAAGAAAAAGCGGAAGATTCCAAACATGGGCAACAACAGCTCGCATCACGCGACACTCTCAGCGGACGTGGCAAGCATGAGCATCGCAAACCACGAGAACGGCGAGGTCGATGATGGGACTGTACGCTATGGCTCAGCGCCGTCAACGCCGCAGCACAACAGCTCTGGGACGGGCATCGCAGGCGCAGGCAGAGGAAGATTTGGCCGATCTGGTTCAGGACGCTCAGAACGACGAGTGCTGGGAACTTCAACCAGCCTGGCCAACACCAAAGCAAGCAAACGTACGGTGGCACCTCGGGAAATTTGACTTTCAGTCCGTGCGCTAACTATTTATTCTAGGTCCTTCGGAGCAGAACGGCATCATCTCCACAGCCATTGCCAACGCACAAGCAACCCCGCCACCGCAGGGCAACGAGAACGTCAGTCTGCTGCATCAAGAGGCTGCGAAAAGTAGCGCAACCAAGACTCAATTCACCTTCACCTGTGGCTCTGACTCAGCAAACAAGATGGTCTGGCCCGGCCAGGAAAACGGGCCGTACCCTCAGCCCCCGGGCGCGTATCCCACCACGACCGCGCCTCCGCCGCCCCACCCTCAGACTGCGCGCGCTCGCCCTCCCGTTCGACCAGACGCCCCTGCTGTATCGACACAGGGTACCCAGACAAGCCCAAGCATGAATGGAGCACATCCTCCCGCAAATAGGGGTGCGCCGCCACCCAAGGGTGCGCAGCCTCCGCAGCAGGCGCCTCCACCCCGCAAGCCTAGACGCAGTGCCTCGAAGCTTTATGCATATGCTGCTCGCAAACGACGGACGCAACAGGAGTATGCGAACTTTCACAACCCTCCCAGCCAGCCCTGGATCTGCGAGTTCTGCGAATACGAAGACATCTTTGGACGTCCTCCCGAGGCCTTGATCCGGCAGTACGAGATGAAGGACAGGAAGGAGCGGCGTCGACTCGCCGAGAAGCGTCGGTTGCTGGAGAAGGCAAGGATGAAGGGACGGAAGGGCAAGAAGGCAAGCAAGAAAGCCCAGAACAACGCAAGCAACGCCCAACATCCTCAGAATCCTCCTGCCGGTGGTTATGACCGTCGCGATGACGGCTCGCTAGGTCCGGACGACGATTACGACGATGATTATGGCGACTACGACGATGGTGGGCCGTCGCAGGGTCACACGTGTTGTCATCATACTTGTCAACATTCGCAGCCGCCACCAAAGGTTCCTCCACTACCTCCTGGAGATTCGCGGCTGGGCATGCAGCCTATTAGCAATGGTGCCTAGCATCTGGACAAGACGGGGTGGGCCGTCTTTGTTCTTGCATTTTGTGTTTCAGTATTGTCTTTTTGCATTGCGTTCTTGGTTAAAACGGATGTGCATTCGATCTGATCTTGGACGTCTTCCCTCTTGAACAGCTGTTCAATATATTGGATACGACGATTGATGATCTAACAGCGACCGTTCTACCGCTTTTCGCATGTTCAGTTGTCTTAGCGTTCAGCATATGTGAGCATTTTCCAGCATCGTTTCCGGAGCTTTCTGCATAGTTGGATCTGACCCATCATTCTCACGGCCGATTCAGCACCACAACATACCTAATCGACTTTCTTTCGTCGTCTGTAACAATACTCCACTCAACAAACACTCAAACAAGGCCCTCACGCGAGATGGATGTTGCCCAATCTGCCAACTTTAGGCTACGCTGAGCTAGACTCGGAGCAGCCCGTCTGGACACAGCTACAGAGTTTACGTTACGCTAAGCCGCACTTGTTGCATTGTCAAATGACAGTGCTTCTCCTTGGGCAGATCGCTGCATCGGAGGTGGTGTCTTGATGGCGAGACTGCGGTAGTGTGTAACTTTACTCAATTCAATCAGCATGAGTCCGTCAAATCGTGTACCTACGGCAACCTTCTCGTAGATTATTCACGGGGTCAACGTCAGTAGGTACGTGAAGATTGGTCACGTTTGTGAAACCTCCGACAACGAAGTAATCAATCGACAAGGAACGTTTCCGCACTTCACAGTTCGCCCAATAGGGTTTCGAGGAACTCCGCGACCGCCTGTGCAGCCGCCTATGATGGCCCAATTCTGCCGGCAGCAACCCCACACTTGCGTGATGCCCGCTCAGTCCGCTCTCGTCAGCTCCGTGTAGTAGCGATCATCACAACGTGTCTTGTGGTTTAAGTTCTCTGTGCCTCAACCCTCTATAAACGTGATATCAACGCAAAATTACAGCCATCGCCTTCATAGGATACAACAATGGTCAAGGAAGAGATCCACAAATATGGTACCAATGATGGCTGGCATGGTGTGATTAGCGAGGGAGGAGAGTTTCCTGTTGAGAAAGACAGGTATCATCTGTATATTGGTACAAATTCCTTTAGACACATTCGTCTGCACACCGAAAAACTCATTTTGCAACACAGGCCTTTTCTGCCCCTTCGCTCACCGGGCCAATCTCGTCCGGCATATCAAGCATCTCCAGCCCTTCCTCCCAATCTCAATTGTCAAGCCCTATCCCAAGGGAGAGCCAGGATGGCGCTTTGACGAAACTTATCCAAATGCTACGCCAGATCACCTTTACAATAGCCGCTTCTTACACCAGATTTACTTTCGCGACGATCCAGCTTACAGTGGAAAGTACAGTGTTCCACTCCTGTGGGACAAGAAAGAGAAACGCGTTGTCAGCAGCGAGAGTATGGAATTGTTGAAGTGGCTGCCTCGAGCATTCGATAGTCTGATCGGAGACGAAAAGATTCGGAGCATTGACTTCTATCCTGAGCATTTGAGGGCCAAGATTGATGAAGTCACACCGTGGCTCACATCACTGATCTGCCACGGCGTTTACAAGGCCGGCTTCAACACCACCCAGGACGGGTACAATGAGCACGTCGTCCCTCTCTTTGCTGCATTGAACAAGCTGGAGAAGCTGGTGCACAGCAATGGAGGGCCGTACATCTTGGGTGACACACTGACGGAACTGGATCTCTTGGCGTATCCGACGGTAGTCAGATTTGATACGGTATATGCGCAACATTTCAAGACCAACTTGGGGACCATCAGGCATGATTACCCTGTTCTCAACAATTGGCTGAAGAATCTGTACCACAACATTGAGGGCTTCAAGGAGTCGACGGACTTCCAGCACATCAAGGAAAATGTAAGTGGCTTAGAGGAATAATTGTTGGAGTCTGTACTGATCTGTTCATTAGTACACGAAGAGCCACCCGGATATCAATCCGTTAGCGATCACGCCTTTGGGACCTTATCCGGAAGTTGAGGAAGGATATCGGGCAGACTGGGCTCAACTCAAGCCAGGAGAAGTGAGACATCCATTAGTCATTGAGGCGGCAAGCAAGTTGTAAGGAACTTAGATTGATGACACTGGTAGAGAATACGTGCTGCCCGATCCAGACAAACAACAATCAGCTACAGCATGCCTTCCAACAAGATGGACTGATCATTTGCAGCACTTGAGTTCCTCACATACAGTACCACAAGGCACTCCGCACTTCTCCATGCTCGTTCTAGTGGTCATCGCAGATGCAACTTCAGTTGCTTCATCATCGGCGACCGCTCTCTGCCTGGGGAGCTCCGGCTGCAGCGTTACAGAATGAATTCCATATGCATGCAAGCACTCAGTGATGACCTTTGCCTTCTTCATGAAGCTCTCCACATCCGGGTCGCTGACAACAACATGCGCACTCGCAACCGCCTTCCTCTGATCCAGTCGCCACACGTGCAACTCATGTACACTCAGCACACCTGGAATGCTCTCCAAGTCGTGCTTGACGTCTTCAATCTTAACGTGCAGAGGTGCAGACTGCAGTAGGATTTTGCCAGAGCGTTTGGTCAGCGGGATCGCGGAGATCAGTATCATGATTGCGATCCACATCGACACTGCTGGATCAGCGTAGAAGCGGGAGGGCGAGTGTGTGAGCCAGATTATGAGCGCGGCGATGATCACGCCGATGTTGTTGATTGCGTCGCCGAGGATATGGATGAGCACCCCTAAGATACCTAGGTCCATGCCGTGCTTGGAAGGTGCGAGGGAGAGGTGGAGATGCTCGAGGTGATGATCAGCTACGGAACGTGTGCTATGAGCAGAGGCAGCCGGGAGGCTCTCGACGTCTCCATGAACGTGGGAAGAGTGCTCGTGTTCGTGACTGTGACCGTGACTATGTCCATGTCCGTCGCCGTGGTCGTGTTCGTGGAGGAAGGCCGCACTGATGAGATTCAAAGCAAGACCGATGCATCCTACTATCAGCACCAACTTTGGATTTTCGACGTGCTGAAGAGATACGAAGCGTTCGATGGACTGTAGGGCTATGCTCAGACCCAGCGCGAGGAGGAAGGCGCCATTGAAGAAGGCACCTAGAAGCTGTGCACGGGTCCAGCCAAATGTAAGATCTTGCGGGGATTCTTTGCGCTCTGTCACTTGAACTGCCACCAGAGCGACTATGAAGCCGATGAGATCGTTGAGCTAGGAACATGTGAGCACCATGAGTTGTCTGCTGCTGCTATGCAGACTTACATAATGGAAAGCATCTGCTACAAGTGCAATCGAATGGGTGTAGAAGCCAACCGAGATTTCAGCAATGAAGAAGCAAAACGATATGGCAATGACAGCCCTGAGTCGCGTTTTGCGTGAGACGTGACCCATGTCGGCGATGGAGTGCGAAGTGCAGATGATCGAGCGGTGACAGGCAATAACAAGATTAGGGGATTAAGAATAGAGAGACATTCAAGGTACAATGAGAACCGTGATGTCAGGAGTACAAACAAGTAGAATGTCGCACAGTATATAGTAGCGAGATCGGTGACCCATCGATAACATATCGTTTGCTGGCTGAGACGTGACCTTGTCGCGCCTGCTACCAGGGCTTACATTGTAGGCGTCAGCCTATGTAACGGCGAATGCGTTTCCGATCCGACAACGATGGCATGACGATATAGCGAATCAAAGTAGCAGATTGTACGAGCGGAATGCTTCATGTCAAGTAAGAATTGAGCAAACATCTTCACCTAAGGGTCCATATCGCGGCTGCCTAACTAAATAAGGGTAGCGTCACATCCGGCGCTCCACCCTATCAAACGGCCAGAACGTGGACCCCTCGCGCCGCCTCAAAAAGTCTCACCGTGTCTGTCGTCCTTCACGCTCCAAGAAAACTTCACAAATCACGCACCACGCACTCACACACATTCTCACAATCACCGACTAACCCTCAAACACTAACAACATGGGCAACGGAGCGAAGTACAGCGCCCTATGACAGAGAAAGAGGCGCCATACTAACGACACTGTAGAGCACAGCAGAAGCGCGACCGCAAGGGCGATAGCGGTCCCAAGGAGGCCAAGTCGCAGCTGAAATCCGTACGACGCCCATATCTCGCCTCTCACCTATACAAGACTACTGTTTCGAGCACAAACTGATCATAAGCAGAACTCCGCAGCCCAGACCGTCAAGTGCAAGACTTGCTTCCAGACCTTCCAGAGTACCACAAACCGCAAGCTTCTCACCGAGCACGCCGCAAACAAGCACAGCAAGCAGTTCGTTGACTGCTTCGAGGCCGAAGACGGTGTTGCGAAATAAGCACAAACGGTGGTGGCCTCAAGCGGTGCACATCTACGAGCGACATGTAAGGCGTTGGCGATGCGAGAGTGGGAGATACCATTAGAGAAAAGCGAGGAGTTGAAAGCGAAGAGTCGGCAGTTTATGATTCTTGGGCGTAGGGTGTATGGGTTAGACCTTGAATAAATTCGTCAAAGTCACACATGTTCTCAGGAGACCCTGCGACTAGAGGAAGGTGGTCCCTGTAAACCCACATGGTCTGATCATGGCACTGCGTGTGACAAGGCTACGCTGCCTGGTTTTGTGAACAATTTGTCCAATGCTGACTGTGGCACCGACACGTTTATAGTCTGCTCCTTGGCAGATATCTCAAAAAGGTGTGATCGAGTGGTAAATGCGAGCAAATGTCTGGGCACGGCAAATACTGCGTTCACCAGTTTCTCGCTCGCACACGGTCTCTTCTCAGCAACTGCATAGACGGTCCGATTGCGGACGCAGCTCGGCTTCGACCGAACCCCACTCTCAGCCCCACAACTATCGTGCGTGCAGATTCTGTTGCGCGAGCACGGGGACGACGTACGCGATAAGAGGTTCTGAAGGTGGAGGTCGTCGAAAATAAGAATATAGATGTTGAATGCGTCAAGACCTTCATCAAAACCAATCCAGTCGCTTTAGCTCACTTGGGAGAGCGCCAGACTGAAGTTGTCAGTCACTAAATCTGGAGGTACTGTGTTCGATCCACAGAAGCGACAATAGCTTCCGTGCCCGGCGAGTCTGGGATCACGAAAACATTCTTTTTGCTCTCGGGTGCGACTCCTCCATAGTGGAGCAGTTGGGCTATGATGCAGCTGTAAGTCCGCACGATCATTTTTTTAAGTGATATTGTCTTGTCGTTTCAACACAAGTTCTACTGTCGTTTTCTCAACACGTATCCCGTATCCCGCAATGTGGCATCCCAAGTTTTATCGTATCTAGGTAGGGGGTAACGCGGCGAAGGAACATTGGACCACAGTGATACCTATGCAAGGGGTATGGTTGAAGGAACGATGCAGATGCGAGCTGCTGGCTGATATCAGTTCACTGTTCTGGTTGCATGCGCAGTCGGTGTCTTGAGAGCTGATGTGATCATGAGTGTGAAACGATGTATTGGTAGTGGTAAGTCAATGGGTCAAGAGACGATGCTATCCGACTCGTCTTACGAATAAAAATATAGTATTCAGGTATCTCTGTGCATTACTCCTCAAAGTGGCTAATGAATTTCGGACTCGAGCTATCACTGTCTCGACTTGATGATATCCGCCGCCTTCTCGCCGATGCCATACATGGTCGCTTGCAAGTGGCATGATGGGATGATCGGGATAATCGACGCATCTATGACCGATAGCCTGCGCGTTCCGTACACTAGCAGCTTCTCGTTCACACACCCACCTGCGGACTCCGGCATCATCGGGCACGACCCGGAAGGATGCGCGAGTGTAGGGGAGAGCGCACCCTGCGCCAACAGTGCGTCGTAGATCTCTGTGTCGGTCTTGTATTGCGCGCCGGGCACCGTCTCGCTAATCTTGAAACGGCTGAGAATTGGGGACGCGAGAACGGTACGGTAGTAGCGTGTGCTGATGCCGAGAATCGTGCGATCCACGGGGTTGACGAAAGCGTTGTGAAGCACGAGAGCAGGGCCGTTGGGATTGGCGGGATTGATAGAGACGGTGCCGCGAGACAGCGGCTTCTCGACACCGACCAGGCCGAAGGAGGCGTCAGCGGGAACAGGGAATTCAGCAACTGCTGCATCGCGTCGCTTGAAGATATCGGTGATCACCTTGCGCTGGGCGGCGAAGCCACGGAGGAGCTTCTTGTTGTTCTTGTAAAGCGCCGGGAGGTACTGTTCGTCTTGTTGACCGCCGATGCTCTTGACAATGCTGTTGACGTTGTCGCTGCTGGTCATATCAGGGAGGGAGATGAACGCAAGAGCATTGCCGCGAGCATTGGTGTAGGGCCCGGTCTTCTTCGTCTCGTACTCCGCCCACGCAGATGCATTGAAGGTAGCGTTGGTGTTAAGCGAGTTTGGGTTTGGGAAGGTCGTGGTGGTAGTGTTGAACATAACTGTGGCCCAGGGATGATCTTGGAAATTGGATCCCACAGCGTCAAGCTCAACCCTGACTTTGATTCCAGCAGCTTTGAGAATACCTTCGGGGCCAACTCCGCTCAATTGCAGTAGCTTTGGGGTCTGGATAGAGCCTGCAGCAAGAATTACTTCCTTCGTGGCAGTGACAGTTGAGACCTTGCCGGTGGCATCAACGAACTCGATGCCCTTCGCAGTTGGCTTATCTTTTGAATCAAAGATGATTTTCTGGGCGGTCGCTCCAGTGAGAATCTTCAAGTTTGTACGCGCCTGAATAGGATCGTAGTATGCGTATCGTGCATGAGCTCTGCGTCCGGTGGTCGCATCCATTGTGTTTGGGTACCATGATGGTCCGTACGACTCGCCGTTGTTACCGTCTTTAGGCACGTGGACTCCAGTTGCTTTCCAGGCTTTCCAGTAGTCCTTGAGATCTGCGTATTGATTGCTGGTGACAGAAACCTTTAGAGGCCCCTTACCGTATGTTGAGGGGTCCCATGTAATGTTGAAGTCCTTGACGACATCGGGTGTTGCAGGCTGATATGTGGTGCCCTTCTTGAAGTAGGGCTCTAGGCCTCTCCACCCCCAGCCAGGGTTACCCAATGCTTCCCAAGCATCATAGTCTGCGGCGCTGCCACGATCGTAGACCATGCCTAGCTACAGTCAATACAAGACTACAATATTATTCGTCGCACCAGGCTTACCATTGATCACAGATCCACCACCCAGAACCTTAGCGACGATGACCGGGTAACTGTTGTTGCCAAGTCCGGGCTCTGCACTGGAGTTGATACCGTCCCACATAAGACCGTTCGCGGCTGTGAGGTCATTGGCCTTGTATGGGATCTTTGTCGCATCGGTATCAACATTGTTTCCGGCCTCAATCACGAGTACAGATCCTACAAGATGTTGTTAGCAAGGCATGTCTAGCCACTGCAGTCTTTCTGCTTACTGCTCTTGTCTTCCGAAAGGCGATTAGCCACGATCAGACCAGTTATACCTCCTCCAACGATGACATAATCGTACTGCTGAGTCGGGGCGCCAAGTGCTGGAATAACAAAAACGCTGAGGAGCTGGACGGCTACTGCCAAACGAGAGAACACAGCCATTTTAGCGACCAATCTATGCACTGTAAAAGCGAGGTAGACGAGATGCGGTACCGGTAGATTAAGCGTACGGCATTATCATCTTATATGAGTGGCACGTCGGACGGCAGTTGTCAGTCCCGCATAAGAGTCGCCCCCCAAGCAATAGCGATAATCAGGCCCATAATCACCAAAAGTAGACAGAGGCGAGTAGTTGCCTATTGATCTCCGGTCAGTGAACACGGCAGAGTGATCCCTGAATCCATCATCGCTCTCGCACCCGAGAATCAGGAAGCTGCTTGGACCGGCTGCTGGCGGTAGTACGTATTGTGGGATGATTATGTGATAACGAGGACCGGGCACGATTCCAAGTGAACGACCGGGCCCGGGGCTCTATTCGGCAATGTTGCCGTGGTCGGGCCTACATGCCGGACAAACACATGGCAGATGATCGGGAGCCCTGTGCGAGACGAACATAGATCTCGAGGCCTAGAAGCTCAAAAACTGTCAAAGCTGCTTCATGTTAACCTTCATTGCCAAGCATGCATTGTAGCAAGCCATCGGCTGTTCTCGGACAAGCACTTCTACATTCAACCTGCGGTGTTGACGGAGAGCACGGGCTCGTACGATACGAGGCAACGATTGGAGTTAGCGATGTAGCTTGGAGTGGAAGATGAGGTCTCCAAAGGCGGGATGTAGTAGTGTAAGGGGAATGCTGCTGCTTCCTCCGGAAATTTGAGACTATACGGTACACCGGTGGCGTACCGATGGTGCAGCCGAGCCGCTGTCAGCCAATTGTGATTGTACGCTTGTACCGCTGATCTCCCCGGAATCCGTTAGCGGGCCCCGTTAGTGCGCAAGTAGTCTACAGTGCGTCAGGTCTTGCTGGATTACGTGCACATACTGACCGCCAAAGTGGGCTCTAAATCTTTCCATGGTTGTAATTAACAACGCTCCGAGCTGTATTTAGCTGTTATCATGAGACCCTGAAAGATACAGAAGGGCAGTAGAACTGCACTGCATCCATGAAGATGAAGATCACGCATCGAATGTCTGTAGCGACTCAGAACTGGAACCGGACGCGGCACGGCACGAGAGCGTCTGGCTTGCCATTAGCTGCTTGGGCTACGTATTCGAAACCAGCCTGTGTATCGGTTCAGCGAGTCGTGAAGCTGCGGCCCAAGGCTGAAGTCACCCACGCGAGAGGACGCGAATGAAAATGCTCCGGAGCGTGATCCCCGACTTCAGGGTCAGCATCCTTCACGGATCCTCCTCGGTGAAGTCTGACTAGCAGAAGGCAGGACCTACATACTGCCAACCCAAAAACAAATTCTCAACTTGTCAAGGCCCTCCACGTGGAAGAGAGTATCTCTGGCAATGATCTACTTTTCGTTCAGTTCCAGCCTCCGGGGCTGTAAGATCGCTGCCTGGGTCGTTTCTTTCATTGTTTGTGTTGTACTCTGCATTGTAGGTGATGGAGATGACCTGGGGAGTGCCGAAAATGCCGCACACAAAATTGTTGGTTTCATGTGGCGTGTAAATCATTGTTAACTCTGACATTTATGATCTTGCCTTTCTCAACATAGATAAGCTTCGTCTGCAGTAGCGTTACATACGGAGACTTCTGTCCAGTCGGAACACGTGTTGATGAAAAAACCGGCGGGTTTATAGATACAGTAAGTATGTTCAGGATAGGCTGTTGACGCGGATGTGTCTGTGCAACGGTAACTTATTCGAGAAGCACAGCTAAAACTGCTCCGAACAATTTTAGTCTAATCACAGCTGTTTGATACAGGCAAGTACGCGGAATCTCAAAGGAACCGATCATATCAACTCTAAATAGGGATAGTGCCACATTAGCGACGACCTACTGTTCTGGAACGGAAGCAGGGATGAGCCGAGGGCAATGTGGGAAGGGTTCTATACGAGACGCAGGAGCGCTGGTTTTAGGCAGGGCACAGAGATTGTATCGACTCGCTTGAACGGCTCTACTCTCCGTACGCGTCCAATACCTTGTTGCACCAATCTGCTTAGATGCTACTTGTTTCCTGCTTTGCGAGATGTTGTGAGAGGGGCCTTAATTTCGTATCACTTTTCACATACCTCTGCTGCCACCGATCGCTCTCTCATTTCGACGAACCTTGGAGGAGTTGGGTACTCCTACCGTAACGGTTCACCAACATGTCCGACGCGACGGCACCAGAATGGCCCAACCACCGTCTGAAAGTGATAGTGCCTATGTGGTCATTATTAACCATCAGCACAGCCTTCCTGGTCTGGAGAGTTGTGTACGGATTGAAATGTCGGCGGAGATTCATGGTTTGCGATTATCTATTGATTATAGCTGGTGTAAGATTTCATCCCTCACGCACGACGGTTAAAGCTTCGCACATTTCAATAAGATGCTAAGCATATACAACAGCTTCTCAACATTACGGCAACATCGTTGACTCAGGTCGTCGTTCACTTTGGGCTCGGACGACACATACTGGATCCTTCTGTGCTTCCGAACATCCTTCACTTTAGCTATTATCTTTGGATCACCCAGATCGTCAACGTCATCGCAGTCGCATTCCTGAAATGGTCCATTTGCGCTTGGCTCTTAGTATTGAATTTCTCCAGAGTGTACCAGGTTATCATCTGGATGTCGATCCTCATGGTAACGGCTCTGAACTTCCTGGCGCCTGTCTTGACGTTCCTTGGTTGCGTGCCTCTTGAAAAGAATTGGAACTTTGGATTCCAAGGCCCGTTCAAATGCTGGGCAGTAGGTGGATTGAAGCTGTCGTACACGCAGGGTGTGAGTAACATTGTTACCGATCTTGTTTACATGGCCGCGCCGTTGATCTATCTGACGAACGTACAATTGTCACGAAGGACGCAGTGGGGAATTCGTGTTGTCTTCCTGCTCAGTATTCCGTAAGTGAAATCGTCGATCCTACAAGATGCCTTGTGAACGTCCATTTGCTGACATTTGAGAAAGAGCTACCATCTGTTCCATCTTCAAGACTGTCGAACTCCGTACAATTTTCACGACACAAGATCCTACATGGGATGGTGTGGCTTTGACAGTCTGGTCTCAAGCCGAGCTTTCGCTGGGCATTTTGATCGCCTCACTACCACCATTACGCAAGGCCCTAACAAAGGTCTTCCAGCAAATCTTGCCCTCTACTGTCACCAACAGTCGCAAAACACCACTCTACGGCCAAAGTCACAGCGCAAGTGGAAACGTCATCATGGACAACCTTCGATCGAGCAAAGCCTACCATAGCCGTGTACAGGGAGAGTCCGTGTTAGGCGCCGATGACGACAGTGATCGCGCTATCCTGGAAGAAGCGGAACATGGAGGAGCAGGCATTATGAAGAGCATGACAGTGACGGTCCAAGGCTCTGTTGCCGAGCCTGAGAGACCAGGCCCGATAGTTCGGTAGAGCAGCGAGAAAGGATACAAGTAACGCCAGCGCAGAAGGCGCTTATTTGAAACGGGCGTCACGTTGACATTGTAATCTGCCCAAATGATCTAGATCTTGTAGTAATGAACCCGCATGACATCTGAGTACTGGTGTTCATATTATCATCGCCACCGCTCGGCTCACCGCCTGTGCTTGCCCCACCCCCACCATTCTGCCGTATCTATTGTCACGAGAAATGAACTTTTTTGAACACTACACCAAATTATCAACGATTCATTGGTTCAAAGCCTGGAGACTTCAGTACAAAGACCAGACAAAGATCTTAGTTGTTTCGCGTTCAATCTCGCCTTCCAATATGGCGGCTACAGAAGAGACTGCACAGTCGCAACAAAAAGAGATCCAGGTGCCACAGATCCCTGAAGAACGGACAGATGAAGTCGCCGAGGAGAACGACGACGATATCGACGACTTGTTCGACTCGGACGACGAATATGCTCCCGAGCTGGTTGAATCTAGTAATTCGGCCGATTTCACCAAAACCTACAACCGTCAGCGCAAGCTGAACGATCCCTCGATACCCACCGACCACAAGCCTAAAGCCAACACACAGAAGCCTTCTGCAAACACGAATCTCTCCCTCGACGACCAAGTGGCATCGTTGTCCAAACATGCTGGCAAAATCCGTCTCGATAGTCGCTTCAGTGGCGCCACAGGTGGTAGCGCAAGAGATAAGGACAAAGCAGACCGTGCTACGACCGAGCAGGTGCTTGACAGGAGAACGCAGATGATTCTCTTGCAACTCATAAATCGAGATACATTCAGTGAGCTGCATGGCGTCATCTCTACCGGCAAGGAGGCCAACGTGTACCACGCCATCAAAGAGTCAGCCGAGGACGGCGAACAGACACATCTTGCCGTCAAGGTCTACAAGACTTCTATTCTAGTTTTCAAGGACAGGGCTAAGTATGTTGAGGGCGAATTCCGCTTCCGTCAAGGATACAGCAAAAGCAACAATCGGGCCATGGTGAAGCTTTGGGCCGACAAGGAGCGTCGCAACCTTGCACGTATCCATGAAGCCGGTATACCTTCGCCAGAACCAGTCGCACTTCGCACACACGTACTTGTCATGGGGATGGTGGGCGACCGCAAAGGAAAACCTGCACCACGGCTCAAGGATGTGCGCTTCGATGGCTTAACAAGCGAGGAAGAAGATGCCAAATGGACAGATCTGTACGTTGAGATGCTGGCATACATGCGCATCCTGTACCACACATGCCGACTGGTGCATGCCGATCTCAGTGAATACAATGTTCTCTTCCACCAAGGACGACAATGGATGATCGATGTCTCCCAAGCTGTGGAGCACGATCACCCACGTTCTCTAGAATTCCTGCGCATGGATGTCAAGAATGTGTCTGACTTCTATCGATCAAGAAACGTGGAGGTACTGAGCGAGCGCAAAGCGTTTGCGTTCATCACTGGCGAGGTAGGTGAGAAGGACGTCAAAGCCATTGAGACTATCTCGACAAAGGCTCGAGAGGTGATGAAGCGTGAGCCACAAACAGAGGAAGAGAAGAAAAGGGAAGAGGAGAATGATGACGTCTTCCGCAACCAATACATTCCCCAGACTCTCGAACAAGTTTACGACATCGAGCGCGATGCTGCACTTGTCAATGCTGGAGAGGCGTCGTCGTTACCATACCAGGACCTGCTCGCATCTAAAGTCACTACCGGTGCCAAATCGGGGGTTGATGCTGAAGATGATGAGTCTGGAGAGGGAGGCGTGGAATTGGAGTCTTCAGACGAGTCGGACGGCAGCGAGGTCGATCAAAGCATATTCGAAAAAGGCCCATCGCGTGGCAAGAAGAACATGGATAAAGACGAGAAGACGGCGCACAAGAAAGCCATCAAGGCTGAAAAAGCAGAGAAGAGGAAAGACAAGATGCCGAAGCATCTCAAAAAGAAGTTGGTCACCTCAAGCTCGCGGCGAAAGTAAGACTGAATCGCGGATGTTTCACATACTCCCCGCCTATGTTCATGTCACAAGACTTGACAATAGCCAAAAGCCCAAATCTTTCACATTACATCAACGTATCGTATGCTGTCAAAGGTTGTTTGACAGATGCATACAACCGATGGTCCTTGATTGACCCCACTGCTACGTCTCAGGTGCACGACTTCGGGACTTCCACAACAGTCACCTTGCACGCATGTATGTGAAAGTGACTCGAGGCATTCTGAGGCAAATCACGGCCGAGCGGAAGGCAGAACAATGCCAACAACTGCCAACGTGTATGACGACTATCCATCGTTACGTGTCAGTCCGTGGTGGATTGTGTCGGTTCGTGCGAATAACCACGAGTGGTACGTACTCCCTGCAGTGCCGTTCAGATATAGTTCAATACATTTTTGGATTTTCACTTCCTCTTATACTGTGTCCGCACTACTGACCGGACAATCGGGTGCACAGCACAGTCTTGCAAAACATTCACTTCCTTGATGCTGCATAACCCAATCATTTCGCAACACCATTGCCTTCCGTCCAACATATTCAAGTGATACGGATTGAAGGAAAGACAGATATGCCATGCATTTATTCCTTGTACTTGTAATAGCGGCAGTAAGGTTTCATCGCACACCTCATCTAGTTATACAGTAAACCAAATTGCTCAAATCATCTTCAGTTCGAACCCTTTCACTGTGACATGTCCACCTAAAGCCTTTGTGGCGAAATTGAACACACCAAATCGATATCCAGTAAAAAATTGCCAGGTATTGGTCATTTTAAACGGCTCACCCAGTTGTGTAAAAGACACTCCATCTAGACTGTACCAGAAGGTGGTTGTTCTGATAGCAACAGAATTGGAGAACGCTGGTGTGATGTCGGGTTCGATACGCAGCCAGACCTCGGTCGTATCCGCCGTGAGTGTCGGGCCGGTCGCAGCAACAGTACCATTCGACACCGTTACCCAACCGTCTCCAAGGTCGAGCTTGTCGACCATGACAAGCGAAGAAGTGTTGCCAGATCTGTGGACGCCGATGTAGGCGGCGATGTCGCGGAATAGAACTGCACCCGTACGATCTCCATCCTTCAATCCACTAATGTCGATCCTGAATGTACCAGCGGACTTTGGCCCGGGTATGCGTCGAGTCAGTGTATTACGTGCGGCAAACAAGTCGTCCGTAACAGTGGCTGTCTGCAGTTGCAATCCACTATCGAAAGACCATGCACTATCATCTGGGTTATGATTCCATTCCCACTCTTCACTCAACGATGGCCCTTCAAATGAATCGAGCCCAGTCGTTACCGCAACCGTCTTGTTGGTGAGGACCGGAATGGGATAGGTCTTTCCCCACTCGTTATTCACGCGAACCACCTCTGGCCAACCATCTTCCGTCCAGGTCAGAGGAGCAACAACAGGGATTCGACCTCCAGGATAGGCGTCCAGGAAGGCAACGTAGTACCATTGACCGTCTTTGGTGCTGACAATGCCGCCTTGGTGAGCGTTACCGGCATTGGAAAGCGGTCCTTCGATACTGTCGACCAGAATACGACGTTCGTACGGGCCCCAGACGTTGTCGGATTTGAGAACATACTCATCGTCTGCAGGCTTGGTCACAAAGATGTAATAGGTCCCGTTGATCTTGTACATGCGCGACCCTTCAATGTATACCTGATCCGGGCTTGTATACACTGCCTCGGTTTTGACCTCTGCCGTTCCGTCCGCATTGAGTTGTGCAACATTGATGGTGGTCTTACCGTACGCCATGTACATGGTATCGTCATCATCAATCAGCAACCCGTTGTCGTAGTAGCATCGCGGCAAAGTGCCTCGAGAGGTCCAATTCCACTCTGCAACCTCGCCATTGTTTGCTGCCGCATTCGTACCGCTCGAGGTCCATACATAAGTAGGCCCATCCCCGATACAACCCATCCAATAGAAAGTATCAGTCGACTCTCGATATTGAAGAGTACTAGCCCATACGCCTTTCACGTAGGACCTGTTCGTGGCATTGTTCAGATCGTACGCAGGGCCAAAGTTCAATCTCGGTATGCTGTGAGAAACTGGCGCCCAATTGACCAGATCGTAACTCTTGAGAACTGGCGCACCTGGTGAGAAGGCAAACGTGGAGGAAGAGTAGTAAAACACGTCACCGACGCGGAAGACGTCGAGGTCTGGGTAATCTTGCCAGATGACCGGGTTGTCAAACGTCCTCACATCTGCTCTGGCCGTGTTAAGGGGACTGCCTGAGACAGAAGCTGTCAACAGGCTTAGGCCGGCCCAAATTGCTGTTCGCGTGATCGAGCGCATTTTGTTTGTTCGTTCTGCATCTTCTGCAACCTGCACATGGGCGACATATTATTGAAGCCAACATAGGTACAACCCATGTCAATCACGGGCACTGGACGCCGTTCCTGCATCGCATGGACGCCCGAGTTCATATGGGTAACCCGGGGTTGATCGACGTTGTCCATGGAAACCAATGCGTCCGGCTCGATCTGATTGGCGCAGCAATAGACAAGTTTGTCCGGCCGGGCGAGTGGGAGGGGGGGACTTGGCGTTTCGACATACTTCATGACGATGTTCGGCAAGTCTCCGTGCCAGCCATGCGCACTTGCCGATGGCCTTTGACACGGTTAATGACTTGAGAAGAGATGACCGTTGATTGTGTGGCTGGCAGCTGGCCCGTGCCCGTCCCCCGCCATTTCGGAAAATCGGCGTCTCGGCGACCCGTTAGTACTTCGATGCTCCGTCAGCCACGACAGACTCGATGTGGACGGGGAAAGGCGCATTGTCTACTCGGTCCAATCGTCAAAACCAGTACGGATCAAGGATCCAACTTTCGTACTGAAAGCACAATTTCACTTTATACGAATGGAGGCTCTGAGGATTGCAATTAGTCGATCGCATCGCTGAACCGAGATCTCGTGATGGCGCTTAACATTGGACCACATGAGGGACATCGGACACGTCATCTATGCGCATCGTCGACTCAAAGCTGATTGTTGAGAATGCAAAAAGTGATCGAGTATGACTGCAGCGTACCAACGCTGCAGTCATACTCGATCAGGTACGGATGGGTGAATGTACCTACTCATCCCTGTAGTGCTTACGAGAGCAGTTGAAAATGCAACAGCATGTACAGGCACCAGAGTATCTGATGACGTCCGTCTTAGGCGATTAGAAATCGTCTGCCACCTTAGAAGACCGGCCTCACTACAACAATCAACCCATAAAACACCATATCAGCGCTGGCTTGCGGAAGGTTGATTCAATCCATACCAACTGTGATCATTACGAATAAGGCCATTACCATCTGCAATGGATAGCTTTGAAGAGTTTCTGGACCATGCGACTGGCAAGGCATCCAACATCATTCCCGGCGCAGTAGTGGCGGTGGTGGATCAACACGGTGCGTTGTTTTGTGCGTCTTAATGTCTGACCGTTACTGAACTAGACAGGAAATTATGTCTATAAGAAAGTGTCCGGCACAAACGGCATTCTCGAGGATGCTCAGCCTCTCGAATTTGACCAAACGTTCTACGTTGCGTCTTGCACGAAGCTCATAGCGTCCATTGCAGCACTACAACTAGTGGAGAAGGAACTCATCACTCTGGATGAGCCATTGGACCAACTACTATCCGAGCTCTCATCTCAGCCTATTGTTTCGCAGACCGGCGACGGCAACCTTAAGTACGACCAAGCCACCAAGTCCATCACCTTGCGAGATCTCGTTACACATTCCAGTGGCGCAACCTACGACTGGATTGATCCTACCATGCACGGGTGGCGCGCTTCTCGAGGAGAGGTGCCGTCATTAGTCCTAGATGGCGATGTCCTCAAAGGACACACCTATCCTCGAAGATACGAGTCGGGCAGCAGCTGGAACTACAGCGGTGGTCTCGACTGGACTAGCCTGCTAACAGAGCGACTTACTGGTCTGGATTTCGAAGAGTATGTCGAGGAGAAGATAGCGAAACCTCTTGGTATCACGACATTCACGTGGCACCTGTTGCGCAAACCAAATGTTGCTGAAAAGCTTGCGCGCATGTCCACGCGTCAAGAGAACGGGATTCTGGCGGACGGCCCGAATCCGTTTGCACCTGAGCCCGTAAAGGAGGCTGGTGGCATTGGGTTATACGCTAATGTACATGATTATACGAGAGTATTGGCGGATCTGTTGAAAGACGCACCAAAGCTTTTGACCAAATCGTCGGTCGATCAGATGTTTGCACCACAACTAGCGCCTGGTAGTTCAGCTATCCGCACTCTAAGAGCGAATGGAAGCATGTACCAGTGCGCTCTTGATGACAGCGTGGAGGGGGTCGTAGCTAATTATGGGCTTGGTGGGTTACTGATGGAAGAAGACGTGAAAAGGGACAACTATTTCAGACCTGCAGGGACATTGTCGTGGTCTGGACTGCCGAACTTGTCATGGGGTATCAACCGGGAACGTGGGCTGGCGACCTTCTTTGCTACGCAAGTATTACCTTGGGCGGACCGCAAGACCTGGGATGTGGTCGCCAGATTTGAGACCGCGGTCTGGACTAACCTTTCGGCGTAAATCAATGATGGGATGGAAGAATCATGGACATGCAAATGAACAATGTATTCTGCTCACCTATACGTGTACCGCATGTCACCAGATCAGTATTACATACATAGTCACAGCTGCTGAATCATGATCTTAGATCAAAACAGGCTAGTTTCAATCAATCATAGTAGTTCGTACACGAAGGTGTGCTACACAAGAATAAGTGCCTTCCATTGGTGGGGTGCAGCCGACATGGGCCGGGGCGTGATACTTATAGGATCCGCCCAATTGTGACCCGCGATCGACATACCCTTGTCCTCAATAAGCTTGCCTCGGCGAGGCTTATTTGGCTCGATTACTTCCACACAGAAATGCGAAGCAATATACTGATGTACTAGACCCGGTGCTTCGCTCCGCGCTCAGTCGACTTCTAGTACTTAGTCGGCCATCTGCCGATTCCACCCCGCACTCATCACCTTCGATTTAGATCTTCAACGCGCCTAAGATACTCTTCAAGGTAAGCTCTCCGCTGGTACGAGATGGATTGTCGTAGACTCCGAAATTTGACACGGTCAATGGCCGATGGAGAATCTGGGGCCTCGTTCTTGGGTTCTAGTTGCTGTTACGACTGCGCAGCCATAGGTTCCCGGGGGCCTGGATCACCTGCTCTCGCAGTGTTGCGAATCCCCACGGGGTAAATGTGAGGCCTCTGACGTTTGCCGCAAGTGCTATAAAAGGGCGTTAGATGCCCACTCTAAGCACATGCAACCAGCGAACTTCATGCAAACAAGTCGAACGTCAACCCATTAAGACCTTTTCTCCAGCTCTTACATCATGTCTTCACGCTCGGTCTACACACGCTCGAGCGTGCTTGCTCTTAGCCTGGCCGCCGCGGGCTCCATTGTTTCCGCTGCGCCTTGTGATATCTATGCCTCTGGAAATACACCCTGCATCGCCGCACACAGCACGACACGCGCTTTGTACAGTGCCTACACTGGGGCACTTTACCAGGTCAAGCGCGGTTCCGACAACACCACGGTTGACATCGCACCGAAATCCAAAGGTGGCGTCGCCAATGCTGCCGCCCAAGATACCTTCTGCTCCGGAACAACTTGCCTCATTACCATTGTCTACGACCAGTCTGGCCGCGAGAACCACCTTACTCAAGCCCCCCCTGGAGGATTCAATGGCCCAGAATCAAACGGCTACGACAACCTTGCCGGCGCAATTGGCGCACCTGTGACGTTGAACGGACAAAAGGCGTATGGTGTTTTTGTTTCGCCTGGAACAGGATATCGCAATAACAGGGTGAGCGGCTCTGCCGTCAGAGATGAGCCAGAGGGCATGTACGCGGTCCTTGATGGTACTCACTACAACGGAGCTTGCTGCTTTGACTATGGCAACGCCGAAACCAACAACCTCGATACTGGCGATGGCCACATGGAGGCAATATACTATGGTGATAATACAATCTGGGGCAGCGGTGCCGGAAGTGGCCCCTGGATCATGGCCGATCTTGAAAATGGACTGTTTTCGGGTCAGGGTGCAAAGCAGAACACCGCGGACCCATCGATCACTTACCGTTTCGTCACTGCAATCGTCAAAGGCAAGCCAGGCACATGGGCAATTCGCGGCGGCAATGGCGCGTCCGGTGCGTTGTCAACCTTCTACAGCGGCGCACGTCCAAGTGGCTCTGGATATAATCCTATGAGCAAAGAGGGTGCTATCATTCTTGGAATTGGTGGCGATAATAGCAACGGGGCCCAAGGTACTTTTTATGAGGGAGTGATGACCACTGGCTACCCCAGCGACGCCACAGAAAATTCCGTACAAGCAGATATCGTAGCCGCCAAGTACGCCACTACCTCTCTCGTCAGTGGGCCTGCATATACTGTTGGTGGTTCCGTGTCATTCAAGGCCACTACACCCGGATACACAGACCGCTATCTCGCACACACAGGAGCCACCGTGAATACACAAGTCATTTCATCTTCCAGCAGTACCGCCCTGAAGCAAGCTGCGAGCTGGACTATCCGCACTGGCCTTGGTAACAGCGGCTGCTATTCGTTTGAGTCGAAGGACACCGCAGGCAGCTACATTCGACACTACAACTTCGCGCTTCAGGTAGCTGCCAATGACGGCTCCAAGGCCTTCAAGGAAGACGCCACCTTCTGCCCACAGTCTGGACTTGCTGGTACCGGTTCATCGCTTCGAGCTTGGGGATATCCAACTCGCTGGATCCGCCATTATGCCAACGTTGGATACATCGCAAGCAATGGTGGCGTTCATGAGTTCGACGCTGCCAACTCGTTCAACAACGATGCGACTTGGGCGACCAGCACTGGCTTAGCTTAGATCTTCGCCTACTCACAAGTGACTGCGATGACGGCCAGAGACGTGCTGCGGACGCGCCGGGTTAGCTTCGAATGTTGGAAGACGTTGTGAATGAAAGCTTCTGAGGTGATCTTAGCTTCCGTGTTAGGCAAGTTTTGGCGTCTTGGCACGATCCATTATTTAGCAATCAATTGAATCCTCATGCTCCTTCCATCGGTCAACATCACAGAATGCTCTCCATGACCGGCGCACGGGCAAGAACCTCGGTACATGTATAATTTCATCACGTGTTGTTGTGACTGTGGTCCACAGTACACACCGTACTTTACCCGATCGATGACAGTCTCGATTTGTAAACAGGTCGAAACGCTGGCGCTTCCACGCGTCGGTCTCCATGCCAGCACCGCACTTGACGATAGTTAATTTCCTAAGTCTCAAGAAAGAAGGTGTTAAGCAATACGGACGATCGGCATACCCCAGAGTTTTGTTCAGGCTGGTTCGGTGTTTTCTCCGAGGCGCTTTCCCCGCATCGGCCAAACATCATCGCGAGAGCAGCACAGCACCAAGAGCTCCACTCTGTGCTTTCCGGCCATAGCCTCGCGATGACCTCACACGACTTCTTGGCACTACTTCCTGTCCTCGCATGCTCGTGACGACCCCGTAAGGTAAGTCTTGAGATGACTTGGCGGAAGTCAGTAGCAAGGTATAATAAGTGTAGGAAGCAGAACGAAGATGATGGCCACCTTCAGGCCCGAGATATTCGCCTTCGCTCAATATGCGCCCCCAAAGCTCACTTCTCACGCTCGCGGCGATGACAGCAGTCTCGATTGCTTCGCCGCTCAATGTCCGCCAAGCGGATGAAAAAGTTGGGTACCTGTTTGCCAACTTTCCTGTCGGCGATGAGCAAGTCTACATGCACTTATCCGATGGCAACAACGCTCTATCTTATCGCCAGCTGTCCTACGATGGTACTCCTGAGACCGCGCGGATTCTGGAAAGCACCGTAGGAACGAAAGGTGTACGCGATCACTTCATTATTGCCAAGCCAGACAACAGCAAATATTGGCTTCATGCCACTGATTTGAAGGTCAATGCGCTCGGTGGAGACTTCATCAACGCGACTCGCTTTGGCAGCAGAAGCATTGTCATCTGGGAGTCCACGGATCTCGCAAACTGGAGCGAACCTAGACTCTCTGCACCGATAGCCAACGTCTCCGCTGGCAATGTTTGGGCTCCCGAATCATATTGGGACTCTACCCGTGAAGAGTTCATCATAATCTTTTCGTCGCGTTACTGGGACCCTGCGGACGTTGACCGCAGAGGGCGCTCCCCACCGAACCAGCTCATGTACGCGACGACCAAGGATTTCGAAAACTTCTCCGAGGAACAGGTATACTTCAGCCCAGGATACCCAGTCATCGATTGCTCGCTTTTGCACGTACCTGAACAGGGCGAGAATGTCTGGTACCGCTGGGTAAAGAGTGAGGTTGACTACAGAATCTGGCAACAGCGCTCTTCGACTGGTATTCTGGGCACATGGACCAACGTTGGCAATGCGCCTGACGGTACAAGGGTGACGTTTGCGAGCCAATACTCCAACAACGAAGGTCAACTGGCATTCCGCGACAACGTCGACCCAGGACTATTCCATCTTTGGATCGACCAAAGCTCAACAGAGACATACATACCTGCGCAATCACGTACCCTTGATGACATGAGTGCATGGGAACTGTCCGACACAACAAACTTCACCTCGACCACAAAACATGGCTGGGTTTTGCCGCTCAACCAGCAGCAGTACAGCGCGATTGAGGCCAAGTACAAGTTTATCTGAGCGTTTGATGAGTGCAAAGTGAAATCGACTTTTACAACAATCTGTAGACTAAAAAAGTTTAATGACCATACACTACACTTTACGATTTATTGCCCGTCGTTCGTTCTTGTTCACGATATCGTTGTGACCACACAGTATTAAGACTCCAGCCATAGACTCGCCCTTCCCCAACCCGGCTCAACAATACTGTCATTCTCATAGAAAAGCCCAGTGAATGGCTCCGAATCCTTGCCTATACCCCCATCTCTATTGCCACCAGGTCCCAAATCGCCAATCGCAAGCCTAGTGGGAACATACGCGCCCTGTTCTGGCGTCTTCGGTGGTGTTCCGTCTGCTTCATTGCCCATCACGGTGTCCGTCCAGCCTGGACAGCCGCAATTCACCAACACGTGGGGATACTGCTGAGCCAGCACAATTGTGAGAGCATTTATGAGTGCTTTGCTGACTTTGTAGCTGCGAGCTCCAGTGCCCCACCCAGCCTGCGCTTGGGCGTCTGAGCCACGACGCACGGCGCTCAAGTATGCCTCAGCAATAGCATCAAGTGAGTCGAGGGTTTTTGCTTCGCGGAATAAATTCTGCGGATCTGGGCCGTAGTTTTGAAGTCGATTGTGACCGCTGGTCACGTTGACAATGCGCGCGCCGGGTCGAATGTTCGGCTGGGCTAGAAACGCTCTACACATGTCTCTTGTCCCTCCATAGTTAGTGCGGACGGTCTGAGCAGCTAAATCTGTTGTCTCGTGACGATGGTGAGATACGGCGCCATTGTTGACAAGGATATCGACCGCGCCGTGCTCTTCCAGCACTGCTTTGAAGAAGGTTCCGATCGATGCTTGATCCGTGATGTCCAGTTTCCGATACAGCACAATATTTGGGGCGACGGACTCGATATTACTGTTGAACCCAGCTCGTGATGTTGCGTAGATTGCCAGTGGTTGCTTGCAATGTTCTCTGGCCAGCAGTTGCACGATGCCCTTGCCGATGCCACGGTTAGAACCGGTAACGACGATGATTCGATAATTGGACATGTAGAAAAAAGTAGTGGTAATGCTTCTGAACTTGTACAGTCGCGATCTGAAGATGATGTTTGGCATAAGTACAATGCCGCATAATCGGAGTGGTGAGCCCTTCCGAGTGGCAAGGGCGGTGCACAACATCAGCACCGCCCTTTGGCTCAACATAATAACATCCTTTTCGTTTGATCGGTACATGCAGAATGCCGACGCACAACCCTGATTTTGATACCTGTCCCGTCGCATCTGGAAGGGTTAGAGGCATCATCATCATCACAACAACTGAAGCGTTGTTGTCTGACTGCTTTGGACATCCTGCGCTGCACTGCTATTGAAGTAACAGCTTATGTCAGGTGATCGGGGTCAACGAAAGTACATGTACATTGCTAGGTATGATTAGGAACATATTTGGCAGAGCTCCGCACCTCCTGCCCACTAAGCTCAACAGGCTCAACAGGTGGAGCCTCAACCTCAACAGCCTCCCTTTTATACAGTACCTTACCACCTTCGAGTTCATTTTGCTGGTAGCCGTGCAGCTCGTTGCAATGGGTCATGCTGCTTTGTGTTTCAGCAGCTTGCGACTCGCATTTCTTCTTTCTTACTACCCAGAACACCACTCCTATCAGGACAGCTATCCCAAGAACGCCACCGACGACTCCGCCAACAATAGCTCCAGTATGAGACTTGGGCACTAATTCCGGTGGTGAAGAGGATCGTGCGGCTGCCGGATCGCACATGTCGATGCTGTAGTAGTGATAAGTAGTGTTGTAGCAAGCAATGAGCTGGCCCAATGCTTGACTGTCCGGAGATGCAGAGCACGGATCATTGGTGGTATCGTTACTGTAGATGGTAACTCCATGATAGTCAGCTGCCTTATTTGGGGACGCGTGGTAGTTCTGTACGCTCACCTGAACAACCAGGGTCTAGGCTGACAATTTGAAAACTGCCATATGGACCACTTCGTCGAAGATCGGTGCATGTGCCGTCAGGATAACCATTCGGGCCAGTTAGACTCTTGAAAGAGACCTGGCAGTCAGTGTCTGAAAACGTGGATATGATGCTAGCCAAGAGAGCAGTGCGCAACAGGGCACAAGTGAGCAACAGGTTGAGCCTCATAGTAACGATCGCGTGCTAACAGAGAGGAGACAGGGGCTTAGTAAAGGCGGACGGGCAAGGAGGAAAAGATGTGCGCGAAGTAAGACTGAAGTGCTTGCGATAGAAACACGTCACATGCTGATTATGATAGGCGAGTCATACCGTGCAACCTCAGCTCGCACCAAGCATAAGTGTCATTTCCAATAGCATCTCTGCCCGCCAACGAAGTCAAGCGATCCCTCGCGAAAGGTGAACCCATATATCTTGGCGAATTCGGCTCTTGGGGGCCGAAAGGGATTACTCACGTGGCGTCTCTCACGAAGTAGGCCTGAATTTGCGCATTTGCTAACACAGGCTCCCATTCTTTCGAACATTACTGACAGGATAAACGTGAAGACACTGTTAACTCACTTGCGCTTCAAAACCTTAAGCGGTGCAGCTGCCAAAGGCTGAGACCGCTCAACTCAGCCGGTGACGCAGCCAAGAAGACCCCACGCTGCGGATACCAGTGATGTGAGCTTTGTAGGCTAATCTTTAGCGAGCGACAGTCGCATTGCTTCGTAAAGAATCCTGATTGGTCTTCGTACGCTTACTTCGTGGCCTTCGTGATAGCGACGCTCCAAATCCATCCTCGGCTACGTATGTAGGCTGAAAGGCGATTGATACGTCATAGCAAGCACAGGCGAGGTAATCAGAGCATCTCACTGCATTGTGGGTAAGCAAAGAGATTAGCGGACTTAAGAGCCCAGCTTTCCGATCCCGTTTTGTTCGTGAGAGGCTGCGCAAAGATGAAGAGATGCAGGCAAACATCGTGGCTCGGAGGCGTCATTCGAAGTGGGGCACTGCGCCCTGCGAACAGCAAGAGAGGAGCCATTTTCCGATACCGGCACGCCCCGATCATGAACTCTCCTCAACCTCCATGCTGCTGAAAATGACAACAAACACAAAGCCTAACGTCCTATTGTTTGGTGCCGGCGGCGTTGGAACCGTCTATCTTTGGTTGCTGTCCAAAACCTCAACAACGACTGCCGTCTGCCGCTCCAACTACGACGTTGCAAAGAGCAATGGATTCATTATCAACTCCTCAATTTTCGGCCAGGGCATTCATTTCAAACCGAACATTGTACGGAGCTGCGAAGAGGCAGTAACGGTGGATCCAACCCCATTCGACTACATCGTAGTGTGCAGCAAAGCCATTCCTGGGACGGTACCCAAGTGGATTGCTCCTGTCGTTACACCAGGACATACTGTCATTGTGCTCCTTCAGAACGGAATTGGCATAGAAGAAGAGTACCGAAACGCCTTCCCAGATAATCCAATTGTCAGCACCGTGCTATATTTCCCGGCAACCCAGCGACCAGCAGGCGTCATCAAACACGGCGAAATCGAAAGACTTGAGATTGGTGCCTATCCTTCCTCTGCGCCGGATCATCATGCCAAATCGTTTGCGCACCTCATCCAGTCATCTGGAGCAACTGCAGTTTTGCACGAAGATATCCAGCTCATCAGATGGGCGAAGTTGCTTATCAACGCATCATGGAACCCCATATGCGCACTCGCATTTAGCAAAGATACTGATGTTCTCGAAAGTTATGAAGGAGCCCCTTCTGTTATCGAAGCTGTCATGATGGAGATTCGCGAGATCGCAATGGCACATGGGTATAACATCACCACGGAGAAGGTCTTGTTTGAGCTGGGTCGAGCCAAGGCGCGGATAGCGATTCACGCGGGAATCGAGCCGAGTATGCTGCAAGATGTACAGACCGGCCGACGAATAGAGGTCGAAGCCATACTGGGAAACCCTGTCAGAATGGCCAAGTTGAAAGGTGTCAGATGTGACAGACTGGAGCTTTTGTACATGCTCGCAAAAACACTAGACTTGCACATAGGCAAAGCGCTCAGTGCATGAGATTAGGGGACTGGTGTTCCCTTCTCTGCTATCGACCTTTGTTCACTTGGTAATCGACTACTCTAACAGGCCGTTCATTTTCAAGTCACTTGCTCTTCATATCTCCGTTGATAGCGGTTTACGCCTGTCACGATGCAGTGCCCCACTGTTTCCTTTACTTTTACCACAACTTTCACTCCCAACGTACCAAGTCGCATATCGCTCCCACCACCCGTGCACTCACACCAGAAAACTTTCGACTACCTCCACAGTAAGCTCATATATTCTCACAACTACCTCATCTATGACCACTTCACGCAAAACTACCTCATCCTCTACACGACCACTTAGGTACCTTCATCGTCATCAACCGCTGATTATGCACCCCACCACTACTTGACCCGCTTCTTATCCATCACACACCAGCACTCGGACTTTCTCCAAGAAAGAGGAAGATGGAAAGCTCGATAACGAGGATATCGTGAGGTACGGCTCTATGCGATGGTACCGTATACCAGACTTTGAACAGGAGAAGCCAAGCAGGAAAGAAATTCCTATTGCTGAGACACCAGATGATGGTATGTATAGCGCTAACACTGTTACTAGTTCTGAGGGGGTCGATCCACCCTCCGTTTTGAAAGAATGTGAAGGACATACGACTGTAGCTTCTAAAATGCTGGATGATCCGGAAGGCAACGGTCTGTCCAAAGACAGCTTCATCAACATTGAAGATCTGGCTTGTTCTCTTTCTGCGCTTACCCTAAGTCTCGCGGTTTGAGATAACAGTTGTCATTGACGACCGCGCTCATTCCCTTTCCGGGATCTCTCTGGGGGCCTCGAAACTTGGCATAAATGTTCGCTCCATGAACGTTGGCCAGATTAACATGAACCAGATGGAAACAGGTGCCGAAATCACCTTTGAGGAGCAAATGGAAGGCATGTTTTGGGGATTTCTCCCAAGTCGAGTCTCAACTAAATCATCGCAGCCATGATCATGCGTATGATGGAACAGTCTACATTTTGGTGAGTGTTCAAACAAGCCCGATCACCAATATATCGAATGGTGTTTATGAGAATTTATTGCGTCTCGGATTCCGAATGTATATCAGGCGAGTGATGAGGCTTTACCCCAACTTAAGCATACTCTCGAAGTCCCCGAAACCCGACGCGATGCCATATTCGGCTATTTACAACAGTGACACCCATATACCTCATCATCGGCCGCGATCCAGACCCTCGCGTTGCATTAAGTACTTCGCAAGTCCTGGTCATCTGTATTACAGCAGTGCGACACCGGAAGTATGCTCTCAGTCCCACCGCCCGCTTTCCAGCTCCTCATCTTTCTCCGAGCGATCTCCGCCAGCCCGCTCCCCCAACACCACCAGCAAGCGAAACGCAGCACAACACACCAGAACATCGGTAGTGGATTTGCGATAGCAATATGCACCGTAATTCTCGCCTGCTTCTTCTACTTCCTCGGCATGCGCCATGAGTGCACAAAGTCGTGGTTTAACAAGCGCAAAGCGTACAACGAATCAACACCCGCACGTGAAACTGGGAAGATCACCGAGGAACGGGGACATAAGAGGCAAATCAGTTATCCGCTTGCAGTGGTGTCATCGGCGCCGATCAAACCTTATGATGAGCCAGTGGAGGCGCCAACAGCGAGCCTCCGATACTATGAGCTGCCGATCAAAGAAATCCACGAGATGGGTCTCCCGAGCCCCAAGAAGCAACCGCGAGCAAGTTGGCTCTCGTTCGATCGCAAACCTTGGTGGATGAAGTATCCGGAGAGCAATGGGCAACGTCGGAGTGCGCGAACAAGTGGCAGTAAGAGCATGCGAAGCTGGTTTAAGAGCGGTGAAAACTTGGATGTAACACACGATAAAGACCATGTCTCGTCGTGTCATACGACTGAGACCGTGCACGGAGAAGAGCGCAGTGCAGATCTGATTCAAAGTGAGAGGAAAAGCAATAGAAGTTCTCTGATGGATTGGAGTGGCTTGGACTACGTACGCAGAATCTACATGGAACGCAAAAGCAGAGTCGGGCTGTGATGTCGTTCAGGTGCCTACTACTCTAACTAAAAAACCACTATACACAAATTGGTACCCGCCCGCACACACCACCTGCATGATTTGTAGGATCAACAGTGGTGTAAAATCAGAACTACCGATGACTAGACTGTGATACCATCTGGGTTGGACATGTCGAAAGAATCGGAGAGGCGACGGAGCTTCAACGGCTGCGGCATCTCAATGACTGCCGGCGAGTACAAAGGATCAAGGTCCTCGCTAGTTCCCAGTTAGCACACTACAACGGGTGACTAGGATGACCGCAGCGACATACATATGCAACAGCTCGCTTTCGCTGCCCTGATCAGGTTCCTTCTTCCTACCACCCATATCGAACGCGAAGTAATCAGGATTCTCCTTGAAAGGGTTGCTAATCTCAGGTGTGACCATGTCGATGACTGCCGGGGTTGGTGGGATGGTAGTCAAGATAGTATGCGGGTGGTCGCCAAAGTTAGGTATCTTTGTCGGGCACGCAGCGCTGATACTTGCGCGGAAACCCCTCGAGTTCGGGTCCGGCAGCGGCAGATTGCCGTTACTGTTCATGCTCCCGCGTGCTGACTTGGACGGCGGCGGTCCATACGGGCTGCTCACACTAAAGGCACGTTTAATGATGCTGAACGCAGAGGCAGTCGACGAGTTGCGGCTACGTGTGCTTGCTGCACCGCCTTGGTCTTGGCTACTGGCAGACGAGACGCTGAGATTACGGTTTTTGATGGGTGCAGCGGGTTGAGATGCCGTGGTCATTAGACTGAAGATGCCACGAAGTGCAGAAATAGCGGCATCCACGGACGACTGGATGCTGCTCCATGAATACTCCAGGCTGATGAAGTCGTCGAGGCGGTCTTCAAGACTGTTCATTTCGTTCAAACATACGCAGACTGCGTCAGCCATGATCGTGGCGCCAGTGATCCAGGCGTTTGCTACCGCATCTTGACAATGCGCTGGCTGGGCTTGGATGAGGTTAATGGCAGAGTTTGTTGTTTTGTCGATAGCATGATCGGCCATATCGCGTTGCTGGCAGATGTCTACTCGCAACAAGGACTTCCGACTGGCCAGCGAGTCTTCTCCGGAGTGCATGTTATTCTTGGCGTTGTCATAAATAGCTTTGAATGCATCTTGATGGACGTAGGCGATACCCGCGTTGAGATTGTCAAGTGTCGAGAGGACGCCGTCTGCGTTGTCGCCAAGTGTTTGGTTGAGAAGAGCAACATGGTCCGTACCTTCAATCAAAGCGTGAGCTTGTAGCGATTTGAAAAAGCTGAAGTCGCCTGTTCGTCGGGCTGCGTGAAGATTATGCCTTACTAGAGCAATTCGTTGCGTCCAGTGTAATTTTTGTGCCCCATCAAGAGTCATCTTGTTCTGCTGGCGGTGCTCCCAATCTTCAGCTGTTTCTCTCTAGTAGAAGAACGATGGTATTGAAGACTGACAATAAGGAGATCCGGGCTCAGCTGGGCTTTTGATGCTGCATTGCTGCTAGTGGTTGGTCACTGCTCTTACAGACGGTGTCACCGACGGGTATGAGACATGGCCAATCGATATCAAATGTTCGCAATGACGTTTTCGACTCTCGTGCCGTAACTGTAATTTGGAAGAGAAAAACGGTGATGATGACTAGCTGAGATTCACGGAGGGTGACTTGCAGGGTGGTAGATCTTCCCATGTGCAGTTTGTGTAGTGAGTCGACTTCATTGTCAAAACGAACCATGTTGAATCATGTAGCAACCAGGTTTTCCTTGAACAGGTTAGTGCTGGATACTGGACCTGCATATACTAAGACGTCCCCGGATCCATACCTGACATGACCCTATGGGGTGATATAGGCGAGGGTGTCTCAAAGCGTTTGTGGTACAAAACGTTCTGGACATGCATAGGGCTGAGACATCAAATCCAGACGGGGTTCCCCCTCAAATCTAAAGTAGCATGATCTCGCACATCTTGAGCTTGGGATCGGTGATGTCGATGCAGTCAGGCTGGCTACGCTGGCTACCCTGCTATTGCTTGTGACGGCTGATTCAGATCACACGATGCTTTCGGTTTGCCCCAACACGGTTGAAGCAGCAGAATCGGGCACATGTTTCCAAATGAGTCGCATTGGAGAAAGCCGAGAAGCACTTTGTAGGTCGAGGTTACATAGCAGCACGCCTTGACTGACCGTGCCACGAGGGTGTGAATGCTGATTTCGGGGCACCTTGTACCGGGCTGCCCATTTCGGTCCAATACTCGTTGAACCGAGATTGTGAAGGATTGCGGTATATATCGTTTGTTCGTTGTGCGTGTTGAAGGATGCCGTGCGAGGTCCGCCGCGGATCGTGACTTCGCTGGAGTCACAGGTGTTGCGCGGTGACGATCTGCAGCGACGTTCCCCGCTGATATCTCTGGTATCGGCTGTTAGTAACGAATACACTCATAGAATCAATCAGCTCGTGCACGAGTGAGATCCGTGTGGAGATTTTCCAGAAAACTGGGGGGAAAGCTCTTCAACGCTGCAATGCTCTGATTCGCCGTGGGATGATTATTTCCATCACCCGGAGAAGGAACGAGCCGCCGCTATTCCCAACCTTCCAGCTTCCGCCACTGACGGCAACCGGAAACGAACCTGAGAGTGCAGATTTTTCCTTCGCAGCAGCCATTCGGGTTCGGCCTTGCGGCGCGGTAACATCGCGCTTGCCCGGGTCGTGCAAGTTCATGCGAACGGACGCGACGACCCGCACGTAACCGATGATGCCCCTGCTCAAATTTTGCGCTGGGGCGAATCATCAGATGGTCACGGACCACCATCAGCAACCAGCGCGGCGAAGTTGAGGTCTTTGCCCATCAAGTGGACCACCACGAAATTTTCGGCGGTCGATGCGACGACCAGAGCATGGAGTTGGCCGACGGCTGACAATCAGGTTGTTGACGCGATATACTACGGCTCCACAAAATCACACGAGCGCGATTCAAATACGTCTGTTCCCCAGTTGGTGTGTTTGACCCAGAGATCAGTGACTCCACGATTTTGTCTGTTAGACTTCACGTTCTTCCATCGTCATAATGGCCGCCACGCAAGGACATGATGACATTGCGCCCAAGATGGACAACCACTCGGGCAAATCGGTTGCCCGTTCGACGAGCGACCTCGAGAAGCAGCAAACACCTCAGGATGATGCGTTGAAGAGGAAGCTCTCGAGTCGTCACCTGCAATTCGTGGCTATTGGTACGTTTTGTAACCTTTCCATCCCAAGAGGCAACTGCTGACATGCTTTAGGCGGAACTGTCGGTACTGGTGTTTTCATCGCCAGTGGAAGCTCGATCAACACAGCTGGTCCAGCCGGTGCGCTGCTCGCCTATGTCTTCGTCGGTACTCTCGTCTACTCAGTCATGATGTCCCTGGCTGAGATGGCTACTTACCTTCCTATCGCTGGTGCCTTCACACAATACGCATCTCGATTTATCGACCCCAGTCTGGGATTCGCAATGGGTTGGATCTACTGGTTCTCGTGGTCGATCACGTATGCCCTTGAACTGTCAGCCGCCGGCCTCATCATCCAGTGGTGGAACCAGGACCTGAACATCGCCATCTTCATCACGATTTTCTGGGTTCCCATCACCGCGGTCAACTTCCTTCCCGTTGACATCTTTGGCGAGTTCGAATTCTGGTTTGCTTCCATCAAGGTCGTTGCCCTTTTTGGTTTCTGGATCTTCGCCATCATCATGAATGCTGGTGGCGTTGGGTCCCAAGGATACATCGGCTTCAAGTACTGGGATTCGCCTGGTGCTTTCGCCCCTTACCTTGCCGATAGCGTTGCTGTTGGAAAATTCGTGGGGTTCTGGGCTGTGCTTATCAAAGCTGGTTTCGCTTTCCAGGGCACTGAACTCTGCGCCATCGGTGCCGGAGAATCCGCAAACCCCCGAGTCACGATGCCGAGGGCTATTCGCAACACGTTCTGGAGCATCTTCACTCTGTTCATCTTCACAATCTTCTTCGTCGGTATCCTGGTCCCCTACGACAATGAGTCCATCGCTATCGGCAACACAAACGCCGGTTCATCTCCTTTGGTCATTGCCATTCAACTCGCTGGAGTCGCCGCGCTTCCGGATATCTTCAATGCCGTCCTTCTGACCGTCGTTCTGTCGGCTGCCAGCTCAAACGTATACTCCGGTAGCCGCATTCTTGTCGGTCTTGCCGAGAACGGCTGTGGACCAGCTTTCCTCAAGAAGACCACCAAGCAGGGTGTACCTTACTGGGCCACCGCCATCACTGCTGCAATGGGTCTGCTCGGTTACATGAACTGCTCCGCTAGCGGAACTGAAGCCTTCAACTGGCTGCTGAACATCATTTCTGTCGCTGGCTTCATCGCATGGTCTTGCGTTTGTCTCTGCCACGTTGCCTTCATGAAGGCTCTCAAGGCACAGAATATCGATCGCGACACCCTGCCTTTCAAGTCCTGGGGCGGTGCACCTATGGCCTGGTACGGCTTTGGATTCACTGCTCTCATTACCCTGACGCAGGGTTTTACTGCGTTTGTCCCTTGGAACGTCGAAAACTTCTTCATTGCATACATCAGTCTGATCCTCTTCGCGGTTCTGTACATCGGCCACAAGATTGTGTACAGACCATCATTCGTCAAACCTGCTGAGGCGGATCTTATTTCTGGCCAGTTTGTCGAGGAGACTTCTGAGACTTGGGAGGAGAGTCCGAGGTCGACATGGAAGAAGATGCTGAACAAGGTGTCATTGGCATGAGTTTTGCATTGTTCCGCATTGGATGCAGGTTTTTAAAAGTCTTTACGATAGCATGGCCTGGTTGCATTGCCTGGCGTTTACTTAGTGTAGCGATATCTCGGAGCACGATACCAACGTTAATGTTTATATGTTCTATACATTCACGCCCATGCTTGTGCACGTACTCGACTGATGTTCTCATGCGATGTCATACACCCTTGCAAGTGCTGCAGTTATTAGAGCTATTCGATAGCCAATGGACTGTCCTAGGGCTAGATTCTTGGCTTCGCACGAAAGATCTCAGTCAGAAGTGTAGTAGCAATAGCAAGAGCGGTATAGCCTCGTCTGGGGAAAGTCTCATGATCGCAGTGAATGCTGTTGGGCGCAGCACAGAATTCATGACTAAATTAGATTAAAGTGCCACCTTCATTGGTCGTGACTGAAAATGACGATGCAGATTATCGAGACGTAGGGATTATTGCAGGCTGGAGATAGGAACGAAGAAATGACGTACAACGGCGGAAAAGCGGGTCGGCAAATTGTCCCAGATAGGCAAGGCGCATGAAGGCAGGGTTGTTGTCAACGGCTGCACATGCGCCTTTCTCCTTTCCACAACGACACTTCTAACGTTGAACGTGTCGAACCTCTGCGTACGAGTCGTGTGTCGCGTTTGGAAAATGTTCGAGCCACTTTGCCATCACCTTTACGCAAGTTATTGCAAGCGGTGATACCATTGACACCAACGATGCTCTACCCGATTGTGCTCCGCTCCAGACCTGGTTCTATCGAGCAACTAGGAGACTATACCACCCACCTTGCTATAGCATCCACTAAGCGAGCTAAAGACCTCGAACAAGTTCTCCTGGATGTGAGCTCAGTCCTGATTTGTCCTGAACCATCTTGCTCCACGTCCTAGTTCGACCCCTTTCCCATCCCGTCCCGTCCTGTCACGGGAATCCACATGGCACAACGGTAAACACGTATTCGCCACGTCGAGCCATCTCCACGCGAAACGCCTTACCGGCTTTGCCATTCACGAACAGGGGCTTGCCAGCACAGTCGACCATTCTCGATAGTGTAGCCGAGTTGCCTCTCGAAACGGTCAACCACACGCGGCGATGCCGTTGGCGTAGCCTCTCATTCGCGAGATCAACAGCGCCCCCCCGCATATCAGCATGCATCGATCGTGCAATTCGCCTGTTGCATCTCCTGAGCTGGTCCAATTGAGCGCGAGGACTGACGCAAGCAAGCACACGGCTATGCTAAACAGCACTGCCAAAGCTAAGCAACGTCACATACCCGCATCTCCTGGTAGTCTTCAACGCTATTGCAAGGTAGATCTCAATCATCCAAGATCACGAACCGAAAAAATGTGAGTTCAGCTACTACCAGAAAGAGTTGTTGCCAGCAGGGCACTCCATACAGCGATCGACAATAGTGTGTAGAAGTCGCCTCCACGCATGATTTCGCTGGTCGTTAAGGTGGATCCTCCGGTATTGATCTGCAGGAACACATGCTGAATTGTGAATTCCCACTGTGCCGCATCAGCCACGAGCGGCTCTAACAGTTTACCCGTTCTTCGTTTGAGCCATTCAAAACCACGCACCGGGGTTATAGCAACTTGCCACACCACGATCGACGTCACATCTTCACGGGCACGGTCTCAGGTTGGCGACGCGACTGTTCACATTGGCTTGACTCACGAGCTTGAGCCACTCTATAGACATGCTGGTGTATAACACTCCTGAAGGGCAATGACGATCTACCTTCGTGCACAGTCCTCGATGACGATGATGTGTATCTCCTGTTTTCTCTAGTCCACCACAAATTTGAATGACCACAGAGGGCGCAGAAATGTATAAGTAGCCCCTCGAAATGTCGACATTTGACCATCATCAAACATCATCTCCTCACACTTCATCCTCATCAATCAATCAATCGTTGCCCATAAATCACCAAAACAAACCATCAACATGCAGTACCTTACCATCCTCGCCCTGGCCGCCGCTGCTTTCGCCGCCCCCCTTGAGGAGCGCCAGGCCGGCCTCTGCGCATCCGGCACTCCCCAATGCTGTGCTACCGACGTCCTGGGCATCGCTGTCCTCAACTGCGCCGCCCGTACGTATTTCTCAACTAAGATCCATGACACTTAAAGATAGTGCAGCGAATTTGGCCTAACATGTTGTATAGCAAACCCCTCGCCCACCGGCATTAACGACTTCATTGACGTCTGCGCTGCTGGAGGCCAGCAGGCGAAGTGCTGCTTGCTTCCTATCTTGGACCAGGCGTTGATCTGCAGTGATGTCGTCCCCCAGGCTGAGGCTCCTGCCGTTGCAGCTTAGGCGATGAGCTGAGACCTAATCAGGATTTCCTGATTGTTACGATTGTATTGTATCGAATTACTTGTTTTGAAACGGGTTGTAATGAATATAAATTTTGAGGCTTATGCTATCCAAAAAAAAACTTGCTGTTTCACTGCCTTGATGTGAGGTCGTGGTGTAAAGGATACTTAACGTTCGCCCCTGTAACTTTACGTACACCCCAGCTCGAAGGGCAAGCTGTGTGGTCCCAATCTTGTGATTGGACTGTTGCTCAATTTTGATTGCTCAATCGCACAGTCCCCCCTGCTCTCCACTTGATGCTAGCACCGAGGCAAGAAATCTGTCGCTACCTAGAATCATTTCGTGCTACCACTGGTATATGAGCCCCAATCGCAAAAGATACTTCAAGTACTGTTAGATGAGCCTTACACATTACTCATCGGTCTCTTTGCTACTTATTGAACTCATCAACTGCGCCACATACTTACAAACTCAGAATCGAATTTTGCAAGACTACAGGGAGTCAAAATAGTGATCTGCTTCGCATTGTACACTGTGCTATTGATAGTTCACTAGACCCGCTTTTCGTCCATGTCGTGACGATCCTCTCCAGGAAGATGATCATCATCTCCAACCGGCAAATTCAACGTCCTCGTAGCGCCGCTGTGCTGACCGTGAGACCGAAACTCCCTGTACTTTTCACCGACTGCGTTACTGGGAGATTCGCTCATATACTCCTAGTCTGCGACCCAACTCTGCATGCACCTGAACGAATGAATGTCCTGCATATACCGTCATTCGCGTCCATCTCCGAGTCTTCCGCATCAACTAAGCTCTCTTTGTAAATCCTGAGCATCGCCGCTACCCTGCCACGACCATCGAAAGCCCACCCGCACCCGCAAGCACAGCAAGACGCAGAATTGTCGTCCGTAGTCCTCTACCGCACAGCAACTGTCTCCACTGACGACTCAGCAATGCCCTAGAGAAGAAACCTCGAGCCCAAGCCCTCGCCCAGCACGCAACCGGTGTCCCCAGCCCTCATGACGAATATGTCTCAGACGGCAACGCCGCAGCGCCGCAAAACACCCGCTCGATCTTGATTAGAGACGCGTCGGGCTCCTGTCGCTGCGCGCTGATAGGCTGTTCGCAGCTTGAGACGACGTGCACAAGGCTCGCTGTCAACACAGCCTGCGCCGTCCGCGCGTGCCAATTTCTCCGCTGCCTTGGCCTCGCACGTGGGTGGCCGGATTGCAAGGGCTGGCGGGCGGCCAAGTGCCAATTTGTGCGAGGCAGCTTGTCGTCGAGGCACTGCTGGGGAGAGGCCAATGGGGTGCGCGGGCGCGAGCAAGGCGTGGCTGGATGCGGTTAGTGGGGTGCTGATCTGCGCTATTGTGAGGTGCCAGATCTTGGGACTTGGGGGAGTGGTTCGAGGATAATGGGTTTATTTCGGGGTGCTACAAGTAGTAGATATGTTGGTGCGAGCCGGGGAGTCAGGGAAGACGCCTGCTGTACGTTGACATTTACGACTTTACGCCAGCCTTGCCCTTTGATAGAGCTCGAATACACGTATTCTTTGTGCTTGAGTTGATATCAGACACTCGAAATGACTTCGACGACAACTGATCCCACGGTCCCGCTTCCCACTGCAACGGATATCGACGACGACGACGATGATGATGACGTTGTGCCGCCGCCAGCTGCGACACCACCTCCAGCTCAGACAACCCTTCCTCCTGCTTCGGCTCCTCCTCCCGCAGAGACGGCCCCTGCAGTTTCAACACCACCCGTTCCTGGTAGTGCATCGGGTTCCGGAACCCCCGGTATTTCAAATAGCATCGCTTCATCCACAGCAACAGGGGGCCTCCCCAGTGGTTCACCATCTAGTCTCAACCCCCCGAACGACACCAATGGCGGTGGTAGTGGACTGAGCACCGGTGCATCGGCAGGCATCGGAATTGGTGTAGCCTTGATCGTGTGTCTTGCCGCATTCGGCATGTGGTTCTTCCTGCGCCGTCGCAAAGCGCGTCGGACAAAGACACGCTCAACGTCCATCAACAGCTCAGACGAAGAGCACGGTTCCAAGGCACAAAGGCAAAAGTCCGAGATCTATGCGTATCGCGCGGGCGCGCCGGCGGAGGTCTCAGGCGACGAGAAGCCGAGGCGTTGGAGCGAGTTGGAGAGTCCGACCTATGTGGCAGAGGCAAGTGACGGACAAGTGTTCCGTGCTGAGCTGCCGGGATCTGTGGTACCTGTTCTTGCGGCGGGGAAGGGGATGGATGAGAGGCTATTCGCGGACGCTCCGATTGATGAGGTTGATGAGCCGGTCGATAGCCAGGAGAGAACTGTGGATAAGAAGAGGGACGAACGCTTGTTTTCTGATCCGCCTATCGACGAGGGGACCAATACCCTGATTGATCATCCATCGCCAACGCCCAGGGAGAAGAAGGGTTGAATACGAGGCTGCCGACTTGGGTCTTCTGTAACGTTGTGGTGCCCTATAGGGCTATATATACTTCAAGCTGGCGCATAACCGGCAGCGGCGTTGGTGGCATGCTACGATACCAATACATGATGTTTGTACATTTAGTCTAATTCTTGTTGTTGATTCTGCTTTCTTTGTGAATTTTTCGTCTTTTCATCTCGATCGCCTTGCCTGATCGTAGTAGCGTTGTTGATGTGTATGGCCAGTGCGCGGCGGGGTAAAATGAGCAGAGTCAAGCGGCGACGGCACAGATGGCGACGGCGCGATGGGGGATACACCGAGCGAAGCATTCTGCGCTGGTGGATAAAACATCGTCTCTGCGACTGGCGATATGCTCGTTGCCTGTCGAGTCGGCGACACTTCCAGGTAGGGGTTGCTGTTGCGTGCGGATTCTAGAGCGGGCTGATGCTGATGGTTATCTAGCGCAACGTTCCAGTTGTGCCATTGCTGCGCATTTGCGCCAAACGCATCTTCGTCGCCGGCGTGGTATGATGCTCGTGGTGTCTTCTTTATGGCGAGCTCCTGAGGCTCATAATGCCCTGGCAGCTCCGGTACTTCGCTGCCGTCGAGCTCGTGAATTGTGCGCGCGTCAGCTTCGATCGGTATCGCCTGTACATGTCGCGACTTTTCCTGTTCCTGCTGGGACCAGAAGGCAGCTCCGGCATCCATCTCAACCGGCTCCTCGGGGCTTAGCTTGGTGTGCTTCGGCTTTGCAGCTTGTTGCTTTCGCCGTCTATACGCGAAGAACGCAACAAGAGCAATCACGATGATTCCGACTGAGCAGGCTACTCCAATTGCGATACCGCGTTTCATTCCGGGTAGAGCGGAATCCTCCTCCTGACGCACCGCGACGGGCTGCGGCGACGACGAGGTCTCTGCTGAGGTCGGATCTGGGTAGGGCGCCATGTCTGCTTCTCACATTTACTGGCAATGTTGGTGTAGAGAGAGGGAAGCAAGGCTCCGGAGGAATACCTTTGCCTGCCTTCCTGCGGCTGGCGAGACATTGTGAAGCATAAGGATGCCTTCCTAGTGCGGCGCAGTTGTGCAATGCGGTATGCAGGGTGACGATCTTGAGGCAGCGAGGCTTATTTTGCCGCCAGGAGTTTATTAACAGCGCGCGACAGGCCATGTTATCCACTCATTGTGCCGCTACTGTTACAATCCCCGAACTCGGGTCTTTTGTGTGCGACCGCCTTGCCTTTATGCTTGAAAATGCACTTGGTGCCTGGCTCTGGGGTGATGAGTGGAGGCTAGAGGTGGCTGGATCCTGGTTTTCGTGCCGTCCCGAGTGGGGGCTGACAGCACACGCCGTCCTGAAGCTCTGCAACTGTCGCACCCGCCATCTGTTCTTGCTGCTGAACTGACATGGCACCCTTCACTTCTGTGGTCTTGTTACCGCGCCTGTAGTGGATCGCGAAGCGCAGCCGCCGTGCCTGCAGCTCGCGGTTGTGAGTGCAAACGATCTCGAACCTTTTCCGAATTCCGAGTGTTTGGGTGGTTTCTCTACTTAAGAATGTGGAGTGAAACAATAGTGACGGTGTCCTGTCAGCTCGGCGTATTATGAACACGCACGGCGCTCAACACAGTGTAGAGTATGCGTGGAGCCGGAGATTTTGTTCAGGTCTATACTGTGTAGTTGGAGACGCTGAGCGTGGTACCTTACCACAGTCGCATCGCAGCATGCTCGCTGGCGGGTGCAGCCGAGGTGCGTCAGGATGGCGTCGAGCAACAATATGACGTCGAGACCATTTTTGTACCTCCGCAAAGCCTCAGCTCGCTCGGAAATAGACGATCTCTCGAGACAGTGCAGTCCTAACAGGGTCGTAGAAAACGCTCAGCGATCGGATTCGAAAATCTTGCACTGCGTTCCAGGCGTCCAGCCGCAGCTTCGCCCAGTTGATCCTCACGCGACCTGGCCCAATGGCGACTGGTTAAATGTCGGCTGGCTCAATGGCGACTGGCTCAATAGTGACAGCCTCGAACACCGTTGGCCAGTGCTCCGTGAATCCATCTGGAAACCATGTGCAAACTACCACCGCTATAGGAAACAACAACACAATACCAAGAGCAGTGTGAAGGCTGTGTCATCTCACATCACCAAGCTCAGGCCTAAAGACGGGTGGTGCTTGTCCAGCTGCACAGCAAGTGCAGCCAAGAGTAAGCCACCTATTTCGCGGCGGCAGCTGGTTGGCTCCCCGTTTCTCGACGTCACAAACCATGGCCCTATTGCGTCCAGGCTGTGTTGGCGATCACCAGGTCAGCAGTCTTGATGCTGTGAAGCCTGAGCCGTAAGCTCACATTGCTCACCGCATGCAGAACACTTATATACCAGTGCGTGCTCACAGTCTGATTCTCGCCTCCACAATCCACGAGCAACACATTCATAAGATTCACCAGAACATCGAATCTACTACACCAATTGCCGCTACTTGAACCTACTACGCGACTACTGGTGTATCCAAGCGTCATCGCCTACAACCTCAAACCACACAACCTCAAACAACACCACACAAACCCAACATGAAGTTCACAACAACCCCCCTCCTCCTCACCATGGCCGCGCTCGCCGTCGCGACACCAGCCCCCATCACCGGCGCCATGGTCCCAGAAACCGTCTCCGAGTTCCGACAAGCGATGATGCCGCGCGCCGCAGCTCCCCTCGCGCCCCGCGCCGTCAGCAAGCCCAAGGGAGGCAGCAGCGGCGGCAGCAGCAACTCATCGGCCGCGGCGAGTGTGTCGCCGAGCAACGCGCTGGTGGTTGGCGCGGTGGGGTGGGGCGTAGTGGAGGTGCTGCGGTTGTGGAACTGAAGCGACATCACGGGAACAAGGCCATGCACGAGCGACGGTGGCGCTGGAAAATGTACGAGGCTGGGATACGGGGTTGTGTTCAGAGATACCATGGTGTTGGACACGCTGAGCGTTGCATAATTACCTTACGAATTACGATTTTACCACATGTCCCCGCAGTCTGGATTCTGCGTGAATGCTGGTGTAGTGTTTTGATGTCTCGTGACTTGTTGTGTACTGCACTGCCTCGCTGCTGCGCTGGAAGGGGAAGGTGGATAGTAGGAGGGAGGCTGTGTCACGCAAAACATGCCCATAATTGAGTGGAGGAGTGCAGACACAGTTCGTATAGCTGAAGGAGGCATGGCGTGAACATTGGCGCATTGGTGTATTAGCATGTACAGCTGGCGCGGGTGGAGTGAGTTGACTGAGAAGGTGTGTTTAAGGGAGGAGTGCACTCGCAAGGCATTATGTACATGAAGATGAATTGTTCCTTGGGAAACTGATTATGGTAGTCATATAGTCTAAAAGAGCAGCCTCGAATACGCTTCACTAATCAACAAAACAGCGTATTCCAAGCCAGATATCGAACCCCCATGCAACGCCTCGCAAAATCCACACGAAAACATTATTCCCATCCAACGCCACACTAGTGCCAAACCCCACTCTAAATCTACGCCCTTTCCCGGCACTTCTCACATCCCTATCCTCATAGTCCAGCCCTCATTCTCACACCACCACGGCGCCCATCACCAAGCCCCCCACAACGACGCCAACACGCCACGCCCCACCCCACCCCATCTCAGGCGCCCCGTACGCCGCAACCGCAGCACCCGTAAACTCCGGCGGCATGGTGTTGGTCGCAGGCCCACTGGGCACTGTGCTGTTTGGCGGCGCCATGAAGCCTGAGCTTTCTTGTATATAGGGTGGGGATGTTGTGGTTGGTGGGGATGTGAGAGACGAGAGAGGAAGAGAGGAGTGGGGGAGCGAGGAGGTGGAGAGAGTTGATGGTGGGTGGGATTGTATCTCGCTTGAGGTGTGAGGGGATGAGATGACTGGGGGGGTGGGGTTGCCGTAGCCGTTTTCGGTGTGTGACTGGGTTGCCGATGAGATGATGGGCGGGGTTGGGTTGCCATATCCGCCCTCAGTGTGCTCCGTTGCTGGTGCAGAAACAGGAGGTGTAGGGTTGCCGTATCCTCCCTCAGTGTGCTCCGTTGCCGACGAGATGACTGGGGGTGTGGGGTTGCCATACCCGTTGTCAGTATGAGACTCTGTTGCCGACGAGATTACAGGGGGCGTAGGGTTTCCGTATCCGCCCTCAGTATAAGGTCCTGTCGCCGACGATGAGATGACTGGGGGTGTAGGTTCTGAGTGACCATCCTCGGTATAAGGTGCCGTCGCTGAAGAAACCACCGGGGGTGTAGGATTGCCGTACCCGTCCTCGGTATGAGGCTGTGTCATCGACGAGATAACTGGAGGTGTGGGATCTCCATACCCGTTATCAGTGTGGGACTCGGTTGCTGATGAGATGACAGGCGGTGTTGGGTTGCTGTATCCGCCCTCGGTGTGCTCCGTTGCTGGTGCGGAAACAGGAGGTGTAGGGTTGGGGTATCCGTCCTCGGTATGTGGTGCCGTCGCCGATGAGATGACCGGAGGGGTGGGGTTGCCGTATCCACCCTCAGTGTGGGACTCCGTCGCCGACGAGATAACAGGGGGCGTAGGGTTGCCGTAACCGTTCTCGGTATGCGACTCTGATATGACAGGGGGCGTGGGGTAAGAGTTTCCGTCCTCAGTATAAGGCGCCGTCGCCGATGAGATGACCGGGGGTGTGGGGTTGTCGTAACCGTCAGTCTCGCTTGCAGTTGTGGCAAGGGTCGTTGGCGGCTCAGGTGCGCTGGAGCTACACGGCGTCGAGCCTGGGATGATGATAATCGGTGGGTCTACGGGGGGCGGTGTGGACGACGCTGGGGGCGTGGAGACGGTGATGCGGATAGTCTCGCTGCTGGTGCAGGGGGTGGATGTCGGCGGCTGTTCACCGGGGCCGTACGCGCCTCCAGTTGGTGTCAAGACCGGGTCGGTGGGTGATTCGGGGTAGTGAGGTGTCGGGCCCTGACCTCCTATCGGTGTCTCGACGACTGGCGTCTCTGGATCAGCAGGAGGAGTAGGTACCTCGGGGTAGTAGGGAGTCAATTCCAGCGGCGGAGAACTTTGCTCAGGTGGAGGAGCACCGTAGTTTGCACTTGTGACAGGTGCGTCTGTAGGTGGTGCAGCATACACAGTCGTGGTCGCTGTACCGCAGTCGCACGGCTTGTCTTCCACATGTGTTGTGCATGATGAAGTCGGGGGTGGAGCGTAATTTGCTTTGTCGGCCGTGATTGTAGCCGCTGGCGACTTTTGCGTAAACTTCACCGTGCCTTTCACCGGTCGGACGCATGAAGTCATGAGTGGCATCTCAGTCGAGAAAATGTTCACAGTAGTCCCTGCTGAGTCGAATGGCGCGGGAAGAAGGGGAAGTGTGAGGTCTGCAGCCACATCCACGACGACGGAGATGTTGGCTTCGACTAGCACAAGGCCACTGAGGTTCGCATCCTTGGGCTTGGACATCTCAGCCGGCTTGGTCTTGTTGCCTTGATCCAGCAGAGCGCACTGCGCTTTGGCGTTGGGCGTCAGCTTCGCATCGAGACGTGGCAGCTCTAGAGCCACGGAGACGAGCGTGCTAAGCTTGTCGCTGAACTCGAATCCGATCGGAATTGTGGGCGTGAACGCGACGCTGATAGCAATTTCGGCATCAGTGACATCGGAAGTGAACGGTAGTGCCTTCAACGTTGCGCCTTTAATGCCAGTGATGGTCGTGTTTGCGAGGTCTCCGAGTGCGATCTTGATTCCGGCACCGTCTGGAATCTAAACACAATTAGCTGACTTTAAACAGAACAGAGAGGGAGCGACTAACAGCAACATCAATACCATAGTTGATGGCAAGCTCACCATCAATGTCGAAATCCACGCTGATCCTGGGCTCGAAGCTCGCTCCCGCTTGGCCAATACCAGGAATGACGAAGCCCAAAACCGGCAGCGGAAACAGGGCAATCTCGTAAGATCCAGATTTGACTGGTCGTGCAAACATCTCAAGATGTGCCCCGAAGCCGCTCACTGCGAGATCAAACTCGCCGCCAGTGATGATGCTGTTGACATCCTTGCCATCATCACCGCCATCGAAGAAGTCTGGGACAAAGTCGATCTGCTTCGTGTCGATTTTGATCGCACCCTGTGTGATCACGATCTCACCACGCGTGGAACAATTCTTGCAGCCAATCTCGAGCGGCAAAGTGGGGACAACGGGCAGATTGATGAAACTCTCAAGACCTGTGACGAAGTCCTCGGCAGTGAATGTCCTGTTGAGCAGCTCCGAGGTGAGGTCGAGCGTCACGTCTATGATGTTGTCGGGCGTGTCCATGGGAATCGCGAGACCATCGTCCTGGCGCTTTTTGCGCGCACGCATGAAGTCTGAGTGTCTTCTGTAGATGTGGTCGTACCGCGTGTGTCCGAAGTTGATGTCGATGTTGTCGAAGGCGTCCTGCCACAGCGCTTCTGTGACGGCGAGGTCAAGAGCCACGCCTTTCTTAGCGAAAGACACGTCGTCCACCCTGTATACATTAGCGTTGCCATGTGAAGTTCGACTCGAGATCTTCGTACTTGTAAACCGCCCGCTCGCCGTCCCTGTTGCAGCTGTGATGCGACGTGATGATCAGCCCGCCCATGCCGCCATGTCCACCATGGGCTGCCGCTCTTGCATCCCGTGCAGCCGACTCATCGACGAAATGCAGCATCATCCCACCATTTCCACACTGCACATCCTCAAGAAGATGCTCAATCTCCTCCAGACACAGGATCGGCTTTCTCGACCCGACCTTGACAGACGATGCGAAAGTTTCTCTGCCATCCCACCCATTTTCTTCTGCCAGATATCAGAAACCCGCTGGTGTAGCAAGAAAAGGGATACAAACCTCCGACATACACAACCTCCGCCTCAAACTTCTGCGCGATCTTCATATCGCGCTTCGACACATCTGATCGCCGCGTTGCAGCGTGCAGCACGCGATGCCCACTCCCCACCGCAGCCGCTGTGGAGCCAGCACAAGCAGCGAGAAGCACCGCGTGCGGCAGATTGAGTCCACGCATCTTCAGCAACGTAACCCCTACGCGAAAGCAACTGGACGAAAGAGAAAAGCGACGAGATGAAACGATGCAACCAGCAGCCTTGAATACAACCAGCCTGTCGACGGGACAGAAGCAGCCAGCAGTCGCAATAAACCGATATCAGATGCCGCCTCAGGTACCCCTTCACTCCTCTCCTCATATACGAAGTACTCCCGCCCACACTGCATCTCCGCCCGCCAAGCCAACCGCCCATTCCCCGACCGCCGCCCGCACAGCCACGCCCCCAGCACTCCTCGCAGCGCGCCTCAGCACGCCTTGCGGACTTCGCATCTTCGCGGCAGCACGCGCGACGGAGTCGTGCAGACACCGGGGCTTGGCGGCCGCAGACGGGGCCGAGACGAGCCTCCGAATACGACGCAGTGATTTATTGGGAATCCGGGTGTTTCAAGGGCGGCGGATTCGGGTGTTTCATGCGGGTGGTGCGCAGCAGCGTGGCCGGGGTTGTGGGAAGTGGTGGCTCGGGGTTGGGGCTCGGGGTTGTGGTTCGGGAAGGAGGCGCTAGGCGGGATTGGGGTTGGAGGGGTGTCGGACACCGCGCGGAAGTGTCTGGGTGCCTTCTCACATGGTTTGCTTACTGTGGAGTATACTGGTGCACGTATATATGGTGTTCTGTTGTAGAATGCTTGGTGATGGGTGGAGATGTGGAATTGGACGGATGCGATCACCAACACACATACCTATCAATATGTACGTCCAGTGCTTCACGAAGCAGAGCAGAGCAGAGCAGAGCAGAGCAGAGCAGAGCAGAGTAGACAGAGCATCTCGAGCTTGCTTTGACCCTCCAAAAATACCTCTCTGCCGCCTCCGTTCCTCTAGTAGAATAGCAACACGACGCAGAAACACACGATTGCGACATTGCAGTTGGATTCAAGATTCCACCCCCAAGCACATTCATACACACAGAGACCACGGGGACAAGCATAAGCCGATTTGAAGGTACTTTTCACAGGCCTGCGGTTGATAGACTGAGAGAGTAGAGACCATACAGAGAATGATCAACGAGCTGCCGCATATCCCTCTTGCGTATCCTTTTTGACGCACAGAAGGGCGAAGAGCATGGGATCTTCACCTATGACTTTCAAGAGCAGAGGCAGAGAACATACATCCCGAGTACAGTTCTGACCGAGCTTAAGGTGAGAACAAAGCCAGTCCAGCCACAGAATATGGTTTGAAACAGGAGATTGCAGAGTTATGGTCTTTCAGACGGGCAGAAAGGCGAGGGACATAATCCGTCGATACGATAGCTTCAGAGCGAAGGCGCATAGCATGACGTCTGGCGTGTTTTTCGTACAGAGTTAAGAACGAGGATGCAGCAACTGTAGCCACAGATTCCGGTATGAAATCAGGCGGTGAGCTATTTTCTTCCAGAGCAAAGAGGGGCCAAGAACATGCGCTTATTTGGTGATTTTTCGAGAATAGAAGCAGAGGTGCTAGATCAATAGCAGAGGACTGAGGAGATCGCAGCATCAATCATCGTGATGCAATTTTAGATCTGATATGGATAGTGTAGAGTATCAGGGCCAAAGAGCGAAGAATGGAGAGCGGTAGTGGTGACAACGCCAAAGACGAGCATCGCATTTCTGTACCATGGTCTTCAGGACATGTACGTCTGATTTCTTAGAACCCACTCTCGTGGCAGGTAAGCCAGGGACAACAGGGGATACCATGGGATGGCTTGTATGGGCTCGATGGCATGTATGGTTTCTCCATGCCTCTCTTTCCAGTCTTTCAAGCTGGGAATAGGTGTGAGTAAGAGAGGAAGGCAGAGAGAGAATACACCAGCGAAAGAGAAAACCGCACAGACATGTGATTCTCCCATCTATCTTTTTTTAGCTTGAGCGGCAGAGAGATAGAGGAAGAGAAGGAAGGAAAGAATGAAGGCAGAGAATATAACAGGCGAGAAACGCACTGTGCAGAAATCCATTTCCGGGTTCGCTCTCACGTATGTCTAGACCGACAGAGCTCGGAGCATAAGAGAGGGAAAGGGCAGAGATGATGACAGCGCGGAAGAGCATCGCACAGACATGGTCATTAAAACAAGCACTTTCTTTCAGTAATGGATGGAAAGGTGAAGAATCACCAGAAAGAAGAGAGACAGACATAACTATTTTTTACAATGGTTTTAGAGCTTCCAAGAAGGGGAATGAAGTTTTTTGCATCTCCACAAGACTCCATCGAGTCGTACAGAGTCCATTTTTTTTAGCGTCGAGATGTGGACAAGCAGGCACGGTGAGAGGGAGAGATAGAAGCGGTTGGACTGGTGATGTATCAAAGCACGAGGGCCTTACACGGACATGGCACGCTCCCAACACTGCTTTTCGATTCATGGAAGGGCGGAGAGGGACAGGAAGAGGAAAAACAGGCATAATGGTCGCCATGGTTTCTTTCAAGACATTGGCTCGCGTGACTCCATTTTATTTCCACAGAAATGGGCGAGGATCCGGTTTTATTTCGCCGAGAACAGACACTCTCATGGCCTGCAGACTTTGCAGCGTTGAGGTGTAGAGAAGCAGAGGTAGAAGACAGAGATCGAAGATGAGAAGTGGAAAAACAGAAAGTATGACAGCGCCACCCAAACATGCCAGTTTGGTTTCCGTGAGAGTACAAGAATCCAGGACACATCAATTTCTCGATCTGGAGCCCCAGGCAGACAGAAACAAGAGAGGCGTAGAAACACAGGGACACGCACAGTTCCATGACGGCGGTAATAGTCGTTTTTGATACCTGCACCCAATTGCAAAAGAGGCGGTAGAGGCAGACAGACACACGCACAACGCTCCCCCATCAACTCCGTGGATTGCGTTTTCGACGCCGCCGCATGACTGGCCATCGTCAACCGTTTGGACAGACATGTACACACCTAATTCCCATTTCTGGCTGGAGAAGTGGGTGTTGCAGAGGAGAGGGATGAGGAGATGAAGAGACGGCGGTATTTGGATATACGGACACACACAGGCAGAAAAAAGAACAGCAGCCATAAGACCGTGCGTTGTTGTTCTCGATCATAAAAGTGTCGGAAGACACTTTAGGGTTCTTGGACTTGGAGACTCGAGATGCCGGCAGATCTGCTACTCAACACATGTACAAAGATTTTCTTCGAGACAGAGACACACACATCACCCACGCGTTCGTCACTTTCGGGTCGCGTCCGCCATGGCGAGCTGCTGCTAATGTTTGAGTTTACGAGTGCGGTGTTGGCGTGGACGGAGATGGTGGTGGTGGTGGACGCAGAGAAAAAGAGAGGGAGAGATAAGGAGAAGGAGAGGCAGAGGCAGAGGCAGAGAGAGACATGGAAACCCAGTATTTTGCCTTTGAGTCAGGGATCTCGCGGTTCATTGCGCGCACAAAGAAGCGCCATCGAATTCGCAGCTATCAATTTCTAGATTCCGTATCAGAGATTGATTGTGATACAGTCATGATTGAAAGCAATAGTGGTATCCAGACCAAGAAAGCGGGGAGAAGAGAAGATAAGAGAAGAGAGACATGTGGTTTCAGGCACATTGTTTGATTTAAGGGTGTAAGGCTTCTACGAGAAGATGGAAAGAAGGAAGAAGAACAGAGAGGCGCATAGCATGTTTGTCCTCGGTTTCTGTTTCGATCCGCTGTTTCAACAGCTTGATCTCGGGACTCGGTGGTTGGATTCAGCGTTTGGATGTTTGAGTTGGCTGTGTAATGGGCGGTCGGAAAGCAGGGCAGAGAGGAGCAGAGGACGGGGTGACGTAACTTTCTTCCCATCGGGATACTCGTGGTCTGTTTTAGGAGTTTGATGTTTCGATGCTGTGAGTTCATATTTCGATATTTCTATGTAAGCACAGCGGAAAACGGAGGAGCATCGGTCGCTTCAATGTCTCATTTGTCGCCATGAGGGAGGCTGATGCTTTGCCTCTGTATTCCCATGAGTGAAAAGAATAGTTCGATTCAGGGATTTAATTTTCAGACAGGACAGAGGCGAGGAAGGCATGGGACTTCGGCCATGACTTTTATTTCCATCCAGTCAAGGTTGTTTGGATTCGGCGTTGTTGTTTTTCAATCCGGTGTTCTCATGCATCGGCTCAGAGTTTTGAGTTGGAGATTTGGTGTTCAGACAGGAAGAAAGAGGAGAGCATGTGATTCAGCGTTTTCATGTTTCGATCCGGTGTTCTCATGAGCTGTGTCAGTGTTCTAATTTGCGCGTTTAATATTCGGACAAGAAGAAAGAGGAGAGCATGGAAATTGTTGTCTTCGATTTTCGATTCAGTGTTCTCATGCATTAGATCAGTGTTCTAAGTTAGAAATTTAATATCCAGAGAAGAAGAAACAAGGAGAGCATGTGCGCTTCATCTACACCTTTGTCGTGACCAGGAGTCAACGCGTTACTTTACGATTTCGATATTCAGATCCGGTGTTTCCATGCGTTGGTGTCTTTGACGTTTTGACGTATCGACGTCCAGACGGAGTGGGAGGCAGTGGAGCATCACATGTCCACATGTCCCATTTGATTTCATAGAGACCCAATGCTCTGCTCTGGCATCCTCATGTGTAGTCTCAACGACTTTTCGATATCTTAATGTGTCTCCATGTCTCTGTGGCTTCATGTCTTCATGGCTTTCTTCGCTTTTAGGCGTCGTACACAAACGTTTCGTATTTACTTCTACTTCTAACCCGCCGCGCCGCCGCTATGCTATGCTATATGTACACTATTTACTCCCCCGGCGCAGATCGCCTTTTAGCGGACACACTGCGCTACACAGTACACCCTACAGACGACACACTGCGCACTACACACTACATACCACACGCTCCCCGAGCAGCCAAGAAACGCAAACAGAGCAAACCTCGTGAGTCATGTCATACCAACGCCGCCGCCCCGAAACCAACCCAGAAAACACGCTTGCTGTCAGACGAAACCCCCCAAAAAGGGGACGAGAAACCCAAACACGCCGCGTTAAAACTTAGGACACCGCCGCAGAGACTTTCTTTCTCACCGCCCCCTCCGATCCCTAGGATCGACATCCGGCGTCTCGACGCGACCATACGCGCCCGCGCCGTGCGCCTCGGCAATGGGCAAGTGTCCGGGACTCACACCCGGACTCTCGCCTCTAGCCTCCCACTGCGCATACCCCCCGCCATACGGGGGCACGGCATCGAGATCCTCCTCGGGCTCGCTCTGGACGCGCAGCAGATGGCGCGAGTCGCCTGTCACGAGGCCGAGGCGCTCCTCCTCGGTGCCGGGCTTGCCGTCGCGCGAGCGGGCGCGGCTTGTTCCGCGGCTGTGGCGGGAGCCGGGGCGGCGCGAGGCGGAGGCGTCGGAGTCGGTGCGCGGGCGGTGGAAGACGTTGGTGAAGGAGAACTGGCGCTTGGCCATGTGCGGGGGCGGTTTTGGCGGGTACAGGGTGGCGTCGGAGTGCACGGGGGGCGGGTCGGCGAACTGGATGTGCGGGTTGTAGGGCGAGTCGTAGGTTTCGTAGGTGTCGTGGGAGTAGGCGGTGTTTTGGGACAGTGGGGACTTGTAGTCTTTGTCGGAGAGCGGGTCGGTGTGGTCTGGGCCCGAGGAGGGGACGGGCGGGAGCGGCGTCATGCCGACGGAGGAGGCGCGGCTCGCGTTGGATTTCCCGCGGGAGCGCAGGCGCTGGAAGAAGCCCGGGTGGAAGCTGCTGGTGTCGTCGTCGGAGTCGTCGGCGGGGAAGTGTGTCATGCCGAGGGGTGGATGGACGGTGCGGGTGACGATTGTGCCGGCGCGGGTGATGGGGCGGTTGGGGTCGACGATTGTCTTGCGTCGCCTGATACCGTCAAACTCGACGGCCTCGCCCTCGCCGATGATTTGCATGTGCTCTTCTTTGATTTTCTTCGCCTCTTGCAGTTCGCGGTGCGAGCGCGCTGTGCTGAGCGAGCGCAGGATGGCACTGCCGCCGCGAATCGCGTCGGCGCGGGGCTCGTACTCGGGCTCTTCCACCTCGGCCACGGTGCGCACCTGGTCAAGGTCGCCTTTGAACACGGCGGCGTCGGGGACGTCCTTGGCTGATTTGGAGAGCTGCAGAAGAACAACGCCCGAGCAGATGGTGAGGAAGCCCATGATGACGGTGATGATCTGGATGGGTGTTCCTTTGAAGCCCTGGAACAGCACGGCTGAGGTGATGATGGTGCAGGAGGTGAAGAAGACGTAGTACGTTGGGGTGACCAACGCAGCGTTGAAGAGGTTGAGTGCTTTCTGCGGTCGTTAGCGCGGACAGAGATGTATACAAGGCACTTACGTTGAGGTAGATGATTTCAGTGAGCAGCGTGACCACAACAAACACAAGCAGCACCCAGAGGAACCACTCCTTGAACTGGCCACCGTGCGAGCCTGATGCCTGGGCTACGACAGCGGCACCCAGTCCTTGAGTTGCCACCACACTGAGGCCGCCGATCAAACTACATACAGTCAGGTAGACCATCATGGAGCGCTTGCCGTACTTGGGGCCGAGATACAGGGCGATGACAAGCGAGGCGACGATAATGACACCGGCGAAGCTGAGGAAGCCGGGGGCAATGACCCAGCGCTTCATGTCCTGGATGTTCGCGACCGACGACTGCTCCGGAGCGCTGAGGGCGATGATGACGGAGCCGACAATGCACTGGAAGCAGCCTACTTTGCCGACGAAGCTGAGGCGCTCCTTGAGGAAGAACGAGGACAGCAGGGCGCAGATGACGACGGAGAGGGCGCCCATGGGGGTGACGAGGATGGCGTCGGTGAAGGCGTATGCGACGAGATTGCAGATCTGCGGCGGTCAGCGGTGTCGTGGGGTTCGTTCAGGGCGCGTACCTCTCCCACAATCATGAGGATCATGCCCAGCCACCACCAGGCGTTCTTGAGGTAGGCGTAGCCCTCGCCGGCCTCTTCATTGTACTTGGCATTCGCCTGCAGCAGGCCGTGCTTCTTGATAACAAACGACACACCGATGAAGACGCCAGAGGCAATGGCCAGACATATGCCAATAATCTTGTACGAGCCTGGGCGGGAGGCTGGGTCGCCGCCCATGCCGCCGCTGCGGGCATACAGGTGGTGTGCAGCGAGCAGCTCTTCTGCAGAGTAGGCGGCGTGCAGCTCGACGGCGCGGGCGAGGAGGGCGGCGGAATCCATGGCGGGCGCGGGGCGAGGCAGTGGGCTGTTAAGTAGCTCGCGCGTCGGCGTCTACAACGTCTCCGGGACAGGGCGCGGGCGCGCGATCATTGACAAAGCGGTCGGTATTCGGAGCGCCGAGCAGTGTTGTGGGAGCGGTGCGCGCGAGGTGAAGCCGCGCGTGTCTATTTTGGTGGCAGCGAGAGAACGGGTCGAGCAGCAGATTGGGTCACAGCTGGCGGTGCGGGTGTGGTGCAGTTGGCGTGTTCCAAGTTGGGTTCAGCTGCGAGGCGACGCAAGTGGAGGGCGTAGCTGCAGGCCTAGACGCGCTGCCGGGGTTGGTGGCTTGTTTGCTGCGGACAACAAGCGGGCCATGGCGGGACTGGGTCGCTGGGATGATGGGCGCAAAAACGGGGAGCGGCCTGTGCAGAGCGCCCGCGCTGGTCAAGCCCTGCGGCTGGTGCTTGATGGGCTGTTGTGGGCGCGCGTCGCACAGCAACCAAGTGTCAAGCGGCGGACGCCAAGCAGCCGTTCGCCGGGAGGGCGCTAGAAGCATAGGGCCGCGCGAAGGAACAGTGACGACGACCTAAGAAGCGTACGACGGCAGCAGAGGCGCAGGACTCGACCCTCCCCCCCCCCCTCCCCTCCCTCCATGCCCCGCCATGGACTCCCGCGCCGACGCCAATGGCGCGCCTGAGGCCGACGTCTTCGCCGCGACGTCGCTGGCCGACCTGCACGCCGGCCTCGCGCAGCTGCACCAGCACGAGGCCAGCGTCACCCGCCGCCTCGACGCCCTCGTCGCGTCGCAGAAGGACCTGTCGCGCGACCTGGCGCGCCTCGACCTGCTGCGCGCCCACCTCGGCCCGCACGCCGCCAGCACCCGCGCCATCAGCAATGGCATGCTGCACGACGCCGCCGCCACCGCCCACCGCATCTCGACCGCCGTGACGCGCCTCGACCGCGAGCAGGCGAACCTCAAGGCCACGCTGCATGTCGTCGAGCAGGTCGCCGAGCTCAAGGCCTGCGTGCTGGGCGTGCACGGCTCCATGGGCGCCCCGCAGGACTGGGAGACGGCCGCCGCCTACATCCACCGCGCCTCGAGCATCCCGCCTGACGTCGTCGACGGCGCCTTTGCAGAGGAGATTGTGCCCACCGCCGACGTGCCCGACCCGCCGCGCGTCACCCTCGATGCCGCCGCCGAGTCGCTGTGCGCCCTCTTCCTGCGCGAGTTCGACAAGGCCGCCCAGGAGGGCGACGGCGCCAACGTCGCCCGCTTCTTCAAGCTGTTCCCCCTGGTCGGCCGCACAAACACCGGCCTGGACGCATACGGCCGCTACGTCTGCACCGGCGTCGCCGCGCGCGCCCGCACCAACTTCAACTCGGCCGCCCCGGCCCAGCGCGCAGAGGGCCCGTTCTACGCGACCGTCCTCACCAAGCTGTTCGAGCACATCGCCCAGATCGTCGACGGCCACGAGCCGCTCGTCGAGCAGCACTACGGGCCGGGCATGATGGCCAAGGTCATCGAGCGCCTGCAGATCGAGGCCGACGTGCAGGGCGGCATCGTGCTCGACACGTGGCACGAGGAGCGCCACATCGACCGCAAGCTGACCGACATCAAGTCGTACGCCTTCTCCTTCCTCGTGCAGAGCTTCCTGCAGGCTCAGCAGCCGTCGAACGGCACTCCTCGCTCAGGCTCTCCCGCGGGCGGCCCAGTGCGCACCAGCGAAGACGAGGGCGTCGACATGAAGGAGGTGGACGCCTTGCTGGGCGAGAGCGCGCTGATGCTCGGACGATACGCCCTGTACTCGCGCTTCATCTCGGACAAGTGCGCGTCGTCGCAGCCGGAAGACCGAGTCGACCACGGCCTGGTTATGCCGCAGTTTCTGGCCAACAGCAACCTGCAGCGAAAGGCCGGCACGCATCTCATCGAGCCCTTCAACGCCATGTCGACCTTCTTCTTCCGCCGCTCCGTCGAGAAGGCCTTCCAGCTGGACGAGCCGCCGCCCGACCTGACCCTCAACCCCAACAAGCCGCTCGGGTCGAGTCCGCCCTTTGTCACCTCCGCAGTCGACGATGTCATGTACATTGTCAACCAAGTCTGCCAACGGACCCTAGCCACGTCCCAGCGCGCCGTAGTCGCCGAGGTCATCCCCGGCATAGGCAGCATTCTCGGCACAGACTTCATCGGCATGACCCAGCGCAAGATGCGCGATGAGAGCTACCCAAAACCCATCCGCGCCGGTGAACTCCCCCCCGAAAACAAAGTCATCGCCTTCACCGTCCTCATCAACAACCTCGACATCGCAAACGACTACATCAAACGCATCGTCGACCAGCAGCTCACCCGCCACACCCCGGACCTCTTCCCCTTCGGCCACGACGCCGTCTTCGTCGAATCCAAGCTCAAAGCCCTCGAATCCGCCTTCACCCACAAGAGCACCGAGCTCCTCAACGACGGCATCGCCGTCCTCTTCGCCACCGTCCTCAAGCCCCGCATCCGCCCCATCCTCGCAGACGCCTTCCGCGACGCCGACTACGCCCCGCCCCCCGTCGAATCCGACGCCTCGGACCCCGACCCCGACGCCCTCGTCAAGGCCCGCTTCGACCGCTCCTGGAGCGCCCTCACCCGCCCGCTGAAACGCATACTCACCCCTGCCAACTACGACCGCCTCCTGACCCCCGCGCTCGCCCACCTCGCCGCCGCCCTCGAGAAGCGCGTGCGCGGCTACTATGGGCGTGTGAACGCGCTGGGCGCAGTGCGGCTGGAGCGGGACGTTGCGGGCGTCGTCGCGGCAGCGGTCGCGGGTGGAAAGTACGCCCTGCGCGAGAGGTTCTCGCGCGTGCTGCAGGTGGTCATGGTGCTGGGCATGGATGAGGAGGAGTGGGAGGAGGTGCAGAGGGGAGAGGGGCAGGGCGTGGGTGTCGAGTGGGTGCTGGGCGAGGATGAGCGGGTGGGCGTCCGAGCTATTCTCGCTGGGGAGTGAGTTTGGATGTTGAAAATCAGACTCGAAATATCGGACGTGTTGATACTAAGATAATACTCATACTAGAGCTGCTGTATGATGCAGACAATAAGACAGTGTACACCAAGTACGACTAGTGGTGCGATATGACAGAGGAGACGTGTTGCGACAGTCTTACAGAAACGGGCACGGATACGGCAAGGCTTGTCGCGGTCAAGACAGTACGAGTACGAGTGCTAATACAGTGGTAGACGACCATACTAGCACTATACTATACGAACTCTCGGTTAGACGGCAAGGCAGGGATACGAGTCATGTGGCATCTTCAAAGCTTGGCTGGAATGTTTCAGACACCTTGCACTGTCTTCCACGGCTTACCAGCTCTGTCGTTACGTTCGTTCTTCTTGACTTAGTGTTGAAGTATGATATTGCAGTGATTGTTGATTAACGTGGTATGCGCTCTACTTTCTTGCTTGGCGCTGCGGCGCTGGTCGGACTATCAGGGGCGCAGTGTCCCTTGTACCAACACTACTCTGCTGAAAAACATGCACCGTTCTCTACCGGCAGACACAACCTGTCCTATGCCCGGCCCATCCCGTCATGCCGCACGTTCGTCTCGCCGGAAGTCGAGGCCGAGATCGAGCGCATGCGAGGCGTCATCAAGGATCCCGACCTCTTTCGCCTGTTCGAGAACTCCTGGCCCAGCACCCTGGACACGACCATCGCGTGGCGCGGATGGTCCAACACGACGAAAGAGACGGAAAACGGGCCCGTGCAAGAAGAGCCGCGCGAGCTGTCGTTTGTCATCACCGGCGACATCTACGCCATGTGGCTCCGCGACAGCGCAAACCAGCTGCAGGCGTACACCAGCGTGCTCAAGCCCAGCGCCGACTTCAACAGCCTGGCCAGCCTGTTCCGCGGCGCCATCAACCTCCAGGCCCGCTACATCCTCGAGAGCGTCTTCTGCAACGCCTTCCAGGCCCCCGACGAAAGCGGCGTCATCCGGTCGAGTAGCATGAACAGCGACCGCATCACCCCGCCCTTTGACTACTACAAGGTCTTCTCGTGCCAGTGGGAACTCGACTCCGTCGCCAGCTTCCTACAGCTGAGCGCCGACTACGCGGCCGCGACCCAGGATTTCGCTTTCTTCGACAACGCCAACTGGACCGCCGCCGTCGACCTCATCCTGCACACCGCGGAGAGTATGACCATGGACTCGTACGACGCCGACGGCAACTGGCAGCGCACGCCGTACACCTACTGCGCGCCGTACGGCGGCACCCCGATCAACGACTGCGCCGGGTCACCGCACCGCGGCCACATCGGGCTGGTGCGCAGCTTCCACCGCCCCAGCGACGACGCCTGCACGTTCCAGTACCTGGTGCCGTCGAACATGATGTTCAGCACCGCACTCCACGCCGCGTCCAACATCACCTCGCATTTATCGCTCACGGCCCCGCACCTCGCAAACCTGACGTCCGCGATGCTCAACATGTCCACCGCGATCCGCGAGGGTATCACCACGCACGCCATCGTCCCCTCGCCCACCGGCCCCTTCTTCGCCTACGAACTCGACGGCTACGGCTCGCTGAACCTGATGGACGACCCCAACGTGCCCTCGCTCTTATCCGCGCCGCTGCTGGGCTACACATCCCGCTCCGACCCCGTCTACGCCGCCACCCGGCGCCGCATCTTATCCCCACTGAACCCCTACTTCGCTCGCGGCCCCCTCCTCTCCGGCCCCGGGAGTCCGCACACGCTCCCCGGCCGCGTGTGGCCGATGGCCAACATCGTCGCGATTCTGACGAGCGAGGACGACGAGGAGATCAGGGGCTTGTTGAGGGGTCTGGTGCGGAGTACGGCGGGGCTGGGGCTCGTGCATGAGAGTGTTGATGCGCGGGAGGGCGGGGTGTGGAGTCGCCAGTGGTTTAGCTGGGCGAATGGGTTGGTGGGGGTTATGGTTAGGGATTTGGAGGGGAGGAGGCCGGGGATTTTGGGGGAGAGTTTTCAGTAGTTGCGGTATAACAATGCACTATCCGCTTTGGAGAAGCAGTGCTGCTACCCGAAATCCACGTCGAAGGTGGTCATGTCTGCTGCTTTGCACTACGGGCCCCGTCAGAAACATAACCCCTGTTTCTACGTGTCAACCCCCCCCCCCCCCCCCCCCCCCTTTAACACTATCTACGAGTCTAGACACCCCGCTTCCCCAGACCCCGCTTCCCAGACCCCGAACCCCGAACCCCGAACCCTCGATACCTACCTATGTCTGCATCTCCCCCACCAGCCGCGCCATCCAGCACCACCCTTACAACTCCCACCTCCAAACGCTCTCCGAAAAGGGCCTGCAGAAGCGATGGCCGTATGCGGCGTCGAGACTGCTGTATATAGTCTCCTACGTACAATCTCTATCATCACGAATGAATACACCGACTACTCCACTCCAGTCTGTTCTGAAAATACTGAAATCCGAAAAAGATGAGATAATGTCTGCGCTCCTGTTGCCGGGCATCCCAGCTTCTGAAACACCGAAAGTGGTTCCGAGGACATCCATGTCTGCTCCCCTGCTGCTGGTCATGCTGCAACGAAAAGCCTAGTGCGGGACGATGAGGGTGCGACCTACAATCTACTGCCGACTTTCCAAACGCGCTGAAATTACAAGACTGGATGATGCATGGCTGCGGCTCTGCGGGGCCGACGCGCGGAAAAGGACAAGTGGAAAGAAGGATGTCTGGGTCCCTGTTGTGGCGGTGGGAGGATTGGAAAATAGCCGACGATGTGTTGATGTGCGGCGCTGTCTGCTCTGCTGCGTTGCATATGGAAACTAATCGAGGTCCTCGATATGTCTGGGTTTGTTTGCGGGGCCAGAATATTCGGAAAGACCGCTGTGGCACGCTGGTGTGCGGCGCTGACTTCTGTCCCAGAGTCGTGGGAAATGCTGCACGGCTGGTTCATTGCTGTGGTGGTGGGAGTATCCGAAACCAGTAAGCGTTGCCATGATGTGCGGCACTGTCTTCTCTGCTGTGATAAAAAAATATCGAGGTCCTCGAAATGTCTGGGTTTGTGCTGCTGGACCAGGCGATCGAAAGGCCTGGAGTAGTGTACTGATGTGCGGCACTGCTCTTCTCCAAGGATGGAGATGAATGCAGCGAATTGAGATATCTGTGCTCTTGCTATGGCGCCAGAGTTATTGGAATATCGAGACCGCCGTCTTCATGTGCGGTGCTGTCTTTTCTGTTGTACTGAAAAGAAATCAACACCGTCAATATGTCTGGGTTTGTGTTGCTGGACAGAAAATCGAAAGACCTGGCGTGTTGGGCTGGTGTGCGGCACTACGTTTCCAAGTGGAAAAGTCTGCAACTGAACAACGTGTCTACGCTCTTGCTAAAAGCCTGAAATTATTGGAAAGCTCAGAGTGCTGGGTTTATGTCCAGCACTGCCTCCCGAAAACACTGAAACTCAACAGGAGAGAGGCGATGTTTGCTTCCTTACCGAGCTGATTCGTCGAAAGGAGCTCCGAGAGAAAATTCATGTCTGCGTTGCTGCCGCCGGGTCGAATCTTTAGAAAGCTCGGCTCGAGTGTTCTATATACTCTGCCCAACATGCCTACCTGCGTACGTTCCGAAAATATTCAAAATCACTGAAAGAAGTCCCCATGTCTGTGTTTCCGTTGCCGGGGCGGAATTGTTGAAAAGCCAGAAAGCGCTCTATCATATGCCGCACTCACTGTCTTGCTATGGCGATGGGAAATTGACGTTTGATGACTATATGTCTGGGTTTGTGTTGCTGGGCCAGAAGCAATCAGAAGGACCGAGACGTCTTGCGATGTGCGGCGCTGCCGTTCGGTAACGATGGAAACTAAAGAAGCTGTCATGCGCATGCCATGGCTGTCAACATGTTGCTGGGCCGAGTCATTGGGAAGCCTGGAGCACTCCGTTTATGTACTGTACTGTCTTCTACAAGTACTGAAAATCTATACAGCAACATCACATGGTTGCAAATTTGCGGGGCTGAAATTATCAAAAAGTCTGAGGCGGTATATGGATATGCAGCACTACTCTTCTAGGACGACGAGAATGGGCACGGGTACCAACAAATGTTTGTATCCCTGTCGTCGGACTACGTTCGTTGAGAAGATTAAGGCTTGTTTTATCAATATATAACGCTACCTGTTTAAGGAAGCGAGAATCTTCAAAGTGAAAATCTAATGGCACAAACGCATGCCTGCGTTTCTGCTGTGCCGAAAGTATTGTGAAGCCTAAGGCGCTTTGCTAATGATACATTGCCTTACTAAGGGCATGAAAATTTACAACGCTCGTTCCTATGTCTGGTTTCCTGTCGCTGGACCCGAAATAATAGAGTCTGGCGATGAGAATCTTTCCTGTTCGCGCTACACTCTATCACTTGCATCACTGCCTCCGAAAGATGATAAAACTCCATGTGCGACCCATGCATGTTTGCGTTTTTTCCGCACAGAATTAATACTCTAAAGACAAGAGGCTGAAGTCCCATGTCTGCGCTTGTTGATGCTTAATTAGAAGCAGGCGGAAGCCTAAGGCGCTCTTTGAATGTGCAGCTGCTTTTAAGAAGCACTGAAATTGTCACGACTCTGAAGAAATGGCTATGTTGTTGTTGCTGGGTCCGGGTTACTTCGGTCTGGCGACGAATCTGTTCTGTTCTGTTCATAATACACTCTATTACCTGCAACACTGCCTTACAGGGCGCTGAAACCTCATGAATAATGGAACATGTCTGCTTTCATGTTTCTATGCTAGCTTTATTAAGAAGCTTGAGAAGTCTGGGATAGTATGGTGACGAAAAGAACCATATATGGTTATTGCTCTAGTGCTGGGTCTGAATCACTCAAGAGGCGCAGAGAATCAGAGCTTAGTCCAAGCTACAACATGTTCGTAGGCTTATTGCCTGGCTAAAATCACTGAAGAGGACTGTAATGCTGAAGATGAGTACGAAAAACGCACATGGCTGTGAGCTTGTAGCTGGGTTGGAAGTAATCTGTCTCGGAACGCCGCTCTGCTATCTACGACACTATCTGCTTTCTAAAGGCAACGAAATTGGCATACTGAAAGCCTATGTTTGCGTTCTGGCCGCTGGGTCGAGATCCGCGACGCCGCGGGGCGATAAAAGGCAAGCACCATGGATGTATGGCTGCGGTTTGGCTCCTCGGCCAAGATCCGGAAAGACCGAAGCAGGAGACATATGTCTAGCTTGCGATAAATTAAATCAAAGTTCAAGAAGGATAAAATGATGGGTGTTTGCTGGGCCGAAATCGACAAAGAATACCAGGCATGGCCGGTGTTCTGCCCGCGTCGCACAGATGGACATATGTGGACTCAGTCTTGCGTGTTCTACATACTGCCTTCTAGAAGTCATGGAAAAAGACGGACCGTAGAATCATGTCTACTTCTTTCCCAGGAACCGAAATCTATTAAAAACCCTCAGTCGAGTATTCTGTTCTCCACTGCCGTACATCACACTGCCTGCTATCGAGAGGCGTTTAAAACAATGTGATAAAGGCTCATGTCCGCGCCTTTGCTGGGTCGGAATTCACAGAATCTAGACTGACAAGGGTTATATCTGTGATGCGATAGTTTCTTGCACATGCATACGGAGTCTAAACGTAAAAAGAGAATGGCAGACCGACTCTGCTCTTTCGTATATTAGGGATCCGCGTTTGTAAAGCTGCCGTCGATGACTTATCCAAACAGAAAATCCGCCAGAGGTGTGTGGAGTGTTCTGCTGCGTCGAAGGAAAAGCCGAAAAGTTTGAAATTTGCTACCTTGTCTTGCCAGCAGCCGGTGCTCCTAAATTACCTGCAGCTCGTCCCTATGTGGGGAGCTGAAAGAGTAAGAGGCGAAGGCCCATGAGTTCTGCGCTTGTGTCGTTTGTAGACGACTCGGCCGCTCGAAACAATATATGGAGGCTTTGGAGATAGATGGGTGATTTCTGCTTCTCTCTCTATTTTCCCCCATCTTCGCCTCACTCTTGGTCCCTCTGTCTTGATCTCTTCCTCTGAATATCTTTTTCACAACCTCGAAAACTTAAATTCACTTTATTTTCTTTGATCTCAAAATCTGAACCTCCAAACCCAAGAGCTAGGATCAGAACACTGGTGCCATGTCCTGGATAAAGTTATTGATATATCAGGAAATGTCGAGATTGAAAGTAGCAAATTCATGCGGCATGGCTGACTCTCCTTTGTTATCTATTCCACGGTGATGCTAAGGACCACTTCCTTCCCTCTGTTGATCTAGACTATTAGAACGAAGGTCCTAAATCTTAGAGTTCCACTGCGTATGCCTTTGGAGGAACTCGTTGGATCGCTGAATCGAAAACTCGATGAAGTTGAGGGTTTCAACAAGTCTCTCTGTCTGTCGTTCTGTTCTCACATCAGAACTGCAGGAATCAAAATTTACTGATCAAAGACGCATGGACTTTGCCGTGCCACTGAGTACCTCCATGCCTCCTCGATTCTTTTTTCCTTGTCTACACTTCAACAATGGATAAGCGGAAAGAATCTCGAAATCTGTACATCGAAGTATTTGGTCAAAAGTGCGACAGATGCGGCGCATGGGGCTAGGGTGCGCGTCTGTCTGCTCTTACTCTTCACTTATCGTCTGTCTGTTTCGTTCCAGATCCTGCTGTGAAGAAATGAACGGAAAGTTTTACACGTGTCGAAGGCTTTAATGTGACAAAAGGCAATATAGTGTCTCTTCTCCTGTTCAGTACAGCTCTGGTCTTCTCCCTGTGCTCAGATCACAACGTCAAGAAACTGATAGGTTTAAATAAATACCGAAAAAGCGATTGCATATCGGATGCTTGAAATCGACGAGCCTGACCTGGATGTTTTCTCTTCTTCTTTTCTGTCCCTCTCCCTCCCTCTCTATCTGCCACCGTCTGCACACCAATGTCAAGAAATCAATCTAGACTTTGGAGCTACCGCACATAAGTAAACGTAGATACATAAATACCTCTACTACTGTTGCTGGCTAGATTCAAAGTCATCTAGATTCCTAGAAACTGGTGCTCTGCCAAAGCTGAAAGAACAGATATGTGTGGAATGTGTATTATGTGGTTTAATACTGCCCTGCAACATAATCCCACTGAAAGATGATTGAATGTAGATAATGGGCGTCGATTCCTGCCATTTCGCCGGCAAGTATCAAATCTTCGGCTCCTCCAAGTGATGGGTGTCTGCCCGAGCCAGAAGGTTAGATACCCAGGGCGTATGGGCTTCGTGACGCTGCACTGCTGTCTATCACTGCGAGAGAAAAGAAGAATATTTTTCTTGACCTGAAAAGCTTGCTGCATGGCGCTTTGACTGAACATGGTGCGTCCCTGCTTCCTCTCGAGTGAGAGTTTTATCAAATCTCTATCTTGCCATACAATTTTGTTATACGGCTGTCTGACACTCTTCGATGTCTTGAAATGAACCGATTTGACGCGCATGTTTCTTTGCTCTGAAAACACGTCACCCAGTACGTGATGTTGCGCGCTCTGCTGTCTTTTCACTCGTTCGGTTCGATGGACTTTCTTTGCGTTTTGGTAGAGTCTTGTTCCAAAATAGCAGAGCATATGGACATGGCATCTCTGCTTCCCAGATAGGATGGAATGGAAGTGCGAAAATTACATGTACATGCGGCGGATAAAAACTATTGCAGAATGGCCCGATGTCTGTGGTGCGCCAGTGTACACGACATGTTAAGCTTAAAACAGCTGGATTGGAAATTGATGTTAACGAAGAACTGACCTACGAGAATGTTAGTCTAAGATCCGCCGCGATCTCGGCCATGACATCTGTCTTTGGCGAGAATGGAGTTACTTCGTACCTGCGAACAGAAAGGTGTTCCAGATCCTGAACCTGGTGTACTATCTTATCATGAAGGTAGTACTCTATCTCGCATCACGATGTATATCTCTGAAATTCTAAAGCTGGCCCATATCTCATTTTAATACCCACGCCAAATGTCATAGCATTCTTCCGCGAGTATCAGTATGGATGAGGCAGCAGCATCTTTGTCTTATCCTCGGAATGGTCGTTCTAATCTACAGTCTGGCGAAAAGTCGCAATGCTCTCTAGACTGAACCCCGATTGCTCGCTAGAATTCAGAGTGCATGACTTTTCTCTTGAGTCAACCGTCACAGAACCTGAATTCATTGCTCATAATGGTATACTGTGGAAGTGTTAAAGTCTGCTGGGAAAGCTGGGAAACGGATTGTGGATGATACCTGTGATGAGCTCCAACTCATGGCAACGCATTCATGCCCATATACCCGCTGGAGTTCAAAAGGTACTTTCTCTTCCAGCTCCGTCAACGGAGTCGAACACATCTTGTTAAGCTGCACGACAGAACTGATACATTGCTTTAAAGGTTTTTGGACAGGACAAATCCTTTGCCGGTTCTTCCAAATCATGCTCTCCAATACAACGATCCATCGAGGAATTCATCAACGGCAGTGGTTCGTTCTTCATCTTCCGACACTGCCCCAATTGACGTCCTCCCCAAGCGCTTATTCGGAGCCTCCATGCCTTCTCAAAGTCGTCGTATCCATTTCCTGCGTCCAAGTGTTAATCATTGCCGCTCCGGATGGTGTCGAGGGCGGAGGGCGATATTGCGGATGGTAGCCTCGTGATCAGCCTCACTGGCCTCTTGTCGTCGTGCTCCAGCGGAATTGCACATGTAATTCTCAGTCAGTCCGTAGTTCGGCAGTCTGATCGGTTCATCCAGTAAAGCGGCGTCCTCGTCGGGGGATGGAGAGACTCTCGGCGTGACAGTCACACCTTCTCTCCCTGCGTACGTGAGAACGTCTTCGAAGGTCTGAGAGACCTGAGAGAAAAGGGTATGTTCCGTTGAGACATACACGTTGCCTTCATCGTCGTTGCCAATTTTCTCTTCACCTGGCTGCAGATCTTCATCGCTGCTGTGCACAGAGGACACTTCCGCGTCCGCTCGCTTCGCTCGCTTTCTGCTGTCCTGCTCTAGCGGAGGACTAGCAAAGCGCCTACGCTTCGGAGGCTCACTAAGAAGTGGCAAGAAGTTGACTGCAAGCGCGAACTCCCCATTGGCGACAAACCTGTTTACAGCTGTTCTCAGCGACGGGGTATCGTTCACCAGTGTTGCTCCTGCGCTCTGGGTAACAGGCGTGAGGCGGAGTACTGTATCGTCCATACCGTCATCTTCCATGTACATTGCTGCCCACCGGTAGACCTCCTCAAAGGATGGACAGTGAGATGTTCGCAAATCATCTAATGGTAGGCCAATGAAATATAGAAACGTGAGCTCGCAATCAGCAGCCTGCAGTGTAACCTTCTGGATGTTCATCTTCAGTGTTGGGATGTTGAGGTATCGTCTTCGTTGAGTGTATTGATTGCTCGAATGTTCGACGCAGTTGCTTGTATGGTGAAGCTGCTTGCAAAGAAAATGGTTGTAGACGATGAGGGCGATGTACTGCTTCTTATTGAGTTCGAAGTCGAGCTCGAGGGGCTCTTGATTGGCAATGTTATCTGTGGGGAAAGCTTGCCGCAAAATAGGGTAAAGGATACTGAGACAGTTGTCTGTCGACTTAGCGGTGTGCGCTAAGCGAGAGCGCTCATATTGTGGAAGTGAAGGTGAAAGGAAGAATGATTGGTTCCAGACCTTGATACGGAGGCAAAACACGAGCCAATACCCACGTAACAAAAGAGAAAAACATTGACATGGAATAAAATTTTGTTCAATAGAAGATTGCTGGTACTGTTCTTGCGCCTAGATCATATCGTGCTCTCGCGAAACCTGGTATGTTGCGATACCGCTGGAGGCGTCGTTGTATTCGCATGTGTATGGAAAACAATTGATGCCTGGGATGTCAGAACTGGCAGCTACAAGAAACCCATGTCCATGATGGAGATTACAAGTGCATTGGCCTGAACCAGTACCTAGGTATGTCAATGAAGGCGCGGACCAGGAAACCACCAGCACGGTGAACCATGGGTGATCAGCCAACCCAACACCATGAACAAATTAAGCGACCTTCATATATAAGTCTAACATCAAGTAGCTCTCATGATCACTCATCAATTTTGCCATCATCCAACTTCAGATCTCCAAATTCAAGGCATCGACGATTCAGCCACACGCCATGGCGCCCAAGCCTCTTTGCAGACTGGTCTATGACCCTGCTACAAATGCTAAGTTTATGAAAGTAGCGATGGATACTACCAGGTCTCTGTACAGTCGCGAACACCTTGAGGAATGGAACTCTGAAGTAGCGCGCAAGTTCAAGAGGGAAGCTTTGCCAGACCCCAAGGAGCTAGAAATGTTTGACGAATGGGACATGAACGGATACCTCAATGAACAGGAGAGAGAGCGGGAGAGAAATCATGTGGTGAAACCAGCAAATCCAGCGACCGACTATTATACAGCTGTCGCCTACACCGACTTTCGGGATAAGAAGGCGCTTAGTCATCTGATTGGTCTCTTCGATCGCGCTGTTTACCCATACATCGGTATTGGTAATCATGCAGGCTACTGCTACCGTCTGAAGCCAATGACAGACGTTCTCGAGATAGACGAAGATGAGATCTGGACCCGGGACCCTGTAGAAATTGCCCCGGAACCACTCGTCGGCATCGAAATCAAAGGCCCCGAAGGAGCCAAATTCAGCGACCCGGCTGTCCAAAGCCTCTTTGAAAAGAAGAAGCGCAACTTTTCGGAGTTCAGCACGGACGAGTCTTACTGTAGCGCCTCCAATGGAGAGAGCATCTCCGTCTCAGCGGATAGCAACTATGGTTTTGCGTTCCTCCCGCTCGGCGAAGTCCACTACATCAGCGAAGCAAGGCTGCAGGCCGAGATGACGAAGACCCCACCTACAGAGAAGAGCGACATGGAATGGCACAACAGCGAATTCGTCCTCGGTGTCACCACTGTTGGTCCCGGTGGGAAGTACGGCCGGGCAGGAGAGGTGTGGCTGCTGCAAGGCTTTCTCGTCGAGAACGAATATGACAACACTCCATTTCATATTGATGAGCACGACACGTGGTGGGGATTTTTGGAGGGCGATCCTTGCAAGTTCCAGCGTGCGGGCATCAAGATTGCAGATAGCTTCGACGAGCTGCGCGACGGCTACAAATGGGTGACTGAGAAGTATTTCGAGTTCAAGTACGACGTGACGGTGGCTCTCTACTTCAAAGATGAGAAGAAGGGTACCATTATCGTCCGGCAAGAGTCAGATCGGAGGAAGGCTGGTATGGCATTGGGACATGCAACAGGTTCCACATCGAAGTAGTCTCATAGCACTTCAGGGTCTTTGAGAATCTTAGCCGGGTCAGTGGGTCCTATAGTCGTATGCTTTGAATGGAAACAACATCTAAACTTCCTGCAGCTTCCAGCAGAAGCATGTTGTGAGCGAGCCGCCATCAAATGGCAATACCATCTCTCTACTATGGGTGCAATGATGGATACCCACCCATCATCGTAAATATTGACGTCAACGAAGCGCGTATTCAACGTATGGAAACAAACATCGAAGACAGCCCTACATGAATTATGAACCCACCTGGAACTTCTAATACGCAGGAGTCGAATCACTCCTGAATGCTGTTACTAGTTCGCTTCCTGGACCCCTCCCTGCCACGTTCCGTGCCAAACATGCAATGCTGATGCCCAGCACGATGCGCCCCACTCACAGCACATAGGCTGGCCAACCCGTGACTAATTACGGCTGTATATAGCTTGCTGACGCGCCACGTTGCGATGGGAACGAGGTCGCCCACGGCTTGGTGCACAGAGTGACACGAAGAGGGGATGGGCAGGAATGACAGGGTTATCACGCGCCTGCGAGGAGTATACTGTCTTCGTGCCTGCGCACAAGAGGTCGCGACGTTGCTAGTGCTCCCACAGGCACCTACTTAGCACCAGCAGACCAATTATGCTCGCGCGCAAGATATATCGTGATGCTGATTGCAGGTTATTGAGTACCGCGTACCGCGTATCGCGTGCAGCGTGCAGCGTGTAAGAGTGTAGTGCCGTCCGGAAGCACATGAAAGGCCCCAAGTGGGGCGCGCAAGTGGGTCGCGCAAGTTCCTCGATTCGACACGCGCGAGACGTAGCGCCTCGGTCCGCGTGCAGCTCCCCCGCATCGCGCATCCTTCGCGTGGCCAGCTGGGGGCGATAAAAGGGACGCTGGGCCTGGGAAGAGTGGATTAAGTTTGGATTGACTGCTAGCTCATCTACCGCGGCTGTGATACCTGTGCTTCGTTGTTGTTGTTGTCGTTGGACAGTCCTCTCGCAATTGCACCGCAGCCATGCCGATTAGAAGCGAATGGAGTCTCTCGCGCGAAGGTGCATACATACACTACATGCGCTGCACCGCAACTTAGCTAATATGTGTCTACAGGTATCACGGGTGATACCATCGGCCGACTCCTCAAACTCACTGCGCTGAACCCGCTCATCACACTTCCCCTCTTCCTCGCGGGTAAATACACACTCGATGGCGGCCGCGTTGCATCCGACCACGCCACGCTGTGGAAGCACCTCAAAACACTGCTTGTGTTGGGCTTGGCGGACAGGGTGAGCGGGTGGCTCGACGCGGCGGTGTCGAACAACTGGACGAACGATACATATGTGTGGAACCGGGAGATCGTGGTGGTGACAGGGGGGAGTGATGGCATTGGGAAGATCGTGGTGAGCTTGTTGGCGGAGAAGGGGATTAAGGTTGCGGTATTAGATGTGCAGGAGTTGACGTACGAGGGTATGTATTCCCCCTTGTCCATCGCATCCACGTTCGTGCTCGCTTCCCAGTGATGCGAATCGGATTCGACACGACAAGACTGACGACAACCAGCACCCCCCTCCGTGACCTTCTTCCGCTGCGACCTCTCGTCCCCGTCCTCGATCGCCTCCGCCGCCGAGCAAATCCGCTCCACCATCGGCAACCCCACGATCCTGATCAACAACGCCGGCGTCGCGCGCGGCAAGACCATCCTCGACACCACCGAAGCCGACCTGAACCTGACCTTCAAAGTCAACACCTTCGCGCACTACTACCTCGCGCAGCAATTCCTGCCGCACATGGTAGCCCTGAACCACGGCATGATCGTCACTGTCGCGTCGCTGGCGGGGTACGTCGTCGCGCCGTCGATGGTGGACTACGCGGCGTCGAAGAGCGCTGCGATTGCGTTCCATGAAGGACTTGCAGCGGAGCTGGTGACGCACTATGCGGCGCCGGGAGTACGTAGTGTGCTGATGTGCCAGGGGTACACGCGCACGAAGCTGTTCGAGGGGTTTGACTCGAAGGCGCTGTTTCCGGAAACGGTGGCGGAGGAGATTGTGAAGGCGGTGTTTGCGGGGAAGAGTAGGCATGTTGTGCTGCCGGAGTTGGCGTGGGGGGTGGCGCCGAAGATCAGGGGGTTCCCGGTTTGGTTGCAGTACGGGATGCGCAAGAGGATGGATAACATGATGAAGGGATGGAAGGGGAGGCAGGTTGTGCAGCCCAGTGAGAAGCAGGAGAAGAAAGAGGAGAAGTCGGTGGAGGAGAGTACGGTGTTGGTTGATGGGGAGTAATGCGTAATAGCTTTGAAGTGATAATGCTGTGCATTGGTATCTCTGAAACTAAACATACAATCGCTGTGTATCGATGCACCAACCATCCCATAACATAAGAAATCCACCGAATTGTAACGCCGATCCCAAACTCCAAACCGAATCCAATCCTCGAGCGCCTGCTAAAGCTCAAACCCCTAAAAGGCATTGGTATCATCCAAATCCATAACGCTACTCTCCGGTGCCAAGCTGACCGCGCTCCTCCCCTTACTACTTGCTCTTGAATGCAAACTCATCGCGCCGCTCATAACGCGCACGACCTTTTTCTTTCCCGACTTGGCAATCAGGACTTGCGCAGGACAAACAACTATTTCGTCCTCGCCCTCGCCAAAATCGTCGCCCTTCTTCACCACGAGCGGGAAAAGCACGACCTTGACGATCGCACTTCGCGCTTCTAGCTCGTCATTCGACGTTGTCTCGCCAGAGCGCTCGTTCATCAGGGACGCGTTGAATGTGACCTTGGCGACCAGGTCACCATGGACGTCGTACTCGGGCTGCAGTGGGGGCAGCATGATGTACTCTGCGCGCTGGGTGCGCATTTCTATGGAGAGCTCCACCGCAAGGCGCATGACGTTGCGCAGGGAGGCCTGGATCTGCTGTTGTAGGTGTGTTGGTGGGGACAGCAGAGTGGAAAGGGTACTGTAGATTTCATGCACAACAGCTTCAGTGTCTTGTGCACGCTGTTGCATAAATGGCTCGCGCTTGGAGAGCAGGGTGAGTGTGATTGCGCGCCATTGCGCTACAGCGCGTGGTGGGCCTGAGACAGTTAGATGCTGCGATAGACTAGGATTGACAAGATCGACTTACCGACTTCCAATAAGGTCTTCTCCAGCGACTTCAACTTTTGTCGCTGCTCCCTGTCCATACCAAACAGGTAGCGTGTGAAGACGTACTCCCAGATCATCGACATGACGATCGACATGAAGACATCGCGACGTCTGACGCGATCTGCAAGGAGTGAATCGACATCCGAGCCATCGAGAATGGCGTTGTCGAGGCGTTTGTCGATCTTCTCGCGCGTTGAGGCATCCAGTCGAGTATCGGCCTGGATATCAGACGACAGACGACAAGCCCGCGTGTCCGAGAATTTGGAGAACCGCAGCACCCACTGTTGCACGTGCTGACAGAGCTGCTGGCAGGCGCTGTCGAAGTAGTCCTCGTCGCGGATGGTAAGGAAGCTCTCGCTGGGCTTCTTTGTTGCCAGGATCTGCTTCTGCAGTTTCTTGATCTGCTCCTTCGCGTTCGAGAGTTCTTTCTCTAAACGACTGATTTCTGCGTTACGCTCATCGAGCGCGGCACCAATCTCCTCGCGGAGTGCCCCCTCCATCCCTCTTGTCAGTTGTTGATGTTGCGATCGCAATGTATCCAGTTCCCTCTGAGACGTCTGCCACTGTTGGTGGACCATTTGGCCTTCAGACTGGAGGCTGGCATAGCGCTCGTTGGTATCATTCGTGAGATTCCGGTTGGCCTCTGTAAGGTTGTTGTTGAGTTCCGTCAGTCGCGCAATCTCTTCTTGCAGCCGTTGCAGCGTATCCTTGAGCTGCGCAATGTCGATGTCACGTTGATAAATCTGACGGTCACGTGCTTCGACTGCTTCTTGGACTAGCTGCTCATCGACCTGACGCTGGTGCTGTTGAACTTGTAGAATTTCCTCAGCTCTTGACCTTGCATCTTCGAGAGATCGGTTGTGATCCGCGAGCTGGTCAAGCTGTGTTTGTAAGTCCATGATCTGCATGCTTTGACGTTTGCGCAGACTGGGCGCCCGTGTTGGTGACATCGGCGACCTCGGGGCCTCGCCCATAGCCTCCTGAACTCTGTTAGTATGCATTGCGCCGACCGCGCACCGAAAGTTCCTGCTTACAAAAGTTTCCGCCATACTGGCGCGGCGTCCTTTGCCTTCACCTCTCAGCTTCGATGCGGCAGCGAAGGCTGCGGTCGCTCCAGCCGCGAGTGCGATGCCTGAGAGGTTGGGTTCTGTTGTGGTGCTAGCGCCCGCACTGGCCTCGCCAAGCTTTGCCGCAGCCCTCAAATCTCCTGACTGGGTCTTCTCTATTCGTCGTAGAGAATGATTCGAAGCATTGCTCGCCATGCTCATAGAGCTCACGGGACGCTCAGCATCAGGCGATCTGAACTTGCTGATATTGCTGAGGGACTGCTGGCTGCGAAGTCCTGGTGAATCGCGAATCTCAGCCAGCTGCTGTTTGATTGGCTCGGGCGTTGAATGAGGCATTCGACGCGCTGGGCTGAGTGCTATACTTCGATCGAGAGGATCGTTGGCCTGATGCCATGGTGAATCCCGTGAAGCTGTTTGACGGTCAGAGATTTCAAGTGCAGACGGCGTACTTTTACGGTTTGCGGGCGTCGGTGTAGTCGGTGGTGACGATCTCATCCGGTCAGAGAACGACCTGCGCTCACTGCGCAATGGTTTTGTTCCTCGCTCTCCAGATCCAGCGTCGGTAGTAGATCTACCTTTCTTAATATGCAGAGAATCATCCGGGCTATTCTCTGTGATAGTGCCGAGCGAGTTGGTCCCTGGGGTGCGTGCCCGCTTTGGCATTGGAGTTGTCAATGAATCGATCTTCTCGCTGGGGTCGCCGAAGATTGACTGGTAGGGCTCCGTTTGGCGCGAGGGCCTTGTCGGTGAAACCTGCTCTTGATGAGCACGATCAGTCGACGCCTTGATCGGGGACTCGATTGCTCGTGGGCTGTCGAAGCTGGGTGACTTAGGCGCGACTGCAGGTGAGATGCCGTATGCGCGGGTCGATGGCGAGGAGTCGAACAAATAAGACGCTCGCTCCTTACTGACGAAGTCAGACGAAGGTGATGGCTCCACGCCCGTGGATGTCGAGTACTCTGGAAGTGCTGGACTGGCCTCAACTTCTCTGACATCACGTTCGGATCTAATGCGGGGCGTTCGGGGTCCTTGTGGAAGCTGACGCTCCTTACGGCCTACCGGCTGCTCTTGAGCTGCAGGCACTCCATGTATTGACCCTTCCACACTGCCTGTGTTGTTGTCGAGCGCGGAGAACGACCATGCTGGCTCAAGATTGGAGCCGCGTTGTGTTTCGTTCTTGTGCAGTCGTTTCTCCTCTGGTTGCTCCTCGTGGAACGATACTGGGTGAGATCGACGCTTGTGCGGCTCTTGCGGGCTGGCCTCAATGTCCATTTCTGCGGTTGCCTTCTTCTTCCGGCTCTTTACATCCTTCTTGTCTTCTTTCATGCTGCGGACGACTATATCCTCAAGTCCCGGACTTACAGCTCGAGGGAACGGGTACTCATTGACGTCGTCGTTGATGGCCGATTTCGATTCTTGTGTAAACATCGGTGGCGTGTTCGTTGTCCTTTCTCGTTCTGTAGTCCTTCCGCGCTCCTCACGTTCCCTGCTGACCTCACCCCTGCTGCTCTTCTCTTTCTTTCGACTGTTCATCGGTGACTGCTCTATAATATCAGACTTTCTCACAGAGTCATCGCCAGGCGCATCGAAGCCCAATTCGCGGGCAGTAGAGCGAGCCAAAGTCTCAACAGTACGAGGCCCCTCCAACGGGGCTTCAAACACTGGAGTCTCATTGGCGGTGTGCTCAATATCATCCTGCATACTCAAGGCTGTTGTTGTAGTGTCAAACGTACGCTTCTTCTTTCCCTTGAGCTTCTTGTTCTTGCTTGGCGCGTACAGTTCCTCGGGGTCGGCCTCTTCTAATACTCCAGGAGGTGACCTGCGGCTTGCGAATGCTGGATCATTGAGCACGTCCATCGGATCGAATGATGGTGTCTCGGTAGCCGCTAATGGCACTTCGATGCCTTTGGGCAATATGCGATCAAGAGACGCCCCAAATCCTTTGGTAGGCGAGCTTGGTGCGAAACTGGACTTAGTGGGCGAGGTTGATGCGGAAGCGCGTCCCATGTTTCCGAACTTCGAGACGCTTGCTCGTCTCCTTGCAGTCGCGACTTCATCATCTTGAACCATATTGTCGCGGTCGCCCTGTCGAGAGGTCGATCGAGATCGGTAGAAGGAAGGATCGTTGATTACGTAGCTTGAGTCGAAGCCGGATTCGTTCAGTCCTGCGGCGACGGCTGCGGCGAAGTCAACGTCGTGACGTGGCGAAGCCGAGCGCAATCGCTCCAAGTTGTCGAATGGAGACACTGAACGCAATTGATTGTCCGAAGTGGCTCGTGAGATCGACTTCGGTGGTACGATCTGGAGAGGCGTTGCGGATCTTGACTGAGTCTCGAACCGTTCTGCAAGATTCTTGACACTGCCACTCCTCTTGTGACCAAGGCGGCGCTCAGCTTCTGGTTGCTGCTCTGGGGAATGCTTCTCAAACAAGGCAGCTAGTCTGTGTTTCTTCGAGCCCTTTTTGTTCAGAGTAGGCAGAACATCCTCAGAGATGCCATCGAATGTCTTGTCAGATGCAGATGGCTCGGCATCGTTTACTGTGTACGTCTCTTCAGATGTCCGCTCGGCAGCTCTTGGAGTTTCGGCTTCCCCATTCGGTTCTTTGCTTGCTTGGACGTTCTCATGCTGACTGACAGCGCGCTGGAGGTTTTCAGTGACAGCCATAGATGGCGCCATATTGACAGAATGCCTTTGTCGGTCTGGAGTGATGAAAGATTGCACAATCGATGAATGCGCCGGCGTTATTGGCTGCTCAGCCACTATCCCCACATCTGAAGACAGCCTCTCTTTCCTACTCTTCTTCTCCTTCTTGCTCTCTTTCTCGCTCCCCTTCTCGCTCTCCTTACGTGACACTACTGGTGTACTCGGGATGTTGTCTGCGACGGAGATCGGAGCTATCGTTTCCATGTCGACTTCGCGGCTACTCGAAGCAACACTGGGCCCAAAACCTTTCTCGGTCGGACTAAGTTGAGGCACATCATTTGCTGCAGTGTTCACAATCGGATCAACGGTCTGCGTGCGCTCTTGCTCCTCGACTGCGGGGGGAGCTACTGGCGAACCCTCTGACGTAATCGGAAGCGGATTATTTAGCGCACTTGCAACAAGTTTGGCCTGTCTTTTCTTGTCTTTCTTGCTGAGCTTCCTTGGCGGTTCGGACGCTTCTTCGAAGGGAGTGCTCCTTGAGAGTGATGCGTCGTCGCTGCGGGTGCTGATAAACGCAGGCACAGGTTCTATCGAGGGAGTGATCACCAAATCTTCTACGACTTCGTTTGTCTTCTGAACCTCGTGTCCAGAATTGGTTGCGATCGGTGTTGCAACAGGGATGTACTCAGCAACTGACTGACTCTCGGTCCTACTTGCGGGCGCATCGATCATGTTGGCATCCTCAACCGCAGGCTCAGTACGCTCTTCGACCTCAATAGCAGCACGGTTGTCTTTCCTATTCTTTCCTTTCTTACTCAGCTTCCGCGATGGAGTCTCTGCAGGAGTGACAGCCTCTTTGACAGCATTCTCAACCCGCTCCGTTGTCTCGACCGCAGCCGTGGTATCGGCGGCGGGAGTCGCAGGGTCAGGGAGATCGCTGTCTCTAGTGGCGTCGACTTGCTTCTTGTCTTTCTTACTGAGTAGGTTGGCGATACCAAACATGGATGGAAGTAGAGAGCGGGACGGTTCATCGTACTGTTCGTTGGATGCTACTGCCGAATCAAGTGCCTCAGTGCGTTGCCGTAGATCTGCGGCATCATCTCGTACGGCTTGCAGTGATGGCGAGAGATCTCTGGACTTGACGTCTAGCTGCGTATCGTTTTGAGCAGGAGTTAAGGGTTGCTGGGCCTCGATTTGGTGTGTGGCCGCAGTGGAAGATGGCCCAAAGTGTGCGATTTGTTCTTCGGGCAAGTTCGAAAGAGGTGCTTCCTGGACGGAGGCCGGAACCTCGACAGTGCGAGTCTCAGCCTCGTCAGCATGATCTACATCCTTCTTGTCCTTCTTTTTGTTCTTCTTTCCCTTTTTTGAAGTTGACCTAGTGATAGATTCATCGATCTCAATCGGCGCGGGCGCTTGTTCGACATACGTGGCTGGATCTAGCTGAACCGCGATATCGTGTGTCGGCGAAGGTGGGATGATGTGACCTGTCTCTCTTTGTACTTTCGTAGAACCCTCGACTGGTTCTGGTACTGTTGTTGATGTGGGCTGGACGACCCGAAGTTGCGCTTCAGTCTCGACATTTGTATGCACAGGGTCAGCTTCAACGTGCTTAGGTCCCGATTCGAGGAGAGAAGTCTCAGCTGTCTGCTCAGGTGCAGGAGATTCTTGCATGACAATGTCCTCGACATCATCTTGAGTGGTCTCCGCCTTAGCGTGTGTGTGAGGTTCAGGAGTGTTCACAACCTCTACTAACTTCCTTTCCTTCTTGCTTTTCTTTGAGGCCTTTCGACTCACTGGCGCCGGGATGTCTTCCTGCTTCTCTACTACCACTTTCTCGGTCAAAGTTTTGTCTTTAGGCAAGTCCTCTTGCTGGTCAGAACGTGACATATTGTCGGATGCTCGCTCGACGACCTCTGAGAGAGGCTCTCTGGGATCAATTTCCATTGTAGCCAGTTTCGGCGAAGGCGCACGGACCGTATCAAAAGCTAGGGGGTGTTCCGAGTCCAGAGCTCGAGATTCAACGACCTCAGTCGTGGCAGGCGTCTCGACTTCCATTGGCGTTGGTTCTGGTAAAGGTGTCTCAGCTGCTACAGCTTCAACACTCGGAACATCCACAGGCATGGACTCCGGAAGCGGTGGCAGCTCAGCAGTCTCGACTCGTTGCGTTGTCGCCTCGTCAACGGGCTCGGAAACAAGTGACTGCTTTCTGCTCTTCTTACCCTTCTTGAGTTTCTTTGGCAATGGGGCCCATTCGTCCTCTGCAGCTATTTCTCTAGTCTCGGACTCGACGGATGCGGGATCAAGCTCGAGCTGCGTCTCACGCTCAACAGGCTCGACGATGGGCGTAGTGTCCAGACCGGAACTAGTTTCGACAACAGACTCGACCTGACGCTCGGATTTGAACGGTTCCACGAGTGGTTCCATCTCCACTGTGGCTTCTGGCTCCTGAGAAATCGACACATCATCGCTCTGTATCGCAGCAGACGTTTTCTCACCACTCTGTGCCGGTGTCACAGTCTCAACGACCATGTCATCTTCCAACGGAGTCCCAGTACCCTTTTTCCTGGCTTTCTTCTCTTTCTTGCTGAGCTTGCGATTGAGTGCAGGTCGTTCGGGCTCCGTGTGTTCTGGTGCATTTGCGACGGGTGCAGGCGCTTTGATGGGGATGTGCTCGGCGGTGGATTCTTGAGTGACGGACTGCGTAGAGATATCTCGCTCCTCGATGACCGGTTCTTCCACCTCTGCAGTAACGGGACCCACAAGGTTCTCCTCTGGTAATTGTGTCGCCTTGGCGGTGGTATCATCGACTTCGGACACTGGCGGATCAGACAGAATGATGCGATCAGATTCTGTGACAACATTGCCTTCAATGGGTGCAACGACATCAGTCGCAGGCGGGATATCTGTAGTCTCCCTTGAAGCAGCGTCCTCATCCAGGAGATTCGCAGCATTCGACTTCTTTTTCCTCTTACTCTTCTTCGAGACGACTACTGTAGTGTCGATGTCTGTGACGGCTGGCTCTTCAACAGTCGTACTCGGCTCATCGATAGTGGTACTCGGCTCATCGACAGTGGTACTCGACTCGTCGACAATGGTACTCATCTCATCGATAGCGGCAGCTGGCTCCTCGACGGTGAACTTTGGCTCTTCGACACGTTCAGTCGCTTCCATCCCTTCGATCTCGTGTGTCTGGTCTCTGGCAGACGCGATCTCTCCTCCCTTGCCAGCCTTGTCAGATACTAACGCAAGCGCAGTTTCCGCATCAGCTCCTGCTGCTTGAGAATCGATCTCCTCAGTCGCCGCGTCCCTGCTACCGTCGCCGAATTGTGTGGAAGTCTGCTGCATCTGCTCTTCCCTTACATCTTCAACGATAGGTGTGAAAGTCCCAGAAGACTTCTTGTTCTTCTTCTTGTTCTTCTTGGCTTTTTTCGAGAGCGACGCTGTGGGTTCCTCTTCGACGGGTGCCACAGCATTATCATTTACAGAATCTGCTGCAGAGGACACATCAAGCGCGGGTTCAGAAAAGACATGGTCTCGCGCGATGATGGCCTGGGCGGCCTCTTGGTCGGTGGAGTCAGGGTGTTCGACAGTCTTCACAGTCTCGACAGGAATAGGCGCATCTTCAAAGACTGGTGCGTCTGGAACCGTTTCAGGAGTTGTCTGGGTTGTCAGGATGTGATCGTTTTCCGCATCTCCGATGTGGGTACTCGTAGAGGCTTCAGTCTGCATGCGTCCATCCTCACCATCCACTGCTGTTCTGATGTCATCAGCTCCAGTCTGTACTACAGCACTGCTCTCAGCCGCGCTGATTGGCGTTGATGGCAGATCCCAATCTTGCACTGCGACAACATTGTCCGGTACCCCCCTGCATCTCGTTGGTAGACTCACGAGCTGGCTCGAGGATTGTGTCGTTCACAGACTCAGCACCTGGTTTCACATCACCAGATACAGACGCATTCGCCTCTCTAGCTTCGGTTGCAGCAACAGGAGTAACATCTTCACCTGGTGTCGCAGTTCCTGATTGCCTCTTACTCTTCTTGCTCTTTTTCTTCTCTTTCTTGGACAGAGCAGGGGCGGGTTCAGACTTTATGATCTCAGCGATAGCAGGTGCTTCAGCTGCTATTGGCGAGGATGTCGGTGCTGCGCGCTCGATACCTTCCTCGGTTGGGATCTGCGTTTCCACCGGCTCTAAGGAGTGAATAGTGCGGTCTGTGACGGTTTGAACTTCACTCTGCTGTGGCTCGAGCTGCACAGCGAGTTCGGTAGGTCGGTGTTCTGGCCTAAACGCTGCTTGTGGCGAAGTCTGTGACTCTTCGGGCTGTACAGATTCGATACTGCGGTCAACAACGGGCTGGACATCGTCCTGCTGTGGCTCAAGCTGGGTAGCGAGTTCAACAGGTTGGTAGTCTGGCTCGACACGTCCCTCAGTCGAGATGTACTGCTCCTCAGACTTTGCGGTTTCGATACCACGATCAGCTGATGTCTGTGTGTGCTCCACTTGCGGCTCAAGCTGGGATGCGAGTGCAGTTGGCTCATACTCAGTCTCAGGCGCGATATCTTGAGGTGTCGTTTCCACTGGAACTGATTGGATCTCCGTGATGGTGTCTTTGTCAACAATGGCGGGCTCAACAACGGCAGGCCCGACTTCAGCAAGCGGCTCATCCAACGGCGTCGCAGAACCAGACGTTTTCTTTGCCTTCTTTGCCTTCTTTTTGTCTTTCTTGGAAAGCACTGGGAGATCGGCAGTTGTCTCCGAAGGAAGGGTGGTTGACTGAACAGCCTGCGAGTCTTGCTCGACTGCTGGCTCTGGAGCGGTGATGGGTTCGGCTGCGGAGTTGTCGATCACAGTCGGAACCTCCTGAGAGACCTCCTTCGTCTCGACTGTGGACTCGGCGTCTGGTATCTGCTGCTCGGCCTTCTCTGCTTCGATGACCGGTGGTACAGTAGCCGCGACTCGCTGCTCGGCCTGTGGTTCAATCGACTGCTCAGTACCTTCACCCTGAGCATCTAGCTCTGGAACAGTTTCAGCCAGTTCTGTTGCGGGGTCTTTGGCTGCAGCGGCCTGCTTGCTCTTTCTATTCTTCTTTTTCTTCTTGGATCCCGTCATGAGATTCAAGTCGTTTTCCTCAACAGACACGGGCGCGGGTGCGGGCGCGGAAAGTACATCATCCGATACAGCAGATTCGACTGCTTCCTCTTGCATCTCCGCAAGCCTCACATCGACAGGCTCAGCTTCACCCCGACCCTCAACGTCCACTAATACGCCTTGAGCATCACCCCCACTTCCCTCTTTCATTGCATCCCGCTGCTCTACCGCGTCATCCAAAAGAGTGTTGCGCTCTCCTGCGCTATTCTCCTCATGCAATCCGTGCGCACTAGTAAAAGCAAGCCCTGCACTGCCATCGGTGCGGGTAAGGGGATATTGTGGCGGTATCCCCGAGAAAGAAAGATGTGTCTCCGAGGTTGTAGGGGTTGATGGAGACGGCTGGGGTTCAGAAACGTTGGCTGCCCGAGTCGCCTCATCCGCTAAAAAAGAATCGATCGCGGTCTGTTGTTTTCTGGTTTTGTTTTTGCCCTTCCTAGAGGGCGCCGTGCCAGTCCAGGCGTCTTCATCCTCGTCAGGCTGCAGTACTGCAGGTATCTGCGCGTCTCTATCGTCCGCATTTGGCAGTTCAGGCCCAGTCGCCTGCCCAAGCTCCTTTACCACTTCCTCGACCGGAGTTGCGGGCAATGAGATTTGGCCTTCGACCCCTGAAGCGCGCTTAGCTTTCTTTGCCTTCTTCTTCTGCGACTTCGAAAGCGGCTCTGACTGCTCAGGGATAGGGTCTAGGACTTCTGTCGTCGGTAACGACTCGGGGTCTTTGATTGGCGCAGAAGGTGGTCGGTCGTTCGGAACAGCTTTAATGGGTGCAATCGAGCTGCTAGCGACGAGTGTTTGATCATCTTCAGCCTGCTCCGCAATCGGTTCGGTGGACACCTTCACGATCTCGGATTTAGGCTGGTTGACTAGCTCACCTGCTCCGTCTTGCACTGTCTCTTCCAGAGGGGTAGCCGGCTGAGTAGCTTCCACGTCTACGATAGATTCACGCTTCCCTTTCTTCGCCTCCTTCCTGTCTTTCTTCGACACGAGCTCAGGCTCCTCTTGAACAGCAGTCTCCTCCTTCGCCACTTCCACAGCAGGCGTTGTACCTTCTGTTTGCTCAAGAGATGCAATGTCTCGAGAAACCTCCTCAGTAACAGATGGAGTGGTCTCAGGTGCTACCTCCGGAATAGCTACAGGCTTCTCCGCAGCTTGATGATCAGACGTGGGTGGTGCATCGAACGAGAACTTATCGAGTTCCGTTATGGGCGTCTCGAGAGGTGTTGCAGGCTCGCTCGTCCCAGCGATCGATCCACGCTTTGCCTTTTTGGCCTTCTTCTTATCCTTTTTCGACAATGGTGCGGGTTCGTCTTCTTGAGGTGGGTTCGGAGGCTCCTGTATAGCAGACTCGGTGACAGATAACTCAGTAGCAGGCGGTTCGGTGGCGGATATCTCAGCCGCAGACGGCTCAGACAAATCACGCTCTCCCTCCTGCGCTCCGCCAGTGGTACTTTTGGAATCACCGAGCACCTCGGAGGGCACCTGTTCACCACCCAGAACCTCGGGCGCCGCTATGGCGAAGCTCTGTTGCTCAGCCGGAGACTGCTCTTTGACATCATCCAGCCCAGGTGTGGGCAGCTCGTCTACCGGTATCCCAGGTTCCTCTCCTTCGGCAACAGAAACGCGCTTGTTCTTCTTCGCTTTTTTCTTGTCTTTTTTAGATAGAACCGGCGTTTCTCCTGTAGGCTTTGGATCCACGGTCACTGGTTTGAGCGCTCGTACGTCTTGGGCTGCAGTTTCCACTATCGGCCCGGACTCGGCTTCAAGCGCGGATTCGGTCGCAGCTTTCAGTTCTTTGCTCCCAGCCACATCAAGATCCGTCGTGAGAGCAGCTGCAGCCGCGTTGTTCAACTCATCAGCAGCCTGGGCTACGTCAGAGTTTTGTTCGGACAGTGCAGTTGAATCTTTCTCCGCCACCGTGACTTCTTCCGTTGTGGGAGCTTCAGCTTCTGTAGGCAGCTGGCCAGCGGCAAAGTCAGTGGCAGCAACTGATGTGGACGAGGTTGCAAGTGCGTTCTCTGTAGATTCCGGGATCGGCTTAATGGGAGTGGGTTCTGCGCCGATGTCCGCGATTGGCGACGAGGCCTCAGTGACGGCAAAAGATGAAGTAGCGGCTGGTGCAACTTCAATGTCACCAGCAGTGGAAATCCGTTCTTTGGCGATATCCCTTTCACCCTCTCCAGTGACTAGAATTGGCAGCACAGGCTCGCCGATCTCCGTAAGGGGAGTCTGAGGCTCCGAGAGTGACTCGCCCTTCTTGCCCTTCTTTTTCTTCTTGCTCTTTTTCAATGCGGTGGCTGGTTCCTCAAGGGCTGGGGTGGATTCTGGAAGCGATGCTGGTGTAGGGGCAGTAGGTTCTTGGGTGACCACAGACTCCTGGGTAGTGGCGTCGAGAGCGGCGATAGTAGGCTCGGACTCAGTGGCTGCAGGTTCGGTGGCTGCACGCTCAGTGCCAGCGTCGACAGCTTCGTCCACTACAGGCGCTGCACCGACATCAGCACTGCTCTTGACCGTATCAACGATAGCAACAGGCTCCACCACTGCGGTGGCTTGCTCGACACCAGCCTCAACGGGAGTGCCATCTTCTTCGAGCATATCCTCGGCTGGCCAAGTATCGTCACCAACAGTATCATCGGCGTTAAACTCATCAGTGCTACCAACGCCAGTCTCGGTCTGATCTACCAGGTTCGTGGCCTCACTAGCTCGTGTAGCCTCGTCCAATTCCTTTTTCGCAGCTTCAGCTTTGAGTTTCTTCTCTAGTTTCTTACGTTGAGATTTATTGAGTCCAGCGAATGGATCAACGTTTGATGGGACCTCGGTGATGGGCTCAGGAATTGGCTCCGTGATGGGCTCAGAGATGGGCTCAGAGGACTCAGTGAGTTGTTTCTCAGCTGCCGTTGGCGCCTCTGTCACAGCATCTGGTGATGCCTCTGCCCCCGTAGACTCCGTAATGGTCTGGTCTTGAACAGCCTCGTTGGTACTTACGACCTGCTCTGAGGTGGGTGTCTCCAGAGCTAGTTCGCTCTGAGTAGTAGTGAGCTGAGACTGCTCTTGGACGACATTTTCGTCTGCAAAGGGCGGTGCAGCGGTTGGCGCTGGAGGCACTTCAGTTAGAGCGGAGGACACTTCTGTCTCGAGCGCAGCCCTTTCAACCTCGCGCTGGGCTGCTTCTGCTGCTATTTTTTTCTCGAGCTTCTGGCGTTGTTTCTTATTGAGTCCTGCGAAGGGATCAATCGGTGCTGTCTGCTCTGGCTCTGGCTCTGGCTCTGTGGGAACTACCGCAGAGACTACGTCAATGGCTGGATCCGTGACGGTATCCATGTTGTCGGATACAGGGTCGCGTTGAGCAGCTACTTCGCCACGAGTTGTCTCAGGGTCTTCTGTGGATGTGGCGATATCTCGTTCAGCCACAGGTTGTGCTTCTTCTTCCTTCAGTTTGGCCGCTGCCTCTGCTGTCAACCTTCTTTCAAGCTTCTGCCGTTGCTTCTTGTTGAGTCCGGCAAATGGGTCGACAGATGATGTTTCCTCTCGCTCCAACTCTGGCTCTGGCTTGTTAGAGGCGACTGCAGTTGCTTCTTTGATAGCTGGTTCTGCGGTAATCGCGTCCACAACCTCAGGTACAGATCCATGCTGAACTTCCTCGGCGTCATCAACCACAACTTCGGCGCCAGCAATTGTCTCAGGAGTTTCCGTAGCCGCGGCTACATCTTGTTCAACAGTAGGCTGTGCTTGCTCCTTCAATTTAGCTTCAGCTTCCGCCTTGAGTTTCTTTTCTAGCTTCTGCCTTTGCTTCTTGTTAAGTCCCTTGAACGGATCGA